TGAACATCGGGTGAGTTTACAGTGTTGGTAACAGCTGCAACTGACTCTTCAGAAGCAGATACATCCTCCAAGGTCGGCATACCAGATGTGGCATCCGATTGCTTGTCAACAAAGGAGTTCACATCACTCTAGTCAACATCTGAGGACAATGCACTGCTCAGCTCATCCCATGACTCATCACCAACCTCCGAAAAAAGGTCAGTACCATCGTCTTCATCCCCCGAGTCTTCTGATAAGCCCTCAACTTCAGACTCGTCTGACTCAGAAACTGCAGCCAGCGATGGCATGTCGCTAGCATCATCAACTCTGAATGCACCGCTGGCTTCCCAGTCCGAATCCGATGATTTCTCAGCCACATTGGCTATTTCACCCTTCAATCCAGAGGCCTTGCTGTCATTGTCTGATGACTTTTTCTTGGGGCATTTGTTTTTGAAGTATCCTTCTTTCCCACATCCCCAGCACAATTTCTTGCCGGGTTTCTTGCCCTTCTTATTGCCACCTGAGCTTGATGAAACAGACATGGCTTCATCTTGTTCCGAGTCCTTTCCCTTTCCAGACTGCTGACTACGCTTGGCTCACTCGCACTCCAGTCGGTCGTATTCCTCGGAAATAGCATGGATCAGGTTCTTGGAATCGACTTCCTTGTTGGAACTAAAGAGCTTTGCCGCCGTAAGGAGAGTCGATGCATGCTTGGCAAGATAGGGAGGGATAGAGATGAGAATCATTGAGCGGTAATCCTTTTCTTCGATGATGACACCGATGGAAGCTAATGACTCCTGTTTCATTGACAGACTGTCAAGAAACTCGCGAACATTGCCTTTGGCCAGGCAATGCGACTCCATAAACTGCTGCTGAAGGTCGGTTTGTGCATAGCCGCTCTTATCGGTAAACTCTTTTTCAATCTTTGACCAGGCTACAGCAACTGTGGGAAGATGCTGAATCTTCATAGCGACTGAGTCAGGGATCTTCAAGAGCAGGAGGTTCTTGGCTACAGCCTCATCTTTCTCCCATTCATCTAGCTCAGCCATGAGAGCTGTTGTGGGTGCAGTGAGAGAGGGTTTGGGCTTGGATCCATCAAAGTGATCTCATTTCCCTTTGGCTTGAACACCAGTGGAAAAGCAGAGGTAGAAGATGGACCAGTTGTCACCAGACGTGTTCAGTGTGGGGATGTTCAATGGTAGGCCTGTAGTCAAGGCAGCAATAGCAGAAGTCATTTGAGTATGAAGGATGGGATAGAGTAATTCTCGGAGCCGTATAACCTCTAAGAAAGTGACGCGCGTTTGTAGCACCTAATAGATTATGCTGTTAGCTATAACGTAGACTACAGAGTACCAATCAGTGATATAAACGAAGTAATATAAGTAGATACTCACCCTCACACAGCATAGCGATAAGCAGAAACGTGATGAGGGTGCTCGACAGACCGTATTCAATATATATAGTCCATCCCGATATAAAGGGGTATTGAGCTTGGCCAGCGGGATACGATGGAGCTCCTGCTTGCTAATCCAACAGGTTTTGGTGTCTTCCAACCATATGCATTGTGAAATAGTTAACTGTATTATGATGTTTCTATCTTCTTCTTAGATTAACCCCTATTTATGCTTAGTCAGAGCATTTAGACCAGTGCTTAGGACTGTGAGAGAGGCTTAGTCAGCACAACAAGCCAATCTGTTATTGTCCTCCAATGTAATGATCAGCTCTTGATGATGCACAATCAATCTTTTGTGGATAATAGCAATACCCAAGAACAATGATCACAAGGACTTAGAAATGCATAATAGATAGCCCTATATTTAACTAGGCAGTGTATAGTATATAAGTAGGATAGCTCTCACTGGTATAACCCCAGCTTTGAGCTAAAGTTTATTCATCTCATTCTACTCTTGAGCTACTTCTAAGACCTTGAAGCATTTAGTCAACAGAACACAACAAGTGAACTCTAGTGCAAAGATTTGAATGTGAAACCACACTAGTTTATCACATGCAGCTTAAGTCTAACATCAAAAAGCTAGTCTTACAGGAGTATTAATAGTCTAAATTAAGCTAGGATAGAGAATACTATATTAAAAAATGCAAAATCTGCCAATGGAAAAAAGCATCAACTCAACCACATGCAGCACTATTACATCCAAACAAAATCCCACATATACTTTGAACACACATTTTGATTGACATGATAACTAGACTATCTGACTGCAATAGTTATGATGTGATCTTAGTCATCATTGATTGCTTCTCAAAGGTGATCATTTCAATCATGTGTTTAACAGAATTAGTATTAGAGAGTTGGGCCAAGATCTTATATAATAAAGTTTATACTAAATATGACATGCCACAAGTCATTATTTCTGACCAGAAACTGCAATTTATCTCTGTTAGACCCAAGTAGCATATGATTATAAACACATGATAAACTGATGTCACTTCACACTTTGAGTGAGAGCATCAGAGTCCACTGATGTGTGTATTGATCAACGTGTGTCAAAACCTTGAGATTGGCTCAAGAATGAAATGGTATAAAGATAAACTTTAGCTCAAAGCTGGGGATTTTCAGCAAGAGCAAGCTATCTTATATACTACAGATGCTACTGCTATAAATATGACTATTTATTATGTGTTCATATACTATTGTCCTTGTTGTCCTTGAGCATCTTAATGTCCTTCAATAGGGCAATTATGTGTTGTTGGGCAACTATGTTGTGTCAAAAGATAATGACTGACTGGGCTTGTTATGATGACAAAGCCAGTCTCATGGTCTTAAGCACCAGTGCATAGATGCTCTGACTAAGCTTAAATAGGGGTAAAAAGAAGCAAAAAGGTGAAGAAATCATAACAATCTCTAAGTTTCTTGACTATTTGTATTGTCTATTGAACATTTGTCATAATACTTCCATGGCATACTATCTACAGACCAACAGCCAAATAGAACAAGAAAATCAGAAAATCAAAAAGTATCTTTATCTTTTTATCAACTATTGACAAGATGATTAGGTCAAATAGCTCACTCTCACTGCCTTCTAGCATAATAACTGCATTTATTCTGCCATGAGAAAGACCCTCTTCTTCATCAACCATGGCCAACATCTTAATATTTCCCATACTGAACACATCTATACAACCACATCTGCATTCTCTGATTTCACATGCACAATATCCAAAATTCATAAAGAAACCCAAACTGCCCTTGAAAAAGCAGCATCCTCTATAAAGTGACAATATGATAAGTGTCATGCCTCTGCTCATATCTATAATATCTCTGACAAGATTTGATTAGACACCACCAATCTTCATCTCTCTCATCTCAAACAGAAACTTGCCAATAAGCAGATAGGCCTCTTTTCTATTATCACCAAAGTTGAAGCTTCACATATAAACTCCATCTCTCTACCATATGAAAAATTCATGACATCTTTAACAAAACCCTTCTTACACTCTTTATTGCTCTTACATGCTCTAATCAAGAACAACCCTCACTATTAGCACCAGAATTGATTGATGAGAAACACTATGAAATTGACCATATTCTTGATCATTATCTATAAAAAATTTATGCATGTGGTAAAGGACTAATGATGACTGTAGATTATCTAGTTAGTTGGAAGGGCTACAGCCCTGAATCTAATTAATAGGTCAATGAAAAACATATGAATGCTGATGACACTATCTGAGACTATGAATTATCTCTAAATTAAGCCATTAGGATGATGATCTTAAGGAGGAGGTAATGTTATGATTTTTCTACATTTTCTTCACTTTAACCTCTATTTATACTTAGTCAGAGTATCTACACTGGTGCTTAAGACCATAGGACCAGCTTAGTCATCACAACAAGCCAAGTCTGTCATTGTCTTCTGATGCAACAATACCTCTTGACAATGCTCAATAACTCTTTTGTAGATGGTAGTGATGCTTGAGGACAAAGAGCATAAAGACTTAAAAGGACACAATTAGTAGTAGTATATTTATCTCAAAGGATGAGTAGTATATAAGTAGAGTAGCTCTCACTGTGTATCTCTAGCTTCAAGCTAAAGTTTATATCTTCACCATTCTACTTTGAGCCTCTTGTAATGGCCTTGGAACATACAGACACATATAGTGAACTCAGGCATGACTGTACAAATATGATACAGCACTTGTTTATCATGTGTTTTGGTCACATGTCACTTGGACTTAACAAACTGCCAATCTCAGATATCAAGGCTCTGTCTCTTCTCTCTGTTGTCAGTAATTTCTGTTGCCTGGTGAGGTATCACCTCTTTTTGCATCTCACAAAGGCTCATTCAAATAGTCTCTGGCCTCACCACCTCTAACCAAATCTCATATAGTATTATCACACTGTTATTGTACAAGTCACTAGTGATTTTTTGTTGCCCTCTCACCTCTCCCCTGTATTATTATATAGCCATTCACACACAATCAGATTGAGGCAGTCTTTAAGGCTCTCATTGTAGCCAGTTATGTCCTATTCCTCAAGCAAGCAGCAGAGGTCTGTGGATTTAACACATAACTATTCATATTATTAATGTTTATGTACCTTTTGGGGATTTATTTAATAGTGATTTTTACATTGTTACGCATAGAGATTACTATGGGGTCATGTGACTCTCCGAGACTTCCGAGTTCCTGCTGCAGACCTGGTCTTCACCGCTATCCATGGGAAAATAATCAGGGGTCCTTATGCAGCTGGATAAATGACAAAGCACGAAATGTAGCGACCCACAGAGACTCCGGGCCATCGTTAGGACGAAGAATCTGATGTGCCAAATGCTAGGTATTTTCGGTGATGGATTCGACGTGCGCCACTGAAATTGTTGGCAGAAGTCAGTCATCGGATGACTGGTGGGTCAGCCGACAATGTCTGCCATCGTGAGTAAGCCAAACGCTATTCTGACGCTATATAAGTATCCACATCCACTGATCCAATGATGTTCCTTACCCTCCCTTCTGCTCTTATAAGGTCCATCACTGCTCGTCGAGCTACGCAAATATATCGACACTTTTCCACGCACTACAACATGGCCAGTCTGCCCTCTACCATCCACGCTGTCAGCATTCAGAAGGTGCGAGTCCATCTCATTTACCATAAAGCTAGTTTGACCATCGCCTATAGACTGGGGACTTTGATGTTATCGAAAAGGTGACGTTACCATTTCCCAAGGTCGATCCCGGTCACCTCGTCGTAAAGGTATGAAACTAGAGTACGGTGTTCGCGGTCATCGATGAACAATCTCAACCAAGGTGGACTATTTTGGCGTCAACTTCATTGATACGTACTTCCGGTGAGTGCCTCGCACCCCAGTATTGGTTCCCATCTAATCACAGCGTCGGTAGCAAGGGGCTGTATCCCCTCAAAGACTTCCCCGCCGTCTTGGGAATGGAAGCAGCGGGAACAGTTGTCGCGCTTCCGACTGATGAGAAAGTGCTCAACGATCCAGACTTCAAGAAAAGGAATTACGCGATTGGAAGCAAGGTCACAGCCGTGAGTACTTGTCTATGTTTATCTGTCCAAATTCATGAGCTCATTCCGCAAACAGAACACTATGGGCATCCATCAGACCTACATCTCCATTCCTTGGTTAAAGGCACACCCCGTCCCCGCATCCGTTGATACCAAGATCGCAGCAGCAGCCGGCCTTCAGGCTCTCACCGCACTGTCCTTCTTCACTGAAGCATACAATGTCAAGCAGGGGGATGTTATTCTGATCCACACTGTAGCGGGTGGACTCGGTCTAATCATGGCCCAGCTTGGAAAACACCGCGGCGCTACAGTCATCGGAACGACCTCAACCAAAGAGAAAGCCGAGATAGCGAAAGCGAATGGCGCCGACCATGTCATCCTGTACACTTCAGAAAACACTGTGGAAAGGGTCTTGGAACTGACTAACGGTGAGGGTGTGCATGCTGTCTTTGATGGTGTCGGAAAGGATACGTGTGTCTATTTTTGCGTCTCCATATCAGAGATCGTTACTGATCATGTCGTATCTGCTAGATTCGAGAATAACTTCAAGCTGTTGAGAAGAAAGGGCACCTTTGTCAGCGTTGGGAACGCGTCAGGGCCTATTGCTCCTTTCTCTCCTCTCAAGTTGGTCGAGAAGAACCTCAAATTCGTCCGGCCCTCGTACGCTGTCCCTTTCTGTGCTTACCTTTGGAAAATAGATACTAACTGAGATGGCAGGATGCCCAACTACTTGGTCACCCCGGAAGAGTCAAACTATTATGTTACTGAAGTGTTCGACCTCATCTCGAAGGGAGTTCTGAAGATCAACATCCATAAGGTATATCCCTTCACGACAGAGGCTGTCCAACAAGCGCAGAAAGATCTAACGGGAGGCAAGTCCACCGGGAAGCTGGTGATTGATGCACGAGAGTAAAATACACAATATGTAACACTAGTATTGCAATGTACAATTTCAATATTTGGTTTTGATGCGATTTCTTGTAATTTTCGCTACCTTCTGAGATGCGGTGATTTCCACGGTACCTTTAAGATGTGTATACGGATCCATCCGTCTCTAGCACTGTTTCTCCCACCAGTAGTTGAGAATTTTCGAAAGCCCATTTTCTCTGTTGATCACAACGCGCAGCTTTACGCGTTTAACGGGTTATTGTCAGTACGCGCTGCAATGACGCACTGCCGTCTTCGATGCTTACCTAATACCTTCTAGTACTGCGTCGACAAGCCACTACTGCCGTTTTCATCTCCACCACCTCCTCAAAGGACATCATCCTTTGGGGCGTCATTTCGCTCCCATCGCCATCTTCGATACTTTTATCTCTCTAGTGCATGCTCAGTGACGTTCACTGACATCTGTCGATATCAGTTTGAATAAGACTCTGGCATCACCAGTTCGTGTTGCAAACGATATCGATCTGTATGTTTTTTCTGATATTTTCTAGGCACAATAATGAATAATAAAGATGTACAGAAGCCTCGAAGACCACTTCCAATGCCAGGCTCACCTCCTGCCCAGCGACCCAATACTCCAGTTCCAACCAATCCGCCAATATCGCCTGCGAGGTTCTACAGTTCCAATCCACCACCACCGTTGCCCCATAGGCCTCGCGGTGTAGGGTCGAGTTGCACTTCATTTCAAACAATTGATGAGCCTCCGACCTATGGTTCATCCACTGGTCCTAATGCGCCGGAATATCGCGAGCCAGAGTCACGTCTAGTGACCGAAGACATCATGATTGACGACGGCCATCCCACCGTTACACAAAAGACCTCTCCAGGTTGGACTACGCCAGTATGGGATTCTACATTGACAGACCCGGACGAGTACAACAAGACGTGGGAACCCACCTGGTCTGGTAGTGACGCTGCCTGGCAAAGCAATTTTTTGGCTTCGAGTGATAGAACTAGTTCATCTGTTCCTATTGGGAACCGAGATGATGTGGAAGAGCTGTGTTGGTGGAACAGGGAAGCCAATAAACGACCTGGTCCAGGATTTCTTGCGCCTGTGCTGGAGGTGCACTTGCATAACCCTGAACATTCCTTGCTTTCCGTTTCTGCATCTGCACCAGATATCGCTCCTAGCATCCCCGCACCTGGCGCTGAACGGGATCCTGCCCAGGCATCCTCGTCGACTCAGCGGCCGGCCCCTCAAAGGTCCTCCCATTTGCCACCTACGGAAGAAGAAGTTCGAACGGCAGTCCCCCATCCCAACGCATACTTCTGTCCGAAGGACAATGGCTGGATTCTGCTTAGCTGGAAGTCGTCATCCGTACCTCCGCCTTTGTCGCGTAGTGGCCGAAAAGAGCACACGCTCCCTGACCAGAGCTTCAGGCAAAAATACATCTCCTGCCTCTCTCCGGACGATAACATCTTTGGTGCCGCAAATAAGACCCATCATTTCCATCGATATCAAAATGCGGTTGATTCTAGTCAGCTCACACCTGCTTACCGTGGCTTGGATGCCATAGACGGACTGAAGCAAAAACGGCGAACCGGGATGATCATACAAGGAGAGCTCCAATTGATAAAGATGCAAGAAGACGAGATGGACCAAGATACGGACGAGACAGGCACCCCCCTCGATCTCTATGTCTGTTGCCAATGTTCCTTCTATTGTGTCGCTTCCAAGATTATACCCGCGATAATCCCACGGTACTCGTGGAATCATTTAATTGAGAACAAAAGGTCAGATCCTCTTCCAGGGAAGACAAGGGAGCATAGTGTCGCCACTGCACTAGAGACAATGCTCATGTAAGCCCTCTCTTTGTCCATCTGGCAGCACTAAAATTTGCATTTAAGAGCTCTAGAGAACAAGCTATGGAGATTGGATAATCGTGATTTACGCGCCAGCGGCACAAGTTTCCGGGCGAAAGTTGGATGTAACGATAATGTGTTCGTCTTTTTACAGTGTTTGTGAAAGAGCACCGATTGACAGCATGTTTTTAGCAAGCAGATCTTTGAGGCTCTTGGGTTCGTTTGGGACGAATGTCCAAATGATGTGCTTCTCAAGTCGCCTTCCCTGGATTCTTCTGCCAAAGGACGATTAGCTCGCGCTAAGCTGCTGCGAGGTTGGGTTGAGATTGGGGCCTGGTTGGCCGATTACAGACGGATCAATTGTAGGTGTATTCACGTTTACAGCGTTCAAGCTTAACTCACTCTCTGTCACAGCAAATGCTTTCAAGGATTACGTTTCACTCAATACGCTATGGGTGAAGGTTAACAGTGCCAGAGAGATGTATCAAAATGCCATTGGTTCTCATCCTGATCAAAGTGAGCAAACTCATTTTCGCGTTTTGTTATATTCTCAATGTATACATCAGTTCCCCGTAATGAATTGTCCGACACCATCCAGATGACCCTGAAAAGCTTGCCTGGTACGTTCTGGACTGATTTGGGCTTGACATCCTCAACGGCTTCCACCGGTGAGTCTTGCGCCCGTCAGAGGTTTGGGCGGATTTGACACCATAGTCTCACAGGACTTCTTGAATTCGCGTACTTGTCGCAATGCCGTTGTGATCCAATCCACACACTTCAGTATTTCACGCACTTGTCTGACGCTGTCAGCGAAATGCAGAACTTCCAAACTTGCCCTCAACCGCTCGAGGAATTGTTTGCCGTGGAACGGTCTCGTGGAAGGTTCACACGAGGAGATGTAGACGAGAGCGTGATGATTCTGGGTTTCGGCTCCGAGAACCTTTTACGGGTGGAATACTCTGAAAATGACATTGACGACCAATTCATCGAGAATGCCTGGAAAGCGCGCATTAAGGAGTCGTTCCGGATGACATCCGGCGGTAGTGATTTTCAGAGAGAAGCTACTGAAGCTCTGAAGGTTCTTGCGGAAATGAGAGGGAGCTCGTATCTTCGAAAGTGTTGGGAGGCTTCGAAAGACAGCTTAATGACTCCTGACCGCGCTTACCAGACTCTGGAGATCCCTCAAGAAGTCGATGATTCCATGTTGATTACTGTCTTTTCTATGCGGGTGAGTGTTTAACTTCCTCGGTCGTATACTGGCTTTTGAACATTTTTACTAGCTCGAGGAGCAGCCCTCGCAACTTGAAAAAATGCGTGAAGCATTGTTGGTCATTGCGGAGTCTCGAGATAGTGAACGGTTGCGTAAGTTCATGGAATTGGGATCAGATCGTGAGTTGTATCTTTGGTTGTGAGCTTCATATAATAGTGTGATTTAGCCGGTGAGATTACTGCACCAACTCGCCCTGATTGGCCAAGGGGCCTCAACCAGCTAGGCAATACCTGCTATTTGAATTCGTTGTTGCAGGTACGTCATCTCTTCCATCAGGGTTGTTCGTGTTCACAAATTTGGCTTCTAGTATTTCTATACTATCAAGGATCTTAGAGATGCAGTCTCAACGGGGAAGAAAGAGCTGGACGATGATGAAAAATTCAGCGACGACGACTTGAAACGCCATAGGGTCGGCGGACGCTTGGTGACCCGTCGGGAAATCGTGAGGTCAAAAAAATGTAAGCCGTCTCCGACACGCATACCGCTGTCGCCTTGTTAATGAAATCTGCAGTTGTTAATCAACTAGCCGATCTATTCTGGAACTTAGAATATGCTGACAACCCAGCTGTGACTCCAACCATCGAGCTGGCCAAACTCGCACTGGTTACATCAAGAGATGAGGAGGAGGATGAAGTAGACAAAGGTGGGACGGATTCTTCCAATGACACCGATGCCACCTTGGTCGATGATGGTCCTGTTCGGTATTCCACTGAACCTCCATCATCGCCCAAGTCTCCCTCACCCTCTCCTGGCTCCATTTTAGGAAAGCGCGCCCGAGATATTCCTCGACGACCCAGCGAAATGGACGTTGATACCCCATCATATTCCCCGAGAGAGGGCCGTTCTTCAATGTCTTCGCCTAGATCATCCGATGATGACAGCCCTCCACCTTCGATACCTCTGAATTACCCCGAAGCTTCAACATCAGGTTCCAAAGACGAGGAGGATGTTGATATGCAAGCTGTCTCTAGTTCGAATAACCCGCCTCCGCTTCCTCCCCGGAAACCGGTCGGGTCACCCAGTTCTGAGATGATGTTCGGTAAATACATCTCCTTTGACATTGACATGTATTCACATTAACTGTGTAGGAAAACAACATGACGTTGCGGAATGTATGGATAACTGTATGTTCCAGATCGAAACCGCTTTGTTGAAATTCGATTCCATGACCGGGTCCCGGAGCGACGAAGACAAGACCAGTGTGGTTAAGCGGTAAGTAGTCAATTTCTTTCTATGCATTCGGGGTTGATCCCAACCTTCCAACAAGATTGTTCTATGGCAAGATTCGTCAGAATGTGGTGGCTGCTGATCAGACACACGAGAAAGAGGATTTGTTCTCGCATCTTCCTGTCAATGTCTCGGATGAGGGCTTTGACATTTATGACGGTCTTGGCCGATACTTTTATGATGTCGTTGATTACAAGAGTCAGAAAGTCCCGATGCAGCTGTCTCTCGTATCGCTGCCACCTCTACTTCATATTCAGCTCCAGGTAGGTTCAGGGTCACTATATTGTATTCATATTTGACTGTTCAATCAGAGGGTCCAATTCGACCGAGAATTGTGTCAGTCCTGGAAGTCTCAAGCTTACGTCAAGTTTGGAGAAACCTTATATATGGATCGATTCATGGACGATGTGGATCTGCAGAAAAAGGCTCAGTCACGGATAATAGAGGATGACCTCAACATCTGTCGAGAGCGCCTGCGGACGTTACTCCAAGGCAAAGTCAGTCAAATGATTAGACCTATGCTTGCCGTACTGACTTTGTTTGGTTCTAATCAGAATGGAACTTTTGCTACTGCGATGGACAACACCCGTGATTTCCTCTCTCAGCAGAGTAGTGTTTCTCTTCCAGATGTCGACGAGGAGATGATCACGATGCTCAACGAAGAAGAGGCCAGTCTGAAAGCTGAAATCGATGGTCTCCATGCGCGCATCCAGATCCTTAAAGCGGAGCTCGAGGCAATGTGGGAGAACGAAACCAAGGTGGCCTACGAGCTTACGTCGGTATTCATCCACCGAGGGTCAACGCCCACCTTTGGACATTATTTCTTCTATTCCCGACATCTTCCTGACAGCCCGGATGAGTGGTTCAGGTACAACGATTCGGACGTGTCGGTTATACCCAAGGAGGAAGTTTTGGCGGACACGACTGGCTCCACCGCTAATCCTTACCTGGTATGTTTATTTCTGGTCCAGTGAATGGATGTCCGTTTAATTAGCTTTTTGCGTTAGCTGGTTTATACCCGAAAGGGCAGCGAGGTGGTTGATACCGTCAAGCGATTTGACCTTTCGACCTTGGTTGAAGAGTAGTACTAACTCATTGGATATCTGATACGAATTTCACGGCATGCAATTGTATCATATGGCCATCACAACACTTTTTTTTGCTTCGGTCTTCAAGTTAGAATGCGTGGTCTGAATGACGTACTGTGGCAGTTTTGGGCAGTCCCTCCTCTTTCAGTTTTAAATCGCAAAAATATCAAGTTCCTTGTTGAAAAATCTCTCCTGCGAGAACGAGCAAGGTTCAGATGTAGTCAACCTGAGACAAAGAATGTTGTGGTACACTACCAGAATAGTGGGACCCCACATTCATGCTCCCCGAGGACTACGAGGATGGCCCAAAGCAACTAGACGAAGGTTTCGAATTTTATCGGAGAGTGACAGTTGACGGTTCGATCGTAAATGTCTTCCAAATCTTCACAGAGGGAGATGTCTGCAATGAGCTACCAGACTTACGGCTTGGTGCTCCATCAGGAGCAATTATCCATGCAGCTACAGGTGGATCCTGCATCGACAATGACACCCCCGATGCAAGAGCTGGCGCTGGTATTTTTGTGCCGGAGGAAAACAATATGGAGATCGCCATAAAAGTCCCCTCACCCATGCTTCAAACAATCCAGGCCGGCGAGGCAATGGCTACAAAGGAGCTGGCAGTCAGAGCCAATAAGAGAGCCATCCTACATATTGATATGAACTCAAAATACATACTTCACCGCCTATCGATATCTTTAAAAAAGATGAAAGATGCGGGATTCATCGGAGTACCCAACAAAAAAATCCTCCAAGCGACAGTAGCCAGTCTCCACAGCAGAAAACAGGTGATGACAATGAAGTGGGTTAAGGGCCACAAGGGACACCATGGAACCTCTAAAGGAAACATATTGGCCAAAAAGGGGCCGAAAAAGAACAGGGCGACACCATTGACTTGGAAATCGCCCCAACACTAAGAGTCACAGGGGCAGCCCTGAGCAAACTGACCCAAAGCTGGGCCTACAAGGCCTTCCGAGAATGAAGAAACCAAAGTCTCCTCAACGTGCAAAGACAGCGACAAACATGAAGCTAGCCAGTCAGGGAGCGAAAGATTATTTTGGGGCCAAACCAACAGAAGCGGCTCCATAGAAATCAATCCATCATAAAGACATTGACAAAAATATGAGGCATTCCCTCTGGATGGCAATGCACAATGTTTATCAGATAGGAGTGAAATGGTTGCACTTTGCTCCCCAATACCACAACCGAGCCTGCTGTGCTCACTGCAATAACAACCTGGAAAACATGGAACACATTATGACTCAATGCTCCTTCCCAGGACAGAAAGAGGTATGGGAGCTCACCAAGACCCTTCCAGAATGATGAGGTATTCCCTGGCACCTCCCAGAAATGTCAAATATTCTAGCATGTGCATCCCTGGTTTTTGAATCACCAAATGGATACAGAGATCACGGCAAAGAACGCTGCTTCCGAATCATTGTCTCCTCCTCCGTACAGACCATCTGGAATGCCCGATGTGAGAGTGTTATCCAACAAGAGAACTCTCCCTTCTCACCAGAAGAAAACCGATGGAGAAGGAAAGATAAACAGTAGACCCGACCCAGATTGTCTGATGACACGCGATCGCTTCGGAAAGAAGGCGATTAGGAAAGACCTAGTGCTAAAGACATGGGTAGGCTCAATCCTCAATGAGCATCAGTTTCTGCAAGGCTGGACAGAATCTGACGGGGTTTTAATGGGTATAGGGTAACGATGAAGGCCGGAAGCACATGGTAAGTATGGGGACGGCGCGAGAAGAAGTAGAAGATATTCCCGGGTGAATTACAAGTCCCCCACCAAAAAAAAAAAGAATGTTGTGGTAAAAGGGAACGTCAAAACTGCTCAGGGTCGATGTCCTAAATTTGTTACTCGCTCCCAAGTTTATCAAGCCTTCAAGGACCTTCCCTCTCTTATCTGCCCTGAAAGTGAAACCGCGGGTGCGGCTGTACCTCCCAAATATTCCTCAACGTTACGTCTCTGTCCATACCGACTGCAGGGCATGTTTGCTGGTATTGTCTGCGTCCTTTCATGAAGTGGTGCAATCCATCCGGTTGCAAGCATGCTTGGTATTGTCGGTATACTTATTCATTTCTTGTCTTTGCTTATAGCGCGTCAGAGTGACTGGAGAATAGGCTGTGCGAAGCTTTTCAAGAGTGACTACGACGCCTAGGAGGGTAGGAATCTAGGGTCCTGATCATATTTGCTCAAACGCGTTCTCGAATCCCACTGCCGATGGTGAATTCCTATTGGGTGAATATCGTGAGTGACTCCTTTGTTCTTGTCATTCAAGAGATAAAAATGCTCTATCAGCTTACGGATGATGCCATTTCACAAGGGCATGCGGTTGAGAGTGCTGCGAATAGTTCTCCTTAATCCACACCCCGAAACCCTGCACTTATACGGGCGTTCGTCCCCAGTCCAGAGGTCATGCAACGCGCGTGGTATTGTGAGGGGCATAGATCATAACATTTCTTCGTGCGATGCTCATATATATGTTTCCAGGCAGCAAAGAATGTCAAAAGGGCGATTGGAAGACGTGGCATAAAGATCTCTGCAAGGCTTTCAAAGAAGCGAACGAAACGGATAAAGCCATGCGCCTTGACTCGCTAGCTACGCGCAAGGAAGGTGTGTTAACTCGCGTAGGTATCCATTCTGGACTAGAGCCTGATCCTCCCTGATCCAAAATCCGAACAGGAAATATGCGCGAACCTGTTCTCGAATCCCACTGCCGACCGTGAATATGGAACGTTGCCTGTACAGTTGATCACGTCCGTCCTTCATCTTCCCAATTGATCTGACCCTGGATCCTCCCTGCGAGGAGATCAAATGCACTGTCTGCTTGTGCACGCCATTCCAGAGCCCGACTACGAGTTATAACAGCATGACTTTGTGTTCGAAATGCAAGCTCGCTTGGTGGTGCTCACCAGAGTGTGCCGGAAAGTTTTCCGATATCCATACCCCGGAACTTTGCGCTCATACGTATGACGTTGGTGCGTCGAGCACCTCACAATCGCCTACGGGCTCGCCCGTCGAGAAAGGCGGCAGTTCATGCAATGAAGCCAACAAACCAAACATGCCTATCTTCCCCTGGCGAACCTTCGTGGATGGGAAGACTGCGGCCGGTTGTTCCCAGGGTTTTATTATTCCATACGCATGAATGCGAAGGGAGTTTCAACGCGCATCCAGATGCGAGGAAAGACATGGCCAAGGAGGCTGCGAGCGTTACTCTCACCACCCTCACTGCCCTCGAGGACGCTAGGCCGGACTTGGGCCAGCTCAGGCAGCTGTGTGTTCATGTAGTCGGTGCTGACTCCAGGGAATTGTCCTGTACGGGAATGATGGAGGAGCTCTTGCCTGGAAGAGAGTTGATTGTCTGGTGCCGAAAAGAAATCAGTGAAAAGCGAAGGATCAGATAAAAAGGTAAGTTTACAGTTCTAGAGATGCTTGCCACCTTGAGTTTGAGATCATCGTTTCATGCGAAACCGTGCTTAGCGCAGAAAGAAGTGTCAACGCAGATCAGATACAGATCAGGACTTGATCCTACTAGATCCTGCATTTATTGACCAATGGCGAGCAGTGAGACTCTGGCACTGCGCAACGGTCAAATGCCCCAGTACATGCATTCACCGTGGCATCCGATTATGCTGGCAGATGAAATTGTTAAGCACCATCAAGAAAGATGCTACGAGCTGCCTGTACGAAGCTAGGACTAGAAGCAGATGTGAACACCCCATGATTCTAATGTCGTCGACAGAGAAACGAACTGATGAGCGTTGAATCGAGTTACTTTCTCAGCATCGTTATCCATGTCAATTAAAAAAAAATAAGCCTTCGGTGATGCCGAATCCCTTCATAAATCAAAACCTCGCCGCCGCCACCGATGGCCCTGCACTGCGTTCCTCATATACAAAGGCATATTGGGTACTTTTGAGTCGAAACTCCAAGTCTCGTCTAGCGAGAACCAGCAATTACGGATGCATAATACAAGGGTATTCTTCTCGATTGGGGTGATCCGTATCAAATTCCTTGATTCCCCTTTGAAGCAGCTGTCATGCAATATTTGACGGTTGTGCCTTGACCGTTGATATATCTCAGGACGGACTGTAGCGACGGTAACACCACTGAAATGCCCACGCAAAAAAAAAGCCAAGATTGGGTATCAAGTACCAGCATTAAGGAAAGGAAACGGACTGATTTACTCCAAAATACAGAGGGAATCATCTATAGATGGTTTCCCACGTTATTGAGGGGGAAAATACAAAGTCCGCTGGAAGACACCTTGGCATCCACCGCCATCATCCTGCCATTGTTCCATGCCTTCCCACTATTCTCGTCTCCCAAATGCCTCTGGAGACGCTGACCGCGAGCTCGAAGATGCTTTCGAATCCGAAAACGAAGACGACGGGCACACTCACTCGGAACAGACTCCCCTGACCACTATCAACGTCAACGTCAACGTCGTAATACCCGGCGCCTACAACTTTGAAAGGGATTACGACTACCCACCTCCAGGCTCGCCGCCTGGCCTGTCAGCTTTCGCGCTGCCCAACGATTTTGGCAACACGAACGGCCACATACCGGCCTCCCCCCCAGGAGAAACTCCTTCTGCCCCAAGACCTTCATTTTTTCGACGGTTGGCGGGTGCCGTGCTACCTACACACTATGTTCGTGTCCCTGCGCAACCAGCGCCTTCAGTAAGAGGCGGTGGCATGGAGAATGATGGTGTCTTTGCGAATGTGATGGCCAAGCCTGGTAGGCAACGGGTGGTTCGCGCACAGGATGGAAACGTGCATATGGTCCCTGAAGATATTCAGAAAGAGCCCCCACCAGTGTGTTTCATTCTTTCCTCGCTTACCCTTTCATTCACACCTTCGAAAGTCATACAATGAAGCCCAAGCTGATGCCGTCCCACCCTATTGGGAAACCACCGTTCACGCACCAGCGGGGCCCGAATCAGGTTCTGATATGATCATAGATGACCTCCCTTCGGGCTCCGTCTGGATATTCTTCGTCAACATATTCATTTCCTTCTTCTTCCAAATAATTGGGTTCATTCTTACGCATTTGTTGCACACCTCCCATGCTGCAAAGTTCGGGTCGCGCGTCGGTTTGGGCTTTACGCTCATTCAGTATGGCTTTTATTATCGCTCGATGGAGTCGGACGACGCGACGGGCGGTGATCAAACTGATGCGATAACGTGGCCTCCTGTTGAGACGCCCGATGTTACGGATGCATCAACGGCTGTAACGAATCCAGATGATGTCCAAGTCGTATCCAGTCTGTCGATGAAAGATTGGATTTCCTTTATACTCATGACTGCTGGTAAGTGGCCCCATCTCATCCTCGAAGCCGGGTACTTAGATTTGTATAAAACAGGCTGGTTCCTTGTATTGTCGTCTGCTGTCGGTTTCTGGCGCGTTAAGCGCTGGGAAACATCCATTCGTTCTACTACTACCCCTGAGCGCCCTCAAGTGACAACCCGTGAAGAAGTCGAGCGCGATATCGCTGTTCGTCGAAATTTGGAGACCGTGTTCGGAGTGTCGTTTGATGACGACGCCACACACCGTCCTAATCCTCGAATGGCCCATATGGATGAGAATGGTCATGTTATCGTGATTCCTGCGGCGGAGGCGCTGGAAGAAGCTAGGCTGGCAAGGGATCTGAGGGCTGCAGGTTTACTGTAGCGTTTTACTGGCATTTGACACCTTTTTATGGAGGTTATTTTCCATTTTTTATTTAGTTCCCTTCATCCGTCTCGTTCTTCTCTTCACCTTTTTTTATTTTGGTTTTAGGTTAGATCAGGTTTGTCGAGACGGTTGGATGACGAGGTAACATTAAATAACTGCTGCACAGACAGCATGTATTTTACTAATTAACTTGAACAACTACACTGGAATCCAAGCATACTCTTATCTCCTAGACCGCAGTATCTTCGTTCCTCTAGCTCTTCGGCGCTGAGCTCTTCATCGGGTCGTGAGTCGTCTTCTGCGCCCCAAAGGTCGAAAGGACTACATGTCATCTAGGATCAAAGTGAGTATAAAGTCTAATAGATTATGATGTCCGCCGCACCTGCAAAACCTTTGCCATCACTCCCTTTCCTGTATCAGGGTCCTTCTCCACCTTTGCAATAACCTCCTCCAGCACCCACTGCCTCAGAACGAACCTCGGATTCACCTTCCTCATCTCTTCCAACCTCTCAGCCCGACTGGACCACTCATCCTTCTCACTCTCAATCCGAGCCTCATACTTCCCCACCCAGTCCTCCCAGTCCTTCCTAAATCCATCATCCTTATTCGGGCCTAGCAGCTTCTCAACCACAGCGCCCCTACTCAGCGTCCTGAACGTCCCGTGGAAATCAAGAGCCTGGTCCTCCATAATCCTAAGCAGCGGTTGGATGATCGTACTCTCGTCAGACCCGTCCTGCCTTCGAAGCCCAAGCCGCCGACGCATGAGTCGTGCATATTCTTCAGGTATGACTGACTGCGTAATGCGCTCCAGGTCGTCTTTCACGGCATCAATGCCTTGGTCCTTCCATGCAGAAATTTGATCGTTTGACACTTTGGACCAGCCTGGAGATACTGCCTTGGGAGGAGTTGAGGACTGCTCGGCGCCGATGAGTGGTGCAAGTGTGTTTAAGAGAGCATGAAGAGCATAGATGCTACGGACGATGAGAGAAGTATAAATGAGACAAACAAGTATGCTTACATCATGTCGGGTTGTTTCTGTTAAACGCAAAATAAGTGAGTCGGTTCGATATTACTAAAGAAAACACCCTACTCGGTAAGAATAACGACCTTCGCTGTCGGTATGGTTGCAGATGTGGAATGAGTCAAAGATGTCCATGAAAGCGTAAGGACCTAACAATTGAGTTAGAGTGAAGACAGCTTCATTTCAGAAAAAGAAGGTCACCATAGTCTATAGTCAGGCCCATGATCGAAACACTAGAATAGAGTTAATCATCTTCAGCTTGAAAAGAACAGGAACATACTTGTCCGTATTGATAACCCCATGCATAAACCCATAGGCCTGCCACGCTGCCACCATCTTTGCATTTCGTTCAGCGACATCAAGAACCAACTTCTTCCCCCAGGCTTCGCCGTCATCTAACCCAAACTTCAAGACCTTCCTACTGACCCACTCCCCAAGAATTCTCAGCGCCTCATAGTTCGGTGATTGCTGCCCTCCACCAAAAAACATGATATTCTGTGGACCGTTCAATGCCTCGAACGATCCGATCCGAATGAATGAAGGAGCCATGCGCGTTAGGATGCATGCAGTTTCCTTACGTTCCCGATAGACGGGTACATCAGGAAGAGATATAAGTGAAAGCGAACGCGACGTAGGAATGGAGAGCGCTTGCAGTGCCTCGGAACAGAGGAACTCGCGAATGGACGAACGCACGACAGCGAGACCGTCTGCGCTACGGGAGTACGGAGTACGACCAGCACCCTTTAATTGGAGCTCGTACGTGAGTGATGGGTCATCAGGGTGCTGGGATACCACTGTCGAGTAAATATCAATACCTTACAAGGCAGGGAAAGGCCACAAAAGAACATACGGATAGTTACTGCGCGTCCGTCACCCAGCTGACCGGCCCAAGTGCCAAATTGATGTCCACTGTAGCGAAGTGACCAAGGGGCAAAATCATCCGACGTAAGAACCGCATGTCCGCTCAAAATATCCACAAGATCGTTCCTTGCAGATATATCTGATTCAGACGCAGTGGATGCTGATAAATTATTGTCCACCGCGCTGCTAGCTGTTAAAGCAGGTTTGCCTAGAAGAGCAAACGCGTCTCCGACATGTAGCTGAGGGATACAATCCCTTATGCCCGTCTCCGAGAGGCCGATAAGCATTCTGGTCTGATTCCTCTCCTGGGGGATATACTTCTTTAAAACGGTATTGCTCTGCGATCGAAACTCCTGAGTAGCTTCTCTACGGGAGAGCCATTGTTCAATAAAAGCAGCCTTGTCGGTGACGGTATCGGGTTCGTCTGGTATAATGTCATATGGAAATGACAGAGGGAATGGGGAGACGTAAGAAAAGTGGGCCTGATTGTCAACCAATCTAGCCCGGCGCTGAATACTGGGTGATCCCGCGAGGACTTTACGAAAAGCAGCTGGAGTAGATGACTTGGGGTCTGCCGTCAAGTTGTGATTCAGAAGATTCGCAGTTGGTGGTAGTGGGAATGACGAAAGTGAAATCTTTGAAGTCATCGTATGGAATAGCGACTTGAACTGCATACAGAACTGGAATGAACACAATTGCGTCACGGGGCTCGTGCGGTGGGTGACCATATATCTGACTTACCTATCAACAGGACCCTTTATTTTTCTTCTAGTGTCGGTTGTTAAGCATGAGATAATTTCAGCGCTGGTGAAGGTAGAGAAGGAAGAGGCGGTGTCATTGCAAAGTAGGTCACGGTGTCCTGACAAAACGCCAATCATGACATAATCGTTCTGCAAAAATTAAATCAAGGTACAAAGTGTTGTTATGACTTTACAGAAGTCCCTGGATAAAAAAATTGTTATTAGTCCACATCAGGAGGCATAGTACTCGCCTCAGTTTCATTGTCGTTGTGGGTCAATGCTAGGCGTCGGTCATTGTTGAACCCAGCTTTTTTTATAAAAATCGATCTTTGTAACTCAAGTGAGGAAATGATACGGAAAGCCATAAGAGAATAATATATTACACAAATTAAAAACAAAATACTTGCAGAATCACATTCTGACCCAGGATGGCCGCATATAGCGGTGGTCCGTGCACCATCCCGCCAGTATAAAAGGCAGGATCCGACATCTGAAAACTTCATACTTACCTTGATGGCACAAGCCTCTTCATGTACCTGGGTTTGTGGACTGTGGAGATCCTTCATAGCATGGCGACCCTGTCCTCAGAGGGTGTCTGCGGCTTGTATAGGCTCAGGCTTATGCACCGTCTAAATATTTTCCTGTTCCACTTTGGCCACTCTGGCTGGGTGGGCCTCCTTTTTCTTTGCTGTGAATGAATGAGAACTTCCATTTGGTGGTCTTTGTGTTGCAGCAAACTAAATAGATGGTAATCTTCTGTAGTTCAAAGTAATTGTATTATTTGCAATGTAATTTTTGTTTTTCTGATATAGTACTTTTTATTGTGATGCCAGTAAAATTTGATGGTGAACTCAGTGATGTACTGAGGGAGGTGATAGTTTGGCTGTAAGGCATATAAGAGGAATGTTCAATGTTTGCTATGTGATTGGGAGGACTATGATAGCCTTTGAAATTTGAGCCTGGCTGGAACAGGGATATTTGTGAGATGAATGAGAGTATGATGTCCCAGCTTGGTGAATGATGCATGGGACCAAAATGACACTACAAAACAGACTGTGTATTTGTCAGCACCTGCTAATGCTGATGCAACAAGTGGGGTGGAGTTGGTGGCCTACTAGAAACCATACCTAAATAGTCTGAGGTACAGAGGTTGTACCACCACCCAAGATTCTGTTCAAACACTTCTGGTACCCATTCAATGATTCAGAAAATCATCGATCCTTTTGATTGCTTGGTGTTGCATGTAGTGACAATATGGGCTTGGGATGACTGCATATGAGATCAGGAACTGCCTCTGTGAACTTTCCTGGACAAAATATTGAGATAAGATTCCCAAATGTTCATGTGATCTATGACAGGTAGCGATGAATCCACTTAGCCTAAGAAAATGTCGATTGCCCCGGAAACGGGTGAAGACAAGGAACAATGCTGACTAATGCAGCGGATTGCCATTGCCGAGATCGTCCGTCAACAGACACTTCATCTTGCTCTCTATAATTCCAGTCAGTCCCTTGAGTTTTTTTCTTTTCTCCCACTGACGGATGGCGACAGCGCTCGCTTGTAGCTGTAGGTTTTTAGTCCTTCACTTGGCGCGGCCGGTCGAGAAAACAAGGCAATACCATGGTTTCACCTACTGTGAATGTGCGCTGTCCATTCTCCTATTTTCCTTTCGTCCGTTGTTAAGTCTTGGTACAGGTTGCCCGATACACGGCTCTCTTTTCTGGTGTTGTCTACGGCTGGTACCACCGTCGATCCCTACAAGCAGCACACAATCTACACAAAACCCAGCATGCGGAGCACGAGCGAGAGCGGTTAATTGCAGAGGCAAAGGAGGCATGGAAGAAGAAACAAGAGGCAGCAAAGGCTTCTACTACAGATTCCAGTGAGTGTAACTGCTCCAACGATGCATTCTTAGTGCTGACGGTCGTCGACTTTGCAGTCATCACAGACCCAGAAGACCCACGGTTCGACCTGGAGAAGCTGATTGCAAAGTGGGAAAAGGCAGCATAACAGTGTTACTCTTGTTCGTCCATGGATTGTTTTATAGACATGTTAATCCGCCCACAAAAGACGCATAATCTTATCCCTGGTCCAGTATACCTTGTCGGACCTGAAAACATGGATCATGTTCGTAGATACAAGCATCCTGTTCGATTTATGTTTCGTATATAAAAATCAAGAAATTTTATGCCTCCGTAGCCGTCTCCTTTGTGACTTGTTTGTAGGCGTGGGAAAGATTTCAAACGCGTCGCGTCTTTTCTTCTTGCCACCAACCCCGACGACAGTGATTTCTTGCACTTTGCTTTTATACCACGACTTTCCGAGTTGAAAATGAGGCCACAGGTTGAGGAGATAGAAGACGATTTCGCGGCAGAGGAGGAGAACAAGCTGATCAATGAGGTGCATCCTTTGTTATAGTACAGTTCCATTCTTTCTGACACTGCAAGTCCATGAACAGGAATACAAAACATGGCAAGTTTGCCTCTACATTTCAGCCTACCTTTTAACTGACATATTCTCAGGAAAAAGAATGCGCCATATCTCTACGACCTCGTTATCACGCACGCGCTTGACTGGCCCAGCTTGACTTGTCAATGGTTCCCCGACAAAGAATCGTGCGTCGTTATCCAGTGCTTCGCTTCACTCGACTTCATGTAACCACACAGCCCACCCAACAAACCCTATTCCATCCACCGTCTCCTCTTTGGGACCCACACCTCCGGCCAAGCCCAAGACTACCTCCAAATCGCCACCGTCTCCATCCCCAAACGTGACAACTCCCCAAGCTCCGACAAATTGGACCGCAGTGACTACGATGACGAGCGTGGGGAGCTTGGAGGACACACTATCCCACCTGCGCCCCGCATCCAAGTTATCCAGAAGATCAACCATGCCGGAGAGGTCAACCGAGCGCGGTACATGCCTCAGAATCCTGATTTGATCGCGACAAAGGCCGTGACGGGTGAGGTGTTGGTGTTTGATCGTACGAAGCATTCGAGCGAACCTGAAAGAGGCGGAGTGTGTAAACCTGATATACGGCTGGTGGGGCAGTCAAAGGAGGGGTGAGTACAACAATTATACACCTTTGTGCCTTTATTGATATCTTTCCCAGTTTCGGTTTGGCCTGGAATCCCGTCAAGGCTGGGAACGTGCTTGGTGCCTCTGAAGATACGACCGTTTGCCACTGGTAAGGTCAATTGTCTGTCCTCAAGACAAAAATTAACACAACATAGGGACATAAATTCGTACCAAAAAGGACAGTCAACGATCCAGCCAACCGCAATCTACAAGGGCCATACTTCTGTCGTTGGGGTCGGTGTTCACTCCTTTGGCTCTCTTCTCTACTGACAACTGTACAGGACGTGGATTGGCATGCGACAAAAGAAACTGTATTTGCCAGCGTTGGTGACGATAAAATGCTCATGCTGTGAGTAGGACATGCCTTGAGTTCCTGGCATGCTGACGTTTGACATCATCCCAAGTTGGGATACAAGGACACCCGCAGAACCAATGACCAAAATACAAGCTCATGACCGTGAAATACTGGCGGTGTCATTCAGTCCGGCGAGCGAACACCTGCTCGTTACAGGGAGTGCCGATAAAGTTGGTTTGTCTCATTTTGATAGTTCCCTGATTTACTCATTTGGCGGTAGACTGTAGTACTTCATGACACGCGAAACCCGACGAAAAAACTGCATACATTTGAATCTCATACGGACGATGTCTTGCATCTCGCCTGGTCGCCACACAGCCCCACAATTTTTGCTTCTGCTTCCAGCGACCGCCGTATAAACATCTGGGACTTATCCCTGATAGGTTCCGAACAGACACCCGATGACCAAGAAGATGGACCGCCCGAATTGCTGTTTATTCATGGAGGTAAACTCCCCTTTATCTTGCTTGTTTATTTGCTCTCTTAATGGGTGTCCAGGACACACATCCCGACCATCCGACTTCTGTTGGGCTCCTGGTAAAATGGAAGACTGGACTGCTGCCAGCACTTCGGAGGACAACGTGGTCATGGTCTGGCAACCGACCATGCGGGTGTGGGCTGGCGACGAGGTCAAAATTGAGGAGAAGGAATTGGAAAGCGATGCTATGGAGGGTATTGAGGAAAGTGCTGCGAGTGGATCTAAGACGAAAGCTAGTGGAAGCATGAGCAGTAAGAGCATGAGTGTCAGTCCCACCAGCGACTGATATGTTTATCTTGTATTTTTTTGCGTTGATTATGGATAAATGCGTTCGAGTCAATATAAGACGGAAATGGTGATGATGTACAATGCACTCCACGCCAGAAACTAAGGTAAGGACGTGCTTTGATGTTACAGGAATAAAAGTCTCGCCAGCTCGAACAGCACTGTAGGGAGAGTTACGTTGGAAGACATAGCTGGAATGCAACGCACCTCCGCCTACAACAACAAATACAATGACAGCCAAAACCCAGATATTGACAGGGCTTCGTTTTGCGAGCTTTTCTTGCCGCGACAAATGTGTCGGCTTTTTGCCCGATCGCGCGTCTTTGGCGAACTTTTCGTTCCGCTGACGCATCTCAAAAGCGGTGGGCTGTAGCTGGAATAAGGAACCTGTGGGTGAGATACGGTAGCTGGGGAACGCACCATTTTGAAGTAGTTAATGAGTGGGCTGGGTTACACGTAGGTATGATTGTCGCGGTTGGTTATAAGTACTGAAATGTACGAACGTGGCACTTTGGATCGGATGATGTGGTTTGTTAGAGTTGCGTCTCGTCGACAAACTAATTAACAAATCTGTATGACGTAGTAGAGCCAATGCTAATCGTACATAATACGTATTGACTGAGTCCAACATTCTTTGTTAGTCAAGGTACATGAGTACCGTTCTGATCAGTACACCAGTTGTCTGACCACGGTTCAATCGCCGCACATTTTGGAGTCAATCCTTCAGGTTCGTTACCGGCGTCCCTTAGCAACAACGCTACGACACCGTGAGGGGGAACAGCACGTGCAGTAAAGTTGCGGATAGCGGTTCCGTTGTCAGTGTGGGTCCAAAGATCCTGGGCAGGTCAGCGTAAGAATGGCAACGCGGCACTGGTGAATCGTAACTTACTCGTACGGCGTACTGCCTCCCTGACCGTATCCACGGGGATTCAGTCAAGTTGAAGAACATGTCCGTTGGTTCGTCCAAAGTGTTGATCTGGTATCAATGTAAGGCAACAGAGAGCGTCACTGTATCCACCACTTACTAGCATAAAAATTGTCCCCTTTTGACTGTCCCCACTCCAGTACTGTGCCGGATGCGTTTTGTTGAAGGTCCAGTCAGGCTGTTTTTACAGTGTAACATAAGGTATGGAAAATATGACAAGGAGGAACTGCTCACATTGACGCCCCATCGGAAAGGCGTCACACCAGGACCAACGACTGGATCTTGATTGATTGCGATGACTTCGGTATTCTTGAAGATGCTCAGCGTTTCTTGGGAGACCGAAGCAAGCTGCGAGAAAAATTAGGCAAGGCCACAAACAGGGTACTAAACTAACATAGGTCCCCTAATCAAAGGAAGTAACTTAGTGAATTGACATCGGCCACGAAGCGACACTTACGATGAGTAGAGGAGACTTCATGAAACTCCAAACCGTAAAATGGGTCTTGGACTCTTCATATGTGAGGTCGCCATTTCCGACTTCAAGCTGTAGATCTTTGTCAATACGTACAACAATGGTGCGCCTTTCACAACTCACGATGTCCATATCGTTATGGCCATAAAATTCTGACGCCCATGCATAGAAGGAGTTTCTAGATAACGTTAGCCCGCAAAATATGATTGAATTATTGGACCTACTGGTTGATGATACTTGCAATGGAAGGCCAGTTGGCACCTATATCATCAGTTGTCTGTGAAGAACGTAAATTGAAAAAGTCTAGACCGAGGATACGAGCAAACACCAACCCTCCAGGTTGGGCCTAGCTTACGTGCCCACAACCAGGGTTCCAGCTACAGCGGTCGTCATTAAATGGATCTGACTTTATGAGAGGCAAAAGGACTTGCACGACCCCACTGGCACAAAGACAAGAGCATTGGCGGCTTTCCAGTCGACTTGGCTAGGTCATTGATTGCGTTGGCCATTACAGTAAACTCTGACAGAAAAAAAAATTTTAATATCCCGCCACAGAACAGCCGTGAAAGACATTCACTGCCAATCATGCCCTCTCGAATAATCTCGTCGTAAGGTACTGGAACAAGACATAGTCATTGAAATAGCGCAATAGATGATGAAATACTACCTACCTGCACAATTGTCATACCTAGAGATTATGATATCAATATTGGATACGGACTCCGGTGAAAAGAGACTTACTTCAATAAGTCAAATCCCCAATCTTCATGGAACAGCTTTGCATCTCTGTTGATATGGGATGAATGTTCATAAGTATGAATGGTTCGAAGCAGCGAACCTTGCTTCATTCTGGAATGATCCCGGATAGTATTGGCACGTATACCAACCGGAATCCCCGTACTATAAGAAAGTTAATATATTCCGAAATTAGACGAGGTGCCTCATACAATTCCAGTTTTCCTAAACGGTTGTTAGTAGGTAGAAAACGGGGCGAAAATGCTGCAAACACCGACATCCCAAGTCCGTGAATATGATCGGTTAGTGACCTCATTCCAGAAGGAAAGCGCTCTTTGTCTGGAAAGATGGATCACTTTTACTGATGGGGCGTAGTGGGCATAGTAGAATCACGAACTGGCAACTATGTCTCCATCTACATTTCGTTTCTTCTCCGAATAGCAGTCGTCAAGGTTTACGTACTCGTAACCTACGTCCTGCACCTAGGTAAGCGCAGAGTCACAGCGAAGTAATCGGACTTACCCTCAGGCCAAGAGATACCATGAGGTCTGCAGTTTCAAGGATGAGGGTCTCATTGATATTGCACCAATATGCATTCCAGGCTAGTTGGCGCGTCAATATTTTCTGAAAGTTCTGTTATTTGCTACGACACACTGTTATATCCCATGACTAGCAAGGCACGCTGCGTTTCAGCATGTGCAAATTGGTCAGGACAAAGCAAACGCACATGGTAGTTTGCCAACTCTCAGATCGTCTGCTTCCTGTACAGGCACTTTCAATGTAGCGTACAAAACAAGCGTAACGGCTATTGAAACAATGAGCGCGAGTATGCCCCAGATAGCGGTGGCCTTGTTCGACTTTTCCTTCCGGAAGCGATCGCTGCGACGATTTGTCAAGTCCGTAGTTGACTCTCCATTGAGAAATGCGGTGGTTTCGTGGTCGTCTGGGGGTTATTGAGTTTGGAAAGCCATTTGCTTCAGGTTGCAACTTACCCGCATCTCCAGCTGTAACAGCTGTTCTGTGAGCAAGGCAGTGATAGTAAGTAGCTTACTCACTTAGTGAAGGAGCTGAATATAAGTCAGTAAAGGAGCGTGATATCAGTAAGAGACACCTCACCCATACTACTAAGTCCCAACCAGGCGAGACGTACGTATTCTCTGCTTTCAGACAGACTGCCGGTCTCGTTTAAGTTAATGAAAGGTGGTTACCAAACAATTTTATGCCTGCAGAGCTCGATATTCCAGTTAATTTCTGAATGTAATGCGTGTAGACGGATCCAAATCGACGCTGATGGTTGAAATATCGAAGCGAAGTGTGCTTCCGTCTTAAGTCCGGATTCGCACATTACGTCATGAAACAATTTACAGGCGTGAGAAACATTGACTTTCTTCCCTATTTTTTACATCATTGTCCGACGTGCACCTCACCATGGACGAAGATGTAGATATGGATGCTCCACAGATATCGACACTCAGGGAAGAGGTTACACCCCCGCCTCCTCAGCGTACGGGGATTCGTGTCAAGCTTGTCGTAGGCAAGAAAAACGCAGGTCCGACTGTTACCGTGCCATCGAAACGATCGCACACCGAAGATGAAGACGACGAAGACGAGGACCAAGAAGACCAGCTTATTGACGACGACGACGATGTCAGCGCTAAACCATCCAAGGCGCCTGCGCGTCCCGTAGAAACGACGCCTAAACGCAAGGCTCCGGTGAAGAGAAAGTCGAAGAAGATAGAGAAAAAGGGGTCAGAAGAGAAGCAGGAAAAACCGGTACCACTGCCTCCACCGCCTTCGTTGCCAGGTATGTTTTTCCTGTGTATCGCTGCGAAAAGTCGGTTTAAAGTTGGTATATAGAGGAAGGGTTTGACCCAAATCATATATCCTTGACTGTCGCCCCTCCAGTAGAGCCAGCATCGGCACCTCCCAAGGGCATGAAGAAGAAACCTGCAGCGAAGAAGGCGCCTGCGAAACCCAAAGCTACCAAACCTCCAAAGTTCATATCCTATATTTCATTTCTAGCTTCTTCGCTAATGGTATTTTTAGGGTGAAGAATGTCCTGCCTCAACTTGCTGACGATGCTGGCGTGCTGAGCGAAGGTGCGTGACGAGACTACTTGTACCGACTGTTCACTGATTTGGTATAGGGGGATTTACTGGCACTGCTGCTTCATCACCCGTAACGACTCATTTCGCTAATAGCCCTGACCCAGAACTAGGAGATGCTCCTGGCGAAGAAATCAACATTGAGGCCCTTCTTCTCCCAGTATACCCGCTTCCGACAAAACCTTTTCCCGTCCAACCTCCTCCCAAAATCAGTTCCGGATTTGCTCCTGTCATGCCGCTAGACAGGAGCGGTAAAAAAGTGCGATTATGGCGCGTAGCCAACAGAGAGATTCGAGGTATTGCTGGAGGTCGTTGGTTTGCTCACGCATGGGTTGGCGAAAAGGATTCGGAATACGCTGGTTCTAAAGCCAGCGAGGGCTCGTTGACTATTCCAAAGTTACCGGCTGTGCTTTCGGCATCAGGAAAGGGTAAAGGAAAAGTGAATAAAGCACTTTCTCTGACGGGGACTTCGCGGTCAGGATCACTTGTTCCTGAGGGGCCAACTATTCCTGGCGTCCGTAATCTCACAAAAATGCGAAATAGCATGCAGTTCCCACCACCGCCATCGTCCGAAGCAGGAGATTCTGATATGATGGGGCCGGGGTGATGGCCCATTATCTTACAGTATTCCGTATATAGCTTTGTATAACCATTCTTTCATTCCGGGGACTGTCGTTACTTGTTATCTATGCACTATATAATTTATTACAGCCTTATACTATTATCTCTATGTTGACATGACGTCGCAGCGCAGTTAGAATTGAGGTCACAGTGTGACGGCAATCGTACCGACGTTTCGACTTTTACTGGCTTCTCCGTACAGTCCAACGCTCTCAGCAACGTCGAGCATCCCGTGCCCAACGACGACGGCGCAACGGTCCGTTCTCTCTCGCTGTCATGGCGTCGACCGATTCCGTAGAAGCAGGCACGGCACCGAAGAATGGTTCCACGTGGATCTCTGAGAGAACGAGTGAACGTGGTGCGTCAGGCTTTCGCCGACTTTGCTAATCCGGAGGTGCTAAATGACAACTTCAGCCGCTGCCCAACAAGCATATGAATCGGATCCCAAGTACAAGAAATACACCCAGCAGGTCGAGAAATGCCTCAATTCGTTTGATAATGTACACGAATGGGCAGATTGTATCGCGTTTTTGAAGCAACTGCTCAAGGTGCGCTCATGTGTCGCCTTTTGTTTGATGTATATTCACTACGAACAGACCTTCCAATCGTACATGCAGTTCAAGGAGATCCCACGCAAGTTGGTTGTCGCAAAACGGCTGTCGCAGTGCTTGAATCCCGCTCTACCTACGGGGGTGCACCAGCGGGCATTGGACGTTTATGCTCATATTCTCGCAGTATTGGGGGTGAGGGCAGCACTAACATCGTATAACATTCTGCTAATGGCACATCCAGTCGGAAGGTCTCAGGCGCGATCTAGCACTCTGGTCATTTGGTCTTTTCCCCTTCTTTGAATACGCCGCAACATCCGTCAAGGTATGTTCTACACTACTTCACAGCGCGTCCGTCAGTGACGATTGTCAAGCCTACTCTCCTGAATCTGTATGACACGCACTATCTGCCGCTGCAAAGTGGCTTGCGTCCTGTAATGAAGTCATTCATTATAGCGCTGTTGCCCGGATTGGAGGAGGAGACTGGGGAATTCTTTGAAAAGGTGCGTCTTTCTCCAATGGTATTTCGACAACGCCTCATTCATGTATAGGTATTGAGTCTACTGGATCGTCTGTCTGGGGCCGTGTCAATGTCGTTCTTCTTCCAAAACATCTGGCTGGTCATGCTGACAACGCCAGCTGCCCGTGGGACATCCCTCAATCTTCTTTCACGTCGACTCCCGCGGTTAAGTAGTGATGAAGGTGCGCTATGCCTTTCACAGTTCTCTAACCCGTTGCTTAGCCTGAGTCAGATATATCGTCTATCATTGGCCAAGACATCGGGTTGATGATTCGTGCCTTTGCTGCTGCCTTGGAGGACGAGAACCTTCTGGTAAGAAGAGGAGCTTTGGATCTTCTACTGCAGTCTATGCGCTTGGATAGCGCGCCTCTGCGGAAGGCTCAAGGAGACGATCGTACAATTCTGATGAGGGCAGCAGTTTCTGTCGTACTTCGACGCGATCTCTCGTTGAATCGGCGGCTCTACACTTGGTTACTTGGACCTGACGAGAAAACGGAGCATCAAACAGCTTACCTACGAGCCAATGCGCTGACTCTGCTTAGCTCAACCTTGAAAGTAAGCCCTGCCAGATGAGCTTCATGCTGACAACTAACAGTGTGACAGGAGGAAATGATCTCGCCTTCCGGTGAATATTCCGAATCAAGGCCATTCAAGATTTTTATCTCTCTTCTTGATAAGTGGGAGATAGGCGCACCACTAACGGATGTCCTTGTATTTGACTCTTTCAAAGCCCTTAAAGGTCTGGTCGTGACGGGCACGGATGGTAGCGAAGATGTTAGACACACTCTCTTCTATTGACTGCACGCTTATTATTGCATTTTTAGGTGACTATGACAGCTAGCACTCTGTACGAAGCTGTGGAACCAGGCATCATATGGAAACAACTACTCCAGGCAGTATTTGATGAAATCATCAAAGACGAAGAGAAATGCGAAGTAAGCTTTGTGTGGCAAATTTCTGAGGGGATGCTGACCATTTTTAGGCGATTTCCATGGTCCAGTTCATCCTCAAAACGTTCTCCCAGGACGAGGAGATTCAGACCATTCATCTACCCGTAATATTCGCAGCTATCGTCGATCTCCTGCATGCAAGCCAGTCACCTTCTTTCAATATCATCTATGCTGACTGCGATGTTTCTTCTAGTTTCGACTGAGTAAAACAAAGTCCCCACCTTTATCCACCACCACCAAGGAAATTCTGTTACTCTTGGAGATTATATTACACCAGATCCCTCGTGTCGCTCTTATGCAGCGGCCAGAAGCAAACGAAGGGGACAGCTCTGTGAGAGATTCACAACGACCATACATCTTTGCTTGCACAGTTTACGGAATTGAGCCCCTTGCGATCGAGCCTGCCTCAACTTCTGGGTCTTTTAGCATTCCTTTTGCATCATCTTTCGAGAGCCTGGTATCCCTGAGCTCTATCTTCTCTCATAACTTAGTTTCGGCTGCAGAGAAGGTTGTTGCATTCCGTGAAGCGCTCTGTCAAACTCTTCTTCTCCTTGATGCGCTGGTCGGCAGACTTGGCACATCTATGATGAAGATTACGTGGCATCCTTCGCACTGGTTGTCGGTGGTCCTCGATTGTATCGGTCACGGGGTGAGATATACTTGTGAGTACGGCACAAAAACACTGACCAGCGTGAATTTGTTAGTCTGCCAATTTTACAACCGTGGATCGCACTGTGAGCCTTGTCGTTGCGTTGCATCACGCATCAGGGATGGAACCCAAGGTGCACATCGATGAACGGCCTACGATGTATAAAATGGTGATCAAGCTTCTTCGTTATCTTCGCTCGGATTGCGCAGCCTATCACGTACGGGTGGTCAATCTTATCTGGGCATTGGAAGCTGCCACTAAGAGACCACACGTTGAATCGATCCTGGCTCAAACTATGAATTCGCCCGAGTCTCGGAATGTTCAAGAATCGTATGAAGCATTTGGTATCCTGTGGAGATTAACAGGTTCGACTCTATAGACTTGAGGTACGAAGGATGGCTGATTCTTCCTCCAGAGGACAATCTCCTTCCCGGTTTTCGGTTCAAGGTCCCTATGATGATCGTTCTGGACACACTGAAAAACGATGACCCTAGTCTTCGGCGGATTGGCGAAACGTGGATGCGTTGTAGTCTCAAGTCCTATTTGAGGTGAGCAGGAGCAGGCATTTAGGATTTCTGTGTTACTGACATCATTTTCAGAGTGTTGGACCCGATCATCTTCGAACTGCTGGATCCTTCAATCCGGAGAGTGCCCAACACGGTAAAAGTTCGAGGCAAAGAACTGCAAGGGTTCGCTTATGGGCGCCCATTCGATCAGCGTTATACCCAACACTTGCTCGAGATGTTGCTATCAGTAATCCGATTTGGGGGACAAGGATTTGCCAAGACGGCGCGAAGCACATCCATCAAGCGTTCTCAGCATTCAGGGCTTGTTCAAAGGGTGCAGTCTGGTAGGTGATTCTTGTGTCATTTTCATGCATCACTAGCTGACATCTTAATCAGGAGGTTTCCCTGAGCAAGACGTCACCTATATGGAAGTGCTGGTGGACCTATTGCTTCGGTATGGGAAACATCTTTGCGTGAGTGTTTGGATCTAACGGACCGTCAGTTTCCTGCAATCTGAGCCTAGTGTGCCCTGGGCTCCCACGATGCAGCCTCAGAATGCAGTGATACATTCGACCACGGTGGACCTTCTTCAGACGATTGTTGCTCGCGGCGAAATAGAGCTTGTCGTGGTTGAATCCATCGAAGCAATAGTCATCGGAAAGCTCTATTATTGCATTCACACGAACAGACTGGACCTGCAGAATAAGCTACTTCACCTGCTCCATTCGGTGATCTCTGCATCTACCACTGACGATCTTGTCAGACTATTCGGAAAGCATAGACAAGGTGAACGACCTCCGGAGACCCTAACTACGTTTGACGGCACTCAGGAAATACAACCAAGAGCATACACTGTCAATCCTTTACTCATTCAAACCCTGATGGATGGCATATCTATTCCAAACAATAGGCCTGTTTTGCAGCACTGGCTGGACTTTGTTCTCATGGCCGTCCCTCAGTTCCAGCCCGCTCTACATGCAGTTATTGCTCCGCTAAATGAATGCATATGTCGCCAGCTTCAAACGTCGCTTAACAACCTTTTAAAAGCATCAAGCCATGACGACACATTTAGCGATGATACAAACTCCACGGTCACTGACGCAGAGTTCATCATGCTGCTGAATGGTCTTGAACGTCTCGTACTACTTAGTCTTGCATATACATCAGAACTGCTAAGTCCGGAGGAGGATTCAAGTGGGACAGAGAAGTCTGCTGAATCCGGAGGCATTCTTGGTTACGTTTCGACTGTCTTTAGCTCTGAGCATACGCAACAAAATGTGGATGAGCAGTTGACAGTTCGTCTCCGGTTAAATTCCTCTGCAATAGTTGACCACTTTCATAGGTTCGATCGCAAGGGTACCGCTCGCTACAAGATGCTGTGCAAGTTCTGTATTCGATATGGAGTTTGCTATGTTGGACAGATCCCGAGACACGTGCTCCGAAAGATGAATCGACATCTCTCATCTACAATCGCGTACGACTTCGCAGTCGCAGGGTACTTGAGCACCTGTTTCGAGTGCAGTCTCCTGAGGTGTTCGAAGCCATTGTGGATTGCTGGAACAAGGATGTTGGGGTATGCCGCATCGCTACCATTTATTGCTGAAGTGTCTTAAAAGCCCACCTAGACCACGACTATGTCGAGCTCGGGATTTGAGCTGACGGACATATTAATAGCCAATGCGCAGAGCGCGGTCCAGATGATATGTGACAGTATCTCAGGTCGCATTTCAGGCCTGTTAGAGAAGACGAAGAAGCAGACAATGAATCCCGAACTGTTGGCTCCCTTTTTCATGCTCTTTGGAAAGATGTACTAATGCTCGTGCAGAACCGATGGCGTGCTGTTTAGGTTCCTTGAGCAATATCTTCAGCGTCTTGAGGGTCCTTTGGCTGTGCAAGTTTGGAGCCGTTTTCTTCAATTGACCAAGGAAGTCATCGGTGGTGGAAAGGACTATAGATCACAGAGCTTTCCGACCCTAAGGTGTGTCATCCTGATTGCGCACCTAGTCCGTGTAATAAAAGTCAATCCCCAGATGTTTGACCGTTTTAGCGGATAAGTTGACGCAGACGACGGCCATAGAAGATAGGCGGATACGCAAGGACCTCCAGGTAAGATTGTTCCCTTTAGAGAGAGAGACTGTATCGAAACTTACGATAGGAAACTTTCGGAAAACTTCTCGACTCGTGCGTAATGTATGTTGGCCGATCATTCGACCAAGGATCTTGGATTCGGCGGACTACCAAAGAGGCTTTGGCCACCAATGGCAGAGAATCTCCAGCTCCACGTAACGGTGAGACACACGAAATCACATTTGACCATCAATTTACCAAGTATCAACTGTAGATGCAAAGATTGATGAAAAGCTCAATTCAAGTAACACCTCGCTAACGCCAGAACCGCCTAAGCCTGCCTCTAACGAAGTCATGATTCAGGTAAGAAAAACCCGTAAATATGTGTCGAGTTTTGAAGTTGGCATAGATCAATGACTTCATCGCGAAAACAATACTTCCGAACTTGCGGCGTTTCCTTGTAGACAATGACAAAGTTGCAGGAGCATGCAGCAACATCGTGTATTACATTGTCAATCCGGCCATGAAAGGTAAAACTAAGTAAGTAAAAAGATTTCAGATAGGTCACTTTACTCACTATCCTTCAGACCAATGGACGTTGATGCTACCACCGTTTCCATTCTACAACAAATGTCTAGGCTCCCTGCAGCGCTGAAAGCGTGGCGGACACCAATTTCAGATCTCTTGAACGATAACCGGGTATTCAATAGCACTGCAGAGGCTGCCGAGCCATGGAGACCTATAATGAAGTCTCTCTTCGATGCAGACAAAACTGCGTTTCCCGAATTACTTGGTACATATTCAGATTCATGTTTGCCTTTAGTACACGCTGACGTCTCACAGGCAAGGTGGCCACCGCGCCATCCACAAATATCTTTACGAATAGGGAGTATGAAATGTTGTTGCGGTCGCTCAATCTTCGTAGACTGTCCTTCGTGTTGTTCACCGGGGACAAGAATCATTTCCTAACACAGCTACCGTCAATACAAGAGAAACTGGTGGATATTCTTCGTAATGTGTCAGCCCCAAATGTCCAGAGTGACGTTTACCTCTGCATACGCGTCCTATTGTGCCGTCTATCCCCCCACAACCTCACCAGCTTCTGGCCAGTGATTCTCACAGAATTGGTATAGTTGTTCCCATCCGAAAACAGTTTGCCGCTGACTTTCGCCCGTATAGTACCGCCTCTTCGAACAAGTCATGTCTACGTTACCATCGGATGGATCAGACGACTTACAGCTGATATTGTCTGCTTGCAAGTTTCTTGATCTTCTGTTGGTCCTACAAACCGAGGAATTTCAAATGTGGGTACCTATCTCGGTCCGAATCACGAAGTTCACCTGGTGCCTTGTTCTAGTCACCAATGGATCTTCATAACCGATACAGTGGATGCAATATATCGACCAAACGATTGGTATCCAGAAGCGATGTTTGACCAGTTGGCTGAGATTGCTGGTAATCTACCCAGTGTATGTTTTTCCTTTCCTTGACTCAGCAGTCTAAATTTTTGACGACACCGTAGAATCCTGCGTCGCAGAACGGGTCAACTGACCTAGGCATTGGCGCAGCGTCATCATTCAATTCTCAGAGGGTGATGCGGCGCCCTTTGCTGAACAGGATCCATCAGATAGACAGTATACGTGATTTGGTTCCCTTCTTTTCTAGCATAAGTATGTCATCTTACGAGAGTGTCTACGCGAGTGGTGGTATCGTAGATTGGGAGGCGATAGAGAAGGGGTTAATGGATGATATGTTTGACGGACGGTAATTATTTAATGGGCTACTACATGTATTGATACCTTCCACTTTGCTTGTGATACCTTAATGCTATGTCTGTCCTCAGATATTTTATTAACATGCGACAGCTGGATCCGAAAACAAGAATAATCTAACAGTGGTATATGGAAATGAAAGGTTACATCGGAGTAGCACTAGAAATCATTCCAATTGCGTTTGAACTTGTACTGCATCCGATTCTGGTTAATCTCAGCGTGTTTGTAAGACGAAGAGAGAGCTGCTTTACCTTATAGGGCATGTTTTTACTGTGGTAAAGATAAGTAAGCGTAGGGTGGCGGTAACAAGCTGACATACCGCATTTTATCACCAGCATTTGACGGAGGCAGGTAACCTTCCTCTCCGGAACCCCACGCCCCCTTCTTATCGCCTTCCGACTTGGCACCACGGAATCTGACACCAGGATCTTGCTTTTCGGGGGGTGTCACTCTGGTGATTTTTGGCTTGGGAGCTTCTCCTTGGGGAGTGGCATTTTCGTATTGCTCGTCATGAGGATGGGGCGCAACCAGTGGTTCTTGATCTGCTCCTTGCATTTGGACGTGCTCTTCGGGAGGGGGCTCATGGGATCGTAAAACCTCCTCAACTGTAATTCCTTGGTAGGCCGCCTCTTTCTCCGCTTCTTTAAGCTCGATGTCCTCATGGTGGGCAAAGTGTTCAATGTCTTCCGGGTGAATATATGCTTCGTCAACTTGAGTTTCGGGAGTATTATGAAATTCTTCTTCGTGGTGCAAGAAAAACTCTTTGGACGTATACTCTTAGGAACGGGATGATGATAAGAGCTGGGTAGGGACTGACCGCTCTCGACATCGTAATGGTGACCTTCTGCACCCAGGTCATCGAAGTTTGGCAAGCCACCAAGTCCAACATCTGCAAGCTCTTTTGCGGTAATCTTTCCATCCCCGTTCTTATCAAGCTTTTCGAGTACGACCTTTACTATGTGGTCCGCCTTTTCTTGATGCTCTATATCATCCTATGACGCAAATGTCAGTCAGGCTGCCTGCCTATTGTCGAGACTCGGAGAGCGAACGTACCTTGGACTTCTTTTGAGAATAGACGTGATGAACACCGTAGATAGCTTGAATCTCGTCTTTGTCCCAGTGCCCATCCCTGAGAGACTCGATTCAACACCGTATCACGAGACACAAGTGAATGTACATACCGGTCGAGATCGTGGATCTGGAAGAAACTGTTCGAGTCAAAAGATTCTCTGTAGAGGTACATTCAGACTTCAACTTGGCACATAATGAGTACGACTGACTCACATATGGTGCTCCTTTGCCATCTGTAAGAGAATCAGTGCAACTACCCACATTGATATTGGTATTGGCAAATGAGAACTTACGTGTCTTTGTGCATACTCCTGCACAGACTCACCATCAGCAGGACCATCATGGCTGTGTCCGTGTCCAAGGACGCTGAGGGAGGAGGATATTAGGGAAAGAAAGAGTGAAGCCCTCATCGCTACAGGTGAATGAACGTGAGTAGCATGTGCCATGTGCTGTTCAATGCGGTAATCTTAGTCAGTGTTCCCACGCCCACATATGGACACGATGTTGAGTGCAAGGTTGCGAGTGAACGTATGCGACGCCAACGACTTGACATTCCCAGATAAGTATAGATTTCTTGCTGCGCGGAAAATCTAACACGATGTGGCGCTGACATGGATCCGTAAGCATTTTTCTGTGATTTCGGGACTTAAAAAGCTTTCAACCAACAGATCCCTGCCTGTTTTACGATGTTGAATTTACGTGCATGGGGCCGTGTTCCGCGGTGCGGTACACGGCCCACGCACATTTCAATGTCACGATCATGCCGTTGGCAGTCGGTTGCGAATTTTGACTCGTCTGGCATCGCATCCCTGACTCGTTGGATGCCATCCTCCCTCCAGTTGCAAATCGCGTCTCATTACTGTAACATACTTCCTCGTAAGCCCTCTTTGAATCGAAGAATCCAACCATACCATCATTTTGGCAGGGAAGAAGCAAAAAAACTTGGGTGTAGATTACCGATCAGACTGCAACATGGCCGGGACCGGACCGGCCATGAGTCACTTCTTTGCTTCTCTGCGAAGCCCGCGAAAAAATATTATAAATATGGAGATTTATCATCCAATGATATTAGTTGTCAGTACACCCTCCCTTCATGTCCTCTCCATTTCTCCACCCCGGCTCCTCGCCAGTGGATGGAGCCACTTTGAACGAGGTGGAAACTCAGCCTTCCAGTCGCGACGAAACCGAAGCACATGTCGACGTCGACAGGGCCGAGCAGGAATTCAATGCCCTCTCACGGCAACTGACGATTCGCTCTGAAGGCGATGGCGAGAACAACAAATGGAAGACCGCATCAGCGAAGGACCTTGAAAAAGGTGTGAGCGCGATCACCGAAGAATCTAGGTTTGACCTACGTGAATACTTGACCTCTTCCAATGACGCCAACCAAAATGCCGGAATAAAACACAAAGTTTGTCTCCAGAATTTTTCTCCTTACTCTCCTGGATTAACTGGGTCGAACATAATAGCACGTCGGTGTTACATGGGAAGACCTTCAGGTTGACGTTATCGGCGGCATCGATAGCAAGGTTTGTCATGGATTCGATAAGTTTCTAGTATTTTCTAACTATGTTGACTCCGTAGATATACGTGGGGACTTTCGGAGGTTCGCTTACTTCCGTCGTGCTTTTCGTAAAACTAATGTTAGGAAAGGTGCAATCGTCTCTTTCTTTCTCACACCTTTTCTATGGATATGGTCTCTCTTTGCCCCGTTTTTCCCTTCAAAGAAATTACCAATCCGTCCCATTCTTCACAAGTGCGCATGCTCTCATCAGACCAATTTTCCAGCCTGACACCTTGCTCTTGTAGGTCCTCGGGTGTCATGAAACCCGGTGAAATGTGTCTGGTTCTCGGTTGTCCTGGTTCTGGTTGCACTACGTTCCTCAAAATTATCGCCAATCGTCGAGAAGAGTATGCAAATGTCTCAGGGGAAGTTCTTTACGCAGGCATGTCTTCCCAGGAAATGGGTAAATACTACAAAGGGGAAGTCGTATACAATGAAGAAGGTACGCCGCTAATATAAGTATTTAACACTGTTCTGACCTTTTGTCAAAGATGATCGTCACATCGCAACCTTAACTGTTGCTCAGACCCTTTCCTTTGCACTGTCTACGTGAATATGCTACTCTCGTTCAATTAAGCATTTACTGAAATGCCGTTCTAGCAAGACCCCTGGTCCCAATGGCCGTCTGCCTGGTGTGACACGTAAAGAGTTCGACCAAGAAGTCCAAGACACTCTCCTCCGAATGCTGAACATTTCTCACACCAAACAGACTTTGGTCGGAGATGAGTTCGTACGTGGTGTATCTGGAGGTGAACGTAAACGAGTCAGTATCGCGGAAATGATGGCAACTCGTGCCCGAGTCCAGTCCTGGGACAACTCCACTCGTGGCTTGGATGCTTCAACTGCTCTTGACTTCTCGAAAAGCTTACGGATCATGACCGATGTTTTGGGGCAAACCACGTTTGTCTCTCTCTATCAAGCTGGTGAAGGTTGGTAATCCTGGGAACAATTTCCATCCGCTTTCCTTCATTGATTATTCTATTTTAGGCATCTACAACCTCTTCGACAAGGTTTTGGTGCTAGATCAAGGACGACAGGTGTTCTTTGGTCCCCCAGCTGAAGCCCGCGCTTATTTCGAAGGCCTTGGGTACAAGCCTCTTCCCCGACAAAGCACTCCAGATTACCTCACGGGCTGTACGGATCCCAACGAGCGCCAGTTCGCGACTGGACGCTCAGCGCGTGACGTTCCGTCAACTCCAGAAGCTTTGGAGGCTGCTTTTCGCTCTTCCATTTACGGTCAAGCCCTCGATGAGTCCTTGTGGAAATACAAGTTGTACCAAGAAACGGAGAAAGCAGACCAGGAAGCTTTTCGTACTGCTGTGATGGCGGATAAAAAGAAGGGCGTGTCGAAGAAGAGCCCTTACACTCTCGGTATGCTTGGACAGGTTCGTGCGTTGGCAGTTAGGTCATTCCAGATGAGGATGCAAGACAAGTTTCAACTGATCACTAGCATGTCATTATCGACAGTGAGTTCTCAATGCATGTGTTCCCATCACTTCTTAACCTAAACTATGTCCTCAGATTTTGGCCCTTGTGATTGGTGGAGCCTACTGGAATCAACAACTGACTGCAGCTGGCGCGTTTACTCGCGGCGGTCTGATCTTCGCGGCTTTGCTGACGACATGCCTTGACGCTTTTGGTGAATTGCCCATGCAAATGCTAGGAAGACCCATCCTCCGGAAGCAGGTCCGTTAGCGTCACATTTTTCATTGATTTATTGTGCCAACTTCATTGTCAGACAAGCTACAGCATGTACCGACCTTCGGCGACCGCGTTGGCCAATACCATTGCCGACCTCCCTTTCTCCGCCGTTCGGGTGCTGATCTTCAACATAATCGTCTATTTCATGACAAATCTCGATCGTTCGGCGGGCGCATTCTTCACGTTCCACCTCTTCAACTATGTAGCCTACTTGAGTATGCAAGGGTTCTTTAGGACGTTCGGGCTGTTATGCCAAAATTTCGATGTTGCGTTCCGCCTGGGAACATTCTTCATCCCCAATTTGTGAGCCTTTGTTCATTCTTATCAAACCTCCAGATTTTCTCTGACCAGTGATTCAGCGTCGAATATTGTGGGTACATGCTTCCTGTAACAAGCATGAAACGATGGTTGTTCTGGATCGTAAGTGTTGCTCAAGCCTACTCTAAGGAAAGGATCATTAATTCCGTTTCACTAGTACTACATCAACCCGATTTCATATGGTTAGTACTGTGTGATAATGTCGTTGTCCCCATCTTCTAACACTCGCAAACAGCATGGCAAGGCTGTATCGAGAACGAATTCATGCGTCTCAACGTGAGGTCTCTTTTCACCTCCATTTTACGCATCTCATACGATCTTGGCAGCTTCTATGCAATGGAGATTATGTCGTTCCTAGAAATGGGCCCGGAATGACGAAGTATCCGTATGTACCAATATCTATTCATATTTCCGCCATTACTAACACACAGCCGCCATTAGCACTGAACTTGGTCCTAATCAGGTTTGCACCATCTTCGGAGGTGTTAGCGGGAGCGACTTCGTTCGCGGAAAGGATTATATCAGTGTTGGGTATGGTCTCGATTCCAAGGATATATGGAGGCGTTGTCTTCTTGTCCTCATAGGGTTTATGATCGCGTTTCAGATAACCCAAGTTATTGCGTTGGAGTACTTCCCCGTGGGTAAATTTCCGTTGACCGTGAAATGGAAGTGCTGATTAGTTATAGCAATACAATGTTAGCTTGTCGGTCAACATCTTTGCCAAAGAGGACGAAGAGACTAAGAGGCTTAATGCTGCTCTTCGTGAGAAGAAAGTCGCCCAGGGCAAGGCTAAGGAGATCGGCAGTAAGGAATCTGACCCAGAACAAAACAAGAAGCCGGAGACTACGTATGTGTTTAAATGCACAACGCATTTGGTAGCTCACATGCGAATAGAGCTGTCCGTTCTCACAAGAAGACATTCACTTGGGAGAAACTCAACTATGTGGTCCCTGTTCCCGGCGGCTCGCGCCGTCTATTGCACGATGTGTACGGCTATGTTAAGCCAGGGACTTTGACAGCACTTATGGGTGCGTCAGGCGCCGGAAAAACTACATGTTTGGATGTCCTTGCTCAAAGAAAGAATATTGGTGTCATCACTGGAGACGTTTTAGTCGATGGACGTCCTCTTACTTCTGATTTTGCCCGAGGTACCGCGTATGGTCAGTCGGTCTCCCTCTCATTTTATGCCTTATTTTGACATCGTTGCGCCCAGCCGAACAAATGGATGTCCACGAGGGTACCGCGACTGTCCGTGAGGCCATGCGCTTCTCCGCATACCTGCGTCAACCCGCTGAAGTACCCGAATCCGAAAAGGACGCATACGTCGAAGAGATCATCGAGCTTCTGGAGCTCCAAGATCTCTCCGAAGCTCTGGTGTTCAGTCTCGGCGTCGAAGCACGCAAGCGGCTCACCATCGGTGTAGAACTGGCTAGTAAACCCGAGCTCCTCCTTTTCCTGGATGAACCAACGTCTGGTTTGGATGCCCAAAGTGCTTGGAATCTGGTTCGGTTCCTCCGTAAACTCGCTGACCAGGGCCAGGCCATTCTTTGTACCATCCATCAGCCGTCCTCGCTTCTCTTTGAGAGCTTCGATCGTTTGTTGCTTCTCCAGAGCGGAGGCGAGACTGTTTACTTTGGCGATATCGGAGCGGATTCGCATATCATTCGAAGCTACTTTGCTCGTCACGGCGCCCTTTGCCCTGCCAATGTCAACCCGGCCGAGTTCATGCTGGACGCTATAGGTGCAGGCGTTAGCCCCAGGATTGGTGATCGTGATTGGAACGATGTATGGTTGGGTTCGCAGGAGTATCAAAATGTCCGCGCTGAGATCGATGCAATTAAAACCAAGGCCCTCGCTATCCCGGAGACCGACCAGAAGATGCTTAGCACTTGTGAGTTTGGCATCTCTTGATTTCAAACTAAGGCTCGCACTAAATTGTTTCCAGACGCGACATCTTTCTTTTACCAATTGCGCTTGGTCGTCAAGAGGAACAACATGGCACTTTGGAGATCCCCGGATTATATTTTTACCCGCCTTTTCGTGGTTACCTTCATTTCGCTTTTCGTTTCTTTGTCATTCTTGCAATTAGGCAACAGCGTTCGAGACCTGCAATTCCGTATTTTCTGCATGTGAGTCCTCTATTATTTCTCCATTCAGAGTCTCTCTCTGACTTTATGGTCAAAGTTTCTGGGTTCCTATCCTTCCTGCCATTGTCATGGCTCAGATAGAACCCCTATTCATCGCAAACCGAAGTAATATCATCCATTTCGTCATCTGCACCTCTGCTCACTTGTTTGTTAGGGATATTCATCAGGGAGTCCTCTAGCCGCATATACTCTCCCTATGTCTTTGCGATAGGTCAATTGATCGGCGAGCTTCCGTATAATATTTTGTGTGGTATCGTCTACTGGGTGCTCATGGTCTACCCCACGGGTTTCGGAAACGGCAGCGCCGGAATCAACGGGACTGGCTTCCAACTCTTGGTGATCCTGTTCTTCCTGGCCTTTGGTGTCTCGTTGGGGCAACTAGTTGCGGCGATTTCCCCCAGTGTACAGGTTGCGGTGCTGTTCAATCCTTTCATTACGTTGGTCCTGATGACGTTCTGTGGTGTCACTATCCCGTACCCCACGATGATCAACTTCTGGAGGAGCTGGATGTATTATATCAGCCCTTATACGTGGAGTATCTCTGCTATGGTTGCTACTGAGCTCCAGTAAGATTTGAATCGCCTGGATTGTTATATTACTAACTACTGTTGGTGTGTAGTGGTCTTGTTATCCGGTGCAAGAGTGATGAATTCTCGGTGTTCCAACCCCCTTCAGGCGAGACCTGTTTCTCTTGGGCCGATGACTTTGTACAAGCGTTTGGTGGGTACCTCGATAACCCCAACTCTACGGGTTCCTGTCGCTATTGCCAATACTCTATCGGTGACGATTACTATACACCTCTCAATATGAACTACTCGGACAGGTGGAGGAACGTTTTCATTCTGTTTGCCTTCTTCGGTGAGTCTGGTTCCACTGCTTCCGGCGTCTTTATACTGAAGAAAGGCCTTCTAGTGTTCAATGTTTTGGCTACAATAGGTGAGAATAATTTTGTGTCTGTATAGTAAAGGACAGGTTTTAATAGCATTTTCTAGTTGCATCACGTTTCTTACGATACGCAAAGCGCTAACGAGTGCATGCCTAGAGATACATAGAATTTATGAACGTACACCTACCTACCCTACAGCTTTATCAAATTTCCGGCAACATGTTTCTGTTCAGGAGCTACGCCGGGTTGACATCGGATAATGAATCTTCCTTCTGGCACCAGACTGATATGTGGTTCCCAAAACATTGTACAAGAACAAACTTCCGCAAGTGTGCAGATCTTTCAATTGTATCTAGGAAAGCCCGTCTGACTATCTAAAACTTGAAAACCTGGTCCTCAGTGTATCCTAACTCCTTGAGAGCGCCACTCAACTCTCCCTGCTTGAACCCATCCTTCTTCCCTGCCAATGCAGCAACCTGACCGGGAGGTCCGCATACGAACACCTTCACTTTCTCGTTCAAACTCGCGGGTGCAACATATTTCTTGAGCAAGTCCTTGCTGATGAATCCGGTCGGACCCGTCCACCCAGCAGGGGGCTTATCAAGAGCGTAAACGACCTGAAGATTGTTAGGGTAACTTTTCTGCAGGGTATCCAGCTCGGGCCGCAAGAGGATATCGGCTTCCGTGACATTTGAGTACACAAGGGTGAACTTGGTGCGATTCGCGGGATCAGGAAGGGCGTGGCTGATGACTTGGTACAGGGGTGTGCTGACAGAGGGGAGTTGTTGGTTAGTAAGTGGGATGTCATGGGAATTAGTAATGGAAAGGTCGTTTCTGCTTACATTCCACTGCCTCCGCCAATGAGGGTGACTTCGTCGAACTCGTTATCTTTTGTAGAGTTAGTGGAGTCCATAGGGGTGGAGGAAGGAGATTGGACGTACGCTTGTAAGGCCACTTGGGAATGGGGCCTTTGACGGCAAGGGTGTCACCCTCCTACATGGAATATAAAGCCAGTTAACGCTTGGATCGACGATACCACGTACCTTGAGAGAGTGAATATGTTTCGACGCGTTGCCATTCTCGTATTTCTTTACGAGGAGAGAGAGTACACCTTTTTCGTCAGGCTGGGAGATGGGAGTGTACGGGCGAATGATAGATTTGCCGTTGGCGTCTACGAGCGCGGTGGGATCAGAAGACTTGATGACGAGACATGAAGCGACAGGCAGAAGGGATGCTTCGTTGTTGGGGAGCTCAAAGACGAAGCTATCCTGCTAGGTAAGTAAAACTCCAACCGCAAGTGCGCAACACGCACGTAGATGTGTTGTGGTTGTAAGGAATGATTTTCTTGAGCTTGAAGTCTACAAAGTTGTTGGGATCTAGAGGACTCTTCTCCTGAGTCGACATCGTTGCTTGGGTTTGGTTCAGGTAGAAATATGCACCAAGTCCGACTACACCCGCACCGAGAAAGTAATAAGGCGAATTAGAGGATTTCTCGGCTGAGGCACCTGTAGAATACGCTCGACGCGTCTGAATATTGGTTGGTATTGGACTAAAGAGTACACAGAAAAGGGTCTTACGAGGAAACGAGCCGAGGCGGTAGCAGATCTGAGGAATGACATCGTATTTGACGTTTAAGTAGATTTTTCGAATTCTATCCCGTTGATTCCTAAGCAAAAAAGATGGCGTCATCCAAAGTAAAGTGTTGCAAGAAAAAGGTACATACGCTGAGTATAGAATCTTAGTGATATATTTCTTTCTAGATTTCTAGGCTGCTCGTTGCGGGCGATGGAAAGGAGCCGAGTTCAGCCGCGGACCAGAAACGGATGGTGCCGACGCAGGACTGCGCCATGCAAGTAGCTGGCTGCTTCGTGCACTCAGGACCGATTCTGGATTGCGCAGACCATCATGCAGTAAATGCTCAACGCGATAGAAGCACGCTTTTTCGTCTTCATTCGGGACCGATGGAGCATCTTATCATGGGAAGTCGCGGATATTTTAGAAACAATTGCGAATCACGTCGACCAAAAACTTATGCAAGACGGCAGCGGCATCCCAGAGCTCAACAAAAGTGGCTGCTACCGAAGTTGCGGTCCCGCATGCACAAAAAGTTTTTCGTATGTAAGATTCATTCAATTCAACACGAAATGTCAGCCGGTACTCTCAGGCTCGAATTGATGCATGAAGTCACCATCCGACTCGCGTTCGATTTTGTGGCGTCCCCTGCAATGTCAGTATCTAAGCGAGCATCATTTGCGTCATACAATAGCTTCTGTGACGATAAAAAAAAAGAGAAACGAAAGAAAACATCGAACTTCGCGTTGAAAGCGTCGGCCTAGGCCTGCAGGAATTCATTTTATCAAGTGTAGGCGGAAGCGAGGGCAACTGAGTGAGATTTTCGTCGATCGAATGCGGTAATCCCTTTTACGGTCACGGACCTACTGCACCTCTTTACAACAGGCGTCCATCATCCTTCCCTTTCTCCCCCCCCCCAGTCATGTCCTTTGTCAAGCTTTCAATCTTTGGGACTTCCTTCGAGGTCTGCGCTCATTGCTCGCGGCGTTGTAGACCTACTCTTGACCTCCATCGATATCGCAGGTTACCACTCGTTATGTTGATTTGCAGCCCGTTGGAATGGGTCAGTCTCCTTTATTTGTCCTATCGCCCTTTTCACCGTCTGACTTCTCTTCTTTCAGGCGCATTTGGTCTGGTCTGGTACGTTCATCCGTGTCCAAGGGGCTACTGGAGCTACCCTAAGGTGAAGAGACATCCTTAACATAAATTCCGTAGCTCGGCCAAGGACCAGCTAACAGGTTCTTCCGTGGCGATCAAAAAGATAATGAAGCCGTTCAGTACGCCTGTGTTGAGCAAGAGGACGTATCGAGAATTGAAACTGCTAAAGCATATCCAGCATGAGAACGTAAGTCAGCCGCTCCTTTCAGTATTCACGTCGTCCTGAATCCCAGGTGCTTCTGTCATACAGATCATCAGCCTGAGCGATGTGTTCATTTCTCCCCTTGAAGATCTGTGCGTTACGCTCGTGTCTTTCGAAGTCTTGTCCTAATTGATTGACCCTATCTCCTGTGCAGATATTTCGTAACAGAGCTCCTGGGTACCGATCTCCACCGACTACTCACCTCGCGGCCTTTGGAGAAACAGTTTATCCAGTATTTCTTATACCAGATTCTAGTGTGCACTTTTACAGTCGGAATGCATCTCTTTGCCTAACCCTATTCTCCATAGCGTGGCCTTAAATACGTCCATTCTGCCGGTGTCGTCCATCGAGACCTCGTGCGTACTTCCGACCGGCATGACCTGTGCTTTGTCTGATGACGTCGTGATGATAGAAACCAAGTAATATCCTCGTGAACGAAAACTGTGACCTTAAGGCATTTATTTAACGGCTTCTACCGCCACGCTATTCGCTGACGCGAAGGACCATATAGATCTGCGACTTTGGCCTCGCACGAATTCAAGATCCTCAAATGACAGGCTACGTGTCCACTCGATACTATCGAGCCCCTGAGATTATGTTGACTTGGCAAAAGTACGACGTTGCGGTCGACATATGGAGTACAGGGTGTATATTTGCAGAGATGCTGGAAGGGAAGCCGTTGTTCCCGGGGAAAGATCGTAAGCTGGTGTATATGAGTTCCATATGCATGCTAACAGATATTCTTAGACGTGAACCAGTTCTCGATTATTACAGAGCTTCTTGGGACTCCTCCAGATGATGTCATTGAAACTATCGCTAGTGAAAATGTGAGTGGCACCTAACTCTGTCGTAATGCTTACAGGCTGATGAACATCTTTACCCGTTCAGACACTGAGATTTGTGCAGAGCCTACCCAAGCGAGAACGAGTTCCTTTCAGCTCGAAGCTCAGAACTACAGATCCAGATGGTACGTTCGAACATATCGGTACGCGATGATCGTGTGTAACACGAATTCTCGTAGCTATCGACCTTCTCGAAAAAATGTTGGTCTTTGACCCGCGGAAACGAATAGACGCGACTGAATCGCTGGCTCACGAATACGTTGCGCCTTACCATGACACCAGTGACGAGCCCGTAGCATCAGAAAAGTTCGACTGGAGTTTCAATGACGCCGATTTACCAATTGATAACTGGAAAGTCATGATGTACTCTGAAATTTTGGGTAGGTTTTGCTGGATGTCCAACGAATTTCATGTGCTAATCGTCCTGTGATAGATTTCCATCAAGTCCCAGACCCCGGCCCTTCAGGTGTACCCGAGGGCGCATTAGCAGGACCAGACATTCCAATACCAACAGGAGAGACTGTCACCGCAGCAGATTAAATCCCTCCCTCCCCTCTTCCGCTGTGTGTTGTTCTTTTTCTTTCTAGAAGTCGTCTTTATATCCTTACTTTTCCCCATGCACGGACCGGGACTTACACGTAGTTCCATCATTGGTATACCTTATTGCCCTGGTGGGAAATTTACTCTAGTTTCACGAAGAAGCAAAGATATGTATCTCGTACTTGCCATGAGGAAGAATACAGTATTATACACGTACAATGTAGGATTTAATGCGAGCGTCTAAGTACATGTTGGAGGATTCGGAGGAACCGAGGGAACGTGAATCAAACATGCAATGTGTGAAATTATAGCGTTATTCTCCCAATGTGCGGAGGTTTGGTATTAATTCAGAATGCTAGTCAGAGGGCATTGAGACTGAACTCATGATTAAGAGATTGGCAACGTACCCAAGTTCCTGTCATCATCCAGGGATTGGAATTACAGTTCGCTGAGGGACTGAGATATTAAAGTCGCCCTTCAACGACACTGGATGTACGGAACAGCGAAATGACAAACCTGTATCAAACCGATTCTCTCTTTTCATCGTCGCCTACTACTTTTTGCTTCTGCACAGGCTCGTTCCTCTCGAGGATAGCAAGGAGAGAATCCAAATTCCCCAATAAATCGTCCAGCTTCCTCTCCATGCCCTTGGCTACCCCATCTGCACTTTCCAGACGCTGGATGAGCTCTGCAACACTAGCCTCATCCGACTCATCGAGGTTATCCTGGGACAGCAGGGAAGTCAACAGAGAGATATCGTCGTCGAGAGACTGCGTCATGGAAAGCGGAACGAAACACGCTTCGGCATATGCCATCATGGTTTCTCTCCAACCCATTCTCACCGCCCTACTCAAGTCCCTCCCGCTTCCCCCCGTCGAGCCGCATGTCGTTAAAGAGAATATCCTCAAGGTTGTCAAGAGCGGGAAGCAGATGAAGATATCAGTGGAGAATCAGAGGGTGCAGTGGGAGTATTTGTTGAAGAATGAGATATTCAAGCTTGCTGTGCGTTCACCTGTTCTTTCCTGGGGGTATCTTTGACGACTTGGTAGGAAACTGAGGGCGAGGCTTTGAAAGAGGATCCTGTGGGATATTATGCCCAGCTGCAGACCTGGCTTGACTTAGTCTTGACGTTTAGTGAACTTGGTTCGTCAGTTTTACAGGAACAAATGAAGGTTCTCTTATTTGTCTTTTACAGAAATATGTGACCCGACATTCACATTCATCGTCCTCCAAGACCTCCTCGAGACGCAGACCATCACTTCGTGCTCGCATATATTCTCTTGGATCGAATCTCGCGCGCCTAGGCTCACGGAAGGCATGGTGCCCCAGAAGGGCAAATCGCTCTTTCTGCTGAGGATGCTGAACGACTTGCTGCGGCGCCTGTCGAAGATGGGGTCGACGACGATGTTTTGCGGTCGGATACTGACCTTCTTGAGTGGCGCGTTTCCGTTGAGTGAGCGGAGTGGCGTTAATCTGAGGGGAGAGTATGGACCGACGTGGGAGGGCGTGAAGGATATGACAAAGGGTGAGGAGTATGGTGAGAAGAAGAAGGCCGATAAGGAGACGAAGAATGAGAAACAGGATGAGGACGACAAAATGCAGGCTGAGGATGACAAGCCTGCGTTGACGACGCAGCCTGGCAATGCTGACAGTAAGTATATTATCATCCCGTCTCATTTGAAGTCTAAGATAAACCTTATATATTCAGACTTCTATCAAACATTCTGGTCTTTGCAGCAGCCCTTCTCTAAACCACCGCTATTCTCCGACCCCTCAACTTTTCCGGTATTCAAGGAATCTGTGGACAAGGTCCTGCCTGTCCTCAAGGAAGCCACTGCGAAGGAACGCGTAATGATGGGCAGCAGAGCCGGCTCCGGCGGTTCAGGCTCGCTCAAACGAAAACGGGAACCACTAGACACTGGAGAAGAACCAGTTACAGACTACTTTTTCGCTAAGTTCTTGACGAGTCCTGATCTCCTAGATCTCGAAGTGAGTGTCGATCTCAATGACCGTCATATGTCATTGACAATCGTGTTTCTAGTTGAAAGATACACACTTTCGACGTCAGTTTCTTTTTCAGCTTCTTATACTCCTCAGTCATCTCCTTACATTCGTCAAATCTGCAAAAGAACGGTGGGCGACGGTTCGCAATCGATCCTTGCACATGGATTTCACACTCGAAGCTGCCGACATTCAGTGGGTCCAGGAAACCTTCAACAAGACGATGGAAGAACTTCGGCAAACCACTCCCAATGGTCGTGCATTCGCAGACACAGTCGGCGTCATACTTGAGCGCGAGAAGAATTGGATCAAATGGAAAAACGAACTTTGTGTACCGTTTGACAAGGCGCCCTGGTCTACGGAAGTCGATGGAGTGAAACTCGGGTTTGAAGAGGCCACAAAGTCGTTACGGGAAAAAATGAGAGAACCTCCGGAAGATTGGAAGTGGAAATATGGTAGCGAATACTTGACGGACGTCTGGGAGATGGGATACAGAGACCTCGATGACTTGGCGTTCCCTTTTAAGTTGAGCGCCCAATTCGTCATCTTTTATATGCTTATACCTTTTTAGACCGGGAGAGGTTAAAGATTTTGTCAAACGACTGAAAATGGAAGATACTCAGATTGAGCAGCGGAAGAAACAAATCGCCAGGCAGGCAGAACGGGTTGCTGCACTTGCTACAAGTCAGCCAATACTGGCCCCAGTACCACTCAAAATGTCCGAGACAGCACTTGTCTCTGGTATCGAATCGACCCCGCGTCCAGCACCAGTTGCTACTCCCACGAACCCTTCGCTCCATCCGTCTCTCCCCGCAAAGCCCGTAGCTACTCCAGCACCGAAGCCTGCTCAAGATCCGCAAACAGCACCACCAGTTCCAGAGCCTTCGCCCACACCACTTCCTGCTATACATGCTAGATCCAGTCCACCAACTGATCCCAAGATCATTAAATACGAAGAAGTGCGATATTTCTCCGTGTTGCTTGTCTCGACCTTACTGACCTATGCTAGAACAAGCAAAGGATCGCATGGCTCGCGCTCCGGGCGGCCCGTGAACAGCACTTGAATTTATTTGGAAGGATTGGAACCGGGGACATCGAGCTTTTGGTTGAGGAAATTGAATCTGCTAAACAAAAAGAGATAGTTCAGCCGCTCAGAGATGCCCCACCGGAAGAGACCGGGTCGGCAAGTCCACTGGTCGCTGTACCGACTGCAGCAGAAGACTCGAAACCGGTCGAGAAGGCTGACGGAGAGGGGGATGTCAAAATGGACGAACGGTAGCACACCGGTGGAAGCAAAAGTATTGTAGTAGGGAGGTATCTAGGCATCGTCGAGGAACCTGGAATCGGAATTTTTTTGGAGTTCCCAATGCATACGATTTACGGATCATGGTGGGGGTACCCTAAATATACACACGGCCCAGCGGTAACGGTAACTCGCGTGATAAACTCTATGGCACGATCGATAAAAGGACTCGATTTTTTTTTCCTTCTACTCCGTTTGACTTGATTTTCGCTTTTCTTCTATACGACTTTCTTACGACCATGTCCACGCCTCTCAAAGTAGGCCGCTGCTGTCGTCGTCGTGTTGTCTGTAATAACTCGTCTTTCAGAACGTGCTCGTTACGGGAGGAGCAGGTTACATTGGTGAGTCCTCCTTTTTCCTTATTTTTATTCTGACCACCTCTTCTTAGGATCACATGTCGTCTATTGCCTCCAAAAAACTCGACGATACAAAGTTATTTCTATAGATAATGGCCACAATTCACTGCCCGAGGCACTCGTTCGAGTTGGCCAGCTATCCAGAGAAGAGTTACCTCCAGACGCCTCCGAACGGGATATCCAATCCACCGAAATCGATATGCACAACGTCGATTTGACCAAGGAGGAGCAGGTTCGAGGCGTGTTTGAGAAGTATGGCAAGGGTGGAATCTGGGGACTGATACATATAGCGGTGAGTCCAAGGTAGCGTCGTTCATCGTTCTGCACAGGTTCTCACTTGTTCCTTGCAGGCATACAAAGCTGTTGGAGAATCTACCGAAATACCTCTCACTTATTACCAAAACAATGTTGCCGCGACCATCTCACTTCTCCAAATCATGTCAGAATTCGAGTGCTACCGGCTGGTCTATTCGTCATCTGCCACGGTATACGGCACGCCCCCCATCGTTCCCATTCCGGAGAGCACCCGGTTACAAGCAGACAGTCCTTACGGAAAGACAAAAGTAATGGCCGAGACAATCATTGACGATCTATGTCATGGTGCGTCGCGTTTCTCCCTCGTCGGCCACTCCATCTGACCACTAATAAACCTTAGCTGAACCTGAGAAATGGCAGGCCATTTCTCTTCGTTACTTCAAGTAAGCATCCCCAGTATATCAGCCTTGGGTCTTCTCATTGACGCTCTTTAGCCCCGCTGGCGCACACCCTTCAGGCCGCATCGGCGAAGATCCCAAAGGCCGACCCGGAAACCTTCTACCACTTCTTGCCCATATGGCCGTAGGTCGCGTCAAGGAAGCTGTGCTAAAGGTCTTTGGAAATGATTATCCCACTCAGTGTGTACTGTCTCCTTCTACATCTGCATCCCGCTAATGCATACTAAAGCGATGGAACATGCGTTCGGGATTATCTACACGTCCTAGATCTCGCTTCAGGTCACCTTTTGGCCCTCGACGCACTCGACGGCAATAGCCAGGTTTTCCACGACCGACCAAACGCCCGTTTTAAAGCGTACAATCTTGGCAAAGGCAGAGGGATGAGTGTGCTGGAGATTGTCGAGGCCATGAGACTAGCCACCGGGTTCGATTACAGAACCGAGATCATAGGAAGACGGTGAGTTTCGGGATGTCCGTTCCGCTTTCATATATCTTAACTTTCATTCTAAACAAGACGCGGTGACGTTCCGGACCTCACTGCGGATCCCACTCTTGCTGAAAAGGAGCTGGGATTCAAGGCTTCCCAGGACCTCGGGACGATGTGTCGGGACCTGTGGAATTGGCAGAGCAAGAACCCGCAAGGGTACGGAGAACAGTAGGACTTTCTAATTTAAACTTTTCTGGACGCGTTAAATGTAATTATCGGCCTACCTCGTTTTATATCCTACGTGCTACGACCTTGTGGGGCCTTCCTTTCATCTTATGTATTGTTGGATAGATCTTACCACTGCGTCGTTTGGGGTCAGGGTGTTATTCTTTTGATTTCAATTTCACTTCCCAAACACCCTGTATAACATAGTAACTATCTCCCTTCAACGTTTACTCCCCGTTTGCATTTTAATTTCCCTCTTAGTTGCTATGATTATTTGCTGTAACCGCGATAGATTTAAATAACGATGCATAGGAAAAATTTGAAGTTTTGAGAATCCTGTTTCAGCCAAGCTATGTTATATTTCAATCTTTGGTCTCATGCAGACTCGGACTAACAATCACTGCAGTAGTACAGTACAGACTTCCGTACCATTACCAGACGCGATTTCCCATTACACGTGACCCTGCCTTGTACTTTTGGCAACTCATGACGTTTGAACTGCGTTGATCACTGGTAAAAATCCAGAATGAACCTTCGAAAAGAACTTGAATTTGGTTACAGACGGTTAGAGTACACCTGCCAAAAGTTATGAAATAAGCACCTGAAAGCAATTCCGAACGCTCCAAGGAGCTCCGAAACGTTCCGCTGTTATTTAATTTCAGTGTTAGATATATCCATGCCGACGAAAAGGTTCTTCTTTCCCACATCTTGCTGTTTGACTGGCATCTGTGACAAGATCAGCGTCATCAAAGCTAATGCAACATTCCTAAGGATATAGAAGAATATCGGGACCATTAAATACATCAAAAGGTATTGAAAAATAATGGTCATCATTATTCGAAATGAACTCTCGTCGCTCCTGCATCATTTCCTCCTGAAGACTTACCATCTCATCTTCATCCACGAGCCAATCCACATGGTCCATTATCCTCGTTACGACTTCCTCTGGGAAACGCACGTCAAGAAAACTATCCAATGCTTCACGGATCCATGCTTTTTGTTGTGGCGGAACATTTGAGGTGGACGGGATCGGCGGGATGTCAGGATCGACTAGAAGGAATGAGATCATACGTCTGTGTCCTGGTTTCCTTGGATCGGCTAGTTGAATTGGTGTATGTCGGTACTGGTAGATGTTTGGGAAGACTATGGCTGTTCCTTGGTAGATAGGCACGTTGCCAATGTATTGGTGGCATGGAGCGGCATCTCGCATGCCCCAGGTTCGAAAGGTGGCGCCATTATCGCCAGCGTTGAAGCCTCTAGGGTACGTAACAGCCATGCGAAACTCGATAGAACTGTTTACTACGTTCTCCTGGATTGGGAACGTGACTTGAGTACGGAACCCTTTGACAAATGGGTATCGCATACCTCGGAGGTGTAGAAGAATCCACAGGCGACGATTCGCTCATTTTTCATTCCCTCAACTCTCCACGCTTCAATATGGCCCTGATGACTTTGCCCAGCGTTCTGGGTGTTTACTAACTTCAGTCCACGCCAAGCGAACAAGTAAAAAACGCACAAGCCGCATTTCCGAAGCGCCAATGACTACTTGCAGTCTTCTGCCTCCGAGCCTTACGACGTGTTTCCTCTCTTCCAGACCACCCTGATAACCATCTTTTGGAATATCAGGTAGATTGATGGGTCTGTGAGACATCCAGTGCCACATGTCGAGCTCGTATAGAGCCCAGCCCTCTTCATCATCCGAGAACTCCGGTGGCTCCGGCTCGCTCCATTGTGTGTACCACGACCGACCGGGTATGCGCTGAGGTAAAGGGTTATTTCGGTGGAGGTCGCTGAGAGTATGTTCAAATAATGGAATGAAGGCTGATAGGGTTTTGCTGAGGAGTAGGTAGAGAGATTTGTGCCGGGGATGAAGATCGTTGATGTAAGACGATAGTTCCAGGTGGTTAGAAGTAGTCAGCTGGACGTCTGTGGGTAATAATGCGAATTTGCGAGACACAGAGTATGTGGCATCGACAGGGGCCGAGATGGGGGTAGGATTACCTTGAAGGTCGGTGGATATCGATCTACCGTAAACAAGAGGACACGTGTAAGGATTGATCAGTTTTATAGTCCTCTTGCTGGAATCCCATCCCAGAGAACAAAGCTCATGGTCGAGAGAAGAGACGATCAAGGGCTCTAGAAGAGATTCTGATTCCCATATACGCTCAAAACAAGACACTTGGCTACAAGATTTTTAGAATAGGATCAGAAGAGTCGAAACACTGGAGTGATTACCAATTGTTCGCTTGATCGCGAAGTAAGGCGTACCCTTCCAGCTCTTCAAGAACATATTCGGCCTTGTGGGCAAATGAAACAAGCTGAAACCATTGAAGAAAATTTACACGCGCCTGTCTCTCAGATAATTTTATGTTGGTGTCCTCTCCGCATGGCAGAGGGATTTGCCATTCGCGATCACATGCTGTCAAGATCCAGTTGCGTTTAAATGTCTTTTCGTAGTATAATAACCACCAGTCCTTTTGACGACGAATAATAGCAGAAATGCGACTCATGGCCAGGTCTACAAGCTAGTAAGATTATCCAATGAGTTCATTCAAGTACTTTTTACGAAACCCACAGTTCGAGGGTTATCTGGATCAGTAAAAAGATAAGAAGATTATGAAGTTTGAGCAACCAAAGATCTCTCACCACCGACGCCACCCAGATATTGGGTACAATCGTTGAAAGGATGGCGATAGCCACGAGAATCCGACATACTCTGCATCATTCGTACTGGGGGTCGTCACCAAAGAGCTCCGGGTGATTGCCGCCGGCAATTACCGGAGACGGTTTAATCGTTCACATCAACAGCATCAACCTTACTGTGAACGTACGACTAGAATACCGCTATGGTACGTGCCGTATCTTCGACTTTATCATGGTCAACTGACTACGATATTGGTTAGGCTTGGCAGGTCAGAATGTCCAGCTCGCGGGGCAAGCCCTACTTCTACGATGCGGACACGCAACAATCATCGTGGGATCCGCCTGCTGGCCTTACACAGGAGCAAATACAGCAGCTCCCAGGCGCAAATTATCTCACAGCCCAAGATGACAAAGTCAGGGCTAGCCATTTGTTGGTGAAGCACAGCGGTAGCAGGCGCCCGTCTAGTTGGAAGGAAGCAAGTCACATTTTAAAGTTGTCCAGTCCGAATATTTATCTAAATTTTGACGACAGGCCAACATAACGCGCTCGAAAGAGGAGGCGATCAAAATCCTGAAGACGTACCAGGATCTTATTGGCAACTCCCCTGACAAGCTTGGACAACTGGCGACTAAATATTCCGACTGCTCCTCTCATGAAAGGGGCGGCGACCTTGGCTTCTTTGGACGCGGTCAGATGCAGAAGCCGCTCGAGGATACTGCCTTTGGCCTCAAGGTTGGAGAGATCAGCGATATCATCAGCACGGACAGCGGTGTCCATTTGGTACTGAGAACCGCGTAGGGAGATGCTGGAAGACGGAAATAAAGGAAGAACTAAAGATTGTATAATATTCTATGCCTTCAAATAGGTGATTACGTAACGCTCTATCTACCTCCTCAGCCCTGAAAGTGACCACCATTATGCTGGACCCATTCTTCGATAAGCTGCCTTTGGACAGGACCATGGGAACCGAGACACGCCTGACCTTCCTTGTGGGAGCTGCGCTACTTTTTATCGTCCTCTATCGTTCTATTCCCCTGTCGTTTCTGATATCAAAGGCCACAAGACCACGGTTGCCAACGTTAATGGTGCCGGTAAAAGGTCGAGAAATGACTATAGACCCATCTCGCCTGCACAAGCCAAACTTTGGATACGATGTGACCGTTTCAAAACTGTTAATCCACCCGGTCAAGGTGAATATCCTCGTTCCACATTGTTCCCTCTTTATGGAGGCATAGCGTGCTCACGGCCGCGACCAGAGCTGCCGAGGACTGTCCGTTACAAACGCTCGGTATACCCCTGAGGGTCTAGAGGTCAGCGTCTCCTTCGGCCGTGCTGCGCTGTTTGGATAGAAAAAAAAAAGACGAATTGCTTTTCAAAGAACGATCGGCAATGGTCCATCGTGGACGCGGTAACTAAATGCGTCATAACAGCGCGTGAAGTGTCAAAAGTAGGTTTAGTGCCCTTGCGGCGGATATCGAGATCTTACAAATCTCCAGATGGTGCTAATTACACCAGAGATTGAAACGGACAGTAATTCGCCATACGGTGGAGTATTGCGTGTTTCCTTTCCGGAGGACTCGAGGTGCGACTCGTTTGATGTCCCGTTACATCCATCCGAAGAGTTGTTAAAGACTTGGCAAATGTATGAATCGAACCTTCTCTTGTCATATAATAATCATATAGTGTAACGTTTCAAATCTTCACAGGTTTGATGTTGCGATGTGGAGCTCTAGCATCGATAGCTACGTCTGCGAGGCCGTTCCATTGCCCTATGTGCCCTCGAAATCGCCCTCAGCCATCCTTTCAGCATACTTCGACAAGCCTGTTTATCTGGTGTTCAAGGGAAGGAGACCACGGAACTGCGCCCCGACTGCGGCATTCCCAGAACTCAAAGCCACAGCAGTGTATCAGGATGGGTATCCTCTTCTTGTGCTGTCTGAAGAAAGCATGAATGTATTGGAAGATGAGCTACGCGGTCAGGTGGGTAAACAAGGGATTGATGAACGCTGGAGAACAGATAGATTGATGATAGAGAGGTCGGTGTCTTTAATACAATTCGCTGAACCCTCACCTCTGCAACATGTGGGCACTGGCTTGTATTGAATGCGCTCAGATTGCTGCGTGGTGTTTCGTTGATGGTGGTGGCTCGTTCCGTCAGCTGATAAAGTATGCTTTTCAGGTTTAGACCCAATATCGTTTTCAAAGGTGCGGGTCCGTTTGCGGAGGACATGTGGGAAGAGATTGCTATCGGGTCCGGGCCAGTTTCAGAGGCTCCCGGGATTCTCGTTGTATCGAAATGTGCTCGATGCCTGGTAGGTGCCGCCGCGCCTGGAAATATCGCTACGTCACCTGGGTTGGGTGCCTTGTTTTTTCAGATCGCTGATTATTCAACTTAGTTGCCCAATGTTTCTCCAGACACGGGTGTCAGGGATAAAGCTGTTCCGTATAAGGTTCTCATGAAGGTCAGAACCGGTATTGATCCTGCGAACAAGATGAAGCCTTGTGTTGGATGCAACTGCGTTCCTTTGGGAGAGGGTATGATAAGGTTGGGAGATAAAGTGGTTATCAGACGAATGGTGGGGAGCGATGGGAACGATACTGATACTAATAGCTCCTAGATAAGTCTAATCATACTTTACAGTCGTGCCTCAAGGCGTAATCGATTTGCACAAGATGTATAGGGTCTCAAGATTATACGGTTGCGAGATTTCACTCAGCACCGCGTTCTGGAGGGCTGCGGGAGATGTATCTGGGATAAAATGAAATGCCAACAGCCCGATTCGGAAATGGGGGACCGGAATTATCAGGAAGAGAGGTATCCGACGACGTCGAACCGCTCTTTCTTTCGGGCTTACCGACAATTGAGCCGCACCTGACATTGAGGTGCGAGCGATGAGAACCTGACTGGACCATGTGCCACGCGGAAGGGGATCGGGACGAGGTGCATCGGGATCAGCGCATCACGTGCTGATACTCCTATTTTGGAATGCTGTGCCTGACTTGTCCAAAGTCGTAATTCCAAGTGCCTCTGGATCATTTCTAACATCAACGTCCAGACGACGACCGTTCTACGACGAGCAGCCTCGCGCTCGCGCCTCCCCCGTCGGGTACATACCATTGCCACTTATTATGGCAAGAGCAAGAGCAAAATGGATATTTGGTACTCAGCAAACCCCATCTCAAAGAGACAGCTCGAAGCCTATACCTATCCCGACAACATGCTCTGCCGATGGCAAGAAATTTGGCCTAGAGAATGTGCGTGGCAGGCCCTTTGCTTTCTAATTCGCTCTCATTTTAGCTCTCTCATGACTGCAGTTTGGCAATACTTGGTGAGTAGTCCCTAATATTCTGCAGGACACCACTTACGACATCATTGCAGCTATGCCAACTCGGTAGTACAGGCCCTGTACTTTTGCGCTCCCTTCAGGGATCTTCTCCTGCAGTCAGAGGAACATTCCGTTGCCCAAGGATCTCAGGACGCCCTCCCCGGACCCGCGGCTCTTCTACCCCTACGTCGAAGGCCCTCCGTGTCTGGCTGCACAGATGCCGCAATCGCGACCGGAATTCACTCGCACGAGCCTGCTGCCATTCCTTCTTCTCCCCCTACCCTTTTCTCCGCACTCCGTTCGCTTTATTTTTACATCTCCACCAACCCCTCCGACAGCGGCACGGTCGCTCCACGCGCTTTCATCGACAAGGTCAAGCAAGGAAACGATATATTTCGTTCTACTATGCATCAGGATGCACACGAATTTCTTAATTATCTCCTTAATAAGATCGTAGAGGAAATAGAAGAGGAGAAGAAATCGCCGAACGACGCTATGGGTGAGGACTGTGAGTCGTTTCGCTGTCATTCTCCCGTGTCATCCATGCATATGGTCATTTTTACTTCGTCAGTGTCCAACTCGGTCGCCACCTTATCATCAAAATCACCACCTACAATTATAACCGCCACTACGAGCTCTAATTCTGGTACATCACCGCAAGACGCAACTTTAGTTCATAAGCTTTTCGAAGGCGTTCTCACCAGCGAAACCCGTTGCCTCACTTGCGAAACGGTCTGTTTCTTCCGTCTGCGTGATTCTCCCGCCCTGTTTACCCGGTATACTAGGTTTCGGCTCGCGATGAGTCCTTTCTGGATCTCTCGATTGACATTGAACAGAACTCTAGTGTCACTGCGTGCTTGCGCCAATTTAGCGCCAGTGAAATGCTCTGTCAGAAGAACAAGTTTTTCTGCGACTCTTGTTGTGACTTGCAGGAGGCGGAGAAACGGTAATGTGTATCAGGCACACTCGGCCGGCATTACTCATGCGTTACTGTAGTATGAAGATTAAGAAACTACCCAATGTCTTGGCTTTACACTTGAAGCGGTTCAAGTATCAAGAGGACCTGCAAAAGTACATCAAGCTCGCCTATCGGGTAGCTTTTCCTATCGAACTTCGACTGTTCAATACTGTTGACGACACGGAGGACGCGGACCGACTGTACAATCTGTTCGGAATCGTTGTACACATTGGAACGTGAGTACCGCCGCTTTATTATAGTCCTCGTGTTGATGAGCTCTTTTCGCAGCGGCCCACATCATGGTCACTACATCTCCATCATCAAGACGAGCGGGTCATGGCTCGTTTTTGATGACGATAATGTCTATCCATTACCCGAAGGCGATATCTCCAAGTACTTTGGTGATTCTCCCGCTGGCTCTGCCTACGTACTCTATTATCAAGCTGCCGACATCGATCTGCCGGCTCTTGGACTACGTAACCCCTCGTCGGCGCCGCTTGAGATGTCCGAACAGGCGCTCTCCCCAACTGGCTCCATTGAGGCGTCACCTGCCCTACCAATAAGCCCCCCTCTACCCCCCGGGCTTGCAGAAGAAGGTGACTCTTCAGACATAAGTGATCCGCCTCTTCCAGTTACGCCGTCGCAATCCTCATCGCCCTCACTCCATCCAACCGATAAGAAGTCGTCTCGGCAAACGCTCGACGTCAGGGTTTCGGCATTGGACGAAACATCATCCCCACCCAACCTGTCCAATGCGTCTTCCCCTGCGATTATCTCCACAACCTCCAGTAACACCCGGAGTAAGGGGGTCTTTACCAGACGCAGACCCTCAACGTCAGCGGGGGCCTTGCACGGACCGGAATTCCGCAATTCTTCCGAGCGGTTCGCTACGCCTGCGTCGTTATTTTCTACAGCAAGCTCAGATGAGCCGAATCACAAGGCGCCAACGCCACCACCTTTACCAACAACCAGTCCAGAGCCTGGTGCGAACATTCATGAAAATGATCATCATGACCATCCGCATCCCGAACGTAAACCAAGTACTTGGTTTAAACGGAAGTCATTCAGATTGACAGATAAGTCGCGGCCATCCAGCCAAACTGGACTGCCCCAAATTCCTCAATCGCCGACGGTTCCCTCAAACCCAAAGGAAGAAGGTTCTTCTCATTGGTTTCAGACGTCAGCTCCTCCGCCGCCTCGAGAGAGGAGGCGGCGTCCGTCGGAACCTGGGATGTTTGATGCGTCCGCATTCCATACTCCTAGTTCAGCCTCACGTCCGAAGACATCGGGTGGTGGTCTCGGTGTCAACGCTAACCATCACCATAGGCATACCCACGATTACGAGAGTTCCCCGCCTGTATCTCCGACGTCGTCTCTAGGTTCAACCTCACATCTTCTACCGACTTTCCCTGCGACTCCATCACCCCATATCTCATCCTCCCCTTCGCCTTCGACCCCTACGCGGAAGTCTCTAGAAAAACTTTCTTCGCCGACAAAGTCCCCTGAGCACAAGAAGTCGTTGTCAAGTTTAATACATCATAAGGACAAAGCACGAGATCACTCATCGCTACGCGCTACGCCTCCTCCGCGACCTTCTACCGCTATAGGCAACGGTCATGCGACTTCACCGCGGCCGCTACCCCCTGTTCCTCCTCTGCCATCTTCGTTTACTGCTCCAGATTCCCCTGTACGCGGCATGTACGCAAGCAATGGACATGCCTCAGTCGATCATGTTGTAATGGCAAATGACAAAGGCAAGATGAAGTCGGAACATCCTGATACCGACAAGTATCCTAATGGATGGGGTACGCTCCCCGGTGCGAACCACAGCTCTGCCAGCACATCCAGTATCAGTAACGCTAGCTCGCATTGGAAGCGGACAAGTAAGAAGCTGAGTTTTGCTATGCCTCTCCTTCATTTCGGCAGGAAGAAGGACAAGGACAAGGACAAGGACAAGGACAAGGACAAGGACAGGGATAAGGCTGCTTCGAGCTCGTTCCCTCGTTTTTCGATGCCCTCAAGGCACTGACCGTGTGTACAATACAAAGGCATGATGGACGGTTCTTTATTTTTCTTTGTAGCATTTCATCCGTGGGCAGGTTGGTGCCGGTATATGACCATCTATTCATTTGATGTCGACCATGTATTGCTTGCTTTGTTTCATTACTCCCTGCGAGGATGACTGATACACTAATCCAGTATTCCTACTACATACCACAAATGCAGTTGTATAATATCAATACCATTATTCCTTCAGCTCTTTAGGGCTAATTCAAGACTATTTTTGCGATTGTTACTGATTGAAAGCTTTATCTTGTCTTCCAATTATTCGCGACGCTGGAACGGTTCGGTGTTGCAGAGGCTCTTCCTAATCCCTCGATAAATCTGAAAAGTGTTCGATTCGTCGGAATCCTTCTGTGAAAACACCATTTCTGATTCAAACGCGTCAATAATCTTCTCTCAACTCTCCATGCACTGGCTCGAACTATTCCCACGCCGTCATCTGGACCGGTCCGAGAATTGCACGCGGATGAAATAATATCGTTCAACGCTTTGCACTATCATGGGAAAACGTAGACGCGTCGAATCTGACGATGACTACACCGAATTTTCGCAAGACGAGATCGATGGTAATTACGGCTCGCGCGTGAAAAACCGCAAGGCAACGGTATCCAAAAAAATGCAGCCGGTCGCAGTGTCACCATCTATTGCTGATTATTCAGACGAGCACTCCAGATCTCAGCATGTCATCAGCAACGCGGACGAGGTCTGTGATGCCCTCTTGCGATGGTATTCTGGTGTTCATATGACACGTGGTATGCCATGGCGAAAGGAGTACAATCCGAATTTGGGGCGAGAGGAACGCGCGCAGAGGGCCTACGAAGTGCATTTTTTTAAACGTGTTTTCGTCATATTTTAACACTTAACATGTAGGTCTTGGTGTCAGAATTCATGCTGCAGCAAACCCAAGTTGTCACCGTAATCCCATACTACGAGGCTTGGGTGTCCAGGTGAGTCTCGTCTTACAGTGGCTCAAACTGTGACTCATTTCTACAGGTTCCCGACTATACACGTCCTTGTATGCCTCCCTTTCTTTCGAATTTCGATTTATTTATGCGATTTATGCAGGCTGCTGCTACCGTTGACGAAGTCAATGCTGTGTGGAAGGGTCTCGGATATTATAGACGTGCTAGTCGCCTCCTCGCGGGGTCTCAGAAGACTGTCGCGAAGTTTAGTGGGCTATTACCAGACAACGCGCGCGACCTGGAAGCAAACATTCCAGGTGTTGGACGATATACAGCAGGCGCTGTCTGTTCTATCGCCTATGGAGAGCGCGTTCCTGTTGTGAGTCCGAGGATATCAATGCGTACCGACTGGCCTTGAACTGAAAAGCCGCTTACAGTTGGATGGCAATGTGCACCGCCTGCTTTGTAGGCTTCTTGCCCTCCATGCTCCTCATAAAGCAGTGACCACCCTTAATATTCTATGGGCAGCGGCGACTACCCTGGTTCAGTGTGAAAACCATGGTAATGTCTTCAGTGTTTAGCTATGAAATATTTGTTAAGACTGCGTAGGCAATGGCCAAGAATCTGATGATTCTATGGTACGCAATCGTTACCCAGGAGACATCAATCAAGCTTTAATCGAATTGGGAAGCACGGTTTGCAAAGTTAATGCTCCCAGCTGTGGGCAGTGCCCGCTAAAATCGCATTGTACAGCATACCAGAGTGAGGTTAAAGCATATTGACACTATATTTCGTATACTCGATTCTGACACCTTGCACAGTTAGTTCCACTCCAGCAGGATATGGAGGATATCTGTACTTTGTGTGAGCCCCGCTCCAAGCGTGGCGTCACTGCTTATCCTATGAAGGCCGAGCGAAAAAAGCCTCGAGTGGAACTTGACCTTGTGAACGTCATTGAATGGCGTTCCAAGTCCGATCCTGAGAATAGGCAGTTCCTTCTCGTTCGTCGGCCGAATGAAGGTTCGCATTCTTTGAATAGAGCCGTAGTCTCATACCTAACCAATCACCATAATAGGGTTACTTGCTGGATTGTATGAGTTTCCCACAGAAGCCAACATTTCTAGAACATTGTCAGATACTCACCTTGCAGAAATACCTCGGACTCAGCTCTCTGCCTTGTTACAGTCGCCCATCCGGGTTCCTGAGTCCCCTGACGAGGGGCAATCTGATGGATCATGCTCAATTGTCAAGACACAGCCAGCAGGCGATGTCTTCCATGTCTTCTCCCATATCAGAAAAACATACAGGGTGCAATGGGTTATCATCGAAGGGGGAAATGAACCGCCGGAGACTGCAGTGCCACAGAAGCCATGTCACGGTCGTCTAAAGGCGACAATGTGGAAGTCTTTGAAAGAAATATCGACCTCAAAGTAAGTATGGTCTTATCACACATCTGAAGTCTCTCTCACTCCCAGTCAGCATCGGAAAGTGCTCAAGTAAGATATGGGACCAGGTACAGACGTTGTGGGAGACTGCATCGTGACCCATCATATCAATTTTGGTTGTATCTAACTATTAGTATATACATTGGGCTGATCTGCTGCTAAGACTATCTACCGACATGCCTGTGGCCACTTGATCTAGAAATTCAACTGTTCCATTGGCCGGAAGGGCTCTCCCCATGTCCAAAACCACAATTTTACCATCCCCTGAACTGATGCATGCACGCCCTGTGCCCTCATCCCAAGTAATTGCATCCATGCCGGCGGTTCTGATCCGCTGCAGAATCTCGTTCGGTAAGGTAATGGTCTGGTAAACGGGAATTGGCCTCCAGGTTTCCATTGCATATCTGCGCAACAATGGCTCCCTCACTTCCCGAAAGCCCGAAATGTAGGCTGAGTGGGGCCTTTTCTTGTTCAGATAACGTCGCAGCTCCACTATACCCTGTGTTTGAGTAGCGTCATCATAAACAGTCTTGTAAACTAGAGCCCGATGTATGCCAGGCAGGACATCGTACTGCTCCTTGTCATTACGAGACTGCTGAGTGAATGAGTTTCCTTCTACGGTGTAGTAGACGTCGTCAGCTCGGTCGCTCATCGGCATCATCGTATAATGTACCAAGCCCGGTGGATTGCTGGTCTGCACAAAGATGGAGATGGGGGGAGGATCATAGTTCAAACTTTGTAAATAGTTCGTATGGCCGGCGATGTAATCCATGGACTGGTAGTTATCCGATATCTGGAAAGAAGGAATGAAACCGCGAATGTCCAGGAGCCGTGTCTCGTCGGGCTCTTGATTGTGTTTACCGAATTTGGGCATGCGATAAATCTGGGCGTAATGTTCGTTCTCGAGAGAGGTTTGTATCAACAAAAACTGGTTCTGTCTAGGTATGACGCGGAGCGCTCGAATGCGAAGGTGCTAGATTTAGATATAGATTAGTACTGAAGGCATCAGACAATGTGAGAAAACACTGACTCGCGAACTGTTAGGAGTCTTACAAACTGCTATGTGCGGCCGCGGTTCGCCTTCCGCTAACAGATTGGTAAAAGCGACTGTGTGCGGTCCGTGGACAAATGCAACGAGAGGTACCTCGTTGATCGCAAAGAACCCTACGTCAAAAATAGGTTCATCGCACGCGTACCAGTCGGTCCATGTTAATGTCAGTGGTAGTTGGTTCGTAGTATCTTTCAACTGCTCCAGTTTGATATACGACCATCGCCAAATATACTGGACAGATAAGTTTCCAGGTGTTCGAAAGTAATCGATTTCAGACAAATCGATGCTGATATCCAATATTATTAACCAAGGTCTTCCTCAAGCCATTACCAAGGCCCCTACCTGTTATTTGTATGCCCCAGACTGTAGGCTCGGTAAACATATCCAATGAATATGCATGGTTCTCCTTTCCAGGGCATGAATCTAGTTTGGAACTGGAATGCTCGATGGTGCAGGTTGGTGGAAGAGACGAGGCGGAAGACCATCTGGTCCGGGCGATCCCCGCAAAGTTCAAACACTGCAATAACATGTGTCACACCCTTCGCTGCGATGACAAGATATTTTCCTCCTGGGAGCAGCTTCATATCATAGACCAGTCCATCGAGGAAAATCGTGTTTGCATGGAATACTCTCGTAAATTCGGATCTCCAGTTATCATCGGCTGACGATATCTGAGCGAGCAAGCGCTCCGGCTCAAAGTCCCGAGGACCGAAACTGAACTGTTTGTCGTGAAAGTATGGAATGGGCCTTTGGAGGCAGTTCAAAAAGCGCTTCCAGATGGTGGATTCGTGTGTAAGGACAAAGAAAGCTTTGTCAAGCTACAACACAGTGAGTACACGGGTCGTGATGTGAATGATGGAATAAAAGCACCCTGCGTAAACGTATGATGTCTGCCACGGACAAGTATACAAAAATGTGGTCCACCAGAAGGTCGAAAGGGAGTCGACCTATAAAACATTGAGGGTTCCTTCGGAAACCGATGTTCAAACATTGCGATGAAGTCGACCAAACTCCGGGCACTTTTTCGGCCTTGGAAGGCTTTGAAGTGCTTGGGGTCGGAGCGAACTCGAGTGGGCGTAGCCTCAGAGATGGTCGTCTTCGGGGTCGCATAAGAGAAAAAGTGGAAGGAAATAGATGTTCAATAAGAGGGGAATACTGTAGGAATGTGTCGCCATCCTACTTGAGGGCCCGACGCCTAGCAACCTTGTCCAGTTCAACAAGGAATATTCGAGCTCAACGTTTACCTTTTTTGGGTTTTCCTTTGCTTGTTCGAAACCCCGATCAACATTCGATCGCACCTGGTACTTTTGGATTTGTACTCAGGCTGTTCCTTGTACTTGGTTGCGATTTGCACTCTTCTTACGGGCGTGGCGGAAGCTCCCAAGCAACCACGTAATTCCAGATATCAAGACACTCAGAGAAAAAATTCGGATGTTGAGGCCTTGAGCATGCCAAGGCACCACTGGAAAGCGAAACGGACTACAATCCGATATATAAGCCTATGCCACAGGTCCATTACCTGATCAAATCAAAGTCCTTTGAAAAAGAAAGAAGGTAATCGAATCTCATTATGCGGTAGACTGTCCGTGCAGTTCCACTCTTAACTTGATTCTGGGAAAGACCAGTGGGAACAAATGGTTGTGATGGTTTGAAGAGACCCAAATTAGCAAAAAGACGGGCAATAGTCGAATCACATAACCTACGGATACAGACGGGTCAACGACACGCATCCCAGAGACTCCTTTCACAAGTCAGTCTGGATCCACAACGCCGTAATCTGCGAATTTTGTCCCAACGGGACGAGCAGATGTGTCGGCGTTGTTTCTGACATTCTGCTCCAACGCATCGTCCATCATCTTAGCTAGTATACTATATGGCTCTAGAACATAATCATCCCACACCTACTAAAGTGAAACCGTTAAATTTACTCGAAATAACCTGGATCAATGAGGGGAAGTCCCAAAGGATCGGAAGAATTGAATTTGGCCAAACCACAGTTTATGTTCAGATATACGAACGAGATCGAGCGTATCTTGAGCATGCGAAGCTCGTGATACGACACACGTCGTTATGTTCATGAAGTATCCGGATTCTGGGGTAGTAGCAGCTGGCAAACCCATGCATTCTACGCCGCCTGACATAAGCCTTTGGTCTCAAAAGCAAGCCTGCTTGGATGCAGTTCAACATGAGGGGGTCTTCGATCCAGCTGCAGGATTAGCAGACCACTCAAAATTTGGCAAATCATCTGGAAGAACAGACCAAATGATATGGCTCTGCAGCATGACTACCAACGGTCCCATCTTCGTCTCATTCCAATAAGCGACCAATTTACTTTGGTATGTCAGGTTCCGGAGAATGTCGTCCCAGGTATTCGTGTCGTTGACAAACCGTGTATTCCAAAATTTGGGTTGATCTGATAATTTCGTCCTGTCGTCAGGAAGATCGATGACTCACAGCCTAGACGCCGGCTTCAGAAAGTTTCGCAGCGTCACCGATCCTAGAATTGAGCAGTATATGTGGCGTTCCTGTTAAGTACACCGGCTGAAAGGGTGATTTCCTTCACCGCTATAACAAGAGGTGTGTTGATCCTACATGGGGCTTTCATTAGCTGTGTGCTTGCGCGGGAGAAGAATACATACATATCTTTGGAGGATGCAAAAAATTTCATGACATCGAAGAGAAGCTCGGACTTCTTGCTCCTGAGAACTCTAGTCACTTGCGCAGATTTGTCCTATTGATAAGTTCCGGACCCAGATACAATACAGCAGAATTACTTCTCCTGCCGTTATCGATCGTGGCTTGTATGTATCCTGTGATGTAAGAAACAGTGTTGCAATGAAAATGCAGCCGTAATGGCGCGCCTAGGCTATGGGGTGCTCCGGAGTTAACGTCAGGGCAGAAGCGGAAATTCATCAGGGCGTTCGGATGTTGTCTTCAAGATCCGTTTGTCGGTAGGATGAGACTAAGATTAACGGTGTTTACGCCATCCGAACTATGTATAGTTGGGTATCGTGACTACCTGCAGGTGGAGTCCATCATCTGAAAACAGAACGTTGGCAAATGAGGATACAAACATCAATATGAACAGGTAGCCGACTTTGAAGACATACCGCTTGGGGTTCTCCTAAGACCACCTGAATCCCCGCAAATTTTGCGTAGCGATCGTAATTCTGCGGGCCGATGGGGGTTAGATGTATAAAATTTGGTATAACACAATAATAGGTGTGCTCTCTTCAAGTACATGGCCTCTCGGAAAACCAGTGTTATTGTCCACGCTAACGACGGTTGGGTGATTCGAATTGTAGGAGTCATTTCCTAATAATCCCACTAGCCACGGAATTTCAATCGATGATACACCGTGGCCACTGGGAAGTAAGTGTTGGGATAGCAATCCCGAGCGAGTACGAGAACGTACTCGAAGATACGATGCCAGTCAGCGGCAGCTGACTTGGATCGTGATCCGGACTTATTTAGTATCTCGTAGAAAGATCTCGAAGTAATACAAAATGTATTTAAGTAGGACGTCTCTCTCTCGAGAGGCTAATTCTAATCCTCTGTACATTACTCTGCTCTCTACTTACAACAGTAAGAAATGCAGACTGTCTGTTCACTGTTTCTTGATACTCACGATGAACCAGTCTCGAGAACAAAGACCGGAAAATCTTCTTCACTCAAACGGTTAGAGACGGTTAGCTACAACCGCGCCTGTCGCTCCGCCTTGCAGTGCATACAGTGTCCAAACGAGTGCTCGGCGGAATACCTTAGCGCTAACGACCAGAAAAGTCAAACACAGACCAGAGAGTTCAGCAGCATCTTGGTATATTACACCGTAGCAAAAAAAATGCACTCAGGAGAAGCCTGTACGACTGAGCTGAGGCGCACTTTTATCAACGTTCAAGAAGGATCTCGCAAACCGACTGATTCTTTTACATTAAAAAATATCACCTGAACAACGACGGAGTCAGAACATAACTCGGGCTTGGGAATCGAAACACTTACATCTATCACGGAAATAACACTCCGAGTATACTGCGGGTGTTGCAATGACCCTCTTTGTGATCTGAACGCGCAACCAACAAAACGAAATGAAATTTTTGTCACTTTGGAAGACGGAGGGTTACGTACCTCATTCTACAGCGCAAAATGAAACCTCTCAAGGTTGATATATTACGGTTAGAACTGGGCTCCACACACGTGGTTGACAATAGAAGTTCGAAGTCAGATCGTTCCACTGAAGGAAGAAGACGATCAAATCAGGTAGATGGCAGAGTCCCCGAGCCCTTGTTAAAGCGATACTATTTCCAACATAGTTCTTCGCGACCGTATACTGAAATCACTGTTACCTCTCCAGAAAGCTCAAAGAAAACTATGCTATCAATGTATGGAGTTCTGAAGAATATTGTACAAACCTTTGAGCAGTCAAGGGTTCCGTTGTGACAACAACATCCATCTAAGGATGCTCTTGTAGTAAAGAACCCTTATGAAGAATGCATCAAGAATGGGGAAAAGATTGGCCCACTTAAGTGTGCTGCAGAATCAATTGCCCTGAGATATTTCCTATAGTAGATCATCAGCAGAAAGTCAAATGCATCATTGACTCCACAAGTTATTTCAGAGTAAGATTAGTATAGATTTGCATAGCTGTGTGTTGAGCCCACAGCTATGGTGTGATATGGAGGTAAGAGTTTTGGAAGGTGTGACTGAGCTACTAGAAAAACTGACCTTTCTAATGCAGAAGAAGCACAACAATGTTTCCCTCTCTCTCTAATCAAAGCATAGCTTGACATTATAGATCATGAACAAATAAAGCAGAAGATTGATTGATATAAGAAGTGACTTGTGATAAATACCCAGAATCAGTCATGCAAAAGCTTTAAGCATCATTCTAATTTGTTGGTTTCTTTTTCTGTCTCCAGAAGTCACAATTAATGGATAGATCATAAAATTGTTAAGCTAGGACTCACAGCAAGAGGATGTATTTGATTTGACCTGTCTATTCTGACATGATTGCTAATAGATCTGCATACACAGAAAGCTGAACAATATTTTGAAACATTCAGACCAAAATCACTGACTCACTGAGTGTCTCCACTTCCATGGTCTACTCTGCTTCACCTATCTTTGATAACCTGAGTTTAGGCATCCCTTTCTCCTTGATATAGTTCAACAAGTGCCAAGGAACCTCCATGGTCTTGGAAACCTCACCTTGTCTCCCTCCACCATCCTCAGATATGAACCAAACAGTGATAACTGACATAGCTCCTTTGTAGGATTTGCAGAAGGCAGTATCACATTTCCAGGTTCTCTTCAGTGCATCTTCTCTGGAAGTTTTTTGATTTTCCTGTATGTGACAATTTGCTCAGAACTTTCATCCTTTGGTTCATCAGCCATGAGTTGCTGCAACTAAAAACTGAGATCTGCAGGTTGAAGAGTACAATGAATATGGATGAAGTGTGTTCTTGCATTCTCCAGTGCTGTTACAAGGTCAAGGTGGAGAATTGCAGTGAATATAAGGAATTCCATCAGGGAAGATACTGCAAGGGAGCATTCAGTCTCTTTGAGGGTTGTACAGTATCCAGGTCCACAGTCAGCTTTATGCTTGTGCCAATGAGACCTCTGACATTCAGGCAAGGAATAATGAGCCTGGTTAGGGTTCCACAACTTAATATACCATCATGTCTAGAAATATATTGAGACTTTACAATGCAAACACAGTAACATTATCCAGGCTCTTCTAATGTTTCTTCTTCATGGGGACTGAGTCATCCTTGATCTGGGAATCTTCAAATGAGCAGAAGGTATGAGTATTACCATCTTTACCGACCACTGGCTTGACTGTAATTTTGATATAGCCTTCCTCTGGCTTGTTATCATGTAAGACCATTGTGTTTCAATGTGTTCATAGTCATACTGAGATGGTGGTAGCTGGAAAAGCGACAGACCATTTTGACCAGTCAGCATCGACTGCAGGAAGTCATCCCCAGCTTCTTCTACTATTTATGTATATTTTGCCCTGCATATCGGCTAATGATGTCGGCCGCATAGTCTGTTGATAGCGTCTTATGTCACGACCTGTCATTTTCGTCGGGACCGGAGGGAGATTGGGAGCGCAGTCAGGGGACCTTCCGATGCCGAGGCGCGCCGATTCGGCATATCAAAGCGGAGCTCAATACAACAAAGAGACACATTCAACTCCGACAGTATGCCGCAAGCACGTGCCATTGTTTGTCTGGCTGTTGCGCGTCGGATTCGAAAGGCGCTCTCTGTTCGCACTTACTCCCATTATGTCCGGGCTCAAAAACTCGCCGTTCGGCAAGCGTTTACGAGCGCAACAACCCGACGGTGACGACGAGGCTCCTCGACGAAACCGTCCTCGGTTTAACCCGATTTTTGGCACATCCGATTTGTCTTCGACCCCTTCTTTGGATTCGAGGCCGACGACGAGCGAAAGCAGTGGCCCACCGGAGTCGCCCGTAGACTTTCCAAGGCATTCGAGGGATTATGGTGATAGATTTGTGCCAACGCGAGACGGTGGTGATATGCGGACGTCGTACCATTTGATGGACCATGGCCCGGTCACTCCTTCAAAGAAAAACAGGATAATACCTTCGGAATTGGATGCATTGAAAGGTGCGTTGGCGCCCTTCTCAATCTTTTTCGAGTATTTATCCCCTTTCTACCTTTCAGAACAAGCCAACCATCTTTTTACCGACATTCTCCATAACGAAGTATCACCGCCGTCACCCCAACGTCCTGTTTCTCCAACGCGTCAGCCAATAGCTTCTACGTCAACCCTTCCTGCAACGCCGTCTCGGAAGCGTTTATTCACATACCATTCTCCATCCGTTTCTAACCCATCCACCCCTACCCGTCATCTGGACTCACCAAATGATGAAGCCTATTCTATGAGCCCAGTGCGTGCTGAGAGTCGCCATCTTTTAGAAAGTCCGCGCAGAAAGCTCCGGAGTGTTTGCAAAACGCCTTACCGTGTTCTGGATGCTCCAGAACTGGCCGAGGACTTCTATCTCAACCTCGTCGACTGGTCGAGCACCAATGTCCTAGGTGTTGGCTTGGGCTCCTGTGTTTATCTATGGACCGCCCACAATGCCGTCGTATCGAAACTTTGTGACCTTACCAACACGACCGACGTCATTAGCTCAGTGTCTTGGGTACAAAAAGTAAGGTTATTAAGCCATGACAGTGAGCTTCCGTGTCTCATTGTCTTTTGACAGGGATCTACACTAGCCATCGGTACACTATCTGGCCGCCTGCATATCTACGATGCCGTAGCACTCAAGCTCTTACGCACGTACCAGGAGGCGCACACTCAACGGATAGGTGCCCTTGCTTGGAATGCTCATGTCCTCTCATCCGGTTCTCGGGATCGTTCGGTTCACCACCGAGATGTTCGTGATCCCACCTTGAATCCATTCAAGCGATGTACAGGTCACCGACAGGAAGTTTGCGGCTTGAAATGGAGTGCGAACGCTGGTCCCATGGAAGCCAGCCTTGCTAGTGGTGGTAATGACAACAAGGTGTGCATCTGGGATTTGAGAGGGTCCAGGCGAACTGCTGCTTCGAGAAATCCGACTAGCGCGGATGACTGGACGGTTGGAGATGCACCGCTATGGAAATTCCATGAACACACTGCTGCGGTCAAGGCTCTGGCATGGGATCCTCATATTCCTGGGGTTCTTGCTACAGGTGGCGGGACCCAGGACAAGCATATTCGATTCTGGAATACAATCAATGGTTCCATGTTGAATGAGCTTGACACCGGTAGTCAGGTAAACTTTTTTCTTGTTTTTCTTGTATTAATAATTTAACAATAATGCATTCTGTTCAGGTCTGCAACCTCATCTGGTCGTTGACGTCGCATGAACTTGTATCGACCCACGGCTTTTCATCGACTACCGCCCAGAATCAGATTTGCATATGGAAATACCCAGCCCTCAGCATGGTTGCGTCGTTGACAGGACATACCAATCGTGTCTTGTACCTGGCCATGAGTCCGGACGGTGAAACGATTGTCACAGGCGCTGGCGATGAGACGCTGAGGTTCTGGAATGCTTTCCCCAAGAAAGAATCCAGCAGGCCGGACGTCGACAGTGTCCTTGACTACGGCAAGCTCATTCGATGACCACGATTCGGTTTCAGCTTTCTTTATACTTGTCGCATTTCATTATATCCGCTTCTGCAAACATTGCTTCCATCTACGTATTGCACTGCATATTTCACTCTCGAACGCTCGCATCCATCATCGCATACTACTCCCAATCTGCACAACTACATATATGCCCGGTCCTAACAGAAACCCCGATGTATTACCGATCCCATAGTCCACTAAATAGGTCCTTTTAAACAGTATTCCTCTTCGGTATGCTCCTTTTTTCTCTTATGTTGTGTTTTTCTATCTGGCCTGTAGTTTTGCGTATTATAGTCATGTCTGGCTTTGATCTTTTCTTCATACAATAAGTTATGTTGATCCTGTACTAAATTTTTGTCCCTTCAAATATGGTGAGCCCGCTTCAATCAGTTAGATCCACACTTATCGGGTCCAATATTTCCGACATAGCATACTTACCTACGTTTACCATAAAATAACATCGACAAATTGAAACGCAGACATTGTTTGATAACTTCACGAAAGGATGAATTCGTATTGTACTTGTCCGTGTAATTACTTCGATCTACAGTGTACTACGGTTCCTTGGGACACAACAATAGTAAATCTTGAATAACACTGCATTAATTTAGTTTTGAGGCTCGACTTTTTTTGAGACAATGCTAGGACATCTTACCATCATTGTGTGTAGGTATTATGCAGGATGTGCAAAGGTGATAAGTAGAACAAATTAAATTTAAGCAGCAGGTCCCAAGTGGCCCATTACGGGTCCTTGGGACACTGTGACAACCTTTGACAGGAGTAGTAACTGGATTACTCCTTGGACTTACGTAGTGCGATGGTTCCTCTCGGTTTAAACCATTCATGTTTTTAGGGATGTACCTGGTTTCAAGAGCGAGTTTAACGGTCTCCTCCCGGGGCATTTCAGGGAGAGCACTAACGGTACTGTTGGATTGTGGCTCGACATTCACGCCTGTTGGGACAAGATAATGTCCCGGGAAGCGATACTATTCTTTTCTGATGCAAAGCGTGAGATCGAGCTCCTTGACAGGGCTGAAGTCGATTCTCAGCTGTTGAACTTTCTTATTCTCGGGGGCTCCCATGGACGGAAGGGGAACATAAACCGTTCCTCCAGTATTCTTGTTTGCTCAATATTGACAACCACAGGTAGAAGGGTACGAGTCGTAGACTAAGAAGAGTAAAAAGAGAGCTTTCTTCTTTGCTGGGCCTTGTGAATCCTAGACGCTTGCGATCCACCGCATACGTGGTGGCGAGGGCAGGCAAGGAGAGTGAGGCAAATGGAGTGAGGACACTGAAGTTGAGCAGGAGGTTGAGGATGCAGAAATCCCATGGCTCAGTGTAGGTTTGATCCACGATCTGAAAAGAGGTTATACCGAACAATGTTCCGGGGTACAACAGAGAATTTTCCATGGGCGAAACTATCGATAGCTACCACGGGAATCTAATATAGAGCTTAAAGGCGAGGCTAATCTTGCTGGAAAAGGCTTATGAATATAAGAGAGGCTAATGCACCGGCCCCGAATAGGCGTTTCCATCTTGTTGATATCCAAGATCCATAGGAGGCAGAAGGAACTGTATCAGCACCGAACACGAATAACTCTTCAAACACGAAGGGAATTGCGAGAGCAAGAGCAAACGGCCATCCGACAATGGCGCCAGTAGCAAACATGATTATCGATACTAGTCTTCCGATGTCCTTTTACAGATGAAGGAGCAATTGAGTAGGCAAAAGCCACACTCGACGTATACATGGCAAACGAGGAGGAGAGAAAAGCTGCTCGACATTTCAACAGGAACCGAAAAGAGGGTGAGAACTTTCCTACCTGTTGATGCATTCCACATCCCGGCGCTAAACGCTAGCATGAAGAATCGTCCGACTCTCTGATTGACATTTTCGTAGACTTAGCGGTGTAGGATGACTTCAGAGAAAGTGCACAGCAAGAAAAATCCGGACTGCGAAAAATGACGGCCGCTTGAGAAGAATAAAATAGTCTATGCCGTTTGCATGTCTGCTTCATCGATATCCTACAAGGTGTCAATGGATAGTGCAAGGAGAGGAAACAGATGGAACGAACAAATGTGGAGGCTGGTTTTGTCTGTCGCGTTTCCGTTTCGTTCTCTTCTTCGACCTTTCCTCCTCCACCCTTATGACTTGTTCCAGGTTGACATCTGCGTCTTTTACCTTCCTCTTGAGCTCCCTGTCTTGCCTCGGATTCTCTACATTGTCAAACTGCACCGTTAACGTCCCCTGAGCGACCTTCTTTTCCTTATTCTTCCTCTTATGTTTCTTCGTCAGCCAGTGTCTCACGTTCCATCTCTGCCCTCTTATTCTTCATATACTCAATTTCTGCGCGAGCTACTGCCTATTTTCTCCCATTCAAGAAACACGGACACAGACTCGGAGATGAAAGAATTCGAACCAGCTCTTCTTCCTTTCCTTCCGGCAATCTAACCATCCAATTTCCTCATTTTCTCTAGATCCTTAGCTTGTTCAGCCAAGACATGCACCGGGCGGTCTTCACCTAGGGGTACGAAAGCGAGTGTAACATCGTGTTTCAACGACAAGTATTCATGAAGAACAGCAATGTATCGAATAAGTTCGACATTTTGGATGGGTTCCTGCCTAGACATGAAATTGTTTGTTCGCTAATTTGGGAAGTATTTCGTGAAGCCTAGATAGTAACATATACATCTTTAGCATATGTAAGTGACTCCTTGAGGCATAGCTTACAATTTAATGCACACTTTCGATCTGTATTGATGAGAAAGGCATCTGAATTGTTCGTGTTTTCAAAGTCACTTTGCTGGATTTGCTCTAATACTACGCTAAGGTGAAAAGACTGACTTAGGGTGTTCAGTACCCCACCAAACGCCTGAACCGGCATCCGCGTCGGCGAAACCATTGTTTTTACAAAGAATATGGTGTTTAGGTCGGTAGAGCCCTCAGACACAGTGGGAACAGATCTTGACACGCGTTCAGTTTAAGACGTGTCAGGGTTAGTTTGATATCGTGTGACAGCAATTTTGCGAAGAATTTCCGTAGAGGCCGTCTTGATACAAGGAATGATAGACTATACATTGAAATACTGATACTCTTTAAACGATATTTATAATTTTGTACTTAGGATCCTCGAGTACTACGGCCTGCAGCTCGCGTCCAAGGGCTGTGGCTACAGGCCAAGGCACCGCGTTTCCTATTTGTCTATGGATCTGAGGAGAATCATGGTTAGTACGTACTGCTTGCACGATAACTTTGACCATACCGTAACGACATTGTTATACAATGATTCAAACACAAAGTCATCGCGGAATCCTTGCGATCTTGCCAGCTCCCTGACCGTTACCATTCGATGACACTGTACAACCACCATCAGCACAACGAAGTTCTATACCATGGAATATACGATACCCAAGGATTGAGTACCCGGCTCTGTTTTGCGGTGACGTAGACATTTGTAACAGTCGTTGGGAAAACATCCTTTGCATCCAGACGGCCGTACATGCCTGAAAGTGGAAGAAATGGGATTAACATTCCGTTGGACAAAACACAGAAACATACCGCTACGGAACCCTGTTCTCGCATTCGCAGACCGTGGGTTCACCGTTTGGTACTCATGGAGATCACCCGGTAACGCTGATGGCTCACTTCAGATTGCACGTAGAAACCATAGCAAGGTACATACAGCGATAGTCGGCACCAGCTTTCAAAGGAATGTTAACTATCCTGTAGAAAGTTCATTAGCCCAACGAGACAGGTGTAAGCAATTGGACATACCGTTCCACTATCTTCTCCTTCAAAGGCCTTGTGAAATGTTGGATGTTTTCTGTTGCATTCTTTCTAGCTTCTTTCTGGTACCGCGTCAACGGCGCGTGGTGATACGGAGTTCTGCCTTCGTAACCGCAATGAGCATCCGTAGACTTGCAGAAGAGGCTTTTGATCCCCCGGTCAACACGCTTTCCTGGAATTGGATGTTTGCTGTGTTCGATACATTAGCCTGCGGCACAGCATTTAGGAAAAACTCACTAGTCATATCTTGGTAGATCGCTAATGGCATCACCGATAGTTACGCATCGGTGCGGCGCAGTCCCATTAGTCGTTCGGATCGGAGTGATAGAACCGCCGACGGACAGTTTGATGGCAAGCTTCTCCGTGTTGGGGAAGTCATGCGTAGGCTGTGGAAGGGATGATAACTTCAGCTTCTGTTGCGCCGCACAGATGAAAAACCGTTTCCGCCGCTGCGGAGCACCATAATGAGCTGCATCCATTAGGCCAAACCGAACTTGGTATCTGCAAAAGCAAGTTTACTCATTAGAAATACCATTGAGGTGAAAGTTGAAAGCTCACTTCATGTCCAACAGAGCATGTAGGACAAATTTGAGCCCACCTTGTTCCATACCACCTTGAAGCTTATGTCGTCCAAACTGGGTCGCGTCCGGTCTGTAGTTTATAAATCCGGGGACATTTTCGAAGAAACCATAATCTGGCCGAAGAAAATCCATCATTGACAATGTCGTGAGGATGAGATTGCTCTTCTTATCGTGTTCATGCTTGTACATGTTCAAAGCAGAATGTGACTGACTGGGGAAGGAAGGAAGTTAATGATAAAAAGTCTTGAGCCGCTCAATGAAGTCTCACCAAGGAAATCCAGCGACAACGACCTTGATCTGGCCCGGGGAAGGAGGCAAAGGAACAGGCGTCTCATCGTAGATCTGGAGCGGAGGGTCCATCTGACCGGGTCGATGGTGATGCTTGACCATGTACTTGAGCATGGTGTTCGCACACTGGTTATATACAATTGTACGTGGAGAATTTCGCCTGGTGGGAGGTCAGTACAGTCAGGCAGATGAGAAACTGATACGTACTTGTAGGTCTTCGCAGCGGACGGTGCAATCTCTATGGAGTGTGTAATATCCATATTTCCGCATCCCTTGGCCATTCCCAACGCAAAGGCCCCAACACCACCAAAGATATCCAGAGTAGGCAGTTTCACCCGTTCTTGGATGTCCTTGATATTCTTAAACCGCTCAAGCTCTAGTGCTGTGCAGGATTTGCATATAGGTACGTGTACCGGGTTGATGACCGTCTTTGCATCCCAAGAAGCAACCTTTAGAGAGGGAAAGCTATACTTGACGTAGAAATGATCAGGAGACATAGCTAGCCAGGCCTCTTCATCTGTGATTGACGTATACGAAAAAACGAAGCAAACACGTAGGAGATCGGTTACATCGACAGATATCATTCTCTCCGAGTTCGTAAGAAAGACATGCCGCTAAATGAAACTAGGTAAGGCTCAATGCCGACGCAAGAAGAAATCGAACCTCATCTCTTATTTCCGAGCGGGGTAGGATACCGAGGTCACTAATACGACCTACGGGCCTTACACTGACAGTCGGCTGACTTGAAGCTGTAATACGATCGGAGGCTTTGATATCAATGATTTGACCTATGGCAGCAGGTCCACTAGGGGATGCGTAGAGTACGAAGTCGTCGATATGATAATGGTTTCCACTACATGCTATACCATCCGCTATCTTGACAGCAGATTTTTCTTGGTCACGCTGGTCTCGGCATAGGCAGCTTGGGCAATTGTTTGGCGGCTGTAGTGTCGAAGCCATTTCCGAGGCTTCAAGGTCGGGGTCTACAAAAGCCGCAGTTGCTTTGTCATACTTGAACCTGGAATAAGTACTGTAAGCGAATGATTGTCATTTAAGAAATTATAGATGCTACCGGCAATAAAAATCACTTAAGGGCACAGGTTCTTTCGGCCAACGATGCACTTTTACGGTTCCACATATTGAAAGAAGCGGGATACTTGTACAGAGATCAAGAATGAATAGTTCTTGAGGATGCGCAAGCTCTTCCAACACGGTGTTGGAGCCATGATCATACCAAAGTACATGGGCCATCTCTGATTCGAAGTCAATGAATAATACTCTTGCGAACCTATCAAAAATCATGAGCCACGGGATGCTCAGACTGAACCGCCAACTTACCAGAAGTAATGAGCAATGCCATTACCAAACTTCACGGCCTCGATTGTCTCTGGGAAACATTCGCGATTCTCATCGGGCAGGACTACAATGTCATCGTCGATCTACAGGTCCTATGAGACTAGCATGGCAGATATGAGTGAAAGCACCTACACAGATTGTCACCCCATCTATTGAAACGCTTTTCAGATACCTTGAGCTACTAGAAAGCCGTTGATCGCGACGCCAATCGGTCTTCTTGTGGTGGCGATTGGCGCGTCCAATGAGAACCTCCAAATAATTACGGTTTTCTTGCTGTTCCTGAAGTTTCTTCTCCTCGTCCACAGGAGGAGGAGGCGCTTTACAGACGTGTAGTTCTTCAGAAAACAGACCCTTCGCAAGATTGGCAATAGCGCCTGTAACATGAGTGGGTGTCTGATTCTCTGGCTTGAGCACGATGGTATCAAGATCTAAACCTGCACGTTCTGGGATCTCCGGGGGACGATGATCGAGACGATGCCGTTTTGCCTTGCGCTTCCTCTTTGCCGCAGACACATCCACCCTCGGTAAGATGGCTCTAACGAAAGGGAGATGCCGAAGTTGCTCGCCGCGCTCATGTTCATCTAGCGCTTCTTCGATTTGGGATAGCTGAGTGAGGAAGTTAAAAAAAAGCACGTAATTCAAGTGTGAAAACACACCGAGTCCGTTAAATCATCTCTTGTGAGCTTACTGCCAAAATTATCATTCTCGTCCTCCAAAAGTCTAATGAATTCCGAGCGAGAGGCCGGAGGTGGACGGGCTACAGCTGAAGAGACGACAAGCTGTGCTATTCGACGTGGGACTAGAAATCTCTCGAAAAAGGGCTGGTATCTAGGAGAAGGGCGTTCGAGGCGGTACCAGCTATACTCTGTTTCAAGGTATACAGGACTTGGAAGAAAGGTTAAGTCAGGAAAGGTGAAAACCTACGAGACGAGAAGTATCGTACCTATCCTTTTTAGTATAATCAAAACTGAAGGTCATGATAGAGCCAAGATGAAGATATGTATCGTCGTCGATTCCATCTTCCTGTCCCTCGTCTTCGTCATTGACAAAAGACGGTCTAACGAAACCCGATGCACGAAAGTGCCGGGTCACCCCATCGTTTTCTTCCATTAGAGACAACGGGACGAAGGCATTATTATTGTTATCGTCATAGAAGGCAAAGTTGGTGAGGTATCTGATAATTTTGAGCTCGTTGTCAATTTCGTCGGGGTCCTCTCCAGGAAGTACCAAACGTCTTGTCTCCTCGAAAGCTTGAATACCGATAGGCGGTTCGAAGTACACTGGAATTTCAACTGCATTTCTGAGTCAACAGATATAAAGTCCCGGGTACTGATGGCATTTACTGGGAGCAAGATTGCGCTTTCGCCTCTTTGCAGGCTAAGCGCAGGAGATGATTAAGAAATCGTATTTCATTATATTCAACATACCGGTGCCTCAGCGTTCCTGGGAGCTCTGGGAGCTCCCTGAACGTGTACCAGAGGTTGTCGTTCGTCGCCCTTCCTCTTGTGCGGATTAGCATTCGCCGGCTTCTTTAATGTCTGGAGGGTCGGTGCAAATTTGGTTGTGAGACGCGCCTCTTCTTCTCGTCGAAGGGCCGCAGCTTCTTCTGGAAAAGACACATCAAGGGCATTAGGCCTGTTGGCTCTCCACGACATGTTGAAGAATTCTGTCAACGCTGCACGATAAATCGATAAGGTAGGTCCTTGGTGGCTGTGTCCCGTTCACATCTTCCACCCACTATGGGTAAAGCAGGGAAATCATTGAAATCCGCTCTCCAGTCTCAACAGTCACGCCAAAAGCACAAGGAGCAGATAAACAAGGCTGCTCGGATATTGGAACAAAAAGCGAAGAGCACCAGACAGCCTCGACAACGAACAGCTTTGGTCCCTTCGACGTCCCGGCCCACAATACCATTCTCTGCTACAGATACGATTCTGCTCATTGGGGAAGGAAACTTTTCATTTGCGCGTGCTTTGATTCAGGATGCGCCTCTACCACTAACTCACATCCCACCCAGTAACATCACCGCAACCGCATATGACTCTGAGGAGGAGTGCTATTCAAAGTACTCGGATGCTCGAGCCATCGTCGCTCTTCTGCGAGAGTGCGGTGTCGAGGTTCATTTTGGTGTGGACGCGTCTCGGTTGGACAAAATACCACTGTTAAGAGGACGGCGATGGAACAGGATATGTTGGAACTTCCCTCACGCTGGTGAGTATAGTGGCTTCGAACCTATTACCTCAACACTTACCGTTGCTTGAGATGACAGGTAAAAGCATTACTGACCAGGATCGGAATATTCTGTCTAATCAGGTCCTTATTATAAACTTTTTGAGAGCGGCTGCTAGCTTGCTGAAAACCGGTCCGATACTATCTGTGACTGGTTCCAAGAAGAGAAAACGTGCAAATGACGAAAAAGAAGAAGAAGCGGAAGAGACGGACGAGGAAAAGTCTGCAAAGACTGGTGCTAGAGGAACAATTCTTATAACACTACGGAACGTTCCACCCTATACTCTATGGTAAGTTTACATCCTTATGCCTATTCTATGCTTATTTCAGTTGTCTAGGGACATCCCAAGGCTGGCGAAGCACCCGCCTCCGCCAACGTCAGGGAGTACACAACCAAATCCTGCCTACATAGTTCAAAGGTCATTTGTATTTCATCGTAACGTATGGAAAGGCTACGAACATCGAATGACCAAGGGCGAGCGAGCGTATGGCACGGGTAAAACGGGAGAGGGAGGTGAAGACCGTACTTGGGAGTTCTGTCTTAGGGATTGAATGAAGATAGTATTAGATGTAGTAGATATCATGGTGAACTATCCTCCGGAGACTCGACTTTTTCTAGTGCCTGCTTGTATCCCTCCAGTGTCCTTGCTAGTCTACCACCACTTGCTTCGCCCAACACTGCCGCAAGCTGAGTCGCCGGCGTACTCAGCAAGCCCACTATCTGCGACCTGAGTGTGTCTAATGTTGGTAACGTCGCGACATCCTTCACAGACGGCGGAAGGAGAATCTTCCCCTCAATGAGAGCCCCCAGGACTTTCATTTCCGGCACCAACACTGCCCGCTGTCGCTTCATCCTCCTCCCTGGTGTAGCCGGATCAGCATTCTTCGCCTCCAACTGCTTCGCAATCTCCTCCTCTGTCTTTTTGGGCCGCGACGGGACACTCCGGTCAAGAGCGCGTAGAATAGCGCTAAGATATGGCGGATGGAACATGGGAATCGAAAGAAGGGCATATCCCCCGGAAATACCCTCTATCATTTTCTCGGCTTCAGCGATGTTAATGCCGGGAAAGTCGCGTAGAGCAGCACCAAAAACGCCGCTGTGAATAACCGTCAATGTGGGACTGGGGATGGGTTCGGAGCCCTTCGGCGGCGGTACTCGACTGGATGCAACCAGGAGGTCGATGCGTAGCTTTTTCAACCGTTCCGCTGAAAAATCCTCGCGACTGAGGAAGATGAGAGGAGATTTATGGGTTGTTTTGAGGATTTGCATGTAATTGTTGTACTGGAAGCCCTTTCTGCCCGAAAAGACGCGAGGCGCTGTCTGGCCTGGCAGAGGCAGTCCTGGCTGCAGAGACATGGCATACCCTCGAGACAGACAAGGTATTCGACGCCGTACATGGCCCAGCGAAAACATTTTGATGGTGCCAAGGAGGAAATTGTATAATTGGAACGGTGTGACGTCTCTGTGACGATTATCACGCGTACCTCTTGGCTTTCACCTCGACTTTTCCAACCAGGAACATGTTTGTCTCTACGACTGCAGCCCGTCTCTCTTACTCACTGGCTGGTTCTATTGCAGGGACGATGACGATGAGTTTTTGTATGGGGGTTCCACTGCAGAAGGCATTCCTGGTAAGAGTCTGTTCCTTTCCAGCAAGCGTCAACACTTGTATTCCTCCCTTGTCTCTCTATACTCTCGTGTTAATAACATGGTCTTAACTTCATTGCGCGTGATTCGTTAGTGTCGCAGCCGTGAGTCTTGTTCAAAGCTGTCTTATTTGACCGTCGTTGAATCTTCTGTGGTAGGGCTCCGTTAGACACCGGTCGAGTGACCAACAGCGTCGTCTCCCATTTGGAAGCTGAAGCCGAAAATACAATCGATGTGCCATTACAGACGACGCCACCTACTGAGGAAGATAATGCAGAAATGTCACTGGCAGACGAGGCAACTGAGGAAGTAGAAGAGGAAGAGGAAAGTGACGACGATGATGTACGCCTATTCGCGTTTTTCCTGCCTTCCTTTACTCAGATTGTCGATTCAGGATATCGAGTTCATCATGGATCAACCCTCGCGGACACTCGATCTCAGGTAGGAATTCCTACTTTTTTGGTTTCTGAACATGGTTACACATCTTATTAGGCAAGGTCGATCGTCGTTGAATCGAAATGGAGGGAGTTCCTCACAGCCTCCAGCCCCAAAACGTTTGTAGTGTGCTACTCCCCAATGTCCTTTGTTTATATTATCACTAGCACCAACATCTGGCCCGTCATTAACGACCGAATATACTCCCATATCTCGAGGCGCTTCTAATGCTTCCATAGGCGGACCGCCTCCACCGCAAAGCCAACCAGCAGCACCCGTGCCTCAGCTGATTAGGCCCTCAGAGGTTTCTGTGGCGGCGCCGAAGACAGAGGACACGGCTACCCCGGACGATGGCATAGACACTTCGACGTTACCCCCAGCTACAGCCCCCCCTTCTCATCCCGTTATCGACCCATCAGCTGTTGGCACAATGGACGGGCGCTCTATTCTGGATGTAGACATCGCGGCTATGTCAGATAAGCCATGGCGTAAGCCTGGCTCCGACATCAGCGACTGGTTTAATTATGGTTTCGACGAAATCTCTTGGGAATCGTATTGTTATCGTAGAAGAGATCTTGGCGAGCTGGCCAATGTGCTCAAGACGAGCGTGCTGAACTTTTCTGGCATGCCCGAAGAGCAACTAACTGCGCTTCCACATGAGGTTAGGCAGATGGTCATGACTGGAACAAATGCGATGTTGTCCAATGGGGGTCCTAATCCTGGCATGATGGGTCCGGGAGTGATGATGGATATGTCTGGAATGATGAACCCTATGGCAATGAGCATGAATGGAGATATGAGCATGATGCCAGTAGATGGGAGAGCCATGGGTATGATGCCAGATGGTACACCAACGCAGGGCGTCCCTGTCGTTGGTACAAATGGTACTCCAGAACCAGGAGTCGCAATGATGCAAGAAGGATATGGCGGTCCGGGAATGATGATGACTAGCGAGTACGCTATGCAGGTCAGTTATTACTCACTTACCCTACGTGCAGTCGTACATTAAGATCTGCTTGTAGGATCAAGCTCAGATGGCGGCTCAGCAACAACAGATGTACCCTGTCATGGAACCGCCTGCAGCCAGTCAACCGCCTGGTGGACCAAAGGCTGGAACACCTAATCAGTATCGTAATCGTGGTTTGGCTACTGGTCCTCGTGGAAGAGGGTTTCCTGTCAGAGGAAGAGGACGCGGTGGGTATGAGGGAGTTGGTGCGTACAATAGCCTATCTTCGTGTCAGCATGTCCAATGAATCACTAGGTACAGTGCGTCCTGCGTCGCCTTTGCCCCCAGGTGTCCCTACCGGACCCAGAAATCAAAATAAGTACAAGGACCGCGATGGAAATGCTCCAGCTGTTGACGGATTGGATTATGGAGGTAATGGTGGCAGGGGGAGCGGGGAGCCTGAAGACAAAGGTTCGAGTCGGTATGTGCGCTATCTGTGACTGATATGACAAATTCTCATATCCTAAGTTGCAGAAAACGCAGGAGCTCTCCTGGATTGGATGACGGTCGAAGCACAAAACGACGCTGACCTAAATTTTTTTTCATTTCATGTCTACTTATGTATTTGTTATCATAAATGAATGCAGCTGCTTTCGATAATCTGTCAGCGGAAATTACGATCGCTTACCAAGATCTTGGGTTTATGTAAGACAAGGTAATACGTGCTGACCACCATCTCTTGCTTTGTTTTTTCCGCCACAGACGTATAAAATGCTGCCATTTCACCTTCCCATGCCTTTACTTCTCCCATACCCCTCCTTTTTGAAACAATGTCGAAGAAATTTGAAGACAAGTTCAACGTCGTCGTCGTCGGTGGTGGATACGGCGCAGCTGCGGCCCGTCACCTCTCTGCAAAACTAGACGCCTCGAAATACAACCTCATTCTCATCAACTCTCGTCCTTACCGTTTCCACCTACCTGCCTTCATTCGGCTGGTCGTCTCCGATGTCGACAACCTCGAAAAGACTGCCATGGCAGGTTACGAGAAGGTCTTCCACAACAACAACGGCACGCCTTATTAAATGCACTGTCAATACAACCTTTCCTGATCGTGTTTTCTAGGTACTTTTATCGAGGCTTCGGTAACTGGCATCCAGAAGTCGGAGACTGCTGGTGGTACCGTTATCCTTGACAATGGCGAGAAAGTGCCCTTCCGCGTTTTGATTCTAGCCACTGGGTCAACTTGGAGTGGTCCCCTAGATTTCCCGAATACCAAAGATGACATCTCCGCTTTCTTAACGAGTGAACGTTCCAGGTTCGAGGATGCAAATAGTATTGTTCTCGCTGGAGGTGGCTCTGTTGGTATCGGTGCGTATTCATAGTAACTGTGGCTTGAATAAGGTACTGATCTCCTTTGCAGAGTTCGCAGGGGAAATCAAAGACATCTGGCCCGTGAGTCTTCACCCATTGAGTGTCTTTCAGTTATTCTGACCCTGCCTTTAGAACAAGAAAGTCACCATAATACACGGCGGAAGCAAGTTGTTGAACGACACATACCCAGACCGATTCCGGACAAAGATGGAGAATGGAATGAAATCCCGTGGTGTGGAAATTGTGTATAATGATTATCTCGATGAAGTGCCTAGTCCAGGTGCTGACAGCGTCACCACTCGGAAGGGAAAGACCATCAAGGCTGATCTCTTTGTGCGTGCGCCTATTTCTGCTATTCAAACCGTCTTTCTGATTTCGTTTAGGTCCCAGCTTGGGGTCCTAAACCCAACACGGATTTTATCGCCTCGTCTCTTCCGGGCACCGTTACAGACAAAGGGTTCGTGAAGGTCAGGCCCACGCTGCAGCTCGTTTCTTACCCGGAGATTTTTGCTCTGGGTGATATTCTGGATTGGAAGGAGCAGAAACAAGCTGCCAAGGCGGATGCCCATGCAGCCTTGATCAGTGCTAATATCCTGCGCTACTTCGATGGCAAACCTTTGAAGGAGTACAAAGGAAGCTACGAACTGATTCTGATTACGAACGGAAAGGTGCGATGATCTGATCTGATCTGATCTTCTCTACGTCGGACACTCACCCTGGTTATAGAATGGTGGTGCCGCGTACTTTGGTGTACTCTGGGGCATTGTCTTAGGAGACTGGGCTGCGAAATTGATTAAGTCCAAAACGTTGCTCATACCTATGTTCCAGGCCGCTCAGGGATTCTTCTAGAGATGGAGATTATGATATTCTTCGTTACTTAAATTATTGGACTTAGATATCACGCACAGGAGTCATGGCATAATGGTATTTCTTTCTGTCATTCTCTCAGATTACATCGGAAGTCTGTTTGATAAGCCTTCGTATCCATCCCATTTGCCCAGGTCATCAACAATATCAACCATCCTGGTCTCGTAGAAAGTATGCGCAGTCGGCTTCAATTTCTCCAAGTTCATTCTCTTCCCTGCGTTATCTCTGTCCAACTGTGCACCCCAAACACTCCATTCATCCTTCTTTGCGTTGTATGAGGCGACTGTACAACCGCAGTTCGCGCAACGATGTCGCTTTTTCCATGGTTTATCCGCAACCTCGTATATGCGGACTTCGCCCCCTTCGAATCGAGTCCAGGCAAAAGCTGAATTGGCGAAATGGAGGGTGTGAATGAACGCTGCGGCTGTTGGACGTTAATTAGCAGCTCTTTATGGGTGAGATTTCAGAGCGTACCGTTGAGCCTCTGACAGAGTGTGCAGTGACAATAGGCGCTTAGAAGAGGTAGGCCTTTAACTGTGTAGCGTAGTTGCCCACAGTAGCATCCGCCGTTGGTTTCAATATCTTCACCCATGGGAGTTGAGTAGTAAGCCTAAGCCTGCGTGAGAAAGAAGTCCGCAATGTGCCAAATATAAGATTCACACATACACAGGTTCATATTTAAATACTTGACAATGACATAAAGAGAAAAAGGTGATATGAGAGTCAGTGTAAATCTCGGACTTCGTTAGGTCTCAATTTGATTGCATTGAATTACTGAGTAGTAAAGCAGTCACTTCGGAGAAAGAACAAGATTTCATTTATAACTCGACAGTTGTGCAAGCGAGAGCAAGAAAAGGAGATGATAGCACGGAAGGAGACCATAAGAGAAACAGACGTGAAAATATTCAAAGTTTCCATTCGTAGGCAAGTAAGGGGAAGCTCTCTAAGAGATTGCGACATTCGCCATGTTTTCCTCCAATGCATCCTGAATTCTCAGTCACGGTTGATAGAAACAGACGAAAATGAATTACTCACGAGGCGGGTGCGAGACCATCCCGGTGTAGCAATTATCACTTGTACCGTTACGCCTTGGCTCTCTAACGTCGCGAGTTTGCCTTCGATGCAGTCATTCATGGAACAACAAACGTGTGAAGGTGGAAAGGGGCCTCGGTTGTGAAGACCTGCGCTAAAGTCGATCCTAATTTCAACCTTGAATGATTGAAGAGCAGGCATCCGAGGTTTCAACAATGCATGAGCCACCCTAACCCACACCGCTTCATGCCTAGATTTATACTCCACATAACGCACATATGTATCCTGTTCTGTGCGCACAAAGAAGTGAATGTCTTTGAGAAAACAATCCTTATCGGTGTTTTTGAAGTTGGAACTCCACCAATCGATGGGTTGGGTACCCTCCAAAGTGGTATTCGGGAACTTTTACCGTAAGCTTCCTGAGGTGGGAAATTGGGGAGAGGGGAGACCAAGGGCACTGGGGCTACGTACGGTCGGTGAGAGTGTGTATTTCCAGAACATCATGACATACCACTGCCAGAGTGCCGAAATGTCAACTCTTTCAGTTTAGTTGCTCAGCTGAGCAAAGCCTCGAATTAGAAGAAATAGTCCCTGCCGCGGGGGGTGATCTCTAAAGATCTGAGTTCTTGGATGGATACGGGGCACTGCCGCGAATTAATAATTAATGCCACTCAGAATGTGATACAGGGAGCCATCATAATCAGTCACTACCAAGTGATAGACAAGCAGTCCTGGAGATGAATGCTGGTGAATACAGCAGGATGGTCTGGGATCAATGATAGGCTCGAATTTCTGTATCGTTAACCTTTCTAGATGCGTGGAGTTGGCAAGCAAAGGAGGCAACTCGGAAAAAGAGGTCAGTTTAGTGTCAAACAGACCGACTGATGTGTACGTCCAGGAGTAAAGTACCTGAACGAGGTGCTCCGGCAGTGAGCTCCAATCCACCCTCGAGATTACCAGTTGAATCGGATGAACAAGGAGTTGGATGGTGGCTACAAATGAGGAGTTATGTTTGTTGCCATGGAGAACAAGTCTTCTGAAGAACGCAAACTGTGGATAGTGTAGAAGAGATGAACCCTCGTCCGAGGTGTAAGGCAGCGCGATGAACACGCTTTTAAGGCAGGCTACCGTCTTTCAATAGGTCCACAACCGCATCTAAAATCTCTTGAGGGAGTATAAATTGATCCATCTGACCAGGAGAAATCAGAGGGAGGTTGGGACGGTAGGTAGCAACTGTACTGACCGTTCAAGTGCGATCGGTCATTGATGATTGGCCGCATATAGCGGTGGTCCGTGCACCATCCCGCCAGTATAAAAGGCAGGATCCGACATCCGAAAACTTCATACTTACCTTGATGGCACAAGCCCCTTCATGTACCTGGGTTTGTGGGCCGTGGAGATCCTTCATAGCACGGCGACCTTGTCCCCAGAGGGTGTCTGCGGCTTGTATAGGCTCAGGCTTATGCACCGTCTAAATATTTTCCTGTCCCACTTTGGCCACTCTGGCTGGGTGGGCCTCCTTTTTCTTTGCTGTCTATGAACAAGGACTTTCATTTGGCAGTCTTTGTGTTGCAGCAAACTAAATGGATGGTAATATTTTGGGTCCTTGTGATATTATGGCAAATGGAAATAGCTTTGACACATGGATGGAATTGTACCAAAATTGATATAGATCATCTTGGATGGCATCATTAGGCAACTGTTTGTGTCAACTTCTGCTGCTTGTTTGAGGAGTGGAATGTCTAATGAGGGCCCTTGAGATTGCCCTTAAATTGATTGCAATGTGTGAATGGCTATTATGGCTTTTGATACATGAGATGATGGATAAGGGAGGAGGATGAGAATGATGACGTGCACTTATGGACCCGGTACCTGTTCGATGAAGAAGGCTATGACCCCGCTCAGTCAGATGCAAGTGACCAAGAGTCTGCTCACGGAAGCTCAACGTATAGCGTACGTCGGACTCTGCTTGCTGACGGGCCGGGAAATGGCCCAGGAAATGAAGGTGGTACGGCGCAAGGAGCTCAAGGCGGCGGTCGCAAGCATGGAGCTCTCTGCGATGAAAATAATGGGTCGGTTATATTATCATATAGAACTTGAGACTCAAGGTAAACAGTATTTTCTTCCTATGACTCTGTCTTAGCTAAACGAGAATGTACAGAGCAAAAGATGATTGAGAGTCTCGGCGAACATGCGTGCTACCTATGGATCTCGTCCTGGCCCTCATGACAACGCATACCGTCGCTAATCCAGAGTACGATCCCGAAGACCACCCTGCTACCATGACGACCCTCCTCCCACACCGTCCGTTTCTAATAAGCCTACTTTTCAGACGACCGCCAAAGTCCTTGAAGATACCTCCACATCTGCGATACCCGGTGTATCCACCGCCCTCTCTTCGGCTGACGAAAGGGTCACTCTCGACGTTCGATGGGCGATCCTATGCGATCTGCTTCTGATCCTCATCGCCGATAGCGTTTGTGATGCTCGTTCACGCGTTCACCTCGAAAATATCGCACGTAAGTTTGGTCTCGGATTGCTGGATGTTGTCAAGTTCGAGAGACGTGTGACTGAGGCGTTGGAAATCCAAGAGGATGTGGAGAGAATGGAGAATGAGGATATAATCGACGGCCGCAGAAAGGCTAATGGAAAGAAGCGCTATATGATGCTGGGTCTTGCTACGCTGGGAGGTGGACTTGACATTGGTCTATCCGCAGGGCTTTTGGCTCCCGTTATAGGACCGCGTTTAGTACCATCGGGATAACAGGGACAACAGGTTTTCTTGCCGGGGTCAGAGGTGCTGCCGTTATCACGACTGATGATGTACTAATTGGCAGTGACATTGCATTGCTGTTCGAGGGATGATTAACCGAACACAACAAGTTTGAACGTTCAATCTACTTCCTTTGCACAATAACAAGCGGGTGAACTGCATCATCACAGTTCCGGGGTTGGTGAAGTCTTCTATGTTATCGATCGTGTTCTTATCGATATTAGATTTCTGAACGGCGCCCTAGATGACCCTCGGCTACCTTTCAGTGTGTCGGATCCCATTGTTGGCGAGGTCTTCAGTGTTCTTTGGGAACCTGAAATGATTCGAGAGACTGGAAGCGCTTTGAAGATCCTTACAGGCAAAGTTCTCCGTCAAATCGGAACAATGGTGTTACAAGCAACCGTCATGACCGCCTTAATGAGTGCCCTTCAATGGCCAATCGGTGTGTCTCTTCTTGGATTACTTCTTGTTCGATTTCTAATGGCACATTAGTTCTCACCAAACTCGGCTGTCTCATCGATAATCCCTGGAATAATGCCCTTTACAGAGCCAAGGCAGTCGGCAGTGTCCTAGCAGACGTTTTGATGCAGCGACATCTAGGTGTTTACTCCATGACTCTCATCGGTTACTCTCTTGACGCTCGCGTTATATTCTACGCCCATGTTGAACTGGCCAAACAGAAAGCGTTTGGCATCGTCCAGGACGTCTTCATTTTCGGAACATCATCCAAGACTTGGTGTGAGACGAGGTCGGTAGTATCAGGCCGATACGTCAACGCTTTCGCACGGAACGATTGGATGCTCAACTATCTCTTTCGAGCTACGAGCGGGGAGTCGGAACGGTTGCCGGGCTGAGACCTGTAGATGGTGTCCCGGGGTTGGAGAATGCGGATGTGACCGACAAAATTTCCGGGCATATGAGTTACAGAGCTTTGATGCCCTTGATTCTGGATCAGTCGGGTTTCTCGGTATCGGCAGATTATTTCGATGAGCCTGAGGTACGTGGTCCGTTATTTAGTTCCTGTCTTGTTGCTCAAATGTGCTCTGCTCCTGCCATAGGAACCCGAATTCACTGAAGATCGGGTAGTTGTACGGGAAGAGGCTACGTCGAAGAAGAAGGGATAGTTTTCGAGGAAGTCAAAACTTCAAAAGCCAAACACGTATCAAGACCGCCGGGTGGACCTTCGTCATATTCGAGGAAACCATCGGGACCAGCATCAATGCCTACAGGTTCCGTTGACAATGACCTCTCTCCGCGAATAGATTCTTCCACACCCGTAGCGTCGCCCCCTTCAATGCCTCAAAGAGACACAGCATCCCCCGGACCGGACATTCCTATTCATGCTGGATTCGATTTTGCCGCCATCAAAGAGATGATAAAAAGCTCGGAACATCCTGAACATCTGCACCGATTGCCGCACCACCCATTCCATCGCCAGCTAACCGCACCGAATCCATGCCTCAGGCGATCACAAGATGGCCTTCCCTTGCTCCAGGTCCAAGCACGTCGCGTAGCCCTTCACCACCGCAAAAGGACGAGATGAGCTCTGTATTCTCCCGATCCATGCCATTGAACCATGTGAATGACTCAGATATCGAAGATGAGCCTTCCAGATCGCCATATGCTTCACTGCCGTTCAATCCACCTTCATACTCGCAATCTCCACCTCCGTCGTCATTCAGTGTTAATGATAGCTGGTCAGACCCACCGTCACGAACTACAACATCTTCATTCAACAACTACAGCTATACCTTCCCTATCTATTCAACTTCGGCTGCGTCGCTTCAGTCAGAATCCATTTGCATTACCACTGGCTACGCCACCTGACGTGGGGGTGCTATCTTTTGGTGGTGTAGGCGGATCTATAGCGACGGCATCTCCTGCCGACGTCAGTGAACCATGCAGTATACCCACCCAGTAGGAAGGACAAAGAACGCGGGCGAGACCGACTATAGCTCAAATCCATGGTCTTAATTATTACACACCTTTGCATAATGTAATAGTATGGATACAAACATCATTCAACTAGACCTCATAATACATTGGCACATCTAATGTTCTTGGATGAACAGAGCACAAGATATTTCCTCTGGATGGCAATGCCAGAGATGTTAAGAGCAAGGTCAGAGGGTAGGACAGATGGGAAGGAGCAGATTCTGACTGCTGTCTTAGGGCTTGAGCTGCTTCCAGCTCTTCCTGTGATGGATTGGAGGGATTTGGGTCTTCAGAGGGGTTAAGAAGTTCTCTTAGCTCCTGGCTGTAGGCTAAGGAGAAGGAGTGAGTCACGCTTTGGAATAAAATAACATTCGTCTCACCTTCTCCGAATCCAACCAGTGTGGCAGCCACCCAGTGCGCGATGGACCCAGCAGCTGTCTGGCAGAAGCATGTCAGACCAGTATCCAGTCTGCACATCTGCTTCTGATTTGTTAGGTGTATTCCTGGTCAGCATATGCAGAAAAGTATGTCTTTCCATAGTGTAGCATTGGTGCCCTTGGCTGAGGTTACATAGTGGTATCGCTTTTGCCCTTGAGCTCGTCCTCCCGGACAACAGGCATATCCTGCCATTCCTCAGTCGCCGTCGAAAACGTTAACAGGTGCAGGGGCCATCGTCACTGGCATAATGAAAGAGCAGAATCAGACACATGCCAAATTTAGCGAGGCCGTCATTATCACCTGACTTTTTTCGTCCTCGACGATTTCTCAAGCAGTGAATAATCCTGATGTGGCCAGCTCTCAGCTCGGTTGACGACAGTTGATCAGCTAGTATCCGAATGTACTGACTGGCGATGAGGCTGGTTCTAGTCCAAGGGAGAATGGACTGAAAATAGTGCGAGATTCATGTGTCCGCGCACTCCATATGCACTGGGTGGCTGCCACACAGGTTGGATTCGGAGAAGGTGAGACGAATGTTATTTTATTCCAAAGCGTGATTCTAAAGATTGAGAAAGAGAGGATTATTTCTGTGAATTTCTAGCAGGAGAATGCCTAGTGATGAACTCTGTAATGGTCTTCTCTTCTCAAGTACCGTTCCCAACCTACAGTGCATTTTGCGGCATTTGACACGAGGTAATTCATGACCACAAAAATCCGAGTTTTGTGGATTCCACTTCCAATTTCGTTGTTCTCTTTGCATCCGGTACATCATGCATGTCGTTGAGCTGACGTGCTTAATTGCCACACGACTCGACTTGCCTGTCTCGACGTGTTAACATCGGTAGCTGTTGTTTTTTTCCACCGAAGCCCATGTGCTGCACTGCTCTAGCGCTGGTGCGGGTGAAGAGCGCGATACACTGAGTCACCTGCCATGCTGTCCAGTCGCATCCGTGACGGAAAACCCGTAAAGGACTGAAAGTACGTACAAGGCTTGCGGTCACCGTTGAAACAGTGCGACAATGTTGAGAAAGAGAAGGCAAGATTCCGGGAGTGGAGTATTAGCGTGAGATGATACAATTGCTACGGACATGAAACGTCTGACTTTTATATGCTGGAAGATAAAGTGGGTTTCAGTATGTGGCAGATAAAAAGGCCCGTCGTGACCCAGCAATCGGCGAATAAACCGGCACCCACAAGCGACCGACGCGGTGGATCAAACAAATCAATAAGATACCCCGCCATCGATACTAACAAAGCTTGTCTTCTTACCATCATCTTCGTTATCCTTCACTCTTCTCCTTTACCTTTCTTTGCATGGAGGCTCCCGCGGTGGTGCTGGCATCATCGTCCAAGCATCATTCAGCGACCCTCGCACCCTCACCTTTCTCTTCTGCCACCACCACCTCCAGGACCTCTTCATTCGTTGATTCCCGGTATTCTACTGCAAAGTCATCCCGCCAGTCCTCGGAGACAGCCATCGTCTCTATCTATTCCATGTACGGCGATGACCACGGTAGAAACAGCTGGGCCGCCTCTCACGCCCTTGCCACCGATATGGCCAAGACCATGATTCCTCAGGTCACGCTGGCCCTTCCTGAAGATACTTTGGATGATGATTTTGACACCGAACTCGCCTACTATAATACGGACAGACCGCCAGTAATCGATCTCACTGATGTCGCACCCCAAGCCAATGGTTCCCTCATCATGCATTCCTCTTATTCGCGCCCCGTATCCAGCTCTGCGACGCCTTCTTCCTTCATTTCAGAGTACAGCAGCGGACGTGGCTCATACGGGCAGTTTCGTGGTAGCGATGTTACTGACTTCTCCTTGCTTTCGACCACGTCCCAGTCGGACGAACTCTATCCTTCATCTCCCAACTCCAGGTGCCTGTCCGGCGTTTCGTGCAGTCCACCAAGTCGAAAATCTACGTCCTCCGTTCGCGAGACACTCTCTCCTAAACTTATTTTGGCTTCTTCACCATCTCAGTCGTCGGACAGAGCGACTCCAGTATCAGCGGATCGACTAACATCTAATATCATATCTCCATTACCCCTCAAGCATCCATTGGAAACGACTCTTCAAAGCAAAACGTCTCTTGTTCCGTCAGAAGGCGAAGACATGGATGCATTTCATGTACGTAACACCTACGCACAGTTGGACATGTTGGGAGTGAAAGGCGACGGCTATGACGAAGGAGTTGAGCGAACACGAGCTCGGATAGGTGCAAGCCGTGCAAGCCAGCTTTGTGCAGAGGCAGCCTTAGGCGACGGAACAGAAAAGTCGAAAGAGTTGGATGAACAAGAAATACAGACATTAGCAAACGTTGACCGGTCTGTATTTTCTCCTCTAACCACTGCTCTTCTCACCATGTTCTAGCTATGGGTTTTTTAATGTCCCATCCCACGATCGGTTAATATTACTGCCTACCGCACCTCTGCTTAAACGACTTAGCCGGACAACTGCGGGCCCACCCGCTACTTCCCCGTCTGCCTCGTCCCTAGACTCATTACCACCCACACCCATCCCTGTTAAAGAGGCTTCTCGTATCGCTAAGTGGACCCGAATGTTAGAACCCGAACAGCGCGACGAAGGCGCCAACGTCCAAATATGGCGGGTGAAGCCTTCCAAGGGCCTGAAATTATCAGAACGCACGTACAAAGGCATTCCAGACCGGTGGCGCTCTGCTGCATGGGATTTGCTCTTGAGGAGGTTTTCGAGGACTGGAAATGCGGAGACGACTAAGCTATGCAGAGACTATCGTGACGCTCTGGATAAGCCATCGAGTTACGACATCCAGATAGATTTGGATGTCCCACGGACGATTGGGGGCCACATAATGTTTCGAACAAGATACGGCGCAGGGTGAGTCTCTCGCTTACTCTCCTTCATTTTCTAATATCCAACTAGGCAACGATCATTGTTCCATGTTCTTCATTGCTTCTCATTACGTTGTTCACAATGTGGCTATGTCCAGGGCATGGGTCCCATTGCCGCTACGTTACTATGCTACTTCGATCCTGAACATGTCTACGCCTCGTTGGTCCGTTTACACGATTCATATGCGCTCCATAACATCTTCAGCCCTGGGTTCCCTGGACTATTGGAGGCAATATACGTTCAAGAGAGAATAACAGAAAACATGATGCCTGATGTTTATGCCGCTTTTAAAAAGCATATGGTCTCGACCACGTCCTACGCAACGAAATGGTATATCACGCTCTTCGCCAACTCGGTCCCTTTCCAGACCCAACTGAGACTATGGGATGCCTTCCTATTAGAAGGACAAGACCTTTTCATCGCTGTGGCCGTGTGTATCGTCTGGGTATATCGGGGTACGGGTTTTTCCGTGCTATATCTCAGTTCATCTTTAATGTTACCTTTGACAGATCATATCACGTCGTCCAATGCGAACTTCGAAACTGTGCTATCGCTTCTATCGTCCTTCTTTGTTCCCGAAGACGAAAATGCCGTTCTATTCTGGATAGAAAAGACCCTTGGGGACAAGAAGCTGCGGTCGAACATGGCCAAGTGGAGATTGGATTGGCGAAGGCTAGTTGCTGAGGGCAAGGATGTCAGTGCGCTGCTCTGAGCAGTCCGTTCCTTCTTATCCATTATTAAATATTCTTATCGTGCTTCTTCCGTATCTCGTCTGCACTCACAATGCCATCGTCTCTCCCTCTCTCATGCATTCACGTATATATATATATATACTCCGCAAACATATACGTATACCTTAATAACCCTACCACTCTCGTTTCGCTTTTTTCCAGGTCATTCGCTGGTTCTTTCTCCCGTCGCATGTTTTCTGATTTATTATCTGTTTGTTTGCTTTGCTGTTCTACTTAACCTTAGTGGCATGCATTTGTACAACTGCGCAATGAGATCATCGTCGCATTACTAGGACCTGGGTGGTCTCTATATACATCGCGCTGCTAAAAAGTATACATGTGTGGGAGAGCCAAGAAATGAACGCAAGATATATGTTTGCAGAGTCAAAATCAACGCGAAACATATCAGAGGAGATCGAGCTCAATGTCGTCGTCGTCTAACAGCCCATCAGCATAGAAAGCTGTTTCCTGAATTGAAGAATGTTGATGCTCAGCTCTTTTCCAAACCCTAGAAGAACTCACTTCTTTAGACAACTGCGGGGCAGGAGTGGCAGGTTGTTCTGGCCGATGCTTCATTTTCTTCAACTCGGCGTTCATTTTGTTGGTCAAGATTTTCTCCAGAGTCTCCCAGTCACGTTCCGGAAGCTCTGGAAGTGTAGCACCAATATTTGCCTGACGGTCCGCTGCTTCATTCCCTTCGATACCTACGTGTCCCTGAACGTATTCAAGGTTTATCTTTCGTCCAAGCCGATCCGAACGTTCAAGAAGTCTCGCAAGGTACTTGATGAGGGATGCGTTCTCCACCGGAGTACCTTTGGCAGTCTTAAAATCGTTGACCGCCCACTTTTGCAGCCATTGCGTCACACCTAAAGAAATCCGATAACTGCACAAACGTCAAACAGTTGAAAACGCATACAGTTTATTGAATATCTAGAATCAGTTTTGATGCGGAGAGGGTTCGTCTCAGTCTGTGATTGTTCAAGTACCCGCACAATAGCCTACGAAAAATCACTTTGAATGACAATCTCTGATAGATGAGATAATGATACTGACGATAAGCTCTGCGCGGTTGTTGGTTTGTTTGCCTGGACAGCGTTCTGCCAAGTTCCTACGTCAGATCCGCTGTCAATCACCATTGCAGCATGGCAGATATGTATCCTCACCTTGGATCGTTGTGACCCCACCATACCCCGACTCCTGCCACGGCTCTAGTCTTGCCGTTGCCTTTGCATGCACCATCCGAGAAGATGGTGATTTCACCCTGAATGCTGGCAACAGGAGATGTCTCAGATGTTGATGGTACTGAATTTGATCTGCTTGTGGCAGTTGAGATGGTTTGCGCTGATGAATGAGCGGTGTCTGCTGATCCTCCTGATGTGCCAGTGATGAACTCTTGCGCCAGCTGTGCCGTCGGAAATTTCTTGTATTTAGCTCCGGGAAAGGCTTTGATTTGTTCTTCGCAGTCGTCCCTGGAGTCATCTCAGTTCAATTTTGGACCGAGCTGGGTCACGGAACGTACCAGGTGGAGTAAACGCCAGGACTACGTCCAACTCTTACGGCGTAGAATGCTGGGCCTTTAGCCATTGATGCAGGGGTTATTGAAACGGAGAACGAAGGGCTGCTGCGTGAGAGAGGACGAGAACAAGTCGGAGGCGGCTGCAAGTCAGTGGAACAGTCAGACGCGTATACCGTGGCCGCGAATATTGAACCGCGCAGCACGTGATGTGAATCTTGAAAATAGAATCTCGCGCTTCCGTCAAACTGCTGATTGCCTGCCCGTCGATGAAACGCAAGGGGAACGCAAGTGACTCCGCTTTGTTCTACTTTTTCAGCTTTGGGGCCCCCCTCTGGCCATTGAGATTGGACATTGTCCTCTGTTCTGGTCGCATCTGTCACTCAAGGCAATAATATCGGCTGTAAGGCGCCTTTCTTTCCTGGTCGTCTGCAGAGCTTCCCCAGGAATATCCTGGCCCTTATTCTATCTCAAGCGGTGATCGAAGCAGATGTAGAAGGATTCGTACGCTTTCGAACGCAGCCCTGATTTCTCGGTCAACGCTTCTCATTTTGACGACAAGAACAGCCGTTTCCTTTGTTCCCAACTTGGAATACAACGACCTGGTTACGCAACACTCTGGCCAAGCATGGAGTTGCCCTGAGCTATATGACATTAACCTTGCTGCACTTGCCATTCGCAGACAAGGACACTTCCTAATATGGGCTTTACCTTGTCTTTCCTCTATAGGTCCAGAATTTCATGGAGTATCCTTTCCATGGCTATATAACAGAGCTCGAGCGCTTTGGTTTCTCCAACAACAGCAGTCAGTCGATTGGCAGGGATCTGACTCACCCTCATCACCACTTCTTCTGAACATTTCTCGCCAAGTTCTTTCGTTGACCATTAAAGTTCCCAAGCACGTCGTTATCTCATACCTGACGACCTTTCTATTCTTCCTATCCTTTACGGTCTCAATCTCCCACACGCATTGCACTATTCTTGCCTCTGCCCACGCCGCGCGCTTTACTCTGACACTTTAATAGCGACAGCACATTCAATGATGTCCTTCTCTTCATCTCCTTCGTCGTCTTCGTTCTTCCCTACCGGTTCAACGTCCCCAAACGCATTCTCATCCTTCTACCAGTCTCCGCGAGACGCACATGCCATGTATGCCTCCCTTTCTGGTAAAGGGCCCAAAGGCCAGACAAGAGGAGCGTCACAAAACCGGACTCATGGGGTCCAAAGTGGGTTGAAGAAGTTGGTGTGCTGCAGGAAGTGATTGGCGGAGAAATGAAGAAGCCGCGATGCCATTGGAACATATGGATTGTAGAAGCCCTTGGTTTGGGTGCATTGTGAAGTAGCGCTTGAGGCTTGCGAGGTTGCCGGCTGCAGGATAGGAAGACGCCATGATCATCACATATATGTAGCTGCTAGTATTTTCATTCGACCTTCATCGTAGCATATTTTTTGATTGTATTTTTAACTAACTAATGCTTGGGTTTGCAAATCGAAAAAGGATCCGGACCGGGACACCCGACGGGTCTTTGTTGTGGTCAACAAAGTATAAATGATCCTTTTTAGCGCTGGCCACAACGTCGTGCACGACATCTCTAATGATGCCTCAGCAATCTCGCTCAGCAATAATGTCCTCGAATTCACACATCGATACGGCATACTCTCTTTCTCTGCTTTCGGAGTATAACCACACTCTCGATTCTCTACCACTTGACCTCTCACGCAATTTTGCGGACCTTCGGGAACTCGATGCGGTTCTGTCCACTGCCATGGCGTCTATAACGGCGAAAATACACACTCTTACGCAGATGATAGAAGAGGGCAAAGGACCCAAAGAAGAGCGCCTTTGGCTGTTGTCCGAGATCGCAGAGGAGGCGAGAACCCTCAAACCGGGGGGTGAGGATAAGATTCGTGTCGCTTGCCTGGCTGCAGATAATCTCAAGTCTCATGTGAGCCATCTCCGTACTCTGGCAGAGCACATCCCCGGCTTCGATGCTTCCATTCTTAATCGACAAACCACGTACCCACATGTGGCGAGCAAGACCTTTATGCCGGTTACGATGATGGAGGGTGGAAGAAGACGGCGAGGCAATTACGGCTCTCTTTTGACGAGCGCAACGGACCCCAGTCCTGTCAAACGAAAACGAGCCCGGGGGGATGATGATGGGACTCCGAGAAAAGAGCGAGTGGTAGACGGACCAAGCAGGCCGCGCAATGGTGGGCGAGGACGCAGGTACGCCAAAAAATAATTGCACAAACATATGGTTTTCATTACTTTGTACAGAAATGAACGTGCCGGCTCTCCAGCTGACTCAGTCCTTTCTGTCACTTCACATATGCCGCCCCAACCGCCCCAGGCGTCTTCGCGTGGAGGTTCGACACATGGACGAACGAACGGTACAGGCCATACTCACGGTGGCAACAGGAGGTCGCGTACTGCGGCAAACAGTAACAGTCGCCGTACTGGCTCGCCTCAGAACGAGCATTACCCTAATGGCACCTATGATCACGGTTTACCCAACCACGGATCGCGTCGAGAAGCATTCAACGTCCCGCCCTCAGCATCACATCCATCCCTTCCCCTTCCGTATCATTCCAATGGCAATACCCATCCCTTCGAGCTTCATATCCCGAACGGTGCCCTCGGAGGTGTGGTCACGGGCCCAGGCGGCGAATGGCCTATGCCCAGACAGCTAGAGGGTCCCGGAGTGCCCATAGCAAGGAATCCCGCGGCTTACTCCGACGCCGGTATGCCGATGAATGTTGGCTCCGGTGCAGAGGACGAGGGTACTGTCGAACAGGACGGCGAAGCGGATGGAGACAATCGCAGGTATTGTTTCTGTGACGGGTACAGCTATGGCGACATGATAGCATGCGATGACTCGAATTGTGAAAGGGAATGGGTAAATGTTTGTTATCCCTAATGAAGCAAAGGCTAATACTTTTTTTTCTTTTGTTTTTCCAAGTTCCATTTGACCTGCATTGGTCTAGAAGTGCCTCCCGAAGGAAAATGGTATTGCGATAATTGCTCAAGTAAGAAGCCGGCAAAGCGTCCGGGCCGCGGAGGTAAGCGGCGTGGTGGACATCGTGCAGGCGCTGGTCGAGGGACTACATAAGGGCAATCATATAGGGCAATCAACTACAATATACGATTGAGTCGGACATATAATGACGTTGTTTGTTTGTCTTCACCCCTAAGTATAAACTGTCGGACAAAAAACCCGTTTTTCCAAATTCGAATTGATGGTCAATCAAGGCAATTATCTCAACGATTGCTGGATCATTCATACGCCTGCCAGCCTCCTGACTGTCCACTCTCAACTTGCATGCTGCTGAAGAAAATGACTTGATTTGCCATGCTGTTTCTTCGGTCCGACTCCGATTTCGACTTCGAATTTTCTCAGGAATCTGATCCTTGAAAATTTTCGTTCTGGACCAGCTGGGACTTGGTACTTGCTCTGCCAGCTCAAGTGATCTGGCCTTCCGTTCTGGTTTAGTTGCATACACAGCCATACGAGCCATGTGAAGCCCATAATTGCCCACCGTTTGCGAAGCCCCGATCTTCGATGCATTATTGTTTCCAAGGACGTTGTTGAACGGTTACTGCTTACATCAAGAACGTCTAGTTCAATTGAACCCGTCTCCTCTGTTCCGCTGATTTCGAAAATCGCGGCTTGAAGCACATTCAATTGCTGGACGTGTGCGGCGGCGCAGCGCACCATTATGACCGATTCTCTCTGACCCGGGGATGATGGAAGCACACCACCCGGAAACTACGTCCACATCAGTTATAGGTTCCATCACGATCTTTCTGACTTGACCAAAGGAACCCTGAGCTTCCTCAGACTGGTTTGCTTGGTTCTACAGCCCCTTGACCATACGACGCCGCCAACGCTTGACAAGTATTTAAAGCTCGAGTAATGCGACTGGTATCTCGACCTCAGCAGTTTCCAATTCTCTGCGATGCGTTGGATCCCACTCGTCCTCGCTCAGTTATCATGCCTACCAGGACTCATATCTGCTATGCTCAAGGATGGCCGTCCTCACGCGAATATAATGCCCATGCCCGTATTTCCTCCTGTTGAAGCCTTATACCTTGCTTCGCCCGCAGAGGCGAATGCTACTGTTGCCTATGACACCGTGTACTACTTCGACCAGTTGATTGACCATAATAACGCGTCTCTTGGGACGTTTCAGCAACGTTATTGGCACACCGCCGAGTATTATGAATCTGGTTCGTGTGGCGTGTTTTTCTCCGCGCCGATCTGCTGACCCGCACCCTTTAGGCGGCCCGATCATTCTCCTTACTCCCGGGGAAAACAACGCTGAGAGTGCGCTTTTTTAATTTCTAGGATGCTTCTGTAATTAACGGTTATCACATCTGTCAGCATACTACCCATTTCTTACCAATATCTCAATCTTTGGCCAGATCGCACAACAACAACATGGTGCGGTGGTCATCCTGGAACACCGCTTCTACGGTGCAAGCAACCCGTACCCAGACCTCTCATCGGAGAGCCTTAGAGTGCTTACAATTTCTCAAGCCATTAGCGATTTCGTCTATTTTGCTGAGAATGTTAATTTGCCAATGACAAACGGAGATCAACTAGGTCCTAACAAAGCACCTTGGATCTTGGCTGGAGGAAGCTACTCCGGTCGGTATCTTTTTCCGCTTCTGATTGAAGACGACAGATCTGATCCAGGACAGGTGCCTTGGTGAGCTGGACTATGGTAAAGTGAATAAACCGGCTTGGTTTCGTAGAAAATTTTTCGCTAATACTTCACCGATAGCAACCCTGGGATGTTTTATGCCGGCTATGCATCATCTGCAGTAGTAGAGGCAATAACGTAGGATCCATCTTTTTACGTCCCGCCGTTCCGCCTAATGCTCGTTGAATGGTCGGCTTTTACAGGGATTTTTGGCAATACTACGAGCCAATCCGACAGTACATGCCAGCCAATTGTTCCGCCGATGTGGCTGCCGTGATTGCCTATGTGGATGAAATTTTCACTGGCGATAATACTACGGCCATTGACTCCGTCAAGGAGACTTTTGGCATGAGCGATCTTACTCATCTTGATGATGCTGCGGGTGCCCGTACGTTTCTGTCCGGTATACGCGTGCTCACAGACTAATTCGGCGTTAGTACGAAATAATCTCTGGGATTGGCAGTCTCTTCAGCCTACTTCAGGGCCAGATGCGCAATTTTACATGTTCTGTGATGCCCTAGAAGTCAAAGATGGTATCAGCGCCCCTGCGGAAGGCTGGGGCCTTGAAAACGCCCTGGCCTCCTGGGGTGCTTATTTTAAGGGCGAGTACCTCGAGTATCGTAAGTGCTCAACTCTAGTCCGTGTTGTTTCATTTATTGATGTATTGGTATCCCTTCTTTTCAGTATGCGGCAACCTTAGCGTTGTGTGAGTGACTGATGGTATTGTACTTTCTGGCACTGACATCCTTGACAGAGTGTGTTTGGGCACCTACGATGGGACCTTGGATTACTACACCAATATCGAAGTGGGCAATTCTTACCGCTCTTGGATGTGGACCGTGTAGGTTTTCCTGGCGCCACTATGGCAATGATTGCATCTTTATCTAATGATTACGTAGATGCAATGAAGTCGGCTGGTACCAGGTAAGAGCGCTTTGTTCTACTTTTCCTCGACTGACACCCTGTTCAGGGCGGTCCCCCAGAAGGCTACCCCTCGATTGTCTCCAGACTTGTTAATACCGATACTTTGTATACCCAGGTCAGTTATTTGATCACTCTCTAATGTCTCTGGTTTTCATGTTCTGTGATCAATTACAGCGTCAATGTGTTCTCATGTTTCCCGACGCGTTTTCGGAACCACCTGAACCTTCTGTCGCTAATGTCAACTCACGATACACTGGTTGGGCCGTACAGGCTGATCGATTATTCTTTGCGAACGCGAACCGTAAGATGTTTTCCCTTAGCCATGACATTGTTTCTCATGCATTCCAGGTGACCCATGGAAGGATGCCACTATGTCCGCTGATGGTTTGGGCCTCATAGGAACGCTATTGCAGCCCATCTTCGTGGGTGATGGTTTTCATTGCTCGGACCTGAAGGTCGCGAACGCAGAGGCAGACTTCTCTGTTGCTGAAGTCCAGACTCAAGCTCTGCTATCTATGAGCTCCTGGCTCGGAGACTGGCAACAAACATAAATGTTAATGATATGTAGTTCAATAAATACGGATTGGTTATGAATAAAATGTCAATTTACTCTTTTTTTAAACTGCGCCCATCCGTGAAGCCTGAAGGACGTTCAAAATGCTAGGTGCTTCCGACAGTTGAATGAACATTGATGTAGATCGACCTGCGTTTCAGCCGCCACCAACCCCATTGCTGCTAGCCCCACTACATCAAACTGTTCAATTTTCCTGGACTATGGCAATGCCCATGGAGATAAATCGATCTGCCTTCATATGGAGATGACTCGCTACCGCCCTAGCACATGAACCTATAGCAATGCGAATGATGCAATCCGTTCAAAATCCTTCAGAGTAAGTGCTTCAGTCCTTATTACCGGGTTGAGGTCAGGTCCAACAATAGACATCTATAATTACCGCTCTTCTTGTTTTTGACGCCATTGACTCGGAGATCTTTGTTTCAGGAAAACGACCTAATGTGAAAAATGAACCGTCCTGGGAACGGTTCGGTGTGTTCAAGAGATACCTTCTTCTTCTCCTTCCTTCTCCTTCCCATGAGTGGCGATGTTAGTCATGAGAAATGATTTATTCGTGTTCGAAGGTCATGCCCCTGTGGTTCCTCTTTACAATACGGCAGACTGATTAGCAATGCTCTTGTTCTCCCAAAGGCTTTCTCAGATCTCACGTACGGTAAGCCCAGGAGAACCCAGGCCTGCGACGATCGCGCATTAGATAGAACCGGTGAAATTTTCAATACAATGAACTTTAAAAACTTACCATGAAGGAACAGTCGACCGCGTCGAGAGTCGTAGGCTGCCGTACTAATGAAAGAAGTCAGGCTTCCATCGTCTTCCAGGACCTAAATCAGAAATGAAGAATGAGCGCTGAACAGGATCGCACCCAATTTTTTTTCGCACCTTTTCTCCCTTGTATTTCTCACCGAAGAACGAAGACGGCCCAGTGTTTATAGAGAACTTGTAAACCGAGATAGGACACGGGGTCGTGAATAGATTCATCATCGCCTTGAATGCATCCTGCGCTCTCGGAATACCTGAACCCATACGCCTAAGACGGAGGCCAACCTTTCACATTCGAAAGAAAACTGACCAGCCGCCCACACCGTTCCAGTCTCATCCATAGATAAATTATCAATGATGGTTTCTAACTCATTTGGTTTGCAACTGTGGATCGAATTGACAAAACGAGAGCCTCACCAGAGGGAATCACATCTGTTAGAACAAGTGTATTGTCTTCCTGCCTCTCCAACACGCGTATTCCACTCGAGAGGGTGCTGGAGACATAAATAGTTCCATTGTCAGCCTGGACGACACCGTTGTTATTGAGCATTCCGGATATTGATGTCTTGCAACCTTCTTCGACGTGACAGTAGCCAACAGATGAAGACGGCCTCAAGAACTCGTGTAAATCCCGTGTCTAAACCTTTGTTGAATACAGAAAACGGCAAAGAAATATTCTAAACTCACAAGACCAGTCTTTGGCCCGCCTCGATCATTGGTGAAGAAAAAGCTCTTGCCATCCGCGGAACCAATAACATCGTTGGGGGAATAGATAACGGGATGTTCAACAGTTCGCAGGTGTGTCAAGGTTTTGCTTCCAACGGATGTTTTGAATATCTCAATCGATGAGTCGTAGCCCACTCGCGCAGGGTCTTGACCTCCCAGAGGCAGACGGTGATGCACGAGAAATACAAAGAGTTCTTGAGGAATAGCGGATGATGGTACGACGTCCATCCCGTGAAATACGACAGTGCGAGACATGTCAAAGTTTTCTAGTGATAGACGAGTAACATGTTCGTCAGGGCTATACGTCGCAAAGTAGCTGGTTTCAGAGTCTGGCACGGTAGCTTCTTTCGACGGATGCAATGCATGGAATCGCTGTTTTAGTGTCGAGCAGGCCATGTATACATGTCCAGTTGTATGGTGCAACACTATTTCTATAAAGGAGAACTCAGTTAATGACTACAGAGGAAACGAAACAATAATATTCACTTTCACATCCTTCTACCTCAGCAATGGTTTTGCATCGACCCTTATGCTCGTATGGTTCAACAGTTCGACCGACGCCAAATGTTGTCAGTGTGGGACTCAGATAGAATTGATAGAACACAGCGAAAATGAGAGAAAAAATCACAGTTGTCGTAGCCAGAAGACCTGCCATGTTTTAGTCGTGGCAGCAGAAAAGTAGGATTGATCATGACGCTCAGGGTCCATGATTAGGGGCCATGGCAGCCCTGCAAAGTTGAATATTAACTACCCCCTCCACTATGTACGCATGCATAAATTCAAAGTAAAAACACAAGGACGAAACCTAAAATCCGGCAGCTTCTAATCCCCTACGAATATCTGCATGTGCCAACTCTGAGTGCTGTACCTCTTGACTTTTTGTCCAAGCCAAACTCGAATCCTTCGTACCATTTGTCCGTAGATGCAAAGAAACAAAGCCACGGATAGATACACTCTCTCCGATATTATACGGTTTCGACTGATGTCGTAGCATCTGCGTAATTGTCTCATACCACCGTTGCCGCTTGATAAACACAATTTGGCCATCGTCGTCAATGTCCTCAAATTGATCCTTGATGTGGGCGATGTCAGTAAGGTACATCCCAACAAAAGGCACGCAAGGACCCTCGGCATTACTCTGAAGATTTCGAAACGCCGCGAAGCCTCCAGACGGTTCGCTGTATTTCAACAACGCGTCGAGATTCGCCTTTCGCCCCACATGGGCCCATGTGAGATGTAACCGTGTGATGACGACGCTGTTAAGCGCTGTGATAAGCGCGCTCATAGATGCAAAGTTGTTCATATTTCGGCATTTCTAGGGACTACGGTCAGAAAGTTTTTGCTACGAGTAGCAATGAAGTCATACCTCGGAGACTTTGATCCAGAAATCAATAGTATCCGCCCGTTTTCCTAGGGCATCGTTGTTCAGAACACTAAAGGTTACCCAGGTCGCCAGTTTGTCATGGGTGGCGCAGAAGTTGTTGAGATTGGGGGCTAACTGAGGCGATTTTGCATATAGCAAGCAATCTTGAGGAGTGACTTTGCTATAAAGAGTGTACTCAAATAGCGATAACTGTTCGGCCAAATCTGTGGGGTCAAGGCGGAGAAGGTCGCCTTTGTGATCGCGAGATTTTCTTCTCCGACGAGGAGATAATACGGGCGTTTCCACGCAGGGACTGGCAAATGTCTGGAGGATCTGAGCGCCGTGAAAGAGTCCGATTTTGATATACTCACCAGCCGCTCAATGGATTTAACAATCAATTTAGCCGTCACGGCAAGGGGAGGAATTACGTCGTTGAGGAAATTAGTGAGGCGCTGGGCTATGTGGGGCTCCTCCTCGAGTAGCCGATGATCTTCGAGCCACATAGTAAAGATAGTCAGCACTATACGTTGTGTAGGCAGAGAGCATTTCTCTTTCCATTCTTCGTATTCTGAATCCGTTATCCTGCTAGGGTACTCCATAGCATAAACACCCACAAGTGCGGCGAACAGCTGATCGGCAGTCATAAACGTCCGGAACGTCATCAGAAACGCATTTCGAAACGATGTTTCCCGTGCGGCCTCTGTAGAGACGGTGAGAATTAGAGTGCATATGCAAGATAGCAAAATCTTACTGATAACATCTTTCGAGGTTTCCGCCGTGAGCTTCTCCAGCAAAGCCTCTGTCGTCCCGGATCGGACCTGTCCGTCGCTGTCAAACCTTAGCTGATCTGAGTGCCGCGATTTCATATACCATGGGGAATTGGCCTGAGCTTGGACAATGCTGATGAACGAGACCGCTTCCTCGCTTCCCGTAAGCTGCTTAATCTTTTCCAAGCGTCGCCTGTCAGAGGCAGACGGAGATTCAGCGTCCGACTCGTGGTCCGAATAATATGGCCGTGGGGTATTTCGGAGAGGTGAGAGAGGCGCGTGGGTGCCAGCGAGCCTGCCCCTTGACGAGATGTCATACATGCAGAAGGGGTTCTTCAGCATGCACTTCATGGGCACGGCTATCGAAGGAGGATGAGGTACTGGTGTCTTTGGAGAGGGCGGGTGGTACGGTCTCTGGTGAGTCTCGGGCAAAGATCGCTGTGACCGAACAGACACATGTCTTTCTGTGTCTGTAAGCAAAGAGCGCTGAGGCTCGAGGTCGCAGGATAGCCGTGAAATAGGTGCAGAGTTGTAGAGCTGCTCAGCGTCATATTCAAAGACGCGAAGTTCTTCTCGGATATTGCGCAGTCTCTCCGTCATTTCCATCGAAAGCGGGCGCACAAAGGCTTGCGGTATCCAGCCGACGACAGAGGCTCCACGTCGCATCGCTGCCCACCATCCAGTTGCCTCCTGCGTGATGATGTCGAGCATTTCGTTCTTGCTGAAGGACAGGTGGCTGGGATCGTCCGACTGGAAATCATACATGCACAACACCGTGCATATTATGCCCTCCTCGGGCATGGAAGACAGCGGAGAGCTCTCCATGGTCCCTGAGCTGGTCGTTGCAGAATCTGACGATGACGTATTTGAATCCGATGATGAAGCACGAAAATGGTGGTAAGGCGATGGATCTATGGACAGATGAAGAGACTGGCGGACTTTGGTGGTGTGGGAGAGGGTCGTGCTCATCGTGGGAGCAAGGCGAGCAGAACGGCGAGGGCGTCGAGGTCAGAAGATGCAGAGGACCGAAAGCAGTACTAACAGGACGGTCACTTCATCCATGGACTGCCAGATCCATAAGCGGCAACAATCAACCATCACGATCAGATCACCTGCTTTCTACCTCCGCCTATACTTTTAATGACAGTGAATATATTGCGACACGGGGTCATTCTCTCAACACTACTGAATATACTTCTTGCAATTTCCTCACAGGAGCTTTCTCAACTCAATTATCTGATCCTTGCCGTCAGTTACACATACATGAGGCTGTCCAATTGATGGTCGAGTACAGCAGATATGAAGCATTTGTTTCCTCTTGTTGTTGATTACGGGGACCGTGGGCACGAAAGACCTGGCGCTTAAATCACTGTCAGATAGTGCCAAATTTTGTAGATCATCAAGCATCCTCCTGCTTTGGACTATCGATGGCCCAGATGGCTGATGTAGAGCATCACCAATGCCAGGTAATGTCGTGTTGTCAATGCTGTGGACTTTGCTCTGTGGCACCTAATTTCTTCGTGACGGAATGGTGGACTTTATTTTATGGGAGGATGAGGTTTCTTGTGCGAGTATTCTTATTATTGTTTTATCCTTCTTTGCGTAGTCTAAGAACCTCAAAGAACTTCCTTCTTTCCACAGGACTCGGAGGAGACTTTTCACCCCACGGCGTCACCGTCGCCACGTCGTCCTCACAGAAATCATCCTCCCTCTTCTCCTTATTTCGCTTATGTGATATATTCAAGTTTACTGTACTGTACTACTGGTAGTACACTAATCTTGAGCCTAGCACGCTCCACAATGTCCTGGAGAGCTTGTATTCTCAAGCTCTCATTTTGGCCAGAATGAGTAGAAGCGAACGCGTCATAGAAAATATTGGTGCAACTTTGTCACTGACAGACCCACCGTTGCAGGCACGTAGAGGCGGCTGTCTTCACCTGCTAGTGGAACTCAAAAACGGGAACATCGGTAAAAGTGTGCATACTTAGTACGTGATAGGTATCCTCTCCTACCCAAAAATCCTGTCCTTTCTCCATGCTCATTTGTGCAGCAACGGTCTAGTAGGCAATGACGGAAATGCGTTCCGATATCTACCCTTCACTTCATCATATGTGTGGATCTAGCACTGGCACAAACATTGACTCGGAAACAAACAGACAGCCGATCCGAATCCACGTGTCCTGTAACTTACTTTCCCGTCATCGGTCATGATTCCCTGGAATTCTACTAAAGCCAAGGTAAATCCAGCTCTGACCATTACTGATTCATCGTAGAGCTCACCTCTTGTAAGGTACAGCTCCGGTAATGATTGACTGTAATTCCTGTAGCCGGTGATCCTCAAATTCACACGCAGCATATCCGTACAACGACTCAGGACTTTACAACAAAAGAAGGAGGCCCAGGCCAAGGCTTCGCGTCGAGATATTGCCACCCTAATTGAGCGGGGAAAGCTTGAAACCGCCAGGGTTAAAGTTGAGACCAGTATGTTCGCATTTCCCTCCTCCTTGCCACCGTTGATCCGGATATTCGTAGTAATCAATGAGGACATTCATATCGAGCTTCTGGAACTCCTCGAACTCTACTGCGAGCTCCTCATAGCTCGTTTCGGAATTCTAGACATGAAGTAAGCAAGCAAATCTGTGGCGTTTCGGCGCGGTTGATTGACAGAAATCGTTCAAGTTCCCGAGAACCCGATCCGGCAATCAGTGAAGGAGTTTGTTCGTAAGTAAGGGTCACAACACACAACTCTTTCTCTTCTAATGCAGGTTGCCGATCCAGGATAATATTTTCTGCCTCCCGAACCGAAGTCAAAGGCATAAGCAAAAACCCCTTTCACCATGTCAACTGCTTTCTTAAATATTCTCTTCCAGAACTTCATGTGCTCCGCGATATTCTCATGCACAAGTACGGTCGAGATTTCTCTGTCGCCGTCATGGAGAACCGTGATGGATGCGTCAACGGTCGCGTAAGGTTTCTCGTTTACGTTCGAGGGTGCTCGATCTACAAATGTATTTATCTGCATAGGTCGTTCGAAAGCTGGACATTGCCACGCCTTCGCTGGACCTGGTCAATGCATATTTGGCAGAGATAGCGAAGGCTTATGGCGTTTCTTGGACGTCTCCGAATACAAGTTCGGACGATAACACAGGTGAAAGTCCCAATGGAGGTGTGAAGGTCGGTAATTTATGCTACTTTTGAATATCGTATGAGAGACTCCACTGCATTATGTTATAGCAAACGGCCGCTGATGAGGAAAATTCGCCACCTGCGTATAAACCGGAGTCAACGGCAGACCGTGGCCCCACACTCCCAGCAATTCCGCCGACCAACATTGATGGTCCAGACAACAAGAAATCAATGTCGGAAGATGCAACAATAACATCCGTTTCAAAAGCCCAACCGGCGACAACGGACACGCTAGAAGACGAGTTTGAGGCATTGAATAGACGGTTTGCGGCGCTCAAGAAGAAATAGTAGTGACAGGTAGGTTTTGTTGTGAACATGTATGTAACGTGCAAGTCAGAAAGCTGTATTTGAATAATATTTAGTGCCGCATGCTGCGAAGCTCCTGTGTGGCAATCATCACCCGAGTCACTGATTCTATTCTTCGGTTGCTTTCATCTAGCGTTTCTCCGGATTCACATCCTTCACGGATATAAGCATGACACCGACACTGGTATGTACGACGTCCTTAGCATGTTCCTACGGTGCCTCGCTCGGTGTTGAATGAGCGTTAACGTGGTAGGGTTACAGACTCTTCTCCGCCGTGATCATGGCCCGCTTCCATACTGCGCTGCGAAGGGACCTTCCGAGAATGAGGGCTGTCCACAACATTCAAGGTCCACCGACGCCAATACGGGGCTCATCAGGAAATCTACCCTTACTTCACCCCTGTTGTGATCTGCTTTCCCTTTATGTATGATGTTAAGAATAGACCCTGTCGGCTATTCAAACTACATGCGGCGGTACTGGAACACTCTCCGATGCTTGTTTGAGCATGGACGACACATTGTAGCTGGGACTGGAGTACTGGCGTCAAAGTTTTGAACACTATGAATCTCGAGAGGCGGGACTGGAGGGTGACTCCGAGGACATCACGGTCATGTTCAAGATTTACCTTTCCTCCCTTGATGAACGTCGTATTCAAAGGCTTAGTATTCATATATGGGAAAGCTCAGGGCAGAGTACATAGTTAAAGGAACTTTGATGTGGTATCAGTCCCATGCTGGCTTTGTTACTCCCTATGCATCATCATCGTGGCCGCATCAGGGAAATGTCATCGCGGCGTCTGAATTGTAGACGTAGAGGAAGCCGCTCGATGTCGGAAAAGTCGAAGAAGTAAGAATTTAAATTCGACGAAAGAACTATGAGGATTCCAAGCTCCCCGCGAGGCTGGAACACTGATAAGATATAAAGGCGGCTTCGGCTGGCCTATCGTGAATCCTAAAGGCGCAAAATAGCCGTACGTAGTAGAATCATGCCTGTGCACACGAGGAAGGAAGTCAAAAACGCTAAGTATAACGTAGTCGGCGGTCGTAGTGCACCGAGCTGAGGTGACGGGTTGTCATTAATATGATGTGAATAAAGCTTTTTGTAACCCAGCCAAGTCAACGAGACCCGCTGCCCTGCCTGCGTCCATGAATGAGTGACGCGTAGCATAGGGCGAGCGCGCTTTGGGAAATGGAAGCCGATGTGGACTCCGAGTCGGAGATGATGGCATCCTTCCATTTGGTAATCCACCATTTTCGAGAATTTCTTTCTCGTCCCAAGGAACCGTGTTGGAAATCTGAGGTCGGTAACTAACTGTCGACGTCATGATTGCCGCTCTACGGGGTTTCTTGTCGCCATCGAACGAGTTCACCGACGGTGAAAATGTGAACATGGGAAACAAAGCGCATGACGATGCCATGCCGTTCAGGCGGAGTTGGTCATGAGAAAGCTGAGTTGAATCTCCACACTGGATATGGACATGTGGGCATTTTTGTTTTTGCCTCCGATACCTTGGGTAGCTTCCATCTCTAAATTTTTGCGATGAAGCCTCCCCCCTCTTTACTTTCCAAATGGATAACACATCATCTCTCGTATCGGCGGTTTGTTTCCCTGCTCTGCCATATTCTCCTCTGATAAAAATAAATAAGTATTTTATCTAATTTATTGATTTAAAGCGGAAGGGGCTCGGAAGTAGTTGGAACGTCATCGGAATGGCTGGTTGATGTCCGCCGTGAGCCTGAAAGGCTACGATCTCACGATCGCACCGGGTCTATCAGCCTGAAGGTTATAAAGGGTTATTACATTTAGCTGATGACTTTATTTCATCGCGATTATTTTTCATCTCTTCTATCCCGTCGACTGTCCATCTGGTCATGGTCTCCCATACGTTCCCCAAGCCTCTCGACAGCGACAGCGATACTGATGATAGCGATGTCTGCTCCGTTTCCTCACTACCGCCTTTCAGTCCGGCTCCGAGTGTGGGGGCGAGTTCATATACTTCATATGATGCCTCAATGCGCTCGCTGTCGCCTACACCCTCCGTCTGGTCCATGACGAGCTCCCTACGCGCCGAAGCGTATAAGCAGGAATTTGGGCGCGGCCTCAACAACTATTCGGAAATATATCGGTTGCCCGCCGATGCTGAAGAGTTGGACCGTCTTGGTGCGTCGCAACACTCTACGTCTTCAATGTTCTTGACCAGTTCTTTAGACCTGCAGCACAACATGTTCATTGAGATTATGGGCAAATACATCCCACCACTTCCGGAGGTCATGGCGGATGATGTACCTGGTGAACAAAAGGCTGTCTTGGATCTGGGCTGTGGCAGCGGGCGTTGGTTAGTCTCTGTCGGGTTCTTGCTAGCCGGTTCTCTAACGCATTACTGTAGGATTATGGAGGCGGCCCTTGACTTTCCACATTGCAGCGCCGTTGCCGTTGATCTTGTTCCTATGCAATCTCCGTAAGTCTTATGCATTTAATATATCTGCCACCACGCAACCTCGCCTATAGGTACATGCCGTCCAATTGCAGGTTTGTTCCCATCCGATCCTAATAGCCAGCTCGCTGAAACATTGGCAGGAGTGAAGTTGATGATATCAATCTTGGATTGGAACATTTTTACGGCGACTTCAATGTTGTCCATTGTCGTCTCATCTCCTCTGGTGTAAGACATAATCCATTTTTCAGAGAGTTGCTTCTCAGTATTACCATAGATTCGAAATTACGCACACCTTATCGATCAAATAAGTCGCGTTCTACGACCGGGAGGTCTCATTGACCTAATGGAATTCGATTTCCGCTGCTACGATGAGAACTACCACCGAATAAACTTGGACACCTCCACCCTAGCCTCCCCTTGGTGGCCCCGATGGCTATCGTTCCTGGAAATGGCTGCGCGAAACCGAGGCGGCGATGTCGATGCTGCAACGCATCTTCATGATTGGGTTTCAAATCACCAATCTTTTGAAAAAGTGGTTTACAATCAGTACTGGATTCCGGTAACGCCATGGCGGACTGACAGTGCGTTTGACATGAGAATAGGAACAGCGATGAGGGATGATATATTCGTGCGTACCTTTGTTTTTTAATCGCTTCATACTCAATGCCCATTTCATTCTAGTCATTTTTGAAATCCGGACGACCGTTGCTACTAGGTAGCGGAGTTCCTGAGCAACTCGTAAACGAACTCGAAACGAATGCGTACAAGGAACTTATGGAAGGGAATATGCGCCATTATATTCGAGTGCAGTGTGTCTACGCTTGCAAACGACAACCCCGGAATCGCCGAATACAAACCCTTCGAACTGATATACCTTGACAACCTTGACACTCTTCCTCTGGCTCTATCTCGCATTGTTATCAGCATCACCATCATTCTGCATCCAGTTTTCTGTACTGATACCTAGCATATATACAATACTAACCTTCAGCGCGACTATCCTAATGGATTTAAGTTACTCGAAGCCGCAGAGACTCTCGGAGTTTAAGATGTATTTGAAATCTGGTTGACCCTTTGATAACACTATATTATTGTGGGTCCAAGCGCCCTTGGCATCCAAAGGAGAGATGAGTAGATTCTTGCGCTTGAGTGCTCGGAAAAAGAGCTAAGAAGCTTGGGGCCATCCTCGAGTTCATTCCGGTCCCGATTGACTAACTCCAAGGCACCTCCAAGGCACCCTCAGTATTTTTTGGAAAGTCCGATATCGGAACGTTCGAATCGGGACTGTTGCAGTATGTTTATTTCTAAAGACTTTCGTTTCCTAATTCCCTCGTCGTGCCATGGATCCAGATACCTATGTCGAAATTGTCGACCAGATCCTTCATCCGCAACGTAAAAATACTGCACGAATTTTGGAAGACCTTGGGCTCGCACAACCGCTCCGAGAACACATCCATAAAGACCTAGAGACGAAAATCCTTGCGCCCAAGGATCGACTACCGTCGCATTGGCTTCCGACTTACCAAGTGTAATTGAATGACTCTATACGGTCAACGAGGGTTTTTATGATTTTTCAGGCATTGGAAAGATCCGTTTTCAATACCATCGCTACTCAAGTCCTCTCCTTCCCCACCGCCGACGAGCCTGACGTTCGTGAGGACCGGGTTAGAAGGTCGCGTTACGGGTTATATTGAAGTCAGTCAGGTCTGCGAAATTGTTGGGGAGATAATAGATGATCATTTTGTTAGACCCCCAATCCCCGAGTGTCTACAGGAGTGACCTCCACGTCGTTGGAACGTGCACCCGGCCCCAGTACCAGCTTTGTCCGAGGAAAGTCTGGTCATGTTCCATTTTGGCCAGGGGGACTGGATATCCTGCTTGACCCTGACGCATCGCTTGACTTGGTCGCAGGCAAGAAGGGCCTGCGAACCGTGCCACCTGGATTTAGTAGAGGTTTGCGCCTTCGGAGCGAAGAATTAGACGACGATGCTCTCCTCGCCCTCGATGAAATTTCAACGACCAAATTGTTGACGGATGAAGATTCTACGGTACTACGCATCATCATTTCCTTGCCTTTATTGACATCGAATGCGCTTTAGCTTTCCGATGTGAATGACGAAGTTGGTCAGGATCACAACCTTTCACTGACACCTGGCAAAAATGAGGAAATTGACGAATTACTGCCTTCGACTGTGAGCTTAGACACTTCGGACATTTCTTGACCTTGACATGTAACTCAGAGATCACATTTGCGGCCAGCAAAGGCTCCTAAGCGGAGTCGCGCAGCTCATTTGCAGAAACGCGATTGGGCTCACGTTATCGATGTCAATACGCCCCTCAGGAACTTTCACGAGCTGGTACCAGATATGGCTCATAAGGTTTGTCTTCTGGTCTCAGTCATAGTGTGTCCAGCTCTGAGAAGCGCGCATAGTATCCGTTCGAATTAGATACGTTCCAAAAGCAAGCTGTTTACCATCTGGAAATGGGTGATTCAGTATTTGTGGCTGCCCACACATCCGCTGGGAAAACCGTAGTTGCGGAGTATGCAATAGCTTTGGCCGGAAAACATATGACACGGTAAGCCAATTTTAACAGCACCGGCTATTGCTTATTCTATGATAGAGCTATCTATACATCCCCTATCAAGGCACTCTCTAATCAGAAATTCCGCGATTTCAAGCAAACCTTTGCGTCAAACTCTGTAGGCATTTTAACTGGCGACGTTCAAATCAATCCCGAAGCCAGTTGTCTCATCATGACCACGGAAATCCTTCGGAGCATGCTCTATAAAGGTGCAGATCTTATTCGGGATGTAGAATTTGTTATATTCGATGAAGTCCACTATGTTAATGATGCGGAGGTGCGTATATTGTGTCTCTGATCAAGTGATCCATTAAGTTTTTAGAGAGGGGTTGTGTGGGAAGAAGTAATTATAATGCTTCCAGATCATGTTACCATAATCTTATTGTCAGCAACTGTCCCGAATACTAAAGAATTCGCGGACTGGGTTGGGTGAATGCACCTTTTACCTGGTGTCACATATCTTTACTCATTTGACTATCTATAGGCGCACGAAGAAGAAGGATATCTATGTCATTTCAACGCTTCAGCGGCCCGTGCCTCTGGAGCATTATCTTTGGGCGGGGCGCGATATGTTCAAGGTTGTTGATGCGCAAAGAAATTTCTTGGGCCAGGGGTCAGTCTTCGATGGAGTTTGTTGCTGTGTCCCACTGAGGCAGTTCTCACAGATATAAAGACGCTGGTGAGGCCGTAAGGCGGAAGCAAGACAAAGAACGAGAGGCGGCCGGTTTGCCACCGATCCAACGTGTTGGCGCTCGTGGCGGAGCTGCACAAAGAGGACAGCAGCGTGGTGGACGTGGCGCACCAACTCCACCGAGAGCTTCACGGGGCGGAGGCTCCTCCCACAGGACTATACACACCGCAGACAAGAATCTTTACGTGCACCTTCTGGGGCACCTCCGGAAGAAGTCCTTGCTCCCGGTGGTCGTATTTACTCTGTCGAAGAAACGTTGTGAAGAGAACGCTTCCACCCTTACCAATGCAGATTTATGTACCTCAGTGGAGAAGAGTGAGGTACATGTCGCAATCGAGAAGGCGTTATCCCGATTGAAAGGTGCGAATGAAGGCCCGGCTTGTCCCTGGAACTTCCTCTCATGCTCACATGTTAGGTTCTGATAAGAAACTCCCACAAATTCGTCGCATGCGTGACCTTCTCAGCCGTGGGATTGGGATTCATCATGGTGGTCTTCTACCAATCATCAAAGAGGTAAATTGACCATGCTGTGGTCCATTTTCCTATCTGACCCGTGATGGCAGCTCGTAGAAATACTGTTTGCGCGAGGGCTGGTCAAGATCTTGTTCGCCACAGAAACTTTTGCTATGGTGTGCAGAGTATTTTTTTTTCTTTATGCGACTTCAGTCAACTCCTAAATATACAGGGCGTTAACATGCCCGCAAGATGCGTCGTATTTTCTAGTATTCGCAAACATGATGGCCGGAGTTTCCGTGATATCTTGCCTGGTGAATATACGCAGATGGCCGGTCGCGCCGGTCGTCGTGGTCTTGATCCCACCGGAACAGTGATCGTCGTAGCCGGCGATTCACTACCTGAGGTGACTCTTTCTTGGACTCCTGCCCGAATATGTCAGAATCTGACCCTTTTGTAGCAAGGAGCGCTGCATATCATGATGTTAGGAAAACCTGGAAAACTCTCATCTCAATTTAGGCTCACTTACAACATGATTCTGAATCTACTTCGAGTGGAAGCCTTGAAGGTCGAAGAAATGATCAAGAGGAGCTTCTCAGAAAACGCATCCCAGAGACTGTTACCAGATCAACAGAGAAAAGTGACAGAGGTGTGGCGTACTGTCAGACGATTATTTTCAGGGTGGCTTGCTGATGTCTTCCATGTTCCAGAATGAAAACATACTCTCGGCCATGGACAAGCTCCAGTGTGATATATGCAACGTAGACATTGAGTTATTCTATGACGCATCGCGATCTATCGTGGAATTTAACGAAACCCTCCTGTCTATGGCAACAAATAGTTCGCACGGCCAAAAAGTAATGTCATCAGGACGGGTGGTGATTCTTCGGGACCATGTAAGCTCCCTACCCTTGAATTACTTGGGGTTGATGCTGATTCCTGTCCTAGCATTTCAAAACAAACAACGCCGCCATTGTGCTGAAGAAAACACCAATACAAGCATCCGATTCAGGAAATGCGGATAAGTCGAAAAAATATTTCGTCCTTGCCCTGGTGGATGAAGCGACCAAAGACAAGAAAAACGGTACTGATTTTCAAGGTTCACTTCCATCTTTGCTAATCGTTTTCAAGATCTTTCTCTTCGAGGTATTACCCCTCAATGGCCACCAGTACTTAGCGCATTAGCTGTGGATAACTGGACATATGAACTAACTTCGGTCCCGCTGACAAGTATCTGCTTCGTAACTATGCGAACGGTGAAAGTAAGTCATATCATGTCTTTGTTTTCTTTGAAGCTCCAATTTTAAGGTCGATGCAAACACCATTATCGATCGACATATAATCTCCGCCATGCGTGAAGGAGTGGCGGCCCTGGTCTCCATGGTCAGCGAATGGTCCCGTGCCGGGAACATTCCGGAGGTAGAATGGGGTAAAATGCGTTCTCTCGACTTCCAGGAAGTCTTGAGAAGGCGCAGTGCCTACCTCCAGAGGATCAAAAGTCGAACCTGTTTCCTTTGCGAAAAATTTGAGGATCATGTGGGTAAATTCATATCCTCTATGTATGTCAAGAGCCAACATCCTTATTGATTGTAGTATTCCAAAATACACACCGAGAAAGTGTTACGAGCAAATATCGAGGATCTAAAGCTTGCTATTTCGGATCAAAATTTGGAGCTTATTCCCGATTACGAGCAGAGGATAGAAGTCCTCAAAGATCTTAAATTTATCGATGCAAATTCAACCGTTTTGCTCAAAGGCCGTGTAGCCTGCGAGGTATTTAATTCTCGCCGTCGATTGTTGACACATTAAATAAACTGAGGATAGATAAACTCCGCCAACGAACTAGTACTGACAGAATTAATCCTCGAGAACACGTTGGCCGGCTATGAACCTGAGGAAGTGGTAGCATTACTATCATGCTTTGTCTTTCAAGAGAAGACGGACGTCCCACCTGTTATTCCAGCAAGACTCGAGGAGGGCAGGGATGTAATTTTGGCGATCAGCGAACGTATTGAACGGTTGCAAGATGAACATGAAGTCCCAGTCGAAGACTTTCGTAAGCTCAATTTTGGGCTAGTAGAGGTGGTTTACGAGTGGGCGAAAGGGATGGTGAGCTGTGATTGACATCTCGTATGCTAAAGAACTTACACTATCGCAGCCATTTGAACAAATCACGGCTCTGACGGATGTCGCTGAGGGAAGCATTGTTCGAGCCATCACACGTCTGGACGAGACATGTCGTGAAGTACGGGATGCAGCTAGAGTAATCGGAGACGCAGAACTGTTTAAGAAGATGGAGGAATCACAGATGAAGATAAAACGAGATAGTGGGTGTCCCTTGCAAGAGTTCTGTCCCGAGTACTCACTATCCTTCACAGTTGTGTTTGCCGCAAGTTTGTATTTCTAGCATTACTGTGTCAATCAAGCCGCCTATTTTTTCTATTTTCATTATAAAAGAAGACGTTGCCTCTGTCAACTCGCTGTCAGGTACTTGGACGCTAAACTTGAAATCACACTTCCTCAGATTCCAAAGTCGGCCCTTCTTCTTTCACATGATTTACGCGACGCGCATGTGACGTCACTTGTCCTTTTTTGACACCGGACCACGATGCAAGCGAAACCCGACATCCCACTAGGCACCTTACGAATCACCAACAACTCATCCCAGATGGGTGGTTTCTGCACTGTACAACCAACAGCCAGTAAAAAACGAAAACGAACATCACAGCAGAACGAACTTCCAGATGCCGAAGCAATACTACCAGATGGCGCAGATGACAGTACGAAGTCAAGAAGGGTCAATCCTCACCGTATATGCGCTCTTTCTTTAACTGTATGGCTTAATGCTAACACCATCATCATCTTATAGATCTGGCTGCTCGGCTTGGACCTGATCTCGTTCGCGAAATGGAAGTACACATCAAACCAGGCGCATATATGCCGTCTTTTCCAATCAGGAAGGACCTTCAAGAGCGTTACAACGTCGACCGTCGTCATTTGTATGATTACTTCCATTCAAGAGGTGCATTTTAGGTCTTTGGTAGTTGCGAAGCATCGACTTATTTATCTTTAGGTCTTCGGGTCGCCAAAGAGGAGAGATTCAACAATCTCACTAGAAGTAGGATGCAGAAGGCTCAACTCGCTGCCTCTGTGGCAGAGACAGACGTTTGTGGCCTTGCTCCCATTTTCTATTATTTGCTGATCTCTTGCAAGAACTCGGCTTCCACCCGACCAGCGAAGACAAACCGGAAGCGACGCGCCAAGGCGAAACGTACAATCTTAGCTCCTATTACTACGAACGCTACTGTATCGGCTCCGAACGTGAACGCAAATGCTGACTCTGGTGGCGCCCAAAAATGCTCTGATTCTCCAGGTCGTCCTTTGAAAGAGTCTGGCCTTCCTAATTCTCCAACGTCGACTCCTCGCATTAATGCATCTCCGCTGCGTTCCCTTGATATTGCCGATGTTTACACGCCTCGACCCGACACGCCTTATAACCCTAGCGATGAACCTGAACCTTCTTCCGTTCGATGCGAAAATTTTTCTTCTTCGGCGCTGTCCTATCCTAGCGAAACATTTGATTCTTCCTTGCCTCCTCGCGAAAGATCCTTCCCACCTGCTGCATTGTCATACCCTAAATTATCGGAGCCAAGCACCGCAGCACCTTCCCTCAACTCTTCCCTCGAAATATCTCCTGCATCTTGTGGTACATTAGACAATTCTGGTACCTTGATCCCTGCGCCAGACGAATGTTTTTCTCCTTTCGATCCCGTCATTGAGATGGATACAACTGACTACCTGGCACTATTTGATTATGACAACTTCTGTCCTCAGTCGGCCTGTGACGAGAGTAGCCAATTGATGCCACCTGAAGGCCAGATTCTGGAGCCAGAACAGAAAGCACATCTCTACGAACTGATTAATCGAGCTGCAAAGTTCTCTGATCAGGCGCAGCAGTCACTTGGCACGTATAAAGCATACATGGAACTACGGAGGCGCGTTTACTACGATGCATTGAGTCCAGGAGACGAATTGCATTGTAAAGAACAAAGTGAAGGGGCCGCAAGTAGCGTTGACTTGTTCAATTTTACAGAAGTTGACGTCGGGAATTGGATCCATGCGGTATTCATTGACGAGCCATTTCGTGTAAGTGCTAGCCCTCATCCCTCGACTGCCTATGGCCGTCCCTTGCCGGGCTTCGCTCCCCGTTTATCCATTCCAGACGTCATGGCCTCATCCGCTTGCATCCCTTTTAACACATTTACCAAGCAAGCTTTACCGGGGTACATCTCTTGGCCAGGATCTATTAGCGAGACCGAAAGACGGCATGAATCTGCACTGCACGGACGGTTTGTACGGCCAGATGTTTTCTCCGTCGGCTCTGGCTATCGAAGCAGACCGATGAGAGCGAGATCTATGTCTACTGGCGGTGGTATTTGAAGGAAGAAGATGGGATGTTCTGTATGCGCCGATATGGCTTCGTGGTAAAACTCCGTTCCTCATGATATCCGCATGCGATCGCCCGTTCTATACGTCTATGTACACGATGTCTCTCGCTCGGAACTTGTCAAAGACACATGGTTCTACCGGAATATTAGACACCTCGGTACGTCTAGGACAGGTAGAAGTATATTATGATACATACTATAACATCATTCATGTGACGGGAATCAATCAATACAGCAAAGGGTGATGATTATATGTTACATGAGATGGTCCGAACTGAAAACCAGCCGCGTTGTTGAAAGATGCTATGCGAAAAAAGTTGATGGAAAGAAGAAGGAAGAGATGAGAATGTAAGACTAATAACGCCCCATGCCGTCAATGTGAGTGATGGGCAGATGTGGATGACTCGATGGACCTTGGCAAAGATGAAGAGAATCATGGGGAGATGAGCCGACAGCCGCCTCTGCCTCTAGGGATGCCGCGAACTCCATCATACGAAAATTGGGTTTACGGATGGGACGGGGTTGATGAATGGGAATGGATGACGGAACGGTCAAGGATACAAAAGGTGGCGTTGAGGGTGGTTGCTGTTGTTGTGGGAATGGGGGTTGGTAGAGAGTCCGCCAGTCAGATGGCTCCGGTAGATTATAATCCATCGATGCCAACGGCGAAGGGGTAACATCCGAGGGAGAGATCTGAGTGTGGTCATCACGCCCAAAAATGATGGGCGGTGCACACCGAGTATCGATGACGAGGTCCTGGTAAACGGCCTGCTCCTCGGAAAGGACCGAATGGATGCCGTGCTCGTAATCATGAAGGTAGAGTGGCTCAAATGGAGCGAGCTTGTCTCTGAGGAAGGGTTCGCGTGAGTCGTGACCGAGGGATTCAAACGATGGGCAGGGCGAGTCCATCATTGGGGAGTAGGCCCAGTCTGTCTGTCTATCGCACGGCTGGGAGCTGTTGCATGACGCCGATGCCATCGAGGCGTAGTCTTCCTCCATCTCCTCGTCCATGCTCTCCAGCTCCGTGGGTCTGGACAAAGGCACCATGCTCGATATCACTGATGGATAGAAATCTGTTTGGTATGATGGTGGGTGAAGATTCATTGAAGATGAGCAACCGTGGTCCTGTCGGGGCGAGTTTATGTTGAAAGGGTCAGGAACGACATAAACTGCACTGCTGGCGGGGTGGTAGTCTCCTGGAGAATAGCTTAGGGGGTCAGACTGGGGTTTCCAATAGTCTGACATATGATGCGCTGGGGATAAGAGGTAAGATACTAGTGAGAGAGGAACAAAGGACACCAGACATACATACCTGAAGGAGACAGGGAAGACGCGTGGCGCGATGATTCAGAAGGACAAGGATAATAGTGGAGCATTTGTGGGTGAGTGAGAGCGGGAAAGGTTGTTGAAAAGAAACAACCGTGAAACCTTGACGGATAGGACTTTATAAGTGACGCGGCGTTTCAACGCCTCAATTATTCATTCGAAAACGTTCCGCGTCTTCTTGGGAGTGGCGCTGATCAGGGTTGAATGTTGAAGGCTGAACAATGGGAAATCAGGCAACCACGTTGTGCGCTGTACGCTGGGAGAAAGTTTAAATGGGAACCGCTGATGAATTCCGGGAACATTACCGATTCTCACAGCACAAGAGACGCCTGGCTGAAGAGAGCGTTTGAATGCCATGTCAAATTATTGAGTATTGAGTGACAACTGAGGGAACCATATCGGGGAAATCACTCGAGACCTTGCATGATGAAAGCGGGACACTAGTACCGAAAACCGATGAATGCTATTGCTGTTGCTATTGCTATTGCTATGCTATTAGATTAGGATCACAAATTAGGATCACAAACGAACAAATGCTCACGAAAGCGCGGATTCGCGGAAGAAACGATACCATCTTTTGACGTAATCCATAATTATAGTTGAAGAACCATTCCACCAGAATCCGATGCCGTTCACAAGTTGCTGTCCCAGCTCAAAACACTTGTCCATCACACGTCCTTGACGACGACCTCTACGACATCATGCGCGTGGACACACACCTTGTCCCAAACCAAATTCATCCACCTCTGCGATACCTGCTGTTCCTGTCTCCTGTCGCTGTCAAGCTGAGCCCTGAGATAAGTCAGCACGCACTGCGGAAATGCGGAAATCTGTGTTGATTAACCATCAACCCTCTAGACTGCGAACTGCGTCAGCCAGCAGGAACCACAGAATATATCGCATCTCATCTCGCTGATAGGTCCCTGCCTCCAACTTGGAAAAAGAAAAAAATTTAAAAACATTAATAAAAAAAAACACACAGATGGCGAAGATGATTCAATTCAGTCTAGTGTGCTTATGTCATAACACGTGGCATTATTGCGATCCGAGAAAGGAAAGACCCATCGTACCTCACAAATTACGGAAAACGGTGCTCACTGTTTTGAAAATACCACTGAGAGCTATACATTATGTAATTCGATAAAAAGCGATTATTTCAACAAGAAAAGGAATGAGTGTTGCAAGTGAACATTATTATCGCTGGTCAGCACCGTCAACTCCCAAATAATACTGCTAGAAATCCACAAAAAGACAGCCCCACGCCATTTCAGGTAAAGTGGGAAACATTCGGAATAAAACCTCCGCAGACGACATCTTATCTTACAAAAAAGAAAAAAAAAAAATAGCCCGAAAGGAATTTGGGAGAAAAAAGGTGAACGTTACACACTTGCTGCTCACTCAGCCACTACCAATCCTCCCATAGCCCTGTTGACATCGCGCATAACGTTGTCCACCCCGCCTTTCGTACTACCATTGGCCGCGCCACCTCCGTTCACAACCCTCGGGCCCAAAGCTGGATGTCTAACGCCCAGCGCAGCACCCAGCATCCTCTTTCCAGGGTTACCAATCCTCGGACCTCCCGCAACATTCATATCCGGACTCAAGCTCGTCGCAAGAATAGCTGGATCTGATGGAGGATTTCCCGTCTTCACAGCCTCACCCAAAGATGAACTAATCAGCGAGTTGAGGGTCGGATGACTCGGAAGGCTGGGCAACGTAGGTGACGGCTGATCACGTCCATTCTGTGTCTGAAACTCCGGAACACTGACGTTCTGCACGGTGCCCGGACGGTAACCGGTGTTGGCGGAGATGGTCCCTCGGTTAGGGAACACGGAGATGGAAGCTGAACGGTTATTGTGACGAGATGCGTTGTTGGGATTGTGCTGGCTCCGCGAATTGACGTTTTGGATAACCGTCTGCGCGTCTGCGCCATCGTATGGCCTTACACTGGCGCTGACCCCGTTTGCTGAAGTGAGGATGCGAGGTGGGAATGCAAGCGTCTGGAGATACGCCCGCTTAGCTAAAGAAAGAAAGATTAGCATACAGCCCAAGAAAAAGCCGTAAACTGCGCAAGAAAATATTGAACCGGTCACTCACCCGTTGGTGCATCCTGGAAGACAATCAATAGGCTGGTATCGTCAAGCCATTTGATCTTGAAGCCACCACTGACGCCCTCCCAATCCGAGAAGGCGCTCTGGATGTCCTTCGTCTTCAGCTCTTTGGGGAAGCCACTGAGATACAGAATACGCGTGACTGAGGCGGAGAGTCCTGCTAGTGCGGCAGCCATGGGGAAATGATAAGACTTGATAACTATAAAATGCGTCGAAAGCGGCGAAAAGCGAGGAATAAGAGGGTCCCCGACAGCGGCTCGTTCTAGTGAGCTTTCAAGTGAATAAGCGGTTCAATGAAGCGCTGAACGTTATGTAGGTTCCGATACAGCTTGCGCACAAGCGCGAGGCCGAAATAAATGGGCAGATAAGGGTAAGCTGATAGAAAAATGACCTAGTAAAAGCGAGTGGGAGGTTTTCAAAGTTGCGAATGTTTTACAAGGAGCCAACTTGTCTCATGCCCCCCTACACATCAGAAGTATGTAATACAAACTTTCCCACGAGCCTATTCCAGGGGTGCCTTCTTCCTTCACATCAGATACTACTACCCATATTTTATTCTGCCAATGTATGCACGACGGAGGGGACATAGAAAGGCTACGCAAGCGACAATATCTGCCGATATCCAAATCACAGCATAAATAACAATCTCTATATGCAACTACACGTGTCTACCATATATTAACTGCTTGATCCCACTACAAAACCAAAATGAAAAAAAAAAAGTATATCACACTACGAACGACGTTCATCTGCTCAGGTCGAGCGTCGAGCCACCTTGTGATGGCCAAAGGCGATCAGACATAACGGGTGGTACAGGCGATGGAGGTTGATTGGACCACAGACTTTGAGGCGGGGGCGGCGGTCCTGCGCCGACACCACCTATGGCACCTCGACCCAATCCCCCTCGCTGTCCAGTAGTGCCAAACATTCCTGGACGTCTTCCTTGAGTACCAGTTCGCATGCCAGGGAAATCCAAGGCTCTTTGGAGCCTTGTACCCACATCATTTGTTTGTCCCGGCTGTGGTGTGGTAGATGCCTGGTACGGCTGCGGCGGCTGGCTGGGACCATTAGTAGGCCACCAGACATCACCACTATCCTCTCTACCATGCCCACCAGTCCTCTGACGCTGCGAAAGCTCCGGGTGCCTCCTCCATTCCATTCTCTCGACCTCCGCCTCCATATTGATGCCAGTCTCTGCAATACTTGAGGCGTCAATACCTAGCATTTTCCTCAGTTCGCTATTCTCCCGCTCCAGTCGCGCGATCTCGCATTCGCGTTCCATAGCCCAGTCTTCCCTCCCAGAGGCGTTTGTATAACTCGCATGCTCATCCAACGCATCAAGAAGCGACTGAAGTTCGACGGGATCGATGAGCATGTTCGAGGAACCATCTTCATATTCAACCTCAGATTGGGATCGCAAATGGTGGGGTTCAGCATCAGGGTTTTCCCCGGCCATAGAACGGAGCAGGTTCCGGAGGTTGTGCGAGAGGCGCTCAAGTGATCGCGACATGTTCGTCGATGATGACAGGTCTGCAGATAGAGTTTGGTTTTCACGAGCCATAAGTAGGGCCTCATAGTGTCTTGTAAGAGTCAGCTCATGCTGTTGAGCTGCCAACTGAAAAATTGCCATTAAACAGATGAAACTGAGAGACAATGGAACAGGACTTGCAGCATGGTTCCTAAACTTGGTCATCACAGTGTCCATCGTTCCTTCGTACTCTTTGAGCAGCATACTTAGTTGCTTATTCTCGTGCAAATGCGTCTGGTTTTCGATGATAATTTGCGCGTTCATCCTCTCCAATTCGGACTCGAATACCTCTACGAGACGTCTGAACGACACCCTCGCAGAACCATGACATCCCTGACGCACCTTTTGTAATATCCGTATTAAAGCGTCTTAGAACGAAACCAGTGCTGTTGTGAGCGGCCTGGGTCTGCAAAAAGGGTTATGTGCATGACGACGAAAGAGTTACAGGTCAACGTACTTGAAGAGACCTAGCCTGGGACTGGAGGGTCGCCGTAAGCTTCTGGTTGTGCGCAAGCTGCTCGCTGAGTTCGTGGACGAGCTGCCATACGCGCATGAGCTCGCCATCCATCTTGTCGAGTCGGAGGGTGCGAAGGGTATTGTTGACCAAAGAGGAAGGCAAGGCCCCCGGCCACAAACTCGAGACAACATCACGTACTGGTGGCATCTCAGTTGCCCTTATTCTCGAGGGATTGAGACAGGTAGCACAGTTACCGTTCTTTCTAGGCGTAGGCGCTTATCCATTGTTGCGACCCACGGAACTATTTATCGAATTCTGCGATTTTGCGCGACTAATCATATACATTGGAACTTTCTTGAAGGAGCCCGGTAAGCAGATTTTTTTTTAAGGGATGCTGGCTCCCTTTGTTGCTATCTCTATTGGATTCGCTACCCACGTTCGTTTGCTCTAGATCTTTACTACACATGTCTCTTTTCACCACCCTGCCCTCTGAGCTTTATTCCGACATTCTCTCCCACGTTCCCAAGCCGTCCCTCCAGAAGACTGTCTTGTCACTGTCTCGCGCCATCCCTTATTCACCCGTGCCCCTTCACGATATTTTCAGATGCATCAGGCTCTCCCATCCTGATCAAGTTTTTCAGTTGTACCGTCGTCTGCGCACAACCACCGCCAATGATGCCAACTCCGCCTGCATAAATATTGATCCTGCCGCGTCATGGGTTCGTAGCTTCTTGCTGGAAACCTGGGCTGCCGATGCAAACGTTGTCATCAATCTTGTCGGCCTACTGACAGAGATCAGGAAACTGACTCTATGGGTCGGCCCTATGAATTTCACCCCGGAAAATCTGGAAGAGCTGATCACAAAGCTGAAAAGGGATATGAAGCAGCTCAGGGTGCTTGAGCTCCGATTCAGACCCTAGTAAGTCGCAGCACGACGCTGGCTTTTCCGGTCTCTAAATTTACATCCCAGTGTGCAAAAGGCTACGTACCTTCCGTTCTTAAAGGTGGGCCAGATATCACTGTCGGCGCTCGGCACTCAGCATTCAATAATCATTCCATTCAGGGCTCATATTTCGATAGCACGCTCTTGGCTCTTGCTTACTGGCCTCATACAATTCTCCGATCCCTTTCCATCGTGCAAGATCCTCTGGATCTGACTCAACTGCAGGTTGCGCCGGGAAAGTCATTTGCTCAACCAATCGTCTTCTTTCGTCTCGACCATACTTTCTCTTCGCTTCTTCTCTGCCCTCACATTGGCGCTTTGCGTTTCTGTCTTCCTTCACGGGCATTGATTCGCGCGTTCACAAACAGCTCACCACGCACCTATTCTCATATTCGCATCCTTGACTTGTCTACGACCAGCACCTATGACGCAGACATCGATACGATAATTACTAGATTTTCAAAGCTAGAACATCTTGTATTGGATGGATGCTCTTCACTTCACGATGCCCTAGGTGGCCCAACCTTAGAAGGCACTGGCTTGCGTGAAGAGTGGTACGCCCTTGGTAAACGATGCGCTCTTGGGGGCGCACGACGTGCCAAAGAGCGGGAGAAATTGGTTAAGCAATGGCTGGAAACCAGTCGGGAACATGAACATGAACAGGAAGCCGTAGCCGAGTCAAGCACAAAGAAACCAAGAAAAGGTAGAAAAGGGTTAGCCACGGCCACCATATCTCTGCGATCGGCATCACTACCTCCGTCTCAAGTCGCAGGACCTCCAAAATTATCACCGTCAATTAATCTCCCTCAAAGAGTTCGCATAGTTCCGCCTGGGCCGACACTTAAATCGCTCTCAATTGCTCTCCCCAATACACCGATAAACCTCCATGCTGATATTCTCTCCGCCTTTGAGCGTGGCTGGAAAGATGGTCTTGCTCAGCTTACAACTGCAAGGCGAACAATCCTACAAGCATGGGTGCGAAGGAACACAGGCACTAACAGCGATAAGATCACTACCAAAGTTGTCAAGTTCGATGACGACGAGGACGAATGGAATAGATTAAACGGGTTAGATGATGTAGAGGTGGATGATTTAGAGGACGAGGATCGATTTGTGGAGGAATGCGGGGTTCCGGGGTTGTGCTTGCTTGGTCCCGGCTCGGCAGATGATAGTCACCAGACGGAATGCGGACATCAAATGTCGATTTTGGCAGAACTTGCTCGTTTGTCTTAGATTCATTCAGACCCGCTATGAAGGTTAGTGCTCATGGCTTCCAATTGACTGGATGTAACTCACAGCAGCACTGCGTACGTTTCACAGCGCTTTAGCTTTCAACTATTTTCTTACAAGGATTTCAGCTTGGCCTCTAGCAATCCGTATTTTACCGTTTGACAGTATTACCGCGCGTCATAATTGAAGCCTGACCCGACGTTTATAGCCGGCCTCCGCTGGAAATTTCCAGAAGTGAGTCGCGCTAAGAATAATGCAATTTCACCAATATTTCTGACATGAGACTGCAAAACATTCGGTCTAACCGTTGTTGCGACTTGGTTGTTCCGGCTACGCACAACCGAAGCCGTTCCTTCCGTCGCGGCGGCGGTGGCGGAAGGAAGGCGCGGTATACAACAGAAATACCGAGCATTCAAATTTCAATATTGTCTTCTTCTCGGACCGACAGCCTGGAACTTCATTTTCGAGATGTGCTTCCAGGAGAGACAATTCAAGACAGGTAAGTTTTAAATGATCATCTGTTGATTTAAAAGATGATTGACAGTACTCTTACTTACGAAGGAAGAGTGTTTGCTGATTTTCCGAAGTGGAAGCGGTGGGCCCGCGGCTCGAGGCCTCAGGGTAACGTTGCAACGTTGTGCAACGCTGTCTCCCGTTTGCCCTGGGTTGCATTACAGATCACTACATATTTCCTCTGCGTGCGGCGTCTCTCGGTGCATGCAGGCCAGTAATATTCTTCTTGGATGTCATCAGATCCGGCATTCTCACTGCCGTTTTCAGCTTTTTATACGATAGGCGGCATCCTGTCCTTTGTCTTGGGTCCGACGCTAGGACACTTATGTACTTCAGCTTCACGGTCCGAAGCCACTCGAAGCCGCAGCCTGTTTCATCGGGGTCTCAGTTCGATGTCCAACGCAGACACAGTTGTTACGTTTGCGGAACATCTAGGAAGTACAGTTATGGTTAGTCTTACCTATTCTCAACTCAATATGTGAGGTTAACTACTTTACGGCCATACTCACTAAGTGCACTTCGCACGGGCGTTAATGGCTTCTAGTTCTTACCAGCTTCGGCCGCCCATATCGTCCTGCATTCGACGCTATTGGTGTAACATTATCAGCTTCCTGGCTTCACGGGCCATGAGCCACATAACCATGTAGCGAAATGTTCACACCGTAAACCGCTCTTCCGGGGGGATATGACTAGTCTCAGACTCGGATTTAATATCACCAAGCCAATAACCGCACTGTCTTCGCATCTTGGGAATCTTCTGCCGTCTTCTGGATGGGATTACACATGTCGTGCGAGGGATTGTACATTGGGCTATCTTAGGAACTCGTCTTTGTTGTGATAATGACGTCGACGATACTGGTCTTTCACGGCATGATTGTTGTAAATATAACCATCTAGATACCCCAGGTCTTCGTGCATGAGGGACAGCCTACGGAATTCATCTCCGAACACGTTCGTGATACCAAGAAAATACCAAGTTCCAGCCGTTAACAGATATAAGGGGTGATGACTACACTAAGTATTTTCTAACAACCCGGACATTCGTACAAGGTTTCTCTCGTTGTCAAGGCGGTGAACGTGGTGATGACGAGGAAGCCGCAAGGCACTGGCAGTCAAGGAGAGGATGCCCTTCTCTCTCGCGTCGTGTTTGAGAATGGCTCGTAAAATATCGCAACATGGTCTGCCTCGAGGCTTGCCAGTTCACCTGAAGACATCTCTTTTTGGATGCGGGTTTCGCTTAGGTTTAGATATCTGCCAGGGTAGCATGGGACTGCGATCATTATCGATTTTTTGACATAAGGATAGATGCTGACTGAGGCTGAGGACGAGCACACGGACAAAATGTTCATCTTTGTAGTGACGACAATATGACGATCCTAAAATACTTCTATTACCTGAGGTGAGCTCGGAGATCAGCATGTACTCAAGTAGATAGGCAAAGTAGGTGGCGTTACACTGCTGTTCCGCGTAGGAGATGCCGGAGTTTTTTGTGCGCCGTGCCATGCCGTGAAAGTACGCTGAATATCATGATGCTGTCCCGTCGCTGACTGACAATTGACTTGGTAGAGGAAGGCTGTAAGGGATGGACAGCCAGGGCTGTTTCACTGTGTGCCGCCGAGATGTGAGTCCAAATACAGGCGCAAGGCAACACGAGAAGGAGTGGTGGGAGGTAGGGTGGTGAGAGTAAACGACAGTTTCTCGGCGTAGCAGAAGGTCGAATTTAAGCTCTGGTGCTGAGAAATTGCGTTCTATTTCGAAGTACGGACTTGGCTTGCTTCAAGGGTCGGTCGAACGAGATGATAATCAGCCCATATAATATCCCTGATTCAGATGTGGCGAGCCTCGAGTAGCTGATAGCATTGATGCGGCCCGTAAGGGAGGCATACGCGTACAAAGAGATAAGGAAGTGGGTTCAAGCCGCCCGTCGGATAAAAGAGTGGCATTCATTAGCGAAGGGCCGACCGCAAGGAACACTGGCGGGGCCTTATGAGGGTCCAGAAGAATTTGTGGGCACACCTTGGGACTCGCAAGCTCTATCACAGTGACAGTACCAGAAAGGTAACTTGGCAGAGCGTAGAGAAAGAAGCAGACACCAATTGAAAACCTGAGAGGGACCACGGAACAGATAGCAGTACAGGAACCAAGTTTTCGGTGAGAGGCAGTGACGAGATTTACATAGCCCTGAACCCATATCAACATGAGCCAAAGCCCGTGGCGCTATGAAGAATAGACTGACAAGACGAGTCCCTGTATGGAACGAAACGGTCAGTAAACGATGCTACAATAATATAGACCAGAAGAGAAACAAGAGAGGAAAAGGAAGTAGAAAGAAGGCAGCTGTGGGTCCATGTATTCTGAGCGGGCGCGGTCTGATTGGCAGATAAGGAGACTTCCATTTGCGTCAGTAGACAAAGGCAACCCTGTGCAATCTCGCGTCAAATTGGTTGTCGTTGGAGACGACCAAGAGGGATGACCGACTCGGTAAGGGGGCGGACATGCCAGTATCGCCGTAAAGAAGAGAGATAAAGTCGAATAAAGTTTGCTTCCGAGTAGGACAACAAGATAGCGGAAACTGATCCTGGTGGAAGAATACAAATTAAGGATCCTTAAATAACCAGTTTTCATCAGCCGCCGAGCTGTCGGCCTCGAGGCTGATAATCAATGTGATTGAACGTGGCTTCCCTGTTGGTTCCCTGCCGGGTTCCCAAGGCTATATCTGTGCCTTTGTATGTTTCATTCATCTTTTTCCACCCATTCCCATTCCGCCGTCGATTCCGTGTCCCTCTTCCCATGATAGCGCGCGGTCGTTCTCGCGAAGTTTCGCGGGCAGCGCTGGCGAGGAGGTCCTCTGAAGAGAGGCTTTCTCGTGTTCATGAAGTAAATGCCCCACAGCATTCGGAGAGGATCCCGGGGCATGCGACCTCGAGAAAGTCACGACCCAAGTTGGATATCCCGCACCAACCCTTGGTTGCACCGGCAGCACTCGCACCGCAACCTTTAACCTCAATGTTCATCCGAAATTCCGAGGTTAAGCAGCCTCTCGCCCCGGCCGAGGTCGCTCCGACACCCATTGGTAAGCACAGCCACATGTTAGACAGCATATGCTCAATATCACAAGGGGCAGAACATATGCCCATCCCATCGTTTCCACCGTCACCATCCACATCACCATCGGAATCCATGTCTTCTCAGCCGTCGTCCAACGACCGCGACTTTTGTAACTATTTCTACTGCGACTCGCCTCCTTCACCTCCTCACACGATCGAGGACCAGTTACATGTCGCCTACGCACATGATGATATTCATCTCGCTAAGATTCTACTTCTCAAATTAAGAGGCATCGAAGTTACGTCGGACGATGACCCTCGCATAGCTGCGGTGCAGGATGAGGATTTTGACGAGTGCTTTCTTCCAAATGGTATGTTGCTGCTGACGGAGGAGGAGGAGCAGAGAGTAAAGAAGGCGCAGCGCTTAGAGGCTGAGAAGATACGGATAGAGTTAGAGAGAAGAGCGCTGAGGGAAAGGGAGCGCAAACATGAGATTTGGGAGAAACGGTGCGAGAAGATTTGGGAGAACGAGAAGCTGCGTTTGCGGGAGGAGAAGGCGCGGATTAAGCTAGCCAGGCGGAAACAGGAAGAACAGCGCAAAGCTCGCCAGCAGGAGCTCGAGTCGCATCGCCCTGTCACGCTCAGCAGATCGCGAAAACCAAAGTTGTCTTACAATTCTTTGTCGCAAAGTCGCGTATCATCGGCCTCGTCAGCGTCGAAAACATCGCCCTCTGGGTATGCCTATAGTTTTGTCGTTACTCCGGCCTTGCAGATACCTCCGTCGCGACACAGGAAGATGAAGGCCGCTTCATCTCGTCCATCCACGTCCAAGGCTCGCCGAGAATACCCCGCTTATACCTCAGACTACAGTACTGATACCGCGAGCGACGATACCGGATTTGACGCGTCAGGGCCTTCAGTGTCATTCAAAGAAGTGATCACGTCTATGAACGGGCCTCTCTTTCCTCTAAGCGCATCTGAGCGTGCTCATTCACTGTCCAGGTCATCCAAGTCCGTCTCTACTTTGAAGCATCATCGTAGATTAGACCCACTGGATGTGCTTTTGGATTCCGAAGCGACTAGTTGGGTACCTGAGGAGAGGCTACGGCGAAGGCTCGATAAAGCGCCCCCAAGAGATGACAACCAGCCTTCTGGGTGGAGCAGGAAGGACTCGTGTACCATCTGCCGAACGAATTCGTCGTCGAGCTCGATATCATCTCCCACGTCTGCTATCTCCGATAATAGCGACCTATCGAGCTTCTCATCGTTTACTTCGTCGATGACCGATATCACGACTCCCCCGGTATCACCCTCTTCCTCTTCCGATGTACCTCTGGCACACTCACTTGCCGATGCCATGCAGCCACTCTGCCTGCCACCAGAGTTTGGCCTCTCATCATGTCGATGTATTCGACCCGTTTCGCGTTTAATCGCGATAGATCCATTCGAGGATCCGCTCTTCGTACGCCCGCTCCCTGAAAAGTCTAAGGCCTTATCATCTCCCTTACCATCTCCGAAGTTAATGTCTCCTCAACCACTTTCGAAGACTCGCAAAGCATCGATATCATCCGTCTCATCTCTCATCATCACACAATCCAATTCAAAGCTGGGACAGCACGTGAGCAGATTTATTCAGCTTGCGAAGGGGTTTCAGAACGCGTATATGCACGCGATGGTTTACTCGGTTGTTCCCAATTGTGATGATTTGTACCGCGATGACTCGATCCAAACTTCTCCCAAGATGAAGAAGATGCGGTTAATGCCGGATGGTTATCGCACCAGTAAAGAGCAGGTCGCGGAGTTTATATGCAACCTTGATTCTTTGGAATCTTCGTCGACTCCTCCGACGTTTATCTCTCTCGGAAACGGGGTAGATGCGCTACAGCACACCGTCCTCAAACAGCCGTTCCGCTATCAGACCCGGTTGAAGCGCGGCTTGGAGCCTTATATATCACCCTTCCTGCGTGCACATCAGCAGGAACGTGTGGCTAAGTCCCGGATCCGGAGGAACGAGCCAATGCTGGACCTGCGAGATGACAGCGAGTTTCGTCGAGTGATATCACGAAGTAGATCACTCTCACCACATCCAGAACTGAGGAAAAGAATCATCGAGAATCCGCTGTTGGTGAGGATGCAGGCTTTACAGGGTGCTGTGTTGGAGCGTGGTGGAACATGGGACGCGCCGATGGTGAGGGCCGGCAGGTTAAGTTGTGGAAAGGAGAAGATCCTTGTTTACACGACGGCGTTCATAAGTGATAGTCCATTAGGCATTCATCGTTGACACCGGTAAGATGTTATGGAGGGGACTTTGGGTTAAATTTGGATTTTTTATCTCTGTACATTTATTGCTGTCGGGTTATCATGTTTTGCTATTTTGTTATCTACGTTCGTATAAATACTTTTAGTTCTGCAAAGTAATCAGACTTGCCTTTTGGAAAGATTGCAATTGTCTTTTATTTGCGAGTGTCAAGTAGCGGTGCAGCACGTAAACCGCCGTACAGGTTCTGTTAGCACCCAGATAAATAGAAGAAGTTACATCAGTACAGCAACAATGATCCCACGAAGAAAAGACCAATGGATACAGGATCTTATACTTTACGCGTATTGTGGTGGAGGCTCATACTGACTCCTCGCTCGCATCTCTTCCATCTCTCTCCGTAGGTTCTCAACCTCGTTGCGAAGCTGGCCCGTAGTATCCGAATCAGATCCCCCACTTCGACTCGCACTTGACGATCCAAAGGCTGTCGTAGACGCTGCCGCAGTTGGGTCAGACGTCGGACTTGAAAGAATAATAGGTTGTCCTCTCTTTCCCAATCGCTGCCCAGCTTCAGCATAAGATTCTACGGAAGCATACTGCTGTCCTGGACGCAATGGCTGTAAAGAGTGCTGTGTTCCATAAGAACCGTATGGATCGTATGGCTGGGGAATAACTGATTCTGATAGTATAGGATCGATGTTATTACTCTCGCGTTCTGGAGATTTCCGTTTACGAAAAATGCCCATACAAAAGGGAGTATCACTGGTAGAGGAAGACCAGCCAGATCGTTGGTTATACATGTCCTGCGTTCGCCGCTGCCGTCTTCGACACATGAAGAAGCCGAAGATGAGAAGGGTGAGAGCAGCAAGTCCGCCGACTACGCCACCCGCAATTGCACCAGCTTTGGATGAACCTGAGGAGGAGGTTTGATCATTATTACTGGATGAACCGTCTCCAACGGTCTTATTTTGAAGACTACAGACGAAGCCGTTCGCGTCACGAATTGAGTACGTACAACAACCGAACACACCTTAAAGCCATTAATGAAAACATGGCCCCTTGGCCAGGGCTGATCAATGGTCCGTTAGTGTCTGTACTTTGCAAAGACCGATTGTCGCGTACCTAGCCTGACCGCTAATCGTACTCCCATTATTAGGATTGTACGTCAAAGGAAAGACGCCAGCAGAGACATTGGAGCCCGCTTTCGTATGGACTAGTGATATAAGGGTATCCCGTACGGTGGTATCATTTGAAGCTCCAGCAGCAAACATGGTCCAGTCTAAGAAGCGCCATATCAGGTTCCAAAAGTGGAAGAAAAGAAGTCAAAACATACGAGATTTGGCTTCGTTGGCAACACTACTGTCATACTGTATCCCAAAAACACCGGCTTAAACCCGATTGAGACGCGACGAAACGAATTAAAACGCTGAACTTACATGTATCAGCCTCATGGGAGTAGAAGGTATCTTGGTTAGTGTAGATCTGCAAAGGAGATTAGCGATATATAATGACTTCTTGTTGGTACCCACACTGGAGTCGACAAGTGCCGTTCCTAACAACTTATCTGCAAAAAGATTATATACAAGGGACCATGATGACGAGTCGGCCGTCGGTCCGTAAGTAGAGAGGAGGTGGCCTGTTGAGCCGGCCGAGATCTGCCACTGCTCAACGTACGATTTGGCTGTGGACTGTTTTGAATCAGCACAGGACTAGCGAAATCGTAGTAACTTGAGTGGCGCACCGAGTATGTTTCAGCATCTTGGCTCTTTCCTAACGCTTGACTGATTTCTGACATAGCCTTGATGCCAATGATACCCTTAATGGCTAAGTTGGTCATGTTCGCATTGTCCAATCCATCTGCATCCGTGCTAGAAGAATGACGTGGATAAGAGTGAAGAGCGGTTGAAGGGAACTGCCAACACGCACTAGCCATTCGGGTCCAACGTAACAGAAACTAGGTAGTCTGCCCACCGCTTATACAAATTATACTTTGCATCACATTAGTCATAACAATCAGATGAAAGTGGTGCGTAGCGTACATATCGTGTTATTAGTGTACTATCACCAGAAAATCTGGCATGAGCCCAGCTCATGATGAGCATGTTTCCCGAATCTGCAGGGTCCATCAAGTGAATTCAACAAATTGGAGACGAGCGTGGCCCACCCTCTATTGCTCCGAATATTGATGGGCCATCGTTCCCCTCGGCACTTGGATACGACGAGCCTTGGAACGAGGATTAGAACACATGTCATGTTCCTATACAAAAGGACGAACCGAGATCTGGAGCTGCATAGGTCTTAGTATACTGTGAAGACTGTTGGTATTGCAGCAATGGTTCAAGAAGATATTCAGCCCATGTTGTATTGAAATAGAGATAGACGGGGAAGGCCGCATATAGTATTTCGACGGGATTAACGCGACTAAAAGGCATAAATATCTACTAACACGATAGGAAGGATTCCGAATTACTCACCGTGAGTTGCCCACATCCTTCATGAACGTCATCACATCCGATGTATTCCATTGTCCCTCGCTGTCTTTGGAAACCGTAATATCCACGGCCAATGCTTGACGAGCAGCGAGTGTAACAAGGTCCGCATAATTATCTGAGACCTGGCGGGCGTCGGACACGATCTTATCGTCGAGGTCGATGGCTCTTTGCCTAGCATTCGAGAAGTCACTGAGGAAAAAATCGATCTAGGCAGCAGTTGAGTGAGTAAAATCGATCTGAACGGGAAATCCAACATACTGCATCGCTGACTGTGTTGTATTCCGTCCAAAAGTACGAACTGCGATTGTTATTTGCACTCGTCGAATAAAGATTGATCACTGGATCACGGACAAGCCCTACTGCCCAGACAACTGACGAAGCTGTATTAGTAATGTTACTGAGATTGATGGCATGGCCAAACACGACGAAGTGGCTAACGAAAGATTTTAATGAAGCATAGACGTGCCCAAACACAGCAGCGTACTCTGAAATTGCACGGAACTTTGTATCCACACTGTCGAACAAAGCACCATTTTCTATAAAATCGCCCCGAACAACGGTGTCATTGCCGGTCTCATACGTTGCGTCATTGCTCTGCAAGAAGTGTCAGAAGTCTTTAGCTAGATTACTAAAAAAACAGACGAACTATAAGAAATGCGTAGTACACCGTCGCATCTTCAGCTAAACTATTTATCTCTTGCATAAATAAAGGCGTCTGTCGAGCAGCTTTATGGATAGTCGAAGAATCTGTTCTAGTAGTGCTCCACTCGGCCAAGGAATTGGAATCGCCAGAGATCCACTCTACATAGCGCAGGATAAGCTAAGGTAGCAATCATAAATATAGTAATACGCACCAGCGCTGATATCTGAATAGAGCTGTATTGAATGCTCTTGTCCGTCGTTCGACTCTACATCGATATAAACGTATGAAAAAGGCAGTGACTGAAGAACCAAATTTGACGGCTAAATCTATAAATTAGTAAAAAAAAAAAAAACAAAGGCGTCGTTCGGAAGGAGCTGACCTCTATTGGACTCAAAAATGTCACGTTCACATTCGTCGTGTTGGCATGTATGGAGAAAACGGTGCGAGTAGGAGTAACCTCGAAACTAGTCAAGTTTGTAGTGGTTCCAGATTGTCCCCACAACTGGAAGGTTGAGCCGTCGATACGAATCCATCCACTCCAGCCCAAAATCTAGAAACGATCAGGCAATTCGGAAGGATATAGCGGACGGCGAGCGTACCCTACTCTCAGTCCAAAACTGGGGCCACTGGTCATTAGTATTGTCACCGGCGAGGGTGTCGGCGTAGCACTGTAAGTACGGGGAGCGAACGGACAAAGGAAGGGCAGCCGGGTAAAAGGCAGAGCGAACAAGAGTCAGACAGGCGAAGCAAACAACGAAAAAAAGGGCGGATAGCAACATAACAAGTAGACCCTAGAAGATAAAGAGAGACTGGGTGCTGAGGTTGGCCCCAACGTGAGCGGGCCCTTCACCGCGCAAAACAGGGTTGTGGTCTGTCCTTACCCTGTAAAAATATCCAAAACGTTACAAAAGGACCCTGGGCACCAATGCCATACAAGGCCATCTGTAAGCGCATCAGGAGTATGCCAGTGCTGCGAAATGATGGCTGTGCTGTGGGTGATTCTCTCTATCTACGACATATTATGCCGTCACCTTGCGAACAGATAGTGAGATAAGTAAGAACGTCGTGTCAATAATACTGTATACATGAATGCAACCTTGTGAAGCTAGGATTCAAGTCACCGCATTTTCTACGCTTTGGGTCCGCGGCCACGTGCCCCATCAATCGTCTACTGATGCCAGTGGCACTGGCAGTGATCATTATCAATTTCCCTGTGCCTGCGCCGTCGAACCCGCTCATGTTTAGGCGTCTGTGTGTATCGATACCAGTAAAACGTTGCGTCCGAAGACTTAAAGAAACATTCGTGAGTTCAATTATAGGACTGCTATTTATCAATATAAGTAACAATAACAACATTAAGTCATACGTTGCACACGGCCTTGGCTGGCTGTTCCTTTTTTGATTGATCCTATATGTCGTAGCGCGATCAAGTGTTGTCATAGTAGCAGTAGGGCAGGCAGAGATCACACTTGCACCTGTTGACAACGCAAGGAGTATTGCGAGTAGTGATCAGTTATAGACTGAATGTTACATGTCAAACAAGAGAAACAAGTGTTACGACTTGATCGAGGAACCCTCATCCACGGTTCACGAGTCCCATGCCAGGCCGCTAAGTATCTTTAATCTCACCAAGGCTGCTGCTTAGACTCTACAAGCTACTTATTATTGGCTTTCCTATTGTAATGAGTCGATGTGCGATGACTGTGGAAGCTAACGGCACTTACTCTAAAGCACAAGATCCACGAGCAAAGTTAGAGACGGAAGCATACATGTCGTTGACTACTCTTTCCGTCTCTCCCAAATCTACGAGAAAAGATCAAGCACTGTATCATACAAACCCATAATCTAATAGGGTTTGCTTACCTGCAGCACTGTCTCCCCCAAAAAGATCATCTCTTTTCTGGTTTCCTCCACAATCAGATCCTGTATCTGATACCACCTCTCTCCAGCACGGACATGAACCTTCCATACTGTGTTGATTTTGTCTCGGGTCGTACCTGCGACGGATTCATGAGTCACATTGGCGACAAGGTCGTACAGCAGAGGCGACGGTGAAGGCGTGGAAAGGTACTCTCGCAAGTCCAATCCATTCAGCGGGAAATTAACGATGGTTGGGTTTTTCTCTTCCACAAAAGCGTTCTTTGTAAACCTTTTGAAGTGAAGAATGACATATGGTGGCAAGGATTGACACTGATATCTTCGCAAATTTCCCAAAGACTCTTGTGCTGTCTTTCCGTCATACTTTGCCAAGACCGACTGGAGTGAGACTTGTGGAATGATGTTTTTCTCTATGGCATCCTGGAATAGCGGAGGCGGAGGAAGGTCTATGGAAAGGAAAAGGAATGGTGAAATAGTGGATCTTATTTCCCGGTCGATGTCGAAGCGCGGCTTTGCGTCTCCGTCTCCAGAAACCACGACCTGCTGCGTATCGACGCGTAGCTGACCTTGGAACGTCGAGAATATGATACTGGAGTTCTTTTTCTTCGTACCCCCCGAATCTTTATGTAAACGATTCAACAGCCAGCCCAGAAAATCGACTGGGTCACCCTGCTGTTCCAGCCGGAACTTGCCACCGCTAGCACGATTCACCTCTTGTAGAAACTCATGAGGAGAGACCTGGGCTTTGAACAGACGAGGATTCCAAAGCTTTTTTGCTAGCGCCGAAAAGCGCCTGGTCAGCTCTGTTCCGCTGTTCGAGTTGGTAGGAGACAGAAGCAATGTGTCGCGGAGGAGTGGTATGTGGAGGAGCGCATGTATTATGACGTTCATGTGGTCATTATGCTTGATGTTATTAAGACCAACGTATCCGGGAATGTAGGCATTAGAGGCCAGGTCATAAGCTGGCTTGGGAGGCGGCTGTGAAGGAGTGGGTGGCAGATTGGATTTTGTAAACGTCGGATGAAGGACGTAGGCAATATCGTCCAAGGAGGGGTCGGAGACAGGATAACCATCTGGAAGCACATACACCTATACAACATCAACAGGGAAACGGAAGGAATACGACGAGTATCGCACTTTTGTCGTTTCTAGGTTGATGAATACATGGTGATCATCGTGAATGGAATGCGAATAAGCATAAGACTTCCTTCCACGCCCTTGGAAGTATTTTCCGCACACAAGACAGCCGTAGATATTGATATTGGAGGTAGATACTGAGCACACCTTTTCAAAGTCAAAATCCAAGACTGCGCGGTTGATCTACCAGGGGGTCAGACGGGGCCATCTCATACCGACAGAAACGTACCGTGTCCAGATACAAATCAGAGGCGCGGACTGGCTCGTCCATCACCGCATCCTCCTCCTCCTCCTCCTCTTCTTCTCGGTTGTTCTCCGCTATCTTGGCTCTCTTCGCCGGCCGTTCGTCTGAAGGTGTCTCGGCCATTGCAGTTGACAAAAGACACGAAGTGATGGATGATTTTGCGACTACTCAAAGGGCTGCATAAGACAAGAGCCAGCTTGACGAAACGTATACGAACCGGACAGGCAAAAGCCACTTGACGTGATGGTGTGTGGCTGTGCTCTTCCCGTCTGCCATCCCTCTCTCACTTTGGAACGCTCGAGGAAACAATCCACTGTACTTTTTCGTTCGACGGAACAAAAAATAGGATTCTTTACTCACAAAATACTCTGCGTTTTAACATGTCATCGCTCGATGATTATGATGAATTTGGCAACTACATTGGTGCCGACCTTGACTCCGACGACGAGGGCGATGTATCCCAAATCCCTTCGTATGCCCAGCCTTCTGGAAGTGCCGCGCCTTTAGAAGGATACGATGAGGATGTGCCGATGCCAGGACCAGACGACAATGCGCTTATGGAGATTAACCGTTTGTGTTTTCACCTTTCCAACATTCCCTTACTTCGTTGACCAGTCTTTTCTTGAACAGAACCTGTACATAATGCTGTCATTCTACACGAAGACAAACAGTACTATCCTTCTGCGTCAGACGTCTATGGTCCCGACGTTGAAACTATGGTCCAGGAAGAAGACGCCCAGCCGCTCACAGAGCCTATCATTGCCCCCGTAAAAGTGCGAAAATGGACAGTAGAGGAGAAAGATATGCCCGAAACAAGATTTGACAAAGGGTTGGTCCTCATTTACCAATGGTGATGTGGAAACTCTGATTTGGTCTGCAGGTTTTTGCTGAATATGACCGCTTACCCGGATATGATTCGTAACGTAGCGGTCGTTGGGCATCTGCACCATGGAAAGACGGCGCTGATGGATATGCTTGTGTTCGAGACGCACAAACTCATTTGGGACTCTGACCACCCGGTGCGTTTCTTGTTTCGATATCGAGAAGACTTCTCATCAGATCTCAGACGCGGTATACGGATACCCATGTCCTTTCTCGTGCCAGGGAAATCTCCATAAAATCATCTCCAATGTCTCTTGTTCTTTCTACGACAAGTGGGAAGTCCCATCTTATTCATATAATTGACACGCCAGGTCATGTCAACTTTGTCGATGAGGTTGCCTCAGCTATCCGTCTTGTTGACGGAATACTGCTGGTTGTTGATGTTGTTGAAGGCGTGAGCATCCCTTTGCAGTTTCTCATTTAATCCCGATGCTGACTTTCTAGGGCAGCTTATGGTGGGCGCTGAATCAATCATCCGACATGCTATTCAGGAAAATATTAAAATCACGCTCGTCGTGAACAAAGTCGACCGGCTGATTCTTGAATTGAGAATAAAGCCTCAAGATGCATACTACAAGATTAAGCATACAATAGAAGAGATAAATACGTTTATCAGGTGCCATCATTTGTACAATGCGTTTCTTTTCTGACCTTTGTCTTCCAGTAACATTGACCCAGATCCTGAACTCAGGCTTAGTCCAGAACACGGCAACGTTGCTTTTGCTAGCACTGACATGGGTTGGTGCTTCACCCTGCGTTCTTTCGCACAGATGTACGCAGACGCGTTTGGTCCGTTCTTCTTTTAACAAATCTTGGCTGCATTGTGATGGATCTTTTAAAAGGCAAACTTGACGTTACTGCATTTGCTGACAGATTGTGGGGCGACATCTACTTCGACTCAGAAACCCGAAAATTCACTCGCAAACCTAAAGATCCTGAACACAGCCGGAGCTTTGTACATTTCATTTTAGAACCTTTGTACAAGCTATACTCCCAGGTTCTCAGTGAGGACACTGAGACTTTGAAGGATACGCTTCAAGGCTTGGGAATTCAGCTGAAGCCTGTCATGTACAAGATGGATGTTCGACCATTATTGAAAGCTGTTCTTGATCAATTTTTTGGTCCAGCAACTGGTCTAGTTGATGTGATCGTGGATAATATTCCTTCTCCCGTCGAAGGCGCAGCGAACAAGGTATGCTATAAGCCCAGTCTATCGATAATGCACAACTGACGATAGAGCAGATTGAAGGCACGTACAGTGGCCCTCAAACTTCGAGTTTAGCTGGTTCAATGAAGGCTTGTGATGCTGATGGCTCTGTGATGGTTCAAGTCTCCAAATTATATCACACAACGGATGCCCAGTCTTTCCGCGCCTTTGGCCGAGTGATGAGCGGTACGCTACGAAAGGGCATGAGTATTAAGGTGTTAGGAGAAGGCTATTCTCCTGAGGATGAAGAAGATATGGTCACAGCCACCATCGATGATATTTGGATCAGTGAAGCCCGGTATGTCCCCTTCTAAATATCCAATCTGGTACTTATCTTCGATTCAGTTACTTCATTTCAGCTGAAGAAGTTCCCGCCGGGAATTTGGTTCTAATCGGTGGTGTGGATGCCTCAATATCAAAGACAGCAACATTGGCGGCTACTGATATTGAAGAAGGCCTACACATCTTCCGACCAATCAAGCATATGACACAATCCGTCTTGAAAATTGCCATCGAACCGATAGCGCCGTCGGAATTACCGAAGATGCTGTCAGGTCTACGCTCAATCAATAAATCATACCCGCTGGTGTCCACCAAGGTCGAAGAGAGCGGCGAGCATGTCGTCATTGGGACTGGAGAGCTGTACTTGGATTGCGTGATGCATGATCTAAGAAAACTGTTCTCAGAAATCGAGATCAAGGTGTCAGATCCAGTGACCAAGTTCTGTGAAACGGTTCTCGAAACAAGCGCTCTCAAGTGCTATGCTGATACCCCGAATAAGAAGTAAGTGTTATCTGTCTTATGCACGTTGTAACATAGTATTCAAGTGCTTGACTATTAGGAATAAGATCACTATGATTGCGGAACCTCTTGAACGGGGTATTGCGGAGGATATTGAACGAGGACGTGTTCACATGCGCATGACCGCGAAAGAACGAGGAACGTTCTTCCAGGAGCAGTACCAGTGGGATCTCTTGGCGTCACGGTCAATATGGGCCTTCGGTCCGGACGAAAACGGACCGAATATTCTGCTGGATGACACGTTACCATCCCAGGTGAGTACATCTTTTTTTTTTACCGGCTGTCTTGTTCACCGGGCAATTACAGGTCGATAAGAAACTCTTGAGTACAGTCAAGGAGCATATCAAGCAAGGATTCCAATGGGGCGCCCGAGAAGGCCCGCTTTGCGATGAACGTGAGTGCTCAAAGCAATTCCTCCATTTTCAGAACTCAGATATCATCCAGCCATGCGAAATGTAAAGTTCCGAGTGCTGGATGCTAGCCTAGCTCAAGAGCCAATTTACCGAGGAGGAGGGCAAATTGTACCCACGGCACGGAGGGTTTGCTATTCGTCGTTTCTGATGGTGATTTTTTCTTCTTTCAGACACAGATTTCGTGCTTATCATTCATAAGGCGACACCTCGTCTGATGGAACCTATATATTACGTGGAAGTTCAGACCCCTGCTGACTGTATCTCAGCCGTGTACACTGTTCTTGCACGGCGTCGTGGGCATGTAACACAAGACACACCAAAAGCTGGGTCACCGCTGTACACAGTGAAAGCCCTCATTCCGGTTATTGATGCCAATGGCTTCGAAACAGACCTGAGAACTGCTACCCAAGGGCAGGCATTCTGTCTACAAGTCTTTGACCATTGGTCAATAGTCCCAGGTGAGCTCGGTTAATTAGGTATCGATATGGTTCCAACAAGATATTCTGCAGGCGATCCCACGGACACAAGCATCAGACTCCGGCCACTCGAACCTGCATCAGGTCAAGCGCTGGCCCGCGATCTTGTGTTGAAAACGCGCCGGCGAAAAGGTCTTGGTGATCAGATTGCTGTCTCCAAGTACTTGGATGACGAGTTTGTGGTGAGTACAATTCGGTTCACGTCTTTGATCTGGCATGTTGAAATTTGCCTATTCGCGTCGCAGTTGGCTCTTTCGGCCTCAGGACATGCTGATCTTTTGGGTTGACGGTGTAAATGTTGTAGTAATGTAGAGCTGTCGTACAGTACTTGAGGAGCATGAGCCACGTTCCGAAAGAATGGAAATCCATTATTGTCGACGTGGAAATTGATCACGTGGAATGAGAGTACGTGGCCACAACCATAAAAGGTTCAATCCCCCCGGAATTGGTATTTAGGACCACGCAGGTACACTTGCAACTTTCCAGCTGATCCCTCCCTCCTTTCCTTTCTCCTTGTACACGGTTTACTTTCTCGACCTTCGTACCACCATGCGAAGCGTAGCATACTCTGTGCTTGCTCTTGCGGCAACCACTGCCTTGGCTCAAACAGACGACCCGAAACCATCTTTTACTGTAAGGTTTCTTCCTTCCTTACCTTTCATGCATGCTCAATCATTCTTCTATTATAGCCTACTGAAATCAAAGCGCCCTTCATAGAACAATTTACGGAAGATTGGTCTGGACGGTGGACGCCCTCAGAGGCGACGAAGAAGACGCCTGTCGGCGGAGAGACCTTTAGCTACGTCGGCCAATGGGAAGTTGAGGAACCTTCCATCTCGGTCATCGACGGAGACCTAGGTCTTGTTGCTAAGACCAAGGCTGCACACCATGCAATTTCAGCGGCTTTTGCTGACTCCGTTGACTTCAAGACTGAGCCTCTCGTTGTTCAGTATGAAGTCAAGTACCAGAAGGGCGGCAACTGTGGTGGTGGTTACCTCAAGCTCCTTGAAGACGGTTTCCAAACCAGCGGTAAGGAGTTCTCTGATACCACGCCCTGGGTTGTTATGTTCGGACCTGATCTTACGTGTCCTGGAACTAAGGTGAGAGGGATATGTCCTATGTCTGTCGTCAGTTGCTTAACCTTCGGCACAGGTTCATTTTATCTTCCGTCATACAAACCCTAAGACTGGCGAGACCGAAGAGAAACATCTCAAGCTGCCTCCCAAGCCCTCAATTGAAAAGAAGACCAACTTGTATACCCTCGTTATCAAGTAAGCTTCCCGTCGCTTTTTAGACTTCCCCCCATTTATGCTTCATTTTTAGCCCCAACAATACCTACGAAGTTTTCTTCAATGGAGAGAGTCAGAAAGCAGGTTCCCTACTTGAAGACTTCGACCCCCCGGTGAATCCGTCCAAGGAAATTGATGATCCTGAGGATACTAAGCCAGAGGACTGGGTTGACATCAAAAGGATTCCTGATCCTGATGCCACGAAGGTAAAGTTTTCTCCACTTTCTGGTTACCATGTCACTCATCACATCCTAGCCCGATGACTGGGATGAAGAGGCCCCCTATGAAATTCCTGACGAAGAGGCGAAAAAGCCCGAAGGCTGGCTCGATGATGAGCCCCTGACCATTCCTGACCCTGGTATGAATCGTTTTGTTTCGTTTGATTCGGTGGCCTAATACTATCGTCTATTTTAGACGCTGAGAAGCCCGAAGAATGGGACGATGAGGAAGATGGTGACTGGATCGCGCCAACCGTCGCCAACCCAGTTTGCGCTGAGGCTCCCGGTTGTGGCGAATGGAAACGGTAAGTCATCGATTTGTTCAATGGGGATGTAATAATAAGTGCTCGCAGTCCTACTAAGGCCAACCCTGCCTACAAGGGCAAGTGGTATGCACCAATGATCGACAACCCTGCATATATCGGCGAATGGGCACCTCGCAAGATCCCTAACCCCAACTTCTTTGAAGACTTGACTCCAGTTAACTCTCTTTCAAAGATTGTAAGCCATCCATGTTCGAATGTGGTGCTAGCTCATTCAACGATGTGTATCAGGGCGGTGTCGGAATTGAACTGTGGACCATGACCGAAGACATTCTATTCGATAATATCTACATCGGACACTCGCTTGAGGATGCAAAAGCTTTGGCTGCTGAGACCTTCGACATTAAGAAACCTCTTGAGGTTGCCACTGGCAAGCCCAAGGATGACGCCGATGAGGATGACCTCACGTTCCGCGAGGATCCCGTTGGCTACTTGCGTGAGAAGGTCTTCGACTTCATCGACCTTGCCAAATTGGATGTCGTTCTTGCCTTCAAGACACACCCTGAGACTGGCGCCGCTCTTGCTGCCGCTTTGCTCACATTCTTCGGCATGGTTGGCACTCTTTTGGGTCTCATTGGTGGTCAACAAAAGCCTGTTGTCAAGGTGTGTAGATAACATGATTTGTTTCTGTATCGTGCTGACATATGGCTCGTTAGTCCTCGAAAAAGACTGATGCTCCTACTCCCGACGACAAGAAGGCCGAAACGGCGCCTGTTGCTCCTGCTGGTGATGAAAAGAAGGAAGAAGGTGGTGCCAAGAAGCGCAAGTAAACAATTACATGGTCGCTTCGCTGACTACGTATGCTACATGATCCGCTTTGTTCATCTCACATTGTTTTCAATGTCTGCTATTGGTATTACAAGGTATCTCGATAACTACCGGGATATGGGAAGCTCGTCAGGTTGTAAAAAGTACTGAAAATATATTTTCATTCTTCTGTTACCTGTCAAACCAGGGTGTACCTACTTATATTGATTGGCCCTTTCCCCTTTCCCCGCAAAGTGAAGTCAAGGTCGGACACGCGGTGCAAGACTTCACGGCAATGTGTCGGAAGCTCGTGGCGAGCAGTGCGGTCGTATCCTGTATCCACTCTCCTCTTTCGAGACAGAAACGTTCTGCTTGTATGAATTGATGAGCATTCTAAGCTATGAAATGCCATTACACTTACCTTTCCTACAGTCCACGGGTAATCTGCGACGTGAACACCATCATATTTCATAAAGGTAAAATCCTCGCTTACTACTCTACAATACTACTACTAAAGTCAATTACGACGACAATATTGCATTACTGAGAGTAAACCAACCCCATGTAGCGTAATCCGCTATTTTCATCGTACAGTATGCAACAGTGATACAACTACAGTTTGTACGGTCACCAGGCTGACATGTACAGTCATTTACAATGCTTAAGAACGCTTGGCCGCTTGCTGCGTGGACCTGTCAGGGGTTGACAAAGATAGGGCATAAATAAGGGCACTCACAAGATAAGACATCAATTGTTGATAACTTGCATTAGCACTTGTTGCTGCAGATTGGGCTGAAGACATCATTGCTCCTGGCGGCGGCATACCATACGGAGGAGCACCGCCAGTAGAGGGTGGCGTTTGTGTTTGCTGCTGAGCCGACTGCAGAAGTGCCAGAACATTCGGGGGGAGATTGCTTAAAGGGTTAGTGGCAGGAGGCGGTATAGAACCAGTAGGCTGCGGGGGGGGTGGGAGATAGGAAGTAGCCGGAGGTGCAGCCGCGACGGCGGCCGGAGTAGGTGGGTAGAAACCAGGACCGGGACCAGAATGTTGCTGTTGCATTGGCGGTGGAGGCAATGTTGGCATATTGGTCGGAGGAGGCACAGTCCTGTTGGCCGCTGGGGGAGGAGTATTGCTCGCAGGTTGTTTGAGTGCAGCAAGCAGCTAAAAAAGATATATGTCAGGAAAAAAGACAGGAGACAAGGGAAGCTCTTACCTGTTGGACTTTTCTGGCCTGCTCAAGACGATCGTCCGAGACCTGCAATGATCAAAGGTAAGTTAAGGTAGTCAATTCTTCATGTCAAACGACTAACCGGTGGTGGAGGTGGTGGTGCATCATTATAGGATGATGAACCGTCAGTGTAGCTTTGAGGCGGACCATATCCTCCTCCTCCACGATTACCTTCATATCGATCATTGTATCTACCTCTACCGCCGCCATGTCCTCCATGGTGGTCATCATCGTATCGGGCACCTCCACCGCGACCACCCCTGTCACGATCTCTACCATAGTCGTTGCGGCGGTCGAAGTCATCATCGTGACCACCTCGACCGCGACCGCGACCGCGACCTCGTCCACGACCACGCGAACGGGATCCAGTTCCTTCATCCCACTGATCACGCCCGCCATCCCTAACAGGTTGTTATTACAAGCGTTGACACGCTAGGATCATAACATTTACCTGCCGCCGCCGCCGCCGTGAGGACCATCATTGCTAGCATCCCAAGCGAAGACAATATCCATCACTCCATCTTGCAGACCTTGATGGCGTAATCGATCATAGGCTTCGTCGCATGCCTAGCGCATTAGTGTATGAGTATATACAAGTCCGACTGAAGAAGCGAGCTTACTCGAGTGTCATAGAACTCGACATATCGAGAACTAGGCGTTAATTAGCGACCTTGCTGAGACGAACCGCGAAAACATAGATACTTACTCAATTCTTTCGCCTACATGTCTCACAGACTTCACATCACCGAACTGCTGAAACTTCCGCTGCACTTCGTTGTCATCAATTGGCTGACCTGATGGTGAACTTCTGAGAGTGACTTGTAAGCATCCTTGCATTTCCTGAGAGATATTCAGATATAGCGCGATGCAGAGTTCAGTAACATACATTGTTTTTGGCGTCCTTCGCGTTGTCGTCACGTGGAAGAGAATAGTGAACATCAATCTGTCATAGAATGCATGTGAATCAGACCGAGAGAAGATGTCATCAAAAGAGCTTACTGGTCGTCCGCTGATTTCAGACCCTTGCAGTCGCTCTCTGGCTCGCTCTGCAGCACGTAGATCATACTTCACACCTCAGGACTTAGTTGAGGCGTTCACAATTACGTCAAGGAACTTACGTATGACACAAATACCATCCCTCGGGTTGATATCAAGTCAAAAAAGGTCTTAATATCGCCATGCTCCTCAAATGAGCGCCGCACATCATTGCTGTTGGTTTCATACTGGGATGACATCAGCCATGCTCTGATAACACCCATCTCTTGCGAGAGTGGATGGTGCGCGGACTTGCCTTGATGTTACGGATAAACAAAGTCCGACAGGGACGTTCGCGCTGAATTCGCTCTTCAATGATAGAATCGTGAACTTTGTCATCTCTTTCCTTGCGAGGGGGAGGGGGGCGTCGCCCATGACCATAAGCATCGTCATCGAAAGCACCTGGAACGTCTGACAACGGAATGATAGATAAAGTGAGATTTACATCCAAATTCACGAAAGATAGACAAAGGCAGTATCCAGAAACTTTGGCACGCGAATGCACGCAGCAACAATCTGCGTTTGGCGCTTAGAACCTCAGCATTCCCATGGATAAATTAATGGGTGGATTCAGCGCCTCCCTGGTTTGCAAGCTGGACAGCACGTGCTCATCATCCTCGTCATGCTCAGCGTGGCACAAAACAGATTCGCCTTAGGAGATAACGAGCTCAAGCGATTCGCCAGATATCCGTGTGCCTTAACTTTACAAGTCCGACATGAAAAGGTGCCAGCTGCCACAACGATAACATTCAGTCTCAGATTTTCAAGCGCACCTTCGTATTTAGGGTAGCCCTGACTGTAACCTGCTGAAGGAGCAGCTGGGTATGGAGCTGACGGCCCAGCATCATAATTGCTCTGATAGTAGGGATCTTGCGGGGCATTTCTGCTATAGCCCATGTCGCCTTGCGGAGGTCCCTGATCATAGGCACCATAGTTTATGTTGTCGTAGTAACCATATCCCCCGCCACCTCCAGCGCCGCCTCCGCTGCCACCACGACCACGACCATATCCTCTCCCACGCGTAGGGGGACCACCTCTATAATCTGAGAAACGATGCGTGCGCTCAGGCCCTGGACCCGGTGGAGATCCTCCACGACGAGCCATAGGACTGTCTCCGTACGGGTGGTGACGATTCATGGCTTTTCAGAACGTTGCGATACAGAATTTGGCTCAGTGACGTGGATGATGCTGAGAGACGAGCGGTGTAACGATATAGTGATAATGGATCCCAATGAAGAAGGATATAATGGACAACGACAACGCAACTCAACTCAAAGGTAGGCGACGAGCAAGTCAGACGCTGGTGGATGATAGGTAAAAAGACAAGGCGTTTTCAATCTCCGGTTCTGTAAAAATTCACGCTCGGCCGTTGCCGCGTCACTGCGTCACTGCGGTCCCCTGAACGTGGCCTGAACACCATTTTGGTATCCGTACGTACGTCCCCAGCGCCTCGTACTGTCAAACCATCACTATGTCCAAGCAATTCCAGTTCAAGCTCGTTCTACTGGGTCGGCTATATCCTACTCGCTTTATTCATTACTGACATGCTTCGCGTTGCCAGGAGAGTCTGCTGTCGGCAAGTCGAGGTAAGCACACCTACCGCATACATGGCCTCATGTCAACCTTGTGATGGGTGTAGTCTTGTACTGCGTTTCGTGAAGGATCAGTTCGACGATTACCGGGAGAGTACGATTGGAGGTGTGCCCCCGCTATATCATATCCGCACCGTGACCTGATACTGTCTGCCCAATACAGCGGCGTTCTTGACGCAAACTGTGACTCTAGAGGACCAAATGACTGTCAAGTTTGAGATATGGCAAGTCTGTGAGGCGTTTTAATCGAGAGATACTAACGTCGTCATCGTTATCGTCTTGGCAGGGATACTGCTGGTCAAGAACGGTACAAGGTAAGCACAACAGCTATCAAGCAGCAGTCTGATAACTCATATCTATTGACATCCAGTCTCTCGTGCGTCTCACGGTTCTATACAGATATCTACCAGCTATTGACATCATACTAGGCGCCAATGTATTACCGTAACGCCAACTGTGCTGTCGTCGTTTATGACATAACGCAATCCGCTTCGCTCGAAAAGGCACGCACATGGATCCGGGAACTGCAGCGTCAGGCGGACCCTTCGATAGTTATCGCACTCTGTGGCAACAAAACGGATCTTTCGGCGCGCAGACAGGTCACGGAAGAGGAAGCGAAGAAGTATGCCGACGAGGAGGGTTTGATGTGGGGCGAGACAAGTGCTAAGACGGGTGAGGGTGTTTCGGATATATTCATGGCCATAGGTTTGTCGTCGTTTCTAATTTTTTTCTGCTGCTTAACATTTTCACAGCTAAGAAACTTCCGCTAACCGCACCTTCAAGAGCAGGAACCAGCCGTACTGCCCCTGGTGCACGAGCAGGAGTCGACCTGAATAAACAATCTGCTTCGGTGGGCCAGAATGACAACTGCAATTGTTAATTCCGTCCCTACGTTATCCTTACATTCCTCGCCTCGCATGTTATCTTTCGCTTGTAATTTACCTTTACCTTTTACTTTTCGGACTAAATATGGGATGCATCTTCACCCGATCTAATGTTCGAATAGACTCCTCGGCTGCAAGACGTATTATAAAGCAGACCTCAATATTCTTCACGACTCGGCCGGGGGGAAGAGTTTGATGCACGAAGTGGCCGCTTCTTTCAGTGAAAAGTGGGGGGAAGATCTATTATTTAATGGAAGACTGAGTGACTCGACAAAATGTTTACACTGCTTTTCATATCGACTAGTATGTGCTTACTACAGGCTCACTATCGTAGTTTTTGGCTGCCCCTCTCGCCCGTCGGAAACCCCGCTCCTTCTTTCGATCTTCCTTCAATCGCTCTTGCAATTTCTCATATCCAACCGGACCCTTCAAGTTCTCCCCCTTCTGCTCCTTGCTACGGCCTTTTCCTATGTCTGCACCTTCCACCACCGGACCCTCCTTTTTAGCCCGCTTGGGTTGGAACCGTTCCTGGCCCGGTTTCTTAGGCTCATGCGGAAAAACATCCCCCCAAGCTGACTTGCGCGCATCGTAATACTCCTGCTTCCCCTGCGACCTTGGGATGGTCATTCGCACGATTTTTCCTTCCTGAGTGCATCCATCGAGAATGATATGACCGCCCTTTTTCAACGGAGGAAAGACAAGTCGTGGCCAAGAGTAGGATTCGTGTCGAAGGGCAGCTACGAGATTCTCGTGTGGTTCCTTGTCAAGCAATGGCTCTTCTTGTGGCTCAAGCTCTCCAAAACCCTCAGTGAGAACAATTTCTCTGACCTCTTTGGCTTCTTCCTCAGCCTCCCGCCGTCCGATGCTGCCTATCCGGCCCAACCCCTCGCTCAACGGAACCCTCAGAGGCCTTGGTCCACGACGGATAACGACATAAGCATACCCTACATCCTCATGCCCGCGACCTGAATGTTTTGTTTTCCTCACGAATGACGGTCTCTGAAGTCGCTGTTCAAAGATACAGTGGAGTTTGGTGCCAAGTAGAGGACACTCTCCATCGTGGGCACAAGGCGCGACGACATGTGCACCTTCGCCTACCTTTCCAGCACCCTCGCCTCTAAGCACCTCGTGCTCCCAGTCGAATACAGAATCGCTTCCAACCCTGGACATGCGAAGCAAGGCTTCACGACCCTCTGCAATGGCAGTAAAGCCATCCTTCGTGCCATGGTCAATCAGTACAATTGTCTCCGCACCAGAATCCCACATCTCCTTAACAATCTTTTTCCGGAGAAGAGGAGTAGATTGTGCAGAGAGTGTAAAAGCACTGATGGCCAGTGTATTTGGGACTTTGTCGAGTGAAGGGTAAGGTAGACCTCGTCGAAATGAGATATCAGACATTGGTGGTACAGGTATCCCGTGCAAGATTCGCTTGCCCATTTCGACCAATCCGTCACGTTTGTCGATTCCGAGGTAAGAATCGAGTGTTGAGTCAGCTGCCTTCAGCTGTTCGACGGGCCTTTCAATATCTGGCTTCTGAAAAACATGAAGAGCCGCCCATAACACGCTTCCAGTGCCTGCCCCCCAATCAACGACTCGTTCAACAAGCCATTCTGGACCGATTCTATGCTTCACGTGAGATAAGACGGCTGTAATGGCACTGTAGTGGGCGGGAAGCGCAATACTCGCGAAGGCCGTTCCATCTCGCTCCGAGTGGCGCATACGGTGCTCCCATGATTTATATTTTTCGTCATATTCTGTGTCCCACTTATGGGTGTCGGTATGATGGAAGAGACGCTTTGCATCTTCATGTAATCGGTGCTTGTCGACATCTAGTAAATTTTAGTGTCTAAACTTGAAATTAAGATGGAACCGGTACCTTCAATCAAGGCCATTATGGCATTCTGCAGCTCCAAGGGAAGTATTACAGCACCAATTTGCTTGCTGCCAAATGTAGCAGCGGGTGACTTGCGAGTGGACTTTTCACTGGGCAATTCATCCTCTTCGTAATCCAGCAAAGGGTCAGCCTCTTGAACAACTTCTAGTTCCTTGAATACCGGCTGGTCCTGCGCTTTATGATGGAGTAAGGTGATGTCAACATCGTTGAGAAGGGCCTGAAGACTGGGATCAAGGTTGAGACGGGGATTAGGACCTCGACGAGAAACAGAAGTGCTAGAAAAGGCTCTCCGGAGGATATGACGGTACATGAAGACCTTAATGGGAAAATAGTGAAAGCCTTTTGTTGCTGAGCGTATGACGAATGTTCGGGTCGAAGGTAAGGATCGTTTTGAAGACGCGATAATTTTTGAACTCCGTCACGCACGACTACATACCGCCACCTTGTTAGCCACTAATATCGCGACAATCTTCAATAATGTCCTTGTCAGATGATACCTTGAGGAAGGCTTGTGCTTCTTTTAATCTACTATCAACAGCATTGGATTAATAGGCCCAATCCTTCAGATTTTGGTTCAGATCCAGCAGACAGCTGTTCAATCGCAAAGAGCATTGAGTCTATCCCAGCAACAAACTCAAGCAAAGGAACGAGACAGGCGGAAGATCCAATTGACGATAAAGGAGCTTGAGACCATCGAAGGCAATGTGAATTTGTACAAGGGCGTCGGGAAGATGTGCGTACATTTTCGACTCACCAGGGATGTACATTTCGACTCTCTTCGTCTCTAGGTTCATGATGGTCCCCCGCAAAGAAATGGAAAACGATCTGAAGGCACAAGAGAAAGAGCTGAATGACGATATTAACAGCCTCAACAAAAAGGTTTCTTCATCTAATTGCGCCCCATCCATTACTTATTGCTAACGCCATTGACAGTCAAAGTATCTCGAAAAACAATTCAATGATGCGCAGGCTCAGTTGCGCGACATCGTACGTTCACCAGCCTGCTAACTACCACTTGTCACTGACCATTAAACCAGTTCCATCATTCACCAAATCAATAGGAATACATTCCTGCCTTTCCACCTATTTTCTAGCAGTGTAATATTATAATACGACATTTCATTCCCCTTCACTGAAATTCCACTGAGAATGCCAGAGCACAGTGGTTTTATTGGTCGACGCTACAGATCCTATACATCATCTTCTAGGCCATCCTCGATCATCTTCGCATAATCTTCATAACTGGCGAAGGTGGGCAACGACTTGAACTTCTTCCTCTTTCCCTTGGACTCATCTGTTCGTTTGCGTTTCCCATTTCCGGAATCAATACCTTTCCACTCTTCCTTCTCTTCGGATCCATCGTATTCAATCAGTCCCTCTGGCATGTCGTCGTCCAATGAAATTAGATCATCGTTATCGGAGTCTTCAACTAACGAAAGATCGTCACCATCGTCAGGCTCTTCGTCATTGTGTTCATCAGCGTTAAAGTCTAACGGTAAGTCATCTTCGTCGATGTCACTATCTTCCATGAGATCGTCGTCGCCTTCCGCCTTTGGCATGCTAGCCTTCATGGCCTGAGACAACGAATTGAGGGTGCTGTAGTTGCTATAGAGAGCAAAATCTCACCTTCCAGATTTCTTCCTCATCCTCGCCGTCACTGTCCTCAGCAGTTTGGTCTCCGGCAGCCGCAGCCTCGTCGCCTGTAAGGTCCATGTCCTCACCGCTTACGCCACTTCCATCATCGCCATCCTCGTCCTCATCCTCACCGACGTCCTTTTCAACTTTCGATTGGTTCCTATCATTCTTTCGGGCGAAAAATTTGTGAAAGAAGACCTAAATTCAAGTTGTCGTCATGCATCCAAGGACAGGAAGTGATCACACGAACCTCGTCCACAGGCACGTCCTGTATCCTCATTTTCATAAATGCCACATCGTTCACCAGAATGTTCCCGCTTGCGTCACCTTTCATCAACTTGACGCCTGTTCCATCGAGCCCGCTTGCGGCAGGTTGCATTGCACTGGCTCCTTTCGTGGTCGTAGACTTTTTCGGATTCTTGTAAACAAACCGATCCAAGAAATGCGAGAGGGTGTTCAAGGACAGGTCGGCACTGGCGGTCAATGGCTGGGAAGAAAGGATTTGACGCGCATGCAGAGATATTGTTGGATGATAGTGGTGCAGCAAGGGAGTCTGGGAATGTTGAATTCAGCATTAGACACTCGAGGATCTTGTAACGCCAGCTTACTAGTTCCCAAAGCGGTGAAGAAGACGCGTGAGCATACTGCGGGTCCCTTTTACGAGGGTCATAGGGTTCAGCGTCTGTTTTGGGAGGACTGTAGATCATCTCCTTCAAGCCGGGGGTAGTGCTGAACAACTGAGCAATCGATAAGTTTCCGTGTCAGACTGTAAGGAAGGAAAAAGAAGTTTACCTCTCCCAATAAAAACAACCCTCCAGCGACGAACTCCGTTGCCCCATTACCACCTGAGACCAGGACTTGAACGAAACGCCGTACTAAAGCTTTGACGCGCTCTCCCTCGACCTTTCCCATGTCCGCCTTAATTGACTTGAATAAAAGATTCAAGTACATAGCTTGTTTTGACGATGATGCCAAGCGTGCATCGTGAAGAGAGTCATAAAGGGTGCGATAGAATCGATCAATGATTGACTTCGACAGTGTGGATGAAGAGGAGGAGGATGCCTTGACTGTAGATAAGGAGGCGGCAATCTGCTGAATCAGCACCAAGGCTTGCAACGAGGTATTGAACGTTGACGTATGTGTGATCAAGAACAACGTGTCGATGTGTTTTGAAAGTCTATTGCGACGATTAGCGTTATGATCATGTCGAATACCAACGAGGTTTCACCTAGCGTCGCCAACATCCATTTTCGCAAAAGGTAATGCACGATTTACTCCAGTCAGAATTGCAGAGATGAGCTTTGAGTTTGCATCTTCGACTTCCGTGAAGCCAGCAGCACCTCGTATCTCTAACGTCTTCCCTTTCCCTTTGAACTTTCCCCTAAGTTTACCCTTTCCGCGCTTGCCATCAATCAACCGTCCTGATTTGTCTTTTGCTGCCTCTTTCTCTTCAGGATCGTCATGTTCTGTCCCTACACCATGATCGCTTTCTCCAAGCAGCTCCTTGAAGATCTCGAAATATAGATCGATCAGTTTAAGCGCCACTTCCCGGTCATCAAGAGTAAGAAGGATTTGGTTGAAAGTGATTGTTGCATAATATCGGGCATGAGGGTTTCCTACTTTTTTCTCGGCGCTGATTGGTTTCGGTTTGTCCACCTCGTTGAATCGTATGCGGCGGTTTGCTACTTCAGCTGGTATGGCTATTGATGATGATGATGATGTAGAAGGTGGAGCAATGGGACGGAGAACAAAGGAAGTGATCTCGGTTACAATCACCGATTTCATTGACGGATGGGTCTGAAGGAGCTGGAGAATATGATGAGATGCTCGTGAGCAGATTGATTTCTCTGTATCGCCCTAGCGAATCCATGAGGGTGGGGACAAAAAGAGAAAAGGAAACCGCGCACGAGCTTGTTCACAAGCAACCGAAGTAGATTCTGCTCCTGTTCGGGCTTATCGCGTAACAAGGTACATATGAGATTCAGGGATTGCGTTCGGACATAAGGCAGGGAGTCCAATGATAACATCTAAATCGTAGTATATTAATCACCTCTTTCAGAGGTTTATGCTACGGACATACCTCTAGAATCTGGAGGACGGAGAAGAAATATTTCTTCAACCAGTCCTCAAAGTACCACAGTAACAAGTGTTGGTCTGTTACAGACGAATGTCGAACTGGTCGGTCCCGGAAATACCTGGATTATTGTAAGTTCCAGGTAGGCAACAGTCTCAAGGACAACGAACTTCAGCTTCCGGTTTGGCGCACCACCACCTACCCACCAGTCGACGATACATCGCAAAGCCTTCAGGCTCTCCCCTCTTCCGCCTTTACCTTTTCCGCGTTCCGCCATGCTTTTCAGTGTTTCCAAAGCCTTGATATTATGTATCGGCCCACTCTGAACAAGTAGTGTCAAGGCACTCAAGCGGTCAGATAGAGTTCCGGACTGTATGATCTTGGAGAGGAAACTCGCTTCCGAAGTTTGAGAAGATGAGGAGGATTTGAAAGTTTCGATATCACGAGAATGTAAAGATGCAGCGTAGGACGCTTGAGACCCGACATCTGCAGAAGTAGTCGAAGACGTCACTGGTATTTCCGGGACGCTCAAAGAATACCACTGAGGAGTAGGCTGGATAATAAATGCGCTTTTTGAATTGAAGGTGATCTTTTTCGGCAGTAGAAATGCTTCAGAGACTTCAACCTGAGGAGTCCCATGCTTCTCCACTGAAGGGGCTTTCTTCTCGGTATCAACCGTCTTATTTTTCTTCGACTTTTGAGTCCAATTTTGGTCCTCCTTTCGTCGTTCCATAGCTTTGACTTTTCTGCTAGTCTTTCCCCCAGTTTTCAAGTCCTGAAGGAAGGAAGAAACATCGTCGGCCAGCTTTGGCTGCAAATATCTGTTGGGTAAAAAAATAAGGGTACAAAGACTAGCTCTACTCACGTCTACTGGTGCTGACCCCGTCACGGATACATGTCCCACATTCGTCACCAAATCATAATCGTCCGCTGTTCCACCCAATACAGTGATTTGCTGCCGTAGGACAATATTTTTGTCCTTTTTAGAGTTGGAGTCTTTCTTCGTAGATGTCCTGTTATGACTCTTAGATGAGCCCTTGTCCTTTGGAACGCGTGCCATTTGGAAAGCAAAATTTGAGAAGTGAACAGGAAAAAGCTTGGCTGTGGCTGTGATGCTTGATTGCTCATGCTTGCTTGCACCATTGTAAGTTCAACCTAATCACTCTTCTGCAGCTTCTGGTCTATTTTTTGACAACGTACAAGACTGGCGTCCTATCTTGGAGCAAGAGATACCAATACGACTGAAATGTATTTCTGATTAATTTGTAAGCCTCAGATGGACACAGAACTTGATACCTGTCCTGCGAATGATACAAGAACCGGGCCTGTTCCTTAGCCTTTGGCGGCCCTCTGTAACCTGTGCTGTCATTGAGAAATTCATATTTCTCTGATGGCGAACTATTCTTGATGATAATAATGGTTCGCGACTGGTCCGATTCGCACCTTCTTGGACCAACGGTCGGCTTCTTTGCGAGTTCGGAACTTCACTGCGAGTCGGAATAGTTGAACCTATCTGGCTCGCTTGTTCTTTCTGTACCTTCGCTACCATCAGCATCTCGGATGGCCTCTAAAGGAGTTACAGACTGACGGCTCACCCGTATTTGTTCTTAACTCCCTGATTTCGAAAACCATAACTTTATCTTGTCTTTGTGTACGTGAGTTCTGCTCTCCCTGTCGAATTTTTAAGGATCCGAAACTTTCGCAGCCGCTTCTCGCTAACAGATGGAGCGCGTATTTGCTCTGCACATCTGGTTATCAGCATTCTGGATCGCCGTCTGGATCACCTGCCGTCTTTTCCAAGACGCAGATGTCAATATCTCCAGGTCCCTGTAGACTTGTCTCAATCGACCTCAGTGGAGAACAGCCTTTTCTTCTTACGCACATCTGCCCATTACAGAGAAAATCCGTCTTATCCGTATGTGGCGCCACGCAAATAATATCAACGCAGCCCTAAGTATTTGATTCACCTTCCGGGGTTAACGTTCAGTAATAACTGCCGCAGTGGCATTTCTCGATAGCTAGTCATGACCTGTTCCCCGATAGGCTCTTGTCTAAGCTAGGATTAGGGATAGAGAGGAGGACCTCTATCTAATGACGGCTCCTTACTGTACCCGAAATCGGATAAATCGATACTTGCCATCCGAGCCCAAACCCTCCCGCTTGTGCTATGGTTACTTCTTTCCTCGACATCGACAGCGTCTAACATGTTGGCGATTGTGCTTAGGGAGTCGCTCAAAGCTGCAGTGCGCCAAGCGTAGATGGCAACAATTGCTCGGAGGCTGTGTGGATAAAGCTCGAGGTTTGTAGGACCTGGTTGTTCGACAGTTTGGTCATTTTTTGATGAACAAGTATTAGGCTGGGCTCTGTCGAGAGCTCGAATCTGTTCATGAATATTCGCGGGGGAATGGGGTAATGGGATTAGGTGTGACATCTTTATCATGAACTCAACATTAGGATGAAGTAGCATTGGTAGATCTTGCAAAATCCCTCCCCGTCAATACACTGTGATGCTTCGAGTTTCAGTCATGAAGTCATTTGCGGGACATCCCCTCGCATTCTTACTTCGGTGCTTATTACCAGCATGTATCAACTGATTGGAACCTACGGTAGGATACAGGCTACCATCCGGTGAGTGTAGCAACGGATCTTATTGCCAGTGTTTGATTTCACCCGGAGAGCACCGTGTAGAGGAAAATTTTCCTGCCGGGTGTACCGTAGCAAGTAGTGAAAATGATACATCCGGGGCTTCTGTAGACAGCTGCTTGTGCGTTTGTGTCTCATTTCTATCTATGTATAATAATGATTCTATGTCCAAAGTCTGAGGGCAGAGGACTCAAAGCCGCGCAGATCCACGACCGTCAGGCTATCCGTACTTAGCTGTTTTAAACTGCTTTTTATCTAGAATTAACGTACTGATGGTTAAAACCAAGACAGTCAACCGCATCCTGATATCCCGCTCTTTGTTTCATCTCGCTACTATTGAGTGCTGTTGACGGACAAAAGAACTTTAATTTCCAGACTTGATTTCCCATTGGTGCCTGTTTTCAGGTGTGTGGTCGGTGCTGGTCGCAGAACAGCGGTCCCTTCATTCCTGTCTCAGGCTAAAGTGGCATTCATAATTAACATTCTCCGTGAGAAGTATTTATGTGTGTAGGCAAACCGAGACCATGTGTTGTACCCGTCCTGATCGCTGGGATGCTTACCGTGATGCGCATTAGCCTGGATCCAAACACTGAATATGTAGTACAGTTAACAATTATTCCGTTGGCTTGTTGTTCATTAGATATAAACTGCTAACGTTGCGTTTTGGCTAGCAAGAGAGCTATTCCCATCCTAGTCAACCCCATTAGAATAATTACCAATGCCATTGCAATAAAAGGTTCTGGCCTTCTTCAGATGTTACTCCTTCGGCGCCATTTCATTAATCTGATGGAATTGTTCCCACGAACATCAGATTCATTTGAGGATACAACCCCCCCCCCCCCTCTGATTCGTTATGAATTTAGTATCTTAGGGGCCTGTTAAACATATTGCTTCAATTGTTACTGATGCCACAGATTTGAGACGTTTTTACCTAGTGGGGCGAACGATATTCTCTGGTTCTGCATCATACAGATTTTAATGAAGGAACGTTCCTAGACGAGGAAATCATTTACAGGATCCAGGACCGCAGAGCAGAGGGGTTTGATCGATCCTTGGACAAAGTGAATGCACTGTAACTTAACTTCATGCAAGTACATGCTCGGAGTCATCCAAATCTTGTTGGAACATCTGAATGGGATAAGGATTGCCTATGGAGCCCGGCCGTCCGACAGGACAGTGCCTTGGATAATAGTCTCACAACTCGAGGTTTCTAAAACATGTGCACAGACCCTACACATTTTTTGGTGTGGATTTACTATCTCCCTGCTTCTCACTATTGCTGCTCGGGCCTACGGACTTATGATCTGATAGAACGTCTACTTGAGTGATCACAGGGTCAGAGCTCTTGGGTTTCGGGTGTGATTGGTTTGCTCTTAAGCGTCAACGTCAATAGATCAATGGCAATAGCTCGTAACTTTCCCGACTTACGCGTCTTTGACTAACGGTTCGAATATATACAACCCAGATACGACCCCTGGAAACATTGTCGTCAGCAGATGAAAGGTTTGCCCTTGTATGGAATCTACAATACCTACGGCTGCCGCACCGAGAGTTAAAACAAAGTTCAAAGATCGAGGCGGCATGTTGAGTATGAAAGCGGTTGATTACGTACAATAGTCACACGAAATTTAAATCGCCGTGTTATTATTGTAGAGATTCTAGAGAAGCGCATACATAGAATAAATATACAGTTAGAAAGTCGTTATTAGTGACGCGTGATAGTCATGCTACACCCAGGCCCTAGAAAATAGGATATAAATGTACATCGGCCAAAGCTAAGCAGAGAAGAGCGTAATCTCACCCGAAGAGCTTGCTTAGCTGCAATTTCCTTAGCAGCAGATTTGGAAGGGCCCACCCCCATCCCTTTAATTTCACCAGACACTAGTTGCCCCCTCGTGAGTGATGTGCGTGTTAAGGAGAGAGGTCCAACCTTTGCAAACAACGGTCCACTCAGCTCTGTCGGAGGGCCCGACGACCGACTCTTGATAACTCAAAACGCTCGTGTCGCCCCTAGCCTGGAAGTCTGAACAAGAACGATGAGCATCAAGGCGGACGTTTCTAGTCGAGATGTCTTGCAATTGTTAAGCTGGGTGACGAATTCTAAGGTACGGACCAGTAGGTCAATTGCTGAACAGAACAGCATAGTCTGACCACTCACTAGGCATCGTATCACTCTGATAGAAAAGGAAAAGGACGGCAGCCTTGCGTTTCAAGTACCTAGGTCTGACCCTTTATACGACAAGACGTAGCCTGTCTCCTAAAGTGGAGGCAAAGCGACCTCTAACCTAAACAGATATCATCAGCCGCCGAAGAACAAAATGAGTTTATCTCCTTCTCCCACGTCCCAGTAGTAAGGAACCGCCAATTTATCTCAAACGCGGATATGTATCAACTCCTCTACATTGGCGCCGGGGACTAAGGAATAGGTTACCAGAGACCCTTGACCGAGGAACGAGAAATCAAACTGACGTTCAGTCATGGTTCGCAGCAGGTCCATTGGAGCTGGTTGCTGACCTTTACTACGGATCATCGGTCCACAGACACGCCAGTCGAATTGGATTGACAGGTAGACCATACGTCAACAATACCGCTGATATTTCCGCAAATAAGGCGCGGGGGTACAGATACTGCGGGCCCGTGTTATACGAGGACAAATGAAGCGCTGCAGGTCGTAAAGGAAGAACACTTGCTCCTATTCTCTGGACCGGATTCACCAAGAGATCGGATTTTGTGGACACAGTTCAGTTCATTATTTTGATTTTGTTTATGGACTGCTATAGCATATTTCAAACCGCTGGCTTGATATTTTAGTGGTTCGAATTGGATGATCCTTGATACCAACAATACGGCATCAAATGCGAACTCGGAAGTACCTAGTCTTTAAGCAGCCAATCAACACCAGCACGAGAGCATAACAGGACGCACCGAACCAGTTCTCAAAATCGACCTGGATTGAACAAATGAACGATCCATCCTGGCTTTGATGTTACTAATGAATGGTCCCTTGCAAGCTGAGCGAAGCTTGGTTTTGGGATTTCAGCCAACTTCTCTACCATCATGACCAACGTCAAGGGGAATCAGCTAGCCTTACCTACAGGAACTTTTTTTAAAAAAACAGGACAGTTGTACCTCTTATCTGGCGCTTCATTGAGTCCGACAGAAAAAGTTCGGTAAGCAAGTGAGAATTGGGGATGTATGACCAGTTTGTTGAAAGTCAACCATCGCTATTGATGTCCTTTAATCAACGCCTCTAAGGTCTGACTGGCGGCAATGTCCCTGGCGACATGTTTCTGAGCCCCTGTACCGATCCCACGGGCCTGTCCATCTACTGTAGAGAAAGTAAAACGAACCCGAGCTGAGCGACGAAGAAGCCTAGACGTACTTTTACATATACACGTCCAAGTTGGTCCATAGAGAGCCCGATGTGGATTCGATCCAGCTCAGTGATGCTAACATCACTTCGCTTTGTAGATCTGTATGTACGGTGTTTGTTAACCAACCGGAACCACGGGAATGCGCATATAGTTGTTGAGCTCGACGCTACCTTAGGTAAAGAAATCAGACAGAGAGAGGCGCCAAGTCGAAGAAACTAGGACATACCGCGGTTACTCGGCATTTGTAACGATGTGTGCAACGGTGCATTATTGGGCAGCGAAGTCTTTTAGACGTAGTGACAGTGCCGTTGCAAGGCCGAGTGGAAGGAAACCGATTGGCGGGGATCTACTCGCTGTGATCATTCACCTGTGTCTTTGGACCAGAAACATGTTTTAAAGTCACCAAGCCAAAGAACGACGAAGATCCGAACTCTTCTAAAGTGAAAGAACACGCTGGACACATGGAAATATATCGATTTCACCAGCATTGAACACACGAGGGTCCGACAGCGGTCGAAGCCTATCGGGGCTGTTCAGTTGGACTACGCGGGAGCCGAGTCCTGCAACAAAATGAGAGAAGAGGAAAAAATTTGTTTACCTTTGGTCAGTCACACCATGAGGCAACATGGGGGACGAGCGAAGCACTTGAAGTATCACAGTCCAGAAAGAAGGAAGACGGTACAAAGTGAAGCCTGTCCCAACTTGAAATACGTGTCCAAAAGAAGTTTCACTTGGGGTCGGATAAATAATGTGAGCGTAGCATAAGCGAGGTAATTCAAGTAAACTGGTTACCTCGGGGTCAAATTTTCCAGGAGTAAACGTAGATAGACGAGGTCCTCGACCGTTGCATACATTTATCCTGTGAATATCACGACCCAAGTTTTTGTCGTCAACCCTCGTCGAGTGCCGGCCCTTCCTGACGGTTATTGATCTGCTAATAGCCGGAATAAAACAAAGAGAAATCTATCATCGACTATGTAGTCCACACCCGACGATATGGGACCTCTGGCTTGATCCCTGTTGGCTGCTTCTACGAGCCTCGAACACTAACCGGCATACTCCGAAAGGAACCAAAGTAGCTGTGGGCTTCGTATATTGCGAGCTTCCACCGTATTACAGATTGAAGGTCAAGAATCCAAAAGAATACGGGTTCTGACAAAGAAGTTCACTCAAGAGGTGCATCGCTACCTTGCGAGGGGCTACAGTAATCGAACGACGGATCGCATACAGGAAGGGAACCAAGTATTCATGATCCGTCGTGATACTGATGCGAAATCAATCAGTCCTCATGATGCATCATGCCCAACGCTGTGCATTTGACCAAGTTACAAGCAGCATCGAGACTGGGGTTAACTTTAGAACATCAGGAAGAGCTTGCAGAGCGAAACTTGCCGTTGGAAGCCCACCACGCCTCCAGTGCCGGATCGAATATTAGAAATCCCTCCCTGTTCGTCGGTCAGATTTTGGGATAAGCCCTAGGCCACATGTTATTCCCTGAGAGTCCAGATCACCACGACGGGAAACGGCATTCTTCTCCAGCTAACCGCTTGAATAAAAAGGTAGCTGTCAGACGGTTAAAAATTGATATCGAACAATTTAGGGGAATATGTGCGGCGCTGACCAGTAACGTATTAGAAGGAGAGGACAGGAACGAATGAATTGAAACTCCGCCTGACGGAGCCTGTATTTTCCTGGTGCTCACTCAGATCATTCCATCAACTGTGTCTCCCGTAAGGACGCTGCCCTCAACCCTTTCTTCAACTTTTATCTTTCTGGTCGCTGTCCTCGGCGACACAGTCGTTGCAGGTACTGCCCCTTGTCATCTATCGACGTCGATTCCCTTGACTGCCTACACCCCTCTTTCTCACCTATTCTCGGCCCCTCGCCTGTCTTTTCAGGCGATTTTTCTCGTATCAAGTGTGAGTGACGGTGTAGCGGTCTCTCTTATATTTCCTCTTAGTCTGCAGACATTGAAGACTCTGCTTTTTCATCCAGCGCCGACTTAACTCATTCGTGCCAAGTCTGACTTTGCTTCTGACGTTTCCAATTATCAAACCATGTCTCAAAATCAGGGTGACATTCAAGAGAGGATTGCTGCTGCTCGTAGGGAGGCGGAGAGCTTGAAGGAAAAGATTCGTGCAAAGAAAGAATCATCAGCAGATACCAGCTGTGAGTTGCTACCCCTTTTCCCTCGGCCGCTATCAGTGACCCTAATTCAATTTCAGTGCGTGCTATGGCCGCAGAAGTTGATGCACTTCCCCGAATTGTGATGCGTCCGCGTCGCGCACTGAGAGGTCACCTTGCTAAGATATATGCTATGCATTGGGCGACGGACCGGAGACATCTCGTTTCTGCCTCACAAGACGGAAAGCTGATTGTCTGGGATGCTTACACGACGAACAAAGTACATGCTATCCCTCTGCGGTCAAGCTGGGTGATGACCTGCGCATATGCCCCATCTGGAAACTACGTCGCTTGTGGCGGTCTTGACAACATTTGCTCCATTTATAACCTCAACAGCAAAGAAGGTGGTACCAGCGTCAAGGGCGCTCGCGAGCTTAGCGCTCACTCCGGATATCTCAGCTGCTGCAGATTTATCAATGACCGACAGATTGTTACCAGTTCGGGTGACATGACTTGCATGCTGTGGGACATTGAGGCGGGTGTCAGGGTGGTCGAGTTCAGTGATCACACAGGTGATGTCATGAGGTCTGTCTTGTCGTTTCTGCGAGCTTTGGGGATTGCTAACAGGTTGCTTTATTATAAGCTTGTCCCTGGGTCCGAATCAGAACGTATTCGTTTCCGGTGCTTGTGACGCCACAGCCAAACTATGGGATATTCGGAGTGGCCGTGCGACTCAGACATTCACTGGTCATGAATCAGACATCAATGCCGTTCAGTCTGTATCGTTTTAACTCTGGCACCATCATTCTTACCAATGCCTTTCTTCTAGATTTTTCCCCAACGGTGACGCGTTTGCCACCGGCTCCGATGACGCCTCTTGCCGCTTGTTTGACATTCGTGCTGACCGGGAACTCAACACTTTCACACACGATAACATTCTATGTGGTATCACCTCTGTTGCTTTTTCAATCTCAGGACGTATCCTATTTGGAGGTTACGACGATTGGACATGCAACGTCTGGGATACTCTGAAGGGAGAACGTGTTGGCGTGCTAACAGGGCACGAGAATCGGGTCAGCTGTTTAGGTGTCAGCACTGATGGCATGGCACTTTGCACTGGTAGCTGGGACAGTACGCTCAGGGTAAGTAGCTTGTCATATTAGTGTCTACTGTGGTTGACATTGGTTCCAGGTCTGGGCGTAATGTACTGTATATATTTCCTTCTCCCGGATACCCCATGCCGCTCGTGGGCCTTGTGTCTCTACGCGAAAGGTTTCATTGCGTCTCTGATGTGTTTTTCATGCACGGTATCTGATCCTTCATATGTTCATCCTATACCCTTAACCGCGCTCCATCGGAATGGACGCCTCGAGTCATTCGTTAGATGCTTTGCTGCCCTGCAATTTTCACAGCCACAGTCTGACCCTTCTCACTCGTGGTTTACATATATCTCCCTGCTATCCAGTTTGCCTCAGTTTCAAGTTTTTCTCTTTTCCTGCCTTTCCTACTTTTAGGTCTTATATATTGTCGAATTCATAAATTTCTCTTCTCGTACATGGAATTTGGAATAAATGCACATGCTTGTGTTCAAAACAGTGGAGGATCGGCACGTTTGACGATACAGCACGTTTAACGATAGAGTGCTTGCCTATCCAGAGATCAAGAGTCTGCCTAGCTTGACCACACAATTGCTTCCGTTCAAATGCCGGTTCATACCAATTTGGCTGACATCCACCCAGTCTTCAGCTCTCTCCCTGCTCCCCCACACTACTGACTCACCACTATCATTTTTTAAATCAACTGTCAACACCATGTCGGAAGACGACCGAGCTGCCAAGGCAGCAAGAGCCAAAGCCATGGTATGTATCCGGCACCTTGACTATATTGAGTAGGCGTCAACTACTCTCATAGCTCAAGAAACGACAGCAAAAGAAAGCCCACGGTCCATCCATTACCCCAGAGGTCGCCTCTCCTTCCAGCCCGCCATCTTCAAGGCCATTTTCTCCTGCTCTTCCAGAGCCTGCACCAGTTGAGGACGAGCAAAAGGTCGTGGCTGACCTGTAGGCGATTTCCAGCTTCATTTCAATGTATGATTGTCAATTTGGTTTTACCCATGCTAGCTTCGCGACAAGGGAATCAAATGACACGTCATGGATATCTTCGTTGCCTCGTGCTGCGCCTCCAACAGTTTCAAGCATACCATCCAATCTCATTTCCTCACCACCACTGAAGCCTAGTAGTCATTCACATGCTGCGACAATCTCGAACGTAGATGGCGGTGTTCTCAAGGCGCGCACAGATGCACTTGAATTGGAAAATACTTCATTAAGTAATAGGATACAAGAACTGCAGGTGTCCCAGGATAGTGCGTGGTAGTCTGTTATTAACGACGCGTTTCGACTCATGTCTCTCCAGGACTTCGGGAAACTGAGGTGTTATTGGGTGAAGAGCGGAAACGTTCGCAACAGTTGTCCGAAGACTTGCATCAACTGCAGGCCGAAAGAGAGACACTTTTACGAAATGAACAACAGACGATATCCTTACTGGTCTCCGAGAAGGCTTCTCTGGCTTCGGAGCTGGAACGCTTAGAGGGTCTCGAGTCTGGTATGGAATCCTTAATTGGATAGTGATTATTTACTGACGTCGCTTAGAGGCGCAGTCAACGAAAAGTCAGCTTGAGAAAGAACGAAATCAATCCTCCATCCTCCGAAGTCGTCTTGAGAGACTTGAATCGGATCTCCATGAATCCTCTCATCAAAACGAGCAGTTACGGGTCAAGGACAAGGAACTGACTGAGAAAAATCGGGAACAGGTATGTTGTTAATTATATTACAATGAATTTGTTGATTAAAGCCTGCTCGTCATACAGGAACGGGAGCTGCAACTATGCAATGCTGCTTCTAGTAATCTCCAAAAGGAAGTTGACGAGTACAAGCGCCGATTGCGTGAACTGGAAGAACAGATACAAAGCGATGATCGCGTCGAAAAGTTGGAGATCACCCTGAAGAATACTCAAGATCGCAATGATGAACTTGAATTCCAGCTTTCAAAGCTCAAACAGGTCCTTGATGCATTACTCTATTATATTTGGCCATGGGAACTAACGAAACTACGTTAGGCACACGCCACGCTAAAGGACGATCGCGACCGGACTGATGCCGAATTGAAACAGCATCGTGATAGCGCAGAGGCGTGGAAGTCAAAGCACTCCACATTGGAAGCCGAACACGAAACTATTCAAAACCTCCTGGCGTCTAACGAATCGGAAAAAACAGCCCTGAACGACCAGAATATCATGCTACGCTCTGAAATAGACTCTACCCAAAAGGACATTACCCTTCTACAGGAGAAACTGACTCAGGCGGCCGTGGAGCTCGCATCTAGCAACCGTCAATTACAGGCCGCCCAGATTGAGCTGAAAAATGCCAAACGTCGTGCAGAGGAGGCCGAACGAATACAGATCGACCTTCAGTCGGAAGGCACGAACCTTATGCAGTCGCTCGCTGAAATGCGGCCCAAGGTAGTCGAGCTTACAGGGGCGAAGCTGGAGTTGAGTGATAAAGTGGATAGTCTGGAGGGAGCTTTGCGAAGTCGTAATGCTACTATCGCACAACTCGAGGCCACTCTTGATGACCATCGGGACCATAGAGAGCAGGCCGAGCTGAAGTGGAGCGAAATTTTGGCTCGTCATGAAAAAGATCGCCTATTAGAGCAGGACGCGTCTACCAAGATACAAAAAGCCTTCACAGAGATGCAGGATGAGCTGGAGAGCTCGTTGGCCAGTATACGGGCCCTTGAAGCGGACCGTACCAGCTATCACCACGATACCGCGCGCCAGCTGCAGGAGATCGAACGTTTGAATCAATCGACTGTCGCGCAAGCGCAAGAACTCGTCGCTTTACGGCAAGAGATTGCGGAGGGTAACAATATCCGGGTTCGTAACCAATTCAGTTCTGCGGCAGCTTCATCTCAATTGCTTTACTATAGGAAGACGAAGAAGAGTTCATATCACAGGCCCAGAGTGAAATCGAGGGCCTTCGACAGGCAATCGAGACTAAAGACAAGGAGATTGAGAGTCTCCTCGCGGCCGCAAATCCCTCGTCAGGTTCCGAGGGCCCGCACTCGCTTGACGACGAGATATTGGGTGCAATTAAGCAGCAGCATTCCCTAGAACTCTCTGCTTCGCAATCGAAGATCCGGTCACTGGAGACTGCGCTTTTCGAAGCAGATGCTCGTTCTCACGCAATGCAGAAGCAGATTAGTGCTTTGGAAGATCAGCTGAGCCTTCGTCCGCGATCTTTCTCTCCGATTCCTTCGAGGCCGTCGAGTCGCGGGTCGGCTATCGACTTGCACCGAGCGTCTTTCAACTCGCATAGAAGTACGCTGCCGCCATCCCTCTCCCGGGCAGCGGTGAGCCGTACAGCGGTTTTGGACCAGGGCTTATCCCCCGAGACGAGACATAAACGCAAAGTCAGTTTGAGCATGCTCAAAGCACGAATCGAGAGTGAGAGCGCGGTCGGGCTCTTTCACCCCGCTTCTCGTAATCTGTCACCAGTCCCATCGGAATCCAGCCATGGACCAGACTCTCAACCCTCATCACCCCCACTCAATCATCCACATCATCATCCCACACCCAGACCTCAGTTCCTTGATGATTCGCATGTTTTCTGGTGTCACTCGTGCCACGGGGATTTGGTTATACTCTGAGTCTCGATTACGCAGGAAGCCACTTGTACGAATACGGAGTGATTTAGCGAGAGATACTACAGCCCTGGGCTCTATAATACAATTGAGAGAGATGACAGAGATGAAAGATAAAATGGAATGTCATGAGACACCGTCCGTATGGAGGATGCATAAGATCATAAGTAGTGTCAAAAGATACCATCACGTTTCGTCTTGATTTCCCGCAGTTTTTGTAGCAAGTCCTATGAGAAAAGGAAAGACAGTGTTTCATTTCAGCACGGTTCACAGCTAGACAAATAAAAGATTGCGTACCTCTGCTTCTTCAGGGTTGATTGTACCTCTCTTCCTTTCGTGCTCCAAACCATTCTCGATACTGTCCAACACATCTCTGATGAGATCACGGTAATCCACGCCGAAAAAGTTTGTGAGCTTCGCAGCTCTGCGGCGGCGGAGCTGGAAATCTGTTACTTCTGGTTTGGGCGAAGCGATGGCGGATATGCTATACTCTGATGCGAGTGAGGATATCGAAGTGCGAGCAGGGAGTGAGCGACGACGCTCTGATTTGATGGAGGCGATGGATGGGCGACGGTCCCTGGCGAGCATAAACTCTTTCAAGGGGGGAGAAGGCGACTCATTGCTGTTGAGGTACTCATGCAGTTCTGCAAGAGATTCTCTGTCATCCTAAACGTAGGGTGAGGGTCACATCACGAGAAAGGGGGTACAAGGACATACTCTATCAATAATATCGACCAAGGAGTTAAGTGAGTGTTGGTAATGGGTATATACAAGCGAACCGCTTCTCCCACGAGGCTTGATCTGACCTGAGGTGCCTTCATTGACATCGAACTGGTCGTTGCGTTTCGATAGAAGATGTTTCTGAGATTCGGGAGAACCGGGCCGATCATCCTTCCTAGATTTGTTCTTGTATGGAGACTGGTTCATGTTCTTGGGGGACGAAGGAGGAGACACCATGGGAGTAGAGCCTGGCACGGCAGAACGAGACTTCTGTGGAGCACTTAGGCCTGCGAGCGATGCAGAGGGAGAGGCGCCGTGTCGGGTGTGATACAGCGTTTGCGGCGGTGCAACACCGAACATCTGCAGTAGGTAAGAATTGTGAGCTCTAACAACATTGGGAAGGAGAGGCGGACCTTCTCCATTTTCTGTGCACGACGCACGTTAATCGCCTTCTCTTTGTCGTTGAGGTCCTCTTTGACCCTGTCATGATCGTCCGACCAGTGAGGGAAAGCGGCAACTGAGCTACTCCTACGCCTCCTCAACCAAGCCTTGGGAGTAGCATCGTCGTTGGAATCCATTTGGGTGAGAGGAGGTGGTGGTAACGAGAGGAAAGGGTCCTCTATACCAAGAACAAGGTTGGTGGGGATGCGAGAGCCTAAAAAGCGATGGAGCTTCGCCAGCTTCTCTCTCTTACGTCTTCTGAGCTCTTCAGTCTGCTCCTCCGGTGATAAGTGCTCAAATTGAAACAGGTAGCGAGTTGAGGGCGATGGAGACCGGTGCCTTCCGTCCTTCCTCGGAGGGCTATTTGAGATGATGGCCGAAACACCATCATCAGGCAACCCTTCCTCAGATAGGTCGATGAAAGATGTAGTGTCTTCTCCATTAGGGTCATCACCACCAGCATCCCCGTGGAGTACAGAGAGATCAGTTGATGGTTCTCCTTCCTGAGATCCAACCTCGATGATATATTCTGGCCTCGAATAGCAGCTGGACCTATCGTCGCTTCCGGTATCATGGAGGAAGGAAAACTCATCCGGCGTGAGAGGTGTGGAATGGCGCCGGCCAGAAGCTGTCAGGTATTGGGTGCCTTCGGGAGGGGGCCAGACAGGAAGGGGTCCAGGGCCGCGACGGACGTCGGAGGGCAAGGCAAGAGGATTTGAAACAGAGGCGGTACCACGAAGGTGGCGGCCTCTATGTGTGGCGTCCAAAGGCAAGTCTAAGAAACTGACCCATGAATCCTGCTGGGGCATCACGCCCGCTCCAGGCGTCTGCCCAAACACCTGTGCAAGTTTCCGTGACTTGCGAATAAGTTCAGCCCGCTCTTCTGCTTTGAGATAGTTGGTCGTTGGTGGCAGATCATTATCGCTTCCAGTACATGGAGAAGGGCGTCGTCGCAACGCCAGACTGGGCACAGAACGATTGCCAAAATGCGGCTTGGGCGTAGTGGGGATAGGGGGTTTGGGCGACCGCGCCCGTGATCCGTCCTCGCCGCCGTGCACTGTGAGAAAATCATGGGCATCAACAGTCGGCACCCTTTCAGTCGACGGTGAGGGTTCGTCGGCCATCGTCCTCGCTTTCGGTATTGGTAAGAAGTCGATAAAGGAGGTTCGATCACTTCCTATGCGGTCGTCAGCAGGCGAATAAATGTTGGAATGCGACATCATGGAGGAGCCGTTGTACACTGTGCTTGATATGCTAATTCGTGCGTCTTCGCAGGTGGATGTTGGTCGGATGGATGAGGATTCTGTCGCCGTCGAGTTCGACGACGATGACGACGACGTCGACCCCCTTCGGGCGTGGGAAAGAAAGGGTCGCGGTCTGACGACATCAGGGTCTAACTCTGGCAGCCGCGGGGCATCTTGCCGTCGAATATCCAACACTGGAAGCTCCAACGCCTTGGAATTGTGCCCCATATTTTCTGGATCTGCCTTCTCAGTTACCGTCTTATCTGCACGAATTTTTAGCACGCACCTGTAGTCTTCAGCTTCTGGTCTCTGCCTGTTACCAACTTCTTTCCTCTGCTTCCTCGCCCTCGCCAAGTAACCGTCGGCTCACCGAATGACCTGGATTGCGATGCAACCGCTCTCTGCGAACCTGCATACCGTTGGTCTTTAAGCCTTTCACCATCAACTTGAAACCGGAAAACAGAATCAAAAAATTTGCCTGGATTGAACACATCTGATGAAGTCTGCGATGATCTTGACTGATGCTGTGGCCGTTGCTGGGAATTTTCACTCCTCCCTACCGCCATCAATACCTTGCTATCACCTCCTGCTGATGCAGATTCATTACCCTTCCCTCTGCTCGGTCCCCCTCCGAGCCGGCTTGTGTGGAACCGCTTTCTCTCCATGTCGATCTTGAAAGTCTCAGAAAGAAGAGGTGAAAGTAGCTCGTGTTCTTCTCGTATCTCTGGCAACAAATCGACCCCTCGTGCCAGATTCAGAACCCGAGAAGTGTGTTTATCCAGGAGGCCGTGTGAAGTCGCCTTAGATGGTGAGGCGCCACCCGGTCGGAGGATCGTGATCACACTATCGTTCTGTCCTTGGTAGTTCATATCAGCTGTTGACTGGGGAGGACCCTTAGGTGTCACGGCCCTACTCGTCGAGGCCTGGCGCGTCTTACGGACTCGCGGCGGCGGTGACAACTGGTATATTCTTCCTTCCTCGTCGCGAGCTGTTGGAACGGTTAACTCCATAATAGGTCTGTGTCTTCGCCATATCGCTTCGGGCTTGGATAGTGGAGTTCGGATATCTAAAGCCCCTGACATATATGTCCTGAAGAGGAGGGATGGAAGTAGGTGGCGGAGATGTATAAAGCTATGGCGTACTTATTCTTTCCGTTCAAGCTGTAGAGGGCCTAGGTCATGCAACAGCTTTGTCCCATTCGGTATGCATCCAATCAAGGTTTTTTTTTCTCTCTTGGTGCTTTACAGCAAGCTATATGGTGTAGGACAATAATAAACTTCACAATTGAAAGATAAGCCAACGCGCGCCGGCAAACTCGTCAAGGTAACGACCTCGCTGCTAGGTCGAGGCTCTTGCATGACTTCACACTTGTTTCATCTCGACAATAGATCGATGACGACCGATCTACCTCTTTCTGGCTGTGCTTTCGGTCCAAAGTTCTCAGCACTGGACGACCTTACAGCCTGGTATTTCAGGGACTTGGATAGAATACGGAGTGATGGTGGACGACGGGACGGCGAGGGATGGCGGCATTCCACACTTGTCGGGAGCCTAAAAGACGAGTACGGGGATCCGCGCGCAATGATGGATGATCGGCACGCATCATATGTACATCAACCGTATCGGTACATTCGTCACTGACGGGCTGACGCCTTTGAATAGTGGGCCTAGTGAACCAGTAACATTTAGACCTGTCCTTCGTTAGAAATACAACCGATTGTTAGTGTACATATTATACACATAGAAATCTCCAAAGTAAAGATAAATATCACGAAAAGAAGTACTGCTACAAAATCAAAACAAATGCCATCGGATTCGATGCTTCTGGCCGGTATGCATCGTAGCGGCTCAGGAAGGAAATCTATTTTACGGCGAAACAGCCTAAGGAAGATCCAGTCTTTGAATTTGAATGAGAATATTTTGTCAATCCATTCCATTATTTCAAGGAAAAACCCCACAATGTGGAAACTGAGCTTGTTGGATTTTAAATATCATAACGACCGACCAAGTATGCGTATGCGTAATATACAAATGTGTGCCAAAATAATTAACAGTAGGAGTAAAATCCGATACGTTTATTATCAAAAATTCACGTCGTCATGAAGAAGCAACTTCAATCCGTGGTAATGGTAACGTTTCAGTAGCGTTTGGATCTGGGTTGGGCGGAGAGATGGGCGGAGTCTGGTCAGATATCGAAGGGCGTCCAGTCCGTTTCTCCTCCTTGTCTACTATAGACTTGAGGCTATCTGATGCGGACTGTGCTGAAGGATCAGAGGCCACTCTAGTATGCTGTACTGGCGGTCGCGTAACGGAGGGTCGGGGGGGTAGAGCAGGAGGAGGGGGTCGAGGGATAGACACATTATTTAGAGGAGGCTCAAGGGACTCGACGCTTTGATTTCCTTCCGGATGAGCTATCACAACCGTGTTGTCCGTGGAACCAGACAGAACTGGGCTCTTCCACAGCCGAAGAACCGGATTCTTCTTAGTCTCGGGCGGCGGTGATACTGGTGGGACCACATATCCCATGGACATCACATTTCCCTTGTGACTAGCATGTATCCCAGGGATAGACATCGTTTTTGCCTGGGGCTGGACGTGTATTGGATTTTCAGGAGCATCGTCGATCGGCAGAATGCTATCAGATATATCGGACTCATGATTTCTTCGAAGAGAAGATTGGGCGAGTGGAAGCATTGAAGATGAAACCGTCCGGGTACGAGACAGGGCATCTGGTATAGAAGACAGTTGCGTCGACCTGGAGTCTTCGCCGCCCCTCAGTCGCTCCGCTACAGCCGCCCGGACCTCCGCATAGCTCGTCCTAGCTTTATGTGAAAAGCTACTGGTACTTGCGACTCTTTCCTGAGAGTCAACAGGTCCGTGGTCCGGCATTTCGTCACTGCTCCCTGTAGTACCCATAGATTCTTTACGTAGACCGCCCCAATTGATGCTCCACTTCCTCATAGCTTCTTTTGCTGAATTGCTGAGGGCTTGTTTATCTCCTGCCTTGGACTTTAATGTAGACAGGAATGAAGAAGTACTGGGGGATGCGGGAGATGTTCGAGTGAGTTCGGGAGAAGGAGGGGGTTGGTCCCCCTGCGACCGTGAAGCCTGAGAAGATTGAAAGGACACGGGTGGTCTGTTTCCTTGATCATCCGAGATAGACGAAGTCCGCGAGGATGACCGACGACTCGGACCATCGTTTACTGACAGATGGCTCTGTGAGGTTTTCTGGCTGCTAGTACCATCATCGGAGCCATCTTCTGTGTGATCTGGTTCACCAGGTGGTGAATGAGACCTCGTTGAGGTTATGTTTCCAACATCTACCGAACGACCACGGGTCTCATCGCCATCCTTCGAAGTTGGGTTTTCGTACTCATTGGACGGCAGCTTCTCGTCGTTCCGGACAGTCGAAAACCACGTTCGCCGTCGATTTAATTGAGAAGATTCGTCAGTAAAACCTGGTTCCGTTGATGAGGTTGTTATATGCGAGGGCTCAGGCGACGATGTTGTCCGTTCCTGAAGGGACGTCGTCTTTTGAATCAATGGTGGCGGTTCGGTTTCTGTGGATGCCTCAACTACGTCGATTTCTGTGCCTGTATCTTTCGAGGATTGATCGGGGACACGCTGGGCGTCTGGCCAAATGCCGCCTCGATGTTGATGTGATAGGCTTTCAAAGAACGCGATGTCATCCATGTTGGGAAGCACGACACTTTCTTGGATCTGCGAAATCATCAATCACTGTCTACGGTTGATAGATTGATATGACACTCACGATCTCCTTGAGTCTTGACTCAATGGTGCTGAGAATCATGCTCCATGTAATCTGACGGTCACTGACAATGGGCTCGACCTCCAAAACCATCCGGGGCATCTGCGTGAAGGCGTACCATATACGATTGCTTGGTGGACGCTTCACTTTAACCAGCAGATTTCCCTCTATCTCCTTCAAGACGACCGCCAGTACGAGTTTGACATTATAGGACTTGAATGTGCCTAAGTTGATATTCGCGGTGGCTTCAACGGTGAGGCGTACTTCGCCCTTGTATAGTAGATGAATCTCCAAAGAAGCATCACCCTCTTTGGTGAGTTCTTTGAGCATAGGTTTACTGAATGTAGGCGCAGTGTTTCCCACAGACACCTGTGTGACCACAATATCGGCGAGAAATGTGGGCCTTTTGATCTTTGACAACTTCTTCATAAGCCGCCCGATGATGAAAGCCTCAAGAAGGTGCGTCTTGTAAAAGCTGTAGAATATGCGACCGATCAGAGCATTCAGCCAACGCATGGGAATCACATCGGGCTGTTCATCGAGAGTTGTAACGAGAAGGTTCATGTCAGATGGAAGGAATATGGCTTGAAGTGGAGAAAGATGATGTGTCTGTGCCGGATGGTCCGATGCGTGAACTAGCGACAGATACCAGTCTTCCATCTCGACGTTGGACCGGACGAAAATGAACCAAGGCGTATTTGAATCGACCGCTTCCTCCTTTGCAGTGACAGTCTTCAGCTTTTCTGGGTCTGTCATGGTCTCCGCCGCCTTTGTGCTCGTCTCTGTGTCTTTCGATTTCTTTCCTACATCGTTTCCATCCAACTTCATTGCTTTCGTCACGCTCGGCATGATACTATCTGCTTCAGAGTCCTTGGGCTGGAGGCAAATAGCATTCCGTTTCGCGAACAGCTCACCATCCAAAAGGCCTTCTGGATAGATAGTGACGTCGTGGGCACCCAGTTGAATCACCGCTTCACATTCTGTCATGCCCTCGTCCTCGTACAGATAAAGGATCTTCCCCTTCAAGACAACATACCACATGTCCTTAGGTCGGGAGCGCTTCGGGTCCTTGGATCTGGCATCCAAGAATGACCGGACAAGTGTCACGTATCCCCCGTCAAAGGCGGACTGTTCAAACGTCCTACGCATCGTCAACCAGCCCTTCCGAGTCTTGGGCAAGTCATTGATGTCGCCTATTGCTGTAGCTGTCATTTCGGGAGCCTCCTCCTCGTCCTGTAATCTCCCCTCCATGACGCTCTTGCGTTTCTGGGAAACATCTAAATCGCCTACAGGAACCGAGGTGTAGATGGTGAAAAGTACAAGAGATGCAAGGAGCAACGGAATGAATGTCAATCCTCCAAGAATGTAAGCATACAGGATACCCTTGAGGGACATTTCCTGAGTGACGTAGTGGGGATGAGAGGGTGACCGCAGCCAGAAGAACGCGCGTCGAAGGAGCCTGAAGAAATTCCTTTTACGAAACAGCAGCGGATAGGTGATGGTGATGGTAGAAGAAGCAAACGCAGCAAGTACGTGCTAAATTCACTGTGATGTAATTCACCCACGTGTCAGACGTGTCTCCTTAAGGAGCAGCTGATTGGTTGCCACACCTAGCCCAGAACTGGATACTTTGGCTCCGCACGGCGAGAACACAGCAAATTTTTGCGGTAGGACAACTACTTATTACATCTTCCTAGTAATACGCAGGAACCCTCGGATAACGTGTGACAGAACCTATCATGCTTTAGTGACCACATGAATGGTGCGAAACACACTGGGGATTACAGCACATCCGGCATCGCGACGCCCTCCGTTTAATGTTCGACGACGGACGCGAAAAGATCCCTCTCCTAGTCTGCTCGTCCAAGTCAGGAAGAATCGCTTGCCAATGCCCGTCTCGCCATATCCAATCTTTTATTGTCTTTACAGGAGGAGATCGCGCACGCATTGGAGGAAAGACACTGTTGACTGTGGTGTGCGTGGGAACCGTGAGGCGTTGGTTGTAGGCGCTGTCTTGTATCGGGACACGGCACAAAGTCTCGGGAGGTTGTGAAGGACATGTGGTTAGGACGATTTGGGGAACTTGAAAGTTATGTGGCGAAGGCTGATACATGTCAAAGCGGGAGCCAAGAGGAATATCTAGCGGGTTGACTCACCCAATGGGACCGTCGCCACTGGTTCCGAGACGTGGATGCATCATTAGAAAAGTCGCAGCAAATGTCTGGTGCTAGGTTCATGGGACACGGAGAATCCGAATCAGAAGCCTTGAAATGCTACCGTCAGTTTCAAAAGAAGCCATAAAATGCGAGTCACTCGCACTTGGAAATCAGCATCATCATCGTTATCCAGAGCCGTCTCGAAATCAAGGAAGAGCTTTTCCATTTGCTCAACGTCGTGGCCAAGCATGGTTCGAAGGCTACAGCACGCAGGATGTACAGACTCCCCATAAAGTGCTGCTACGCGTCCCCACACATCCGGAACATGCAAAGCCAGGTCCTGTAGTAGAACCTCGAGGTTTATGACCTGGAAAAACCGTTATCACTGCAGTCACCCCAAGGAGTGAATGCAATAACCCACCAGGCGCTGATCTTCATCGTCACGGTCCCCTGTCAGCCGGGAAGACAGTTCTAGCACTTGTTTTGCGCTGATGGAGAGATGAGCTAGCATTCTGTTCCCTTGAAATGAAAGGGGAATAGTCTGAGTGGGGGTTGGGAACAAAGACGTGCACTTGGGTGAAAGTACAGAAAACACGGGCACTCGTGATCATTTTCCGGCTATAGATCACAACCGGACCGAGCCGAAGGCTATTTCAAAATTCAGCTGTACCCCGCAATCATTTCATCAGCGGGGGACTTGGCGTTAGCTCGTCAACCACAACTTCAGACTGTTGACATCCATCACAAAGCTTTATGTTCCCTGCCAATGAAAATCCAAACATATGGTACAGCATTTGACGTACGCGTCCCTGATAATTGAGTATAGCAATCCTCTCATCTTTCCTCCTTGCCTTCTCCACTAGAAGGAAATTTCAGCTACTATGAGTGCTTCAGGAGGTACGAAGACATTCGTGAAGCTCTTCACATTATGTTTTCTGACTCTTGAGGCACAGATGATCATATGAAATCGCCTCGCTATGAAGATCCATCAGCAAAACTCTAGTATTCGTATCTAATAGAGGCGGAGAAGCACGATCGCGCATTAGCGCATAATTGGAAGGGAGACATGGATGCAATCCTGATCTTTGTGAGCCGATTCATCGGTTTACTGACTCACCATTAATCAAATCACAAGCTGGTCTTTTTTTCTGCTAGCATGACTACCTTCATCATAGAAAGCTACAGATCCTTGTTACCCAATACAGATGATAAGGCATATTCTTACTCATTCGCATTTCCGATCAGCAGGTCTCCGTGTCCAACCGGTCACACATTACCAGTGGACCAGACCTTCTCAATGCGAAATTCACGCCAGCGACATCTGCCCTGGTGTGTAATACTTTGTAGTTTCCTAGCCTTGGGTTCAGTCTCATCTGTGCCTTATCGGCGACGCTGGTCCAACAATGGACTAGAAATTACATCCAGGCGACGGAGAACCGTTCCACACCACAAAGACGCGCGAGAATATCCGCATTTCTGTATAAAGGACTAAGCAGATTCAGGATGGCCGCTCTAGTCGAAATAATACCATTATTACTCCACATTTCTCTCTTACTCTTCTTGGCCGGATCATTCGCGTATCTGTTATCCGTGAATTATGCTTTGGCATTGCTATTACCACCCTCTGTGGCGTGCTATATGCTCTATTACCTTCCTTCCAGTATTCCATTATGACTGTCCTTACCACACCCCCCCTTTTCCCTTCTATCCTGGTGAGTTCTTTGCAGTCTCCGACTGCTTCGACGCCGAGATTCCCTCGGTGTTTTACAGCCAATAGCTTGGGGAATGTCGGAAGCCCGAGAGACCGCTGCCGTAGAGATATCACAGGACCGCAATGACCGTGATTTCAACGCAATGTGTTGGGCTGTTGAACTATTACCCGTCGACAGCGAGCTGGAACCTTTCATCGAGGTTATACCCAACGTCGTTGCCTGTTCCGACCTGAGCGCCAAACTGCTGCTATACAGGTTGCTTAAACATGATGCGGTGACGATACGACTAGGATATCGCATTCAACGCCTCCTCGTGACCTGTACTCAAGGCGAGCTCACCCCCGCAACAATGCAGAAGCGGGCTATAACGTGCCTTAGTGCGATATGGTCCTTGACAACAATGTCACTCCCTGCATCAGACGTAACAACTTCTACTGTATATCGTTCACGCGAAACACTCCGGTTTGACGAGCAAACGTTGAAATATATTAGCCTTGTGCATGACGGCATACCAAACGTGTCAGATTATTCCGGTCAGTGTAAACAGTAGAATATACCCCAGAATGCTCATGATCACTCTCAGTGTCCGTCTCACCGTTGTGTCAAGGAGCTTACTCGATATGTACGTAGATCAGATTCTCAAGCTAGAGACGAAAATAGGCGGGTTCATCGTGACCAGAAAGTGGTGTCATCGTGAAGTTGGTCGTGACACAGACAAGGCCCACCATCATTCCGATCTTGTGCTCAAGAGATTGCATCAACAGCTTGGCGAACTAGAAGAACACCTTTCGTACTCCCACGGGAAATTTGCTCTGCCCTACGTGACAATGGAGACTGTTCGTCGACATTTGGAGGAGCTCGTTGACGCCGCCGCGTCCACAGCCGACGTTGGAATCGCAGAGTGTCTTGTAGAACTGGGTTCGAAGTCTATCCACAGATTTTGGCATGCTCTCAATCAAGCGGGATTCTCCTTGACGACTGAATTCGTCGCATACCTACTAAAGAATCCATCTCTTCCATACGGGGCTTCGAACACCCTCCAGCGGCTCTTTCTGTCAATCGATTCTGACATCCCGCTTTCGTTAGAGTCGCAGACTCTTTTTGTTGAACAGCTTGACGACACCCTTGAACCCCACCTGCAGCCGACAGGATCACGACTTCCCGAAAGTATAACAAACATTCTGCAAGGAATCGTCCCGGCCATCACGGACGCATCCTGTAAACTGAAGGCTATGAGGACTCTGCATCTCTATAGAAAACGTTTCCCATCGAACGATGCCGCGTTCAAGGCGTTGGCCCTTCTCCAAGAAGACCTTCCACATCCAGCGTATTCATCTTCCCCTCCCTTGGATTTATTTGATTCACATGTGTATGCAAACACCAAGTTGGACAAGACGGTTGCTCGGACAAGATCATCGGGTGAGCTCAGAGATACCGCAGATTTCGATACTGTTTTCCGAGGACCTTCAATAACACGGTAAGGTGCTATCACGAATTGACCATAACTTGGGCTGACACGAAATATCCAGCCTGCCGCTTCTCAAAATTAAAGCAATGACCCGTGCAATGAATATTCTAGTTCTGATTCATTTCTCGGCGTTGCTGCACTAGTGGTGTCAATACTATTGCCGTTCATTCCCGTGCACCATAAACCTTCTCTAACTACACGCGCCATGGTTTTACTAACCCTTTATACTTATTGTTCGAGGGATAATGATTGCTAGCCGTGCCCACGCTGTCATTTTGGATCCACAACGACACATCCCTATCTTTTCACACACCGTTCCTCCTAAAGCCTTCGGGGCTATGCATTTACCCACCCTTATCTGCCACAGTAGATTCGATATTACAGGTGTCTTGCAATCTGTTTGTTGAGACACACAACGCAGCGGCGATCTTCATCTAGCTCCACCTTCGCCGCTGGCTGCGGAACCTCTAATTCCCTAGCTACCTCTCTGTCACGGCCACGCTTGAGCCTTGTAACGCTTCCTCTTCCTATCCCATTGTGCTCTCGTAATGTTCAGACTTCCGCACGTGCTCCATCTCTGCTATGCTGCTTTCTGGTTATACTATGTATACTTACTGTACACATGTCGTCTGGGATTCTCACTGGGGTATGCCTCTTTCTGGACACTTGGTATTAGTACATCATCACCTTAACGTATTTATAAGCGTTCATGCATACAAATCATGACGTCCGTTCAGCAATGCGTTTTGTAAAAAAGTCTAATGCCAGCCTGGATTCGCTGTCTGGCAGATATCGAAGAAGATTGCTGGCCCTGTTAACGTAGTCATGGACGAGCTCCCATGTCCTCTCGATACCACAAGACCTGCGTACGAGGTCATATGCCTTGGGCTACGATCAGTCGGAGGTACGGAAGTTCAGACCGCATTATAGCTCACCACTGCGACGTCTTCTGGTTCACTGAATCCGCGTTCGATCAGGGGTCCTAAAGCAGGATGGTCCTCCCATGCAAACAAGATGGGGCTTGTTGCAATTCTGGGTTGCGTGCTGGCCGACGCATAAGATTCATGTTTCCTGGCGTCGTCGACCAACTATCCAACCCAAACATATTTAGTAACGAACGATTGGTAGACAGATATCTTTACCTGGAGTGCAACACCAACATTCCGTCCGAACGCGTATGCTACCTCTTTCCAAATCTGATTCCTGCATCCGCCCAGTATCACGGCAGACCGTGCACCCTTAGCCAATAAGCTCCCAGTCTTCAGATACGTCGTTTTGAAGTAGGTATGCCATGCATCTTGGGGTGTGAGAGGGGATGATGCGTACTCGGTCTTGAGTTCTATCACCCGGCCCTCCACGAGGTTCGAGATGACACTTGCGACGAGCTCAACAACCTCGCTGTCGCCTAGCCGGGAGAGAGCAGCACTGGCGCGTCCGAGTAAGAAGTCGCCGCCAAGAATAGAAAGTTTGTTGCCGAATAGCGAATAGGGTGGAGAGGGTGACGAGGTGGTCGTCAGAGATACTTCATCGTGCAGCATTGAAGCGACTTGAATCATCTCGACTATTTGTGCGACGCGTATTTGTGTTGGTAGGAGGTGCTGGCGAGTGGAAGGAGGGTCCGACGAAAAAGGTGAAGGGGCTTGAGGAGAATGTGGAAACGGTGCTGGCGTTTGTAGAGGAAATATAGAGTCGAATGATTCGGCATGGTCAGGCATGCTGGGATTCCAGTAATGCAGGACGTCTCCACGCGTTAACGGCAGCTCGAACTCCTCCGTCCTTCCCAACCCAGCCTCCCTTTTTGCATTGCATTCCATCGCCTCCCAGCCCGACCCCAGTCTATTTGTCGCGCGTGCAAAGAGCAGAATAATGAGTGAACGTACGAGTTTTGTCGGATCGAGAAAGTAGCATTGGGCCAGGTCTTTAAGACCTGGATGAGCCGAACCAAGGAGAGTCAAGAGGTTTCCACGTAGCTGGGAAAGCTCAGAAGCGAGGATAACATATGGATCCGGTGGCCTGGAGAGTATTATTGGTGGAGGATGTATCTGGGATCGTTCTACTGGGGTATGCTCGATTTTTTGGGCCAAGACGCTGCGTCTCGGGCAAAAAGTCGTAAAATTGGGGAATGAGTGCGAAATTTTTCTACGGACAGGCCATCGTCGCATGTTCTATTTGTATCTTTGGTCCGGGGCCAAAGATCGAGTCGAAAATAAAAATTCTTGGTGAGAGGGTAGAGGGAACGATGGTAGGGGCGCGAAGGTAGTGAGGTATGTTCGTCATCAATAAAACCGATCCAACCCGGTCTACATTTGCAGGGTTCTGCTGAAGGCAAAACAAGGTGAGATTACATGGTACAAGGTATATATAATATATCTACTTTCATGCATCTATACTAATATACATATCATATCTGTCGACCCAATTATTCGTGAACGTAAACGCTGTCCCAAAGTTCGTGAGATGTTTTCCCACCCAAATGCTGTACAGAATCACACACCATCGCTGTCTAACTTCGGACAGGCGCAGAGGAAGCTATTATTGCCGTAGCCTGCGGCGTCGGGGGCTTTCGTACGACAAGAAATTCACGATACTTGCTCAACGACCTTGCAAGATGACCGGCGATAAGCTTTCCCTGCGAAACGAATGATTACAACCATAGAGTAACCCCACATACTCTACTACGCACCTTGGCCTGCAATTCTGTCCATTCCATGGATTCATCAGAATTAAGAGCGATCAGCATCAATGGCAACGGATCCTCCGCCGTCGATCCAGGTTTCCTCTCTACGTCCTCCACAGGCACAACGACGATACGACCCAGCTTGGTTGGACCACTTCAGCGTGCTGGCAAACAGATCCCAGGGATATATACCTCGCTATCAACCATCCCGTATCCCTGCTCACGCGTTTCTTGCCATACTTCACCACTGAGACCAACGATTATTCGGACTTCGTCCTTGGGGCGTATGGGCTCTGAGACGAAGGTGACTAGTTGGCCGGCGGGTGTGAAGAGCACGGCTGTGTGTAGGGCGGGTAGAGAGAGAATCTGAGAGAGAAGGTTCGTTAGGTTGGAGAGAACGAGCATGGATGTGGAGAGGCTTATTTTTTTGGTCGGAGCTCAAGGGACGGGATTCGGATGGTTATTCCGACGCTGATCGGGCGGCTATTTCTTAATCAAACTGAGGGCGTTTAATTACTTTTTACCATCCACGATGCGCTTTACTTGGATTCAGTTCGGTTCAATGATACGGATCACACCTGTTCACTAACTCTACTGCATGGGGACACGGACCCGGAGTGGGGGATGCCCATGTATATTCGGAATGGTTTACTGGTACGACGTAAACCAATAGATTGGATTGCCTTCAGTGACACGTGATTCATCATGATGAACGTTCAAAATTGTCAGGTTATGCACCGCGTTAGTATCTATTCGACTTTCGACCGTAACTTGCAGCATAGCCTCCGTTATCTGCTGCCTCCCAACTGGAATCCAGCATCGATATCTGGGTCTATATCGTCCGAACACCTATACTCTAGAAATACACCAGTTGGAAGTTCAACGTATAAAGTAACTCGCGGCGCTTGCTTTTTTTACGTGCGACTTGCAACTTGATAGACAGGATGGCGTGATAAGCATATTATGTAATCACACGACTGACAATAAATCTGAACCCTTCTTGTTCCCTCCCTACCCCTTTCCTTCCCACCCTCCTCCGTAGATTCCTTCCCCTTTTCCTTATTCCTAGATTTTTCATCATGTCAGCTAATGGACACGCCGTTCGCTCTGCTCTGGCCCCTGGTCACTTTTTGTTCACCTCTGAGTCTGTTGGTGAAGGTCATCCTGGTGTGTTGCTAGAGAAAAAAAATCCACATCCATCATAACTTACCGCATCCACAGATAAAATCTGTGATCAGGTCTCTGATGCCATTGTGAGCACATCGCACTTTCCAGTTACATATTGCAGCAAGTGCTAAAATTTCCTCGATAGCTCGACGCTTGTCTCGCTGAAGACCCATGGTCCAAAGTCGGCTGTGAAACCGCCTCCAAGACGGGTATGATCATGGTCTTTGGCGAGATTACCACCAAGGCCCATCTGGACTACCAAAAAATCATCCGCAACACAATCAAGGAAATCGGATACGATTCGTCGGAGAAGGGCTTCGATTATAAGACTTGCAACATCCTCGTCGCTATCGAGCAGCAGTCCCCCGATATCGCCCAGGGGCTTGACCACGGTGACCTCGAGAGCCACGGTGCGGGTGATCAGGGTATCATGTTTGGCTATGCGACCGATGAGACGGAGGAACTTATGCCTCTCACTATCGTTCTCGCACACAAGCTGAACCAGGCCATGGCTGCTGCTCGCCGGTCAGGCCTGCTCCCTTGGCTCCGCCCCGATACCAAGACTCAGGTGACCATCGAGTACAAGAAGGATGGCGGCGCGACCATCCCTCTTCGTGTGGATACCATCGTCGTTTCTGCGCAGCACGCCGAGGAGATAGCACTTGCCGATCTCCAAAAGGATCTCCTCGAAAAGGTTATCAAGAAAGTTATTCCTGCGTTCCTTCTTGACGAACGGACTATCTACCACGTTCGTGTCTTCCCTGCATATTTGTAATTCTCGTGGTTTTTACTTATCAGGACTCGTGATGATTGTAGATTAACCCCACCGGCCGATTCGTCATTGGTGGGCCCCAGGGCGACGCTGGATTGACGGGTCGGAAGATTATCGTCGACAGCTACGGAGGTTGGGGAGCCCATGGAGGCGGGGCTTTCTCTGGAAAGGACTTTTCCAAGGTTGATCGTTCGGCCGCTTATACCGCTCGTTGGATTGGTGCGTGAAATCGTTATTTTTATCGCCGCCCTTTTGCTCATATACGATTATAGCCAAGTCGTTGGTTGCTGGCGGCATCGCCCGTCGTATCCTTGTCCAACTCTCCTACGCCATCGGTGTAGCTGAGCCTCTGTCGATCTACGTCGACACCTACGGCACAGGAAAGATCTCGGAAGAGGAGATTGTTGAACTCATCCGTAAGAACTGGGACCTCCGGCCTGGTATTATGGGTACGTAGCATATCGTCTGTCAATTGTCCCATGGCTCACAGTTTATCACAGTCCGTGAACTGAGCCTGCAGAAACCTCAGTACCGCAAGACGGCTTGCTATGGTCACTTTGGTATGGCATCAATTTTTATTCCAAGATTTGCATGCTCATGCATACTCGCAGGTAACCCCGACTTTAGCTGGGAAAAGCCCAAGAAGCTCATCCTCTGAGCTCCAAGCCGCTCCTATCCTGTCTTTCGTTTAATACCCATTACAATTACGTTATCACGCACGGGAAGTTCATCCTTCCGTTCATTGTTTATCATCATATCGCATTGTTATATCACTATCACTGCTCTGGACTGTAGAAATTTCTGTAGGGACGTAGTTGTGCTAACAAAAAAACGTAGATAATAGTTAGTAAAGCAGAAAATAAATCGCGCTCAACCGCGTTGTTTTTCTGTACTTCTGGGGAACCAAAGGCATAGACATCTAGAGGGGCCCGGGAACCACACATCCGAAAGCTAAAGCAGGTGAGGGCAGCAGCAAAGGATATCTTTAGTAACAAGAATGTGTCCCCACGCTGAGAACAAGGCAACAATGTAACGGACATCACACGTCTCCATGGGTTAAGTTCAACTTTCATTTATATGCTAAAAGTTGGATATCCTGATCCCAGGTCCCTGTGTCGCACTAAGCATCACTTTGGTGATTGGAGCCGCTGAAAGGACCCAAGTTCAAAGGCGGGCTACAAGAGAAGAAGAAGAAGGGGACGTACAATGACTGCCAACGCTCGCTTTTCCACCTTCCTTGACACTCAAGTTGCCCGTAGCGCGCTTGACCGAAATCATCACATGTTCGAAATTTTTAACGACGTCTTCTGCTGTCCAGTCGGTCTGTATGATGAATGGTGAGAGTCGGAACGCGCGAGGCTTGTAAACGAGCAGACCTTGGCTATGGGGAGCCTGATGACGCCCTGCTTGTCTGCCTTCCACTCTGTTGTGCCGACGAGTTTGTGTATGTACGCGGCAACGTCGTCGGTGACGGTTCCCCTCCTCTCACTAGGCATCAACCCCTTGGGACCGAGGACCCTGCCCAGCCGGGGGGTGATGGCTTTTATAAGCGAAGTGGTGCACAGAAAGGTTGTTGCACGAATCCTATTTGAGACGATCTGTGGGGGGCATATTAAGGTGGAGGTGAGAACGCAAGGGAGGGGGGGGGGGATACGCACACCCTCGATAAGCTCTATCCCCCCGACGATATGCGCCCCAGCGCGCCTAGCGTCGTCGGCCTGCCTCCCCTCTGCAAACACGCATACGATGTCCTCTGCTGCGTTCGTGGCCTCCTTTGGGAGCTTGTACCTACCCCTGGGGACAGCTACGCCTGTTCCTAGCTTTGTTTTGACCAAGAGGGATACTGTGGATGGGCGGGGAGAGGGTACGCTTATGGCCTACAGGAATTGGTTACCAAATAAAATAGTATAGTGTGTATACATACCTTCAACACTCCTACGGCATCCTGCAAAGTGAGGCGGGTGCTGATATCTTTGGCAGCGGCAGCGGCAGCTTTACGCTTGAGTTTGGCGGCCATGGCGCGTTTGGAGGGAGTGCGGATTTGGGAGACGAGACCTTTTCGGGCACGATAAGATACGGCGGCATTTGGGGTGGTATGGAAGGAACGTGAGAAGAGGGCGGAGGGGAGGGATTGGCGCAGGCATGGTAGCATGGCGAAAGGCAAAAACCAAAACAGGCGGTGCTTAGTCAGCAACGGTGCTTGGCTATTGACCATGGCATTAGCAGAGGCGTCTGAGGCGCGCAAGGAGCGTCTGTTGGCATTGAAGAGACGCAAGGATGGGTATGTACTTTACTGGGTACCATTTATCTATCTAATACTTTGCAGTGACATTATAAAGAACCGCAACTTTGACCCCGAATCTCGAACGCTGAAAAAGCGAACGCAATCGCAGGACGTGGATATGGAGGATACGGTGGAGAAGAACGTCGAGGGTGTCGCTGAGAAGATCATTGCCGAGGACGAGCAGAGAAGGGCCCAGGAACTCGTGAGTTTGTGTTCTGCGTGAAATGCACCTTTTATATTGATGGTAGGACGTGTTCAACATTGCGCCGAAAAGACCCAACTGGGATCTGAAGCGAGAGACAGACAAGAAGCTGGCAAAGTTGGAGAGAAAGACGCAGGAGGCGATACATACTTTGATACGGCGGCGGTTGGCAGCTGAAAAGGGAGGAGGTCAGGAGGATATTGTTGGTGCTATGAGGGCACAGGAAAAGGTGCAGCAGGCTGATGATTTGTCAGATGAGGAGGAGGAGGAGAAGTAGTCATTGTACTTTTGGAAATAAAACACCGGACCGGTACTCCGACCTTATCCACGATGGCACCAACACCGTCTCCCGCCTGGGTGTATCCCACCCTCTCCCTACGCATTCCCGACCTCGCACACCCCGGCGTCCATACATTCCTCCAGCTCCTCGACCCGCACACCGCCCTAACTCTCGCCGTCGAAGCCACCCTGACGCATCTCTACGACTCCTCTGCGAATGCGCCGGTTGTCGGGAGCGTCGTCTTGGTGCTACGGAGCATGGACGGCGTGGCGCACACGACGGGGAGCGAGACCCATAAAGAGATCCATCTGAGTGTGGATTACATCGTGAAAAAGGGAGGGCCAGCGGAGGCGGTGCGGCACGAGATTATGGGTGTGTTGACGCACGAGATGGTGCATTGTTTTCAGTACAACGCGCGGGGGACGTGTCCTGGCGGGTTGGTCGAGGGTATCGCAGGTGAGTTGCATCAGATGATTCATTAATTATACTAAACAATGTAGATTTCGTGCGTCTTCACGCTGACCTCGCCCCTCCACATTGGTCCCCCGATTCTGTCCCAGACAAATGGGACGCTGGGTATGAGCATACAGCATATTTCCTCGATTGGCTAGAGAATAGGTATGTTGTCGTCGTGCTTTGGGAATCGAGTGTGACTTTTATAAATAGATATGGACAAGGGACGGTGCAGGAACTCAATGGACTGATGAAGGACCGTGAGTGGGACGAACAGATATTCAAGGAGCTGACTGGACGGAAGCTGGGCAAGTTGTGGAAGATCTATGTTGGTAACCGGGACTCGGCCGTTTGAAATACCATTGCAATAAAACTAGCCGACCGCCAGCGTAGAGCGGCCACGGCCTGGCACCGGCGGAACCTCTTTCTGGGACGTGAACCATGTTATTCTCAAACCTAACGACGGAACCGCATGTACAAATACATTGCGCATGGTGCTGAGACGACCGCAATTACACCAACGCCTCCCCAACCGTAAAATGGACATGGTCACCCTCGCCCAGAGTCAGTCTTACAGGCAAACGAGGGTCGATCCTGACTGGAGCGCTGCTTCCGACGTAAAAGTCGCCTCTGCTAAAATTGCGAGTGATGGCTGCAGCCTCCTCTTCCGTAAGGTTGCGAGGGCGCTTTGATGGACGGAACGTGGAGGAAGATGCACCAGTGAAAGCGCCGTTGTAGTCGTAGTACTGGGTGTGGTTGAGGTTGGGCGTCGGAGCATAGATGGGCGGCGGAGCATTAAAGGCAGGCGTGGTCGCCGCTGGAATGGGGGGGAGGGGGTGAGCGGGGAGCAACGGGGACAAGACAGGGGTAAACATACGGGGAGGGTGGCTGTGGTCCTGTGCATCAGGATCAGGATATGCACACGATGCTCCAAGACCGCGCTTCAAACAAGACTGCCTCCAATCAGCACAACCGTATGCTGGATATTTCGCACGTACCTGGCAAGGCAATACTTCGCTGCATCTAGTCTTCCCAGTGTGGCACGCAACACATGCTCGTCGTACAGAAGGTGCCTTGGCTACGGAACAGTGTTAGTTGAGATGCTGCGTCGGCAACAGATAACACACACGTTTTCTAGGAGTGTCAGAGGGAGTGCCAGAAGATTGCTGGGACTGGACTTGCTGGATGTTCTGCTGCTGCTGGATATCCAGGGAAGCGTCGATTTCGTCGGTCGGGATGGCTGACATATCGGGTCGTGCGGACGGTCGACGGGGGGGTCGCGGACGGGCGGAGGGGAAAGAGATAAACCTCCCCATCAAACACGGACTCGGCTTATGTCAGCATATCACGGCACTATATAACCCGGAGCCGGTCCCTACTCTTACTCTCTCATCCACCTATTATCATGGACGACTTTGCCTTCACTTTCGACCATGCTCACCTCGTCCCGATACCTCCGCCTCTTCCCCCCTCTGCCGACCTATTCAGCCCCGCCGAGACCACTGACCTCCTCGGATTCCTCGACACCTTTACTGCCTGGGACGCTTCTGCCCAGCTTGACACCTCCTTTCTCGACAGCATGATGCCATTCGCTCCCCAACCACAACAACCTATCCCACAAATCCCCAAGCAACCACCACAAGCACCACCACAAGCACCACAACCACAATCACAATCACAACCACAACCACAACCACCACCACCATCACAACCACCACCAGCTCGCACCAAATCACTCCTTAGCACTCCACAGAAACGTCTAAACCATATCATGTCGGAGCAGAAGCGTCGCAATGCCATCCGTGACGGGTACGCCCAGCTCATCACCCTTCTAGCCGCAGGTGGCTCTGAGCCAACGATACCCATGCCGTCCCGTGGTAGACCCAAGGGGAGTGGTGCAAATGGAGGCGCAAAGGGCAAGGGCAAGAGTGGTGTCCTGCTCCGTGCTGTCGATTACGTGCGGTGGCTTGAACAAGGACGGGATGCTTTGAAGGATGAGGTTGCAAGAGTCGAGGCTGCTGCCGGTATCCAGAGATGATACCTAATCTGTATTTTACATGTGAATTCCCCACACATATACAAGGACCCACAACTAGCATGTGATTTTTAGTCAACCTACTGCTACATAGATACTCGCGGAACACGTAACTGTATAAACGGCCTCTTTTCTGAACTCGACACGAATGTACCCCTTTCATGCGCTGAAATGGGTCTCGGACATCCTTCAATGTGGTTTTCAACCGGATCACCAGCACTACACCCCTTTCGTAACTCTTATCCATCTCTCTATCTTTCTAAAACCCCAAGATACAACATCTGCGCTGGAGCAAACATCTCCGGATTGATCGCAAAAACTCAAAGTAACCCGCTTTTATTCAGCCTCGTTGGCGTCCTAGATTAACTTATGTTCATGGGACCGCTTCGTTCATGTGCTACGGAAAGCTTGAAGCACAGTTCCGATCAACCATATCGCTTCGCATGCTCAACTCGACAAGAACGTGCAGCTCTCCCAAGGTCGGCTATCCAGTCAGCAGAGCAGGATAAGACGTGGGATCTGATATGTCGAGCGACTATGGAAAGTACAAGGTTACCATAGCTTGCTAGCACCAACTAGATATCCCGCTTGCTCGCCTCTCCTCGCCAGCAATCCGAGTATAGTAGACACCAGGGTTTTGCATGTGGGCCACCTAACCAAGACGCGTCCAAGCAAAACGTTTCCCGGATGCAAGTCTCATGCATTAGGCGTTTGAGAAAAGAATAAAATCCCTTGCGTTCATGGGGTGAAAGTCGCGGAATTTTTGACCGTCACGATTTCCCTCCGAGTCTTCGGAGGTACAAATGACTCTAGCGAAGGATCAGCCCGAGCGAGTGGCCAGTTTTGTCCCCTAGATGTTGTAGGTTCAACAAACGTCCTAGCGTTATCTGCCAGCGCGAGAGAGCATTTCCCATCAAGACGCAACTGCTGCGCGACAGAGGTGCAAACCTTCTTGGGTCCAATTGTAAACCCATTTCTTGGGGGAAATAATGACGAGGAGAAAGTGGAGAGGTTACTCAGATACGAGTAACAGGACTAGTTCCAGCTGGACCCCTTTCGTTTTGGGGGAAGAGAGTTTGTTCTCGTCACAAAAACAAGGGTTACAGTTAGTGGGCTGCTTGAAAGGTAATGGAGAAGGACGATGAGGCCAAGTCAGAGCTCCGGCATCCGGCATACAATGTGGGGGGTTGCGAGCCGGAAATGAAATTATCCCGAAATTACCCCGCTTCTCTGTCATGGTTGACGGTCAGCGTTAATGTCCTCCCCGGACTGTCTATGAACCGGGAGACGTATATCGGATCCACCTTGGCCCTAGACTGATTACGCCTCCAACCGGTGGAGATACCATGTATTTCACCTCCAACCAGTCAGCTCGAATGCTCTGTTGTCGCACCTTACCCCGCTGCCTACCCGTAGCAGGTCGCGTCTCACGCGCCATGTCCTCCATCGCCTCGCTATCCCTCGACTCTCCCTCCCTCGACCAGGAATCTGCCCTCTTTGACCAGCGAGTCTCCGAAATGGAAGCCTTCTTCGCCCAGCCCCGGTTTGCCAATATCAAGAGGCCGTATACCGCTGCTTCGGTAGCGTCCAAGCAGGGGTCTTTGCCGGTAGTACCCATTCCATCGTCACTCTTGGCAGACAAGCTCTATGCCGTCCTGTCTCGGGCTGCGGATGCCAGGAAACCCGTACATACCATGGGCGCTATCGACCCTGTTCAGATGACCCAAATGGCTCGGTATCAGGAGATTGTCTATGTCTCTGGTTGGGCGGCGTCGAGTGTCTTGACGACGGGGAATAATGAAGTGGGGCCTGACCTTGGGTGCGTTTGTTCTCTGTTTACTGTGCTGCGATCCTCATCATACATAGCGACTATCCATATACCACGGTACCGAACCAGGTGCATCGTATTTTCCGTGCACAACAGTTACATGATAAAAAGCATTATGACGAGCGCATGTCCGCGACGCCCGAAGCGAGGGCAAAGATGGAATACATCGATTACCTCCGTCCCATAGTCGCTGATGCTGATACGGGGTCCGTCTCTTTCCTTCGAACCTGCAGTGTCCGTTTCCTAATCATTCCATCACTCAGACATGGCGGCTTATCGGCGGTCATGAAACTCACTAAGCTCTTTGCGGAATCGGGTGCAGCGGGTATTCACCTAGAGGACCAATTGCATGGCGGGAAAAAGTGTGGCCATCTCGGAGGAAAAGTCCTCGTACCGACATCGATTCATGTCTCGCGCCTCATTTCAGCCCGGTTTCAGTTGGATCTTATGAAATCCACCATGCTCCTCATCGCTCGTACGGATTCTGAATCAGGAAAACTCTTGTCCTCAGATATCGATGTCGCGGACCATGAGTATCTTTTGGGTACCACTACTGAGGACAGCAAGTCTTTGGCGCAGGTTCTCGCTCAGGCTGAGGCGTCTGGCGCATCTGGCCCTGAGATTGACAATCTTGAACAGCAGTGGACTCGGGACCATGTCATGTGTACTTTCAACCAAGGTGGATCTTGCAGGCTTGTAAGAGATAGCACGACTGACTGGTTTGTGTTCAGCCGTCGAGAAGGCCATCAACGAATCAGTCATCGAGGACAAGACATCCGCCTATCAGTCGTATCTAATCGCAGTGGAAGGAAAGTCGACCAATGAGGCACGCGATATTGCCAAAGATATTCTAGGCAAGGCCGTCTTCTGGGACTCTGAACGTGCGTCTACTTGATGATTCTGTGTTTCATCTCTGATCTTTTTTCCTACAGTGCCAAGAACAAGGGAAGGGTATTACCATTTCACGGGAGGTGTCGAGGTATGGTAGTAACATGATGCTAAGCACCTGTGCTAAAAACCGATTTATACGACAGGCAGCTATAAAGCGATCGATGACTTTTGCTTCGTATGCGGACCTGATCTGGCTGGAGACCAAGACACCCGATCTCGAACAGGCACGATACTTCGCTCGGAAAATCCGTGAAAAGTATCCTGGAAAGTGAGTCTGAGCTTTCGAACGTGAAATAACACGTATGCTGACTTGCTCCAGATGGTTCGTCTACAACTTGAGCCCGAGTTTCAACTGGTCGGCTCATGGTTTCTCAGGTTCGTAACGTTATCCTCCCTCCTGCTTATCATTTTTGAACGAATTGAACTTAGATGCTGATCTCAAAAACTTTGTTTGGGAACTCGCAAAGGAAGGGTGATGTTCATTTTTATTAGTTGTAGTAGCAACCGCTCATGTCCGCTTTTGTAGATTTGTGCTTCAGTTGATCTCTTTGGCTGGACTTCACAGTGGCGCTGTAATAACAGGTATAATGTTTCCATCGATTGCGCGGCTCGTTCTAAAATCCACTGCAGCTGAGCTCGCTGCCCGTTACAAGGAAGATGGCATGTTGGCATACGTGGAACTTATTCAGCGCAAAGAAAAGGAAATTGGCTGTGACGTCCTGACACACCAGAAGTGGTGAGAATGTTTTATACTACCTTATTTTAAATACTCACACTTTATCAGGAGCGGCGCCAATTACATAGACCGTATTCTCCAGACTGTCTCATCCGGATCTTCCAGTACCTCATCGACAGGAAAAGATTCAACCGAGCACTCTTTTTAATCGAGTAATGTCTTTCTCGTCCCCGAAACTGACATGTGTATGACTATGAGTGATTTGTTGTGTCTTGTATCAATATTGAGTAGAATTCAATGAATACATCGCGCTCCCGCTTGCGGACAGTTTTCGACTCACCGTCCGTCACATGATATTTTACCGGCCTGCCCTAAAGTTGATCGATAAGACAGGCTTGGTAGCCGAATTTGAAAAACATCATCCCTCTTAACAGCTCTCACAGTCGCATCACAGGCTTGTACAACTGTTGGCGACATTCTTCCCTCAGAGGTTGTTCTGTACTCATATTCTCATCTGACAATTGTAAAATTTAGACGCCATGGTGTATGTGGTCCATTTCGCTTGCTTTATTAGTGCTCATTAAATTTTCTTCATGGCAGTAACTTCACCGTAGGCTAGTGTTCTCGTCCCGTTCTCGTTTATTCCCCCCCATGACCTTCATTTTTTTCTCTCAGACCAAATCCGGACTCTCATGGACCGGCCAACAAATATCCGTAACATGAGTGTCATCGCTCATGGTGAGTCCTCTCAGTAGCGACTCCCTCAGAGCCAGGCTGACACTCCATGTCTCGGTAGTCGATCACGGAAAGTCCACTCTTACGGACTCTCTGGTATCAAAGGCGGGTATCATTGCGTCGGCCAAGGCTGGAGAAACGCGGTTTACGGATACGCGAGAGGACGAAAAAGAACGTGGTATCACTATCAAATCCACAGCCATCTCCATGTACTTTGAGGTGGACAAGGAGGAATTGCCTTCCATCAAGCAAAAGACTGAGGGTGCGTTGATTTGCCAGATAATCGTGGAGCATTGATTTCGAGCGTGTGCGCAGGCAACGAATTCTTGATCAACTTGATTGATTCTCCGGGACACGTCGATTTCTCATCCGAGGTCACAGCTGCCCTTCGTGTCACCGACGGTGCTCTCGTCGTCGTTGATTGCGTTGAAGGTGTCTGTGTCCAAACTGAGACAGTTCTCCGGCAGGCCCTGACGGAGCGAATCAAACCCGTCGTTGTTATCAACAAGGTTGATCGTGCCCTTCTCGAGCTGCAAGTCAACAAGGAATCCCTCTTCCAGTCTTTCTCGCGTACCGTTGAGAGTGTGAACGTTATCATTTCTACGTTCCACGACGAAGCGCTTGGTGACGTCCAGGTCTACCCCGACAAGGGTACCGTCGCTTTCGGCTCTGGACTCCATGGATGGTGTTTCACTCTCCGACAATTCGCTGCCCGGTATGCCAAGAAGTTCGGTGTGGACAAGGAAAAGATGATGGCCAAGCTGTGGGGTGATAACTTCTTCAACCCTGCTACACGCAAATGGTCCACCAAGTCCGTTGATGCCGACGGAAAACCCCTCGAGCGTGCTTTCAACATGTTTGTGCTCGACCCCATCTTCAAGATCTTCGATTCCGTGATGAACTTCAAGAAGGACGCTATTGGACCCATGTTGGAGAAGCTCGACATCAAGCTTGGTCAGGAAGAGCGTGATCTTGAGGGTAAAGCTCTCCTCAAGGTTGTCATGCGAAAATTCCTTCCTGCCGGTGACTCTCTCTTGGAGATGATAGTCATTAACCTTCCTTCGCCCGCAACTGCGCAGCGCTACCGTGTGGAGACCCTCTACGAAGGTCCTATGGATGACGAGTCCGCTATTGGTATCCGCGACTGTGACCCCAAGGGACCCCTCGTCCTCTACGTCTCCAAGATGGTACCCACCTCTGATAAAGGCCGATTCTACGCCTTTGGTCGTGTCTTCTCCGGAACTGTTCGTTCAGGACCCAAAATACGTATCCAGGGACCCAACTACCTCCCCGGAAAGAAGGATGACTTGTTCATAAAGTCTATCCAGCGAACAATTTTGATGATGGGTCGTTACATCGAGCCTATTGAGGATTGCCCGGCAGGAAACATTGTCGGTCTCGTTGGCATTGACCAGTTCTTGTTGAAGAGTGGTACTCTGACGACGTCAGAAACTGCCCACAACATGAAGATTATGAGGTTCTCCGTCTCTCCTGTCGTTCAGGTTGCCGTCGAGGTCAAGAACGCTGCGGACCTTCCCAAGCTCGTCGAAGGTCTCAAGCGTCTCTCCAAATCTGATCCATGTGTCCAGGCTTGGATTTCTGAGACTGGAGAGCACATCGTTGCGGGTGCTGGTGAACTGCACTTGGAAATCTGTCTCAAGGTATGTGTCCTTATCCTGAAGAATGATGCGGTTCCTCATTTGGTACATAGGATCTCCAAGAAGACCACGCTGGTGTTCCCCTAAAGATCTCCGACCCCGTCGTGCCTTACCGTGAAACCGTGAAGGCCGAGTCGTCCATTGTGGCCTTGTCCAAGTCGCAGAACAAACACAATCGTCTATATGTCAAGGCTATGCCCATCGATGAGGAGCTTACGAAAGCCATCGAGGAGGGTAAAGTCAGCGCTCGTGACGATTTCAAGGCGCGGGCTCGTATCCTCGCTGATGAGTATGGCTGGGATGTCACCGATGCCAGGAAGATTTGGTGTTTCGGTCCTGATACCACCGGACCCAACGTGATGGTCGATGTCACCAAGGGTGTGCAGTACCTCAATGAAATCAAGGATTCTTGTGTTGCCGCGTTCCAATGGGCGACCAAGGAGGGTGTCTGTGCTGAAGAGAACATGCGTGGTGTTCGTTTCAACATTCTCGATGTGACGGTGAGTTGATAGGCATTGCAACCGTTGGGAACGATGATACCCATAATCTTCTTTTTCAGCTGCATGCGGATGCTATTCATCGTGGTGGAGGGCAGATCATCCCTACGTGTCGTCGTGTCTGTTACGCTGCCTGCTTGCTCGCAACCCCTGGTCTCCAAGAGCCTATCTACCTTGGTATGCTGTCTTCATTTCGCACATATTGCACTTCTGACACTTGTGGTTTCAGTGGAGATCCAGTGTCCCGAGAACGCCATTGGTGGTGTCTACAGTTGCTTGAACAAGAGGCGTGGTCAGGTCTTCAGCGAAGAGCAGAGGCCAGGAACACCTATGTTCACCGTCAAGGCTTACCTGCCTGTCTCCGAGTCCTTCGGTTTCAACGGTGAGCTCCGCTCGCATACGGCTGGACAGGCCTTCCCCCAGAATGTATTTGATCATTGGGAACTCATGAACGGATGTGAGTGTTTTGGGTTGGTCATGCTTTGTGCAGTTGCTAAACATACATGCATTAGCTCCTCTCGACAAGGGCTCCAACATCGAGAAAATTGTTCACAACATCCGAACACGCAAGGGTCTCAAGGTTTGTTCTCTGAGCCTATGGCTTCTTTCATTTGTTAATTATTGTTTGCAGATGGAGATTCCTCCTCTTGACACGTACTACGACAAGCTGTAAACACCCTCTTGTACCTTTCGTCTTTTTCCCATTTGTACATGGCAGAGTATGGAGCTGCCAGTAGTTGAATTTCTTTGTACTGTGACATGAACCAAACAATTGCACTGACATTCGTTCTGTCAATGACTTGACGAGAGCAGGGCATTCATTGAGAGATTTCCACTTCTACTTTTACTTTATCCAAGTTTTTTTTTAGGTGTGTGAATGTCTTTATTTGACTAATAGTTGTAGAGTTTTAGAGTTTAGAGTTCAGATAATGATTGTAGTATGCACTGCCGACTGCACCGACTGTCGCACCTAGCGGTATGACTCTTAACAGTTGCAGGTGTCGGTACCGAAGATGTCAATAAGTTTAAACTGCTCCGTTTAGCCAACCACTCTCTGCTCAGTATGAATTCCCAAGTCCCAGATCTCTCAAAGATCCCTGACATACGAACATACCTGTCTGGAACTCCTTTCGATGCAGTATACATTGAAACACTGTCGGGTGGGCATGCCAACTTTACCTTTAGATTGTATTTAGCCCGTGCATATGAGGGACAGTCAACAGTAGTTTTCAAGCATGGAAAATCCTATGTCGGCTCGGGAGAGAGGAAGTTACCCATTGGTTTGGAGCGCCAGGTGAGTGTCAATTCCAATGTTAGAATTAAATCTCAACGCGTACGCAGATGTTCGAAGTGAAAGCGCTAGAATAGATTACCAGCTGGCTTCCCGAAGGCTCGCCTGTGACTGTCCCACACGTCCACCTCTTTGACGATAAGGCGAACGTGATCATTATGGAGGATTGTGGCCTGGGGTCCGTGACGCTAAAGAAACTGTTTACCGACAGGAAATGTCCTATCGCCACCATGGCGAAGGAGATCGGGGAGGCATTAGGACATTTCATCAAACTCGTTCATACGAACGGGAGCGCGGACAATCGGATCCTGGATCTGTTCAGAACAAATGTTCAGGCCAAACAGGTGTCGGCGTATGTCACGTACGGACGGCTGGTGTCGACGCTCAATGGGCAAGACCAGTTGCCTGCCTTGTCTGATCCTCCTCTTGATGTCGAGGCAGAGAATCTGGATGTCGTAAGGGATATAGCTTCAAGGATGGAGAGTGAAATAATGTCTGCTGAGAGTTCGGTGAGTCTAAACGCGCTTCACGAGGTCTTATACTTATTGTTGTTCAGTTCGTCATGGGGGACTTTTGGCCTGGAAACGTCCTCGTGAGCCTGGATGAGAACTCCAGAGTAAAAACCATTTCAGTCATCGACTGGGAGCTCGCAAAAACAGGGCTTCCTGGACATGACTTGGGCCAGTTCTGTGCAGAACTGTATTTATTGCGATCCTTCGACCCGATATCTGGAGAATTTGCGCTTGCTACCTCCGACATGACTAGCTCGTTTCTGAAAGCCTACTCTCGGTTTAAGGATATACCGTTGGCTCAATATGTCATTACACATATGGGGGCCCATCTTGTAGCTTGGACTCCCAGGATTCCCTGGGGTAGTAATCAAAGGACGAGACAGGTTGTGAAGGAAGGGGTGAAATATGTAGTTGAGCCCTGGGTCGAATCTGATGATAAAAAGCTGGGCGAATGGTTCTCACACACCTCAATTTCGGTTCTTGCAACCAATAGATGATGATAGTTTATTAGTAGTAGTAGACGAACGCAGTAAGTTGAGAAGGATATCCTCCGGGGATCGAAATTCATGATTCGGCATAGCGGGCCTTCGTACTCCGCCACCACCATGACGGAAGAAACGCCCACCGAAATCTTTCTCCCGCCGTCATTTCCATACCCAATCAAGATATCCTCCATTGACGCGCCGATGTCGAGCACCGTTCAGCGGGGAATCCGTCTGCTGAGCTATTCCTTCCAGTCCACCCCTCAAGGTGGGCGCCCAGAGACTCGTTTTGGCACCTGGGACTGTGCTATCGATGGGGACATTAAATCGTGGAATGTCAAGGCTGGAGATGTCATTACTGCAATGAGGGCCAAAGATAAGCCTGTTGTGGTCATACAGGAACCGTGCAAACACGGGATGCAGCTGGGTGGCCTTTGTGTTTTATGCGGGAAGGACATGACCAAGTAAGTCCCATGCTCCATCAATAGTAGGCACAGGCAAAGCTGAGATCCCATGCTAGTTCTGATTATATCGGATTCTCGGACACTTCGCGCGCTTCTATTCAAATGACACATTCTGCTAATGGCCCTACCGTTTCCCTTGAAGAGGCTCAGCGCATCGAACGTGAGACGGCAGAGCGCCTGATCAAATCGCGCAAGCTGTCTCTTATCGTGGATCTCGATCAAACAATCGTGCATGCAACAGTGGACCCCACCGTTGGGGAGTGGATAGCAGAAGGTGAGGCTTGGGAGGAGAAACATAAGCAGAAGAATGGAAATGACGTGCAGATGGGCGAGGAGAGCTCTGATACGGACGAAGAGGAGTGTAATCCCAACTGGGAGGCTCTCAAGGATGTCAAGAAGTTTAAACTGGGGCCGGAATCGTTTGGGATGCCCTATGAAGCCAAGGGCAAGGGCAAGTCCATTGAACAGGACGGATGCATGTACTACATCAAGCCTCGGTTCGTTTCTCTGTCGCATCTTTTCGTTAACTCACTTTCGCACCTAGACCTGGATGGCAAGCCTTCCTACTAGAGGTGGCGGCCAAATACGAGATGCACGTTTACACTATGGGCACGCGTGCTTACGCTGAACAAGTGTGTGCAGCTATTGACCCGGACGGGAAGCTCTTCGGTGGACGGCTGCTCAGTCGAGACGAAAGCGGGAGTGCGTCCCAAACCGATCTTTCTCGATTTTCTTATTTACAAGGAGGCAGGCTTAACACAGAAAAGCCTACAACGACTGTTCCCCTGCGATACGTCCATGGTAGTGATCATTGATGACCGAGGAGATGTATGGGAATGGAGTCCCAACCTTATCAAAGTCGTCCCATGTGTGTTCTTGTCCATTTTCCCCGCATATATCACTCTTCTGATGGTCTTCTCAAGACGACTTTTTCGTGGGTATTGGTGACATCAACTCCGCGTTCCTTCCCAAAGTAACCACCTCTAACCTCATGCCCTCGTCCACGCAAGCTTTGATAACACAGAACTCGATCGCACTCGAAGCCCAGGTAGAGGAGAGGCCACTGGCAAGGATGCAAGAGCAGCTTACGGATAGTGACGACTCAGCAAAAGACAAGGAGGTCAGTCCAAAACCTGATCACGAACACACCAGTCACCGCAAAAAAGCCTTGTTGAAAAGTCAAGACAACGAGTTGGAGCGTGTTGCAAAGGTGAGATTTCTGCACAAAAGAGATTCTTAAATGACATCTGAGGGCGCATAGCTCCTTGATGAAGTCCACCAACGGTTTTTCGATGCTTATGACGCTTCGTCATCAAATAAACGAAAACGTGGGGAGGATGAACGTGATGTAACGGTATGGAAAGTGAAGCGTATATCGACTTGCACTAATTCTTTTCCTTGCAGAAAATCATACCCAGCATACGGTGTAAAGTTCTCCAAGGGGTACATATCGTGTTTTCTAGTCTCTTCCCAATGGACACGAATCCCGAATCTTCTGAAGTGTGGAAAATGGCGCGCACATTTGGCGCAAAGTGCTCTGCTGAGCTTGTCGAAGGGGTCACCCATGTCGTCGCTGCCAAGGTCACCTTTCATACTCCCTCGTCATGCTCATAGTATTGAATAATCCCGTAGCCTGGCACGGACAAAGTAAACCATGGTTCAAAACGGCCGGGAGTCAGAGTCGTTTGGGCCCAATGGCTCACTGATTGTATAATGCTTTGGCAGCGCGTAGACGAGACTCCCTACCTGATGGATCCTGGGGTGGACAGGGAGAGCGTCCTTACGCATGGTGTTGTCGTGCGAGATAAAGACAAGCATCATCATGATGTGGGTGTTGAGCTGGAGATGGGTGAGATCAATTGGAATGATATCAATGACGAGGTTGACGCTGCAATGAATGAGAGTGATGATGATGAGGATGAAGATGTCCAGGGGGAGGGATATAGGGTATGGGATCCAGATGACGAGAGGTATGTGTGCCTTACTATCGTGCCGCTTTCGCAGAGGGATGACAAGGAGTCATAGTGCACCTAATACGCCAAGGAAGCGAACGAGGTCGAGAAGTGTGACACCGTCGAAATCGGTTGACGGTGGAAGTCCAGAGTCGAAAAAGCGGAAGCTCGAAAGTTCGACGCTGAAAGAGACTGTAAGCGCTACGGACTTGGCAGAGGAAGAAGAAGAAGACGAAGACGAGGATGGCGACGAGGAGGAAGAGATAGAAGTGGATGAAGATTTCCTCGCCAAAGAACTGGAAGAGGATTGGGGATAGCAAGACATTCTCTATTTTCTTATGGCTTTCATATTTGTCGGGCGCATCACTTATTTCCTTCTGTCTTTGCTCCTGTATCTATTAGCTTGGGTATGGTTTTCTTGGTGCCAAGAACTGGTCTGTATAATCTACGTTTTCTTTATGATCTCTTTATTACAAGTAATTCCGTTCAAGTACATGGCTGTATAGTATTTTCAGACTAAATCGAAAAACCGAACGCGAACATACCACAAGGCATAATGGTGACCAGTATATGACTCAAAAGACATGTTAGTTCATCCACAGTCAAGGACCTATTCTCAGAATGTTACCGGTCACCGGTCATCATCTATGTCGGAAGTCGGGCCTGATCAAGAAATCCGTGTTCAAGCTCCCTCCCGATTTCCGTATCGTGCTTGCCGCTGGATGTTCGAAACACATTGACTGCCCTAGAACACAGTCCAGCGATTGGCTGGATTCTAGCCGTCATCGAAAGTAGCTTCCAATAGGCGTACTCTGTGTGGGCTTGAGTTAAGGAAGTCGTTTCGTACGTGTTAAAGCATGTTGTTGTATTCTCATACTTACGCACAGCGGGAGGTCGAGCCAGGAGGTACGCACAAATGGTCTACATAAGACGTAGCCTTCGTGGTATGTCAGTTCCATTCATTGCGGGTGAACCATGGCGGTATAAACCAAGCCAAGAAGAATGGTGGATTTAGTATGAGTCAACAAGGAAGATAATTGTGGAGGCGCCGGACGAAGGAGAGTAGATGCCATCTGCTCTGGCGGGTCCCGGTCAAGAAATTACCAATCGCGTTCAAGGCTGTTCATGTACAAGGAATTTGGAGCACCAGATGAATTCTTCGACTCATGGTTCAGATGGTTCAGAATGTTCTTGAAAGACGTGATAGCATTGCATTTCAGCACCGAAAAGGATAATGCTACTCAAGAAGTAAGCCTGTATGAGACACCCGTGTCACGTACAAACTGATTGATGTTCCATAGAATGGTCAAATGAGCTGGTGGGGACCTCAGAACCATATCGTGCAATGGACAGAATCGCGAGGCCACTTTAGATGAGGACAACGAGGACGAAGCGATTCCCGAGGCAGGGTGGATATATTGTCGAAACTTGTCCGAGACATTCTCTCTTCCGGTTTAATGCTGAACGGTGGCCCCAGACTGGGAATTGTTGAGTAATTGTTGGAGCATCGTCTAGCGGATTATCTACCGATGACTTGCTGGATCGTTAGCGTCGAGACGGAGGCGAATTTGCTCATTGACCGACTAGTAGACATAGCTTCACTGTGCGTTTACCGGCTTCCTTGAATGCAACTTTACTTATGCCTGTCGAAGAGAGTCGAAGTTTCAGCATGTAGCTTTGCGGAGAGAGAAAAAAAATACCAGATCCGGTTCGGAGATTACGACACTTGGATTCGACTGATTCGAATTCTCTGCAGCCGGCGCAGTTTTCTCTCTGCTGCTCCCTGGCACGGCCTTCTCTTTTGACTTACTGCGGCGTTCCTCCTACGCTACCCATGTATACTGCCATAGAGTACGCTAGTGAGTGTTGAACACTGGCGGCTTTGGCAAGCGGCAGTTGCCTGAGCAATTCTTCAACAATCGTCCGCGGAAATTTCACGTCATGTCATCACCCGTTCTCGTAAGGCAAGGCAATAGGCGAACTGATTCATTTAAATACGGCTGGTAATCTGCGTTGCACTAATTGACCATGTCCCAGCCATTGGTGGTCACCTCGCGGTCGACCTTGATGCACGCCTCCCTTGCCTATCTCTCAGACGAGATACGGACCCTTGACTCAGTTATCACATCCCACTTGTCGCATTCCTCCCTTCTTGCGATGCCTATCGAAATTCTGCTTCTAATACGTTCTCATCTCCTTCTCGCGGTCACCACCGAATTAATAAACCGCTCAACTTGTGCACTGAAACGCTACGAATCCACGTTGCGTGCTCTTCTTTGTGCAGATTGCATTGCGTATAATCAAGACGTGTATGGGAAGGATATATGGGAGTGGGAGCAGTTCTCGGGAGCGTGTTCGTGCACTGTCACCACGAACAGTACACCAACTCCTCGTATTCGCCATCTTCCCACCGCTACCATCAACCCCAAACGTTTTGTTGATCGCGTCCATTGGCTCGAATACTATCTTTCTCGAAAATCGCTTCGTCTCCTCCGCGGCCGCTCAGTATCGCTGAATAAATCGCACGATGTGATCTGGGGGGCCGTATCCGTGGTGTTGGGGAATTTTGGATGCAAGGTTGTCATGGGAAGCCCATGTTATCGACGTTTCTTTCCGCTATTGCGCGACAAACACATTGTCGTCGTTCCGGAGATGGAATGCGAATCGTGGTCGTTGACCCAAGTTACTCTGAATCGGGTGGACAGAGACCTCGGCCTGTCCCTGCACCATCCCAACGCTCTTGAAGATCCCGTTGATGGTTTCGCCCCCCTTCCCAGTGTTTCACGACCATTTTACCACTTCCATCAGAAACAGTCCGTCATCCACCGATCTTCAGTCCTTCGTCCCACCATGGAAAACATCAGTGATGCACTCAACGCACTGTTTGCTATTCCCATTGCTTTCATGACATTTATTCTCGCAATTCTCTGCTTTTATTCACGACCAGGTGCATTCAGAATTATGTGATGGCTGGTACAATTCCCTAGTATGCTTGCTCTCAGGTTACATCCACGATTCTATTTTTTCTCGCTCTTCACGAATATTTTTGCATACATCCTTACTCCATCACCCTCAATACCAATATTTCACCGGATCATCTTCATCTTCTCCTTCATCCCGAATCTTGTATTATATTTGTATTCCTTCCGCCGTTCACCCATCGACTCCATTATTACTTACAACTAGAGCCTTCTCTGTCACGCCCGCTTCGGCCACTTCTTGGGATCGGAAACCCCGAGGATTGAAGCACCACTTCCAATAGCCTCGAAGGCTCAGCAAAGGTTTCAGATTTCCAGTGTCGATGTAATGCTATTGATCTTCAGAAGGATACTTGTTTAGTGGCTCAAGCCGCCAATACTTCTGTACTGAGGCATATTAGCCCACGCCAGGCTGGCAGAATCCTTGGAAGCCTGTCACCTGTGCAGGTTGTTCCGGCATTGTCGTCTTCATGCAATCAGGACACGTTGTAATCACACAGATTGGAACATGAATGTTTCTTCAGTTGGGGGGAAATTTTTTTCCAACTACGCATATAGATTTCAGGTAGGCTCGTTCTACGTTTGGAGGGCATGCCATTTCCCAGACCTGCCAGTGACTGCAAAGAATCATCTACGGGGGAAACAGAAGAACCAGAGAAAAATGGGTACCTAAGCATGCTAACTCGAGATTATCAAAAACCGGGATCAGAGTACAAAGCAATGATACATCAGTGATCACTGCCTTGAGGCTCCCAACGGATGCCGAATCATTTGACTTGCCAACTTCGTGGAAGGATGAGAAAGGGTACCATGAATATCCAAGGTCCCATGTCATTATAGCCAATACATAAGGCGCCAACAACAATAATTGAACTTCAAAAGCTGTTGGCGCAGAACGGGGTACAGTGCGGCCAGGCACGAATTCACTTCGCTATTTCGAACTAAATGAGGGTATCAAAAATTAGGATCACATTTTATCGTCCAGCGCCTAACCACCATCGAGACGATAGCACGAACGAGAAAGTATGGGGCTACATATCGGTGAGTATAACACTGTATAACACAAGTAACAGGATGAGGACAAATAATATCAATATCACACTGCAAGTGCACTGCAACGGAGTAGGGGTTGTTGGACAGATGACATATGAGAGATGCAAAACGTTAACGATAATTAGACAGAACAATACGATAACGGAGGCGGTGTCGCAAGCCACCAAATGAGGTCCCGACGAAAAGTCGCGTTTTTAATTGGATAAAAATGCAGAGTGAGTGTCTGAAGGGACACGCAAGGTCAGTCCCTAAAACTGACTGCAGCAAACGAGAGGCGGCCTACAATGTTAATGTACATATTGTTGCTGGAAGCTGAGTAGGAGGAAGGCATCCTCCGCTTTAATACCGCTAGTGAATTTCATGGTAGCACGTTCGAGTTCGACGCAATTGATCAGAGCATCAAGGGGCACAGCAAGAGGCTGTCGAGGGGGTGATGGCATGGTACGAGGAGGAGGTGATGGTGACGGCGAAGGAGTGACGGCTTCTTGAATCTCTTCGTCGCTGCCGATGTCGTCAGAGTGGGCGACAGTAGGATGAGGCCCCTCCTCATAGTCCATCGCGTCATCAGATGATGACGAAGGAGAACCGTAGCGGGACACTGAAGCGGAGTGCAGCTGCGAAGAGTAAGGGAACCCGTAGTCATCGTCGTCATCGCCGCTTCCGCTCTTTTTTGCACGTCTCCGGGATGTCTGACGGAGGTTTCGGAACCAGTTGGTTACTTTACCGAGGTCCCTGGGAAAACAATTTGTCAGTGCTTGGGGATCAGATGGGAGTGGCTCACATTCCGATTTCATGAGCAAGGACCGAGCGTTCTTCAATTGTTGGGGTGGGGTTCTTGTCAAACAAACCTTTGAGGGCCTCCAATTGGTGCGGTTCAGGACGTGCCCTCCGAAGACGGGAGCTCATGCTGTAAGGGGTCGCACTCCGCCTTGAAGAGGAGCGCCTAGGAGGAGAATCATCTTGTGTCGATGATTGTGCACTGGGGGAGCGTCGACCTCGAGAAAGGGCCAATGAAGGATGGTGGTTGGCTGGGGGAAGCGCCAATGAAGGATGCCTGTTGGCGGGAGGAAATGCAGAATAGGACCGGATCTCTGCAGAATACTCGGTATGTGAAACGGACATAGGCACCTCGAGGTCATCCTCTTTTCGCTTTTTTGCAAGACTGCGTTGGTTTTGGAACCAGTTGGTTACGCTCTGATAGCGCCTAAAATGGAAATCAGCTAAATCATCACGATCGTTCAAAAATGAAGCCACTCACATGCCAGTGCGCTCGGCCAGGACCTGTCTCTGTTCGGTGGTAGGATGGGGGTTGACACTGTACACTCTTTTAAGTTCATCAGCCTGGTCGGTGGTTGGGCGCAGTCGTAGACGCCTAGGCATACTATCGCTCTCTGAATTGAAGTGAGGAGGTTCTGCGATGTTGGGGGTCAGATGTGTGAAAAAGTCCGAAAGGAAAGCCGAATGCACCAAGGAGATAATCGTCGTCCTGGTAGTCACCCAATTCTGAGGGACGGGGAGTGGTCGATGCAGATGACGAATTGGAGGTGTGCTGGGGATTTATATGAGGGCTGTCGTAGGTAATGCTGCGCTGGGCAACGGTTCGTTTCTTTGTGCTGGCCCGTTTGTTCTGAAACCAAGAGTTGACGGTCTTTGTCTCCCTGAGAAGGAGTAAAAATGCTATGGGTGTCCATGGAAGAAAGAAAAGAAAAGAAAGACACACATTCCCAGCTGCTCTGCCAAAGAAGTGCGCACTTCGAGGGCAGGATGCTCGTCCCTTTCGTACAAGTCGTTCAGTGCAGCAAGCTGATGAGGCGAATGGCGGTTGCGAGGTTTCTTTGGGCGGTCAGTGGTAGAGGGAGGCATCGAAGAGGGGACAGGAGAAGGAAAGCAGACAAAGAGCAAGGTTTAAGAAAGAGCCGTTTTATGACAAACCATATTGAGTTATGATATCCACTACATCCAATAATCATTATTACACTCCCGTGCGAACTTTTTTTTTTTTTGGCCTCCTTCCATCCATCCGTCGCCGACTAGCACTTCCCTTCGTCTTGAGCGTCCTCAGAGGATATGGTGTACTAGTCGTATATTTCTTTATCTAGCGTTCGCTGGCAGCTGGATCAGACGATAATCCCACTTTGTTCGCTTGCCCTCAATTACACCCACGAGGCTTTGCCATATCGAGCGAACAGAAATATTGTCATTTCTGCTGACCGAAGCTAGTCTATCGTCTCCACTCATTTCAGACCGCTTTTGATGTACACCTCTGCGGCGCTCGTTCGGCCTTGCACTCACCATTTTTCCGGTCGACAACTGCGTTGGCATTTACGGCTAGTCGTATCCATCATGTTAACGCCGCTGGGCTCGATTCACATGTGAAACACGAGGTAGTGGTATCTATTTTACTTGCTGTTTTTCAACTTCTTCCGCCCAACGCTGACTTGTCGGACTGAACACTAGCACGAGACTGATGCGTATTAATATCAATGGCATCAGCCTGTTAATAATAATGTAGGGTAAAGAATAAATACGCAAATTCCAGAGGTATCTTTCCTTCCTCAGACATCTTCCGGGGTCATGTTCTTCAGCCACGCTCCTATAGCTCCCCTGAGAATAGATCAGAACATTGAGAAACATAGATGTCTCTGAAATACCCACAAGAATCCTTCATGACGTAGGAATAAGGCACGTTTCGTACCCTTGCTCCAGAACCGGATCGCATAAGACAAAGTCATTATTGTAGCAGCATGTCCTATACATTGAATCAGCTGAGATAACAAAAAGGTACCCCGCAATCGACCTACCTCGAATAAAACATCCACCAAAGTAGATCCTCTCCAGATTGTACTTTTCAGCATTCATGTATCTGCAAATCTTTTCAGCTATTATTATCTAAATGCACGAGGCGCGACTGCATACGCAATTTGTCCAATGTTGTTCGAGACACCATAAAGCAGGCTTTTGCTGATGTCTTCCGCTGTGAATTTACCCTTTTCGCCACCTTTCTTGAACACTTTGCCAAAGGAACTAGCAATCATTGTCGACTTCAAGCCGAGCTTGGAATAATCCTGTCCATAGATATCACCGACCAGCATATCGACCGAGGCATTATCGCCATTCTCCGAGAATCTAAGCATCTCTGAAATTGCATAAGTCAGACTGTCCCGGGTTTCTTGATGGAGAACATACCATCGAATGTCGTCGCTGGTGTCAACAGACTGAGTAGTCCCCACAGGGTTCCGCCGCCCAGACTGGTACCGCTGACACGTTCAAACTTGCCATCCTCGTCGACCTTGATGATAGAGACTCCGGAACCGATGTTCACCAGTAGACACGGCAGCTGAGGTGTTGGGTGCGACTCGAATGTTACAGCATACGTCGGAGGATTGGGACTGGGTCGCTCAAACACGCCGTTGGTGCCATTTTTGACTGGTGTGGAGTGGGACACGCTCTGAATGAGCTCATCGGAGAAATAGTACACCTCGTCTGGGATGAGGGTGATAAACTTCAATCCTTCAATAAGACACTCCATCTCGTCCTCCCGTCGCACCTCGACGCACAGTTGGTCCTTGAACAGATCGTAGAACTTGTGCGCTCCGCCTCCGGTGGCCATGATCTTCACGCCCGTGCGCATGTCCTCTATCGACACGTCGTTCACTTTTGCTGAGCGCTCTATTAGCTCCTGGATAAACGCCACGCATTCATGGATGTTGTCTGTCTCGAACCTCTCAAAATTGAGGGATCCACCTGGGAAGTGTTGGGAAGTTCGCCGGAGCATGGAGTCGCGGAGAAGCCCATTGCTGTCCAAGCTGGAAAGACCACTGAGACCGTGGTTTTGAGCATCGAGGACCAGCGGTGTTAGGGCGCCACTGAGCTTGACGTGTGAGGAGCCGGACGGGGAAGAAGAGGAGGGATTGGCTTCATTGGACGGGGAGATGGATCGTGGCGTGGATATATTACTGGACGAGCTGGAGCCGTGGGTGGCGGCTACAGAGGGCGACGAGGGGGGCTCTGAGGACCTTGTAAAGTACACAACTTTGGCGAGAGAACCGCCGATCTGTGAGAAAAGATGTTCAGTTCCGTTGGGGAAACCACGGAAACAGACGCACGTCTACTGCGATATGGGACACTGGCTCTATGTGATTTGGAAGGTATATTCCTCGACTGTCCCTCGTCTGTACATGAAATATAGCCGTGTGAGCTGGGCACTGGCGGAGCGCAAGCAATTTCTCACCTCAGGCGACTCTTCCGACAGTATGACTGCGCCTCTTGTATCCACATGGATGACCTTCGCTAATGGCAGAGACGGGCTATTCAACATATAGTTAGAAGGCATTGCGCGAGGTCCAACGGTTAATGGTAGTGATAGCCCTGGACCAGAACATAAGGTCGCTGGTCGTCAGAATTCATCTTTTTATCTTACGATTATGTATGAGACACATTTCTAATCAAGGTAACGTCTGTATACGGGCTTAGTCCGACACCGAGTACCGATTTTGCTGTGTACCCGGTGTTCAACAGATCCGAATCGTATGCCTCTAATCCCAATTTTATTCACAGCAAAAAGTGATGTTGAAGAGAAAGATGTTAAATGACGGAATGCTTCAGCCGCTCACTGCCGCCAGCACCAAGTTGCATGCTTCCTCTTTTTCGGTCCTTACGCCTAGTTCTAGAGTTACACCTTGGCCTTGGGAGAAAGTCATTCGACAGCGAACCAAAACTTTACCACCGCCGCCTGTTACCAGGCCAGACAATTGGAGCGTATGCACTGATGTTGACTGAGGGACCTCCGAGCCGCCCAACGGCTCCATGTTGAGGATCTCGATAATTGAATCGCAAGCGGCTAAAGATGTTACCGTTAGGACCGGTGTCAAAACCATACGTGCGGTCTCACCTTTGATGCTATCCATTGCAGACAAGGCAAATGTCTCGGTAACACTTGGTCCTGTACGAAGCCTATCCCACTCTGACCCAAATGTCGCGTAACTGGGAATAATGTAATCCCCTCCAGCACTAAGTTCCACTTCTTCCAGCTGATATTCATCCTCGTAACCTTCATCCTCGGGCTCCCCAGTCGAAGGATCCATTTCTTTGCTGATGAATTTAAGGTTGCATGTAAAGGATCCTATTGCGTAATCGTCGGGGGATGCACGAGTGAAAGAGACATAGACTATGCTTGGCGACGTTGATGCGCTCAAGCTGGGCACGGGAATTATGAAGTCTTCCGTTAGTCCGATATCATCGGACTGAGGCTGCATTATGACCGAAACTTGCTCCAAAACGGTATCGAGAAGAGTATTCGAAACGTTGAACTAGAAAGTTACGTTAGTCGGATGTGCGTACAGCGCGCTCATTACAACTTGCCTGGAATACCACATGTTCCTTGAAGATGTGCTTGACACAAGTGACCTGATATTCGGTTTCGCTTTCCGTAAGTTGCGTAGGTTTTGCAGTACTGTTGAATACAGGTCCATATGAAGTGAATTCGGGAACTTCTGATAGCTGTTCAAGATAAGCAGACTGCTGTTCTGCGGCAGTGGGAGGAGGTGGGGAGTCGGAAGGTCTGTGGGTAGTAGGAACACCGATAATGTCCAAAGTACTGGGCCCTATTCGGAAGGATTAGAAGGTTACTCTCACCATAATATGAGAACCATACGAGCAGATTCTTGGGCAGCTTGCGCACGGCTGATCCGAGGAACGGATGAAACATCGAGCGGCTGTGCCGTAGCTTCAGGATCCTTTATATATGTCACCAGCTTCGTTTCCAGGGCTGCCAAAGAAAAGACAGAATCTATTCAGGTAAAAATGAGTTATGGTACTGGTATCATGCCGAATAATGAGAACAACGAACCTTCCTGAACGTAAGACTGGGCCAAGGGCTTCTCCTTGCACACCCTCAGATAGAGCGCAGCACGATCACGGACTTCATCGTCAACATCATCCAAACAGCTTGAAAATGATGAGGTCATAACAACAATGGTAGGAAAAAAAGGACACGCTACCGGTTAAGAAGGACGCCGATGCTATTCTGAAAGCCAGCATCAGATGAATTGACACCGAATTTCGCCAAACTGGAAACAGCAGCGGCTCGGACGGTAGCATTCTCCAGGACAACACGGTTATAGATGAATCGGATAAACTTGGCCGGTTGAGGAGATTTTGGGCCCTCGAGACCCAGGAGATGAAGAATTCGGACAGAGAGTTTCGTGAATTCACAATCTTCGATGAATTCACAGAGATGTGATAGAGCTTGCTCTTTGCATTCGGAGACTCGATTGATCATGTCGAAGATAGCTTCAACAACAGCCCGCTTGAAGTCATAGCCGCCTTCGTCCCGTAAGACGCCGGAAAGGAAGGCGAGCATGGAAGCGTGTTTTGTCGGGAACTTGGCGCATAGAGAGCGGATGGCGTCGACGATGATTACTTTGAACTCGTCACTGATCTCTGACATGAAGCCAGTGATTTGTTTGATAAGGCGATCGACGGAGGCTTCGTTACCAGTCTGGAGAAGATTTCATTAGCTGTCCCTCAGGCATAATCACAGCTTGCCTTAAGTAAGGTCGTAATAGCATATGTTGCGACACTCCTATTGGAGTCTGTGATGAGGCCTTCGAGGTCAACATTGCAGACACCAACGCTTGCCGGATGCGTCAAGGCTAGTGTGGCGAGAGTTCGAGTAGCAGCGAACTTCAGTACGGCCTTGGGAGAAGACAAAAACAGCTGCAGAACTTTAAAAACACGTTACAGTAGGAGATATGTGATGTATCTAATGAATTCTTACCAGTTATAGATTTTGTAAGTTGCGCTGGAGTTACATTTCGCGTCTCACAAATCGCCCTCGCGGCTTCGAAGTTGACCATGTCGCTTTTATGACGCAACCAACCCTCCATCAAATCGAGCATCTGTTTCTGGACACTGAAGACGTATTCAGAGGGACTCAACACATGTAGTAAGAAAACTCACTTGGGATCTTCCTCCATGACTTTCGCAGCATAACGAATGAGCATACAAAGGGCCATGGGGTTCTTCAATGTTGTACCGGCGCCGGACTTCCCACCGCCAAGTTGTTGTATCATTTTCGTCACAGCCATCCGATCCTGCTGTCGCATGAGATACAACAGGCCCAACGCATGGTATTGTGCAATATAGCTGGTCGAAGGAATGGTTTGTTGCCCGCTGTTCTGTGAGGAATTTGCAAAACCAAGATAGCCACCAGAAGAGCCACCGAAGAAAGAGGAAGATGCCTTAGCATTGACAGCCTCTTGGGCTTCATTGACCCAGCGTTTGACCACGTCTTTCGCGAGAGGAAAGAGATGGTACGAGGACACAAGAGCAGCTGAGGATATTGAGGGGTTGCGGTCAACGATAGCAGCCTTGAAGAAACGCTCGACTCCTTGAGCCATTGAAGGCTATACGAAGAAGAAATGAGACCTTCATACACGCGAATCAAGGCACGACATACATCTATGATGCGGCACAGTGCACGAATAGCGTTTGGCCGGTATATAACCTCTGAGTTGGGTTGCATGTCCTTCATAATACTGCTGGTGACCATAATAACATCCTCTGCGGTTGTCGAGAGCTCCTTGATAGCAAGATAGACAGCTTGCCTTAGTGCACTCTGTCGCTACAGTTAGGGGATGTCCGAATTCTGCGTAATGAGTGTGCTTACATCTTTGTGCTGGAAGAGTTTTGTCGTCCCAAAGAACAGGGTTGTCGCCTCCTGCGTCCCAAACGTCTCGCCGACATATAGCAAGTAGACTATCCGTGTTAGCAGGGCTCGGCACTTCCTTGGGCTTATGGGAGATTCGTTGAATACGCGAGCCTCCTGGATGATAGTAGTTTTGTTGTTGTAGTATGAGCTGAGCCCGCTTTCATCCTCCTTTTTGGTCTGGAAGGTGAGGGCGAAGGAACCCATGTCAGTTGCAGTATGATGAACTTGGCGGTATCCAAAAAGTGGACGTGTCGGAGGGTTTTGTGTGTCTCTGTTTGTCTGCACCCTCCCCTTCCTCTACCTCCGTGAACGATCATAAATTACTAGATGGCCCCGAAACCTCGTGGAGCCCGTAAAGCGTCTACATCGTCCAGAGATGGTCCTTTTCTCACACATGTCGACAAGAATCTCAAGGCAATGCCGCCACCTCCAGATCCAGTCGTACCTAAGCGCATACTGGAGCAAGAGATGGAGGGTCTAAAGAGTTGCTTCAGGGTCAGGCCAATCTTACCTGATTGTCTTTATTCTCAGTTAAGTTTAATCAATAGAATACTATGGTAAAGATGGGACGACTGTATGCCTTTTATGCTGATACCCGCAGGCTGTAAGTCGTCGTGCTCCATTTTTTTAAACTGGATTGACATGTCTATTTAGTGGAATTCGGAAGTATGCGCCTTATCCGCCGCGTTCTCTATCCGCATCATTAGGTCGGGAAATCGAGAATTATGATCAGCTTTGCGATTCTATGGAATCTCACTTGGAAAGTCATATTGGTTTCTTTACTATTGGTGACCAACTGAGACTGCGCCATTAGGTTCGAGCAATTGCTGTCCTTGAAAGAGATCTCCGACGTGAGGAACAGCGTTTAAAGGAAGCCGAAGAGGCAGCCTTAGCCAGCCAAGCACATTTAGAGGAGCCGATATTATCCCCTTCATCTAACCGACTCCCAATGCTACCACCTGACTCAGATTCCACTTTGCCTTCTGCAATGCCATCGAGCTCACCACCAATATCGTCAGTGATGCAAGGACGCCGACCTTCAGCCATATCTATCTCATCCCTACAACGGCCTGCATTCCCACTTAAGCTCGACCTATCCTCTTCATCTCTTCGTATGTCCGCAGAAGAAGCTGCTTTCCTCTCCAATGGCCTTCATTCTCCTGTCACCCTCGCACCCAAATCCGCACGGCCACTTGACTATCCCGTCGAGCTGATGGCGGCGTTTACCTCTGAAATCCCAGCTGCACCTCCCAACCGGGAGTCAGCAAATAACACCATCGACTTGACCATAGAACCCACAGAGCGTGATGTAAACATAAATATGGACGGTGCCATTGGTAGCTCGGCAGATAAGCCAATTGAGCTCGACCTAGGCGATATGGACATGAGTGATCTATTCGGCGACAACAGTTCCAATGATGCGGTTGACAGCCTTTTCTCTCCCACTGTAGCGAACCCTGAGCTCGCAGCTGAGGGTGTCAAAGAGGAGCAGCATTTCTTGAACACGTTCGCTGCTGCCAACGGAAGTGCTACAGAAGAAGAATTCTTCTCTTCCCTTAGCTCAAAACCGGAGAATGAGCAATCCAGCAGCTTGGAGATACCATCGGGAGATAGTGCAGGTCAAACTGCACCGTCACCAGGTACATTTCTGGCAAGTCTTACAGGATCTCAGCTCGAGAGCGGTAATGAAATGGCAACGTCAAGCGGTAGCTCCATTTCTATGCCAGAAGGTCAGTTCAGTATGGAGAGCCTGGGTTACGGCTTTTTCGCTAACGATCAAGACTCGGGGGTTAACCTGGACGCTCTCTTGGCCATGGGAAACGAAGGAGTGCCTGTACCCGATACGAAGGCCGAGTCTTCATCGTAGATGTTGTTATATCAGCTTATGTTAATTGTATTGTGGTAGCTATACATATAGTTTTATGCCTCAACCACCAACTAACGATATTGTTTAGCCACTAGTCATCAGAACATCCTGCTTTTTGAATAAATTCATGACACTGATGATCACCCGATAGTGATACAAGGACATGAATGCATTCGTTACGTATATCTATGTATCAGCAGAAGGACAATCGTCCAATATATAATCGATACGATCTTTGCGCCAGGATGAATGGGAATAAAGGATGCCCGCCAACAACCGCGAAGATGCTGCCCGTTTCCTCTGTCGTTGCGACCAATGGATGATTCTTTGCCCATGGCGTCCACATAATGATCTCCCATCCACGCAGACGCGGCGCCCTCTCTCTCTCCGCTCGCCCTCTCAATGATCCTGCACAGAACCGGAGAGGTGGGGATAAGAGGACAACAAATGCCAGGGATGCCGAAACTAAAAACACAACAGCAACCAGAGAAGAAAAATGGAGCTAAAAGAATGTGTGTACGTATCATATGAATGAATACGGGAATGGTGATGATAGCACAAGATGGTTGTTTATACGAGACGTAAAATTCCAGTACAGGCGCAAAGTGGCAATGGGGGAGGCAATTGTATGTACAGAATAAAAGAGGGAAAAAGCAACCAACCAGGTCTTTCGCTATAGGAGCGATAGCCCGACCGGCCTGAAAAGAAAACAGCGTCCGTGTTGGAAGTAATGGGGAAGCACCTTGCACGCTTGGTTAAATGGTTGAGGTAGTATTGAATAATGGCCGCACGTCTTGATTGAAACCGTCACAGCTTGTGCGAAGCACGAACAACGAACGAAGACGATAGCGGCAGATGGATGAATGAATGGAAGCCACATGTTCGGTGACTTGCGTAACCGGACGTGCCCCGACCGATAATAATGTCCGCCTGCCTACGCTCCTCGAAGCAACCTCAATCACGAGCGTCGATGTTAACTCAATGACGACCCGAAACCTCAAACCAGACCATATGACACCTGAGCAAAACACCGATACACCTGCCCTCCGCCCCCAATCTGCTCAGCTCACCGGGATCCAGAGCACCGAAGGACAATGGTGCGCTCATTTACCAAAGTTCAGCGTCACGTCCACGGCGTTGTTGTCCAACGGCTCCAGGCGCGCCTGACTGCAGCGCCTGACGGGTGTGAGAGCGCAGCCTGGAATCAAGTCTGACTTTGAGTTGATCATCGCCACATGAAGTCGGCCACTTACATTCTGTCGTTCGCACGATGTTCATCATCTTCCTGAACAACCTTCCTTCGTCCAGCACCAGCCTTGGACGTCCCAGCCGAGTTGTCGTCCTGAGCTCCCCTCTGGACGCTCCAGTCAAAGACGTAATCATATTGATAACCTTCACGGACGAAAAGGTCACGGAATAGCTTGCGGAGGTAAGAGTAATCGGGTTTGTCATCGAAACGAAGTGCGCGGGTGTAGTTTAAAAAGATACCAAACTCGTTAGGGAATCCTCGGCACAATAAATCAGTAGGCGTGGTCATCTTCTTCTCCATGATGCGGTCATACTTCTGCTTCTTGGTGGCAGCCTTCAAACCTTGCCAAGGAAGAGCGCCACGAAGGAAGTACATGAGGACATAAGCCAGTGATTCCAGGTCGTCTCGACGAGACTGCTCTACTCCCAAGTGGGTGTTGATGGATGTGTAGCGGGCAGTGCCCGTCAAGTTCTTGTTCTCGCGGTAGGGAATGTGCAGATGGGTTTTGGGGTCTCTGAATTTCTTGGCTAGACCGAAATCGATGACGTTCACCTGATTTCCCCGTTTACCAATTCCCATGAGGAAATTGTCAGGCTTGATATCACGATGAATAAAGTTACGCGAGTGAATGTATTCAATGCGCGATATCTGTGACGAGATATTAGCGAAATAGCCATGGAGGAAGGACCAAGAACTCACCAGCTGATCAGCGAGCAGAAGAACGGTCTTCAGGCTGAACTTGCGGTTACAGAAGTTGAAAAGATCTTCCAAAGAAGGTCCTAGAAGATCGAGAACCATGGCATTATAATCGCACTCAGTGCCGAACCATCTGACGAATGGTATACCGACACCGCCCGCAAGGGTCTTGTATACCTTAGATTCATATTCGAGTTGCGGATGCTTGGCCTTGACTGATTCAAGCTTGATGGCGACCTCCTCTCCTGAAATGATGTTGATCCCAAGATAACAGTCTCCTAAAGAAAAGACATCAGAAAGATAGACAAAGGAGAGACACAGGGCGCAGCGCACCAAATGAGCCGGAACCGATCTTTTTGCCTAGCCTATACTTCCCGCCGACCCGAAGGTCGAGTCTATGAGATCCCGAATCAGCCATCATAAACTGGAGTCAAATGAATCACTAGGAGAAAAAGAAATGAGCCAAGGGTGTTGGAAGAGGAGAGAAAGGAGGGATGACGAATCACCACCAGCTGAAAAGGTGGCAGATGAAAGATGACGATTAACCATGCCACCTGGCCCTTTATACGATGCAGCCTGTATAGCACACTGGAGAAGTAGCTGTAATGCCTGCCTCATCTGGCGAGGAAGAGGTGAGGTAACCACGACGTTGACAGAGATGGTTCGACGACCTGTTGCCGGGCGAACAACGAAACGAGAACAGAACCGCAATGGGACTTACCAGATAGAAAGAGAAAATTAAAAAACCGGAATCACAGGGCGTAAAATGGCAGTGATGTAGGACGTTAGATGGGGAGACGTTGGACAAGAGGGTACAGCCTTCGCACATATTTCGGAGATTAAAATATTCAGACCCCGAAAGGGTTGGGAAGCCTTTATCCGAGTCGGTTTCTCATCATTCCATTCCGTGATAGTTCGGATGCACCTCTGTTGTCCTGCTCATCGAATTTTCTCATTTCCTCTGAGAAGCTTCAAATGGTCAAATGGTCAAAGGATACTTCTTTACTTTCCCCCACCAAAATGCGTACCGGTACTGGGTATTGGCCGTATCCGGCTCTTGTTCCTTTTCCTGACCCCGGCGATCCCATTTCTCACCATAAAAACATGGCCCAAATTCTGATGTGAGGTGTCATGGCATAACGTGCCCAGGTTCTACCCCTTCGGCCATGCTGGATCTCGCTATAGGTTCTGATAGCGGCACTACTAGTAACGGCATCTTCGCCAAGTCAAAACCCAACTCGATCAAGGCTGCTCTGTAGCGCCCCGGATGTACGCTATCAGCATGGCCCCAGTCTGATCCACCTAATATAACGTCTGTGTCCCGTTCTTAACGCCCGTTACAGCAAGGGGACCATGCCTACTGGATGTGATACACAGTTTTTCACTTACTCGACAAAGCGCATGCAGGACGCTGTGGCGTTCTATGTACTCTGTCGGATCAGGTGCCTAGGCGTCATCATAATCAATCTGGGGGTCTGACATGGAACGTGATAGTAAATGGATATGCTATCTCGTTCGCTGTGGCTAGGATGGGGACTTTGGGAACAGGTTTGCGTCACATCAGGGCCGGCACTCCTGGTAAGCAACTGTTTCGGGTCAATCAAAAACTGACGAAAATGGGTGGATAACAGCAAAATTTTGTCCTTGAGCACAGCAAGATCCGTCGGCTTTACCATTAAGTAATGCCGATGCATTTCGTTGTGGACGAAAGCCTAGTCAAATTTTTATCCATATTCCAATCATTTTCCGCTGCCTTTTGAGCAGTGCCAACTAGTCAGCTACTTATTAGCAGTACGATTTGATATATCAGGATGCGATAAGTGTTCCGATGGCCGAGGATAGGATCTTTTCGCCCCCAATACGTCTACTCCTACCGGCTCCAACCATCATAACACAACGGCCTTCTCCTTCTGAAGCCCCACGCTTCGCCCGGAACACTAAGAAGCCACGAGCATGATACGTGGACCAAGTTCTGTTAATAGTTATCAATGACTACCCGCCCATCTACCTGGAGCTGAAGCCTGGACGCTTCAACTAAGAGGGGCTCCATGTTCTGCGCAGTTCGCCAAAGCCGTTTTTCCAAATTCGATCTGAGGACGATCGCGACAATTCAAATGTTAGCCAATATCATTTCGAAATCTAACGTCCAGTAACACAGATACATAAGCCTCGTAGCTGAATCTTTCAACTTGAGTAGACACATTTTCAGAGAAATATAGTATAAACTCTTTGCGAGAAGCGACGCTGTAGATCTCTGCAATAATGTCCACTTCTACAATCCGATCGTGGAGCAGCTGCCACGTGGGATTGCGAAATATTTATTGCCTTGGTTGTATCCGGTCGCATCTTTCATTCCTTTCTCATCTCCAGCACGCCACCGCCTCCTCGTTTCACCCCCATCCCTCACTTTCCTTGCAGGCCAATATCTGGCTGTCCGTTCCCTTCTGCACTGTTGCGTCTCTTCTTTTAACGTCCAGCGCTTTCTTTGCCTTCAGCTTGGAAAATGGTTTACCGTCAAAATCACGATCCCTATTATTCGCACACAAACAATTATAACAGTTACAACCAATACAGCAACACTGGTGTTGTTGACTACCCGTCATCTCAAGGATACAATGAATATGATACTCAAGGCAACTGGGATAGCAAGTCTACCAAGTCCTTCCAGAGCAGCCATGCCGGTTCACAAGCTCACTTGAATCCTTATGAGATGAGCCAGGTCTCTTCTCCTCCAGTACCACCCATGCCTTATCAGCAGCAGCAAAACTATCCTCCAATACATCGTCCTGGGATGTACCACCAGACTAGCAGTGCTGGGTATTCAATTGCTAGGGAGAAGATACTGAAACGGCGTTCCGTTAGACAAGTTGAGCTCTTCCAGGGGAATCTTGTCCTCGACATGGACGTCCCGACTCGACTCGTTCCCCCAGGCAAGGAACATGAAGAGGAGATGACCAAAATGCGCTATACCGCCGCCACCTGCGATCCCGATGATTTCATGAAGTCCCGCTATTCTCTCCGACCGTACTTGTATGGCCGTCATACGGAGCTTTTTATTGTGATGACCATGTACAACGAGGACGAGATACTATTTGTGAAAACTATGAATGCGTAAGTCATTCGCGAGATTCGGAAATGCGAAACTCACGTTGCACCACAGCGTGCTCAAAAACATTGCCCATCTTTGCGGCCGCAGCAGGTCGAGCACATGGGGTCCTGAAGGCTGGAAAAAGGTCGTGGTTTGCGTAGTCTCAGACGGACGGAACAAGGTCAACAAACGAACATTGCAAGTACTCAGCTTGGTCAGTCAAATTCATATGATCTTTCATTCTTCACTGATCCGTGTTTCAAAATGCAAGATGGGGGTCTATCAAGAAGGTATTGCAAAAGATTCGGTCGCAGGAAAGGACGTCACAGCCCACATCTTCGAGTACACGACAAGTGCTATTGTTACATCTACTGGTGAGGTGTCGCAAGGCCCTTGCCCCGTCCAAATTTTGTTTTGCCTCAAGGAACAAAATAAGAAAAAACTCAACAGTCACCGATGGTTCTTTAATGCGTTCGGACCACTCATCAAGCCCAATGGTGCGTGCGCGAGTTTTTCCGGAGAATGTCTCACCTCATGTTTTCTTTCCAGTCTGTGTGCTTCTGGATGTCGGAACGAAGCCCACGGGGACTTCAATCTATGAGCTCTGGAAGTGTTTCGACAAACACGACTACGTAGGTGGAGCCTGCGGAGAGTACGTTTTTACGTTCTGATTTGTGTTAATGCCGTAGCTCATATTCGATTAGAATATGCGTAGATACTGGGAGAGCTTGCTCGCTCCTACTGACAAATCCCCTCGCAGCCTCTCAGAATTTTGAATACAAAATGTCCAACATTCTCGATAAGCCCCTTGAGGTATGCGTTCACCCTATTATCATCATATAAACGTCTGATACCATTTTCCAGAGCATTTTCGGCTACATTAGCGTCCTTCCTGGCGCCTTCAGTGCATACAAATACAAGGCCCTTCTTAACGGCCCCGATGGCAAGGGTCCTCTTGCTTCGTATTTCAAAGGCGAGTCCATGCACGGCGGAGGTAGTAATGCCGGTCTGTTTGAAAGGAATATGTACCTCGCCGAAGATCGTATCCTCTGTTTCGAGATCGTCACCAAGAAACATGAAGGCTGGATGCAAGTCACTTCTTGATCGTAATTGCGCATCCGACTTACCAAATGATTTCTTCAGGTTGAAGTATGTGAAGAGCGCAAAGGCAGCTACCGATGTTCCCACTACTGTCAGTCCGGAAGCAGAATTCAATTAAATGGGTCACTGATGGAATTTGTTCGTATCAGGTTCCGGAGTTCATCTCGCAGCGCCGTCGATGGTTGAACGGTTCATTGTTTGCTTCGATCCATGCAACAGTGTTCTTTTGGAGGATATTCACATCTGGTCAGAACTTCATCAGGAAGTTTATTCTATTTGTCAGTAGCTTCGTCTCCTCTGGGATTAATTTTGGCCAACCTGTTACAGCTGGAGTTTATCTATAATGCCGTTCAGCTGGTCTTTACTTGGACATCGTTGGCAAATTTCTACTTAGCATTCTTCTTCGTATGTTGTTTCTATTTTTGCTCGGACATCTGCGTTGATCGCATTTGTAGTTGGTCTCATCAGCAACATCAGACACTTCGACAGATGCGTTCAACTTCCTCGGTGGCAACGCTGGGAAAACTGTGTTTGAAGTTTTCTTGAAATTGTACATCGCTCTTCTATTCGTGATTCTGGTCTGCTCCCTGGGTAATCGGCCACAGGTGTGCATCTATCTCACTAAAGGCGCCGGCCCATCCTGAAAGCGCGTCTAGGGCTCCAAATGGACATATACTTTGGCTATCTTACTTTTCGGATTGTGTAATGTCATCACGGTGTGGTGCGCTGCTTGGACGGTGTATCTTGCCGTTCCGCACACCGTGGAAGGTTGGAAAGACTTCCCAGAGTATGTTATCGTGCAGGCGGCCTGTTTTTTATGGTGCTGAATGATGTGGTAGATTGGTAAAAACCACGCCTGCTCTCCAAGACATTGTTATCTCCCTAGCGGCAACTTACGGATTGTATTTCATCAGCTCGTTCATGCACTTTGAGCCATGGCACATGTTCACAAGTTTCATCCAATACATGTTTCTCCTTCCGTCTTGTATGTTATGTCGCCCCTAGTATATCCTTTTGCTGATGGAAGTTTCTTCCTATTAGATGTCAACATTCTCAGTAAGACTGCTTTACTTCCTTGTGTTTGTCGTGCTAACTTTTACTACCTAGTGATGTATGCCATGTGCAACCTTCACGATGTCACCTGGGGTACTAAAGGTGATGATGGTTCGCACAAGGACCTTGGCGGCGCCAAGAAAGTGAAAGGTGAAGGCGGGAAAGAGATGATGGAAGTGGAGATTCCGACGGCTCGGGAAGATGTCGATCAACTATGGATGGCGGCGAGGAATTCGTTGAAAGTCAAACCGCAAGACGAGAAAGAACATCGAGACGCTACAACAAAACAAGCTGATCACGACAGGAACAGCAGAACGAATGTTGTGCTTGCTTGGGTGGGCTCAAACATGTAAGCGATGCTTCTGCACAAAGGGTTAACCACTAATAAGGTCTAGGGTCATGATTGTTGTGTTCACTTCGACGGCGTTCACGAACTGGGTTGCGAAGCATGTTGAAACGGAGGACGATGCCGCCTTCAATCCGTATCTGACCTTCTTATTCATTGCGCTGTAAGTTTTCTTTAATTCCAATGGGAATCCGCTTATACATCTGCGTATTCTGTACAGCGCTGGTCTGTCTGCTGTACGTTTCACAGGGTCCCTCCTATACCTCATATTCCGCCTATTTGGACATTAGTCCTTTCGTTTTCATTTTGTCACGCAGACTGCCAGCAGCGGCCGGGCTTTTATGCATGTATTTTCGCGCTACATCTTGGAAAGGAATGTTTTTTTTGTGTATGTACAGCTACAAATATACCCTTTAGTTCCTAGCGCTTCGCCTGGATAATATCCATCTAGATATTAAGGTGGGGTGGGCTCTTTTTTTCCCGGATAATTTGTTTCCATAGTAATCAAGAGACGCAGTTCACACAATTTCTGCTAACCGCGCGTTCAGGGCAAAATCTGTCGACTGTCGGCGTAGGGACAAGGCACCTCTCTGCATAATAAACTATTTAGGTGAACAGACTACTGAAGCGAAAAATACATGAACGGTGCTACAGTATATTAATTTTGGGATGATGGTGTGATGTCATGAAGAGGACAAACAAAACGTTCTCACGGTCTCTTTCCTATGTCCAGGAAGTGGGCGGAGGCCAAAACTCCTTTGACCCCCGACCGGCTCGCAAAGATCGCCAATGCGCTCGGTGTCTCGACACCCGTTCCTTCGTCGTCGTCAAGGACGCCGCCCTCGACGAGCAAGTATCTTATTCATGTCGTTCCCCCTCTCAATCTACCCCATCTCAACAACAGCCTCAGCTCGCCGCCGCCACCTTCCGCCTCTGGGTACCATACCCATTTTCGACGGGGTACGTTGTTGCCAGTGCATCCAACATTACAACTGCAGCTCGCGGCCATTGCTCGCGAATATGCCTTGCCGTCAACGGCGGGTGTTATTTTGTATCTCTTCAATGACAACGAGGATGCTGGCCCCCGTATTTCCGACGATATCTGGAAGCACTTATGGTCGCGCATCTGGAAGGCAGAATTTGCTCCAGATACACCCCAAAAATTGCCTGTGCTCACTCTCGGGAGTCCCCGCACAGACCAGCTTGCTTCATCCACGACCTCTTCTTCCTCTCTGTCCATTCCAATCATAGCGAAGGTCGAGTTTGACATTGACCTCCGTTCTGCCCCATGGTTTAATCCATGGATAACAAGCAGGAACTTAAACTATAATAAACGGGTGGAGAATAAAAATTCACCTGTTCCATTATCTTTGCCACAGTTACCTCAGTCCGAGTCACAGCTCGAGGATGAGGAGGAAATCAATCTTCGACTGGCCCCTACCATGTATAGAAAAAACATTCCGTCGCCCCTAGTACTTGGACCTTCAAACACCAATGCGACTAACTCGTCTTCTAGTCTACCAAGCAGCGCTACCAGCTTACCTTATCTTCGACATCAAGACGAGTCCGACGAGGATACCGAAATAGATGATGATAGCGTGCCTACCAGTGGAAAACGTGGGGGAGGTATTTATGATGATCTCGAGCTCGACTTTGACGAGTCATTCGAGGAGGATACGAAGGAGAGTCAATACCTTTTGACGGCTAAATTGGACGAAATTGAGAAAGTACGTTAGCAGAATATTTTGTCCATTGCGCATTCTCTAATAATGTTCAGAATCTCGCTCAGTTCTCACCTCGGGTATTGCAACTTGAGCTCCAAGAAGACCAAGCAAAATCACCCTTACGAACGTGTGTAATGACCGAACCCTTCCTCTATTCCGCTCTAAGAATATGTTTCCACAGCGAAGTATCCATCGCAAGTCCGAAACAGCCATCCGGGACATGGCCATCTGTTCCCTTCCAATCCTTGCACTCGGTGATCATACAACCAATATTGTCTAATAATAATAATCCTTCGCCTCCCCAGCTTGCCCTAAATGGCGTCACCACCTCTGCTCCACAATCCTTTAATCCCACATCTTTATCTACCGCTTCTTCGGAAACAATTCGGAGAAAGCAAATGGAGGAGGAAGAGTCAGAACAACTCGTACCGGAACAATATCCCCGTTATACTCCCCAGATCAACGGAAGCTTCAAAGACGCCATAATACCACTGTCCCCCGATCCGTTCGGGCGATATCCATCCACACCTACACCCTCTGCAGATAGCAGAGGATCTACGTATTGGGACGATAGCAGCACAGCTGTAGATGAGTCCATCACTACGTCTAGTAGATTTTCGGCGGATTCAGCGAAAGACCATACTTTAACCAACAGAGCGACCATGATGAGCGTAAAGAGCATTAAAAAACTTTGGCGGCGAAGTAACAAGCAGAGCGTCAGCTCTATTAACATGCCTCAACCACCCCCAGCGCAACAAGGACATATCTCACCACAGATGCCCGGGCCGACGGTACTTTCTGCTCAGGTTACTGGAACTTCACCTTCTATCTCAAACGGAGCTTCAGCTCATCGACAAAGCAGTAGTAGCAGCAGTCGAAACAGTGTGGGTGTCGTTCGACCTCCTCCCATTCGCATGTCATCCTCCCAGACGTCATCATCTAGATCTTCTTCCTCCCGCCCAATACGTCCATCTCGTCCCCCATCACTCCACAATTTTGATATTCCTGGCATGTCGGCCCCTACTCCTGCCATGTTTCCACAGCACATTGTCAGCCTCGACAGACATCGGTTCGATCAGGAGAGTCCATACCCCAATCCGACAAGGAGGGCTCGAGCCCAATTGAGCGAGAATGGCAAAGTTTCACCGACACTTGCGTCAGGAAAATCGATACCGACCAGTCAGTCGGGGAAAAGCTCTCCTACACCTCTGCCCCAAACCGAAACACAGCGAAACAGCGTTCGAAGGAGTATATTGAAATGGAAGAACGCAACATCAGGTGGAGGGTCGAGCGCGAGGCGGCCGAGTGTCAGTATACTGAGCGTTAATGTAGAACCGCGGCCGGGTATTGAGAAGATGCCTCCAAGTCCTCGAATACCGGATGAATTCTTACAGCACCAGCAGCATTCGAGACTACCAAGCGTGGCGAAATCGATAACGAGCGTTGCTCCTAGTATGACGAAGAGTATCTCGAGCCAAAGTTCGAGGTACTCGGATGACGAGGGACGAGGAGCGAGTATAGACGACCAGTTCGAGATCGTCTCGCCGAAGATGACCCCTGGTAGTCTGACATACCCATATACCACATTGGATCAGCGAGACACATCGCAGTGATGATAACGAGCCGATTTTACATTATATTATGTTGATTTATATATCTGACGACGCTTTCTGCATTTAATTTGTAGCCTCTGATGTTGTGTGTTATAATAATGCGTGGATGAAATGTAGATATGATGTAATCTATCAATGTCATTGATTTGAGGTAGTAAAGAGAGCAATGCGCGCGCTTGAAAGCTGATGTCGGGCGCCCTTCATCCCGGCGCGGAGCCCCTGTGGCTGTGATGTCATATCGATTACTGCGATTGATTGCCAAGCTAAAGCCAAGCCTCAATCCAACCTCGGTCAACCTTGCGATTCGGTCAACGTTCACTACGTAAGAACTTGTCTTTCCTAACCTTCACCATCATGCCTCCTGCCAACACAATTAACATACTTTTAGCTGTTACCATTCTCCTCGTTGCTCTTCCTAGTGCCCATGCATTTGGTGCCGGAGACATCCCAGATTTCGCCTACTTCAATAACAAGGCGTTCCGGCACGGTGACATTGAAAACATCTTGGAGACAGGTTTGCGTCGATTAACTTCGAAATCCAATGGCCGATCTTCTGATCTGTCTGATCAGTCGTTAAATCTGCTGGCCGTGCCGCTGCTGGAGGCGGAATTCTTGGTTTTGCTAGGAAAGTTATGGACAATGCCTCCGGAGGCTCAAAATTCAACAAAGGAGATATCAAGAAGGTTTATTTTGTACGTATGATATCCTCAGTGTCTTTCAGGGTCTTTTCTTATATCCCGACAGGGTAATTGGCTCAGGGATTATTCTCAGGCGATGGATATCGCTGGCCTAAGCAAACTCAGTGCGGATACTCTTGTTCTTGTTGTCTCTGTTCTTGGTTTTATGGTAAGTGGTCCCTCGTCTTGTGTTGATCTAGGCTTATTTCGATATAAGGCATTTGGCTTTGCCACCAGGGAGTTCGAGGTCACGGCCGATCGTCTTGGCGTCTACCTCCCCGTTGTATGTTATTTATTCTCCTTTTCCGTTAGCGATAATTGATCGAATGGTAATGAAACAAGGAACATATAGATAATCCAAAGTGCCTCGCTTCCATGCCCTACTCATACATGGCTTACTTGTTTGCAGAGGTTATGCTGAGAAAGAAGGCGATGCTCGTCAGTTTCACCCCAAACTTCGTCCGCCTGTTGATCCCCGTGAACTCGAAATCGACGAGCGAACCGGTATGAAGAACTATATGGCGACCGAAGATCAGGGCTGGGATTCGTCAACAGCCCATATTCGTCGCACTTTCCAAGCGTGCATCGAATACGGTCGCAGGGCGTCCGGACAAGAAGGTGCAGATTTATATGAAGCCTTTCGTCTGCTTGGCACAGGTCTCCACACGATGGAGGATCTCCTCGCGCATAGCAACTGGTGCGAGATTGGCCTACGCAAGATGGGGTATGAAGATGTTTTTTGTCATGTCGGCGACAACGTCTACGTGCAGGCTCCCTCTGGTGACAGAGTGCCACCTCTTGTTACCGGTACGTTTGGTAGTGCCGACTTCATGCACTCGATGCTAGGGGAAGCCACCGATCATATTAGCCAAGCTAGTGTCACAGCCTTGAATGAACAGATGGCACAGACCTCGCAAAACAACGACACCGCTGAAAGGTTATCGACTCTCAAGAAGATCCTCAGCAAAGTCGGTGGAGGTAATGATAAGATCAGCCAGGGGGAGCAGCTCCAAGCGCAGTCTCAAGCGTACCACTTCAACCCCGATAACGTTGCACCGCCTGAGGTCCAGAAGCAGTTACTGGATTTGCTCAGATGGCGCGATGATGTTTACAGAGATATTATTGCTAAGGTCGAGATGGTCCCCGGCTTGAGTGACTTGATTGACGAATTAAGCAACGCGCTCACAGCGTGTGGGTTTTCCGCCTCTGTCGTCCTAGTTGAAGTTAACATCTATGCTCCAGATGTGTACACCGTCATTGCACCCTGGCTCACGCCTATCCTTACCCAAGCTACGTCAGCCCTCGGCGAAGGAAGCAAAGCTGTCATCGACTCCGACGACCAATATGAAGTCTTCAACAATGCGGATGCGTCTGACCCTTCGCACAGTCTATTATCCAAGGACCATTTCGGTCTAATTCTCAATGAGCCTGCAGGAAAGATTGCTCAGATTGTGGTCGTGAATAGTGTTCAGCTCATTGTTGAGGCTTGGTCAAATAATGATGATCCTAACGAGGTCATCAACAGGGTTCGCCAATCTCCTTTTTCTGGGCCGGAAATATTTTGTTTACTTATGTACAGATCCTTGAAGCCTTCCATCACCCCTATTATGCGAGTGGTAGTAGCCAGATTCAGCGCCAGATGTATGACGAACTTGAGAAATGGGTCGGTGGTATGGGCGAGGAAGCTCGAGACACTATGGGCAAGCTGACAAAGGTTGCCGTTCGCGAGGGAAAGAACAAGAGGGAGGGAGATGGAAGCGTCGAACCTGGTTATGGCGGCTGTGGACATGGAAGCAGCGCGAGCTACGGCCGTAAGACTCAAAGCAGCGGCTATCAGAGCCAGAGCTCGTACCAGACTTCCGGTGGATATGGGGGTGGCCAGTCGCACGGTAGCAGTCAGAAACCGTCGTATGAGGGCCGGAATAAATCAACCTACGGTGTTCAGGACGAATACTCTCGTCGGACCGAGTCCACATTCGGAGGGCGTGCCGAATCACAAGGAAGAAACGACGGATACTCTTACGGACAACGCCACGACTCTGCGCCCAACTACGGAAGGAACACCGAGTCTTCGTATGGTAGTATAAACCAGTCTTCATACGGTGAACGCAATGAACCCACCTACGGAAGAGACACCGAGTCCTCGTATGGTGGTACAAACGAATCTTCCTACGGAGGAAGAACCAAGTCCCACGGTAGACGTGACGAGTCTACTTACGGTCGACCAGACGAGCCTACCTACGACAGGCAGGAAGAACCATATGAAAGTAGGCAGCAAACAGCAAACAGCCATGATGATCCATCGTATGGTTCTGAGGTCTCCTATGGAGATAGAAGCGAGTCGTTTGGTGGCAGGAATGAGCCTTCCTACAGTAGGAATGAGTCCTCATATGGTGGTCGAAGCCAGTTCAGCGGAGACTATGGACGGACTGAGTCTTCCGAATATGGTCAACAAAGTGAAGGCTACGGTCGTGGTGGTTATGGAGGTGGTTATGGTTGCCGCCATGATGGTGGTCCTCCTCACGAATATGGAGGAAGGGGTGATGAATATGGTCGAGGCGGAGGCGGTTACGGTGGCAGCGAGGAGTTCGGCCGGCCTCCTCCTCCCCAAGGATTTCAGGGTATCCGAGGCGGAGGATATAACCCTAGCTATGGTGGACCAGACGATACATTTGGCGCTGAAAGAATGAACATTCGGGATGACGATGATGACCGAGGCCACGGACGTCGCCATGGCCACCGTGGACACCACGAAGAAAGGCGTAAATACGATGATTGAAAGAGAGAAAGATAGTGGAATTCGAAATAAGTATAAGGCAAGTCAATACAGAACTACATATGAAGTAGAAAATTCAACTTTTTGTTTTGTAGTAGAAATGTCGTAAAATATTCCTACAGGCTGTTAAAAGGAAGGTTCACTAACCGACGTTTTCGATTATTGGCAGTTGCAACTTGGGATACTTCTTTAGGAACAGAATGGCTGCTATTCAGTCAGAAGAATTCATTAGTATAGAGGTGTATGATCCGGCAAAGGTTGTGACAGGAGAAGGTCCGCCTATCTTTCGCTACCGCTGGTCTCTTCAAATAATCATGAAGGCTGAGAGTTGCCCGTGCTTACACTCAGGCTGACCAGACACGTAAGTTGACATTACCAACTGGTGAATGCTTGATGCCATAGAGTGCTGTTGCCGTGACAACTTTCCTGATATCCGTGCCGTTTCAGTCCAGTGCCTGCCAGAAGGGATTACGCCGTGTCTATACAAAAGTCGCAAACATTATCGACAGCTCCTTCACATTTTACCCCGCTTTGGCGAGAGAAAGAGTAACTGCAGGAGATGTACTTATATATGTTCTCCTTGCACACGTCTGATTTGTCCAAAGGTCAACATGTTCATGGATGTCCTGTAAATAAGCGTTGGAAGACTGACGTCGCATATATTGTTTGTTCTTGCTATGGGTATAAATACAACTATGTAGTATCCACCATGGTTGTCTACTTCTTAGCTTCCTATTCATACCATCTCAACCATGCCCAAGCGAGTTCCCACTCCGCCTCTTCTTGATGACGATGCCGACTACTACACCGTCTGTCAACCTTACCCGCTCAACTTTGACTGGGATATCCATGAGGATGTCTTGAAGCACGTCCGTTGGATCGCTGCCTGCGTCGGTACTAAGCCCTTCTATGCGTTCCATTACAAGCCCAAGGTATGTATTTGCTGCATTTTACAGCATCTCAGGACCTGAACGACATTATGAAGGCGCCCTCGATGGTTATTGTTGAGGTCGAAAAGAATAATACAAAGGGAAAGGCCAGTTTCCTTGGTGAGCACCGCTGGAAGGAGCTCTTGTTGGCACCGACTCCGGAAGAAAGAGATCGGGTCACTCGGGTTTTTCCTTGTTTCCACACAAATAATCGCTCAGTTGTTAAAGATGGTATGTGATTTCACCTAATTCCACACCGTTCTGACGACCGCAATAGGTTGGCACAGAGTCGCGGTCAACGATGATTGGTTCAAAGAATGGACTCCTGTGCAAGAGTGAGTGCAGACCTTCAATTCACCGCATGTCCTTTCACGCCTTGTGAAGTTTCATGCAGCCGTATCCTGCGACTCATTATTGTGACCCACCCATCGAGGACAGGACCAACAAGGCTTTGTGTCGTCCACTTCCCGCCTGTTACAAACCCCCACCTGCGCCTCCAGCTAAGCCAGGTATAATTTATTCTTCTTAATGGCTGATCGTCGCTGATTTTCCAACAGTAGTAGGCTCTACCTCTTGGGTGAATGCAAAGACCAACACGGGTAGTAGCACTAGCCCCGTTCTTCTAGGTGCATGGGGTCGTGGCAGAGGAATAAATCATTCGATTAGAAATGGCCCGAAAGCTCCACCTTCGCGTTGTAAGTGCCTTTATGCAACCATGGTTCTTTAACATTCGAGGCGTTACAGGGAATCAGCCCGTTGCTCAAAATAGCAACGTCGCCTCTTCTGCTGCTTGTATGCGCCAACTTCTTCTGATTTCTGGTGTCGTCTTTCTGATAGCTTACAGGGGGGAACAACTGTGGAGGAAACGTGCATTGTAGGTGACATTCCTGTGCTAGCCGAACTTATTTATTTAACCAACACCATCTTAGCACAAGAGGCATCGTCTGGTAAACCGTTGACCAATAGTATCTCTAAAGGCCCAGTTCCATCTCGTCCACCGGGTCTTCCGGCTCATTCCTCAAGCAACTTTCCTACTCCTCCTGGTGTTATGCGAGCGGGAAATTTCTGCTCTGGCTCTGTTAGTAATGCCACGCAACAGGGTTCTCTCGACAAACAAGTCGCGCGCATTTCCTTAACCGAAAATCATGAAGCGGATGCTTACACTCTGGGTGACGGACTAGACGATGATGATCTCGATGACACAACGTTCATTCCTCGATATGAGTATGTCAAAATTACCGAACCCGCTATCCCGTCTGGCGATGATGCTAGCGGAGAAAACTTGTGGCCAGCAGCGGAAAATACTTCTACTGTTAGTGTAGACGTATGCCCTATCCACGGTCGGCCGAACTGTAAACCAGGTATTTGCGCCGCAGCACACAGGAAGAAGGAACGGGCGCGCGCCTCTAGCAGGGGAGCTGGGAGAGGACGTGGCCGCGGAGGAAGAGGTAGCGGTGGTCGTGGCGGAAGCGCAAGCAGCAGTCAAAGCCCAAGTCCTATTCTGTCCTGGACCGCAGATGAAGAACCTGATCCCTGGAGCTGAAAAACCGCTTGAAGCTTTGAAAAATGTCAACAAGTCTCCCGTCTTCGCATCCGAATAGCAGTCTTCTGATGGCAGAATCCTTCCCCGCTAAGTTTCCCGGAGTCGTCAACCACCGCATCTGTTCTGTCTTGTTTTGTATCATGAACTATAGCTATAATCCAAGAATTGTATTCCCGTACCACATAATACCAATGTCAGTTTGATCGTGTCATCGTGAGCGTGAGCGAGGAATACCTATCGCTATTGATGATCAACAATATTTTCCCATGGTGGGCCTACTATCAACCGGCCATCAATCGAGCCTACTTGACAGCAACGACTATGGGCGATGCAGACTACTTCACTGTCAGTAAGCCGTATCCGCTCAACTTTGAGTGGGACCAAGAGGAAGATATCATCAAACATGTGCGCTGGATTGCGGCGTGCATAGACTCTCCAAGACAGTTTTATGCGTTTCATTACAAGCGTAGTGTATGTCATCGCTATAGCTTCAGGATTCCTGGCTAATCGCACTCCTAGGCCTCTTCAATGATTGTCTTGGAGATCGAGAAAAATTGCTCCTCGAAGAAAGAAACTCTCTTAGGCGAGCACCGCTGGAAAGAGTTTCTGATGGCGCCATCTGATCAAGAACGAGATTATATCTCGCAAATCTTCCCGTGCTTGCATTCCACTGATCTCGCATTGAGAAATGACGGTCGGTACTGACATTTATCTGCAATTTCGTCCTCAGTGACTGTCTGGGTAGGGTGGCACAGAGTCTCAGTAAGAGACAGCTGGTTTAAAGGATGGTCTCGTACTCAGAGCGAGGAGTAAGTCATTAGGCATCACTAAAGATTCTATGAGGTTTTGATAGGCATCGTCGAAGTATCATTCATCCATATCCCAGCACTCATTACTGTATTCCGCCCATTGAGGATCGGACGAATCGACCACTTTGTCGTCCCCTTCCCCACTATTGCAAGTTCAAGCAGAAGACCAAGTCAGGTCAGTTATAGACAGTATAACCGGATATGTATCCCTACTGATTTCTACCTACTCGTCTTAGATGCCAAGCTTAGTGCTGGGGCAAGTGGCCTCCGCACTCAAGACCACACAAATGCCAGTGAAGCACCTAAGCAAGATGAAGAGGTGTATGAAGCTGGGGAGAATATATGGGAGCAAAATATCAAGCCGAGTCAAACCTCACCCATTTGCCCTACCCATAACCGCGTTTGCAAGAAGGCCATCTGTGCTGCATATGACAAGCTGTTGAGGGACATCAAGAAAGAGGAGAAAAATGCAAAAAAGGGTGAGAAGAAGAAAGAACATGCTAAGCAGTACGAAAGGAAGAAAAATGCGAAGAGAGCCTGGGGCCGCAATGGTGGAAAAGGCGAGGAATCAAAGACTCGTGACAAGACCATTGATGGAAAGGATGAAACATCTGACACCTGGAATAGCTCTTGGGGAGACGAAGATGAACAAGGTGAGGCAGGCCAGTGGGGTAAAGGTGAAGGCTCGGCCAACGTAGAGACCCTCCGAGATGATGGTAACAAAACTCCCAGTCCGATTTCTCATGTGGCCGTTGAAGAGGAGGAATACGATCCATGGGTTTGAGGTATAAACCGATATTGTCGCCAAGCTTCGAATCACCGTTTCCCTCAGCTGTTGTAGAGATATTGATTTGTACTTGCTATGCAAAAATTGTTAAAGAATGATGCCTTGTCCTTTTACGAGACGTATCTTCTTGACCCCGTCTTGAACTCCCCAGGGGACCTCATCTTGCCAATGGGTGATGATGACAACAGCTTGATCCTTGGTGATGCCTCCTTCTCGAAGATATTTCTTCGCTGCACTGATCATGCCTTCATCCATTCCGCTCCAAACCTCGTCGAGAAGAACCAGCTGTGGTCGTCCAACCAGAGCGCGCATGAGCAACACCATCCTTTGCTCACCGACTGAAAGCTCAACGAAAGCTCTGTCGTTGAATTTGGCCGCGTCCTCACCGGTATTCTCGTCTGCCCAGGCTCCAGGTCCCAAAGCGGCGATGACTTCTTCGCATCTAGTTACTCTCCATTTCACGTCAGCTTCGGTAAGTTCTTGCATTACACCCGTTCCGACGTTATGTTTCCCGCGTGGTACGAATGTACCATCAAAACCCGTTCCAACGACATCCCAGACGGACATTCTGGACTTGCGAGGAAAGGCGTCAAACATTTCTGGAGAGAGTACGCCGATAAGGGATTGGAGATGCGGTGTTGGTATACGCGAGCGGGGCCGCCCAAAGAGGTGGAGATGAGAAGACCGCGACGCAAGTTGAGTGTAGGACTGGGGATGATCACCAGTAATGATCGAAAGAAGAGTAGTTTTACCCGAACCTATGGTGGTTGTCTGTGAGCCCGTGATGTAAGATGGAGAAAGATGACATGCCGTTTTCGCCTTGCAAATGCCATCGTTCACCTTGGCGAATTTTCCAATTGATGTCACGTAGAACGACACGATGGTCGTACTGAACCCGTACGTTTTTCAGGTCCACGACTACGGCACCGGTTTCATTGGCGACAATTTGAGTAGCCGTTGTCGCGGTTACATGATTTGACCGATAAGCTTTTTCAGTTAGAATGATATGCTTCGGCCCTGTAACAACTTTTCTCCCTCTCAACAGCGCGACATGCGTAATCCAATCAGGAACAGGATCGTGGATTCGTAGTCCCAAGATAACGCGAGGCGAACGAGACTGGTGAAGAGAATGTAAGAGATTCAAAAGATTGGGGCGATTTTGGACGTCCAATCCAGCTGTAGATGATTAAGACAGGGCCGGATTTCATAACAAGGAACATTCACACACTAAGAGGCTCGTCAAGAAGAAGGAGCTCGGGCTGAGTCCATATAGCTTTAAGGATACGTGCACGACGCGTCTGACCATTACTTAGCGCGATGAGAGGGAGATCAAGAAACTTCTTAAGACCCATCCGTTCCACAAGGTCGTCAAAGAGCTGTTGCCTTTCAGCTGAAAGTTTGACTTGAACTTGAGATTCGCGGGGAGCATCACGAAGTTCGGGAGGGACCACGTCAAAGTTCAGTGTTTCCGGGAACATGTGCTGACGGAGGGTTATGCGATCTTCTTCTTGGACCGCACCATAGCGGGCCGTGTAGTCGTAAAAGGCGCCTCCACTACTGCGGCGTCGGTTGCCGAACGAGACGACAGCTACGTGGACGTGTGGGTCTCGAGGGAAAAGGAAGGGAAAGAGACCTCCTGGAGATGGCGGGTGAGGCGATATCCTAAGGTTTCCTAGAAGCATCTAGAAGACATTCAAATGATAAAAAGAGCTGAGCTAGTGGAACAACATTCATACATGGAAGAAATCGTGTTTTTCGTGCGAACCGAAACCAACGACAGCCCAGCTTTCTCCCTCCTTCACGGTCCAATCCAGATCCCGAAAGACAGGCGTAGATGCCGCATTTGCGTCTCCAAAGCGGTATACATCGGCCTTAGGGATATTGATGACGGTCGCGGAGCTAAGGTAGCGTTGGAAACTATGTGCTGGCCTTAGTCCGAAGACTCTACCTCCAAGGAGAATGGCCATCTTGATGTTTTACGTGAACCTCAAGTCGAAGTTGTAATTCATACGTGAGTCAGTGGAAAGGGTCATGGAGTCAACGTGACTCGAGTCGGCCGCTCTACTTTCTCTTCTTGACCACGATGTCGGCTGACCCACCAACGCAACCTGACACGACTACCACCGACATCGACCCCATTTGGACCACAAGTCGTACTGCCAGACAAATATATGCTCTTGGTCAGGTTGAGAAGGTCAGCACTTGTCGTAACCGGACAATTTTGCATCTTATGAATATAATTTTTAGGATATCAGCCGTCTTCTCTCCCTTGCCGCGTCCTCAATTTCACTCCTCACCTTACCCCAAGCTGACGGTCCCAACGATGGTCTTCCTCAGGGAGAAGAGCGCTCGGAACAGTTTGTATTAGAGGCAAACGAATACTTTGAAATACTTGATGTGTGTCGATGTTTTCTCACTGGAACACAATCATCATAACACTCGTTTCTAGTCCATCCAAGTATCCATCCGTTCATCGCTAGCCCACATCCGCCACTCGCGGATAGCGCCTAGCGCGATCAACGCCCCACCACTGGGTTCCATTCCACCTAGTTTGGGGATTGTGCTTCCCGAAGGTGAAGGCGAAGGAGAAAGTAGAGGGTTGCAAGAGACGAGGATAGATAGGGACGCGTGGAACGGTATCCTGGATGCATTAACGCGCATGAAGAGCGCAATGGAGGAAAATTCCAGGCTTGAGATATAACATGTCCGGGACGGTGAGTTTGAAGGATCTAGTACCGTAAGTTTCCTGTTGCTATCCCGTGTACACAGACGTATTTTTGACCAGAAGCAACAGATTTCTACGAACCGCGGACTATTCAATTTCGTATACAAATCAGCCGGCGGATATGACGACTTACGAATGGGCAATCGCTTTCAATTGTCCTTATTATTCTTCGACTTGCTGCGTCCGAAATCGGGCCCGGCAAATCAAAGCTAAATTGTGGCGAGTCTGACGACCCTTGCAGGTATTTTTCGCCACCCCCACAAGCTACACAACCTATGTATGGATACGTAGGTACTAGTTCAGGGACTCTGATTATGGCATGTCACAGCTCGCCGGCGAAAGGTCGGGAGGCTGAGCTTTGTAGGTGCTAAGTTAAATCCTTTCGGAAAAGGTTGTCATAATTATCCCAGAATAAATATCACAGTATTTTATGGGCAACCGCGTCTTTATGTTGTATCTCAGTGAGCTTATATAAACATCGTTGATATGATACCTCCAAACAATCTGAGCTTTTATCGAGGCAAAAGGGCAACATATCCTTTCAGTGGCTTTGAAGTGAAGCTTTCGGACTCAAATACTGAGACTTGTATGTAGAGGGAGGGGCTCATGGCTGTTCGTACAAAGAACAAAGAGTTAAATTTAATGAAAGTTTGATACCGGTATGCCTGCAGCTAAGAATTATGAAAAGTACGCACGGACCGAGATGACCGAATGATCGCAGGTCTCCGAGGATACGGAAGATTAAAGAATGAACGTGTCAGTTGGTGGGATATTGCACTGTTCCTTTCGAAATCGAGTGATCGTAAATGACAGTATCTCTTGTCACTTGATACGTCGGCGAGGAACTTTTGAGCCAGGAGAAAGATTAGACGGAACTTTGTAACCTGATCCAGACTGTGTGGCGTTGGTAGTCGCTATCTTCGGCGAGCGCGCTAATACTTACTAGTTTGAATTTTCAAAATCATGGTTCGACCGCGGTCGAAGGCCTTCGTAACTTATACTGATCGGGTGGCGGCGGGTGAGAAAAAGAAATTACATCGCGACATTCAAACATCGAAACTTCAAAGATTATCCGTCTTCAACTCCTTTCCTTCTTTGAGTACATTTTCGGCATTGAGCAGTTCCGGCACCTGAGAAAGCTCAGGATGTTCCTTGGCAGCGATCTGTTGGACACGATGGAGACGTGATGACAGGGAAAGGGAAAGGGAAAGGGAAAGGGAAAGAAGACATACTACGAGATCTTCAACGTCGCCTGCGGCTTTCGCCAACCTCGTTGCAGAGTCATCGATCATCCTGTTGCATTCGTCGAGGACTTTTTTCTTTGTAGACGTCTCAGATGGATCGATACAGACGACGGGCATACTTACAGCGTTCTTGAGATCCCATTCATCCTCCGAAATGCCTTCAGCGATGAGCTTGCCCACTTTTCGTTGCTGATCCTCGGCCTCTTTACGATAGAGGATGTGTTCTTTTATTAGGCTTTTGAGATGTCAGGCAAGACGGCATAATGGAATGGGTGGAGTACCGCTTGGCAGCTCCTGCCTTAATCTTGAGTTGCCGTTGGATGGCCTGAATTTCCGACATAGAAAAACGCAAGGATACTCGCCCTGGAAAAAACAATGAAACCTATTATTATCGGGTTATTGTGCTGCCTTTGTACTGATTACCTTGGATTGGTACCGGATCCGTGTACAAAGCCGGTATACAAACAAGCTGACACCGTCTAGGGTCGCGAGAATATTTGATTAAACAAATTCGGAAGGCGATTCTAGTTGGTCAACCGCTCTCGTCCTTTTCCTACCAGGACGTTGTGGTTCATTGTACATCTCTGTCCCCTGGCCCATTGTTCTGTTTTCTTTTCTTTTCCCTTCACGACGACCCACGACCGCACGAATCTCAGCAACGCATCCAGAGTTTTTCAGTCATTGAACTTCTCTCTTCACGCCAAAATATCACAAAAGGGATGGAGCAGCAGCACGTCATGAACGATCCAGCATCGTATTCCGGCTTTTACCCACCAGAGCAGGACCCTGCGTATAACATTTCCTATGCGACGCCGCAGATGAGCCCTTATCAGGTTGTGCACAACGGCCCTCAAACGCGTGGGTACCATTACTTTTGTTCTGTTTGCCGCATGTTCATCTGATAACTATTGCTTCGTATGCTTTGTAGGCCAGCATGTTACCCAGCACGTAGCACAAGGAATGCCCATCACTGAGCTGCAGCAGTCGCCAATGCCCTCGTACCACAACATGCCGCTTATGTCCCATCAATATCAAGGTTACCCCTCTTCCGAGGCGCCGCATGTCATTCCTACCTCTCCCCCTCCGCCCTCGCCTGACCTCTACGACCCTTTGTCTCCTCCAGTCTCCGGATCAGACACTTCTGCTGACGGCATCTACCACCACCACACTAGCAGCAACAACTCGCCCTCTTCTTCTCGTGCCAACAGTCTAGTCCACCGGTCCAACATCCGTTACAATCCCACTCCATCCCCGACCAGCTCTTCCGGTCGCCGAAGTCGTGGCTCACGTTCCCAGGACTCTGACGACGAAGAAATGGGTGTCCTCTTTGCCGAGAACCTTGCTCACTCCAGGAAGGAGGCTACCAGGCGCCAGCGTATCGAGGCAGAGCAGCGGAGGCGCGATGAGCTTCGCGATGGCTATGCCAAACTCAAGGACGTGCTCCCTGTGTCCAACCAGAAGAGCAGTAAGGTTTCGCTCCTAGATCGAGGTGAGCTCCCTTTCTTTGCGCGTCTTCGTTTCATCGATTAACTTTCTCCGACAGCCACCCAATACATCACTTCTCTCGAAAAGACCAACCAGGATCTCCAAGCTCGAATCACTCAGTTGGAGCAAGAGATGCAAAGGCTGCGTTCTCTCAACGAGAAAATGTCGCTTGGTGACACCCCTTCTCCCGGTGTATTTGATGCTAGGCCATTGTCCCCCCCTCCCGACGTTCCCATCGCTGCGCACACCCTGAACAATGTTCGAGCGCAGGATCCTTCATCGGGAGAGTCAAGTCCGTCTGCATCAGACGACAATGGCTACTGACGCTGCATCAGATCTGACAATCCCTTCCTTCCCTATTGTTTTACACATCACCGCATCTTCTTTTCCTTCTCGTCTCATTTCCCTTACTCGCTCATTGCACGGGCATTCATCTTTTAAAATCATATTTTCTTCATCTCAGCCGCATTTACAGGTATCGTGTATTATTTCGAGAGAAAAAGACAAAAAGACTCAAAAAGGTTGCTCCTACTTGTCGATATTTGGGGAATGAGAATGGCCGCGCCGTGCGCACTCATCCATTTCTATTCCCACTTTCCTCGGCTCCTATCTCAACCTTCCGCCTCGTCCTTAAGAGATTCCCATCCCTTTCTGCTGCTTGATGTCACAGAATTTGTGGCCCTTTTCATGCGAACCGAGGTTGCAACGTGTTGATCCCAATTGCCATCTCGTTGATCGATGATCGAGCTATCTCTTCTGCCTTTGCACGTGCAGTCCCGTCTTTTCTCTCCTAGCGGCCAGTTGATCGTCTTCCCGGAGAATTCGACGGATGATACACCTGGATCAATGCTCGCCAGGACGTGTCCCATTATCGCTGCTCACATTCTTCTAATTACTGAATATCTTCCCAAAATGCCAACCCTTCACACCTACCGTTCCTTCCCGAACTATTCCCACACTATCCGACTCTTTTATCCTCTCCCTCATTCTCGCTGTATATATCCTTTTTCTATCCGCCCAACCGTCTAACGATGAACGCCCACCAAATATTTTTCCAAAGCGGAGGAATATTTATATGCTCGCAATGATTCTTGACGAATATACGAAATTGATATATTTTTATCCGAGGTTGTGATGGCGGTGACAGCAAAGAGGACCCTTTTGACATCCTTGTATTCGATGATTGCCCGCAAAGTTCTCGTCTGTACTAGAGTACATGTACGGGAGTCGTGGCATTGAATGTCGCGCCTGCGGTGCAGTGAATCATTGATTGACTCGCATGGAATTTAGGAAGATCGAGGTCACTTCTTTTTTTTTTTTCTTGGGACAGCAGCCGCTACTTGTTATTTTACACTCTCCTTCAATTTTTTAGGTAGAAGAGACGAATACCATTGTATATGAAACTAGTGGAATGCGTTGCTTGGATTATAAAGCCTTGTGATAAGCACCAATGCCAATTAAGAAAGAAGATACTGCGCATGGATGTACTAGGACGTACCATTTTCACGCAGGTACTAGACCGTGACAATGTGCAGGTGATTGTGGGAGCTGTTGGGAACTTAGAATTCCAACTCAGCGAATATCCTGTAGAACGCAATTCATACACCACGTTCATTCCGGATGGTTCAAGGAATATCCTGTGCGTGCATCAGATTAGACGTAGTGTTTTGGCCCAGAAACTCAGCGGTTTCTTCGAACTGAAGAGTAGGAGTTTCAGGGTGACATCCTTCTGCATCCTCTTCAACATACCTCCAGCGCGTGGTCGTATGAAACGAGGCTCCGCGGTGAGTCATAATCGACTTTGACGACACCGTATTCGACGGACGCACCCATTGACACCGTAGTCTGTGCCCAAAGAGTAGATATCACATTAACAAGCATGAATCTGTACGATATAGACTGACAGCCCAAGCCGCTTTAGTGAAGCTGAAGTTCCCTCGAATCAGGTTCACCGGGCGGAGAGACTAAAGTTACTAATGTTATCGCTCCATATCTCCATATCTCCATATCTCACCAGCCATCGTTTAATCTTCAAGTTCCAGATAATCAGGATTATGTCCTTTTTAGTGTGCTTGGTTTTATTTATCGGCACCTGGGCAAACTCTAATAATGGGTACACCTCCCAAACTGGGAGGCAACGCCTGACCTCGAGGCAGTCAGTAAAACGCTTTACAGTGACGGACGGAGGCCCCGGATCCGTACATAGCTTTTTGTCTCGGAGACGGAGTGATGTTGCCTCACGACGTGCTGCAACAATTTGTTTCGTTACGTGGAATTCGTTACCTTTGCTTTCTTCTCAAGTTGCTGCGCACGCGGGCTCCGACAGATTCATAGTGGTTCGTTGCGGTTGAATAAGACTGTTTCTAGGCTGCTATTCTGGTGATCCTCCGTCGCCTGATGTCCTGTTCTTCGGGAGGTGCGGGTAGAATTCATCTTGTTCGGCGAAATGCGAAGTCTTGTGGTTAGTGTCCTCTGTGTGGCGTTATACTACTGTCCCAATATTATCTGCCGCGGCCGTTACTCCCCCTTCACTGTTCTCCTGCCCGTGTTACGACACGCCCTCAGGCTGATTGACTTATCTCACTTTCCTGGGTCTGGCCGTTGTTCGATGATTTCCCCTTAGCTCAAAAGACGCGGCTGCTCTTGAGGCAAGTCAGAAAGCTCTCGCGACAAAGGCCAAGCGAATATTACTGTCTCAGCTACGTATCCCCAACTGACCATGCGTAGCGGTTATGATCCGTGCGTTTCACGGAGTACACCGACTCGGCATGATGATCCCCCACAGCTCGCGGAGAGTTGTGTGAACGTAGAGGTCCCTGTGTTTGCTTTTTTTGCGAAGCAGCGGGTGATTGCCAAAATCGTGCAAGCTGTCATTGTCAGACACATCTTCCGCTGTTACAGCTATTGACTTGAGTCCGTTAAATATGAAGTTATCCACCCGAAACGCTGGTTAGGGAACAAGTTAAACTGCCGGGGAGTATATTCTTATTCCACCGATAATCCTAGACTAGCTCGGAAGACTTAAAGAGACACTCGAAAGCAACAAACAGCCGAACTACCATTTACATATTCGCCATATCCAAGATCTTTTGACTCATATGCTTGGCACGATTTGAGGTCCGAGTTACTCTGGATGTTCAACAATAGCATTGCTGTTACTGAAAATCACTCTGGTAAGTATGTACGGCGAACTTGGAACACAATTCACCCTGACACCTCTCTCTGCTCCGCCGCTTAAAGGAGTTAACTGGACCTGGGTTAATACCGAGCTCCAACGGTCAGAAATCTGGAATATGATACCTGCAGTAGTATCAAAAGATGGCGAACAATAGTTCAGAATATGAGCGCGACTTTTCATCACCGGCTCTTAGGTTCCGCCCCGTCGCTTCAGCCGAACTAACACCCATGCATTGGTCCCGAAGGTCCTAGAATGGAGATCTTGAGCTAGAAGACTTGTAGAACCTTGAAATGTGTCCCGTCAAGGGAAGAAAAGTACATAATGGTAGACTTGCATACATTGACCAAGACAGGGCAGGAAGACAGCAGATGACATCAGGTATTAAGCAGCTACGAAATACGACCAATGTGACCTCATCGAACACGCCCTTCCATGAAATGTGTCGACAAGATCTCCATATATATTCCGTTCGGTCCCGCAAACCCCAGTGATTCCGAGCACTCAATTCGATAGAAACAACGATGCGGCATTTAAGCGAGATAAATCCCAAACCAAACTCTGGAAAGGATGTGAGAGAGCAACGAGGAGTTGATACCGACCAAGAGAGGAAGGTATCTGACGGGGGAAACAAGCACAAGGTCCAGCTGCAGAATTGGTATGCCGGGGACAATAGAACAGAGACTACGCAAGGGAATTGTGATCGGGCATCTTTGTTGCAAAGATTGGGTTTGAACAGAGGAGATGAGAAAAGGGCGAGGTAGAACCAAATGCCTGGAACGCGGATGAGAACAACTGTTTCGGTGCTGATTTGCACCCAAGTCGAATCAGCAAGCGTGTGTGTCGAAGTTCGCCTGTAATGCAGATCCTCGACCAATATGGTGGTGAGTCGCCGTTCGGTTGATGAGGTACTGAACCATATCGATTTGACGGCGGCACAAAACCATACTGCTATCACGGGAGAAATATGGAGGTGGTTCTGAATCTCCGGAAGGAAAGGGAACGTTATACTGGGTCGATGTATCATACGTGAATGGTGATAGCGTTTCCGTATTCGTTCTATTCTCGAGAAAAGCGCCCACAAGACTACAGTTCCTTTCTTCCCCCCCAAAAAAAAGAATAAGATGCTCGGAGAAAGTGGAGATAACGAATTGCCTGCAGCGAGCCCGAGGAAAAGCGAGTGATAAGATTTACGGTTACAGTCCGTCGTCATCGCTAAGCGAGCAAGCGGGTATCGACGACGAAAAACGGTCAAATGCCCGACCAACGTTTCGGGCTGAACGTGCCTGGTCGCCGAGAAGCCTCGGGCGGCTCACTTTCCCACACCTCTCCGGATTGACACTGACAGCTTGGTGGAAAGTGATCACACACTACCTTTGTCTCGGGCCTTCGTCCTTCCCCCTCTACTGACGAGCAACGACATCTCCTTGACGATTTCGCGAATCCACCGAAAACAGGAGATCTGGTTATTGACCCGATAGTGATATCGTTACCCCAATTCAAGATGTGGTGTGTACTGATAATTGATCGATTGTCATTCGAATATTGATTTGTATATCCCCCCAATTCAGGTGTGATAACTGTTTATTATTACTGCCATTGGTGAGAGCAAGCTATTGCGGCTGTTTATAATACGAGCGATTGATTGGGTTATGCTTCCTGTTTTTAGAGGGGTGGGGCCATTGCTTGGGCTGTCGTTATCGCGGTGCGTAACGGAATTTCTGTGGTGAATGGATGAATGGACTAATTTCGAGTCATTCTTTATCAAGGCGTATAGCATTGCCGGCGGTATCTTCCTCTTGATAGACGGTCAATATTTATATTTCACTTATCCTGAATGGTAGGACGTTTTGGGTTCAGGCAGAACTCGACCATTAACTGCAATGTTTGCCTTTGCATAGGTACATTTACGGTGGTATCGGCCTGGGTGTTGCTGCCGTCGCCATCATCAACATGTTCGCGCTCTCCAACGTACGCTGAATCTTGGAGTTGTCGTTCGCGGTCATTAATGTTATACGGTCTCTCTTTTAGCGATCATACATATGGACTAGGGTTTGCAAGTTCTTGTGGCCGTTCGTCATCGTCATAAGTGCCGTACGGGCTATGCTGATGATCGTTGAGCTTGAGCGAGGGTAAGTGTGAATCTGAATTCCTTTACATGGCGCTTCTGCGCCGCATGGAATTGTTTTTGTGGTGTGATGACTCCATCTGCTTGTTTGGACTCTTCCTGAGGCGCTAGTTGCTGACGTCTGCTCTTCCTGGTTCTATAGTAAGGACAAGATCCAATGGGAATGTGACAATGGCGGCCAACTGTGGTCTGCTTCTGCGGCTGCAGGATATTCGACATCTACTTCGTTCCCAAGTACATTCTGCACGTCGGGATTCTCGAGCTTGTATACCGCGTTCATCATCTCGCTTCTCATCGATCTCGGGTTCCAGGTATGTTTCTGGTGTGAATGGATACACTCTCGGATCTGACTATCGGACTAGATGTACATGTATTTTTTGAATTGGCGCTTTTCGAGGCGGTTGGAGCACTACTCAAATATGAAGGGTCCATTCCACGGGGGTAAGCTGTTTCGAATTCTGTGGCCATACATGGAAAATCGAAATTGATTCATTGTCGCAAGGTTATTACAACGCTTAGGCGATGTAGGTCCCAGACGTTCCTTCCATTTGGGCTGCGTGCCCGTGTTGGTCATCTCTCATCTCGCTCTCCATCTCGGACCTATATATTATTGACGTTTATTTTTTTTATACTGACGACTGACGAGCTTTACGATAACTGTAATGAATCACGACTGGGATGGCTTTACCATTCAGTCCACGACCTTGATGAGATGATGACTTTGTTGTAGTATCTTGTTTCACATGTAGTGTTAGCTATTGCACATGCCTCGATGTGAATACACCTTACATCTTGGGAATGAACCCGGGGCCTTTGAGAGAGCTGAAGCTGTTAGAGACGAATGAATGTTTGAGATGCATGCAGTGCGTGCTCCATTGATTATATGGGTAGTATGTTCCTTAATGTGGTACCAATGATAGGAGCAGTTGCGCCCAGATGATCTATTATGAGGCCGCGCTGGATGCGATGCCGCAGAGCTCAGATTACCGCTGATCGCGCGGTGCATAAGCCAAGCTACGGAGGATGAAACGATGAAAAGGATAAGAGAATTATAATTTGATTTGGATGTATATACAAGCCAAGGTACGGCTGGGGTCCCATTAGATTAAAACAACGTTGCACACTAGAATGGAATCAATGGATCCGGACATGAGGTCGCTCTAGGGCTTTGTGAGAACGGGCTTTCAGATCAAGAAGGCCAGATGCAGTAAGTTGTGGCGTTTGTGACAAAGGCTCTCGAATTCCCTGCCCCAAATACCAAGTATGACCTGACAGGACTAGACGGGAATCGAGTGTGATAACCCTGGAAGAAAGGCCCAGCTACGATGGGGGAGAGAGTAAAAACGTAGGGCCAGTCGGAGACCGGATCTTGATCTGATGTGACTCGACCAATATCGATGCCATACGGATCAACGGTGCGGGCAAGCTGCTGTTTCTCTGTGCTACGCGAAAGTAGCCGACGTCATCAACTACGGACCCATCGATTCACCCACTCTGAATACTATCATCCACATGCCGGGCCACACCGCCGAGCCTGATGTCGGCAGGAACGAGCCACTGGTTTGGTTCGCCGCCGGCTCGGTGGCAAAAAAAGGCAACTCAGCCCTGCCTGCCCATATAAGACGATAGTCCCGCGGCACCTTTCTTCATCTCTTCCCTCTTTCTCTCTCTCTGTAAACCGCGCCCCCCCCCCCCCCCCCCAACTTCCTTCTTCCCCGCCATTTTCTTAGCGGCCGTCACCAGCAGCACTTGATCCCTGTTGCTGCCGTGCTGTTGTGGGTATTCCTTCATTTCCCGCTGCGCCCAGCTCATCTTGCGCCACAGTCTTATCCTTATTGCCCTCCCCTTATTTGCATTCTAGACACCTTTTTGCTTTCGTCTTTCGTTCAATGTCTGTAGACTTCGAACCAATGCTTGCTCGCTCTTCCTCGTTCATGGAGCATTCCATGGAAAGCCCCTTCCTCATGGACAACATCGAGAGTGCGATGGACTACCTCCAGTATCCGCCTTCGCCTTCCCCCGCCTTCGGCTCTTCCTTGAATGGTAAGTCTTTTCCACAGCCCTTACGGCCTCAGACTTAAATTTTCCCGTTTCTTAGCATCCGCGTCTTCTGGTGGCGAATACGATGGCATCAGCCTTTCCCACCCGATTGGTGGCGACTACGCTTACACCGCTTCGCCCTTCTCTAACTCGTCGCCTCAGCCCTATATGGGAGAGGATCTTGGTATCTCACCCCGCGCTATGACCTACGCTGGCGATGAGGACCGAACTTTGTCTGGACGACGCAGCCGTGCATCCAATGACTCTCCTCCGCCTTCCATTCCCTATGCAGCAGCTGTCCCTCGTTCGCACCGTCATGATCCCATTGGTGTTGCTGCGCGGAGAAACTCAACTGCGAGGAAGGTCCAGAAGGCAAGGAAAAGGAAGGCCAGTGATGAATCAGACGATGACGACGACGAATATCAGGTCTCGCCTTCCGCAGGAGGCCCTATGGACAAGTAAGCCTTGCATTGAAATTCATCAATCAGCTACTAATTATGTGTGTATCTCAGTCGTCGAGAATCCGTTCGTCAACAGCGGATCGAGTCTGAACAGAAGCGTCGCGATGAGCTCCGTCGCAACTACGATCTCTTACGAGACGTCCTTCCGCCAACCCAGCAGCGAACAAGCAAGGTTCATCTGCTTTCGAGGGGTGAGTCGTTTAAATTGAGCACTGATATCTGATCTCACTTGTTTTCATCAGCGAGCGAGTACATTCGGGAGCTCGAGACGACCCAGTCGGAGTCTCGTTCGAGGCTGCAGGCTTTTGAGACTGAAGTCAAGCGCCTCCGTGAGATCAATGATGCCTTGATGATGGGTACCGCCCGTGCGCTGGGCAAGTCCACTCTTGGTATTTCTCCGCATATGACGATGTCAAATTTCTGAGGTGCACTTCTGGCCTCAGAAAAGCAAATCTCAAAATTGTGTCGGATGTCAAAGGGCGTAAACCCGGTGACACTGCTTTGATTATGAACGGACTATCTCTATCACACTCGTATTTTATGTGCATCATCTACCTCACCTTTCTCCTTCTCTAACGATGTCGAGCATTGATTTCCTCTTCACTAATGATCTGTTCCTCCAGATGTTTGTACAGCTGTGCCGTGACTTCGTCGACTTCGGAGTCGGAAATGTTGGATCGCGAGCCGTTTGCGGATGACGATGGACCTTTTGGGATAATGGCTGATGTTTGAGGACGACGACACCCACACAAGACACTAGACAGCTGCTTGAGGCATTGTCGCTGCTCTCTACGGATGAGCGGCGTGCGTGCTTCGCATGTCTCGTGCACTTTCTTGTACGACTTCTTTGAATCCTGTCGCATTCGTCCCAGCATTGCATCTTATCTCGAATTACCCTCCATTAGTACGCTCGTAGGCGGACCACTTAGATGTGGTTCCGTGTCTCGCGTGCCGCCGATACACTGGCATCATATTCCGCTTTCGCGTCTACCGCCAACCACTTTCCCCAATCATTCTGTCTTTCAGATCACTGTGACTCAACACCCGGGGCAAATGTTCGCAATCGCTCTCGTCCACAGATTTTCGCTATCGAGCAATATTTATCGGTTGATTTATGTTTGCCCCCTCTCCCTCCCCTCCCCTTCCCAACGTCAAGAATTGAAACCAAGGAACGCCTGATCAACGTCCCCGACCTTTTGATTCATCCCTCTTCTCGTTACGTTTCCCCACAGACATTCCTATGACATCTCATGACAATATGATCCCGCCAACATAGCTCGCTTGGACGAGCTCGCACAGCTACTGGATTGATGTGTTCCGCATCGCGTCGATCACTTCGGCATAGCTAGCTATACGGTGGATATCTGATCGGTGTCCTAGCACACTTGACTCGGAAGTGAGCCTGGCAAGAAGGCGGGTTGGTTTTGCAGAGTCGTCGTTTCAGTTTACATGAATCCAGAGCATATTCGGATTGCGCTTCCTTCGATAGACAGTGCTGTGTCTTCTCCCGCTTCATGAGCCGGTGATTGAGGATGCTTTTCCTGACCCTATCGTAAGTCGAAGAGAGCGACCACTAGCTCGAAGCTGCTGGCTGCATGTATGCGTCCGTGCATCATTTAGGTGCTCTATAGCTAGTCCTATTTGCCACCTTTTGGTGTGTTCTGCCTCGGACTACGAACGATATCTCTATCATGACTTCTAATCCCGCCCAATATGCTCTTACCCGAAATCCACCTCTATGTGTCACTGCCTTACACACGCACCCCCGTCTATATAGTAAATGTTGTGGAATCTTCTCTGTTCTGGTCTTCTCGAGCGCCTGCGCATCGCTGAAGATCCATTCCATTGTCCGTTTGCTATCCCCATTTGTCTATGTCCAGTTTTGTGTGTCTATTCCATTATACGTTGGTGTTCGACTCGTGTTTCCACCGATGAGTCAAATAGCTACATTGTGTAATTCGTGTACGTGTGTTTACTGTGTAGTTTACGATGTGTATATGATAAATGACAACGAAACGATTATGTTCTGACCACCCTTTGCCATGAGTGACACATGAGTTGTAGCCGGAGGAGTGTATGAATAGAATGTAGGAAGTGTCGGACGGATTTATGAACATAAGAAGTTATGTGTGATGATAAAATCTTCAAAGATGTCAACGGGGATTACAGATGAAACGTAAATCAGGTGGTTTCATAGTTTCCTCATGGTTTTTTCGCCGGCGGTAGTTACTCTCTCCACCTGTACCTTGAACTCGCTGCCAAACTCTTTCTTGGTGGCCTTCTTTTCCGCACGCCTCATGGCGCGGTTGACCTTCACTGCTGTCTTACGAGCCTTTTTTGACTCGGCCGATTCATTTCGCGGTCGTGTGACTGTTGCTTGACGAGGAACTGAGGAGGCGAATCAGTACGAATCAAAGCAGGGTGCAAACGGGTGTATTTCGTACTTCTTTTCAAGTCGGGCTCGGGAGGTTGAGCTCGAAGTTTGGCTTGCTTGGGTTCGACGACGGAAGGTAGTCCGGTTTTCGGATCGAGTGTTATCTTCGGAGTTCGCCTGGTATCGCAGGCTCGGATAAGACGCGGATGGTTTTCGAGGTTAGTATAAGTTGCTAGAGATGTTTATGAATTATGGTAATCAACAAAGTGGCATGTCACTCACTGAGTATGGTTTCGCAATCCCACCTGTCTTTCTTGTCCTCCTCAAGCTCTAAAAAGAGGTCCTCCTCGGGGGTATCATCATCGTCACTATAGGATTCTTTGACGCGCTGATCTTGTCCCATAGCTCTCCGCAAAGTCTCCAACTTTTCCACCCCACTATCGCCTTCAAGTTTGGGCTTCATCTTTCGGCCGAGGATTTCGTAGTCATTGAGAAACTCGTCCATCATGGATGAAAAGTCATCGCGAGCCGTGATGAGCTCCGGAGCCTCGTCGGATTCGGAATCATCGGGCATTGACGCGCGATCGTCTTCGTCTTCGTCTTCATTGTACTCCTTAAGCATTACCTGCAGTAAATGCACGTTTAATACAAGAAATGGCTATACGAGCATAAGGAGTGCTCCACCTGATCAAATCTCTCATCAAGAATTTGCAGCGCTTCATTTCGATACATGCTGGAGCTGCTCATGCTGTAACCAGAAGCATCGCTGCCGCCTCTCCACCTCTTCTTGCCTCCGATAACAGTTATTGTTGGAAGGCCCGCGACGGTGTCTCCACCATCAGATTCATCCTCCCCATCATCGCTATTACTGGCCGATAGATCCTGCTGTGATTTTTTAAATCGATCGAAGCGTGCCTCCCAACCCTCATCCTCGTTCCCAGATCCAAGGCTGGAAGAATCTCGCTCCTGTGAACCTTCAACTACGCCATCCTCAAAGAAGGGATAGTCCACTTCTTCATCACTAGGACGTTCACCATCCGTTATCAGCTCTCCAAAGAAGTCATCTTCGAGGTTATCGTCTACAAATGCGTCATCTTCCAGAGCCTCGAGGACTTGGCGTAAGTGGGGATCCATATCAGGTTGGAAGCCAGATATACTGTCGGGGATGGCTTGTTGAGATTCAAAATTTCTAGGTAGCTCGGACGTAGATGGTAAAACGCCTTCTGGTAAGTCCCTAAGAGAGAGACCAGCTCCATTGCCAGATTTCTTTTCTTTTCCGGACCTCTTGGAAGAAGAGGGTGCCTCAATGAGGATGCTGTCGACACCGTCCTCTTGTACGCCAACTTGTCGAAGATGTTGCATGTAGTCATATTCTGCGTCATCGTAGTAGATTCCATAGAGCGCGGCGTCCCCTGGTGTGGTATGCGATTCATGCAAAGTGTCGCCTATAGACAAAAGCGCCTCGAGCTCTGCTCTAGACTTTCCCTGGAGGGGATATCAACAGACGAAATGAAGAATAGCAGTAGGCATGCCTTTTTGTCGTTTTCACGTACAACGGGCTTCAAAACATGAATCGCAGCTTCTGAGTCATGGATAAGAGGGTCCCGTTGAGACCGGTGCACGAGTTGGAAATGTTTTGCGCCTGGCTGACGAAATATTGACTTGGGCGCCATGAACGAAGTATAGGAAAATTTGATTCCAAAAACTATCGACGAATTACCATGATATTACATAAGCAATCTCGGGTTGAAAGCAACCTTCAGTCTCACCGTACTTTACGTTCTTCTGGTGCTCTTCCACCATCGTTGATCGTAGCTCTATACACCCCGGAAGTGGTATTTGTTCAGACGAAGTTCCCTGGCATCGGTCCCGACGAAGCATGGATGGCCGTTCGCGCGAACAGTTCCGCAGAGGTTTCTCCATATACGTCTCTTTCGCCCTAATTCTCGCAGAGTGTACTGACATTTCGTTTGTGGTATCTACTAGTCACCAAAAGGTTGTTTTGGAGATTGATTTCTCGGGGAGTCTTTGGGTATGCACGTCTGCCGTTCGTGGCGAGTAAGGCGCTTAACCTGTCATTTACAGGGATACACAGAAATCACTATTGTTCCAACGAGTAGTGAACTGAAGACTATATATCTCAATTCTCGACAGTGTAGTGCGTGTTTGGTGGTCTGAGAGGGTAATGCTGCCTGCTTACGCATGTCGTCCCAGCTATTCATTCCGTGACTGTTGGATCCTACGACGCGGAATTCGCATGCTCCGACCTTTTCTCAAATATCAACCTTGGATCTTCTCCAAATGATGCTCAAGATTGCCATCGGCACCTAGAGCTGAAGAGGAAGCTCTATTCCGCATTTCAAGAAGGCGATGATGGGGAGTTGGCAATTGGCATCCCTAAGGACGTTTCGCTGAAGTATTCGGGGAGTCTCGCATCGATTGGCTTGCCTAGTGACGGTGAGTTGCCATAATCCTCGTTCTTGTGACTAATCTTTTAATCTGCCTCCACAGCTGCAACTCCCGACCCGCAGACGCCAGGCGTGTCTCAAGCGCAGAATGGTCACACCGCTCCAGAGTTTTCTCCTATCGTTGTCAAGATCTCGTACAGTCTTCGTAACCCAGTCGATGGCTTTGAGTTCGTCCTTCCCGACGATTCTCATCCATATGTAGGTCGAACCTCATTTAGCACGTATCATATGTCAAGTTAACTGTATCTCCCAGCGCGTACCTCACGCGTACACAACTCCATCATGTCCCGACGCTTCCAGATGCTGGGTTCCGTGTGTTGATAGTATGAATGAGAAATGTACATGGGAGTTTGAGTTTGTCGTTCCTCGCTATTTGGAGGAGTCCGACTTTCTTCAGGACGAGGAGGTAAATGAATTGTCACCGACGCTTGTGATTTGTAGTGGCGAGCTAGTGGAACAGGTACGCCTTCATGAATGCGAGATTTCTAGCATGTCTCTGACTTGAACACCCAAATAGGTAGCGCATCCATACAACTCGAACAAAACTATATTCATCTTCTCGCAAGCCGTTCTTACGTCAGTTCAGCACATTGCTTTTGCAGCAGGACCTTTCCACATCCTTACCATACCACCTGAGGGCATGTCTGATGACGCCACGACCACCTCACAGCAACCAGGGATGTACGCCTTCTGTCTTCCTGGGCAGGAATCGTACCTCTCGATTTCAACTTCTGCTCTCCGCTCCGCGATGACTTTCTATGCAACCGAGTTTGGCTCATACCCATTCGGTTCGTACAAAGTTGTATTTGTCGACGAACTTCCAGTCGAAAGATTTGATAGCTCTACGCTTTCTCTTGTGACCGTCGATCTGCTGCATGGGGATGACGCGATAGAGCAGGCCATTGAAATCAGGCAAATCCTCAGCCATGCTTTAGCTTGCCAGTGGGCTGGCATAAACATCCAACCGAAAACTTGGTCTGATATCTGGCTAGTAAATGGTTTAGCGCTTTACATCAATGGGCTATTCCTACGCAAGTTTTTTGGCAACAATGAGTATCGCTTCCGGCTCAAGAAAGATATGTATCGCGTTTTGGAGCGAGACAACGGTACAATGCCGCCAATCTGCCAGCCGCAGGTCCTTGATCCTCCCGATTCCACCGTCCTCCCTTTCATTAACCTAAAGGCACCTCTGATTCTCCATATATTGGATCGACGGCTTGGGAAGTCCGGGACTTCCCTGGGTCTGAGCCGTGTCCTTCCCAAGGTATTTCTATCAGCTATTAGTGGAGAAATGCCGAACAATATGCTGTCTACACATGCGTTTTTGAGGACTTGTAGAAAAGTCAGTGGGGTAGATTTGCGAGGCTTTGCCGAGCAATGGATTTATGGGAGCGGCTGTCCTGCGTTCGGGGTGTCTGCGTCTTTCAACCGAAAGAAGATGGCGGTTGAGATTACCATGCGACAAGAAAGCCCTGCGTATAAAGTTCATGAGAATAGCGAAGTGCATAAGCAAATGCTCAAACCTGTACCGTTCTTCGAGGTGAGCTATGTTTTGTATCCAAGAAGGGTTGTAACAATTTTGAAACTAGGGTACGATGACAATAAGGATTCATGAAGCCGACGGGACGCCTTACGAACATGTTCTTGACATCCGGTCTCCTTTCAAGCGGTACGAAGTACCTTTCAATACCAAATATAAACGTGTCCGCCGCAATACAAAACGGTATCTTGCCCGTCAGGCTGCTGCACAAGCTGCTGCTGAGGGTGATACGGAAGCGGCTGAGGCCATGGGTATGGTCGATATGGGCTTCGGTTTGGATATCTGGGAGAAAGAGAAAGAGCGGGAGAACTGGAAGGTGGCTGACTGGACGGAGGAAGATGAGGGATTGATGAGCGGAGCGACATATGAGTGGATTCGGATGGACGCCGATTTCGAATGGATTGCGAATTTGAATTTTGAACAACCTGATTTTATGTGGGTGTCTCAGCTGCAGAGGGATAGAGATGTTGTTGCCCAATTAGAGGTATATTCAGTCTGGACTACCAGACCTCTAATCATTCACGCATTCCATTTTAGGCCGTGCATGCTCTTGCAAAACAACCTACAGCGATAGTTTCTAGCACTCTTACCAAGACTGTGTTAGTATCCAACTATCATTATCGGATTCGGACAGAAGCCGCGAGTGCCCTGGTTAATGTGAGTGCTCTGTGGACACCTCCGAAACTTCTGACGTTAAGTAATGTAGTGCGCCATCCGTCGACTCGATTTCCTCGGTCTGTTCCACCTATTCAAACTCTTCCTACGATATTGCTACGAACCAGAAGATTCAAATCAAGACTTATTTAGTCATACTTATGTTCCAAAGCCGAACGATTTTTCAGACCTGTCAGAATACTTTGTCCGCAAGGTATGTCCGGGGTTTCGATCAGCATGACCTTTTCCAATTGACGCCTCTGGTAGACACTCGTAACAGCGATCTCAAGAATTCGGTTCGAAAATGGCAAATCACCGTCCGTAGTGCGACAATTCTTGATTGATCAACTCAAATACAATGACAACACTGTAAATCCGGTAAGTTTATTCAATGGTCTCGCTAGACAGTATTGATGTCATTATTAGTACTCTGATGGGTTTTATATTTGTACCATCATATCTGCAGCAGCCTGTGCCACGATATCAATGGCAGCTCCTGAGCGTGGCGAGCTTTTACCGACGGAAGTCCGATCAGAACATAATGCAGAAGACCAGCAGCTTCTCAAGGGAATTGTTGCTGAAGTTGATAGGTATCGCAGTATGGACAGGCTGATCCCCTCCGCCCACAACATCGTCACCATAGCGGCTTTGGAGGTGAGTTTGCATTCAGTCTCACCCTGTTATTCCGGACTGAACAATTGCCTAGTTTTATATGGTTCTCGGTGTTGCCAATCTCATCCCAAGTTATCAGGCAGTCTTCTTCCTTACTGCTAGGTACGGTCTTTTTTCCCCCAACGGGTGAAATGTTGCTCATTCCCTTTACAGAGATGGAAACTATACGCCTGTGCGGATTGCCGCCTTCGACGGACTCTTTCTCACTAAGTGGTATACTCCTGCCATCATGCGCTACGTCCTCGCCGTTATGGCTAACGATCCATCGCGAATTGTCCGGAGATATGTTGCCCGGAATGCGTGCTATAGCTTGGCTCTCCTCGTGCAAATGGGTGAGCTGAAGTCGGGTTCCAAGGACTCGGACGCGTTGCTCATCGAAGAAGATGGCAATAATCCTGAGAAAACTAAGGAGTCGAAGAAGAGTGAAATGGATGCTATGATCAAAGTCCTCAGAAAGGATCGGGAAGTAGGCAAGAATGAAGTCCTCAGGGAGTTCTTGATGGCTACTGCACTGTGAGTAGCTTACGTTCGCCTTACTTGCCTGCTTATCGCGCCGGCAGTGCTCCCGATGTTGATCATGAGGTTCGCTGGTGCATCCTCAAACTAGCTGACCTTCTCATTCGTCCAGTGGACGAAGTGCCCCCGAAGCTCTCGCTACATCTACCACCCAAGACCCCAATCACCGAAACCCCGCCACCGCTTCCTGTCACCAAAGTCTCCATTAAGCCTCAACGAAAAGCAAGCGTGGTGGCCAACTTAAAGAGCCCACTTTCTACCTTCCACGTGCCACCAAAGCTCAAGTTATCCAACGGTGGATCGACTCGAGATGTTACTCCTAAGCCTCTTCCTCTTCCCCCTCCTCCTCAAAGCACTACTCCGGTGTTGTCCTCCAAGAAATCCAGCCCCTCTGTCGTTTCACCTTCTCCCGCTAAAGGAAAGCCGAAAGGAAGACCGCCTAACAAGAACCCGAAGCGGACACAGGTCCCGAAAGCTCATTCAAGCGGCATGAGCTTGGCTGACCTCACAGCTACACGGAACGCTTTGAAGAAAATAAGGGACCATAAGCACGCCAGATGGTTTCTACAGCCTGTGGACCCCGTTCGAGACAAGGCGTTGAAGTATGTACACCTACTAGCTCATCTTGGTCAAACTTACTGACGTGTTTTAGTTACTTTGATATCATTAAGGAGCCTATGGATCTTGGTACTATGGGTGCACGATTGGAAGCAGGACTGTACAAGGATAGATTTGCCTTCAGGGATGATTTCCGCGTAATGATCGCTAACGCCAAGCATTACAACATGCCTGGTAGCCCTGTGCACGATGCAGCTATTGCACTTGAGGTAGCATTTGAGAAGCGTAAGCTGCCTGATTCTCCTTCTTGACCCAGGTTGTTCTAATATAAACGATAGTATGGTCTATCATGAGCAAAACACTTGAAGCAGCAGACAACAAAGCCCAAGCTGCTGCTGCTGCTGCCGCTGCCTCCGCCGCCGCTGTCGTGCCACCACTCCCCAAATCCAGACCTCCAGTTCCTACTCCTACATTTACACCGCCACCGCTGACACCAGGTGTCGGAGATCATGCTCCTCGTAGTGCTACTCCAGCTGCTGAAGGTGCTGCAAGACCAATGATTAAGCTACGAATGGGAGCGCAGCCCAAACCTGAGGAGCCTCCGAAGCGGCGTATTATGAAGGTCAAAGCACCACAGGCTGCCGAAATCGATGCCCCACCTCCGCCCTATATCGATGACGGGTCGGCTGATATTCTAGCGGAAGTACTAGCTATCGAGCGTGAGAAGGATGAGCAGAAACAGCGCTCGGCACAAGCAAAATCTGCTATAAACGGGGCTCCTGCCAAGCGCAAGGCGTTGAGCAACGAGGCTGACGACATCCTAGCTTTGGCGTCTCCGTCAAAGAAAGAAAAGTCTGCACCTATTGTTGCTACTCCGACGCCGTCTGGATCCTCTTTGACAAGAATTGTTGTTCCTGCTGTCTCTCAAAAGCCTGTTCCAACCAAATCCAAGAAAGACAAAACAGAGACTCCCGGTGCTCCTCGACCGTCAGTGAAAGGAAAAGAAAAGGAAGTCCTTCCGTTACCAGAAACTCCATCGTCGAAAGCCAAACGCTCAGTTGGGGACCAGGCAGCCACTCCTATGAACCAGAAGAAAGTTAAGGCATTATTGACGGCAATCAAACTCCTTCCGGAAGCCCGTATATTCAACAGACCCGTAGATCCCGTTCTGGATGGATGTCCAAGGTGAGTAAAGTGCTTGAATTTCTTATAATTGCCTGAATATACTTCCAGCTATTTCGATGAGATTTCTCAACCCATGGACTTTGGCACAATGTCGGAGAAACTCACACAGAATCAATATCAGACCATGGAGGAGTTCCGAGCCGATTTCGAACTGATTATTGCCAACTGTCGTCAGTTCAATCCTGCCAAAACCTATCCTCATGATTGCGCAGCCGTTCTGGAGAAATATTTCCGAAAAGAGTGGCCCAAACTCGTGGAGCGAAAGCTGACATTCGCTGAGAAACGAGGACTTCTTGGAGTGATGACAAGCATAGTGAAAGATAATGTGTGAGTGGAACCTTATCTTATGCCTTCGTCCTCTCATTCTTTTAGTTCCTGGATCTTTCGAGAACCCGTCGATCCTGAATTACTTGGTATTCCGACATACTTCCAAGTCATACCTCGCAAGGATGCTCGGGACTTAAGGACCATCAGAACCAAGCTTGAGAGTGATAAGTATGAAAGCGTTGAGGCTTTCCAGGCTGACATCTCCTTGATGATAAATAACGCCATTACCTTCAACGGCATGGATTCCGAAGTCGGTCCGTTGGCAATCGCTTGTCGCGATAAGATTCAAAGTTTGATAAACGCTTGGAGGTTGTCACAGGACAAGAAGAGAAAGGACGTTGAGAAGGGGAACTCCCAGCCAAGTAAGAAAACTAAGCTCAGTTAGATTGTATTATTACAGGATTATGTGTATCGTACTGTCTGGCATGCTAGAGCTGATTTAGATCAATTGCACCATTCACATACATTGAAACTATAGAAACGCAGATGAATGGCCTACATCTAAGTTGAGGTCAGAGGGTATCAATGATCAAAGGTATAGCGTTCAGAGGAAGGAAATACATTAGGTATCATTTTTACCAGTCAGGCCACAGCTCTACCAAGCTGTTATTGCAATCCTCCTCTGGAGTGTCATTTTGCTTCATCCAACGATCAGGAATCTGGGATAGATAGATCAATAAGTGGTTGAAATTATACGGCATTTAGACGTACCAGAGGAAAGTAACGATCCATCGCGCCGATGAATCGCTGTCGATACTGTTTAGGAGTAACGATGGTAGGTTCGCCCCGACCTGCTCCGCCAAGAAAGGCCGATTCCTTAACCCAACTTTCTAGCTTCTTGTCCCAAGTATAGGTTCGAATATAATCTAGCCAGGATACTTAAGAACAAGACGTAATACTGGGAAATTTCTTTTTCACTGACCGACTATGCCTACGACTAGTTCGTTGTTCTGACTGTCAACCTATATTAGCATAATTTAGTTCACGTTTCGCAGCAAGTAAAAGATGGGGCACTAACACCGCACACTAAAGAATAATCCATGACGTTGATGTCGGCTAAGAATTTGCTATCATTGTAGAGAGCGCCCCGCAGAATTCTCTTTGAATGCTCGCGCAGATAAAATGGGGTCAAATGAGCAGCTATTTCCCAAAGTCAGCAGATGAACAGGACTTGTTCATGCATATCATACTTTGAACTAAATTCTCATCAAGAAGGACTTCGTTTTCTCTACCGGTGGACTGGACGTGACGATTTCGAGTGGAGCCTTTCAGATCATATATCTATTTTTATTTATAAGATGAATAAGTTCGAGGATTAGGCATGCATACCTTTGAGAATCGACGGTCATAAAACAAATTTTCCATCACCAGGAGGTTCATTTGCGTTGACTTGATTTTCCCAGGACCTTTATCATTGGTCTTCCTGAAAGTAAGCTTATAACAGCCAAAGACTTTGGCGAGAAGGGTCGGACGCTAAACAGACTCTTAGCCTTGTCGTGGTATGCGGGAGGGTAGAAATTTATCTTACATCAGCGGATACAGCAGAAGACATGTAGTCGAAGTAAGCAGGTGCGAACGTTTCCATAGTTTGTAACTCAGGTCTAGACAGTTCTTTTGCAATAAACCGATCATCTTTAAATGATATCAACGTCTGAAAAATATACGCAAAGCAATCGTTCACCCACCTCGAGTTTTCAGGAATGCTGATCCCGATTTTCCGCCACTGGCATCCCACTTGACACATCGTGCTAATGACTCAACCATGCTCCTTTCACAGTCGTATGTACGACGCAGAGCGTCAAATTGTTCCGGATAAAGCATAGTGCAGCTGATGGTCAAGCCACCACTCTCGAAAGCTGTATATGAGAACGACTGAGCCAAGGCTAACAGAAACGAAGGTAAGAAACCTACAAATTGCCCAAGGTAGTTTAGATGAGGGTACTTTGAGGTCTTCGGTAGGATCGGCCAATTCGGAGGCGTCCACATTAACAACACCCCACGTTGAAGTCGACTCGGCAACGGAATGATCATCAGGCATAAAAGCTTCGCCGTCCGTCAAACGAGGCTCGCGAGCTGTACGCTTCTCAACACGCGATTTGGTAAGCATTTCACGATATTGAGGTGAGCTTTTTGAGTGTGTCAGTTGCAAAGCATTGCAGACAACCGCAACTTACTTCAAGGCTAACGCAATGATAGACGTCGGCTCATCAGTGCGGACAACCATGGAAGAATCCCGAAATATGTGCTCTGGATCACTCATAGGATCGTCCCCCTCAAAAGCACTACGAGATGCCGGCGGAGGCTGAAGCCAAAATCCTGACAATGCTTTGAGAATGGAATTGCGCTCTGTACCTGCTCCCATTTCAATGTCTGACTGTGGCGGAGTCAACGACATATTGTGGTCCATTTTCGCTGATGACAAGAACGGTGAAGGTGGAAGGGAAATAGGCCCTGGAGGAGCATGTTTCGTTTGGTCATCCAGACTTTTCCCGCTAGTATCTGATGAATCAGCGGGGAAAGCAGTGGAGGCTAGAGGCGCAGTCTGAAGGGCTACGATTTCCCTGGGTGATTCATCGCCGGGTGTTTCGGTTTGGTTTATGAGCTCCGCAACAGACGGTTCTTCATTGCCGTCCCCTTCGTCATCAGCTTCACTACTGGAATCTGAACTTTCAGACTCGTCATTAATAGCGTCTTTCACACTGTCCAGTACCTCGACACGGGCCCGTGCCGAACCAACAGGCCGAGCACGCCGTCCTCGAATAACATTGTAACGGCTTTTTGAGCGCTCAGCATCACGACCCAAACGCTCAAAATGCTTAGCAATGTTGGAAACCTTTCCTCCCGGAGTCCCCACCGGTCTACGAAACGTGGACTTGGTCCCAGTGCTTGGTGCCGATCGTACTGGAGTCTTATCTTTCGACCGGTTTAATAGTCTTGACCGCCCGCTTTTCAGTCCGAGAGATGCAGGTGATAGTACTTTGAGGTTAGAAGGTGACGAGGGACGGTGCAGCTTCAGTTCCTTGCCTCTACCGCTTACAGAACGTTTTTCCGGTGAAGGTCGTCGGGAAGAATCACGAGACTCCTGATAAACCGGTCCGGGTATGCGAGTGCCTTGAAACCCTTGACCAAGCGACCTTCTTGTGTGAGTAAGATAACGGGGCGCAATATTTGCTGCATAGCTCTGTTCAAAGTCAGACGTAGAGGGTTTCTTTGCAAGCGGGCGATGTCTACTTTTTGCACGAGTGACGCTACGAGGGACAACAGGGACAGTATACTCTTGATCACTTTCGGAAACAACGATGCGAGGTGCAAGTGCAGTTTTTGTCAAGTCCTGTATGCCCTGAGGTGGCAGGTAATCTTGATATTTCTTGACCAACTCTGCAACACTGGGATGGCGGGCTGGTCGCCGAGGTAGTCTTGACATGCGTTGTGCACGAGACTCTCCCTACAGTGATGTTAGCAGGTGTATAGTGTGTAGAGCTTGGCCCGTGACTAACCGCTTGAGGTATGGAAGATTCAGGAGAAATGGCATCATCTCTTGCTGCACCAATGGTAGAGTCAGAATCGGGATCGGACTTGTGCTTGTCTTCAGAAGCTCGAGGAACAGTACATGTAGTGTCCATCGGAAAAGTGTCCTGGTTATGCTGAGCGTCTGTGCATGGCTGATCTACTGTCTCGACCAGTTCCGCGGCAGTCTCGGGTTCGGAGGCCTCAGATGCGGAAGATGTGAGAGAATCACCAGTAACTCGCCGTATCTTAAGCGGTCCCTCCTCCGCCTCCGACACACTCGAAGAAGGAAGATGAGGCAGATCAAACGTTCCGGACAACTCGTACCGCCTTGGCCACATTGCACGAACAGACCCGAAAGCCGACGCTCTGCGGTTAGACCTATCCGTAGCAGGCGGGGGCCTTGGCTTGGGAAGACGATCAAAGTCTTGCTGCCAAGCGACAATCTTGTCCTGTCGGTACGAACGCACTTGGTTGAGTGCAAGAGTATCTGTAGGCGCTGACTCTCTATATACGTGGTTGATTAGCCTGCTAATATCCCCTCTTTCCGTCTCTGCCCTGGCGATCAACATGTTGATATCTGCCAAAAGTTTGGCGTCACCATCCTCGTCTCCGGTGGCAGCATCGATACTGATAAGTTTGAGATCATCTATCAAGCCTGTGTACCAAAACAAGTTACGATGGTGCAAACGATTGAAGTCGCTGTTCTTTATCTCAAGCTGTGTCTCCGGTCGGACACGAATGCGGAAGGGAGGGTATACGACTTCATGCAGGGTAACTGGATCGGCCTGGAAGCGTACAGTCATGCCCTTGCACGCAAAGTAGCGAACATGGTGCTGATATATGTTGTGCTGACACCCCGCACCTTGAACCAACTTCACATCCGTAGGATAGAAATGAAGTTCTAGAAACTTGGCAAAGGAGTATCTTTGCATTTCCTCCGAGACCGGTATGAAGGGAGTGGCAGCTCCACAGATTCGACATGCACTCCATGTTGTTATGAGCTCCGGGGCAGGCGAGAAATTCGACCGTCCGATGATTTGTCCATCCCATTGTTCAACAGCAACAAATACCTTGGTCTCGTTGTGAACAAAGACTTTACAGTGGCGGGCCAAAGGCTGGTCACATCCTTTGCCCGTGCATATCGCTTTGGGATCTAAGAACTGAACGAGCGTCTCCGTGACTGATTCCTCGACATACTGGCCCAGTGTGCAATCGTTCTCTCCGTAGAATGTGACATAACTGAATTTGGGAGCAAAGCAAGCACGATGAAAGCCGAAATCGGCAATGGGGACAATATACTCCAACAACCTGATGCACTGATACTTCTCGACGACAAAGTCATCGTAATTCTTCCGCAAGTACCACTCCCATATGCGCCGATGCTCTTCATGTTTGCACTTTACCAAACTATATTGGCTTTCCAAGGCAATGTCAGTTGGGGTCTTCAGCGCTTCCATTGGCTCTTCCACAAGATTGGCAGCGGCTGAGGCGAAGGTTGAAACATTAGGAAAGTAACCGTCCTGGTCTTTGGAAGGAGACATAGGTGTGAGCACGCTGGGAGTCATGGTCAGAGGAATTGTGGGAAGCGCTTCAATTTGTGCTTTAATATCGTCCTGTTCGGTCTCTTCATTATTACCGATAGGCGCGGTCAACGTGCTGCTTGACGTTAACGTCGACTCTTGCTCATGTTTAACTTCCCGTTTCTCCTCCAATCGGATCACCTCGTCTTCCCAAGCCCTTTTCACAGCAGATAATTCAACGTCTAATTCCTTCATTCGTCGTATGGGAAAAGGAGGGGGGAAACGAAGTGTGGCAGACACTGATATGAATGTCGTTGTGTAAGGCTCCAACGACTTGTCAATACGCCTTGATAGTTTGAGCTGTTCTGCGTCTTCATCAGGCAGATCGTCGTCTTCAAAAGGATGTTTGTCTTCAACCATTGTTTCTGTTCTGGGCAAGCTAAGCCCGACTGTCGGTGTTGCACCTCGCGGAGTGGACGTGGACGAACCAAAAGTTAGAAAAGAAGCGACTGAATAGTTTGAGGGTGCAAGGCGAGTGCTTGGGGATGATGGGACAGTCTCGGTGTTAAGTTGAGGAAGTGTAATGACAGAATCCTTCCACAGATGGGTCTCCAACTTTAAGTTCCGGACTATGAAAATGAGAAAGCGTGTGACTTTCTTGATTCGTCGGAGAGTGCTGATATCATCTCCACGCAAGATGATTGTGCAGCCCATGTCATGATTGCATCCTTCAAATCGCATGTAGGACTTGCGGCGCCCGGGTATTAGCGGATGATCGTATGTCTGTATACGATACCGCGAACAGTGACCCAAACGGGGTTCTAATGCCAACTTATCCATGGATGAAAAGACATCACCCTGAGTCATACGCGCCACCAACTGAATCGCCGACGGCTTCACAGCGCGAGCGACTGCGATGTTATGCCTCGCAAGTGCCTCCAAAGCAAGACGAGAAACGGACTTCTCCACCAGCACAACGTGAGGTCGAAGCGCCGCGATCCGTGTCGCTAGATTGCCCAGATACTCTTTTTCCTGACGCACAATTTGCCCGAAGTGCATGTACTGACCTTCGATCCGTGAAAATTCCAAAGGAAACGTTACGAGCATCACGCGAGGATTGCGTTGCGACCGCAACATATGTTTGTGTGCAACGTTTTTGGTTATGACAGCACCATCAACATATTCAGAGTCCTGTGGGGTGCCTCCAGGGATCTTTTTGATCTTGACGTACCGCCTCACGTCCATATCTTGACCCTGTCGGTGAGGAAGAGACGTAAATGTCAAATCACGTGCGATTCGGAGAGCTAGTTTGAGTAGCGTCTCCTCCCATTCTTTCATGTTGGGAACCTGCTCGCTGGAAAGCATTTGCCGGAGCATGATTCTTAGGTGGTGCATCGAGGTTAAGTTGAGCTCTTGTGCATATCTAAAGATTGTGTGAGATAAAAAGTGCTGATTATGATGATACATTTACGTACGCAGTGCTCTCCCTTCGAGCACGCCAGCCAGGCTCGCCAGTCCCGACGCTGTCCAATCTACTCTGGACTCGACTGCGAATGAAAGGTGTCGATGCGGTCAATGAGTTTAATCGCGACCTCATCCTGCTTACTGGCCACGGACTATCCTGACCACCATGTTCTGGAGACCCCATCGGAAACTGTATCGAGCTAGTCAAGGACTCTGCATCGGGCATCGTAGGAAACTCGATTGGCGTCTGAGACTGAAACGTGGGAAAACCAGTAGATTCAAAAACATCATGCTCCGACTCCTCATCAGACAATCCTCTGCGGAACGGCGCGGAGGTCTCCTCAGGAGATTCCCACATGCCATCGTCGCGCTCTCGAAGCTGCGGTGTAATCGGTCGAGAACCAAACGCACTCTCGTCAGAGCCCGAGATGCGTCTCTTTGTCTCCGCAATGGAATAAAGATTAAAGGGCTCATCGGTACGCCCAAATAATTGAGAAGCGGCAAAGGGTGACTGGGGATGGTGGGCAAGGGTTATAGTCTCACCGACTTGATGCGCCGGGAATGACATAACAGACGACACTACGGAACGTCTATCGTCGTCATCGACCTTCGCAAGCTTCTCTAAGCACAGATTGCATACGCGAACCATCCCATCGTGTCCAAATCGTGAGCCCTTGATAATATTGGAGGCGCAGCGGGAACAGAATATTTGTCCTACGACTTGTCAGATGACGAAAGGAGAAAGTCAAGGTAACGTACCGCATATACGACAATGGTGCTTTCTACGCCAGGCCGTAAATACGCTCTTGCAGTCGTAACACTCCTTACAGTTTTCGTCATCCATCCAATAATCCCGCGATAGACCTACAACGCGGTCAGCGTACTGGTCGTATTGTATTACACGGATTATCCGCATTCTGTTGCCTTCTTTGGCGTTGGAATATGGAGAAGGGCACATCGTAGAAAAAGGTCTCACCTTCGCCCCGTATCCGACGGATAACCTTTGACACTGAACCTGACCTATGCAAGCTAGCCGAGGTCTTGACACTTCGTGCATCATCCTGTATTGGAAAGCCCGGGATAGTAGTTCCAAATACCCCGCCATCGGTAGAGTCATAAACGGGAGAGTAGAACATTCCTCGTGAAGGTGGTCTGTCGTACTCTGCATTATGGACTAGGAGCTCAGACTGAGCTGGTGTGAGGGATACCAATGGTGGGGCAGGAATAGACTGATTCGGAGCCAGAGGGCTGAGCCGCTCATTCGTCGAACCTCGCGAGGAATAGCTAGATTGAGTGTTCAGGGTGTATGAGGGACGTCTGGGTTCCGTATTGATAATAGATCCATTTGCGTTGCCAGTAAGTGTCTGTGTTGCTGTAACGGCAGATAGAGGAGTAGAAAAGGAGTTCTTAACCTTTGAAAAGAGTGAAGTAACTAGAGTATAAGACGATTGATCATTCTCATCTTCTTCTGAAAAGGGATTGAACGTGGTAAGACTCGTGACGTCGGCGTCGACGAGCTTTGTGCGAGATGCTGGAAGAACGGGAGAGGCAACCTGCGACGATGCCATAGTGAAAAACGCGTTAATGGTCTGCTTTCATGGACGACAACCTCTAATATGCACAAATTCGTACCTACTTTTACACACAAATTTCTATCACGTGCACTCTACGACTCCAATCCTCACAACCTCATCTTGGCTTTTCATCAATTCACATCATGGATGACGATGATGCCGACTATATGCAAGGAAGTGACGACGAGGTACACGTCTATTCCCACGTCGCCCGGCCCACGCTCATCGCCTTTTGACAGGACTACGGCTTTGACTATTCCGATGGAGACGACGCAGACGAGTCAGGCAACGGAGATGTTGAAAACATGTACTACAAAGCCAAATGTACGTGCTGGAACAGCTTGTCTCCCAATGGTATCCTGACCGTGTATTACAGCGAAGAAGGAGGAAAATCCAGAGATGGCGCTGAAAGAATTTAAAGCCATTGTCGATCAGGAGTCGGAGAAAGGAGATTGGTGAGCGTGTACAATTGGTTGTCGTTCTTCTCTGACAATATTCAAGGGGCTTTAAAGCACTCAAGCAGTCGACAAAGCTTCTCTTTCTCACATTACGTCGCCCCAATGATGCGCTCCAGACGTACACGCAATTACTGACTTACACCAAGTCTGCTGTTACGCGCAACTACTCAGAGAGGACAATAAACGGTATACTGGACTATGTAGGTGGCGGTAAAGGTGGACCTGTTGAGGTGGATGTCTTGGAAAAGTTCTATCAGGCCACCAAGAAGGCACTGGTAGACGCTAAAAACGAGGTTAGTAAGGATCAGCATTTGTGTGATCTGCCGTCTAATTCAACGATACAGCGTCTGTCAGCTAAAACGAATCTGAAACTTGCAAAACTGTGGCTTGATAGGAAAGAGTACAATCGCTTGTCGAGGGTATGTGCTTCGTCGCTGTACTTGAACTTCTGCCTGATTGATGTTCAGCTCATTCGTGATCTACATATCGCAACAGGTAACGGAGATGGTGAGGATCAGTCTCAGCGGGGTACCCAATTGCTTGAAATCTATGCGCTCGAGATCCAAATGTACAATGAAACCCGCAACTTCAAGAAATTGAAGGTAGCTCCCTAATTGTATCCAAGATTTCTTTCTCAACACGAGCAGGAAATCTACAATGCCACCAACAACGTCCGTTCTGCCATTCCCCATCCCCGCATTATGGGTGTTATCAAGGAATGCGGCGGGAAGATGTGGATGGGAGAGCGTGAGTTTTCTTTCTGATTTAATATATTTTATCAACTTGACGCGCTTTTCAGGGCAATGGAATCGAGCCAGTGAAGATTTCTTCGAGTCATTCCGAAATTACGATGAAGCTGGATCTCCCCAAAGGATACAAGTTCTCAAGTATCTTGTGCTAGCCAACATGTTGACGGGCAGTGAAGTTAACCCATTCGACAGTCAGGAGACGAAGCCGTATGTTACGGACCTTCTCTGCGTGTGCCACTTGAATGATATTCGTATAGATATAAGAGCGATCCTCAGATCAAGGCAATGACTGATTTGGTAGACGCATACCAACGACGTGAAGTGCATTCTGCCGAGAAGATTCTCCGAGGTCAGCCATCTGGTTTTATCCTTAGTGGTTGCTGACACCGGGAGGCAGACAACCGTTCCACAATCATGGAAGACTCGTTCATTCGGTCGTACATTGGCGAGCTGCTGCGTAGTTTGCGTACCCAGTATTTGATTGATCTCATCAAGCCCTATACGCGCTTGGAGCTGTCATTCCTGGCCAAGGTAAATTGCTGCTATCTTCGATAGTGCCAGGTTGATGGACAAGTCTTTTAGCAACTGAATGTCGATACCCAGGAAGTTGAAGAATTGCTGATTGGCCTTATTCTTGAAGGGAAAGTGGAAGGTCGAATTGATCAAGTTGGAATGCGTCTGGAACTGGATCGCAAGTAAGGATAAATGACTGGTATTATTTATTGTAGACTGAATCTTACTGTTCGTTTAGGCAAAGTTTAGAAAAGAAGCGTTACACCGCCCTGAAACAATGGACAGAAACCATTGAGTCCGTGCACAACGCTGTCATTGGGAAGACGAGCACAGGCGGCAGAGGTGACGTGGGTAGCTTGGGACCAGATCCAATGACTATTCGAGATGAACGGTGGTGATTCTGTACTGAAGCGACTGTCCATTCTGTACTTTCTAGCAAATCCTTCATTCACAAAACATCTGCAATGTATAACATGTCATTAACATCCTTTGAGTATTAGCATCAGTCAGCACAAATCAAATGATAATGAAGTCAAAACACACCTAAAGTGGCCTGGGGAAGGGCTTCCAGTCGTGGTTCCAACCATTACGAGACGGTGTGTCCGTCGGTATTCGCATCTCGCGGGGAAATAGTCCATGTATCCTCGCATCCAAGGCCTTCAACTCTAAAGCCTTCATGCTAACCGCAACCTCGGCTTCTGCGCAACTCCTCTCCCTTGAATCCACAGTCTTGTTCGCCTCATAATAAAGATGTGGGTCAATTTCCGCCAACTCTTCCATCGCCTGCTTCATACACTCGAATTTCCTCGCTAGCTCTGCGTCCCTTTGTTTTCTGACATGCCTCTTATGCAGCAGCCACGCACGCTCGATGGTTTCGTGAGCTGGCACAGATGGTATCGCATGTTGTAGAGCTCTGCCAACGTCACGTCGCCATCCTCCAGTTGGTGTAGCGCGGTTTCGGAGGTTGGAAGGGTACATGGCTCGACGAATGGCCTCCTTTTTGGGGTCGCTGGTTTCTTCTGGTTTTCGAGCATAGCCACGAACGTGTACGTTGACGAAAGACAAGACGCTTGCTCTTCTGCTGGTCCCCAGCACCGATACCGACATGTTCACGCTATGAAGAACTCAAAAATTTTTCGAGTAATTCCCACACAGAGCTTATTCAGCTCGGCCCGGTCACCCGTACAAACGCATTTCCAACAAAAGTTTGCTTTGAAGTTGCTACTGCAAATACTGATGATACACTACTTTTTAAACTACACAATAGCTAAGGACACGTCAAGGTCTGAAGCAAGCATCAGATAAAAGATTAACAAGTTCTGATGGATCACTTTACCAGGGTTACACGGGCGGAGATATTCTTTCGTGAATAAAAGTGGATAACAACGGGATCACATCCACGCCTCGAGCGCCAACGACAGCATCAGTACTCTTGATTACATCTCCTGATTTTGTCAACAGTGACTGCAAGTCTGCCATCATTTCCCCAGTCATTCCGCGTCTCATGCGATCGGCTAACGTCAGAGAAGAACGAGGCGCCCTCCGCTCTTTTTCCTGCCTGGGGGCCTCGGGTTCGTCCATGTCCACATCATTAGGGCTAGCTTCGAAGTCTGGCTTCGAAAGCCACATAGCTAGCTGAGTGCCTGCGTAAATCAGAATCCCTTCAAGATTGCGACGCGCGGTGACAACACCCTGTCGTACATCTAGCGTGTTTCCATATTTGCTTGATAGAACAGCACCCATGGCAACAAGACTCTGGCCAGGTGGGAGCTCAATTAGCTCTTTGAGCAGGTCCAAGGTAGAGTTACCCAGCTCTAGCAGGGTTCCCAAAGATGCGGGCTCGCCTAACACTACTTTCGAGTGCTGTAAATAAATTCAGTTACCAGAAGAAAACCATATCAGAGTATACGTACAGGTACAACGAAGGCTTCTTGAACGGGCCAATCATCCTGCTCTCCCGACAGTACAGTGAACGCTTGACTGATGCTAATCAACGTGGTGACGATGTTGCTCGACAGTCGATAAAGTCGATGCACGAGATGCACGACAAGCGGTCGCCTCAGAGGATCAGAAGCGGGAGGATCCTTGTCGACCAGCGCTTGCTCCTCTTTCGTCACAGGTTCAAATAAACTAGCCAACTGATTGGGATGTGTGATGGCATAGTTGAGCTGTTGCATCAGATGTAATGCGTGGTGCGTGAATAGACTCAGAGCTTTTTCGACCATTGCGTTTTGATTGGGGATCGGAGGGCTGCTTTCTGCGATAGAATAAAAGAGATGGACGACCTGTTCAATTTCTTCGAGAAGAGGCAGAGAGATGACGTCTCCGATACTCCAAGTTAGCGCACGGGTGATCTGGTCGCTATATAGCTGCACCAGTCCGCATGCTTCCGCGTCAAAATAGTGACTGTTACTCCCTAAAGCACCTATTACGCCTGATACTACCGCCAGCATAGAACAATACACATAGTGAGCGGGACTGCGTTCCCCGGTCAGCTCTGCTATATCGACGTCAATTGACCCTGCGCTGATAGCTGGGCTGATCATGTTATTGCTGTAGGCCGCAAGAACACCGTCGCTGGCTAATTTCTCCGCAGCCGAAGGAATGCTTGCGAGTGACATGTAGAATAAGAGCAAGTGCGGAACGTAGAGTGGGGTGCGTCGTGTGATTAGAAGCGGCAGGTCTGAGAGACCAACAAGATCGATACGCGCGAAAAGCTGCAAACTGGCTGCAACAACATTTGCCTCCTGGCACTTAGCCAACCATATGGAGGGTGAAGGGTTGATGTCGGGCCTTGAACATTGTTCGAATACGGAGACCAAAAGCTCAAGGTCTCGATCCAGCTCCACGTCGGCTCTGCTTCTAGCAGCAGCCAGCACTATGCGCATCGCGTCGATGACAGTATTCATGGACGCCTCGATCATCTGGGAGATCGTCAATCGTTGATCAGCGTTCAGAAGCTTTGGCTGGCGAACAAGTATTCTAGAGTTTTTTGCACAGAAATATAATATCTGCAAGAGTGTGCGATGGAACGGAACCGTGAGCGATCCAAGGAAAGATGCCGACGGGAGCTGGTATTCATTCAGGATAATTCCCCGCACATTATCGACCAACTCAACGAACGATTTAACGTCAGCCGGCTTCTCTGGAGTGGAGAACCACGCCACTTCCAGAATGGCAAGGAGCAGCAATAAACGCTCTCCATGAATGGTAGCTACCATATCACCGGGACGTGCTTCCCGTGCAAGATCATAGGAGATAGACGAAGCAATTGAAACGAGAATCGGCCTGGCTGTCCCGTCACCACGAAGATAGGGACTAACTTGGCTCAGTAAGAACTGGGCGCTCTCCATGAGCCGCATTTGACTATACGACAAGGACTGATTCAGGTTGATTGAAAAAAGTTGTTGTTCGGCCTTTTCAACAGGGTCAATCATGGCGTCCGCGTTGTGATATCCTTTGAGACGATTGCGGAGTAAAGATGCCGACAATGAAAAATCATCGCCATATTCACGATCCTCTAAAGGATCCCGGGATTGAAGCTGGGCGATTGTAAGACCGGGGAAGTCGTTTTTCAACATTTCCTCAAAATCATCGAACAACGTCGGCCGATAGGAACTTGCCACAGCCTCCGACAGAAGGTCAGTAAGCTCGTCTTCTGACCTAAATCGATCTTCCATGCTCATGAAGCTTGCAGACTTCTTCGATGGTGTATCCTTGTTGTATGACTGGCCAATGTCGAGACCAAGAATATGAAGAGCGCGGGCCTTAGCAGAAATGCGATATGAGTGTGATGAGACGGTTTCATGCATCGTAGAGTGCCTAATGCCGTCGATGTATACATATTCCTCGGCATCGAATACTGGAAGTGGCCCAAGATCCGAGCACGCTACCGATGCAACTTGGGACCAAAACTCTGTATTGTCACGGAATTGTTGGTCCAGAATAAGCTTGTGCTCCAATCCATGTTGCCAGGTAGCGTCAACGAAACGAAGAATGGAAGAGAGGAGTTGAGGGTTGTGTTCCCATAGTTCTTGCCAGTTTTCAATCATGTCACGGGCAACATCAATTGCACTTGTAATAGTGGGAGCTCTAGCATCAGTCTCTTTTCCTTTCCCTTTGATGTCGCTTGGAGTACGGAACTGGCCCACAACGAACACCTTGGCTAAGGCTGGTTCCGTATTCATTGCCAGAGCGATGAAATTCCAGACCGCAAATCGCAAGGATAAATCCTCGTAAGGATGTTGTATGATGTGCACCAGGGATGCTGCGGTTGTCTCTGGATCTGCCAAATGCCCTACGATAGCTGGTACTGATGTCTGAGAAGATAGAGAGTCGCAGAGACACGTCATAATGCGAATGGCTTCTACGGGGACAAGATTTCCGATGTCGCGATCTTTAACGTATGACGCCAAAACGTCGATGGGTTCTACTCGTGATTGATAGGGATCGGAAGCAGCGCCATCAGTGACCCGAGAGCAAAGTACCTGTTCTAACAAACAGAGTTTCGACGAATCACTGAACATACGCTTCCGATTCAGAATCAGACGCGCCAGTTGAAGCTGGGATTCCAGGAGAAGGATAACTCTTTTGGCATCAGCCTTCCGACGAGACGCATATAGGCTTTGAAGCATATGTCTGCCAGCGGTAATAGACGAGACCAAAGGGATAATGGTAGAGTTCGTTGCTTTGTCTAGGAATAAATCCAAAACCACACGGCTTAGGTCAACAAACGGACCATCTTCTGGTATCTCTGGTGTGTGCTCCAGGACTTTGACGAAGAGAGACGCTACATGCCTACCGATGTCGAAGCGATCACCGACACGGGTATACCGCCATCCAAGATGTTCCACCCATATCTCGTTATGAACGAATTCAGTGGCTCGGAGAAGTACTTCAGCCTTCAGCTTGCGAACATGTGGATCATCTGGGATGACCAAGGTGGTGGCATCATGGAAAAGCTGCTGAACGAGCCGCAACAGAGCGAGGGTCACTGTGTAACGACCGGTGGTTCGTTCTGCAGCCAACGCCACGGACATTGACCCCAGTGACCGTCCTGCGCCGAAAAGGACCGACGTTGACCTCATATAAATCCAGACACGAGTAGAGTAGCAAGGAATAGCGAGAATGGCTGCAAGCACACTCATGGCCGATGTTATTAGTTGCGTTGGAAGGGCAGCTTTGGGACGTTGATTGATGCTCGTGAAGGTCTCCTCCAGGATTGTTACGGTAAGCTGTACCAGATCAGGAGGGGCCGAATCCGATATGGACTGCGGGACTGGGACATCAGCCTCTACCGATTGTAAGAGTTGCTCCGCCTGGGTAGGATTGTCTTGGATGAGACTTCGTATGAGGTCCAAAACATCCATAACTAGGGTTTCGTCGATCGCACCATCCATTTCCAGGCCAGAGTCCTCAATGGTCAGAGGAAATGGAGAATGACGATCCGATAGTGATGGACGTAGAACTTTTCTAGCACCAAGATAAGCATTTCGGCGTTTGACATAATCAGTCAATATATCGAGCATCAGTTTCCAACCTGAATGTTGATGACTCCAACAAACTGCAAGCAACTCGCCTCCATCACCACCACTAAGTACTCGGCCTATAGATCCGGGTGGTAGTATACTGCCACCAGGCAAGGCAATAGGTCTCGAATTGGTGTAAGAAAGGCCGAGTGACGATGAAGGCCCGTATCTCTCTGGAGCCCTTTCGTATATGGCATGGGAGCCAGTGCAGGCATGCAATGGAATGACCTGAGAGTACGTCGGCAAATTGTCGAGGAAGGAAAAGACGTGACGATCGCATATTTCTCTGTCTCCTGTGAGCCCAAAAACAGACTGCGTCTCATCGGCTGTATAGAGTGGATCAGTGTCAAAGAAGCCTGAAGCAGTCATCGCTCTGGCCAAGCGAATCAAAGGTTTGACTTGGATTGGGAATCGAGAGCGGGCCACGTCAAATATAGCACGACGCGCTGGTCCATACTCCCAGTCAAACTGCCAGTACTGGCTGCATATACCAGCGACCGATCTACTCTCGCTTCGGCCAAATAGTGCTATCCACACCTCAACGAAAGAGTCAAAGTCCGGAATATTTTCCACAGAGGTGAGGTCAAGCAAGGCAATGATAAGCCCTGACGATAAGTTCAGGCAATTTACATATGTCAGAGATAATCGCTTACCCTTGAAAACAGACCTGAATGCAATAGCATTGGTATCTGTGACTGACGAGTCTGTCTTCATGGCAACGGAGGTAACGAACAAGGGCATTGTAGTGAGCAAATTTAGCATAAGTCGAAATAGACCACTTTTAGGTGACAAGCACGCCTTCAACATCATAACGTGTGCTGGTTCACGGTCCTTGGAATACCGATTCGTTTGGGATACCAGGGAATCTAAAAACGGAAGATAAGAATCGGGGATCTCTTTGACTTGAGCTGCCACTGCTGCTATGCGAGAGACAACAGATGTCCATGCCAGATAGGTACATGCGAAAGGGGTGCCGTCATTGGACATGACGAGATCATGGATTCGCTTGAGTGATGCAGGGGAAGAAGTGTACAAGTCGGTTCGTGAAGGAGTATCGGATACTTCAATGACGCCAGCATCCGCTAATGTCTCCAATTCGAGGACTTCGACGGTTATGAGGACCCAAAGAGACGTGATGTCTTGTTGCAATTGGAAAGCGTCCTCATCCAGTAATAATGATGCATTCCACTGCATGGTACCAAGATTCGTTGTGTAAGCAGAGGCGATAATCCTCTCGACTGTTAAACCGTCACAGGCAACAGACCCCCACATAGTCCAAAACAACACCTCCAACATGACAAGCTGCTCCTTCATACTCTGCTTCGCCCATTTCGAAGCTGTTCTTGGGTCTGTTGTCACTCTTTCATCAAGCCTCTCCTTCGTTTTACGCATATACTCCATTAGAAGGGACTCGACAAATTTCGGGCCATCAGAAATAATTTTGCTCAGGAATGTGCCCGAAATCTCGAATGCGGGGTCGGTAGGATCTTCTTTGGCGCGAAAGAGAGGTATAAGAACGCGTAAGACAGCGATACGTTCCGAGAGATAGAATGGGGTGATGGCCTCAACGCATGCCTCCACCAAGAACTCGTCCGAGTCCGTGGCAGGTAGTCCTTGGTTGTACATGAAAGACCGCAAAAGAACAAATGCGCTGACCTCATCAATTCTGAACGCATCGCTGATTCCAAGAATGTAGTCCTTGTCAGAATCCTCCAAATGGAACACCACACCGTCGCTCAAAGTCACCGTCCCACTCTGAATCCGTTTGCGTGATGCTTCGGAGGGTTTTCCAAAAGGATCCTTGAGAGCCTTCAATTGGTCGACTCTAGGCACTAGATATCCTTTGACCTGCTCTGGAGACGTGCCTTCAAGACGCCCGGACAAGAAATCGTGCAGCTGAGAATACGACCTGAAATGGCAAACTATGTAAGATACCAAAGATGTAAATTATACGAGAACATACACATCAATAAGGTCAGAACGTTGTGGCATTTTGCCAGACATCGTGTAACTCTGGCCGTGTCGGTCCGTGAAATCGAATAGGTCGAAGGTGAGCCACCGGTTGGAGAAGGCCAACCTATTTGAAATTCGAATCATACCTCAAAATGGCTTTGTCTTAGGTTGTCTGACTGCCTCGAGCTTGAGGTTACATCTTCATTGGTAGAGAATGGCTATCTTGTATATTGACACTGATATAAATTCTTCATCAATTTCATCGACTATTCATCTACTACTTAATCTTATACAGCATTATTGACAATTTCTTTAGATCGACCTCTCAAGCTTTGCGTTAATGATATCGACAAATTCGGGCTTCAAAGAAGCACCCCCGACCAGGAACCCATCGACGTCGGGTTTCGTAGCTGCAGGAATCTTGTCAACAAAGATGAACATTTGTGCGTTGAGAACATACAGAGTTCCTTGCAATTTGCAGCTGTTACGCTTCCTCCATAGATGATCCTGGTAGTTTCGGCGACAGCGGGAGATACTGCCTTGGACAAGTAAGCACGGATGTCCGCATGAGCCTCCTGGGCCTGAGAAGATGTCGCGACTTTTCCGGTACCAATGGCCCAGACGGGCTCATAGGCAATGACGATTTTGCTAGCTAATATTCAAGGCATGCTCAAGGTGTGAGTGAGATAAGGGAAATTACCTCCAATCCGACTCCTTCAGAACTTCGACAACAGCCTTCAATTGTGTCTGGCATACCTTAGCGGTTTGATCCGCTTCGCGCTCCTGAAGAGTCTCTCCGATGCAGAGAATGACACTGAGAGACGAATCAAGTGCTGCACGCGTCTTGGTAGCTACTAGCTCTGATGTTTCGTGGAAGAGTGTGCGGCGTTCCGAGTGGCCTTGAAGAGTATTCAGCATCCTACTCAATGTACCGCCTCCGGTACAGCTCACCAAGAATGACATAGGGTATCTCAGAGTCTACCAGTTGCTTGGGGCTGTAGAATGTTAACGTCACAGAGGAGTCCAATCAGACCGAAGTGCAGATGCACACCTGATTTCACCAGTGAAGGCTCCGGAATCTTTGAAATAGCAGTTTTGTGCCGATACTTTGACATCCTTCCTGAGGATGTCCTTCAAAGGTAAAAGGTATATCGCTGGCGGCGCTACGACGACCTCTGTGCGCGTAATCAGTCAGCATCCCATGTCACAGGGGAAGATGGCAACGGTACCGGTGGCTGGATCAAGGTCTGCCTTGTTGAGGGTTTTGGCAAGAGCTGCCTTGGCCTGTCTGGAAACAGGATTCATCTTAAAGTTGCCACCGACGAAAAACTGACGAGCCATGATAGAGTGAAGTGTAAGAAGCAGGATCGGAATAAGTAGGCGGAGTGGACTTTCTACACAGTATCGATCGTTTCTAAATCGGGTAACTATCGTTAAGCAAGGAACCTCGTGGGGCCTCGTCTAGGTGTAACTAAATACAAATGTACAGGCACCAATAGTATCGCAGGCCCCTCCTGGACCGCTCTACTCTTCCCCAAACATGATCTTCAGATTTTCCACACTCTCTTTCTCTGCTCCTGTACCGCTTCCTCTGAACGCCTCCTTCACGATGGCAGTTTTTCGTTTCTGAATTTGTAGAATCTTGCCTTCGATAGTGTTAGATATGATAAAGTGCTTGACGTAGACAGTTTTCTGTTGTCCCAAACGATGGACTCGATCGATGGCTGGACCCAGAGCATGAAATGTAATAGAATGGGTTTCAGGGTTGATGCGTACCTTGGTTTTCGGTGGCTGCGTTCCACCAGCAGTCCATCTACGACCAAATAGTCATGTAAGCAATGATTTTGATCATAAAATAGGGTATGCACCATAAAAACATGGTTAGCGTTCGTTAGCTGGGACATAGAAATGAGTTTTGCATGCGATCACAATATGTTAGTTTGGAAGTTACATTCAAACCGACACCCCCTGCTTTAAGGCTCACAGTGAGCACCTTCGGCGTCCTTGACGTTGATTTGAAGTCATTTAGGGCTGCAGCTCTCTTCTTGACATCCATAGATCCATCGAAGCGGTAAAAGTCGAACCGTTCACGTTGAAGCGCCTTTCCGATTAGATCAAGAAACGAGGTGAATTGAGAGAAAACAACAGCACGAAAGCAAGGATCTTGGTCACGAAGTCGTACTGTACTGATCAATCAGTCTTCGTCACTGCAAATAAGGGAAACAGACGAACGCAGGTTCTGTAGCAGGGCATCAAGCTTAGTGGAAGACTGGAAGTTATTCTTTCGTAATATGACTTGGGTGCCCTGCTTCATCGCAGGTCCAGAGACTGCTGAGTTTTGTGGTTTTACTACTTCAATGAGTTCGTTTGCCTGTTATGGACAATGCAAGTAAGTTAACAGGAACAAAGGCATCCTCGTGGGTTACCTTGATTGGACGACGGGAACATGTCGGACAACCAGGTTCTTGTCCCTTCTCTTCACATGTTGCTATAAACATAGTTATACAGTCTTTGCAACTATCGCGAGATATCTTCAATGGCATGGATTTATATGACAGCATTGATCGCTTACCACTGATGCATGCATTCTGGAACAATCATAGGTTTATCCATGACATCCATACAGATAGGACATTCCGATGCGTCCTCGCCTAGATTGGCAAGAGCATTTTGAGCAAAAACCCTGCTTCCTGAAGCACTACCCCGATCATTCTCCTGGAATGCGTCGAGGATATCTTTAATGTCTATGAAGCCATCACCACATAGAGACAAGGCGCGGTCTTCTTCAGGTGAAAGGACAAGACTCGGGTGAAGTACAGCGCGACGCAACCTGACACCCGATCAGGTCGAATTCTATTAAACGAGCAAGTCAAATGCCAAACCTCATCAGCATTGCCAAGATGTGCGTATAATTTTTACCAATCAAGCCCCTCGCGCTAAGCTGATCGAAATTCTTCTTTACCGAGTTATAGATCGAGTCGTACAGCTTCCTTTCAGCCATAGAAAATTCCAGGTTCTCAAAAACCACCTAAGAGGGAGTTAATGGATCATGATATACGAGAAGGTATAGTTACTTACTTCCTTGGAAGGTAGATCCACGATTTTCTTACCATTTGCGTCACACATATTCTTCTCACGCCGTAATAATACTGACTCCAGGATCACCTGGACGACCTCGATGGCCTTGGGATCGCGAGCGAGGAAGGGAACCGTAATGAACCTGCAAAAGTTTAGACAGCGCTACCCACAATCAGAAAACCTACGATCGGAAGAAGGAGAAATCGGACCACGGCTTGAAGTCCAAGAATCGTCTAAAGAAAATAAGGTTAGCCGCCAGTGGACAGCGAGCAGAATCTCACAGAAGAGAAAACAGATCTTCTAATTTGTTCACTATTGGTGTCCCTGTCACAGGTTATCAGCAGGAGAAGAGTCGTACCGTATAGTAAGGATGTACCAGTAACAGCCCATCTTCGCCTTGCGCGTAAAGCGTACACGGCCTTTGCGGTTTTACTGGTCCGGGATTTACAGGCATGAGCCTCATCCAACACTACCCGTAGCCATTCGGCTGTAAATAGCGTTAGGACGGGCCAACGTTAAGGACGCTGTATCTCTTACTCTCAAAGATAGGAGACTTCCAATGACTGGACTTCTCAGATTTGGCATGCTCGGACACCAGTACGCCATAGGATGTCACGATAATCTTAATCGATGTATCGCCCTCATCATCTTCCATCGCTGCATCCAAATCGAGACGATTTTGGCCATGCCAAATCTGAACCTTGACTGTGCCCTGTTTACTTGACCTGTCTATCTCATTGGCCCATTGCGCAAGCAGAGATGTCGGGGCGACGATTAGTGTTGCATTAGGAGATTTAAAGGGTTTCCTACGAGCAGCGGGCTTAAACGCAGCGTCAAGCCTTAACTGCTTGCTTTTCGTAGAGGCTGTAGCAGCTTCAGGTACGTCCTCACCAGACGCTAAGTGGGTATGAATGAGAGAAGATAGCATAATCCTATTCGGAACAGTCAGACCAGACATTAAGATTAGAATCATGCGTACGTCTTGCCCATGCCCACTAATCAGATGTTAGACTAGTTGGCGTTTTACAAACAATTTCACTTACTCTCTGGTTGACAGAAAGAGTTGTTGAAGGTGTCATTAGAAATGGAAATGAGTTGCATTGGAACCGCGTACCGTCCCTACCGACCGAAAGTCAGGAACTGCCCATATTGATATACAATTATAGACGTACGCAAGAATTCCACCCTGGCAGTTTCTTTCTGCCTTGGGAAAGGTCAAACTCAGTTCACCCGAGTATGGATTGAAATAGAACGGCTTTTCATCTTCCGTCAAATCTATTATCTCAGAGTCATTTTTGATCGGAAATGCATACCTAGAGAGCATGAGAGTGGACTTGGAAGAAAATGACATGTAGCTTACTGGCACCAGAGTGGATGCATTGAGGTCGCTTCTCGAGCATCACTTTTACCCGACTCTAGAGATTGCATCCAACTACAAAGGTCAGGGATAGGAGTGTCGAGTGAGGGGCAACCTACAATAAAGCTTGTTTCTGATAACCTCGTAATGTTAGATTGAACGTGTCAGCAGGCTCCATTTCTCCCAATGTACAGTCGCTGTGCTGAGCTCTGAAATCGGTATGAGCCAGGCTGAATGAGAGTACAACAAGAGAACTCGCTTTTCGTAAATCATGTCGAGATCATTCTTAGAGAGATCTTCCTCCTCTTTAACCTCGATCTCTTCACCATCACCAACAATTTCCTTAGCCTTAACTTCTTGTTTGCCGATCTGCGTGAGTGTATTCTGGTGAAGCCGTTCGTCATTTTTCCCGCCTCCCTGTATCGCCCCAGCTCGAGGTTTTAGGCCAAGGACGTCAAACATTTTGAGGATAGCCATTTTTCTTTCGCGAAGCTCCAGTTCCCCTTGCGTTTCAGAACCTTCGCTGAAATTTAATTTTGAACGATGTTCACTTGTGGTGTGACCAACAGGAACAAATGCAGCTGGGAGCATATAGACATCGATGGTGATGATGAGACTTGCTCCTGTTGATAGTCTCTCAGGACAGTCGGTCATCTTTCCGCGAAGCTCAACGATGCCTGAAATCCATGAGATAATTTCGAATAATATACAAATTGAACATACTGAGGTCAAGAAGTTTCGAAACCCAGGAAGAAACGTCTTGAGGAAGGCGTCCAAATTCTATAAAGATCAGAATAGAGCAAGAGTTGACGAAAAGGGACACACCGAATCCACGACTATTAAGCAAACGAACAATGCTATCCGCTTTCTTTTTAGATGGTTGCACAGGTTGAGGTTTGAACATTGTCGCTATGGAGAGCTGTTTCTTCCCGTTCGTAGTCGGTTTCCCTGCGCCCTTCTTGCTGGAGCTCGGCTGCGACCCATCCTTTTGATCGCGTTCTATGCGCACAGGATCATTGTGCTTTACATATCCATTTCCGGAAACATTGCTCCAGGCGTTTGAAACCACGAACTCGCCGATGTAGGTGGCTGCGAATGTATTGACATCCAGCTCGACGATAGGTAGACCGGAAGAAAGAGAAAGTTTCCGCTTCTTTAGTGGTGGCTTCTTTGGAGACCTCTTTTCCTTGATCTTCTCAGTGATGGGTGGAGGAGAAACGGAGACCCGATCTGAGAAAGAACTGGCGCTCGACGCACGAGGAATATCTGCAACAGAGCCAACCTCAGTATCACTTTCATACAGTTCCTTTATCATAGGCCGTTTCCCCTTTGACGAGGAAGAGGGGGTAGTAGGATACAAAGGGTCGTCGTCTTCACTATCCCCCAAAAAGAGAGGCTCCAAACGCGACCTTGAGGTCGCCTCATGAGTCTCTTCGTCTAGATTCATAGATGTTTTGTTTGTGTCACAGTCATCACCAGAGCCTTCATTACCCAGAAAAAGCGGCTCTGAATATTGTCTTTGAGGCATGTATATCTCCCCGTCGACATTCATGGGAGCATTTCCGGCAGTGGACTCATCATCGGAGCCAACAAAAAAAAGGTCCTCTGTGTTTCTGTCAGTGCCATCTGATCCCATTTCAGTTGCTTGCGAATGTCAATGAGAGAACCAAGAAGAAAGAGAGCGGGGCGCGTCACGAGAACGCGTTCAGGAAGTTTCGCTGAATCAGACAAGCACTTGCAAACAACTTTTCCTTCTCCTTTACTGTTCAAAAATGCAGCGTGGTCTTCCCATGGTTCGTCTGCAAATCAGCACCTTGTTTTTAATCTAAATTTTTATTCAGCAACCGACTGTCGTTCTTCTTCGCGAGGGTACAGATACATCGCAAGGAAATCCTCAGCTGTTATCCAATATTTCTGCATGCCTGGCCGTCGCGGAAACACTGTCCAGTACTCTCGGTCCTCGGGGAATGGACAAACTCATTGTTTCAGAGCGTGGTGAGGCTCAGATAACGAACGACGGTGCTACCATCCTCAAACTCTTGGAAATTGTACACCCTGCCGCTCGAACTCTGGTCGACATCGCTCGCGCCCAGGACGCTGAAGTAGGGGATGGAACAACAAGTGTGGTGCTACTGGCAGCTCAATTGTTGAAGGAAGTCAGAGCTTATATCGAAGAAGGCGTCAGTCCGCATATAATCTTGAAAGGCTTCAGGAAAGCTTCCCAGATCGTAGGTTTTTAGTCCTATGGTTTGGAGCACTTAACGTACGCTTCACCCAGGCTATTGAACGGATCAAATCGATACAAGTCACAGTGGATAGAGCTGATCCAGAGTATGTCAATGCCTGACTATGGTCGTAACACTGACTAGAATGTTCTCTTGCAGGCGCTTCCGGTCTCTACTTCTAAAATGTGCATCAACTTCCATGTCTTCAAAACTAATTCATTCCGAAAAGCCCTTTTTCTCCAATATGGTTGTCGACGCCGTCCAGTGTCTCGATCAGGACGAGTTGGATGAGTCTCTTATTGGAGTAAAAAAGATCGCAGGTGGCGGCATGCAGGATTCTCTTCTCATCAAAGGTGTTTCATTCAAGAAAACATTCACGTATGCTGGCGCGGAGCAACAGCCCAAATCTTTTCGTAATCCTCTTATTTTATGTCTCAACGTCGAGTTGGAGCTCAAGGCCGAGAAGGACAACGCCGAAGTGCGAGTGGAAGCTGTTTCTGACTACCAGGCCATCGTAGACGCTGAGTGGGAGATTATTTACCGAAAGTTGGAGGCCATCGAGAAGACAGGCGCCAAGGTTGTTCTTAGCAAACTTCCCATCGGTGATCTGGCGACTCAGTATTTTGCGGATCGAGATATATTTTGCGCTGGACGTGTTGCGGCAGGCGATCTTCGCCGAGTAGTGCAGGCCGTGGGCGGTTCCATCCAGTCAACCTGCTCTGACATCACACGAGAGCACCTTGGTACATGCGGGCGATTTGAAGAGAGGCAGATAGGCGGTGAAAGGTATAACGTGTTTGAAGACTGCCCTAAGGCAAAAACTTGCACTCTTCTTCTTCGTGGTGGCGCCGAGCAGTTCATTGAGGAAGTAGAGAGAAGTCTGCATGACGCAATCATGGTAGTAAAACGTGCCGTTCGGAATGGGGATGTCGTAGCAGGAGGAGGAGCAATCGAGGTATCATACTGTTCACTTTACATGGAGCATTGCTGATGACAAATTGGCAGATGGACTTGTCGGCCCATATCCGAAAACACGCGCTCTCCATCCCCGGCAAACAGCAGCTGATAATGACCGCATTCGCCAAGGCGTTAGAGATTATTCCGCGGCAAATTTGCGACAACGCGGGTCTCGATTCCACCGACGTTTTAAACAAATTGCGGATGAAACATGCGAATGGTGACAAATGGGTCGGCGTTGACGTCGACGGAGTCACTGGCGTTCGGGACAACATGGATGCATTTGTCTGGGAACCCAGTCTGGTCAAGCTTAACGCGATCAGCAGCGCTACTGAGGCGGCCTGTTTAATACTAAGTGTCGATGAGACCGTAAGGAATCCACAAAGCGAACAGGTATGCATTATAGACTCTGCACTCATGAAATTGTTGACCATGGAATACTAGCAAAACACGGGCCCGAAAGCGCCGCCGGCTACCGCACAAAGAGCGCTGAGGGGCAGGGGGAGAGGTATGCTTCGTCGGTAACGTTTAGTTCCAGGTGACGCGGTCTGCTCATCTTTTTGCTGTAAATCCGTAAAATATATTCTATAGAACACTTTATCCTGACCTGGATGTATCCTGGATAAGTCGACTGGGCAGGCTTCATAAAAGCTTCCTCACGCCCAAGAGTGAATTCCGTAGGGGATGGCACTTCGGCCTAAAGTAGTAGCATTACATCCAAACGTGGAAATCCTTACCACTTGCTTCTGAAATCGTGCAGTCCTAGACATCAAGAACGCAATAACGGTCTGTAACAACAAGTCCATCTTGTATAGACACAATCCATTTTTTCACAGGGACATCATCAGTTCATCTTCCACCTTCTGTCAGCAAGTCATGTCTACGTGCCTGCCCAAAGACGCGCCTTCTTCTGATCGTGACAATTTGGCGGACGACAAAGATAATGACGCATCTCTATCAGAGGAATCTGCCGGTCAGGGGAAGATACCTCCTCTGGGTGCTCCCGTAGACGATACTCCGACTGGAATATGGAAATGCCTAGGGAGACGTCGGGTCGCTCATGACTGGGACGCGTTTGCCACGCAGCCTTCGGTATTTGATGACCCTGCCACCCTGGATGCCTATCGCCCTCCGCCCCGATACGAGAAATCCTCACCGTTTTGACCCAAATGCACAGTGGACTTGGCGGAAAGAAAAAGTTAGTTCTCTGCTTTTCATATAAAGCTTCTGTCGGCTCATTCAAACAACGCATTGTGCGGGAAATTGATCTTCGTATCATGATCCGGGCAGCGACTATGTTCTTTGCTTTGGAATTGGATCGATCGAATATTTCTTAGTCCAACACGGACAACTTTTTGGAAGATCTGAACTTGACAACGAATGACTGCAACTTGGAAGATACACTCTTTCGGCTCTCTTCCCTTATCGCCGGTACGTACCCTGAAGCATCTTCACGGATCAGGATTAAGGGCTTCCATAAAATTCCCATCCCAACTCGTATTCAAACGGGTGGGACCAAATGTTTGGGTTCCGTACCAGGTACGACATATTACTAGTGAAATATAACGCTTGCCCTCCATTTCTGTAGATGGTTCTGTGGAGCAATGTTGCATTCAGCCAATGTTGGTTATTAGGACGAGCGTCCTTCCTCGCCACACGGTCAGTCGCTTTTAGTCGACGTACCTCATTCCCTTACATACATTTACATTCTTTCTTGGGCTTCTGCAGGGCGTTTTCATTCCTGATATCGTCCTGTACCTCTCATACTTCTATACGAAAACCGAATGTAAGTCAAGCCGTTCTTTATTCGGGATGCTTCGAGACCTATGACCGTTACATTAGTACCAATCAAACTCGCATTCTTCTGGGTGTCCAACTACTTGTCGGTCATTATCAGTGCTTTCCTCGCTACCGGCATTCTTCAATTGCGTCAAACCGGAGGCAAAGCCGAGTGGCGTTATCTGTTCCTCATCGAGGGACTAACAACCTTGGGTTGCGGACTATTTTCGTTCTCATCGATGCCACCTGGCCCGACACAGACCAAGGCGTGGTTCCTCCGAAAAGGCTGGTTTACAGAACGGTACGTGCCATTGTCTGATCTGATCAAGTTCACCTTATACCTTCGCAGCGAGGAAGTCATTATGGTACAAACTCTTTGCCACCGCTTCTCAGTGAAATCTAATGAGACTAATACAGAGTCCTCCGGGACGACTCTTCTGAATCAGACGTGCATAACCGGGAAGGTCAGCGTCAAGAACATTTTCAAGGCCCTGCAAGATTGGAGAATGTGGCCTCTATATGCTCTGGGACTCACTCACATGAGTATGTTCTCTCCCAGGCCATTCCTGGTGCTTCTACCCCGGTACAGTGCTTGTTGACCCCCACCAGACATACCTTACTTTATCTTTTCGTAACCTTGGCTTTGACACCATGGAGTCCAACCTGCTCTCCATTCCATCAACCATTATTGGAGTCATCATGCTGCTATTCACCTCGTTCTTGAGCGAACCCATTAACAGTGGCGTTATCGCTACCGTCGTGTTGCATGTACACATTCAACAGCAATACGTCAGAATAGGTATACTTCATCATCATAACTTTTATTATAGGGTTTCCTGATGTCCATCTGATTCGTGAGTTGGGCCAACGATTATTCTATGATTAATTCTAACGTCTGGCGTAGAGGTGGCTTGGGCATCGAGGAACTCGTACTGTGTGAAAGCAAGGTTACCAATAATTTTTACTTTTCTTTCATGCATAAGGTGTCGTATTTTTAGGACTATATCTGCCAGTATCTACAGTATGTTCTTCCAGGCGGGTACCATTGTATACGTAAGTTATGAGCGTTGTTGAGTAAATCCCCTAATGCTTTCCAGGCCAACATTTACCAAAAAGACGACAAACCTCTCTGTAAGAGCGGTAGTTATTTCGCATATCTCACAACGTTTTATGCAATTTTCAGGTAAACGCGGCAATCGAGCCTTAATTGGAATACGTTGTATGAACATTGTCCTGTACATCCTGACATAGTTTTTCTATCGCTTTCTCAATGCGCGCCGAGACAAGACATGGAACTCATGGACTAAAGAGGTGAACTTGGCTTGCTTCACTTTGGAATGGATGAATCTTAACACATATACTAGGAGCAACAAATCTACGCCGACACAACAACAGACCAATCACACGCAAGACTAGACTTCAGATTCACTCACTGATTTATTTACATGAAGGAAGAACCAATTGAAGGTAGTAGTCAATGCACTCAAACTTATTAAGGAACTATGACACTTTAATTTATGCTTCTCCGGGCAGAGCGATTTGACTTTGCACTCACTAGCCTGTACATCACCAGCACGCAAATAATGCAGGCATCGTGCCGAGGTCATTTCAGGGTAATTATCGGCGACCACGATGCACTTCTCCTTGCAATGAGAATATCTCAGTCCTTTTGAACTCGGTGGTAGGAATAAATTGGTGGATCCAGAACAAACGACTACGACGGAAGGCCGCGCTTATCTCTCCGTTTTGCCAACCTCCACTCCGAAGCCTTATACCTCTTCAAGAGACTGCGCTGATCAATAAACTTGCTACCGACATCCACGAACTTCAAGTCCGGCCTCGACGATTTTGACACCACCTGGATTTTCTCCTTGGGTTTCTTCACATATCGAGGTATTCTGACTCGTGGCATTATCCTTGGATCATCAGTGTGAAGATAATCAGAGGCACTCCTGCTAGTAGCCAAAGCTTTTGAGTGCTTGAGAGACATGTGGACAACAGGTTCCTGTAATCGTGACGCATAAATGGTCATGAAACCGCATTTCTGAAAAGAGACATCCATACCGCGTCTTCCATTAGAGACTCCCAGTAGTGTCGTTCATATCGGTCTCGTGCGGCCTGACGTCCAGGCTCTTCCTCGATTTCATCAGCTTCGTTGGCGTCCTCTCTGCTTCTTATGCGTCTTCTGCTATCCCGGACGGATAACAACTTCTCCATGCCCATACGAAAACCAGTCTGAAGAGTTTTACCCTAGAATTAACGGTTAGCACCGCAAAAATGCAAAAGGATGCAATGCAAATCGGACAGGGTTGAAATTGGTATAACCATTGACTGCGCGATGTAAGGCACCACAACCGGTCTTACACTTCGCGGATGAATGGAAAATCTCATTATCGACGAGAGTAATACGAACTGAACTCACCTCCTAGAAACATAGCAAGGAGCTTGATGTCAGTACGAAAAGACGAGTAGAAGCGATGCCTTCACCTAAAGAAAATAGTAAGTAACAGGGGTCGTGGAAAGAAGAGATTTCAGGGAGAATGAAAAAAAATGTAACCATATAGGTGTCTTAAAGACTAATCGTTGAAACATCATGTATGTCTGCTGATGCAGAACAACCAAGTCGAAGATACATACCTTCACCCAGGCATGTTCCATTCCCTTTAACCTCAGGATAGCATCAACGCGACCTAGACTAAGATGATGGCGCTGTGCTAGCGCTCTCACATTGTTATTCTCGGGGTCTCTCATGTACTCCCCGTAGATCAATGATCTATGACTGTCCGAAAGAGGCGGAGGAGGTTTAAAGGAACGATTCATTGGGAATGGCTGGAATATACACGTTAGCAGCCACAAAAACATGAAGGACGAATGACCCGACGATTTCTCCACCAAGCCACTTGGGCCCAGTAGCTTCTTTAAATTCCCCTCCAATTTTCTCCATGAACGTTGCATACGACTTTGGGTGGCCGGACTGCCTTTCATCCTCCTCTGACTCCCCCTCGAATTCGTCCATCTCCTCGGTTACAGTTTCCGCAGCTTCCTCAGACTGCTCAGCTAGGGAATCCTCCGACTGAATGCCTTCTTCCTCGACTTCTAGCATTAGACGGTCCTCTTCAGACATCAAAGAGAGATCAGCATCTTGCGTAATGTCGGAGGGACCGCCTGCAACATCATCCGCAAAACGGGTGGCGGAGGACGACAAGTTAAAACTGGGCTGAACCCTGACTAGATGCTGTCGTAGGCATCGAAAGGTGAGATGTCGATAAAGGTTCAGCATGCTTGAAATTTTTTCTTCAATTTGAACAAAATTTATTTTATCACGTGGTATCTTTAGGGTAGGTCGGCGAAGGGTGGTGGTTGGCGGGCCGCCGGACCGCTGGCGACTTATTCCCACCATCCAGGCTTCATGAATTCAACGTTGGATATGAATGCTGATTCCCAACTTTTCACTCTTCTTCGTGAATATGCTGCGATTGTTCCAACATCTCAAATGCGTTATCCTCACTCCATACCGAAAGACACATTGCACGATTTTCTTCTCCGATCTATTATTCTGGGTCCGCATTTTCGGAAGTACTCCCCTTCTAAACAATACCAAAAGTCTTTCTGGAAATGGATCGTCCAGCACTTGGAGCTTGTATGTTCTTGACTACGATTCTGCTCGTCTTAGGCCAATGCATTGAGTTCTGAAGGACGTTGAGATCGATACGCAAATATTAAGCATCTTGACAGAAACATCCACGTCGTACGTGACTTTTCTCCATGCCTAACAGTAACATGTTCTGAGAGTGTATTTCTATCTTTCAGCACATTTCCACGCGGTATTTCTGTTCCGGCACCTCCTTCCCCGTCATACGTAACGCACTACTGGAGACTTGACACTCCATCCTCTAGTAACGAAACGCCAGTCACCCCTGAGTGCTTTAGGACTACTCTTTTTGAATCTGGAACCATGATAGAAAGCGGTACCACAGGATTTCGGACATGGCCCGCGAGCTTGCATCTCGCTAACTATATAATAATGCATCCAGGTTCGTGTCGTCTCTCCGTCCCTAACATCCAAATGCTTACCAACCCTAATAGAATGGGTTTACGGTAGGCGCATCTTGGAGCTGGGTTCGGGGATTGGGTTCCTAGGAATGATCGCTGGGAGCCTGCAGATGCTCACTGCCTCATCGACAGATATACCACCGGGAGACACGTCGAGACCGATGCTATATTTGACAGATGTAGACAGCGATGTCATTGCTAGATGTATCAGCAATATCAGATTACCATGCAGCAAGTGTGTCTTTCCTTTCGCCGGCTGCACCATTGACAAAGACGTCTTCAGATATGACCGCTAGTATGGACCACCGCGATAGCATCAGTGTGAGTATGTTGGATTGGTCAGACGCACTGCGTCCAGATAGTATTTCGGCCTTTAAAGCAAGACTCCAACAAGAAATTAATGCCGACTTGATAATCGGGGCAGATATTGTATGGCTCCATGCTACCGTTATTGTATTGCTCTGAAATGATAGTTAGGTCTTTGATCCCAGTCTTATCCCAGCCTTGATGGCGACACTCTCACTCGCATTAGATCCAGGATTTGCCAGACGTCAAAGGGTAGCTCTCATTGCGCTGACCATACGCAACAAAGAAACATACGCTACCTTTCGCGCAACGGCTCAAAGTAAGTACTGTGCAAAGAATACTTTTATCGACTAACGATACACAAAGAATATAACCTTGTCATCGTCGACCTTGAGTATACTTCAACGGACAGTCTCTTCTTCCACGGCGTGGATGAAAGAGCCGATCAAAAGCATGATGTGAAGATCATGAAAATCACCATACAATGATATTATTTCTACGCTCATGGTATTATACAGTGTGATATAGAAGTGCGGGGATGCATCCCATAAAGTGAAACGTTCAGCTATGAGTCTTCACTTGACCGCAAGAAGAGCACATCCAAAAATCGTGGGCTATCCCGCCCTGCCCGCATACAAGGCATGTCCATCCATTACCGGGTCGCGTAGTCAAGCATGCATCGCACTGGAGGACCATGGGCGCGTTCAATAGTGTACACACTGCGCACGACCATTGGTCAGACGATGCAGATGCCTGAGAATCAGCAGAGCGGTGCTTCGCGATGCTACTGCTCCCCCCAGTCCTTGCAAGATTTGCCGATGATGGTCTAGTCTGCGCCGGTACAGGCTTTTTGGACAGTCCTGGCTTCTGATCACGGGAGTCTTCCACAATGATGACCTCCGGATCCGAGTCCTCTTCATAATTGTCACCAGTTAGGTCAATAACAACACTCTCCTTGGCCGCTTTCTCAGCCTCTTGCTCAGCATGTGTGCCAAGCCCGCAAGCTTTCTCGTCGCGTGCTCTCAGCTCAGCAGCCTACGTTCAAGTTATTAGCCATAGTGCTACGACAAAATCCCAGCAGAAGCATACCCTGGCAGCCAATTCTCGTAACGACCTTCCATTTCTCGTACTGGAAGAACCCGTGCCCACTCGTCTCCCACCTCCGCCTAGGACCTGAGCTGCTCGTCTTCTCTTCTCTGCAGCCTCAAGTGCCTTCGCGCGACTCATATGCTGGGGCACACTGTGCGATGCATTGCCCCCCAACCGGTGACCCTTGGAAAAGAATCCCTCCCCAGCATAACCAGTTCGCACAAGTTGCTCGTACTCGTCCTGGAGGCCAGAAAGGAATTTGTAAAACTTGTCGTCATGCGGGCCGTGAACGTTGTGTGTCAACTGAGGGATGATTAGCCACGCTTCCAAATGCCTGAAGGGGACATACCTCATGTAGCATAGTCTGGACGACCTGATCTATATCTAAGAATGAGTCGGGAGAATAAGCAGGACGCAGTCTCAGTAAAATCTTTTGTCCCATATTGACATCTGAGAGCCATGAGTGTTCATGAAACAGTATGTGAGCACACTGGCTTACTCATTCCTGCTGATATCTTAGCATTCCTTCAAGCATTCGCGAAACTGGTAGGCGCACCGAGTAAATTTGACTGATCCGGAAAGAATTCTGCCAATGTAGGAAGAAGCCATTGATGCTGTCGCATGATAGGCTTGACCATCGATGCCACTTTCCGTAGCATCTGTAAGGCCTGGTCACCTTTCGGCCGCCCTGTGAGATGAGTAAACGACTTTATGAAAATATCGGTTGACATTGTAGTCGAGGTGGATGTAGGGCACCGCGGTTTAGGTGTGCTTCTGGGGTTGCGCAAGTTTCGAGAAGAGACGCGTGTCTGCGCTGATTAACGCGCTATCAGTCGGCTTGCCATGCCGATGGTTGGGTCACGGTCATCTGATGTGACCAGCCTTGCCAGCATCATACATAAAATGTCACTTCACGATGTTTACACATTGATGATTTACTGCAACATTAAGAGCTTATTACAAATACAACAAGTATGCCATGTATGCGATGCGATGCGAGAGGCGATATAATGATAGTATCCATGAAAACGTGAGGGAAGAGAGATATGTCGGGGGAGATGGGATAAACTTCGAAAAGAAGAGTGTTAGTCGCCTCATATGGCGTTGTAGGGAAGCATTGTACAGTAAACCAAAATGCAGAAAAGCGTTCTAAGTGCCATGACGATAACTAGGAGAAATGTGAGAGCAGATGAAAGCGACGTGATGATAAAGAAGGTGTGCCTTTACCCCAGACAAAAATCCAACCAAAGATGCAAATGTAAGGTGAAGAAAGGACATGATGGGAACGAAGAGGGGAGGTAATCCCTTCATTGAGCGTTATACTTGATACCCTCAAAGACGCGGATAGTGCGAACATGGGTCAGCTCGTTTTGACCATAAGGATACTGCGACGTCTTGTCATTAACGTCCTGATCGCCGGACGTCGTGGACTTAAGGGGAAGCTCAACACTGTCGGTAGACGGACACTGTGAGCTAGGGAGGCCGGTGGGCCAATTAAAGCGATGACGCCGAAAACTAGACACGAAATACATCAGTAAATGAAACGGCAACAGCTGACCAAAGGGGAATATACCATTCGTACGACCAAATGCAGTCCTCAAACTCAGATTTACTGATGACTCTCTCGCCCGCCTCATCAACAAAACCCCCAACCCAGTCCGCCAAAGCAGCCTTGCATCCAAGAAGGGTGTGCATATATATGCAGCAATGCATCTCCAAGTCGGAAGATGAGAAAGGAAGGAAAATGCGTGGCCAAAGGAGCAATCCGCCAGGTTGTCCGGTCTGGTCGAGGTTTGGAGTCGGCATGTCCAAAGTCAAGGTGGGTCGCCGCGCGGAGGCTTCTTTGGAAGCGGCGCTAACCTCGGCGATTGACAGGCCCAGTGTACTAGCGGCTTTAGCGCTGATGGTCTCCTGTGCACTGTCTGAGGCGGAAGACACACAGGTGTCGCTACTTGTTCGACTTTCCGATCCACTGTCATTGCCTGAGGTATTTCGTCGCGGCCGATTCTTTTTCTTCTCCTTGTCCTTCCACTCGATATTAAGTGTCAGTTTCTTGAATAATTCTCCAGTTATGATATTGGACTTCTTCTTCTCTGCAGAGAGCTCCGCTGGCGCCACCTTGAGATGCATACTTTTCATCTTGCCAGCGTGTCCCGGACCGAAAACGTTTTTCATCAGATGAAGGATGAATTCCGACGGACGCGGATGGATGCCATATTGTTCCGCCAGCATTATCTCGAACACCGTTTCCAGTTCACGGGATTCTGTGGCCAAGGTAGTCCAAGACCTAGATGGCTCCAGCGTCTCTTGCAGGATACAAGAGTCCTTCGATGGAAGAAAGTCACGAAGCGAGAGATCCAAAGAGCCGTGACGAGTGGAAGAGTTCTCCTTCAGAGATGATGAGGAGGACAGCGAGTCGTAGTCTCCGACAAGAGTCTCGGCGGGGTCGGATCCTAAATCTGAGCTCATGCTGATTGGACTATGTTCCTCCAAGCTGCTCTCTCCCGATTCTTCATCATCTTCATCGTCGAGGTCAATGAATGAGCTTTGCTGAGGTTTCCTTGACAAACGTTCAGAAATTGACGTAGGAAACGGGGGCGGGGATTCGCCGTAAGGAAAGAAGATCTGATCGTCTATAAGCTCGAGACGGCCGCCCACCGCTAGAACACGATAAGCTTCGGACAGAACGAATTGCCATTTCTCGTAGGGGATGCATAATGTGAGGTTGGCCATTCTAACCAAGTCGAAGGAGCCGGCAGGGAAAGGGAGAGGATACGCAATACTGAGAACCAGGTATATGCATCAAGTAGTAACAAAACGTAACATAAAGATTACGCACAAGTTCCCACGGACAAATCGTACATTCTCCGTCTGTTGGACGCCTGGCTCGAGGACGTCCACAATGTCAAATCCAACAAAACTGGTATTCTTCCATGCGGCCGCAGCGTCCAGAATCCAAAAGCCCGGCCCGCAACCCAAGTCAATTACAGAGCGGGGAGGTGTACTGCCGTAATCACGAAAACTCGGGGAATTCTTGGGCAGAAGACGATGTAATAACTCGTTGTTCCACCGATCACTGCGTGAGAGTCAGGAAAGACTGGGATGTTTACAATGCCAATAGAAACTCACATGTCAAGATAGATGGGATCGAACGCGCGCATATATGGTGCTTCTTTGGGGTAAGGATGAAGTTTGACGCCATAGTCGTTTCTGGACCAAGTGTTCTTCTTCCTGTATTTAGGCGGTTTGGCGGAATCCTCGCCGTCGTCGTCATCGTCGGACCCTACGGTCTCTGCTGGAAATGATCCGGTCCTAGGCGACTTTTCCTCGGTTGGGGAGGTCGATAATGAGGACGGAGGGCCGTTGGTTGCCAACTGGATTGTCGGGGTGTGGGGCGTCACCGTAATGTCGGAGGCGAGCGAGACGGCAATGGACCTCTTCCTCCTGAGTGTCTTGGGGATCTTAAAACGCGATGGAGACGTGAGGTCGGAATCCTTGCGAGGACGCGTGACTGGAGAGCTGGGACGTGGCTGGTCTAAATCCTTGTCTTTGTGTTTGAAAACCATGTTACCGAAAGACGAAAGACCACTGGTTGAAGGGACGAAGACACTCGAGCAGCGTCGTTTTAGAGGATAATGAGGCCCTTCTATGCCGGGGTGGTAGTATGTGGAAAAGGGACGATAGTGGGAAGTTAGTGGTGTGCGGGAAGTAGCTGCAGTGTGGGGACGAGCGACGATGAAAGCGGGCTCCGGAACAGATGTGGATGAGGGTGGTGGTGGTGGTGGTGGTGATGGCGAGAGGTAAGAAGTGGGCTGTGAGGCGGTGGTGGTCGATCCCATTATGACAGCAGCCTAAGTAGGGACGAGCAGGGTCGCAGTTGGAGTGCCACTGGGGGAGGAAATAATGGGTAATGTAAGGTGGCGCTGCGTTCATTGTCAGTACTCTGTTCAGGCATGTCGAAGCACGAAAGAACTCACCGGCTGCAGAAAACAATAGCCTTTGTCACCCAACTTGAATCGTTGATTCAACTCAAATATATATATCTCCAAACAGGCGTCCTGTGACTAATTCGCCGGCTTGGTTGCGATGGCTTGGCTTCTGCTGAGTACCTCGAAGAAAAAAAAAACTCAGAAGGCCGGGTGGCAGCCAGGAAGGCACATAGGAAGAGCGCCAGATGGTAGAGAAGAAGAAGGGGGTGTGGGAGGCGCCCGTTGGACAGTATACCCAATACGATGATGGCAGTGATTCCGAGTGATTCCCATTTGGTGGTATCAAATTCACCCTGACGAGCGTCCGGTCAAACAACGACTTCCAAGAACGGAACGGGGTCCTTATGTCATCTTTCTGCATCCGTGGCCACAAAATTCCGATCACTCAGCGCGGTTTTCCGGTCATCGGATCTGTTGCGGTCTTTGAGGACCAAGGTACTGTCCAGCGTCCGACTGAATTCTCGTACACAAAATACGCATCAAATGCGTCTCTATAGACAGTGTATACTACACTCTGGATTCTAACGTACTGTCCGGCTGCCTAATCATCATCTTTTCGGGGAGGCGGTCCGCATGGCTGCAACATTCGCTGAAATACATCGTTTCAGTCATATGCGATCTGAGCCATCAAATTTGACACTTGCCTCGGTCATTTCAAACTTGACGCGGCCCGTTGCTTCTCCATCCGCAATGGCAAGGTATGAGGTCAGAGTAGGGTGCCCTACTATGGACGAAAGTGTATCACGGTGCTGATGCGTCAGCCAGTCACTGCAGGGTAATTAGTCTACTCGGTACCTCTAGAGCGGCGACAAGTGCTCTTACTATTTCGTCAAGTCCGCATGCCCTTATAGTAAGTGGGTCAGTGGCTAGCCCAGACAGGTGAAACAGCAGTATAGTATCAGTATTACTGACCAGTTCCTGTGTATCGAGCATGCACTGCACAAATTTTAAATTTTAAAAGTGAGAATAGATTCACGAGTACGCGGACCACTCACAATGCTCTAGCTGTGTGTTGGCTGTATATCTCAATTCAGAAGACTAGGGATAGATGTTAGGCTGCGCAAATGCACCACCAAGATGAGATGACTGACCATGTTCAAGCTATTGTTTACATTTGTTTCTTTCAAAACAAAACCAGACTCATGTGCACGTGGATTTATCGTGAACGACCATGACCAGCGAAACTGCAAAGGCAAAATCCAAGTTGGTGACTCTTTCATCGTCACTTTCAGAACTGGAAGCGCAGCTTGAGCCGTTATTTACCCAGACTCTACCCGAAACTCTGCTGCCCTTGGAGCCTGTTGACCAAGCAAAACTGCAAACGCTTCTCACCTATGTCACTTATGACTTGGTGTTCAGTCCGTCTTCAGCTCTTCTACCTTTTTTCAGCTCATCATCTCAATCCCAGTTTACCTCAAGTCCAGAGGAATCGATCCGAAAACTCATCCCGTAGTATCAGAGCTAGTAAGTCTCTCACTAAATGCTCAATTCCAAACTATAACCTCACGCAGGACAGAATAAAAGGTTACTTTGACAAGATTGACAAAGCTGAAAAGCCAGAAACTAGTATGCACAATCCCTATTTCCTCGCCATCTCACTCACCAGACTCAGGACATATCCAAGTCGACAGAGCCGCCGCCGGACGATTCATCAAACATGCTATCACACAAGCCAAAGTGGGTCGGCCTCCTGGTGATACACCTGCAGAGCCGATGCCTGGTCTGTCGAACGTTCACGTTCCGGTCAAGGTTACTGACAAAATGCTCGAGCGGCGGAAATATGAAAAGGAGATGAAGGAGCGTGATGCCGCAGAAAGCAGTGAAGAAAGCGATTTGGAGATATTTGACGAGAAGATAGATGACGATGGTGACGAAAAGGTTGATGTCAAAGGAAAAGGAAAGGTTAAGGAACAGAGTGACGAACGAAGACTGTCCGCCGATATTTCCGCAATCTCTAGGACGAAACGAAGGAGGGCTACCGTTGATCCTTTCGCTGGTCAGTTTCCTCTTCCTATTTTGCTCTATGGAATTTAATGATGTCTCTGCTGCAGGATACGGAGACGACGCAATCACTTCGGCCAATCAACCTAATGAAACGTCAAGTAATGACTTTAATCAGACTAAACCGAAAAAGAAGAAGCAAAAGAGCAAAGACTCGACTTCTGCAGCGGATTTAAGCACCCCCCAAGCAAAAGCGGAGAAAAAGGCAAAGAAGGGAACTCGTACGTAGGACTCGTGTCTTTCTATACCTCCCTGGTGTCGTATTTTTTTTTAATAGAATCTTGAGCTGTCTAGAAATAAGCGATCATAACCACGACGATAATTATAATAGTCTCGTTAAAAAATGATGCAAAAAATACATACAAAATGAACACAAAGTGTATATTAGTACAACACAGAATATTTGTATAAAGTACATGGTGTGCAGTAGAAGTACATCAGGCAGAAAACACTGGAAAAGAGAAGCAAAAACCGTAAAACAAATAACCTTACATGATTCTACACGTATCGCGTCCCACATCAGTCGGGCTATTGGCACCAGACCTTCGGCCTCCAGGTGACCACCACCTGGTCGTATGCCCTATATTATCAGCATCGTCGGAACTACACCCGGACCCGTTCATAGCCCTCCTCGAACCAGACTTCCGGCGCTTCTCCCGACTCGTCCTAACCGAATCTACGGTCTGCCACGAATAGAAAGTCTTCACCACCACCCTCTTATCGTCGCACTCGTCCTGCCCTACTTTCAAATCTTCCAAATCGCCGTCCCGGCCATCGAGGTACTTCAATTTTCTCGAATCATAGGCGCGCCAGCCCAACCGGGGTCTTGTCATGGAAGCCATTTCCTTAACCGCGTGCTCGCCAATCGTACGACAGTCTACAGCAACGATTCTGCTGTCGGACACCTCTCGCCTACGGCTCAACCGAATGAACTCCTTGAACACTCTTGGTCCTATCCGAGTATTGTCAGCCTCCAGGACTTTCAAACGCGTACAAGCACGTATCAACGTCAGCAACGCGTCGTCCGTAATGCTGCTAGCGTAGGAAATTACGAGATGCTCCAAGGCGTGCCCTGCTTCTCGTTCATCCCGGACAGCTTCATCCTCCGCGTTAACAGATGGGGTGATGGCCGAAATGACTGCATCAGTGATTTGAGCAGTATCTTCGAGATCCAATCGCCGGATCATTGGGGTCGTATTCAGGAGCCTGATAAGCCCTTCATCTCCAAGGTCATCACCGATACCCGCGAGTTCGAGGAATTCCAAGCGAGGGACCGAATGAGCAAGGTTCGAACACGCGATGTCGGTTAAAAGGAAGCAGAACGAGAGGGAAATATGGCGGAGCTGTGTGATGCGACGTCTATACTTGTTATTGTCTCCAGCATCCCTCCCAACTTGACAAGCATTGAGAACTACCGTCTCAACTCCGAGAATCTCGTCCTCGCCACATGCGACAAATGCCTCCAAGGCTGAGTTGTGCAATTGACGGCAATAACTGAGATCCAATACCTCCAGATCAGGGCATGCTTTCCCTACGACGGCCATCATCTTATCATCGACGTATTTCAATCCCGAGAGACGAAGCACCCTTATTAATAGAGTCCGCTTTCGAGAGATCGCAGTTTGACATAAACAATAAATTCCATCGGCGTCCATACTAGGGCAACGGCTCATGTTCAAGACTGTGAGCTGTGGACAACTTGCTGCCAGCATTTCACAAGTCGTATTCGTCACTATGTGGAGACCTTTCACGTCCAACTTCTCCAGAGCTGGAGACACCTTAAGAAGGTAGTGCAAAGACTGTGTAGTCAACATGGTGCACCCTCGAAAGTTGAGGGCGGTCAATTGCGTGAAGGGTACCCCATTAGAACTTGTCAGTTGGACACAAAGATGATCCGCAACATCGGTAAGCGTCGTAGAAAGCAAGAAGACATGTCCAGCAAAGTTTAAGCTGGTGATGAACGGACCCGCCACTGATGTTAACCGAAGGATGAGTGTTTTGGGAACATTGTAGAAAGATCGGAGATCAAGTGTCCGCCATAATTGACCGTCAGACAGCAGCATCTGCCATGATTTCGACACCTGGACATCGATCAGCAATATATAATGGAGAAGAACATAGGACCTTACTCTGCTCAGTTTCACCAGCTCTCGCATGCCTCGGTTCCTGCCGACCCATTTGTTCTTCGACGAAGAAGCCTTCATGACGGACCATTGACCATCCATAAGGTCCTTCTCATACTCCTCTTCGTGTACATCGAGGAATGCAAGCAGTACCCGCAAGCGCAATTCTCTGGGCAATGCCTCAAAATAGCTGGGAATTATCAACGACAGTGGTGTGAAATGATCCGTAGACGAAGCGGTGGCCAGGTCTAATATAGAAAAGGATGATGGAGATGAATTCGAGCGCAATTTACCCTTCAACGTGGGTGGGGGAAGTGGCCATGAAAGACTCTGTGACCCGTCATTACTGGTGATTGTATATGCAGGTGGAACATCTTTGCATTGCTCGTCAAGTATGTGATGGTCAGACTGGAAAGGCACCTCCAAGGATCCATTATCTGTGGCAGGGACACCAGGTTTCCGCAGAAGTTTCCTCGCCAGATTTCCTGGAGTCCCACTGAACGCCTTGTTTCTGAGTTTGGACAACGACAAAGTGCTAACGGAGGAAGTAGAATGGATAGAGCTAATAGACAGTGCGCGCCGGCGGACATGAGTTGGATTATGTGATGGATTAGATTGAGTCGGATTTGGGAAATTAGTAGCGTCGAAGGAAAAGCTTGGGCTCGGCGAGTTCGGCGAATCAAAACGTGGGGACCCGTAAGAAGACGGTTCCACGGAGTCTGTGACAGACGAAGTAGGCCATGCAATGTGGCTGTAGCTGAATTCGGGACGGGAGAAGGCGAGGGGCGGCAGACACGGGGGTAAGTCTGCCGCCTTGCCCTTGCCCTTCCCGTATACCGTCCCTTCGGATGGCCCAGTTAAAGATTGCGGACGACTGCTCGCATTGCTTCGGGAACAACCTGATGAGGACGGGGTCCAGATACTATGGACGTCCCTCTGTGGGCTATTAATGAAGACCGATGACGAAGACGATGATCCGGGATGGCTCGACGACTGCAGGTCACTAAACACGTCCACCTCGTGGAGAAGGGAACCAGATGGAATGGGCATGGGCATTGAAACACCTTTACCTTTGCCACTGTCTGCCTCTGTCCATATACATTCTACGAACTCCTTGACCTCTGTAATCCCCGATGACGTCTGCCCAGATGCAGAATCTGGACTCGCACGACGCGATATACCTTGAGTCAGAGCCGCTACGTCCAATTCTTCAGGGAAGTCGAACTGGAATACGGCGTCGCTGTTATCGATAACTGTAGGGTTCATCACATCCGACTATCCAAGACAATGACGAAATTCTATATCACGTAGTAGATGAGCAAGAGGAAAGGCAAGAGAAAGGCAAAGTTGCAGTATAATAGGGAAGAGAAATAATGGCCAACCAATGTTGTTATCGTCGAGGAATGAGATGAAGAAGGAGATAACGCATAGCGCTAAATCACATATCTCTTTGGCTGCCTCCGGTAAAGTGACGGTCGCGATAGATCACGGGAAACAGGGGCTCGTCTTTCTCACGTTCCGGACCTTTGTTATTGCAAATACCCAAAGCTATCAACGCAGTTTACGAGTGGGAGGATCGTAGTAGGAAAATGGAAAGAAAATGTTTTCGCAAACTTGGTAATACTAGAATCAAATACTTACTTCCGCTATGGGCACGCGTTTTTCCCACCGCCAACTGCGTAATACACGCATATCAAACACACGATCCAGGGTGTGAGCAAAATACGGGGTCCGCCCTGGATGAGATTTAACTGTTCTCCGAACCTTGCCCGACGGATCTTGGGGTTTTTCCAGTACCCATGCAAGACGGCCAGAAAGGATCGCTCGGCAAACGGCGCGGAGTTCTTTGGCGAAGCTGCTGATGCTCCACGTACCGGGATCTGCCTTGGATGCTGGTCTTTGTGCACGGTGGGTCTGATAACAGTATAAAAATCTACACTGAATACTTGTCCAATGTGGATACAAGCCTAAGCCCAAGAATATCACCAAAGTAGATTCCAGTAATCAAAATTAGCCTGATATGAAGGATTAGGTGGATAGAGGAGTCACACAAATTTATCACAGCAGAAACGACAAGGACAGCATCACAGACAGAACCAAGGGGATGAGGTTGATGGAGTATCATGACGAGGTGCTCGGCTTGGGGTTTTCTGGGGCTGTTTTCCAGTTGGTGGTTGCCAGCTTGAACCTTGTGGTACATCTAAGCGTACTGGTGAATAAAACATGGCCTCTGGACATACCTCTCTTGGTGCGATATCTCTGGCTGAGTCTCTTTGAGACGTGCCATTTCGCTTTGCTGATAGGGTAAAGTTTAGTTATGCCTGGTCTAGACTAGAAGGACCCGCACCATAAACTTATTAAAGGCCGTTAGCTTCTTCTTCTTGGCGCCTCCAGAGCTCGAGGATTTGGCTGCACGAGGGACATCAGCGCCGCCAAAATCCGAACAGAACAACTACGCACTTTTTTTCGGAGGCTTCTCAGTATTGGCAGACATACCAGCCGTTCGAGGTGCCATAATAAAATTGCGGCGAAGAAAAAGGGCACAAGGAAAACTCGGCAGAGCCCTGCGATAACGAGGACAACCTAGAACTATCAGAGCGCATTATATATGCTACAACGACCAATGGCTCACCGAATCCAGAATCGACAGAGGATAGCTGTTTTAGAAATTGCCGGACGTGAGATTCTGCAAATGAAGAGGAAAAAAGGGAGCAAAGGGACGCATTCTTTTCTGGTCGCGGTATTTATAAAGAGCGTCCAACTGACAGCTTCGATTGTTGATTTTCAGAATAAATTGAAGAGCCCCCAGCCACCATAGGTGCATGTTTGTGTTCCATTGGATTCATTCTGAATCGTCTAACCGTTCCCAGCATGGAAAGGCATTACGGCACACACGCATGTGTCGCATACGAGTCCCAAGCACATTCAATCTTCGGCTTCGAGCGCCTTTTTTTCCTTGAAGACTGCGTTCTATTTCTGCGACAATTCGATTTACAGAGCAGGTGCACAGCAAAGATCGACTCCTCACAAAAGGATACACCTGTTCTTAAAAGGTCAGGTCTGCCCGTGGTCCGAGGGTGTCTGGAGTTCAAGTACCCAGGCATCAGTAGACCGATCAGCCAAACAGACGCGTCGCGTAAGGCATGGCGCGTTATTTCGTGATACAGACGGTAACGGGCGGTGCTATCTTTCATTCATTGAATGTGCCCAAGGTACAGACTCGACCATGTGCTCGGTGGAAGAAGAAGCAGTACGTTTCCTCGCCTAGTCTTACTTAATAATCTCATGCTTGGACCTTCGAGAACATAGTAGCACATGCCTAAATGCCAGCATCCTTAGATGATGATCCTCCCGTCTTCCGTATTCCAGCAATCCCGTCAATGATGCTAGATGCACTGACGATGCCTGTTGTAGCAATTAAAAACTTGCGCCCTGACACAGTCATGAGTATGGGCCTTTTGAATATGAATGGTCACGCAATACCTCGATTTTGCCGGCCAACCCAACGCAGCGCGGCGATCTCAGTATACGTGCAGCCACCAAGAAAAAATACGACGGTTGTTATAGTGTTTTCCATCGGCCGGCCTGGAACGACATTGAGATAAACAGACAACCGGAAACATGATGGATCTTACCTAATGGCGGCGAGGCGGAACTGCGACCAACACCCTGTTGAATGACATCTACCGTTTCGCCAGGTATAGTGGCTATAACATCTTCAAACCCTTTCCATCCATTTATTGCATGAGCTTGGACCTTGCCCTCCGGGATAGTACTGTTATCGCCTTGTCGCACAGCTTTATCTCTATCAGCCGGATTGCTCAGGACCCCACCCCTTTGGGCAACGCATTGCACAAGGCGGATGCTAATTGGGGCGTAACCAGAATAGACAAAGCTGATGTCATTCTCGACCTCATCCAAGGCCTCCGGGTTATCGTCAATCAACAGCCGAAGGGACTTTCTTAGTGACGTATACGGATACTTCGGCAGCGTCGTCGCAGACGCCGATGCTGGAAGAGGATTGGGTAGTAAAATTGCAAGCGGAGGTGATGCCAGTGATAAGAGCATTGGTAGATTGTGATAGCCATAGGTCTGAATCATACCATTAATATATAATAAAGACGTAATCGAAGGATCAGACCTGTAAAATTTCGCGCTTAATGTTGTCCAAAGTCTTTGCCTTGATACCTCCCCCAGTAATACTTGCGAGACAAAGTAGTCTGGTTACCAGCTCGATTTCGGCGCCTTGTGCTATGAGGTCCTCAATAGCGGATATTTGCTCAGAGACATTATAAGACGCCAAAAGGTCTTTAAGGCGAGCGTAAGCCATATGTATTGGCTATCATCAACGATGCTACCCACCTTGTTGGATTTCCAGAGACTTGTTGAAATGGTCGGTCCGGGTCATAGGGACTAGGAGCTCAGAAAGACCGGTATCTGCCCGACATTAGTTTTTCCAGAGATATAAAATCAAAGCTACCTACGTAGCCGTAATGCTTGATGCTCGCTCTGCAAGCCGCCCAGCTTGCCCACAACATCCCGAAGTTGGGGAATAGTCTTGGCTTGCCGGCTCGCCTGGGAAAAGGTTAGTGCAACATGTATACTCACGCGAGTAAGTGTACCTTATAATCATCTTCCAGCCGACGCGCCACTTTGTTCAGTCTGCGCCCCACGGCAGAGAAATTCAGATCTCTCAGTTCGCCAAAGAGAGTATCCGATGACGAAAGATGGTATTTCTTCTTATTTTCTTTCCTCAGAGTGCCAGAGGACGTGGAGGGGGTGGCTGCCGCAAGGCCAGTTGTCTCAGCGGTCGGCGGAGATACAAGCGAGGTTGGTAATTCGACGTGAGCTACATGACCTCGAGTTAATGCACGGTTCATTCCGGCTTTTCGGGAACTTACAGTTCTTGATACTAATAAGCTCATCGATAAGACCTTCATAAGTAAGTTGGGTAAGCAGGGGTGTTATCATGTCGACGCGGCGATCCAGGACAATTAAAGCATCGATTTTGTCCGAGGATTGGAAAAGGGTGTCAGGTGCTGAGGATGTCCTTGCTTGGGCGAGAGAACTGGTCAGAAGAGCCGTAAGTCTCTAAATCCGGAGTTTCAATCTCAATGGTAGGCGAAGATTATATTGACGTACCGCAGCTTTGTCGCCTTTTCCGATAACGCGAGGAAAGAGACCATATAATTTCTGAAGCGTGATCAAGGCCTGGGCAGAATCATATATTGCCGTCTCGTCGCCGTCCTGTCCATGAAAGTTGCAGATTGATAAGGGCAATCAATAAGAGATGGAGCGAGTGGACACACCACCCATATGTCCTTGAAGACAGACTCATATTCCAAGGAAACAACATCTTCTTCAATTGGAATAAATTGAAGATTATATGATGAGATGGAGACATCGCCTAGTACTCCTTCCTCCTCCAGGATCCGCGTTACCAGTGTAGAAGCACGTGGAACCAGGAGTAAGGTATATGTGTGTTTTGCCGCGTCTTTGGCGTGTCGTTTGATCTGTTCTTCCAAAAGATCAAGATCCCACATAGCTGGAAATATACAGAGCATACCGGCAATAAACTTGACGTGCTTTATGAGAGGGCGACAAAGATATATGATATTTGACGTGGTAGAAGTCAGGGGGCCAGCTTCCAGCCAAAACATCTTGTCAACGCCATGATGCTGCAGAAGACAGTTGGATTCCTAGATGAGAGGAAGGAATATGCTGCTCACTTTCAACAATGCTACTTCTGTCACGAGTCCCAGTGGACCTGCTAATGATGGATCCAGTACCAAGGTCTTCGCACCATTCACCTATGCTAATGGTCAATGTGTTGGCCCATGTGTGCAAGCGAAATTAGCAGACAGAGTTCAAAGAATCTACAAGAGCCTTTCGAGCTATTTCCTTGAGGAGATTTGTATCCAGAGGGGCGTCGGTGCCTTCAGACGATGCTGGGTCGCGAGAGGCCATTGAGACAGGCTCGTCGGGACCAAATCTATATTAGGACAGAATTTCCTCAAAAGTACATCGATGACGTAGCTTCCTCTTTTGGTCTCTCTCTTCGCCCAGACACCTCGGAACGTGCATGGGTCAAGTACTGCCCTCGATAACGATCTCTTTCGACGACAGAACATAGGATGGAATCAGTAGCTGAGCAGGCCGACCCCCATCCATTGGTGTCCTTGGTGTCAGCATGCTTCTGGGTAATACGTGAGTGTGCATCATAACACACATGCGACGGGGAACGTTCATGAATTCCAACAGTATGGCTTTTGTCTTGGGTGAAGGCTCTGGTAGCGTTCTCGACAATAACAGTGCCACGCCTTATATATGCCGTTCTATCCTATTCTATGACACTGACGGTCCGTCGCAACTGATTATGCGTGCCTATTCAGCAACTGACCGTCTTGTCTTGTAGCTCAACTTTTGGTCGTTTGCGATCATGTTCTCACTTTCTACTGTGGTGCTGAACTATTGGATCCGATTCCGATATCTCAATGATTATACTCAGCTCAAAGAACCTCCATTGGTAAAGCCAGACGCGACGGAGCTGCATCCTGATGTGAACACAGGTGTGTGACAAGCTGGTTCGGATATTTTGTTTTTACATCCTTAAGACCCGGCTCCTACATTCCATAACTATCTCGACGATTTCTTACAAGCTGTACGCGTCTTTGGTTTTGTGAGTGATTCGATTCATGAGCAAGTCATTCATCTTTTCATAACCAACTTTCTCACAGCTCGAAAAGCCCGTGCGTTTGTCTTTATACCTTGCGGCTCGGCGTATCTGTTGATACAATACTTCCAGGTTTTCCATGAGCTGGCTCGGCATCTTCAGACTCGACGTTTAATAGCGGGAGATAGTATGTCACTCGAACAAGACAAGAGCTTCTACTGTGTCGTGGATGGCATGGTTCAAGTTTTCGCACAGACAGATAGACCTGATCAAGGTCAACAAGGGTTATGGGACCATGAAGACATGAACGGATATCAGTTGCTCAATGAAGTGGGAAGCGGAGGCACCCTCTCTAGTTTATTTACTATCCTCAGCCTTTTTACGGAAGACGTCAAGATGAGCTGGCAGAATGATCATGATGAAGGTCCCAGCATCCCCAACGCCTTTTCCGTTCCCCGGAAGTCAAAGCGCGAAAACACAGATGTCTCTCGTTTCGATTTGGGACAGAACACACATATACGGCGTTCGTCAAGCTCTTCCACGGCATCGACCGTTCATCCTCTCGAAGATGTGCCATCAAACCATCCAGAATATACAAGGCCTATGTCGCCTATTCCTGACGATGATGAAACCACCGCATCGCTACCAAGGTCCAACAACTCCCACACCCAACATACTCGGATACATGAGGGGGTGGTTGCTCGTGCAAGTGAGGATAGCACTCTCGCTGTTATACCGGCTGAAGCGTTCCGTCGTTTAACCAAGAAGTATCCAAAGGCTACCGGTCATATCGTTCAAGGTGGCTCACGATTTTCGTATCTCCAGGATTATCTCACTGACACAGACAACTCAGTCATTTTAACACGATTCTCTCGGGTCACATTCAGCGCTGCCCACAAATACCTCGGCCTGACCAGCGAGGTTCTGCGTACTGAGAAAGCCATCAACGATATCGCCTGCCACCCGTTGCCTCCGTCGTTCTATGAAGGCGGCGGTTTACAATATCTTCGACAACGGTTTGATGGCACCAGCAATACTGACGGCGACACCGATTATCTCAATGCCTCAGAATCCACTAATAGTATATCTGGGAAGACTCTTTCGGAATCTCCAAGATCGTCAAAAGTACAATTGAACGATCCACCCCGTCCTACTCGGCTCGTATCTTCTACATCACAGACCTTCAAAGCGCATGGACGGAATAGCGTTCAAGCTGGGGATCTGCTCAGTTCTACAACTCACGCTGGTGACTTCTACAGACCGATTAGTGGTTCTATCAGCGTACCGAGAGGTGTCAAGCCTCTGGAAAGTCGTAGAATTGCTAATCTATCTGGTGACGAATTTGATTTGCGAGAGGAAGTAATGTCCTGCATAGCGAAGTCAATCGGTTTACTTCAGCCTCCTCTGAGTGGTACCGAATCCGTTGAGGCCTCTCCCGCAATCTCCCCATCTGACGGTCGGCGTTCCTCAGGGTTATTTACTCCATCTTTCAGTTCTCTATCGCTTCTAGACATAGGTGATGATGCATCTAGTGTCACGGGAGGGGCACCATCCAGCCAAACAATTGATGGCTACATGAGTGGTCTTGATAATGAAGTAGAGATGCTGTTTTTCGCTGCTGGCACGACTCTAGCTAAGGCAGGAGAAGTTAACACTGGTAACCATGTTTGTTCCCTGTCCCGGTATGGACATTTATGATGCTACAGGATTATTTTATGTTATTGAAGGATTTTTGGATATCCTTTTACCTACCGACGATCTCCAACCTTTTACCGAGCAAAGGCCGAATACTGAAGAAACTCGGACATCCGGCCCTAGGCCAAAACGGCCGGAACAGAAACTCTTATTTACGGTCAAACCAGGCGGTATCGCTGGCTATCTCGGTGAGTTTATATAACATGAACAACACATAGGTTTTCATTATTTTATAAGCTTCCCTCTGTAACACCGCCTCTTATGTTGACATCAAGGCGAAGACCGATACGTATGTAGGTTTTCTACCCTCGCACGCCCTCGAACGCCTGCTTGAAAAGCGCCCGATTGTTCTGCTCACTCTTGCCAAACGTTTGATTAGCCTTTTGTCACCTCTTGGTATGCCACAGAGCTTTTCATTCATATTTATACTGTACGATGGCTGACCATGTGTCGTAGTGCTTCATATTGACGCGTCTTTGGATTGGATGCAAGTGAATGCTGGCCAGGTACTTTGGCGACCTCAGGATATCAGCGACAGCTTCTACATTGTTATCAATGGTCGCTTGCGGGCTATTTCTGAATCCGAAGACGGGAGCGTATCAATCGTTGGAGAGTACGGTCAAGGGGATACGGTGGGAGAGGTTGATGTCATCACAAGCTCACTTCGCCGCAACACTTTACACGCTATACGAGACACTGAACTGATTCGAATGCCACAAACGCTGTTCAACGCGATATCTGCTCGGTACGAACCCAGACATATTTTCTAGGCTCCCTAGCTCATTTACGGGTTATCAGGAACCCCCAGATCACAGCTCAGTACGTCTATGAACCTGCAATTTTCTCCGTGTGCCTCAATTGTCTTTTCTATTTCCGTTTCCCACAGGATATTGCGAATGATTGCAACGCGAGTCAGGGTGGAATTAGACTCGAAATCTACCAAGTCAAGAAGTCTGCTATCAGAGCCGGGATACAACAATAATCTCAAAACTGTGGCAGTTCTTCCTGTGTCACGTAGTGTTCCCATTGATGCTTTTTCGAGAAAGCTCCAGACTGCATTGGAGGGTATAGGCGCCAGTACATCTTATCTCAATCAAGCTTCGATATCCAATCAACTGGGACGACATGCGTTTACTAGGATGGGCAAACTTAAGGCAGCTGGATGGCTAGCTGACCAAGAACAAAGATATAGAACAGTTCTCTACGTTGCTGATTCACCCGTAAATAGTCCCTGGACTCAAACCTGCATTAGACAGGTGAGCCTTTTAGGTTTTCTTCTTGGTTCCCCTGAACGCTTTTATTGCATGTAGGCTGACTGTATAATGGTCGTTGGTATGGGAGAAGATCCTTCCATAGGCGAATATGAACGGTTGTTGCTATCGATGAAAACGACCGCTCGCAAAGAGCTCGTTCTCTTGCATCCTGACCGATCTGTCATGCCGGGATCTACGAGAGAGTGGCTGAAGGTAAGTTCGATCCCCAAAGCACAATGACACCTGCCCACTAACTGCTGAAAAACAGAACCGGCCGTGGGTCCATCAGCATATACATGTGGAGCTTCCGGTACGTAATCGCACATGGAGGGAATAATGATAGCTGATGTCTCCTCAGGGCCTAGTGCTTCCGATTCCCAAAGTCACCTTCGTTTCAAAAGGACCGGATGCAGTAACTGCATTAAAGAATTTAAAGGATAAAGTTCAGAGTGAGATCCAAAAGTATCGCGGTGGACATGTTGATCCCCGGCCGCAGCGGTCCACCAGAGTAAATGACTTCTCTCGACTTGCCCGCAGAATATGTGGAAGGTCTATTGGATTAATATTGGGTGGTGGTGGGGCTCGTGGTATCGCACATCTGGTAGCTTAAATTTTTTCCTTGGACTTGCGATTTCTGACAGACACTCCAGGGGTTGATACGGGCACTTGAGGAGTACGGAATACCCATTGACCATGTCGGAGGTACGATAAACCTTGAAACCAGGGATTGAGGGTCTGACGCCGCATTCAGGGACCAGCATCGGCGCTCTCATTGGTGGTTTATACGCACGAGAGGGCGATATCTTATACAGTGCTGGGCGCGCCAAACAGTTCAGCAGTCGCATGGGAAACATCTGGAGGATGTTATCCGATGTGACCTACCCCATTGTGGCATATACAACAGTAAAACCCTCCGCTGTGTCATTTTATGTATATTGATGCCGTACTCACAGGGCCATGAATTCAATCGGTCTTTGTACAAGGTAGATTGGCATGTCGTCGCGTGGTACAAAGTCTTCTAAGTTTGTTCCTTCGCAGGCTTTCTACGACCTTCATATTGAGGACATGTGGCTACCATTTTTCTGCAACACAACGAATATAAATACGTCGGAAATGGAAATCCATGAGACAGGCTATGCATGGAGATTTATCCGTATGTTGTCTGCCAATTCTCTGCTCTCCGATGTTGATCTTCCTCAGGTGCTTCCATGACCTTGGTCGGCCTACTTCCCCCTCTTTGTGACAATGGGCACATGCATGTCGATGGCGGTTACAGTAAGCAATCCATTTCCTGCAAGAGATCTTGCTAAGAAATCTATAGTTGATAATTTACCGGTACGGGCGACATAACACTCGAATGTTAGTGCACTGGAGGCTGACTTTGGGATCAAGGTATCCGCCATGTTCTCGATGGGAACTAATGTGGTTTTTGCCTGCGATGTAGGATCTGTGAGTGGTCACTGAATTTCTGCAAAAACACTCATGATTTCAACAGCTTGATGATAATTCACCCCGAAACTTCGGCGACCACGTATCTGGATGGTGGCTACTACTTAACCGATGGAACCCGTTTTCCAATGCCAGAAATGTCCCTGCGATTACTGAAATCCAGAGCCGTCTTGCCTAGTGAGATTACTTGGTGCCTCTTTTTGATCTTCCCTGACGCCAATTGTGTTTGCTCAGTGTCTCGAGCGTGAAGACGTTGGAAGATGCCAAAGTTGCGCCTGGGTGCTTTTATATTGCCATGCCCGTACATGAGGTTTGTCCGCCCGTTGCATGACTGATCCGTCGTCGTTAACGATTAGTCTTATAGTATGGAACCTTGCAATTTGGAAAATTTGAAGAGATCCAGAAATTAGGTTATCACGCAGCTATGAAAGCCCTGCAGAAGCTGGATGAAGAAGGTCGATTGCTGTCTGCGCTGATTGATGGTAAGGATAGTGTATCCAATTCTAAGAGGAAGGGACAAAGTGCGCGCCGAAATTCGATATGATGATATTTTACATACTAGACATCATTTGTATAATCACCTGTGCTTCAGTTTACTTAGCCGTTTCAAGCCCATCATTTTTGAGTCATATAAAAGTAAAGTGACTCGAAGCGGAAGAAGTCTATAGAGACGTTTCATTACCAACGATCAGCACGGAGAACCGCCAGTTGTATCCCTTAGAGGTTAACTCTCATGGAAAACCCTTTCTTGACCTCAAAGCTCACTCGAACATAATACCGACGCCTCCGCGTCTGACGGACTCGTCTGCGCTGATGGAAGCATCAAATGATGAGCATGTTTGCCAGTGGCTCAAAGGTACTCCGTATCCCTATCTTCAAGGTGCGCAGTTTGCACGTCTTAGACTAACTGTTTCTCATCAAGAACACGCCGACGCCTGGCTTGCCCACATCAAATCATTATCCGATAAGATACTCGACGAATTACATTTTGCAAGAGACGAAAGATCACCCTGAATCGTTGATGATTGTCCTGTGAGATACATACGCGAGGTTAAGCACGATGGGACGGATGTATTCATCGGAGATGTGGGCATCTAATGATGGATGAATTTAAGATGTTGCTCGAAAATCAGCCAAGGAGAAAAGCACCGTTTACTGGAAGAGAACCTCTCGAGACCTGCTGGGGGACCCCAACATTGTTTGGACTATAGGAAGTACGTCCTTTTTGCTTCATTTCAATAGCTGTATACTAAATTAATTAATTACTATGTCTAGACTACCTTTCCTCCAGTCATCACGGAAAAGGTATAATGACAGATGTATACGCAACGCTCCTAGAGAACTGGGCAATACCAAGGATGAGAGTCCGTCGTATGATTGGCACCACTTTTGAAGGCAACCAAGGCAGCGTTAGAGTGTTTGAGAAGAACGGGTTCATTATGAGGAAGACAATTCCCGACTATCTGGAGGTGAAGGGTGTCTTCATGTATTAGATTGGGAGCTTCACAGTGATTAATAAATATACATGAGATTTTAACGCTACAGAGCAAAATATATTAGTTAGGTTGACACAAATACAATGAGTAGGGTGTAGATAAGTAAGTCAGAAATATAAGATCTCATGGTATAACAATTATACCTCGATGTCCTTCCAGTCAGAATCCAATAACTTAACACCTCTTCGCGCCAATCTTCGTCTCCATTCCCTCATTTCACCTTGCACCCCTGCCTCCTGCGCCCGAGCATTCATTCCTTTCCGAAGCCATCGAACATCCCTGATCCTCACAGCACATAGATTAGGTAGCTGCTGAAGAAGAGGAAAAAGTAGTTCCCATGAAGGACTACTTGGACGCGGTATAGATAAATACTGCAGCTGATGAGGCTCTGTGGTAAGAAGGGACGGCAGGGGATGTTCCAGTGATAGATGCCGTAGTTTCGGACATGTCAGCAACAATGTCCGGGGAGAAGGGCGTAGTCTTGTAGGCCACGACTTTGGTGTGAATAACAACAGCGAACGAAGATTGAGTCCATGGGTTGTAATGAACTGCGACGCCAGGGAAGCTGGGTACGGGATATCATCGTACGGTGTAATGGTTACCTTGGACAGAGCAGGGAGTGGCGAGAGAAGTAAGGTGTGCAGAAGAGAAGCTGAATGAATTGATAGCAATGTCAAAATGCGAAGGTTAGGTAATGATAAGGGCTTGAATGACTGCAAAACGGATAACTCCGTGGCCTCGAATGACCATTCTGATTCCGAAGGGTCAAGGCCTCCACCGACGACCTCGAGCTCCTGCAGTGTGGGGCAATTTCGAAGCAGCCAAGTAATGGGTTCCTCTTCGGTCAGAGATCCAGCCAGAGACGCGCCAGGAACATGACTTATTCCTTCCAGCGACTTGATGTTGATAGCGCCTTCCCTGTCTCCCAGAGCCATCAATGCACGGCGACTGAGCGTAAACGCAGGGTTGATAGAAAAGTGGGATAAAAACGGTGTCAAGGGGAATAACTGAGTGAGCAATGAGTCCAGAAGCAACGCCTGTGCATGCCCTGTAAACGTCAAGTTGGAAAGATCAAGTACCTGGACCCATCGTCCAGGTGCAGAGTAAGGAATCCTACGAATGTTGTCCCATTTCTGGTCTGCAGAATACAGTGTAGTGTAAAATTTTTCTAGCTTGGAGACAGTGGATATCTCGATGCGCTGATATGCGAGAGGAAGTGCAGACTCCTAAAAATAACACGGGTGAGAAATTACGCCAAGCTTCAGTGTGAGAAACTGACCATAAAGCCTCTACTCGTTTTGACGAGTGTCCAGAGTAGGGCTGCGCCGTCTTCCTGTTCCAATACACATCTGAAGACTTCGGCCCATATCTCTGCTGGGAGAACTTTTTTCGGCTTTGGGCTTGGAAGTAATGGGACAAGGGTAAAGGCGCCGGCAAGCCTGGCGAAGGGCCGGGGGATAAGTAAGATGGTGGACGTTGTACTCATGAGGGGTTCGAGTAATCCTGATCGTACTGGTGCTTTATACGCTCTGGGTCAGCCGAGCCAAAGCCGGTCCGGCCTTGCTGTGACCGAATTGTGTCCGAACTTCACATGGCTCCAATTCATCGCTACCGACGTACAGATTCAATACAATACATCTCTACTATGGTCCCAAGATATCCCCCATCTCTTCAACAAATTTCTCGTAGTCGTCCTTCGTCTTTGTCGCGGTGCTCTTTTCTTTGCTGGATGATGCCGCAGGCGGATTAGGATTAGGATTAGGATCCGTTGGAGCGGGCCCAAACTGACCCTTTAAAGCGCTGAGCAAGTCAGGCCGTGCTGAAATCTCCCCTTCAACAACGTCACCAACACCAGGCGCAGCGTTAATTCTCCTAGATGCCGACGCACCGGCAGCCTTTTTGCGTTTTAGTGATGTGGGTACAAACGATGTAGCTTCCTTCTTCAAATCACGCAATTGAGGCTCGGCCGACACTATCACAAATGAAGAGCCTTCCGGCCGAGGTTTTTGGGGCAGGGATGGATGCGGAGGCGCTAAAACCTGAGCGCGATGGTCTTGGAATGTCTGATGTGGAATAGATGACAGCGGATCCTGCAAGGCCGTAGTAGACTGCTGTCGACGAGGAAAGAAACCTGGGGGTGGCGGAGGCAGCGCAAAGTTACTCGGCGGTGGAGGTACGACTGGAGGAACCATATAACCTGGGAACCCTGTAGGAGGAAAAGGAGGGAAGGGCAAAGGAGGCCCAAAATTATTCAGTAACATTGGTGGCGGCGGCATTGGCGGGAGTGGCGGGTTGACGGGAACTTGATCAGATGTACCTTCTTCGACCAATTTTTGACCTGGCGGTGGTCCTTTTGGCATGGGTATATCATCATCACTATCAACTGCATCCTCTGGTTTGGGGGGTGGGCCCTCAGGCATAACAACTGACTGTTGTTTCCGAGGTCGGTAGACCAATCGACGGTGTTCGGGGTGCTCCTTGACGTATTCTTCTTTTTTCTGATTAATCTTCTCTAGTTCAGCTTTGGCTTCCGTTAGCCGAGTCTTTTCCGCCGAGGAAGGAGTCGGGAGAGCCTCCAAGTTAGTTATTTCATCCTCAAGATCTGGCTGAGGCGTCAACTGTGCTGTTAGACGGGAAACAAAGATGCTGACCAAATGTATCTTTCTTGACCAAAGCAAAATCGCGCTTCTTGGTTCGATCGGCCTTGTTCTACTGCATGCACACTGTTTAGTTGACTGAAGACTAGAGCAGGACTATTTGACCAGCCTTTCTGAGCTCTTTTTTGCGTTGAGCCTTGCCTATAAAATATGATACCAATAACATTACAAAATACTCAAAATTACGCTTACGGTAAGCGTCAGCGGGATTGACATTCTTGCTCTTTGCCATCGTGGTTGAAAGCGGGAATAAATTTGTTGTTGTTTGTCACGCGTCGGGACTGCCCATGTTTCAACTAAATATCTCACAGTGAGCAATAGCTTGCTGGATCTCAGAATACTACAGAAATTCGTACGGATCGCTCTAGAAAGAGATTTGTATTCGGAATCCACTGAGAAGAAACTGAGTAAAACTTACAGATGACGGAGCCGACGCGCACGTGGCTATTGGTCCATATAGAGTCATGACTGTCGATGGAACCTCTTGGTGGCCAACTCCCATTGCAGGGAGCCTGCAACCACCGACGCCCACCGACGACAACAGCGACGAACAGCGACACCGACACAGGTATTCCCCATGACCAGCCTCTCTGCAGCCCAGGCCACAACTCCCAAGCGAGCTCCTAAGATGGCTTCCCAGGTCAATCTGAATCACCTCCTCAACTTCACTCTCCCTCCGAGACAGTCCCAAACTCCATCGAGTGTACCCAGGAGAAGCAGAAGGACTGGCGGAACTCACCACGGCGTCTGGAACAAGGAACGTACGTGCACCAGCTCCATTTGCCCGCAGATGACTAGATCCTATCCTAGGATTCGTTAATGCTCAGTATCGTTTCGTGATGAATCCTATGGGAGATTATACGGTTCACTTTGCTGATCCAGACATGTCAGTTCAGTCCTTGCAGCTATCATGCAGTGCCCTAATGTCGCCTTAGTTTCTTCCAGTGGAATGATATCGTACAGGTTATCATTCCTCGATCATCTCCGCTTGCAGCTGCTACATCTGGCGGTGGAGACTCTGATCGAGGTGGCGAAGGGCATAGGACGTGTCCTATATGCCTATCTCCACCGACTGCTTCACGCATGACGAAATGCGGCCATGTACGCCACTTTTCCATTATTATGAGCGTTGCTGACAACAAGATAGGTCTTCTGTTATCCTTGCATTCTTCACTATCTTAGTACATCTGATAACAAGTGGGCGCGGTGCCCCATTTGCTTTGATTCCGTCAATGACAAGCAACTGAAGAGTGTCAAGTGGTTTGATGGGCCGACCTTCGAGCCTGCAGAAGATAACGGCGGAGCATCGTCGTCCGCCTCCTCCTCTTCCATCCTTGACAATTCATTTGAAGCACCGCTCGCTGGCTTGACGATGCGACTCCGGCTAATGCAGAGGCCTCAGATCACAACTCTGACGTTGCCCCGTTCATCTACCTGGCCGTCGGAACTTATTCCTCCACACCAAGCTCCCTTCCATTTCCTGCCAGATGTCTTCAATTACTCCAAGTTCATGCTTGCGACTCCAGACTATCTCGTCTCAGATCTGACCCGAGATTTAAATGAGCTGGCAATGGAGCGGCGGACACTAGCGGGGATGAACGATAACCTGGGTGTATCTTTCATTGACAGAGCCGAGCTAAAGGTGAAGAATCAGATCGCAAGAGTGATGGCTATGGACAACCCCGTCCTTCTGGAGCAGATAGATAAAGCGCGCGCTGGACTACGTGAGCTGGAAGAGCGACGTGACCTTCATTTGCGTCGCCAAGCTGAGCAGGCGAATACACCGCGTGACTCAGATATCCCACAAGAGCTGCTGGCACTGGGGCCGAACAGCTTCCCTTCTACACCAGTCCCGGACACCCCGAAGCCCAAGGCCGCCCCTAAGCAACGTCGCAATGTGAATCCACCACCACCTTCAACATCGACGTATTACTACTATCAGGCTGCTTCTGGATTCCCATTATTCCTTCATCCCCTAGATATTAGGATCCTACTCTCCCATTTCAAGAGCTACCCATTATTTCCCGACACTATCGATATTCGCATAGAAGCCTTATCTGAGGGTTCCGTCAACGATGATTTGCGAAAACGGTGCAAATATCTCGCCCACATGCCGGAAGGTGCCGACGTTGTCTTCATCGAAGCTGATCTAAAGAGTGTCGTCGGTTCAGAAGGGCTGAAGAACTTTGAGGGTGCGCTGAGAATGCGCACGTCTCGAAGGAAGGAGAAAGGTAAAAAAGATGATCGCGCACGGGCTCGGGCCGAAGAGAGGGAGCGGGAGAGGCGAATGCAACATTCATTTACCACTTGGACAAGTCCTTCAGCTATCTCGTCAACTACAATCTCCGTGGAACCGGCGCCGCCTGAGCATGACGAGATACCATCACCCCCACAAGAACCAGCATTTCCAGGAGCGTGGGGTTCTCGGAGTTTCGCGTCTGCTGTCCATTCGAGCCCTTCACGGGATCTCAGTGCGCAGGATCATATCCGGAGAGATGATGAGGATGAATGGGACTTGGACGTTGCTTGGCATGAGCTTGAACAGAGGAACAATGGAGGTGCAGGAGGCAGGAGGAAGAAGAATAACAAACTTGTCATACTTGGTGGCGGTGGCAGAAGACGGTAATTACAGTATACATTGCATATAAAGCCGAATCTTGTATCATTTGAGCGACAGTACAACAGATGTATTTTTTCTCACGAAGGATCCCACCATCATTGCTCTGAGCGCTACACGTCGCTGTCTCCATGAAGAAACGGATAGAGAAAATGGTATCTCAATAGATAGACAAAAAGTAGAGAGCACACAAAAGTCAGCGATACGAGATCGGCGGTACAGATTGTGGGAAGACGATACTTTACACATTGGAAGAAGAGGGGGAGAATAGAGAAGCACGCTGAATAGTAACGTTCTCCGAGAAATTACATAGGATCATGCATGTAGTATGGGCGTAACGTAACAGACAGATCATATAGAGCGTGACAAGGACATAGAATCGTTATATGACCTGCAGGTAGTTTGACGGAGCGACTGCGAAAGCGATATCAACAGTAAGAACGCAAGGTAGGAAACGGCGGCTTACTTCCTGTTGTGCCATCCGCTCTTCGTGCTTGCCACCACTTGCCCTGTTTATCAAGGACATCAAGGATTTCGCCTTTGTTGAAAGATAGTTCATTTGGATCGTCAGGAGATTGAGTATCTAGAATCAACGATATTCAGCATATTAAGACATGAGCGTGCTGTAAACTTACATGCGTAGAGTGCCTTGGCTTTTATGGCAGCTGTTTCTGAGGGCTCGGTGAGTGGAGGCCCGCTCAAACTGCTAGCGCCGACACCAGCCATGAGGGGCGAATTGGGACCATTGTTGTCTATGCCACCTATGGAACCTGGGGGAGCAGTGCTAGTAACGCCAGTTATGCTTCCTCCTCCAACGCTCTTTCCCTCTCCTTCCGTTGGCGCTGTGAAACTATGTTGACTCCTGACTTTACCGCTTCCAGCACCACTGCCGATCTTATAAACATCATAGGAGCCGATACCACCTCCAGAGCCATAGTTGGCCGCATAGCCATTGGTTGTAGATATGTTATGCACAGAATTCTGGGTGCGAGTGCGGCGCCGCCGGGATGGTGGGGTAAGGCCGCCTGTGCCTAGGGAGTTGAAGACATGCAAGGCAAGGGAATCTTCTTCAGAGGTGAAATAGAGGACCCAGAGGATGTTGACTATGGCGAGGATGAGCCAGCCAGCTGCCATGGCATTTAAGGAGCCAGCTGAAGAGAAGATCCCTTTTTGCACGCCCTCAACTGCGTACACTATGGCAATGGCACCGAAGACAGATATTGGGAAGCGATGCATGGAGATTGAATCGCTGGCTAGGGTGTAGAGGACCCCGACAATCAAAAAAAGCTGGAGGAATATTCCGAACCATTGAGTGTTGACCACATCATTGGAAACTATTGCCCACTGAGAGCTTTCCGAAGTACGACATGATTGAAAACTCACATTGCGCCGTTGCTATACATTGTCCGATAAATGCAACAAACCATGCAATCTGCAAATGGAAGAAATTCTCAGCGTGCATACATCAAGGAAAAAGAGGAAGACATACAATAGACAAGACAGACGTGAAGAGAAAAAGATAATGAGTGAGAATGGGCGTGAAATCTAGTCCTTCGTTTCCGCGTGGAGGCATGGCTGAAGCGAAGGAAGGGGAGATAGAACAAGGTGGAGTGTCCCGATGTTATGCTGTTCTCCATGGCACGTGACTAGTTTCAGCGTCACAGTCACCCATCCGTGAGATTTTCCAGTTTCAGTGTTCAGAACGCTCATGTCGCAGTACCCCTTCCTTTCGCCGCCATCGTGATGTTCAGTTTTGTCTTAAATTTTATCTGTCGTGAGAATATAACAACCGATGGGCAAGAAATGACAGCTGCTGCCGGTGCTGCGCCGTCACCCAAGGTGGATCTCACGGACTCTGGCGGTGAAACTTAAAACATCGCCCTCTGAGTATGACTCAACTGCGCATTGAATCCTGTGATAATCGATTCACAACAGCAGAAATTCAACATATTTTACAGGTATGCGGACTAGACTCGTTACCACATAGCAACGAGGCAATCGGCGATAGCAATGGCTTATATCCACCCGGGGCTGTGTATGCGACGTTTTGAAAGACGGCAATACGTGACTGGAAACAAAAATGATTTACAAGGTGAATACCAACATCACTATTACTCTTTCATGAATAATTTCCAATGCAGAGGCTACCAGTTGAAGTTGATTTGAACCGATACTAATACATAAGACTGCTGCCGGCCGATAAGCTACTGACTTGATAAACATTCGCGCTGATAAATTAAACACCACCCTCCTGCTTTGCCCTCGCAAAGATGTCCCGCCCATTTCCGTTTTATCTTGTCTCTGCCTTCTCGAATGATGCATTTGGCGGGAACCCCGCTGCCGTTGTCTTTCTCGACGAGCTTGATATCTCCGACGATGGTCTGATGAACATCGCAGACAATCTCAACCAGCCCGGCGCTGCCTTCCTCTTTTCAGCACCACCTTCTACAGATCCGAGAGTATTCAAATTCAGGATACGTTACATCGTAGGGCCCGGGGTAGAAGTTCCCTTTTGCGGTCATGCAACCATCGCCGCTGCTAAGGTTGTTTTCGATAAGCGCAACCTTGTTTCTACCAAGGTTGAAGTTCTCGAATTTGAAACGCCGGAAAGTGGTGTAATGAGGGCTTTTAAATCGGAAAATGGGTTCAACGAGATCCAGCTGCCACTGGCAGTGGTGGAAGAAGTTGGAGCCGACGAGAGAGAGCGACTGTCAAAGCTGATACACGATGCTTTTGGAAGGGATGTGGACATCAAGTTCATCGGCAAGGGAGGCGAGGGTTTCCGGAATACTTTGCTTGTCGAGGTGGATGCTAAGGAGGATCTCAAGGCATCCAGTATCAATGCGAATCCGTTGGTCCGTTATTCTTCCCCGGTTTGACATTCTTTGATTTGACATGACGCCACAGAAAGAGACCGGCTGCTCGAAGAATATACTCACTACCGAGTCTTTGACTGGAGAGGAAATCTTCGTTTCACGGATGTTCGCCCCCACAATGCTCACTTCTGGAGAAGATCACGTCTGCGGCTCTGCTCACTGCTTGCTGACACCGTATTGGTTCAACAAGAAGAACATTACGGAGGAACTGGGAACTGCTACGCAGGTTAGTAAAAGAGGAGGAAAGCTCAAAGTGGGGAAAGGTAAAGAAATTGTTTGCATTCAAGGACAGGCATGCATATTCTCGTCGGGCACATTGTATCTCTGAGCAATTCAAGTCAGTTGAATGTGCTCAGTTGAATGCGTTCCGTGGCCATAAGTGGCCCTGTTTCTCGCATAAATCCGGCTCTCGTGGTAATCAAGACCTCCCCTGCCTCGATACTCAAATATACTTGACGGGCGTCCTAGCTATCGATATGTTAAATTCTGTTTTCTCTCCTGCACAGAATCTCTGCCTTTTTTTATCTTCAATTAGCAACACTCTGTTCCTAACCATGACAAAGATTGTGGTCAAAGCCGGTCGGACATTCAGCCACTTTAACTGGTTTTTCGGCTATTCTCCATTGCTGTTCCTCTTGAATTTACGACATCTACATCAGTAATCGGTTCACAGATCTTTTCGACACTATCGTCGAACACCTCCATTATATACTATGCATCTTGCGGGTTTTTATGCACAATGGAATCTCTGACAGCGACAAAGAGCAAGGTGTTCAGTGGCATTCTGCTGGGTGGCCGGTCCCCCTGTATATAACCAGCCGCTAAAACATTCCCTTAAACTCGCTAGTACTCACAGGCACTCTTCCCCACACTCCTCATGGCCCCACTTTCCTTAGCACACACCATCGAAGTCATCTTCGACCGCACTCACGTCTCTAGAATGTGGTCCTGGAAATCCGTCAATGGAATCAGCGGTCACGTCGATCTCAACGCGTCTCCTCAAGTCTCGATTCACTGCGTCGAGGGTCTCCGACTGCGCCGCGTCTTTCGCGCTTTTATGGGTCTATATGGATGCAAACCCACCACCCCAGTCATCATCAAAGTGGCGTTCACTGAGGACAAGCGGTCTCTCCTCCAGCGGGAGGAGAACGTTTATAATCAGTACCTGAAAGATTTGCAAGGCAGTTTCATTCCCAAGTGTTACGGATTATTTGAAGGCTCCTTCGGTGGACAGAAGATCACTTGTCTCGTGTTAGAGTACTGTTCCCCTGAAAATATCAGACCTGTTGACTATAGGTTTGTTTCATGCCACTTCCTCAGAGTGGGGTCCTCACTGAAGCTTTCTTCCAGCCGGCAAGTTATGACTGCGATCAACAAAATTCACCAAGCTGGGATTGTCCACCAAGATATCGTTCATAAATCAAAACACATCCTGACGACATCTGACGGAGTCCGCATCATCGACTTTGCCACAGCGCAATCCCACAAGTGCCCGACGATGCCGCTAGCTTTTGTACGTGAAGTGAGGCATTGTGAAGAATTGGTGTCCCTGGAATATGAATGCGGGTTTTCGGATGACACAAATGTGGACGGGATACACCAAAGGGCGCCGGGCCCATCGCCTTTACCCGACGGGGGTTTACACTCACGCTTTGGTTTAAAGCCATCATACCAAAAACTATACCCTGAGTTGAGTCGGTCCCATAGGCACGCCCATTTCTAGTTCGCAAGCACATTTACTTACGAACTATATCGCATTACTTACTTAGTAAGACGTAGATCTCATAGAAATATTGTATTGATAGGCCACGATTGTTATATGTATGTATCGTCATTTAGGAAACCCGGACGTGCTTTGAAACCATCTCTACCGCTCTATTGACATCCACACCGAGATCGTGGTGCCAAATTGGGTCCCACAGATTGGACAACTTCGTCACCTCCTGCGTTTCCCTGCCCGGTTGGTATGATTCGTAGATTTGTCCCGCCTCAATGGTTCGCTCAAGCACCCAATTCGCACGCGGTGCTCTAACCTCTGTGTAAGCTTGAAGTGCATCCTGTACGACCCTTGTTACTGGCACCTTGATGAAAGACAATTCAAATGCCCACCTCAAGATTCGACTTCGTGACTTTATCGTTCTTGAGTAATTCACAAAGTACGAACACATCCTCAAAACCCTGGCCGGCGCCAGCGCCAAGATGGGGAGGCATACCATGTGCCTAGTATTAATCAAAAAAGAGATCAAGTAAAGATACTTTGGGGGCGCTCACAGCGTCGCCAACTAACACCACCCTACCGCGACAGTAACTTGCAAGGGGAGGGTTCAAAGCATGGATAGACCATTTACTAGATGCTTTCATATGGTCTACGATTATGCGGGCATCGCGACCCCATTCTTGGAATTGGTCCTGGAGCTCTCCATCCGAGGCTGCCGTTACCCATGGAGATGGGAGCGGAGGTTGGGGAGGGATATCTCTTTTGGACATGAATACTACCACGTTAATCTATGACACATTTAGTCTTCTGATCCGCATGAGTTTGGTCATTGCGTACTCTTTTATCACCATGAATGGGATAGATAACGAAATGCTGAGGATGCCATGAGTATGTAAGGTATCAAAAGAGAGATAATTCCAAACATACTTTGTTCAATCCAACAAGCGCAATAGGGCGTGTGGAAAGCTGCATCTGTAGTCCTGCCGCCTCTAAGTCTTCAAGTGGGATAAGGCCTCTGTATGCTACGGTATTGGTAAATGTCACATGCTTCTGCATGGCATCTACAACGACAAAATTTCTTGCTACACTTCGGATACCGTCAGCTCCGATGACCAGGTCTGCCTCGTGCGTCGTTCCGTCAGCAAAAGTGATTGCTATGGTAGTTTCCGTCGTGGTAAGTGATACACAACGCTTGTTGAAGTGAACAGTGCTAGGGTCCAAAAGACCAACCACAGCATCGAAGAATACAGGTCTGTGAGTCAGTTACAGAGAGCTGAGAATATCTAAAATATACTGGCCTGTATATACCAAGTCCCAAATCATCGGCGGTCCTGGGATACTGAACCGTATTAGCAAGGTAAGTTAACATGCACAGATATCTTACTCACATCGTAAATAACCTCGTGTTCACCCAATCCAGATAGAAATAGGAACTGCCTGAAAGTAGGGCTTGGAGTATCCGAACGAGATAAGACAGCTTCATATAAACCCAACCCTTTGAGGGCTCGTAACGCGTTAGGACCTGGGCAATATCAGTAGAACCGCGTTCTAGGGACAATCCAAGAAAGAATGTTTACCTAGGCCAACCCCCGCTCCCACTTCTTCAAATTTTGACTATCGCAAAATAATGTGAGCCAAATGTGGAATTTGAACGTTGAACCGTGCGTACACCTGCTTCGAATACATCAACGTGAATACCGGACTTGGACAGTCCAACTGTGCAGGCGAGCCCACACATTCCACCTCCTACGATAGCGACAGTAAAGTCCTTTGCCATGGTGGAAACAATGAGATAGAAAGCACATCTTCAACGATTTGTAAGAAGTGTATTTAAAGCCTCCATCATATGAAGGTCATGGGTGATGCTGCGGCCTGCGATAAGACGTGGGAGTGAGAAATTTTCAATGGTTCCGCTACCATAAAATCCGATTTGCCAACAAGAAGGATTATTATCCCGGTTTGAAGACGGAGTCGGCAGAAGCGCCGGAATGGCGGCCCGTCGGCAAATCCCGAGGAAACTTGCATTACCACCACCGTTTCCACTTTCCTCCCGCTGCTACTAGGCACGTCAATGAGTGCTCCCCTACTTTTCTCGACGGTTGAAGTGACCAGACAGGCCTTCTACCGGTCTTCACTCTCCTTTGCTATTGTCAATTTGAAGCCCGTAGTTCCAGGACGTGAGCTGGCACCATCTGTTGGCCGCACCAAATCTCACGGACGCCTTAGATGTGCTCGTTATACCCACTAGAGTCATCCATCGACTTACGGATCTCAACGGTACTTTGAGGATATTCAGATAACCTGGTCGTTGAAACACAGTTTCAGATGCGGAAATATCTTCACTTATGAGTTCAGTGCAGCGCGTTGGACGCGTGGTAGAACGCGCCTATGGTGCCGATGCACTGACCATAGCTTGCCAGGTATATATCTCCTCCGGCAGGCCCGTGTCTCGTTTAACATGTTTAATTCCCAGGACGGAAAGGCTGCCGGACAAAGTGTCCCTCATGTCCACTTTCACGTCATGCCTCGAAAGATTCATGGCGACCGATTCTCAAAAAACAACGATGAAATATATCCAGAGTTAGAGCATGCAGAAGGATCCCTGGCTTCTGATCTCAAGCAAGTTCAGCTTGAGTCCCAGACCATGCAGGTTGACGCAGATGAAAATCGGCCTGCTCGCACTATGGAGGATATGGAGAAAGAAGCAAGTTGGTTGAGGACCTTTTTTTCATAGCAGGGCCAGCAATATAAAGGTATATATACGAATCCACAAATCTATCTACGTATGTGGGTGAGTTCTGCGGAGGTTACGAAGATCCCATCAGGTCTAAATAATATCTATCAGTAGTCTATCCGTAAATAATAAAACCAGTGAGTCCCAATGTAGTATATGTATACATAGGTAATCGTGAGCCAGTACCAGTGCCTGTCAAAACATGGCAGAGGCGTCGTAAATACGAAATCGTAGAAAGGATTCATAGTCAAATCAAACGTCGACGTAGCAGCCACGATCTATCAAAGCATGATAGAGGTGATGGAAACGTGGCTGCTCCACGGTTTCGCCCCAATCACCAAACAAACGAACGGTATGCAACGCAGGGAGAGAATCACCGAGAAGCAAATCGAAGTGCTTTTCAAGATGCTCCCACATGTCAAAATGGTCCATGGCCATGTTGTGAGCGGCATGAAGGCTGACGGTATGAACATTTCTATGAACACCAGTAAAGTGAGGAGAGGCGGTGAAGAAGAGGTAGTAATTGATCTCTTCGAGACGAGGACAATGCTCGAGACAAAGGCTAATCTCGTCACCCAACATGAAACGGAGATGTCGGCCCAACTCTACAGATTCGATGGTTTCTCCGTGAGACTCCCAGAGACCCTCGAGATCGCCATTATTCAACACGCTGTCCACGACAACATGGGACAGTGCTGGGAGAGTTAAACGGTTGCAGATTTGATGGAGGAGGAAGCCGCCGACAGAGAAGAGGCGCAGTGTCTCCAAAGAGGGAAGACAGAGCGGTGTCGAGTCAAGCATGATGGAACTCATACCTGAAGCGCCGCCAATGAAGAGGTACGCAATGTTGGGCGAGCTTCGCAGAACGGCACCAAGTGAATTGATACCCCCAGAACGCTCCGCCTCGCTATTATGCCACCACTCCAGTCGCTTCAATGAAGGAAGCGAGACAGAGTCGGCATCGAATTCGAATGTGAGGGAACGCATGGCATACTGGACGGTCCTGGGCCTTATCAGGACCTCGAGACGACTGCAGAGCCTGAGGATCTCGACAGACGGTGATGGATCCCTGGTCCAATGGTCGGTGACGGTACTGTCATAGGGTAGTACTGCGCGGCGGACCTGCGCCACGTCAACATGCTGTATACGGCCGCTCCATCATGGAGTGACTCACCATTTTCCCATAGCCTGGTTCATCCTCGTGGGGACAAAGGACGCTCTTCAAGGCATTCTGTCCACGATTGATCAGAACGTCCTTGTACAAGAGCTCTGTTGTCATCGAGTGCCAATCCCTGCAGACCAAGGACAGCTTCGAGGTGAGTGCTTTGACTTTGAGGTCGACACCACGGTCATCACGGGCGGGCGATTCACGGAAGGGCTTGTAGTTGGATTCGTAGGGAGTGGCGCCCTCTGGCATGGTTGCCCAGGAAAATATTTCGAACCAGATTTCAGGTGGTAGAACAGACATTGAGTACGAGGATTGGAAGGATTCTAAGGACATTATCTATTGTCGTGGCTTTATATATGCTGTCGAGGAATTGAGTCGTGGTTGATGTCGTTTGGTCCAGCTCCAAAGAATTGCCGAGGCGAGGTCTAGGGTGGGTGTTATCTTCGCACCGAACTGTTCGAGGGTGAAGATTAAATGGGACGTCGGCAACAAGTCGGGTTCAAGTTCCTCCATCCGTTCATATCTACGTGCCGACACTGCTTCCCGTGCTTCCCGAGCTTCCTTCCGATCCGCCCCGGCGCAATTAATAAAAATTTTCTTTTTCTTTTTGCATAGTAACACACAGCTTTAGACTCATGTCTATCGTATCCTGATAGTACCATTCAAGATTGCACAGATCCGTAGCCTAACTCGCAATTTTCTATCGCGATACTTGCCGATCCGCTCCGAATGTAACATATTGTCGCCGCAATGCAAGCTTCATCGCAGATATCTGTTTTGACGGATGTTTTGCCTTGCAGCGTGTGGAAAGTCTGTTGTGGTGGCGTGTATTTAGATCTGTTCTAGCCAGAGTACGGCATGAAGAACCTACCGTGACAAGCGAGGAGTCGGTTTCCATCGCTATCAAAGGTGATTTCAGACTTCATTCGTGCGGCTATCAGAACCACAGACAAACCTTCCGTAACAAGATGCCACCACGTTGCGTTTAATGGGTCAGTCTCGCCCCAAGTGATGTTTCCACCGTACGCGGCTCGAGTGCTGTATTCATACCTATTGACGTGGAATTAGGCCGTCATGCTCCTTTAGTGCTCTACAATGAGGCGAATGGACCCACAAATAAGTTGGGCCCTCATCAGTCTGATTGTCAAGGGCAGAGAATTGGTTAACATCGCTCCACCACCTATAGCCATTCAAAAGTAAGACGAAACCCGAGTCCAAAACAAGAAATGGGATCTGACGTATGAGCATCGACAATGTCGAATGTCTGCCGTCTCTTGTCAATAACCCATCCCAGCATTTAACGGCAACCACTTACAGCAGAGTCCACCTCATACATGCGGAAGCCAGAGTTTAGATTCGTGATAGGGACAACCGATGGTCCTATCCATGCTATGGTGCCAGCTGTCTCTGCACTTGCATTGGTTGCATTGTTGGCATAGAAAATCTTGTTTTGGCAAGCATGGTCAAACTCTGTACGAGCCGGAGCAAGAATCACGAATCACGTACAGAAACCTGGTCTTCGTGGGTATGGCCAAAAAAGATATCTGTACGACGTCCGTCAGGGAGAGGTAATCCGCAGGAAAGTCTACGGACTGGCAATGACGTGCGGCGTAAACCGATCGACGCTAAGGATAAAGAAAATCAATATGACAAATAAATGGCTGGCGAAACAACCTATCACATTTGATAGAAAAGGTTAGTTGGATTTTCCAAGGGGTTCGACCCGTCCCAGCCACTCAGAACATGCCCGATAATCCACACTACGGAACAGAAGGGAAAGATAAGCCCGTTACCGATGATCGACCATCATGGATCAAAGCGCAGACATACCTCGATCACCAGCATCTTCGGCATCCTGTAACTCGTCAGTTAGGAATCTCAGCATTCCACTAACATCAGGATCGGTGAGGTTGATGTAATTGAAATAATTGGCTCTATCCCAAAAGGTCAAGGTCTCGACACAGACGAGAAGACAGAAGAATGACTGACTTGTACCCTGGAATAAGCTGCATTTTTAGAACGGTCTAGATATAGAACTTGGAGTCAAGGACTCACACAAATCAGTATTCAGGGAGATTATCCTTAACCCGTCCTGCCGATTGACCATGTACGCCGAATAATGTGCCCGTGCAATGTCGGCGGTTTCTGATGATATCCAACCTTCATATTCCCAGAGGCTCGCAACATGGTCATAATTCCTAAACGTAAACACTTTAGAGAGAACACAAAAAGCATTGAGCTGTGATGGATCACCAGCTGAATTGCTGAGCAAGACCTTGTCCAATGGCGTGAGGTGCATCTTGCGCTCTACCAAGTTTATGAGATTCAAAAAACTGAATGACCTTGGACACCTGAAGGACTGAAGTACTGACTGGTTGTAGCTATCGTGATTACCGAGTGCTGGGTAGACGGCTCCGTTGCCCAACATTCGCTTGAACAAGTCATACACAGTTGCCTATACAGCTTGATCGCAGTCATCCGTCACTTTAATGAATACGCTGCATACCTCGGTCCATTTTGTGTAGTCCCTGAACAAAGGTAAGCGGTTAATTGGAATTCAGTAGCGAAAAGTTGTCATTTACCGTGATAACTGGTTATCTTTATCATGCGAAACTAGGTCACCAGTGTACAGAGAAAAAGCGAAGCCGGTTCCCTCGGTTTCCGTGAGAACTGGAATGGCTTCAAGCGCAGCCATGACAAGTGCGAATGGGGAATCGCTAGTGGACGTAGTATGTCGTCGCGGCTCTCTTGAGAGAAACAAAGATCACCTTACCATTCGTATGAGCCATAACGAGGAGCTGGGAACAGCGGTGTTTTCGGACTAATGGTGTTTGAATTGTCTGCACGACAGCAGAGGCCCGAAGTACAATTAGCTTCAGATCCCGTTGCGTACCCTAGCACCGGCATGGAATGAGTAGAAACTGGAGATATATCTCAATACTGACGAGGGTCCAGATGCAAGTCAGAAATATGGAGAACTTTGAGACGTTCTCCACTGGGCTGTTTGGGGGTAGGCAGAGGATTTGGTTTCGGCTTCGCAAACCAATTCGTCAAGTTTAAGGCAGACGTTGGTGGAAGTTCACAAAGGCCGAGGAAGTTTGAGCAAATCATCTTTTTTTTTTTAGAAAGATGTTGAGTATATATATAGCACGCTTTCGAGCTCACGAACCTGTCCATCGTAGCCGCCAACATCTGCGTTAGCGATGACCTGGGTGATCACTGATCCAAGTCCCAAGATATTGTACGTAGCGGAACACGACGTGCTGAAATCGAAAGCCTCACAGAGCTCGACAGCCAATGGGGGCCCTTCCTCCGGTGCAGCCAAAGCAAGAAACTTGACTACTTCCAAACCAGCCTGACATCTTGCGCAGTCGTTGTCTCCGAAGATGGGGTTCGCAGCAATCGACTGGATTTGGGCAAAGGCTTGAGCGTGTAGCCTAGAGGGTGATGCGGTGGGAGGCAGTGGATGTGGGTCTACCGTGTTATTGAGCGGAATGGTTTCTGGACTTGTGAGATTAAGCGGGTAGACTTCATTCTGAGAATGACGTTCAATATAATGAACACACGCCATTCGTAAACTCACCGTAATGGCATCAGATATGATTGGCTGCACTTGAGCGGACGTCGCTGTCGGATTATTGTAATATTCCGAGTAGAGTGAGGTTGGAAACGCTCCTGGGGCCGTGAAGATTGCTGTCGTCTGCTCCAACGCGCCAGCGAAGAGCTTTGGAATGGTCACCAGAAGAGACAGTCTGAGAACAAGTGATTCCAAACGCATTGCAATCATTGAGGGAGGCACAGTGCTGCCAGCGCCTCCTGTGATGCCCAAGTTAAAATAGATATCCCACGATAGACGCATCTTCACGTGGCAAGGTGATAGGATGGGGTGGCATTACTGTTAGTGAACACGAACGTTCGTGAATTGGATTGTTCGATCCGCATCAAAGCCGCCGGTATCACGTTTGCAGTGAACGTGTTACCGGCGGAGGAATGGGTCAACTTGAATGAAAAGTTTTCTGAACAACAGCAGCAAATCTTGCAAGGCTGCATGACCGGTGGTATCTACGAAAGTGATAGGAGAGAAGAGAAGAGAACGGGCAATAGCAGTATGTTGAAGTCGACGCGCGTGTCTGACACCTTTCAGTCGGCGGCCGTGCGATGCCTACAGGCACATTTTACAATACACTTTTGACCGAAAAATCTTTGCATGCATTCTGATTTCCATCCAGATTCCAATTTATTTCTGCCATCCGGAACCGTGGAATTAGCGTTCCAGAGTTATAATCTGGTTCTGGCTTCACGTGCTGATAGGCTTTCTACGAAAACCGCTGCTCGGAAAGAGGCTAGCGGAAACGGAGTAATGTCGCAGTGGCCAACGCGCAACTCCATTTCGTTCAGTGACAGAGAATACCCCGACCTGCGAAAATGTGCCGCTAGCTGTTAACGGATCAAACAAACACGTATAACTAGTACTGTAGGATCGTTCGAGTCTGGAACAGTTGTTGCCATCACCTTTATGGCAGCTTAACGCACCCATGTCTCCCATAACAGAATAACAAGGTGCTTTCCAGTCCAGACTGTTTCTCTGTGTTACCACGAGTACGGTTATCGTACGATCAAGTTCCAAGCACCGTGGAAATCTTTGGTAGGTAGTCTAGAGTAATGAAATAACATGAGCAACTTGAACACGGTGACAAAGTACATCTAATGGAAAAGTGAGCTGGTGCTGGTGATAGTAAAGAAAATCGTGCATACTAGAATATGGCGAGTCATACAGGGTTGAAGATAACGCGTCATGCAGGACAAATAAGTACCAGGATGAATGTCAAAGCAATTTCGAATAGCGAAATAGACCGAATTCGAAGCAAAGGTCCCTGGATGCTGAATGACTCATGTTAAAATCCATGGGGCCCAGCACGCTGGAGGAGGCTAGACCTACGGACAGGACAATGGCAGTAGACGCCAGTTGAGATACCATCACGAAATATAAATTCAAGTTCACTTTTTCTACTTGTCCTTCGGAGTCATCGATGATGTAGATGACGGCGAAAATAAAGACGAGGGCTGAGAATGTTTTGAAGGCCTTTTACAAGCCTCCAGCTTCGATGATTGGGAATTAGTTTCCTTCGACATCTCAGCCCGCTGAGCTTCCTCCTCCATGATCCGTCTAGATTCCGTCCATAGGTGAAGGGTATAATCACGCAAAGAGCGAGAGTAGAGTATGAAAGGGTCCACGTCAACGCTATGACCTGAGGGCTTGGGGGAAAACATAGCGAAAAGGAAAACAAGCAGATGATTGGGGGGAAAGATGAACCTTTTGTAGTTGATTCGGATCACAATCCGTCAAGGGCTCCACGATGGAGCTACATTTCCCATATACTTTCGCAGCTCGGCCCTTAACCATCTTCCGTGAAAGAGGCGGAGCAAAGACTTGGTACCAGAACAAGACGGGCGGTCCCTAGTGTTACGACAAAATAGATGGCTTCTATCAAAACGTGGAGACCGTCACGGGCTGCTATCCAGTATATAGAGTCCATACGCGACCCGTGGACAAGCCTCACTAGGCGGTGTTGTCTCATTCGTCAGTGATATCAGTGTCATAGGCACGCCATCAGCGAAAAGGTTCTTTAAACAAAGGAGGCTAGTGCTGACGTTCATACGAATCCTTCTTGACGACCAGGAAAAGCTTGGTATAGCACAAAGGAGTAAGGCAAGAGAACCGCAGGCACGACACGCTCGTTCCGAAACACTCCTACAATGTCCATGTCATCTCGGACTATCTAAGGATAATAGCTTCCTCTTCGAACAGTACGGACTTTTTATACAGGCAAGAAAGTGGGAGATGTGCATGGATAAATATCTAAGTAACTATAGTAAGCGTTATATACCAGTCTTATGTCCTCCAGAATTTTAGTCCATGTTACCACTGTCCTCGTGACGGTGTCGGTCGTTGCACCATAACATCGTCTGTCACTCGTACATCAAGAGTAACCCGTAAGTCGTGGTATTTTTGCAAGTCTACGGCCTCCGAGCGCGCCACACCGGCCGAATCGTTCGGAAGCCAAATTATCGGAGGTGGGGCAATTAGTTCGGGAGCATATAATATTCCCGCCATATCTTCCTCGTGATCAGAAAATGATAAAGGAGGAAGGCGTGGAGGAGCTTCCGGGTGTGTTCTAGCAGCACGCTCCGTGGCCGTGAGGTCATTCAAGTTCTCTGTTTCTAATTGCCGGCAGTTAGCTTATCCGGAATATCCAAGATCAGAGCAAACGAAACACTTACGCAAGGGGACAGACCCTCTCGTAGTAGAAGACGACGGCGTGACAGCCAGAGTCAGGCTCATCATCTCCAAAACGGATGCCATCGAACTTCGCGTTCGACGTGCACCGCTGCTGCTCTTCTGGCTCAACTCTTCTTCGTCCACAACCAGGCGTCTTGTTTGGGAGGCCCGAGAAGTAAATGTATCTAATGAATCCTGGCTGACGATACTCAGAGATCTCCTTCCTGGTAGCCGCGTTCGCCAGCTTGTATAGGCCTCCACGAAAAGAATGACTACCACCCCAGTTCCGACCAAAACCCCCCCCTCGATCCAGATCTCATTAGCAAGGAAAATGAGACCTAGGAAGATAGGCTGAAACGCCAACAAAGTACCGAAGCGGCGAAGGAGCCATATTTGTATCAGGCCGCCAGTTTGGGAGAGCGTGCGACCATGAACATAACCAACAAGGAAGCGATGCGCTAAGAATTTGATCAGTGTCTGATCCTCAAAACTCATGTTGGAGTTCCCCACCAATCAACGTCAAGAACAACAGGAGCATAACAGCAGGTCCGATGAGCGGGAATATCAGGGAAAACGTTGAGGCAAATATGATACCTAGGACACATGCGCCTGTAGCGATGGTGGCATCATAGGGCTTCGGATACATAGCTTGCATGATGCGGATCAATGACTAACGTGTGGCCCAGAGTCGTGAATGACGACGCACCTCTAAAACGTTGTCGGGGTGTAATAGCACGCCTTTCACCGCGTATGATGCGCCATAAACGCAGCGGTTGCAGCAAGAGAAGACCTGGGAAGATGATAGCTATCTGCAAAATGATAGAAAGGGCGAATACAGTCATATACACGGAACCTTTTGCGACCATCGTCGCCTTGTCCAGGTCAACACTAAACGCGTGCAGGGCGAAGAGCAATGCGCCAATGGCGAGGATCCATACAACTGCTACAGAGACAAGAACATAGAAGGTGATCTTGAACGTCATCAGCTGTCCGCCGGACTGTGAAACCGCCCCTCGAATCTCGGAAACCCCTGCGAAAAGATAAGCAACGCATCATTAATAAGTAAATCGACGCACAGTGCACAAGCGCAAGGGTAAGGGATATGAAGATCGTAGCTCCAACAGCAGGGATCCATACAGTTATAATCCCAGAAGGAAGAGCGCCGGCAGTCGTGACCGACTGGAGGAAGGTGATATAGTGAGCAAAGTCCGGTGCATTAGAAAGAGCCAGTCCTGAGGCCGCAGTCACTATTACATGTAGTCAGAATCCATGTTCACGGATCAGAATAAGGATCATACATCCAGCCGCTAGCAGAATCACAGCAATGATTATCGTGGCACTCATTACCCAGGTATCCAGACTAGTCCTTTCATTTTGCAGAATATCCCATCGTATATCTTCCTTCGCCCTGCCTTCGATGATCTGAATTCCTGGTATATGCCGCAAGCCCCGTCCTACCATGAGCCATCCTTTGATTCGAGCACCTTCGGCAATATCCGCGTAACAACTGTATTGGGCAGTAGAAATCTCGGCGTTGATATCCTTTAGTTTGCTGCGCCATTCAGTGATATCGCTATAGATATCACCCAGATAGTCAAAATTGATCCCATCCTGGGGCCGTACGAAGGGCCCCGAAGGCTGGATTCGCAGATGAGGGGGGGGAACATCCTGCCTCTTGTCGTCGTCACTGTTCCTGAACGGAAAGGTTTCACGTTTTCCTGCAGAGATGGGCTGCTCTCGTTTGGGACGATGTCTGAACGACGATGGACCTGCAGCAGAGTCTCCATTGGGTTCGCTTGCAACATACTTTCCGGGCTGTTCTTGTAGGACATCTACCCATTCTTCCTCCACCGGAGGTAAAGGTTTATCAACACCATATGACCCTACAATATCCGATGAATCAAGCCAATTGGGTCCGTATTTTCGTGGATCAGGAGGTGGAGGAATAGGGGACGATATCGACAACTCATCACGGGATCGTATCATTCCCAATTCGTCAACAGACTTATTAGCGCGGAAGTAGCTGCCCAATCCAAAGAAACTCGATCCCTGAGACCGTCGATTATCTTCCTGGAAGCGATCACCAAGGATGGGGGAGGCAATGGAATCGGAGAATGTTGCATGATCTTCCTTGTTGTCAGAAAATCGACCTCCATTGATACCGTGGACACCGCGAAGTTTGTAGTAAGTAGACGGAGCTACAAAGGATTTAGACGCAAGTGAAGAGGCTGCAAAGGCGGGGTTTCGTCGGCGCTACGAAGTTAGAGAATGAATAGAGATATACTAGTAGCAGCTTATAGAACTAACCGAACCGAGCAACGGTCGTGGACGGCTGATATGAGGGCGAGTTGGATCCTCATTGGAAGGTGGAACCCAGTCAGCAAGTGAGGGGTCAGGGGTGGTGAGACGGAAGCACGTTATATATTGTGTTTCCGCAATTTCCAGGTTTCCTAGGATGTAGTCTCGCCTATCGATTAGCTTTGCAAGATCTCGTGTATCACTGAAGGAATGATAGAAATAGTGTCAAAGAGGTTATGTGCATGAAGCTAGTGCACTTACGAGATAGAGAATAAGGTCTCAATGTCAACTTCTGGACGTCCGTCATGACTTGCATTCAGAGGCTCATTCTCCCCGCTTCTCCCTCTTCTGCCTGAACGGCGAGTCCTAGTGGCGTTACGATCCCTTGAGGAGCTATTGTGGTCTAAGGACAGGCTCAGTCCCGCCTTTAATATGAAATCTTTTAGCCTTTGTTCTCCCCAGCCAACAAACCCAGGAGCGTATCTTGCACTCAACCAGCCAATGTCCTTTCCCTCACACATTGTATCTAGCCACCTCTCACGGTACGCCACAAGGTTGTTGAACTCATGTAGGATCTTCCAAAGCGCAGGAAGGAGAGCAAGCACCAACGTCAAGGCCGTTAATACAATGATTCTAACCCGGAAGTTTGGGCTATCCGTTGCGTCTGCACGCTTCAGCATGGTGGCAAGATTGGCCGTACTTATGTTTCCGCTTTCTAATAGGCGCAGCAGACGCGATAGACTGAGATCTTGCAGCATGTTATATCCGCCCCCGTAAGATGATGGAGAAGGCAGTTCGGAGTGGCAAGGGGTAGAAACGAGATACAAAGGCAATGCGCCCACAAGGCCGAGGAAAGTCCAACCCAAACAGATGAGAAAGCATGTCCACAGCGTGCGCTGGCTAAGCTGATCATCGGAAGGGAAGAGTTCAGCGTCTGCTCGTACAGATTTTCCTGCATCAGAAACATTGGAGGGGATTGAGGGGGCCAAGGGAACACGGGGGAACAAGAAGGCGAAGATCGAGTCACTCAGTGGTTTTGGACGAAGACTATGATCAACTTGAGTGAGAAAGCGGTCGAGTTAAGTTAAAAAACGTACTCCTGGTGCACGAACCACTCTCTGAGTCCGTACACTTGCCGAAAACGCGGCCGTAAGACTGCAAATATCAACTACATTTCAATCAGTACTACTAGTCAGAAAAGAATGGAATAGGTCGCACCCATATTATGAAACCTATTGCGCTTGGGATCACCAAAGACGCCAACAACCCGTCTGCCGCAGCATCCAACCCATTCCCTACGCATGTTGGATTTATCTGCAACGACGCGGCGAAGAGCACCGATGATGTTGCTTCATTAGAGAGAACGATGCCTGAGGGTGGAGAGCCCGTGAATGAGTTTGTAAAGGTTTCTGTCACAATGGAATCCGAGTAGGATGTGAATGTTGTTGCCGAATTCGTGATAGTCGTAACGGGAAAGGTGCTTGTGAATACCGTAGTACTAACGACACCGCTTCCCAAAGCATATGGCCCTGAGTGGTATAAGGATGGATCTGTGCCAGATATCTGGGTATCCGGAGGGGTTGTTGGTGAAACTGATTCCGAACCTGAAGTGGATCCTTCGCTCGTCGTCCACCAGTTTGCCTGTGTCGTGCCAAAAGTCATAATGAATGCCCTCCAAGGGCGGGTCGTATAATAGTCAAGAAAAGTCGAAGCACTGAAGTATCCTGGGCCAGGTCACCGTGAGCACATGCAAAGAAATGTTCAGCGAATTTGGCTTCGAGGTTGAACTTCGATCGATGTTTGTTAGCCACGCCGTTGCCAAGCAAATCAACGATCTCCGATCAAAAAAAAAAACTTATCGCATCGTAATGACGTGAGTCAAGTTCATCAAAACTTTAGTTATCTTTTCACCAGTATATACGTCGGCTTAGAGGCGTACGAGGCGAGCATTTGCTTCATTTGCATATGACATAATTCTAGGGTGCGGTCTAAATATATTCATTGACACGTCGTCAGGGACCTCTTGGTATATATTCAGGCTCAATGAGGCTATGCTTGTGAATGAGAAAAGAAATTAGTCTCCTAATTCATGATTGGTCGATATCTTCCAAGACGCCCGATGTCCCATGAACCACTTCGTGCACGTCCAATATTCCTAACTTATCTTGTACACAATGTAACACAAGAACCTCGAGTCTTGAGTGACTGAAGAAGCGTTGGAAAGGGAACATTAGAGATGTCGGACAGACCTAGAACTCACCCATTATCATTCGATAGCAGTCACAGCGCCGTCCTTCAAAACCCATCGTGCCTCCTTACTTATCCATGGAGCGGGTTCAGAATCCTGAATCGGCGAAGGAACCTGCTCTCGGGTGGAATTTCTCGTATTTTGTGTAGACACCTTTGGGTCAGGCCTTCCAGCACTGGGCTCGTATTTTCCTGCCATTTCTTTACTTGATACGCAACCCATGGCGGTGTCTGGAGCTTATTTGAATCTGATTCGAAGGCTAGGTCCTAAGAGAACACTTACACAGAAAACTGGTAGTCAAGAGGAGTAAGAAAAGAGTTGAGGGGATGTCATTGTATCCGATAGGCAACTGTCAGTCTGGGTTGCGGGGGTGATGTGATGGAAAGTGGGACAGGTGATGTTAGGACCCAGTGCCTTGTTGGCATTTCGGTGATAAGGTCAGTGAAGTCGAGATTAACTGAGTGGAAACCATGGTGGTGCTACTACATGCTTGGCCATATGCCGCCCAATTATGCTTCAAGCCTGAAACAACTGGAATCACGCTCATCTTAGACGAGTCCCAAACGAAGCCTTCTAGTCTCGGCTGCAGGGCCTTCCATAAATCGGTTATGGTCACAGAATATACTGTATGATGTGATAAAACTGCGAGTAACTCCAAGAGTTCGTTAGCATGAATAGCGACCTGCGCTTTAATGCTGATTGATCCCACTGAATGATGAATGCTAAGTATTGGAAATCCTCAGTGATGCGCAGGGTAGACTCCAGGCTGGTAAGGCCAGATGGTATGAACTTCTTATTCTACAGCTCCTACAGAGCTTGTATTTATACTCTCCAGGCTTATATCTAGAATTTACTACAACTTTTTCTTTCTCTCGAGCTTACTCATCAGCTCTCGGCATGATGCCGGATTGCTCTTTCTAGAACTTTCCAGCAAAATTCCAACACTAAGGACTGATAGGCAACTTTTAATTAATACATACGCTACGATTTTACCTATGGCTTATCTTATCGTCTGATGCATATCTGTGGCGGTGTCAATTTCGAATTGGGCGTACCTCCACGTGGGCGGCCTTGACCCCTCTGACAGACTTTCCGCCACCACGTGAAGATCCAATAACGTGACCTTGCTCTCTGCCAAACGCGTCGGCCTGTTGTCCTCGCCGCCTTTCCCGTGCCCTCTGCCGGTTTATGTTTAAGTCCTCATATTAAGTGGCTTAAGAACTTATTTTATCAAAATTCAATAAAGGATATTTTATCCTGAACTTAGTGAACTTCCCCAAATAATTTAGTGGCATGGAGAATGGTGCACGGAAAATCACTTAGATTCACTCAGTACCACTGGTCCGAATATTAATTTGAGTTCAAAAAATGCTGGTGCTGATATTTTACTTCCGGTTATTCGAATCTAGCTACAAGTAACGCTCTGGTAGCTATCCAAGATGGTGGTATGCGAGAACATGCAATGATTGTGCCAAACACGACTACAAAATTTCCTTTTCTGCTCTGTCACGTCACAGTAACGTAGGGTGGAAAGTACTCAACTCCTACTGGCTTAAACCTCCTCCTCCTTGACCCATCTTCGTCGAGCGATGGCCAGCGCGGCGTTGAAGCAGGTAAGTAATTCCTTCAAGATAGCTTCCACACTTTCGCTTTTATTCTTTGGTGCAGACAATCTCGCCGCCTACATTACAACAAGCACAGACAACAGCCTTGTTATCCCTTCTCAACCTCAACAATCCTCTCGACAACAATCCGTCGACTTCAATAACAAAAACTGGTACAAACCTCAAAGCTCCTGCTCCTGCAGGGCCTCCTATTTGGAAAATACTAGTATTGGACCAGCAGACAAAGGATGTACTAGCAACGGTCCTACGTGTTCAAGACCTACGCGACGTTGGGGTGACGCTTCATGTGTGAGTATTCCTTCTTATTACATTGCAGTCATCATGGCGAATCATTATCTTAGCCAGCTTCATTCGATGAGACCGCCACTACCAGACGTTCCAGCCGTCTATTTCGTATCACCTACCCTAGCTAACATTCGACGGATAGCGGAGGACCTCGAAAAGTCCTTGTACGAGTCTTTCAATCTTAACTTTGTTGACCCTCTTCCTCGTTCACTACTCGAGGAGTTGGCAGCATCAGTTGCACGAGATGGGACAGGAGACATGGTAGAACAGGTGAGTGCCAAGTTCAATGCACAAAGTTTTCTTATACTCCTTCCCAGGTCGTGGATCAATACCTTTCTTTCATCGCACCTTCTCCTTCGCTGTTCTCTCTCCTTCCATCCCCTGTACCACCAGCATCTCCAACATCAACCATACGACCGATACCACAACCCACGTACGCCATCCTCAACTCGCCATCTTCAACGGAACAACAAATAGAGGCAGAAATTGAACGAGTGGCTAGTGGGATATTTAGCGCCATCGCTACTATGGGTGAGCTCGTTTTCTCGATGTTTTGTTCTTCACTGATTCCAGATTTAAGGACACGTCCCTTTCATTCGGGCCCCCAGAGGGAATGCCGCGGAGATGGTAGCCAAGAAGCTCGAAACGAAAATACGTGATGCTCTTATAACCGCTTCCAGATCACATTTATCTACCGGCATGTTTTCGCAGGATGCTACTGGAATTTCAAACCTTCAGCGTCCACGTAAGTTCTCTGATATGCGGTTTTTTCCTGAATTCATTTCTATATATAGTTCTCCTTATCCTGGATCGCAACGTTGATATGGTGTCCATGGTCTCTCACGGTTGGACGTATCAAGCGCTAGTATCCGACTGCCTTGAAATCAAACTCAACCGTGTTGTTGTAACGCAACCTCAGAAACGTTCCTACGATCTCGATGCCAAGGATTTCTTCTGGGCCCGCAATGCAGCGAACCCGTTCCCTCAGGTCGCAGAAGAGATCGACATCGAACTGAACAAGTACAAGCAAGATGCGGCAGAAATAACTAGAAGTACCGGGGTTAGCGATGTTGGTGACATCACACAATTGTAAGGTTTGCCTCGCCCGGCATTTCTTCATCGCACTCTAGAACATTTTCTAGGGACTTATCAACAAATGCTGCCCATTTGAAAACCGCCATCACCCAACTCCCTGAATTGACCGCAAGGAAAGCCACCCTCGATACTCACATGAATATTGCCACGGCATTACTTGAAGAGATCAAAAAGCGCGGTATGGACGAACTATTCAGCACCGAGGAGGCCATCAACAAACATGTGTGTTCTGTGATATAACTTTGTTTCCTATCCTGAGTCATTCAACAGACAGTAGCTTCTATTCTTGAAACTCTCCGAGCAACAAGACCGGACGGCGCTTTCACTCCACAAGATAAACTTCGTCTCGTGATCGTATTCTATCTCTCCTCGCCGGATAATGCTATCACGAAAGACGATATCGCTGAGTTGGAGAAAGAACTCAAATTAGTTGGTGCTGATGTGTCTGCCTTCGACTACGTCCGACGAACGAGAGAAATTTCTAAGATGACGATGTCGAATCTGGGAAGCTCCACGCCAACTATGGGGTCTGTTGCGCAAGGTGGAGAGCTTTTCAGAGGTTTTAGTGCTTTGGGCAACAGGGTATTTATTATGTTCCTGTGGCCCCGTCAAAAAGTGAGATTAATCAACATATATTAGCTGACCGATAGTCTACGAGATAGAGGTCTCGAGAATATCATCTCTGGTGTCAAGAACTTCCTTCCGGGAAACAAGTTGCTCCCTGTAACACGTCTTACAGAAGCGTTGATGGATTCATCGGCGGCCTCGAACCAATCTTTGCAGGAAACGGACGATTTTATCTTCCTCGATCCGCGTGCAGCTAAACACGCAAATACTGGAATGACCGGAGGTGTAGGCGGTAGCAGTGTCAATCGGGGCAGGCGTATGGCCTTTGCTGAAAGTGTGGTGTTCATGGTCGGCGGTGCTGGCTACGTCGAGTATGGTAATCTTGAGGAATGGGCTGGGAGAACAGGGAAGAGGGTCACCTATGGCGGCACTGAAATTCTGGACCCTGGAGGATTTGTCGAAATTCTTGAGACCCTCGGGAAAGCAGGAAGCGTTTGATGATATCTTGTCCCAAGACTAGCATTTTACCTTTGAGATGGGCGGATCTCGGTTTCAATATTAATTCCCTTTCAGTTACATAAATGAGGTCATAGATACATTTGATAATATGATACAATGAGGATCCATGGAGTCCTTTGTTTACTTTTTTCTGTTATTTTGCATGGACAAAATCTGGACAAGTCGGATGCTATGATAGATGTCAGAAAGATAGTTATAACAGGTAAGCAAATGCACGCACAATATGTTGATCATGTCCAACTCAAGGCCGAGGGCTTCATTTATGGGATCAACCATCATTCTGCCTTGCTCAACCATGCGGGCGTGGAGGAGAATTTTCTGAGTACTAAGGACATTGTCAGAGCAATATTTAGAGTTGCTGGGTATTGCTTACTCGTAGAGCACGAAAGCACCGAACAGTGCCAATCCGCCATACAGAGAGATAGTTTCGGTGACAGCTAGACCACGCATACCAAGAGGCAGAGCCATCGGTGCTAAAGAGCTAAGTGCGACAACAGTAATACCGGCTAGGAGGGGACCGCCCAGGTTTAGATACTTGTCGTTTCTAAAACGAGAGTGAGAAGTGCAACAAGGAATGCGTCAGAGCTTACGTCGCAGTAGCCCCGACATAAGAGAGCGAACCAACAATTCCGCAAGTGTACAATGCCGCTCTCGACAGAATGGCGGGGGAAAAGAAGAACATTGGGCTAAGAGTGGCAGCTTGGCATACATTGAAAGCCTAGGATATAATGTGAATACAGATTTCCACTGATTAAGAAGAACACTTGCCCCCCAGAGGAGGTGCTTCTGAACAGTGTTTTCTGGCGATGTGTACATGGTGCCCATCATAGTCCCAATACCTCCGACTAAACTGACACCCAACACCAGCCCTGTTGTGCAGTCAGAAAACAGCTCAGCAAAAGAGAGCAAAAGACATACAGGGATTAGCAGTCATCACTCGGACAGCAAAGCCTGATTTGAACATAGCCCTAGCGGTGAGGGCAGTGAGGACGAGTCCTGCACCTGTGTATTTGAAGCTGTCGTGCAGCAAGGCCTGCTCTCCGGCTGACAACCCATCACGAGTCTCTCGATTCAAAACGCCTTCAATAACAACCACAGCTCCGGCGACTCCGGCCTAGGCAGGATCAACGAGGTGAGTTAAGATGTTTGAAGAGACAACCTACCGCCGTCAATGCGAATCTCCGCCACGAAAAGGCTTTTGAAGTCTGAATTGTCGGGGAGTCGGACATGTAGGAGCGCGAGGATGACAATAGGCTTCCTCGGGAAAACAGATTGGAGCGCTTCTGGAGCGTTTGAAGTACGCCATTAGTCCTGAAGCTGCTGAATTGACGAGCTGCAGGCCAAATTGGTTGGCGAGCTTGCCGTGCAAAATTTGCGAGGAAGAAAGGACGAGCGGACGAGGATAAACCGACACGCAACATGGTTATGGTGGCGGTAGAAGACTGAGACAGCAATGTCCTTGATGACAAGCTATATAGGAATTTTTGGAAGAGGAAAGTTCAAGAACGTTTGCCGGCGGACATGTGTCACAGGTGACGGACGTTTCCGGCTCATCTCGTAATTACAGCATCGTCATCCACAATACTACTCATTAATACAGATTGAGAGCATCGATCCTATTTACATCGAAGACAACCATCCTATGCGATTCAAGGGATACTGCCACATGATTGATTTTACCCTTCTCATACTCCTGCCAATCTATGTCAAATATTCCTGGTCTGTCAAAGCCTGAATACCAAGACCACTTCTTCTCTTGATCCTGTTCAATCAATAAGTTTTTCTAAAAAGCACAAGGACAGAAAAGAGTACGAACTCGAACATCATATATATTCATCCAGCCATCGCCACCTCCAGCGGCAAATAACGGTCCACCTGGAGCAGCAGTAATCACATACACGGGCCGGCGCCAGTCTGAGAACACTTTCAGGCAGTCGCCGGTATCTGGATCCCACAATCGCGTCGAGCAGTCGAATGAGCCACTAAAATAATCTAACCATGCAAGGTCACAAAGACGAGATTCAATAACTTACGTGGCCACGTACACCCGTGACATTTTCTCCTCAATCCAAGCCATGGTGGTCACAGCGTGCTTATGACCATTAAGTATAACAACCTGGTCGGAAGCTCCCAAGCCAGGAATACTGTCCGTCGATAGATTTGTGATGTTCCATAGTCGGCCCGTTTTATCATCTGAACAGGATGCTAGACCGGTCCCGGAAGCATTCACTACTATCTGGTTAATTTCATTGGTGTGCCCACTGTAGATGGGTCCATGAAGAAGAAATATGGAGGAAAAGATGAAAGGAACATACGTGAGAGACTTGATTGGCATGGGATCATCGACGCTTAATACGTGTATATTCTTATCAGCCCCGCAGCTTGCAAACATAACATCGTTTATCCATTCAACATCAAGGACACAGTCTGATACGACTATTAGCATGTAAAGTAAGCGGCTAATGAGTCTTACCTCTATGACATCGATACTCTCTTAGCAATGTCTTTGCCTTAACGTCCCATAGACATGATGATCCATCAAGGCTTGCAGATAATAAATACCGACCGGATGGGGAAAAGCGAACAGTAAATATAGGATCCTAGCAACGAGACCGGAAAGTAAATATGCTTAATAAATAAATCATATGCACGTACGGTATGTTTCTCCAGGGTAGCATAAATCTCTCCCGTGGCTGTTAATATTCGAAGCAGAGAGTCATAGCTACCAACAGCAAGGAATGTCCCATCCTTATTCCAGTGCATGGATGTGAGATCACCTTGTCCTCCCTTTGGAGTGAAAACAACGCTTCGCGGTATGTTTGGACGGGGGTCATCAATGGGCTCAGGAACATGCCACAGATTGACAGTAGCGTCTTTGGATCTATTTAGACGTTAGAGTAATATACTTAGACAGTCTGCAGAACACATACCCTGAGGCGAGCACATAGGGTTTCACCGGATTGAAAGCACATACGAAAACCTATACGACAGTGAATAAAAAGAGCCATCACATCATAGATAGCTCACCTCGGATTTATGACCCTCCATCGTACGAATCGCATTGGCAGGTGGTCCATCTTCATCATCAGGTTCGTAATATCGAGATTCTGTGTTTATGGCCTTTCCAGTGATGGGGGTAAGGATGGAATCCATTGGCGAGGGATCCACCTCTGGAGCTAAGGTCCGTTCAGAGCATTGTTGCCAAAGAACATTATCGAATACGCACATTGAGTAGGTCTGTCAATATCCATGTCTTCTGATCTTTTCAAGCCTTTCTCTGCGTTCTCTGAGGTGAATGTAGGTGTCGGAGTCGCCTTTGGCTTTCCAGTTGGTTGGACGTTTTCGACGGGCTTGGCAATAGTAGAGCTTTCCTTGACGACTGGAGTCAGAAGCGTTGGTACAAGTAGTGTCGTGACGACTTGTTGAGGTGGATCGGGAGAACAAACGTGGTTTTCGAGAAGCGAAAATCGAGCCCTGCAGTTCGCAGCAACCTCTCCACCTCTTATGTGGGCTTCGATGGCGGTATAAAATAGAGCCTTGGAGAGAAGTTCTGCAAGTTCTCCACGAGGAATGTGCTTCTTAAAGTTGGGTGAACGCTCGAGCTGTCCTTCTTGGCAGATATTGAAGGCGGAATGGATGAAACCTAACAGCGAGAGTTGAGCCACTCATAAGTATTCAAGAAGCCGATTACACACCACAATCCAGGAAATAAGAGTAAATCAAGCAGTTTATTTCGTCTGCCTGAATGGTAATGTTTGAAGGTAGCGGAGCCGTCATTACCTCCAGACGTTGGAGTTTCAACGAGACAAGATAGGAATGGGTGTGGCTGTACACTGACCTACAAACTGGCGTTCCCACGGCTATTCACTTCGTTTTCCTCCAGCCTTTCCGCTTTGAAAGATGCTATTTTGATGTATTGGGTATACATTGTGTAAAGAAGTAATGCAGTATTCCTATTTGCATCAGACTTTTACCGTCTACGGCTGATATACTACGCGTATTCTTTGAATGTCCACGGTGAACGTTAAACGTTGAGGCCTCTTGAACGTTAGTTGAGTTTGAGCTTCATTTCGGGAAGATCGGCCCGGAATGCCGGCTACTTACAAATGTTATCTCACCGCTTGGTACTCGCTCCTTCAACGTCGCAGCACCATGCAGCGAGAACTGCCAGATATCGATGAAGAGGTGTTCCCCGTCGGCTCTCCGCGGCCGAACTTGAACGTACTCGGCAGTACGTGAAAATACCTTTGAAGTGGATAGTGTACTCACTTCATCGTAGGGTTATTCCAACTACAGCATGGAACACTGAGATCTAATGCACAGCTGCTACAACTGCTCCAGCGTCAGCTGGATGAAGAAAATGATGACCTCGACGATGATAACGACGATGACGACTCGGACGAACCAACGGATCCCAATCAGGAGTCTTGGCGTGGACCTGCTACAGAGCCTCAAGAAGCCGGAGTAGAATTGCTCAATAGCGGAGAGTACGGTCGTATTACCCCCAAGATTCATGCCAGGAGAGGCGAGCGGAACCTTGTCAAGGCTATCCTGAATCGGTTCACCGCACCTCGGTCGACCTTATTCAAGGAAGACCTAGCGACTGTAAGGAGTACAGGATCCAAACCGTGAAGATAAGATCTTAATGTTTTCATCATCATAGAATCTTGTCCCCAATTCAAATGGCTCAGCGATGGCATCATATAACTCAAATATCTATACGGCACAATATTCCACAGGTATTATATTCCGCTCATGTTTAGCTCGCATCGGTCTCACGTTAGCCAGATTCGTCATTCTACTACACGTGCTCTCAAGACTTCCGGCTGTACATATACGACTCGTCAGCACCCACGTTCTCACCAGAAGACCGTCGGGCAGCACTCTCTGACAGCTCTGTCCAGACTACAATGAATATCAAGCGCAGAATTCGAGGGCATCCCGGTAGATGGACTATAACAGATGCGAATCTATCTCCTGACAATCAGAGGATGATTTATTCATCATTGGTGTGTAATGACGAACACAACATCTTGGACCCCGCTAACGGTTGCTACTAGACGTCTACGGTGTACATGACCAGCACTGTCGACGACAATCCCACGCAAGTTCCTATCCCTTTTGCGACTGCCCGAACCCGGCACCGTGATTCGTGGAATTACGTAGACGAGTTCAATATCTATGCTTGTAGGTTTTCCGCAGATGGAAATGAGGTCATTGCTGGTGGCGGCAGGTTGATCTCTGTATATGATTTGTTGGCCAATCGTCGAACTGTTCAAATAAAGGCCCACACCGACGACGTCAATAGCTGTTGCTGGGCTGATACAGCATCTGGAAATGTCCTTGTCAGTGCATCCGATGACTGTTCCCTAAAAGTCTGGGATCGGCGGTCTTTAGGAGCGACACCAAAACCTTCAGGTGTTCTCATGGGGCACACCGAAGGAATAACCTATGTGTCAGCAAAAGGAGATGGAAGATATGTTACATCCAACGGCAAAGATCAAGCACTACGGTTATGGGACTTGCGCAAAATGCGAAGTAGCTTAGATTATGACAATGCTGGGCATCGCACCTATGGTTTCGACTTTGACTACCGGTAAGTACACATTCCATTGATATCATCATACATTATTCATGTGGTACAGATATCCACCGTATCCCAAGCCGAAGCGTCAAGCGCATCCTATGGATTGTAGCGTTATGACTTACCGAGGGCACAGCGTACTAAGAACGCTTATCAGGTGTCATTTTAGTCCTGCGGAGACTACAGGTTCGCAATACATCTATTCCGGTTCAGCTGATGGAAAGATACATGTACGTTTCTGGACACTGTACTTAACACATATTGCTCAACAGTTGAGATCATTAGATATGGTCCCTTGATGGTACTGTTGTACAAATTCTTGACCGTAATGAGGCGTTGCCCATGGGTCACGATCCATCGGCACCCGAAAGGCTGAGTCCGCACTGCCACACCAATCGTCGTGTCTGTGTTCGCGATGTCAGCTGGCATTCGCAGGTGGGACTTCCGACATCTCATTTTACCGTTTGTTAAAGCACCTACTAGGAGCCTGTGATGATGAGCGCGGGATGGGATTCAGGACACGGTAGTATCTTAGCGAAGCATGAATGGAAGGGATTGTCCAAAATGAACGGGTCGTTGGAAGATTGGGTGACAAAAGAGGATTCCGAAAGGCGCGCAATGGAGAATGTCCGGCACTCTTCTAGGCTTGGGGCTCAGCGGCGAAGAGATTTCAATCTAATTCCGGGAGCCTACGTGGATGATGATGAAGACGAGTACTATTAGTATGCTCTTATCTCACCATTGTAATACTGGTAGTCGCCTTGTTGTAGAATATATGTAGGATGGATCAGGAAGCATACAGTCACTTTGAGGCGCATAGCCACAGTGAACCGCATCTTGAACAGCTTCTACTATGACTGCCGACTCGAAAACGAATGGCTTTCCCGATGGATACTTCATCATTCGTGCTGCTGCTACAAAGCGCCTGTTAGATGTGGCTTGCGATGCTATCGAAGATGGAACTGAGCTTCTGTTGTACCCAGAGAAGGAGAAGTCGCTAGTCGAAAGTAGGCGCTGAGGGCCTAAATGTGGCTCATGAATGCAGACCTTTCTAACAATATTTTTAGGTCGAAGGAATCCAGATGCTAATAACCAGGCTTGTATTAATTGTTAACATCGAAGGAGAGCTCTAATCTGTACCATGTTTCACCTGCTAGGTGTTTTACATAGATACATCCGGCGCGCTGTGTTCAAGGTCCTCTGGGCATGCTCTTGATATTGAAGGTAAAGGCACACTATGTTTCTAAGGCATCGCTCACACTTGCTATCTTATAGGTGACCGTCTGGTTTTGCGCCATCGACGCCCGATTTCTCTTCCCTTTCCTAATTCATATTCTCATCCTCTCCCAAAATTCTCATATGATCTTCAAACTAAAGAGATCTATGTGAACTTTTCTTGCGACCCAGCATTCCCTCCGCCTTCGTCTTTCCATTCAAATGCGTGGAAAGACAAAACGTACCTCCTGGCAGCTATCCCTTTGCACAAACCCCGAACGATCATCGATGATGCTTCTCAATTCATCCATTCTGCTCTGACCTCATCATTTTCGCTATTCCAGTCAACAAGCCCTACGCATTCTACTCCCGAAGATGTGTACAAGAGTGGAGTAGATTTAGGTGAAGATGAAGTTGTAGAAGAGGAGCGCGGGGAGGAGGGCGAGGTTGACGATTCTCCCGAGCCTAGCAGGAAAATCAGGATGCTCTCTGTCGCCGACGCGACAATGGATGACTCGAGTTTGGTAGAGAAAGCAAAGAACCGTCGGAGGTGGCAGATTGAGCCACTTAGGGTTGCCAATAAGCGCACCGGCGTGTGAGTTTACTATTCAACATTTCAGTGTCTGGTTTGTACGTCCTTGTAAGTAGGATATGAGCAGTATAATATTCCGCTTCATGATTCTCGGTCCGCATTTTACCGCAAGATCGGAAGGAAGACGGAACAATAATCAATAACTTCAAGATAACTAGATAGCCACGGCCAATAAGCCGTTCAAGTGGCCTCAGGACTACCATGATGACCTTGACAGCAACGCTTGTAATAGTTCTAGTTGCCTCAGTCTCTGCTCACCAAATACCACTTTCAGATTATGGCGCAAGCAGAGACTTATCTTGGATGGAGAAATATGGCAAGCCCATTGACCAACCATTTTCGGGACCTCTGTCGTTCTCGCGCTTGCCCTACACGCACTGTCTAGAAGATGAGGATGCGACTTTTGATATTGCAATTCTCGGGATGCCTTTTGACACGGGAGTATCCTACAGACCAGGGTGAATTTTGGGCTATGTCTTTGCACGAAGGGCTTTATATAGAACACTTGTAGACCACAGGGCGCGATTTGGACCTTACTCTATCAGATCTGGGAGTCGACGCCAGCGAGAGGCTCGTGGATACACCATGGCCTGGGGAAACAATCCTTATAATCACGGTATCAAGATTGTGGATTGTGGAGATGTACGTTGCCTCCATTCACGGGAATGTCGTTTGTTCCAAGTACACCTTTTACTTCAGGTTCCTGTTAGTCCATTCGACAACGCCCTAGCTGTAGATCAAATGGAGGTCGCATACTCGACCCTCCTGAAGCGACCGGCGCTCAGCTCGACTGAACTGCATCCTCGTCCCCCCCGCATAGTCAGGTTCGTGTGACGCTTCTTCTTCAGCAGATTTGAATTGAGCTATTGTTTCGCAAGCTTGGGAGGAGATCATACCATCGTACGACATCCGAATTTTCGAATTAGTAAACTCTGAATCCCCTCAGGTCCTCCCCATTCTTCGGGCTCTGCACAAAGTTCATGGACCAGTTTCTGTAATTCATTTCGATGCTCATTTGGTAAGTCCAGCGGGTGTCTATAATTTTTTTTTCGTGGTTAACAGTGCACTAGGACACCTGGCCGAGTTATGCTGGACAGACATCCGAACAATCGCGCGTAACTCATGGGACATTCTTCTATCTTGCCCAAGAGGAGGGATTGATGGGAAATAACAGCATCCATGCTGGTATTCGCTGCAAGTTGGGCGTGAGGAGGACCCATCAATATCTACCGGGTGCCTCAGCTGACGGATTGACTTCAACAGGGCGTGGAAGATTTAGAGAACGATGAGGAAATAGGGTTCCGGGTCATATCTACTGATGATATAGACGATATCGGTGTTTCTGAAATCATCAAGCGTATTCGAAGTCGGATCGGAGATAGTCCAGTATATCTAAGGTTAGTGATGTCCTCATTCCATTCTTCTGCTTGCTTATATCAATGAGTTTTTCAGCTTGGATATCGATGTGATAGGTATGCAACACTGTCTCAATCAAACTTGAATTAATCGATCACAATGTAGACCCTGGTCTCGCCCCCGCAAGTGTGTCTATACGCTGCATCGACCTCGTTGTTACCTTCCCACTAATATTCAACCTAGCTGGAACACCCGAGGCGGGAGGATGGACGACGCGTGAAGTAAAGCGCATTCTCCGAGGGCTTGCCGGCTTAAATTTTGTGTGAGTACGGCACGTATTTTGAATCAACTTGCCGACCATTCATTACAGCGGTGCTGACATTGTCGAAGTATCTCCTTCATATGATCACGGTTAGTCCTTAAAGCTGATATGAATCATTTATCATCGTGCTAATTGTCTGCATAGCCGATATCACTGGTATTGCTGCCGCGGATCTCGTCCACGACTTCCTATCGATGCTGATATCCACCAGCCCTCCCAAATCTGCCCACAGCAGCCGGCACAGAGACGAGCTGTGACAAATGAGTAGGTCCTGTACATTCATGTTACAGATCGTCACAGCGGGGGTATGTACGCATATTATGTAGATACAGCAAAGAATAGATGTGCAAAAAAGAAAAGCGAAGTGTCTGTCGTGAATAAAAATATCATGTTTTCAACGTCTAGTTCTTCCCGCTCCATCCTCCAGGGATCAGTGCCGATCCAGCCTCATAGCCAGGTGGAGGACTATCATCATATTGTTGTGACGACGTTGACATATGCGCCCGAGGTCCCATCGGACTTGTTTGCCTTTCTGCAGCTGCAGGTACGACGGTATTTATGTGGGAAGGCATTTGAGGGTTTGGCTCAGCATACGAGAGATATGAATGTTCTTGTGTGTGCTCAGGAAGAGGAGGCAGGCTGTTCTGCCCATATCCATCTCCTCCTAAGGTGTAGTTTCGCTCCTGCGCTGGAACGGCCACGGGGGCAGGATAATAGTGAGGTTGTGATGACATCGGTGGGGGGCTTGTTGTGTAGTTTCGGATACCATAAGGGTCGCTGTACTGTTGCTGAGCCTGGGGATGGACTTGAGATGATGCAGCGTCGTATGCATCATACTGCGAGTACGCAGATGGATACTGCTGGTGGGCAGCAGGTGAATGGTCTGACAATTTCGTCAAAGATACGTAACGTTGATCCAGCTAGAACTTACAAGTCGTTCCTCCCAATGTAACAGGCGAACCATAGCGATCAGGGTGTTGTTGGGGATGTGTGGAAAGATACTGGTTGTTAACGGGCGGGTTATGTGTAGGCGACGAAGGTTCAGGAGCCGCATAGGTATAGGTCGATGCAGCATACGTTGAAGGAGCATAACCCGTGTTACTGCTACCTTGGCGACGCGGCTGGGGTTGGGGTTGGGGCGGATACGACGTAGTTTGGGTTGGATTGTAGTATTCGTCTACAGCTCGAGAACCGGCAGGCGCCTGAACATAGCCACCTCCAACGTATCCACCCCCCTGGACCGGCCTGCCGCCGTATCCGCCTGGCTGGAGGGTGTTGGATGCAGACTGGTCGCGATATGGTTGTTCAACGATTACGTTGTCACCGTCAACGCGAGCAGTGAGAGGCTGCGCCTCAGGCAGAGGTGATAACCCGATTTCTTTCTGTTGCATAGCCTTCCTGTCAGCCTCTGCCTTGACAGCATCCAAACGCATCTGGTCGTCGTAGTCTCCGTTCTCGCGATCTTTGCGTCTACCCCATTCATCTCTAGGCTTACGCTTTGAGATACAACAGCGACCGATGGTGTAGAAGCATCCGCTAAAGAAGAGGAGTAGCCATGCGGCTAGTGTCAGCCAAATGGCGGTTCCAATTGAAGCTGTTCCCACAGAGTTTATACGTGCTTTGGCGACGAAAAAAAGGACAAGGTCGAAGATGAATGCAATAAGTGCGACGGTAGCGGCGAAGCCCGAGACACAGGTGCTGCAGCAAGTCATGGACATTTCCCGTACGTGTGCTAGGAGGCCAAAGAAAGCTGATATGGCGGCGAGACATAAGGCAACGATGTGAAGAACGAGGGCGTATGTTATCCATTTGACAGCGACATTGGGAATATCGATGGGCAGCTCATTTCCAACAAGACTGTTGATATCTTAACAGCAAATTATTGGTCCCACAAGCTTAGGGTGCAATGGAATGTCTCACCGAGTTCATACCCAACCGATGCCTTTGAGCAGGTGGTACCGTTGGACAGGTCCAAGCAGTATCCTAATGTACCAAAGGTGATGGTACCATTGTATCCATCCTCTGATATGCTTGCCTTGAGAAAGTATACAGACTTTAATAAGGGAACGCCGAATGAGACGACTGCGAGAAGGATTGTGGCAACGAGGGTGCAGATGAAACCTGGCGTCGCAGGGCGCAGGATAGCCATGTTTATCGACGACGAATGACAAAGGAGATATGCGATGGAATAGAAAAACGAAAGAGCAGTTGGATGGTAGTAGGCGTATTGACTATGAAGGGGCGATACTCCAGCACAGCCCTGCACGCCTGTATGCCAAGGATGGCTATTGCCGGACATGCCGAATCCAAACACTGCAAGAATGTCTCTTTCATCTTCAAAAGCGCAGACGACGCTGTGCGAGGGCGAGGGCGAGGGCGAAGGTGCAGCTACAAGTCAATCTGGCTGCTGCCTCTGGCGATTCCACGACCACAACTGCAGGGATGCAACCTCTTTATTTTTAAGTGACGCAGACCGACGAAATGTCCGTAGACGGAATTTTGAATTGCTCCGACTCGCACTGTCTAGATGTCTCTAGGATCTTTTCTTCGTCCTTTCTGGCTAGCTTCGGGCATCGTGCGCGGGGAGCTCTGACAAACGATGCATTACCACGAACCACGGTAATTTCTTTGTCCCATGTCTTTTGACCGTTGATATCGCCACGATTCTCTTTGCCTCAATCTCTTCCCTCGCAAGCAAAGGCACCTTCTGAGCTGATAATCTGTCACCGGACATATGGTGACGGTCTCTCAGTTTTGCGTATAGAGCCCGAACGCTGCATTTTCCGATCAGATTGCGAATCCGGGTAGCACACCAAAAATAACCAACAGCGGCCAACCAAGGCGTCGAGGAGTTGCGACTTGCGGATATCAATCTTGTTATCCGATCCCCTTTGCTTACCACCAGTATATAGGACACATCCGACAGCCGCCCTTGCTGTTGCCGAAGTCGATGTGAAGCGCTCCAACGTTAATGGAGTCAATAATACACAAGATCTCTATGCGTGTGGCTTGCTTCATTTTGGCTTTCTGGGGAGTTTATCTGGTGCGTCAACCATTTCGATTTCAACCAAGTTACCTCACTTACAATATCCTCTTCAGAGCACCGTGGCCGTGCTCTTAACAGTTTTAACCCCTTCTTTCTTGCGCCCACGCTCTCACCTTGTCTACTCGCTCGAGCGTCAACTACGCAGACGTCGTCTTCGCCATCGCCATCGCCATCACCCCTACCTCAAGAGACGGTCTCGTGATATCTCCTCGGATCATACTTTAATTGACGAGACGACGAGCAAAGGGCGCGATCAAGTCCCGAGTCTTGCCTTCATTCCTCACCACGTTCGAGTTGGGTCTATACAATCAGGATCATCGCTGCATACCACCTCCACTGACGACACATTCTTCACTTCCACCAATACTTCATCAGAACACCTCTCTCATTGCCGTACATTCTCCATGAAACGCTCCTGTTGCAGAAAGGATTCACGAAACTCTCCTCCACGCCCCAGTAGCCCCCTACCGCGGTCCCCTTATTCCAGATTCAAATCTTTTTTTAAACATGACAACACAAAGTCGTGCGTCCAAGGTATGAACACACATTCAATGACTAGCTCTGTACTAAGCAGTGCCACAGGGAACATCAAGCCACGTTCGGTCCTGTCCATCCAGATTTTCGATAGGTATCCTGACACGCCGAACGGCCTATCTCCAGACCCCCCTTTCTCCAGAGTACCCATGACCCGCAGCAACAGTTTTCCTTTGTCGGATCCAACTAATAAGATCAGGTCTAAATGGCGGTGGAAACTCCTTCCTCGAGCAACCGACACGAGACATTTTTACTAACGACTCTTCATGACTCATTAATATTTTTATTCCTTGTCATGTCTTGCATTTATTCATCATTATATACATTATACACCGGATTCAAAACTGATTGTACGTGTTGTGGGCGGATCAAATTGCAACTGAAACGACGTACTGAGTGACTTCCCTTGTTTACTACAAGTCGCAACGTGAAGCTGTACGCGCGGCCGGTCGTGATTGACAATCATGATTATTTCTTCCGCGGAACGGATTCCCCACAACGCTGGCTACTTGCTCAAAAATTTCTCTATCCGCTGAGATTTGACAGCCTGCATGCAAGGCTGAACTTGAAGCGGTTGCAAGGAATGGTCGACGTAATCTCGGTAACGTACACGAATTTTTGCGGGCGGCGAAACTGACACATCTACTCCAGGTCCGTCGTTTTAAGTACTGCGACATCACGTAAGGATCGGAAGCCCGGAATGGAGAAGCCCAATACATAAGACGATCGCGACAAACCTGGTCGTTTCCCACACACTTTTGTTGTTAACCACCACTGCCATGATCTATTCTCGCACCTAATATCACCACTTAATTATCATACAACACCTTCGTTCTTTCGCCAATTCTGTGTTTCAGGTCATCCCGAACCCCACTGGCAATGCCCATTTATCTTCCCCGCAGTGATATGGAGTCTATTTTTCGAAAGGTGTTCATGTTGAGCGTCAGTTTCCTGCTGGCCTCAGTTGGGTTTTCTCTGGTAAGTGATAAAGTGCTGATGACCAAGGCAGCTCCTGATGTCATTCTTACAGAGCGTGGTTTCATCCTTGTTGGGCATGTTCTTCCCTGATATACAGGAGCGGCCTCCACGTCGTAAGGACCCAATCCGCGTGTCCAGAAGGAAAAATCCTCATCGACATCAAAACCGTGACCGATCTTGGTCTCCGGATCAACATGGCCTCGTTACAGAGGAGGCCCGGCCCGTTTTCAACCTCCTCGTACAACCTATTGACAATGTCACTTATGACGACCTGATTGTCACAGAACCAACTGAGCGAGGACTTAGCGAAACTTTATTGAGTGATGCCTCCGGCCTGGGGTCATCGCCACCTTCACAGCCTTCCCGCGCATCTATGTCACCCTCCGAGTACTCAGAACGCTCAGAGTCGAGCGCTCAGACGTATGATTTCCCTATAGTATCGAGCGAGGAATCATCTCCTCATCATAATTCGCACATGCATGGTTTCCGTATCAGACGGACGTGGAAAAAATCGAAATCCTCCATTCCAATGCCTTCTTCGACGGAGCTGCCCATTCTTAATAATCCGTCAACAATTAAAAAGTCGAAAACGTTCAACAAAAGCCCTCGTACGGAGAAAAAAGGTAAGCGGCAATCCTATCCGGATGACTTACAAACCTGACATATGCTAGGCATCTGTAAGGCGAGGTCATTCTGTGTCATGGAGAGGGAAAAGACTCCGAAACCACCGACTCCCCGTCCTCGTACACAACCATATGAAGCACCGTATTTTACACCACTTCCAGGTTCCGGGCCTATTTTGTCTGTGCCTAAGACTAAGCCGGTTCGTAGCAGTACGCTACCACCTCCGTCAAATCGAGCCGTCACCACTTCCACACCATTTACATCAGCATGGACTACTTAACGTTTCAAGTAAGAACGTTCGCTATCATTTGCTATGGGCATTTCAGTTCAACATAATCGCTTAGCTTCGTTCATTATTTATTCCTAGCTCATTTTAATTTCGAAGGAAATTTAGGCTCATTTATGGCATCGAGACCATATGGTGCTACGCGTTCGTTGCATAAAAATGTACTTGTATTGGAGTAGTATTTGTATCATCATCTTTGTTTCTTGACAATGAGCGGCCAATAGTCGTTAACCCAAACGGGGATAGTTGCACAGCCACATCTTATCTTTCCTTGATAAGATCGACATGGAAGAGTTGATCATGGCTCATTTTCACTAGTTACACTCTAACGCCCACTACCCCGTTGGCCTCACGATGGATGTGCCCGTAGATCCTCTTTTAAAAGCGCCTTTCCCACAACGACCTGGCTCTCGAATTGACATGGACGTTGATACTAAGCCCATTGTTGGATCGTCATCGTCGTCTGTGGCTCCTAGACCAACCCCTCCTCTTCCTCATCCTGGGCACATCGACAGTCCTCCACCAAAGCCGAAAATTCCGACACAATCTATTGGTGAAGATGCCTCACCTCCCTCGCGTCTTTCTCCTGGTCCAAAAGTAAAGTCGGGGACACCGAAGCCACTGACGCCGACCCTACGTCCGGGTGAAGCTGCTGCAGGACCTTCTTCTGGGCCAAAATCACCTGAAGCTGGGAGGCCGTTGAACGTCACGGATGCGCTGAGCTACTTGGATGCAGTAAAGGTTCAGTTCCAGGACAAGCCAGAGGTTTACAATCGCTTTTTGGATATTATGAAGGATTTCAAAAGCCAAGTGTGCGTCGTGATATTATTTGATTCTGGCCTTCTCACTCATCACATCCTCGTAGTATTGATACTCCTGGTGTCATACAACGGGTGTCGCGTCTATTCCATGGGAACCCTTCGCTTATCGGAGGATTTAACACGTTTCTTCCAGCTGGTTATCACATAGACGTATCTGCAGACCCCCTTGATCCGAATACAATCACCGTCACTACTCCGCAGGGAACGACGACACAAAGCACCAACAATTTTGGAATCGCCAGAATACAGCCTCCCCGCGACATTCCAGGGTTTGGCCCTAACCTCGCTCATCCACTTCCATATCCTCCTGGCATTGCCCCGCCTCTCTTGCCTCCGCTCAGCTCTCGTTCGATGACCCCACAAGCCTACCATCTCTCCCATGTTACTCCACAATTCGATCCCAACTTTTCCCCAGGATTTCACCAAAGCACGCAGACAAATGCGGCCGCATCGCTTCTAGGGAACCTGAATAACAAGAATGCCGTGGAGAAACAACCACCAGGAGAGTTCAACCATGCGATACAATACTTGAACAAGATAAAAGCGAGATACTCGGATATCCCTAACACGTACAAACAATTTCTCGACATCCTTCAAACATACCAGAAAGAGCAAAAGCATACCCAAGAGGTGCGCGTGTGTTCCTCGTATCTTTCTCATCGAGGTCTTGAGCATGAGTTTTAGGTTTACTCCCAAGTCCGGGTCTTGTTCAAGGATGCTCCCGACTTGTTGGCGGAATTCAAAGACTTTCTTCCCGAGGTAGTTCCTCCTCAGAACGGAATGGTGATCGTTCCTCAGCCATCTGGGAGTCAAACGATGTCGGCCTCACAAGCGTGGAACCCCCCCGATTCTTCATCAAGTTCTCCCGATAAAGCTGTCAAGAAACCTGGGCAGCCTCTGAAAAGAAAGAAGCGCGCGGTAGAGAAAGATACGACCCCAGTCCCTCCAACGAAGGTAGTGCCTACCAGGGTCTGTTTATTCATCTTTCGTGGCCTGGGCAGATTGATCTTACCTGTTTCGTAGGCCAAGAAACCTAAACATCACCATAAAGACACTGGTTCTCCTTCATTCTCGCCATATATGGGCCCATCATCGCCCCAACCCACTCACACCCACGGTCATGTACACCCACCGAACCCTCAATTACCTCCGCCTCCTGTACCTCATTCGCACCCTATGCAACCTCCAATATCTACCCATTCCATTTCAATGTCATCCGCCCCGGCATCTGCAGATCGCCTTTGGTTCTTTGACCGTGCGAAGAAGGCCCTAGAAAGCCGAGAGATGTATGAGGAATTCTTGAAGCTCCTCAAAGTGTTTTCGAACGAGATTATCGATGTCAAAACATTGATTGACCGGAGCCGGGCCTTTTTGGGCGATGGAGAATTGATGACTGAGTTTAAGGAATTAGTGGGGTGGGATTCTCGACAAGAAAAGGTCGAAAATGGTCCCCCGGGGAGTATCCGAACAGGTCCTCCAGAGGCACTGTCGGCGCTACCTGTTGACGATGGAGAAGGTCCCAGTTATCGGAAACTCCCTGACAGCGTGAGTTTTGTGTGACTTCTGCGAGTCGTGTTATTGATCTCCATAACTCAACAGGAGGTGCGCTTGGCATGTTCCGGTCGTGACGAACTTTGCCGGTCTGTCCTCAATGACGAATGGGTTTCGCATCCTACGTGGGCTTCCGAGGAAGCCGGTTTCGTGACTCACAAAAAGAACTCCTTTGAGGAAGCCCTTCACAAGAGCGAGGAGGAGCGACATGAATATCATGTTCAACTACAGGCTCTCACGGCCACCATCGCGGTTTTGGAACCCCTTTGCGCACGAATCGAGGAGATGACAAGCGAGGAACGGTCATTGTTCAGACTTAAGCCGAATCTTGGTGGGTCGGGACGCTGTCTGTACGAACGTATCATCAAGAGGATCTACGGCCGTGACAACGGCATAGAGATTCTGAGAGCTCTGCAAGAGAACCCCGGTGTCGCCGTACCAGTTGTCCTTACCCGGCTGAAGCTAAAGGACGAGGAATGGAGACGGGCACAACGTGAATGGAGTCGAACCTGGCGCGAGGTTGATTCGAAGAACTTCTACAAGTCTTTGGATCATCAGGGGATCAGCTTCAAAGCGAACGACAAAAAGAATATCACCGCGAAGCACTTTGTGGCCGACATAGAGACAATTAAAGGTCAGCAGACTGCCGCTGAGCCGCAAGATCACATCCCTGCATTTGCTGCAGGCTCCGTTGGGCCGCAACTTGAATATTCTTTCGAGGATTCTGTCGTCTTACATGACTGTTTGAAAATGATCTTTTCGTTCTTAGATCGCTCACAGGGCCAGTACAGTCAGCCTGAGCGGAGGAGTGTGGAGAAATTCGTCCGGACTTTTGTGCCAGTCCTGTGTATGTATCCTCTGGCCGAGTTCAACGACGCGTGTGGACCTCCGGACGGCATTCTTGATGATGCCCATGAACGTGGCGATGTGAGCAGAGGTGGTAGGAGGTCAACAGGCAGTGTCTATTCTGTCTACTCGAATGGGATTGTTGCGGAAGACTTGCGGAAGAAACTTCTTCGGACGGTGCAGGAGAGGACATCTACTGGAAATCCCAGAGGATCAATGTCAGCAGTAGGATCTCGTGCTCCTTCACCTGCTTCGGGTCGTCATTCACCCTCTGCTCGGCAAGATGAAGAGATCACTCGAGCGCCGCCTGAAGATATTTGGATCAGGGAAACTGCTGCAACCGGTCCGGCCTCTGATCACATCGCTAACGGAGGTGAATCGGATCGGCCTTTTTTTGCAAACACAACGTTCTATACATTACTGCGTCTGTTACAGGTGAGGCCGCTCTATTTTTTGTAATCCATGTGATCGGAGGTTACTGAATGGTGCTTTCTTTATCCAGCTATTATACTCTCGTCTGCTGATGTGTAAGGAAGTTGGCCAACAGCTTGTAGCAAATAAGCATGCGCAGCTGAAGGCTAACCCTGTAGCTGTTCAGCTGGGCCTGGATGATCCGAATGGACCCGCCACATTGCTTACACAAACCCAGGACGTTCTGAACGTCCGGGAGGAAAACAATGTCGCGTATATGTATCTTTTAGATGCATGCGACAAAGTATTTTCGGGGGAGCTAGACCAAATCTCGTTCGAAGAGCACATGAGATGGTTTTTCGGAAAGAAGGTGGGTGAACGATCAGCTCCGCTCATTAAGACGCTCCAGTGAGACATTATATTTTTGTAGGCTTATCACTTGTTTACAATGGACAAATTAATTACCGCCTTGGTGAAACAGGTGCGTAGTGTATTTATGGAAATGATCAGTTGAAAAGCTGATCTATTATTGTATCCAGGTCCAGACGATTATCGGTGATTCCAAGTGCCAGGAGCTATGGTCGTTGTTGCGAAGTGCCCAGCATACGAACTCGATAACTAATCAGGATGTTGTTCGATATCGACGGGAGGCTGAGAGACACGTTGGTCAAGATGACCATCTCTATCGAATTCAATGGGTGAGTCTATATTTGGTATGCTCTATTCTTACACAGATTTCGATATGACGGTGACGGCAGATGCGAGGGACCAAAATGGTCCGTGTACAGCTCATGGCGCCCGAAGACTCAAGTGTCGAGGGAGGCAGGGATGCTGTGTCCCGCTGGCGCGAGTATGTTAACACATATACGATGCGCCATCCCACGGAATGGATACCCACGGAAAAAGAGACAAGCAGCAGGGTGTTTCTCGCAAGGTCAGAACAAAAACATTTCGCCTCGTGATTGATATTGATACACGAGCTAAACATAGGTCGATCCGGAATTCGGCGGATGGCACAGCCGTTTCAGGAGAAGGAATGATAAGTGTACGGATAAGTGTACCGACGTACAAAATCGTGTATGAAGGAGGGTCGGAAGAGGTGCTGTTTACCCGTTTGACGAGCAGTTCGTTGATAGAGCGGGCACACGCCAGGGAGGAGGAACGGAGGAAGTCCATGACTACATTGAATGCCGTATGGGAAAGCTATTTATAGATATTCAAATTTGCAGAAAACAAGTTTAATCGATGGGTATAATTTTAGGATAATAATCAGAAATGGCCCGATAAGGGGAAAAGGCCTAGTTTTCGACAAAAAAGGAGATGTAGGTTTTTGCGCTGTTGTCGTTTCGTCCTTTCATATACCTGCCTCCCCCCGTGCTGGATGAGCCAAGACCAAGGCCCCACAAACACCCATCGTGCTTGGCGCTTTAGATCTCTTTTCTCCTGTCTACTATAGTCTGTCTGGGCCTCGCGAGGCGACGACATTTATGATGTCAGGTCTTGCAGCCGGTGCTCATCCCGACTACCATCAACCATGCACACGTCGTCGTCGCGCACGACGTTCCCAACGACCCATCCACCATATTCCAGCTCCCTCATCTTCTCTTCTATCACTTTTAGCCACCCTTGTGGCATCGCTCCCGGCCGTCGACGCAAGCCCTATTCCCCTCTCTTTTCTCTGCCCAAGATATCGCCAGGATTTTGTGGCAGTTGACGAACCGTGTAGTCGCGACGTTTCCGACTCACCTACTATCCTACCAGTACCCTTACACAGGCAGCTTAGCAGTCGGACGGTTCCCATAAAGTATGAGCAGGGCTCAGACGGTCAGTGGAGACGGGTGGATACATATACGTTATATGGTTCAACGATGTGTACAGTGAGCGCTGCTGCTTCGTATATCACCACTATCTCTCCTGACACTCTCTAGTCGTGTTCCACTTCCAGTTATCAAGCTTCGTCGGGCACTTCCCAAGACAGTGCTACCACCTCAGCCTCAGCTTCCTCGTCTGACGGCGATATTCTCGACTCCCTTCCCAGCGGCTGGAGACCGCAGACTCATGAGCCGCGTACTACACTCATAGTCACCCTTTCCCTTGTGCTTGCTTTCATCATCTGCCTGCTCATCATCAGTTGCCTTTATTGGCGCAACAGGCGACGGCGCAAGCCCAAGGGAGACATAGAGATGCACACTTACAAAAGGCGGAAACAGTCAGTTCCCGACGACGAAGAGATGCTTTCTCAGGGTGGTATCAAGAAGAAGAAGAAGATATGGGCTAGGGCTACTGCCAGATGGAAAGCCAATGCCCGCCATTCTGCCAGGCAGCGACGGGGAAAGAGGGCTTTCAGTGTCAACCGATCATCCGTACAACTTGAAGCGGCCTCTCCAGAAAATGCACGCGACCCAAGGGACCTCTCGTCCGGAGCTGTGTCTCCGTGGTCTAGACATTCATCGCGTCGTTCTTCACTCACCTCAGTGGAGGGTACGCAGCCAGTCACAATAGCCACCCCCACTGAATTTGCCGACGTTTCTCATGCATTTCCTCCAGATCCAACGGTCTTAGAAATACCGCCGTCATCTCCTCCTGCATATCAACATCCCTCTCGCCTATCTGTGCCTCAGATTAATATTTGCACCTCAGGTCTAGCACTGCCTTCGGACGGTTCTGCATCCTCCATTTCCTCCCCTCTAACTCCATACTATTCTAGACAACCACTTCAGTCCTCGGGTGGTCATCGGTCTTCTAATAAGGACTCAGAAGAGCCAGGCTATTCGCCATCCGTCCATGCGGCACATGTGGCCACTGATGACAAGGCTCTTCTCCAAAGACTCACTCAATCTGCAAGTTCACCTCCCCAGGATGGTAACATTCTGGGGCATAATCAGGAGTCATCTGCACCTGCTTGGCAGGATGAGCAACTGGACGCCTTTATTGACGGGCACAGGACCCCTCGCTTTGCCGGTGATGGTCCCTTTCCAGTGTCGAGCAATTCACTCTTCCCTGCTCCACCAGACCCTTTATCATCCAAAGGGAAAGCGGTTGCTGCGGAGTACTACGATTACGATTACTCGTATTCGACTTTCGATGAAGATATGCAGTCTCTCGAACCAGAGCTCGGACCTTCTGCACCTCCTTTCGAGGCGGTAACTAGTGATTCTCCGGTAGAGTTACACGAACTAGTACCTTCTGCCCCACCGCCGGAGACTGATGTGGATGGTAACGATATAGCTGAGGCACTGCGCAAAGATGAAGCGCCTTTCTACGAACGTCAGGGCGTAGCCGGGGAGACTCAGCTGCCCCTGGAAAATGTTGGTGAAGACTCCTCCCAGGTTCCTCCGCACTATCACTCTTGATACAATTTTTTTCATCCAAACCAGGACGAGAGCAACTTATTTACCATTGATCACATCAGCTCATTTTCTGCGGGGTGGGAAAGTTAAATTGGCATAGTATCTTTAGCAGCATATGTAGTTTTAGCATGCAATACAGCACAGGTCCATAGCGAAGTAGTTCGAAAGAAATCAAGGTAATTGGATCCGATTTGCAGCCTGAGATACTTACGTATGAGCCCAGACCTATACTGTTGTCCTCACGTTTTCGTTGACAAGTTTTGAAAGACAGTTCCGAGACTGGGTGGGACCAAAGTGACTGAGATGGGAAAAATATAAAGTTCTGTTGTGTGGCGGGCGTCCGGCACCGTCTTTGCAACGGCTTGTGACCCGACCATCGTGGGTGCAACGCTTATGTATAGACTAAGATCTGGAGTCAGTAAAAGCAAGAAAACGTTCCTGAGATCTATTAAGAGCCTCACGAGGGTCTTAATTCCAGTTCCGCAGAGTCGCAGTTCCCCCGCTTATAGAACACTGATACACAAAAGTGTACTCTGCGGTCGTGTTCATTCTAAGATTGGATTCATTCATCAGATACGTCGGAAAATGAACAGCGGCAGGGCGGACCGTTAGTAGTGCACTAGAGTTTGGTTTCGGGAATGGTTGCCTTGCTACATTGCTAGGGGGATTACACGTCTCTGTTGAGTTTTTATCTTCCCATCATCGTTATCCCATCGGGGGCCCTCATTACAGTACCAACTATTACAGCTGGAACGTCAGTACCGACATACATCGTGGACAAAAGAGAAAGACAGATCATGTCGTACTTGTAAGAAATACAAATATTTTCGGAAACGCTGTCTAATAAAATCACCGCATCCAGCATTTGGCTGTATTTGGTTCACCAAGCCCGTCAGGTCCGCAGTGGCGGTGCACCTTGGCTGTGGGAAGATGCTGCCTGATCTTGTAGAGAAAATTTTGCGCTCACCTTCAGCACTCATCATGGGCAAATCACAGAAACAACGCGTAATGCGGCGGCACAACCCAATGCGAGTACCAGACTCCCATTTGCCTCATGGCCTTGCCCAAGCTTCGTCTACGTCCTCAAAGACAGAGGCCATTTTGCCAATCATTCAAAAGGTTATTACAAGCGCTTTTCTGCCGTTATTGCAGCTGATGGTCTTCGAGGCCAGATGGAGAGTGCCGATTCTTCAGAACGGAAATGGGCTTGTGTAGCGGTGTCCAATCTAATTCAGAATGACCCTTCGACGCGGCGACTGCTTCAAGGAAAAAATGTCGTTGGTGCATTGATAGCCCGATTGACTGACAGTGAGGAAGAAGTTGTCATTGAAGCCATGGGATCCCTTAGGTGCGTGCATCTGGGTATCCCATCTTTATTCTACGCGTTGACACAATGAGCAGAAACCTCTGCATCGATGGCGGTTACGATATATGTGCCGAAATGTATAACAAAAATATCCTGGTACCATTGAAGACTTTTATTCCCAAGGTTTATTCTATCGACTCGTATTGAATTCATCCATTGAACCTTCTTGACAGATATCCTCTACCCTCGAACAATTTCTGCAAACACCCAAATCCGCTCCGGAAAATGCACTAAAAGTCGTATACGAGTTTGCGGACAACGTTATCACAGCTCTGTGGTGCCTATCGTACGTGTTCCTTCCGCTAACCACCTCTTTTCGCTGACCTATGCGCCAGAGAAACGTCAAATAAAGCGCTGAATGCAATTAACGCCATACGTTTGGCACCATTTCTGATGTCTTTCCTTGCGTCTCGCGAACAGCTTCCCATTGCCCCCATCGTAGCTGCAGGTACGTTGGCATTATTCGGTCGGTTTTATGATAAGTTTTATACTTACGGTCTCCACCAGCCCAGTGCCTGTACGTTTTGACTGACGATAACGATCCGGCGATAAACGATGTCAGAGCTGATGCCGGATACATCTCTTGCCTTTTTGACATTGTTCGTTCTGTTCACCATGATATGAAAGTAAATGGCAAGGCGAAAGAGCGGGATCAACGTTCCATAACCATAAGTGTTTTAGCTGCAGGCGAGCTTCTTCCTCAAACGCGTATAAACTTAGAATTTCATACTCTTTCAGGTATTCTCCGGAACATTTCGCCACTTCCGCCACCTGTTGCAGCCTCTTTCGTTGATATTGACAAAGACATTGTTCTGCCCTTACTGCAACCTGTCATCACGTCGGTATCTCTACCCGACACTTCCAATAATGTGCAGGCACTTGTTTCTCAGCAGGTTCGTGCCTTTCTCGCCCAGCTGTATCGGCAATGGTGTCTAATTCAATGCAGGCTAGTATACCACAAACCGAAAAATCGTCGTTGAAAAGCACGCCAAAATTTGATCATAAATCTCCGATAGAGATTGAACTTGAGCGTCTAGAGTCTTGCCTTCGTACGGTCCAGCTTGCTCTTGAGATATTGACAGGAACCTGTGCAACACTGCCAGACCCAGGTCTGAATGTGGACGAAGCAGAGAGTGATGACAATGAAGAAAACGACGATAAAGAAGAGGCCGAAGGTATTGTTTCGGTGAAACCCCTGGATATTGCGCTGATTGAAGAAAACAGTGATGGAAGATATGGATATTGACATGTCTACCATCAACGATAAATCCGGTATGGAGCAGTCTGAAACCGTGCCGTTACTTCCACCGCTCGTTCCGGCTTTGTTGGCTCTCGCCCAACCAACTTCACTTTCATTCCCGCCTCTTGCGTCCATATCTGTACATCCCCCGACGACATCTGCACTCAGCGGTATACACGTCAGTGCACTAGAGTGTCTGAACAATATCTTTCTGTCGTTGGCTAGAGTTCGGAACACCTCCATCTCTTCTGACAAGGAAGCTGGCCAACGAGTATGGAAAGATGTGTGGTCAGCGCTCAGTGTTGTTGGCCCTGAATTCGGGATGGGTCAGGAGCGAAGACGAGAAATGTGGGAGATATCCGTCGGCGTTCTATGGGGGATTGGCAATGTTTGGAAAGGGTCCTTGGTTGGTACTCCTTGACGGTGGTAATAACCATACTGACATCGACTGAACAGGCTCCTGACGTGAATGAGGTTAATCTCCTCACCCAATTCTGCAATGCCAGCTCCGACTCGCAGACGCGCGTCAAGTGCATCGGAACACTGGAGTGTTTGGCCCAACACCCTGATTCTATTGATAGCAATCGAGTGCGACTTTAGAATGTCCTCTTTCTCCGTAGCATCCTCATCAGCTATTTTTTCAGATAATATCTGAATACTTGTTGTCATTCCTTCCGACAGGAACATCGTCAGAAGTCGGCATCGAACCCGTCCTTCAATCGGTATCTGCGATAATCGACATATACTCCGACGAAATGCTTCCGTACGATGTGAATTTCCGTCAAGGAAGATATTTGAACCGACTGGCGTCAAGTATAGACGGTATGAAGAAGTTGGTGAAGACAATTGACCGGCGGAAACCAGGTGGCCGGGTGTTGAGGTTGAGGGGGGAAGAGATCCGCGACAATCTCATTGCATTCGTGGAATATCGGAAAAATCTGAAGCTGTAGGCTTTTTTGTTAGCACCATCTTCATAATATTGGTCTTATGACTCTGCGATGATTTCCACCGACCGCAGTCCCAGCCCGCCGATATCTGTTAATGGTGAAGCTTTCCGTATTGATTCCTATCACCCAGGTAATTTAATTATACCTTGATCACTATTTTAGGATGCGTTCACGTAGCAATTGCGAGGCGGAAGCTATAGTCAAGCTCACATGTTCTCATTGAATCATTTTGATTATCTTACGACGTCCTTCGGAAATACTTATACCACGGCCGTACAGAAAATAGAACAAGGCATAAAAGTTCCTTTAAATAATGGTCCTAAATAAGACACCCGGACCATAGATCTAGTAAGTGGCATGACAAACATGACAGCTGTTTTCCAAGAAAACCCAGATTTCTAGCAATTGTTATAACATACATACATTCCAAAGATTCTTCAGCAGCGTCGATTCTATACGGATCCTCGAAAACATGTTACTCTTCTCTTACAACGGCCGTGTGCTGTGATGTCAATTGAGTCGCGATTGTGACGGTGAGGAGCGAAGCGGATCTAACCTTCGAGCTATCAAAAGCGTCGAGTCCGGCGGCGATCCTGGTACTTGCGACAATGGCACTCCAGTCAAGGGGATCGTAAACTTCCTTGCCTTCTGCTTTCATTATGTTATGAATAGCGCGAGCAGTAATCAGATGCTGATAGGCAATGTCAGCAAGAGGCATTGGGGTATCATGTTCGGCTGTGAGACGGCGGATGTGGCTGTCGATTGATACGTTGGAAATGACATTGCAGTAATGAAGTAAAGCGGCCCACCTGGCATCTTTGATACCACCGTCAATAGTGAATCCAGCCGATCCATCAAAATGGTCGTTCTTCATCTTCTCAGAATAAGCCATAACACTGCAGAATATTTAGAAAAGAGCATTATTAATAGCAAGAAGCAGAAAGCCAGACCCAGGAGCCGGGAATATGTCTAAGCATGTTAAGTCAGAATGCCTGATGCATTCATCTGCGGGTGCGACAGAGAGAGACTTACCTTTAACGATACTATCAACATTCTCGGCTCCAATGCCCGACTTCTCCGCGAGCGTGTAAGCCTCAGCAAGGATTTCTAGACTTCCGAGAATCATAGAGTTCGCAATTAACTTGCAGGTGGGTGCTGAGTAAAACGTGAGGACATTGCGCGAAAGTGTACAAAAAATACGGATACCCTTCTCGAGATTTTCTCCGAGGTCAATAACCCTCCGTCCGACTGCGGGTACAAGCAGATAAGCTACATCTTTCTTAGACCTATAATCCCCGCTCATAACTGAGGTAGAAATTAGAGTCTGGCAGAGAGACCAGGAATGAGCACACCAATGATAAGTTGTCTTGCATCGGCGGCCTTAGGAGCGCCGATGACGGGGCAAGTCACTAGATTGGAATGCGGAACTGCCGATACAAGATTATCAAGTTCCCCTGGAATATCGGTTAGAAAACATATTATTCATGGAACCATCGATTACCAGCGAGGGTGGGATAGGTCTGACATAGCACTGAGCAATAGTTGATTAATAACCAATGCTAAAGACAAACTGTGCTCGTTTCCACAAAGATTTTGTGTCTTACGGGTGGTGCATGCTGCATCGATCACTTCTATTAGAGTGCACAAGGACATAAAGCCAAAATCTCGTACCGAGAGGGCCTTTGTCAACTGCTCGTAAACCGATTTGACCACCCCGTCGTTCGCCAACGAAGTAATGATGATATCGCACTCCGTTGCGATCTGTTCCAGATTCTGAGCAACGCGAACGTTTTCGGATCCAGCCTCTTCAAGTAACTTTTGAATCTTTGGTTGCGAACGATTCCATATCAACAGAGGTGGAGCATTTGGGGACTGATGAGTAGCCAGATTTCTGGCCATATAGAATCCCATGGACCCGATACCGACGAATCCCACCTGTGGCGGAGATACTCCGGGCGAATGAGGTCGTGAGTAGGGTATTCCAGCGGAATGTTGAGGATGGAGTAGGTCGGACATGGCAAGACGGTTAGTGGAAAGGACGGAGCCTCTATTTTACACGATCGGCACATGTGGCCTAAAGCGGAAATAACCACGTGAGCAACACGAACACTGCTTTGTTACTACGAAGAGTTATAGTGCTACTTTACGAGCAACCAGGCTCATGCCCATCTCCTCCCTATTTCTCTAAGCGTACCTTTACATCGGCAGGAAGAATTCCTCAGCTACGGACGCATTTGCTCTTTTATGGCGACGACGGCAACGCTGGTCCCTGGCCAAAATATTGCAGTCAACAAGTTCAACGTCCAGGTAGAGCGGTATCTTTCACAAGGTGCGTTATATTACTTTCTTTTGAGAGGGCTATTCCTCAGGCCAGCGTCAGGCGGTTTTGCCCATGTGTATCTCGTACGGACAGCCACACCGGTGTACAACACGACACACCATGTTCTCAAACGCATTGCTGTTCCTAATGAAGGCATGTTGACTGAAGTAAAGCAGGAAGTGGACGTTATGGCAAGTGAAATCAGCCAGAGATTCTTCCGGTTCTTCATCCTTTGAGCAGAGACTACTGAAGGGCCATCCAAACATTGTTCATCTCATCGATGCTGCCTGGCATAGGCTGCCGAACGGGACATACGAAGTATTCATTCTGATGGAATTCTGTCCTGGTATGCGCCGGTCGTTATTGTATTGCGCATTTGTAGCTGATCTGTTGATGTAGGAGGTGGAATCATCGATATGATGAACCGACGACTGCGCGAGCGCTTGACTGAGGCTGAGATCTTGACTATATTTGTCGATGTCTGCGAAGGTGTTGCCCACATGCATAACTCACGGCCCCCACTTTTACATCGCGATCTCAAAGTTGAGAACATCCTTCAGGCGTCAGCGACCTCTTACAAACTATGTGACTTTGGTTCTGCGGCCACAGTCTCCAAAGTCCCGACTAATACTCAAGAATTGCGTGCTCTTGAAGCTGATCTAAACAGGCATACAACCTTACAGTATAGAGCCCCTGAAATGGTCGATTTGTACCTCCGTAGACCAGTCGACGAGAAGAGCGATGTCTGGGCGCTTGGCGTCCTGCTGTATAAGCTTTGCTATTATACAACACCATTCGAGGAACATGGTCCATTGGCTATTCTCAACGTGTCTTATAAAATACCCCCGTATCCCGTCTATTCCCTCCAGATGAATGCTTTGATTGGTGCGTGACTTAGAAACCATCGTTGATCTAGCTCATGATATCCATAGCATCTATGCTTCGAGAACACGGGACCCACCGACCTTCTGTCTTTGAACTTCTTACCAGTGTTCATAAATTGCGTGGAACTGTCTCTTCATATCGTTACAATCATAATCCCGCTCCCCAACCGCTGTCACCACGCATTCAGTCCTCGTGGAAGCCGGTCCCATCTCCGCACCCTTTAGACACCACAATTTCTTATCGTGCTGCACCACAACTTGCCCTTGGTGCAAAATCTTTTACGCCATCTCCATCTCCTTCGAGAAATGCTGGCCTCCAAGCGCGAGATAAAGTGTTGGAGGCCATAGCCCCTATGCGACGAGGGCGTCCTACGCGCGATCAGGATTCAGGATCGACGTCGTCCAAGGAGCAGTGGCTAAACGATGATTTTGGAGCTGAGGAAGAGAAGGCATGGAAGTCTGCCGTAAAGACTGCCAATCCCCCAAAGAACAACTCAAAAGACGATGCATGGGCAATCTCATTACAATCGAAAAGCCCAGCAACCCTATCCAAAGGATTCGGTGATGACTTCGCAACTAAACTCTGGGATGAGTTCGAATCAGGACCTTCCAAATTTCCGTCTCAGCTTTCATCTCCTCGCCCGCATGATACCGCACCTAAATTGCCAGCTCGGCAGCCTACGGCTGGCTCAACAACAGAGCATTCTAAGCTGACTTCAAGTGTTCGCAGCAAAGATGCATTTGAAGGTCTTGGGTTTGCCATCTCTGACAAGAAGCCGGCACCGACACTCGGGGAGGCTCGAAAGCTAAGGACTGGACTGGCTGTCATAAGCCCGGCGTCCCATAGTTTTGGATCTTCTGACTTTTACAATAGTGCCATTCGACCATCCATGTCTCCTCGCCCGTCATATCTTACTTTACCCGATCCCGCCCCTCTTAAACCGTCTGGTTCCGGCTCTTCATGGAGCTCTCAGCCGCCATCTTCTAGGCCAGATTCTCAGGTAGATTCAGCAGCCGAAGCCAGGTTCCCATCACTAGAGGAACTGGATGCCAAGTTTGGTGGCAGCGGCGCAGATTCCAGACCATTACCTGTTCCGCCTGGGCGGCAGTCCCCAATTCCATCACGAATGGGTGGCTTGCCATCACGCGACGGATCTGCCTTTGGTAGACGAGTGTCTTCTAGGCTACCTCAACTGGGAACGCAGTCATATGGTCAGAACAAAGTTCGGTCTGAGCAGGTTATGAGTGCTGCTGTGCAGGATGCTCCAAAGAGTATCGGTGACAGGGGTACCCAAGTCGAAAGGGAGACAGGCAATGTTAACGGCGAGGCATCATCAGCGAAGTCAACTGAGAGCTCCTTCAAGCGTCCTGTACTGATAAGGAAACACCACAGCTCAGTGACTAAGAAGCCTTCAGATGCCAATGACTTGCTAGAATCACCGAGTCGCGGGGTGAGAGTAGCTGCCGCCACATCAGTATCGCCGTCGGGAGTGAAAACGCCTCGTCTTCCTCCAAGACCGTATCCTAAGCCGACTCAAAGCAAGGACTGGCTGACAGGGGACGATGAACCAGAGTCAATACCATCTCACTTCACAACACCTACACCTGCGTCGTCTGACGGGTCCTATCCCGTTCTTCGTCGGTCACCGAGTAAACGGGCGTCTTTCATTGAGAAGAGTGGTTTCTCCATACCCGAGGCTGTCGTTGCGCAGACTGACACTGTCCTATATCCATCACCTCCAATAGAATCTCCAACCTCATCCACTGCCAGCGGTGCTCCATCTACCTTATCATTATCACGCGCCAATCGAGTATTCCCGCCTTTAGATACAACCACACCCGAACTTCCTCTTGACGGGGGATTGACTGACAACTGGAGTCCAGTCGCCCCCAAAATGCAGCAGAATAAGGAGGTGGAGTCATCTTCAAGTGCAGATGAGGGTCCTGAGGAAGCGAACCGTTATATTCCATCTTCAACTCCCAAAACGCCTGATCAGAGACAGGGACGGTCAAGGAAGGGAAGACAAAGTTCTGTTCATAATTTAGTCGATTTGTGGGGTGGTGGCACTGCCGTCAAAGATCGCGAGAAAGAGAAGGAGTCTACGCGGGTGACCATCACGCCCAAGACCCCTGTGTCATCTGCTGGTGACTTGAAGACACAACGCAGACTGACAACAGAACCATCGCGTCTCACGGAGACTAAGAGTGACAAACCGGCACCATCTGCTTCGCCTATACCGCTGCTTTCCTCTGTTGGGCACATTGCCCGGTCACCTTCGATGTCTAGGACTGCGTCTTCACAGCACACAAAACAAACATCTGCTATATCCGCGCCGCCACCTATATCTTCACGTAGTCGACCTCAATCCATGTTCGTCTTTCCATCGAAGGCTCCGGAAACGCCTTTACCCTCTTCTGTGTCTCTCTCTGGATTATCAATACCAGAAGAGCGAACATCACGGCCGATTCGTCGAACTTCTATTACCGACATGGTTCAGAAGTATGAGAATATCGATGCCAATGCGAGAGTATTCTTGACGAAGTCTTCCGGTCTGAAGACGCCTTCACATTCTCTGGATGATGGGAAGAACTCGACATCGATGGGAACGTCACGAAACGACCAAGTCGACGGGAAGATAGCATTACTCGTTTCAGATGAGGCAACACCTAGTCGAACTTCCTCCGTCGGACTTCTTTCTCATATGTCGACCATTAAATTTCCTTCACGGTCGTCACCCATGCCAGTGGCGGGTGAGAAAGAGGAAAGTGTGTCTGCTCCTCCTCTTCGATCGCGGCAGGTCTCTGTCAAACCTGCTACTCCAGCGGAGCCCTCAGGGAAGTCGACTGAGGATGATACGGCGTCGCGCAGCGGTGAAAGGCGGACGCCGTCCCCGGATAAGCCGTATCAGGGTGTAGGGAAACTAATTGATCAATGGCAGCGGAAGGCAGAGAGTAACGCTACGCGCACGCCTGTCAAGAGAGATGGGTTTGTAGCCAAACGAGCGGGTTTGGTTAGTGGCGGCATTGGTAGAAGTCACTGAGACATTGTTTTTGGATTCTACTGTACTGATAAGTGGAGATTACATTATTGCATTGAGCATGGAATACACGAACTGACACGACAAACGAGAACAGATACAGGAAGAAATGGTTAGGAAGTGCCAGATTCCGAGTCTGATAGTGAGCCAACATGAAAGGAAGACTGGCGTTGGGGCTCTCCTCGAACTCGAGGCTGTCCCATCAGTGCTCTAGCACCTTCCCTGCCTTTACCCATCTCCCAAGTGGTGGCCTCTTCGGTATACATGTTTCCCCTCATCCTTTCTGTGTTGCCGCCTATGCCCATTTCGAAAGCAGCGGCATCCGCTCGTGCGAGATTAGATTGGGTGGGATGGATGAAGATATGGTCGGGTTTAGATTTTGAACGAGGCCGTGAATGGGTGGGCGTGGAGGAAACGTGGGCGTCGTTGTACAGCAAAGGCTCTTCCACCAGCGAGTAGGAGCTGTGTGAAAACTTAGAACGGTAGATAAGGATAGAGTGGCAGCCTACTCTTTCTCCTGCGATAAATGCTTAGGGATATTTTGGTACTCGATGAAGAATTGCGCAATGGAAAGTGTGCCAACCTATATCGCGAGGAATGAGCAAACCGTCTCGGTGCCAAGGGTCCAGTTCACCAGCACCAGTATCAGTCTGGTTACACACGGGCGTCAGTTCAATGTTCAGCACAACAGGAAACCTATGCTCACCCAACATGGAACGACATGGCAATCAACATATATGCTCTACAGTATTTCAGACAACGGAGCCATTGGTCGTACAGAAACAGACTCACAGGCGAAGAAGTGTCGCAATTCCATACAACAGCGCCTTCCAAAACGCATGCCTCCAACGTATATTCCTAGTCCAGGCGGGACGCCATCCATTATTTGACACGAAGGTGACCAGCCAAAAAGTAGAAAAATGAGATGACAGAAAATGTCAAGGATTGGCGCACACACCTCTCTGCGAAGCACACAACGATAGTCAAAACCGAACCCATCAAAAATTTCACGAGCGAGTCGAGATATATCCCAGAGAACAGGACATGGGATCCTTTGAGCGACCAATGCAAGAAGTCCTGCCATTCAGAATCCATGTTGGAAGTAGGAAGAAACGGTGGAAATAAAAGGAAGGAAAGCTGCACGACGAAATCAAGATCGCCACAAATATAGCGTGCTAGTGAACGATGGTAGCAAGTAGTAGATAAGGTGCAAATTCAAAAGATGAGAAATTGAGGTAAGATGGTTGTTTGCTGCGCGCCGCAAGCTTTCAATTGGATACGAGTGGAACCGTCCCTCAAGGGAAATCAACGTGTCTCTATGACGATCCAGAGCAGGCACAGATCCGTGAAGAAGACGACACATCTACAAGTACAACTAAAGCGATACTATACAAGTAATTCATTCATGGCAGTGGCGGCACCGACTTGGCACGGCGCTCAGCAGCTTGGACTTTGATCTCCAACGCCCTTTCTGTCCTCCACTCGCAATCGGACATATATTCACATGAACTGGTTTCCATAAGTTCTAGGCAGTTGCGGATACAAAACAACTCACTTGCACCGCCAAGTCTGGGTTGCACTGACTCCTCTTGGTCTTCTACGGCCCATCCACCAGTCTAGTACACCGGTAAGATAATCGTCCAAGAAGTCGTCGTCGAGATTGAATTCTTTGGTACCAATGATCTTGTAGAGATCAACAGCCTTAAATGTTGATGCTGATGGTTCAAACACTGGAGGTATTGCATCTAATTTTGGGAAAATGCTCAAGGCATAATTTCCAGATATCGTCAGGAACGCACCGTTAGAAACACTCTTCCCGGATACGTCATTAAGGTGCCTCAACCATGATTCCTGGAGCGCCCACAACAGCTCAGCAGAACTCTCCTCCGTATCAAGATCAAAGATTTTGTTCGGTGGGCTAGACAAGAATTGGGAGATACTGGGATCCCGCGCAGGGCTCGGGGTCGTAATATCTTCTTTGAATTCCAACGGTTGCTGGCGACGATAGATTAGCTGAAGACACGGATCAATGCCGGGTATATCTAATTCCAAAGTGGCGTTCCTCCAGAAAACAGTGAGATCATCAAGGCAAGTAAATGCGGGGTAGGTCCCCAATGAGCTCCCTGCTTGAGAGAGGAATGTCTCAGAAAACGGCCGCGCCGGATCGACATTAGTCTCGTCCCAGAGTCTTGTGAAGTCAAAAGGGATTTCAGGGGATATCAGCGAGGATAATAGTCGATGGTATAACATGAGTTGTAAACGCGAAGGAAGTGCATCTTCGTCTGAGGGCAAAGATTCACGGCGTCGTGTCTTGGTCTCTATCAAATGTAGGGTGTGCTGATAGCAACGAGGAGCTGTTAAGTCTTCTGTTTGGCTCTCGTCGAATGCTAGATCGATGAATTTACAGTCAGATGAGGAGGCAAAATGTGTATTAACACTTTGCCCTTTGCTTAGCTTGAAGAGTTGACGGCGCTTCTTGCATTTACGCGGGGTCGACGCGGGACTTCGAAGACGCTTTGGACTGTCTGGAGACCCGGCAGTTTCTCTGATTAGTTCATCCTACAGTGGAATTATTGATGTATTAGGTGCCTGGAGATGGCTGACTTACAATTATCCCTGTAATAATATGTCCTTGAACAAAACCGAAGACAGGCATTTCACGCTTCATGTCTCACGTAAAAAAAATGGGCTCAGTCTAGGCAAAAAGTACGTACTGCATGTCCTTGGGCGAGAAGAGAGTGTATCGATAACAACATATCGACAATACTGCCAAGCACGTAAGTTGGTATTCCGTTTCAAAGAATGTCTAACGTACCGTACTCCCCAATGTTCTTCGTCAGTGGCGACTTGAACAACGGTTTTCTCCGGATTCAGCTCCCGCTCCAGTTTTTTGTGTACGAACTATGTAACAGTAAGCATGGAATACCAACAGAACTGATAACAGAAGCGCACCGTTCCCCTCTTCAGTACTTTGTTATTGACAGCCGCGACATCTTTCTTGACGGACATGTCTTTTCCATTCCGCGAGACAAATGACGCAGGTCTATGTTCCAGACTCTTCCAACGCTTTTGCAACAAGCCGTATTCAAATTGTACTTCACACCTTTGATTTCCATAAGTGCACTTCCCAGTACCATAACCAAAAACCTTACCAGGCTGGGCCAACTAGATCAGAGACTGATAACCTCTTGTAAAAGCGAAACCGTTCATACATGCTACGGGTATCCACTGGGGCTTCAGGAAGGGCATCTTCATCCTCGACCGCGATTTCAACCTTCGGCATCCCCTTTGACGTCGTTTCTCTCGATGATGCAAAGTTGCTGGCGGCGTCGATTACAGCATAATCCGCCTCGGTGAGAGTACCAAGACCGCCGTCTGAAAAGTCGCTGCTGTCCGAACGTAAAGGCATTTCCTCAAGGCAAAAAAACCGCCAAGAAAAACGCGTCGTAGAACCAACGGTATACAGACTGAGAAAGAGGCTAAGTTGACTGACGTACACACGCGACGATCACATGATAACGATCAAATTATCGAACCAGATATACGACGATCCACCCTGTTCAGTTGCTCTCAAACGTTTAGAAAAAAAGAAAAAAAAAAGGGAGGAACACTGGCGATTGCAGGATGTATTACCCTGCCTTGGCTCATGAGGCGGTGCAGAAATCTGGTCCCTGAGTTTCAATACAGATGGATACCTCCGGCTCTTCTAGCTCTTCTGGTATCCCCGTCACACAACTTTATGAATTATCCTCGCATTATCTACTGAAATACTGAACCATAACCGTCGTGTACTGAGTAGAATGTACCTAAACCGGTTCCGAGTCGATCGAATGTAGGTGGTGCAACTCAACAGGGGTGAGTCCATGCTTTCAGGATCCTGATAAACATCTGACCTCATTTCATGCATACAGCACCGCAGCTTTCGTATAAATAAGTACACTGGCAACAGCAAGGTGCCGCAATATCTGGCTTTCCGTCCCACCTTTCTGTGTTATCAAGTATGTCTGACAACGGTACACTCCCCGGCTACGGTACGAACTTCTGGAAGCCTTGTTGAGTGTGTTCTGAGCAGCTCTTAGTGGAGGGTAGTTACTGGTACTACGCGCCTAATAAAGGTGCCCCAATCACATTTGCGGTACTATTTGGTATCTCTGGAATAGTTCACGCCTATCAGTGCTTGTGAGTTATACATTTGTCTGATTTTCTGCTCTCATATTATCCATTTAGTAAATATCACTGCTGGAAAGTTGGCGGCCTGCTTCCTTGGGCGGCGACTCTTTTCGTAGGAGCTTTCGTGGTTCGAGAGATAGGAGCTTACCACTATAACAACCTTGGCGTTTTTATTGCCAGTACCGTAATTTTTCTGGTTGCTGCGTATGTTGATTTTAACCTCTCCACCACCTGGCCTTTTTCCTGATTCCCAATCTGTTTCAGCCCTGTGTACGAGGGAGCCAATTACTTTCTTTTGGGAAGGATCTTATATTACGTCCCGTACAACTCCCCACTTCATCCCGGGCGTGTCGTGTCTACTTTTGTTGGTATCGACCTCATCATTGGAACGCTCACCGGGATTGGTGCCCCCCGCGTTGCCAATTCTTCCCTATCTCAAAGCATCATTGATTCTGGAAAGAATTTACTCAAGGCTGCGCTGTTGCTCCAGATTGCGTCCATGTGTACTTTTGTCGCCATCACCGCACGGTATCACTACAGATGCTACAAAACAGGGACGCTTCCAAATAACCTGCGCACCGTCCTCATCGTTCTTTACACAAGCTGCACACTCATCACGGTCCGCACCATATACCGTACCGTAGAGTACTTCGAAGCCGCCAGCTTAAACATTTATTCTAACATCCTCCACATCAGTCCATTACTAAAGCACGAATTTTACTTCTGGGTGTTTGAAGCAATGTTCATGTTCTTGAACACCGTGCTTCTAAACACATTCCATCCTTCACGCTTCCTACCCGTAAACAACAAGATATATCTCGCCCAGGACGGAGTTACAGAGATTGAAGGGGCAGGATACGAGGATAAGAGACACTTTCTTTTGACTCTTTTTGATCCTTTCGACATCGTTGGCATCATCACCAAAAGGGATAAGACAGAGATGTTTTGGGAGAAGGATGGCAGCGGGGATAAGATCGATGCCTGAGCTAGGCTATTACTTCATCATACCAATAATTCTTCTACGCTGCTTATTGTTGAACGCGTTCATACGGAAAAATGACCATATCTTGCGCCGATTGAACAGTGGTTTTACAATCGCCAAACGACCACTGACTTCAAGCCTTGCAGTGAACAGTATCTGCTGAAAGCTAGGCCACCTGTGGTTCATATTGTCAGACCCGAAGAACTAGCGAGAAAAAAAGCGGTTATGCAGTATTTGGCTTAGCCGTTATGAACTTCGGCTGTTGCGGTCCAATACTTGTCTTTCCGTTCCTTATTTTCCTCCACCAATTTGGCCCGTCCTTCATGAATTCATGGCGTTCAATGTTATTGATTACGGCAAGTGATCCGAGATCGAGCCTTTGAGACGGAGACGTCTTGACAAGAGTCTTTCCTGCAGCTTTACGTCTCTCCACCCAAGACGGAAAACCCAGATCTTAAAACTGTCGTCACGCAATAGGGCAATGACTGAATAAGTAAAATTTTGTCCTTAACCCGCGCTATACTTACCCGTGAGGTAGTAGAAATTCATCGATTCATATCGAGCGCGATATGCTCCATCAGAAGCTCTCATTCACTCATGAATATGCATGCGTACCTACCACCTGGACTCTCTGTATTCCTGATGATTGTCAAATCTGGGTTGTTGGACAGTTCGTCTGATGACAATACGATGCTACAAGCAGTCTTTTGGCTCTCAGGACTCTTATTCTTGGACTAAGGGGCGTCTCTAGAACAAAGAGAGGCAGGCTCGCGAACGAGGTGAGTGATCTGGACTTGAAGCAAACCACCGCTAATATTCCGCTCCTCATTCAGGTTCTCAATGTAATGGTTTTAGATAGTATAATCTTCATAAGGACAACGTCGATATCCGCCTTAGACCGCAAAAATTCAATCGGTAGACTGCTAATCCCCTAGTGTATGGGCACAGCCCGGAGAGGCCTTTCAGTTCATATGTTGCAGCGACGCTTTCGGTATTCTGGTTCCCTGACCTACGCGTCGTGCTTCTTGTGTACATTCTGTCCATCCGCTTGGGTTGGCTGTTAGCACTGATAGGGTAAGAGCCATACGGTCGTACTGTATTGACATTCCAGCGTCCGGACCGTCGAGGCTCTCCAGCGGAGCTCCATCTCTAGGAGAATGCGGTCTATGCCGTCAAGACGGAAACTCGAGGGCAAAGGGATTAGCCATCGTCTTCGTTAACGGAAGTGTCGCCAGTCATGAAGAACAGGTGTACATTCAATGGAGTATAGTTGAGGCCAGGTGGTTATGAGAGAGAACGATGATGTGGTCATTTGTCTCTGCCGAAAGCTCTCTAACATCTAGGGAAGATGAAAATTGCCCTCTTTGCTCAATATCCGTAACAGAAACGACTCCTAGGCGCTGTGAACGTTCACGGCGGTGCCTGATCTGTACTTCGACTTCGCGACTGTGTGCTGGGCCGATCGCGATGTACCTTCTGACGCCCAGGGCAGAACTCTGAGCAAGATGCTTGCTGTCATTCTACCGCGGTTTTTGCCTAACACAACATGACAACGCGTTTCATGAACCCTCTACAGGAAATAGGACGTACACGAAGGAATGTCATTCTTCTTGGAAAGGCAAATCAACCGACACGCCAGTTGGGCAGAAGTGCCGCAGGTTTATATATGTATGCTCACGGGGTCGTGATGGATAATTTACGGCGGCATCTCAGGATATTTTCGGATTGTTGACGTTGAATGAATGATGAGGCGTATGCAGCGAAAATGCCAATGGCTGAGCCAAGGCTTGGGCTTCAAGTGGTAATACAGTTTTACAGTCATCTCTTTTTTGCCGTGGTTATGCCGACTTTGACACTATTAATATCGTCTCGTCATAGGCCTGCTGGCGCGGTGTGGTTGATTTGTTGGTCTTGGAAGAGTATAAAAGAAGCTCATTCTGCCACACCACTCCCCAACTCAAGTCCCTGAACAAATAATCTTTGAGTCACTAAAACATGCAGTTCACATATTTCATCTCCCTCGCTGTCCTCTCCTCCACTCTCTTGACTGGTCACTGTGCAGCGCTACCAACATCGAGGGCGAGCGCTACTTCTAATGTTTGTAATCTTGTGGCCTAGGGGTTGTTTTTGCTTATGTTTTCTCTGGCAGGCTTGCGTTCTATCCCCCAATATCGTCAGCAGTAAGCATCCTTCACATAACGACACAAGCGCACTGACTAGTGAGTTCCAGCTAACTACGTTGCCAACCCCGTATGATATTCTTGCTCACCTTTCTAAACACAACCGCTAACATAAGTATTCAGCCCGTGGTTCAGGACGTTACTGATGGACAAGTGTATGCCTCTTCCTTAGAAATAGATGTTCTCGCTGACCACGATCGGCAGTGGCGTCGCATTCACGCTCGATATCACCGTTATGGACGTGACTACTTGCGAGCCCTTCTCTAATGCGATGGTTGAACTCTGGTCTGGTGAATTGGCTCGCCCGAGCGCGCCTGATCCAGACTGACCGTCGACTTTTTGAAATTGCAGCTAACGCCACCGGATTCTACGGCGATTTCCTTCGCGGGGCTTACACTACGGCATGGAACGGCATTGCTGAATTCCAGGTGCGCCCCCCAAGGCCGCGATCACATTGGCACTCATGTATTCGTCGTGTAGACCATATTCCCTGGATATGCCTCAGATGGCGCCAATCACATGAATATTGCCGTCCACCAGACTTCGGACATCTCTTCGCCCATTATTCACACTGGAGAGCTGTTTTTTACTGACCCTTGGACTAACATCATTGCCATGTCGACCCCTTACAACGAGAACACCAACGCTCGCATCATGGATGCTCAGGACCCGGACTATGTCATGGCTAACAGCAATGGAAGCAATGCCATTATCAGGTGTGTGCCACCGACAGTGGTGTAGTTAGAGACGACTGATAGTCGTTATCCAGTGTGTTGTCCATCCAAGATGACTGGCCCACAGGTGAAATGGTATTTTGGCAGTCATTTGTCCGTCCGCTGATTATCGACCCACAGGCATTATTGGAACAATCAGTAGGCTTTCCGCTCCGCTACTCCTGATTTTTGCATTGCTGACTGACCCCAGCCGTTGGGGTGGATCCATCGAACGTTGCTGTCTAAGTGTTTAAATGAATTTGTAAAAGTAATTGAATTGAAATTAACGCGACGCGTACTCACATGGCAATGACGAATGGGATCGCCGAAAAGATGAGTCAGATTAGGTGACGTGAACAAAAAAAAGTGGTCTCATCTTGAATGCCCAATTGAGGAATGGCCGTGCGAAATACAAATTGAATAGAGCGCCGTTCTCGCCACTACTTTTCGAACGTCCATGAATCGTCATCCCACACCAAGTCGTGCCACTACCTGACCTTTTATACTCGCTTTTCCTTTTGTTTCCTTCCTTCAATCGCGACGACGTCCGACCTGTCTTTGACATCCCGAACTTCGGAGAGATAATGCTTGATTCTTTTCCTGTTTTCTTATCCTAGTCTATTGGTTCATTTATCTATTCGAACGAAACAACAACGACATGCCTGTTACGACCACTTCACCATCTTCTCCGTCTTTTTTCGTTACCTTCGTCGCCGGTGCACTCAGCTCCATTGGTCTCGGAGTGGTACGTTTCTAATTCCTTTGCCATAAGTCAATCAGCTTCTGACTCGGATATAGAGCGTAGTTGCTGTATGGTTTATATGGCTTATGCCCGATGCAAAGGCTGCCGTCCCCGAATTAACGAAAAAGACTTCGCGTAAAGCTCGCCGATGTTCAGCTCCCCCTGCTCTCTCTTCTTCTTCTTCACGTCGGCAAGCATCCATCCTTCGTTCCCGCAGCCGAGCAGCCCTCATCTTGGAGCCGTCTACTCCAGACAGTACTCCCACCCGACATGTGTCTTTCTTGGAATCTCAGATCAGGTCCGGAAACTCTAGACGGTTTTCGGCCCCCGCTGGGGAAGTAAAGCGCGAATCCGACGAGAATTTACCATCCCAATGTGACTCTAGTCCTCGGTCATCCTCATCGACACTCGTTTCCACCCAGATTCTCATTAAACCTATGTTGGCGCTCTCCCCTAGCGTTGCAGAAAACGGAGACGGTTCAGCAGAATCCGATTCCTCTCGCCGATCTTCCCTTCGCTTGCCAAAGATGAGGAATCCTTTCAGAAGCAAGAAACGAACTAGTGAAGAACGAACGTCACTTAGTAGGTCCACCCATCTGCCTTGCTCGATCATTCTGCTGATTTGCGACACTCTAGATTTGATTGAATGTCCTAAACCTACTCGGGTATCCAACCTGTCTACTTCATGGCAGCGTTGCCGACAACAATCTGTCTCAAACGTCGTTACTGCCTCTCCACCGACCGAATCGGCTGCACGCCCTCCATTTCGCCGCTTCTCAGGTACGCGTGTAGTATCGAAGCCGGCGGGCTCATCACCCACAGCAAATTCATATTTTTCTTTTAAACCATCCCGGAAATCATCAAATCCCACACCAGCACCACGCACTCAACCTTATCAGTATCCCTATTTCGCTACCCCTCCTACGGGCGCTAAGATATATATCAAAGCGCTACCGCAGTCTGAAGGCGGTAGCACCAGTAGTTCAAGCAGTGTTGACTCCGCCGCAATTGCGACGCCGGAGTCCACCCGGAGTATTGAACGCAAAGAGGTCAATGCGCAGGCACAAGCCTCCCTTGGCCACGAGAGACGCCCTACTCCTAAACGTAGAACGGCGAGCGAGAGCTGGACAAAGGACGCGCCCCCGTAGCAAAGGTTTTAAAATTACGAATGTATTATTTTATAATTTTGTGCGTTTCATCTCTTTCACTTTTTCTGTGTGGGCGATGAAACAAACATCAGATTCAGGGCATATCAAGGGTTGAACGCGGATAGAACAGTAACGATTTATAATGCAACAGTGTATTTCATAGTCACGCATGGCATCTTACATACCAAATAAATAGTTATACCAGTGAGATCTCCAATGATCCTCGATCTTTTAGTGATCTTCCGCAGCTAAGATCGTCTCGGATAAATCACGGTCAGCGTGGGTGCGGTTATTCTATTCCCGAGTCAGATGAATGCCGACACGGAGGCTCCTTTTTAAACCGGTTATCTGAGACCTACTCAACGAGAGTGAATATTTACTGAAGATGTCTGCTCACTGTCGGTTCCCCACCATGTCCGTAGGCAGCGATACCTTTGTTAGAATTGCCCATCCAGCTCTACAGCTTCAATCGCCCTCCACTGTATCCCTTCCTGGTACCGCAAAACCGTCTTCATCACCCAATACTTCGCATGTATGCTCCCGTCCGCGAACCACCTCTCCCTTTATCGAGTGGGATCTAGGGTCTTTGAATACCATTGGGTGGAGAAACCAAAGTAATGCGGCGGTCATGCTGATCGCTGCACATCTTCAGCCCCGCGCGCGCTGATGTATTTTTATCTTATTTTGGGTTTTATGAAGGTGAGTAACACTGACCATCTCGCTTCCATTTATTGACATATGCTTCTCAGAAAACACGCAACCCTCATTTTTGTTGCACAAGTCTCTATAACCTGTGTCTCAGCCTGCGCCTACACATGTACAATATATACTCCCAATTGGAGAAACATGTATAATATCACATCTAGACATCACCTTCTTCACTCACTCAGACCATCATGAGCTAGCAACGCAAGCATTGCCTCAATGACAGGATTATTAGGTCCTTGTCCTACAATCATACTTTCCTCGATGCTACACAGCAACTGGGCGTCAAGGAGACGGCTATGATTGTTGTCAGCGTCGTGATAACTTGAAATTAAAGTAACTTACCGTAAGTGATTAACAAGTATGCCTATTCGTGGCCATCCTTTGAGCTTCACTACGCCTTCATTTCCATCGATGCTTATTCCTCCTGCAATTTGGTTAACTGACACCGTTCCGCCGAACAGAAGCATTGCATATAATGGGACCTGAAATTTTGGTCAGTGTTCAGCAGTTTCCAAGAAGCCCTATAGTACCTCTGTCGCGTCCCTCAGAAAGACTTTGCTTGTCTTGACCTTAGTAAAGAATACTACATATTGCGACCTCCACGCCGAAAAATCGAAAAGAACACTGGCAGGGTGTAAAAACACCCTTTCGTTCCTGAGATCGTAGATTTTAAACTCCTTGGCCTTGTTTTCTCTCTGAACCGTTCCACCTTGGACCCTGTCATATTTCCTTGCCGACAGAGGCAAATCGACATGAGCGACTCTGGGCCACAGGCCGCCTAGGATGACCGCTTTGAGGAGGTTTGTATTTTCGCTGTTAATATTGATGGACGACGACGACGATTTGGAGTGTAGAGGGATGAAACCAATGGATATAAGGCAAGAAAGAAAATCGTTTCGGAGGTTAGAAATTTCGCGGATAGTGCTCGCTAATAAAAAATTCTGAAGGATGGATGTTAGACACGGTTGAATAGGAGAGCAACTCAACACATGGTTACACACTGCTTCGCAAAATCGACGAATTTCGCCTGACGATCTTCCTTCAGCTTGCAGCCGCATACACTCGTCATAGGCTCTGAGATCTGTCAGAAGATCACTATTTCCTTCACAAAAACGCGCCCGGGCCCTGACACCACAGTTAGCTACGCTAAGTTTTTATGCATTTACTTCTCCAAAACCTACCGCGAGGCTTCTTTGCGTTTTTCTAGCGGACTAACAAACAGTGGTTTTGATGATAGACATGCCACGATGGTGAGTACCGGCCCAAGGCACCGAAAGATCGTGCCGAGAACAAGCATCTAGATGACTACGTCAGGAAAAGAATTTCGCAAGAGAACAGACAAAAGAGTACTTTGGCTAATCGCAAATCTACTGGAAGTAGCGACTAAAACGTGTCAGCAAAGACCAAGACAGAGACAGATAAACGCACAAGATGCCGTCCTAGCGCTGTCAGTCTGCCTTGCCCGTCCATCGCCCCTAGGTTTTCCAATGTCGCCCAAGCTGTATCCATTGAACTGACGTCAGGAGGGGAGATGGCCTTTCTTAGGAAATGCTTCAGAAAAATGATATGAGTGTCCCATACTTAATGGACAGGGAAAAATACTTACTCTGACATCTTCGTCCTCCCTTGTTACTTTGACGGCAAGTAAAATATTTTCGAGTGGAACACGCAATATTTCTGGTACAACGAACTTGCCCATTTTCGATTCCTGTTTCCTGGTGTATAGTTTGTAGCATGTGCCTGGCTGGGTTCGACCTGCGCGACCCCGACGCTGTCTTGCCTCTGCCAAGGTAACCCATGTCTCCACCAAATGAGAAATACCTGAATCCCCGTCGTACTGAGTCTGCTTGACCTTGCCAGAGTCCACAACGCATATCACGTCATCGATAGTGATAGAGGTCTGCGGTAGGAAACGTTGTTCAGTAGGTCTAAACAGTACACTGCTCGGGGACGACTGACTTCCGCGACATTAGTAGCAGCTATGATTTTCCACTTGGTGGTCTTCATGAATACGCGCCGTTGTTCCTCGCTTGACAGATTTGCGTGGAGGGGCAAAATGTCCGCGGGAACACTCGACGGCAATACGCCTTTTACCATGTCCATACACTGTCGAATTTCTTGCACACCCGGAAGGAAAATGAGAATCCCCCCACGAGTCTTTGATATGGTGACAATGTGTTTGACTACTGCCGCAAGCATCTGTAGATTGCGAGTAAGCGAAGAATGCTTCTTCTCGACAATAGCTAACCTTATAATCGATGACGTTCGCCCGCGTGACATTTTGTAGGGCAGTAATGCACTCGTCACTCAATCCGATGGATACGTACCCAGCACGGAAAGCTTCCCGTTCTTCTCGACACTCCTTTTGCGCTGGCTTGACAGCTGACGGGCGATAGTCTATCAACGAAATAACGTCCTCCAAGTACCTGTGGATCATTGCATTAAGACGAAGAATTCTAGATATAGATAACCACCCACAGATCGGTTACTGGGTGTGTGAACCCGGGGATGGTTATTAGGGGGGCACCATCGAAGTAGCTGATAAACGTCTCATGATTGATAGTGGCAGACATGAGAACGACCTTGAGGGTCTTATTTTCCGTCAAAAGCTCCTTCAATTCGAGAAGCAAGAAGTCGCCGTCGACCGATCGTTCGTGTACCTGATTGTCATATTTCAGTACGAGAGAAAAAAAGGAAGTAATTCCATTGTACCTCGTCAACAATGATATGCGAAACGTCTTTCAGCTTGTCGCCGGAGCTGAGGCGTCGAAGAACCACACCCGTGGTGCAGAACAAGAGCTTGGTCTCTTGTGTTCTGGTGCTTTCGCCACGGATAGCATATCCTACTGAACCGTCGTCAAGGCGCTCATTAGATACACGAGATGCTACACCGATCGCAGATATACGTCTAGGTTGGGTAATGACAATAGACGCTGTCTTTCCCCGATTAGAGTCGATGAGAGAATCCAAAACGAACTGTGGCACTTTTCAAAAGTCAGCTTCTAGCTACTGACCATCCATTCTTAACTTACATTGCGTAGTCTTTCCACAGCCTTGTGTATAGCTAATCAGAGGAAGTTAAGAAAGCGACAGTTGTACCAACCTGTTTCTCCTACTACGAGGACGACACGATTATCTTCCAACTCTTTGAGGAAGTCATGCTTAGAAGCAAAAGCTGGCAACTTTTGTCTAATAGCCATGATATCCTCATATTGTGCTTTCTTTGTCTTCCGCAGGCCTTCATATTCCTCTTTGATTTTCTGAGCAGTCCTCCGGTCCTGAGAGTTATGATTGCCTCTTCTTCGACCAGTAACCTGTCCGATAGGAACATCCTCTAGCTCTAGATGCGATGCAACTTCTGAACGCCGCGAGAAGTGCTGGAAAACTGTAGATATACTGGGTGGTCCGTTGGTTTCTATCTTTGCCCATTCTTCATCCAGAATTGCTAATGCTGTTACGCAGAAGCCTCCGCCAGCATCTACCAGCTCGCCCGAACATAAGAGTAGGGATAACATATGAAGGCGAACATACGCGGGGACTTTGGAGGATGTCAGATACATCGGCATATAATCTACAAAAGAAATGGGTTGTCGTCGATTAGCCTAAACATAGCAAATACCTTGACGAGGAAACTCTTTAGCAGAGTATAGAATGTGCAACTGAATTGGTGCAGTAAAGAGAGGTAGGACGAGCTGGTGATCGTCAACATGGCCACCGAGATCCTCTACGTCTTGCAGGTCGATCTCGTAAGGTAATAATGCCTTGTTCTCATCGAATAGGCTCGTAATATCTTCACCAATAAGCCTCTGGCCCAAAGCAGCAACAAGAAGATCCCAAGAATTCATCAACCTCGAATCCGATAGACATTCCTGAACGACGTGAACAGGCCAACCAGCCTCTTTGGTCGCCTTATCTGCGACCCACCGCGTTTTCAGATCATCAGTTCCAACATGTACTGAAGTAATAAAAGAGTTGGAGGAATTGACTTCCGGTAGGAAACGTTCAGGAAGATCACACTCTGGTACATGGAGAACCAGATACTCGATGCATGCTTCTAGGAAACCTTGAGATGCAAGGAGAGTCGTTGAAATGGCAGACGGCTCTGAGACAAAATCAACCGCCTTCCCGGCTTGGATAGGCGTGAAACCCAAATGTTGTAACTTCTGACTTGTCGTCTTCATTTCTTCTTCCGGTATGTCCTTGGGAACTGCAGCGTGAGCACTTTTAGGGAGTGAGGCCCAACCCTGTCAGTTATTGAGCAAGCGTTCTCGTAAAAAAAAAAAAAACAAGGCGGCAGACCTGCTTGACAGCATCCTCAACCTGATCGCGTAGCTCATTAGACATCTTGACTTCAGGCCAGTTTTGGAAACCAGAAGACGCCTCAGATTTGTGCGAGTCTGATTTAGCTTCAGGTTCAGCGCGTTTTTCTGCTGCCTTTGCTTGTCGCCAATCTACCATTTTACGAGCGGTAAACGGATCAGCATCATACATCCATTTAAGATGTTCTGGTGCGTTTTTATGCTCTGCCGCAAGTTGAGTCCAATACGACCGTGGTCCTACGGGCAATACCCTGTTGAGCTGAATATCATTGCAAAACTGCCGAAACAGATTCATAAAGAGAAAATGCATCGATTAAGCCGTAGACGAACACGGTACAAGGCATATGTGGCACCCCAATGTCGAGCTTCCAGGGCGCTTGGCATCACGTACGGGGGATGTGGAGTTAGGCGAACAGACTCTTTCTCGGAGCTCTTCTTGTTTATTCGATTCAAGATGACAGTAAATGCCCAGTCGGCGCCTGTCTGACGCTGTTAAAAAAGGTACGTCAGCGATCCGAGAACTGCAGCGCCAGGGGGAACAAATCTTACCGTTTCGACAATAGGCTTCTCCCATCCATTCTTTTGGCACCTGCATTTTTTTTGTGTTTTGCATACCAATAATTTTCAGGCAAGTGATTGCAGAGGGAGTTTACCTTTCGTGTAGCAAACTCAAAGGATACTTCGACCCTGGAGGAAACAGAGACTTCTCTCGGTCTGTCGAGTCGCTTGGTTTATCTGAGGGTTTAGAAGAGTTTCCCGCATTTCCTGACTTTACGATCCCTTTACGGGGAGCCATAAGAATGTGAGAATGCAAGGAAAGATGGTGGTAGGCGAAATGCACAGCCACTACGACATTTAGAAGACAAAAAAAGGTGAGTCATCGACGATGCTAAAGTATATCCTCATGTTTTCTTCCGTTCAAAAGTAGATTTTCATCATTCAATAGTTAAAACACAAGTACATGATACAGTTGTCTAATGAGCAGTAAATTATACAGGCGAAAACTTGTGCGAAACCACAGGACAACTGAAACAAAGCGATTGAGGCAGGCTGCAGGACCGAGAAAGGCAGAGCCAGATTTTTAGAAAGGCTAAACGATGGGTTCCTAGTAGTAGAAGTAGTCCATCAGTATTTGAGTGTCTGCAGAGGTCGTGTCCATTAGAATTGGCATCGTTCTTGCTTTCTTTCTTGGAATATCTCGAGCCTGAAAGAAAATTAGCATCTACGATGGCACATAAGTTGTGATATGCATGCATTCAGGTCCACAATACCGGCTCCTTCCTTTCCTCTTAGTTGTTTTTACCTGGAAAGGACCTGGTGATGAGTATATGAATAAATCCACAAGCGACTGACGTACGGGGTCCTGCAACTTAGATAGCACCTTCTGCAGTACTGACCCAGGTCTATCCAGCTTTCGGTAACAGCGATAATAATTTCGCCAATTGGGCTTGCTTCTTCTCCAGATTCTTGGCGGTGACCTTCACCTTGAAGGCATCCTACTGTTAGAACCTGAGCGCATAAACAACAATTCGCGTACAGGGTGCAGATCTTTAGCCTCTGCATCAGCGATTTTCTTGTTTTCATCTAAGGACAATGGACAAGGGCGCGTCGGCAGGCATGGCGGTCACGGAACAAAAGAGAAAAGAAATGGGCCATTTTCGGCGCTTACATAACACATCGGCTCTTAACTTCCTACCATCTGCATGGCGAATTCCGACATCTACAACCTCGAATTACTCTCCCTTGTTGCTAAAATCACCCAGGAAATCACCAATCATACCGGCCTCAATGATAAAACCCTCGCCGAATTCGTCATCTCTCTCCACGAACAATCCAACAAAAGTCTACCTGCATTTAAACAAAAACTGAAGGAAGTCGAGGCAAAGTTTCCTGATTCATTTGTCGAAAATGTCGACCGCCTCATTCTCAGCATGCACCCGATGCATAAACAGAAATACAAACCATCGACGAATGGAGATGCGAAGGGTGCGGCGGCAGAGGGCGAACTAACAGAGCAGGAGAAGAAAAAGCGGCTCTTCCCCGGACTTGCTCTAAAGGACAGCGAGGTCAAGACTCCAGTCCCAGACGATATTTTCTTGCAGGAGATAGGTGACCTAGTATCTGGTCGGAAGGTGCGGGGTAGGCCTTGGGAGAACGACCGAGAACCGAAACGCCAACGGAGAGAAAGCCCACGGTCTCCTAGTCCTCCTCGAGGACGAGACTACAGCTCTCGCGACAGACGGGGCGGATATAGTAGCCATCCCCCACTAGACGACCGGCCTGTTCTCTTTAAGATTTACAACGGGCGAGTGACGGGGCTGAAGGAGTTCGGTGCTTTCGTCACATTGGAAGGTGTAGCTGGACGGGTAGAAGGTGTGTACGCTTCCACGATAATTAATATTTCTGACTAACGTCAATAAGGTATGGTTCATGTGTCTAATATCCAAACTGGCATGCGAGCAAATTCGGCTATGGATCTTCTCAGTCGCGGACAGAATGTCAAGGTCAAGATCATCAGTGTGGCCGGTAGCAGGGTTGGTCTTTCCATGAAGGATGTCGATCAAGCGTCCGGCCGCGACTTGACGCCTCACCTTCGCATAAATTCCGAGGCGGAAATGGAAGAGGAACGAGTCAAGTCAATACGGAATGCGTCTTCCGGAGCAAACGCACTACCATTGCGGTCCAAGAATGACCCTCCCGTTCGATCTGCGAAGCGATTGACCTCTCCGGAGCGCTGGGAAATCAAGCAGCTGATTTCGTCAGGAGCCATTGATGCATCGGAGTACCCTGAACTCGATGAAGAGATGAATAATCCTATGGTTCATGCCGAAATCGAAGAGGAACTTGATGTTGAGATCCGAGAGGACGAGCCGCCTTTCTTGGCTGGTCAGACCAAACGCACACTTGATCTGAGTCCAGTGAAGGTTGTCAAAGCTCCGGACGGTTCTCTGAATCGAGCTGCTTTGGCTGGTGCCTCCCTGGCGAAGGAGAGACGAGAACTCAGGCAGCAAGAGGCAAATGAACAGGTGGATTCTGAGGCAAGAGATTTCAGTCAGCCGTGGTTGGACCCAATGGCAAAGGAATCGGATCGGACATTTGCTCAGGATATGAGAGGCAATTTGAAAGGACAGAAGGCTGGAGAGGTACCCAAATGGAAGGAACAGACGTTCAACAAAGCCACGACGTTTGGAGAGATAACAACGCTCAGCATCCAGGACCAGCGGAAGAGTTTGCCCATCTACAAACTGCGCGATCCTCTGCTTCAGGCTATCGAACAGGTGTGTACACACTACCTTGTCGCTGTTAAGATCCATTAACTTACCTTTTTAGCATCAAGTTCTCATCGTCGTCGGTGACACTGGGTCCGGAAAGACGACGCAGATGGTCCAATACCTCGCTGAAGCAGGCTTTGCCGATCGTGGTAAGATAGGTTGTACACAACCTCGACGTGTTGCTGCAATGTCTGTTGCTAAGCGTGTCTCTGAGGAAGTCGGTTGTCGACTGGGACAAGAAGTTGGGTATACCATTCGTTTTGAAGATTGTACCAGCCCCGAGACGCGGATAAAGTACATGACGGATGGTATGCTTCAGCGAGAATGCTTGATTGATCCGCTGTGCAGTTCATATTCGGTCATCATGTTGGATGAAGCTCACGAGAGAACGATCGCCACCGACGTTCTTTTTGGTTTGATGAAAAGTACGTCTTGTTTCTTGTTCTTTTAGCAGGTATGTCTAAAAGTTCTCATTTCAGAGGCTGTCAAGCGTCGACCTGACCTTAAACTCATCGTAACGTCCGCCACACTTGATGCAGAGAAATTTTCAAAGTACTTCTTTGGTTGTCCTATCTTCACCATCCCTGGGCGAACTTTCCCCGTTGAAATCCTCTACACCAAGGAGCCGGAAAGCGACTATCTTGACGCATCCCTTATTACCGTCATGCAGATTCATCTTTCCGAACCACCTGGTGACATTCTTCTCTTTTTGACGGGGCAAGAAGAGATCGATACAGCTTGTGAAATTCTCTTCGAGCGTATGAAAGCTCTTGGTCCCAAAGTCCCCGAACTCATCATTCTTCCCATCTATTCCGCCCTTCCTTCCGAAGTACAGTCAAGGGTCTTCGAACCTACACCTGCTGGGGCTCGCAAAGTCGTCATTGCCACTAACGTAGCCGAGACAAGTTTGACCATTCCTGGTATCTACTACGTTATTGATCCAGGGTTTTCAAAGCAAAATGCGTACGATCCGCGATTGGGCATGGACTCTCTTGTTGTCATGCCTATATCACAAGCGCAGGCCCGGCAGCGCTCTGGTCGTGCTGGTCGCACAGGGCCTGGTAAATGTTATCGACTGTATACCGAGGCGGCGTACCGCAACGAGATGTTGCCCAATTCCATTCCAGATATTCAGCGAACCAACCTTGCTTCGACTATCTTGCAATTGAAGGCTATGGGTATCAACGACTTGTTGAGTTTCGACTTCATGGACCCACCACCGGCGCAGACCATGCTTACTGCACTTGAGTCACTATATGCATTATCGGCTTTGGATGACGAAGGGTTGTTGACGCGGCTGGGGAGGAAGATGGCGGACTTCCCTATGGAGCCGCCACTAGCAAAGATGTTGATTGCCTCAGTAGAGCTAGGATGTTCGGAGGAGATCTTGTCCATCGTGGCTATGCTGTCCGTCCAAACGGTGTTTTATCGTCCAAAGGAAAAGCAAGGTCAAGCCGACTCCAAGAAGGCCAAGTTCCATCAGCCAGAGGGAGACCATCTTACTCTTCTGACGGTGTACAACGGATGGAAGGCTGCGAACTTCTCAAACCCGTGGTGTTACGAGAACTTCATCCAAGCTAGAAGTATGCGGCGAGCACAGGATGTGCGGAAGCAGTTGCTTGGTATTATGGATCGGTGTGTTTACCTTGATTCGCGAAGTTTTTTTTCTCGATGTTAACAAAACTATCTACAGGTACAAGCACGATATCCTTTCATCGGGTCGAGACTATAATCGCGTTCGCACAGCAATTGCTTCGGGCTTCTTCCGAAATGCTGCCAAGAAAGACCCCCAAGAAGGGTACAAGACTCTTGTAGAGGGTACACCCGTCTACATTCACCCATCCTCTGCGCTCTTCAATCGAAACCCTGAATGGGTTGTGTTCCACGAATTAGTCCTTACCACGAGGGAGTACTGTCATAACGTGACAGCTGTAGAACCTAAGTGGCTCGTTGAAGTTGCGCCACAGTTCTTCAAGGTTGCGGACGCTAACAAAATCAGTAAGCGGAAGAAGCAAGAGAAAATTGAACCTCTTTACAACAAGTACGAGAAAGCGGACGAGTGGCGTCTTTCGAAAGTTAAAAGAAGTGCACGATCTGTATGTTCAAATTTCCTCTCTATCCGTCCTGTATTCTCACGATCACTTTTTAGAGTCAAACATTTGGATGATACGCTTTTTGTATTCCGTTGTATACTATGTAATAAATTATGATTAGAATTGAGGTGAGCATAACTAGAAGCATTCTAAACAGAGGGTCGGAAAATGAGGGAACTTAAGATACAATCGACGATATGGGATATGATACACTGCTATATTTCGAGAGGTCGGTGGGGTCCATGCCCATGGGCATTGAGTAAAATGATACAAGGCAAACTGGGGGTAATGATAAGAAGCCGTCATGACTCATGATCAATCCAATAGCACTTACCATAGTAAACTAACCAACAAATCTTAGCGCATCCGCACTAATATAGTACTTTCCAACTTCTCCTGCTTTCGTAGATGCAGCTGTAGCGTCTGGAACCAGCAGAAACGTCTGGGAAAAGACGCGACCATGACCATCTATCGTCTTTGAGCCAGTAGTGTGTGGGTTGCCAGCCGGACCACGTCCATGAGTGACATTTCCCGACACTGTAATGAGAAGCGATGGTGGTGATGTACCTGTAACAATTTTGATTGTTAGATGCCATACTTTTCCAAGACATCGAAGTGAAGCCTACCAGGTATGGGATGACAGTCAAATGATTGCATCTCATGCTTCGTTGGAGGCATTCTTGTAATGAGCTCCTTCAGACCGTCTATCCCTTGCTTCGTCGTTCCATTCCAGGACAAAGACGAGGAAGACCGGTAGAAACTGGGTAGATCCGCCACCCGAGTGGAGGAATCATAAGTGTTGTAATAGATGCGAGTGAAGCTATCTGCTGCACGTGTAGCGATAGAGATACTGAAGAGAAGTAGAATTGAGCCAAAAGAGAGCATGGGAATGATGAAGGACGCACTCGTCGCGGGTGAAGGGAGTTCGAGGGGTGGCGGTCATTGTCGCTGAGCAAAAGAGGCGACGTCACGCTGTGACCATGTGAAGAGACGCACAGCCTCAACACACAGCCACATCACTTGCCGCTCTGACGTCCGTCCATGGTGGAGACCCAGCTTCGAGTTCTGACGCTAAATTGCTGGTTCGCTTATTTTGCCTTTTTAATTTCTGCAAAATTTCTGACCTGGAGCACTCAGGGGACTGAAGTATGTCTCCAAAAATCGCTTTGAGCGTATCCGAGCTATCGCCAGTGAGCTCAGCAATGCCGACTACGATATTATAACACTGCAGGAGCTGTGGGTCTTCTCCGACTACGTGCATGTTAGAGAGTCCGTGTCGAAGCGTCTGCCGTACTCCAAATTCTTCTATAGGTACACTGCCAGTATATGTATATGGACGCGTGCTTACATCGTGTTCACTAGCGGAGCTCTCGGTTCTGGCCTGGCCATATTCACTCGGTTTCCTATTATCGCGACCTCGGTACATCCTTATTCCTTGAACGGAGCGCCCATAGACGTTGTTGCCGGCGACTGGTTCGTTGGCAAGGCCGCCACAAGTGTGGTCGTCTTACATCCAGTCTTGGGCCAGGTCCAGATATTTAACACGCATGTCAGTCATCTTTTCTTTCTTTGTGGAAAGTTCATCTGACACTGGTCTTGTCTAGCTTTTTGCCAAGGGAGGAGAAGAGGGACCCGAGCATAACAGAGCTCATAGACTCGTCAACGCGTGGGAGTTTGCAAAACTTGCGCGTCAGGCTGCGGAACTCGGACGCTACGTGGTTGCGGTATGGTTCCCCTGTGTAAATAATATGTACACTTATATCTTTTTGAAGGCTGGCGATTTCAACAGCATTCCGACGACATTACCCATGACAATCATTCGGGACCATGCCTCACTACTTGATTCATGGGCTGTGACACATTCCAGCCTTCCGTCTTCAAGTATTATACCTCCACCACATGAAGCTATCACCAGATTTGGTGTAACCGCAGACTCGCCCATGAATTCATACTCCGTTGGAAAACCCCTCGATCCGTACGCTCGCAAATTCTGGGGCAAGAGACTGGATTACATATTCTACCGTCAACCTTTGCGGCCCTCATCAATCCCTCAGCTGAAATGTACAGATTGCAAAGTTGTCCTCACTCACAAGGTTCCTGGAACCTCTCATTCCTTCTCGGATCATTTTGGCCTTGAAGCAACTTTAGAAATTCAACAGGTGGAGGCTGCGCCTCTGGATTCTGATTTGCATGGAGAAAATCTCGACGTTTCTTCTTCATCTATTCCATTTAGGCATTCAACAGAACTTTCCAACGCTGCAATAACGACTACCATTCAAGCCTTGGGCGCGTGTTATAACTTTTCACGTTATCGCGCACGCCGCGAGCTATATGTGTTTGGCTTATGTCTGATTATTCTCGTTGCCATTGTCATCGGCTCATCATGGCTACCGCATCCCTGGATCAATCCCATTTTTCTACTTTTTACCATTTTCATCGCCTGGTTGGCGACGACAATGCTCTACGAAGGATTCTTGTATGGTCAATGGGAATGCAACGCGCTCATGAACGTTGTAGAAGAGCTGGAGATATACAAAAAGGGCCTAGAGTTACGAGTTGGGGCATAGTCGTAGTACTTAGGACAGGATGTAGAGTGTATGATATAATCAGATGCATTGTTTGACTAGAAGGCAACTCGATAAACATGTTTTCTGCTGACTCATTATCGCGAAAACAAAGTGCGTTCGTTGGTGTATATCATCAGAATCTCGACCATCTACCTTTCTCAGCAACCCGATACAGGTGTGTAATAATTTGCGCCACCTGACATTTGGCCAATAGTAACACGCACGACTCTCATTCAATTGCAGCCCATTGCTCTCCATTAATATGAGCCCAGTGGTAGCTGCGGAGCAGCTTGTTGCCGGGAAGGAAGAACCGGAAGTCGACGAAAATGAGATTGAGGATGGAGAAGAGGATATTCATAACGGTGCCGCGAACGGTGCGTCGTGTCAACAATGAAGTGTCCGTCATCTCTTTCTTATCCTTGCTTTTGACTAGGAGATGCAAAGAAGAAGAAGAAAAAGAAGAAACCTAAAAAGAAAAAGGTAGAACAAAGCGATCCTCCTCGTATTGGACTCTCGAAGTTTTACCCGGACGGTATCTATCCCGAGGGTGAACTCCAGCCGTATAAAGATGAGTGCGTGCAGCGATATGCTTTCCGTGGAATCATCTGACTTTGGGCTAGCAACACCTGGAGAATTACGTCCGAGGAGAAACGATACGAGGAGAGAGTGATCAACGAAGATCCGGAGGCAACCTATCAAAATATTCGAAGAGCAGCGCAAGTCCATCGACTCGTCCGCAAGCATGCCCGGAAATATATTCGCCCTGGAATGTCCACGACGGAAATTGTTGAAAACATCGAAGATGGAACCCGGGCACTCGTGGAAGAGAACGGGCTTGAGTCTGGAGTTGGTTTCCCGACAGGCGTCAGTTTGAATAATTGCGCGGCTCACTACACTCCCAATGCTGGTGACACCAGAGGCAGGTTTGCTAGCTTCCTTCTTACGTTAGAAGGCTCATGTCTGGAAATGCAGTGCTTCAGCAAGGTGATGTCCTGAAAGTGGACTTTGGTGTACATGTGAAAGGGCGAATACTTGACTCCGCCTTCACGATGACCTTTGATCATACTTACGACAAGCTTATCGAAGCCGTCAAGGCTGCCACAGACACTGGTGTTAGGGTAAGTTTTGTGCACTATTTCGGTCATGCCATTAATATCCGATCATTCTCCAGGAAGCAGGCATCGACGTTCGCCTCGGCGAGCTTGCAGGAACCATTCAGGAAACCATGGAATCTTATGAGGTTGAAGTCGGAGGCAAGGTGTATCCTGGTGCGTTGGATCTCTGATTTCATGATTCCTTTCTAAAGACAACCGCAAGTTAAACCCATTGAGAACTTGAGCGGTCATTCCATCAACCCTTATCAGATCCATGGAGGAAAGTCAATCATGCTAGTTAAGAATGATGACCAGACCAAAATGGAAGAGGGCGAATATTTCGCAATTGAAACATTTGGTTCTACGGGCCGTGGTCGGATCGTTGAAAGCGTAAGTCTCGCATTTCTATCATCTCCATCTGTGGTGACAGGCCCCAAAGGGAGACTGTTCTCATTACGCGAGGGTATACGATGCACCGCATGTGCCCTTGAGGTTTGTTTCATGTTCCTCATCATGCGCAACGGCTTCATTTTAATTAGATTGACCTCTGCAAAGTCACTGTTGAAGACGATCAACGAGAGTTTCGGAACTTTACCTTTTTGTCGCCGCTACTTGGACCGCATTGGCGAGAGTAAATATTTGTTGGCGGTGCGTTCTTGTGGTGCCGATATTCATGGAGTCTTACTTTCTTTCGTAGCTGAACCACCTAGTGTCACAAGGTGTAGTGCAAGACTATCCTCCGTTGTGTGATCAGCTTGGATCGATGACGGCCCAATTTGTATGGCCCCAACTTCTGCAACCCCGTATTGTATTCATCTTGTTTCAGGAGCATACGATCTTACTACGGCCGACAGTGAAGGAAGTTGTGAGTCGGGGAGAAGATTACTGATGTACGGTAGTAAAAAATACCGTTTCCTGTGCGTCATGTATGCGAATCGGATCCATGGCTCGTCGATGACAACTTTCCTGCTGATCGGAGCTTTTTTTTCTGCTGAACACGCGCATTGACAGATGATCGCGGTTCTCATGGTCCGATTGGTGCAATACATACAAGCAGCGGCTCAGAACAGAAAGAAAAAGCAGTGGAAATCACATGAAAGTTTGCATAAGGAACATAACCAGATCCGGTACGGCTTTACCATTAGGGGCTGTTGCCCCTCAACATCTGCGTCTGCTCCGCTTCTAATAAAACACTTCGCTCGATCATCGTTGTCCTTTCCCTCTGTCGCCAGCGCCAGTCGAGCACTCTATCATCCCTTTCTTACGATTGTCTACTGCAGCACAACCTCTTTGCACCATGTCTTTCATCTCGAGCCCTCGTATCGGTGAAACATGCAATAGTTCCTGTGCTGCTCACTGTATCATTCATGAAGCTGCGCGAAAGCAGCTTCATGCCCTGATTGATCACTATGCGACACCAGGAGTGGCGCCGCCCTCCGCTCGCATGCTACCTCGACTGAAGATTCAGGACAAACCTTCGCTCAGACTATGGGATTGGTGGAAGTATGGGTGGTTTGTGGCAAGCAAAGGTGGTTTTCATTATATTCTGTTTCTTCACCGTCCTTACTCTCTTCAATAGCAACTCAGATGACTGGAGATGTACTAACTCATGCGCTCTGGGGACCCCGCAAGAAGTCGTGGGGTATTGAGATGACCTTGATATCAGGTCTAATGCGTGGCGCCGGGCGCCACACTGCGCTTATGGATCTTGTAGGCGCAGGTTCGCCGTGTTCACATTTTGAATACTGACATGATTTTCTTCAAGCCTTCCATTCGTCTTTTCATGGGTCTTGGAGGACTTGCCCCTCTGCCTTCCGATGCACTCGTTACTCCTGTTACCTTCCGCGTTCGAAAGCGGCGGTTGCGAGGCATTCTTGCGGATTTCGATAGCAAAGAAACCGGACGTCGGGAACTATCCGGTGAATGGGTAGTTGCGAAGAAGACTTGGCACAGATTACAATCGGAATGGAAAGCGTCCCAATCCGGTCGTAAAGGATCTGGTCAGTCTCCTAGGCCAGGAAAGAAGACTGAACGGGTTGTGTTATACATCCACGGGGGTATGTGTGGATTGTTTTTCTCATGTGGAATTTAGTTCTGACCCCTGAAAGGTGCCTACTATGTTGGCAGTCCGGCATCTCAAAGGCAGATCTCAGTACCCTTGGCTCAACATACTGATGCGCGCGTTTTTGGCAAGTCTACCCTATCACTGGTCGCCAGACCTAGTCTTTAATACAATTTCATTTTCGCAGCCCTTGATTATCGGCTTGCACCTGAAAGTCAATTTCCCGGCCCTCTTCATGACGCCGTGAGCGGGTATCTGAGGTTGGTCGAAGACTTGAATATCCCATCAGGCAACATCATCGTTAGCGGCGATAGTGCGGGGGGCGGCTTATCACTTGCATTGCTGTTGTACTTGAGGGATAATGACTACCCAATGCCGGGTGGTGCCATCCTAATGTCTCCGTGGGTTGGTAAGTACACTGACATTATATCTTGACTTCTCTGAACTGGATTATCTGCAGATCTGACCATGAGCTGTGAATCATGGGACTCGAATGCGGGGTTCGATGTTATCCCTGTTTTCTCTCCTGCGGATTATATGAATCCTGTGGCTCAATATTTAGGCCCATACGTGGAAAGATACTTGACGCATCCATACGCCAGTCCGTTGTTCGGCGACCTCAAAGGGCTTCCTCCTCTTCTCATCCAGTCTGGTGACTCCGAAGTGCTAAGAGATGAGATAACATTATTCGCTCACAAAGCCACCTTGGCTGGCGTCGAAGTACGTCATGAACTCTACGAGGATGCGGTCAGATTATGTATTATACATATGCGTCCAATCATTTACATCTCTTTCAGGTCCATGTTTTCCAACTCTTTCCCTTCCTCGAAACTTGCGCTCGTGCATTTATGTCGATGGACGTATTTGTACATCAAGTTCTTCCTAGCTTCGAGAGTCGATCTCCCCAAGTCATTGCTCCTAACGCAGAGGAAGTCATGGCAGTTGAGATCGACAACGACAACGCCGTTGTTCTCAACTGTGAAGGAATCGCCACTCCCATTGCAGCCGAGGGAGTCAAAGAAAACTTGGAGCATTGTTCGGATGACGACTGTGTCCCATCTACACCTTCATTGGCCTCTAATGGCGGAAATAAGCGAAGACCACTCCCTCTCTCACTTACCAAGCCACCTGGTCAGCGTCCGAAGTCATTCCATGGTACGGTCCCTGAAAAACACAATGGGAATACAGCTCAATATATAATACCTCATCCTGATTGGGAAAGTGTACCTGGTCAGGCTCCTTCTCCTTCGCTTCGCCGCTCTTTCAAGCGGACGACTAGCTACTCTGATATCTCTCGTCTGATTGAAAACTGGACCCATTCAGGTCCGGCCAACCAGACGCTGATGTACAGACACCCAGAGCCTTAATTTTTCCTCTGACACCTACTGGGTTTGGGATCTCTACCTGACAAGCAGAAAGATGGTACCTGACGGCTGCTTTATACTTAGTACTGACATAATGTATAATACTGATCTATGGTAAATCGTCTCAGTGCGATTCCTAATATGAAATACGACGTATCCAGCTAGTTTTTATAGATGTTGACTGGGTTCCTCTTTAGAATAACGCGGCATGAGTTCAACGACAGTCTATATCGTAGCTTGTTAGGTTCAAGTCGCATGCCATTCGTCGCGATCATGTGGCCACCTTGGTTGTCCGCATTGCTTAGGATTTCTAGTATAACCGTGAACAGCGTAGGATAAGCATCATGTTTGGTTACTTGAACGTCACGGAGAATAGGCGACGATAGACGGTAAAAATATGCATTCGCAGGTTACGTACTCAGTGACTGGGTTTTCTTTGGCATTTGTCTTCCTTGTAGGCGTCCCATGGATCCGTGAGCTTTTCGACTTCCGAGTCGGCGTGGAACACCACAGTCGAAATTAGGGCTTGTCCAAGCAAACTCCGATTCTACTCCGATGCCATGCAACAATGCGAAATCAGCAGGTTTAAATATTCCCTAATCTCAGATCTCAGGCTCCACCATAGCAACCCGTCAACATTCTTTGAAAGTGCATCAACGGCCTTAATGTCGTCGCCCGACCATCCAACGCATAAAATTAGTATCCCGGCTATAATACAACGGCAGATAAATTATATATGATCACTCGAACAATTTCTCGAATTTGCGAATGCACGATTGAGGACGGTAATCTGTGCCATTCAGCAGTGAGTAAGGAGCATGGATACAGCCTATAAGCTTTTACCTATGTTTTCGCCGGCATTACAATCGCAGTTCTTATTTTCTCTATCATCTCCTGCAGGACAGTGTTGGAAAGGTTCGTGGCGGTAGCCGATGTCACGGAAGAAATGCAGTTTTTCTTTGGGCGAGAAAAGTGCTGCTGCAATGGAGTGGACAGGGGCGTCGCCCCATCGCTGGGGTGATAAGATTAAGAGTGCTCCTTCATCGACAAGATGCAACATACCTCGTAATAAAACCCGCCTTTGGATTCTAGATAGTCGAAGAACTTTTGATATGCGTCACCCCTCCAGAAATCCATGTCCGCGATCTCGAAGTTACTCCAGACTTTAATTGGCTGAGACAATTTGTACGCCGAAACGAAATTTAACAACGTACAGTGACATAGGTTGTATGATTTCCCTTGATTATCGCTAAGGTAATCCATTGCATTGGATTCTGAGATGTACTGAGGGAATAGCTTCATGAATTCTAAGATTATGTGTATCAAAGTTCGCGTAGGGAGGACAAGTAACATGATAACCTACCTTTCACAGTGGACCATAGGGTAGGAATTGTCTTTTCCCATTCAAGGAACGATATTGTAAAACCTAGAGATGTCATAAGAGGTCAGACTTCGCGACAGCAGTCGAACTCTCACCATAGATCTTGTCATTGTTCCTCATGAATTCAAATGGATCGTATGTGACATCGCAGAGGATTTTGATATCAGGTCTATAGATAATTTGTTAGCCAGAAATACACATCTTAAATCCTTTACCCACTCCACTCTCCAATAGTACCGATACGGTTGAAGCAATGGATGGCGGAAGAAGAACTTGAATTCATCACTCCAGTCAGTCAACTGAGCAGTAAAGGGTCCGGTAAAGACTCACGCCAGAATTAAATCTGCACATATTTCGATATGGCACACTGTCTGCGAAGTGTAAGACATATAAACGACGTTCGCGAAAATACGGGACACACACCAGCATATATAATCTTCGCAGCAGCCATTTTTTTCCGGCCCGCAGCAGCCAGGGTCTCATCTATCCAATGTGGTTGGTACCAGTGCTCTTTGGGTATCAACCCAAACGAAACAGGCGCAGGAATCGCTGCTGATACCCGACTTGAGAAACAGTCAAATACGTCGAGATGACGAGCGACGAAAGAAAAACCTTTTGAATTCATCGGTAAACTCCTCCTCGTTCAAAAATACCCAAGGATACCCAAAACGGCGATTGAAGCGATTCTCCACGAAGCCAATGCTTGAAAGGGCGCCCTCGATATCTGAGTTCCGGCATAACATGACCATCGTAGCATTCTCTTTCCCTTCGCCGTTAGGTCGCGGCGGTGTTGGAATAGATGGGAGGTCGGCCAGTTCAGAGGGCACACCTACTTTGACGGTGGCAGTCGGATCCGGAATCTCGACGTCAATTATTTCATTGTCCATTGCAACCCGCCAGCTATGATATTCTCCAAGCAGGTAGGTCACGTAGATGACACCAACCTGAAGAAGATCAATGAATAGCTAGTAAGTATGAGAGTATCTCTTACCACGGCGGCACCAACGAATCCATAGCGCTTACGACCTGGAAGAACAGCAGGTATCCTCATACCACCCAAATCGCGTAGTCCCGGTTGGTCGTTTTTGGAGAAATGGACTGTGTGAATTTCTCGGCCACCATCACCTGCGCATGCATAATATATATAAAGGCTGCGCAGTCACAGATATATTTTTAGGGTCACCGACGACCGGAATTTCGAATGGCACAGACTGCTGCACAGTAGAATTCAACATCCGCAGAGGTTAACGTTAATTTAGGGCCTGGTAAGGAATAAATCTAACTAGCAGCCGTATAGTTATCCATCCATGACTTGACCGCGAAACTTCCGCGAGTCTGGGAAGTACCAAAGCGGGCTCGAGGGGCTGCGCGGTCCGACGATCCGCAGGCTACTTACCCCTCGCTCGTCCGCATCCATCGCCGCAATAACTCCACAACGTTTGTCTTCCACCTTTTTTTTTTTTTCATCCGTTGCTGCCACGAACTGTCTAAATGTCGACATCCCACCTTTACGGATCCTGCAGTTAACATGAAATACGAAGATCGTGGCTAGAAATCAGGGATATGCCGATGCCGTTTGCAATACTAAGATTCACCCAGGACAGTCCTAACTCCACTAGTCCAGATAGACCTGGTTGACCCCCACCGAGCAGGGCTCTTATACGGAGTCTCTGCTCGAGTCAGCCACAATGATGGATATCAAACCACGTACGTTGATCCTCAGAGCCCGTCATGCGCAACGTCGATAGCTTCTACTTTCCATGAAAAATTTGGCCCGGGAAAACTCTCACAGCGCCCGTTGTCTGTCGATTTGTGAGCGAGAACAGGTGATAATATCTGCAAGAACATTGCTACGGCCTCTAAGGGGATGATATGGGCCACTTTCACTGTCCAGCATCACAATGCAAAGTAATGGAGAGTTCCCAAGACTCTGTCCACCGTCTGTCACCTTCACAAAGCTTTTCATCTCTGCTCCGAGGGGCACTCGGGTTCTCAGTGACACTTTAGACTAAAAACTCAGAATGTTGCCGCTTCACAACATGGGATGGTTTCTCGTGATTTATCCAGAGGAACCGGGAATGGGTACGAGACAGTGATATCATTCTGTCTGGGATTCAGGTAGCCGCCGCACGCTCACGATGCTTACTTCTGGACGGTGAGATCGTAGCAACAAACCTGGATACCGCGTTAGCCTCGAATTTTCATTACCGAATTCCGGAGCATCCACCTCGAATTGGGGCTCTGTCTTCGACCCGAAAACGCGCAATCATGTCTGTCCACATTCAATATTTAACACCAGCCGCCATCGGCTACCATAGAATAATCGGACTCACAGGAAACCATGTCCATCCACGCTGTATGGTCTCGAAATCACCCGCTCAAGGCCTACAGACTCACATCCGTTCCCAGTTTCGTTATTCCTTGGTGATATGGAATATTTTTATTCATTCACCACTGCAAAGACATCGCTCTCTAAGTCCTGAGGCTCATTTAAATTCCCGAGTGGAAAACCTTTGCGTGAATGGACAGTTGGGGCCAGAAATGCACTTGAACAAATTCATAACGATAATGATAAATTCTTAAATTAAATTAGTATGGATCAGCTAGCCGACTGAATCTTCTTACAATCTCAATCATAACTTCGCTTTCACCATTTCTTCAAGGGGAGGAGTCTTGTAATCCTCGTCCGCTTCCTCTCCACGGTCCCAGTCGTAGCAAAACAAAATTGGACCAAAGGCTATCGGAACTCCGCCGAAGACCTCACGAATCGGTCGTCTCTGCCCTTTAGGTTGGCGGCTTCGGTCCAGGGTGGTAATGGGTACAGGCTGACAAGCCAAAGAGGAGATATGAGCTTGAGCTTGAAGATCTGCATCCAAGGACCCAACCGCAAATTGCTTGCCTGGTATCGGTGTCATGGTTTTTGGTTAGGAGGTGTAGTCGGGACAACCAGGATTATACCGGGATCGGAATCATCGAACGAAGGTCGCTACTAGAATGAGTGTACTTGAACTCGAGCTTGATGTCTGGGTGCTGCGACGAGTGGAGATTCGTGTTTTCGCGAGGCAACTGCCACTGAGTACTACTGATACCCAAGAACGAGATACGTATACACACGGTTATATTCTGGTAGATTGCGTATATGCTCGTCAATGAATGTCCATGTGCGTTTGGCCCACCACTTACCTTCGCAAAGATATGATACTTCGCGGTATCTCCGCATTTCACACGCCGTCAACGTTGGCTCCTGCCACCATCGTCTTCTTACCTCCTTCTGTCTATCGTTCCTCGCTGCTCACCGTTGGCTCGACGCGTACCCTTACGCGTATCTTGGGTCAATATTCATTTCTTGGCAAGTCTGATTCTATCGTGCCCAGCAATAAAGCTTGACTTGCAAATCGACCAGCAGCACTTTAGTGATACCAGTACCGCTGTTATACCAATCTTTATTTTCCAACTAAACCCTTAATATTTCCATCTATCATGAATTCCAACGCTTCGACGACGGCCCGCTCGCCCCAAAAATCCCCTAGTTTGGTTGCACACAGGACGGTCAAGCGATCTTCCATTCCTTCATTATCGTCTAATTCTGCCATTAAGGATAGACGAATATCAGCACCTCCTGGAGAGAGCGTTATTAGAGTATCGGCCTCACCACCATCCATGGCTGCGACGCCGACATCACCTACCCCCAACGGCGCGTGCGCTTCGACAAGCGGAGGCATTCCACGGCTTAGAGCTACTCCATCTGTCATTTCAACGAAACGTTCTCTGGTTAAGACCATCTACGCTCCTTCGAATACATCTCCCCAAGCGCGTGTTACAAACGAGAATTCAACTTCGACAACTACCCCACCACGTGCCCAGCTCAGCCCACTGGCCACACCACCTTCACGCATACGCAAAACACCCACGTTCTCCCCCGAACAGAGCCTTTCGCCTTCTAGCCATCTATCCTCACCTTCAAAGTCTCTTCTCGAAAGGCACTCCTCAACTCCCAAGACTACCTCACCGCGTTCCACGCTCGGACAGAGTCCCTTATCCAAAAATGGCACTCCCAACTCCATGTATCGTTCTTCTACATTAGTGCCCATGCCGATCCCAGAGCAGCCAAAGTTACTATCACAATCTGCCGCCCTCCTCTCTCTTACTGAAAAAAGCACCGGGTACGGAAGCCCCGAGAATCACTTCTTTTCCACCTCGGCTATGATCCCCTCTGTCTGGGCTACCGATGACGATAACACAACTCTGGACATGGTCACAGAAGACGGAGACGAATACGAGGGTGACGAAGAGCTTGCAGGTCTCTTGAGCCAGATTTCATCTCTTCATTCGCGCAAGATTACGTCATATAAGAGACTGCTGGAGCGTGCACAACTCTCGTCGGCAGCTCAATTGCATGCACTGCAAGCGGAGATACAGATTCTGAAAGAGCAGTTACAGAATGGAGGTGGGCATACTCACAATCCAGTGCCCATGATATCTGGCGAAGGCTTCTGTAGACAATGCCGTAAGAAGAAAGGATATTGGGACGGATACAGAGGGGAAGATGACGAGGACGACGAAGGAGTTGATGATGATCTTGCATTCGTTTTAAAAGGTAAAGGCAAGTATAATTTTGACGAGAAAGCTGTGCGGAGGATAGTCCGACATATGGGAAGGGCAGCCAGAGGCCGATTGTACGTGTTCTCGTGTTCTCGTCATTATGCATTAACCCTAAACGATCTGTTAGAATTGGAATCATATTAGGAGCGTGTCACCCTGGTGATATCCCGCTCCAAATTCTCCTCCTCCAACGTTACCTAAAATCAACATATGATGTCCTTGGGAATCTCTCCCCAGAATTGTCTCTACGGATTCTGAAGGAGTTTAGTGTATCGCAGTTGCTTGGACTGGCGGCAGTCTCCAAGAAGTGGTACGCGATGGTACATCACGCATCTGTTTGGAGATACCACTGTCTCAGAGTAACGGCAAATGATCCCGTCCCACTCAAATGGCCTGACGATGACACAGGATGGTTCCCACTCTACCGCTCTCTCCACCACCTCCACTCTAACCTTGCCAATGCGCTTCCTCAGTCTATCTTGTTTTTGAATGGGCATACTAACTTTGTGACGACCCTCATACTGAAGGGGAGACGGTTAGTCAGTGGGAGCTATGATGAGACGATTCGGTTCTGGGAGTTGCCAGAGAGAGGTGTGGGGGTGGGGATGAATGCGGCTGCCATCAGAGTATCTGGCGGAAGTCAAATGGATGTAGATGGTAAGTTTAATGAGTTGGATATGTGATCTTATGGACTAATGGTTGGCTTGAGGTCTGGCCCAATGTAAAAAGGTGCTGAGAGTTGGCAAAGTTGTTAGTTGTATTGATTGGTTAATTGAAGAAGGCAAGTTTTCATTTTTTTCTCAATTTCCAATCTCCTGACGTGTATCGCAGAGGTATTTGTGGTCGGATTCCACGCTGTTGGGTAAGTTCTAAGAGGATTGAGATCAATCCATTCTGACCGCATCCGCCGTCAGACGTGTCCATCTTTTCTCTTCCTTAACATACACTTCTCTTCAACAACTTGCTGGACATCTCAACGGTATCCGCGCTGTAGCTCTGAGTTCCAAGAATCTAGTCTCCGCAGGTAAAGTGACTATGAGTGACTGAAACGTTTTTTGTTGATATTTTCCAAAGGTGCCGATAAAGCACTTGTTTGTTGGGATTGGCGCGCCGGGACGAAAATTGTTCGTTTCGGGCAGCAGACTACAATCAATATCGGCGTCCAAATCATCGCCGGCTCGACAAATAACGAGGGTGAACGGGTTGTCAGCGTCACCATTGACGGAGTTGTACGGGTATTCAGTATTCGTGCGTTTTATCTGTGCTCTGTTTAGTTGATGACTAAAAAGCTTCTCAGAGCGAAGAGAAATGATGTCACAATTCAAGCTATCTGATCTTGGTGGCATTGATCCTGTGCTGAACGCAAAACTGCACAATATCGGCGCCGCCCCTAATAACATGTTACAGTACGTAATTCTATGTCGGATGCAAAGCTGCAGAGCCGATTTTACTGTCGTAGATGGTTTGCTGCCAAAGGCACGCAAATGACCGTGTGTCTCTACTCATGTCTGTTTGGAATGACTGCTCATGGAATCTTGTAGTGTGCTACCAAGTCGATTGTCATGCATCTTCAATGGCAAGAGGAATCTGAAGACCCTATTTCGAAAACTACATCTAGCAAATTAATGGGGCCGCCTTCTCCAAAGATCACTTCTCCGATATCATTGTCTGCAAGCCTGAGTAAAGTTCCGGCTACTCCTCGTACTCGTGCAGTTTCATCTATGGCCCGCTCTACGTCACTTGTCATATCCAATTCACAATCTTCCTCTCGGCGCCCGTCTCTAATAGCCAGCGTTTCGAGTGCCTCTGCTACTAAAAGCAAATTAAGTATGAGCTCTACCACGCGGGCTAGGACATCTAGCACGTCTATTAGCCCGACGTCGACAAGGACCGGGACACCCGCGGGGCTGTTCCCCATCAGATTTGGCAGAGCGGCGATTTTAACTGCGCCGCCGAAATTGGTTGCAATGGTGGAGACGCCTGATGTGGCCATGGGGGCAGTCGACCCAAGGAAAAAGAGAGTGGTAACTGCTACAAGATTCAGTTCTCGGGCGGGTGCCGACAGAAGAGTAAGCGCCTTGTTTCCATTTTGCTCTCTGTTGACCCGTGTTATGGCCAGATGTTCATGTCTATTCACGAAGACAAGGAGCAGCGCCATACCGGAAACGACTCTTTGGAAGTAGATGTGGACCTGGATCTGGTTCTAGGGATTACGTCGAGGAATTCTTCGCCTTCAGTGGATATAGATACCACCGTCACTCCCGTCACGGGCGCATGGGCTGCTTTGGCTAATGCTGACAGTGAGACTGGTTCTTCGGTGAAGGGTTTAATTGGATCCCTACCTCCTAAATTCCAAGGATTGGCAACGCCTGAGAAAAATCCAATGTCGATGCAGTTGAGCCATGAAGAGGTTGTGATAGGGTGTGCAGATGGAACTATTTAGTACGCTGCATTCTCTCTGGTATTTTGTGACACCACTGAGTTGAACTTTACAGCGTCATGAATTTCGTTGGTTACGAGTATCAGAAGCCTAGACAGCGGCCAGGGTCTGTCGAAGTGTCTTCCGACGATATTGATATCGATGACGAGACCATCAGCGAATCAGACTAAAGCTTTGGCACCTAAGAATGCTTTGTTTGATCCTTTCTGTGTCGCTCCAGCATGTTATGAACATTTCTATACACTACTTGTCTAATGAACATCTATGGTTTGTCGCTGCTATTCTCGGGCTCAAATGAGAGATCATTCAATGCGACAAGCAACATTCGCCAATGTCACGGTCAGCGACGCCGACGTCATAGAATTGTTTTTTGCACTTCGATTGTGGGCTCCGAATTGGAGGTTGAAAATCACTGTAACCCTGACCTTGTTTCAGATGACAGTAGGACTTTTTTTCTCCACCGAACCTAAAATTACCAAGTTATTATCTACCTCTCATCAATTTAGCTCGTTTTCTCTAGCCCTGTCTCTCTCTGTCATCGGACCGCTGAAGTAGACTTGAAACTCAGAAGGGCATTGCTGTGCATTTACCCGTCCTTTGTTCAAGGCGCTGGAGTGACACTGTCTTCGGGAAACGAAACCTCGCTGAGAAACGTCTTTGGGATGTCCTGGCCGACGAACTTTGTCTCCCCCAAATTCCCTTGCCTAACATTCAATAACGGATGCCTTGGATGTGCTCTGGTTGTGTCCAGTCTGGGTATCGCTACTTCCGATAGCATCGCAGTAGTACCAACGGAACCCAGTTATTGGTTCAGGCTGTTCGGTGCCATACTAGCATACTAGAACAATGACGATTCAGAATCAATCAGATCTCCTATGTATGTATTTATATATATATATATATTCAAGGCGCTATTGGTAGTCTATCCGCTTATCAAGCCTCCCAGCGCCGAAGCATCCTATTGGCCATTCTCCCCAATGACTTTTTACCGCTGCTCTTGAGCTCATCGGCGAGCTTCACCTCGCCAAGCATCCCGAGGGCGGTGAGTCTTCTAGACCCAGCCGCTTTGACTAAATACCGAGGTCTAGGGGGCTACTATGTCGAGACGGATCGGCAGGAAGGCAACGTACCGTCGCCCTTTGCTGGTAAACAATCCCGTTCGTGGCAGAGGTTTTCACCAACAATAGCTGTTCTTTCAGATAACGCACCTCGAGATCTACTATCTCCTCACAGCTAGGTGTCATACACCCTCACACTGCGTAAGCCCTCAGCTATGTTTGGCACTTGCTTTCATCTACGGCCCGTAATAGCCTCGCGCTTACGGTAATTGCTTCACGCCTACCGGCTACCTCTTTACAGACATTGCTTCGTACTCGCTGATCCCTTTAACTCGCGAACCTCTTTAACTCTCGAACCCCCGCCGGAATCCATTGTTTTTCCTAATGACATACATCTCTCCTACACCCTCAATCATCGCCTCTCGCCTCGCGCTCCCGTAGATCAGGACAAGCCTGCTGCCTAGTACATATCACGTTCAAGAAGTTAAAAGAACCGTCGCTGCAACATTCAATAACGGAAATTATATAGTAGCAATCGCCGTATATATTCTGTAATAAATTTCATACAAAGTCATAAAAGTTACACTAATACAAGAGTCCTCCAAAGGATCTCCGAACAGTCACATCACTTCACTTGATCTACTTTCAGTAAAGCTTCTTTTCTTCGGGCTTTAAGCTTTAAGCATCATCTTCTGATGAGGAGTTCTCATCGTACAACACCACATAGTCCAAAGCATTCGATCTCGGGGGTACGGCAGTACGTTGACTGTCCGCAGTTGACGCGTTCATCCGGCTTTCTTCCCATAGTTCCTCATCGGACGAATCCGAAGAAGGCACACTGACCAATGAGGCAGAGAAGGATTCCTCGGACCCAGCAACTGAGATAACATCTTGAGAGGATGGTGCGGTTACCGGAGAAGCAGGAGTTGAATTCGAAAGGCTCAGCCGCTCGAACTGTTGTTGAGTTACTTCCAGCGGCTGCAGGCTCTCGGGTGCCTTAGGCATAACAATCACGGACGAGTATGTCATCGAAGGGGGTACTTCAGAAACTGCGCTACTCGCCTGTTGACGATGAGGCTCCGCGACAACAAGACTGCAGAAACATTAATAATTGTAATGACCAGAGCACAAATTACCAACTCACTCAATCCAAATGCTATCCCCGAACAATTGACCAGTCGAACCATTCTTCAAGCGCCAGTAGCCAGTATATCTTCCAGGAGCGTCAGGAGCCTTTAAAAATTATACCAAGTCAGCCACCACTGAACTCATATCTTTTCAAACGTACCTTTAATTCCCCAGTCCAAACATCAACCTCTTCACCAGCACGTACAGATCCAACAGGCAGAACGTACGTTCCCGAGTCACGCATAAACGGCTCTCCCGCCACGAACATCAGTTCGGTGCTTTCCTCCCAATCATTCAAACCACTGTTCTTCATGCGCCAGCACTTCATGAACTCGGCACCTGGGGGGAAGACTTGACCATCCGGTGCGGTGACATCTCCAACAAAATCAGCTTTGGTCTCAATGATAGCCCGGAAGTCATCATGAGAAAACGTGGTAACAGCTTTCGCCTTGTAATCGGGGATTACAGTTTCAGATGCCAGAGATTCCTGTGATGAGATGAGCAAGTCCGGAATACTAAGGTGCCGAAGGGGCGGGAGAGAAGGAAGTGACGGCGAAACGTCCTGAGCAGTCTTCTCCACTTGAGGCACAGATGATTTAGCCTCTGCAACATCAACATTAGGGACATTCGAGTGCTGGTTGACAGGCGTCAGGAAAGTCTCCGGTGTTGGGCTATTTGGCAACGAAGGTTCCATCAGATGTGTCAACTCGGGGAACGACAATTGCGGGTACGGCCTGGAGGCCTTGTTCGACTTGGCGGAGGGCTCTCTGGCCGACGGAATCACAGAATGATTGTCATCGGGGATACAAGTCTGTTCACAAGGGGCATAGTCGTCATCATCAATGTAGAACCTCTGACGGAATTGCTCAAAGAGGGAGGAGGGTAGGTGCGAGGAGCTGTTAGGAACTACATCGGGATAGTGTACGGAACAAACTTCACCATCAGTTGCTGAGATGGTTGTGGAACCCGCCGTGGACTGGAAAGCAGAAGCTGAAGGAATGGGGGTGTGAGCCAAACTCGGAAGTGACACCACCATCGTATCTGGAAGGGGAAGTCTCTCGTTAAAAGCCGGGTGATAAGGCGGTGATGGTGACCTGGTCAGGTACGTGGGGTTGTAGGCCGGCGTCATGAAAGGAGACTGTTCTGCAGGCGGAGTGATACAGGGAGGAATGTACGCAGATGCTGAAGGAGAAAGAAAGGGAGAATTAGCTTCGGGCAAAGGAGTCGGTAAATCAGAGACAGGAACTGGGATAGATGTAGGAGGCATAAGAGGAGACATGGGGGTAAAGGCCGGAAGTGCACCAGGAATTGTCATGGGAGGGGAAGGAAGAGGAGACGGAGTCCTTAATGTAAACGGGAAGCCCTTAACGAGAGGCGCATTTGCCCAAGACGGATTGCGAAGGACACCACGATCATAAGAGCGGGAGCGAGAACGCGACCGAGTCATATAAGACAGAGGGGTGCTCAACCTGAGAGGAGAGCGACCTCGATCTGCGTCGACGTCAATCAACGTGGTTTGACCGACGCGGTATACTGTGGGAATGACGGTATCTGCCGACTTCATCTTCAGAAGAGGGTGGTTGGGAGGATGAACAGAGATTGGCATAGCTTCACAGCGTTCGCAAAGGTCAAAATCGAGACATTCGTGATGCATGCACTATGAGCTGGTGAGAACATGTGCACCTAGTATTGAACAATGAACCAACCTTGTATCGGACGCCGTAAATACTTTTGTTACAATCATTGCAAACCGCCATGTGCATGGCACCTACAGGCCCATTGGAACGCTGTGGCGTTGGTCAGACATTGAAGACGGGATGAGCAAGTGACACCAACACATACCAAGTAATCAGCGGGGTTGGAAATCTTGATGAATGTATGATGGGGGTGCTGTTCCTTGGTAATACTGCAAAGATTATATTAGCACCAAAAAGATGTATGAACAAAAGAACATACGCGTAACAGGAGCCGCATGTGTCGAAATCCGGACAATTAGCGCATTTCTATGATGGCATATTAAGCATGGGCCAGACCTTTGTTGAAGAAGGGGAACTCACATAACGGCCACCTCGAATGCGGGAGTCACAGAGATCACAAGTCGCACAGTGAATAGGGCTAACGGCTGGCGTGGGACCTTGGGGCACGGGCACCGGGGCAGGTGCCGGTGGAGCGGTGCTTCCGACGCGAGAAATGATGACGCGGCCTGGTTCAACGACTTCCCAGAACTCGTGGAAGGGATCATGTCGTTCGGCAGCACCTGTAGTGATGCATTTAGTGCAGAGGTCGTAATCTGAAAAACTGTTAGGCATGGAAATAAAAGTCTTGAGAATATGCATACCAGAGCAATCCAAGCACTTGTGTCTGATTCCTTCAATCTGCTCTGAGCAACAGTCACACCTGACACCGTAATGGATGGTCGGTGGCGCAGCGGGAGTCTCTACTGGCTTTGGAGCCTCTATGACACGAGGCCCAGGGGTAAGGTTGAGTTGGACAGTCGCAGGAGTGTCGGGAACCATGGGAGGGATAAACGGTGTCACGGGTGACATGTTATTGAAGGTATAGAAGGGCTGCATTGGCTGTGCGAAAGGATTAGGAATATGAGAGGGTGGTGGCGGTGGTGGCGGTGGCGGCGGGGGAAGGGGGGGGAATGACATCGGTGTGAAGGCTTGCAAAGGTGGAATAGGATCCAGCGGATCGAACGGCTGCCGGTCCTTGGGGCAGCCACCACATCTTTCTAGCTTGTATGTGTGACGACCCAAGGTTTCGACGCAAGGACTCTCGAACAGAGGGGGGTGCTGCCAGCATTCATTGCACTAGGTAGAAAAATAGGGTGAGCCGACATAACAGACGGGTATGAGATACGTACCACAATACGAGCACACTTTTGACAGGACTGCCATGGCCCTTGGAAGAGCTTGAAACACTTGGCACAGGTATGGTACATACAAGGCATAGGTGGCACGAAGGGCCTTCCAAAGACGCTCTGGGGGGGCTGAGAAGACATGTTCTGGTCGAGGAAGTTGTCGCCAAAGGCTCCTTTGAGGATGCGGTCAAGGTCCCTCTTAAATGTGTCCATGAGGGTGCGTATATCATCCTTTGCCTGGGCCACGGCGCAGCAGGAAGACTGCTTCTGTGACTGAGTTGGTCGCTGCGGCTGAGACCATGGCTGCGGGGAAGGAGATCGAGTCGGGAATGGCTGTGGCGGGAGGGCGAATTGATCGACGTCCATGGGGGGAAGTGTCTGGGGTCTGGGTGGCGACGAAAAGAGGATGGGTGGCGGGGGGATGCCGGCAAAGTTGGGTGGGGGCTGTGCTGGGGACAGTGACGAAGAGGGGGGGTCGAGGAAATGGCAGACTCTGACTGGCGGACGCCACTGAATCTGGGCCAAATCACTCGCAAATGTCGGCTTGTGAGGCGACTCGTCAAACACACTAAACTTGAGCATCGGACTCGGCCACCTTCCCAGTAGACTAGGATTTGACATTGCCACCCTGTACTCGTCAGCGTTGTGCACCTCCCGGGCGACTAGAATGCGAGAAGCTGAGGAATTGGGCGAGAAGAGAAGCTTGGAAAGAAAGTAACTATGACTGAGATGGGGAAAGACACGATATAGCTGTCGAGACAAGATAAGCGCCACTGACGAGCTTGCGTGGACGACGAGTGCTCACCTGGTTGTACAATTGAAGGAAAGAAGGGAACGCATAAGCATCAGTAAAAGTAAATTTGCGGGTCTCCCCACGGTAGGTTGCTTTGACAGTGAACATTGTTGGTTGGCTAGTAGTAGTGAATTGCAGGCAACCGAGACGACAGGGTCCCCGCAGCCGAATGACTAGTTATACTCATCGGCTACCCACGTGCCCTACCGTCCGGACTCTCCACCGCACTCCTTTTTGGGTCCGACGAGTCATTCACAATGACAGCGATGCCTTCATGTGAAATCCGGCTATTGTGCAAAGTGGCTTAAATAGACTTCTGGTAAGTACACGCAAAAAGGTAAACGAACGAGTATTACTTTACAACTTCATCCCCACTTCATTGCACCTTTCCGACCATGTCCGACCACTCCGAATCAAGTCAAAACGATAGATTGTAGTCGCAGGCTTGCCGTGAACCCCGTACTCCAATCCAAAGACTTGTCACAGTTTAGGGAAATTCGTCCCCTAATATCAGACTCAGATCGAGCTTATCATTACGTTCGACCCCTCCAGCGCCGGGAATATTAACTGCATCATTCTAATCATAAACGTAAGCTTTTCTTATAGACTCGAGGGATGGAAGGTAGCATACTCTACCCCTTCGCCTTCATCGATGCGTCTAGTCGCAGACAAGTCGTTGCATGACAATACTTTACTCTTCCTCTAATTTTCACTACAAGTAAACATTTCTGCAAAGCTAAGAATGAAAGCCACCAAAATCACAGGAAACACGTACTTCCTTGGTTCTTCCAACCGAGTAAACCAATACCGAGGCGACAAGCCTTCGGCTTGACCCACTGCATATTCCTTGCACAAAGCTTTTTTGACATCTGTAAAATGTTTTGAATATAAATTTATGATTGATTGCTATCTAGTGCTTAACGTAAGTTTATTCTTGGGCGAAGAGCCAGCGGCCCCCCTTCGAGGCAGCCAAGAGCGATACGGCAACAAGCCAAGCGGCGGCGGCAACGTCCGTTTATCATTAGTTTATCACATGAAGACGACAATAAAATAATACCTGAAGGATTACGGTGCCATTAGCTTGGGTAGAGCTCGATACACCGACTCTCCTAAGTATGAATTTCTACTTATTTTATGCGTAGATTTCAAATATGTTAATATGTTGAACATAGTATGATACTTTTTTTAACAAAGAACTCCCAGTATCAAGATACTCGGGACACCGTATGTCTTATGTGACTCAACACTGCAGGAAAAGCAGCAATTCGATTTCAAAGCGGAGCTGCTGCAGAACTTCGTGCTGAAAATGACGTCATCGAGCGTCCATTGCCTCTTTCGGCCTCCGAAGATAAGAAAGAGCCGCGCCCAGGCTCTGCTATTTAAGATTTGCGGATCATTACATAAGTAAGACATACGAGGCACCGAAATCTTTTTTGAGAACGCGTGAAAAGCGCTGAGGATACAGCTATACAGTTACAACTTACAAAGCGCCCAGCGAAGCAACGCGCAACTCGAATCGATGATGTCGTTACCCTGGGATTTCTTTTATCCCGACAAGTGTGGCGTCTGTCCGAGTCGACGGAGTAAGCACTGAGGGAACAAAACTGCCGTGAACCCGGGATCTCTGGTTGTACCCTTTGTAGAGGCAGAATATTGGTGCGGCGCTGGCGCAGTGTCATTAATGTTGAGGGGATCTGTATTAGCAACTGCAAAGACAAAAAAACCTGTCCGATCCACTCCTCTAGGATTCCTGTCCGAACCCCCCGAGGGACGGTTCCTTGGCGAGAAACCCCCCCCCGGAAATGGACATTCCAGCCAGAAAGAGGAAGAGGGATTTATGGTCAACATGAACCGGGGGGAAGGACTAATTAATGTCCAAGGCAGTTAAAAGGGTGACAAGTCACTGCGTACATTGTGTGTGTGTGTGACAACTTAGTTGACAATGACCACCGCAGAGTACGAGCTACTACTGACGACGCGATACGACCCGCTGCTGGAGCGGCTGGGATGGAACTACGACGAGCTGCGACCGTCGCCATTTCTGCTGCTGCGATATCACTACGATCGTATTGTCGATGCCGTAGAGCAGCACGGATGGACAGAGACAGTGGGTCTGTCATATAGTGCAGTGAAGATGGCAGCGCAGGAGGCGGTGAGCAACGCAGCGGACAAGTCGGCACGGGCATACAAGGTAAAATGATATTATCTATTTGTTTTTGTGGCAGAGACCGACTAGAACAGGTGCGCTTAACGCTCTCGCGGTCGGGCACGCTCACGGCCTCGGCGATGCCCACCCCGCCGCTCGCGTACGACCCGACATCACCTGCGTTCTTCAAACCCAACTCGGACAGCGGCACACTCTACGGCCAGGTGCTCGCAGTCACCCTCGACAGCGAGCCGACCCCCGCCTCGCTCTTCACCTCCACAAAGACAACCCGCCGCCAGGTCTACGACGACGCAAGATCGCGCGCCGCCCTCCCGCCCATCGGTGCCTCATCCACTGTCTCCTCGTCCCTCGCAGAGGTCATCCTCCACAACGAGCACGGCGCCATTACAGAGGCCTCCGTGTCCAACGTCGCTTTCTACCGCTCCCCCCACTGGATAACGCCCCGTCTTAGCACTGGCTGTCTCCCCGGCGTCCTCAGGCGGTGGATGCTCGAGCAGGGTCGTATAAGAGAGGCCCCGGACGACCTTGCGTTCACTCTTGACAACGTAAGGCCTGGCGACTGGGTCCTCATACTCAACAGCGTCTCAGGCTGTCGCGTTGGTAGGATACAGGAAGGTTGAATGACATCCTGCGTAACATTTTGGGCTCACTAGAGGCGGACTTTGAACAGAAATAATATCTACTGTGTATCAAATACTATACTTTTTAGTGGCACCGTTATACATACAACGATTCGTCGACATCCATGCTACCATCGTCTCCATCGAACATCCCATCGTCCATCTCGCCCAAGATGTAGTCCACCATGTAGCTCTCTTGAACCAGCTTCTCCATTCGCGAAAGGTGTCGCTTCGTATACGGTATCAGCCCATCTATGAGCTCCTTCAGCGCCGTGCTGCCCTTCCCATCCTCTTGCCCAAAATCCACCTGGAACGCCTTGCTCACGTCCTCTGTCGGCCTCAGTTTGACGATGGCAAACAGCACTCCTTGCGCTACGTCATTCATCTTTGCATTCGCATTCCAGTCCCGGACGTACCGCAAGAGCTTGGCGAGATCTGACCCATAGAGCGTACGGATCACCTGGTCCACCGAGGCATTCCCCGAAACCGACCCTGCTGTTTCATCCAGAGATGATCGCACGTCCCTGAACAAGGTCAGCAATCGACCCGGCTGCTCCATCGCCAGGGCGAGCTCAATAGCCCGGCGGTAGTCTTTCAGTGATATGTAGTTTGTAAAATCTTGTTCCCTATTTGACGTCAGCACACATCACAAAGTCAAAGGAAGATATTACTTTAGGACTAGATCAGCCCTCTTCAACTCCTTGGCTTCCTCTTCCTCCTCAGTACTGTCTTGCCAAAAGGTAATGACAGAATCTGCGGCTCCGGAAACGATAGTTTGGTCATCGGCCCTTACGGCTAAAGCCCAGACCTAGAAGAAGTCTTAGTCACAGGACCGTAAGGGCACCCAAACGAGGCACACATACCTTATCCTCATGATTATCCAAAGTCACCATACATTCCTCCTCCCTGACATTCCACACCTTCACCAATCCATCAGACCCTGCGCTGACCAACTGCGCCCCAAAGTTTAAGAAATCAACCCTCAGGACAGAATTCGTATGGCCTTCAAAAGTCTTGACACACGAAAAATCGTCCAAATTCCACAGCTTGACAGTTTTGTCTCCGCTTCCTGTGGCAAGCACCCTCTCAGCCCGACCAAACTTGACACTCCACACGCCCCGCTTGTGACCCTTGCATGTACCCAAGAGCTTCAGCCCCCCACTTGTACCACTGTACTCAATCGCATACACCTTCGCAGTACGATCCTGCGACCCTGACACAAGCATACGATCATTTGGAGCCACATCTAGAGAATTGATGTCCTTCTCATGCGCTTTCAGGGTCAACAGGCTCTTGCACCGAACGACATCCGATCCCTCTACGTACGTAGACGACACCAGAGAAAGATCCCACATTTTTATGGTCCGGTCTTGACTGCCTGTAAACATGAATCGTAGCTTAGGGGAGGAGTCCGTCTCGTCGGCTTTGCGAGACATGGCGAGGGCCCCGACGCTTTCGGCGTGACCTTCACATAGGCCGACACAACGGTACACCTCATCTGATGTGCTGGGCGCCCATATCCTCGCGGAACGATCCTTGCTTCCGCTGATCAAGACACGCCCATCGGCACTGTGGTCGACGGACAGAACGATCTCTTTGTGTCCTTCTAGCAGGCGAGCATCGAGGGACGAGGTTGAATATACCCGAATGAGGGAAGAGTTGGTCGCGATGGCCAGGTGGGAGTCTTTGCAGGATCCAAGGGGAGAAAGGAATGTAGCATCAACAATTTCATCATTGTACCCAATGAGCTGTCGGGTCAAGGAGTGCGAGGTGAGGGAGTGGAATAGGATATTTTGATCGGCGTGGACAGAAACAAGGGTCGATGTCGCTGCATTATATCTAATAATATCGTCAGTATCACCTAACTATCAGAGGAAGTGGCTTACTGGACGTCAACAATCTGGCGTTGCTCTTCTTGGTCAACCGAAATGTGAGAATGCTCCGTCCCTAGAGTAAACAACACATTGCCCTCCCTCGCATCCCAAATCTTTACGACACCATTCTCCCCTCCAGTATAGAAGCGTATATTCTTGGGACCTGACGAAGTGCCAGTCAAATCCTCATCATGCAACAACCCGACCGCCTCCACTCTTTCGAGAATCGGGATCGTCTTCAATAGCCGAGGAACAGTTTCCTTACCCTTCCCTTTTTGCTTGCCACTAGAGTGGACAAGACTCAACGACGAAAGGTCCCATAAAAGAACGACCGAGTCTCGTCCCCCACTAACCAGCCACTTCCCATCCAAAGACACGTCCAGACCCCGAGGTACGGAAACATGTCCTTCAAGCACGGCACCCGCTTTGCTAGTTGCTCGGGAAGTCTCTGAGAGCTCAAAAATCCGGATACGAGTGTCTACGGACGCAGTAATAAGCTGCATTTGGGTTCTTTGGCTTACAGACGGGTCCTGGGGGAAGTTGAACGTCAGGGCGCTCACCACGCCCCCATGGCCCTTGAATACATGTGTTACGTATCCACGAAGGATGTCCCATACTTTGACGACGCCATCCGCAGAGCCAGAGGCGAGGTAAGTGGATGTGGGGTCAGTTTTACAGACGTGGACCGGGGCGTCGTGGGCTTTGGCTATGACGCGGATTGGCTGAACGGGTTTTTCGAGGGTATCTAGCGACCGTGGAAGTTCGAAGATACGAAGGGAAAGCGAGGAAGTAAAAACGAGAAGGTGGGTCGAGGAGGGGGAAATACATATCGATGTTACCGATTGTGTATCCTACGCACATGTTAGCGTCAAGTGAAAAAATAGTACAAACATACTCACACCCGCAAAGGTGCATATTTGGGTGCCCGTCGACACCTCAGTCAACAACAATTCTTCTCCAGTACAAGTCACGAGTCTCTGTCCATCTGGAAGAACTGCAACGGGTCCTCCCGTGTACAGCGGGGGAACGGTACGCGCTTTTTTGAATCTGTATTCATTTCAGCGGATGTACCGCAATCCCTGAAAAGTACATACGCGGTCTTGAGCTTCGGTCGCCCCGCAATGGGAATGGCCATCGTCGAACAGAAAAAAAAAGAGTTGAATGGACTCGGACTTGCCCGATATCGTGACTCGTAAATTGGAAATAATTGTCACATCACTGGTTACCTTTTTCGATGACAATGTAACGAACAGCTATTCCTGGCTGGGTCGGCGCTCGTTCAAAATGATTTTGGCTGATGTTTGGCTGGTTCTCGTTCCCATGCCGTCTGTCCAAAAGAAGTTTCGAACACCAATATGACCTTCATTAATATCAATCTGCTGGCTAGCGTGAGTTTCTTGGTTCATCGAACGGGCCGCGGTTGTTTCCACAGTCAGAATGTATCATTGTTTCGTTCACAGCACCCACTGTTGGCATGTCGGGATACCGTAGGGCTGGACCATCATTTCTTTGTTCCACCCCAAATACCATATACATCACTGGTAGCACACCTTACTAGTCATTTATATCAAATAGAGAAAGGTGGTGATCTACAGATATAGCCATTGACCTTATCGGAATTTCTCTCGTGGGATTCCTTCCATGCCTAAGAGCCGCTGCCCGTTTCTTGACTCACCAAAAATGATATGTGATCAAGGCACTTGAGTGGATGTCTGCGTCGTACGTGTATTGACCGACATTGACCGAACATTGCGGGACTGGGGTAAAAAATACAAAACGCTACTCGTGTGGCACCTGTAGAAAGGGAAAAGGCCATAAGGTCCACTGGACTCGGAAATAAGCTGAAAACCTATATTGATAAAATTAATTGAATGATGCTTCTTGCCGACTGCTCCGTCTTCACCGTTACGAAGGCCGTGATGTACTCGACCAACGCATGCGAAGTGAGTCCAGTTGCGCCTCTGCTTGACGCCGTAATTCTGCCTCCTCGTCAGCATCCCTCTCCGCTTCCCTTCTCTTCCTTGACTCTTCTTCTAGTAAGGCCTCCACAGTGCGCAAAGCTGACTTGGACCGGGACGCCTCCGCCTGCGCTTGAGCCAGCTGGTCAGTGAGCCTTATGGACAGCGACACGGCCTCTGCTGACTGGCGTCTAAGCCCAGCGACCTCGATTTGCAGACGCTCGATGATGTTTTTAGCCTCGTCGTTTTGTTCAGGGAATGGATTTCGAGACAAGGAGGTAGAGGGTAGCGGATAATGCGTCGAGCTGGCGAGAGATGGTCGTCGCTCGTATGAATGCATAACATCATCATCGCTTTCGAAGTCATCTTCGTCCGAAACCTGACCGTCCTCTTCATAATCATCATCGTCATGCATAGATCGGTCCGCGTGAGTGGATTCGGAATACGGACCATCTTTACGCGGCCTTCCTCTCTTCTTGGCCTGATTCTCTGCTTCTTTGTCCTTGTTGGGCCTACCCCGCTTTCGCGGTCGCTTTGTACCCGGCGGAGCCAAAAGATTTACGGTCCAATATGACCCGAAACCAGGGTCAGTGACGGGGCGGGGTTGGCGTTCAAATAGACGGTTCAACGATAGATGATGTCGAACGGATTGCTAAAAACAAATATGAGATCGACCGTGGCACGGCAATGGGAAAATCACGTACTTTCCACGTCGGACCCGCTGTTTTATAATAGGCGTACTTGCCCTCCATCGCGGCATAGATTTCTCTTATGGTGAGACGCTGGCGCGGGCTGCCCAAAATGGCACAGCGCAGGATGACGGGGAGGGTATGCTGTGGGCGTCCATCTGTATCAGGCAAACAATCGAGAGTGTCGGGGCAATTGGGGTGCGGCTCGTGGTCTTGGTATTGCCATGGCGGCATCTCAGGTTCAGGATCTAGCTGATCCACGTCTCCAACATCGCCTAGAGCGTCGACTGTATGGGCACTGGCGACCGAGGCAGGCGAGGACGGGAGCTCCAGGGCGGACGGCGAGTGAGCCTCGTCGTGTATGTGAAGTCTAGAATGGTAAGCAAGGGTGGTACACGGCGAACACAATGACGAGCAGCCTACCTTGACGACGCCTGCCTTGAATCGTCGGGATTGAGTATGCTACGGAGACTCGCCATGGAAGTCGATGAGGGAGCTCCTTTGAGATAAGGGTAAGCTGGACCAAACTGGACCCATAAGCCCACCCACGGCTTATATAATGTGCCCCATAGATCTCGATCTCTCCGATCAGATTCGTCGTCGGCTGAGTCACACCGCCTATTCTCGTAGAAATACATTGTGACAAGAAAATACACAGGACAACACAACTCACAACAAGCAGCTACTGTATATTACAGCGCGTCTAGGGGTCTATAGCCCATACTGATTAAAATTATACGGATACGGGAGCCCTCCTGCCCCTACATTACTTTGCAGCCACTCGCCGCCCTGTCGCGAACCCCCTCCCCCAAAGTCTAACTCATTCAGCGGCGGAGCCACGGCATTCGCATCCACTGTGGGCCCTTGTGCTACTACAGGAGACATGGGCTGCGAGCCCTGACTCTGCCCGTTCCGGGGCCACCATTCATAGCCCGGATAAAACGATGTGGAGGGTTCGATTCCCGGTATATCCAGGCCAAGCATGTGTGCCATGATCCGCGTGCTCAGGTCTTGTACCCCTGTTTCTGTCTGTTCTTGCTGCGGGGGTCCATTGAGATCTCCAAACGCCTCTCGCTGCAAATAGTCAGACGACTTTTCCTGCGCGAACGCAATGTCTGCTTGTCGTTTATGTCGCCCAGGAGAGTTTGAATCCTCCGACGTCTGAGCATTGTCAAAGGTCAGTTGTACCCCATTTAGTAGATCCCATGCGCGTGAGGCACTGGGCCAAACTACCTATTATAAGAATGCTATAAGTACCGCATTGATTCGTATCACGGCTCTTGCCTAAACATACCTCCATGTCCTTCAGTGCCGCCATACATTGACGCAAGCCCAGAGATGCCTGGACATTCGACGGCCGTAAAGTTACTAGGAAAGGAAAGATCAGCCCTTTAATCACCCAGTGAAAATTGAATAATGAACGAACATGTCAAGACATGCATAATACTGTAGTTGTAATAAGCGTCGTTAAACAATCGCATTCGTGAAACGACATACCCAGCACTGAATATGTAAGATGTGAGGAACGGGGAACAGCGTTTGAGCGTAAACGTCTCGCGATATACCGTGACTGACGAGTGGGAAGTTTCAATATGCCAGAATTGCCGACTGCACGGCACACTTACCGATGGAACCAATATGGCTAGCGGCGCCTTGAGCTAGGTCAAATGCCTTCAACTCCAATGTGGAATGTCGGGAAGTGAATTCGCCGCTGAAAAACAAGGTAAGTAACACGGATCAAACTCTCATACAATAACGAAATAATCACCCTTTCCAATTAGGAATGCTAGCCAGGAAAAAACATTGAATAGATATCTCTCGACAAAAACAATACATATATGACTCACAACGCTCGGTTCAGTAACAAGACGGACCCCCAATACCTGATGTGCAAGAAGAGAATGTGCGGCGGCGGGACTTTACGCCGATTGGCAGTATCATATCGCAGGTGCTCAGGTAGGCTGATGTACCATTGATCCAGCTGGGACTCAAAGCTAGACAGCAAGGCACGACGAGAGACCCCTGGTGTGGCGCGTACAGGATAGATTTTGGATATTATGGCACCTAGGATAACGCCTAGAAGTCTCTGTTAGTAGCCGCGAATATCATTTTGCAGGAACAGTTACAGAGGGTGGCGGTGGCGCGGAAACAGTACATCACCGCATTGGGAGTGGGGGGATAGGCTGCACTTGTCGAATCTGATGGTAGCGGTCGCCAAGGTTGTTGCTCATCAGCCTGATCATGAAATGATGCGTCAATGTTCATTGTCTATTACCCCTGAAGCTCGCACTCACTTGGTTCACTTCCGGTAAGGGAGTATCAAAGTCATCATCTCTGATGATAATTGGACGCCCTGTGGAATTGGTGGCGGTAAGTTCCGGGAGACGTTCAAACAGACCTTTCCTCACCCATGTATATCGAACCATACCTGCATCGACATCATACGTCAAACTTTGTTTAAAGTATTGAGGGACCATGACCCACCTGTCCGCGAGTGTACATACCCACCAGATCTGTCGTCGAGTCTGGGTCTCTTCGGGTGAGAACATGTCTTCACCGTGAATTTTCCAATGATCGGAGTTACGATTTAGTCCCAAATCAATCGCCTGTCGGCACCGTAAGTGTCTATTCTTGTAACAATATATCATACCATGCGTATAGCCATGCCTGTATTGTCGATGTCAACCACTGTCTGTTGATAATCTGACAACACAAGACATACCAATATATATCCATCCTTGCTCCATACTCCCAATTCCAAACTCGCGATATCCCAACAGCAGCAGAGTTTGAACGGTAGTAGGTCGGGAACGGTGGAAGATTTTGGCTATTCACTAGTCTGAGTATCAAATCATCATTGCAGAGACCCAAACTCACTGAGTATGTTCCTTGCTGATTCCTGGTAATTTCGGCCGGCTTCCCACATCTTTCCGTTGGTAGGCAGGGGAAGGTCTTGATCAGAAAATCGAGCAGTGATAGCGAACATGGAGAGAAGAAGCATCGCGGACAGTTTCTGCGTGGCCTCTGGCTTTGGTGACGATCCAGTCTCTGACGGCCTCGGACTATCTTGCTGTAACGATTCGCTATTAGAAGAAGTCAGAAACCAGTCACTGTTTTCGTGCAATTGCGTCCATCTTGCATACCCTTGTCTCCTGTCCATGTATGAGCGCGGTTTCTCCAATCAGAAATTATGGCACCTACAAGGCACGGTACTCCCGCAAAAAGCGACCTTTATGTATAAGGGGAAACACGGGATGAATGTACACGAAGTACAGTTCGATGAGTCGATCCTGGATGTGCGAAGGCGGTAGCTGCACTTCGATGTCTTCTTCTTGAATGAGATGGAGTATATGATCCTTAGACGGTGGCCAGACCCTTGCCATAGGCAATTTCCTGCATCATATTTGCTTCAATTCAGGCTGATTACTTGCACTTGATGACTCTCACCATACGCCTCCATCGTTTCGATCATCGGTCCGCGAGTTCCTACTCAAAAGATGTAGACCGCTCGCCTTGCCATGATATCGAAGCTTGATGAAAAGCATGTATTAACGCTGCAAGGTAAACATGGACAAACCGGTACCTCTTGATTTTCGTCCAGAGATAATTGGCCCATATGTTCGGTGGCGTCTTTCAATGATTCACGATCTTCGCTTTCTATAATTGAGCGATCAGAACTTGCTCTGGGTTCAACGTAACTGGCATGCTTGCCGGATAACGGTTCCATAGTGTACATCCTACTCCAATCTGGATTTGCAACACGGGACTCAATGGAGGCAGCATTCAGCCGACGTCTCTGGGTGGCCGGCTCTGCACCATCAATGGAACTGGAAGAACTAGAAGGTGCTCCGTAAATAGACGGTGTGGATGACGACGAGGATGCCAACCCAGAAGTTAGCCGGGCGGCGAGGTTATCCTGCCACTCCTGGGTAGGGACTACAGAGAGTCCTCGATCTGCAGTTACTACGAATTGCAATTACCGTGGATCCGGAGCAGACTGCGAGGGCTTGCCTTGAGCTGATGAGACTTTCTCTCTCGATACCCTAGACTGTCTTCGTGACCGTGAAGGATCCCGCGCAGGAGATGTCTCGTTACTCCTCAGGACAGACGCAAAGAAGTCCTCTTTGGTAGCTCCTGAGCGCTGATTTCGACGACCGGAAGGACCCTGTAGACATTGACAGTGGGTTCGGCTGAAACGCAGTAAAGAAACCCGAAGGCTCACATAAGGACCTGAATCTACTCTTCCTAGAATTTCCCGAGCTAGGTCGTCCTGGCGCAGATCGGCGACGATGCTCTGCACACGAGGATCGTTGCATTGCATGAGCGCACCCAAGAGGGATTCGACCTGGTGCCACCGCTGCTCAATGGCATGAATGTACCCCTTCGGGGGTCCCCGCTTGTAGCTCGGGCCTAAGAAAAAAGGTCATAAAGCATTGCTGAGTGAATTCTGTAGGAGCGTACCAAGAAATGTGCAAGCTGCCCAAAAACCAAGATGAGCGTTCACACACAAACACAAAGGGTGATATTGACCTGTTCCTGCCTGCGCACAACTTTTACACTGAGTAGAATCGGCAGCACCTCTTTCACATTTGCTCTTTGTCTTTCTGCACTGGTCACAGGCTGCGAAAAAAAAAGAGGTCAGGGGACTCCTAACCGGAATCGCCGAGTCTCATACCTCTACTGCTCCTCTTTCTGGAGGCTGCCTGGGAGTCATGGTTGACTTCGTCGTCAGAAGGGTCAGAATCGTGCCAATCCATGTCAGGAAAGACGGGAACTTGGTAGTAGTGGTGGAAGAGAAAGCTAGAGTTGGTTATTAAAGGACATTAACATCGAATAGGATGTCGATCCCGGACGAAGTCATGTTTCTCTTCAAACTCACGTGCCGAACGTAACATGGAATTTGACGAGCCAATCAGCGTTGACTCCGGTCCGACATGAGCCGATCGGGCGACATGTCCGAGCTTTGTTGATGTGATGTATTTTCCGTCCTGACTTTGATGCGAGTGGACGCTTGCAATCACCGTCGGCTGCCGTGCTGCTCAACGGCAGAACATGGTTGCCACTCGGTCCCTTCTGACATCGCTTCGCTTCATTGTCAGTCCTAAAAAAAAGAGTTGTATATTCACATATCGCCGTTGAATCGCATGTTAATACAAGCTGGTCACTTTTATCTTACCCCATGTCATGCAAAGCGCACAGTCAGCCACCGCCAGAGATCTGTGTCTGTGACAGCCCATTCATTATGCGCTGGTTCCTGACTGTCTCGACCCTTACTTCAGTGGGCTGTACGGTAGAGGGGCGAGAATGAACGCATCCATAAATTTGGCCAATTGCGACGTCTGAAATAGCCGTTTGAGCGGAGCTAACCAAATCTATCAAAACGCACCTTGTCTACGGTTTCTGCCCACCCATCAACTTGCCATGCATTCTCTCTCGTCTCTTTACGAGTCGCCAGGTTTCTGCGCCGAGAGAGATGAGCGTCGGTCTCGAACCTATAAAAGGCACTTACGGATACTGCCACATATGGTGTACCTGGTTGAGTCGTCCAACCTGCGAGAACCACGCGCCGACTGGAGCGACGTGCTTGCGCCGTGCCTCGATGCCTCTTCGCCTAATACAGACGCGTCAATTTTTATTCCGAATAGAAACAGGTGGTCCATTGGAAACGAACCAGGTGTGTTCCCATTCCAACAAAGTGCCTGCTTTCAACTGATATGATCGCAGCTCGAAAATACCGCCTTGCGCGCGCGGTGGAGCAGTCGGGAAGAACGCAAACTCCTGGTTCAACTGAGAGAACCGTGAATTGATGAACGGCAACATCGCCTGATACGCTTTCAAGTGCTATAAACATCTCCATGATCTTTAAGACATCGCGTTGAGTCAGCAGCAAATATACCTCCGATGTCCGTGCCAGTGCGCTCGACTTGTCGTATCCACCATAGTTCTCATATTCAAGGATATGAAAGAACGTGTCTTGCTCCCCAACAAGGGTCTCCCAGCTACCTGTCAACTTCACTTTCATGTCAGGATCCTTAAGGAGGCCTGTGTAATATTTCTCGCTACTCAGAAGTCAAAAAAAACAGGATATCGGTGAGTAATAAGGGTTTGCTTACGCTGCGACTTTATACTCATCCGTCTTGTCGGACTTGACGCGGTGTACTGGTGGATTCCAGACACGTCACCATTTACGAAACGACAGGATGCTTACCTTCAAAGCCATGAACGTACTTGCCGCGACCAACAAGACGGGAATGCTGGAGGATGTCAACCTCACCGGCCTTCTTGGCCTCTGGAGAACCGTGTAACAAAGACTGGGTTGCCGTGAGATTGGAATCTGAAAACATTTGCCTCACTGTAGATAGCTACCTGAACTGAAATGGATCGACGTGTCGCAGCAAGAGAAGATGCCGCTCTGGTGGCTGAAGAGCGATACATTGTGGTAGAAAGTCAAGAGCCGTGCGTGAGTGAAACCCCGCTATAACTCCAATCAGTTCGTGACGTATTTCCGCAGGAATAGGGTTAGGGTTACGCGCGATCCTAATAGCACTTTTCACGCTCTGAGTAATTAGCGTGTTCTACTTGGGAATACCACGCATCCATATCTCGTATATACACCACTTTTCTGAATCAACCATATCCTCTGAAAGTACGACTCTGAAAGAACGCTCATTGATATCGTCTACATGTTTCTGGTCACCAATTTCCGGTGATGCCATAAGAATACTGCACTCAGTCATAGCTGGTGGTGCATATGATCCGCCCGCTATGTCGACGCAGGAGATATCATGAACAATAGACACCTGATCTTTTACAATTAATGACACCAGCCAGTACAGTGATGAAAATGCGTACCCATGACTTAGTGAAAGGGGAGAACATTTCAAATTGCGACTTATGAAGAATCGCCACCGTAGCATTATCCGTCAAAATTACCATGTGAATTTCTGCCCAGGAACTATCCAGGTTTCGCAGCATATCTAAAGATATTGCATCCCCCTTCTTTCCACCTAAGGACTAGCTCAATCCGCTGAACCTTGATGTTTGGAACGGTACTTCACCTGTTAAGCTGCGGAATGCAGTATCTGCTCGACCATCAACGGCATGGGATAGAGGATAAAACAAATGGTTGTGAGTATTTTCTTCCGAGAGAACACCGTTGTCTTCTCGAGTAAAGATGCCCAAAGCGGGTGCATCGACAGTCCCAGGAAGAAGTCTGATTGAAGTTTCTAGAACACAAGACAGTCCCCTGCAAGGCGTGCGAGAGACAGGTGTCCTTGGCAAATCCGGCGTACTGTATTGAATATACGGAATATCCCCAGCACCGGGTAGACAGGGAGTCTCCTCGCAGGCAATAACCGAGGAAAGAAGCTCCGTAGCCCTGTTCTGGGAGTCAAAAATATCAGATGAAAAACTGATATGAGGTACAGCAACCAAAGCTCACGATATGTTTTCGATTTCGTTCGTTCCCTTCGGTGCCTACTGTAAACGGCTTGCCGCCCTGGAGTTCAATGCCCTGATCAAACCAGACTTCCGGATATTCATTGCGTAAAATCGTAAAGTAATTGTCAGCCATCTTCATTTCATCTTCTGTAAACTGAAGAAGTCTCAAAAGAGATAGAAAATCTACGGCAAGGGATCGAGGAAGCATTGCTCCGTGGCCGAGCCAGGCGAAGGATGTATGGACGCTTGATCCGACGTCAAGTCTTCGCAGTTGACTTGATAGTAGTTCGTGTGGAGGCAGCAAATGTATGCCTGTCTTAGATGACGGAGACATACGTGCGCGCATCGCAAGGATGACTTCAGGTAATACTATGTAGTCATCATCCTAGAAAACATGCTTGAGTGACCGACAGCACCGGACGGTACGAAAAACACGCACCTGAACGAAACAAAAAGCCGTGGACGCTCGAGCACATGCCACGAATCTGGCTTGGAAGTACAGATTAGTAGGTGAGTTGTACACCTTTAGCCTACTCCCTATACATGGAGCGAAATCCTGTTACGAAGACGTGACTTTGAGAGAATATAAGATGAACATAAGAAAAGCAAACAGCTTCAAAGATTTGATTAGGACTGTTGTTCCACACAAAGACAGTATGGATGGTATTCTCAAGGGAAGGACCACAGAGTAGAGAAACTATTTTGATGACGTTGGGAAACCGAGACCAGTTCAGAATCACCGCGGTGGTATCAGGGTGTCCATTTGGATCAGAACCAGGAAACCCAGCCCGTCTGAAAGAGCTGTTTACTCCACTCTTGACATATGTCGCAGGAAACGACGGTGCGACGCCTAACCGGAAAGAACCCAGCAAAAGAGAGAGCAGAAGAAATACCAGTGGCCAGAAAAAATATCTCAACATGAGGGTCCAGGACACGCCCCTATGGAAGCTTTCGTGCTTACGTTCGCATCAACCTTTTTGATTCTTCATGCCACGACCAGCGAGCTGCCCGTGCCAGCTATCAATGTCGTCCCTGTAAAACAGAACAGTGCTCAATGATTACGACCATGCAGTCAAGAAGAATCCGTTGTTGGGCGGCTCATCGGCGCACCCTTACGACCTCACTGTGTCTGCACTCGGATCTCAAGTCTCAAGCACAGGTAAGGGGAGCTGGACGGTCGCTGTCATTACCGACAATTGTACAGGCCAGAATATCTCACATCGATGCCGTCTCTCCCTTCTCACCCGCATTAATCGACACTTTCCGCCGACGACACGACTATTTGCGTATCTCTCTCACAGAGAGGTGCAATTTGCGATGTACGTTATCTCAGCACTCATTCATGGAATCGTGTCTCAAGACGTAGGTACTCAGGTTTTTACTGCATGCCTGAAGAAGGAACTGAATTGTCCCCTGAAAGTCATCTTCTCACGAACGAAGAAGTTCTTCGTCTTGCGGCGTTATTTGTTAAAAGTGGTGTTACAAAGATACGATTGACCGGTGGAGAACCAACAGTCCGGAAAGGTCTGAACGAGATCATCGGTCTGTCTTTCTTCTCATCGCCGTCCTTCCCTCGTTATTTAATTTGCACTAGCCGGTCTGAATGGACTGCGTCCATATGGTTTACGATCCATAGCGATGACTACAAATGGACTTGTTCTTTCAAGAAGACTACCAGCCTTCATTGACCGAGGTTTGACTCATCTCAATATAAGGTTAGAGATGTCGTGTTTTGTTACGTGTATGAAATCTGACTACTTCAAAGCTTGGATACTTTGGATCCGTATAAGTTTGAGTTCATGACTCGGCGAAGAGGCCATGAATATGTTCTGAAAGCTTTGGATGTCGCCCTCGTGTCGCAGGCACTTGTTTCTGTAAAGCTGAACGTCGTCGTCGTTAAGGGCCTCAATGATTCGGAGGTACTTGACTTCATTGAAATGACAAAAGAGCGAGTGCTATCTGTCAGATTCATCGAATTCATGCCGTTCACAGGTCCGTGTAACTCCGTATTCGACTCGAAGTCACATTGATCTCTACATGTAGGCAATGCTTGGGATAAACGCAAGATGGTTCCATCAAATGTACTGCTCGATAAAATCATCCTGCGTCACCCTGATGTTCAAAGAATCTCCGATGAAGTGAACGATACTGCCCGTTCATGGAGAGTTCCAGGTTACAAGGGAAATTTTGGCTTTATCAGCAGCATGTCAGATCACTTTTGCTCCTCGTGCAATCGCCTGAGGATAACAGCAGACGGCCAGATCAAGGTCGGGTACCTCTTTAGCCTGTATCATTGCTCGGGAAATTTGACCTTTTTGGCAGGTATGTCTATTCGATGCGAAGGAAATATCTCTACGAGATGCAATGCGAAACGGCGCTACCGACGGTCAACTGCTTCAGGCTATCGGTAAAGCCGTATCTGGCAAACAGGAGAAGCATGCAAACATGGAAGATATCGATGTAATTACGAATCGCCCGATGATTCTGATAGGCGGTTGAGTGCCCATTTATTGATCCAGTAGACAAGTCTTTGATGAGTTTGACAATGTTTCTAATGTCATACCCACTATTAGGTCCGTCTGCCTTTTCATTTTCCTGTCTGTCCAGTTCAAAGATCAATCTCAAACCACATGGTCTTCGATGTCGGCACTACAGCTTAGCGGCATCAGCATCGGCACCTTGCCTCACTCACCTCAACGACAGTGGACGGGCTAACATGGTCGATGTGTCATTGAAGGAGGTTACACGGCGTATAGCCACAGCAAGCGGACGTATCTTCATCCCTCTCATTGCTTATGAACTCCTGGCTTCGACGTACCCAGATGGCGAAGAACCCTCGACGGCATTGGAGAAGGCCAAACAGAAAGTTCACCGAAAAGGCGATACGCTTACCATCGCACAGCTTGCAGCCATAATGGGGTCCAAGAAGACATCAGACCTCATCCCACTTTGTCATCCCCTTCAATTGTCGAACGTTTCGGTAACGTTGACACTCGAAGCCCCAGCTCACGACAGCCAACGTCACAGCGTTCTGTGCCGTGCGACGGTGTCTTGTGATGCCAAAACCGGCGTGGAAATGGAAGCTTTGACTGCCGTGTCGGTTGGTTTGCTGACCGTATGGGACATGCTGAAGGCTGTGGCAGGGAAGGAGATGGAGATCGGAGAGATTGTTGTAACGGAGAAATCGGGTGGTAAGAGCGGGGATTTCGTTCGAAACAGATGAGCCGATACCGTGATTGATCTTGCGCCGTCTAAATTACTCTCCTACGGGTATATATAGAATCAGAAACAATCATAAGCCTATCTAATTCTTTGGGTTTGTGTAGAGAGCTGCAGACTTGTAATAACTTTGTGGTGATCAATCAATAAAACACGAAGACGCGTCATTCTTATGATTCATGTAGCACACTGCATTCGTTACCGTTGCAGAGCTGGCTCAGGTGGAGTGGATAAATTCTTGAAGGCCCGCTGAAATTTCACTATCCACAAGGCGCGCTGCTTCGATGCCCTGCAAGATGTTATATTAGCTCACCTGGAACACAACGAGAGTTCGGACGATATACATCTTTTAATTTGACAACTGTAGGGATGGACTCGATTTTCCAAGGATCCCCCCGAAACCCGTTGGTTGGCGTTTTCCACCTGTCGGAGAAATGGATGTGAGCATGGATATTTCCATTACCTGGGAAAACGAGACCAACCTTGGCCTGTCTCCCACATAGACGATCAATGCGCTCGGAGATTTGTCTGATCCAAAGGTATCCTTGATGAGCCCATCAACTACTCGACAGTCCTGTGGTAGTTAAGGCGTTAGCGCTCAATCTCAAATGTGCCAAGACATCTTTACCGGGCACCAGAGCTGACCATCAACGATGGACGAGTAGAAGATCAAGTAATCGTGCTTGATTTCTACTGGCTGTGGTGTGGATGCTGTGAAGCTTTCGTCGGCGATATAAAGAGGCATTTCTGTTATCGACTTGGGGGAAGAGAAGTGCTGCGCGCGGATCGGCAGTCAACTGCGTTTAATCAGCAATCACAACGTCAACAGATGTCGCAAGCAAGGCGCGACTCAATGTGACTTAGCGGCACCAAGTGCTGCCAAGTGGTCTGTGGAAGAAAAGAGGAATGAACGTAACGCGCTTCTCAAAACATCCCATTTTCCCATAAGTATAGCGAAAAGTAAACATTGTGCTTAAGGCAAACTAAGTAATAAAAGTGAACAGGGGAATCGACCCTATGAAACCTCTTGCGAACCGAATTAAGCACCGAAATACTATTAAGGGCAGTCCGAAAATCGAAAAATCAGTGGTATAGATCAAGTCCATGGTGTATGAAGGCAGTCCATGTACGCCGAAGCAAATCAAAAATCTCTACAAGCGTAAATTTGAGACGTTATAGCGATGTAAATACAGTTGGATGAGAAATGCTTTAATATCCGCCATACGAACCACCGTATGAGCTACCGGATGCACCATACGTGACTTGTGCAGCAAGAGCACTTGAGCTTGAAGTGTTCCAGGACACCGACGAAGTAGCAGCAGAAGCATACGTGTTGTATGGATCACTGTTGCCGGTGGTAAGTGACCAAGATGACTTGCACTTGCCCAAACAATCAGAGAGACCAGTGTTGTACACTTGCTGCGTCGTAGTAGCCGTGGCAGTCTCTGTCTGAGTCGCTATCGCCGTCGCCGTGGAGGTTTGAAGGACAGTCATTTGGTCTGTGACGGTTGCGGTTTGGGTTTGCAGGACAGTTTTGGTCTGAACAGAAGATTTAGCATGTCGTCTTGAAAGAAGAAGATATCCTAAGCCTACGTTGTCAATGACCTGCGTACTGACCCAGACACTGGTGTACGTGGTGGGATAGACAACAGTCGACACTTCAGTTTGAGTGACAACATCTGTTTCTGTCTGCTTCAGCGTTGCAGTCGCGGTTTGCACAACTGTCATCTGATCGGTGAGAGTGGCAGTCTGGGTCTGTAATACGGTCTGAGTCTGTACAAGAAAATCAGCATTATTACGGTAATAGTCATTTAAGCATACGCACGTTGTCAATAACCTGTGTGCTAACCCATACACTGGTGTACGTGGTTGGATACACAACAGTCGAAACTTCGGTCATGGTGACAAAGTCTGTTTCCGTCTCCTTTTGAGTTTCAGTGGCAGTAGCAGTAGCAGTCTGGACTTCAGTCTGGGTGTAGACGTTAGTCTGAGTCTGAGTCTCTGTGGCTGTAAGAGTGTGGTCGATCACCGAGGTTTGGTCGATGGTTTCTGTTGACATCAAGACTTGCGTAGTCGGGACCATCTTCACAGAGGTCACGACAGCAGTTTGTGTCACCATTTGAACGTCAGTCTGCGTTTGTGTAACGTATTGAACGACCGTAGTAGGGACAACTTGCGTCTCAGTCTGCGAAGCATAAGAAAATCGATGACTCGAGAAGGACCACATGTACATACTGCAGTATAAGTCACCGTGTTGTACGCCGTCTCAGTCTCAGTCATAGTCTGAGTAATTGTTGAAACATATTGATTGCAGTCCGACTGGTAGCCATATCCTCCACCGTTACTAGCAGGATCGACATAAGAGGAGCACAAGAAGCCAAACGCTTAGCCAACGTACTTAATGATAATTGTAGTGGCGTAACACCCCTGCACGGCGGTGCTATCGTACTTTAATTTATAATTCAGACTTTTGATTTTGGAGCAATATTAATAAAAATACGCACCCACGACTCAGTCTGACAGGAACCATCACTATTCTTGTAATAACCATATCCACACTCCAGTGATTTGTATCCCCCGCTCATGTACGAGTCGTAGGGCATCACATCATAGAAACTGGAAGAGGAAGGAGCTGCAGTAGGGGCGGAGTACGCCGCGGCACCATTATCGACCGGAGTTGGGGTCGCAGGAACCATAGACACTGCACCGTTCGCCACCTGAGCGGCAGCAGTACTTGCCAGAGCTAGACCAAAGACAATTGACTTCATGATGAAAAGAGTGGACTACAAAGAACGCCGGTGTGTGTTCAAACGAAAACCGAATTGAAGAACGAAAGAAGCGGTCTACGCGCTGTAACTGTCTTGCAGTGAAAATGGGACAATGTGCGGGAAGCTTGAGGGCAAGCGCTCTGTGGGTCAGTCCGTTAAATTATGATGCACAAGTGTCGCGATAGATATGCAGACGCACCGCTAAAGAATAAAAGAAAGGGAGGGAGAAAACGAAAACGAAAAGAACGAAAGGTGAGGACAAAGGATGAGAAAGGGTGAGAGAACAGGACATCGAAGCCAGCGGTTTTTGAGGTACTCCCAGGCATGGGTCCCAAACGATCGGATGAGCCGGAATTGTCACTGGCCATCACACTGGCCATCTCGGTGTCTCCAGGGCCAATATATACGCCATTCTAATTAGATTATTCCCTTCGCTTGGGTCTCACTTCGCCATTGGTCAACCGCTGTAGCCAGCCGTAATCAGTATATTCAATATATTGACACCGGTCTATCTACCTTCTACCTTAAGCGCCGATGCGCGTCTACCGAAGTCCCCATTTACATCCAAGAGGATTTTCAGCGCGTTGCGCGCGCGTATCCTAGACAATTCGTCTCGACGGGACGTCAAAACGGTCTCAACCTTTGGTGGTGCTTCTGCCCACGGATACTGCAGAGTTATCAGCCAATCAGGTTTAGCGGGCCGCCAAGGGTTTTACTCACAGGCAACTAAATTAAAGTTCCATCAACACTTGTCAGAACACCCAGTTAGATGTGAGCCTTTGATTCACTTACCGATTTCTTGAGCTCCTCGTAGGCCAATAGCGTGAATCCAAACTGAGGACTACTCCGAAGGATACGAGCTGGGCCTCCTTTGAATAAGGCTTTGAAACCTTCCTCTCGATCTTGCACGTAACAATGTCAACGATCGGTCTTGTGTATCAGAAGAAAAGTACACACATATCTTCACGAACGCGTCTTGAAGCCCTTTATAGTGTGTTTGTCCTTTTCTGGCCTCTACTTGAAGACGAGTCTTCACAACGTCTAAATTTCAGTCAATCAGATGCGAGGGTGCATAGCCTCATGGAAGCTCCATACCTGCAGGTGTCGTGAAATATGCCGCTGGCATACCGCTGTTTCATCAACAAGAGTACGCATGTGCATCGATCAATTAAGTGTGTCAATCAGGTGGCAACAAAGATGCTTACGCAATACCAGCAGCACATAACGTCTCTAAAAACGATAGTTGCTTGCCATTATACCCTTCGTTGAACACGTCGGACTTCAAGTGACCGTAGGCTGGAAAGTAGATTGCAGAGAAAGGGATGTCGCGCATTAGGCATGCGCTAGCTCCTTTATACAAACCGAGGACACCAAGTTGCCGAATGATGTGGACAGCGCCCCTCGGGACCGCTCCCTCAAGCTTAGCGGTCTCACCTTGAACCTGTAGACGGATTTTTCTGTAGCAACCCACCTCAGTTGATCGAACGTTCTCAAAAGGGCTGATTTGTACGCACACAATCTCCAAAGGGTTGGTGAAAACCTGATAGTTGACCGATATCAATCAATCAATTCATTGGATCAAGGCATTGCACGCACCACTTGGCATCCTCCGGCAGTGCCACCAGCCACTAGCTCCCAGTACAATTTGATACGTCCCGTCTCAGGATCCATAGTCTTGGAACGAACAAGGTCATTGACAGTTAACTTGATGGCCTTCTCTGGCGCTACACCCTATAACAAAGATGAAAACTACGTCCCCAGCGAATAAAATGCCGCTCTACATACAATAAGCTGAGGTCCAAGACCACGATAGAATCCAAGAAACCCTTCGTTACGGAAGATCTTTTGCGCACAGTCAATGCTGTTTTTGTAAAGAAGCTGTCCAACAACGGTGCTCCGTTGATTTTGCATGCTAATGATACCATTTAGGTCCTGCATCATCGCCTGAAAGCCGCCTTTCGCTTACCGTGTCTAAAGAACAGATCGGCTGAGAAATATGGTCACCACAACTGGAATACACGTACCTTAACTAAAGAAAGCATCAGTGGCCTGAAGAACCCCCAAAGTTAAGCACTTACCCATATCGATAGGGTACACAATCGTAGCACCGAATGCACCAGCCATGCCTATGCTTTGTGAGTGAACGAAGTATCGCAAAAGGACGATTTCACGGACCGCCCAATACAAAATTGTAGGAGGAATGGAGCACCGAATTCAGGAAAGATTCTGTATGAGGAGCCTTAGTCTCCATCTCCTCGCGAGGGGCCTTCCACCTTGGGTCAAGCAATTGAGCGAAATCAATCAGTGCTAGACGCTGAGTACTGCTTCCACGACCTGCAAAGTGGAAGATGATGGAGGCCTCCATGGGAGTAAATAAGGAGTAACGAGAGCTTGACGCGGAGTAGTTAAGAAAATCTGATTGGTCAATCCTCCCATCTTTGCTCTTCGCAGTCGCCTCACGAATGATACTGTATGCAAAGTGAGAACGCTATGGATGACACTGGTGAAAATGTAGCGTACCGCTCCACCATATCCATTTCTGGTGCCAGTATTTTAATACATATTTCGATGCAGTATGGAACCACAAACCTCTAATAACATTATGGAAAGCGATTACTTCCGAATAAGATATGCGTTGTCCTGGAGTAAGTGTGCAAAGGGTCGGTAACCTGTCTATAACTGCATCCGACAATTTATGTCCAGCAATTTCCTGCAAAAGAGTTGTTCAGAAGGTTAGTTAAGGTTCCACGAATCGTAAAACATACTAGAATGATTTGCTTAAACTGTTCGGGCCTAATAAATCCGTCCTGGTCCGTGTCTAAATATCTAAAGGCTTGCCGAAGACGCTCGCCCTGCAAACCCTTCATAAGTTGCGTAAACTCGTTATCTTTAGGAAAGACATCATTAATGATGATACAATTCAAGGCGTAGCGGACACTTACATCCCAATACACGTGTTCCGTTCTTTTTCCCGAGATAGAGTTTAACCCAGTCACTGGTGATGGGTTAATGAATTGACAGAGTCAATACAGAAAAAAATAAGTTACCAATTGAAGTCAAAAGGAATCGAGCCTGGGGGGATGTTGGCACTGTAAACAGACTTGAACTCGTCGAAGTCGATGAAACCCGAGCCGTCACTAAATAAAATATGAGCAATATTTCGGAATCAAAATGCCGCAATACCGACACGTCAAAGTACTGGAATGCCATCCAGTAGTCAGCATCGGGGCGCTTCAAACCGGTTTGGAAGACCACAAAGTCCTCCCAGGAAACCAAGCCCCGTTTTGCGGTGTCGGCCACACGGAAAAGAATGGAAAACTGGGCTCGACCGATTTTTGACGAGTCATCTCTTGGGGCAATAGCGTTGACGAAGCTTTCAGGATCCAAGTACCTGGTAGATGCAACGTCACATACTAAATATTCCAGGTGAGCAGAAGGACTTACTTGTCACCGCTGACGTCCTTTGAGTTGGCATCGAATGTTCGTCGCCATCGCCTAAGCTCGGACTCTGGCACAGCTACGGCGGTTCGAACGGATTTGAGAGCGCTGGCAGCAAGAGAGGACGAGTTGGCGTCATCGCAATGAGCAATTGGGAAAATGGTGGGGAACACCATGCTGGTCGTTGTCCAAGGTAGTGGGGGAGGGGTATCGTGGAAGAGAGCGACGGTGGAGGTAGAGAGGAGAGAAATTTACGCTGCGATCGTGTTTTCTGTGGGCTCTGAGCCTGAAGATGCGGGGTTAATCTCCTAATTCAGACCATGTGACTCGTGTCAAAATTGCGAAACGGAACAATATCGGAACAAGGCGGCTGCCTCTTCCTCGAAATATTTTCAGCAATTTCCTTTCCTTACCATTCATTTTGCATGCAAGAAAATATGGGACCTTTCTCCCGCATTCCCGCTCAATTTTAGCCCTTTTCGCCAGTTAGAACTTAAAAAAACTCATCCATGACTCAACCAGAGCGTACCGATATCTTCCGGGTGCCTCCGTCCATCTCCCGTTATCCAAAGCGTTCAACGTATTCGTAATTCTTATCTACACGAGTAGCAACACGCTTCCTAGGACTCCGCCACCTCGCCCAGGGCTACTTCCCGAGGTAACCTGAAGCTTATGCAGTACATCTCCTTACCAGGTGCTACGGATCGTACATGCACGATGCAAACATCTTCTGATGCAGGATGGCCCAGGACTTGTTCAACTCGCTATAGAAACGGTCAGGCACGATAAAATGTCCACGGAAAAATGCCCACCTTGAGAATGTCGACTCGGGCTCTGTCTTCTTCGAGCTCCCGAGTAAAGCAATGGCAATGTATCATGGGCATTCTTGTGTAATGCTCAATGAGGACTGGTGTGGAAAGCACCCCTTGGAAGGCATCCAAAAAGCTAATCGCTGAATCCGGCAAATTCATCACTAAATGGGTGATTGTTTGGCGGAGTGGTAAGGTGACATGATCGCTTTCATCTTGGGGGATCAACGAGTTTTTGGCCGCTTGCTTCTGTAGCTTTCGTTCCAGTGTCTTGCTCTTTCGAGGACCAGTATATGGCTGAAAAGGATTTTCGATCGGCCACATGAAGACATCTCGAATGAAGCTCCGGCCATCCTCACAAGACACTCGTACAAGTTCTGCCACCTAAGATGTGTATAAGTCAACGTTAACTCATGTTACTTGATGCTCACGTTATTATTAACCACATTCTGAGAAAGATATTTCGCGCTGTTCGGATTGAGATCATTTGCAAAGATGCCACATCCAAGTTTGGCAGCTGGTATAGCAAAGGGACCGACACCCGCGAAGACGTCTGCCAATACGTCTGAGGGGTCCAACAGTTTTACAATTCGGTCGTGCTCCGGATGCAATCGCGAGTTCCAATATACTTGAGAGAAATCAAACGTAAAGCGACAACTCGACTCATGCTGGGGTATAGAATGAGCTGAGAACACAGAATGATAACATTCGGACCAACATGTGTGACAACATACTCGGGTTTCCCTGCTAGGAGTTCCATCTGAAAAAATCGAAATTGGCTGTCAATTTCATGAAGCTTATTGACAACGGTCTCGATTTGCTTGTTTTTCTACATGTGGTCCGCTTAGAGGGGGGAAAGGCTGAAAAAAGGCACAAAGCGTACATCAAGGAACACTTGACCAATTGCGTACTTGTATGGCAAGTATTCATCATTCAAATTGAAGTGCGCTGCGAGAAAGAATAAATGAAATCTTCCCTGAATATATTGCAACGCGGCGCACCGACATGTCCTGTTGCAGCAAAACCAACAGGCGATCCCTTCACCAGCTCCTCGGGGAGAACCGCTACGAGAATTTCACCTAAGTTGAGGAGTTGAAAGGGGTACGGCCGAAAGCAGCAAAGGGTGCACGTACTTGCGGTCCAATAGTCGTAATCAAGGTCCACTGTGTAATTAGCAAATCCAGTGCAATCGCGGTCGACAATTTCTTGCGCCTCAGGGGAAAGCTGGGCTAGCTTCTGGTTGTTGAATCAACCTATACTCAGCTCCAGGTAAAAGCATACCTCTTTCTGTGATTCTGAGTAACACTAATCGATCACCGTTGGGATTGGATGGGTCCTTAACCACGGGACTGATTTTCGGCGCTCCGACGAGGAACCTGAATAGGGAGTGTAAGCACCACATTCCGTCCGCTAGTGAAGAGCGCACCTCCTCAACGTAGTCGATTTTATGATGCTGTTCGTCTTATTTGGAGGCACGCGAAGGGCAAGAACTGAAATGCGTTTTCGGAATGCATCCTTGTCGAGTGGATGTAGAGGGCCGTGATACCTTGGCGGTGTGGTGTCAATTGCGGGAATGGAATGCATGGCACGGAAAGTGGAAAGTCGGATGAGCAACGAGGATCTCTTGAAGCAGCTCGTCGCTGCAAGCATCAAGGAACTTTTTTCATATCGACCCTGACTCGGACCGGAACCGCCAAGGCCCTCCAGATTAAATATGCATCAATATGTGTGTCATCATTGAGTCTACTTACCGCCATATGTCTGGGGTCAGAGGTATATTACTCAAAAATTGAACCTACTTACCGTCCTTTAGGTCCCTCTCCCTGATGAATCTGTACTGCAACATGTTGTGGATGTGCACTGCCATCCCACCGATGCACCTTCAATATCACCCGAATCCATGGATAAACTCCAGATCACTATCTGTGCGATGGGCTCGAGAACATCAGACCAAGTTCTTGTGAAAAAATTGGCCGCGTCGTATCCCAAGAAAGTTATTCCTTGCTTCGGTTAGTGCCCTTTATGATGTGTTCATACGCTATTTTGATTTGAATACCATATGATAGGATACCATCCATGGTTCTCTCACTGTATAACTCTACAGCCTGGTGCGACGAAGGACGAGCACTATAGACGCCTGTTCGCCGTCGAAAACTTCGATGAGTATCAGGCCATATACAACACTCTTCCCCAGCCGGTGTCTATCGCTGAAGTCATTTCGGAAGTGCAGGCCAATCTAGAGGCCTTTCCGAACGCGATGCTTGGAGAAGTTGGACTTGACCGAGCTTTCCGTATTCCTTATGATTACGCCGCGTTTCCTCGAGAGTTGACCTCCTTTACGGTTCCTATTGACCATCAACTTGCCATCCTTGAAGCTCAGGTCGACTTGGCCGTTAAATTACGGCGTAATATCAGTCTTCACAGCGTCAAGGCACAGATGAACACTACGGAATTTCTCAACAGAATGAGTCAAAGGCATGGTAGGAATTGGAGTAAGATTAGTATAGATTTGCATAGCTGTGGGTTGAGCCCACAGCTATGGCGCGATATGGAGGTAAGAGTTTTGGAAGGTGTGACCGAGCTACGAGAAAAACTAACCTTTCTAACGCAGAAGAAGCACAACAATGTTTTCCTCTCTCTGTCTACCATCATCAACGGTCGCTCATCGAATCACATTTCCCTAATCCAGGCCTGCTCACCGAATAGAATCCTCGTCGAGTCTGATTTCCATGATGTAGACATGTGTACCCAGCAGACTTGGGATATGCTTCTGACCGTGGCCCGTACAAATGGTTGGATAGTGGAAGAGGTCTGGACCAGTGAAGTAGACCCAGCCAAGTGGGGTGCAGTTCGAAGGCTGGAGGAGAACTGGCGGCAGTTTAGGGCTGGTGACCACCAAGCACCGGAGTTGTCAAAGAGAAAGAAGAAGAAAGTCGAAGAGTGGATAAGCGAATCAAATACCGATTCCTGAATAGAAACATAACACGCCCTGAGTGCAAGAATTGAAATATTGAAGTCCAACAAGCTTTACAAAATGTATCCAGAATTATGACGTGAGAAATGGGTCCCGCGACTACCAAAGATATGACAAGATAAGAATAATGCATATGCCGATAACAACACCTAGTATGATGGAATCTCGTCTTCGTCGTGACTTGATCATGGAAACAACGTTGTTTATGCCGGGCATCGTGTCTGAAGGAGCGATTCAACAACCAGCATATGGACAAGCCTGCAGCAGCTGACTCACTAATGGCATTAATCATTCGCGTGTTGATACCCGCCAGGGATGAACGCTGGCGCGTAAACTCTGAGCGTGTCTCGTATGCTTGCCTGCCAATATGCGTGAACACCAAGCATTCAGCCCACAAGAGGACTTACTCTATCATGTCGTCCGTCATGCGGTGTGAACTATCAATCCTTCCCCTTTCTGCTAGAAGAGAATCCGCCGCCGATGATTTATAGGCACTAACATGAGCGATGAGGGGTTCTTTCCCAGAGGTGCTGAGGAGAGTTCTCACTCGATATCGTTGCGAACGCCGCTCAGCAGGTTTGCTTGCTCCATGGCTTGCTTGACACTGGCCTTTTAAGGGTATTACTTATTAACTCATAGCGGGAAAAGCGACAGGTACTCACTTTTGTTCGCTTCACTGCTTGTACATTGTCTTGGTATAGTTCCCGATGTCTCTGGATCGCCCGTAGCATTGACTGGGACAGGATATCAGGCTCATTGGTTAGCGCCCCAAGTTTCTCGTTTGTTTCTTCAAGCTAGCAAGTTGTCAACGGGAAAGACAAATGTAGAACTTGGCGGATATGTGCCTTCTCTAGCAGATCGTCGACTTCCAGCTCCAGGTCTTTCCACCGCTCCGATGAACCATTTGCCTCGACGTCCTCATTAGGTCTTGAAAGTGCAGAAACAAGTTGAGAATACGAAGTGAGTTTGGAGTCGAAAAGGCTCTCCAGCGTGCGGCACTGTCTGTGCAGCTGTTCGTAGTTTGCCATGAGCTGAAAGCGTTGGTGAGTGCAGTGTTCCTAATCGGCAACTGCCGAGCTCCAGCTGCGGCCACTTAATCGCTTGCTTATACCGTATACGTGTACTGACGTGTAAGTATCGAAACAGTACAATAGGTTAGAGGAAGTGAATCCAATATTGGAGATGGAAAAAGGATTATTGAAAAGAATATCATATCGGATCTCATTCTAGGTATTACAATCACGGTATCTCGCTAAACCTTTGCCACATTGACAAGGCATAGGGTATCAAAATCGAAACCATTGTTTTGCGGTCTGCTCAGCAGCCAACCGTTTTGCCTGTCAGAGATCATTGGTCAAACATCTAGAGCGAGCGAAGAATTCCTTGTCACCTGCGTCGCCATGCTTCTACTGCTTTGTTCCAAGGAGTTGAAATGATCCTCCAAATCACCCAATATCTGTCTGTAATTTTTACTTAGTAACCTCTTAGTGGTAGTTAGAAACATATCACCCTCTGTCATTAAGTGCAGATGATAAGCGCTCGTATAAGCTACCCTGAGTTGCTGATGCAGAAGCAACTAATGCAGAGACGCCCTGTGATATTCCCCCATAGGAAACCCCTGTCGATGATTCGTTTTTGGCCTGCGGGATAGGCCTATTTGGACCACCCACTAGTAACCAACGTAGGTAAGAGTGGAGACCAGCCTTTCATTGATGCTCACATAGTTCATCAGCCTGGTCCCCAGTTATGGACTGAATACCAAAAGTCAACCAAGATCCTAGGAAAGACGTTGGTCCCATAGACACCGGCTGCGGCTGAGCAGGAACCGGGACTTTAGTGCTTGTTAGATCAATATCTGGCAAGGGAATGGAGCGCCGCATGTCGAACAAAGTGCCATATACAGCGCGTTGTTCTAAACCAGAGCGAGAATGACGCTTCCATCCAATGAAATCTCCGGTTTCATCAACCGTAATGGATCTGAAGCCATTGATCAGTCTCGAAGGCTTCCGGAAAAATGGATGACATACGAAAACATCAGAGGCAGCGGAAAGGCGTTGATGAATTCCAAGTGAGGAATGGAATACACCAGCGCTTCTTGCTTGTCTGTAAAAGCAACGAGGGCACAAGAGCCTGAAACCTTCGAGTCAGCAAGCATTAACCTAAAAATATATCAGGGATCATCACCAAGTTTTTCTATAACTTCGACTTCCCGCACAATACCGGACTTGCTGCTCCAATCCACTTTGCCTATACGGTCGCCGTCAATGTCTATATAACACTGTGCTCCTTTGATGCCCGTAGTGATGAAATACGCGTGCCCTTGTACTGAAGGTGCACTGAAAGCGTCGCTTAAACCTCGCCGAGTAGCATTACGGTGAACGCCTGTTTTAGCATCCACCATAAATGCGCCCTCCGGGAATGGATCGCTTGCACCGTCCACTTTGACAAAGTCTCCGCTGCATCTCCATGACGAAGTCACTCGGGATATCGTATACACTTCGCAAATTCCTGATTTCCTGACGCCAATGAGCCGAACACCATTATGATTATCTACACGTCAGTCGATCAGGGATGCGTTGCGAATGTCGATAGATGCGAAGCGAACCTGATTCCAGTACACTTATTGTCCAAGTCAAAGAAACAAAGGGTTCCGAAGTGTGGTCACTTAGATGTAGGCCGATAGAATGTTTATTCCTCGCTTTGCTTTTAGGGTCACGATAGAACAGAATTCTTGGTCCACGCAGATCAATAATATACAATGATCCATCCCCATACGCCACAGATAGAAAACCTATGTTATGTAATTTCGACAGCAACCCAAACCAGGGTACTTTGCTTACCGATATCTGATATTGCACAAGCAGTTGTTGGTCCCTTAGTTGGCGATAAAATGATATAGGGTGCATACTTGTAGCCGGTGGAGACGCCAAGATGTTCCAGGTACGTGAGTTCTCGATCTTCGCATTCCCGGTATGGCGGAAGGTTGTCTTGCTCATCCTTCAATCGAAACACCAGCACGTTGCCAGTGGACATAACAACTGCAGACTCCAGAGACTCCGATGAAAATAGAACTGATTGTATAGACAATGGTGCTGTCGTTGTCGTGGATATTTGCTTGAATACCCACGGATCCAGCACGAGAAAAGACAGATCCATTGTCAGATGAGGAAGCGGAGTTGGGAAGTCGTACTGGACAGGATGTGGCCTGGCAGCCACCAGCAATTGGACGCTGATGTCATAGAATCGTACAGTGAGATTTTGATGGCATGTAATCAATATACGATTTGGTTGGAACTATAACGAATGGTAAGTGACCCAGAGATCGAGAAAAACGAATAAATACTTTGGATGATTTCATGTCATTCGACTCATCATTCCATGAAAAACCACCGTTCAGTGGTAAAACCCCTTCGACTGATGGCCCGACAGCAGTGACAAGACTCTGGTATGCATCACGATCGACTACGTTGAGTCGGCCATGTAATATCCCGCTGCACAAAGACCAAGGAAGCCGCAGCCGAACAGGGTCGCTACTCGTCTGCAAGGACTTGAGTGTAGCGGATAACTCGTCCAGAGTATCTTCGTTTTTGTCCTCTGGAGCACTGGAACTGACCTCTTCTTGGTATGCAAAAGACGGAGGAGGAAAGTCGTACGCCTCTAATGCTCGTGTATCATCCGTCGATTCGGAAAGTATCAAAATAGATGTTGGATCAAAAACACCTGATAAATGGGGACTGTTCCGAGGAATGAGCAAGTAATCTTGCACAGTACCATCGCTCGAATAGAAGTAAGATCTTGTGGGAACAACAGTATCTCGCATGGAAGACCTGTAGAATGGATGCAGCGTTCCCTCGGTAACCGGCGTCGGTGGATCGGGGGGATTAAAAGCAGGAAGCCAAAATACACTAATTCCAGGGGGGTCTCCAATACACAGGCCTCCAAGCACTGTCAGTGCTGTGTATCCTCCTCTAGGGTCCGAAGAATCTGAAAATGAGCTCCACGAGAGCTTGAATATAGGTTCTCTCTGTGATGCTTGATTTTGGGGATTAGCCAGGTGCTCTTCAAGCCGATGGCCATCGACCACGTTGACATCTATTGAATCGAATGTTCGCACCATGAGAGGCTGATCCTCATCTTCCATAGCCCAATAGGCAATGACGCCATCTGTATAGCCAACCGCAAAGAAGTGTCCTGCCGGATGAACAGCTATACATGTGACTTCTGGTCTTCTGTGCGTTAGGATGTCCTAGCGGAAGTATGTATCATGGTAAATAAGTATGCAAATGGTGGGAAAGACCATGGCCATACTTGACCATATCCAGTTCCACCGGGAGCCCCGGGTGACAGAACAAGGTCGTAGACCCGAAGCGTGTTGCGCTGGGTCTGCAGCCAAAGATCAAAAATACGTTGAGTACTGAGACGGTCGACAAACGAGATCAGATAGAACTATCCCTCCTGGACTCCCAATTAGCAAAATCTGGAATATTTCGATGCAAGCGAAACAGACCTGCATACGCCACGAACAAAAGGTTTAGGTTCCGAGGATGTATAACGGCATCAATCGCCAAAGAGCTGTTAAGATCAATGAGAGCAGCTCAAATTATTGAGTAGAAAGACTTGTACGAGCCCGCATTTGTCACTCCAACCATCCCACTAGAAGCCAGCTTATTCTCATAGAGTTTCCACAAGTTCGGTATCATGTAAGACGTTTTCCGATGACAAGTTAGGTCGTAAGTTCGAATGTCTCCCGATTGCAGAACGAGGAAAGCCTAGTGCGATCGTCTGAGGGATTCGGAGATGGAGGAGAAGATTACGCACATGGGAGTGGGAAGGTGATAGTGTCATGGCGCTTAACCATGACAGTTAAATACGATCCCCGAGACTCATCATCGAAAAGCTCACTTCGTCTGATCAAACAATGCCGAACAGACGTATTTGGGGTATCCATAGTTTGAAAGATCCCAGATGTGTAGGTGATTCGTGGTATCTTGGTAGGAAATGTTATTCAATGATGGATGGAGATGGACAGTGTATACCCAGGCAAACGATTTGGAACGTAGAAACCGAAAATTGGACAAGTTTGACACCTTTTCTCTCCGGAATTGAGAGCTTTATATCGACACCGGGTTTCCCCCATATAAATAGGAGACCATCAGCGGTCCCTTGGTATTTATGATCGTTATCCAGCCATCCAATAACAGAAGGACTTCATACCAGCTGCTAGAAGACCTGACAACGGATCCACGGCGAGAGCAGAAATCTCAATGGCAAAATCGAAAGATCTCAATTCTGCCGGTTTCCAGTCTTCTCTTTCGCGCAGATCAGAGGAAAGGTCGGGAAAATCAGCGTTATACCGTTTGAAGTATTTGCTCATGACTGTTGGTGAGGATGCCCTAATTCGGCAGTGACGCAATTTGAACGTTACGACGGTGGCGGTGCTTGACAAAAGAAAACGGATACATATTATGTGAACAAGGTATACACGCAGAGAATAGATGACCAAATCAAATGTCTAACAATACACGTATGAGAAATAATCCATTAACAACGTTCCTGTGAAGCTAATGTTCTCTCAGCTGCCTTTGCAGAAGATGCACCTCTAATCCTCCCAAGCCAGCTTGATTTCAGAGGCTTATCCTCAGAATCTGGCCGCAAAACATCAATGTGTAGATTATTCGTCACATCGGACATGAAGGGAGGTCTTGTTATTGCCCTACGTTTCGGTGACCGCTTCGGTGACAGAGAAATAATTGGACGGTTGAGCTGGTGACGCACAGGCGTGAACCCTGAATTGAGGCTGTTCAATGCTTTGTGTAGGCGAGGCGTTCCTGTTATTATGTGATCCCCCGGCAGACTGTCCACCGTGAAGCCTTGAGGAGGAACAGCATCACAGTCAGCAAAATCATCGGGAGCGGCTCTCTTCTTGCCAATTGCCGAGCTTGTCACTGTGTCGGGGACATCAGCGCGTCTGTTAGGTGTTAGGGGCTGGGATCCCGTTCGCGACGCTGCACGTCTTTCGGGCGTTTTCAGACGAGGGAGGGAAGAAGGGCCCGACGGCACACGGCCCAAAGAACGTGACTGCGGCGTTGAGGAAATATTGTTGGTTGGAGAGGGAGTTCGTGTATCAGAGAGGGTGGTTGACCGAGTCCGAGACGTCAGCGACCGGGCAGCAGGCGGAGGAACGGCCTGTGAAGAGGAAGAGGGAGCAGAGAAAGTATGGCTGGTTGGAGTGGACACGGTATTGGAACGAGCGCGAGGTAAAGAAGATTGTGGAGGCGAGACTCTTGACGAACTAGCCAGAGCCGCAGATCCGACACTATGGGAAACTGATAGTGGTTTAGAAGAGGACTGAGGGAGGGGCGGCGATACGCGACAATGAGCTGGAGCCTGGGAGGCTACAGATTCCGTTGTGTCAACTTTTGCAACCGATGCTTTCGCTGCAGCCAATTTGGTCTGCAAGTTTTGCACCTTGCGACTCAAAGACTCAACCTTCGAAGTAAGCTTCTTGTTTTCTTTCAACATACTGCAAGGGCAAGTCAACTTGTGCACTATACTCGTAGGTAAGCCACTCACTCAAGCGTACGGTCGTCGTTCTCTTCGATTTCAGCACACTTAGCCCTGAGCAACTCTTCCATATCGCTGTTGCGTTCTTCAAGGCCAACCATAATCGTCTGAAAGTCGGGCTTTGCTTTGAGAGCCGCTAGTTCACGCTGCATTTCCGCAATCTCACGTTTGTGATGCGAATTTTGCATGCTAAGACTAACTTCCGCGGTACTTGCACTCTTCTCAGCGCGTGTGAGCAAAGCGCGACATCGTTCAGTATCCGCATCTTGTGTCTTGACGGTTTGTTCCCTAGTTGCAGCATGAGAATCAGAACTACCCCAAGAATGGATAAAAACACGTACAGGTCTTTGACTTGGCTTTCTAGATAATGAATGAGGGATAAGCTTCTTTGATTCTCAGCCTCTAAAGCGGTGTTATCCTGCTGGCAGTTCGTGTTTTCATTCTGGAGACTCTCGACCTGGCTTCGAACTTCCGAAAGCTGCTTCCGCACTGCGGCAACCTCTTTTTCGAGTTCCTCGATCAGCTCTTCTGCTTGACTATATCGCCCGTTGATGGACCTCAGCTCCTTGACATGGGCTTCTTGTTGAAAGGAATGATTTCTTGCGTCAATGATCAACTTGGAGCGCAGTTCTTCCGCTTCATGAATCGCTGAGTCATGTTTGCGCTTTTCCTCTTCCAGGTTTGAACGAAGTTCCGTCAACTGCTGGTCAAGTTGGCGGAGACGGGCCTCGCTATCCGTCTGATTCTGAGAAATCTCTGCTTGATAGCGAGCATCCAGTACGTCTCGAGTCACCTGAGTAGTGCGGAGCTCTTCCCGCATCGCCTCTAAATCCTCGTTGAACTTGGTCGTCTCGCCATCCCTATCCGCTCTCATCTTCTCCAGTTCATGAGATATCTCCCGAAACATTTGAAGCCCGCTCTCCACAGCGAGGAGCTGCTTCTCAACCTCAGATCTAGATTCGGCTAGCTCTTCCACGCATGCATCACGAGCAGCCTCAGCGGCTTTTTGGCTGGTCTTGGTCTTCTCAAGCTCACTAGTGAGCTGGACAAGACGCGATTCAAGACGTCCCATTTCCTCGGCATGTTTAACCTTGAGGTTCACGAGTTGCTCGTGTTCGATATTGTTGTCCACGAGTAGTTTGTTCTTCAACGCCAGCTGGCTTTGCAGCTCCCCCAACGCGGTTTGGTGGCTAGACGCCATTGCGGCCATGGTTTCTTCGACGGACTGTACCTGAGTCTGTAGTTCCGTCACTTGAGAAACAATGGCTTGGGCGTTGCATAGCTCATTAGCAAGGGCATCCTTCTCGGAAATATGCTTGGCAACCTCATCCTGTAGGTCACGTAGACGGTCTTCGATATCGGCTTTGGCTTCATCCAGAGAGAGGCTAGACGAAACGAGGCACCTCACTTCGACCTGGGCATTCGCCAGCGCAAGAGTCATCTGTTGTATGGCCTCCTGGGATGACGTGAGAGTTGCTTGCGCTTCTAATAAGGAAGCATTAGCCTGCTCAGCCTGTTGTACGGCATTGAGACGATCCGCTGCAAGACGCTCGACCTCCTTTTCAGCGAGTTGTGTCCGTTCAGTGGACACCTTCACGGCAGACCTCGCGTCCCCCGCCAACCCAAAGATCACCTTTACTAAGGTGTCCGCTGCAACGGCTTCTTCACGAAGCGATTCCACCTCCATCTCGATGGCCTCAAACTTCGCAACTGCGTCATCCCGAGCTTCCCTCGCAGCGGCGCAGTCTTCGACCATGGCATCCTTCTGACTCGCTAGCATTTCCAGCTCGGCCATCAGTTCACCAATTCGTTCTTCTTGTAGCCGCATGTTAGTTTCCAACCTTTTAATGTCATGTTGGTGGATGCCAATCTGTTCTGTGCGACGCAAGACGCGCCTCTCAAGTTCTTCAAGTTGACCGCTCAGTGCGCGAGTAGCCTCGTTCGATGACATATTGGAGAGCTGATGGAACTGGAGCGAGCTATAACGGCTCTCTGCCTCGTTCAGATCTGCTTGAGCAGTTGCGAGATCTTTTGTTAGGTTAGCCACTTGCACAGCAAGGGAGTCGCGTTCATATTCCACCGCTTCGAACGTAGCCGATACCTCGCTGAGATGAGAGTCGAGCCGGTCCAGAGAATCCTTTGTTTCTTCGTGCGCAGCCTTAACTTCCTCCAATTCCTTCATCCATGCTGTTTCGCTAGACTCGAATTGCCTCTCCAGCTCATCACGATGAAGTGTTATGTCATCCAGAGTCTGTGTTGCAATGGCGAGCTCGACCTCGACGTTTTTCAGCTCCTCCCGGACCGCCTGCAAATCCGCATCCTTGGAGGCTAAATTCACCGTCCACATATCATCCTGCTCCCCCAAGTATCCTACAACGATGCTGAGGGCGCCTACGCGTAAGTTCATTCGTGCAATTTGTTCATGGTGCTTGGATGCATCGACCACGGTCCGGGCTTCAGATTCCCTCTTGGCCTCAAGGGCCTCCGCAGTAAATCTGCTCTCTGTTTCCAAGAAACGAAGTTTTCGGCGGAGATCATCCCGCTCATTTCGCAAGCGATTGACAGCCGAAAGCAGGCGCTCGATATCTTCTGCTGTTTGGTATGTGGACACCGAAAACCGTTCGTCAGATTCTTCTGACGCTGCGATATGGGCTTGAAGATCAGACACTTCCCTATTTTTAAATCAGCGCTGCATGCGATGCCGATACTTCTCGATGAACGAACCTTTTCAGAGCATCAACATGTGCTTCCTTGACACGGACAGTCTGTTCAAGGAACGCCACCCTCTCTCGAGTTTCTTCCAGCTCATCCAGAGCTTCCTCTTTTTCCTGCACGAGTTGCACCTGTCGGCTTGTGCACTCAAAGGCCTTCTGTATTTCTCCCTGGAGTCGATGCTCAGCGGTCTTCAACTTTTCGGCCAGCACCTTTGCGTCTTCGGCATCCCCTAGCAAGAGTTCCAAAGCACCAATCTTGGGGCCGTCTTCGTCAATACGCCTCAGTAAGTCTTCTCTCTCGCTGCCGCCACTCGGGCCACCGCGCAAGAAGGCTAACTCCTCTCTCTCCTCTAACAAGACTTGCATTTTGTCTAGTTGTTTCTGCACAGCTCTCTCCATGGCAATCTTCTCGTTTTCGGCCTTCATCGCTTCATTTCCAACTTTCTGGCTCAACACCCGAACCTCACCTTCCTTAGCAGCGAGAGCCACCTTCACATCGGCGAGCTCTATTTCCAGCGTATATATCTTCAGGTTCGAAAGCGATGATGACCGACCACGATGAAGAGAACGCTGTCGAGCGGGTGATACTGGTGTCGAACTCAGCTCCCTTAAACTGGCTTCGAGCTCCTTGATGCGCGCTTCCAGAGTGTTTTTCTCCTTCTCTATCTTCGTAGTACGTATAACGTGTCCATCGAATTGACGTGAAATGTGTTCGAGGTTGGATAGCAATTCTTTGTTCTCGAGTTCCTTCGCCTTGATCTGTTCGTTTGCTGCAAGAAGCGAGCTAGCTACGTTTTGCGAGGCCAGTTTTTCGTTGCGTAAGTCGTCATTGCACCGCGAAAGGTCAGCTTCAAGTCGTAAAGCCCGGTCAGTTTCTGTGCTTAGCTGCTGAGGTGATTAGCCCGCTTCATGTCGGACACTGTAGCCACGCACTTTGAATAATGCACTATGCAGCGACGCCCTTATCTCATCTAACTCCTCGGTTTGTTTTAATAGCTGTGTCTGTTGAGCGGCAATGTGACTATCTAGAGAGCAAAATGTGTTACTGAGCTCCCCAACATCAAGGATGACATACCTTTGCTTGCCAGCTTATTGCAATAGGTCTGTATTTCCTCCGATACATCATCGGCACCAATGTTCCAGTGGGACATGCTTGGCGTGGTGGACGTTCGTCGACGTCACGGTAACGGTGGCAGACAAGTAAGTAAACAAAGTTTGGACACGAACGCGTCCCCACGTGATCGTATTGTAAGTGGTCTCGGCTCAGGGATTCGGGGACCTTCATACGTACCTACATGATGCGCATCTCTCATACCTGACATGGGCTGGATACAAACGAAGCATACGTCTGGCCCCAATAAAAAAGAAAGACAACTCGAACGCCATGAACTTGCCGTTTCTTCTATCTCATATCACATTGTCTTGACTTTCTTATGCTTCTTTATCGTTTTTTCGCATTAAGTACTTTATTACTTACGAATTACCGAGGTAGATCATTTTATGCTTATTTACCTGAGCTTAAAGTCATACATGTTCTTGGCAAGTGCCACTAAGGATTCGTGAATACTTAAGTTCTAACTATTACCACAAGTTTCATGTAAATCCCAACATGTATGTCACAACCTGAAGACTAAGTACATGACATGTACGCGGTGATGAGTCCTAATAATGAAGAGCAGTATACAATACATGCAATCTATCACGTACAATTTCTTTCCGATTCCACTAAGCAAAGCGGACTTTCTCCCCGGGACGACCTTCCGACAAGAGCACAACAGCCTGGTTGCAATTACGGGTGTGAGAAGAAGTTCCCAGGGGATGCAAAAGGACTCACATATTTTCCACTGATTTTCCAGCCTGGTTCGTCATTGTCTAGCTTCTCAGCGATATCGTCACCCTCAGCACCGAGACCCACCACAACATCTGATTTGATCGTTCGAAGGCTAGCCACGCGAGGCGCTCCAGCAGCGCTTGCCATAGAACCGATAGCGACGTCAAAGGGTGTACTAGCAGGCGCGGCGCAGTCGTACGTCAACTTCCTGTGGTTCAAATCGCCCTTGAAAACGACTAAATCCGATCGCGAAAGATGAAGGAAGAGATCGGGAGCTTCGGAGTGAAGATCCCAGAAAGTGTACCCAGTGCACCAGAAGGGATGTTGTTCGTAAACCCATTTCCCTTCTTTCTCGTATCGCTGCAAAAGTGATTGATCAAAGGCAGGAGGAAGTCAATAATAGGACATACCTTCCAGCGCTGACCAAGCCTTCGAAGAGACTCCAGCTCTACATCAGATGCTTTCGGGAACAATTGGCCATAAACCATAGAATTGAGCAGCCAGTCCCAGTCTTTCCGTGTTACATCTGATACGAACCAGGGGTATCGTTTTCCGTGGAAGTGTATTCGCTTGGCTAATCCACTTTGCAACAAAAAGTCGGCTGGAAAACTGTGAGTTTATGACGCCAGCCACGATAATAAGGTCCGACCGTAGACACAATCACAGTACAACTCGAAGCCGGCATTGTCAAGGACGAAGTCAAATCTACCTCCTGTATTGTCACGGGACTGCTTGACAACATCCCAGAGCTCGTTGAGGTGATTTCCGAGGATGTTCTTCTCGGTTGCCGCAAGATGGTCACCTCCTGTCGATTGTAACGCCTTAATCTGTTCTTCAGTCATATTGATGAGCAATGAAAGATCCGTAGAATTGCCCCATAAGCAGACTTGAGTCAGCTCGAGGAACATATGACGCTCCGCTTCGAGCTTTTCAGCGGCCGTAAGACTCTCTGAGAGAGTGAAAGGTTCGGCGAAGCGCATGGATAATTCGAAAACTGCTTCTGCGGAACGAGAAAAGGTATCACACTGTAATTCATTAGAAGTTGTTCAATACAGCCAGAAATAACATACCTTTTGTCTATAAAAGACATCATAATCGGACCAGAATTTACTGATGCTGAAACATTCGCGTAACCTCCGGTATTTATACGCTTCAGCGAACAGCCAAGGCGCATTCATGAAGTCTTTGCCTGCAACGATGTATGTGAACACATGAACTTAGGAGGGTGACAACGACAGACCCTGGAAGTACTTCGCAATCTCCTTGTTCCAAAGAGCCACATCGGCTTCGTTATCGTCTATAATAGGACGAAGCTTCTTGTTGCCACTGAGGTCAACCATGAGGGCTTCCATGCGTTCTATGCATTGAACGAGGTCGATGATCTTTTCTTCGGAGGACTGTTCGTTAAGAGTGCGAATAGTGTCATCGATTGCCTTTCCAAGGATAGTCGGCAAACGAGCCTGCATGGTAGCATGAGCAAAAGAGTATTCATGATATCCACGGTAGGCGGGCCAGGGAGGATTGTTCGGGTCGACCTAGGACACGATAAGAACCCAGACATTAGCCATACGATAGTAGGTGCTTACGCGGGTGGGGGTTCTTGGCCAGGGGGCCTTGATGTCTTTCTTACTAGGCAGATGACCCAGCGAGAGGGTTACCCGTGAAGGCGCTGCCGAGGACGAGGGGTTCGCGGTAGCCATGGTAAACGACAAGGACTATAAAAGCAGACCAGCTGTGAAAAGGAAGAGAAAGACGTTGAATGACGATACAGAGGATACAGCAAAGCCGTGCGTACTATATACAAAAACCGTCGATGCAGCCGGATGATGGTGATGTATTGCTGTGGAGACGACAAGCGGCGTCGTGCAGATGAGGGTAGCGAGGCGAGATGGGGGTAGTATGGAAGAGACAGGCAGGATGGCGTATTGTTTTGCTTTATAGTCGTCGTCTGCCTTCCGAGTTGGACGAAACTGTCAACTTTCCGAACGCGTTTGAATCTTTTCGCTCATCCCTGACGTCACTGATTCCCACGCGGCGCTCTTGAGCCTAATTTGGACCACTGTATCGGCTTGTCGGCTTCGGATCTCATCTCATCTCGTCATTACACGGCACCGTGCCTGAAGGCACGCCGGACTCAAGGATACAGGTAACTGCACTACGAAACCTGATCTTCATTACCCTCTGGTCAACCGCCAAAGACTGAGAAACCCAGGCTGCTGTAGAACTTGAAGACGGGAAACTCAAAATCGTTCTGGTAATAGTCGCTTCTTTTCCTTCTGGGGCTCACGGCCTATGTAGTATTAAGTTTAAGCATTAAGGAGAAGGTTATCGGATGCCCTTTCTCTTCCTACTTATCGTGGCTATAACGATGTCATCTTGGTTGATGTTTCCTCAACAATCCATCAAACGTTCCTCATTTTCTTCCGTTTCTAGCGTCGTAAAAATGTAATGGATAAATTTCAATTCTGAAGTGGAATTCATATAGTTCCTCCGTGTCCGTCCCTTCATCTTTATCAATGTTGTACTCGGACACCGTTTTAAATATGGCACACTTCATTCATTTTCTGCGTGGATCACTAGCATCTTCATTCCTTAGAGCCAAATGCTGCTGATTAAACGTCTGCAAGGTCTCAGAACAGCTCCTGTAACGAACTTTAACCTAGCTGCGGTGCGACGCGGCTTCCTTTCTGTACGTGTTTGACAGTACTATTTTGATCTTATCTCTCTTTCATTGTGGCTATCTCCACAATCCCCCTCCGCGAACTGCCTCGTAACATAAACAACCATACTTACTGGCATATATTTCGGCCATTTATATCATTTCAGGACTTCATGCACCTGTAACAATTTACGTTGAAAACCCATGGAATTGACTTAATCACGTCCTCCTCCCAAGTTCTAGTTGAACAGGTGATTGGGTTTGTGTTTGAAATTTGACTGGTCTTCACTGCAGAGGCTGGTGCGTTTTTGATAGCTTAAAATGGACCTTAAAAGGTTTTAATTTCCGCATCAGTTTTTACGTCCTTGTTTTAAGCGCTGTGAAACAAAAAGGTACATCAATTCCATTAGGGGAATTAGGGGAATTCAAACTTGCTGATTTCACGTTGATTTCATGTTGATTTCGCATTGATTTCACCTCTGATTTTACTTTGACAACCTCGGTTTTTGTCATCGGGGACTTAAATTTGACGAGGCCCGAGCAGATGCCAAATCAAAATTCCGCTCGTCGGTGCATTTGCCGAACTTAACAAAAATCACGAAATCCGATTTCACTTTACATCTTTTTTCTCCCGTTTTATTTTATCGACATCAAAATATCGAAATCATCACGAAATCAGCAGGTTTGAATTGTTGCATAGGGGAAAAGTTTTTCATACCGTTTTACTGACGGCCTTTTCAGGACCGAGAAAGGCTTTGCTAAACCAAAACCTTTTAAGGTTTTGTTTTTTACTACCTAACATGCACTGGCCTCTGCTGTGCTTTGGATTGAGTGATATGAAGGTCTCATTCAGTGTGCACCTAGCTTTCTGATCGGACAGAACTTTCGAGCTTTCCCATGGCGTAGGATATAAGTATCAAGAGGAAAATGTAGTGAGTACCGTTCGTACTTACATTTCGGTAACGATGGATATTTATCGGCAGTACTGTTTGTCACAGACTAGCCATACCAGGAACCATGGGAAGAAAACCATGCTGCGAGTGAGCACAAGTGTGGGGAACCTGCGAGGCATCGGCTACAGCCTGTATGCTCGCCATGCGACAGGTATATAGAAACTCTCTGCCCGGCAGGTCTTGACTTCTAACCCTATGGTTCTGCGCCTGCTTTAACGATATATGATTGCAACTTTATATCAACGTCGTGCTAAATTATCGTGTGGTTACCACTACTAATGCTCACCATTTTGAATAAGTTAACATCTGATGAAACGGATTTAGGGGCGGGTAGACCACGCAAAGCTTACGTGGTCTTCTGATGGATCTGATGGTCCTGAATTCTGGCTGTTACCATGCACCACCCAATTCGGAAGATTAGTCGAAAACCATTGGGCGTGTAAGTGCTTGTCGTTTCAAATTTCAGCATCCAGAGACTTGCACCCATCGTACGTGTGTATTTTGCTGTCTTGGATTCAGAGTCACGGTGAGCACCACTGGTAGTTGCCATCGTTGCGCCCCATTAAATGTCATCTATGATGCCGTAGATAGAAAGTGTAGGCAAGCTTTCAATGGCTGGCTCTAGCACAAGGGTGAAACTGCGTTCACATTCTCATTCGTGACACAGGTATATAATACACCGTTTAATGGATTCGAACTGGCTGATCTCTGTTTAATATAGCGGCCGATTAACAGATTCACTCATGCACCAACTTCTATCAGTCGTCAAACATTATTGATCTGTAGAATACGCCTCGCAGAAGTGTGTCTGCTTCTCGACCAAATTAAAGCTCATCTAAAAAATCGAATTAGCTATGCTCGCACGCGTGCATACACAGAATCGTAGGCCTGTCAATGCCTCCATTTTTACAAACATTTCATGGTCTTGTTCTATTCTTGCTATCGCTATCTATCTGCCTGGTTCTCGTATCACGGTACTGAAGAAGCTGATTCAATTCGTGAACTTCTACATGCAGTGACGCGCACCATTATGGCGTTGAAACAGCTAACAATAGATTACGTGCTAAAGCTGATGTGACTTCACATATCTAACACTCCTTTGGCTGCATGGAAAAGGTGCCGATCCATTGATATGGCACCTGCTCGTAAAAGAAACAGCACAGATGGTGCAACCGTACCTTAGTTCAAATCGTATGGTGCATCTCTTCTTCCGAGTATCGCTTATCTACACATCAAGTATAAAGTCTACGGTCTTATAGTTGGAACTGCACCCTTGCAGTGACTTATTCTCTTGGGTTCTCTCCTCGTTTGAAGATGCTTTCCGCCTTCTTCGTGCTCTCTTCGCTCATCGTTGCTGCATATTCAAGCCCCGTCGTCATTCCTCGAAGCCCAGTGTCCCTTCCCATTGCGAAGAAATTCAACTTCAATGGGACGCGTACCATCGTGGAACGAGATCGGGCTCGAGTGGCTGCACTTCGATCCCGTGCAGATGGTGCAAGGAATGTCACCAGACGTGCTGTCGTTAATGAGGACGTAGACAACGTTGCCGTTGTCTACTCCGCTTCGATTGGCGTTGGTAGCCCTGCAACAACTTGTACGCCTTTCCCCATTATCACTAACTCAATGGTGTGCTGACCGTACACAACTAGACGAGTTGATCATCGACACCGGCAGTTCAAATACCTGGGTTGGTGCAGGGACCAGGTACGTCCAGACGTCCACTAGCACAGAGACCTCCAATCGAGTTGTAAGTGGTCTCATTGTCATTTTCTTCAATTTCTGATGGTATCCACGCAGTCTGTTACCTATGGTTCTGGATCATTCTCTGGTGATTGATATTAGCTACACGCATGTTATCTCTGTTAACCATATGTTTTCTCCAGGGAGGGAATACATCGACCAAGTTACTATCACCTCAGACTTAGTCATTAAATCGCAGTCAATTGGCGTGGCTTCCACTTCCTCTGGGTATGAGTCTTTGATCTTGTCACCCACAAGGACCTACTGATCCTATTATAGCTTTTCTGGCTTTGACGGTATCCTTGGGTAAGTAGTGGACCGGACATTGCACCCCGATCCATTTGAATAATTCGAAATTGATAGAATCGGGCCCGTTGACCTCACCGAGGGTAAGTTATTCAAATTGTCCCTGTGCTCTTGTCTAAGTTTGCTTTAGGCACCTTGTCTCCGGCTACCACTACACTCATTCCCACCGTCACCGATAACCTCTATAGTCAGGGATCGATCACAAACGATGAAATTGGTGTGTATTTTGCGCCTACGACACAAGAAGAGGTCGTCAACGGGGAGCTTTCCTGGGGTTTGTATTCGAGGCTCTGCACATCGTTTCTGTGATATACTGATTTCGATTTTATTGTAGGTGGTTCGGATAGCTCCAAAATAAGTGGCACTATAGGCTATGCGTACGTTCTTTATCTCCGGTGGGATTTTTGACCTCATTGTGGATCATCAACAGCCCACTTACAACCACCTACCCGGCAAGTGTATACTGGGGTATTGATGAGTCCATCACCTATGGGACCTCGACGACCATCTTGTCTTCCACTGCTGGTATTGTCGATACTGGTAAGTGTTCTTCAAATTCGAGTTTCTGCATTCTGACTGAGTTGAACGTAGGGACGACCCTCGTCTACATTGCTTCTGATGCGTTTGCGAAGTACAAGACGGCCACCGGTGCCACCCTGGATAGCAGCACCGGTCTTCTTCGTATCACCTCATCTCAGTACTCCAGCCTTTCCAGTCTGTTCTTCAACATCAACGGCGTAAGTCTTAACCCATGTTTTTGTAAATTGCGGCCGAATTTGCTCTCAGGTATCATATGAGCTCACACCCAACGCTCAAATATGGCCTCGTTCGCTGAACACGGACATTGGAGGTAGTTCCAGCGCCATCTATCTGATCGTTAACGACCTTGGCACGAATTCCGGTGAAGGCCTTGATTTCATCAATGGCTACACTTTCTTGGAGCGCTACTACACGATTTTCGATACGGCAAACTCGAGGATCGGGTTTGCTGCGACGTCAAACACTGATGCTACTACGAATTAGTTGTAGGAGAGGGGGGACTCGGAGTTCCTCAACATATTTTCAGGCAGCTATGATCCAAACTCAATAAACATTTGATTATTGTCGTATTTTTTTCGTTATCACATTAGGTCATTCGAACCCGATTTTGTGTTGGTTGCGAGGCCTGAATACGATTTCGCGGTAGTATCTCGTGTGAAATATGAGTGAAATATTTCCCCGAGTTCAAGCTTGATTTCACACCGATTTTGTCTCGTCAGCCACTCACAAAGCATTCGTTACTTATGCCCCACAATAGAAGAACTGTACCGCCAATTGTACTCACATAGCATATATACCATTGCACTTACAATGTATATTCACCCACTTCACCTGGTCATTCCGATATTTCGAGCATCGTAATTCCAATGTATTCATAGTGAGGGAAGAGTCCATACAAATGCGCAGATATACAGAGCGACAATTCAAACATTACAAGAAGATAGAGTTATCCGCTGATGCGGGTTACCTTGAAATTTCAGTTAATCAAGATCATCCCATCCGCCGGGTACATGATTTCCACCTCGACTTGAGGTATTATTGCGTTGGTCTGGAGGCGCTAATGATGACGATGAATTGCCACCTGTGGATGAGCGGTCAAAACGCATAGACGACCCAAATAGTGACTGTAAAAATCCAGAGGGATCGCCGCCTGGTGACCGCGATCGCGACGAAGGAGACCTGCGGTCATTGCCGCTGGTGTTTTGACTCGGACCGGGTTGTGAATGGTGTTCGGGTTGTGGGATCAACTGATGCCTGTATGAAGTGAGCGCTTTGTATATCTCGGTTGCACGTGGCCACTTACCTGCATACGGGACAAGTTCCACTGGACTTTAGCCATGGCATTATACATGATTCATGGAAAGGGTGGGTGCAAGGTAGGGACACAACAACCTGCTCCTCAGGATCTTCTGTCTCAAGAGAAAACTGCTCTTTGCATACAGCACAGTCTTTCTGAAGAGTAGGGGCTTTCGCAATAGGTCAGCTCAGCTATGGCATTACAATTGAGGTGAACTTACACCCTATTTCCAAAACTTCTCTTGGGAGTTTCTCCATTATCGCCTCAGTGGCGGGCACAGGATGATGTGCGTTGCTTTCCATCAGCTGTGTGATAATTTGGTCCAATGCTGTACATAAAATCAGAAGGTACACATTCAACTTGTTGACAAGTTCACCTTCTTGATTGAAGACATAATCACCCATCCGACCGTTTTCTGCACCGAAACCGCGAGCAAAAATCTCATTCAGAGATCCCGTTGGCCCGCCAAGAAGAGTCATTAGATACTGAGCCATGAGCGAACCGTTGATGCCGGGATCAAGGCGATCTGCACCAGGACCTCTACGATTGAACCTACATTTGCTTGTGTCAGCTAATGTACGTTTTGCACAAGCTACTCACTCTGACATGGTAGGTGGTCTACCGCCTAGTGTATTACTTCCCCCAAACGTGTAAGTCCTTACGCCATTGTCATTTCTTATCGAGAAAGTTACACTTGGAGCCTGACAGATGTTTGAAATATGAAGATACGCAACCTTGTGACACGACTCACAGAACCGGTTTCAGGGTGTCCACCCAAGGAGCCCCGATGCTCCCTTTCAAAGTTTCTTGAGGGAGATATGCCGAATAGACTTTGAAGCGCAGCTGGATCAAGTTGAGGTTTCATGTTCAGAAGTGAAGATAAAAATGAACGGACGAATATAAACATCTGAGCCCAAATCTTCAGTATCCAAAGGATGTCCAAAGCCTCGTGGGTCATCCGATGGATTGTCCATCTACGAATACATCATGTGTGCTCAGGTGAATGGAAGATCAGGTTTGTTAAACCGATACCTTTTCGACGAAGGAACCATGACACGATGCACACGCCGGATCCGGAATCTTGTTTTCATCAAAGAAGTGTAATTGGAACAAGCATTCCATCTCTCACCATTAGGGGCCGGGTCTCTGCGCCGCACTAAACGTCGATTGTTCAGTCCATTGAGAACAACAGCTAAGATGATTCGACGTACTTCGTGGCAGTACCAAAGAGGCTCACGCTGCGACATTATGAGAAAAGTTATTGCGTCCTCGGTCGTAAACTATCAAGGATGAATGAAAAGCAACAATAATGACGATGGTAGGAGTTCAAGTCGGAATATTGGCGCCACAGCTTGATAAATATGTAATGTCACACATGTGTCACGCGTCTCAATCGGACATAATTGGGCTTTTGCTTTTCTTCTTCTTTCCACCGTCTTCCATTCAACGACGACGACAGATTCTCCGTAAGTAAAATTTTTTCTTTTTTCTTTTCCTTGCGATGATTCTAGTTCCCTATTATACGAATGCTTTTGTTGCATATGAGATCATACATTGGGTTGACTGATCTTTGCTCTTTTTCCTCGTTGCTACGCACCAAGGTAATGAAGCTGACCGTCTCTGTTGCAGGTCGATGTTTGTCTGGGAGACACTCTCGTTATCGGTCATCGTATACGCCATTGCTTATGATGTCGGGTCAAGAATACGCTTTCCCAAAAGCATTAGAAAAGTATACTTGTGCTTTGTGGCCCCGTTCAAAAATTTTTTGACCTTGGCGGATCTGGCGGATCCTGTCGGGGAGCCTTCAGTACCATCTATTACGATAACCCGTGCTCTATCTGTTCTCGCCTGTCTTCAAGCTTTTGGCTGGCTCGGTTGTCTTGTATATGCGCTAGTCCTCAACGACGCTTCGCTTTCCACAACGTTCCTGTTGAAAGCCTGTTCATGGGTAGGTCTTCTCTATCGTCACTAATTAGCATTTACCTTGCTTTTAGGGTTATATCCTGTGCAGAACTACAACATTGCCTCCTGTTACGCCGCCATATCTTTCAATTTCCTACGCCTTTCTCCAGGCCTTCACATCATTCGTAAGGCTTGGTGTGGAAATCACGAAGGCTTATGATGGTACAGTAATAGTGCTTGATTCCTTCTGCTTGATTACAGCAAGCCTTTTTGTGTATATCGCGGGTACTCTGCCTGTCCAGCTAGTGCGTCCGGCATTGAATATTGCCCAATACAAAGATGTACGCTTTTTACACTAGTGCCGAGACATTCTTTTTGAAAGTACGATGCCAGATGCCGTCCGTATCGTTCTCCATGCCCGAAGATGACGTGACACTATGGAGTTGGTTTACCTTTTCATTCATTGAACCAATCTTCAGCCTTGCCAATGCCCGAACTCTGAATGAAAGTGATGTATGGGGTTTGTCGCCTTATTTCCAGCACAAGAATCTCTTCAATAAATACCTTGAATACAACAAACGGTATAGTTACCGCCAATATCTTATACTATACCCTCATTGACATTGCGATATTGCAGATATCCCGGTCACTCCTTGATTCGATTTTTACTTGTCTCTAATTCTCTCGACCTGATCCTGGACGTTGTCCTTGAATTATGGAGTGCTGTTGTTGGTGAGTGAAGTTGCCGTACCCGATAGGCGGATCAAGCCTATGTTGGTTAGGCTTCCTTCCGGCATATGCTCTGCAGGAAATATTGTCAGCTTTAGCAAAAGACAATCCGGAGTCAAGGCAGGATGCGTATTACTGGGCTGCTGTCACTTTTCTAGCACATCTTTCTTTTGCCCAAGTGGACCTATTCCAAAGCTGGCATACCAGAAGGTGCTATGAGCGCACTCGCGGACAACTATTTTGCACTTTGCATTACAAATCGTTGAGAAGACGGAATGTTGAAGGACAAGTGAAGCGGGAAGGCTCAGAGAACGAAGGTGGTGTACATCTTGGTAAAATAGTCAATTTAATGCAGTAAGCTTCCACATTCGATGTGTACGATCCAAGACCTTACTTTGTTATCAGAGGCGACGCGTATGCAGTGTCTCAAAGATTCTGGGAGTTCTCCGCACTAATCACATCGCCGATTCGTTTGGTCATTGCCCTCGTATTTCTTTACAAGTATGCTCCTTTCTGCGGTAACTGATAGCAGACTCAAACCAAGAGATCAGTGTTATGGGATGGGCAGCGATTTCAGGCGTTCTAATCGTCCTTGTCGCATATGTGTTAAACTATCCGCTTGCTACTTATAACATATCGGTGACATCCTTAACGCATTCTTGTCTGACCCTCCTTCTCTGATCTGATCTTTTCTCCTTAGATCACCAGGGCATCTTGGAAAGCGAAAGACGCTAGGATGGGCATCGTAAATGAGCTTCTGCAAAATATAAGATTCTTGAAGTTCTACGGATGGGGTTCATAGTGTCTCATTCCTGGTGATTATTACTTATCTCTTGTTGCAGAGTACCATTGGTCATTTGAAACGGAAAAAGCGCGCGAAACAGAGCTAAGATGGCGTGTTAAGGAGAACATCGTGGCCACGTTGATCTCTTTCATCTGGTCTGTTGCCCTGCATTCTCACCTCGTCAGTTCTTACAATGTGCACGTCGAATAGGATATGGATTCCATCGGCAACTGCGCTGACAACTTTCCTTTGCTATACCTTGGTAGCAGGTCAACGTCTGACGGTTTCGAAGGCATTTACAGCCATTGCACTTTTTTCACAGCTTCAAAGACCTATGACAGCGCTACCAGGCCAGGTTTTTGCTATACTTCATGGTAAACAGGGTTTATTCCTCCCTATTCGCGTACTAATACGCGAGCAGCTTACGTATCTATGCAGCGCATTGAGAATTTCTTGCAAGAAGAGGAGGTGCCTGAATGGGCGTCCACACTTACCGCCTCTTCGCCATTTGAACATGAGGATCAAATTGGATTTTCGGAGGCCGCCTTTGAGTGGGGAACTTCTCTAAAGACCCCCTCATCTTTATCCCAGTTTCAACTGGGGCCCTTGAATATAGTCTTTCCGAATGCCAAACTGACGGTGATAAGCGGACCAACAGGAAGTGGTAAAAGCGCAACGTTATCTGCTCTGCTGGGAGGTCAGTTCTCGTGATAACAATCCGGCACTATGAAGTTGTTTATCTGCAGTCTGTTCCAGAGATCCATTGCTTGTCTGGCAGGGTGTTCCTGAATAAACAGTTCCATCAAGTCGCGTACTGCGCCCAGAATCCATGTAAGGTTTCATCTTCGGGATCCGAAAACAAGCGATCTTAAACAGGGTTTCTCAGGGCTGGAGCATGCTACTATTCGTGATAATATCATATTTGGCTCATCTTTCGGTTACGACGAAGGAAGATACAACACAGTTGTAGAAGCTTGTGCCTTGGTTAAAGACCTGGATATACTCGAGGCTGGTGACATGACTGGTACATCCCCACCGCTTTATCATGGTGCACTGCTGCTTCATCTCTTCACAGAAATCGGAGAGAAGGGAATAACACTCAGCGGGGGCCAAAGAGCTAGGATCGCTCTTGCTAGAGCCATGTATTCTGAAGCTAAGGTTTGAGTCGCCCTGATGTATGATCTATCAGTGCTATCACTGACGATATTTTACCATTTTAGTGCATTCTCCTTGATGATCCGTAGGTCTTCTCTCGTCTACATGATCTTGTGAAGCTTGATGTCCCCTTTCTAGGCTTGCGGCAGTGGATATGCACACTGCGCAGCATCTCGTACATAATTGCTTATCTGGAAACCTCGTGGAAGGTCGTACAATCATTCTAGTCACGCATCATATCAGTCTTTGCCTTCCGATCACCTCCCATATCATAGAGCTGTCCCACGGGAAGGTCTTTCAGCAAGGATCCGTGCAGGAGCTCGAAGAGCGAGGTGTTCTGCATAAAGTCATCGATATGGAGGACCAGCCATTTGTCTCCGATGACAATCTGGAGTCATCTGCAACAACAGTCGTGAACGAAGCGGACGAAGTAAATAAGGATCCTGGACCTCGTAAAACTCTGCTCAAGTCCGGAAACGGGAAACTCATCCAAGCGGAAGCTCGAGCCAAGGGACGTGTCTCCATGAAAACATATCTGACTTATATCCGAGCAGCAGGCATCATTTCTTGGATTCTAACGGTTTTTCTCATGCTCCTGATTCGTTTCATTAACATTGGCAATCAGGTCTTCCTCTCGGCGTGGGGTGAAGCGTATGAAGACCGTACCTCCTTGAGTGCATTCATAGCACGCGTAATGGCTTCCAGCGTGAAGTATCCCTGGAGCGGATTCCCCTCCCCAGATACCAGTGTAAAGCCTTGGCTCATGGTATACTTCTATATTTCGATGGCCGGAGCATTTTCGGTTATCTCCTATATCTCCCTAGGTTACTATGCAAGCCTGCAAGCCTCCCGTTCTATCTTCATATCGCTACTCCGCAGAATCACCCGTGCCCCTGCGCGCTTCTTCGATACCACACCCATCGGTCGGATACTGAATCGATTCACTGGTGATATCAACACTATCGACGGGGCTTTACAGAATTCCGCGAGGGAGTGCCTTTCAGGGATCCTTGACTTTGTAGCATCATTCTTGGTTGTTCTTGTGGTCGTCCCAGTGTTTGCGCCATTTGCATTGTTTATCGCTTGGCTGTACATTCGCTTAGCGCCGTCGTATATCAGGGCCTCGCGTGATCTCAGAAGATTGGAGTCAGTGTCGCTGTCGCCTGCCTTCGCAGGGTTCGATGAACTTTTGAGAGGAATAGTTCATGTTAGGGCGTTTGGGATGGAACAAAGGTATCAGAATGCCTTCTATGCAAAGGTTAGGCCATGATGTATAGAAGAGTGAAAAATTATGCTGACTGCCTCTGGTCGTAGGTTGACAGGTTTCAAACCTTTGACCATGTATATGTAGGTAACTTGGAGTAGTCCTGATATCTTTCTCATTCTTTCCGCCAGTGGCTAGTAAACGGATGGCTTAGATGGAGATATGACTGTATGTACCTACTATCGATGTCCCAATCAAAAGCTCATTCCTGCTTCAGGTCTAGGATCTGTTGTCGTTTTCGCCACAACCGTTTTTGCGCTACGGATGGGACTGCAAAGTGGAGCAGTTGCCATTGTTATTGTACAAGCTGGCATCTTTGCTGAAGCCAGCCGACAGCTCGTCAGGTAAAAAAAAAGAGTACATAATTATCGTGAGAACTGTAGTGCTGACCCTCTATAGAGTTGCAGCACAGTTGGAATTAGACTTTAACAGCGTGGAACGCGTCGTCGAGTACCTCGATCTTCCGCAAGAGGCACCTGCCATCATAGAAAACTCGAAACCCCCGGCATTCTGGCCGTCGAGCTCTGGAGAACTTGTTGTCGAAGATCTTGTCGTTCAGTACGCGCCGGAGCTACCTGCGGTTTTGAAGAGTCTTTCTTTCGTTATTAATCCGTCGGAGAAAATTGGTGTGGTAAGTTGTTGCTCTGATAAAGCGTCCGGAAACTAATATCGGTACCAGGTTGGGAGAACAGGTTCTGGTGAGCAATGCGTTTGCATGGACCAATCCAAGCTTTATGGTATATTTAGGGAAGTCTACGTTGGCCCTTTCGCTTTTGCGCATGGTCGAGCCGGTCAGTGGAAGAATATAGTACGTTACGTGCTTCAAGAGTGTTCTAGTATCTGACCCTTCTTAGCATAGATGGCATTGATATCTCAAAGATTGGTCTTGAGGACCTGAGGACTCGTATTGTAAGCTTATTTTATATGGAACCCACGTACTCATCGTCAATTATCTCCTCAGACCATCGTTAGCCAGGACGTCTCTCTTTTCTCAGGCACACTCCGCAGTAATTTGGACCCTCTAAACCAGAATACTTGGCAGGAATGCATGGAAGTCGTAGAACGGTGTCATATGATGGATGTTCTGCATCTCAACACAAGTGACTTGCTCGATTTACCCATCAGCCAGGGATCCTTAAGCGGGGGCGAAAGGCAGCTCGTAGCATTGGCTCGAGCAATGCTGAGGCGTACAAATATCATTATTATGGACGAGGCAACGTCTCAGATTGACTCGCATCTGGACGATCAGGTTGGTACATATTGCAAGGGCTGAGCGTTGGGACTGATAGAAACACTTACAGATCCAGCGAACGATTCGCGAAGAGCTTTCGAGCGCCATCGTTATAACTATTGCTCACCGGCTCAAAACAATCATAGATTATGATCGTATCCTTGTTCTAGACGAAGGTGAGATTGTTGAATTTGGGAAACCGAAGGAACTGTTGCAGCGGGTTGGCGGTGCGTTTAGAGAGATGTGCAAGAAAAGCCCAGACTGGCCCATGTTGGCAAAGCTGTCAGAATGATTCAGATCCCTATTTTGTGACCACCTTGGAGCAGCATGTACATGAATAGACAGTTGTCGGTCCATATAGGCACATTTCAACGAACACGTGATATTTTGAGCATAGTAAACGCGAAACCGGAAGGCTAGGAGACCCTTTACAGCCACGACAGCAAGCTCACCGTGGAGCATACCCTTCAAATTTGCGCCGCAATGCTCACTCGGATACTTCTAACGTATTTGTTCGTTATTCAATTCATCGCATTCCCGACCACGAGCTATACCACCTCTGCTTGAGATCTCAGCCTTCCTAATCTCATTCCAACTACAGAATTCATAACCTCTAAGACGCCCGCTGAGATGAATACCGTAACGCAAGCAAAGCAATATTACGACCGTTTCTTGAACGTTTACGACCGAGGGCCAGAAGCCATTGACAACAGCAGAGTCTGCACATACACGCGAAAACAGCGACAAAAGGTCTTCATTGTCGCCATCATCATCGTTATTCCTCCAAGAGCGAGGTCACCAGCACCAGCCTGCCGCATAGGCATATAGGCACTACCAAAGAATGTAAGGTGCCGTCGGGGGACTCGTCTAACGGCGGAAGATCATTGGAATTACTGTTCTCTGTATCACTGTCGCTGCAATAATCTACCTGCTCATGTTCTTCGACTCTTGGTGGGGATTTTTGCGGTTAGTTTGCACAAGGAGAGAGAGGTGCAGCGATGGGGAAGATCTGCAGCCAGACTGGGAAAAGCAGAGCTCTGTTTGGCAGGGATTTCCAGGAGAGACAGGGAAAGAAGGATCATCATTTGCTCTCCACGAACGCCTACGGTACCACCTGCAACCTACTCACAATCTGAAGATCCCCATCCCCTCGAACCGGTGTTGTGGAGGCCAAGTACACGGTCATTCCCTGGCTTGAAAGCATCTTCCTATCAAACATCCAACGTTCAATGATATATTTCGCGGCCATGTAACACGTAGCTCACTCAGTACAGCATTTACTATTGAGAGGCATGCTGGGGTGGAGGAATCCGTGCTTCCAGCCAGTCTGATACCAAAAGACCTACACCGGCAAAGGCGAAGAAGCCCAGCGACAGACGAAGACGCGTACCAGCTGGAAGGTCTGCAAGAAATGTCAGAAAATTCGACAGGGTAGGGAGTCGGGCGCACTAAGGTATGACTGCAGTAGCGACCGGCTTCCCTGCACCGCTGCCTTGCTCTGAGTCTTTCGCTTGGCCATGAGAGTAATATTTGTGCCAGTTTGCCGGAAGCCTTACCCTTCCTTCCTTTCGTCATGTTCACCGGTCTTGTAGGCTTCGCTCGCCAATGTCATGTTTCTTTTCTGACCGCCATGTAGATTGAACACCTCGGAACAGTTTCCGACATTGTACTCGATGCTGGTGGGTGCACACTCACGGTTTCTGACTCGGCACCAGTTCTGGTCGACTGTAACATTGGCGACTCCATTGCTGTCAACGGTGCCTGTTTAACGGTTACGGAATTTGACAAGACGGCATCTGGAGGATACTTCAGGGTCTGGCTGGCAAACGAGACGTTGGAGCGAACTGATCTAGGTGAATCTGGACTTGTTCTACTTGGTACTACCCCGCGGTTGTTGACTTGGGCGGGGCACAGGTGAACGCCTTGTCGGGGATCAGCTCAACCTAGAGCGTGCAATGGCGCCCCATGTGAGATTCGGTGGGCATTTTGTGCAGGTGCGTTACATATACGCGACTTGTTTGCAGTGGTATTTGACACTGCTCTAGGGCCACATCGACACGACAGCGACTATCACTGACCGCTCAGGTGATGGAGACTCTCTCCGTCTCTCTTTCGAGCTTCCTGAACCCTCCGATTCTCGACCATCCTTGCTTCCATACTTGATTCCGAAAGGCTACGTAACTATTGACGGAACTTCATTGACACTAACGGATGTGAATGACGCCCAGAGGTCATTCAGTGTCATGCTCATTCAACACACTCAGGAGAAGATCACCCTTAGCAAGAAGGGGGTTGGAGCCATGGTGAATATTGAGGTGGACATGGTTGGGAAATATGTCGAAAAGAGTGTTTCTGCTGCTCTTGCTGGTGAGGGAGGGCAACTGCGCCCTCTGATCGAGAAAGTCATAGCAGACGTGTTGGCAAAGAAGGGTATTAACTATTAGTATAGAAAATATGTATGCACCACTGTATAAATATTTATGCATGCAAAATAGTACAGCGAAGAGGAGCTGATATTGTTGACAGTGGAAATTACCGTTTCCGTAATTGTGATTCTGCATTTCACTATCATCGCGCTTTCCTTCCTTGACGCCGTCGTCGTCAATTTCATGGATGGTGACGCAAAAAGAAAGGCACGTCCGTCATTGCCAACGGCGTGCTTTAGGACTTATCCTGTTCCCAGATCACAGTAAAGCTGTACAATGGCGCCAACGAATCATCGACAAATTCGAGATTTGCTACCACGACACTGTCAGCTTCACCTCTCAGAAGCCAGTCGCTGGCGTCTGCAAGACCTCCGTTGCGCCCAAAGGCCAAGGTGACCAGCTCAGCGACTCCAAATTCGCTTGCGCGCAAGCCCAAGATCATCAGTACCGTCTCAAGTGGGCTCAGCACTCCATCCCGAGCGGGCTCTTCAGTAAGGTCGACCCCAACCAACAGCTCACTCGGCGGACAGCCGAAGGCGAGGCCAACAGCCGTCAGATCTAACTTTCGACCTCTGGAATCCAGCTCGACTCCAGCTACACCCAACGTACCCTACCAATCATCTGTCAAACCCTTCTCGGTGTCTACTAGAGGCAGTCCCCACAGACGTTCCGCGTCGGCAATCTCATTTACACAGAATGGATCGACTTTAAGTCTCCCATTGTCACAGGCTTCGTATGGCTCGCCTTCCTCAGATACGTTCACTGACACCGACGCGATACACGGCGATGGCGCGCCCAAGATAAAGTCAAAAATCACGAGGCTGGCGAAGCCTCACGAATTGCTCTCGCCATCACCCCAGCCCATATCGTGTCCTGCTAACGGCCGGAACCGTACCCCATCAATATCCTCAGGTGTCTCCTTGAATTCAACAAACACGTCTTCAACTACCCCGGACTATTCCTTATACCCGATAACAACTGCAGTCCCAGCTGCAAATTCATACCGTTACGGCTCTGTTCGCGCCTCAACAACCAACCGCCACCACCACCAACCATTCGCTCCTAGGGATGACTCGCAAATTAATTACAGCACGACGAGTTTTAATGCCAAGATTGATCCCACGACAATACCTCTGCCACCGCAATCCCCTCCCACGTCTTCTGTGTCCTTTTCTTCGCGATCCTCAGTCTCTCGGTCCTCCCGCGCTGATTCTGCCGATAGTCAGCACAACGCATCCATCAAGCAGAATGGAGTTAATCTCCTGGGCGGTATTGAAGACTTGATGCAGTTTGACGCCACTGAAAATGATGATTCGGACGGCGATAGCTACGAAGAGGAGACAGACCTAGAACATCAAGCGGAAGGGAAAGTCAGGGCAGAGGCTAAATCTAATAGGAAGGTACGCGTCTCACCTCGGTTCTTGGAGTTGTATATTTGTCCACTAACGTTTGTGGGGCAGATTGAGGATTTGGAAATCAGCAACCGGTCTTTGCTCGCAATCAATGTTTCGCTGGAAGCCATGAAGCATAGGCAGGCGAAGGAAATACGTGATCTAAAGAGGAAGCTTCGCGAGTCGAGGTTGATTCTTCCGCCGCAGGCTTTTAAGCAGGTGATGGACAAGGACGACACCGAAGAAGATGAAGATGAGGGGGAGGATGGGGAGGAAGCTCCAGGGACAGGAGACGAAACCTACTTGCACGTCAAATTGTTGCTGGATAATCTGTTACAGGCGGCCAAGCAAGCCCTGGAGACGAAACCTTCTGATTTTGAGACGAGGGGCGGCGCAAAGGTGCTAAGCGCAGAAGAAGTGGAGAATTGGCGAGACCACGAAGCTGAGCCCACAAGAGACAATTATTCCAAGACTAGTGCCAACACGTCTCTGTCACCAAGGCGGGACAATGAATCCAATGGCGACGAAACGTTTGATTCCGAGGATGAGGTTGAAGCTCTGACGATGCCGTCGGATTCTTCTCCTTCCTCTAGCCCTCCACCGCCTATTCTAGTTACTCGGTCGCCTTGAGAGTCACAGTGTGCCTCCTTCCCGGTTCCCCGGCATGTAGCCTCTTTCCTTACGATCTCCCTTACGATCACCAGTAGACGCCTTTCGTGTTATTTATTTGCATGTTATGACCCATCTACCGTGTACATTTTTCAGACAACGCTCAAGTGACATGTAGGATTATTCCACGACCCTTAAACAAGCGAAGGACCTTAATTTCCTACTTTGTGAGATACATGTGTCATGCAATGAATGCGTATACTAAGCCTACTCTAGTACAGTCTATTCCACTATAATACGATAGCGTGGGTATGTGTCGGGTAGTAGAGTTGAAAATGATGCCGTTGCGATACTCTCAGTCCTCCGCCATCCTCTGAGCTCGCTTAGCCAGCTATGAAAAACATATTAATACATCATACGAAATAATAGGAAGAGAACGTACAGCCGCCGCTAGATCCAGTTGGCCTGCTGGAGCCGCGACTAGACCACCCGAACGTACAGGAGGAGGGGCACCAACGTTAGGTCTGGAAGCTGTCGGGATTGGTGGTTTTCCGGGTATTCTCGGAGCAGGCTTTGTTGCTACGACGGGAGGTTTGGGTTTCGCAGCAACAGGCGGCGGAGCTCTGCCAGCTAAAACACTTGACGGCCGAGAGCTCCCAGGAGAGTCATCTGGTGTCGTGGCTGAAGTCGATACTTGTTTCTTCCACGGAGCGGCCGACCCATTCGCAGTAGCCATTCCGGGAAAGACAGAAACAGGTTTGGCTGTTACTGAATGTAACGGGGCCTTGACTGTTGAAACAGGTGCTTGCTTTGCAGCAGGAGCGGAGGGTGGGGCTCGAGCTCGTGGCGGCGGTGGTGGCGCAGGCGCAGCTTTGGGTGGTTCTAATTCAAGGTAATTGTATGGCGCCCAACCTTCAACACCATCTTTCTTCACTAGCCACCATCCGTTATCGTCCTTCTCGACTAGTTCGACGAGATCGTCTTTCTTCAGTGACATTTCACCCTCTTGTCCATCGAATGCAAATTTAGCACGGTACCTGGGCACAGCCGGGACAGCTGGTGGAGGCGGTGGCGGTGGTGGAGGAGGGGCAACATTACGAGGTGCGGGAGGTGGCACTGAGACATTCGACGGCACCACAGCGGCGGGCGCTGGCTTTGGCTTTGGTTTGGGCGTTGGTGTGGATGTATTAACGGAGGCAGCAGCAGTACCTGTCTTGCCGGGTAAAGCGCGAATAGTAGGTTTCGGTCTAGAACCGCTAGGTTTCTAGAGAGAAAAATTCAGTCGTCGGCGGAAGAAGATGTAAGTGGTACGTACGGATGGCCCTCCTGCCTTTAAAAGCTTACCCTGAGTGATGGGCCGAACGATTCCTGCCTTTCGCTTGGCTGGAGGTCGCGACAGACTGCCCGCAGGTGCGCCTGAGGGTACGCGTACAGTATGGCTTTTGTACACATCGTCTTTCTTGATGGTCTCGTCTCGAACCATAGTAATCTGTGCTCGTTTATCCTTTTTCTTAGCATAATCAATTCTAAAAAGGCATGAGGCACACACACACACACGACACGAGAAAGGACTCACGTTGATCCAATGTTTAAAGTAATACTGCCATGTGTCAATTGCATTAGATTAGTTGCGAGCTCCGTTTTGAAGTAACAACTAAAAACTGGGTCGCCCTCTTCTGAAGCATTCACGTTCAAGCCCTGTTGGCCAGTATGAGAACGTCCAGAATCCAGATATAAAGAGGAGTCTTTACCATCCAGTCATCTCTAAGATTGGACATTGCAATGCTCTTGATAGTTACCAGTGGAATCTTTCGCTCCAAGATTTGCTGCACAGTACCTTCTTTACTTTGAACGACAACAATGTAGACAGCTTTCTGAGTCTATATCCAATTGATCAGTGCACAGTATCCACTCGCGGAAACAACAAATTACCACGACGATGAAGCGAGGACTTAGTTTACTCGATCTGCCAAGCTTCGAGAGAAGTATATGTATTTTTCCGCTGAAGGTAACTTCTTCGTCTTGAAAGCATGTCAGTACGCCTCTGAAGGTCATTGTAGGGACGTGAGCTCACTGCCGATGTTACAAGAAGCTGCGATCTCTCCTCCAAGAGAACTTTTGCGATTGATGTCAAGGTAATCACCCATGAAACGCCGATAGGACAACAGACTAAACCGCCTTCGCTCCTTCCTTCCGCCAAGAATTTGATGGCCATAATCCCGAATTTGAGCATAAACAAGACCCTCCTTGTTGTTCTTCCAGAAACGTTGTATACGTCGTGCACATTCATGCTTATAGCGCATGTAGTTCCTGAAAGCACGCTGAATACGACCTGCCATGTTGTGCCAGTACTTATCACGCATTGTCTCGAGTGCGAAGAGCTAGTGGAGGATGTATTAGGTATATGTTTAAATTTTGAAAACAACCAAACGTACAGTTTCAGGATTTTTGATGAAAGCTTTCGTCACGCCCATTTGCCATTCATCCATTGCTATTCCGGTATCCTTCAAAATCTGCTCACAACCAGACTTCGAGTCGCCTTGCCATGTATACTCGCCAGCGTATGAAGTATTGGGGGAGAGCAGATAGAATCGTTCAACCATTTTTTCAAATGTGTTACGATACGCAAACCCGGCCCGACGTACACGAATATTTTCTTGCAAGCCAAGATACTTGATCTGGTGCAAGATAGCCTTGACGTCATATTCAGAAGAGCTACGATTCTGATTGGGCTTGATGGTTCGAATATAAGATGGTTTCGCTTTCATCAGATTGTCGACGAGTGCACCGGCGGAAGCCTAGTGCTATAGTTGAGTATGGTTTTGAGGAGCATAGAAAACCCATACTTTGATCCTGTCTCCAGCTGTTGGAGGCCGTTTCTTGCTGTTTGGGTCGGGGTGATCCGGGAACAGCGTCTGCAGGAACTGATTGGTGCTAGAAGCAACCATATCGAGCAAGTCCTTGACGAGAGAATCCTTGTTCTTGTCTGTCATACCAGACACATTGTACATGACATCGCCAGCGTAGTGGCGGACCAAAAATTGCGCTCCTCGTGCTTCAAAGTGAGGATTCGACGACAGAATGGAAGTTCGCTGTACGAAACTGTTGTCCGCAGCAGCAGGGTCCGCGTGGGCAGTAGCACAGGCATCGTTAAGAGCAGCAAAAATGCCGGGGGGACGACGTTCTTCAATGAGGTCGCACACAATTTTGTTGTTGAAATACTTGATAGGCGTCCATTTTATTTGCTCGCGAACATATTCCTCTTGCTCGGTCTTTAACGTTAATTCAATGAAGATCTGCTGTAGTTTCTCGTTGACGTAGTTGATGCAGAGCTGCTCGAAGGAATTGTCCTGTAGCCACAAAGAATCAGCTGACTAGGAAGAAACAAGTAGCGGATACAAACCTCAAAGATCTCGAACCCAAAGATGTCCTACAACGAGAATGTGTAAGAGCTTCAATCATGAAACCCAAGGACATACCAGAATGCCAATGACTTGTGATGTTGCTGAGCGTGGTTTCATCGAAACATTGACTCTGGACACGATCCACTCAAAGAGATTATTATAGATTGCTTTCGCGAGTGCGTCTCGACCTGAACTGGCCTGCGCAGGATTGAGTGGTACGTCGTACACTGAGCCTCTACGTCCCCCACGTTGCGTCTCGACTATCTTGCTCGTCAAGACTTTGACTACGTTTGTGGCATCGACGTCCATCAAATATGCAACGAAATCCGTGACACTTGTGTCGGAAATTTGAGAATTTCCGTCCTCCTTCTCTTCGAACTGAACGTTGCCAAGCCATAAGATGATGGCTAACATACGGAATATCTCGTTCTGCTCATTTGCATCCAAGCCAATGATGCCCATAGCTTTCTAGGATGATGTTAGATTACTCCGGCAGGCCTGAATGGAATTCCAAAACCTACAATAGTTTCACTGTAGTCGTGTGCATCATTAATGTCCTGGACCTCCAGACAATTACTGAGACTTGTATATGCATATGCTTCAGGTCCCTGAAGACCAAAAGTCTCTGAAGGCATGATCAACGCTTTGATTGTCGTAGACAAGAAGCCACTCACCGCGTTGCTCGCTCGTCGCGGCCTTCGTGAGTTGATAGAAAATGTGGAAATTCCTCTCGTTCTCTACCTGTCCCACAACGCGTCCTTTCTCCAACAAGTAGTTAGTGATCTGGGCACCAATGGGTTCTCCATGAGCATTGAACATGATTTCTAGGTATTTTCCCTGATAGACCATCAACACTAGCAGATTAATTGAGTTGACGACTCACATGGCGACTTGAATTGTTATTCCGTAACGTCTTCGCACAGCCAAAACTTTCTAGCAAGGGATTCGTGGCCAGCACCATGTCCTTGATCTCCTGAATACTGCTGTCCTGCCCTCCGGATACAGCAGCGATGTACTGCATAATACGTTTTGCTGCTTCTGTCTTGCCAGCACCAGATTCTCCTGAGATGATAACGCACTGGTTTTCGTGGTACGCATTCATATTGTAGTAGGCAGATTCAGCGATACCAAAGACATGGGGAGGAACCTCAAGTCTGTTCTTCCCCTTGTACTTTTGGAGGGTATCCTCAGAGTATATGCCAAGGTCTGACAGAATGTTGCTTTAGTAACGCAGCAACAGATGAGATGATGAAGAATTGTCCCAACCGCGGAAAGGATTGACAGAGATCAGCACTGCGCCAATATAGGTATAAATCTCAGCATTGGTCCATCGCTTTTGAAGATTATCGTTGATACTCTCGTTGCTGATGGTCGTGAGCAGGGTCATGTCGGAAACACCGACCTGCTTCTTCTTGAAGCCTTCTTTCCAGTCGGCCTTTGGAATTGTCAGTAGAGCACCTGCATACCACAACAATGGTAAGCACCTTGGCGACCTTCCCTGTGCCACCACCCTTCTTGGGGGCAGGAGTTACCTTCTTCCCCGCCTTCTTGGATGGCGCCTACGACGACGGTGAGAAAAGGCTGAGCGATGGATAGCGAGACGGCTGACCATATTAGTCGTGCCCTGGTAGTATGTAGCTCTGTAGAGCACGGATGTGCGTGAGAGACGGGAATAGGAACGGCGCAGTGAATGTCAATGTAAGAGTAGCACTCGGCCAAAAGCGGTAACTGGAATCGGCGCACAGCTTCAGTACTAATAAGTACTACTAAATAGTATGATTACCGCAATTATATTTTTTTCACGCGTACAACACACATTATACTGACTTATTGATCAAGTATTGCAAGGCCTCTGCAGCAGGCTGGATGACCTGTGGATTTGGATTTGTCTTCACAATACTCACCAACGCCTTCATCAAACCTGCAGCCCCCGCGTCCTGTAGAATCTCACTAAGAAGGGCGGAATCGCCTATATTCACAAGAATATTGCGAGCACAGACAACCCCACGATGAAGTAGTCCTGGATGACTCTCAGCATCCACAGCCTTCGGATCCGTAGAAGGATCGATGAGCTGCGCAAGGATCGGGACTGCGCGATGTCGTTCTCGCTGCAGGGCGAGAAATGCCTGACAAGCTCCTGACTCCGTTGTTACAGTGGCAAGAGCACCAGAAGCAGCTAGTCTCGTTGGAACATCCTCTACATCTGACAATGCGAGCAAGACTTGAATCTTTGTCTTCACGCCACCATCACTGCTTGTGGAGCCCCCATATCGCTCAAAGACTTTCTCGGACCCCGCTATAAGGTTGCAGATCAGTTCCATCGATGCCCTCCGGATCATAATATGGTCTTCCAGAAGCAGCAGCTCGATCCTGTTAAGCAATCCATCCATGTCGGCTATACGAGAAGCCACTTCTGCACTGTGGGAAGACAAGTTGGTAAGAGCCATGAGAATTTCGAACTTTTGCAATAGCAAAGTGGAGGAGTGCTGGAGTGCGAGTGAGAAGGGACGAATGATGTCATATATCGCACCATCGTTCGGCCCAAAAACCTGAAGTGGAGAAGCAGTGATGGCCAATTTGGAGAGTGCTTGTATGGATTCAAGGTAAGCTGAATCTAGGACTGCGGCTTGACTAGTAGATGCTGCAGAGGACACCGACGACTTTATGATCTTCGTCAGGACCTTAGCACCGCCGGCTCGAAGAACATTGCCCCGATTCTCTTTCTCAACCACGATGCTAAGCAATGCTTTTCCAATTCCTAAGCGTATTCCCTGACTATCCGATGCAGCCAAAGCCGCCGCCGGAAAAACTTCCAGAATGCCATTTGCCAATAATTTCCGTATTCTCTCTTTGACTTTATTGTCGTCATTCAGCGGAGAGTCCCCATTCGACTGAGAATTGGCTTTCCCCATGTGTCTCAATTTTTCCATCTGACTCTGCTCTTCGGTCAGATGCGGTCGATGTGCACATAGATTGGATATGACAAGAATGACGCCGTATATGAGGGAAGATTGTGTCTCTAGGCTGTAGACAGGTCTGCGTCGGGGTACGGACGCAAAGAGGGCCCTCAAGAAATCTGAATCTTGCGACAGCATTTCTTTGACAAAAGGATCCACGCTCAAATACGCCAAACCTTCGACCGCATCTGCGATGGAAGAGTGGTCGCCACCAGATACAACCATGGTTTTCATTGCAACTGCAAGTTCGTCATCCTTTTTGTGAATATAAGTACTGTTTCCCCCGGTCATGTCGGCATTGTCTGAAACGCTGCCTCTGGACAATTTGATGAGGGCTATCGTAGCTGCAGCACGGACAGGTGCGCTTCGTGGCGGACCCGACATGAATTCAAGCCATTTTGTCGTCTGAAGAGGAAGGATGGTTCGACAGGGTTTGTATCCGCAAGCTTGACTGAGAAGATGCGCGACGTGAAGAGACAGTTCGGTGGATGGATTGAGGTCGACGCTGTCCATGGCTAACTCGAGTACGCCATCCTGCTGGAATATGAAAGACGCGGATTGCCAATCCACCTGGAATAATGCTGTGAGAAATGAAACCCCAATGAGAAGGTCTTTTTCTGCGGTTTCTTCGAGATGAGGTAGTGTCAACGAGGAAAACACTTTTGCTAGTGATTCCGTCGCTGCCTCCATCTGCTGCCCTTTGTCTGTGTACCCTTTCCGAACTCTTTGGCAAAAGGCTGATAGAACTAAGAAAGCTTTGGATCTGTCGTCGGTAGACCGAGATGGAAGAAACGCGGATATGAGATACGTGAGCTCGTCGGGAAGCAATGGGTCTGTCGATGTCGAACTGGCCGTCTTCTTCAGCATGGTGTCCAGCGAGCCCACCGTATCATCATTCTGCGATGCCATGGGAATATCGGCCAAGAGAGTGCAAGAGCGATACAAGGAAACGAGGTGGATTGTGGCGAAGGCGTCAATTTGGCTTTATTCCTCTCCACATACTTCATGGCCGACGTCGGCGTCGTAATGAGTAATAATGAAGTCTCAAGCTCTTCAGTGACTCACCGGCTGCCGACCATCCAGTCAGGATACAATGTGCTTCTGAGACTGCCTAACGGTGATATTCGTGGTGTGAAGGTGGACAAAGACGCGTACGGTGACCTTTTTTTGCTACCGCCTCTTAAAACGACGTCTGACTCTTTACAGGACGATAACTGTCGGTCGCCTGGGATCGTTCTTCGCTAATGAGCTCATAGGAGTGCCATATGGATTCACCCATGAAATCGTGGATAAAAACCTCAAAATAATGCCTCCTCGCACTTTGCAGGAAGTCGGTAGGATGTCTTTCAAAAGACTTGGCCTTGGAAAATCTGACTAGGTTTAGAGGACACGGATGCCACCAATGAGCTAATCAACGATGGCGAATCTGTGCAGCCATTAACCATTGATGAAATCACCGCTTTGAAGCAGTCTGGCGTCCATTCATCTGTGAGCAACTACTTGACATTATGATCCCCAGAACTGATCAGGTCCCAGGATATCATTAACAAGCAAATTGAAGCGCATGCAAATTACTCACTTAAAACAGAGTATAGCAAAGAGAAGTACAAGAAACGCAAAGAGGCCAAGTCGGTGATTTTCGAATGCGTTCTTTCACACGTCTGATATCTTTCAGATACTCTAAAACGTTCACCACCATAGAACCTACACTATTTAATGTCTGTGATTACTGGTTTAACAAAGATCAGACCCGCATACGCGACATTCGCGCAGATACGCTATCGCAGATTCTTAACCTTGCCAACGTCAGGCCAGGAGGCCGGTATATCGCAGTCGATGATGCGTCCGGACTTGTCATATGTGGTATCTTGTCTCGCATGGGAGGTAAGATTCAATGTCTTCGTGTCCTTGCCTTTAACCGGGCTATATAGGCGAAGGACGTCTGATTACCATCTGCGATACGGATTCGCCTCCAGCATATCCAGTCATGGTTCAAATGAACTTTGACCCAAAATCCGTTAATGGTGTGCTTTCTTCTCTGAATTGGGCTACAGCGCAAGAGGACTACACTCCTGGTACGGGCCAAATGCACCAGTTGAGATGCCATTCATAATTTTCTTTTTTTTTAGTTCTCCCTCCATCAGATGTTCCTGCTGAGGACATGAAGTCGGAACGTCAGAAAGCTCGTCTAAAGAAACGGAAGCTTGTCACCGATGCCCTGGCCAGCACTCGCGAAGAATTATTTGCCGGGGAGTTTGATGGGTATGTCATGTGAATATTCCTCCAGACCGGTGCATTCTCCTACCCACCTTTCCCCTACAGACTGATCGTTGCAAGCGAGTATGATCCATGGCCCATTGTTCAGAAGTTGACACCCTATATCTCTGGGTCTGCATCAATTGTGGTACAAAGTCCTTACGGTCAAATTCTCGACGATCTGCAAAATAAAATGCGTGCGGTACCATCTTTTCTTTGTCCCACAGTGACAGAGGGATGGCTTCGGCGCTACCAGGTACACCAACTCCATCTGCTAAGGTGATCTGCACTGAAACCAATTGTCCAGGTACTACCGGGACGTACACATCCAACAATGATGACGTCTGGGACAGGCGGGTTTTTATTGCATGCCATTAAAGTGTAAGTGACACTTATCACTGAGGGTTGCTTTCTGACTTCATATTAAGATACGATGACCCTGAGGCTTCAGCCGTTGAAACGCACCGTTCCCATAGGAACAAGAAAGCTAAAATGGGACAGCCTCAAGTAGTCATCGAAAAAGAATCTACCCTACTGGACAGCGAAATGGCTGTTGAATGATTATTGCGAAGGCCGTACATTATCCTTGGGTATTGTTACCATTAGTCTCCATCCGGTTCATGATATATCGTTATAGGGCCGTTCCGAAGCGCTAGGTGGTTGTGGTATTATTTCGGGAAAGAGAGTAGCAATGATCTAAGCATCAAGTCAATATTGAAAGACCTCACATGAGAGACCTTACATGAGCAGTTGACTGACCTCGTCGACAACCGTGTAGGCTATATGCTGGTTTAATCTTCGATTTTGTAGGACTGCAAATATCCGGCGGGCACCGCGGCGAGCGTTCGACCGTCCCATGATGTTAGCAGCAAGATCTAAATCGAATTGTCAAAATCATGGCATTCGTATTGTCACCGGTGAACGCAGCCTACCAGGAAAAAGGGCAGACAGTTTGCGATTTGCCTCATCTCGAGTTCTCAGTTTTTCTTCTGATGTTCGCGGTATGCCCGGAGTTTTTAACTTGCCGCCAGGCCACAAGCCATCTCGAAAGGTATTGATGAAAGACATGAGACGAGCTTCCCCCAAAAGTGACTTAAACGTTTCCCGTATTTTTCTGAACATTACATTAGTGAGCTGGCTTCTGGTCAACAGGATGCTCACCTCTCAATGGTCCCCCCTAAGACCTGCTGGAGAATTATGACGATAGCTTGCCGACGAAGCCAGTTGTTCTGTTTGTTCAGCTCGAATATCGCAAGGATTAAATCACAGATAGGTGCTGTAAAGGTTGAAGTGCTGCTTTCGCCATCTAAAGGTTTGAGATCCGCCGACAGTCGTGAAAGCGTAGCTTCGGAAGAACTCTTTCCCGCGGCGTCCAACGCCTGAGCAACCAGCTCTTCGTCGTTAACTCCGGAACCAACAATACCAACAAATTCAGCCGCTTGACGGGTAAGACGCTGAATCATGACGTCAAGCATAGATGGTCCAAAAAACATATCGTCAATGCTCTCTGCGACGGAACGATAAACATTGCGAACGAGCGCAGTTCCAGAAAAGGCCTGAGGCTTCGAAGAGGGTTGAGTTTGGGATGCCACAAACGGTGAATCGCGAGATAAAAATGATTTCAGTTCATCGCTCTCACAAATGATAGATATAGCAACAACATTCTACAAAGGATGTGTAAATAATAACCTGATGATGCGACTTGCCTAGCTAACTTACCTGAAGGTACTTCTCCAAACTAGTTCGTCTAGCATCCATAAAGTGACCGCTCAAAGCAGGGACCAATTTTCCGGGGAAATCCAGATTCCTGATTAAGGCATACCTTTCTCGGAGCTTGTTGTGCATGTTCAAGAATTCGTTATAACGGCGCGCAACAACCCATCCGGAAGCGAAGGTCCCGTCAGGAGCAAGTTGTTGAACTTCTACAAGATAGCGCACTACCACCTTCCCGCCCTCCTCTCCAGTCGTAGAGCTCACGATCGAGACCTTCGTACGGTCAGAGAGAAGACGGTTTGCTGACTCCTGCTGCTCGTACTGAGACTTCTGGAACTGGAGCTCCCGAAGTTCCCGATTCATTGCAGACTTTGACTTCATAAGAAGTCTCAACTCTTGGGTGTCCCCGGTCAGCTCGGCCTTCTTGATAAGGTTGTCAAGCATAGTATCCTGCGCTTGAAGGCTGGTAATTTTGTCTCCCAGGCGAGAAATTTCGTAAGAAAGCTGAAGGTCCCCAGGGGCGGCAAGCTGAAACGATCGATGAACACCACGAGGGTCATCATGCTGGTCATCCTCGGCTTCATCTAGTTCGTCATAATCATCAAATACTGCCCTTCGCTTCTGCTTAGTTGACGAATGTATACTTCGATAACTTGATGCATCATCCTGATGTCCCACATTAGGAGATTTTTCTGAATCACCCTCAAGGGCGATGATGTCTGTGAGAGCGGCCTGAATGGCGTCCATCCTCTTTTCCTCCGCCTTTTGCTCCTGGTCGTCGGGACCATCAAACAGTGGTGCACGGTTATGTTCCGAGGAATCGATAATGGGAGACATTAAAACCTCAATGTTTGATGGTGGCGGGCGAAGAGGTGGTGGAGGACTAGGCCTACTGCGTGGAGAGCTCACCGAGCCTGAGTTTGCTGAACGTCGCATGAGATATCCAGGCGAGGACTCTGAACGCTGTAAGAAAGGGGGCACATGGCCTAAGCCAGTTCTGAATTGGGAGGGTAGCTGATTCGTCGAATTATTAACTGAAGTGTATTGATCTTGGGGAGATTCCTCGATCGGCACCTTTTTTATAGAAGGGTCGGCGTCCTCGATCACGCGGAACCATAACTCCGTTCGTTCGAAATCCTCGAAATCCTGCTCCATCTCCACTTCTACTTGTTTCTGAGCTGTCATTACACTGCGGCGCACTCTCTTTTGACTCGCAAGCGAAGGAGTAACTTCGTTTCGGGCGAAATCGCGAATTATGTCCGCATTCTTTTGAGAAATACAAGATAGGGCGGGGGGTGGCGTAGGACTGGAGAAATAGAGCTCGTAGATCATGGAAATATCTTCTTTCACAGTGACGCCAGTGGTGGGATCTTGTATTGCTTCATTGTCTTCATTTTCTGAGTCTGAATCAACGGATTCAAGAGGGTTCTTGAAACTCTCTACTGTCAACCAGAACTGAACCAAAAGAGATCGATGCCTTCGGTCCATAAATTCCATGAGATACGAAAGCGAACTTGGGTTTCGAAGAATATCTCGTAAAGTCAGTCCCGACTTGGAACCTGTCTCATGGTATGAAGACTTGTGCTAAAAAGCAGGTCAGCGAGCATCAGATGCATGGAATAGAACATACAGAATCTTCCTGTCCACCAAGGACTACGATACGTTCTTCGACTTTACGCTTGGCCGTATAAAGTCGGTCTAGGAAGGCAACAACGTCTTCTGTTTTCTCTCCATTGATCCAATCATCCTTTTCATGATTCGCTATCCAAAAATGAGCAAGATGTCTTGTAATTAGGAGTAAAGCTAACCAAGCAGCATCCTTGTCCGCCTGATCTCACCAACAACGTCATTTTTCAGCCTCCGTGCATCGAGCAAGGAAGAGAAACGACTGATACTGCGCAGGAATGATTCAAATTGATGTGGATCAGTACGAATGGTAATCAGCTCGTTGGGCGCAGAGCTTAAAGGAGCGGAAGAGTAGTGATGCTGCCGTCGCGGCGACTGTGCTTCCAAAACATTGCGCACTTTGGTGATCAGTTTTCTGGTCCACACGTGAGAGCCTGCGCCACGCAAAAGAAGTAAAGACCTACTGCTGATGAATTGCAGCACCCGCCTGTCTGAAGTATTGAGGCACCAGCTGCTATACAAGTCTTTCATGACTCACAATTTGGTCAATGGCCCGATTCCAAAAGTCGGGGTCCGACACCATCTCCATGACAGGATATAATACGGAACAAGCTGCGATCTCCCGAACAACGATTTTGAGCGCCTTGCTTCGAGCCTCAATTTCTGGAAGAATATGAGGAAGCACTCTATCGACTAAATGTCGAAGATGCATTTCTTCCGTCTGCTTAGTGAAGGTGGTTGATAGGTTGTCCACAGCATTGTGCAGTTTTCCTGAATCCATGCTAGCCGCGTATCTACTCGCAAGAAGAAGATCCAGTTGTTCCGACTGTGTCAAACGACGTTCTAGACCCGCACCGCGAAGAGCAATCTCGGACTGTCGAAATAATTCGATGTGGGTCGTGATTTCTGGGAGGACGCGCTTGACTACCAGAGCTGAAAAATCAATTCTCCTCGCTCTATCCAGCATCTTCTCCGCTGAATCATGTATCACCGTAGATACAGCCATAGGAAAAGCAGGCGAGGACGAAATCTCCTGGTACCATGCCATGACAAAGTCTTTGACAATCTTGATAATGATATCGTTCAGCGCTTCTGATACTAATGGAGACTCTGGGTACAGAGGTGGGAAAGATTGTGGTGTGTTCTGGGACCATTGCGAACGGGTTACGACTGCCTGCCATGCCGCCGGGGTTGAGAAAGCAAAAGGTCGCGCTGCATTGAAGAGTTTCGGATGGGCGATATGACTCTTCGTGTCAATATAATGCCCAAAATAGATGTGAAGCGCCAAGAAAGCGATGGCTAGGATGAAGAGGAAGAACGGGGACAATAGCAACAGAACGATAGGTGAGGACACTATGCGGAAGGCAATGGGTAGGACGACAGCAATAATTCCAAAAAAGACGACTGTCTGGACATTAGCGGAGCCAGTCATGTTCAGCAGAGCTCATTGTTCCCTACGGCGAGCAAGGCTTCGTTATCGTCGTTCGACTTGTCTAGCGTTTCGATTCCGAGCTCAAAGATTGACACAAAAGGCAAATATATCACGTGTTGGACTCACGCTTTTGTATGTAACCGGGAGCCGAATTCCGAAAATCCGAAATACGATGAAGGCCGCTGGATGTCGTCGCAGTTTTCTCCCTCCTCCATCATCATCGCGGACCGGACTGAGGCCAGCAGCCCTCTGTAGTGTCTCATGTCGTCGACAAATAATGGGCGTTTGTCTACGGCTGAAGGCTTTGTATGTGGAGGAATTGCTGCCTGCATCGCTGTATGTCTTATCTTCGACCATGGGATAACCTAACTCACGGAACGCGGCACGTCATAGGTGACAATTTCCAACCCTGCGGAAGTTGCCAAGACACGGCTTCAGCTTCAAGGCGAGTTGGCCAAGAGCGGGGAGAAAAAAGTCTACAACAGCGCCCTTGACGTGTTTTCGAAGACGTGGAAGAATGAGGGAGTCCGAGGCATGCAACGCGGGTTGGGTCCTGCAGTAAGTTTCCTCTATTTCGTTGTGATGGGCGCGCAATTAATTGTTGTACAGTACACCTACCAAGTAAGGGAATTCATTTTTTAAATCCACGCAGCTCTCTGAGTTGTTAGATACTGCTGAATGGAAGCCGTCTAGGTGAAAAGACAACTTGCTTGTATAATTGTAGATGAACTAAGCCGTTGGACAGGGTTTTACGAGCCGTTTCGACATGCCATCAACGACTTCATTGGTCGTGAGCCCACCGAGCAAATACCCTTTACATCTGTCATCGCAGGTGCAACAAGCGGCGCAGTTGGAGGTTAGTGTTCATAGACATATATGTGGCCTACTTCTGACCGTGTTTGTTTAGCGTCATTGGGCAACCCATTATTCTTGATCAAAGCTCGGATGCAGGTCCGTACAGGGCCAGCCGGGGTCTTCACTGCGTTGCTTACAGCTCCGTAGGCATATTCCCCGGCCCTTCCCGTTGGTGCGCAACACTACTACAAGAACTCTTTTGATGCCCTTTCAACAATATATCGACAAGAAAAGCTGCGAGGTCTGGTACGCGGTATAGACGCAGCAATTTTACGAACGTCCATGGGTTCTTCAGTCCGTTCATCCTTTTCTATGATGCCTGTTCCTAACGGAGTTGTAGGTGCAACTTCCTAGTTATAATTTTACCAAAAACCAACTGGTAAAGCACGGAATTCTTCCAGACAACAGTACCTGGACATTCCTTGCGAGCAGCACTGTTTCCGGGATGTGTGTTGTAGGCGATATTCCCATCTTATGGTTTTCATAACATTGACCTGGAATTGAAGTGTATGGCAATGCAGCCAGCTGACACAGTATGGCTTAGCGTCTCTTAACTGTTTGCTTTGCTCATATGTTTCGTCATTTACGTAGGCGCTAACCCGGATGTACAACCAGCCTACGAAACGTAATGAGGCCGGAAAAGTCGTAGGAATCCTATATCGCAATCCTATCGACTGTCTATGGAAGACTTTCAAGACTGAGGGTGTACGCGGATGGTACAAGGGAACAACGGCTCACTTTTTACGGATTGCGCCGCATACGTGAGTGACGTTTGGGAAAACAGAAGCAGACACTCATCGTTTTCAGTATCGTCACTCTGACGGCCAATGACCTGATCATAAATCTTTATAAGTCTATCAAGTACCATAATTCATAGATATTCAATCATTCCTAGTAGCTGCATTTCAGCATAATAGTGAGTCAGTTTGAGCGCAAATCTAGTACCACATTTGTTAGTAATCTTGCGCTCGTTCGCATAGGTCATCCAGCTTTTCGCTAATGGAACGTGTATATATCCCATAAAGCGTGTTAGTCAATTTACTTGACGCGTAGCACGCCAAATTCAGTTCTATCTCCATGTTTTTAGACGTTCAAAGATTGGGAAACTTCGTTTCCTTGGTTATCACTAAACGAATGTGGCTCGTTTATAGGGTATAAGGCTACAGCAATAATATTCTGGCGTCGCAAATGTTCGGAAAGAGAAAATTGTCGTAAAACGCAGGGCAAACGCCCAGAAAGAAACACGAAAGAAAGGAGGGTAGGTAACTCATGAGTAAACTATCTAAACTATCCACAGATAGAAGGGTATAAGAGGTCTGTAGGGTCTTGGGGGATCCAACCGTTTGCAAGACCGGCCTGGTAACTCCAATCATCCGCATTCTCGGCCTTCCTGTGTGATGAATTCAGCGCAGTTACTGCACAGAAGAAAACCAACCGACCATGTCCACTGAATCCATCCCTCTCCCTTCTCGTATGTAATGACCTGATCACGAGTGTTAGCACAACCTCAGCTTGAAAAGGTTGACGTATGTACTTGAGCTTCCCAGTACTGCCTCAAGAATGTCTTATAGGAAGAACTGAAGGAGGACGCAGAGCCTGATTTTCCGCTGCAGCTGCCCACAGGTGTTTCTCCAGAATAAGTTCCATCATAGCGCGCGCCGACGCCACGTCCTGTCAAGAAGCTCACTTTGACAGAAGAAACGGAGACAAGGAAAAACTTTCCATTCAGGTACGTCGCACAATCAGTGGGAGCTGGCGTCCATTCACCCACGATAATCCAGAGATCAAAGGATGACAGCGAACTGCCTTCTTGGCATGCAGCCGAAATATGCCCGTCGTAGCTCAATGCCACGTCCTAAGGATTGATCAGTACAGAGCTCTGCCGACCAATCAAAGGAACAAACCGCATCAGAGAACATCTGATAAATGTGTGTGTCCATAGCCACTCCATCGAAGCCAGAGGTCATGAAGCCGTTCCAATAGCTAAGGTCTTGGAAAGCATCATGGATCAGAACAACAGTGTTCGATTCTGTTGAAGAGCCATAAGGGTATCTGCGAAAGCCCGAATAAGTTTGGGACTCAGTGTATAGTCCAATACATCACACTTACCGAATGTTGCCGTAACTATCATACCAGTACTGATGAAGGAAGCGTGTAGATGAGGAGGAGGGCCATGAAGGGAAGCCAGGGGCACGTACCTGTCTTGTAACACTCAAGATTGTGTCACCATCATATCCGGCTGGTCTGGAATTTTCATCGAAATAGAACATTAACGGCATTGCATAAGACTCACTCGTTCAACGGTGCAATAATCGGTACTACGTTAGTTTGATCTGCAAACATTGAAGCCAGAGTCTTGATGATGGCATTTGTACGGTCGATGTTTGATTGGGTCGACTGCCATTCACTGACGGACAGCTCAGTTCGCTGAACGTACTCCATTTAAATGTAAAACTTACGGATACGACATCTTCTGCCCAGAGTTGTCGAAGCTGCGCAAACATTGTTTAAATTAGCGGATGTAGAGGGAACTCCATTAAAACACGCCAACCCGTTCTGGCTCCCAGGCGCTCCTAAAACATGACATGAGGTTGACGCGACGAATGAAGCCATTTCCGACACACCATGAAGATCAACAATGACCTTAAGGCCATAGGTTTGAGCCCAACTTATCGCCTTTTGCAGGTATGGAAGTTGTCCCTGTATGAACGGTTCGCCGCCGGAGACGTCGAATGCCCAGTAGCCGATAGGAATGCGAACGTGGTTCAAGCTAAATGTTGAGGATCAGTGACGACGGCAGGCGTACAAGGAACCGATCACGCACCCCGCAGCCGCAATTTGCTGAAAATCGGATTCAGTAATCCAAGTGTTCCAGTGATTGGTCAACACGGTGGTCGCGGTGGCCTTGTCCTGGTACTGCCCGAATGTGTATTCATCGATGATGGCAGAGTTACCTGCAATGAATCAAACAACGGAAGAAGAGTTGATGTGGTGTACTAATCACCTGTATTATCGAAAAGTGATGGGGTAATCCAAGGCTTAGAGATCGCCCGTTAACGGAACGCCATGAACGAGATGGTGCAAGATGTACGTACTTCAAGGACGAGCCATCCACCAAGGTTGACTCCACGTACTTTGTCTGAACCATAATTAAATCCAGGCGAAATGCCAGCGGATACAGATTCAAGGAAAGAAGCTCCGCAGACGGCGACAGTCACGGCGCGTAAAAGAGAGGGGGCCATGGTCGGTGGATTGAAAGGAAGGGGAGGAAGGCCTGAGAATACTTCGCCCAAGGCCTGGCAAGCCATCTTTTATATTCGGCGAACAAGCGCGAACTAAGCAAAAATATCGTGATCGATCGGGCTCGCTGCCAGCTGCCAACTTCGTTCGACCCACGTGTCCACTAGCCACCTGCGGCCAGGAAGAATTGCAGCAGCGACAACTGCGTGTCAATTATTGCCTTTCTCCATTGCAATGGGGGCTCTCCTGACCCTCTTCATGGCACAACAGAAGGCAGACAGAAGGTACAATCAGATCAATCCACACAAAAACCTCAAGGCTCGTCTGGGGTGTTTTCTTTTTTTGGCCATCGGCAGTTGTCACACTACCCAAATAATTTGGGCCAACGTTATACGTTCGAAACGTTTTTATGGGGTATATAGTGGATCCACTGCCGTTATAAAGCAGGGTCATGGAGTTGCCTCCCTCGTAAGGCCTTTGGCCCACATCAGCATCTCAACATAATTTAAAACCAACTCGCCACGGGCATCCATTTTGATTCGCTCTATATGTACTTGGTTGGTATCAAGTACCGCCTTTCGGGGCCACCGAATAGAATGCAAGCGTAATTGCGCAGCGGGAAGTGGAAGATATTATATTTACCAACGAGAACTCCTGGAAGTAATTAATATTGAAAAATAGGGCACTGCCGGTGGAAGAGCCTCGTGAATTGTGCGGACCCAATAGCAAAAGGAACAAGGAGAATGAGATGTTCTGGATAAAAGTAGGTCAGCGAACAGATGACGCATCAAAAAACAAACACGAATAAGTATTGTCTTTCATAAACCGAGGGACCATTTAGCGGCCAAAATAAAGCGCTACTAGCGTTGAATAAGTTGAACCTCATAAGAAACAGCCAGGGGAGCGAGGTTTTGAATTCAGGATCAACCTTCAAGCTGGAGCTTGAGGCATCGTGCTCCTGAAGGCGAATTCAACTATTTTCGAAATCAAGGACTGTGCTTCTTCTGATAATGCCAAAACTAGAACGACGTATCGCGCCTGGACCACATGCTTCCCGAAACTGAGCTATCCATAAATCCGGCTTGACGATTGACTTTTGCCAAAAAAGCCTACTCTAAAGTCGAAGTTGCGGCTTTGGGTGCGACGACCACATAAACTGTGACAAGCCCGATGACTGATTCTTTCTACGCTCACTGTATCAATCCACTAGAAGCCCGAAACCGCCGTGGCCACGAGACCTAAAGCTGGGCTTCCCGAGAATTACCTCCACATGCCCTAGTGCGCCCAGTAATGAAGTTGAAAGTACTAGGATAGGCCTTCCGAAAAAGTCGTGAGGATTCAGACAGAACGTCGGCGCACCTATGGCGATTTCCCTTTATCCAACCATATATATAACTTAAAGGAACGACTTCCTCTCGCTCCGGAGAGCTGGAGATTGATGGCGCTGACCTTGCTCAGCACGATCCAATGCACCATTCGTCAAGTGACTTGTAGCCTCCGAAGTAGCAGCGCAGAGTATCTGCAAAGGCTCACCGTTTCCGCTTGACCCATGGGATTCCTTTGGACGTCGCGTGAGGAATCTGAGATATTGCGGCACCGTTCAAACCCTTGTGACACCCACACCAAGTGGTCCCAACGACGAACTCGTCCCTTCATGAATCTGATCATCACATGCAGTTTCGAGACTCACCATATTGAGGAAGCACCCACATTTCACGCGGCAGGCTGAATGCTCTCCGTAATACGGGAGATCACCTGGCTTTTCTTCCGCCACCTAGAGATCTCCTAATTTCTCCAACATGGACACATATCGACATGCACCAGCAACAGTGCTGAAGAATGTTGTACAAGTGGATTTTTGATGGCCCAAAAGAACGTCCATGTTTTTCCTTGTGATTTGCAAAGCGGATATCCGATAAAGGAACGACGATGTCATCGTAATTTGAGGTTCGTAATGCTCTGGAATTTGTTAGCACATCGAGAATCGGAAATATGAATCTCCCGGGATCATCGATCATCTGGTATCTATGTCAGCCAGATATCTTGCTTCTCGGTGTTGCTGATCATCCATCTTAGTGAGTTTGTCAGATGCGTGAACGCTGGTTAGATCAGAACAAGAACACCAGGATACCACGAGACTTCCTGGACGAAAGGATCAGAAAGAACGAGGTGCGTGATTGAACTTTATAGTCCTTGCCGTTAAAGAAGCACAAAGACAGGAGGTCAGTGAATATTGTACTCCTGAGCGCAGGACGGGTGCTGTACGATCATCTGGTCAAACCCGTGAATTCTCCAAAGGACATCGCTGTAGCAGGGCATGAGTATGCTTAGTCCTGACAGAGAATAAGGACTGTACCCTGTGGTCACTCGTGGTTCGGACCGAACTTTGTATTCGAAGCGCTTCGTCGGCCGAGTAAGGCACCAGTATCGTACAAAGCAATTGACTCAAAAAGTCTCGTCCAAAGGTCTGATACACTCCTGCAGCAATGCTTTTATCACAAATCAAAGTCTTAAACCGGTTCTGTGGCTGGATTTCAGTCTGCCTGACCCACCGGCCCCCTAGAAGCTACCAGCTTGATGGTAGCTTGACCAAACTTTGAGAGAATGACAAGTTATTTATCCAGTCCAGTATTTCAATGATCCAAGAGAGCGAGGTCGCCGTCATGTAATGGCATAGAAACAAGGTTGAGTAATTTGAGGGTCGAGCGATCTACGGTACCCCAAGGGTGCAGCCGAAGTTAAGTAAAGTTTCCGAGTTTTGTGAGATTTCCAAAGCCTGCAATGCCTTGAATGGTTTACCATACAGGCTCGAGGCATCCTAACGGGATACAGTGAAGGACCGCAGATCGGCTACTTTGGACTCGGTTTGAGCGTTAGGGTCCAGGTAAGTACAAGGCAGCCAAGGTTGAAACGATGATTAACTCGGTTCACCTACGCGCGACTTGCATTGCCCCGTCCACTGATTTGTTTCTTTTTACCTAAAGGCTGTGTTCAAGCAGTGTATCATGGTGGGCGCTCGTTGGAACAGGTACAGCCACTGCGCACAGCCACTACCTGGAACAGGGCTACTTTTGTGAGCAACCACGCCATTTCCATCAGCTTTCCGCCTGTCCATTCCCTTCATCGATTCTTCTGTTAAATTATCTCTTTTCATTCGTCCACCATGTCTTTCGATAATATTCGCTCTCGTTATGAAGCCGCTGGCCAAGGTCACCTCCTCAATTTCTGGCCCAAGTTATCCAAGCAGGAGCAAGCGTCACTTCTCACTCAGCTCGAAAATCTCGACATCGAGCGCGTCAATAGAATCTACCAGAAAGCCGTCAGCAGCGAGGCAAATGCTGCCAACGCTACTGGCCAAGCCGATGCCATTGAACCACTGCCAAAGGGTGCATCAGACTCCGTTGGCGACGCAGCCAAGGACCTCGAGTGGGGGAGAATAGGTCTAGAGGCTGTTTCGCGTGGACAAGTAGGTGTCCTCCTCATGGCGGGTGGCCAGGGAACACGTTTGGGTAGCAGTGCACCGAAAGGATGCTACGATATCGGTCTTCCCTCACATAAGTCTCTTTTCCAATACCAAGCCGAACGTATTTCCAGGCTGCAGACCGTTGCGGAGACGGAATTCAAGAAGCCAGCTGGCAGCGTTGTAATTCCTTGGTATGTCATGACTAGCGGTCCTACACGTCGGGACACCGAAGCCTTCTTCACCCAACATTCACATTTTGGTCTCAAACCGGACAATGTCATCTTCTTCGAGCAGGGTATGTCTTCTGTAAAACCCTTTTTGTTCAAAAATAAACTCACCATATGCACAGGTACATTGCCGTGTCTCACCATGGAAGGCAAAGTCCTACTTGACAGTCCTTCTCACGTCGCTGTCGCTCCAGACGGTAACGGTGGTCTCTATGCAGCTACACGAGCCCCACTATCTTCGGCAGACAAATCACATACAGTCCTCTCAGATCTCTCCAAGCGCAAAGTACTCTACGTGCACGCGTACTGCGTCGACAACTGTCTCGTCAGGGTAGCCGATCCCGTCTTCCTCGGTTATAGTATCGCAAAGCAAGCTGATTGCGCCGCTAAAGTCGTTCCGAAAACCCAGCCCACCGAGTCTGTTGGTGTAGTGGCCTACCGCGGCAACAAGCCCGGTGTTGTCGAGTATTCTGAAATCTCGAAGGAGCAGGCGGAAAGAAGGGATGAGAACAGCGAGCTAGTTTTTCGAGCTGGGAACATCGCGAATCATTTCTACACCACCCAGTATCTAAATTCAGTGGAGACGTTTGAGGAGGAGCTGGCATTCCATATCGCACGCAAGAAGATTCCTCATGTCGACATGGAGACCGGCGAGCTCGTCAAGCCTACCAAGACAAATGGTATGAAACTGGAGATGTTTGTTTTCGACGTTTTCCCATACACGGAACGATTCACTGTGTTGGAGGTTGAGCGCAGAGAAGACTTTAGTCCGCTGAAGAACGCCCCAGGAACAGGTTCCGATGACCCCGAGACCAGTCGTCGTGACCTGCTTTCCCAGCATAGACGCTTCTTGGAGAAGGCAGGAGCTACAGTGCAGGATGGCGTGGAGATCGAGATTTCACCCTTGGTCAGTTACGCAGGGGAGGGTCTCGAGCCTGTTAAAGGAAAAACTTTCACGAGATCAGGCATTGTTGAAGGAGTTGAAGAGTTGGACGCGTTGGTGTAATATACCTCATTCTGTTATTTTGAACTTGGACAGGACCTTTGCATGGACTTTATACTTCGCATTTGCAGTCGTAATGTATCTTAGCAGTGTCAACTAGGCACATGTTCATCTGGCACCTTCTTCTGCGTCGTGGTGGGTACTGTTCGCGGTACTCTCTTCTCAAGCTCTTCCCGCAGGGAGGCGAATAGTCGCTGGGTTCGTTCAGCATTGGGCTTTTCGTTCCGGATCTGAATCAGTGTCACGACGCAGAGTGATATGTTTAGAAGACATGCTAACCTCTTTGCAGCACTGTATCAGCTTGTCAATGAGCATTGCCTGACCATTCTGTGCTTCCTCCAAATCCTTTCGGAGCTGATGCATCTGTGTACGGGTGAAGAAGAACTATAATCGAACCCAAGTGACAGTCAAAAGTCCACATAGATGAACTCATACCTCCTCGTCCAGTTTATCCCTGCGACCTTTTTCCCCTTCTGCCAGCTGCTTTTGTTCGGCGGCTCGTGCTCGTGAAAGAAGCACCTCCAGCTCTTTTGACCGTATGACACACTCGAAGTGTCGTTCCCGTAGCTCGTACTGTCGGAGTACCTCCTTTATTCGTTCTCGTACACTATTACATAGGAATAAATCATCTGTACAGCTGACGAAAAGAAGGAAACATACACTCCATCAAATATTTCTTCCAGCGTCCGTTTCGCTCTAAGAAGCGGATTAGAGTATGTTAGGTAGGGAGGTAGCTAGCTCACTCCTGCGGATCCTCTGTCCAGTTCTTCTTCAGTTTTTGCCGTTGTGGTTCCAGGAATTCGTCCTTGAAGGTGGCTCATTATATTTCGACGCGTGCCCAAATACAAGATACTCACCAAGTCCTCGGAAACGCCCTCGGTGAGGTCCATCAATTCCACAGCAAGAATTTCATCCCCATCCTCCATCCCTGCTTCCTCCGGTGTTTGGTCAGCCTCAGCAGTCCGTCCATTGTGCGTGAAAATGAACTGCATCGTCGAACCAGACGTCGATGAACCCGATGAGAATGTGCTAGCTGCATCCGTCTTCACAGATCCATTGATAGGCTCACCACCCTTCCCGTCCTTCTTCCCTCCATTTTTCTCCATACGGTCGGTCCACGCGTTGAATAGTTTCGTAAGTTTTGTTTTGCGAGATATTTTGAAGAACAGCTCGGCGCGGTACCGACATACCACTTTGACGACGATATCGGGCATTTCTCGATATTTGACGTCCTGTATTTTCGCTTTGTCGGCGCGTTTTGAAACGTCGTTCCGCATCTGGAGGAGCTAAGACAGACATTTAGCTTGAAAATAAAAGTGAAACACAATTCCACATACCTCATCCTGAGCGTCCTCCACAGACTGAGCCAGCCGCTTTCCATCTTCCTGCAGTCTGTTAGTATGGGCAGATGCCTCAGTACAGCACATCGCTTACCCGTAGTCGCTTATTATCCTAGATAATGAAATCAATACATGCAGGAAGATGGTAGAGGTATACGCCAGACCTTCTGCAGCTCTCTTGCTAAGTTTTCCATCTTAGTCTTGGTCTGGTTAGCCTTAGTTAGCTGGCTCTTCGCTATTCATGAAGGTGAAGCGGACATTGACATAAAGAGCCGAGAATGCACGAACCAGCATCCTTATCCTTAGTGAGCTTCTGTTTCTCCTTTGCATGATCGCGTTCCAGCCGTTTGAGTTCTGCAAACTGGAAACCACATAAGCGTGATGCAGCTACGAAGACATTTTCGCAGTACCAGCTCAATGTATTTCGCATGAATGACATTTTCCTCTAATCCCTTTACCGATTTCTGGGCCTCTTCGGCTTCGGAGAGAGGAAATTTTAACAGTACGCCATTGCGAGTGAGTTTCAACACGCACCAAATCTTCGTTCCTCTTCCTCTTCGAGCACTTCCTCCTCCTCCAAAGCAGCTATTCTGTTCTTCAGGCTCTCGTACATGGCAGCGGGATCCACGGGGGCGTCATTCTTCTTCTTCCCCTTGTTGTTTGACGGAGGTGGATGCTGGTGATGATGGTGATGGGTGCCGTTGACCGCCGGTGGATGGCTAGGAGGCGGTGGACCCGTACGGCCAGCATTGGATGGCGCTGGAGGTGCAGAGGCCGGCACTGGAGCTGGGGGGGCAGGACCGGCGGGCGGCGGTTTGGCCATTCTGGTCGACGCGTTTTGAGCGCTGGGTTGTGATGCACTGTTCATGATGATGCCTTGAAAAAATAATTTCAAGGATCTAAAGTGAACAGTGAAGGGTAGACAGAGAGGCAGAATGGGTCCAAAGTCTGTTCAAAAATCGCGTAGTCACTGGCAAGCGTTGGTCTGTTGTCGAGCCGGAATCGTGATTTATCCCTCTTTGTCCAAGGTCGTCGTTACAGCCCGTTTGTGAATTGTCCTTTCGACCACGGAAAACAAATATTCTTGGGTCGGTCGGCTGCGGAGAGTTTTACCGTCGTGATCCTTGACAAGAGTTTTCTCGTTTAGTCATGTACATAAACAAACTTTCGCCAAAATACCGATGTGTCCTATGCAGCAATGGCATGTTATTGCAGTACTATTACATGAAAAACAAATCTGGAGTACGATGGGTATACCGTGTTGTTTGACATCGACATAACTTGACCGAAAGCTATCATCATCTCAATGGTATGTTTCTCAGCCTCTTCATACCTGTGGCTCAATATCATTCATGCCAGTCATCATCTCCACCATGTCAGGCTCAAGGTCAAACAGAGTGCATTCCTCTGATCGTTGTACTCACCACGGAAACAGCATGCAAACTTCAAGCTTGCTTGAGTAAACATACCTACAAACCAGAAAACTGCCAATGTCATCTCCGTGAGCTTTACAAGTGTTGCCAGAAATTATATGAAGAAACAGAGGATAAGGGGGAGTCCACTGCATGTCCGATTCCTCGAGTCGTGAAGAAATGGATCAAGGATCATCCAGAGTAGGTTGGAATGCGTATTGAAAGCAGAAACCTGATACAATAGAGACACAATTGCAGCAGTATAGTCCCATAGCTCCCGCACTAAACAGTCGTGACTGTCCCCAGGCTCTTTAAATAAGCGATGCGAATAGGGTGGTTTTCAGTCTCCGGGCCACGGTTAAGAGCGGTCCATTTGGGAACATCCTGTCGGCCCCGTCAGAATCAGATGTTACAAGTAATCCCAAGCGGCATCTAGTACTTACTTTGAACAGTCGAACAGTTCTCACGTTGTCGCTGGTGTCTAGAGTGAAGCGGTGATATATCCCAGCAGGCAGAGCGATGAGGTCTCCTGCCGTCAGTGCCAAGCGAATCCAGGAATCCGTCGGTGCTTCTGCAAAATGCATAAAACACTTCAGAACAGAATCCAGAGTTTCGGAAACAGGCGCACCGCGTATGTCGAAGTAGCCGCTTCCGGCAAGAAGGTAGCGAAGTTCGTCGTCTTCATGCATATGTCTACGAAATATTATGAGATCTGTTACCACGCAGGGAAAGGATACCCACTCTTCGTAGAAGGCCTTAATCTTGGCATCGTATAGCTAGGACGAACTCGGTGAGATGACAGAATTACCCCGATAATGGGCAGAGCATACATCGCCCAAACCTTCTTTGGAGATGCTGATAATATCATGGTTCTTGTAATCCCCTTCCTCTGCAACAGTTGCGATCCTTTCTTCATAACCATCCACAGGGATGTTCATATACAGGAGATTCAAAGATTTCAGAGCGTCTAAAGACACTGGACGAGCGGAATCATGGGGAAGACGTTGGTCACCAGGGAGATTGTCAAAGTAATACGCGCGCATTGGGGTGGGGGGGGGGGCGAAAGCAACTGTAAGTTGGATGATAGTGTAAAGGCTATATACTACCCGTCGATCAGCAGATGACAGTCAGGCAGTGATAGCCATTGGCCCGGGCCGTCGAGAATGGGACGAACTCGTGATCGAACTTCGTCCAATAGCACAGCTTTGATCTGTAAATTCCAGATTGCCTGAGAGTCCGAGCACCATATTACGAGTCACCGTGTAAAGCCATACCTACCATATTCCAGAGCGTGGGTGCAGGGTCGGGACCTTTGGGATGATCTGTGGTGTTAGCTCAAGGCCATTGGGAGGTCCTGCCCGTGGCACGGAATTTGGACGGACACGAATGTAGAAAATCCTACGGTTGAAAATTCATGGCTAGCCTCACGAATAAAAATGCCACGTGACTGACGCGCTATTGTGGTTTGTTGTCTAACAAAAGGAGGTCACACTACACTATCGCACAGATTCACGCGTCTTTACGTGCCTTGCCAGTACAACAATTTCCCCTAGAGCAAGCCAGAATGCGCAGAAGTATGTGCTCATTGTGTTCTCTGTGAAATGTCCTGATGGGAAGTCCTAGGTCTCTCACCAAAGCCTTCTCCAAATCGCAAGCGACAGCGTTTATCGTCTCCTAATTTCGACGAGGAACTGAACCTCAGCCAAGATGAACTTGAGGCTCTTGACAGGCTGGAGACATGCTATTCTCAAAAGGCCCGAAATTCTGACGAGAACGAGACAAACAAGTCCGGGTCCATGCATGAGGTGAGTCTCCAATCATGCTCACTGCAACAACGTTTAACGGCCATGTACAGGGCGCGTCTCAAAATCCATTTGATTCAAACAAACCAGAGCCTTCTATCTCTGCAATCTTTCCAGCATCTGGATTTACATCTGCTGCAGCTATAGCTTCCACCTCTACGACGGACATGGATCTCTCCCCCACGTGTCAGCCCTCTTCGTCTAATTCTCCCATACAGGAACAAGATTTTTCTTCTTGGTTCGCTCCGGGACCTCCGATCAAGACAACTGCCTTTCAAACAGGAGGGCTTGTAGCTGCAACATCTTTGTTCAGTTCAGCAAAAGTACCCGGCTTTTCAACGGCGTCCAAAGGAATCATAGCACCTTCTTCAGCCGCACTTGAGAAGGCACGTCAGAAGATGAAAGAGTGGCAAAGAGAAGACACTGATGGGCTTTCCATCGAAGAATCCATACAACCGAGCGCAATGGAATTATTTCGCACTGCTTCATCTCTAACACCATTCACTCCACTTGCTCGTCCGGCATTGATAAACGTCCAAAATACGCCTGATACGCCTGGTACACCTAGTCCAGCTCCGTTCTCCCGACCACTTTCGAAAGGACCTACAAACGCAGCCGTAGCGAGCCTCAGAACGAAACAACAAGCATTCAAGTCGCCGCTTATGAAGCCATCCACTCTGAAGGAGTCCATCTCACCAATTGCAAACTCAAAAAATAACCCTCAAAGCAGTACACAAACTTCTCGTGCTCAGCATCCTCTCGCGTCGTCTCCACTTTCTACGAGCCTTAGTACGCCTAAACTCACACTACTGTCTACCAGATTTTCTACACCCAATTCTAAAGTAAGAATTACGCCTGCCAAATTTGTGACGCCTTTCAAACCTGGCATGAGACCTGGGGAACCCGGTCGCGAAAAATTATTGCAGCAGACGAAGGAGGCAGACAAAAAGCTTGTATTATCTCCATCACCAAACTTGAGACTCGATACCGTTCAGACAGAATCCCAGGCGTCTCTAGCTCAGAAGCCGAAAACACATCAGTTCTTCGATCTGAGTACGAATGCTATTTCTCAAATATGACTTAGCCTTATCTATTTCCATAGCAAAACCACCGAATCGAAAGACGCTCGCTTCTTCTGGTTTCGTGCCTCAGCGTTTTACTCCTGAAGAGCTCGTGTTTCCTGGAATGTACGTGGATATTTAGCTAACCTTCAGATGTTAACCTGTTCTATAGGTCATTATCTGAACTTGAACAGATTCATCCCCGCATAACGGCCTACTACTCCTTCTACAGGAAGGTGCCTTCAACACAATACGACGACCCGCCACCCTTCGAGACAGTTCATGCTGATGCTGTTATGGATCCAATGGCGACCTTCAAGTACCTCAAGGAAGCGGGATGCTCTCTGGTTTCAAAACCTTGGATTGATAACCACTGGGGCCTCATCCTCTGGAAGCTTGCTGGTATGACTTGCCTTGAACCAGAGAAGGAGTGGGATGAAAAGGAAAGACGATGGTGCTGGGAAGAAGTGTATCGGCAAATGTTGTATAGGTCAGCGTCCATCTACTGCAACGATTTTGGAATGGCGGATGCTTACCCGTTCTTTTTAGATACGAGCGCGAGATTAATCAAGGTATTCGACCATCATTGCGACTTATTGCAACTCAGGATGCGCCATCTACGTCTCCCATGGTTCTATGTGTCAGTGAGATCAAGTGGACAGAGAACATACTCTTGGAGAACGGCGAGATGTATCACGGCTGTCCAGAACTTGAGCTCACCGATGGGTGGTACAAGATTCGAGCGCAGGTCGATGCGCCGCTCACGAGAGCCATCCGGAAGGGAACTCTGGCAATCGGTAGGAAGATTGCAGTAGTGGGCGCCAAAGTAAGCTCCATTCCGCGTTCGGTGTCAATCTCTTTCTGACGTTCTGACATAGCTGGATTCAGAGCGGAAAGACCCTCAAGAAATACTTGAGGCTTACAACTCCATCAAGTTGATATTAGCGGGTAATTCGACGCATCTCGCTCCGTGGCACGCAAAACTTGGTTTCCAAAGAGAGTTGCCTGTTGCTACAATGCATAGTTTGACTCGTGATGGGGGCATAGTAGCTGCCATGGATTTGCTTATTGTCAAGGTGGTTATCGATACTTCTAGTGGCACCACTTTCCTGAAAATCGCCCCTAGGTTTATCCAATTGCATACTTTGAGTTTATCCACACCAATAAGGGACGAATAAATAACGGTCCACTAAACGAGAAGGAAGAATTGACGCTTCGCGACGAATGGCAGGTAGGTGCTACTGTGTTTTTGGTTTCTTTTTTCCCCCTCTAATGAACTAACTTCCGTGATGACAGCGAAGGAGAGAGTTCGAGGAATCGAAGCTCCGCGAAGAGTTCGACAAGAATACGCGGAGATATCGCGGTTACGCAGATAGGCTAGAGTGCAAAGCAGGCAATCACTTCCGACCCGGTGAAGACGGACCACCAGATTGCATCGACGACCTATACGACAAACTCGAGGAACCTGAGGAGGCTGGGAAGGTTATCTCGGCGATATCACTTACAGACGCGGGCTGGCTTGTCCAGCGCATCCAGAAACAGCTTGAAAAAGACCAGGAAAATCTTATGGACGACATCGAGAAAGAACTAGCGGTGAGTCATTTCGTCATCAGAGAACAATTTGCTAAAACCACGACGCCAGGACACTTGTCCTCCAAGGGATGTCCGTAGTTTCAGGGTCATTGTCGTGAAAGATGCACGAACGCAGCGGCGACCTGGAAACCGTGTGGCTCAGCTGACAGTGTGGGATGTCCTGAACGTATCCTTGGCGGAAGGCAGGCCCGCAGGCTCCTTCGAACCTGGCGAACACTGTCTTGTTACCCATTTGCAGCCTACCCAGGTTTCGGCTTGGATGGACTGTGCCCCGGGAGCCGAAATATACATGTGCACAACGCGCAATACTCGTTGGAGAAAGCTGCGAGGTTAAATTACACCTTTGATAAGCTGACGTTCTAACATTATTATTTGCTTCATGCTTCATTTTATTTTGCTGCGGGCGTGTGTACTAATACTGACGGAGGAATGACTGTTTAACTTTGCTTAACCGTGGCGACTGATGGGACCCTGAGAAGGATTTATATGTAGAATAAAGATACACTAATGTAGATGGTTATAGTTGTATCATACTGCCAATCCATACGTTCTAAAGGCTTTTTGGTAGTCGCCAACGTCATCTTGTCCCATGCAAACGATGGTTGGTTTTGCTCCAGAGTGAAGCCCGAATATCGTCGAAGCCACGCGACGAATTTCCTGCGGTGTTATGAGATCTATTTTCTTTACCATTTCCGATACCGGGATTTTTCGACCCTGAACCAGGACCTGAGGAAAAGATTTGACATGTCAGTCACAGAAAGACATAAATGAAGAGAGCATCATACCTGTCTGCCTAAGTCTTCTACCTGGATAGCCTGGCTCTCCAAAGACATCATCAAGCTGGACTTGAGTTGATTTTTCGCCCGGGACAACTCCTGCTCGGGGATCGGAGTGTAGAGGAGTAAACTCAATTGATGTATAAGGTGAGGGAGTATTTGAGTGGGAGTATTGCCTCCGCGCGCCTTGGAGTCAAAGGAAGCGAAGAGGCCGAACAATGAAGAGTCGCTGTAAATGTGATGGAAAGATGCACAATGGTCTACTTGAGGGAAGTGGTTCAGAATGCTAGTGTATAACCGCGAATACATGCCCTTTCCGGGACCGCCTGATGGAGAAAAGGTGGATCTTAGCAATTGTCAAGCATACCCAGTGTTAAGCCGTACCTGCAGAAAAGCTTCCGCCTCCACCGAGAAGTACTTGCATCGTGGCCACGGTATAGACATCGTCATGATGAATACCCACACCCTCATATGCGACATAAAGGTGGTCGAATTCGGATGCTTCATTGGGGATGAAATGGTGGCCGCCGGTGTAGTCCGAGCCCGGATTTAGTCGCCCAGGAGCATCGTTGTGGGTGGCAGGGAACAGGTAGGATGCAGCCCGCGTCAAAGTTTTTGTCACAGAAGGTGCAGAGGAAGATAACAAGTTTATCGGGGCCTGCTGCTGAGGGGTGTTTGGTCGGTATGTTAATGATGGGCCGGGGGCAGGCATGACTTTTAATGACGAGAAGTACTTGTCTGTGAGTTCAACGAGCTGCTCATGGGGCATGCCAGCGCCAGCGACAACCATACGCTCTGGCCGATACCAGCTGGCCATCGCCCGACGCAAGATCGGTCCGTCTATGGCATCTATACGATACTCAGGACACAGAAGCGACTTTCCGAGACCTTTGTGGTTGTATGCAACACCATGAATGATTTCGGGGAGTATCATTTCAGGTTTCGCTGAGAGTTCGCGGATTTCGTAACGAGCAGCATCTCTCTGTGCCTCTATTTCCTCAGGAAGGAATTCAGGATTCAGAATCGTGTCTGCAATGAGCTCCGTGGCCAGTGGTGTTCCCTGGTGGAAATGCGAAGACTGGTACATGATAGCCTCCCGGGATGACGAGCATAATATCTGGCCCCCGAGCGAATGCACAGCTGCCGACATCTCCTCGTCGGACCGCGACCACGAAGACTGCGACGGTCAGTGAGAAAAAAAAGCAAAAATGGAGCGAGACACACCTTGAAAGCCATCCTATCCAAGAAATGGGTGCTCCCCAGAATGTCGTCGGTCTCGTAGCGCGACCCAGCATCGACATAGAGGCCTACGGATGAAAAATAAGCAGGGGTGGTCTCGGTAGCTACACGAATTTTATTGGGCAAGGTGGTTATATGGACGGAAGGAGGAGCAGGGGCAGTGGTTGCGAGTGTCCGTATTTGGCTTCGATGAGCATTGCGAGCAAGGGAGTAGCAGGCTTTGCGCATGGATCACTGAAAGAGAGAAGATTGGATGACGTCAGCGATCGCCGACAAACTTTTTGTCGAGTTCCTCTTTAGGCTTATCGCCAATCCCAAATGTGACTTGTTGTTCTTCTACGCTGCGACATCACTGTATCCTGTATCCTGTATCCTGTATCCTTTCTTCTTGTCTTCTTTGAAGTATCTTTACATTCCATTTTTCCATCAAAAGCCAAAATAGCCCCACTTGATCTGTTTTCCAATTTGCCTAGCGATTACGGGCTAGCTCATTCGGCTTCCACATCATACTTTCTGTCGCTTGTCAATCAATCCATATGCTCGTCTCCTATAGTACCTTTGTCTCCGAACCAGTAACTTCCGGCTGCCGGTCTCCAAACACGAGCGCCCTTTGTCACAAGGCGAACGGAACGGGTCACAGTGGAGCATCTATCGCGACCCACTGCGGCACATATATACTGTAAAGGATCCTTCTGGATTCGTCTCTTTCGGCTGCAAAGGACACCCCCTTCATTCCTTTCTTATACCACCATCATGGCCTCCGTCAACAGCGTCGTAAACTTTGAGGGCTTCTATGGGCCTGCGACCGCTACCTTAGACTGGTGTGAGGTGCGGTCTCGGCTGTCCATCCCGCCACGGGTCGTACTGATCTCCCCCGCATGTAGGCCAATTACCAGTTCTCATTCTATGTAGCAGAACTGGTCAATACATTCTCTAACCTTTACTCTATCGGACTGGCTCTGTACGGTGTCCTCAATATCATACGCCAATCTCTTCCGCCTATGTATACCATTGGTTTTATTGTATGTCATTTCATTACGGATGTCAATTACCGTCTGATCCTTTGAGTAGGGTTTTGCTACCGTCGGCCTCGGTAGTTTCGCCTTCCATGCGACGTTATTGTTTCACTGGCAACTCGCCGACGAACTGCCAATGGTCTATGTCGCCTCGTTAGGCTGCTGGGTTTTATACGATCGCACGCCGGGCTTCACTTTCGCTGCCCCGCGCGCCCTGAATTCACTTCTTATAACCATCGTATTTGACGCGCTATTCACTTGGAGCTAGTACGTACATCAGTAAAATATTTTATACTTCGGCTGCTCCGGTTTCACCATCATTTTCCAGCATCATCAATCGGAATCCAGTCTACCATCAAGTGGTGTTCGGGACTATCGCATTAGCCATCGGCGCTCGAATCGCATACCTTCTGAATTGGTCTGAAGAAAGGTTCCGCATTCCAGATGACAAGAAGGCAGAAATTGGCGGCGTCTTTGGTACTGGAGCAGGACTATTCGTTTTTGGATTTTTTATCTGGAACCTTGACAACATATTCTGCGATCCTCTGACAGCCTGGAAAACGGCAGTTGGCTGGCCGTTGGCATTCCTGTTTGAGGGTGAGCAAGCTTCTCACCAGCTATTCGTGTTGTTAACATGGTTCGGTAGGACACGCGTGGTGGCACGTCTTCACTGTAAGATAATATCTCGTTCTCGCCCGGTTCGTGTCATTCATGTGGCGTACCAGGGAACAGGCACTTACTTTATGGTGGTAGGCGTTACATGTAAGCAGAGGTTCTATCTGAGCCGAATCCGCTGCTGACTCTTCTGTAGATATGTGAGCATTCCGTACAAATCTCTGTGCCTTGTCTCACCGTGGCATTGCAGTTCGCTTTGCATGAAGGACGATCACCGGAGTTATACGATACAACATCCTTACGGATTTCCCATGGTAAAATATGCCTATCACAAAGCACCGTAATCTTTGCGAGATCTCGGGTCCGAAGATGGTTTCTCATAATTGTTGTAGATGTCAGGGCCAAGGGGACAATTATTTATTGATATTACTTTTACTGATGAGCGGGGGTGTTTATAGGATCGGGGCACTATTACAAGTGTGGGTTAAAACACACGACGGATAATAGATTTACCTACTTACCTGGCTTATTCTGGGACCGATTCGCTGACTTTCCATCTGATAAAACCAGCGACATCCACTGATTGCAGTTTATTTTCTTCTCGCCAGTTTGCAAGGTAGTCTTTGACCAATGTACCTTGGCCCGCCATGAAACTCTGCTCGTACAAGCTCGTTTCATCGCTACCCATGATAGACACGGGATTGAATCCGACAACTTGCTGGGCAAGGGCATGCGACAACTGTCCCGCCGTATCAGACAAGGGCGAGTCCTCTACTCTAGGCTCGAGGAGCTTTCCAATGGATTGAGTGCGCATGTCCAACAAGGATAGTCCAATAATCTGGCCTTGAAAGGGGGAATTGGAGTTGTGGGTATACCAACCGAGTCGGACGGCGCGGTCCGACTGAGGAGCCCATGACATCGCCATGGCGCGTCGTATAGATATATTCTCGCCAATGGTCGCAATTATATTCTGAATAGCTGATTTAACTGTCAAGGGCCCATCCCCGTACTGAGCCTGTAAAAGCTCGGACACGTCAAGAGGTTCGAAGGATGGGTCTTCAGAATGGGACAAGGAAGGTATCTGGGCAACGACATACGAAAGAGCTGTTGCAAGCTGGGAGAACTGGTCAGTTCTGGCGACAAAGTCAGACTCGCAGTTGATTTCGACCAGCCCTACTCTAATACGTCCGTCGCGTTCTTTCTGGTGATGCTTGGGATCAAATTCGTGTCCGTATCCTCCATCTACCACGGTGAGGCTGACAACACCTTGATTCGCCGCTCTTCCCTCAACTTTGGCTGCTTTGGCTGCACCCGACGCCAGTAGCTCCGCTTCCAGCCATTTCCTCGCGCTCTCCAAGTTTCCATTAGATTCCTGCAGTGCCAGTCGCGCTTTTGTGAGGGGTGCATCGGTGAGTTTTCGCAGCTCAGCAATCAGCTGTATATTTGTTTTCTTTCCCAGCCCTGGAGTAGAGTAGAGGCGCCGGAAGCAAGGCGTGAAGGCAGATCGCGCTGCTCTGTGGTAGCAAAAAAAGGACATGGCGTGATGGTGTCACACATGTGACTTTGGTCTTTTCAAATTAAAACTTCCGAGTCTCTCCTCTTCCTTCGTCTCATGGACATCTTCAAAACGCCAGGTTTTACGTCTCAAGATCTTTTGCTCATCCAGAGCTTGCTCGGAGCTCCCTCTGGCTCTTCTAGCAATCCACCTCTGCCCGTTCAGTCGGCACCAATCAAAGACTCCGACGAGGACATCTCCAGTTCGAGCAGCGAACACGCGAGTGAAGATGAGATTGAGGATGTTCTTATTATCAAAGAAGAGGATGAAGAAATGAGTACGAAGAATAGCAGCGAAAATGACGCGTTGGTGAAACAAGACAAAGCTGCATCACCGTATGTCTCTTCATGTCGATTCGGCCTATTTTCATATAGATGCCAGTATAGATGCCAAAGACTCAGAATCTGATGACTCCAGCTCTTCTGAAGAGGGCGAAGAGCAGGTGCAGCTTTGGAATGAAAATGACGATGATGAAGAACCAGGGTTGTCCACCAAATCTCAATCCTACTTCACCAGTCAACACGAGGTCGTTGATACCGATATTTCGGTTCCCGAAATTGCAGAGGTTGGCGCTGAGGAAGCCATTGAAATACTTGGCGAGATAGTGAACATTATGGACCAAGCGGTTATCATCGAAGGCCTCCCTTCCAGCTATACCAATCATGTTCTCGACTCTGAAACCTTGCTGGTTTTTGATGATCGCAAGGTATTAGGCTATGTATGTGCTTCGTTTGCATGCTATCACAATCGTATTCTGATCCTTGACAGATTTACGAAACTTTTGGCCCCACAGCCCAGCCTCTGTATCAGGTTAAATTCAATTCTGCATTCCCTTTGGACACCGACAAGATCAAGTTGGCGCGTCAAGTGTTCCACGTCCCGGGGAGAAGTCGTTTTGTCGCCATAGATTCGATTCTTATAAAAGGAAGCGACGCCAGCAATGTATATGACGAAGAACCCACGGTCTATGAACTGGAATTTTCAGACGACGAAGCAGAGGTTGCACATAAACGAAAACTGAAATATGGGCAAGTGACTACTTTGTTGCTCATTTGATTTAGAGACCTTATCACCATGCTTTGCAGACGGCGAAGCCGGGTGGATTCCGTTGCCTCCACTTCATTCGCCAGCCCAATGCGTATGCGGGACCAAGATATGATGACTGACGCGTTTGGTAGCAATAGCGCCTATGATGACCACAGCCCATATGATCCAGACTATTCTGCCTCCACCGCGACACGGCCACCACCAATGCCATACGATGAAGATCCCTACGCTGATGTTTCCCTCGTGCCCTCCTCTCAGGGTGGCGGTTCCAATCTACTAAGTAATATCCTGTCAGGACCGGCCCCTAGTACCGGGAAGGGACTCAGACCACCCCATCGAGATCGTCGTGGCCGTGGACAAGCAAGAGGTCGGCGGCAACAGCATGAGGCTATCTCGCAAGTTCATGCCCATGATGCTACTAATTCTGCATTCCAATACAGTGCCGCTGAATACAACGCGTATCAGCAGGCCGCGATGGTTCAGCCCCATATCAACCCACGTTTTGCAGCTGCGTTCGGAATGGCTGGTATGGCATATCCACATTGGCAGAATCCGTATACAACTCCAGAACAATACTGGAGCCAAGGATGGGGGGCTGGAGGAGGATATGGGCCGGGGTCGTCGTAGCGAGGGATTAATTAATTGTATGCCTTGTATCACTCTTTGCAACAATTTGTTGATCCTAGCTGTATGACCCTGAGGACTTGTCGAATGCGCACGTATCTCTTCCATGTGGAGAAACTTGATCATGCATGTGGTGCCTGTTCATGTAGCTCACAGGTGAAGCAGGCTCCGAGCAAGACAAGAATGCAGAGAATGGTTTTCGATAAGTTCCCCGCGCGTGACGGAATTCATAATATAAAGGGCTGAGCGTTGGGCGCGTTGGTGTTTCTATATGTAGATTTTAAATGGTTATCATGCTGTGGTTGAGCTAGCGCCTTCACAGTGGGTGGTGCCGTCCTAGCCTGGGGAATCAGTGAGTGAAGAAGCCAGATCTCTGATTGATTGAGACATCCAGCGTCAAGTCGCGCGTTCTCTCATTTCCGCCGGCCGTGCAGTAGGTGTTCAAAGCTATCCAGACGATTTCTCAGAAATCTGGTCCTACACGGCGATGTCTTTCGACGATACTTCCACCTCGCCAAGGCAGACCGAAGTCAGCAAAGATGACGAGGACCAAACTCCTCTTGAGCACAGAATCCCATTTGCGTGGTGGACGACTGGTCTCTTTTTGAGCGCTGTGATGTCTTGCGCGATTCTAGTCAAACTTTTTCACATGAACGTGAGAGAGGCGATCTTGGCACTTATTCTCGGATTCCTCTTTTCATTCATTGGTGTCCAATCTTCTGGGGCCACTGATATCAACCCGGCATCAACTGTACGTAGGTTTGTATATGCCTAGGTCTGAACATTTCAGCTTCACCTTAACTTACTTTCCATTTGTCAGGCATCCCAACTCATCTTCGGTGGTGTCGGAAAGGGTTCTGGCTTGGAGCTGAAACCTGCAGAGATGCTCAACCTCGCGGCTGGCGTCGTCTCCGCAGGTTCTGCGGCTCAAGCCTCCGACATGACTGGTGATCTGAAGACCGGTTACCTTCTTGGTGCAAAGCCTCGAAACCATTTCATTGCTCAGTTGTGTGGATCCGTTGTAGCCGTATTTTTGACATCCGGTTTGTTCATCCTCTTTACCAAAGCTACACCTTGTATCCTTTATGGACCTGAAGAAAACGGCAGTAAGTAATTTGGTGTTCCATGTCTTCAACACTTATACAAGGTAACTGTACGTATGGCGCACCGTCTGTCTCTGCTTGGGCTATGGTTGTACTTGCGCATTCGAATTCTGCGGCTAGACTTGCGGTGGTCATGGGAATATTACGGTAATATTTCCCTCTCCGAGTTCTCGGGTTGTAACACTATCACTTCTGCACATAATACTAATATTGTATTCGTCTCATACATCGCTTGCCTCCGGGGTTAGCCTGCTCTTTTTGGGATGATCACGGTGTTTTGACCCATATCAATAACACTCAAATCATGTGGACCATCCTGCTTTACAGGTGCACATGAAGATAACGCACGTTGTTTGTCGTGAATGACCCTAGCGACCTTATGGGCGGACGCTTCCAACTGTCTTCTATATAGACCATGTGCGTGATGCATACATAAAACCTCGTTGAAAAGGACAGCTCGTCTCCAGTTGCTCATCGGTACAGAGCCAGCCATGCAACATTTCATTGCATTTTCTTCTGGCCTTTTCGCACTTTCGGCTGCCAAATCCTTGTTGAGTACTGGTTATAACACAACTCTCCTGGACAGAGCATCTTCTCTCGACTCTGGATGTGGAACTTCTGGCGCCGAGTCCTGCGTATCGTCTTCCTCAGGTCAAGACCTCTGTTGCTTTGAATACCCAGGGGTAAGAAACCCTCTTCTTTTCAAAAAGAACCACCTTCCTGAGGCTCTTGTAGGGTCTCTTGGTTCAACCTCAGGTATGACCTCTGATTCTTTCAGGACCCCACCTCCGGAGCACTCAATTCTTGTCATGGAGTTTTGGGACTATGATCCATCAACCGGCCCAAGTAATAGCTGGACCATTCACGGTCAGCATACGAGCCTCGATGTTTTCGTCTCGAATGTTTATTTTTTTCTGGGCTTCAGGACTTTGGCCGGATCAGTGTGTATCGAAGCACATGCAGCAAACGGCCGTATTAATAACATCCAATAGTTGCGACTCTACCTATGACGAAAACTGCGATCCATCACGAGCGTATACGGATATTGCTTCAGTATTTTCCTCTGACTTCGTCGCGTGGGCGAAAGCTAATGCCCGCGTTAGTTGTTGACCGACAATGATGCTGGCGATACGCTCTCGTACATGCAAACTGTACGTCATTTGTGAAGTCTGGGATGGTCATACTAAAATCTGAACACCATAGTATTGGGTTGATATTGATGGTGATAACGAAGAATTCTGGGAGGTAAGGATAACATTTTATGCCTCGTTCCGTTCCGTTCATTTACACAATCTCAAAGCATGAATGGAGCACGCACGGAACATGCTTTAGGTAAATGTTATGTCTCTGGGCATCTGGATATTTCTGATGGAGCAATCGTAGTACTCTAGAGCTCGACTGTTTCTCAGGCATCATCAGGGGACAAGAGGTACAACTGGGAAATTTAATGAATTTCATGATCTTTGATTTACTCATCCATTCCCTCAAGGCTGTTGCTTACTTTCAATCGGTCGTGGCATTGTTTAAAGTATGTCTTATCACAGAACCGTGCACCCTTACTGATTGTTATTGCGGACAGTCGCTCCCTACATACGAATGGCTCGCTAACAAAGGAATTACACCGTCAAGTAGTACCTCATATTCACTTTCCAAAGTGATAGCGGCTCTGGAAGAGGGGTCTGGCGTGAGCAGGAAAAATCCCTGAATGAAAGATCTTTGTTTACTACAGATGTTTTGGTAGGGCTACACACCCGCCTTGGACTGCGACGGGAGCAACTTGAACCAGATCTACTGGTACTTCCATTTGAAAGGTTCTGTTGTTGACGGTGCATTCGTTCCTATCTGTACGTGGAGCAACATGATCTCCTTGCCGTGCGCTGACGACGGGATTTAGCTGCGCCGGAAGCAGGGTCTTGTGGCTCTACGGTCAAGTACCCCCCCAAGTCAAGCTCGAGCACGCCAACGTCTACTGTACGTGACCATTAAGAACGGTGGATATCTACTGACCATGCGCTTAGACCACCTCAGTACGTAAAATACAGTAAAACTCACATATCATCTTGCTGTGGACGTTGAACCATGTACATAGTCCTCCCCTAGTGGCGTATGTTAGCCCATTGTGTTCCGGCTGCGCTTATTCAAAATTCTTTGATCAGACGTCGGGAAGAACGCTTCCCGCCAAGGTGACCGTCATGGCCTTGCAATCGGGATCAGAGGACGGTGGATTGCTCTCCTTAGGAACATGGTCCACTCAGACTTTGGCGACGTTCACAACGACTGGAGATGCTGATAGCTTCACTATGACTTCGTCGAAAGGCAACTGCGGCGTTTGCAGCGGCGCACTCACATGTGGCAGCGGGGTGTCTTTATCGACCTTCTCGACGGTAAGTGATCATGAATTGATGTTGTCGGCAATAGTAGATATATAACAAATTCAGATCCTCTCGAATGGCGATCTCCTCTTGTCATATAACGGTGAGACCGACTTCAGCAGTGACGGGTCTCCAGGTGGAACGACAGTGGTAAAGTGATGGATGACTCTGGTGCCCGAATATGAGCTGATACGCCTGCAGTATACAGTCTATGTTGGTTCGAGCCACGACGAAATTTACAGTCTGTCAATACATGAGAAGTGAATCATAGTTGCTGGATGTTGTGTAGGCCCCTGTAGCAGTTACTGTAGGAAGCTGTACATCAGTGGATCAATCGTAACGCTCACTCATCATGCCACCGCCCTCGGACCATCCGTCTCTACATCTCATTGTCCTCCCAAATGATTTTTTTGTCGTGCAGCTCAAACATAACGAAATAGATGCAGACGTTCTGACCAACTTGACCAGTCAGCCGGAGAGATTCTTCTCGTTGACTCGGACAGCTGAAGAAGTGTCCGTTGTTGGAGAAATAAATAAGGACCTCCCTCAGAAGTATCACGAAAATTCTGGATGGCGTTGTGTCCGAATTGCAGGTCCTATGGAATTCAGTGAGCCGACTCGTTGAGCCATGGGTGCCAGGCTCATCTTCGCCCTCCAAGATTTAACAGGTGTATTGGCCAGTTTTACGCTGCCTCTGCAGGAGGCCCAGGTCCCAGTGTTTGCCGTGTCCACTTGGTATGTCCATTTTCGCTATCGCCTGAAAATGATACCGACTGCGTTGACAACGAGGAATACCGACTACGTGCTTGTGCCCAAGGATAAGCTGGCGATTGCAGTGGGGGCATTGAAAGAAGATAGCTGGAAGTTCATTTCGTAGGAGGCAGTAATGATAGATTAGACAAAAGCTTGCCAGGGTTCATCATCGTAGATATTAGAAAATGATGCAGCTCCATTTTGGGTGGAAAGGCGCGACAGAATTCTGGCGCCTGCCCTCTGCCTCTACCACCACCGCTGCCTCTGCTGCCTCAATACCATACTCATCATTTATTCTTTGCTCTTATCGACGTAGAATACTACTTTGAAGCGCATCAGTGCTGCTTGAACCGCTGTCTTAGACAGCGTCCAGCGCCAATGAACTCGACCCCTTCAACGTCTGTAGCACCGTCGGGCAGGCAGACCCGTCAGAAACGCGTCAATCCCTCGCGTTCTGGAAAGGGTGGCCCTGGTATAGGGAACTGCGAAGCCGACACTCTTATATTGGACACCCAGAAACGACAGCGTACGTATTTTTCTTCAAGTTTACTGTAGATTTCAAGCCTTACTGGTGTATATGTCTAGTCGAGAATGAACCGTTGATTCCTGCCAATACTCTATTTTTCATGACGACTAATCTGGAGCTGCTTCCTGAGAGCTCTTCCTCATCTGACGGGCAGGTTATGTTCAACACCCATGCCAATGAACGCTATTTTGACCGTCCAGAGGTCATGCAAAGCTACAGATTGCAGCAATCCATCGAAACTCCTGATTTTACCGAATTGTCCCAGACCCATGTCGGGGGACGGTTTAGGCCTAGGGGCTCCGACGACGTTCGTGGATTTTATTTCTTACAATTGCCGTTCAATACTGATACTCTGAATAATTATATGCTTTTCCCCTTCTATGTGCCCATATCATATCACAGACCACACATGACACTTCAGATGCTTATTACGAAAAGCGGCATCGCAAGTACGAGACCATGGAAAAACGCCAACGTCTTCGAGAGAAGGAGCAGCTCAAGTACGAGCAGTACAAACTCAAAGAGAGGATTGAGCAACTTCGTGGGATGGATGCTATGGGTTTTCTCACTCTTCCAGCTGAGACATTCACTCCAAAGCCGCTGGAGGAAGAAAACGCTGAACTTCCCTCCATTTCCGCCAGTGGATTTCATATAAACAACCCTTCACTCTATAAAGAGGGTGAGAGGCGTCGGAAGGAGATGCTTGATACCGCCACAACATTAGAGGAGAGGTATCGCGTATTGTTACCCCCAGACAAGAAGAATCATCCCAAGAAGCATAACAAAGAGAGCCAGAAAAAAGTACCTCGCCAAGGCATCGAGATAAGAGTGTCGGAAGAGGTTCAGTCCGAGTGGGAGGAGAACGAGGTAGAAGAAGGGGAGAATCAGCGCGAGGCTGAAGAGGCCGATATGCCTTTGCAGGAAGAAGTCCTGCATAATGAGAAACCTGTGCCTCTCACAATCAAAGTACCTCCCAGGGTTTCTTCCACCGTGCCAACACCGGCGCCAACACCCCCGGCCATATCTGTGCCATTTACGAAGACGGCAATGGAAGCGAAGTCTGTGTTTCCAACAAACCCGCCGCCGCCAACTAATGCTGTCGTGCCGGTCAAGGCCGCTCCGCCACTGCCCAAGAAACGAAGAAAAGCGGATCCTACTCCATCAATTCTCATAGAAAGCCCTCCTCCTTTCCGTCCGACATGGTCTGGAACTCGCCTTTCACCCTTCCTCTCATGTCCGCCCTCTCCAGCAGTCATTCTATCTTCAGGACCTACCGCCGGGTCGAGTTCCCTTAGCCCTGTTTCCGTTATTGGGCCTGATGAGACCCCCGGTTCCCCAGTCAGCCCCCTCTTTGATGAGTTGACAAGCGCCACACCCACTCTGTCTAATCCCGAAATTGCGACTCTTGACATAAGTATCAAGTCTGTGTCGTCCTCTACCTCAGAGATAGATTATCTCGTTGAAAAACCCGCGGAAGAACCAGATTTTCATGTTACCACAGACACAGGAAGGTCTCCTCGTAAGCGGGGCCGATACTCCTACACCTACTCTGCCACGCAACTGGTCAAGGAGTCAGTCTCTGCGCCGCTTCCACGCTCTGCGGCGCGCGTAACCGAAGTGACTGCTTCTGCATCCCCTGCTGCTTCTCCCATATCCGCGCCGAAAGCCAAAGCGCCTGGTGTCTTGCTGTCTGCCGCTCTTAAGAGAAACCAAAACAACCCGCGCGGCTCCATCATCAGACATTACGTGGCCTGGGGGGTCAAGCTTGGGCCTGAGCGTAAAGGTGAGGAGAAAGAGTATGAGATACCAAGGGAGATACGCGAGGAGTCTCTGGTTGCGGCAGTCATGGCAAAGATTGAGGCGCAATGCCCCGATGTCGATGAAGGTCCACCTGAAACTGTTGAGGGTTCCAACCGGCGCAGAACTCGTGTGTAGCGCAGAGCTTGAGTTATTTGATTCCAGAGAAACCAGGGGACTTCTTGCTTCCATCGCTTGCTCCGCGACCGTCTTTTTCGTATCGACGACACCGGCCTTACTTATTATCGATAACTTGTAACTAAATTTATTTAAGTCGAGTAATTTATTCGTCATATTTCTACTGTCGAGGACCGTTTACTGGTCTATTATAGCGACTTCACGACTTCCAATAACTCCTTTTGACCATCCAAGCGAATTGTGTTTTGGCGCCCCGAGACCATCTGCGCATGCGTAACCGTAGGAAGCTGCGTGACTGGTGTAGCCCACACTTTGTCATCTGGCAATCTATATTTGTAGTTGCTCTTGAGACGGTGATGGGATCGTCCAAACAAGCTTCCTAGTTGAACCTGAGGACGAGCTACACTCTTCGTCTCATCCTCCATACCTGGTCCCTTTCTTTCTCCGATGAGCACCTCTGCTTGTGGTAGAGCGAAGTCGACTGCAGGACCGCGAAGTTGAGGGAGATACGAAAAGGATACGTTTGCTTCTCGGTCAGGAATAGCTTTCTCTTCAGATTCCAGCACTCTTTTGACGTGAGTATCTATCTCAGCATCCCCTGATAATACGATCTCAAGACCATTATTTTGCCTTCTCCCGGGGTCAGTGCGGGGTCGTCGAGGCTTGTTATTTCTCTGGGGCCGCGAATTCCTGGATGGCGCATTTCCCCTTTGTGCCCTTACTGGGCGAGCATTGGTCTTGGAGAGCTGTTTCTCATCTTTCTCCTGGCCACTTCCGTCTTTCTTCTGCTGACGCGGCTCCTTGTTACGACGATACTGTGATGTCTGCTGCTGCTCAAACAAGGCATCGAAGTTGACACCGGCGACATATTTTTTGTGTGTATTGACACGAGCAGTCTCTTGAGGAGTTGGTATGTGGACAGCTGTGGTGGACGTGCCAGCCAAAGTATCCAGATCCACACTCTTGTAGTGATCTTTGAACCGCTCCCCCGGCAGAGAAGTAGGGGCAGATGGAGTCTCGCTTGGAGAAGAGGATGCAGAAGAGGCCAAAGAGGCAGGGGGAGGAGTGACGGCGTCATTGGAAGGAACATCAACGGTTGCAGGAGGAGCAGCTGGCTTTTGTGCATGGATTTTCATAAGACGACCAGATAACGGTCCCGAGTACATCTGTATCTCTGTACTAGATGCTAAAAAAACAACGCATATATGTCAATGTATCGTACCAATATACCGCAGATATACGCACGAATTTTGATACCGTCAAGGTCTTCAACTATTCTCTTTTGCCTACCTCCGCCTATTCTGTCTAGAAGCCTAGTGCTCAAATCAGGGACAGCGTTAGGAGCAGCCTCGGTTGAGGTGAGGCGTATACATTGCGTCTTGAGGCAGCGCAGAGCAGGACCAGCACTGGGTCGCCATCCGAGCATGGTGTGACGGTGAAGGCGCAAAAAGGGAAGGATGGTATTTGGTTCTATTGCCTTCAGCCTTTTTGAGTTACTCTGCTTTGCATGCATCCTTTACTTGGTCGCCTGGTCGTCACTCTTACCCTTTGCCTTATCTGCTTCATTGCCTATTCTTCCCAGATATTTGTGCTTTGGCCATGGTACGGTCGTGCCCTTTCTGTCGACCTCATCTGTCTCTTGTTTCCGTTCAAGTGAGCCACTGATCGTCACCGTTCCCCCATTGTTAACTTTTCGCAGTCTTCTCGTTGGAATGCTTTTATGGAATTACTTTCTTTGCGTGTTCACTGACCCTGGCGGTGTACCGGAGGGCTGGGTTCGTATTTCAGCCTTCCCCTTGCTGTCTTCCTGACCGATGGATAGAAACCCGATACTCACGAGGACGGCTACGAAGTCAAGAAACTGACGGGGGGACCACGGTATTGCAGAATGTGCGAAAAGTACAAACCCCCTCGAACACATCATTGTCGCCAGTGCAATAGGTATGCCCTCTTTCCTGACCGATGTTGGGCAAATCTAATCTCTTCAAGGTGCATACTGCGCATGGGTACAGCCCCTTCTGCGTTTGAAGCACTCCAATCTCATGACTCCTCTAGATCATCATTGTCCTTGGGTCAATAATTGCGTCGGCCACTTCAACTACGGCTATTTCATACGCTTTTTATTCTACGTCGATGTTGCATGCTCCTACCACCTTGTGATGATGACACGGCGCGCTATGGAAAGACCAGACGTTGTATATTGGGTGAGCATTTACTCTTGTCCACCATTGCCCATCTCATCTCAATTTCTTTCTTCAGAACACAATAACGGTGACTGAGCTAGTGTTCATCATCTTAAATTTCGTCGCTTGCGTTCCCGTCTTGCTGGCAGTCGGTGCATTCAGGTTTATTCACTATATATTTGCTATCATTTTATGTTAATATCGGTCTCAGCCTCTTCCATTTTTCGAGCCTCATGTCGAATACAACCACAATCGAAGGTTGGGAGAAAGACAAAGTCGCGACGATGGTTCGGAGAGGTAAGATCCGCGAGGTATGCTTTTCTGGTTCTCATCCGTCTGATTACCAGCTGAACTTCCCGCGCAGATCAAGTTTCCTTACGTGTGTATTTTTTAGGGTCGGACCCTTGCGTGCTGACTCTCAGTTGTCCAGAATCTCGGCCGAAGACGCAACATAGAATCTGTTCTTGGTCCAAGTCCTCTACTTTGGTGCTATCCCGCGAGAGCGCTAGGCAACGGACTGAAATATGATATCAATGAGGGTGGTAAGTGGATTGAGCTGACGGAACCACGAGAGCAATACGAGAGAGGTGGATGGGAAGCATGAGTGCGGCGTATTCAGTGAGCAAATCATCATGCAGTGTTACGGTCCAGTAAGCACTCATATTTTCCTTCTCAAGCTCCTGTGTAGCCATCTCATCTCATCGCCTCGTTATTCCTCTGCCGCTGTATCTGTTAATATTTGAGGCTGATCTCTTTCTTCTACATTCACAGAAGGCTTAGAACTGGACACATGGCCTCCGCGTGATCCAGGAGCCACCCTATGCGAAGACCGACCTGAAGGCTTCCATCTTCCAGACACCCCTTGGACATATGGGAATGAGACGGTAAATCCCGACCTGAGGCCGTCCAACTCCCAGCCGCGAAAACCCGGTCGGAAACAGATAAAAGACGGGCATGTATCGACACTCCCGCCATACCATCCAGATTATCAAGAGGGGGCTAGCTCTGGATACGACTACGAGGATGATTCGTCCGATGAATCATCTCCTGACGAAGGCCGCACTCTAGTGAGACGGGGCTCAGAAGGATATGAGGTGCGACGTCAAGGAAGGGAGGCCATGCTGCAACGCTACCTTCAGGAAATTGGAGAAACGCCCGGGCGATACCATAGATATATTCCCCAATCTGATTCGGAGTCGGAGAGTGATGACGATATACCAATTGGACAATCCCTTCGGACAGATAACAGAGAACAGCAGTGATGTGTGTGATAGATTACTGTTAAAATAACTTGTGAACTCCTGTAGCTAATCAGTTGCTAATAGTAATAATCTGTTGTAGAACCGAAGGATGTGTTCAAGACCAAAAAATATGTACCCCTAAAATACAAGTGCGCACAGACAATTACTAGGAACTACTGGTAGGTACAATGCACATACACGATTAAGCTACCCTCTGAGTGTACACTTTCCATATCAGACCTCCCTTCTCGCCTAATTCCAGCGTACTGCTCCCGAGAGGCACATCTACAAGCCACTTGTTGCTGTGTTCCTCCAGCTCCTGAACGACCGACCCATTGATTTTCACTTGTATCTCTCCAAGCTTAGGCTTCTTTTTCGTCAGGCGCACGGGTTTGACTTTTACCCCGCCGCCCTTCGGGACTTTCGGCGGTCGACCTCGCCCCCGCTTGATTTTCTTCTTTCCATTCTTCATTGGAGCATCTACATCCATGGCATTGTCATCATCCACTTCCTCTTCCCCGCCACTGCTCTCTTCTTCGTCACCCATAAATATAACCTCCTCAACACGGAGACTCTTATCTTCTGGTCCTAACCGCACTGACCAGCTCCTTACGCCTTCTCGGTAATCCAGATTAAATTGCCTCCCGCGAGGTATTGTCTTTATTAGAATGAGACGCAATTGATGAGCGTAATTCACTGGAGCGGGCGAGTTGGACATTGAATGTACTTGGGCTGTTTGAGAAACGACGGCGACTTGAGGTGTCGGTGATAACGCCGGCGCTTGAGAAATGGCCGTATTGAGCTTTGTCGGATTAATTGGTTTGGAGTATTGCAAGAAGGTGATATTTGTGTTAGCTGGCGGCACAGTAGGTGTAGGCTGAGGTTGAGGAGTCAATGAGGACGAAGGTACATGTCCCGATGATGTAGGAGTCACTACTGGGGCTAGTGGTGGCGGAGCGGGTGTTGGCGCAGCAGCTCGTGCAGTGACTGCCGGAGCAACAGGTTTCGGGGGTGGCTGAGGAGGAGAGGGTTGCGGGGTGTTCTTCGCAGGTGGAGCACGTACAGCTATAGTAGAAGTGTGTGGTAGTGTAGGTTCTGGCACCGGTGCCCGCAGAGAAAGTTGCGATGTAGTAACCTTAGACCCTGAAGAATTCGACGCAGCTGCAGGTACCTTGATCTTGATCGTATTGGTCGTGGGCTTGGAGTACCTCTCGAGCGTAAAGGGAAAGGGCAAGTCTGACATCAGTCGACGGAATTCGTTCTTTGAACGTTGTTAATATCCAAAATAAGCTATTAAAGTGTGAACGTACTCGAAGAGTAAGAGCATCCTCCCATATGAGGGTATGTTCTTGATTGAAAGCCAAGGCATTTGAAAAGACCAGTTCCACATCGTTGGCAAAATCATCCGCGGCGGCATATTCCTTGCGTTTGATACGTTTCTGAGGGTTGACGATTCGATTAGAATAAGCAAAATTGAGATGTCATTGACGTACAAATATATTCTCTAGACACTGGGGGTGTTTGATTTCCTTATAATAGATTGGCCAGTCTTTCTTGGAAGGCAACTCCATGAATTCAGCCGATATGGTTCGACCACTGCAGAGATAGTTGGTATGAGGCGGGAGTATATGCAGAGAGCATTGGACATACGTATCGTCAGTCTTGCTGATAAGCTTCTCGAGCCTTGACTTTGCCATACGATTCAGACTAGGAGGTTTACTTTTCTTCTTGCCATCTTCGCCAACTTCCACCCTGGCCAGTTCCTTGTACGTCTTGCCAGCAAGTTTCTGTAGAGAATTTAGACGACGAGGAGATCAAAGAGCAATTGCAAGCTTACTTGCAAGTCCTTTGCATCCTGCCAGATTATGCTGTCAGGGTGATTATAGCTTTTTGCGTTCGTGAAACACAAGTCGAAATCGAGCTTCACGGCCTCAAGATTAGGATAGGCATGAGAATTGAGCTTTTTCTTGATATCGTCGAGAGCAATTGGCTGCTTGATCAGGTCGAAGTAGTCGGGGTACTGACGCTTGAGGGGTTTGGTAAGAAAGAGGGTAGATAGAGATCTGCCGCTGGGATTGTCGAAAGGCCGAGGAGTGATGGTTGTGAAGAAAAGAGGGCACCAAATTGGTCAGAACAGGAAATGAGCCGAGTGCGTCACTACTTACTCTTTGTTGACTGCGTCCTTCACCGTCTGCCATATCTTCATTCCTTGCTCTCTGACCTCATCTTCGCTGGCCACTTCACCCTCAGAAATGGGATTTACTGGATCCGACATGGTTACATCGACGTCTGAAGATGACGGCTGGTCTTTCCGTCGCTTGGCTCGTGATCCCTCATCCACTGTCGACCCCGGATGATTTCGTTTTCCCATGACACCGCTCGCTGCGAGTCGTTTCACAGTTCAGTCGTTCTGAAATCAAGATATGGTATGTCTTCGGAGACTGTAGGAGCAGAAAAATGGTCAAAATATTGGACTCCTTGGGCCAATGTAAGTTTGTGGCACGTGATCTCGTTGACGCGCCACACTCCAGAACGCGTCGATAAACAAGTACTAACAATCCACGATCAAATGAAATTATCAAAGTTCAGCTTGAAGACCAGCGCCACAAGCGAATGCACAATATTTTCTACGCTAGTTAGGTTAGCGCCCTTGTCCCTGCCCTTCGATATACTTGAAATTTCTAAATGGAATAGCATTTGCGGCGAAGGGAAAGGTTGGAAGTAAAGCAAGGAGGCCGCCGTGCTCTACAACCAAACAGCTCTGGATGCAACATCCCCTCTCAATGCCTTATCTCGGAACATACCTTAACGGAAGTTCGTTCTTGTCCTTGAGAATATAGCAAACGGAAGGCTTCGCCCGAATCGGCCTTACTGCCGTAATTTCCTGACCATGCATGCCCTACCACGTTTCGATGGCCATCGCTGCTTTTTATGAAGCTCAACTAACGCTTAGAGAAAGCGAACCTCCATAAATTATCGTCTGGTAAGCAAATCCACTATAAACTTTTTACGCTGTGGCACCATTGAAGTCATCAAGGCTTGAAAGACAGCTTCCCGCGATACTTATCCATGACTTCAGCTTCATATCAAGTCTAATGGCTCGAGTCTCACCAAAATATGTATCAACAGATCTGCAACTCGGTGGACCAGCGTCAAGGGGAACCACTTGTAAGGGATATTTACAACAGCGTTGTCGTATTCACTATCCTACAAGTTCTTGGTGTTCTCCACCTACAACATGCGAAGAGGTTCGGAATATTCAACGCCTCGGTGTCACAGCAATGACGTTGTTGAATCCAGGCAGCCCCCTTATGAGCGACCTGATACATGGACATCTGTATATTATACAAGATTTATGAGGTGAGTACAATATCTAGTTTCTGACAATTTAATTCGATTACTTATCTTTATGTATCTACTCAAAAAACTTTCGAAGTATATCAGATCTACGGCATCGAGAATCTAGCAATCCGGCTCTCCAACATCAGCCGCCTGGCTGACCTGGAATGATTGTTCAATCCTCCCTCAAAGGCCCAGGTCGCGTCTTTCCACTTGTCTGTGTCCGAAATACCATCTTGAGCTCGAAACGCGTACTTCCGTAATATTGCGGCGCCACCAGGCTAGAGGCGACGTTAGGTACCAAGCACGTAAGATATGAGCAAAGTCCTACATGTTCTCCCATATAACTCGTCACGTCGACGACAAAATCATCAATCAAGAGTACGCATCGCCCGAGAGCGCTTTGAATGTACAACTGAACTTCGTCGATAGTCCAATTGGGTCCATCCCATTGGTCATCCTCTGGTGGCGGAACTCCGTACGCGCATTTATGCCGCATATACTCGACTGACTCTGATATATCATCTCTACGCGCGCGCCGTAGACCTGTTACAAATCCAAGCTTGTGAAGGCTAACGATTATCCATTTAGACGGATCCCAGTCCGCCCGAGATGGCCCTGAGCGGAAGTCATGCGGGAACGTGTGCTAAAGTGAAACGTATCATTGTACGGTCATTCTCAACGATTAGTAGTGCATACATGCTGTGTTTGACACATAAGCGTCATGCTTTATGCAATGTCAGGGTGATTAGACTTACAAAATTGTGATTTCCTTCTCCGCCGGTCAGAAGCGCCAAAAGCTGAATTGTGTTAACGTACCAAGGGTGGAGTAGAGTAAATGATAGATGACTGACCAGATTTCCTCTAGAGGTGTCTTCATCTGAATAAGGCTGAAGACCATCCCAGTGTGCAAGCCTTTAGATCAAAAAGTGAGTTTTGGCGAAAGGCATTCAGGCACAAGGTACTCACGAGTTGACCAGAAAAGTGCAATGCCAAACTGATATGTCGTCCATCAGAAATCATCGGTGGAAGAAAGAGAACGTGCGTACTAGCAAGTCTAGACACCAATCCGGCCCAAATGAATGCTCCCTTTGGATCACCCCAAAGACTTCCCATCATTGGGGGAAATACGAAACCGAAGAATAAGGCAATTGATACTGATTAACATACTCTGTGAGTTTTCTGTGCGCCAGTAATATTTGTAAAACATTTGCCGTAATATTTATGTTGGAAGCGCACGACTAAGTTCGAGATGTTAGAGAAAAGGGTAGAAAAATGTGTTCCAAACTTACCAGGGTCACTGTCAAGGTCATCACGATCTATAAGCTCCATTCTTTGATACGTTGGTTTGAAGAATATCCATCCCATATGAGAGTAGAGCAGTCCTCGGGTTGCAGCGTACCTTCGCAATAGTAAGTAATGGTGTGTTTCATGGATCATTGAACGCGGCTCACGGGTCGTCCATGGGGTCATCCGTAAACCTCTGAGGATCATCTACGTCAACAAATGGAATATGGAAAGGATTACCCAACGTACATGATGTAACCGATGTCGAAGACACCTTTAAACCCGGCTGAGGATGAAATTACTTGTCATACTGTTAAGAACACTCTTACCACCACTAAATGCGCGTCAAAACAAGTGGATGAAAGCGTAGGGGGAGCTGTCAGACCTTGATAGAGCCTTGGAATCCTGCCGAACCTAACGCCGCCAAGACGATTCTCACAACCGTGTTAGCACGAAATGCGCGATGAGAATACAATCTATGATATCCAATGGTGATGCTGAATGGATTGCTTAGAAGAAACTGTCTTGGTTATGGGCTGAGAACGTACCCAAAGTCCGCAAGCTGCCACACCAAGAAAGCAAAGAAGAGACTGGCTCTGTGTACGACATAGACTGGGAAATAATATACTCCTATGAAGGCGGCGATATGGACAGACACGAAGAAGACGGCATTGCTCCACCAGATTTTGGGAACAGACGGGGCCTTGATCTTGTTTCGCATGATGGTAGTGGGTGAGATAGAGCAGGAAAGCCGTGAATCACATCTAGGCTTTTGAGCAGTTGGTAACGTAATATCTGAAGTCATCTCGATCGCGTCGACGTTAGACCTCGGCAATTTCGGCAATGAGCCATGCACGGAAAGCGGAAAAACAACTCCCGGCCAGCAAAACTTCCCATTTCGAGCAGTCGTCGGGTCTGAGCGCGATGGCACCTTGATAAAAGGTAAAATTCTCTGGCCTTTGAAGAAAATTTCTGTCTTTCATGTTGCTGCGCCGCAACTACAACAAAAGGGGGAAGTAGAAGTAAAAATAACTTTACTCCTTTTTGCCTCGAGGAGCGCTCAGGGCCAAGTCAGGCCGCCACCAGATTCATGAACTCTTGTGTCTAGAAAGGATCGGCCCAGTTCAATTCCTGTCCCATGACGACACATCATCCTACATTCTTTCCAAGCTTCTCGCATGCCATGTCCACAATGGCCCTAACTTCTCCTACCTTTAGACCGTCTGTCTGCCAAACAGACCATTCGCGCTCAGCACTGACCCCCATTCCCAAGGGTTCCCGCCGGTATTGCATCTCTCCATCCAGCCAAGAGCCACCAGACATATGTAGCTCTTCAAGTCCCAGCGGTAGCAATGATACGAGTATCGGGTCAATGGTGTCAGCATTCACGCCTGAACCAGGGAGGACAGTGAGAGGCCATGAATCGTCACCCGCAAGTCGTTTTGCGACACGGAATAGTGAAGCAAGGGTGTCGATAGAATCCAAAACAGTTCTTCCATGGCCACTGGGAGAAGTTGGTCATTGTCAAATTCAGCAGAGAGCACCTGCCATATATACCTTGTCAATATACGAGATATACCTCCAATGCTGACTATATCCTGGAGGGCTATTGAATTGAGGATCAGCGACAAGCGAAGATTTGGACTATAAGTACCCTCAATATGGTCCCTCGTCATGTCAAATGCACGATGAAAGCAGACTAGCTATCATTAGGACAAGACCACCGCCGCCGACGACGATAGATCAACAAACCTTCCAAGGGCAAAGCGGCGTCAACTATGCTAGATCAAGGATTATTAGAAGGGCTTTGAGATATTGGCGATGCTGACCCACCGTTTCGTGCGTTCAGTATCCACTCGACCTTCCCGAGTCAAAACTCCCATAACGATACCGCGGATGGGATATCGCTTGAAGATGCGTATATCCTCGAGCATGACGTCGAGCTCGTCATCGCTATATAGAAAGTCACCAGTCCTAGGACGAACCATGGCCTAAGGGATGGGCTATATCTACCAAGTCAAATAGAAATCCGACCCACCATGATCGGAGTCTCAGATGCAGCCTTCAAAACGGCCTTGAGCAGCCCCAGACTGGGAGTCGTGCCGCCTCCGAGCCCTAGGTTGGCGCATAGCTCCAGTCGGTCCGCCCCCGCCTGGACAGCACTTGTGAAAGGTATCAAGACAGGTCAAACGGTGTTTTTTTTTTTAAAAAAAATTTTCGACCGACATTTTGGCGGAGTGGACCGAGTCGACGCATACTTCGAGGGTGACAGACCTTGCTAAATCGTCCGAGTCCATAAGAAGCGAGAAGGGGCGTGGGCATAAACAATACGTCATTGGTGCCTGTGATCCTCCCAACGTTGACCTTAAATAAAATTCGCCTGATTCCATGAAGATGACGCTCGTCCAGAAGATTTCCTCCGTCTTTGCCTTTCGCACTCTTCCGACAACCGTGCTTGCGTCTCTCATCTATCTCGCCATCTTTATCTCCCTGCTTGTTACGGATGGCCTCCCAGCAGTGCCAAAGAATAGGAAGGGTCTGGATTTAGATCAGGCGTACTTGGACCTTCACAAGGTGATTGTCTCTGTATATGTTTGCCTCTCGGCAGAATTTTATATCGTCCAAAGATTGCACAACGACCACATCCGTACAACTCTCATGCAAACGACGCGGTCAGATCTTATATTTTGAAGCGTGTTCACGACATAGCTGCTGGACACAGGCATATTCATGTCGTCGATGATATGGTATCGAATGGTTCCTGGTCTTCTAAAGCATGCGGAGTGTATTTCGAAGGAACGAACATTTTGGTCAAGATTGATGGCACAGAGAAGGAGTACACTGAACACGGCGGAGTCTTATTCTCGGCGCACTACGACTCCGTCTCTACTGCACCCGGTGCTACAGACGACGGAATGGGCGTGGCGACGCTACTTCAGCTTATCGAATTCTTTGTCAAGAATAGGCCAAAACGGACGGCTGTCTTTAACATTAACAACGGGGAAGAGGACTCGTTGAACGGTGCCCATGCGTATGAGATGTTGTTCTCTTCTGTCCCGACACTCATCTGTTTGCCTATATGTAGATTCCTGGCCCACCCATGGTCTAACATCACAGATACATTTCTCAATTTGGAAGGCGCGGCATCAGGAGGGTATGATGATAATTCCTATTCTCTTCACAGATGCAGCGTGGCTTATTGTTACAGCAAGGCGCCCTATCCTTTTTCGTGCGACCTCGAGTGCGCCACTGCTCTCATTCCTTAATACGCATGTTCCCCATCCTCATGCCAGCGTCCTATCACAAGACGCCTTTGCACGAGGCGTCATTCGATCCGGCACAGATTACGAAGTATATTCCGCCGGCGCAGACATCGCTGGATTGGACCTGGCGTTCTACAAAGGAAGAAGTAAATATCACACCAAATTCGACGCCATTCCTTATACCGTAGGGCAGACACGCGCTCTGTGGGCGATGATGGAAGCTGCCAGAGGTTCCGGTGTCGCTCTGGTTAATGACGATGGACCAATGCATAGTAAGACTTCAAGTTCCGCTGTGTATTTTGATTGTGAGTTTTTCATGATCAGATCTTCAAGAGTACCAGAGGCTGATGTAAGTGACAGTGTTCGGGGCCGCTCTTATCCTATTTCCCTTAACTTCCTTGTTCACTTTCAATACGGTATTGCTGGTTGTCGGCCCCGTGGTTCTCATCCTATTCTTGGTGTGTGAGGCCGCTATCCGACATAATAGACGAAACGGCGAGAACGGTAGTGCCCCTGGTAGTCACGATAACTTCTGGGGTTACTTCTGGAACTCAGTAATCTCATTGCGGTGGTTAAGCGGATTTTGGAGATGGTCTAAATTCTGGTTTGCTATCCTTGTGACGGCAGGACTACAAGTTCTTTTGGCCCTCTCGTTTTTAAAACTCAATACCTTCGTACGTATTCGTATCTCCGTTTTCTTCTCGTGTATTTAGAACGCTTCTAGATCATCCACTCATCGCCGTACCTTGTATTCTTATCGTTCTTCACGTTGGCATATCTGTCCCTTGTTCTCATTCTGCAGCTTCCTATCCCTTTCCAGAAAGCGTCGGTACCAGAACTGCAGAAGCAGACCATTCTCTTACAGACGTACTTTTTGACATGGGTTCTTCTGCTTCTTGCTACCATCGCCATCAGTAAAGCTGGCGTCGGTGGTGTCTATTTTGTCACGGGATGGAACGTGCTAGTGTTCTTAGCATGCTGCATTGGATGCGTTGAGGGAATGGTTGGTGCCGAGGGTACAACACCCTTTCTTGTCCTTGTCAGGGAGTTCACTCCTCCGACTGAGGAAGAACAAGTTGCAGGGGAAGAACCGACGGAAAATACTCCGTTGATACCCAGGACGAGGCATGATGTCCATGTCCTAGGTCAAGAGGAAACTGGCGCTATTGGATGGTGGATACTGCAGATGTTCATCGTTGTTCCCGCGCCAGTGATTTTAGTATCTCATATTGCTCTGATTACGCTTTCGTCTATGTCGCAGACTTTATCGGACGGAAGCAGCGCAGTAATAGGTTTGTGCCTTTGTCAACGATTTATTCTTCAACTTATCTTTCCTTTAGTCTACGCGGCTGTAGCTTCTCTCGCTTGTTTGACGATTCTCCCGATTGCCCCGTTCAGCTTCAAATTACACCGCTTTGTGGCCTACATATTTGGCGTCATCTTCATTCTTGTAACGCTCTATTTCTGGTTCGCATTTCCCTTCTCTCAGGAAGAGCCACTGAAGGCCTATTTCCTACAAAACGTGTCCCTTTCTCCCGCTCAAACTGGAGCCGGCCAGGTCCTTCAAGCTGTCACGACACTCACTGGAGCATCTGATTACATCATGAAACTGATATCGTACCTGCCTTCGGCGTCTGGTCAAGACATCTCTTGTAACTCCTCGCAGGCAAGGTTGTCTCTACTATCGTGCAGCTGGAAGACCGATCTCATTCCTTTGCCTGGTGGTAACCATACGTCAGATATTTGGCTTCAGACGAACGTTACCCGTCTTGGGACTTCATCAGCTCGAATCTCTGTCCAAGGCCAAAATACACGTTCATGCCGAATATATTCCGACACCAACCCGATTATTCGATATAATATACATGAAGGGAGCGTCGGGATGCAGCCTCGGTACGAAATACCAGAGGGTGGAATCAAGGAGCTGCGGTTATGGAGCCGAACTTGGGATAGGAACTTTACTGTCGATGTTGAGTGGATTGACAACTCTCCGGATATGGGAGGAAGAGTCGCTTGTGAGTGGAACGAGTACGAGAGCGGCAGCATTGGTGTTGGTACAGGTGGCCAAATTCCAGCGCTAGAAGAGATGTTGATGTTTCTACCAAAGTGGGCCGTGGTGACGAAGATGACAGATGGATTGGTGGAAGTCTCTTCTGAGTTTTTGTTATAAGCGGGCGTATATCAACGGACATATAGCATAGCCCTGTAAGAGTAAAATATGTGCTCCAAGCATTGTGTGGTAATTGTGAGAGCAAGGATGTTAAAAGTGCTTATAGACGCAGGCGAGAAAAGTATCAAGGAAGGATGCGTAAATTCTGAATGGAACTAATCCCTTTAATGTCCATCGGATTCCGCATAGTCTAAGAAAGCCTTGACCAGCACAATCCACTCCGTAATTGACAACTTGAATGCCATTTGGAGATTCTGGCAGCAAATCGGGTCTTTGACGTGCTCGGAAAGGGTAAGAAGATCTTTCCTGGTACGTATCTCCAACTTATCAAACTTGGCTTTCAAGTCGTCCCTTCCTATGTGTCGCAGAAATAAGCTGACAGAGTCAGCTGTCGAAGCAGTATGGGTGGCTGCAAAGGGCTGGCTTTGGGGAATAGGCGCGTCATTGGAGAGATGCGAATGAGATAGACTAGTGCCAGGAATGTCGTCGCTCGCTGACAGCGGTACGATGGGTGTGCGTTTGGATTCCTGTTCACTGGAGTGGTCTGGTGCTGATAGCACGTTGGTTTTTCCCCCCAAAAGTTTGTGCTTGGATTGCCGCACAGGACGCGCATGGGAAGCTATAGTTGTTCATGAGTTGATATCCATTATACCACTAGTGGCGCTTCAGTCTTACCAGTACCAGTTGACTCGCGTAGAGTCCTCCTCATGAGATTCTTCCGTTCATGGACCTTGGGCGACAATGACACATTAGGATTGCGTCCATCCAAGTACCACGCATCTTCCTCAATATCATCATTGTGGAAATTATTTATGATACGGCTAAGCGTGATTTCGGTAATGTTGAACTCTTGCAAAACTGAGGATACGGCAGTTCCGAGTTGCAAGGCACGCCGGACCAGCGCTCGACGCGCGCGCGTCATCATAGGTCGCCTAAATAATTCAATGCACCCACAGACAGAAAGAAAAGAATGAACGCATACTTGCAAGTCGAACGAGCCATTGTTCGAGTTATGAGGAAACGAGTGTGAGAATATCAACAGTTCAAACAACATTTAAGAACCCTCTCGCAAGTCTTCTTTCCACGTAAGTAAATATATAAATTGATAGGTAATATTGGTAAAACACACATCGTCAACGCGCAAGGTGTTCGTAAATACTAACAATCTTTCTGACGTTGGGACAAATTGCAAGCCTGACCCTCTCGCTGTCCGGTACAATACCCTTTCCTCTGTTCTCAAGCCATTGTGAGAAATCGGTGAAGCCTCCGGCACAGACGCTGCCCTTCCTTGCCATCTTGGCAAGTTTGTCTTTCTGAAATGACCATTTCAGCTTGTGCATAATGGGGAGAAGGGTTCGAGACACGGTAAGCGAAGACGACTCCACATCTGGTAATACGTTGGACTGATACAACCCTTTTAACGGGGCATTGTCAGGTGCGGAAGATCGTCGCAGGAGATGTTTCGAAACGACACGTCCAACATGACGGCGAGAAAGACGTAAACTTGATTCATATTGAATGATCGACTAACATAAGGTCGTCAGATGAGCAACGGGTCAAATGTAAGCCATCTTACACCCAGGGTATACACATACGAGCCCATTCTCCACCGTCTTTCGATATGTAGACCTCGCATAACGCCTCGGTGAATCAGGTCCGGAAAGGAGGGCCGCAGCGCGATACCCTCAGGACTCTGCCCGAATAGAGCATGCTTCACCCGCGACGGAGCGACGACGCGGAGACGGTGAGTGTGCAAAACCGTGTCAGAAGTAAGCAAAGCAAATTGAGGTGAGACCTGGGCGACAGAAGCAAGGTCCGGAAGGTCGAGGTAAGAAACTAGAGGCACTTCATCTGAGCTGCGCATATCTAGTAATGAATGTCCAATTGACGTACGAATGTGCAGTAGTATTTCGGGAGGGATATCGTCAACGCACATTCCAAAAGGTACTTGGTGTGCAGATAATCGAGATGGTGGTCCAGGCTGAGTTCTGACGAGAGGCCAAAATGAGGCAATGTCATATCACGTGCTTCCAACCAATGAGGGCCAGCAACCCGTCGCGTTTAATAGTAAAGTCTAAATCGTAACTGGATTTCCCGTATTACATTTAATGCCGTCTTTGAGCAAACGTGCGTGCGGAAATATATTGTGTATTATGTGAACCTTTATTTCCTGTTCTTTCTTCGCTCCCGAACATCCTGCACCTTTCCTTCGACAAGGGCCGTGTGTTTTAGCAAGCAAAATTCACCCCAGCTATTAAGCTCTCTCCACTTCTCGCCCGGCATCCATAGCGCTCGGCTTAACAGTGGTGAGTGACGGGCATCAAGGAAAGGCCTGCAATAAGTTTTCTCCCAGATATCAGTAAGGGTACCGTATCTAGGTTCCAAGGGGGAGGACGAAGGATGAGAAGAAAAGTCAAGGTCCATCAAATAATCACAGCGCGACACAGGAACCTGATGACGAACCGTGAGTATGCATAATTGCGAGCAGTACCTGGATTGCTCCTTGGACTTACGTAGTGCGATGGTTCCTCTCGGTTTAAATCATTCATGTTTTTAGGGATGTACCTGGTTTCAGGCCTCGGCCACAATCCAATAGTACCGTTAGTACTCTCCCTGAAATGCCCTGGGAGGAGACCATCAAACTCGCTCTTGATGAATTCGACATTCACGCCCGTCGGGACAAGATAATGTCCCGGGAAGCGATACCATTCTTTTCCGATGCAAAGCATGAGATCGAGCTCCTTGACAGGGCTGAGGTCGATTCTCAGCTGTTGAACTTCATTATTCTCGGGGTCCCCTAAGGACGGAAGTGGCGTAGGGAGCAGTCCTGTGTCGTTGAGAAGTGTCGGTATTTCTTGGGACTCCAAGGCGTACATCAGTGTCATGGGCGCGTGATAGTAGTTCCAAAGGGCCAAGATACGGGAAGCAGAGAGCAGTATAGAGCAGACAACAACTGATGATGTGAACGACCGGAATATCGAGGAGTGAGCGGCCTATAGGGTTGTCAGACCTGGCACATTTCTAGGTGCCATTTACGTACTCGATACGGCGACTTCGTTAGTTTGATAAAAGCCGTTTCTAGCCAGCCCCTAATTAAATATACGGTAATTGCAGCATTAAAGCATAACATCGGATACGCTGGGAACATGAACCGTTCCTCCTTGTGTTCTTGTTTGCTCAATATTGACAACCATAGGTAGAAGGGTACGAGTCGTAGACTTAGAAGAGTAAAAGGAGAGCTTTCTTCTTTGTTGGACTTTGTGAATCCTAGACGCTTGCGATCCACCGCATATGTGATGGCGAGGGCAGGCAAGGAGAGTAAGGCAAATGGAGTGAGAACATTGAAGTTGAGCAGGAGGTTGAGGATGTAGAAATTCCATGGCTCGGTGCCATACAGGTTTGGTCCACGATCCGAAAAGATGTTATACCGAACAATGTTCCAGGGTACAACAGAGAATTTTCCGTAGGCGAAACTATCGATAGCTACCACGGGAATCTAATACAAAGCTTAAAGGCGAGGCTTATCTTGCTGGAAAAGGCTTACGAATATAAGAGAGGCCAATGCACCGGCCCCGAATAGGCGTTTCCATCTTGTTGATATCCAAGATCCATAGGAGGCAGAAGGAACTGTATCAGCACCGAACACGAATAACTCTTCAAACACGAAGGGAATTGCGAGAGCAAGAGCGAACGGCCATCCGACAATGGCGCCAGTAGCAAACATGATCGTCGATACTACAGTCTTCCGATGTCCTTTTACAGATGAAGGGGCAATTGAGTAGGCAAAAGCCACACTCGACGTATACATGGCAAACGAGGAGGGGAGAAAAGCTGCTCGACAGTTCAACAGGAACCGAAAAGAGGGTGGGAACTTTCCTACCTGTTGATGCATTCCACATCCCGGCGCTAAACGCTAGCATGAAGAAAAAGTATCGACCGACTCTCTGATTAACATTTTCGTAGACTTGGCGGTATAGGATGACTTCAGAGAAAGTGCATGTGACAGCAAGAAAAATCCGGACTGCGAAAAATGACGGCCGCTTGAGAAGAATAAAATAGTCTATGAGCAATCTAAGATTTGAAGTTGAAGGTAGAACTCACCTTGTCGTTCTCTGCGATGAACGAAGCAACACGGGTGGGAAGAAGGTGCAGCAAGATATAAGCCCAGCTACGGATCGCATATGTCGGCGAGATTTCCCAAGTCTGGAAGCCGTGTCCTTTGTCGAAATAGTGAAGAGGTTCCCAGAAATTAAATACTGATCAAAGTATAAGTGGATAATTGATGAGGTGGCATAATTGACGGAGTTTACCCTCATCACAATCACCAATATTCGAGTACATTGCACCCATGACCCGGATGAGGAGGATTATGCGAAATGCAAGGCTGAAGCTTGGACTCCATGGTGGACGGTTAGACCTCGAAACGTTGTCAAGACCAAACGTCAGCCAAATCACTACGACTCACCTTCTCAGCTGATCCTGGAGAATACCAGAATGTCTGTCCTGTTTCTTCGGTTTTGGTGCTGCATTATCTGTCTGTGGGCGTCGCAATCGAATAGTCTGAGTTGGCCCCGACATGACGCGAACGGAACAAGTAATTGCTAATTTGTCACAGGGATATTGCACGTGTATGGCAAAACCTTCCGCCAGGGTTATCTAGATCGGTCACAATGTTTTTTTCAATTCGTCTTCCAGTAACAACAGCGCGTCAAAAGTGGATACTGCAAGCCGGCGTAGGCCTCTTGAAATGGATGAAAAGCTTGGAAGACGACAACGAAGACGTAAGATCTGGGATTTCTGGTGCTACTGGACGACGGAAACGGTACTTCTGTGTCGGAAGTTTACGTGGTCTTTACTGGCCATTTGGATGGCAACGGCACCAAATAGGCTATGAAATAAACTTTTACGGTCGAGTGAGTACGTACATAGGCGTGGAAGGATTAAAGAGGCCGTCTTCCGATGGCTGGTGTCTATTTTTGTGATTTGGATGTATGCGCGGCTTCTTTCAGAGCTGAGCAAATGTCCAGATCGACCCGCCCTGGGATACTAGTCTTTCCCTCTTGTTCCCAAACCACCATCGTCTCCTCCACCAAAATGTCGGACACTCCAGAGACGGCACATTACTTCATATATGGTACTCAAATCTATTTCTGTGGTACGTCCAGCTCATTCTGCAGCTCCTTTCGCGACATGGACCTTGCTAACCATCGCGACAGCCATGTGTAAAATTTCCTGGGATCTGCTTTATTTACCGATTTTTGACGCGTCATTTTGCTCTTAGATGCAGTAGTTCTCTGGGATTGGATGATTAGTCTGCCCAGAGAATGGCGCTTCGTATGTGCTGATTAGTCTCCCTCATCTCCTCCTTCACCCGCTTTTCAAAGGTCTGGAAGACCCATTGGACGCCAGTCAAGGTCGCTTATCTATTCTGCCGGTACGAGATCCAAGTTAATGTCTCTGGGCTTTTTAATTCATCCTTTCGATAGATACTGGGTAATCATCGTGGTTCCCTACCTTCTTTTCTGTTTCGTCGTCGACCACTCTCTTGAGACTTGCCGGAAAATCTACAAGGTCCATGTCATCCACACGTCCGCATGGACATCCTAACCGCCTGTTTCAGGTCCCCGTGGCGTTGGCTATGTGGAATCAAGTCGGATCTGAATGTGCTCATCTTTTATATCTTTCTCTCGCTTTTTCTCTGACGCATATCACAGCGGTTCTCCTTATTCGCACCTACGCTTTCTTTAACAGAAACGTATACATTCTATGGATGTTTATATGTGCTATCGGGGGTGTCGTAGCATATCAGCTGTACGTTGACACTACCCAGATGCTCCGTACGTGGTTTTGTTCGTCGTCCGTGAGCCACGATATGCTCACCCACGCCTATAGTCTTGCCATTCACGACCCCTCCATATGCAAGTAGATCTTGACACATATATGCATGCTAATTGCTGAAACTTGCATGTACATAGGACCGTGGACCATGTTTCCCCATGTCCAAGCCCCATTCTGCCCATCTTCTTGGTACGCTTCACCGTTTCCGTTGCCGAATCATGTTCACAGCTTAAATTAGGTTTCTTTGTGAGCTCCATGATATGCTACCTAGTTCTCGCCCACTTAACTCTGTCATAGATTGCACCGCTTCTGTTTGACACGTTAGTGACATTCATGACGATCGTGAAGGCCTTCATGATCCGTAGATGCAATGGAGGATCCAGCAGCAGACTCATTCAGACCTTCATTCGTGAAGGTCAGTGCCTCACAGTCTAACCAACTTAAACTGACTCATGCCTCTTGTTAGGCGTCTTTTATTACATTCTGATATCCATTGCCAATTTGATTAATGGCATATTTTATCTTCAGTGAGCTTCTACATGTCTTAAGGAATCTCACGCTGATGTCCATTGAGGCCGCGACAGGTAATCTCTGCTATCAATATACCTCTCAGTGTCATGATGGGTCCTGTGTTAGCGTGCCGCCTGGTATGTTCATCATTGGTGTAGAGCCAGTTCGCCGATTCAATATTCTTACAAAATGCAGATTCTTGACCTGCGTGAGCGCGGCTCCGAGACGGTATCACATTCCGAAGGGACCGGAATGGCGGCTTTCACAACCAAGTCAATAACTCAAAACCAAACCTCTCCCTTCACGCCTCCACATCGTTCGAAAGGTGGGTACGGCTTTGGAGGAAGCCGCCACGCCCGTACGGTGGATTCAAATATCGTTCTCAGTACTCTTGGAAGTATCCCTCCAGATATGGACATGAGTCCCGAACAGGACATCGTCGAAATGGATGATATCCGTTCGGGCTTGGGCTTGGAGTTGGGTAGCCTAAGCACCGCTATCGGAGGTGATGAAGGCGAACCCATATCTGACGATGGTCGAATCTGGACAGATGACGACGTCGAAAGTGGGGATTTTAGCCTTGGTTCAAGAAATCCATATCGGGCGCTTGAGATAGGAATTAGACCGGCGCACGGAGTCCCGAGTCTCTCAGAAAGCGGCATTCAAGGAATTCAGGTCGACGTGGAGAAGGCCACCGCTTCTATGCAACCCGAATCATTCTTCTAATCTTCTATCTGTTACGTTTCTCGTCGCAATCCGAAAACATGCGACTCCTCTTGTTTTCATACCCGCGCTCACCAGCATCTTCCTTTATGTCCCTCTTTCTACGCATGACGCCGACCGAAGGAAACAGCCTATCGGTCCATCACCATATAAACGGGAGAGATTCTCTAAAACTCATCATTGTAGAAATAGGCATAATGCCTTTCTTGTCCCATTACGTCGTACACGTCCATCTCTCACATTTGTCTAAACAGCTTTCCACCTTGCACTGTATCAATGGTCTAGCTATCCTGTTCTTATGTTGTCGCAACCCCCAGTTTCTTCGCTTTCATCGTTCTCTTGTTCAAACGCATTTGTAATCATTATACTGTCGCATAGTTGTCATTTCGTTTTCTTGTTGCCCTGAGTTAACACCGAGGAGCCCTTTATCCCAGTTTTCAGACTACATACAGCTACTAGACATTCCCTTGTCGCATTAACTCATAGATAAAGTAGAAGTCCCTTTATAAATTTCAATACGTGTGCAACCTCCATGAAATGGACCTATGATAATGAGCAAGTGTCGATGTAGGTTCAAACAGGGACCGGTTACAGGTCTACAGCTGAAAATATGTGCCAGCACGTTGTTGACGTGTTGCCTCGCAAACCAACAGTCATCACAACAGTAAATAACTTTCGATCTTGGACTCGACCTCCCAGGTGAACTCCTTTTTTTCTAGAGTTCTGGTCTGCTTTACAAGTACGGAGTTCAGTGATATCGATTTCCATTTCTATATGAGCCCGTCTTCATCTGTTCTTCAGGAATTGTCTGATCTTACGCCGCCCTCGCCTATTCTAAGTCCAACTTCGGGCCAGCTACCTACGTCTTGGACCTCTGGCGATATTCCCATCATACTATTTCAAAATGGCTCAAGTTCAACAGTCGATTTCTCTCTACCAGATGTCCCCGATGAAGTACAACCTGCCATCTGTACGAGCCACAGCAGCGAGTGTGCGTACCATCGGGACTTCCGGTCCTAGATGTCGGGCTGGAAACTGCCCTTACAACTGGTTAAGAATACTGTTCCCAGTGGCAGTAACTCCTCTGTTCATAGCACTCTTGTGTCTCCAGCAAGAAGCGCGTTAAATGACAACGACACCTGCTCTGTCTCTGACAAATCCTTCATCAGTTTCCGTACCGCCCTAACTGCAGTTGACTCGGGTTTGTCTCTCTGCTCCGTCACCGATGCACAATATATCAAGGTGAACAACGGAGCAGGAAGCGTGGTGCTTAACAGCCATCCCTCCCACTTGACGTTTGGCCCTCGTTCTTCATTCTACGCACAATTTCCCGCCTCTACCTCAGTTGCACTTTCTACGTCATCTTGTTCTTCGTCTCTGTATAGCTATACAAGTCTTAAGCCATGGCAGAAAAATGATGCTCGTTCACTCAGAGCCTATCCTTCCAAAGAAAGCCTCACGTCCTACACGTCCCTATCCAGGACACCATCGAGTCTTCACAGCTCCTCTAGTCAACTCTCCCTAACCGGGCGTCCTCGAGTGCGGCTCTCTAGCAATCTACGAGGTTCTGCGAGGCCCCGAGCTTCCTGAGTCTCTGTTATGGCTCAAGGACATCAACATTGATCTGCTCATCGACCAGGAGGGCTTCCGTGCCGTACATCCATCGTTCAGATTTGTGGGGTACTCCCCTCATACTCGGTCCCTAGATCCACAAGGCGGCGTGATTGATGGAGACGTAGCTGAATTTATGCCCGCCAAGCGTCAAGTGCTCAATTTGCATTATGCCCTCTTCGATGGTCTACCCATTCTGCGACAAGTTACGGTGAACGGAGAGGAGGATTGTGACTGCATTTCAAGGCAGGTAACACTCAGCCTCAAATGCAATGACGTGTACACTGTACGCGGGAGCGAAACTGCCTCTTTATACACATATCATTATGGCAATGGTTCCCGAACTCACAAACTGCGTTGGAAATTTGACTCCTTGGTAGACTATAGAAGGCATAACGAAGGCTCGGGTAGAGTGCTTGACGGAGAAAAGACTTTGACGCCTCTCACTTTCTCATGCTCGCCTCTGCTCCTCGACCCTTCGCAGGGCAAGAAAATTCGACTAATGCATATCGTCAGGAAGAGCGTTGTCGCGAAGCTTGTGGCTGAGAAGGTGGAGCCAACGCCCAGTAGACGCGTTTCTGCACCCTCATCTCCAACAATATTGTCCAGCCCAAGCGCTGGTAGTCCAAAGGCTCATCCAGGAATCTCCTGTGTGGAACGTGCATAGACGGGCACGGTTACAGGCTCCCACCCCGGGCGTGGAATCTGAGGGGCTCGCTCCTGCGTATGCCACGCCCTTCACGACACGTTGCCTCAAACGTCGATGTCGATGGACAGATTCTGGGGAATGAAGAAAATCTCATGGGAAGGATACAGCGTCGTCATCGGGCCTCGTCTGCGGATGAAAGGAAGCGAAGACATGCAGATGGATACACCCAGTTCGGTGTGCCACTTGAAAGAGATAACTTCCCGACTAGCCTCGTCAACTACCAAAGGTATAACATGGTCACATCTAGACTTGGCATATCTTTATCTCTCCGCATTAGGCTCGAATAGAACAAATCTACATATACTATACAGCACACATACAACATAGAGAAGAAAAACGATGATAGTTCCTACGCGCCGAAACCATACAGGGTGCGCCCGGAGCGCTTGAGTGCATAAACGACGTCAAGAGCCGTAACGGTTTTACTGGAAGAAAAGTATTAGTCAGGCAGTCGAGAGCAGTGCCGATAGCAAAATCATGATTCATGAAGAACCATGCTCAACAGAAAAAATTGGCAGACACGAACCGTTTGGCATGCTCAGTATAGGTGACAGAGTCTCTGATAACATTCTCCAAAAAGATCTTGAGGACACCGCGGGTTTCTTCGTAGATGAGACCGGAGATACGCTTGACACCACCACGACGCGCGAGACGACGGATAGCCTGAAAAACAATGAGCAGTCGAAACACGTGTGTGCAAACCCCATCAAGATGAACTCACGGGTTTCGTGATACCTTGAATGTTGTCGCGAAGGATCTTCCTGTGACGTTTGGCACCACCCTTGCCGAGACCCTGAGGACACGATGAACGACAGTCAGCTCAAAGCCACCACCGCGAAGAGTAGGAAAGACAGGAGAATTGAGGGGAAACTCGCCTTGCCACCTTTTCCACGTCCAGACATATTGATGAAAAGTTGGTTGGGTAGATAGGTCTTGAGGAACGAACTTGCTGAGGTGGAGGTGGTGGTGGTAACTTGTTGAAAGCCAATAAACAAAGCACGCGTCTCAAATAGGACGATCACCCAGATCACGTGTTGATGACATATTCAGGGCTACGGCCACGCCACTCTTTTAACCTCATTCATCCCATCATGTCCATAACTGAGATAATTTCTATCTCTCAGCTCAATGGAATCCTTACAAAGGACAAAGGGAAAGTGTCGGTAAGGGATTCTTTGTTTCCATGAACAATGCAGAGACTAGTATATGCGTAGGTGATTGATTTTCATGCCCACTGGTAAGTTACTGGTAATTACGGTGCCACCAATGGATTCTTTGTTTAGTTCTTGTAGGTGTGGGCCGTGCCATGCTATTGCCCCTACGTTCGAAGATCTTTCAAGAAAATACAAGAACATTAATTTCCTCAAGTGCGACGTGGATGCTGCGAAGGACGTAGCATCTGCATACCGGGTGTCCGCCATGTGTGTCACTCTGCTCGTTTAGGCGTCGAGCGACTTGCTCAATGTATTGCTCATATCCAGACCGACATTCATCTTTCTCAGAGCTACGGAGAAAATCGACCAAGTTCGTGGTGCCGATCGAAAGTGAGGCATGGTCTTTTGTAATTTACTGCGTCGTATATTAATACCATCTATGTTCAGCGCGTTGGAGAATGCGGTTCGGAGGCATTCAACTGGTTCTTCGGGTTCTGCTTCAGGAGCCTTCTCTGGGACAGGTCATACCCTTGACGGAGGTCCGGTGAATTCCTCCTCCGAGAGCAACGATGGCGGTCCGCAGGTGGCAGGACCCGGACTTAATCGTCAAACCAAGGTGTTCCTTGCTTTGACAGCGGGATATGTTTTCTTCTGGTATCTCAGTTCTTAGTTTGATCGATGGTTGATATGTTCGTCGATACTCATACATTGCTCAAATATCGTCCAGTGCACACATTTCTGTTATAAACGTTGGATACCGTAGCTAGTTGATAGAGCAAGGGTTTAGTAGTCGAGGTACGAGAAGTAAGAGAACAAGAGTGTGAGTGTGACTCGTGAGAAGATGGTATCCGTGAGCGAGGTGTGGGTTCGAGCGAGCTCGAGGTAATCTTACAGGTATCTTGAAATAAGTTAGCAGACTAGCGCGAAGCTTAGTTTCCGTGACTTGAGGTCACGCAAAGTGCAGGGTTCAAGATAGGTAGTAAGAATTTGATACCTAGTACATGTTTCGTAGCTACGTTTATATACAAATGGGTGTTACTAGAAGGTTCAACAAGTTTCGTGAAGTCATGAGTCATAACAAGTTCATTAGGCTGAGTAAGAGAAGGCACAGAAAGGGATAGAAAGGAAAAGAAAAGGCTTCAAATGACTGGAGACTTCCAGACGATTCCGGGGATTCCATCGATGTGGAAATCCATAACAATTCCACGAGTTTCATCACATTTATCGATCGTTTAGCATACCATTGTGTAAACAACGACTAGGCATATGTATATATACGCGAGCCAGAAGACTCACTATGCCTAATGAACCCCCAAGGCACTCCATGCCTGTTTGGCAGCCTCCTCCCTCGCCAGTTTCTGGCTACGACCCCGCCCCGTTCCAGCGACAGTACCACTTACTGAAAAAATCATCATGATATGCTGCGTAGCCGATGGAAATCCAAATTTTCACTCACACAAGCACTGGACAGTCCATGTAGGCGCGTGGGCAGGCCCTTCACTTTGCGCATTATACGTCACGACATATCCCTTCTGAGCTGCCGTTTGATTCACAAGCTGCAGCGTAATAAAGGGATTGACGCCCTGCATGGGTGGTGGACTTGCTGGATTGAAAGAGAGCGGAGGGGGTAGCGCCGACTGGGGGGGTTGCGTTGGAGGACTCTGTGTTTGTTGTGGTGGACTATTGATAGTTGCAGGCTCGCTGGTGGGATCTATCAAGCGAGAGATCCAATCTTGTACTTCAGTCATTCCATTGCGAATGTACAGTGCTCCAATGAAGGTGTGGAAGAAAACACGGAGTTCCTGTCGAAAGATCAGAGGCCATCAACATGAGATCAAGGTATCTTTTTTACATTCGGGTCATCCAAAACAGTATGGGGAAACGCTCGAATTTTCTTCTTCAAATCGTACCTTTCGGTCCATCGTACGATGGTATCGTCTGAGAGCGTTTCGTCTTTTCTAATCTGATAAGTACCACTCATTTCAACATCTGGAACGGTCAAAGGATCAGTGCTTCGTACCGTAATTTCTTCTGCAGCAAGATGTGGCCTCAAGGAAAAGAAATGATGTATAACGGCCAGGTCGAGGATTCTCTTGCCTACCTCCGCCAGACGCTCGGTATTGCCGTATTCTTCGTCCATTACATCTGCACCTGCATTGGGTCTTGCGGTACGATGCGTGTAAACATCGAGCATGATGTTGTAGTCGCCATTGATCTTCGGGAGGGGAGGTAGTGGTTCCATCGTTCAAGAGGAGAAGAGATAAATAGATATGAGATGCTTTCGATGAGATTATATGCAACCCTTCCAGTGCTGAGGATCAGCGTCACGGACCCATCAACACGTGCAGACAAAAACAGGCGCCTCGGCGCCTCGGCAGGGAGACAAACTGATGGCGGGAGAAAGTCAACTTGCAGATTGATCGTTCAGTTAATGAAAAGCGTAATTGGACTAAGAAAGTGCAGTAGCGCAATAGACTTGTAACTGGTACAGACGGAAAACTTAAAATTCGATGGAGGCTGGGTCGGATAACGATCACGTGGAGCGTGACTTGTACCTCCAACTTGTATTTTTCTTGTCCCATCTTCTTTCGACAGTGTTGCGACCATTCCTCCCTCTTCTCTCTCAGTTTCTACAAACAATCGGATTCGGAACATATAGGCTTCCACGTTCTCGGAGGGAAATTCTGCCATGCCTGCGGTACCAACAAACTCTCCAGTCGACCCAAGAAGAAAAGAACCATTGATTCCAGAGGCATATTTAGATGTACCTACCCAGCGCCTATACTGCCTGAGTCTGGGAGCCTTTATCCAGGTATATTGAATGCTCCAGTATTGTGGCACGTTTTACCCATAATGCATCGTCCTACAGGCTGTGAAGCTATTCGATTTCTTCCGCTACATTGCGTCGTCTGACGAATCGCAAAGCTTATGTGTAAAATGGCTGGCCATCGATATCGCATCCTGCCTATTTCTCTCACAACTGCGCATTCCCCGCCTGAACTATGCCACTTCCGTGGTCGCGTTGCAAATAGTTGCTCTGTGTTTCTTTGACGGGCTGATGTTTGGTGGTGTCAGTTTAAATCTGGCGAGAGCTGGAGGTGAAAGCAGCATATCCCCGGAGGGATACTCGGGTACGTGCCAATGGTTCTTTTCTTTAGTTTCTCTTCTTGATGCCTAGCTTCAGGACGCGGGGATTTACCCTCTGCTCCTCAAGCTTGGAGTTATCTGGATTACCTATCGCCTTTCTTTTTCGGCGCTCTTTCATCCTCATACGGTGCCTCCGGTGACTCACATCTTCTCGGTCAACATACTGTTCGGATGTCACCTATTAGCACCGCAAATCTCAACCCCAATGGCTTGACTTTTTGTTTGTCTTCGCCTGGTGATGTCGCTCTCGTCCCTGTTCTTCTAAACAACACCAATCCTTCATCTCTACGGTATTCTTTGACACCTTTGGGACAGCCCCGAGAAAACGGCGCGGAATATTTTGATTTGTCGTCAAAGGAGTTAAAGGCAATCGAGCAAGCGCATTTAGATGCGCTACAAGTGGTGAAACCTTCAACTTTATCCATTAATGATGATGAATATGACGAATACGACGACGAAGAAGAAGAAGATAGTAACGACTACAATGACGAGCAGTCTTCCCTACAGAAGACCCAGTCCCTAGTGCATATACGACTCACGAAACCGGGTAACGTTCGTTTAGAACGTATTCTTGACGCCTCTGGTATCGAATCGCGACTAGTATATCCAGCAGAGGTTGTGGTAGTTCCGTGTCCGCGAGTAGCGTTTGTTGGAGACAGCAACCTCGACATCCGCTGCGCAGGAGGGGATCCCGACCACCAACTTATGATTGATATCAGTGGTGTCACTCCCTTGAGCCTCAGGTGGTTTAAGATGATAAATGGGAAACAGGAGAGCTTCCTTGTAGAAGGCATCGAAAGCAATCATGACGCGGAATTGAAAGGAACAGGCATGGAGGTGACTCGGAGACAGTTGATACCTTCACAGTTGCAGGTACCACTGTCAGTATCATCCGATACAGTCGGAACACATCTCTATGTACTGGAGGAGGTCATGGACGCGGTGGGCAACACTGTTCGTGTTGGCTCTGATTCGCCATCATCGACATCAGGGCAAGGCGAGTCATTCAGTACTACGACCACCCGTTCTTTCCAGGTGCTTCGTCGCCCAGCAGTGTCGTTCAAGCATTGCAGCCCTGGTAATCCAACGCCTCTCCTCATTGGTTCCGAAGCGTCATTAACCATATCGGCAAATGAGGCTGATTCATTTGACTTACCTTTGGAGGTTACGGTCGAATACCAACCCTCACATGGATCAGATAGTGGCAGTCTCGATGTGAAACGTTTCAAGTCATGGAGGAAGACACTGTCGACACAGGACAACCGAATGGATCTAAACATCCAGGCTGGCGCACCTGGTGAATACGCAATTGAGAAGGTTAAAGGAAAGGTAGTTTGTTCATTAGTTTATCGAATAATGCTCACTCTAGCTCTTGTAGTGGTGTAAAGGTGATGTCCTTGCTCCAGAGACGTGCCAAGTCGTCGAAAGGCCTTTCCCCTCCGCTGAAATAGACTGGAAAAAAATCCATGAGTGGTACGTCGGATTGTATATTCAAGAAACACCGTTAAATCTACGCATAGTTCTGGGGACACCGGCGTTTCTGCGGCGCTTGTATTGCACGGAACGCCGCCATTCCATGTCTACTATCGTATTCAGCAAGACAGTCAACCACCTCGCAACATAACAAAAACTTTTGCTACGTCTCGCGGAGAACTGACTATCCAGCCAGAACGCAGTGGACATTATGTCTTCTCTTTTACTCACATCAGCGATGCCTACTATAGGAAAGTAGAATTGGACGGCCCTAGCATCGATCAAATAATTCACCCTCCTGCATCGGCCGATTTTTCTGGCGGGGAAAGAAGTGCTCCAAGGAGCAAGAGGCAAATGAGTAGCTGCGAAGGCGGTTCAGTCGATGTCGATGTTGAACTTCGGGTAACTCATTTAGTAAGATATTAAGGCAAGATTCATCTTCCTTTCTAGGGCTCTGGACCTTGGAATCTCGAAGTTCAAGTTGTCGGGCCAAAAAGTTCGGATACACTGCTGATCAAAAATATCGAGACTTCAAAGAAAACGCTTCAGATACCAGTTCCAAAACAAGTGGACAGGACAGGTGGGACCTTTGAAATTGACCTCGGTGAGTATCTGGTGTCATATGTACAAGGGTGCAAATTGACATGTTTGTGTACAACAGTCAGTGTAGAAGACAAGTACAAATGCAAACGGCCCATATCTGTGCCTGGCATTTCCGTTAATGTCAGAAGGATCAAGGTGTGCTCAATTGTCTGTATCTAATGATCTGCTTGCTCATGTCTGCGTTCAAGTCTACTGTAAAGTTTTACGGTGAACGCGACAAACGGCACGTCACTGTACTGGAGAAGGAGAAAGCCCGTTTACCTCTGCGCCTCACTGGGGATGGAGTGAGTACACTGTATCATCAATACTTAATAGTGACCTGACATTCTTAAACCAGCCATGGAAGATGAAGTATCGTCGTTTGGAAGCCCCACAACAGGTCCTGACAGCAACTCTTACAATACCAAATGACTTCCTTCATGTCACAGACAAGGGAACGTATGAGATTCTAGAGGTGACTCGAATTCTCTGTCTGTTTGTACGCTGCCTGATATAGGGATAGATATCCGACTCTCAATGTCCGGGTTCCATCGTTGCGGATGGCTTGACGTATCGCGTAGATTGGATCCCTAAACCATCTGCAAAACTTTCTCAAACCACAGCGGCAACATACGAGCCCTACAACGGCTCTTACATTCTTCCGCCTATTTGTGAAGGTATGACTAATCATGTCGAACTTGATCTTAGCGGTAAGAACGCTGCCGTCGAATTCACATACATGACGATGCTAATTTGGAGAGCAGGACGTCCTCCTTTTGAGATCATGTATAACATTGCGCAAAATAGTGAGACTGGAGGAACAAAGCTCATTGATCAACCGACCTTCAATAGCATACAACCTCACACGCGCCTCCAGCTCCAGACATCAAATCCCGGACGTGTGTACTACGAAGTCAAGCAGATTGGTGACTCGTCATATCCTTTGGCGAAGCATCGGAATGCGGTCATTCCCCCGTCAGAACGGCTCTTGTTTGAACAACATGTATCCATGCGTCCCTCTGCCCAATTCAAGAACCGCCATCGGGTTCCATATTGCCTCAATGATCCTTTCACACCTCTGGACCATCTGTCTTCCGATGGAATGGTCCTCTTCCAGGGTACACCACCTTTCAAACTCCGGATGTCCATCAAAAATGTCGCTGCCAGCCATGTGGACGCGAAAACTATCGAAACGTACAGTTCTGCCTGGAAGATTGATTTGCCTTCATATCATTTCTTGAGCATCGGTGCACATCTTGTTACCATTGACTCCGTGTCCGACGCGTCGAGTTGCGACCATGCAGCATTGGACCCTCTTGCAAGTTCTATTTGGGTTGACGTCGCGGAAACAGCCGCCGTTGTTCCTTTCGACAAGCGTGAAGACTACTGTGTTGGTTATCTGGCACAATTCCAGCTAGAGGGCATCCCTCCGTGGACCATTGGGTAAGTCTTGTCCTCTGATCGAGACCCCCGTCGCTAAAATGGATCTTTCTTAGGTACCGCATCAATGGACGCGCTTACACGCAGGAAGCCACGACTTCACCTTTCTCACTAAGTCAACAGCAGGCCGGAGAGTTTACAATCACCTCCATATCGCATCAACAAAAGATGTGTAAAGCAGTTGTAACCGATCTACGCTTCACTATCCACCCACTACCTTCTGCTCAAGTTGGTCACGGAAAACGAATCTATCAAGATATCCATGAGGGTTGGTCATGCCTTCGTCAATAATATCGTGATGCTTACTAGATGCAGGTGATCAGGCAGAAATTGTCTTCACCCTTATCGGCGAGCCGCCGTTTACATTCACTTACCAACGGTCTGAGCCTGTCACGAAGAAGGGTGGTAAACCGGGAAAAGTTCTTGAGACCCACACAGTCTCTCGAGTATACTCAAAAGAATACTCAATTTTTTCGGCATTAGAAGGTAAATATCAATCTTGTTCCACCTTGTCTCATGCTCAGCTTGTTACGTAGGTACATGGACGGTATCTTCAATATCTGACCGCTACTGTCGTTACCCAGCATCTCAACCTGATGCAGGAACAGAGAAACAAAAACGCTGAATATAGTCTGGTTCGATTCTTGCGTAGTACTATCATATTTGTATAATACCCTCACTGTAGTATCTGTTTCACGCATCAGATAAGAGTCAACAGCTGGCACGTTTTATCATTCAATTTTGGTATAGACTTTCAGTTTTCTTCACCATACTCCAATATCCGCCGGTATTCCCCTGGGTGCTCTAAACCTGAGCAGAGGAAATGTAGAACCATTTGGAGACTGGAAAGCATGCGTTAAGGACGATATTTTTTTTTAGCAGACATTGCGAACACTTGCCAGACGGATCGATGGGAGCAGGAGCCTTCCTGGAGTCAGGGGGAATGCTGGTGTACGCGGGGTCATCTCGTCGGATGAATCCGGGGGAGTTCTGAATAGTGATGTTGCGGCTAACATGTGTCAGGAGATGAAAGACATAGGCAAGGGTAAATCCTACATGGAGAGATCATAAGTGGAGGTTTTGGCCGGGCTCTCCCCAGTAATGAGACGGCGCCAGGCTTCGTGGCACTCGTGGACAATTTCTGTAGCGTACTTCTTGTTCTTGGCTTCTCCGGAGAAGGCGAAGGTGTTTTCGGGTTTGCCATCAGGAATCTTGTAGATTCTATGCAAAACGATGTGAATATAACGAACATGATAGCGAAGAAGACGCGCCGTACCTGAACCACTCGTTGGTAGCTCTGATCAAGCCGGGCAGATGCCTTTCTACGTCCTCAATATCGTTCAACTTGGAAGCCAAGGGATCTTGGACGTCAACGACGATGACCTTCCAGTCGGTCTCCCCTTCATCCAAAAGAGCCATGATACCGAGAACCTTGACCTGCTTGACCTGGCCAACGTAGCCGACCTGCTCGCCAATCTCACAGACATCGAGAGGGTCATTGTCACCCTTGGCCTTGGTCTCTGCGTGGGTCTGCGAAGGATCTTCCCAGGTCTACGTGATCGAATTTGATGATCAGCGATGAAACGGTTGATGAGACGAGGACACTCACCTGGGGGAACGCACCGTAGTTCCAGATGTACCCGTGGTGGGGGAAACAGTTGCGCACGTAGCGCAGCTTACCCTTCTTGATGTCCTGCTTGATAGGATTGAAGGGCTCCTCCTTGGAGATCTCCATTTTGGCGTTGGTCCAGCGGGGAACCTCGACAATCATGTTGAAGATTCCCGAGTTCTGGTCCGCAAAGAGCGGGATATCATGGAAGGGTGAGACGACCGAACCATTCTGCTCGATGAATACGCGATGCTCTGGACCAGAACATTCAGGACTACCAGGAGGTCAGGAAATGGGTGCCTACCGAGCGTGTTCGGAGAACCGATGAGACGAGGAGTGTACTCTGCAATTGCAAGTGAATCTAAGGGAGAAAAGGCAGGAAAATGGGCAATGTACTCACGGGAAGTCATTCTTGGTGGAGGTTGGGAAGAAAGGAGTCTGAGTTGATGTGCAAGTCGTTCTGCCGTATTTGGCTTTGAGGCCATCCGTCGGAGATTCTAGGAGATTTTGGAATGTTCTTCAATGGCTGGTGCAATGTGCACATATTCCAAATACTACCCACCTCTCTATTAGTTATCGAAGAGAATGCCCGGAGTAACGAGCCATTAGGCCACATCTATCTTACCTCAGATAGCCGTTCAGACACGAGTAATGCCGCTGACTTCCACTTTTACTCCGCCCCATGCCCATGTCGGACGCACAAACAAATTTATCTAATCTACGCTAGACCACCTTGAACAAGAATATCCGTTTCCTTCTTCTCCTTTAGATGACAATTTGAGAAGCCATTATTGAAATCTAAACGGAGCAATAGCCTTTCAACGTGTCGTCGAACGTCCGCTGGTACACCTTCTGACCCCTTTGCCATCTTCGACACATTATAGCTGGTATAATTAGCAACACTCGCGTTCATGAGTATCGATTTTGATGTATCCATAGTCGTGAACGGCTGTTGCGACGTTGATAACGAGAGTTGATCATAGAACGAGCCCAATAAGCCATGAAACATCTGTGTTTCGTTTCAAGTCAGGCGTATGTACAAATCCCGTGGAACATGTACATTACCTCCTTGATCTCAAAAACAACTTGATGACGTTCCTTCACCATCGCACCAACCTCCTCCTCTCCTCCTTTCAAACTACCTTCGAATAAGAGCGCGGGAAGAATGTCGCCACCCCACCGCTCCACCTGGGCAACGAACCGTTCGCAGACTTCAAAAATGGGAAGAAGAATCGCAGTTAGTGAAGAGTTGGTAAGCAAGCACCCCGTCAATAACCGATCAAGATACATTGAATGGATAGCACGGAGACTCGTAAAGTCTAAAGTCTGGTTGACCGTACTAATCAAGCCGCCACTGCCTGACGGCGGTGGGCCTGACGCAGTCGCAAGAGAATGCATGGAGCTGGAGGAGTATGCCAATCCTCGATTACCCTCCTGTCCCAGCATTTTCTTCAAGCGGCCGTATTCCACGTCAATGACATCCATCATGAGATAACCCAGGAAAGTGTCCAAGAACCAGCCCATGTCACGAATAACTCCCCACCCACATCTTAGGAGCTCTGCCCTGGCCTTCAGGTCCTCGACGGTGCCGCCCTCTCCTAGACCTGTCCAACGTCGTCTCGCACGCTGGGAGTTTGATAAAGAGGTCCAGCACGTGTGTATTCGTGTATGAGTCTTTCTTAGAGAAGACAGATAGGCAAAAAGAGTCCCGTATGCAGCAAGATCGGATGCATGAAGAAATAAGTCTAGCGGCCAAGATACAATATAAGTCAGATCGAGAGGTGTGCCTAGCAGGCTGGAATTGAAGAGTGTAGGATCTATGGGGCCAGGGAAAACGTGTGTCGTTGATGACGAGGTCGGTTTTGGCAGAAGAGTAGTAGTAGTTCCTAGTGAAGGTAGTAGAGGTCGAAGAGGACCGGCAGGCATAGAGAATCTGAGGCGAGAAAGGGAGGGGTCATGTTGGGCGGTTGTTCCAAGTGATGCCCGTAACAAGGCAAGGTTCAGATCTTGTTCACGAATCATAGATACCGAGCCCGAATGCATGGTCAATCGAGAGATTTTCATACGTTCAACCTCTCGTATGAGGGATAAACTGAACTCTCCGTTGCGTAAGAGGAAGTAATTTGCTCTGTTGGCAAATTATATATTGAATGATATGGAATAGAAGAGAAGGAAAGGACACACAAAGAATCGACGGCATCATCAACGTCTTTACGGGTCAAAACATTCAGCCACAGCCACTCGCTAACATTTGTCCTAATTTGCGCTATAACAATGTCAAAGGCATGACGATCTTCCGGAAATACTTGTTCAAGAAGAGACGTATGCTCTTGTGCCAAGTGTCGAGGGAGCTGCTTCCGCCACTTGGCGGTTTTCACGGTTGCTATGGCGCGTCCGATATACGCAATGGATTCCCGTGACTGGGGCGAAACACATGCCGGCACGGATCCGTCTAGAAGGACATAAGAATCTGACGTGAGAGGATCCACAGCAGCGAGGGACCCATGAACAATGAATCCAGTCAGTTGTGTTCTCCAAACACTTTGCACTGCAAGAGACAGACGAGACAGAATACTGGCTATCCTACTGACTCCTGTCTTCGATCGCTTCAGGAGTAGGTCGATAAGCGGTCCTGGTTTCCAATGCGATATCGCCTCGATTTCATCCATCAATGAAAGCAAGGCAGCGAAAGGCGCGTCCCACTCGGAGAAAATAGCACGAACGGAGGATAATGGCACAAACGATCCACTAGCGACCAAATTTGCGTCGCGCTTGAGGACCTTTTCTTCTGTAGAGATGACAAGGTTCTCGTACTCGTCTTTAAGTACGCGGCTGAGTGTCGCGCAAAGGGCACATATGTAACGGGATGGCGATTGGGAGAGGGTAAGGCATGATTTCTTCAACTTCCGATACCGAAACGAGGTTTGGCCCAGAGATTCGAGGCACTGTTGCTCGCCTGGGTGAAGAAGAGGGAGAAAAGTTGGGTGTAGCTTGTGGTCTACAGGAAACAAGGAAGACTCGTGTCCTGCAAGGACGAGAAATACTTCTGCAATCATAGCTAAAAGATCTTCAGCGCACAGAAAACGGAAAGAGAAAGCTCACCTCCTCGTAGTTCTTGGCAAAACGCGCTCGTCACATTGTCACGATCCCGGATAATTCGGTCATCAATTCCGAAGCGCCGTGGCTGTGCCCCATCCCAGTCCTATGTCGTGAACGCCGCCACAACACATACAGGATGGACCATACAAAGCACCCTGCCGTCCTCGACGTCCCGGCCTTTGACCTCGATGATGCCTTCTCAGACGGTGACGACGTTGACGTTGCTTTTGAATTCTCCCCAGAAGCAATTAGAGAAGAAATGGTCCGAACCAGGTCTAATGGAGATTTCATCGAGGACGAGGACGGGGAACCACAAGGTGTATCCCATGGAATCTTCCACACGTCCGTATCTACTCTTGATATGGATGGCACCGGCGCCCCTCCATCTTCAGTCCTGTCCACATCGTCTCCTTCGATGTCTCCGGATAGTTCTCCTCAGTTTGTGTCGATATCGCTGTCACGCTCGACCTCTGGCGCCGAGGTTAACGATTACAGAGAGACATGTGAAGAGGCGCCTGAACAAGAAGAGGTGGTGGCCGAAGATGAGACGTCAACTTATCCAAATGTCCAGATAGATGTGTCCCAGCCCCCTTCTCACAGAGTGACGCTTTCTATCGACTCTACTCACTCTCGTGCTTCCACTGAAATTCAAACACTTCATTTCGATTCTCATTCTCCCCCCCCTTCTTCTGACCGGTCACCACCTTATTCCGCTGCGTCTGCGCAGTCGCTGCCTGTATCGGTGCTGGAGCGAGGCGGTGTACTTTCGACATCCACCTCATCATCGTCGGTTTCCACACCCGGTACCCCTGTTGCATCATACTCGTTGCCTAACACTCAGCCTCCCCATCTTGCACTGCCCCAGACATCAAATGGCCATAGACAGACTCGCTCCCCCGGACCTAGCGTATTGGAAAAGATCATGAGCAAGACAAGGCCGTCATTTTTGCCTCCAAAAAGCCGCCAGGAAGACAAGAAGCATATGTCAGATTGGCAGTCTATGATGAAGCAAAGTCGCGCCGCAGGTAAGAAAGAAATGTCAATGAATAACATTATTTTAATAATTTCTGCTAGCTGAAAAGCGTAGAAAGGCCCTTGAAGAACGTCGGAATGTTCGCGATAGGAAGATAGATGAATCTATACATCTATGGGAAAAAGATATCATACCAGATTGGCGAGTTGTCAACAAAAATCCTGCTCTTCGAAGGATGTGGTGGCGAGGTATACCTTCAAAACTGCGCGCGTCCATGTGGGAACACGCCGTTGGCAACCCCCTGGCATTAAGTAAAGGTGATCTAACTAAATCTCACAATTGATTTACGTCTCTCTGACGGATTGCATATGTAAAATAGACAACTACCGTGTATGCCTATCGCGCTCTAAAAGGGCTCTCACCAGTGGGACTTTTCCTCAAGCGACCCTCGAGCTCATAGAAAAAGATATTTCTACTACGCTTCCCGCGCTTCATATTTTCCATCATGAAAAGGGCCCCATGTATACCGATTTGAAGGACATGCTTTTTGCCTGGGTTGTCTCGCGAACAGATGAAGGATTGGGATATACCCTAGGTGCGGCGAGAATTGCTGCGATGCTTTTGATCAACGTACCTCTCCCGCAGGCCTTCGTGGTCATGCGTAATCTATTAGAGCGTCATTGTATGCGAAGCTTTTTCGGGGGAGACGGCGCTAGAGAAGATGTGAGTGGTTTCTACACCGTGAGTGAACCATTCGTGCTAACAATTGAACCAGATCGAGGCCTATTATAGGTATATAGTAACATCTGCTCCCCTGTTTTATGCCTTTGACATCACAACGCAGAATATTCGATACCTTACTTGCGGATGGAATGCCGAAAAGTATAATGCTTCATTCTCTAATTCACCCGATATTCTGGACTGATAAATTCATGGATTTCAAGTTTACTTTAACTTTAAACAACATCAAATATCCCCGGCATCGTATCTCCCCGACTGGCTCATACCGCTGTTTCTCGACCACCTACCGTTCGAATCTTGCGCTCGTGTATGGGACGTATTGATTCTCGAGGGAGACTCTTTTCTCTACCGGGCCGCCTTGGGCATTCTGGCTGTCCTTGAACCAAGGTTGTTCTTTCCTGATAAAAAGGAGCTTTTGGAACTTCTAAAGTATGGAACCTTTTTTTCAGGCTAAACGAACAAGTGATCAACTTGATTTTCTTTTTTCATGATAGGGGAGAAAACAGAGCTGCGATTGACGTAGCTACGCGGGAGGGTCAGAGACTTGATGGAGGAAAGTATGAAATATACGGGGTAAATGAAGAAACCCTTTGGGACCGGATTGACAGCATGGATGATTGGTGGAAGGAGAGTACGTGGACTCGGCTGATACAACGTGAACTACCAGATTTGTGATTGGTCCTTGTAATTGTACCTATTTTCGTTAATATTGTACTATACATAGACGTGGCGATCGAGCTATGTAAGGCCTGCTGAGGTTCGGAGTCGTTAAACATAAGCGAATGCTTTTATCCCACAATCTGGAAGCAGACCGGGCAATACGGGCATGCCAAAAAAGAAAACTCACTATCAAGTATCCGAAGAACCGGGTTATTGAACTTTTAGCCTCTTTCGCAGCGCGATGGAGTGTCCTGAACCTGAGGGCCTTACTTTTTTGTTTTATAAGTAAAAGTTTATATGCAATAGCTACTAAACGTCATTCTGAAACTCTTGAAATGGTTTTTTTTTTTTTCGATTCTGCGTGTTATTAACAGTCACAAGTACGCTAACTGCTAAGACGCGATGGGGGGACTGGTGTCCCTCCATTCATGTATCTGATTTCCTCTGATGTGTCAATGTGGAATGTGGAGCATAGTAATTCTGAAATGAGTAAGGATTCAAACGAACGTCATTATCTGGGATTAACTTCCCCAACAGATTTAAATAGCGTTGAGCATATCCTTATCTGCGAGGTCTATACTTCACGCTTAGAAGCAGCACGCCGGCCCTACAGGGATCTCGACGCAGGTGTATTTAACCCAGTATAGTTACAACATCAAGCTTCATTCCTGCATGCGTGACCGTGTCTAAGACCATGAAAGTAGTGGCACTCAAAAAAGTGGGCGACCAAAAGTTGATACCGTCGTGTCCTGTCTTTTGACTTGGAGTGTCGACTGCGATCATACCCTACAGGGTCGTCGTAAATATTCGTCTTTCGAGGCCACTGTGATAGCTGTCGATGCCAACAGGCTTTGCTATTGATTACTACGTGTTTCAAGCGGTCATCGATTCAACGCGGAAATGTCCGAGAAATAGTTGCAAACCGAACTTACGAGGAAGAGTACCTTTGATAAGCAAGACGTGATGCTTTCTTGTCATGATGAATGACCCACGATAAGAGCAACAGGGTCCCTAGCCTCCAAATGGGCGCTTCTGTTGCTGATAGCCAAGAATAGACTACTATACCTCGAGTTTCATCACAATTGAACACGCTGGGGGACGACGCCCTGTTTGGAAGTAGTGAATACGAAAGCTTTAATTGAATTGACCCGTAAGCCGTACTCTCCGGAGAAAAAGTCGTAAGCTGCCCCCTAGGATGCGGCGAATGTGTGGTGGAATTGTACAAATCGATTCGATCCCATCCAGTCTGATACAAGACCGTTATCAAAGCATGGGAAAACCACACGATGTGTATACATACACCTAGATCATGGCCTGTCTCTCGTAATCATCTTGGTTCATGCAGGGTGCAAGATCGACGAGAGACAAGGCGGCTTTGCAAAGTGAACGGTGGTGATAGGGAGTTGGACTGGATACAATATCCTTGACGTTTCCAGCCGTTAGCTGAGTGGCAATAACAGTGACATTGAAAAAGGACGACAAATTAATCAAAAAATTCGTGGTGGCGATAAACGGAGGGGATTTGGGATGTTCAAAAATTCTGATTACCATAAGCAAGCCGCTCTTCTACCTGTCGAAATGTCGTTGCAAGGCCATTCAATGTCCACCTTTTGACGCTGGGGAAGACAAACTGAAGGACTAGTATCGAAGCGAGCCCGACGTAGGCCCACGATGGTCGAAGCAGAGTAATAGGATCGTCAATCGGTTATGCAGGTGTATAACCTTGCGCCTCTTGAGGTCCTCAAACTCCCCCGACCCTTCAATAGCAGAGATAAGCCAGTAACCGCATAGATGCCGCCACCAAGTACAAAGGTTCATGCAGACCACAATACGTTCCCTGTATGATGTCCAAGATAACCAGGGTATCCCAGTTCTCTGGCTATTAGGGTCGTCGAAGGATGAGATGGAACTGATGGAACAGGTCACAGTAACAATTTTGATTTTCGGGACCGGGTAATCGGGCCGACATCACGGGGCTTGCCGAAGAGAACGCGACGTCGTTTCAACTTTGTGATCCTTTCAACCATCATGACACCATTTGACCTCAAGTGCTTCTCCAGATCGCCGGTGTAGAACGCCGAAGCAAATGATTCCTGTTCGTACATTATTCTATGGTTCAAAATATTTTACATTGATGCAGATATCAGCGAACGATGTACCACCAAACGTCCAGTCCATGCCAAATGAATGAAAATATTAAATAATGTTAGTCCGTTAGTCCCTAGTGGTCATCCGCGCCCGGATGCCCCCACTTTACAGTTCTCGTTACGCCATTCTGCCATGTCTCAACTCGCCGACGAGCGAGGAGTGACATTGTGGACATTTCCGTGCCAACGAACCCTACTCCGCCAGATTGTATAGCCGCATCAATGAGGACCGGGTACCTATTGTGGCAATGAGCATGTCAACGAGCGTGTTCATCAATGAAATGCACTTACCAGTCTCCAAGCAGCTCCTTGGTGCGAGAATGATCTGGAGCGAACCAACCCTGTTCTGCAACCTCCTGCCACCAACTCGCGTTTCTCTCATCACTTGTCATCACGACATATTTGACGTCAAGCCCTTTTGTTGCCAACAATTCGTCTTTGACTTCCCGTACCCGTCGAGCAATGACGGGAATAGGTGCAAAACAATCTGTTAGTGGCATGTCCCCGCAATAGCGATCAAAGTCGTAATGGCGGACGTGGACGCCGATGTACTGTTTAGGCGTTAGCTAGCCAGAAGAGTTCTAGCAGGGAGAGATCATACCGGAGGGGTAGGTTCGTCGTCTCCAAGACCGATGGCCCGATTTGTATACACATTCGCCAGGCGCTCTAGAGAAGGAACCCAATGCATATACTGCGCGACGAAGCGCCATGCAGGACTGAAATCGGCTTCGAACTCGTTTGGCTATGGCAATTCTCAGCTCGGCAGTATTTCTTTGACGGTATTTTTACTCACCTGTTGCGCGCAGACGTAATATAAATAGTCGTAACAAAGCATCTGCTCATCAGGTGGTAATGAGACGTTCGTGGCAGGCGAGGGTAGTGGCGTCACAAGGTTTGCATTTCTAGTTTCGGGGTAGGCGAATCTCGCTAATGTCCAAAAGGTCGTGGAATAGTCATGTTCAAAGTCTTGATACAGCTTGATCCAGGCAGGCATTTTGGTATATGAGATATCTGCATATTGTGGTCAGTATAAGCAGGCCAACAGCAAGGTCTCTGCCTACCTAGCCCAAGATGGTATAGAACGGGGCTTCCACGCGGGTGTGCTTCTTGATACTGAGAAGATTCCCAAACATTCCAGCAACCTAGGTTGTCGAGTTGGTTACTGGCCGGATCTTTGACGTCTCGCCACTCGATGATCGGCTTGTTTATAGCATTCCGAAGGCGCGGAACATCAAAGACATCACCGAACGCAATGGGGGGCACGGAACCACCAATGTGCGATGGCGTGAACATTGGAATGACGGGTACTCGGTCGGTGATTATTCCCAGATAGATTAAATTGACCTGAAAAAAAAAACAGACAAGGTGAGTCCATATTGATGGAAATTTGGGGGGGGAGAGATCGACGAACATAAGTCATCACGTCATTCGCTGTGTATGATGTTAGTCGTCAGTCGTCAGTCGTCCGTCTTGGCTTGTTAGCGAAATAACTCACTCCAACCGGCAGAGATCCAAGACGTGATGTACTGCACGTCGGGGCGAAGGTTATCTGGATAACATTAACGAAGCCGTGATGGTGGGGACGAGGCTGAACTTGCCTCTGAAGTGCTCAGTGGGTGCCCCTAGCACATAATTCGAAGGATCAAGGACATCAGAATTCCCTGTGCGCAAGTTGGTGGAATCGTCATGGCTGGGTTCTGCAGCTCGACTGGCAGTGGGGGATGACGTCCAGAAGGAAAAGGAAACAAGAGCGATGAAGGAAAGAAAAGTGAGGGAAATGGCGGCATTGATGTAGGCGCGGCGGCGGGACTTGGCGGCAACGCGGTACACGGTGTCGAGGGAGTCATCTGAGACGGGGGACTGTGAACGGGCGCGGGTATATTTGGCACTCATAGGAGGAGAGGGGGGGGGAAGGAGGACGACATCATCGGGGGGAGGATAATAAATGCAAGTGCGCCACGGGTCGAAATGCGAACCACTCTGTCACAATCCGTGAGCAGTTCGCTCGACTGGATTGTCGCCGAGGTACATCAGGGCGATCGAGATCCCAGATCCCATCTCACTGCCCCAGGCTCGGCACAGATGCCGCTGCTCTCTTCAAACATAAAAAGTCTGTTCGCCGCCTTCAAGTCGTTTCCCGCAGTGTCCTCCACTCCCCAGCCATGGTCTCCCTTCCCAATGCCAGCAGCCTCAAGGTTGCAGCCGTCGTCGGCTTTTACATGTCCGCAGCTCTAGTGGTAGGTCTTATTCCTCCTCCCCAATTTACAATTACTGAATCTGTATCCCGTTCTAGATGGTCTTTGTGTATGTCCTTGATGGCGTAATATTTTTCAATGTTACTGAATTCGATTTTTTAAAGCAACAAAGCCGTGCTGAATACCTCACCCGATCTGCCTTTGCTCTTTTTGTTTATCCAGCTACTCATCGCGGTCGCATTACTCCATATCTCTGCTCTTGCATCCACCAAGATTCAGCTACCAAAGATAGATCCAACCGTTGCCAAAAAGCTAATTCCAGTTGTCTCGATAAACATCATTGGTCTTGTCTTCAATACGTTGTGCTTGCGAGATGTAGAGGCATCGTTTTTCCAGGTAACACTCCCAAGTGTCATTTGTCATGTCAGAAGCTAACTGTCAGTGTAGATTGCACGGGGACTGCAACTTCCCTTGACTATTCTCGTTTCATCAGTAAACACTCGCTCAACTCCATCAAGGAAAGTGATGGGTGCTGCCGTGATCGTGACCTGTGGTTTCTTTCTGGGTGTTGCCCCCTCCAAGTCCGTTCCTGTAATGGCTGCTCCGTCCCTGATCTCCCTCTGTTACGGCTTCCTCTCCTCCCTGTTTATCGCATTCCACGCTGTTCTTATCAAGAGTTCCTTGCCTCATTGCAATAATTCCACGATCGAACTGGCCTGGTGGACAAATGCAGGGTCAGCAGTTATGCTCTTCCCGTTTGTCATCCTAAAAGGCGAGCCATGGCGCCTTGAAGAGCTGATCCAAAGCAGCGAATGGACCGGAAACGTGTTTATGTGGGGGTGTTTGGTAACCGGCCTATTCGGGTTCTTGCTGTGTGTCGCTGGTCTGCTCAGCATCAAAGTTACGAGCCCTATCACGCATATGTTCTCAAGTGTAAGTCCCGCCGGGGTATTCGGGTATTGCTATGCAAATAATGAGTCCTGATGCAACTGCAGGCCGCTCGCTCGGTGCTGCAAACACTCCTTGGAGTCTGGATCTTCAACGACCTTCTGACTGTGTACGCTATATTTTTTCTCTGATGGACCTTGATATCTTTAATAGTGATGCTCTCTCTAGTAACCGTGCCTCATCTATTCTCGTCATTCTCGGCGGAACGATGTATGTGATTGATTGATATCGTTCACGCCTTCTCCCATCCTCCGAGCTCAACTATTTTGAACAGGTTCTATACATGGGTGAAATCCAGTGAATCGGCACCGCGTCCGGCACCGCCGCCGTCCCAATCGCAGCGTCAAGATGTTGATCTTGAGACGCTGGAACGCGGGGATGGAACGCCGAAGGATGACGAAGAGAGCATTGTACTGTGGCAGGTACCTGAGAAGGAGGAAAAAACATCTTCATGACAACTTGAACGACAATGTAGATAGCAAGTAGCACAGGCAAGTATATCCCAACTTTTTGCTTGTGATCAGAGGCGAGGCGCTCCTTGGGGAAATCAGACAAGTGCAAATCCCAATTGGCAACTCCGAGTCTTGGATCCCATCACTGGGACCTTTAGTGAGTGACGCTAGTTCCGGGCATCGTATGTGGCGAATTTGTAAATGATTATGAACTAACTTGCGTTAACAAGCGCGCTCTTCTTCAACAGTTTCAGGCCGTCCAAAGTCCTCGAAGAAGGTGGTAGCTGCCGTTATGCGGGCAGTTGTAATTCATAGATATATCTGCAGGCTAGTAACTTATTGTTTTCTGTAGCAAGATCAGATGTCGATACTTCCGCTTCCTGATTAAGCTTTCTGATCGTGCAGCTATGCATCGTCGTAGCTGACTAAGAAACTCGATCTTTCAAAACCCAATCAATTTCAACCGGCCAGCCCAGCTGAAATCCTGCGAGCTCTTCGCAGCATCTTTGCTACAAATTAAACGGTATCGTATGACACTTTAATGAATTTTGGCAATGATTCGTAAGTATCTACTGTCAAGTTGATAACGCCGGTATTCATATTTTTGGCCCCAGACTAGAGTTGGAATATTACGGGAAAGATGCCTCATTCGTTGCGATACGAACGAACCAGTTCTTGATGCACGTGTGGAGGCCGTGACTGGGTCCTGACCGCCGGTTCCATACTATTATTTGATGCAACCCGCTCAATTGCCTACTGCATGATGGGTGGCCCCGTTCAATTGCCCGCAGAGATGCCATCTCTGCACCCGCAAACTTATTCATTTATATTAACACTTCGCGGGCTTGCTTCTCCGTTTGCTGCATGGCCACCTACACACAACATCTCCCTTCCCCAGCTCTCTCAGAGGTATCTGCCCATTCCGGCCAAGCGTTTCTGCCTGTCCAACCATCCCCGCCTGCATGTCACTATGAGCGCCGACTGGGAGACACAGAGGCGTCGTACTTTCTTCCCTCACGCGAGAGCGGTGTCAACGACATGTTCGTTCTGTAGTTGGGTCTCTTCAGGCCGTTTGCTGACCCTAGGGCCCCTTGAACTAGGTATCTGCACCTGGGCTTCAGTGCACCCACTCGATATGTTCGCTGTTCGAGAGTGAGACTGGTCTGGGCCATTCTTCGTGTGAGACATCCCCTTCTCGCCTCAAAGGTGCAGATGCACGACTATGAAGATATTCGATTTCTGTACGTTTCCCATTCTGTACCTTATGCCCAAAAAAAAAAAAAAAAAGATTTAGTCAACTTACATCCAGGTACACCTCCCCGGCGTCAGTCGAGGAAGCTGTCCATGATGCGGATCGCAACCTAGAATCTCGCAACTCAGTTAAAGATGGTGAGTTTCTTTGCTGTCTTCCCCATTCGATGATCGCCTCGAGGCTTACTATTGTTCGTTCCCCCTTAGAATTGATTGATTCCTATTTGAACGGCCCTCGCACTTTGTCCACGGATCGTCTGTCCTATCTGATTATATCTTCCGCTGATGAGGGATCCTCGCTTCCCAGTCCTCCGCCTACGCCCATTCCATCTACTACGGCGCCTCATGGTACAAAAGCAAGTCTGAATCATGACATTCTCATCTGCGCAACCCATTTCCTGGGTGACGGCATGGCCCTACATCAATTCGCCAACGACTTGTTCAGTCTCCTGGGAAGCTCAAAGGACGAGAAAGATCTCGAGGAGATCCTCAGAAACGAGTGGGAGACCAGGTGCAACAAAGTTGATGATGTCAGTGTACCTAGTTTGGCTCCACTTTTCTTTCTTCTGATTCCTTCTGATTGATATTTTAGGAATCCACTCTACCATCGTCCCTGGAGGATAGGCTTCCCACGGGCTCCACTGGACGGTTTTACCGTGCAGCCTGTCGGGTTGATTTCCAACGGTGCCAGGATAAATTAATCGTAAGCCTCTTCAGCTCAAAGCTCGGTCTGTTACCTCACGTCAATTAATTAAGGGCGGGCATACATTTCCTCGCAGGTCTGGCCAGCTTCGGCGGACCATTGTCCCAACCATCTCCATTGATGCAGAAAGAACGAAGAAAATGCTCAAGGCATGCAAAGCACACGGGGTTTCAATATCTAGTGCATACTTCGCTCTTTGTAATATTGCATGGGCGAGGACCACGGATTCCAAGTGGCAAGTTCCCTCGTAAGTGTATATTCAATATGAATCTTTGGGCCGAGGAAATTCCTCGGACTCTGATATCAGAGTTCCTCAGGATGATGTACTCTGCTCTCAACCTCCGCCCTAATCTCATTGCCAACAAGGCGCTGAACGATTCGTACTGGTATCTCGCTATCGGATACTTCAATGTCGTCCTACCTTCCTTCTTCCCAAAGACCGGCGACGTTTCTAGAACATTCTGGCATCGCGCTCGTTCAGCAAAGGAACAGAGCACCTTGGCTGCTAAAAGCCCCATGCTCATTTCTAGAAGCCGTGAGATGGCTCGTGAGCGAGGTGCTCGGGCACGAGTCTGGGGAAAGGAAGACGATGAGAAGACACGAGGCGTTTGGGTACCCCCACCCCCCAAACCAGCAGTCCAAGAACCTGCCCGCGCGCCATCTGCGGTACTTATTGGGTTGTCTTTACTTGGAAATCTTGATGGGATCTACAGGCATGCAAATTTCGGGGACGTGAAGATGCATACGTTGACGACGGGGTCTCGTCAACGCGCTGGGGGGATGCTCTTATTTGGGTATACATTTGTTGGAAAGCTCTGGGTCAGCTTGGGGTACGACGAGAATGGATTTGAGAAGGAGACCGTGGACAAGTTTTGGAACAATTTGCTACAGAGCACGGATGAATTCTTGGACGTGTGACGCTATTATTATTATTTGCATATTATTCATTATCGGACTAGTGCTAGTCAATTTGCATAGGTTTCTTACGCAGTTGCATTCAGCACGCACCTATTTATTTGTGAGATCGAAAGCTGTACTTTGAAACGTCGCGTGCATGCAGGTTATGCACTATTTCAATTTTAATTAAGGTCACCACCGCAGCAAGTATCCACAAACGGTGACATGTGGCCGAAATAGTTTGAACTTGAATTGGTTCATATTTTGAGCTTCACTTGTGCCCAAGTGCACCTTCCCACACTTCCGAGCCGTCACAGTTTGCTATGCGTGTCTCGGTCCGTTTCAAGCCATCTTGTAATCTCGTCCACCCGCCGCCGCCTGTCTGCGTGCGCACTCAAGGTGCAAAGCTTCAGAATCAGTGCTGTGTTGGTGGCTCCTGGGCTCCTACAGCAGATGTTTGACACTTTCAACCTTGTATAGTCAGTCACTCGCATTTTGAATACACCATATATTACATGATACAGTGTACCCTACGTCCTTGTTCTTACCTTGTATTTAGTTCAAGTTACCTAGCTACTTACTTAAGAGAAAATTACGCATATGCTACAACCAAAATACTCGTACAACCAAACTACATATACCTCCAAGATCACTCCCAAGCTCCCGGAACAGCCTTGGAGCCGGAGGCCTTGGGTGGAGTCTGATGTCCAGCGTCCAGCTCCTCGATAAATGTAGTGACTATATTATCCTCAACCTCCTTAGTCACCTCAACGTCGGGAGGAACATGGGAGCGAATTGTCAAAGTCATGTCAGGGTGACCTTTTTCCGTGAATCCCATGTCGCCAAGCTTCTTGACGATCCGTCCTACGGCCCTATCGGCGGGGCTGAGCGAAACAGTATGCCCGTGATACGTGTTAGCGCGACGCGGAACGCCTGTCATCTCGAGCTGGGGGTAACGACCACGCGCTTGGCTAACAAGTTGCGGAGTTGGAGGAATAGGTATACTAACGGGAGGCGACGCGGGAGGAATAATGGGTTCAGTTTCCTCCGTCTTTGGAACGATGCTGTCCTCCATAGACCTGAATGCGTGATGAGTCGAAGCATGAAGACGAGGAAAAGAAGATACATACATTTCAGCAGGAGGAGGTGATGGAGGAGGAGGGGCAAGACGGTGGCTCCACATTTTCGCTCTCTGTCGCTCAGCACGGTCCCGACGATACCTTTCTTTCTCGGCCTTGTACAAGAGCTTGGCAGCTTCAACTTGCGCCCTAAGCTCCTGAGGAGTTGACTTAGGGGAAGGGAAATCAGCAAAAGGGGGCGGGGGGGGTTCCCTCCTTGACCAATGAGGTGGAAACGCATGACGGTTGTCATGATCAGGCGGGGATGGGAATCCGTGATCAGGAGGTGGGGGTGGGGGAGGGAATCCGTGACCAGAAAGGGGCGGTCGTGCAGGAAACATATGTGGAGACAATCCAGGAGGACCATCACGATGCATACGAGGAGGGAATGAACCCGGGGGCGGCGGCGGTCCGGGGCGATGAGCACCAGGAGGCGGCGCCCATCCATGGGGTCCAAAAGGCGGGCTAATACCGCGGCGAGGCCCACCGCCATGATGACCTCCACGACCACGACCACCAGGAGAATTATAGAATGGAGGGAACCAAGGATGCCATGAAGCCCTTGGGGAAGGCGCAGACGCTCCTCCCGCGGGAGATCGTTCACCGGACCCTGCAGCTGAGGGATCCACCGAAACACCTGCAGCTTGAGCGACAATGCGAGCGAGGTGAGCTATAGCATAGGAGACCCTAGTGGCAGCTTCCTCTTCAGCCTTCTCAAGTTCTGTCCTGGCCACCTGCGAATATTCAGTGGCGGCCTGGTGCAGAGCTTCGCGATGTGCGGTCCAGTAACTGCCGTTGGCTGCATTCTTGATGAGGTTCCTGAAGCCCTCGGACAACTCTGGGTGAGCTGCAAAGGCACTGGAGAAGGCGTCAATGACAGATGCAACGTCGCGCGTGAGAGAAGGGGTAGGATGGGCATCCTCGAGAGGCGCAAGAGGTGGATCATCATATTCGGCTGCCAGTGTCTGGGTGGCGTCGGCGACTGACTCGTTATTGACTTTGGGAGCTTCGGACTCGACAGGCCCGCTCATGCCCTGCGAGACCCCCTCCTTCGGAGTGCTCTGGTTACCAATAACTGGAGCAACTGAGGAAGGCTTGTTGCTCTTGGGAGGAGAGGGGACGATGTTTGAGAAGTGAGGGGTGGAGTGGGCGCTTAAGGGAGGCAAGGAACTTCTGTCAGTGTTGAAAGGGCGGAATGGAGGCGGAATACTGTCGGTGGAGACAGATGAAGAGAAATCAAAAGCCTTTCCCTTGCCCTTATCGAGAGGGTGCGGGGCAATGCTATCGTCATCCGAAGAGGAGTCGAGACTTTCGGGAACTGACTCGACAAATCCATGTTCCTCCGTGTCGGGAGGCATAAACATATTTGTAAAGTTGGGGACACGGATACTTTGCCAGTCGTCGTCGACATGGAAGGGTAGATTTGGGTCACCCCCGAAGGTGTCACGATGGCTGGTAGGCCCAGCGCGAGGGGTCTCGGGCAAAGACTTGTCATCGAGGTCAGCCCTGGAGAGCCTCATATCCTGCACCGTGAACTTTACGACTTCCCCAGACTTGTGCGTAGCCTGAAAGAAATCCTGGAGCTCATCCTGGGTACTGAGGGTGACTTTGTCGTCGTCAGCGTCAATGTAGGTAACGGCAATCTTATCGAAGGGTATGTCATAGAGCGTGTTGATCTTGCTCGCAAGAGTCCTCCAAATCGGCTGGTTGGGGAAAGAAATGCGACGCGTCTGACCGCTACGCTCGTCTCGAAGTTTGAACTGAATAGCCATTGTGAGGAATGAGAAATGTAAAGAGTAGCCATTTACCGGTCCGCCTTTATATATGTCGGCAATTTCAAACTCCGCTTACCAATCAGGCTGCGCAGGCTCCATCGGTGCCGGAGAGCACAGCATTCCATGCTGCGCAGAACAGTCGAGAATCACAGTCAAACTTCATCTGATTCATTTTTCCTTTGCTAGTGTACAATACCAAGTTAACTTGTTTACGATTTATCATCTACGCGAAGATAGAGATACGAGGGTCGATGAGTATAGGATCGTTCAACTGGAAAGAAATGTGAACGAGTCAACAAAATAATCATATAAGAGACACACCCTCAGGTCAAGATTGAGATCGCTAATGCTCTTGAGTTGCTGATCAGACAAGTCGAATTCAATACTGCCCAGGTTCTCAACCAGGCGGTCGTGGCTGTTGCTCTTGGGAATGACGGCGATGCCGCGTTGCGTGGCCCATCGAAGCAGGACCTGCGCCGGAGCTGACATCAAGCAATGAGTCATTTCTGCACATAAGAGAATTGATGTGGACGCGACTGACTCTTCTTGGTTGCAGCCGCAATTGATTTGACTGCGTCGAGAGTCAAGAGACTAGCTGCAGACTTGTCCATGCCTAGTTCAACATATCCTTGAGGTCCAAATGAAGAATAAGCAGTAACCGCAATTCCCCATGCTTTGCAGAAATCAACAAGCGGCTGTTGGTTGAGGTAAGGATGCAATTCAATCTGAAGAACCTGAGGCTCGTATCGAGCGTATCTCAAGAGGTCTAGGATCAAAGACGACTGGAAATTGCTTTGGGAAATGTCTCAGCGCGGACCAACATGCTTTACGCTCGATATTCACCTAATTCCGATGTTCTTTGCGAGACCGGCATCAACTAGCTCCTCCATAGCGGTCCAAGTCTCCTGAACGGTCGTGTTCGCTATTCACTCCAATTGGCAAAAAGAAGACGGTATACGTATACGACAGGCCTACCGAGATGAACCTTGCCGTCATCGCCCCACCATTCAGGAGGGTAGCGGTGGTTGGGGTCGACATACTCGAGAGCAATCGGGAAGTGAACGAGGAAGAGATCAAAGTAATCGATCCCCCACAACTGAAGCTGCTTTTTGGCAAGGGCGTGCACCTAAGATCGCGAGATTTAGAAAGACCACTTAATATATGTAGATATCGATATACTCACATGTTCCTTGGCGTGGAAGGTGTTCCAGAGCTGACGACATCATAGGTTCATTTATAACGAGCATTTTCTGAAAAGTTACTGACCTTGGAAGTAATAACTAAGGCAAGTGTCAGCGACAGATGATGATGGATAGCAATAAAGACGTACAAAGATCCTCTCTCTTGACGAGCCCGTCTGCAATTGCCCTGCGAACACCCTCACCTGACTCTTTCTCATTGCCATAGTCTCCAGCACCATCAAACAGACGATATCCAGCCTTGATGGCGTTGTATACGGTCTGGAAAGCAAGGTTAAATATCCGTTGCGGGCCGTTAACATGCAATACTCACATCTGCACACGAGGACTTGGTCACCTGGTAAGTGAAGGGAAAGTTAGTCTGTCGTCTAGAAGGTTCAAGATATTATGTACCTTCCAGAGACCAAAGCTGGTACGGATTAGGAACGTTCATTAGACGGGTAAGAGAATAACAACTTACCCAAGCAGCGGCATCTAATAGCACAAGTAGATAGATGATATGATCAGCATCTTTAGGGTTAGAGCGAAAGAGCAGAAAGGACCTTTTGATTCGTCCTTTTTAATACAACGGTAGACATGATGGTGGTGAAAGAGAAGAGGCAAGATGTGAAATAGAATGCACCCGTTGTGGACTTTTATATAGAGAATACACAGCGCCACGGCCCGGAATTGAGCCTATAGCCATTTGCTTATCGATTGCATGATCTTCCACCGGGTGAGCCTCGGATCTGCACCCATCCACTTCCACTTCTTCTATATGTAGAATACTGTTCAGATCACCAGTAATATGAGCGCCACCATTGCAAGGATAAATTCCCTTGAATTCTCCTGTATCGTCTGCATGCGAATTTCCATTGCTGAGATCGGCAGCTGAGATTAGTTCAGGGCAAAATTCAAAATGGGTGATTAGACCCGTAAATGACGTCATAGTCACGTGCTCTGTCGAAATTTTTGCTCTCCGACGCGACGAGGGTCAAAGACGACGTCCAGGCTAGATTTCGTAAGGTCATCTCGTTCCCTGAATGTACTGGAATAAAAGAGTTTATTTAGACATGCCTATCCGCTCAGCGAAATGCGGTTTCATACCGTCGGACTTGGTCCAATAGGTTCACTCATCACTCATCATCTGAAAACCAGCATTGCTCCCACCGACACGGTCACCATCATCCGTAGGAACTCCAGACAAGCTCGCGAATTTGGCGAGCTGTTTGGAAATACTCTCCGCGTTGAACACCATGGCATACCTTCCATCTCGACGGGTTACTTTTGCCAGATTCCCAATCCATCACTTTCACATTCTCCGATTCCACAGCAAACATCAGAGGATATTATCGACTCACTGGTAGTCACCATGAAAACATACCACACCTTTCCTATGATGCGCATGCTTTCCTCGCGTTTAACCTCCGCTTCTACTGTCGTCCTTCTTCAAAATGGTATGGGCATGTACGAAGAGCTTGTGCAACGTCTATTCAGTGATCCTCGAGAGCGTCCCAACTTTATCCTTGCAACAATCACCCACAAAGCATATACTAACCACAATTTGGGTGACATCGTTCATACACACGTAGGTGAGCTCGCCTTCGGGATCGTTCCGAACGGCACCAACAGGGATTTTGATGCTGGTTTCCGTGATGAATCAGTTCCTCTATTCGACCGCAAAGGTCGGCTTTCAGATATCGTATCTTCCCCCTCCGATCCCTACTATGATCGCTATAAAACACTCCGGGACACCGTGGAGGCACTTCTGAAACTGAAGTCTCTCAACCCGTCATGGAAATCCCTCACAGAGATTCAGACAAACTTGCGATGCAATCTCGCTTTGCGCTCTATCGTTGATCCCCTCACCGCTCTACTCAACTGTCGCAACGGCCAACTTCTCCACTCCCCTTCGTTCCGCACCATCACACGTCGGGTTACCTATGAGGCTTCCCGAACATTCGCTGCAGAGATAGATGCCCATCTCGAAATGGCTAATTCCATGAACAGGGATGAGGAAGATCTAGCCTCGCGTACCATTCTCCCGCGAAAATTACTTCCGCTTTCGTTGGAGGAGGATGTCCTAAAGTATGTACTGGACACCAAAGGGCATATTTCACCTATGTTATCAGATATAAGAGCAGGAAAACCGACAGAGATCCTAAATTTGAATGGTCACCTACTTAAAATGGCCTCGCAGTACAAGACATACGTGCCTTGGACGGCGTTACTGCTAGAATTGGTCCAGACGCGCAGTGCTATACCGTTGGATCAGATGCTGTGAGATGGGACTTTGGATGGATGCCGACGTTCTCGTCTACTTCGCATTGGGGTTTGAGTAGCTTGTATTAACATCTATCATATTAATATTAGCTGACTTACCGATAATCTATCATGGCACGAACAAAGAAGGGTGGACGGTTCAGGTTACAATGAGTTGATGGCGATGGCAGTCAACGAAAGTTAGATATATTCGGCGTTTTACATGTCTATGACAGGCGAGTAGATTTAGGAAATATAACATGACGAGTCTAAAATAAAATCAGTCGTACTTGGGGAGGACAAAGGAGGGTGTGTGAGCACGTTGCGTTCTATGTACTGAGAGCAAATCTCCGCGTACCGACTTCGGATTTTATATTCGTATTCCCTCATATCTACGCTTTCCATTAATCGAATAAAAGGTAGGGGTTGCATTGAGGAAATGGAGGATCTGGGTGGAGCATGGCATTGGCGGCGAAGTCGCTGAATATGATATCTTCCGGCCACGGGTGTAAGCGCGATAGACCCTTTTTGAAATACTGTCCGACTCACCTCTACGTTGGCTTCATCCCCAAGACATGTGGGACAAGTAAGACAAAACGTATCGTGTCCTCCTTTGTCCATCACCCTTTCCGTCTTCTCCCCTTCTTTCGGCCCGCTGAAACACAATGAAAGATAGAAATGGTGAAGTAGAGAACTTGCTCGGTCTCTCAGGTGAGTTATGGGGTGGATATATGATGTACTATCCAGTGGGTCCGAGATGATCTTCGTGACAGTGGAAGCAATGTCATCACAAGGCACAACGTCTACTCAGAAAAGAAGAGAAGAAAGAGAAGGAAGGTTAACGTTTCGGCAAAAATTGGAAACGATATTATTGCGGGTTGGGAGAGCACTGGACGATGGAGTCAGGAGTGTTGAAGGCGCCGCCGATCGTCAGCCACCAAAGCAACTGTGTACTATCCAAAAACGTCAAAGACTGTTTCAGCACGACCACATCTTGCTTTTTGTGGTTCCCCTTGTAGATGATTTCTGGGAGAGCGATACGTCGGTATTGACAAAGGGTCGGCGACTGTATCCGGCTGCTTGTCTCTGGTGAATGGAACTCCTTTGTTCAAGAGTCTTAATCAAGGCTCACCAGCTGACATAAAGACCGCTTCTTCTTTGTCTTGATTCCAAGGTTCTAGCCTGGGTACAACTTGAAGAGACTTACTGCGATCTTGCACTACGAAAGGGGATTGCATTTACAGTCTTAAGGACGCGTTCTTCTGTTTGGGGACTATCGAGGCTACTTGTAATGACGCGACTTGCAACTAACAGGACCATATTGAGTATCTTGTCACCGGATGAAGGTGGCCTATCCCAATACGCATACGAAGGGCGGGCCTCAGTTGCATTTCCCCCGCAGAAATGTGATATTTGTGAAGGGTGGCGCACGTGAGATGTGATCCTCGTGCCTAGTACGTCTGATGGTTGGCCCTTTATCTTGGATGCGTGTGCGAGGCGAATGCCGGCTTGCACTGTTAGGATGCTCGGAGCATTAGATGCATTTGAAACGAATCGGATGGAGTATGCTGTGGCGATCGAGTCGGAACGGGATTGGAATTATGTTCCCCTGGAAGCGAAATAGTACGACTGGAAAGTACAGCAGGGAAACAGCGGCAAAAAAAATCCAGGGCTCGTGGCGTCTCAGAAGAAAGGCAACGGAAATCAGTGTCTGGCCAAGGCAAAGTAGGTGAGGCGGCGGACCTGAGAGAAGGCAAATTTGACTTCCTCTTTTGGCGACATAAAGCAAGGCTTGGGGATGTTCCTTTGTCTGGCTGAGCTTATTACCAAGGCCGCAACTAGGGGAATCACGAAAGAGCGTGCCGTTACAAGTCCAGTTCCGGGTGGACCATCGGTATCGACCAAAGACAGATTTTGGTGTAGCCTATATAAGAGGCGCTACGACCACCAGTACCTCGTCGAAATATTGCTCGCGGCGCTCCACACCTCATCTGGGACTACCGGACGCCAGGCTGTTATTTTTCCGACGGGAAGCACATCATTGTCCAAAAGAGAGGAACAGTGGGAACAGGAGCAGTCTACAAAGCCAAACAAGTCGCGTCCGGGTACCCAAATATTATCAATAAGTCACGGCTTCCAGTGCACGCTTTCCACCAGTTTCTTTCAATTTCAGATCCCTTGTTCTGTCGCCGCCCATATATTCTGCGGAATTACTGTTCGACCCCCTTCTTCCTTGCCACCTCGACAGTCATGTCTACCAAGGTCCGTCCTTTTCCTGTCTTTTCCTGCCGCCGCTCGAGCTCATTACTTTCCAGACAGGCATGCATCCCTTGACGTTGACTCCCGATGAACTCAGGAGCAAGACCTATCACGAGAAGATCTTTCTCAACAAGTGGCCTGCATATCCACTGGCACCCACGACGTACATCAATGTACGCAATTCAAACCGCTACCAACGGCACACCTTGCTGAATCTGTGGGAAGCATGGTCCCGGCAACCGACCGCCTCGTTGCCGAACCAAGATTTACGCCTGGCCCTAATCAAGACGAAAATGGGGCATGACCTGCAATATTTTATCTTCTTTCGCATGAGAGACCTTCCTACCGAAATCATCACCAATATCTTTCGTCTCGTCGCCTGGTCCACCAGTACCCCAGATAAGAGCGTCGTCACTCGCATGTGGCTCACTCATGTCTGTCGACAATGGCGCACCGTCGCCCTCGCAGACCATACCTTGTGGTCTGCGATCTGGTTTCGCGACAAATTTCCATTCACCCGCTCCCTTACCTTCATCGAACGTGCTGGTCATGCCCCCCTCGATATCCGCATCAATGATACGAGCGAGGCGGAAGCCCTCAGCGACACACAGATGAATTACCTCCTCGACCGTCTCTTCCCGAAAATCCGCACCATCCGAATATTCATCATGCTCTGCTATCAATGGGAGCCCATCCTCACGGTCCTCAAACGGATACATCAAGCACTCAGGATGGGCAGGCCGCTGATTCTCCAGCGCTTCGAGCTTCATCGTCTCGGAGACCCCTTCCTTTGGCCAGGGCCAAACTTCACTCCCGTTGGTCACTCAGTTACTATGTACCCTATGATTGGTGGCCCCATGCTCCCAAAGCTAACCTATGTGTCAGTGAATGGCATTCACTTTGATTGGCATTCCTCTTCCATCAGCAATCTTACTACCATTGATATTCGTCGGCTTCCCCTCCAACATGCACCGTCCGCTTCAGTCTTTCGGTCGATGTTGATTAACTGCCCCCTCCTTGAGAAGTTGGCGCTCGACGGTGCTGGACCTAACGGGCCCCCTACCGGCCTGAATGATTCAGCGCCTATCGAACTGAAGCATCTGAAGATCCTCGTGCTTGCCAATTTCACTCCGAGCTACGTGCAGGGTGTCGTTGTCCACTTCACTGCATCTGATGTCCGTGATTTGACGATCATGAACCTTTTCAGGCATGACTACACAGCGTTGTATGTCTTCCTGACGGGACGATTCCCTGAAGTTCGCATCTTCACAATGTATACACTTCAAGTAGAGAGGGGCTTGGGGCACACCGCGATGGTTAAATTCCTCGGTTCTATGGCAGCGGTTCGTTATATCCGCATCGCGGTGCTGGAACCGTACGGCCTGAGCACATTCATGTATGACCCGAAGACGATGATGCCTCATCGCGAGCTTCCACCTTTGACGCGGACCCTCTTCAGGCGCGCGGGTGCACCCAACATCACTGAGGCAGATCTTTCACTGGACGGCGAGGGCAAGAAGAGGAAGAAGCCGAAGCCAAAGACCTACATTTTTCCGTGCTTGGAAGTGGCGGAGGTGCAGTCGATTGACAAGGGTTGGCTGCTGGCCTGGCTTGCTGGTAGAACTGCCATTGGGATGCCGCTGAAGGTGCTGTATCTTCAAGGCGATCTAAGCAAGTATGAAGCTGCAGATTATGAACGTTTGAATAAGCTTGTGCCAAAACTTGCAATCATCGGACTTGGGCAGAAGACTCCGGAAGAAGAGACGTCGTTGTTGTAGTGGCACACGTTGGGGTGTCGCGATGCGGAAGGCAACCTTTTCCATCTAACCAAATGTATCTACTATATATCCTGAAAAGTTCAAATATCTATATCTCATAAGTACCATGTAGCATTGTTTTCTCCTTATTGACTCTCCCAAATTCAAAGTAGACTAGCGTCTGTATTGCACGTACTTAAAAAATAATACCATAACGATTGTGAACGTTCAGACCCACGAGTCGTCACTACTAGAGAACATGGCGATCGCGATGAACAAGAAATGCTCGAAACGGAGAACTATGCCTCGCATTGAAGTTCAACTTGGGAAGTAAACACGACCCCTGTGAGCGCTCAGAATGGCGAACTATGCCCAGTATTGAAGTCCAACTTGGGAAAATGGCAAGCTTTACCGATCATCCAATTTGAATGACTGAACCGTGTGGCACCTTGAGATACTATCAACATGTATAAAGATACCCTTCGCACATATGAGCGATATAGGCCAGTTTGAAGGAACAACTATTATTCACAGAAAACAGTATAGATAATGCAAGTGCTATAATTGATGTGTAGTATGCGCATGTGAAGAAAAACGCTTTAGTGTCAGTCGGACACCATTTTACGCTTTTTGCCATTCGTGGCTGGAAGAGGAGAACTGGATGTAGGGGCTTGTGGGATGATGTTAGGAGAGACCTTGACTGAAGGCTTTTTGGGGGTGGAGTGCCCGTTCGTCCTCGGTTTCGAGACGCCATTTGCGGTAGCTTTACGCGCAGGGGGGAGCTGTGGATGGGATTTCGCTGTACCAGTGGATGCATCAGACTTAAGGCCTCACCGGAAACCAGACTGTCACTCACGTTTCAGGGCATGGGCCTTGAAGAGGTCAACAAACATTCCCATTTCTTCCTCGTTCACGACCAGTTTCCGACGAACTACTGCAGGTGGTACATCCGCAGGCTCGTCAACATCCATACCCACGTCTGCGTCATCCTCTGAAATGCTCGCCATCTTCACTTGCCGAGGCTTGAGAAAGTCGTCCATAACATCGTCGAATAGACTCTCCAGCGGGGGCATATAATATGACGGACCATCAAACAGGCTTCGGACCTTCGAGGAAGCTGAAATAGCGGCAGATGAAGGTCGGTTTGTGAAAGTTTGAGGGGTAAAAGCAGATTTTCCAAAGATGTCTTGGAAAAGGGTGCGTGCCTGGGGAACTGACGACGTGGGGATACCGCGTGCTGCTGAGCCTTCCTCGGATATCGCCGATACGTTGTCACCAAAGACTACCACACTCCAGTCCTTCGTGATGCCCACGAAGTTCGTAGGAGTGTAGGAAGCAATCCCGCGAAGTGTAAACGGCAACTTAAGACTGCGGGAAGGTGCCGAGGATAACGGCGAGAAGATGCACGCATACGTGATTGTAACGGCCTCCAACAAGACAACGAAAGAATCCTGAAGTGGTAATACAGTCTTTATTGGGGAAGGACACCGGTAATGCCAGCGGACTATAATTGTAACTCTTTAGGACGGCATGCAGTCACTGAGAATTTGATACAACACACCAGACTGGAGTACGAGGTCCCAAAGTGCAAGGTCGTGACCGCCCACGACAGCCAGGTATCGTCCGGAAGTACCAACAAAGAAATTTGAGGAAACTTCAGGGCACTCAGGGGTTGTGAGAATGCGATGGGATGTACATGTAATGGGATCATAGAGAACAATGTATATGCCTAAGGAAACAGCCAAAAGTGACGCGTCGGGCGCCCAAGATACGCATGTTGGAGTCTGCGAGCGAAAACTAAACGTCGAACGCACCGCCCAAAAGTCTAAAATAAAAACATCAAAACAGAATTCAAACTGGAAAGTGTTAGAAATTACCGGAGGCAGATTCGTCCCTGGATGTCCTAATGCTCCAGGTTTTGATGTTATTATCCTCACCTGTTGTCACAAGTAACAATGACGCCGATTCCTGCGACGGACTGAACGCTATATCAGTGACCTTACTTAATCCGTGAGGACGATCTATGCGGGTGTTCAGTATCCAGAAGCCGGCTTTTCGATCCCACCACCAGAACTTGAGATAATTTTCTCCGTGTGAGTTGGCGTCACCCTCACGCCGGTCTATTGTGGCCATCCACTCGCCGGAAGAAGTGATCACCACAAGTTCTATCTTCGCTGGTTCCAAGGCTTTTTCATCCTTCCGAGCCACTCTGTTTGACGGAGATACCTCTAACTCAGATATGAATTTAGAAGATGTTGGGGAATATATCTGTAAGGATGATGGGTGGGATGATGGCAAAATAAGCGTCGATGTGGTGGCGTGCGAGACTATAGGTGACGCTGTTATTTTGGAGGTCGAGGCCCCGCTTTGGACGACGGAAGGGTCTGAAGATAGATTAGGCCTTTGGGTGGCTATCGGATTTTCAGCACTTACCTATCCGTATCCTCGAGTAACCCCTCGATATTTTGAGTGAAGCAGCACTAATGAAGAGATACGTGCCATCCGCAAGGCCTAGTAGATACTCCTCCTCGTGGCCTGCTTTTGAAATCGACACTGTACTGATGGGTGCGCCAACGCGAGGAACGAATTCTTTCTTCCCAGTTTCCAGTTGCCACATGACCAATACCGCCTCCTCTCCACCACTCAGTAAATATGCACCGTTGGACGTAAAAGCAAGAGATGCGACAGGATGAGCATGCCAGTGGAAACTGGAAGTCTGGGTCTTCTTCTCAACTCCTACTGCCTTCACATTCACTTGCTCGTTGAGGCAATACCACAAGCGAATGTTGCCCTTGCCGTCTCCAGTCGCAAAGTAGTCTTCGGAGGGATGGAAGGCGAGACAACACAATCGCTCGGGGGAAACATACTTGGTAAACTGGGGGTTGGGAGACGAGAGTGATGTTACATATGCTTTGTGCCCAGCGGTAGCCACAAGCCATTCGCCGCTTGCTGAAAAAGCTAGACCAGTAGGAAAAAGAGTTTTGCCAATAGGTGAAATCTCGGAAGACTTCTGAACAGATGACTGTTTCGAAGCTGGGGCAGTCTTGAGTGATACCCGTAAAACAACAGCATTGTCATCTGAAAAGTGGTGAGATACCGAACACGATGGAGAAATGGGTGGAGGTTTACCTTTACTTTTATGTTTACTTGGTCGGGCCACGGCGACAAATACGGCGTCCTTGTGCTTCTCATGCGCGCATAGATGATAGATAGGTTGGGATACGTCTATAGTCTTTAGTAGGTTTGCATCCAAAAAGTCCCAAATATGTATACGACCGTTCAGCGAGCCGGTGATTAGCTGGAAAGCATTATGTGGATTAAGGATAGCGCATGTAAGCAAATCCGACGAGACGTCCCCAGAAGTAGACCGAGGTGCTGATAGCGTCGACACGACCTGCACAGTCGCAACTGAATATATTTTGATATGCGGTCCAACCAACGAAAAAAAATAACTATGGATCGAGACCCCAGTCAGGAAATCGGTGCCCCGAGGACATTTGGTAGCATAAAACTCGTACCTTCCATCCTTAGTGAACACAGGTGGTACCTTACTAGTGTAAGGGTCCGCTAATGATATCCAGCCCCAGTCCAAGTCGACATCCGAGGTGTTCCAGGTGTTCAGGGTGTCAACAGACTTCGGAGCGACGCGTCTTTTCTGGCTGATTCCCGTGGCCTGCTTCTCTTTTCCTTTCCTCTTCGAGGGCAGTTGGCTCACATTCATAGGTGAAGGGCTTTGAGGCAGAGGTACATTCTGCGGCTCCTTGGAAGTCGAGGCGGGCATTGCACCTACGGCTTAGCCCTCCCAGCAGGAGGTAGAAAAAATCGACAGGGTGTAAACAAATCACAACACAGACGGAAGATTCGTCCCGACTGCCGGAGCCGACGCCTATTAGCAACCCATTAAATAATGCATTCTGACTACATCGGACTCTTGGCTTCTCTTGCTAATTATTCGTGAGCTAAATGAAGAATAGGACAAACTGGAATACAAGTGATTCTCGCGTTTGTTGTTTGCATTATTATACAGTCATAACTAATCCGGGTCTAGTAGGTCGAACACAATTTTGCTTGCGCTGAATATGAATTTTTGAATTTTGAATATGAATATTCTGTTGCTCGAAGAATCTCAGCCTTTGTATGCTGCCTCTTCCCCCGAATAATGCTTGACCCTGCTTTGTATCTTGACCACCCGAATAATACCTCATTCTGCAAACTGGGCTGAGCTAGAACCGGCAGAGTCTCTCGCCAGTTGACGAGATGTGGAGCCATTGACTGACAAGCTTTTGCCACCTCGTATCTCGGAACCTAGAACGGCTCAGAAAGCAAATGTGCCTCGAGTCCAACTTGAAGAACCAAGAAGTCGATTCCAGAGTCTTTCTATTTCTCTCGGATACTAAAACGACGGTGCCAGTTAGTGCTCCACTTGGGCTTTTGACTTGTTTCATCAGCGACATGTACAGAATAGGCTTCGTCGTTGAACATTTTTACTTCGCTGCCGGTGTTCAACGCATGGCTCCCGCTACTTGGAGTTCCTCAGATGATCGAGGTAAGGTTTGCGTTTGAAGATGTCAAACACATTATAATGAGCCAAGTCCAGAGACATCCTCTACTCCCTCGTATTATATTTAATTTCTAAGCCACTCTCGCCGAAGTGAGAGTGAAAGCATCATCATGAAGTACGCATGTTGTCTGCTCGATTTACGTCCTATTGTATTGATACCAACTCTGTCAATAAAACGAAGTACCACTGTACGAACTGGTAAAGGGTGCCACATCGGATTCTGATGGGTCCAGATTGTCAGAAAGATGGCAAGCACTTCTCACAGCCAACTAGCGACATATGACAAGTTTCAACATGGGCATCATCGCTCCAGATCATGTTGGAAGGTGGAAATAACCGCCCTTCTAGCACCACTAGTATTGGTGTTCGCGTACCCATGACGTGTTCGTTGTCACTCGGAGGGCTATCAACAACACTGGCGTAGTGGTTCTCTTCACCAAGGGCTGCGGTAGGATTTCAATCCAGGATTGGAGCGGAGTTGTCATAGCTGCTGAGATCCAGGCGGAAACCTTGGTCGAATGTTGTTGTCGACCGACTCCGGCCATCGTACTTGCGGCCAGGTACTCACATCCCAGACCACCCTCGGACTATGGCTTGGCCGTCACAGCCTTTATTTGTTCTCACACAATGCTCACACAGATGGGCGCCGTGTTTGAGTTTCAGGATCCTTCAACTTTCGTATCTGCTTAGCTCGTGTGTTCGCAGGGAAACTGGAGGTCGTGTCATAGTAATATTAATTTAATTAATAAGGTGCCAGTCCCGCTGAAAAATCTGTATCGTAATAATAATATAATCCCTTGACATCGAATTTTGACCTGATCAAAGTTCTGTTCATCATTTCAAGCTTGCCTTGCCCCGATCACTCAGGCTCCCGTTACGGAACATGAGTCCCAACTGATCTTCCTTCATTTCTTCCACCGTTGTCATTGCAGTAGTCGAAGGACCCGTCTGTAGGCTTCACTCACGAATGCAATCCCTAGCGTCGACGACGGCCACGCTAGCGCCTCCGGCTTCTTCACCTCGACCGCATTCTGCAGGTGGTAGAGTCTCCACGGGCGATGGAAAGCGACACCCCAGGCTAAAAGAAAGTTCTTTCACGATAAAGTTCGGTTCAAAATATCATTCGTTCGACAACGAGAAGGCACCGTATCCATTGTGTTACGACCGGCATGTATTGGAACTGTTCGTTCCGCTCTATTGGGTTGCCATTGTCTAACTGTAAATTTCCTCAGTGAATCTCTTGATAATCGTTTTGTGAAGCACCTGAGGGGTGGCTCGGTGTCCCTTGTCAACTTTAGCGATAAAGAGCCACTGCCAGAGCGATCACTGGACCTTGGCTGTGGGGTGCGGGGCAATTTCTTATGCCTCGGTCAAAATTTCTCTGACACGCTCTAGACGGGAACATGGGTCGTTGACGCGGCAAAGGAGTGGCCAAAATGTGAATTTGTGCGTGTCCAACGTTATAGTAAACGATGCTTGCCAAATGCCGCACAGGTTGGATTCGACCTCGTTAACATCCAAATATCCCTCAAGTTACTGGATCCATCATTAGCAGAACGAATAACCTGGGTTCACGGCAACTTGTGAGTCGTCATCTGCTGTTCCATTTGCTAAAATTTATTATTCATACACAGTCTGACGACTAAACTTCCTTTCGATGATGACGAATTTGACCATGTACATATACAATCTATTGCACGAGGCGTCCCCGAAAACAAGGTGTGTCGTATCTAACGCCTTCCTACATCCCCGACTGACAGCAATGACCCAGTGGAACGTATTATTTGATGTAAGCTTGCTTTAGACTCGTAGGGCTGACCGGCTTTCAATGCTCATCGTTCTTTCCGTTCTTCTCCAACAGGAAATTAACCGTATTTTACGACCTGGAGGCTGTGTTGAAATCCTGGAGGATGGTGAGTGGCATGCGCGTCAATCAATGTAGATCTCATCCTCCTGGTAGACCTTGTGTTCCCATACCTTCCACGATGGTTCACCGCTCCGCTCCGCGCTCGGCCAAGGCGATCAACTTCTGTTCATTTTCCTGATGGTTCCCAGCGAAGATACCCCTCACCCCCAGATACCCCCATTCAAGAAATGCCCTCTCATGATCACGCTCTCCTTGAATCTCTATATAAATCTGTATTTGAACATCGATTTATAAACATGAAGCCATCAGGTGAGAACGGCCTTCCGCGTTTCGACCCTGTACTTGTTATGTACTGAACCATTTCAGCTCTCCTTCCAAGCTACTTTGCAACTTATTTCAGACACGTTACGTTGGGGCCCGTTATCAGTTTCCCCATGCCACCTGTTCCGCCCCTCCAGCCTCTTCCTCCCCAAATAGTAGTGACATACACTATCAATGAACCAGGATCTGATACTTTGGATCCCAGGGTCTCAACCGTCTACCGGCTGTCTTCCGGGGGAACACCTGTATCGTCAGCTACGCCAACGCCAGGCGCGCGACCGGTTTCTATGAGCTTCTCTTCCACTATTTCGTCTGGTGCCGGCGTAACGTCATCCACTCCCGACTCCTCAACTACGGTTTCTACCCTATTTAGCTTGAATGGTCGTGAAAAGTCTGATTCAATTTCCTCCACGTCGTCTGAGCAACCCAAGGTAGAAGTGGATTTTCTGTCAAATACCTCGCGCCCAGTATCATCTATCACGACGCTGAATCCAGATCCTATTGGAATTCCCTCTCCGCCCCCATTCGTCCCTTACATGCTAGACACTTCATCAACAGAAACGACGGCCGTAGCTTCAATACCACCGTCCCTGTTTCCCGAAGAACGATTCTCATCTCTCAGTGAGCGGTCGCTTGCAATGCACTTGTACCGTTCCTATCAGTTAGTCTTGGCATGTCGTGAGGCCCTCTGGGAGGAGCTAAACGATCGACTAAGGAATAGAAAAGACGAACTGAAGCCTTTCGGCTGGGAGGATGACGAAGACTGGGAGGAACTGCAGACCAGGCGGAAGTTTGAAATCCTTGTCGAAAGATATGAAAGGTATAGTTCTTATATACTGATGTCACGGAGTTCGCTCAAGTTTCATGTAGTGATATGCAAGCACGAATATCGCTTTGGTGTTCGCTTAACAATATCGGATGGCCATTGCCACCACGGGAGCCCTTGTCCAAAGCCGAACTCATTGAAGAAGAGCGAATGCGCGAAGCTATGCTCGAAGCGCGAAAACATGCACCCGCTGAGGACCTACAAATACCCTGCCGAACTTGTAGGGTCCTCATTGGATATAAACTATGACAATATTTTGGTTCGGAGTTGTCTACTTACTTATTCACGCACGTTGTGGACACTATAGATTAGCGATGGTTGCCTTATTTTTGTATTTTATTCATCCTGTACCGGTAGTATGTACTGACTGGATACCCTCGAGGGAGTAGGTAGGTGTATTAAGTAAACCATCTCGTATTATGACGTCATACCCTTTGCCTCCTCGGACCGAACTACCTCCATGCCTCGACGCAAGCCAACCTCGACACGCCAAAAGAAACAAGAGCAGCAGTTGAAACGTGCAATAAAGCGCGGTGATGTAGACTCCAATAGTGTTCCGAAACAGAACCCGACGAAACGCAAAAAGTCGCATCTTGTTCGTTCACTGCCACCTTCCGAGACAACCAGAAAGCTACAGTCGACGTTTGTCAAGTTGCCTCCGGAATTCTTGGAACAAGCGAAATTTCTTGCCGCTACTCTCGTGCTTCCTCGGCCAATTCCAACTAGCTCGGCTATTCTCTCTTTACAAGAGTATCGCTTTCCAGCGCCGTTGGACACTCTGAGCTGTCCAAAAAGGCCGAAATGGCGTTACGATATGTCCAAGGAAGAGGTAGAACGCAACGAGGAGGGTCTGTTCAATAAATGGCTCACCCAAACTGATGCGATGGTGGAGAGATGGCAGAAGAACACCGAAAACTGGAGAGAGGAAGATGGCAACGAGGAGCCAAAGATTCAGGCTCCTCCTACCTCAATGCCCCGTTCAACGACCTATTTCGAACGAAATATAGAGGTCTGGCGTCAATTGTATGTACCAAGCCCTAAATTCACCGTATGGCTGATTTCACTGATTCTATCAGTTGGCGAGTAACAGAAATTTCGGACATCATCCTTGTTCTCCTAGACTCACGCTGTCCCCTTATTCACTATCCGCCCTCTCTGTCCGCCTATCTCTCAGATAGAAAACACATATTAGTCCTAACCAAGGTGGACATAACAGGTCCTGAGCGTGTACAGGCTTGGACACGGTATCTCCGTGATTGCTATCCTGGTGTTCCCATAGTGGAAGTCGAGGCATACGCAGCAAGGGATCCAAGCGCCGTTCATCAGGGACAAAAAAGATTCGATCCTCATCTTCCGGATGGTTTCAGACAGAGGCTCGTGCAAATTTTGCAAGAGGTTCATGCTGAGATGCTCGATCCTCCAGAAAGAGTGAAAGTAAATCCTCGATGGTTGAAGGATTGGAGGCCGTCGGTCAAACGAGAAATTGATTGGGCCGGGGTCAAGAATGAAAGGGGAGGGAAAACAGGAATGCTAACTGGTGGTCCAGCTATTCCACGAAGTGAGATTTCAGAAGAGCAAGATTCTCCGGAGCTAGAACCTCGATTCCTGACGATCGGCTTGATTGGTTAGAATTATTCCACGTACTTATGACTGCAGTGATGGTAATCTCTGAAATGCAGGTCAGCCTAACGTGGGCAAATCCTCCCTTCTGAATGCTTTATTTGGCACTCAGAAAGTCCATGCATCCAAAACACCAGGGAAGGTTAGCTTCATCGTACACTGCATATATTTTCGTCCACCCTCATCTTCTTATTAATAATAGACAAAACATTTTCAAACACTCTTCTGGACACCGGAGGTCCGTCTTGTAGATTGTCCCGGTCTTGTCGTGCCGAATTTTATCCCCATGGAACTGCAGGTAGTGTTGGTCCCTACGAAACTTTCTTGCCTGACGGATCTTGCAGGTACTTTCCGGCATTCTTCTCATCTCGCGTATCTCATCAATACCGTCTTGCATACATTTTGTTGGCGAACGCCTACCTATCGAGGAAATATATCATCTGGAACACCCAGTTTCCAAGTTGCCCGTAACCAAAGATAAACGGACATGGCGCAATGGTGAGAAGCGCGTGGTCGCAAGGTCGACTAAATGGACTGCAATGGATGTGATGAGTGCTTATGCCGACAAAAAAGGTTGGGTCACAGCAAAAGCAGGGAGGATGGATGTGAACCGCGCTGGCAACGCAAGTAAGTTGCAATTTTCTGAGAGAAGCATATACATCTTAATACATCCCAGTTCTTAGAGCATTGGCAGAAACCAGAATCCCTTGGGCATTCTGGCCTCCGGATACGAAAGAAGATGAGGTTCTTCGCGCTGGAAAGGAGGGAGAAGGCATCTGGATTCTTGGGAATGGCGACTCATATGATGATGAAGCATCGGCGGCCGATGAAGAGCCAGAAACTGAGACCCCCAGCGAAACCTCGGACTCTCATGATGACAGCTGGCCAGTACAGGTAGTTCTTGGAAGGTTTGCAGCACTGGACTTTGTTGACTCAGATGGCACGAATGAGAATTCGTAGAAAAAAATATGTCCCGGCCCGTACTCATGTCACTTTCGCCTTGCTTTTTTCCGAAGTTCAGGTTCGCAGTAGACGACCGTCGGGCTAAGAAGTTTGTCTCGCGACAATCCACTATATTTCTCCGTCTCCGTCTTGTGTGATTAGGACCAGGGCAACTGCGTAACATTCTCGTGCAGGTCATCAGACTCTGACTGCTTGTGGACATTGTCTCGATCCGGTTGCTTTCACCCAATTCTTTTCAGGATTCTCGGAAAACCAGTGTGACAATGCGGATTGTGAGGCGAATATAGAACGAATGGCTTAAAAGACCTTAAGAGTTTCGTCTCTGTACCCCATCTCAAGTTTTCCAACAATGTCTTGGCTTCCTATCGTCTCGCTGTTGTGTGCTACTGGCCGTGCTCTTGCACAAACAGTTTACCTAGCTGGGGATTCTACCATGGCCGAAAATGGCGCCGGCTCGGGAACGGGAACAGATGGTTAGTTATTATATTTCTCGTGGATTGCGTCTTCACAAGACTGATGAGCCCACAACCAGGTTGGGGACAATATCTTAGCCAATTTGTCGCAGTCTCTGTGGTCAACAAAGCAGTAGGTGGCCAAAGCGCCCGATCGTATAGTGAACAAGGCCTTTTCGATTCTCTTGTTGACGAAGTGGAGTCTGGAGACTATGTTATTATTGAGTTCGGCCATAACGATGCGTCAGCTGGATCCGTTGACAATGGAAAACAGGACGCTATCGGCGATGGCTACAACATCACAGCGACTGTCACGACGTCGAGGTAAATCCGAAATAGAAAACTTTACCGCATAATCCTAAATAAAAACACTTTCAGTGGCGCCCAGATTCTCATCCACAGTTTTGCGTACTACATCGAAAACGCTGTGGATGCGATCCAGGCCAAGGGGGGTATTCCTATCATCTCCTCTTTGACCCCCGACAATATATGGGACGGTGACTCTATTGTCGCCGGTGGACGGTTTGTTACCTACGCCCAAAGCATTGGCACACGGAAGGGCATTCCTTATGTTGATCATTATGACTATGTGGCCCAGGCGTACAACGCTCTTGGAGAAACTGAGGTCACGACGTACTACCCCAATGACCACTTGCACACAAGTCCCAAGGGCGCGTTAGTTGTGGCGGAAGCGTTTGTAAGAGGTCTGCTTTGCGGCGATAGTACATTGGCCGATAGTGTCAACTCCGCCGGAGAAGATGTCCCGAGTGAGTGCCATCGTTTTCTGTTCGCACCGTGTTAAGTATCTCGGGCAGATGGTTGTCTCTAAAAATACGTTTCTGTATGACTTTGGTGTTGAAATCCATTCTCGTTCGTCTGTTTCTCGCTCACAAGACCATTAAGGATTGCTTGAAAGCATGATCTCCCATGCATTCGTTAACGGACCGCAACTTGTCGCCAGCTGATCCGCTGAAGATCACAAGCCTCACCTTTGATCGGTTGTGCATGTGTTCTCGGAAAATTATTCTGTACGTTGAGAATCAGTGTTCGAACCCTTCCTCATCTATCTGCAGTTTATGTGTTGCTGTATGGAAAACCCCGCTTGCCGTGCCAAGACATATCAGAATCGCTTTATATGAGAGCCTGAAAGGGTTTCATGTAGGCAATCAATCATGTTTTTTCCTCCTTTGTTATTGTTACCTAGCTTTGCCACGTACGTGCTGGGAGTTACCGTCTACATGGCCGGCGATTCTACCATGGCCGAAGGTACACGTTTATAGGCCGTCTCCGCCATGTACTAATTCTTTTCAGGTGGTGGAGGCTCGGGAACTGACGGTGAGTTCTAAAAAATTGTTAATGATGCTGTTACCTGACCGCGATGGACCATGTAAAGGCTGGGGTCAGTATTTAGGCCAATATTTGTCTGTCGCGGTCGTGAACAAAGCTATTGCTGGTCGCAGTGCACGGAGCTATACCGACGAAGGGCGTTTTGATACATTCATCGACACTGTCTCTAGCGGTGACTACATCGTGATCGAGTTTGGACATAACGATGGATTATCCGGTGCTGTAGATAATGGACGTGAGGATGCTTATGGTTTGTTTCTCCTTGTACTCAATCACTTCATATTGTTACAACTTCGTTTTTCTTAGGGGACGGCTACAATACAACGGCAACAGTGACCACCTCAGAGTGAGTGTTATTAGTTTCTCATTCAATTAGAGAAGCACATCGAAGGGCTGCCTTCTAGTGGCGAAAGCTTGGTCATTCACACTTTCCCATACTATATCCAGAATGCTGTCTCCTCTCTCCAGGCCAGAGGCGCCATCCCCATAGTCTCGTCACAAACCCCTGACAACGATTGGGACAACGGAGTCATTACTGATCCTCCCCGCTTCGTTGCATATGCGGAGACGGCTGCCACCCGCACTGGAGCAACGTACATAAACCACTACACTTACGTGGCGCAGGCATATGAAGCCCTCGGAGAGACCGTTGTAGATGAATATTACCCTCTCGACCATACTCACACATCAGTAGAGGGTGCCAACGTGGTAGCTGAGGCGTTCGTGAGAGGGTTGCTTTGCGGCAATAGTGATTTGGCGCACTACGTCAATTCTGCCGGACAGGCTGTTCCCAGTACGTATATCCCAGAACAAGTCATCATTGCAACGCACTAACATGTGACCGTAGGTGATTGCTTATAGTTTCAATTTGGATAACTCATACTTTCATTCCTGGAGTTCGAATGGGAAGCCAAACCAAGATCAGCGTTCATTAATCAATTATAAGATGTGGAACAAGCGCTCGAACCAGGTGTTATGTGTACAACTAGGCCTGGAAATTATCACCTGACAGATCTGCTCTCATGCCGGCGATAGAAAGCATGAATCGCAGTGAGATTCTTGTCGAACAGCATGTGAACATGTCGCAGCATACTATCCAGGTGCTTCTGTCAGAGATTGCCTTGGCAGAGCGACGGTAGCTGTTCACCAATGGTATAAAACATTGCGAATCAGAGGTGGATGGTACGGTGCTTCGGTTTCTGTATCCGAGCCAGTCTGGACTCCAGCGTTAGTGTGTTCGTATTCACACAGTATTTTTCTTTTTATCATGTGGAACGTACTAGGTGTCCGTGTTCCGTCACGATGTAGGCGCGCAGCGGGATCTATTTAACGCATGCTGAAGTTGAAGCCCTTCTCAATCCTGTGGAGATTATTGCCTATTACTGGAGGATGGGCAGATAAGTAAGCCCCGATAAATGATGATTCTATATTACTCGTAATAGAACTAAATCGACGTGTACATCGTACGACGGCATACTTTCTGTCACAGTCAGAGGTTGTCACGCTGAAGGCCTCTGACGCTAGTTCAGTGGTCATTACCGGTGGTACTGAGACAGATGATGCAAGTGGAACATATTCCCATGCAAATGGCTACAAAGGTCACTCGCACCTAGTATTGTCCAGGATTCAACCAACGGGGCAGTAGATGTGCCATATGACGGTATCCCAACAATTATATCTCGTCTATAATTACTCAAATTGCGACCAGAGGAGATGGGTATCCTCCTCAATGGAAGGCCAACAGCGGAAATATCTATTGCGTAGGGTTGATTTTTGTTACCGAACATGTTTGTTTTACATAGGATGAAGAAACACACTGAGATAACGCCTATTGTTGAATGTTTCTACACCTCCATTATACAGTACCTGATGTGGTAGCCTCAGGTTTTCCAAAGTAGGCCTTTTATACAAAAGCAGGATTCCATATATCGCAGTCTCTACATGTTGAGCAAAATTAAATTTTTCCATGGACAGCAATACCATCGATGACGGTCGCAAGGAACTTCGTGTTCATGATTTCGGTCACTGGGACCGTCATGATGTTCTGTGACAGGACGACGAAGTCCGCCCTTTTCCCAGGTTCTAGTGAGCCAAGAACTGATTCGGTAAATGACGCATAAGCCGGGTCGATGGTCATGCCTCAAAATACGGTGCTTAGTATTCAGCAGCACGTAAAAATGCGGACTTACCACGCAATGCTTCAAGACGCGTTAATCGTTGTTCGGGAAACCTGTATGAGTCTGAATTATGAGGTACAAATGGAAACGACATTAGACTTACCATCCTCCTGGACCGTGGGGTGACCTCCCATCCAGTGACACTCTTGTGATTGCAGCGTAGAACCCGGCAAGGGGATTCATCGTCTCAACAGGAAAGTCGGATCCAAGTGTAATTCTAGCTCCGCTATTGAGCAAGCTGCGGAAGGCATACAGTCCTTTGATGCGCAGCGGACCCTACGAAATAAAGGCCGAAAACATTTCAGTGTGCTCAGAAGGTGTTACTGCAGCAAAGACAACTCACGATGCGTTCCTCCGCATACCACATATCATCAATGACGTGGGTGGGCTGTACACTGGCAATAACTGCAAAGCATAAGGCCAGAAATCGTCGTTACAGGGTAGATTAGCCTACCCCCAATTTTTCCCGCACGTTTGATATCAGCCTTCGTCATGATTTGAGCGTGCTCAAGACGTGGCCGCATTGTGACAACATCAACGTCCTCAAAGGCGGACTCTAAAGCACCCAGGACGATACCATTGGCGCGATCTCCGATCGCGTGAACATTCTGTGCAACAGATGATATTGCGTGCTTAACACGGGGAATCGATACTCACAACCTGCCAGCCATCGCGGAGGAAGAGCGGAATGACTCTGTTAATCGTTGCCTCAGACACGCGCATGAAGCCGTTTGTGTTCGGATTGTCAGTGTAGGGTTCATATAGCTGAAATGATTAGAGCAGACCATGAATGAATGAGAATGTATCTACCGCTGCTCCTCCCGTTCTCATGGAACCTTTCAATTCGTGTAAATGATATGGGTTTTGACAGAAACAGTACGACGCACACACCATCTCCTACGATCTTCACACTGCGAGCACTGAATCTGTGGTCATCGGATAGCATTTGTGGCTTGGTGATGTTACCCCAGTATTTTTCACCTTCGTCATAGTTCGTCATTCCGTACAAACGAATCTAGGTTGAATAAATTCAGCAAAAAAGAAATTTACAGGTCACGCTGTGCGTACTGGCAACTTCCCGGCCGCTGCTTTTCTAGAGTGAGGTAAATATTAAGTTCACCATCCATCACAGGTAGATACCTCTTGAAAAAGTCCAGTTGCGGGAAGTCCAGCTTGGCATCATGGATGGACGTGAGCCCGTTGGCAAAAGCATTTCGTACGGTAGTCGAAAATCGCTGCTCATAATCCTCTTCAGTTGGAACTGGAACTGGCAACAAGTCTTGAGCATTGTCGAGGAATACACCTATGAGGTGCGCTGTCAATGTGACATCCAGTAAAAACCATCTAAAGTTCTTGCCGATTGGTTGCCCTTTCTTGTCACGAACAATTACTCCCCCTTCTACGGTACGTAGGAGGGGACGGGTGTCTTGTAGGACACGACCAGAGACCCAGGTACCATGCCCGTCCTTGCTGCGCAACATCACAGAACGCCCACGAATGACTGCACTGGCATCGAGATCAGCCTGTGTTATTTGATGAACTGTTACAAACGGTACAAGCAAGGTTCACGTACTGCAGTTGGAAACCTTGACTCTGGCCAGGCAGTGTGATCCCATCCCCAGCCCTCAATGACCTTCGATACATTGCTGTAGATATCTGAGTTAGATATGATATAATTCTCGACAAAAGAGACCATCTCGGATATATTTCTTCCCATTTCGAGAGGTATCTGACGATATAAACCATAGTGCATAATGTGGGCATGAGAGTCTACACGCAAACTATATATGACGTGGTTTCAGAAGAAGAGTATGAGATGTTGCATACCACTAATTCCTGGCACAACAATAGCTCCATCAGGGATATATCTGACATGTAGAGGTGCCGTCGACTTCCTTCTCCGCTGTATAGAGTCTAATGCATTTCACCATTAGAATGACACAGACGCGCATGTGGCCCAACCCACCAAGATCTCCCATGTCGGATATGAAAGAATCAGTGACAAGTACACAAGATGTCCGTGAATTAATAGCATCGACGGTGTAGATGTTGCTTCCGTGGGAGCATATCGCGTATGTCGTCAAGTCAGCAGGATTGCTGAAATCGCCGAAGAAAAGTGTTGGAAATCCTCGGTGTTGCGCAGGGTAGACTCCAGGCTGGTAAGGCCAGATGGTATGAACTCCTTATTCTGCAGCTCCTACAGAGCTCGTATTTATACTCTCCAGGCTTGTATCTAGAATTTACTACAACTTTCTCTTTCTCTCGGGCTTACTCATCAACTCTCGGCATGATGCCGGATTGCCCTTTCTAGAACTTTCCAGCAAAATCCCAACAAAAAGTAGGGCAGAAAAGACCAGAGCAAGGAGAAGGAGTGAAACACGAGCAAGAGGCGTGATTAGCCGCCGTCTAGGAAGAGCAATTCGACTATGCACCAATTTCTTGCCGTGCGACGACATGTTCATGTTCGCAGAGATATGCGCCGGGGTCAGGGTAGATAAGATTTTCCACGTGACCGGTCTACATGCAACCCCGAAGCGTTTTCCGAATTCGACCCTGTTCATCACGTATTCGCAATGCTGGGATCCTGGTTCAGAAATCCATCGCAGGAAAGTAATTTGTTTGATGAACCTCCGCCGCCGATAGAAGTTCCCCCAGGCCCAGTACGTTCCTTGACCTCAAAATTACACACACCACATGATGCCATTCTCGCTGACATTCATGGGGAATATGTCGAGCAAGCTGAAGCAGCTGCAAAAAGCAATTATTTCAATGTACCATCGAGACACACAGAATCTCTTCGTGACCCATATGATGGATCTGTAGTTGGCCAGGTCGTACCTGCTGATCCACCGTTTCATCTTGACATGCGAATCCCATACTATGATCCCAAAACGGACGAACTGCTATGGTCGCATTTGTCCAAGGTGTTGGAACTACAAAGTGAGATAGCTGCGCTGCATCTCGGGATGGAGGTTATTGGGACGAAGCAGGGAAACCAAGGAAAGGGGAAAAGCAGAGCAAACAAAGATGCTACGTGGGAGGGAAAGGAAGACAAGGAGAAGAATGATGTTGATGATGCAGCAGAGGTTGGAGAGTACGAACGTGTTGATGTCAGCCCAGAGGCCGACGAGGAGAAGCAAAACAGAGAGCGAGCAGCAGAATTCGCCAAACTTTCTCATCAGTTCGAAGGCAGAAAAGAGGGAATCTTGGAAGTCATGAACAAAGTGAGGCATCTTTAGTTCTATCTGTTGCTGTTTTGACCGACGTGTTCAGCTTGATGATCTTTCCAAGGCTCTCACTGACTTTCATGCCCTTCAAGAGCCCAAAATCGACTTCCCTTTACCTCGCAACAGTGCGTCGTCGTCAGGTACCTCGTCCAGCTCCATGGACAAAGAGAGAATTACACCAACAACAAGCTTGTCGACAATCGTGCCCCCTTCTACTCCCACACGCGCGATTCCGCGCGATTCTAATCTCATTGTCAACCCTCTTGAACCAGGCTCGCAGTCGCACTTTATAGACAACCCAGATTCACTTTCCGAACATAATTTTGGATCATAATTAGAATTGGCCACCTTCCACAATTAAACATGCCCTATCATTTCCTACCATCTATGGCTGTGCACCTGTCGGCATCGAGGTTGGAAACTAAGAACATTTCGGGCAATTCTCTATCTCGTAGCCGCTATACGGATGAATCGGAGACCTGAGGATTAGGGATTGACGAGAACAAGAAGTATATTTCTCAGTGTCACTCTCACCTGAGAGTAATAGAGTGGAGACGCGAAATACAGTACAAAAGGGTTCAGTTTTATAGACGAGTTTTGGGTAATGTTACTACTACCCGTTATATCCTAACCGCATGGATTGTGCTCTTTCAGAAACAACTAAGTCAGCCTCTTACAATAGTCGGGATTTCCGGCAGGATTAAGTGCCCAATTAGGGAAATTGACGACACGGCCCCCGGCACCTCCAACCTACGGGAAATCAGAAAACCTTTGATAAGGTCAAGCATAGTTTTTGACTTACCGCGAAACTGTAGACGAATACCATGACTTCTGTTCCACCATCCAGAGCAGCTGACATCCTAAAGTTGAGTGTCAGCTTGTACAAGATCAAAGTTCTATAATAAATCAAAATCTTACAAGAAGTTGTATTTCCTGAACCATCTTGGGTGGTACCTTCTCATGTAGAATTGACTAAACATGCACAGCAAGAATGTGTTAAAGATGGCGGAGTTGATTCCTCCCGAAAGAGCGCCAATTTCGCTGCAGATCATCGGCGTAATAACACTATCGAAGTGAAACTTGGGATACTTCTTGTGTAGAAGCCAGAAAGGGATGGGAACGACAAGACCAATGAGTATTGACATCGGGATCATGCCATATCGTCCAGAAGGTTGGTACAGGTATTTTGCGAGGCCACCCCATGTAATTGCATCACTGAGATGGATAAAATGTGTTGAAGAATGTCATAAGAAGAAAAGTGCGGCAAAAAACCTGTTAAAAGATTGAATAGACGCTCCTGACCATACATTGGTACCCTGTACACTGAGGAGGATTTCACGATTAGCGTTAATGACAACTTTCATGATGATGTAGTTGAGAATGGCGCCGATGATCGCCCCACCGCATTGCCTAGAGCCCGTTGAATAGAAGATCAAAAATCGGAGCAAAAGCCTACATAGTAAACGTTACTCTGGGAGGGAGCTTCGTGTATTGTCCCATCTTCAGGTCCCTTGTCATTGAGCGACCCTGTTCGGTTGAATTGTAGGCGTACTGATAATAAGTGCATCAGTACTCCTAGTTAGGGACATTGCACAAAGATGTTCACCATCGTGAAGTACATGTTCGCCTAGTCATGGATGGCTCAATCAGCCAGGTGGAAAGAAACAATAGAACACCATACGTGAGGCTTTCCAGGCACTAATGCTGCACCAAGCATCTATCCAACATTTTAAGCACCCAGACAAGTCGAAAAAATGAACCACATACTCTAGCAATGTCTTCGGTCCCCGGAACGTAACTACGTGTCGATCAGAAATGGAAAGATACAGACCATGATTGAAGTACCCACCATAAAACGGCATATAACGTCGATATAATGGGCAAGAAAAATGCAGCAAAGCCTACGGAAATGAAGAAGGCCCACCTACAGGGTCCCCTAAGTAACTCTTGCGGGCACAAGGAGGTCGGGATCGCACCAAGGCAACAGCGCCTCGCCTGTGTAATTCGTAGCGAGTGCCATGGCTATAGACGACATAAACATTCCAGCATACCACCACATCGGAACCTCCTCATAAACTTTCATTTTTTCATAATGAGCTACAGCGACGATTTGATCCATGTCCCGGTAGTTATAAATCAAGGCTCACCATCATCAATTTTATTGGCCCGAGCGATCTTAATAGTATCCCACACTTGCTTACCATTCCAAAGAATCATATGTGTAACAGTGGCTCCAAACGACAAGCTTGCACCAATCTTGGATACGACTTGTGTACCGGCCATAAAGGGAAGGCCAACTGCCTCAAGCTTTGTGGCGTTGATCGAGTAGTCTGCGTCCAGGATAAGAGTTTGGTCATATTCTGTGCCGTTTTCAAAATAGAGCAACTGGAGAACTAATGAATTACTGAAAGGGTATACAAGCAGATGACGAAGCCGACCTGAGTGAGGAAGGGGAAACTCTTGGAATTCCACACGTTTTTTGCGTACACACCAACGAAGCTCAATCTAGCGAAGGTGAGTTTCCGATCTGGATATTCCAAATGCAATTCCACGTACATGCAAATCAGTACACCACCGAACAAAGACAGCTGGGTCGACAAAGGTTGAAACAGAGCGCCGTAGGCGGATCCGCCAGAACCGACGTAGTTCCAGTCAAAACAAAGCGAGAAAAGCCCGAGACCTTCATTACCAGCGGCGCCACCAAAGATACGAGTTACCCAGGCGCTATCCCGACGAGCAAGACACATGATAGAGACACCGGTAAGCAGAGGAGCAATGTATTCTGGGAACCATTCCCAGATAACTAGTACATATCATTAAATATTAGATCAAGGTTTCGATTGAAACATGATACTCACATGCGCCGATGAACAATATCCAGAAAAATTTAATCCTTTTTTTCTGCAGGAAGTTATTGGTGTGACTATGCAGGACTTCAAACATTTGGATTGTGGGGATCAAATTCGGGAAAACGATATAGGTGGGGTATACCAGAAACGAGCGCATCATCCCTACAATGATCGTCAGGCTGTATCGCATGATCGGGTCATACAATTACATACCAGCTAGTCCATAGCCCAATAACTGACTTCCAAGCAGCGTGAAGATAGCAATGGCAGGGTTTGGTTGGAATCCATAAAATAAATCATCAGCGGAGAAAATGCTGATAGCCAATGCACCATGCGTGGCGGCCGCCGACATGATGAGGATGCCGACGTGCTCCTTGATATTGAACGGGCCGGGGTTGATAAAGCGCCAAAAGGCGCTGTCCCAGGTTCGCAGAAGGGGGAGGCGATTATTAGGCCCCGGGAGAATTTCTTCTAGAAGCTTGCCTAGACCAAAAGCGGCTGTTTGGAGGAAGAGTTGGGAGACGTAGACAGTTTGGGGGCGGAATGACTGATCAAGTGGATGTCTTGTAATTAGAAGTCACGACGAATGACATGCTACGTACAAATATCTGACCTAACACGGCGCCAAAACACGACAAGCCGATAGAGCAGAACCATAGACGAAAGGTCCATACGGGAAGAGTTGGGTCATCGTCGAGCGAGATAAGACGAAGCGACCAGTCTTCGGCAGACACTGTAAGTGCAAGCCTCAGAACGCGAGAAACATAGTTTCAGAAGGCGAAAACACGGACCAATTGGTCGTTCTTTACCATCCTCGCCCATGTCAATCGCACGTCCATCCTCGAACACGCCTCCAATATCCATGACCTTGACAGAGGCTTTACCGTTCTTGTCCTTGAAGGAAGCTTTCTCGTCTTCGGAGGACGCGGAGCTGGGAGATACGTTGTTCATCGTAGGCAGCGTATTCAGAGCGTCGACTAAGGGGGACATGGCTAGAGAAAGAACGGGGAATCTGCAAAATTAAAAGGATTGATCATATAGATTTTTGTGAATAGATAAGAAGGAAGGAGATAAGTACGAGTTATCCAGAACTCGGAACGTGAGAGCCCGATATCAGGTTATGGGCAGGTGTACATATCAGAAAAAGCCTGTATAGACGTCTCAGTCCTAAAAGATGCGACCTAGAATAGATATTCAATTGCAAACGAGTCCCTGTGCAGTATGGCTCATACCACATGAGCATTAAGAAGATTTGCTGCCTTAGATAACGGTATCTATGTGCAAGTCTCATCGGCCCCTGTTTCCAGTTCAGCAAAAAGCAGCAATCCGAAAGCAAGGCCTTTCAATCGTCGCACAGAAGGTCATGCTGATAGTAAAGAAGATATGCCAGAGTCCACTGATTCCTAAGATGTGGAAGAAGAATTGAAAATGTCCGTGAGTCTGCTGTATAAATAAGCATCTCTGCTTACGCAAAGAATCCTGTTGCTGAAGTGGGGATCACTGTTTAAATGAAATTGAATCAATAAGAAGATGAGGGAATCATATCATACAGCTCGTAATGCAAACAGTTCGTGAGACAGCTTCTAACGCCAAGTTGGTCTCGCTCCTAGGCAGGGTGATCTTCGATAACGGCAGCATTTCATTCTGTGGGCAGAGGCAGGATTCTGTAACGAAACCTCGCGTAACATGCAAATACAACACCTAAACATTGGGTTAGGAAGTATTCAGGCAGATGGGGAGTATCGCTGTGTCATACCGCAACATTACTATCACAATTAGGCGTTGCCTGACAGTTTGAGAAAGGACGGGCTCATTGGCTTGAGTCGCCTCAAGTACTGCACTGGTAGAACAGCACTTTGACTGAAAATGGAAGTCTGACCAAGCTCTACCCCAATCTACCAACACTTATCTTCACTTCTCGTGCACATCGCAAGACATTTCGTCGGCGCCTTGGAAGTCTTTTCTTGTGTTTAGCTGCGCAATATACATGCTATTCTGACGCAGATTTACTGCCCTTCCGAAGCAAATCGTCGATATAAAACCTTGGTTACAATAGGGTCACCAATGACCGCACTAAAACATTTCAATCTACCGCCTGTACCTCCAGAACTCAAGTCCTTGACCCCATATCTTCAGCGCGCTGATGAACTGAAGACGAAGGAGCCTGTTATGGCCTACTGGTGTACGTGTTGCGATGTTTGTTCTTCTGTATATGCTCATCTATCTTAGGCACATATTATGCTGCGGAAATCGGCATGGGTCTCAATGCGAAAGCTGTCCCATGCCGCAACTTTCTCTCTGAACTCTTGGGCCTTTTGGAATCAATGAAACAAGACATAGGACCCAACGACGCAATCGATATGGAGGTTGCAAGCGCTGCATATGTCGAGAACTTTGCTTTGAGAGTTTTCAATCTAGCCGACAACGAAGATAGAAAGGGTCAAACAACCAGGTCTGTTTAGTGAGCTCCCATGCGCGTTTTACGGCGCCTCAATGTTTCCCAGATCGACAGCGAAGAAGTTCTTGGCTGCTGCCCATTTTCTTGAGGTGTTAAAGACATTTCCAAAGAGCGAGGTGTCAGATACGGTGGGTATCTTTGCAGGTACAATGGGAAGCATCGCATTAACGTTATTCACTAGAACGAGGAAAAGATCCGATACGCCAAATGGAAGGCTGCAGATATAGCTAAAGCTTATCGTGAAGGCCGTAAACCTACACCAGGGCCCGCAGGTGGCTTGTCCGACGAAGAACATGTAGCTCCATCCCTCGTAAACTATCCTACCACCATGTCCATACGGCCCACCACCTCTGCATCTCAAGCCGAGTCACCATCACAGAGCTATTCTCCGCCCCAGATCAAAAGGTCATCACCACCATCACACATCTCTCTCGAAGATATGCCACAGACTCCTCCTCGAAGGATCGCACCGCCGCACCTTGGTGTGGGTCGTCCAGGGCCTGAGTGGGAGGGGAAGGTCGTGACACCTGGGAGCTGGAGTACAGCGGCAACACCTGGTACGGAACCTGTTGATAGCGTATCGGAAGGATTGGACAACCGAGATTGGACCCTGGAATCGCCTACTTCTTGTAAAGGCAGATTTCACGAACCTACAGATGATCCACAAAGTGATGCGAGGGCTAAGAATATGCATTTTTCGTCCTCTGTGGTTGGCGGATCTTCCGCAGGTACTAGATCCCCAATAGTATCACCCAAAGTCAGCGAATCCAGCGAGCAAGTGTATTCTGAACCTCCCGTGCATGATTATCCGGGACAATACCTTGTTGAGCCGCCTGACTTGTATTCTTCTCTTACTCCATCCGCACCGCCAGCCCCTCCTTCCTCCGTCTTATCTTCATCACATACCCTTACTTCAACATGGCACCCTGGCTATTCCTCCATCCCCTCACCGCAACCTGCAACAATAGAGCTCACACCCGCGATGGTGACAAAGGCACAGAAACACTCCAGATTTGCCATCAGTGCTCTGGATTATGAAGATAGAGAGCAAGCTATAAAGGAGCTGAGAGCGGCTTTGGAAGCGCTGGGAGCTTGACAACTTCTGTTCGAACGTCCTTGGGATATTTTCTTTTCATACATGCACTTCCCGGATTCATTATTGCATCCTTTTACATTTCATCGCCACCAAACGTCACCCAGCAAGCTGGCCCGCAAACCGCGAGGACTGTTACAGAGGCCCGGCAGACTCCATGTGCATCTCTCGCACTTTCTGTTCGAGCTCCCGGATCTTGTCTTTCACAGGCGTAGCAGATCCGATAGCATAGCGGACTTGGTTGGAGAGGCAGCAGCGTGCATATCGGTCAGGGGTTAGGAGGAGGTCTTGTAGCTGTACTTGGTTTCAAAGTATCTTCTCGGGCGTAGCTTTATTGATGGGCGAAGTCGTTGACAAACCACTGTTGAACATCGAAGAGAGGAGTAATCGCCACTGACGCGAAGAACAAATAAGCCAAAATAAAAGCACAGCTTCTTCTGATCCCCATGTCGGAGAGGACGGCAAAAACGTATACTCATGTCTCTAATCGAGCGAAAGCTCAAAAGGAGAAGGAGAAGGAGAAGGAGAAGGAGCGGAAGGTTGTCCTCAAGAGTGTTCTAGATAACCCATTTCGCATTCGATGGTGCGTCGTCATCCTTTACTAAAGCAATATCGGCAAACACGACATTTAGGCCTTCAGTTCCAGTGAACTTGCAAAACTTGATATTGGCCCAAGTTTTATTACTTGTGGAAGGCGTGGCGGCATATCAATCGCGTGCAAAACAGGAGCGTACTCGTTGCAAGAATATTGACCGGAAGCCGAAGGCAGACAAAAGCGCGGTCGCTGCTACATCTTCTACAGAAATCAATCCCGATGCTGCATCTGCTCTTGCCAATGTTGATGTAGCCGTGAATTCCAAACGCAAGAGAGACGGAAATGATGATCTAGGATCTGGGAAGAAAAAAAAGCGGAAAACAGTAGCTTCTATTTCTGTCCCAACTATGTCGTCGACGCAGGTGGATTCTAGCGTCGTCAGCCCTCCAGCTTCAACTGCGACTTCCAAACGGAAGCGCGAGGTGCAGGACGAGCAAGGCGGTGAGAAGAAGCAGAAGACGACCCAGTTGGAAGAGGCATTGCCAATAGATGCTCCCTCTACGAATGGACACGGTACCAAACTTGTTACTAATGGCGAATCTGGTGTTCCTTCCGCAAGTGTTTCTGATCATGCCGATATCCCTCCTCCATCTTCCATTTTGAAACATCTCGTCATCGGAATCAACGCTGTTACAAAACGTCTTGAATGTCAAATTCAAGAAGCGCGCCGCACGATTGTTATTTCGAGTTCGGATTCAACAGAACAATCTTCCGTGCCACCTCGACTGCTCAAGTACATTTTTGCCTGTCGTACTGATGTTGATCCTCCTATCCTCATTGACCACATCCCGCATCTCGTCGCTTCCTTCAACTCTTGCAAACCATCCGAATGTATCAAACTTATACCGTTACCGAAAGGCGCTGAAGTTACGCTAGCAGAGTGCTTCAATATACGCAGGCTTGCCGTGTTTGCCTTTGACGTAGGTGTTTTACCAGAAGCATTCAATTTCCATATTCACTGCTGTTCAGAACGAAACCGTCGGTTTATCGGCGCTTTCTACCATATTAGAAGCTGTGCCTGTGATTGCAGCTCCCTGGTTGGTGCCACAATCAAATGTATCCGACAATCAAATGGTTCCAACCCACATTAAACAAGTCTGTACTTCTGCACCCAGGGATATGAAAGCAGCGAAAGAGAAGAGGGCTGCAGGCAGGGCTGCGGCGAAGCAGAAATGGAGAAAAGATGTGAGAGGAGACGGAAAATAACCTCGCAAGTTGTCTAGTGGACAAATGCTACTTTCAAGTATTCTGTTCAATGATTGTTGGGCGGGTATTCTTCTGTGAAATTTGACTGGGTGGCTAGCCCCATTACAATCACGAACCTAAACCCTCTAAGACAAGCTAGCAGGCGAACGGAGTAGCCGTTAGATATATACTATTGCTAATAGAGCTGCATACGACGTAGGGGCGAGCAGCCGGTGATCACACAAGTAGCCGCTCGTTCGACTTGTCCGTCGACAAGCGGTCGGAATTAGCTAGGCCTTTGTTCTGTGACCGGGCCTCTGTCTCGTCCCTACAATGTTTATCGCGATAATAGGCACAGCCTCGGCAGGAAAGTCTACTGTTGAGGAGTACCTTGTGGCAAAGGAAGGATTCACACCTATCCGGCTATCCAAAGGAACAAATGCAGATGTGTGTACTCGTTCTGATGCTCATCATACTCTCCCATATTCAAATGCTAGAATGAAACAGGAGCTTCCGGAATATGATCAAGTAGAGGCTCGCCCCTTCGAAGCGACAACTCCCGCAGATGCCTCTGTTTTATCGGACAAGCATCTTTCCTTCCTATCACTCGATCCTACACCTATTCACTCCCCGGGGTCTTTTCATTTTAAGAGCAGTCTGAATATGACATTGACCTTTGACACGCCATCGGCCATGCTTGACTATGTAACCCGAAATTGGCGGACGCGATTCGTTACAGTCGACCTCTGTACAAGAGAGCAGGTCGAACGATTCATCAAACGACCTTTCTTCATGTTGCTGTGCATCGATGCGCCAATATTTGACAGGTACCGACGATCAAACAGGTAAGACCTTCATTTTAGCGAGGAACTCTATTAGAGCCCATTTGCACCTCTTACCTAGCCACTCCCTGGAAGATTTTGTGCGCACAGACGATGAACACGTTTTTGGGCAAGGCAAACGGGATTCAAGAGAATCATTGAAGGGATTGAATGATCTGGTTCATATTAAGATCATCAATGATTTTCGGAGTGTTGCTGCCCTCCATTCACATTTAAATGATCTTAATATACTTCACCCGTGTCGTCTCAGGCCGGACTGGGACACGTATTTTATGGTACGGGCTTCGTGTCGCGATGATAACTAACTGACTTCAACCTATTCTAGACATTGGCATCTCTCGCTGCTGAGCGATCGAACTGTATGAAACGGAGGGTAGGCGCCATTTTGGTTAGAGATAACCGCATCTTGTCCACCGGGTGACTCATCACAAGTTTGTAATTGCTACGTCTTCCTGATTATTCCTCGTTAGATATAATGGTACTCCAAGACACCTGCTGAACTGCAATGAAGGTGGCTGCTCGCATTGCAACGGGACAACGATACTCAGCGACGATACGGATCATTGTATATGTCTTCATGCGGAGGAAAACGCGTTACTGGAAGCTGGAAGGGAGCGAGTTGGCGTCGGATCGGTTTTATATTGCAATACGTGAGAGTTCTTTTCCAAATGTTCTTCTCAACTGTGGTCTTACGGTACGCTTTAGGTGTCCTTGCTTGAAATGTACAATTAAAATCATACAGACCGGTGTAACAGCAGTTGTTTATAATTTGTCATATAAAGTGTCAGTCATCTTGCAGATCGTGTGATAAAATGAAAACTGAAATTTCCTTCCCAGAGATGCAGCGTCGGCACTGTTATTCAAGCAAGCAGGAGTGCAACTGCGGCGACATCACCTTCCAGGTCAAGATGGCCATCCTTTTGATATAAATGGCGTAGAACAAGTGTGAAATTGTATCTTATACCACGCTAAACTGGTTCCAGGCCTTCGAATACAAGGGCTACATTATTTTCAACATTCCACTGCGGCCTCCTCAAAAAATTCATTGTGGATGATGCCCCTGCACAGGTACATTGCAGCACAAGCCAAACAGCGTCCGCATTGTTGTGCCCGATGGCAATGTACAGCTCTCTTGCGCAACCCTGGAGTTCCTCGTGCGCCCGTGAATCCAAAAATCGGCGGAAGGCCAGAATGACCTCCCATACAGAAGTGTCCTTGGGATCCACCCCATGCATAGACGCGGTCATCGTCTTCAACAGGCACCGATAGATGCGATGAGAATGCGTATATGCCGATTCCGCACCCACAGCTCCGTGTCTTCTCCAAGACAACGCACTCGACGCATCCGCGACATCCAACTTCTCCAACATCTGCCGAAAACGTGGCCAAATATCATCCCAAATGCGCCTATACATAAAAGCGCCGACGTGGGTAGCCAAGGCTTCTACCAGTGAGGCTGCGGCACTGACGACGAAAGATTCCGGATCCTCGAGCCGGTTTAATATGAAAGGCCAGGCAGAGTGTATCGATGGTAATAGGGTAGATTCGGTTAAGACGGGTACCGATGATGCTAAGAGTGTTAGGATGCGGGCCCGTATAATGGGCGATTGGTGGGTCAAAAAGTACAGCGATCGAGAGACGATTTGCTTCGTCAATGCTTGTGTGGGTGTGAGGGGTAGTTCCTCTGTCGAATCTGCAGCTGCCACGGGTACGTCTTCAGTCCGTTCCTGATCTTCTGCGCCCTTTCTCCTCTTATCGCCCCATGCCTCTCGAGGTGCTGGGCTATAATCGACGTCTTCTTCCTTCACTAGTGGATCGTTTCGATATTCAAACCAGTCAAAAAAGTCGTTGAACGGTTGACAGTCATCGCGAAGGCCCGGTGGACGCTTGCCCTGTTTATCCTCCTCAGCGTCAACTTCTTCGATCTCTATAACCTTCATCACTTCTGACAAAACCTCAATCAGACCTTCCACAAGTACTTCATATCCATGATATTCGTCAAGGCGATCAAAACACTCTTCAACCACGTCTCCCGCCTTTCCGACAACATCATCACCCACCAGTTGTATCATAACAACGAGCACCTTTGTAGCCTCCACATCGAGCCAACGGCGTGTTAGCCGACGAGAGACCGAGTCCAAGATGTAGTCAAAATTTGAAAGTAGTAAGTTTGCAGGGGAGGCGTAGGAGGTGCTGGTTGTTATGAAGTTTAAAGTCGCCAGAGCGGTACTTGATAGATGAGAATTGGGCGATACCAAAGAATGGAGAACGGGATACAAAGTCTGTATGAACAGAGTAGCAAACCGAGCCTGGAGGATGCCCGAGGTAATAGATAAAAGCTGAAGGAGCATCGCCTTTTGAAGCATCGGCTGCGAAACAACCCTTGGCTTTGTAGCCGGGGAATACGACTGCAAAATATGCAGAGTCTCGTCCACCGGAATGACACCTTGACGGTGTTGAACTTCATCGCTGACATCCTCTTCGTCACACAAGCTAGGGTCTTCTTCAATGGCATCGACATCTGGCCGGTCCCATATCTGACTTGTGCTCCTCGCAAGCGCTCTAGCCAAGTTTTCCAGTCTCTGGCTCGTTGAATATTTCGGCGAGTCCAAAGAAGATGAAAACAGCGAAATTCTTGCCGCTCCTTCAAGCAGCCGACAGGCGCACCACAAGGCTGCGACGGACCTGCTATCTGTTCCGCTCTGTCCTATACTGACGAACCATTCAACGGTAAACAAACAGTCATCACCAGCTGCCTGTCCAAGAGCATGAAACATTTTCACTAAAGCATCATAGGTGCTTTTCAACGACACATTCCTGAAGATCACGTCTGGAAACGCTACCCATTGGCTTTGCTCCGAATCGTGCTCAAGCATCAATAGACCACTCGAAGGTTTCGTAATAGTGACTGGGGGGTCGACGAACTCTAGAACAGACAGAAAATTCCAGCCCCATTTTTCCACACTACCCGTAGGCCCCAGGAGTCGGCCCAGTTCGGTAGATATTGGACTCTGCGGCGGTGTTTGGCCTTCCTGGCCTGACGACAGACGGCAGACTGCCTGGATGAGGCCTGCAACATGCTCGACCTTCGCGTCTGCCATAAGCGTAAGCAGTCTGGGGAGAGCAGTTAGATTATCTCGCGTGAGTAACATTAAGGTCTGCATGAACGCATGGCGAGGCTTAGACCACGGAGAAAGAAGGCCCAACAAAGTAGTATGAGCTTCCTTTGAGACCGAGGGGAAGTCGGAAATGGAAAGAGAGAGCAAAAATGATAACAAGAGCGGTTGTGTCCGAGGTAGGGTTCTCGACGTGGCTAAAAGTATTGTAGATGATAGTCTAGACAAGGCAATGAGAGCAGACGGAGTCGGATGCTTAATAAGTGGGGTGAGTGTATTGAGGGCGATGTGTAACTGGGATGATGTTCCACGAAGCCACGAAGGAGTGCGTGGAGTTGCATATTTTATATTTGGCACCGGCGTCGGTTCGCTTTTTACCCCAGGATCACGAACCAGATTTATCACATCCTCTAAGTCCTCGACCGACGTGACTGCCCCTTCCTGTACACAGATATCATCTGCAATGGAGCGTACCACGATCTCCGAAAGGACCACAAGAGCTCTCGAAACGAGTTCTCCATTGGCCCAACTTTTATGCGTCGTGCCTAACGCCAATTTAGTGGCAGTACTAACAACTCCTGGGAGCACCGAGGGAAACAGACTGTCGGGAAAATATGCCGAGAGGAGAAGGTTTATCACGTCCAAACAAGTCTTTTGTAGGGAGAGCGTTCGTGAATCTGTGTTTATGAGAAGTGAGTTCAACGTTTGCCCTAGAATTGGGACGAAAATTTCCGTGCGAGCATGCTTTTTGAAAACAGTAAGTCGTGGATCAGCGAAATTGGAGTGGATCTGCTCGTCGTCTTCATCCCGAACTCTCAGAAGGGTGAAGAGACATCTCGCCGCGGCCTCCTTCGTCTCGTCGTCTCGTTCTTTTGCTTTCCCGTTCCCTTCCATTCCTCCTAATACTGCTCCCGACAACATGAAGATCTGCTGCCAAATGGATACCTCGCAGGACCACCACCAATCATCGCAGAGGATTTCTAACACCACGAATATCTTCTCCAGAATCTGGTCTGGAATAACGGTAGATGAATTACGTTGGAGGATTGTTGAGACGGGGAAGAATGCGTAGGAGATCAGTGATTCCGAAAGGACAAACTCAGAGGATTTGATGGTTCGCAATGCGCGGATCAGGTCATCCAAGAGTTTCGAAGCCGTTGGGATAGACGTAGGGGTCAATGCAGCTGACCCGAGCAATGGGACACACACTGCCTTCAGCTAAAAAGAAACTCAGGAAATGTTAGCCTGGCAAGAAAGGACAACATACAGACTGGAATATCCGTTTCGACTGAGCTTCAGGATCACCCATTATCCTCGACACTTGGTTCCCGTGACTAGTGCCTTTTATTCTTTGACGCTGCGAGGACAACAACGGACGACGGACGATGGACGAAATGGTGCGGTTGCTAGGCGGGCCGGTACGGCAGACCGATTCTCCGAATTGGGCAGATTTGCTTCTTACCTCCATGTCTGCCGCTCTGACTCGATAAAAATGTTAAAGAACCAAAACACAGTCGATATCATTCCATCCTGATACACACTCTCTTGCCGTATCACGTCCCTTCTCTGTTAGCTAGGATCCCCTTTGATACCCTGGACGTGCATCGCCAAAACTTTCTCCATCTCTTTCTATTTCACATACGCTACTCGACATACAGCTAAAAATTCATTTTAATCGCCTCTACCCGCCGTCTAAATGACTTTCGATCCTCCAAGGCTATTGCTCATAGACTCCTACGATTCATTTACTTTCAAGTACGCCCGTCATTTGCCTTATGTGATCGCCATTTCACATCTTTCCGCTCTCAAGTCTAGCATCTTTATTTCGACGATCTATTCCAGGATGTTGCATCCACATCCTGAAGAACGATAGACTTTCGATATCTGATTTGTTGCCCCATCTGAGGCACTTTTCAGCCATCGTCGTAGGGCCTGGGCCTGGTTCGCCGGACAATACTGAGGACATTGGGCTCGTCAGGGATCTGTGGAACGTTTCCGAGCAGTATATGCTGCCTATATTTGGCGTTTGCCTCGGCCTCCAAAGCCTCGCACTCGCTGATGGTGCAGAGCTGCATCGCCTGCCAATCGTAAAACATGGTCAGATATCGCATGTCGTGCACACTGGCCATAGTTTGTTCGAAGGTGTGGGCCGTGTGGAAGCTGTGAGATATCACTCTTTGCATGTCACTTTGCTACCAGGCGGCTCTATAGAGCCTCTGGCATGGGCGGACGATGAGCCGGAGAACGGAAGAATCGTCATGGCTATTGAGCACAGAACCTGGCCTTTTTGGGCAGTTCAATATCATCCGGAATCCGCTTGCACTGCCGGTGGTGGACCAGAGGTTGTCGCAAACTTTTGGCGTTTAGCGCAACAATGGACTCATAAACATGGAAGGAAAACGAGTCCTTGGTGTGAGAGCGCCCGTCGTGTCTTCGGACCCTCTTGGCCCCACGCTTCCCCCCTACACCAATCGCTTCGCTATTCTTTCCCGCCCGCTTTGTCTGTGAATACCATTGTTGTCGATGCACCCACGATATCCGTGACGAACATCTGTGACATCCTTGGAGCAAACGACGAACAGCAGCCTTTCGTTCTCTTGGACTCTGCAGCTCGTCCAGGTCGATTTTCAATCATAGCCTCCATGCTGCCCACGAGCCTTCAGATTACTTACAACGTTGATGATCCCTTCGTTGGTTTGGCGCGCGGAACTGCAGTTACATACGAGAAACTTGGAGATCATAACATATGGTCATGGCTTGCAAGTTTTATGTACACTCGAAAGGCAGGGGGTGGTAGACCTGAGATTCCTTTCTGGGGTGGACTGATAGGGCTTTTGAGCTATGAAGTTGGTGTTTGTTCCCTGGGAGTCGCTCCGCGATCTAGGAATGACCCCAACCGCAAACACCCTCATCCTGATGTCAACTTTGCTTTCATTGAAAGGAGCATCGTCGTGGACAACTTGACTGGAAAAATATATGTTCAGTCTATCATCCCCAACGACGACACTTGGCTGGTCGAAACATCAGTGTTAGTGCAAGAGCAACCGGATGCTGTCCACCAGGAATGCTTACCTTTACACGACCAGGAGACCGTTTCTCATGCCACGGTAATCCTCCCAGACAAGGATCGGTACATCTCCAATATCAAACAGGCTATGGATCATTTGTTCCGTGGCAACTCATACGAGCTCTGCCTCACTGCCCATACACGGATTCAAACGTCCTCGAAGTCTTCTTGGAACCGTTACAAAACACTTCGCCGAACCAACCCTGCTCCCCATTCTGCCTTCCTACGTTTATCTCCAACAACCTTCCTATCGTCTTCCCCCGAACGTTTCCTATCCTTTTCTCGTCCGCCAGATGCCATCTACCAATTGAGGCCGATTAAGGGTACGATACGGAAAGGCCCTGACGTCGATCGTGCGTATGCGGAAAGAGCCCTCGCTGGGAGCCCTAAGGAGGTCGCAGAAAACCTGATGATCGTGGACCTCATCAGGCATGATCTTCACAGCGTGGTTGGCGAGGGTGTCACTGTGCAGCAGTTTTGCGCCGTAGAGGAATACGAAACTGTCTGGCAGCTTGTCAGCGTGATTGAAGGCCAATCGTCTTCAGAAAAATCAAGCGGGTGGGATGTTTTAAGGAGCAGTTTACCACCTGGTAGGTCTTTTCGATATTTCCAGTGGTCTCACCTCTGATTTCTAGTTCAATTCGTCAGGTAGCATGACTGGGGCTCCGAAGAAGCGAAGTGTGGAGATCTTGCAAGATCTCGAGGAATCAGACCGAAGTCTGTATTCTGGGGTATTCGGATACTGGTGTGTAGGAGGTGGCGGTGACTGGGCGGTGACGATACGAAGCGCATTCCGACATGATGATCCTAACGTTCAACCCGCTGACGAGAAATGGGTAGTCGGAGCTGGCGGTGCTATAACCGCTCTTTCCGATCCTGAGTCAGAGTGGGATGAGATGGTTATCAAACTTCAGAGTGTTTTGAGAACCTTTGATTGAAGATGGTGTTCATCTTCTGATACTTAATACTGAATACTGACTTTATTATGAGCATCAGACTTACTTAATTACCGCTTATAGATGAGTGTTTGCATAGCACATTGTATCCATACTTTGAATTCAACTTCATGGATTGATCATCTAGGTTCTAGGCTCTGACGTTAAATAACAGGACTTGAGTTGAAATAGACATTGAAACCTTTGATCGGTTTACAACCATCAACGACACTATGCTCTCGAATCTCAACGCGACATCTGCACGATTGAAAGCCCGCTGGAAGCTACCGCCAGATACATCAGATATCTCGTCATTTGGCGGCTCGGTATCATTGTCCAGCCCTCGATGTTCGGCAGCTGCACGTGGCGAGAAAGCATTCATAGCCTGTGGTAGCAGTAAACAATCAAGGAAAACTAGTGTTCACCTTACAGACGCCTGGACGACTCACTGCGAAATGACCGAATCGATTGTATCATCCAACCCACCACCGTACGTAAACATTCCGTTCATTCAAGTTGGTCGCCATTTTCTCATTCCTACCCTAGTTATGACATGTCGGAGGACATCCCTGGAGTCGGGTTGGGGTCCTCGACGCCCAACCATGGTTCTGCTTCTTCGTCCCCAGGCCTCCTACCAAATCCTGCCCCAATTGTACCGAGTTGGTATTCACAAGCTTTTCACTGGGCCTCGATGTTCAGCTTCATTGACTGCGGTCCGGAATACCGCTATCATTCAAGGATTTGTCTTTTCACTGGGTCTTTTCTATTACTCAACATATAATGCAATGCACCATTCTAGGTGCTGCATATAGACACACTTCAGGTGCAGTTGAGCCGAAGTTTGGAAAATCATGTGCTAGAAGGCACTCTTAGGCTACCGGGCTCAACGAAGTAAGAGTACGTTAAATGAAATCGGACCTTACCTGTAGTAGCCCTCCTCTGCAACCACAAAATTCAATACACAATACAAGCGACCCTGATTTCTGTAAAAATATATCGTCACGCATTACACAGTAATAGATCAATATCGACAGGGTTCAATCCTATGATGCTACATGTCAGTAAACGTATACAAGGTTGCAAGATGATACCACACACCCAGAGCTTGATGTTGCCGTCCCAAGAACCCGTCAAAACCTTCGACTGTGTAACTTTTTGTGAGCGCGCGGCTATAACAGTTAGACAATGGAAACGTACGGTCTCATGAGGAAGCCATTCATGGGTAATGACCACTTTGTTGTGGGCTTTCAATCTTGACTTGATACGACCGGTCTTCCAATCCCAGAACACAACATTTCCTTCACCATCCCCACTGCTTATCCACTTTCCATCAGGAGAGAAACCCACTTGACACGCGTAACCTGCAACAGAATGTCCCGCGAAACGTTTTTTGCGGTTTTGCCGGAAGTTATCGGTGCTGTAGATGAGAATCTGGTTGTCGAGAGATTGTGCGGCGAAATATTTATCTGGACAAGTTTTAGCACAGGCTGAAAAAAAAAAAAGCACCATAACATACTTGAAGGATGAAGTGTAACGGCGGGCATGGAATGCATATGCGGTTCAGCAATGTACTTAATCACCACTGGTATATCAAAGTCCCAGGCCCTGATAGTCTTGTCGTCCGAGGTCGTCACGAACCTCCGGTTCTCATCAACAAAAGTGATTGTATTCACTGGGCCCAGATGTTGATCGTACTCCTGGGTAATCTCCCCGGAGTTGATATCATACTGGAAGACATCAGTAACGTTGAACCAACACAACACCAGCATACCTGGATGATTTTTTTGTCCGACATGCCTGCGAGGAATATGTTCTGCTTGTCTTCATCCGGGTGAAACTTGACGACATAGGGTATTTTGCCGTTGCTGAAGCGCTTTATGCACTGTCCGGTCTCCGTATCCCACAACTTCATCTGGCGGTCATAACTACAAGATAGAAAGCGTCGACCGTCATTTGAGAACGAAACGTCCTTGACGTGCTTTGTATGGCCATGAAATGTCCGTAAACAATTTTGTGTTGTGTAGAGATCCCAAAGCTTTAGGCCAGTTAATGACGATTACCTACACACAGATGGATTGCGCACTTTGATTTTTGTATCCATGGATCCGCTCAAGAACATATGGCCAGTTTGAGGGAAAAGACGGAGCACTGAAACGCCTTGATTGTGGCCGGTAAATGTGTGCACACATACCTTGGGAATGAAGCAATCCTGAGAGCCTGCCTCAGCTGTGAGTTGAGGCGCGTCTGCAAGAGGTGGCGACATGTATGTGCGGCCTTGGTAGTCCGTCATAGACTTGCCGTGGAAAACGGAATACTCTTGACCATGACCGCCCCGCTTGTTCTTGACCTTCTTAATTTTGGTCGGCTCTTCCTCCTCCTCCTTCTCCTCCTCCTCCCCCTCTTCCGGCTCTCCTTTACCATCCTCCGGAGCCTCAACACCAGCAAGGAATGTACTCTCCGGTTCCTCGCCTTCCCAATCGGCCCAAGGCCCAACGTATGCCCCATCACCCTCCACGATCTCCAAATCACCCTTCTGCTTTCGCTTCCGCTTCAATTCATTCCTTTGGCTCTTGGATGTCCGTAGGGAATCAATGGTTGCAAAACCATTAGCTTGAGCTTTGTCTATTGAACCTAGGAGCGCGGGAGCGTTGGGATCTATAGAAGGGTTGGCAGAATAGCCCAGAATTGAGTGTGTTAGATGCTGAGAGCGAAAAGCATGTTCCGTCATTGACTGTTCCTCAACATGTCCCGCGAGAGCATTTTGGTTGATGAATCGGTTCCTATCGCCAAACGGATTGTCCGGACCTTGAATCGGTAAAGTCATGTCGTTGAACGGAATATTTACATTCATTTGCGTGTCTGTTGGTCGCGTGATAAGTGACGTCTGGTGTAGTGGATCCTAGGGTGAAATATTGAGATGATTGAACGATTACTGCTGAGCAAAAACGTTACTTCTGACAAGACGTGAGGTGCGGCCTGGGTCACAAGTGACGTCCGAGGGGGCTCGCTTGTCCGCATTTTTTTCGCGGAAGGTATCGAAGAAAGACTAAAGACATCTTTTGAGATGTCGATGTCGTCGTCCTCTCCGGAGGAATAGCCTTGGACCAGAGACATGGTAGCAGGCAAGAGAAAGTGTGACCGTGATTGTAACGAGCGGTCCGTTCTTCTTCTTTCCCGTTGTCGCGCCACGCGCTCCTCTCCAACACTTCCTGATGCCGACCTACACTTGTACGATCCATACGACCTAGGAACGTAGCCATTCGGCAGACCGCCAGGGTGAGTGCCATCGCCTGACCATAGTTCGCTACGAACTTAATCGTTCCACGGGTTCTCTAGCTATGTGACTGCCGGAACACCAACGACAAATACTGTCTACTCATTCTCGCCCATTGGTGATAATGCGATGCTCTCAGTACCCTCACCTAACGCTCCAGACACAGGACCGAAATATCATATCTCAGTTCGATCGAATTGCTTCATTCTATCTGTATTATATATCACCAGTACGTTTGTGTGTGTTCTCCCGAATGTCTGGACGGTGTTTGAACTTCACGTAGCCATACGCTGAGGCGCGATGGTTGGCGATTTTGAGTATGTTTTAAATGTTGCACCTCGATTACTTCTGCTAGAATGATTGTTAAAATAACCATCTCCTTTTTATAATATTTTGTTGCAACATCGTAACAGCATATACATCGTGTATTTTAGCTGTTGAATCGTAATTTATAAGTGGCCTTCTGCAGTCGCACTGCCTTTGGGGGTAGAGGCAGTGAGCCCTGACCGTGACATTGACAGTGCCACAACGCTTGACCCTAACCAGGCGTACGTTTCAATGATTCTGCCATCCCCCATGTGCGCCCCATTTTCAAAGCTCTGATAAGCATGTTGTCTTACTGACACTCTCGTCGTATACCGTAGTAGTGAAACGTCCAAAGTAGGTTTCCAGATCGGCGTTCCTAAACCACTCCCGCGCCCGCCGATCCACCCCAACATTCAATATGGATCTACGTCTCCCGTCCCTCCAAAGTGGGTCATGCACAATTGTATTTATGAACTAATAATGACCTTTGCACCCCCAAATCGGTATTAGTAGATACTTCATTACGCCACGCCCTACAGACACCATCACGTACAACTTCGCACCCACACGGTCACCTTTGGATCCAAATTCTATGCTGCTGTACCCACCACCGGACATCAGCGTCGACCAAGGGGCACGGACACCCTACCATATATGCGTTAATATGAATTGTTTCACGCCTTCCTCTCACATCACCACCATCAGAAAATCATCTTCTGAAGGTGAGTTTGTCGGGGATTTTGAGTCGGTGATTTTCCTTGCTTGTGGAAGATTATCATCTCAAACACGACTTCTAGGATTGGTCCAAGTAATGCAAGGATATCGAACACCGTGTGTTTAAGAGGACATGAATGCTCGATAAATGAAGTACTATCGTCTTCATCCCGGCTGTTTCATAGCGTGAGCAAATAGAGTACTTGTTATAAACAAGTATTCATGGTGACTTTTCTCCCAGAATTGGACATGGAAAACTGTCGATGAACATGATGCACCCGTGACTCTTTACTGGGATGACAATAATGGCGGAAGTGCCATAACTGTAAGATGCCACCTCCCTTGCAAGAAACACATTGTTAAAGCCCGCGTACAGTGCTTTCGTTCTAAGGACAGGACATTGGCCAACCTCCTCGCAAAATTTACGCCACGCAATCAGATGCGAAAGCATGGGAGGCCGATTCAGTACCCAAAGCTTGAGGTGACTCCCGACGGGCATGATTGCTTCGAAGATATCCTCTTCTCCGCTTTGATTATCGAACGTATGCGAACTGACCCACCTGGTAAGAGTTAGTTACGTGATACACGCATTAGACTTTCTTTTTATTTTCACTCATATCGCTGCTTTTCTGGTATCTGTCTCACTATGCCATATTACATTGTATTCTAGTACATCTGATGAAAATTTCACTTCTTTACGCATCTCAGGCCATGAGGGCTATATCTTTTAGCTCACTAAGAATATTAGGTGATCAGTGCCACGGAAAGACATAATACACAGATGCTTACTTCTGGACCTGCTGGCCAACTTTCATGGGTTCGTAAACTGTGTCTTCTCCATTGTCCTTCCCCAGACTGATGTAAGCAGCCCGAATCGCTCTTGAGTGCTCTGCCAAAGTAGGAATGGGCTCCAGATCATAATCAGAAGAGAGATGCCAGAAGAAAGTAGATGAGATTCGAATCAAAGGTCGTGAGGGGTGTTCTCTTTTGCGCTGCTCGATGACCTCCAATACCCGTGTCAAGGTGATCGACAACATATAGTAGTTAAACAGAATGCATACCGCGATAGTTTTATCATTAACGACGACTTCATGGTAACCCGCCTTGATTAGACCACCACTGATGTGCTCTAATTGCTTCCCAGCCTGAACAAGTAAGTAGTTTCCTTCTGGAATTTGGACTGCGATACGTCTGCCGGTATTCCGAGCCCATATATGTAAGCCAGGATATCTCGAACGACCGTGGATTGTCAAAAAGTTGAGATCAGTATGAAAACCAGCGAGAATGGTATTTTGCTCTCCGTATTTGACAAGATCCGAAGCGGTGGGCGCTAGAATATGTGGTCTTCCGGAGAGATCGGAACTCAGAAGGCAGACGGACGAAAATGCTCTTACCCGTATCTCCCTGCTTCGCGGAACGTCTCTGCACGTAGACCAAGTCCGATGGATGCCATGTCAGCTAGGTTCTCCACTCTATGGAGAATGCTAGTAAGTGGCTGGAAAACACGAGGCGGAAGTGAGAGCCTTACGCGCGTTTCATAGACATCCCCCACTTTTCCATGGTTGGCAGCCAGCGTTCCTTGATATGTTCGGCCTGGGGGACAACATTAGGAGCATTGAGACAGGGAAACTGCGTCTGATACGGCGGCGGCGTAACTCCCATCTTCCAAAAGAAGCGACACTTTGGATCTGAATTATGAGCACTGATATCCACCGGTCTCTGTGAGCGCTCTAATCGTTCTATAACACGCAGGCAACTCGTATCCACTGCACATTTCGGTTTTTCCGTGAGCTCAAGGGTAACGCCGACTTGATAGCTGAGCTCGGGCCTCTCGTCCTTCTTGAGAATGTCTTCAGATTGTGCAAAATAATCCTCTAACAGGTCGAGAAAGGTGATGTTGTCCTCCTCCGATACACGCGAGTCGCGTAGAAGCAGAGCACCATGGACAATCAGAGCATTCGCTACCTGAATCAAAGAAATGAGAGAAGAACATCATGAAACCAATCCCTCTGGCTTACTTTCTTGCATTCTTCAACCACTACCTCCGTATCCCTAGATTGGGAGAGAAAGAGGTCTAGATCTATTATAGGCAGGTCCATCGAGGCGGGACAGCAAAGAAGGTATTTGTTTGGATCCAGGAGAGTGTTCCAGTGTGTTCCACGCGAAGCTAGTGGCTGTGTCAACTTGGATAACAAGGCCAATTCCAGGATCGACTCTCCGACCGACCACCACTACTCTGACTCACGCTACTACCTACATCCACGCCGCCCTACCACGATGATCAAGGTTTTATTTCGCTCTCTTCAGGATATGTGCCGCTGACTCATCTGTTAGATATGGAGTATGAAGAAGAACGAGGATGCAGCGGCCAAGAAAAAGCCTAAGGTCAGCGCTGCCCAAATACGAGTGCAGAAAGGTGCGTTCGTACACCTTGTGTATGGATTGGCTATTGATGACCATTTCTCCCTTTTAGACTTGACAGAGCTCGACCTTCCCGCTACCATGCAAACAAATTTCCCTGATCCCGCTGATCTCCTCAATTTCATACTCACCATTACCCCAGACGAAGGTATGTTCAACGTGTTCGCATAGCCGTGGTATTCTTGCATGAGGCGTTGATCATCGTGCATCCAGGCATGTACAAGGGTGGCGCTTTTGTATTCTCCTTCGCCATCAACTCTAATTATCCTCACGATCCACCAAAAGTGAAGTGTACTCAGACGGTAAGCTGTTCATTACCTTTCCTTCCAACTGAAACGTTGGTTGATCCATGCCATCGCAGATATACCACCCTAACGTTGATCTCGAGGGCAATGTCTGTCTCAACATTCTTCGAGAGGATTGGAAGCCGGTTCTTAACCTGAACTCGGTTATGGTTGGTCTGCAGTATCTTTTTTTGGAGCCGAACGCAGATGATCCTCTGAACAAGGGTATGCAAATACCCGCCTCTACTTATTCTTAATCTAATCCCTTTACTACTCTTCATCAGAGGCTGCGGTAGAGATGAGTAAAGCCCGAGACCAATTTTTGAGCAATGTCAAGTCATCGATGCGTGGTGCCAACATCAAGGGCGTACAATATGCCAACGTACTTGTGCGATAATTGCTAATTATCCCCATCATGTATCACTTCAGTTCCTTTCTCACCTGTCTGTCACTCGCGTGTTTCTGCACATCTTAGTACATACATCTACTCCAGTCATTCCGCATCATTTTTCTGTGTTACCTTTGCATTTCCTAGGTGTGATCATTAGACACAAGGGCGTAGATATCTTTTCCGACCTTTTGGAACTGATTCATTGTGGCTAGCCTAGTAATACAGTACATTTATTCATGAATCGACATTGGGCTCAGCACGCTCAGCTGCCGCGGTATGTTGTAAAGGAGTAAGGGCTAATGAGAAGAGGAATGTGATAATGTTCTGCAGGATTTTCGAGATTGAATGTTATCTAGAGGATGATATCTGATTAGACGGAACACTCAAAGGGCGAACGTCGCACCTCGACCCATGGGTAAAAGCATTTCTGTCCTTTGCTCTCGAAATAATCCTTGATCCTGAAAATTACCTTGTATGACCCGGCAATGAGTAGACGTCTCGTTTCTTCTGAGATCTCCAAGGGCGGAAGAAGGTCTGGACATCTCCCGTCCGAGTTGGTTACACTGGCAGATTCACAGCGTTAGAGGTGTCCGTCGCATTGGATGATTGCTCGACGAACCCTTTTGCCAAAGGAGTAAAGATGTCTGGATCGCCTTCTGATTCACCGGGTTCATAGCGCTGCAGCCTAACCTCCACATTCGGAACAGGCTTTCCTGAAGACGAATCGAGAACTGTTAAAAGAGGTGGATGAATTGATACCAGTGCTCCTAAGGACAGGGAAAAACGCAGACTATGGCAAGTGATAGGAGATCTTGACATCAATATCGAGGTTCAACAGTATAACAGAGGCGTTTCGTCCGTCAAAATGGAGCCCAAGAGAGCGATGGTTGATTAGATTAAAACTTGCCGGTGGAGCTGACGGAACTCCCGGTCCGGAGAAATGTGATGTCACTGTCTTGTGATCGGAAATTGAATTTTTTATTGAACCACCATGGCGGCGTCTTCAACGTCGTTACCTGTGCCTCCCCTCGGTAAATATCTCGCATCGACAGGTGAGATATATCCGTTATTTGATTACATATGCTGACACGAAGAGTAGACAAAAAAGTCCGCGACAAAGCGATCAAGACCCTATCCGTCTTCCTCTCTGATTCTGAAGATACTCTGCCGCCGCCAGAGTTGGCCAAATTGTGGAAAGGAATCTTTTATTGTGAGTCAAGGGTGGTGTGGCATGATAATTTGGCTTAAATCTTCCAGGCTTCTGGATGTCTGACAAGCCCTTGATTCAACAAGCTCTTGCGACTGAACTTGCAGAACTTGTGTTGACGATTACGTCAACATCATCTTCGCTTGCGTTTCTAAGTGGTTTTTGGGAGACGACAGTTCGAGAATGGAACCGTATTGATCGACTTAGGTCAGTGGATCAAGGAATGTTTGTTTTTATTGGACTGAGGAAATTCTAGGCTCGACAAGTATTATATGCTTGTGAGAAAGTTCGTAAATGCAGCCTTCAGACTGCTCATGCGGGCAGGATGGGACAAAGATGCGTGCAATCAATACAATACGATATTGACACGAGAAGGCGGTCCCCTATGGTATGTACACACTCCATTTAGAGATTGTCTAGTACTTATATTTTCTCTTCCTAAGCCCATCTGATATCAAAGTACCCATCAGCCTAACATACCACCTTTCTGACGTGTACATTGAAGAGCTCGATAAAGCGATCGCAAGCCTCGATTCATCGTCTTCTGTGCCACCAGCCCCACTTGATACTCTTCTTTCACCCTTCCTCACCGTCGCGGCCCAGACGCCGTCGGGGGCCACATATAAACGTATCAAATCGGCGCTTCTGGATCCACTATTATCAGCGCTTCTATCCACAACTAACTCGGATGAGCCGCACCAGTCTAAACGCATACGTCTGGAATCCAAGGGTCCCGAGCCCTATCCTCATCTCACAGCGAATGCTTGCATGATTCCGGAAGACCGTGGTCGGATGGATGGGTCGATGTTGCGGAAGAAACTGCTTAGGCGTATATTTGACGTGGCCAGTGATTCAGGTGCTCGAGGATCTAATCGACGAAAGATGTACGAGATATGGAAAGGCGAGGAAGGGGTTTCTGATGACGACAGTAGCTGAGTTGATTGCAAGTTAAATCTTCTAACGTATTCGGGACATGACTCAGCCTCCTCGTGTGATTGTTGATGGGGCCGATTCTGGTCCTTTGAATAAAATACCATTTCCGCTGTTGTCGTCGAAGTGATCATACGTTGCTGAAGTCTATCTTGCGGGAACTTGGAACTCATCGGAAGTCTATGTTTACTCTGATATTCAGTACATTGTTGCTGAAACGGTGTATTTGGCAGCTCCAAGAAGTACTTATTAGCTACTCAGGGTGCTTTTAAATGACATTGCAATGCACAGGGGACATGTTTCTGGACGAGTATTGACGTCGCGGGATGAGGAATGGTTAAATTACAGTCACATGTCCGGAAAATAGTTCCACTCAGTTGCACTTTTCCTTGGTCCGGAAAATCTTCCCTAAGTTATAACTTATCACGGAAGAGTTCAGGGCATCTTAATGCCGGCACGAGACCCATTCTTCACCCCAGCCATCTAGAGCCAACTCATGGTGGAACCAAATTCTTCCCTTCCTCTGGACGTTTTCATCCACATTTTATCCCACCTCCCCCCCTCTCCGAAGCGTGGATGCCATGATCCTATTTACGCGTTCGTTGGCTTCCTTGAAGCAAGCACTCTGCTGCGAGAAGCTGCTAAGGTTCCCTCACTCTGGGAACCTCACTATCGTGTTCGATATACCCACTGTGATGAGCAAGCTGAAGCTCGTCGCCTATCCACGCTCAATGGGGATTGGAGGCTGTTGTACGTGGCCAGGCGTCGGCTGGATAGCAAGGCGCTTCGATGCTTGGACGAAATAATTCGTCAGAGAAACGGACAACTCGAGCATGCCAAAAGTATTTTCGAACTATCTTTTGACATCTGGGATGTTATGCAGACAGAGGCGGAACAGCCAGTCCCCGAGCCGTTCCGGCGGACGAATGAATATCCCTCTGTGGATATAACCCATATAGCACCCAACGCGCTCACTCGGAGATACTGGGCTCGTTCTATAATGGAATCTATCTCAAGGTCTTATGCCATTGATCTATGGACCCGTTCTCAACGGGGTGATGAATCTGTGTCGTTTGTAGAGTCATTCTCCGCGTTATCCTGCTTTATGGGTAAGTCACCAAGACAGGTACGTATTTCGTCTTCCAGTTATGATCGTGCGGTTTAATTTTTATGGATACAGATGTCCGAAATCTTCCTTCCTTTGATGGATCGATGCCGCGCTTATCTCTCGGGACGCGGTTGTGTCCTTGATCCTGATGACGGTAGATACGATCTGGCCGAGTTGTGTATCAGCATCTGTAGCTTCATGAGAAGTGAAGGATTCGACGCCGTTGATCGTTAGTCGTCTCATTTTTTGCCGGTATTGTAACATACTCATGTGTTGTTCTACGGAAAAGCCGAGAATTTTCATTCGCTGCTGAACATTTTGCCTCATGCGTATCTAACATGTAACAAAAAGACAATACCCATATCTTTGGTCCACATTTTTGTTGCTATCTCTCGTGATTTGGGGGTGCACGCGTCTCCTGTCGACTTTCCAGCTCGCGTCCTGGTGCATGTCTCTACTCCGGATCCCCTAACCGATGATTTTTATGTCGATGTGTTTGGCTCGAGCACCAAACCCATCCTCACTCTTCGCGAGGATATCACCGCGCTCTTAATTCAACATGGAATTCCTCCACAGTCGATGGTACAATACATCTCTCCCTGTACGGGCTCTTCGATGTTGCTCCGCACGAGTCGCAATATTCTATCATCAGTCCACGGGGACCATCGGTCGTCTAGTGGACTGGCGCAAACTTCACTCTACATCGCCTTCTGTATTTATCTTCTCATGACGTCACGGGAACAATTTGCGGCAAGGGTGACTATGTATGTTGGTCTACTGGACTGCGTCACCGTAATACCAAAGACACTGGTGCCATTGTTTCTGGAGAAAAGTACGGCTCGAGAAACGCTGGAAGACAAATGCCGGACCACGATCCAACGCCACAGAACTATGACCACTGTTAAACTGCGCTCCTCTCCAGAAAACACCAGCGTGTTTTATTTCGTTGGGATGGTATTCCGCCACCGTGCACGAAAGTATATTTGTTGTATATATGGCTGGGATGTGAGTCCATCCGATTGATAATCCAACTGACGTTGCTCATTGTTTTCGAAGAACACCTGCAAACAGGATGAAAACTGGATTAAAGAGATGAATATTGACAGCCTTCCCCGAGGGAGGAACCAGCCGTTTTACATGTGCTTCTCACAGGATGGCTTAGAGAGATGTAAGGTACTAATGTGTCTGTGTTGTCCATTCAACTTACTAGGTGCATAGATGTCTCCGAAGACAACATTGAACCAACACTCACAACGACCGGAATGGTCATGGAAATCTTTGCCAGCGCTCAAAACTTTCCCGTTTATTTTTCTGACGTTGTTGCTACGTCAGGCGATCGGGTGAGGCTAGTTCCCAGCCCTGAGGTAGTGCAGTCATATCCAGAAGATGAAATTGCAGCGCGACACTGGTTGGAAGAGCGCTCATCAGGCTGAGCATTATTTTATAGATTGCACCCAGTTTTCTGTCATGATTTATCATCTGCTGTGAATTCCCGGTGGCGAGGGCCTTAGTCCAATGTCTTGGTCGATATCTCAAATTTCACGGAGAGAAATGATTATATAACATAGTAATAGATGGTATTTCAAATTCGAGGCCAAGGCGCGTGATGTCCGGGGATTGCTTCATCTTCTCTCGGTTTCTGATGTCGACATCATACGCAAGCAACCGATCTACACCAGTCCCTTCGTTTTATCGTCCATCATATGCAGCTGTTCAAAGCCCTATGCAACGAGCTCCCATTGTAACCGATGATTACGAACGTACGCGTCCTATTTCACTCAGGCTAGGCGTTCTGTTTATAGCTACTTTAGGATGGTATACAGAGCAAGTACCCAATAACCGAATGGCTCTCTCCCTTCAGTCCGGCATTGAAGGGGAAATAGGCTGGGCGCTGGATCGGCTTTGCCGTCTGTGTCATAATGAACAATTTCAGTTGAAAGTGATCCCTGGAATAATCGACGGACTGTTCATATGGCCAGAATGGTACGTTTCAGAGGGTCACAATCTTTTCAACAGCAACAACACTCTCTTCGCCGTTTCGCGCGACACGGAGGCAAAGCGCAGGCATGCCATCGAATCCTTGTTCGTCCTCCGAAATTGCGCTTTGCACGAGCAGGATTGTCAAGAACTCGTTCATCATTCCCATTCTCTACCGTTCATATATGGCGCGTTGAACAACCTGGATCCTCAGGCTGACGATAATACCGAGTTCCTCCTTCACGCTACCGATTTTCTTCATTCAATTTCAGCTCATTACACCGCCCCAGCATCGGTCGTTTCTATAACCAAGATGGTTCTGTCTCCGCTCGGAGTAATAGCATCGACCTCATCCAATCGACCGTCCATTATTATAGCTTTGACAGCGTTGAGCCAGCTTATAGAGAACCCGCACACCGCTACTCTTCTATCTCCTGACTCGCCCGCCTTGGTGGCTTCGCTTAGATTCTTGCCACTTTTCATGGACAAGCCACTGGTGGAGACCTGCCTGAACTATCTGTACGCTCATCTATCACACTATGCGATGGCGAAGGCATTTTTGCTCCACCCAGATATGCCCAGCATCCTTCGCATCCTCATCAACCTTCTCATCCAGGAACAGGTTGAGGAAACTGTTACTATGGATATCACAGGGGCAGTTCGAACCGTTCCTTCTCAAGCCTTCGTGACAACCCAGGATCACGATCTTTCTCAGGATGAACTTGAGCAATTACTCCCTCTCCCGGAGCCCGAGAGATGTTATGAATGGTTCGTGCACCGTCTCATCTGAAGCCATCCAGTCCTGATATCACTGCCAGGATGAAGACGATGTTCATCGGGAAACCGGATGGTGAACTGACACAAGTCGATTTTTGGAATCTGTACAAAGATGTTTTTGCCCCTCATCAAGACAAGTATCCACTTCTTGTGGCCTCCGATGTCATCAAGAACGTGAATCTTGTATTTCCAGAAGCGCAAGCTATGGTCCTACAGGATCCAGTCCAAAGATTCGTTGTACGAGGCGTCGACAGGCGTAAAGACACCTTACTTGCGGAAAAACTAAAATGCCAATGGAATCGAGGACAATGCGCAACGCCGCCTCTTGGCTCTTTAAACGACCTTTACGAACACCTTCTTGATCATTTAAAGAGTACAGAGAGTTCCAAGTGTCCGTGTTTGTGGTCTTCGTGTCACAATCCTCCGGTCCCGAAAGCCTCTCTTCGTTCGCATGTCCTAACTCATCTTTCGCAAAAATATACTTCGGAGCGACATCCATCCCAAAGTGATACTATAACCCTGTCTGTAGGGACTACGTCTTCCACTTACCCAACGGGCAACCCAATCATGCGAGCACCCCCTCCACCTCGTAGTACGACGATCAGCTATCGGAGACCACTTGTGGACCCTCCTTCCAGTTCTCTTACGGCATTATTGTGCATTCGCATCCTCTTCAGAACGTCATTTGCGTCGGCCGAGGAAGCCCCTCGTATAGATGAGGAGCACTTTGGTTTCCCGGGAATCGTTGAAGAAGTCGTCGAAGATATTGAAGACGTGGTTATCGCCAACAGAGCTTCAAAAGACCGCGAGAAAGAAGGGGAACGGCGGGGCAGGAGGGCTTTCATCAATGTTCGACAGCTCATGGAGTGTGTGCGGATAAGGGATGAGAACCTTATGGGATGGATCATAGAAATGGCAACCGTAGATACAGAACCTGGTGTACAATAAGTTTGATCAGCGGGCTCGGGGATTAGGCGGATATATGCGTGACTTGATCACCACCATTGCTCTCGTGGACCCGTACAGTGTACCAACTCTCATTATGAACTCCCGTCAACGAAATGGTTCCATCCCTCGCTCGAAATTTGTGTCTATATACTCTCAGCTTCTTCAAGGCATACCTATTGCAATCATCAGCCCCAATGAGGACCCTCGTCAATTCATATCAAGTCTCTTGATACTCGATGTCAACCGCTATTATCTCGAGGCGGAACTCCGAGCGATACCACGAGATGTGTGTTTTGGACCTCTGAAGGTTGTGCAGTCGGTCCATCATCTATGCTTTCTGACTTGGACTGATACCTATTTATCCAGTAGAGGTCTCTTAACGATCTGTTCTCATCCTATTTGTATCACGTTCAAAATAGTGCATCTTTGGACGACCTCAAGACTAGCCATGCTTTAGAAACGCTCTGTATCTTCACAAAATGCTTACTGGCCAAGGGGTTCAGTGGCTGGGAAGTCATGGAGGTGTTTGCGGGGGGAGTTGGGAACAGTGACGCCTTTTTCATGGTGTGCTGGACTTCTTTGTTCTGATTATTGGGCGCTAATGCTTGAATAGAATCTGGTAGCAATCGTCGATGATTCTTTGGCGAATACCAACTATTCTGGTGAGTCCACCTGTAGTATTGTGTTGAGCACTCAATTTCAATTCCTGAAAATCCAAGCCACGATTCGTCACCAGATTCTTCAGCTGGGTCTAACATTCATGTGCGGTATATCTCAGCTTAGCCCGGGCGCCTACTTTCTTCGTCGCAATCTGTTTCCGTCTATCGTTGCTGTTCGTAGCTCAACTAAGTGAACTAATGGTCTGTACTGACTCTGTGCAACCCCTGGCAGTTTATTAAAGGATCCGATACCGAACAATACACCTTCGAGGCAGTGCTATTCCTGGCTCTTTTGGCAGATTTTCACAAGTCGGATGCTGCGAGGCTTAATCCGTACCTGTCGCAAATCAAAGAGACAAAGGACATAGATTTGATGAAGAAAATTTGTCGGGCAGCCGACTTCACGCTTACTGCTTCAATAAAGTATGGGTCTCGCGGCTCAAATCATCGGATTCTGGAACTGAGAAATTTCTAGCCGATATCAAGAGATCTCTGATGACGATGTTTCTCCGGCTCTAACATCAACCTTCAGCACTCTCATAGCATCGTTACAACCCCATCGCGCCCTGGCCTCTACACCAGTTGATCCCCCTCGTGAATTATTCAAGAACCAGTATATGTTTTTCTCTCTATGTCATTGATCTGAAGATAATTATTTCAACAGGCCAATGGAAGCGACAATTATTCTATTACCGCTGTATGAATTTCTTCGAGGGAACGTACTGTTCTCGTCGGTGTTTTTAACCTCCAACGAGCCTGACCGCACAGTGTCCTCTCCGTCATCAACTCTGCTGGCTCTGTCGTCTTATCTATTGACTCATGCCACCTCGACCTCACAGCCGCGCTCTGTGGCTTATGCAAATTTGTGCATCAACTGTCTTCTTGCTCTCGTAGAAACCGACGCCGTCTTGGTGGCGTTCTCAAAGCCCAATGATCAACGAATACGCTTGTGTCGGCAGGTCAATCCACAATCTTTCTTTCGTATACTTTCCTTGTCATTGTGGGTTTTTATAGAGGCTACCCTTATTACCTGTACCTCGTCCAGGACGTCCGCCGTTGTGCGCTTTACTTGACTGCTGTGTTCTGTGGCTACGACACAATCTTCACATGCGATTAGAAGTGCACCTATATACGTACGATACTTCTAGAACCCGCACGCTTAACGCTCATTTTCGATGGTAACGTTCAGGCGTTGTATCTGGGTCTGCCATAGAGTGGTCTTCTACTTGCAGAAAGGTCGTGTACGTCTAGGCAAGCATTCTAGTATCTTTTCCCAGAGATTATCCTCACAGAGTGACAGAATACGCATGGAAGGAGTTTTGGTCTGTTATCCTGGGGCTCTTACATTTTCTGGCTACCAAACTGGACAATTTAGTCACCACAGGTGGCGTGGAACAGCTGATACGAGAGGTGCGACACAGACTTGAGCTCTATGGAATGTCTTCACACTCTTTGTAGACTATTTCTCTTCTCAGCCTTTGTCTTTCCAAGTGTGAGACATTTTTGCCTACGCCTGAAGCAGTGCATGATTTTGTCGTAAGTTTATGTTCATATCTAGTGGCCTTTGACGTCGCAAACTTATCTCAGATGATAGTACGAGCTCGTTCGCGCTGCCTCTGATCTACAAAGTCAAGCTGTATTACTGAAACGGCTTGCTGGTCCCGAATCCAAAGCCAGGCGATACTCTCTCGTCCAACAACCCACCGATTTGTTAATGAAAATCATCACTATCACACAATTTTATGCGCAAAAGGTCACTCAATCTCAGGCCCGGACGGCCAAAGACGCACTGCGTGCTGTTTCGCGAGAAATTGAGGCTAACGGCCTGTATGGACTAACAGACACTCGTGAACCCGAACCTCCGTCAGTGCATGATCCGTCTGATCTGTAACATATTCTCTTACACTTCATTCAATTCAGTCACCGATCAGAAGACGTTCTATCATTTTCGCGATACGCCTGCATGGATGGTGTGGCGCTGATGATGATGGCTGAGTGGGAGTTTCCGGCAAAATAGGCTAGGCGGCGGCGGAGTCCCGAGCAAGGGGTTGTCGCTTTGTAAGCGACTCGGAAACATCACAGCCACTATGACAGCTATATTTGTATAGAATACATCTTATTTGGGAAGCCTTGAGAAAAAATTTTTGTTGATGAAGAAGTAAGAGCTGGACCGGGTGCAACAAACTTGCTGGTCTGTTATGTCCGATACTTTGCAAGTGCTCAACGATGTTTGCCCTTTTGCCCTTTTGCCCTTGCCGCCAGTCCGCCCATTCGCGTTATTTCACCTGATGAATTTAAAAGTAAAAGCCCTTATCTCGAGCTGTCGATAAGCCTGTTGACTCGGTGAATGGCTCGGTGAATCTGCTTTAATTACATATCTCTCTGATTTTGGCTTCGCTGCTTTTTTTTTCCTCCTCCTTCGCGTCTTGGGCCCTATCCTCAAGGACCATGGCGTTTGCTCGCTGTGCCCTTGGGTTCCATCGGCCTGCCCTGGCAGTCCCCTGCTGTCGCTCAGTCCATGGCGTTCGCAATCTTGCGACTGCCAGACAATTCGATCTTCTTGCTCCATTAGACACCTTTCAGGAGAGACATATCGGTCCCAATGAGCATCAAGTCTCTCAAATGCTCTCTCGAGTCGGCTATGATTCTATGGACGCGTTCATAGCCGATACCGTCCCTCCTAAAATTCGCGTTTCGACTGCTGATATCAGTAACAGGACTATTCCATCCTTCAGTGAATCAGAATTGCATGCGCGCGCTAAGGCGTTGGCAGGACAGAACGTTGCGTTCAAGAGTTACATAGGGATGGGGTATCACTCTGCTGTTGTTCCTCCGGTCATTCTGCGTAACGTACGACGCTTCTAGTGACTTGACGTTACTTCGGAACTGACACACGGCGTACACAGGTAATGGAAAATCCTCAGTGGTACACCCCCTACACACCGTATCAACCTGAGATCGCTCAGGGACGTCTAGAATCTCTGGTCAATTACCAGACAATGATCATGTCTCTCACTTCAATGGATATCGCCAACGCCTCACTTCTTGATGAAGCAACAGCCGCAGCGGAAGGCATGGTTATGGCTTTTGTTTCCTCTGGACACAAGAAACGCACTTTCCTAGTCGACTCCGGCGTTTTACCTCAAACCATCTCGGTGCTGAGGACGCGTGCCAAAGGCTTCGGTATCAAGGTGCTTGTTGAGGATGCGACCGTAGCCATCAAGCATCAGAGCCTGCAATCAGATCTGTGTGGTGTCCTGGTTCAGTATCCCGACGTGGATGGGAACATCAAAGATTTCGGAGGACTTGCAGTAACTGCGCATTCGTCTGATGCTCTCGTCGCCTGTGCTACCGATCTGTTGGCATTAACCATGTTGAAGCCACCAGGCGAATGGGGAGCTGATATCGTCTTTGGAAACTCGGCACGATTCGGTGTTCCTTCAGGATATGGAGGTCCTCATGCCGCATTCTTTGCTGTAACGGACAAGCTCAAACGGAAGATGCCTGGTCGCTTGATTGGCCGTAGTCGAGATGCCGCAGGTAGACCTGCTTACAGGCTTGCATTGCAGAGTAAGTCACATTTCATGTTCGGTCTATTATATTTTGATTTTCATAGCCCGTGAACAACATATTCGACGCGAACGGGCGACAAGTAATGTCTGTACCAGCCAAGCCCTGCTGGCTAACATGGCAGCAATGTATGCTGTGTACCACGGTCCAGTCGGTTTACAACGTATCGCAAACAAGGTCCATGTTACCGCGCAAATTTTCAAGTCCTCGGTCGAAAGTCTCGGATACAAGCTGTCAAACTCTACCTTCTTTGACACGATCACTTTGGACGTATCAGTGGCCGGTGGCGCTCAAACGGTGCATGACATTGCGAAAAGCGCGAGGGTCAACCTTCGTAGCATCGATGATCACCATGTTGGTGTTACATTCGACGAAAGCGTTACGCAAGCGGATTTGGAGGCTCTTGTAGCAATATTTGCCTCCGCCGTCAAGTCATCAGGCCAGCTGATTCTACCGTCTGAGGGATCGCCTATTCCCTCGTATCTGCAGCGTACTTCTGATTATCTTCGCCATCCAGTTTTCAACAAACACCATTCCGAGACTGAGATGCTCCGTTACATGAATCATCTAGTCTCCAAGGACCTTGGTCTCGTTCATTCCATGATCCCCCTCGGGAGTTGTACAATGAAGCTTAATAGTACCAGCAGCATGATTCCTTTGACATGGCCAGAGTTCAGTGCCGTGCACCCCTTCGCCCCCCATGACCAGGTGGAGGGATATCTGAGTATCATCAAGGTGAGCAGTACCGTACCCTGTATGAACTTATAACAAACGGGCTCATTTTCAAATCAGGAACTCGAAGACGATCTGTGCAAGATAACAGGCTTCCATGCTGCCTCCTTGCAGCCAAACTCGGGTGCAGCTGGAGAGTATGCAGGACTCTGCGTGATTAGGACTTACCATGAGTCTCGAGGAGAAGGACATCGCGACATCTGTCTGATTCCTCTAAGTGCCCATGGAACGAATCCGGCAGTAAGTATTTGGTAAATGTTACTGGTTCGAATACGTTTCATACCAACATTGTAGTCGGCAGTCATGGCTGGGCTCAAGGTCGTTCCCGTTAAGGCCCTATCGGATGGTAGCTTGGACTTGGAAGACCTTACAGCCAAGGCCGAAAAGCACAAGGATAATCTTGCTGCATTTATGGTACGCCGTGATTGTCATTTCTAACGAAATTAACCTCTGACACAACTATCAAGATCACATATCCTTCAACGTTCGGGGTTTTCGAAGACGGCGTTCAAGATGTGTGTATCTCTAGCCCAGAAATAGCGCATCCCAACTGACAGCGATTCAGGCTTGCAAAATCATCCACGACAATGGTGGTCAAGTATATCTGGATGGTGCGTTTGTTTAAAAGAATATTGCTAAGAATGTCACATTTAGATGTGAATCCAGGTGCTAATCTTAACGCTCAAATTGGTCTGACCAACCCTGCTACCTGTGGGGGAGATGTATGTCACATGAATCTTCACAAGACATTTGCGATGTGAGTTTGTGCCTTGGCCAGTATTTGTATTAGCTCATTTCGTAGTCCCCATGGCGGAGGAGGTCCTGGAGTTGGGTACGGTATTCTCTTAGGGTCTAATCCCTTGTGGCTGACAATGCTTCCTTTAGACCCATCTGTGTCGCCGAACACCTCTCTCCTTTCCTTCCCTCTCACAGATCCCTACCCCAGACAGCCGATTCCAGAGCCATCGAAGCAGTCTCAGCGGCACCTTTTGGCAGTGCCTCCATTCACCTCATTTCCTGGGCTTACATCAAAATGCTCGGTGGTCGAGGGCTTGTCGATTCCTCTAAAGTGGCGCTACTGAATGCAAACTACATGGCCAGCCGCTTATCGGAGCACTACAATGTTCGGTACACGAACAAACATGGTCGCGTCGCTCACGAGCTCTTGATTGATCTCGCAGAGTTCGATAAGTCTGCGGGATTGAAAGTCACCGACTTCGCCAAACGGCTGCAAGATTATGGCTTCCATCCTCCCACTTGCTCTTGGCCCACGTCCACATGCATGTTGATTGAGCCCACCGAATCAGAGCCTTTGGAAGAGATAGATAGGTCTGTCCGGCAGTGAGGAGCTCTTCTAGTTGCACTCTGATATACTATTCCAGGTTCTGCGATGCTATGATACAGATACGTCGAGAAGCAGAAGATGTCGTAACGGGAAACCAACCCCGAGACAATAACGTTCTTAAGAACGCACCTCATCCTGTTTCTGTACTTGCTGAGGAAGAGTGGAGCAGGTCAGCTAGCTTCCTTTCTTCAAGAGTCATCACTGATCATGATACTCGTCAGACCTTACTCTCGCCGAACGGCAGTATACCCCCTTGCTTGGCTTTCAGAGAAGAAGTTCTGGCCGACAGCGTCGCGCATTGACGATGGTGAGTCAATTGTTACATATAACTACAATCATGGCCCACTTATCAACAACAGCCTACGGTGACCTCAACCTTATTGTGAGCGGCCTGATTCATCCAAATATGAACCGGATTTGCTAACCGGATTTTATAGTGCGACTGTCCATCTGTACAGGAAGTTGCTTCGTAATGATCGTTTGTCAAATGTTTTCTACTCGAGCTTTCTATTCTTCTAGATGGCTCACTTGAGCCTAGAGTGTTGGTCAACCGAACCTCTCATAGACATTTGTACAATATTAATGGTACCATCATACATTTTGCAGTATATCCATAATAATATGTCACATCGAACCTGCTTCTTTTAGGTCCACGGGAAGCTTCGCCCAAACTTGAGGCAAATGGCGTTCTATGCGTACCATTACCTCTTTTGCTAAACCACTCTTTTCTGTGTAAGTCAGCAATGTCCGAACTGTCATCTCATCAGGTTGCACACCCCTCCAAGTCATCTCTAAACACACAGTCTTCACCGCTTCATTGACTTGGGTGGTGCGACACAGACACTCGATCCATGAATCCCAATTCTCCTTGGTGAGAGTGTAGCCCCCTTCATTTAACCGTGCATAAACATGTCTCGCCGCAGACAAGTCGTGGGACAGACCGCACGAGCCCAATATAATATTGACGCTCTCATGATCATACTTTCCTGAGAGGAAGATCTGCTCCCAAACACGGTACACGTCGTGATGGCGCTGCACACGCCGGTATGTGTCCATGAGCAGGTTCCACAACGGAGCCTCCGGCGAAAATGATTCGAGAACGAGAAGGTCATGTATACGGCGGACAGTGTCACAATATTTGTCGACAAACTCAGAGGAAGGGCTTTGTTTCTCCATCCGGAGGGCGATCTCGTTGAAATGACCCAACAACATGGTATAAACAGATGGGTTTATGCATTGTCCAGAGCGTTTCATATCGCCAACAATTGCGAAAACCTTCTCGAGAGATGGGACATGCAATCCGCTTCGATAAGAGAGCGCGCAGAATGCATCCATAACTTTGACGAAACCGAGGCCCTGTACTGTGTGCTTCAGGTCTTCATAGATTTCGTATGCCTCTGCTTCATCGGAAGCACTCCGTATGCGAATTGAAATGACATCTTGGCCCATGCCATTGAGAGAAATGTCTCTGGCGCCCATGTCCGTCAAGAGGATATTAGTGATCTCGAGGGCTTTCGTTAAATTAGGATTTAGGGAAAGACCGCTCAACATGGATTGATAGATAGCGACATCAGGACCTATGTTTGGAGTAGTGAAATTGCCTGCCTCATTCGCAGCAGTAAGATCTTGGTATAGCGCAAAAGCTTGATCCAATGAATCTTCCGTACCGACTAAACAGAATGCCTTGATCAACGGGCCCAAAAGAGACAAGGTGGGCGTAATCCCAGCTTCTCTGCTGTCCCTATAAATGGCCAATGCGTGGGGGAGTCTGCCTCGCCGAGCGTTTTTTGACGTGAGCATAGACCAGTGGACGGCAGTCGCTTGGATCCCAGTCGCTTCCTGAGCCTTCATGAGATCCTCGGTAGTCGTGGACCCTCGCAACAGAGCTTTCAGAACATCCGGGGTTCCCACTGCTCCATCTTTCTCCAGGTCCCTGAACAACGCAAGAGCTCCGTTTACGCCTGTTCGGTATGACTCCCTTGACAGACTATCTAGCCATCTAGAATCCCTGATTTGGTCGGGGGTGATCAAAGTCATCGGGACAGACTCTCTATAGGTCTGCAAAATCTGGTCGGCAAGTTTCATCAGCCCTCGATCTGCGTATGCCTCGTACAGAAGGTCTGCAATCTGCTGATTCAGAGGCAGATAGTCTTCGCTCATCTCCTGAATCAACGTCTCGAAGATTGTAGGAGGGAGCACCAGATTCGGTTTCGACCAGAGGTACCGTATGAGAATTGTGTAGGTGTCGTGGGTTGGCTGACAGCCAGTGTCACGCATGGCTTTAACCACTGATTTCATGAATTTGAGAGAGACCTGGGGCGAAGTCGACGTTATACACGACTCTAGAAGTAGATGGTATTGGTCGACAGTGGGATGCAGCTGACCGGGCTTGGCCAACATGGTTTTCAGCCACAGAAGCGCGCTAAACATGTTTCCATTTTTTATGAGACCGCGTATAATGGTGACGTGGATTTCGGGGGACGGATTCAGGAGAAAAACGATGGGCAGGTCCTTCAGAATCTGTTCGATACACTTGAGGTCGGATCCCTGTCCCGACGTTGCAAGGGTTCCGACCATGTCATGAATATGTTCAACGTATGACGCAGGTGCTTTTGTGATGGTAGGTTTGGGATTATTGGACAAGGACCACCGCACCTGGGAAGCTACGCTGGGGTAGTAGGCAAGAATATCGTCGCGTTTGTTTCGCGACTCGTTCAATGACCTGGAAAACCCTTCAATCCTGTCCCTCGCAAAATCATCGTGCGCCTGTTTGTATGCAGAATCGGCTACGTCACTATGGACAAATCTCTTTTCAGTCCAGTGTGGTCTTGGAACGCGAACGCGAACAACGCCCCCAGCTCGAAGCAAAGAGGTGCGCAGGGACATTCATGCGGGATATCGACAGCCTAGAGAAAGGGGTCATTGTCACCGTACTGCTCAAGGAGCTCAACAAAGTGATATCGCACCGTGGACACAGGTCGACAATTCGAGTCCGCAGGTCGACACCAAAAGCGAATGCGTGAGAAAAGGCACCTCATTCCTCCACGACCACATCTTCCTGATCGCTCGTTTCACTGCTTCTTCTTACCACCACCATCGTCATGTCTGAAAAACTACGGGAATTCATCGAAATACCTCAGCAATTTGCTCGTGACGGGAACCAGGTCCGTTGCCTGCTACAGATACGATTTTCTTGTGTTCATCTTGAAATAGTTCCTTACACGTTGCACAAAACCTTCCTCGAAAGGTCAGTTTGCTACTCAACCTCCTCCCGCCCCCTTCTCAACTCTTTTTTTTCGTAGAATTCGTTCAGATTTGCCGTGCTGTTGCTGTAGGCTTTGCCGTCATGGGATTTATCGGCTACTTTGTCAAGCTCATTCATATCCCGATGTGCGTTACCTTTCTTAGGGGGCATGTTCTCCTTTCTTACAATATTTTTGTAGCAACAATATTCTTGTGTATGTTCGCAGTATTCTACTTTCTATATGTACTGACAGCATTCTGCAGTGGAGGTGCTTAATTCGGTTCTTCACCTGTATCAGACTTTGGAATGGACGAACTTGTGTGGTTGTAAAGCTCGATGCCATCCTGCTTTTGCCTCAAATATTATATGCCAGCGTAAAGTTATACGTTTCCTAGCGGTAATACAGATACAGAGGAATCACAAGTGGGACCCTGGATCTGTGTAAGGCGAAGATTACTAGTAGATCCATAGCTTAATAGGTTTTGGGAGGAAATGTTCGCAGGCGGTTGTGGTCTGCAGAAACGCCAAGCTCGTAACAAGTCCTATGAAGACCATTAGATCGGTATAGAAAGCTTATGTGGAAACATAGTCTAACAGCTTGCGATCCAAAGACCACCACGGCGGTAAGAGGAACTGAGAAGACATTAAAAAATGAAATGTGAATCATGCTACCCGCTTACCGGATGCCTGAACCATGTATGGCCAAGGAGTGTTGAAATTAGACAAGAAGAACACTGCTACGCTGTTGACGCAGTCGACAGTCAACCCGTGGGATTGATATTAAGTGACATCCACCGACCTGAATACAACAATAGAATATACATTGAATAGAAGCACTCGTAACAAGAGGGATGGTGATGCTCTCCGAGATGCTAACGGAAACACTCTTGATATATGTGCCCACATTCTGCAGTATCTCACGACGAGGATCACTTGAAATATGATGGATTAGTCAATGATTACTCTGTCTTCTTGCGCCTACCTTCAAGCACAACCAGCACTGCCATCACAATGACACAGAAGGTCGGAACGACGTAGCGATTACTGCTTAAGCAAATTGAGACCTTCATATTTCATGAATAAAAGCGTGAAACGTACAAGCCCACATTGTGGAGTGTACAATAAAGACCATTGGAGGCGTAGATGCGCTCAGGGTGAAGTTTTCCAAGCTTCCATGGGCCATATTTGTTGTCAATTTCTGCGGTTTATAGGAAAGACGACTTACAGTGCCAGCCACCAAAGCAAATATGAGAAAGACGAGATAAGGTAGCACCAGAAACTGATGCGGGTCAAGGCGTGCTCTGAGTAAAGAGAATATGCGCTCACAATCTTAACGCTATCGGGCCGTTTAGCTGTGTTACTCGGGGAGGGTTCTTGGAATGTTTGCCAGATCTGAGAAAATTATCAACAATTAGAACAAGATGACCGAAGCTAAGCACCTGAAAAACAACTAAAAGTCCTGCCACAGCCGACCTACCGATACCAGTTATTACGCGTTCGATGTGCATCAGAAAGAAGTGACTCACATAGACGGTGCTCCTTGTACCATAGCACTTTGGACCAGACACACCTTACTTGGGGAAGAGGTGGTTGCATCGACTTGCCAACTGCCAGTGTACAGTCTACGCAGCAATCACTGTAAGGCAACGCAGAGGGGAAGGGTCCAGAGGGCAGCTCACAGTATACAATACGATATAGAGTAGACGACAAAGGTAATCCAGAGATTGACCAGTGTAGGATGGCGGACGACGTTTTTGGAGAAGGCCCAAGTGAGAATGATAATGGGGACACCGACTTGACCTCCTGCAATGTGAAGGGCGATGAAAACCTGCCTCAAGCTTGCGTCACCAACGATGCTAATTTCTGCATCACCTGCATCCAATGAGATAGTCGAGACGGCAAGAAAAGAATGGACTCACTTTGGAACTCCACCGAGATGCTCATTTACTTCACTGGAGACTGGACGCTCTCCAGAGTGTGGGGTGCAGTCATCAATAGGCAAGGTGACAAGAAAAAAAAATACTAGCCATCTGTTAAAGAGATGCGATGCCTTGTATCATTTGTAGAATCTAGATAGTAAGGCCGGCCACGATAAATGAACAGGCGATGCTTGGACCTGATCAACACATACTGATGCCGAGCGCTTTAGGTACGTGCAGTGTCCAAGATCATGACATTAAATAAACCAAATGCATTGTTGTTGAACTCATGCTTTAAGCCTCTAGTTACGACACTAGGGCTACTACTCATCCTACTAAAAGCAGACCGAAGCGAGATGATGCTTTCGCCACATCTATCGCGGGCTGGAAAGCCTGATCTAAAAGCGGTGATCCAAACGGTAGAAGCGTTGCGAGCTTGTCGTTGCTGTGCGACAATGATGATGGAGTGTTCCTTAAAAGAATGCCAAAGAGCACTTGAGTCCGAGCAATATAATCAGAGACACTGCGCTCGATATCTTCTTGGCTTGGTAACTCGACAACCTACAAACGCATGGCAACTTGAGCCATGGTGACAAGAAAAAGTAAGAGTGTCATCACCGTCTCACGGATGTGCACAGCTTTCTCATCCAGGAGTTGGCGAACATCTGTCCAGTCGCTTCCCATCCTGACGTCGATCAGTTTCTGTAGAAATATAAGATCACACAACGTTTGGATACTGCCGGCGTCAAAACGATTCCGGAGGAACTGCGCAATGAATATTTGAAGGGTCCAGTCAACAAGATTACTTTGACGCCTTAGGTCGCGAGAGATTCCCAATTCCTGCATTGCGTGTGTCAATGAAAGTAACGCGCCCATTAGATCTGGGGACGGAACAGTTGACATAGGAGAGGCTAAATCCAACAACATGAGCTTCATATTTCGATAGTAAAGAAAAACGCCGCCATACACGGAAGTATGGGAGGGAGTGACCGATGCCAGTGAGTAGATATTATGTTCGAAATCGTATATGAACGCCAACGATCGACGATATCGTCGCGACACAACTTCACCTTGTTACGAAAATCTGAAAGATCGCATGACATCGAGACACACTGAAAGTGGGATAAAACCAACCTTTCTCCACACCGACACCGACAGATACGTCGGTGACAAAGCTCGAGTACGTGGCGAGCTCGTCTGCAAGCTGAGCGACAAATACAAGTCCTTTAATGTCTGACACCCCAAAGGAGATTGACTTTTTGAGTTACACCACGGAAAATCAAGGACAAAAACTAACGTGAACTGTCAGTAATGCTTTCCGAAGCATTGTTAAGAGCGTCAACTACTCCGAAACACAACGTCGCAGCTTGCGGTCGATACTCGTTCCGAAGGCGGGTAACCAAAGCACTACTCAGATGATCAGAATTGGAACGCACAAACCAGACAAAAGAACTGACTTTGAATTATCCCCAGTCAGCACTTGAGACAAGTCATGCTGGATAGATCGGGCACAGTTTTCAAGAATCCGGAGCACGTCATCCAACAGTGTTGTCCTGCCCAAAAGCTGCTTTCGCAATGTGCTCTTATACTTCTGGAATGAAGCATCCATAGGTCCAAAAGAAGCCGCGGGCAAAGGTGGCGTTCGAAATAAATTGTCTGCTGCGTGTTAAAAATCTGAGATCATTGAGTTGAGAAAATGGGTCCAAGCGTACCTATCCGCGCGTCCATATTTTCACCAAACGATAGTACTACTGCCGAAAGAGATGCACCGAAGGACGCTTGGGTGCTGATTAAGGAGGCTTTCCAGATTTCTGCAATTCGTCTCCGGCAGACATCATCAAAAATGAGATTTGTGTCTTCTATCTCCTGCTCTTTCATACTTGAGGACGAATATATCCATTTGCGAACTGTGGATCGCAAGCTCCAGACATCCTTGACAGAGGGGACATCCAGAAACCAGCGATCAAGAGCGCTCTGGAGATTTTGTGACGACTTCTTGAACCAGTCCTCAACTTTCTGAATAAGATGTGAAGGGGGAACGCGCGATGATGATGAATCGAGATCGACATAAGGCTTATAAGATTTCAAATTCTGGGGGAGGAACATGAAATGAGTGGATGATGGTAAGGTCATTAACAAAGCCTGTGTCGTCAATTGAAGTTCTGCAGGAAGTGCATTCTGGGCAGGAGGCAGGACAGAGTCGGATTGTATGTGTTCCAATACAGATGCAACCATGGACTTCTGGGAGTCCTTGTCTTCAAAGACGTCTCTGGCTGTTTTGATGGTCAAGGCAATGGTGTCTAGCGCGACCCGAGCGGCATCCTTAATTTGCTTGACAGTGTGCTTAGGGCTAACCATGTTCATTTCTGGAATGTGTCCGTTCGCTTGGGGCAAAGAGGGCGAGACCGACCTTTTTCTCTGGCCCCACGATATCGCCGTATGAAGTGATCTAGACCGTTGATCCAAAAAGACAGATAATGTCTCTGTAAGTGGACGCGAATCCAACAGATGCAAAGTAAGCAGGGTGGCACATGTATCCTACAAAATGCTCAGGTTCGGAAATGTAAAATATGGAGCGGAGGAGAATACGTACGGACGAGGATGTGTCATATTCTCGCAGGGACATCGTGGCTTTGTGCACAATCTGAGAACGGAACTGAGATACTGCATCCCATTGTCGTTGTATGAGAGGAAATTGGTCCTGATGATATGGAACTTGAGCGTAGAAAATGGGTCCAATATGCAGAACGTACCAGTGCATCCAGCCCTTGACTAGTCCAAGTCTCCTCCTCTTGTTGGTCGTGTTGTATCAATGCACGATGCACAACGCGCGAAAGAAGCAACAACCACGCAGCAGTGAAGTATTTCTTCCTTTCGATAAGTCTCCACAGATGTTCTGGTGCGTCTAACAGTAATTTTATGTGCGCAGAGAGTAACTGCAACGTGTACAAGTGAGCATCTAAATATTTCTGAGCTACATGTAGACCCAAGTTGCATGCGAAGTACCTTGCGTTCCATTCACGGATACTTTTCGTGGGAGTTTGGGCTCTTCTTGGGCCAGAATGGCACTCTTAGTCTCGTCTAAGGCCTCGATTACACGTTTGGACGAGCGGGCTATCGAAATGATGGAAGAAGAAGCTTGCAGAAGATCACGGTATCGTTCTCTGTGCTCTCAGTTATAGCTTTTAACATGCATTTGATACAAATGCACGTACCCAACCATCAACCGCAGTTCCTCCTGCTTAGCGTCAGCATCGGCTCTAGCAAGTTCATCTCAAATGAACACATGTTCGGGAAGCAAAATTGACATGTCGTAGATACCTCAGCTGTTGCTGGACGAATTTGACCTGGGAAATGGTGTATTTTGTGAACAGTTCATCAGGATCCAAGTCGTCTGCTGGAGATAGCTTGGATAGAGAGAGCTTCTTGGACGATCCAGAGGACCCGCCACGGCTCATAGCGGGAGGTATCACATTTGGAACATGCCCGTTGGCCACTGACATTGACGAACTGCTGGCAGAAAGGATAGAGGGCCTTCGAGACATGGTGGCCCACTGGCACGGAATGAAATGTAATTTACGTAAGCCGCACCTTTATCAGACTGGAGCATTGGAAGAATGATTTCTTCAGACGAGTTCGTGAACATAAAATAGGTAAGACGTAGACAAGTGCACTAGCGTAAATGTTTTCGAAGATGTACAGCGAGAAAGGGAAAATCCATGCAGAGCTCTACCGACCATCCATTTGGCTCGGATCACCTATATCGGATTCCCCGACATTCTTTTTGCCATTGAAATGGTCTTTTGAGGGAGGTGAGGGCATAGCAATACCGTCCCCTCGAGAAAGAGCAGCGGCCGGAGGGGGCCGAGGAGTTTGAAGTGCAACTCCATCTGCGGATGTGGAGCCGACTGGAGAAGAGGTATTTGCTAACCTTTGATCAAGAGCCTTCAGGGCCATGGCACTGTGAAATATTGCGTTTAGTCAAACGACTACAACTGGGAGAAAACCATATACCGTCTCCTCTCAGCTTCAGCTCTAGCACTCCCAGGTACTTGGCTATATAATCCGCTTTCCAGGTCTCCATGAGTTATGGGTATAAGATGGAAACGGTTGGCTGTGGAAAACACGAAGTTTCCGAGTAGAGTAAGTGGGTAACTGCAATAATGCAATAATGTGTTAGAAACAACCGGCGAAGATGGATGAGGAGAAATCTTACTGCAAGAATGGAGGAAACCAAGACACCAAGGAAAATGTTTCACTTCTATCACCGTATGTGTCGGCTCCACCAACAGTATCGCTAGTATTCTTCTTGTAAAAGCGGAGATACACCCAGCTGACATACCAACCAAACTGAATGATTATCCAGGGACATTGAAACCCGATGATAGTCATGACGGTGGACAGAGTCAGGTAGGCCATAGGAAGGTTCTGAAAACAAAGTTAATGATATTTTGGAGCAGACGAGCAATATCCCACCTTGACACGGGTTTTAAGCACACCCATAACCTGAACCTGATGCTCAGGTATCAACTGCGTGAATGCAACAAGGAGTGCAATTTGCAAGGACATCTGGCCATGATACTCCATTCCATATCTGCATGTATGTGAGCTCAACACCGAAGTGTATGTAGGTATACGCACAGAAAGAGGTCCGCATTCTTCGTGGCAACGAACTCCATCCAATTGAATGCAAAACCGATGATATTCGACACTCCAACAGAGACTACAATAAACTTGAGTGTCTCGATGCTTCCCCATAGCCGTTCAAGATATTTCAAGGATGCGGGCACGAAGATGATTGTGACCACAAACTAGGTTACACTCTTAGTGCTTCATCATGCCGAAAAGAAACTCCATACCTCATAGATGCTCGTCTCAACTAGAGCCGACGTTACGAATGTCCAGGGATAAAAGATACTTGATCCAGGAATAAGAGTCAAATACGGCGTTGAACCAACATCTTTCCATCGCAGCCAGGCGTAAAACAGGGAGAATATGACAGTCACCGCAGTAAACGACCGTGTCACGATAGGAATTGATGAAATGAAGAGGAGAGGCGACGAAAGAACCGCCATAGTTGGTCAGTGAATGAGGTATCGCCTAGGAATTTGTCGGATGGAGCGTCAGCAACTTATGAGGGGGACGAAACTTGGACCAGAGCAACGCAGTGCCGCGAAAACCACGTGGAATCCCTTTTTGGGAACAGAAAAGTGCTCCTCATGGGACTTATGCAACTTTGACAGGCCTCTTGATGTCGGATTATAGCGTTCGTCCGGGTGGCTCGCTCAAACTCAAGGGCAGCGTCACAGATGGTGGCGTCGTGAAAAAGTAAGTACCGTTTCCTTGTTAGCCAGCAGAAGCTAATAGTCTCTCATAGGAAGAAGAAAAAGTCCAAAACTGAGAAGACTGACTCGGACCGACTTGATGAACGGGAGTCCGTTAAAGAACGCTTTGTCCAGGAAGATGACAATCCTGGTTCTGCCACTGGCAGTGGTCGGAACTCTCCGGCAGTGGTTGGGAGCAGCTCTCGCAAAACAGAGGCAGAACGAAGATTTGAAATGGTGCAGAGGCGGCGGGTACGTGTGTCGTTTCTTCTGACCGAGAGCGTTATTGAGACTGCTGTTTCGTAGCTGGCCAAACGAGTTAGTAAGCTAGCAAATAAGACGCACAAGGATCGCGTCAATGAATTCAATTCCCACTTGGAATCCCTTAGTGAACACCATGACATTCCAAAAGTACGAAAACTGCCATCCCCTCAGAATTTCTTATCTGACCTCAATTGCAGGTTGGGCCAGGATAAGATATCTGTGCTCCTCCATTGGCTGCATATTCTCTACTTTGCGTTTCTGGAACTGTTACGTATGGTTGGAGGCGTTCTGTTGCATATATCGTGCAGCGGTGGATACTTTGTAATATATTTGGAACCTTTTGAGTCAATAACGCAGTAGGGATAATATCGGACTGTTGCGTGCGTGAGGGTGTGACAGTAACAGATCAAGTTAGTCTATTAACTCCTTTTACAACGACCACCACAACAGTCGCTCTGTTTTGTGGCAATGCCTCCCTCAAAACCAGACTTCAAGGACCACATCTGTCCGCCGTCGAATGCTATACATCCCTCTGACCGCTGGGAATCTCTTTTCGTTTACTCATTTATCTGCAAATTCACCAATCTGCAGGGAAAGGTCGACGGGCTCGAGACTCCAATGGAGTGAGTTATGATTTTTGCATCGTCGTGGCGCTGGTTTTACGATTTCATGACGGGTTTCATCGTACACAGCTTGGAAAATGCCCTCTTGACGCAGGAACCAAATCTAATATTGAGCCAAGTGCTTAGTCGGTTTATATTGAACCTCAGGCCACAAACGCGTAATGTGGGGTGAGAACATGTTTTGGCACGTTGTATCAGCATTGCATGTGTTCTAATGTTACGCGTAAAACGCCAGCATAGGTCAGATATCTTCTACCGTGGCCAATGTCCTCGCCGAGTTCTTCAAAACATCTGAGAGAACCGTGTTCTGGAATGAAGATCTCCAAAGGAACGTGGATCCTCTTACTGGCTTAGAAGGAGGGTTCTTTGCCGCCAGTTGGGATTTAAAGGTACGTGAATTGGCAGTACACAATCCTTCAAAAGCTGATCTTTTGGTGCTTGGATTCATATCAGCTCAATGTGTTGCGTCAGCTCGTTGAATTACAACTCGTCCACAGCGCCGATATCAAGGCCAAACTTGATCGCGCGTGGGGAGTCGCTCCACATAAACAAAAGAAGAAAGAAAGCGATTCATCCCGCCCAGGAGCGGAAGACCCTTTCAGTCAGAAGCGGCTTCAGCTCTTGCCCATTGGACAAGATGCGGATCGCAAACGTTACTGGATAGCAGATGGTCCGTGCACTCACTCTTCACGTTTAATCCATATATTTGCGTGTATTTGCCAGCCAGACATCCTTTTCTTTATGTGTCGTTTTATTTTTGTTCATGGTGTCCTGTGCCGTCTTGTATCGTGATCCATGATTGCTGACTGTATTCTTGTACATACCAGATTCTCCCCGGATCTACGTTTCGACCAATCCCTGGAAGATGTCCTCTACCTTTGAGACCTTAGCATCCACGCGCGAAGAGTACATGGCTGTTATCGAGAGTCTCAAAGCCTCCACACCTACTCCTAAAAAGTCTCCTCGCGTCGCTGTTAAACGAGGAGAGGCGCAACATTCAGCTCTGATCTCATCACTCGAGGAACGTGTTCCAGCTATAGACGCCGAAATAGCAGTGAGTTTCATTCAGAACTTTGTCTTCCACATATGGAGGCTTCTTACTATGGGAGGACCACATTCTTTGAATGGTCATCGTCGTTGAATCACCGAACCCTATGACTAATTTGCCTCTTTTGAAAGCGTGCACAAAGGGCTCGTCGCAAAATGGAACAAAGATTGGCTCTGTACGCTCAAGCAGACCTAAGAGAAACTCGAACCCGACGTCAAACCCGGAAGCCGGATTACGTGTATCACATACAGGATCTTGACAGTGATGTCAGTAGCACACTGGTTCCAGGTAGTCCCCCAGCTGACATTCTTCGTTTTCATCTTAGAATGATGCCGACGAGTACAGATACCAAGAAGACGATGGTTATGATGAGGATGAGGACTTTGCAAATGATCAGGACTCTGATGCCAAATCGTCGAGAAAACGTCACAGATTCACAAATGTTGAACCACGACGGTCCACTCGGACGTCCGCAAGGTCCAATGGCAAACGAGAAGCGTCTGCAGATGATCCCTGGGGGAGCTGGCGGGGGGAGCGACGTTCCACGCGTCTTGGAGCACCTGCAGATACCCAATTTGATGCCGGACCACCGACGAAACGGGCGCGGACAGCAGACAGTACTGTCAGCACGAATTCTGGAGATTTGCGTATCTCCCCGGTAGATCCGCCGCTGCAAACCAGCAAAAATGGGCTAGGAATTAAAGCTTCTGGTGCAGCGGCACTGAAACCCACAGAAGTGGCATTGGAACAGATTGCCGGAAAGAAGCGGTCAAAATACTGGGTGTACGCTGTAGAGCCTTCAATGCTTTCGGTTGAGCCGGAGGATCGGGCGCCGACGATGAATGAGATGGAAACGAACGGAAAAGAGAGGAATGGCAATGGTAATGGCGATGTCTCCATGTCACCCTCCGTTAACGAAATGGAAGATGATTCAGACTATCCCAAGAGCATGGAAGGCAGCCTGTCGCCTATAGAATCGTCATAGCAATATACGCCCGACTATTACAACCTACTGCATAAACATTATCTTAACGTACAAGTATTTGCATTGCCTCACATCAATTGTTCATATATACCCTCATTAAACGACTATTAACCGGCGTCTCTCAAACATGTCGATCTCTCCGTTCACGATTGTCAGAATTTCAGAATTTCGGACCGACTCAAGAAAATCTCGTTAGATCAGAATTCCCGTGGTCGATCAAAAGTTGTATCGATATTATTTAATTTCACCAGAGACTGAAAGGTTGTGAAACTAAAATATCTATATAGCTTATACACCCTGTTACCCTCAGTCTCTCGCTCATCAAATTATATCTTGCAGTGGCAAGACTCCCAACGAATAAGGAGACTGCAATTTTCAGATGATCATCATGCGGCAAAGTCCGTATTTAGATTGGTCGGTACACGTGGAAGGTGAGGCCAGAACTTTTTTACGAGTCCGTTTGTCAGTTCCGGACTCGCGCCTCTTGGCGCTGCCTTTCCGTTTTGTCTTCCACCTTCATGATCATCAGAGCCGCCCGCAATGCCTTCACGACTTCCACCCCCAGCCAGCCATTCCGCTTTCAAGGCTGTCTCGTTGCCAAACGAGAGTCTCTACGTCGCCGTACGACCCGGCGAAGCTCGTCGACCCATGCACCTCACCCTACGATCCCCGCATCAACGGACGACAAAGCGCTGCTGACCCTCTTCGACAACCCGCGAGATGGCTTCAAGCTGTCGCCATTTTCGAGGACAGGGCTCTTTGGACATCGGTCCTTGGCTCACCCGCAGGGACTGATATCGCTTGCCAATGCGACTTACATACGGGCCCAGGTGCTTACGAACCGTATTTTACGGGCGCGGGAGTCGAGAGACGAGATGTTCAAGGTGGTGAAGAACCTTGATCGGCTGAGTGATATGCTTTGCGGCGTCATAGATCTTGCAGAGCTTGTTAGGAACGCACACCCGGACAGGGCATGGGTGGATGCAGCAAATACGGCATATGAGACATTGTGCGAGTTCATGAATGTACTGAATACTCATGTTGGTCTCTACCAAGTACGTCCTTGAATCGTTTTGATGTCTATTTTTGCCAACTCGATCAATTAGGTACTCAAGTCTGTTCTCTCCGATCCTGACATCGTCAAGTCCCTCTCCCCAGAGGCACATAAAACTGCCCTCATATTCTGGCATGACTTTGAACAGTCTGCCATTAACCTCCCACCGGACCAGCGAGATAAATTCGTCTCATTGTCGACAGAAATTCTAGTCCTCGGCCGGCAGTTCTTGAAGGATGTGACGGCCCTTCGTCCCCCTGCGGCCATTAAACCCTCGGAACTGGCGGGTTTGAAAGATCAGGGAATGGGTGTCAGGCTACAGCTTCAAGCTCGATTTACTCAGCGTGATCTCATGGTATATCCTGGTTCATTGCAAGCACAGATGATCATGCGCTCCGCACCAGCAGAGGAACCCCGTCGACGCGTTTATATTGCAGCTAACTCGAGTACCCCCGAACAAATCTCTGTCTTAGAACGGTTGCTTCGTACACGAGCGGAGCTCGCACGTCTTGTGGGACGTGAAAGCTTTGCCCATCTTTCTCTCGACAACAAGATGGCAAAGTCGCCGGGTGAGTCTCACGTTGGCTTTTTACGGTCTTGCATACCCATCAACCCTCTTATTAGACCATGTCCATCATTTTCTTGATGCTCTCATGAATTATACGAGGCCATATGCCCGATTTGCGCTACGGGCCCTTAGTCTCCGAAAGCAGGAACACCTTAGTACATCTCCCTTTCCTATCATCCAAGCATGGGACCGCGACTTTTACTGCCCTCCTGAACCTCCAGCACCACCAATGACACTCCCTCCGCTCACCGTCGGCACAATATTTATGGGCCTCTCACGATTATTCCGTCATTTATATGGTATCACCCTTCGTCCAGCAGAAACCGCTGCGGGCGAAGTATGGCACTCGGACGTACACAAGCTAGAGGTTGTAGACGAGGAGAAGGGGATCATTGGATGGATTTATGCAGATCTGTTTGCGAGGCGCGGCAAGGCAAGTGGAGCGGCTCATTATACAGTGAGATGTTCTCGGCGTACCGATGACGACGACGAAGCAAACGATGAGATGCCAGAAGGGGCGGTATATGATTTGCGGGAATCAATAGAATTTGAAGCAATAAAGAGGCACCGATTGCCTGGCCAAGACGGGGTATATCAGCTCCCCTTGGTCGTGCTACTCTGCGAATTTACGAGACCGACGATCTCTCGGGGTCCCACAGAATTGGAATGGCAGGACGTCAAGACCCTCTTCCATGAGATGGGACATGCCATGCATTGTCAGTAGAACAATTTCTATCCTATTTTTCATTTGCTCAATACTTTCATCCCAGCTATGATTGGGCGCACCGAATACCAGAATGTGTCTGGAACGCGCTGTGCTACCGATTTCGTCGAGCTACCTTCCATTCTCATGGAACATTTCCTCTACTCAGGTGACGTCCTCTCCCTCTTCGATGTCTCTGCAACATCCAACATTCGCCAATCAATAAATCACCATGAAGATCCTTGTCACGCCATCGACACATACTCCCAAATACTCCTCGCAGCGCTTGATCAGACGTATCATTCCCCCGTCGCGCTCGACTCCTCCTTCGATTCCACTCAGGCTTACGCTAATTTGCACAATACACGAGGACTCATCCCTTACGTACCGGGAACGTCATTCCAGACACAGTTTGGACATCTCTTCAGCTATGGTGCAACGTACTACTCGTACTTGTTCGATCGCGCAATTGCCTCACGAGTTTGGCGAAACGTGTTCTCAGCGGATCCACTAAAGAGGGAGTTGGGAGAGAAGTTTAAAGGTGATGTGTTGCGTTACGGAGGGGGGAGGGACCCGTGGAAGATGGTTGCCAATATTCTTAGCAAACCAGAGTTGGAAAGTGGAGATGCCGAGGCGATGAGAGAGGTAGGACAGTGGAGAATTGAGGATGAGGTCGGCTCGTTTGATAGGCATTAAAATTTTCAGATGATCAGCGACTGATGTGTGCATTTGGATAATTAGACAAAGAACATATCGAGGTAACATATACACACACAGCGTACAAGGATGGCTTTCACGCGAAGAAGGATCTCATGTGCTTCACATATTCTCCGTCGCTGCTCGACTCATATCGTGCCTTGATGAAACCTCTTGTGTCGTTCCCGACAAAATAGCGCAGCCGATCTGTCTCGTCAGTCGCAGCAGCGTAAATCATGTCTGCGACATTGTCCGATGATATCATCGGTGCGGCAGACATCTTCTTATAGACGTTCGCGGTCTTCATTGCGTAGGCTGCGTATGATGGAGCCTGCGAAAGAGCCTGTCAGACGTGGAGAAGGGAGAAGTCGGTGTCGAGTGTACGTACCTTTGACAGGTCCATGGGTGTTAATGCTGCCGAGGTAGCGTTGAAGTTCGTCGACGTGACACCCCCGTGGGGTATGACACTCTTTACGAAGATATTCTGGGAAGCGAGCTCATATGAAAGTGCCTCGGTAAAGCCTTCCAATGCAAACTTGGAGGCACAATACATGGAGAGCATCGGAAGAGTGAACACACCAGCGCCAGAGCTGATGTTTATTATTCCTCCTCCCTCAATACGCAAGTGAGGTAGGAAGGTTCGTATTACATCCATTACACCTAGAATCAGCATAACCTTGAGTATATTAAATTTCAGGATCTCACAGGGAACACAAACCAAATACATTGACATCAAACTGCCTCCTCACCTGCTCAGGCGAAAGCATCTCAAATATCCCGCTTTGACCATATCCAGCGGAATTGACTAGTAGATCGACCTTTGAGAATTTCTCAATAGCTGCTTCGATGGCGGGGCTGATGGAGCTTGGATCTGCAACGTCCATTTGGACTAGTAGCACGCGAGAAGGATCAAGAGATTTGAGTGGATTCTCTTGGGAAGTGTCGCGGAGGGTGCCCACAACATTCCAGCCTTTTGCGTGAAATAGTTTGGCGGTGGCGAGGCCAATGCCAGAAGATGTGCCGGTGATGAAGATCGTCTTGACGTTGGACATGCTCTGAATCAAATATTATGGTCAAGAATACAAGTAACGGCTTCTCTTATATCACAACTTAGTGCCGTGTACACGCAAGCCTTGGTGCAAAGGTCTGGTGGGAGTTGATTCAGCGAGCGTGAGACTAGAACTATGGCCGTAATGAGGCCGCGTACGCTCACCGGCAATCAACTTGAAAGTTGAAAATATAGTAATCAGGATAGAATATCTTAGAGTTCGGGGACCCCGGGGGTTTCAAAGGTATGTCGAGGGCAATTTACGGAGCATGAAAAATGTAGGTTATCACAATTATGGAGTGATCGAAACTAGCAAACAGTGTTATTTACTCTCTGGGAGGAAGAGGAGGAGGATATTTATTCTAGTTGATATACCTGAGAAGGAAACTAACCAGAGTCCGTACTACACACCGTAGCACCTAACACACTCTGGAGCGTTATGTAGTCTTTTTTGTACCGGTTTATTCAAAAAAAAAAAGTCCCATATAATATACAGCGCGGGACAGCACATGCAGCGGATGAATTGAGAGCCTCTGAATCAATGATGATGATGGTCTGCTAATTAAATCGACTGGGATAAGATATCATCGCGGCATGCGATTGTCACGGAATTATTTGCGACGGTAGTACTCGCAGTTTCCGGTAGATCTTGCTATGGATTCCATCGAACAGTCTTCATATCCTATTCTGAAGCGTCAGTGCCGTTCTCACAAATAATCCCAAGATGGAATGCTGACAAGAGGCTCGGGACTGGACAGCTTTGGGAAACAGCATGTCAGAAATATATCGGGTCATAGCACAGAAAGCATACCTGCGGGTCCTGGCGAAAGTTCATATCTGAAAACTTATCGTTGCGACGCTGGATAGATAGCCCCATCTTGATGCGTTCTTCCTGCCACAGTCGCAACTTCTCGGAGTAAATCTGCACCTCTTCGAAAACTTTGCAAAAGTTCTTGAAGATTTCATACCTAATATCAAATTCAATTTGGTGAAGGAAGTAGAAGATAGATTGAACGCACTTGACATGCAACATCAGACTAGCAAGTAAAGGATAGGACTCATTGCCTGGTCATGAGTGAACCTGAGTAAGCGAATTTAGAAGGTGCCGGATAAACGCACTGCACTTCTTTATCAAAGCCTGGTAAGGATGACTAGTAAGCTAACAGATACAAGATGACAGGCTTATTTGTACTGACTTGAGTCAAGGACATTCCACCAGGAACTTCCCATGTCTGCTGATGATCCTTGCATGATGATATACACACCTGTTCAAGTAAGCCATCGGAACAGGACCCCGACTTAACCAACTTACAACGTTCGCTACCTTCCTCCGCTTCACAGGAAGAGGACAAAAGCCATTGCAGCACATCCGCACGGGAGAGCCGAGGTTGGACACTTGTACGGGGGATTCACATTGCTCGGTCGCTTCAAGGCATGAAGGTGCGTCCGCCTGTGTAGAGTCTATGGAAAGTGATTTTGCTAGCATTCTGGGGGAATCATTAAAGGACTCGTTGATCAGACGCTGAATAGACGTCTTGCGAGAGGTAATGCCCTTCTTGTTTGTCAACTGATATACGGTTCTGCACGACACAGTGTCTGAGAGGGGTTGAGATTTGGTATCCGGTGATGACTGAGAAAGCTTACTTACCCACGGTATGCCAGCGAAGTATGTCCCAGAGAGGCCGTGGATAAGAAGTTCTCTGGCGAAGATGGAGATACGGCCCTCTAAAGTCCCGGTTGCAGCGGAAATGCTCTAGATCTACTAGTATGTTACTCGAAGAAGTTGTCAAGGGAGTAATTAAAGCATACCCAATAGAGACGCAGAGTGACATGTATCCAGGACGGCCTTGGTGATGTATAAGGGACAAAGAAATTGAACCATAGGTGGAGACACACCGTCATATGACAGGTCGCTGGAAGACTATCGACGAGATGCCTCCTGAGTACCTAACAAGCTCATTTGGAATTTGAGAAAGGAACAGTTTCCGGAACACTTGCATCATCTTTGATAATCTTGCCGTCCATAGCTATCAAGCCTGAGCGTCATTAGAACGAAACGCGGTAGGGTCAAACAGAAAATCCTCAGACTTACATTCATCCATACCATCTTCCTCGGTCCCATCCAGGTTCTCTACCTGTGTTCCATGTCCTGAGTCTACATCCAGTCACTGTCTGGAATCTGGATAACATCCATGAGACAAAAATCTTACAATGGAAGAAGAAATATTCCCCATCCTTGGGATCAAGAACGAGTTGCTGAATATGTCGAAGCTGGAGAAGTTGTATGGTTGAAACTTGCTTCGAGGGAGGTATGTATAAACATGAGCCTACAATGTTATCGCGCGTTGGTAAAAGTTCAGTAGGTCCTTCATTGTCCATGAGAGTCACGATATTGTCGGCCTTGTACCCGTAGTTATCTAGGACACAGAATAAGCGACACTAGCCCAAGATAAGGCGATGGAGAAAGATACTGGTGAGCAGTTCTCTCATGTGCTCGACATCGACGTGTGATCCAACCAAGGGCGCTGCAGCTATGTCTCCTTGTTGCCTGCCCTTGTCATCGGATAATTTGTTGATTCCAATAAGAAGAGCTCTCTTTCGAGGAATTTCTTGGGTTATTTCATGAGTCAGAATCTGAGGTTGGGTTTCAATCATTGGGGAACAAAAATAAGGGCTATGTTCTATACCGCTCTTTTATCTAGAGATGGCTTGAGAAAACAGGGCGGATAGGGCGGTGCTCTATTCGAACGGGGTAAAAATGATGGCAATGTGCGTGTAGTGCCTACCAGTGATCAATTGCGGAGCGAGGAGTTCGGATCTGCGCCTGAAATTGTAGACTTTTGATGTATTATTGCAAAGTTCTTTGGCCTGATGCCAGACCTAGCATATGGAATTACTAAACTAGTCATGATGGTACATGCATGAGCAGGGCCTACTGACTGAGCTGGCAACTTTTGTGGGCGTCTGCTGTGTGAGTTTGGTAGGTCTAACCCAAAATACTGTTCCTTGCCCAATTCGAGCGCGAGACACTTGTTTTCATATTCCATTCTCCCCGTCAAACCTGTGCACCCGTTAATAAATATGTGAAGAGCATAAATACTACTCCGTTCAAGCTTGGTTCTTTGGGGCAATGTTGCGAGGCGCTGAAATGCCGCTTAGCGCTGAGGAGAGTTCTTGTGGACGTTGTGGACAGATTCACTGCCATATGATGACGTACGATGATCACGATCTCATTGTTCCGTCTTTACGGCCAGGACCCAGCGCAGCTCCAGTGAATAGTACGTCTACATGTATCAACTAATATCCTGAAGTTGACTTCCAATGGCCAGATGGCACGAACAAACGAAGAATGGGCAGTATTAGTATCCGCCAAAATATCAGAGGTTCAGAGAGCAGGGAAGCCCAACGTGAACTCGCTACATTTTACTTCCCCCAACTCCGATTTTGCTCGCACAATCGACCACACCCTTCTCAGGCCTGACGCGACTCCCGCCCAAATCGATAAATTGTGTGACGAAGCTGTCAAGTTCAAGTTCAAGGTGCCTATCCCCCTTTTCGCGATATCCGTCACCAATGTATATGTTTCTATCATAGTCCTGTTGCGTGAATGGTGCAAATATCCCTCAGGTTACTTCTCGTCTTATTGGAACATCTACGATACCTTGTGCTGTGATTGGGTTTCCCCTCGGTGCATCGAAAACGGAAGTTAAGGCATTGTGCGTTTTCCGCCATATCTTTGCATTCTGTCTGATATTTCCTCCAGTGAAGCTTCTCAGGCCATATCAGACGGTGCAAAAGAGATCGACATGGCCCTCAATGTCGGCGCCCTTAAAGCAGGAGACTATTCTCTCGTATTCGCTGACGTCCGTGCCGTCGTTCTGGCTTGTGGGACTACTCCGCTCAAAGTCATTCTCGAAACCGTTTTCCTGACCGACGAGGAGATCATCGCAGCTTCTTTCATGGTTGCTGATGCGGGAGCGGCATTCGTGAAGACTTGCACGGGCTTTCTGGGTGGCGGAGCAACTGCAAGGCACGTATCACTTATGCGCACGGCAGTAGCTTTCATGCCAGGCGTGCAAGTCAAGGCATCGGCTGGAATCCGAAATTTTGACAAGTGTTTGGAAATGCTTGAGGCTGGGGCCGATAGGATTGGGACGTGAGTCAATATTTTCCTAGACTACAGCTAGGTGTGCTAATGGTCATGCATAGCTCTTCTGGAGTCGCTATCATGGGGGAAGGTACGAGTGAAACGGGGACGTATTAAGATGAAGTGTAATTACACACTCGTTCTCTGGAGAACCAAGATTTGTTTTGTTGCAGAAATCAGTCGAGGCTCTTTGTTTGCTGAACATCGCGAGACTGACCATTCGATCTAATTGCCAATGCTATCGCTACCATTACTCGACCATTTCATCCCTTGCATCTACTCAGGAAAACTCAAGACAAAGCCGTCCTTCAGCGGATCTTGCTCCTCACACACGAAGGCACTGGCTCCAGTATAGTTCGCCTTGCCTTTAACCTTAACCACGATCCCCTCTTCCCGCAGTTCCATTGCAGACCCTTGAAAGCCCAGCGTATCCTTCTGCAAACTGACCACTGACTCATATCTCCACCACTCATCCGTCCCGATGCCTAACCACCCCTCCTCGACAGCCAAGGCTACCCTGGCCATTACGCCTGACCCTGTTGGGCTCCGATCGACTTGCCCACCTGCAAAAAAACACAGTCCCAACTCTCCTCTCGGCCCCCCCTGCGTCTTGTCAGTGACAATTACTCCGTACAAGAATTCGAGATCGCGTTCCGTCGGGTGCTTGATTATCTCCTCTTGTGTGGCCTTCAAGTTGACGAGTCTCTCGATTGCCGCCGCTGCCTCAGCGATATTATCCTTTACACCAAGCTGTTGCACAGAGACGAGCGCGTAGAATGCCCCTCCATACGCGACATCTACTGTCACTTGTTCTCTCGATATACACCCTCGCTCATTCAGAGGGATGTCTACCAATAACCCACGCTTACTCACAAAACTCGGTGCGCCTAGGAAGGTGACCTCATTGGAGTTGAAGGGGACACTGACACGTATCACCCCACAGGGCGCGTGGATCCTCAGTTCTGTTGTGCCATTCACTGTTCTAAGCGTGTCACGACGAGGAAACATTTCCAAGTCGCGCGTATCGACGAGGAAACGGCCCAGTGCGATCGTTGCATGGCCACACATTGTCGAATAGCCCTCTACTTGAGTGAGCAACGTCAACGAGAACGTAATTCACTGTACATGCACCATTATGACAAAAGAGGACCCCAATATCTGCCTCGCCGCTTCTCGTGAGCTCAGTTTCCTGCACGAGGATGGCACCATACATCCCTGCGTGCCCACGGGGTTCTAGCATCAGCCGTCGTCGGATGTTATCGTGGTGCTCCTTTGCGTAGCGCCGTTTTTCAAGGAGGGTAGTCCCAAGCAGAGGTGGGTAGCCGGAGATGACGATTCGCGTTGGCTAGTAACAGTAAGTCTGCACGTAGTAGCCTATAAATGCTCCAGAAACGTGCCTCCCCTGATGTATGCATCTCCACTGTCATGATAACATTTTGTCGCGAAAGTAGAGAGTTAAATGTATCCATGATGGCGATCAGACAAAGCTTGCGTAGGCTGGGGATTTCAGGACAATATGCTTGATATGGCAAATTGGTCCCAGTCTACCGACGTCGGCTCATTTCGTATTGCTCGTACTCATCCTGTGCGCACAGGACACAAGAAACCATATAGCTAGACTACCTCGAGCTCTCAACTGAGCTACGTCGTCCATTGGTTCTCTTCTCTTCTCGCAACTTTTCTCGCTACATTCCTATCTGCCTGTTCGCTCGGATGCAGCTCGTCGTATCTAACGTCGGACGTCAGAATGGCTTCTCAAGCAGTCCCCAAATGGGTTGACCAGAGAAAACTATCCAGATCCGACCCTTAAGCCATTGTGCATACACCAGTAGAGCTCTCATTCCCCTCCATCAATGGCGCCGTGCGTTAAGGTGGGTAGTGTACATGTCTGAAGAGAGCGTGCGAGTCAAAGATTCCTATACACCGATTAGGCGTAGAGGATCGTGGAGTTTAACGGGATCATCTACACACTTAGTAAGCGAATGTCTTAAGTTTGGAACAGTGACATACATTCTGAACCAAGGAATTCCTCGCTCCATCTTTGTACAGGACCTTCGTCCAATCAACAACCATGCACTTCACAACATCCACAATGGACGCGTCATTGCTCCCTGTGAGGATTGAGTACCTACCTGGGTCGTTCGTCCCGATCCATTGTGTGTACAGCGTCTCTCTGGCGTCCAACACAATCGAACCATTATCGTTCTCAGCTAAATACAGCGGCCGCTGGCTTTCGAACACGGAGGGGAAGGGCCAGTAAATTATCCTATTTGAACACGTAGCACTGAAACGCGCGAAAGGGAATAGAGTAAGGTTAGCGTACTGCGCGGTGCAAACAAGCCACGGGATCTGCCGTTGCTGACGGAAACAACATCGGTCTAGTTGTCCCCGAAGGTTGACGAGGTTCTTGATTTGGGCCAGGGCTAGGATGGGGAGAGTGAGGAGAAGAAACATCGGGAAGGGTTGATATGGATTGGGGGTTTATGAGGATGGAATGTCGTTGTTCTTGGTGGTGAGGAAAAGAAGCGCGAATGTCGGGCCAAATGACCTAGTCGTACGCTTTTTGAGTGCTAGAAACACATTGACGAGCGAAAAAATTGGTAGACAGAGCTAGATTGAATGGAAGAAGAAGATGCATGATATTTTCTGTGCTTGTTCGGCTGGGTCTCGACAGGCACTTAGAATACGTGATTTTTTTTCAGCTAAAGACATGAGAGGAAACAAGTGCTCTTACTGTTTCTTGTTCCATCTTTAAGATCAGCCTCTACGTTATTGCACGATAGCTAGATGATTAAGCTGGTCCATTGCCGCACATTTGACGAACCTCTAGCGGCCACTACTTCGTGAATAGATCAAATCCCTCAGCCTTTCCCAATCTGCTTGTCTCCTAAAACATTCAGGACCTCGGAACGATCGGCCAGCATGCGTGAGAATGGCCTTGGGTTCTGAAGAGGGTGGGTAACCAGAACTTGAACCGCTGGGAAGTTTGGTTCTAGCTACAGGCCGGGTTGGCAAATGCAAGGTAACCGGGCAACTCGGATTCGAGTTGGGCTGGGAATGGCTTCTACTTCGGTGTAGTATGTTCCTTAATTTTGTAGAGAATCCAACAGACCAGCGAAGCTGTCCCTCTCGAGAAAGGGGGCACCGAGGAAGTCGTCCAAGCAGTTCTAATGCGAAAACTGAGGTCTGCTTCCACACCCTTGAAAAAGTACCAGTGTTATCAATCATAGTAGACTTTTGAGTCGTAGTAGTAGTCACGAAACAGGCCCGGAACCAGTTCTCGCTCCCAACTGAACTATTCCGGACGCCTACCAACGCGGGGGGCCACCAAGATTGTCGATGCACCGGGATTTGCATCCAATCACACAAAGAGGTGCTAAAAAGGCTCAGTTGCCTCGGGTGCCGCTCTGAAATAGCCTGATTATCTAACAGCAGGTCTTGTCCTCGAACCGCGAGGATCCAAGTTTCTCTTCACCTCTACCTCTTTGTTGTCATCTTCCTTTCCTCCTTTTAAATTTCTTTATAGCTTCACGCATCCCGGGTTGCATCACTGTCTCAATGGCTAGAAAGAGCCAGTCTGTCTCGTTCCCACCTACGGCACTTGGAGGTATCGGATCAGGCCTACCACCACCAGCGATGCAGACCAGTGCTCCCTTTGTTACATCTGACGCGCCCAAGAATGAGGATCGCCGGTCGTTGCCTCAGGGACGGTCATTCCTGTGGGGCTTGTTTTCGTCGTCGTCGTCGCCCAAGGAACCCAAGAATGTGCGAACGAAGCTATCCAAGGCGCCACCGACGGCCTTCAGCACAACTATGAAGTCCCTGCCGGAACCCAGAATTGGAAGCATCTCGCCGGAACTGTACAACGACCCCGCTTTCTCGTCTGATCCGCGTTCCCATCTTCTCTCCAATTCCTATTATTTCCTTGGTCCTGTTCCACTGCCCGGACAATCCTCCTTGAAACACGAGCAACCCATTGATGACAGTTCTCGCCATTCAGAACAGTCAAAACAGTCATCGGTTTCTCCCACAGACATCAAAGTTTCCGGGGTTACTCCATCCTCATTTGTCAGTGCTGGTCCCTCTTCTTCCGCATCTACGCCGTCTTTATCTTTCGTACAAACTCCTTCCCCCGTAACATCTACTCCTTCATCGTCAACGTCCCACGCGACCGCCATGCCACCATTACAACCGTTGACTGCTGAACCTCGTTCACGTTCACCTCACCATCCAGCAACGTATAAACTACGCATTCATAATCCTGACATATCCAACGATGATCCTCCTTCATATGATGAAAGTACGAGCATTCCCATTCGTTCTGAAAAGCGTGGGGATCCTCGCATAGACAACTCGCCTCCTTCAGAAGCAGAACCATCTGCTGCAGCGCTCCGGGAATCGCCTACTCACTCTCAGCGAACATCACCGTACGAAACACGTTCACACTCGCCTGCACGTTCATTTTCTTCCCCTAATCATTCTGCCCTGGTGGCAGACTCTCAAGCATCCCAGCCACCACAGTTACCCCCTCAGAATATACCCCAACAGATGTATCAATATCAGCAGCAGCCGGCACAGCGCCCATCTACTTCTCGCCACACCACACCAGAGAAGTCACATCCCGAGGAAGAAGCGCCGCAGCCAACACGCAGAAACGCGCCACTCATTCTTCGATATGACCCTCCTCCAGAACCCCAGCCCACGGCTGAGGAACATCACCAGGCCCGTGCTCAGGCCAAGCGTGGCCGGGCGAATCAGCTGGATCCTATCGATGAACTGGATCAAACGAATCCACTTGGTATGAGATTGCACCATGGCGGGCCTTACGAGGCTATACAGAAGGTTGTCAATTCCAAAAACAAGGAGCAACAGGTGTGTTCTATTGTAGAGAACCTTTGGTTACGATTACTCAACTACCTTCCGCAGAATCGTCCTCAGAGAAACCATAGCAATGTTTGTCGCCATCAAATAGTCTTTGGAGAAATAAGTTCACTGATTCCAATTTGCAGTCTTCCGTTGAGAATCTGCAGACTAGTGCAGCACCCGCTCCATTTACACCTTTTGGTGCACCACTAAACCTAACTCCGGGACAGATCCTCCCACATAATTTCCAGCTTTATTCCCAAGCCCGTCCTCTCCAGAATCAGGTTTCGACGCGTCAACAGCAAGCTCCCAGTCAGGATTCATACCAAACCCGTCTATATCAGCCAGCAGATGTGCAACCGCATCCCCTGCGAAGTCGCTCGTCCTCTGGTCAAGTACACCGAGCAGCTGATCAAGATCAATATCAGCGTGGTACCGGTGTACCATTCAACCCATATGACCTGGGCCCTATACACCATTCTCAGTCCCATCAGGCTCCACGATCTCATCAACCAGTTCCGCCCGTCACTCATCCCGCCGTCCCGGCCGTTCGGCCAGCTCGGTCTAACCAAAGTGTGCGACAAAGTCCACGACCCGTTACTCCAGTTCATGAGGACGAGGATGCATACGGGGGTATAGTAGATGCATATGGAGGAATAGAAGAAGAAGAGGCACCAGCTCTGGCGCCCATGGCACATAGGTCGGAACGCAGAAGTGCTCCTGTGCCTGCACCTGCTGCGAATGTTACACCCGGTTTGAACCTACAGCGTTCGCAGACCTCGGTCACTCCACGATATCCTAATGTTCCCCTCGGTTCTGCCACGCTCCGGGCCGAACCCATTAACGTCCCTCAACCGACACCTTATCCTTCGTCTTACGATGGTCACGGAAGGTCCAATGTTTCCTACACTCAGCCTCCTCCTCACGGGACACCGTACGAAAGCAATTCTAGAATACTTGATCCTGTTGGATACGAAGCCAGTCGAATGCGACAGCCATTCATGGATCAGCACAACCAGCCACCACCACAACGTATGGCACAGGCAATGGCACCGCAACCAATGGCAACTCCACGCATGGTTTATCAACAACTGGCGCCTCAGCAAAGGCCACCTCCTCCCGTTAGGCAACTGGCACCAAGCATTCAGTCTTCGTCTTCGGCTTATCGGAATGGGCCTCCCCCAAAACATCTTCCCAGCAATCTAGTAATGCCTACTCCTCTGCAAAACGCGCCTCCGAAAGCATCTTCGGTGTCTCAACCACACCGCATAGATCCTCGACACCAAGCATCGTCTCAATTCTCTGTGCATCATCAACCTCCACGACCGAGCACTGCTCCTTCAAAGGGTTTCGGGGTGGTGATGCTACCTTCGGAGAATCAGAAGATAGTGAGGAAGGGAAGCAGTGTAGCAGCGCGTGTTCCTACAACGGGGGTGGCATTCGCGGCAAGTATTGTTGACCCGACGTTTACGCGGCAGGCGTCTGTGAAACCCAAGGCGCTGCCTGTGCAGAAACAGAAGGTTCCTAAGAGGGTGCTGAGCAAGAAAAGAGTCGATTTTTGATGACTAGTAATGATTTCTCTATCTCCGTGCAGACCGTATACCTGTGTTTTTGATGTAATCTTGCTTTCGTTGTACCGTCCACATATCGAATACTTCATCTATGTAGTCTAATATCTCTTTGTGGACCTGTATAGTGTATCTTATTAGCAAATAGAAACTCCGTCATTTTCATGCATGATTGAAGAATATTTATACAGGTGCGAACATGAAGATTACTAATAATCTATGGCTACATAATTAACTTGCGAATTAGTAGTGGTAGTATAATGTGTCACTCTCCCCTGCCCTCCCATCACCTTGCGACCGGACTCGGCTGTCCTATAGGTGTGATATCATCTCTGACGCTTCCTAGCCATAACAACGACTAGAGCGGGCTGGGAAAGATATGCCTGGCTACGCGTTCCCTATGTGACAGGAACGAAGCCAGGAGGCGGTGAAGGGGAAGGGGAATATGACGTATATGACGAGGCAGAAGAGTCAATTTGAGAACCCCAGCTTGTTATTCGACTCGAGGGGGAAGAGGAAGAAGAGGAGCCCCTGCTCGGCGTCCGTCGAGAAGAAGAGCGCGATGGTTGCTGAGGCTTCAGATACGGCTTCCAAATTGTTCTCGACTTTCTCCTCGTTGCCCAACTGTTCTTGCCCCACTCCACACTCAACAGACCCGTCCGCCCGTGCCAGCTCCAGCTCCAGCTCCAGCTCTTCCATGCGTCCTCACCGACGTATGCCGCTGAGTGCCCCCGCAGATCGGTGGTGTAGCGGGCCGTGGCTGCTTCGCCCTTGTGCTCTTGCGGTGGGGCGTGGACGTTCATCCGGGCGAACATATGAGTTAGGTCGTCCATCGTCGGGGGTGTGGGTTTCATCGTGGTGGGGATGGTAGGTGGAGCGCGGGGCCAGGGGACTTGAAAGTGGAAAGCATGGGCGGGGTAGGGGAGGGGACGGAGAAAGGATGGAGACACTTCCCTGCCTTTGCCTTTGTAGTCGTTGGGTGTGGGTACGGGTATCGACTCGGAGGAGAGCGCGCCTGAGAACGCCGGTCTCGTCAAGCTGATGTACTTTTTCTCTGGGTCGTCATCCGGGTGCTGCTCCGGCTCTGGCGTAGGCTGGGAGTATGAAGGAGAAGGCAACGACGTGAGGAGCCTCTCGACGCTTCCGCTCGGGCCACGTGTGCGTGAAGGCGGGAATCCGGCTTTCTTCTGGACGCGGCGGTGGTTTTGGAACTACCGGCAGATTAGTCAACCATCACTGATAAGTATGGGGTCGCTCACCCAAACTTCGATCTGGCGTTCGGACATGTGGGTGTATTCTGCGATGGCGAGGCGCTCGGCGGCGGTGGGGTATGGTGTATGGTGGGTATAGATCATTAGCAGGAGGGGCGTATGGTTCTGGGAGACGGGTTAATAGGCGGTATGGCAGGGAGGGAAGGATGGGACATACAGTGTTGAATTGAGGGCGGGTTTCCCTTTCCTGTCTTTGTGCGGCGTCCTTGAGACGCGACATCATCGTATTCTTTGCACGAATATATCGGCCCATCAAATCTGGCAACGTCTGTGTAGCGAACACATCCTGGAAAAGAGAACCAAGCTGCTGAAGGTGAAACAACCTGGGACCGGGGACAGACATAGTTTGGTGCAAAGTCTGCTCATAGACCAGAGAGTATTGTGCCTGGAGCTCTCCGACCGCTGTGGTAAGGGAATTGCGCAATGTGGCGGGTACACGGTCATTTGAAAGCTCCAGTTTGACATCGTCGGGGAGTTGTAGGGCCAGCGAAGGCGAGATGGAGGGTGAGATAATATCATGAGAAGCGAGAAATCGATCAGCACCAATGGACCTGATAATTTGGGCGACACGAACGATATTCTGGAGGACATCCTGTCTGGCGCTGGACCGTAGCTGCATTTTCAGAGACGTATATGTGAGATAGCAAAGTGACCTGAACAATGCTGTTGTGCCATTTTAGGATAACAATAGAGACCCAGGACAATGCGGAGCTTGAAATTGGAAAACTGGTAACCACGGTAATTTTTGTATCCCTCCTGACACAACTAGCACAATGTCTGCCTGCGCAGAGAGTGACCTACACAGCCGACTACTATCTGTCGTTGATGGTCTTTTTGACTCCCACAATACATCCCCAACTTCTTTGCAGACTTACAATCTTGAACTCGCCGATCTGGAAAAGGACCTGATTGATAGCCAAAGCTCGGGCACACTCCATTCTCAGACGGCGGAACTCGCATGCTCTGTTGCAAAGGCAATAGAATTGGTCTGCCAGACGTTTATGAATCTTCATGTTCAGTCGAACAATATACTACAGGACTCGGAGAAGGAATTGTGTGCCATTGAAGGTGCCGAAAAGGCAACGCCTCCCCCTCCCGCCCGGACGAGCAAAAAGCGGACACACTCGTCTACATCCCCGGAGCCGCCGGCAAAGCGAAAGCGAATGGTGTCTTCGGAATCGGTGTCTTCGGAATCAGGGACTTCTTCGTCGCCCGACTACAGTCCGCTATACACCTGGTTATCAAACAACCTGTACAACCCCTACCCCTCCGCTCCTGTGCGAGCAGACCTGTGCCGAGCTGCAGGGGGCGCGGACGTCGAGCGGTGGTTCACGACTGCGCGGCGGCGGATCGGATGGACAGAGCTGGTGAGACGGGTGGCTGGTGGTCGGTCAAAGGTGGTGAGTGCAGCTGAAAAGTACTGGAAGGGAGAGGGGAGGGAGTACCAGGTCGAGTTTGCATTGATTGAGCAGAATTTGAAGGATATTTATGGTGCCCGGTTTGGTGGGCCGGGGGAGGTGGTGAAGCTGTTTGGAGCTGTGCCTTGGTGCGGGGGTGTGTTATTTGACGAATTGCTATTAATAATGTTTGGACAGTTTGAAGCGGAAGAGGGACGAGTCCCAGGAAGAGGAGAGACCCCCAAAGACCTTTCAGGCAGACGTGCCACCAAACCTCGACAACTGGTTCGACGATATCTATTCCTTCCCCAACGGCAACGTCCAACTCGACGTGCAACTCCCTGCGCCCATCGACCCGCCGCCTGTTCTATCCGACTTGGACAGCTTTCAGGCCGTGTTTGACACCTCGATATCGGACATTTATTCTCAAGTTCATTTCGACATTTCTAACTTTGATTTTCCGTCAGACCCTTCCTGGAGCACAGATCCCATCTTTTCTTCATTTGACTTTGCCATCCCGGTCTCGTAACTATGAAATCCATGTCGTCCACCTATTGTCTTCACCTCTCGCAACCGAGCCAATGTTCCGAGCCACGATTCTGTCCGCTTGCTCGCTCGGATGTAGCTCGTCGTACCTGCATTTTGCTAGTCAAAAACGAGATCACCAATGAATCAAAATCCACCCACCACAGGAAACTGTCCCGGTCCGTTCCCTCCGCCGTCGTGCATACGCTGCTCCCGCCTCCCTCTGTATACACACACGACACCACTGCACCCGTGATATTCAACGGCGCCGTCCCATTCAGGTACTCTGCCGGGTTGTCGTATATATCCTGGAACAGGCCATGCGAGTCGAATATCCCGATATGAGCACCCGGAACCTCCGGCACCAATGCCTGCAGCATCGCCCGCGACAACGAATTGCCACTCAGCACCAGCTCCCGCATAAACACGCTCCATTCAGACGTGTTACGCGCCCCGTTAAAGTATCTGTTTGGGTACGAGTCGGGTGCATACAGGATCACCTTATTCAGCGGCACCATCTATTCTACCCGTCGTCAGCTCCGTCTCTCTCTCTCTCTCCCCTTGATAGACTCGCACCCACGTTTTGCACCAAAAAATTCCGAGCCCCGTCCTCGTACAGCACCCGCACCCAATTCACCATACACCCCACCACATCCACCAGCGACGCGTCGTTGCTCCCCGTCAGCAACGAATACACCCCCACGTCGTTCGTCCCGATCCACTGCGTGTACAGAGTCTCTGTTGGGTTTACCTTGATCGACCCGTTGTGCTTTTCCGCGAAATACAACGGGAGCTGGCTCTCGAATATCGAGGGAAAAGGACGAAACGTGATATTGTTCGAGCACGTAGCCCCCGACCGTGCAAACGGGTACAGCGTCAGGTCCGCGTACCCCGCCGCGTAGACGGGCCACGCCGTTCCCCCATCGCCCACGTTCACAATGTCCGTGTAGCTGTCCCCAAAGGTAACGAGGTTTTTCACTTGGAGTGCGACGGAGAGCAAGGGAAGGAAGAGAAAGATCAGGAAAGACATGGGGGAGGAATGAGGGGAGCCGTTTATGAAGGATGGAATTTCTCCGAGATGATACCCATGACCGTTCTTTGACAGTCTGTCAGAAAACTAATAGAGCTTCTAATTAATACAACACGATAGCAATGTGACAGCAATAATGATACAGAACCAATCAGTAATACGACTTTTTCTTCCCTCCAACCGCAATAACAGGTGCTGGGTAATCAGCATACACGAATCCCTGGATATCCAACAGCACCACCTCTTGCACCGGCTCATCAAACAATTCATCAAACGGCTCCGGCTCCAGCTCGACAGTCATGTTCTGCGGTGTCGCAGGCAGCGACTCTTCCGACCCCGAAGACCCACTTGACCACGACACCTGTCGGTGTAACGACGGCGACCGCGTGCGTGATGGATACGGTCGAGGTCTATTCGGTACCCGTCTCCTCCTCTTCTCCGGCGTGTTTAACAACGCAGGATGGTACCCCCGCTCCAGTCGCGTCGTGGTCGCGCACGTCGCAGCAGGCGGTACAGATGCCTCTGACACGCGCGCAATGTCGCTGTGGATCCGCAGGATCAAGGCGAACCGTTCCGTCAGCTCTGCAAAGTTGGGGCAGTGGGCGTGGTGTGGAAGCGGTTGCGTCGCGGGCCGACGCGTCCACGTCGGCGGGGGAAAGTAGACTGTCGGCACGATGCCGGTGCGAAAACGTGTGGGTCCAGCACTGGGTATCTTTTCTCTAGATGCGAGCGCGAGGACGTCGATGGGAGCGGGGTCACGGGGGTACCGCGGTGCAGATAATGTCCGGAAACCCTTCTCCTTCTCCTGGCGTATATACCTCAACCGCTCCCGCTCCTCCTGCCTCTCCTCCTTTGGCACCCCAAACACTCCCATTTCCTGCTCAATCTTGTCAATCTGCGATTGCGACGGCCCAGCATCAGTCGCTTTCCGCTTGACGCACGGTCGTCCCGCTTTCTTCTCCACCCGCCGGTGGTTCTGGAACTGCAACCCGTTAGCTCGTCCGCAAATCTCGCGAGCGGAATGTCTAGCTCACCCAGACTTCAATTTGCCGCGATGTCATCATCGATTTTGCAGCCATTACTTCTCGGTCCTGCGGCGATGGGTATGCATTGTAGTTGAAGTATGCTTTAAGGTATGGGATGTACGCCTGGGGGGGTGGGGGTTGTCAGGAGATGGGATGGAACAAGGATGAAAGGACGGACATTGTTGAATTTGGGTGTCGGACGGTTCTCGTCAAAAGCGGAGACGGTAGAAGCCAAAGCTTCTTTAAGGTGGTGTCGCATTAATCCGGGGAGCGCTTGGGTTGTGAAACGATGCTGTATCAAAGTCACAAAGCGTTGCATTGCGGCTTGCTGAGGAACCGGCGCCAGTGAAGAGCGTTGATACGCCTTGTCGAAGACACATTGATATTCAGCACGCAGGTCTGAGATGGCGGAATCCAATGCATTTCGAAGTGCAATGGGGGTGCAAGGATTGTCCAGTTCCGCCTTCACATGGTCTGGAATGGGCAGCTCCAAGTCTAGTTTTGGAAGGGTGACAGGAGGAGCGAGCTCTATTGGACCGATAGACTGTTTGAAAAGTTTAGTGACCTTAGAGGTCCTTTGAAGAAATGCTAGAAAACCGTGTTCGTCTGTAATACCGGCACCCATAGAGAAATTGAAAGATAAGATGCTATTTCGAGAGAACAATGGAGCACCATGCGGGCCGAAGAGAGTTTAACCGGAGATTCAAATATCAATACGACCAGCGACACATATCATTTGCTCCTCACATACTGTGCCGCGATGGCCAACATCATAGCCGACATTCACCGTCGGTTGGATTCCACCATTGGGGACTTTTTCGCAGCACACTCTGGCACTCCCAATGAAGATGCACTTTCCCTCTTCACTTCTCAGTGGCAAGGTCTTTACAATATGACTGCAGAAAACGGTGATTTGGACGAGCAGATAGCTAGTCTTGCATACGGGGTTGCGGATACCATGGAAAACATCTGCCATGCTCTCCTGGACCTTGATGTTTCCGACGAGAAATTTTCCAAGCGATACGAGACTGACGTGAAAGACATAGTTGATAGAAGGAAGGTTGCTGCTGTCAAAGCGTGTAGCTTTGACGGCCCTCACACAACTTCATCTTATGTGGAGCCTGCGTACTGCTGGCTCTCCGAAAACCTCCACAATCCTTACCCCGCTCGCGAGGTCCGTAACAAGATCTGCCGCGAAACCAATACCCCCCGGAAAGACCTCGACAACTGGTTCACTAACGCCCGCCGGCGCATAGGCTGGACATCCCTCCTCAAACACTTTGGCGGTGACCGCGATCGCATGATCGAAGCCGCTACCACCTACTTCAGGGACCGAACTGAACCGTGGGACAACCGATACTCTCCCATAAGCATCGCTTTTACCGACATGGCGTCGACGCTCAAAGATTTGTATGCCAACAAGTTTGAGCAGAGCACTCTTGGAAGGAAATTGGACGGTGCTGTGAAGAATATGACTCCAGAGCTGCAGGTGCAGGAGCAGGCTAATAAAAAGAGGAGGGAAGAGCAGAGGGAAGCTGAGAGGAGAGCGAAGAAGGAGAGGATGGAACGGGCAAAGGAGGCAGAGGCGCAGAGAGCGTATCCTTCACCCGATCGATCGCCTCGTCGCTCTCCCGATTCGTCGCTGCCCTCTGAGGCGACTCCTACTCAGAAACGTCGCAGTTCTGACGATGAAGCTGACAATTCTCACAGATCCAAGAGGCGATCGAGGTATGTTTCCTTCCTGTCTGTCTTTGTTCCGAAATCTCACTGGTTTCATTCGCAGAACTAATGACAACGATGACGCTGTTACTAGCCTACCCTCCCCCTTCTCCACCGACACTGAGGGCTCTGACCCTTCACGCCAATCTACACCCTCACCATCAAAACGAAAGAGGCGTCTATCCGACTCGGATGGCGCTGGCACCTTTAAACGACACTGTGGTATACACGGTTCGCGTCGCTCCGTATCCGATCCATCCTCCTCGACGAGTAGTACGAAAACAGACTCTCGTCCTGTCGAGCTCTACGTCCCTCCAGACCTCGAGGGTTGGTTCGAGACGGCTTTGGCTGAGTTCCCTCCAGATCCCGAGGTGGACGTGTTTAACTACTCTGCCATGTCTCCATCATCGCAGTACTCGGATGACGCTTCGTCGGCTGGTCGTAAGTCATGCTTTTCTTACCCTGGTACAGTGGTGGACTGATTTCTTGTAGCTTCGACTCCAAGATCGAGCACGCCCGTAGAGTTGCCAGCTGATACCATTGCTCCTTCCTTGACGGTACTCAACAACGGTTCGATCTTGGATAGCATTTCCAAGCCTGAATTCAGCATATCAGGTCTCGACCTGGAAGGTCTGTTACCTACAGCCGTCCCAGGTGCGTCCCTCTCTTCTCCCCACCCCTCTATTTACTCACATTTATCCTGTCTGCAGCTGAGAAACAGCCTCTTGTCTCCGACTCTAACCACTTGTCCGATCTGGATGCCTTCCTGGGAACTTTCTCCGTCAACAACACCTCCATCGCTCCCACAGACTTTGCCGAAATCGACTTTAGCTCCGCTTTGTCAACTTGGCAGTTTGCCGAGGACTGGGATTCGCAATTTTGAACTTCTTCGCATTTTGTTCTCCTTGCTTTATCTTTCATTTTATCACTGTATCCTGATTAGTCTTCACTGCTGTCACATTGCTATCTTGTTTTCTCGTTGCACATCTTTTTGTTACTCTTGCTGTATCGCTACTTGTTAATTGTTAATCAAAGGCTTTGAACAATCACTAATCCTGTGGCTCGGCTGTAGACCCGAACTGTTTTGATGGAGCTGTGGAAAGAATGAAGAACGGAATCACGTACTCCTAGGCCTGGTTTAAATCAAACAAACGAACTCAATGACTGTCCAGTTGTCACAGAAATAGCACACATAGCAGCCATCAAAGTCAGAACACCTCATGAACATCTGATACTGCGGTTTCCGCTTTTGATTGAGTAAATGGTGTCGGCCGCGTCCCTTTCATGGACGTCGAAAATAATGACTAGCATGTGCTTCAGATATCCAAAGTCAAGCGTCGAATGTTTTTCACAGGGCCACAGATTTTGACAGCCGGCGGTGATCATGCAGCGCTTTCTGATGTCCCCCCCTATTGAGCATCTAGTGTAATAAAGCATCTCAGCATTGCATCTCTCAGTATATTTACATACATTTATCAATACGAAACTTCTACAAACACCTGATGCACATCTTAACTCCTACGCGAACTTGGAGGCCTGGAAAGGATGCGTGTTAGCCAACGACAATCAACACCCCCATCAAAGACTTACAAGACTGAGCAGCCCCGATAAACCACCGGAGTCGCCCCCACCGATAGTCGATCCACCCATCTTTGATTGCACGAACAGCTTCATGACAGTCATAGCCGCACCATTCACAGCATCCTGTTTGTTCCCAGAAGCTGTGCCACCAGACTTTTCGAACAGCTTGGTGGCCTCTGCCATGGCGAGACTGATCAGTTCAGTTTGAGATCCGCCGCTGGACCCGCCCCCAGAGGTGAACTTCTTGAGAGCCTTGGCGATGAAATTGGATTGAGTATGTGATAGTCATTAGTGATGATGGATCTTACTTGGAGAGCAGCTGCACCGCCAAGAGAGTTGGCACTCAGTGAACTTGCGGAACCTTCCTGGTAGGCTTTCCTGTGAGCGTTGGTGACGTGATCCTCGTCGATGGGCTGGTTGTGCTCGCCCTATGATGCCATTGGAATAAACATATATAAGAAATTTGTCAGGACATACGACGTTCTGCTTGACGAAACTCAATGCGGAGGAAAATACAGACGAATCGGCCGATCCGTGTTTCTCTGCTGTTCTCACGACTTCATCATCATCAACTGTGCTGTTGTTAGGAGGGTGCGACGGTCATGACAATGATTACGGACACGATGGGCTACCAGTGGGTGGGCCTGAGTGATGTGGGGTATTGTATTCTTGTCCTCCGGTCTTGGAGACATCAGCTGGGGTGCAGAACAATAGTCAGTCTTGGGTGATCCCCTAGGATCGAGAGCGGACACGCACATTGTGATTCACTATAGGCCTCGTAGCCTTTCTTTGCGAGACTGATGAAGCTATCCTGTTACAATAAGGCTGAGCTAGCAGATTATTAACAAAGCAGAAACTTCCTTACCATGACGGATGAAGACAAGAACGATTTAGGCTAACGGCCGACTGAATGTAGCTAAATATAGGCATGTAATTATGACGTCTACATACCGGTCACACTCGCGTTCGGTCACAGCCTGTTTTCGGGTTGTTGTTTTCACGTACTTCTTTTTTCAAGAGCTCACCTCTTAAATCAGACGGCCATGTCGCGACAGGTCGCTCGAAGCATGGCGACCTCGAATGTTTCCGTGCCCTCCTCTTTCAATCTCCTCCCAGTTGAACTGCTGCATGAAATCGTGGAGACTTGCAACGATGAAGAGAAGGGACCTCTGCTGGCTACCTTAATGGCGACAAGCCGCCGCCTGAGGAACTTTGCACTGCCGCTCTTCTTCAGCATGATACATGTCACTACCCCATCACTTTTCAACCTTCTTCTCAGTTTCCTTGATGACTCACCAAGTCAATACTATTCATATGTGCGGTATGTATCATCTATCCACACAATGATAGCTAACTTACCGTCCACAGCTCTCTGAAAATCCATCTCCAGGTATTCGACTTCCCCGGGTCACAGCGAGCGAGCTTCAGAAACTCGTCTATCCGCAGTCTCAAGAAATTCACAGGCCTTCATGTATTCGAAGCTGCGCTTGTTCGCGGGAAACAAAAGCTTCTTGACGCGTTGTCGGCAGCCTCCCCGGGGCTGCAGCACTTGGACATTAGTTGGGATGGGGCAAAGCACTTTCCCGACATACGTGCGTTCACGCAGCTTCGATGTCTGCGCATGGTTTTGCAAGATCGCACCCCAAGAGTCATTCCCCGACTCTATGTGAATCCCCCAGTTATCCTCAATCACCTCACTACACTCGCGATATCTCGCGTATCCCATGCCTGCCTCATGGACATGACAAACGGGTACATCTTCCCCAACCTATGCGTCCTGCGTCTTGACCATGCATGTCGCCCTAGAGCGGTATACCATTTTATTGATAGACATCCATCCCTTGCGGAAGTCAATGTCACTTTTCTGCCATATGGAAACCCCCGTCTTTACCCGATCACAAAAGTCATGCAAGGATCTCCAGAGTGGATACCGTTGTCGGTAGACACTTTGGATTTTGCCACGGGTGTTAAGGATCCTCCGGGATATTCATGGGCAAGCATGCTCATTCAAGAAATGGCTTTCAAGCGCGTGCCTATAGAAGAATCTGACGATCCTAATGTTCGGTATATCATTACAGATCTAGCGCTCATGACAGATGATACCGCTGGGTGGCAATTGGGATCACATTTCATGAACGTCTTGAGCTTGGGTGGAAAGATACCACTCTTTGATGACGTTGAAACACTCACTATACAGGCTATGGACGATTGGGCGCGTTATACATCGTTTTCGGCGTTCATGGTACCTGCCGCGTCTTACTTCATTTCATCCTTTGACTTACTTCAACTCCCTAGACCGAGCTAGCCGACAATCTTAAACAATGGCGTAGAATCAAAAAATTTACCGCCCATATCACCTCTCGAACCCCTTTTCATGCCTGGGGAGAGTTTTATCGTCAGCCTCCTCGCTCCGTATTAGATGCTGTCCGACCAGGTAGTCCGTTGTTGCAAACCCTTCCACCGATATCATCCCTGACCGGTGGACCTATCGCTATTGTTACAATACGCGAGGCCTTGCAAGCCAGTTTCCCGGACCTCATGGCCCGGGATATGGTAGAGGCTCTGCGCACCGAAGTCATCAACATCCTTGGCCCCGCCCATGCGTTGGTTCCACCAGCTGGTCTGTACCTCGTTCCCGCGTGGGAAAGGGTGAACCGGAACACGGTTAGTGCAGCGGTCCTGCATCTTGCGAAGCAATGTCCCATGTTAGAGCAATTTGATTGGTACCTGTCGGTTGCTAGTGACAAGTATATTCAAGGTCCGCTGTGGAGATGGAAGGTTAAGCGGGATGAGAAGGGGGAGGTAACGTCGGTGTCTGGAGAGCTCATGTGGAAGGATCGGCCGGTGCTGTATATCATGGTTGGGAATGAGCGTGAGCGGATGGCTAATCCAGGATGCAATGATGGATAGAAATATAACTGGTTTACATTACTTGTGAGTACATGCGTTTTGCTTCATGAAGCACATAAAGGGCTTATCATAGCTTATTAGTGACATTGGCTGTTTTGAGGCGTAGCAGCACTCGGTGAAATAAGAGAGGACGGAGGGTGGTATTCGTTATGGGCAACGAACCTCCTTCCCGTGTCAGCCCACTCCGAAAGGCTTCGGATTTCGGGACCCATTGTTCGTGTTATTATGAGAGACTCCAAGCGGACAGTGTATGACTAATATACGCCTCCACGCGACGAATATACATCAGGTTGCCGTTGCGAAGTGCCAATGGCGGGAAACCGGTATTTGGGTCACATTTATTGCTAGACAATGTATCTTTTGTACCGCGGAAACCCTTGATGTATTCAGTTTTAACTTTTGGTGGTAGTTATACAAACGAAGTTTGAGACTCCATTCCATCAAATATTCGCGACGTATGTATACCTATCGAGATCATGTTACGAATGGTAGACAGACGTACAAAGACACCGCAAATGGGTCTCTAGCAGATTGCTTCGATGCTTGGGTAGGTAATGGTGACGCTTACTGTCCACCAATATCATGTATATAAACTCTAAAATAAGTTTTCTACACACTTGAAACGAGCCTACCAAGATATATTAGACCGTTGCCAAAACAGTTGATAGACGAAGCTGCACTCACCAGCCATATTTCACCATCTCATCAGCGTTTATAATTGTAGCCGTGATGAACTCTCTAGCCTCTAGCCAAACCCAAACTTTCAAAAATGTCCCCAAATTACTTTGTGGCAGATCTCTTGTCATAGACTCTCTCGAAGCCATCTGGCCACCCAGCTGCCTCAGAATCGGAAGAGCGCTCTTGAACAAATCCAACCTAGGATCCAGCTGCCGCCCAATTCCCTCCAGTAGTAATATCGAAATAACTGTATTGATAAAATCACCCTCCATTTTTACGTGGTGTTCCCGAACGCTTTTCAGTACCTCCGTCAGAACGTCAGATATCTTGATTTGACCCAAGGAGAACGTCTTGCGCTTGACGGTGAGCACGAGATGCTGCATTTTGAGCGCAAACGTCTCCGTATCTATGGCCAATTCCGGCGTGCGACACCGTTCCACCATCAGCTGGCCCGTCCGGTATCCGTCGAATTCCGCCATCGCGCGGAACATGTCGAGGAAGTTGGTGCGGTTGGTGGCAGAAAGTGTTGTTACAAGACCAGCATCGATAAAAATTATCTCAGGAATATAGCCATCATCATAAATAGTGGAGAGCTCCGACAGCCACTCTGACCGATTGTTGACGAGGCTCCGCAGGCGCGATACAACTTCTATCGAATCGGAGTGGTCGGAAGGAGAGGTGGGAGGAGTTTCTGGGTCTGGTTTGGAGAAGAGGGACACCCGTACGGAATTGAAGGCATTTTTGAGGAGGTGGCGCGTTGTAGCTGGTTTCGAGAACTTGACCATAATGTTTCCCGGATGGAGGTCAGAGTGCACAAAGTTGTCCAGAAGAAGCATGTTCTGGATCGCCGGTAAGTCTTGAATCGATTTCCAAGGATAGCAAGCTCACTCACCAAGAACGCATCTAGCCCCACCGTCGCTACCTGCTCATCATACGGTCCGCCGCCATTTTTCAAGAACCATTCCATTGGCAGAGCATCCTGGAACTCCTCGATCAATACATCCTTCGTGGACCATACTTTTAGAGGCCGAGGAAAGGTGACTGGAACTTTCCGAGGTGAAAAATTACTCTCAAACGTCAAGAGGTTCTCTGCTTCGTGACGAAGATCCAACTGTTGGAACATCATATCGCCGAAGACTTTGACCTCTTCCGGTAAAGATATCCATTGCATACCGGGAAAAAGCGTTAGGACTTGTGCGAAGAAGGTCATGATGGAGAGATCCCGTGCAATGGTTTTTGTCACGCGGGGATGGAGAACTTTGATGGCCACTGCAGCCGTAGGAACAGAAGGAGGAGGATCCTGCAGGAGGGCAGGAGCGACAATCGCACCTGGATGTGACTTTCTGGAACGGCGGGGTCCGAGATATGAGGGAGGGAGGAGATCTTGCTTGAGAGTTGCTCGATAGACCTGAGCAATGGCGCCCGTTCCAATGGGAGTCTCGTCAAATTCTTCAAATACATCATTGAAAGGTCTTCGGAAGGCCTCAGCAATAATCTTCTTGGTGTGTTCCAGTGGATGGGGAGTGCCACGGGAATGGAGCTGGCCGAGTCTTTTGCACAACTGAGAAGGAAATAGATCGGCACGAGAGCCAGCCCATTGCGCAAGCTAGTAGAATTTTAGGTTTGATTTCTGAATTCTTTAGAGCTACCTCACTCACTTTAACGAAAGTTGGTCCAGCTGCCTCCATCTTTGTCACAAGGAAATCATACCACCACACAGCGCCCCACCTGTCGCCATTTAGTCGTTTCTCTGGCGGACCTATAAGAAGCATGGGTGCGGATAAGAGCACCGGCATGAAAAGTAACAGAAGATGTACAAAGCGTCGTGCTGTCAGTAGCGGTTCCCATATCTGGCTGCGGATGAAGGACATGATGCGAGAACTTATAGTCATATCCATCTCTGACGGCGAAAAAATGGTTGGCGAGATTGTCTTCCTTTGCGGAGGACAAGGTATAAGGGTTGGAGAGGAAAAGAGACTTGAAAGTATGGATTTTGGTCTTGGAGTCATGTAAAGGGTAAGCCCGGCGGTCAACGGTATTATCCATAATGCTCGACGCCGGAGAGAAAAACGAGGAACGGGAGTGCGAGTGAAGAAAGAAGGGAATTTTGTATGTCGTGACCAATTGGAAGCGTGTCTTGGTGTAAAGTGAGCCGGGCCTTTTGTGAAGAGTACGGAGAATCGTGCTCGACAGAGGAGCATGTTTGGCATATATGCCAGCTACCGCCAATGCCAATGAAGACGCGTCAAAGTAATAGACATCGATGTTGGATGGAATCAGTCGGTCGTGGTGAGAGGGGACTAGCCCGGCTGACGTCAGACTACTACGACCCCTCTTTCCTCCATCTTTTCTTGCAAACATATTCTCAGAAAAAGATACCGTTTACGTTTCTGTGTCGACAGGTGTCGGTGCACTTGGTATACCACAAAAAAATGCAGGTCATCCCTATACTACGTTAGCAGCACCTGATCCCTCACCTGATGGAAAGGCTCTAGTTTCTCAACGTTCATAAAGGGGACAGAAGCACGCAGTATTCGCCCAGTGAAGTAGAAGGTTCCCTTCTGTCCATCCAATTCTATTCTACCGCAGGCTCTTGGAATATCCTTTGGTCCTCTAGAACGACCTGACGCAAACCACTCGACAAAGCAAAAAGTCGTAGGCCAACCTAAGACCGTCCTTATCTGGGCCGAATTTACACTTGTTGGCAGATTGCAATTTTGCTCTTGACCCTCATCCTAGCTTATTCCCCTCCCATCCTTTGGACTGTCCATGGCAGCTCCGTATGCTTTCGTCACCCTCTTGACGTCCGATTTTTACCTTCCTGGCGCCCTTGCCCTCGCCGCAGCACTCAAAGATATCCATCCCTCCCCTGCCATTCCGCCACAGGTGGAATTTCAGACAGTCTGCCTAGTCACGCCAGAGACCGTTGATGTCTCTACAATCAAACTGCTGCGCAGGGCATACAATATTGTAATTGGTGTCGAGGTGATCGCTCAAGAGGACGATAAGGGCCTCAAATTGCTGGGTGAGTCTGCTTTTCCTGTCTATGGCAATCCCCAGACGCGTCGTCCTTGGCTTGGTATCGCACGTTGCCTACGTTGTGCCGATATATCATATACGCCATCTGGATATTATATCTCTGGACGTGTCAGAGTGTTTAAGATCCGTATAGTGTTCTGCACATTCCATCTGAATCTCTATTCTCTTCGCAACGCTATTTTCCATATGTCTCGTTTGCTCATGGCACCCATTCTTATTACAGGTCGGCCTGACTTGAACACGGTCCTCACAAAGCTTCACGTTTTCCGCCTTACGCAGTACTCGAAAATTGTTTTCCTGGATGCAGACGTCTTGCCCATCCGGCCACTTTCGCATTTATTTTCGCTTCCATATGAGTTTTCTGCAGTACCCGATGTCGGATGGCCCGATATATTCAATTCCGGTGTCATGGTGTTGTCTCCCGGAGAGGACAAATTCAGTGAACTAAGCAGCCTGCTCAAATCGAAGGGATCGTGGGATGGCGGAGATCAAGGCCTGCTTAACGAATGGAGAGGAGGAAACTGGAACCGACTCAGCTTCACATACAATACCACTCCAACGGCCGCATATACGTAAGTATTGCATGCATTTGTAGCTCTTTTTTATTCAACTCTTGCAGGTATGCTCCAGCTTATGAACGCTTTGGGTCCCAAATCAAAGCCATCCATTTCATCGGTCCAAATAAACCTTGGAATTCAATTCCCCATCGTCCACCATTCTCAGGCCAAGATTCATTCACCGTTGCGGAAATTTCCCGAGCTTACGACTATACGTCTCTCCTGGATCGCTGGTTCAATGTTTATGACACACATTATCGGTCACAGAGCATTATCCCGGAGGCAGAGTTCGAAGTCAAGCGATATACTTCTGCATGGAACGAGCAATCTGGTACGAAAATCGAAGTGTCTGCTGTCAGCTCAATAGGACCTGGTAGTCCATTGGGGTTGGAGGATTTGAGGCGACTTGCTCTGGAAGGTATGAGTACAGTGTCGTCCGACAATCAGACCGGAGAGGGCGATTACGAAAGTATGCCACTGGAGGGACGCGTTGACTTGATGCGTCCTCAACCAGAACCTCAAGATAAAGCGCAACTCGGCGCCATCAACCTGACTCGGGAACCGCAAGCAGAAGCTGCACCTTCAACATCTGTGCAGTCCAACGATATCCCGATATATCATACGCCTACGTCAACAGTGAGCGACATTCCTCAGCCCATACCATTGCAACCATTTTCGTCGTATGCGCCTGTCCAACGGCAACCTGATAATGTACCCAACGAGACTCCTCGTCCACCAGAACACCATGGACAACGAGATGGTCAAGAGCTCCCTCGTCCCGAGGTGCCCCGTTATCCCAGGGAAGCCCCGAAGCAGCAAACCCGACAGCTGGAACAACGTCCCCTCCATAGGCCCGCCTCTCCGCCTAAACTTCCTTGGAATCCTGCGATCGAACCTCCTCCAACTATAGCTCCTGCGTCCTCTAATTTCCCATCGGACACGTACTTCCCGAATGTCTGGGATCAGCATCCCAGCAAGGTACACGATCAGGCGCGTCAGTATCACGCTCCTCATCAGCAACCATCTTCACCCACTCCAGACTCCGGTGCATTCTTCCAACCCCCGCCTATTCCTGAAATACCAGAATCCTTACGGAAACAAGGTTACTACCGCAATGTTACCGGCGACGATCACCTTGGATTCTCACCTAGTCCTGACCGTTCGAAAGTTAAGCCTATCTTTCCATGGGAGGGGCTGCCGCGTCATATGCCTGGACGTGTGTTTCCTACTTCAGACGCACCCTCCCCATCCCAGTTCTTGAGTCCGGCAGAGGAGCAACCCTTTCCTCTTGCAGAGCCATTTTCTCCTCCCTTTCCGTCTCGGTCGCAGACACTTTCTCCTCTACAAGGCTTACCTGTCTCGCTGACATATGCCAACGCATGGGACACTGTACCCAGCATACAAAAATATGCATCAAGATTAGTACGACCATCTGTGTTGCCTTTAGCACCTGCCTTTGAAAGTGACGACTGGCGTCGACACGGAGGGCGCAGTTGGGATGATCGTACTGAGGCTAGCAGCCGCGATGGAGATGACGAGGATAACGCCGACGAGGATGACGAAGCACAAACTCAAGGTCTTTGGGTGGAAGACAGCGACAACGAAACCTTTACTTCCAAAGCTCGATCGCGGGGATCTTCTATTGCTTCAAGCTACGTCAGTAAAGCCAAAAAGAAAGAATACCGAGTACGTGGCGTTCAGACAATATCTCCTGAAATGCGAAGTCAAGGTGTTCAAGTTGATACAATTTCGCAGTCTTCCCCCCATTCAACTGATAAACGCTACAGCGGTAGCACCCGAAAACAGTGGGCACCGCTGAGTGTAGCTACTCCGTCAGCACCAGTTGTCGTTAGCCAGGTCAGCGGGGGCCCAGAACTGTCGATGACGACAACGTTTCCCTCTCCAGTTGGAGACATGCGCTCTTCACGAGAGTATGTGTTTCCTGATACACCAGGCACTGCACGTGCGACCAGGGTGACTTCTGCTGTCTCTCCTCCACCTCTGAGGCAGACTGAAGCAGGAAGCCCCAGCATCGCACGCCAATCCTCGAACGATGGGTCTTCTCTAGCATCCCCGCCATCTTCGGTGGGTCCTATATCCCCTCCGGACAGTCAGCCCTTTTCTGTTACCTCTGCCCGAAAACCGGGCCGTGTGTTCGATCCAGCTCGCGGTGTAGAGCTGTTCAAGCGTGGTTCTGAAGAAGTATTGGCGCGGTTCCTAAAGATGAGCTCCTGGGAGGATTAGGCTGTATCATTAGTCAAAAAGCACATGGAATCTTCAAATCTCTCTTGCAAGATTGCTTTCGATGCTTATATCGTTCGATGTTGTCTGCCTTGCCAAAATTTTATATGGACATTTCTTTGTCTCCACTTCCTATGTACACACTTACCAGAACCCATTATACCTCACGCATCGATACATTCGCATGTACTTGACATAGTTCCCATATTTCATTATCTTCCGAAGATGTTTGATAAGCAATTCTACCAGCAATATCTCCCTGGCTCCAATGGTATGACTGCTAAAGCATCTCAAGAGACTGTCTCTCGAGTGTTGGATCCAATTCCACTGCAGGAAATTCTACTTCATAGCTTCAATTAGGTGCTACTGTCGCGGTAGAGAAAGCCACGGGGGCTGCACAGGATTACTTGCATAGTCTCCAAGAGCACTGGCAGGTATCAATGTCAAAAGTTGGTGATACAGACGATGCGTCTCAAAAAGTATGAGAAAGGCTTCAGTTAAAGCAGGAAAGTAAGGTTGGTCACCCTAACTAATACTGAGATCATGCTTTGTTGCGTATAAATACTATGAATGCGCGTCCAGCAAATTGCTGACTCGTCGACCACAACTTACAAACATAGATATTTCGATGACATCATTTTCCATCAGCGCTTGAACTGATCCCTGCATGATGGTTATACCTCAGACTCTTCTAGAGCAACTCAAGAAAGTTAATCCCGCTGCTGAGTTCTCTGGATCACTCCCAAGGATTCGATCATCTCTGGGCGACACGTATTTTGCCAAAGTTGGGCGTCCGAGCGAAGCTGAACAGTATAAAGGAGAGGTCGAGTCACTTAAAGCCATTAATACCGCTGCGCCCGGTCTCGCACCCAAGATCATCGCGTCTGGGGTTGACAATGGTCACCCATATTTTATCTCAGATTATAAGGACCTTCGGGGCTTATCGGACAACGCTGGAGCGGAGCTTGGAAAGCGTTTGGCTACCGAATTACACCAGTACAGTTCTGACCGCGGATTTGGATTTCACGTGCCGACGTTTTGTGGGGCAACCCGCATGAAAAACGGGTGGTTTGACACTTGGGAGGAATGCTACAGTGAAATGATAGGAGACTTGCTTAGCCAACTCAAGGGGAAGGGCGCGAGGTACAACAAGCTCTGTCGGAAGGGAGAGGAGATAAAGGCGAGGTGAGTTATTTGAGAATCTGACATGATCATTCCACACAATTTTGCAGGGTCATTCCAAGGCTTCTAGGTGCGATATTTGTTCTACGTGAGGGTGCAAGACGCCGAGAGTAGAGATAGGTCCATTGAAGATTAAGCCAGCATTATTGCACGGGGATCTGTGGGTAAGTTTTCCGTTCACTTACGCCTGAGGATACATACTGAAGATGATAAGAGCGGAAACACGGGACTCGAGAGATTAACCGGACGACCGATAATATTTGACCCATCGTCATTCTATGGGCATAACGAGGCGGAGTAAGATGTTGGTTGAATCATGTGAACCATATTGACACGTACCACGGACAGCCTCGCTATCGCGAGAATATTCGGCGGAATTCCTCAGTCATTTTTTGCAGTATATCACCAACATTTCCCAAAAACCGAGCCTATCGAACAATACGAACTGCGAGGTGATTTGTATGAACTCTTCCATTATTTGAATCATACCATCTTGTTCGGAGTAAGTGCACTCACCAAAGTATTGGATTAACGTTGAATGGGACTCATAGGGAGGCTACGCGTCAAGTGCAGAAGGAAAAATGGACAAACTGCTAAGAGAGCAGTAAAATTCTTGTGAAGCTTTTATATAACAGATATAAACAATGCGAGCCATTCAAGCTCAACACCTGTAAACATTAGCTGAATAACATCTTGATCTACAACCACAGGGACAACCTTTACCTACCTAGTTCTGCCTAGGCATTTTACGGCGTGTCCACCCCAAACCGTACGACTTGCTATCAGAAGGTTATCCAGCTGCTTGAAGGGCACGATTCGAGCTCTGAAGTTCGATTTCGCTTTTTTGGCGTCTGAAATTGGGACATGAGTCAAGGTATCACTGTATAATTAACATTCTAGGTTTTCACTTATTAACATTCTCTCGAGAATTCGATTATTCTGAAGACCCTTATACGTATGACGACACGAATTACGATGTGGGAGAAGAAGAGGAAGACGATGACTACAAAGAGATAACGCAGGAGGATTGCTGGACCGTCATATCAAGCTTTTTCGAACAAAAAGGTCTCGTGCGACAACAACTCGACTCGTTCGATGAATTTGTGCAAAACACGATGCAGGAATTGGTCGACGAGAATGCGGACATTATTCTAGACCAGTCGGACCAGCACATGGGCCGCGACGGCGACATGACGCGCCGCTACGAACTGAAGTTCGGTCAGATTTATCTTTCTCGCCCCACAGTCACGGAAGGCGATGGTGCGGTGGTACCTGTGTTCCCCCAAGAGGCTAGGTTGCGCAACCTGACATATTCAGCGCCGTTGTACATCGATATGACTAAGAAGGTCATGGTTGGTCGTGAGGATCCAGATGCTGCACCTGGAGAGATGCAGTGGGAGTCGGAAAATGTCAATACTGATACTGCAAAAGTTTGGATCGGCAAGGTAAGTTTTGTTCATCCTGTTTCCTGTCAGTCTCACCAATGAGGATCAAGGTGCCCATCATGTTGCGGTCGACTTTTTGTATTCTTCGTGGGCTTCAAGACCAAGATCTTTACGATTTGAACGAATGCCCATACGATTCAGGAGGTTACTTCATCATTAATGGATCTGAGAAAGTGTTGATTGCCCAAGAACGTATGGCTACAAATCATGTGTACGTTTTTGCCAAAGCACAACCAGCACCTATCAATTTCCTTGCCGAAATTCGGAGCCTGGTGGAGAAGGGAGGAAAGACTATTAGTCAGTTCCAGGTGAAAATGTTTCATAGACACCAGGAACGTTCGGTGAGCACGTGTGTTGTTTTATCGCAGGACAGTGTTCATAAGCACCTTAGCTCGGAAACGTAATGAAGGCTACGATTCCGTATATTAAAGTCGACATTCCAATATGGGTGGTCTTCCGTGCTCTTGGTGTCATCTCGGATCGTGATATTCTAGAGCATATCTGCTACGACATGCAAGATGCGCAGATGCTTGAAATGCTCAAGCCCTGTATTGACGATGGGTTCGTCATCCAGGACCGTGAAGTAGCGTTGGACTTCATTGGCAATCGTGGAACCACCGCCGGTCTCTCGCGTGAGCGTCGAATACGGTATGCACAGGAAATCTTGCAGAAGGAGATGTTGCCGCACGTGTCGATGTCGGAGGGTTCAGAATCGAAAAAGGCATATTTCTTTGGGTACATGATCCATCGACTTCTCCTTGCTGCCTTGGAGCGCCGAGAACTCGATGATCGTGATCACTTCGGAAAGAAGCGATTGGATTTGGCTGGTCCGCTACTTGCCAATCTTTTTCGTATGCTATTCCGAAAACTCTCTCGGGACGTGTACCGATACCTTCAGAAGGTATGCATCTGGATGGTTTCCAGTCGAATTTTCTGACCTTTAGGTAGTGTGTGGAAACACACAAAGAGTTTAACGTCAGCATGGGTATTAAACACCACACTATCACAAATGGCCTCAAGTACTCTCTTGCCACCGGCAACTGGGGTGACCAGAAGAAATCAATGTCATCTAAGGCTGGGGTGTCGCAGGTTCTCAATCGTTATACTTATGCATCAACACTCTCACATCTCCGCCGGTGTAATACCCCACTCGGACGTGAAGGGAAAATCGCTAAGCCTCGACAACTCCACAATACTCATTGGGGAATGGTTTGTCCTGCCGAGACGCCAGAAGGTCAAGCTTGTGGTCTGGTTAAAAACTTGGCGCTGATGTCGTGTATTTCCGTCGGATCGTACTCCGCGCCTGTCATCGAATTCCTGGAGGAATGGGGTCTGGAGACTCTCGAAGAGAATGCTCATTCGGCAACACCTTGTACAAAGGTGTTTGTCAACGGTGTCTGGATGGGGGTTCATCGTGACCCTGCAAACTTAGTCAAAACGATTAAGAAACTGCGGAGAAAAGATGATATCAGTCCTGAAGTGTCCGTCGTGCGGGATATCCGAGAAAAGGAACTGCGATTGTACACCGATGCGGGGCGAGTCTGTCGACCGTTGTTCATCGTCGAGAACCAGCAACTGGTTTTGCAAAAGAAGCACATCAAATGGCTTGTTCGTGGAACCAACGATGATGGTGAGGAGTATAAGTGGGAGCAGCTGATAAAGGGGGGTGTTATTGAGCTGCTGGATGCAGAGGAGGAGGAGACTGTCATGATCTCAATGACACCGGAAGACCTAGAAAACTCAAGGCTACAGCAGAGCGGGGTTGACATTCATGCGAACGATGGTGACTTTGATCCCGCCGCTCGTTTGAAGGCTGGCATTAATGCCCACACATGGACGCACTGTGAAATTCATCCTAGCATGATTTTAGGTATTTGTGCTAGTATCATTCCTTTCCCAGATCATAATCAGGTATGTGACTATGGACACTGCTTTTGTCAATGTTACTTACGCCCGGTATCCTTTATCTCAGTCTCCTCGTAACACGTACCAATCCGCTATGGGCAAGCAAGCCATGGGTATATATCTCACCAACTTCCTGATTCGCATGGATACCATGGCCAACATCCTATACTATCCTCAAAAACCTCTCGCCACCACACGATCCATGGAATATCTCAAGTTCCGAGAGCTGCCAGCTGGACAAAATGCCATCGTAGCCATTCTGTGCTACAGTGGCTACAACCAGGAAGACTCCGTCATCATGAACCAGAGCTCTATCGATCGGGGCTTATTCCGGAGTATCTACTATCGAAGTTATATGGACGTGGAAAAGAGGAACGGTATTCAGCCGTTGGAGTTTTTCGAGAAACCCATGCGAGAAAGTACACTTCGGATGAAGCACGGCACGTACGACAAGTTGGAAGACGATGGTCTCATTGCCCCCGGTACCGGTGTGGTTGGAGAGGACATCATCATTGGGAAGACCGCACCCATTCCTCCTGACAGTGAAGAGCTTGGTCAACGTACCCGAATGCACACGCGACGAGACGTGTCAACACCGTTGAAGAGCACAGAGCGTGGTATCGTTGATCAGGTGTTGGTCACTACGAACCATGAGGGTTCGAAGTTCGTCAAAGTTCGAGTTCGGGCCACGCGTATCCCTCAAATTGGAGACAAGTTTGCTTCAAGGCATGGTCAGAAAGGTACAATTGGTATCACCTATCGACAGGAAGATATGCCCTTCACTTGTGAGGGCATTGTGCCGGATATCATCATCAATCCTCATGCAATTCCGTCCCGTATGACGATCGGGCATTTGGTTGAATGTCTGCTTTCCAAAGTGGCCACGCTCATTGGAAATGAAGGTGATGCCACTCCTTTCACGGACCTCACTGTCGAGTCGGTTTCGACCTTCTTGAGACAGAAGGGTTATCAGTCTCGGGGGCTCGAAGTGATGTACCATGGGCATACGGGGCGTAAACTGCAGGCACAAGTCTATCTTGGACCGACATACTATCAGCGTTTGAAACACATGGTGGATGACAAGATTCACTCTCGCGCTCGAGGACCGGTACAAATACTTACAAGACAACCTGTGGAGGGTAGGAGTCGGGACGGTGGCCTGCGTTTCGGAGAGATGGAACGTGATTGTATGATCTCTCATGGTATTGCCGGTTTCTTGAAGGAGCGGTTATTTGAGGCTAGCGACGCTTATCGATTACACGTTTGTGACATGTGAGACGGTTTGTGTCCTGACCTGCATAGCTGCTGATTTTCTTCAAAATAGATGTGGGCTAACAGCCATCGCTAACCTGGTAAGTTGTGTCTCTTGCGCGTGGTCATGCCTGATATCTTATTTCATCCAGAAAAAGCAAAATTTTGAAGTAAGCATTCTTGTATCTTTAGTTTATCACGGATTAATGGTCTTCTAGTGCCGAGCATGCAAAAACAAAACTGCTTGTTCACAGCTTTACATCCCCTATGCTGCAAAGTTGCTCTTCCAGGTATGTGACGGCTCGTCAAAAACAACCGTCACGTAACTAACTTGTGACATCAGGAACTACAAAGCATGAACATCGCTGCACGCCTCTACACCGTTTCGTCTGGTCGCATTCGGGACTAATGTCGATTACTTTGCTATCTATGTATGACGTTGTGAATAATATACAAGATGAGATAACTATCTTATGTACGACTAGACACGAGAAACATTAATCATCTCGATTCCTTTGTTCGCCACCGTTCATAAGACCCCGCCGTTCGTCTTCTCCATCATGGCCATCAGTAGAATGCCGCTGCGAGTATCGCTTTTTGGTCGGCGAATCTTCATCGTCGCTCCCTCCTTCTTCATCACCGATTTCAAAGACAACGCTATCCTCTGTGACACCGCCTACGGTTCGCGTTGCGCCCACTAGTGTCGCCTCGTCGTCCTCACGAGCTCTGGTGCGACTTTCCAGAGCTTCCATGTCATAGTCTTCAGCATCTTCTTCGTCTTGAGCAATTTCATCCGACATCGCTAACGTAGACATCCCAGGCCAATAAGTAAGTGCACCACACGAAAAAAGTAATACATATCTTCTGTTGTTCTCAGATGGTCGCCAGAGATAGGCTATCGTTACGAAGGCGAAAAGGTAAAGTAAAGCCAGCCAGCCATCAAGAAGCCACCAGCGGACTTTCCATGACTTTGCGGCGTAATCTGTAATAAGATTATGTTATATAAGATGACAGAGGTTCGCATGAACGAGGTGAGATCACCTTCAGCCAGTCTGCCCGAGAAAGAGAAGGAAGATACGACAAAGAATATGGCAATCACAACCACCGTTAAAAGAAGAATGCGGTATAATCGCTCAAACATTAGCAGCTTATAGCGTTGTTTACGGGCTTTCAACTGCGCAATCGTTGCTACATGAAATGTCAGGCCAGCGTAAGATGATTATGCGAACGGAGCACCGACCATTCAAGGAATACATGATCCACAAAAGGAATCCGCTGAGAGTGAAGGCCAACGGAATTACAAAGAGCAATAAGACAAGCGCCGAGGTCGACTCTAGCTCGAGTTCCACAATTCCAACAGCATATAGTACTGTTATTAATAAATCAACAGACCTGTAATCGATATAGAAGGTCGGTGGTACGCACTTCCAAATATAAAATGGGCACCGGCGAGTATTTGGCATTTGATCATCGTCCGGCCTAACGATTCGCGGACCACGCTTAGACCTAGGGATACCACAAGCAACATGAAGAAAGACATGGAGTTTCTTCCGGCATCCAGGATAGCGACTGTAGAATGGCCAAATGGAAAACATTAACAGCGGTCATTTGCGATGGCGGTGGTGACTGACCGACTATCAGAAACACCGTAGAGGCTGTGCTTTTCCCGTGAGCGTTGAGATAACGGTAGTACACTAAAGAATTAGTGAAGCATAAGCAGATGTAGGATTTAACCCTACCCCAATTTGCAATCATTTCGATGACAAGTAACCCAACCAAACCAGAAAGATAGTACTGGAGTACAAGTCAGTTACGACTGCCACTCCCAAAAAGCCAAAAACTACCTGAATCGGTAGAAGTTCTTGAACATGCTTATAACATAGCCATCCCCATGCACCAGCGAACGTTGCGTACACCAGAAACATAACGAAATAAAACTAACAAAATTGCAAGAAAATCAGACAGACACAGCGATGCTTTGTATTAGAAACTGACAGTGACTTTAGGATAATCAGTTGCAGGCAACTGACCGTCAAAGGTGTTTTGAAAAAACACAAGCCCGTTGTACGATGGATGGTAAGGCACATCCGTAGGAGCTCTGACGGAGGTGGCTGAATTCCTTACAGTGACAGGAACGATAGCTTGCAATGGGAATGGTCAAGATGCAGACATGACAGACAGAGAATTCGGCTCACCGACACAATAGTAACCCGTTTTCCGTACTAGATACTGTATGGGTTCCGCGTACAAATGAATCCCGTTTGGACTAGGGTTGAGGGAATCTCGAGGAACAACTTCTGAGGAGTGGCGTCGCCAGGGTGTTACAGTTTCATCATTGGCAGAGGGAGGGATACTAGGTAATCCGCCAGGAGCATTTGCCCAAAATTCTGCGGAAGTAGAAGTTGCATTTGTATCCGACGTCCGAGGTAGCTGGACCCTCGCCGACCAGAATGAAGTATCATTTATTGACTTCCCGGAAGGAAGATCAAGTATAAACCGTCCTAGCTCGCTCACAGTGCAGAAGCCTCCAACGACTGCGCTCGAGGTGCACACGTAGGTTTTCTGCTATGCAGCTTTATTGAGTACAAGAGACTTCTCAATGCACAAGTCATGTATGTACGACCACTCACGGGCAATAGAGCGTCTGCAGGCGAGGTGACTTTCCCGAGATACTCTGCATCTGCCCATTCGTACACAACCATTGCCACATTTCCCTGAGAAGTAGCATCGAAGCTGACTTAATATGAAGGTAAGACGAAGGCAACAAATCTATTCTGCCATCACGCACCGTTAATATATGTCGACTGGCTTCCCCACATACCGCTACATATTTGACGGGAGTAATCTGAGATATGAAATGATTCAATTGGGCCAAAACCACCAACACGAAAAACCTGCCTGTATCCACCACAGGGACTTGATAAGAAAGTACCGAAGGAATGAGAAAAAGCCATGTGAGAAGAAGAATAACAGGATGGCTGAAATCAGCCATTGTGACGGGAGGTAAGAACGTGTTTGTTTACGCCTGCTATGTATCCTGTGCCTCCTTACTTCATCACCAATTCACGACACACATCAGCCCGTCTGGCCGTGACCATCTCTACTCTCAGCCTCATCTGTTCACACGGCCATGCTTGGCGACGACGAAGACGTTTTCGACAGCGTGACTTGGGAATCACCTACAGATCCTACCTACAAGGTAGAAGCGCCACCGTCGGGACCTGGTTTCAGACAGAGTACAGCAGATAGCAGTGAGGGGCCTCACGACCCAAAGTGGGAAGGCTATCTCATTACAACGGTCAAGGACCCAGTGAAGGAGCTTGCAGAAACAAAGGATGCATATGTCTCGTATCTTGTTACAGCAAAGGTACGTCCTCGGACATTTGTGAACGCTGTGGCCTCAGCAGTTTTCGTAGACAAATCTCCCAATATTTTCGACACCCAGCCCTTCATCTCGCCGACGATTTCAAGACTTCGTTTTCTTACGTGAAAACCTAGTCAGGGACTTTCCAGCTTGTGTAGTACCTGCACTGCCGGGAAAACATAGGCTAGGTCCGTTTGTGCAATGTGCGGCGGACATGTTTCTCATGAAATTATTAAGAGTACATCACGGGGGATAGGTTCAGTCCAGAATTCATGGAGCGGAGACGTCTAGAGTGAGAAAGCTTCTGCGGTCTTTGATTGATAGCTATTGACTCTTCGCAGTCTTCACCGGTTTCTTCAGCGACTATCTCGGCATCCAACTCTACAGCGAAGTACACTAGTTAGGGCCTTCTTTGAATCCACAGAATGGGTGCGCGAGGTTCCCTACTGTTTGAGTTTGCGCTTATAGGCCATCAGCACGTCCATATGCATCATCATATCGCGCACCCACCTGGACCGGAGCCTTTGCCTGGAATAATTGATAACATCTCCGACACCCTCCTTAATGCATTTTCGCGAGTCCGAAAACCTGATGAGCGTTTCCTTTCTATGCGTGAAAATGTCGACAAGTTCGAAGAAGGCTTAAACACATCTGAGCGCCTTTGGAACAGGGTCCGGGGTCGTACAAGCGGTGAGCTCATTTCTTTCTGGGTTCTACGCCCTTCTTTTTTTTGGCCAAGCATCTGAGCTGAAAGAGACGGAAATCCGGAATCCGCTGAAGACCTCACAGCGGATTATCATGATCTGGCAGTCGCTGTTCAAGGTCTAGGATTTTTGGAATCAGGTATCACGGACCCGCTCAACCATTTCTCGAATACGTTGTTAGAGTTCTCAGCTCTGTTGCGTCATAACGTGAGCCGGTCTTTCGTCTACATTCATGATTATGCCTTCTCATGGATGGTCATCTGTAAAGACACAGACGACAACTGATCCCTTCCTCACTCATTTACATTCTCTTCTCACCTATTCTCATGCCAACCGGGCTGTTTTAAAACTTCGAGATCAAAAACAGCTTGATTTTGAAGAACTCTCCGATTACTTATCAGGTGTTACGGCGGAACGTGATAGACTCGCTGCTGTTATCAGTGGTCATGCGGGCAGCACTGGTCTTGGCCTTAGTGCGTACTTGAAAGACCGCGTGGATGCGATTCGCGGTGCCGACGATGACCGAAGTAGGGTAGAAAGGATGAAAAAATTGGACGTGAAAATCAAAGAGGTTAGTCTGCTTCTAGTTTATACGGTGAAGCTAATGCCCGCTTAGCTCCAGGATGCTGTGACAACTGCTCATGAGACATCAGACGCCTTCAGTGACGAAACCTTACGGGAGCAGACCGTGTTTCAATACGCGAAGGAATCCGAAATGAAAGAGATGCTGGGGAATCTTGCAGAAGGTCAAATTGAGTTTTACAAGGCCGTGAGTCCCTTATTCTCCAATCGGTGTTATGTCTATCGACATCCTTCTGCTACAGGCAATGGAGGAATGGGAGAGAATTATACCAATCATTCAACGGATTCGAGTGGATGTTTAAAGTTTAGCGGACAATTTATCAGTTCCTCTTCTATCGCTGCATTGTATTTTATTATCATAGCAACTGTTTTGATAATTTGATCTTGAAAATCTTTTTTCTAGCACAGCGGGGTGAGGTTATTTCGTGAGATCTTTCTCTTTGTTCAATTTCTCTTCGGATTCTTGAACAGCAAAGGAGAGCTGGCATAGATGAATGCTTTTCAAAAGATGATGTGCCACGACTCACATTTATAACGCCGGTGTTGACAGCCCGAATAATAGAGAGCTCAGCTGTTTTGGATGCGCCGTACGTTGTGTGTCGAATTTCAGCAGGCATCCAAGGAGGGGGTTCCTGATCAGCTACAATGAGAGGCATGCATGTAAAAACAAACACACGCACGTCACTGGCTACGGTCGAGGGGACTTTGTCGTCCTTAAGTTCTATGACAATAGCAAAAGAAACGTTGTCTGCAAGACTGTCAGTCTGTGTAAATATGAACCATAGAAAATATTTCCTGACCACCCAAGCCCAGTTGTCCAAGCTGCGACTCCACCATGTTAAGCTTGACTAAGAAGGATCTAAAATATTGCCCAAGCATTCCGGTACTCATGGCATTTTCAACGCTGCTTTGTCAAAGAGCTGTTGACGGGAACCTTCGTGGGCGTATTACCTTGTGTCCTTATTAAAGCCTTCAATTTGAACCATATTTTCGACAGCAAAGATGAACCTCTCGAGGGGTTCTTGCTCTTTGTTCTTGATAACCATGACAACTTTGTCTATATTCCCCTGATCCGAATGAGCACAACACGGAATAGCAGATGTTAGTACATACGCGACTCAGTTCGTCGCTCACAGCTTTGACAGCGCCAGATATGTATTCATTGAGAGCAGGATGGCGAGATTGAAAGACAGGCATGTCATACTTCTTGCGGCGAATGAACAGATCCGCTGGATATATCTGGCGTACGTATAGAATGGTATGTATGGCCACCTCGACTGTCAAGTTAAATGATTAGAAGTCGTGTTGGGGGGTGCTCTCGCACGTACTGAAGTCGGTGATCCCTTGCACCGTCTCTGACTACCGTTCAGTAGAAATGGAATCGGAAAAGAGGGCTAAGCACGCACGATTGAATGTTAAGGGGAAATTGGCGGTCATCTTTACATAGGTAAGCCGAATTACACAGCCATCAGCGTTGTGACATCGCGACGCGATATTCAAACTCCGCAGACGCGCCTCCTTGACTCTCTAGTACCTCTCTAATAGCAGCATATGTCGAACTCGAATCCAGCAACGAGTCCTATCAGCGAGGGGGAGATGAACATTCGACAAGCTGGACTAGTGGACAGCTGTTTTGAGGAAGACCAGTATGAAGCTGGACTTGCCGTTCTCGACCAGCTTCGCTCTCCGCACCGCAGACCAACAGCGTGAGCTACGTGCTCTTCATCTAGTACTCTTTCAGCTGAACAAAAAGCAAGTTCGCATATCCGACAGCTTCTGTACATGGCTCTATCCCCCCCTTCGTTTCAGATAAATGAGGTCGACATCACCGCCTCCCCTACAAAAATTAACAAAGGTCTCAAATTTCGCCTCACGACTGAAGCGATCCGAACTGCACAGCGGCTTCTCTTGTCTTTCGCTCTCACAAATACACCAAAAGGCCTGTTTCGTACTATACCAGGTTATGAAAAAGCAGTTCCCTCCACGGAGGGGGATGACGATTCTGTTGTTGCTCGGGACTCCCAGTGTATCATTCGAAGCAAAAGTTGCTGGAGTCTGTTAAAACCAGGGTTCATTAAAAGTTCCACACCAGCCCCTCAATCCAGCGGCTCAAAACGCCGTTGCTCCCAACCTGACGAGGAGGATGATTCGGTGATGAGCAAGAATGCATGGCCCACGCTAGAGTGGTTCATTACGATCTTTGAAAAGGACGAGTCAATGACTGAAGCAGGCCAGCGTGCGTTTCTAAACAAGACACAGATACATTCAATCTAATTCAAATCTCAGCTCCCTATTCGGAACTCCTACTATCACAAATACCTCCCACAAGAGACGGGAAAGGACCTCGATGGGAATTGAGCACTCCGCTCGATGTTGTATTCTGTTGTCTGAAGCAGGAGAACGAAAGCTATCGCAAACTGGGCGCGCGACTGATGACATTAGTGCGCTTCCTGCTGTATTTCTGGCCTTTGACTCAGCCTGTTTCCAGCTCATCAATCTCTCCCTCACGATACATCTCGATTACTCTATTTTCGTCTCTTCCGTTTTCTCTAGATTATCTACTACATCAACTGATTCGTTTGTATATTTGATGCTCAGTCTCGCTCCGTTTTCATCTGTGCTTCGATTCAAGATCTCTCTCTGTCAACATTTCCTCCGTGACCACGACAGACATGTCAATAACCTGCCTGCACGACCTAAACCTCAGGCACGTGCCCCTCCAAGGGCTCGCGGGTCCAACACCACCACTCTTCCTTTCGCTGAAAGGCCCGCCACAGAAGCCACGGTACAGTTCGTTGCCAGGAAAGTCGCCTTGCCCTCGGCCAAAGAAATTGCTCGTCTAGCGGGCTTGGAAGCGACTGCTTCGTCCGTGTCTATCCCTAGAATTCAGTTCGAGCTTGTGCAAGCATATACTTTGCTGCAGCGTCAGTGCGTTGAAGAAGAACGGGACCAGGATTGGCTAGCCGGAGTTTACGGGGACAAATTAACGGGTGCATTCGGAGGCGCATGCGAAGAAGGTCGTCAGCTCAGACAAGTCCTGAAAACTCTCACTGATGCGTAGCTTAAAAAATACTGGTCTCACAATTACATATAGTCATTCCATCTGCAGAGACTTGGATCGTAAAATATGATCCCGAGTAAACGACTACCCCTCCTCTTCTTCCCCTTCGTCCTCCTCTTCAGCACCCGAGCAACTAACATCGATGTCAACCAAGTCGCCTTCATCATGGCCCCCTTTCCTTCCTGACCTTCCTTGCTGACTTGTGTACATGTCAGCAAGGAATTGGGGTGTACTCGCTTGTGATATTCCTTTGTCTTCCCTGATCTTGATGAAGCGGGGGAATCGGAGACTAAGGCCTTTCGTACTAGAGACCAATCCTTTAGCTGCAATAGAGACTGGGCTGATGGTAATACTAAACAGCAAGCTGAGTTGTAACTGATGCATTTGAGCAGGAAAAACTTACTCCGCCCCTCGTATCTCCCATACTTCTTGTGGCTTAAAGTAAACATCAGGTCGAAAGCCTACACATACCACTTTAGCCCAGCTAAGGAACATCACAGGGATGGACCTACCGCCTAGCTCGCAATCCCAAAGGGGCTTTTGTGAACAAACGTCTGAATCTTCCGTTAAAGTATACCGATCAGTGACATCCTTTGTTCTCCTTCAGTTAATATGAGAGACACAGGCGACGCACGAACATACCTTGTAGAAAGTGTCACTGAATCCTGAAAGCCGATGAGCTTGGCCAAATCATGCAGACGTATAACATACCTGACATGCACTTGCAGACCGCAGTGGCACGTCCCGAACTTGGGTTCCACATAGCGAGGAGGATGGGGCTCCAGAACTTCGCTTTTCGACCATTACCATTCCAAGCACCGATTGGAATGAGGTCCAACGAATCAGAGACCCCACCTTCCATAACATAATCCTTCTTCAATTTCATCCATGCATATGTGCGCTTGTCTGCATTGTATGTAGCAAAGAGAGGCTTCTTGTTCGAGCCCGTCTCCTTATCAGGGGTATACTCAGGTATTTCTGTGTCCAGCAGCTGTGAAGCGTCCGTGAGATAATTCTCGAAAGGTGGTCAAGAGTTCTGGGCCACGGACTTTAATCATCAAGCCCTCGCTACGACTATCAATAGCTTTCGCCCAAAAGGCTTCAACGGCTAGACGTCCATCGACACTTTCGCATCGTTCGACGTGATCGAAACGAGTCCGTTCCTTAGTTCCCATGTTCAGTGGGGAGAATCGCGTTTGGAGGAGTGCACGTCGATGACGAAAGTCTGTTTCTAGTAGCTTCTAGAAATATAGAAATACAAACAAAATTATTCTGACAATCTGGTAGCAAGACGGAAGATACACACCTTCCCATCCAGATACATCAAATCGAATCCAAAGACGCACACTGGAACTTGAACGTCAGACAAGTTTACGTCTTTACGCGCACGGGTAGACAATTCTTGAAAAGTGCGTAGGCTTCCGTCGCTAGGGTCAATGGCGACTATCTCTGAGTCCATGATGAAATTCTGTGCTTTTGATGACAATAACATGCGCTCGACGAGAGCAACAACATCAGGATACTGAAAAATGGTCTCTGTTAGAGCTCCTTTACGGGCACTATGCCAACTTACTTTACTTGACATATCTTCCAGATGACGGGAAAATATGCTAACCTTTACGACGTCATCTGTAGGTTTCCAAGCATGTATCTGCGCTCTTTGCCCGTCGTACTTGAATTCTGCAGTGAAAGGGAGGTCGCCCAGACGCTCGTAGATCTCATCCAAAGATCGTATGGGACTACCAAGGTTGGGATACAAAGGAACACCTGACACTGATCAGATCATATCAAGAAAAAGTACCAATAGTTCTTACCGACGGCCAGAGGCACTTTCTCTGCAAGACCATCCAGCCTAACTTCGAAGAGTCCCTTTATTATATGATCATAATTGGGATGCTGGCAGAAGATCTGGCGAATCAGAGTCTCAGCGTTTTTGAATTTCCCATATAAAACGTCCCGAGCCGAATTAGATTTGCCTTCCATGACAGGACAGGCGGCGTCTAATAAGGTCTTAGTGGCATACCAGGTAGAATGCTCTGGGATCGCGAACTTCAACTGGGAGTCGAGCGGCGTCAGTACAATGGCCCTTGCTAGCGCCGTCAGAATCGACGTTCTCACTGCCCCAACACGAAGATTTTGGCATAAAGTGCGGACCAGGAAGCGTGTTTCCTCTCCTTTCGCCGACACCAAGAGCTTCTCAGCGATGCTTTGCCTCTGTTTCGAGGCTCCTTGACCTTTACTCTTTGAGATTTTCAGGAGAGCCTCGTATACATAAGGAACAAGCAATGGAGGATGGGGCAACAATGTTCGCATGTTCGATTTCGCCTCGACTGCAACATCTCCTGGATCGCCAGTCTTATTGTATAACTTTCTAAGGGCGGAAGATGGTAGGCCAGAGACGTGTTGGATCGATTGAGAGATGGTAGATGGCCCTAAACCTAGCTCAGTTTGGATGTATGGAGGCGACAAAGTATTGGAGAGCAAATAAATAGCCGGAAGTAGCGATATAGGATCGTGCATAAGAATGATGCGAAATGCATTTGTTAGCGAATTGATAATGGAAATGCGCGAGCGAGTTCTCGCCACTTCGGAAAGTGTGTTTGCGAGAAACGCGTAAGGTACAGAGGAATTTTTAGTTGTTCCGATATGATTCGGTGGGAAAAACAACGACGGGTCCGACTTGAATAGCGACACATCCTGCGAAAGTGTTTCATAGGGTGGATGTCGAAAGTCTTCTTCATCCCTGCTCAAAGTCATCACCAATACTGAGGGCTTTGTGACAGGTAAGGAATCATGTATGGGGCCTAAGACGCCGGGCTCAACACCCGAAACAGAACGCACGAACCCGGAATCCCATGAATCAACATCGACAACCTCTCGGGCAGTAGAGGACGTTTCTGATTGACTCGAGGATCCTTTATTGCTCTTGGGTATGGAACTTTGCGAGCCTCGCTTTACGGACGGACTTGCAAGGGACTTGGACAGATTCAAGGTTGATTTTTGGGGGGAGAAAAAAGAGTCAATCTGAGTCTGGTCAGCGACTTTTCTACGTTTAGTACCAGGGGATGCAAGTGGTGGACGACGCTTGGACATGACAGAGCGAATGGTTACCGATTACATCTCGTTGAGATTTGATGTCACAAAGGCTATCGGATTGTCCGGTATGGAATACAAGACTGGTGCCTTAGATCCCCCGATACCCCTCTACCGCTTTATATGTTAGTTTTCAATTAGCTAATATCTGGACATTGATTAATACTTTTATATGAGAATATTTTGTCTCCTTATATAGTAAGAACGTATATGTGTAAATACCGGGTATTGATATAACCGGTGTATAACCGGAGCGTACCAGTCTTGTATTCCATAGTCTGGCCCATAACAGAGCCTAGGTTCACACCTGGGTCGGTGAGATTCGAGGTCAGAAAGCGCTAAACGTATCTCGACGAGGAAGCTCGAGTTCACACAAGTGATAGTTGGTAAAACAAAAGTTGAATTCTTACTACTCCCAATATATACGCCTGTAAAAGCTCAGACTTGATTGTAGCTATGACCTTCGGGAATGCTCTGCAGTGCTCTGGGGAGTGAGAGAAGTATATGAATATGTCAAGAAGGTGAAGGGACACAAAACTATAAATGTGGAGGCTCAGTTGAGCCGAGGTACGCATAGCCCCAACAAGTCTACTGTGTCGGAGCAGTTAATAATGCCCGTCTTCGTTTGATACGCCGAGGTGGACCAATTTGGATAGTCAAGTAAACGAGAGGAATCGTCAACACACAGATCCCAGCCAGCAGAATGTAAGTCCACCCGGGACCAAGCGCTCTGAGAAGGAGATCCATCGTAGAAACAAGCACAGCTCCCGCGACACAGCGAATGAAGTTGTTCTGAATGAAAATTAAGAATTATTCAGCAGTATTAGTACGCAGATAGTTAAGCAACATTTTTTCACTTACACACGCTGTAACAGATGAACTTTGTGAAGGCATCAGATCGACAAGAAGCGTTTGTGTCGAGGTCATGATTCCCATGGTCGTGAAGCCGACTTCGAAATTTAGTATTTGTATTAAAAAAGAAATAGAAAACATTCTCACTGGCTACTTGCAGCAGTAGCGGCCCTGCAAGATTCACTCGCTCTTGGACGCACCAGCCATATCCAGCGCAACATGCCGCAAATATTAGCATGCTGAAGGGAACCAGTCCAAGTCGAGCCTTAATAACGCCATGAGTGTCTACGGTGGTTGAGTATAGAAAAGGCTCTACCTTCTCAATAGGAAAGATGTCTTCGATTCCAGTGTCGCTTTTCTCTAAATTACCTGGGCCCTGAGCAGCTATCACTGACTTTCGCAACCTTCCATATCCCTGATCTAGCACGCGGCCTAGCACAGACGATCCAAAAAGCATCCCTCCCCCAATAGCCAGGTAGCAAAGACCGATTTGAGTTTGATTCAAGGAAGGATAAGCTTCACTGAAAAGCGTCGACATTGATGCAGTTACTCCGTAATACAAAGAATTGATGACCGCATTGACGCTCAAAACCACGACAATATCGAAGTTATTCAAAATCCGAAGAGGATTACGAAAAGGTGTAGGTAGTGGCCTTGCAAAAGAGGGATCAGAAGTTGATTTCCCAACAAGTCGAATTAAAGGTCGATAGATTTTCGAGGAGACCGCACTTCCGTCTCCTACAAGAGACCGTAGTGTTTCGGGGAGGAATCTACATAAGGGTGATAAGTAATGAATCACATTGTGTGGCTTGGCGACGCACAGAACAATGATAACGACGCATGCGACGGAGGAGATACATAGGAACCAAAATATAGATCTCAAACGATAAGTGAGCTCTTCATGGTTATGATTATCTTGGAACCGATTACCTCCAACCTAAGCCATTTGAGAGAGCTCCACCTATGACTGGCCCGATGCATGGCCCAAACTGAATGTGATGAAGTCGAACCGTCAGCTATGACCATAGGGCTTACCATAGGTCCCAGATTATACAGACCATAGAACCCACCACGTTCTGCCGGAGCTGCGATATCTCCGATAGTGCCCACACCTTTGGTCACTATTAGGTAATAGCCAACAGAAACGAAATATCGAAATAGGTTTACCTAAGGCAATAGTACTAGCAGACCCGGCGGCTTGCACACACCTAAGCACAACGAGGAGCCAGTAAGCAGAAGTGGGTACAAGGGCCAATCCAATGCAAGATAACGACAAGATCAGTAGGCACGCTGCAAACATTGGTCGTCTTCCAACTTGATCAGCCATAGTTCCAAAAAGCATAGGAGCTAATGATCCATTTCCCTTGTTTATGAATGTGCTAGATTGCAAAGACATGTAGAGTAAAAACTTACACAAGCCCTGGAAGACCATGTACACTGTAACCTAAAACGGTATGAGATTCAGAGAGACCCTATTGCGACCGAAAGGAACTGACCGTTATATTTACGAGCTCCGTCGATTTCTTGAAATCCACAGTCAAAACAGGAATAGCTGGAAGATAGATATTGGCAGTTAATGGACTGCAGCGATGATATGGAAGTGAGAAAGTAATTAATGCGCAAGAATCTCCACTGAATATACTTACCTGAATAATCCGGCAAATGCAACTAGTGCTACGATGAACCATTTCTCTTTTGTGGAATACACGCTGTACGGTTTCTCTGTCTCTTGCGGTGCCCTTAGGGAGACTGTCGTGTTTTCAGGCGCAGACTGAGGCATTCCAATCGTTGAAAGATCGGCGCTCTCCATAGGTCTAGGGTCACTCTGCATGTCGACTTGTTGTGACCGTGCTGTGGTGCAAGGAAGAAAGAGGTCAATGACTAAGCTCCAGGGATTCAAGTTAATGACAATTGTTGTTTCATAGAACACGGCCGAAAGCATTGAATCGGAAAAGATCGCCCGAGCCTCACGTCAGCGCACGTACAGACATTATGGCAACGCAAGCTTGATGCTGGATAACGGCTGCTTTAGTGGACTTCGTCTATCGATATCATGGTGATTGTCGATGGAAGTGCGGGGGCGCAAATTGAAATAAATTCTGAAAATACAACATGATCGTTTCAAATTGTCCAGAAACCAATAATAGATCTTGCGTCATCGAAGATAGCCAGGCAAGACGTCATGGACGGATCGTGGAGGTTCGCAGTACGTTCTTAACAGCTTTTCGAAGGAAACGAAATTCAAAGAACCTTCCACATCTTGGACGACGTTGTCGGATTTGAGCTGTTCAATCTAGATAAAAGCCAGAATCAGCTCTCAAATAAGTCCTGAATGAGAATGTGGTTAAACACCAGTGCTTTACCTGTGCGCGAGTGACTGTGAACATATTGAAGGGCAATTTCTCCAAGAAAAAACCTTGGACTTGTCCAACAAAGAAAGGCAGAGAGACTATAGGACGATGTCGGCCATTATACTTGAGGACGAGGCTCATGAGTTCTCGGTAAGTAAAAACTGAGAGAAACAGTCAGTTTAAGATGATCAGGGTGATTATAATTTGCTCACCATCGGGCCCTCCGGCCTCAATTATTTTACCGTACACCTCTTTTTTCACTTGAGTGTCGGCAGTCGCAATAATCTCGACAGCGCGCGCCAAGTCTTCGACGTAAACAGGCTGGAACCTGCTGGTGCCACCACCGAAAACGGGCAAAAATGGCAGCAGCTGGGATAAACGCGAGAATCGCTGTTGATATGTCAGAAACAAAGACAGTTTTCTTTCAGAAACACACATTGAAGAAATCATCCTCTGGACCGAATACGAGACTTGGCCGAATGACAGTTGCACTTGGGCAATGCTCTAAGACAGAAATCTCGCCGAGTCCTTTAGTCCTCGTGTATGGAATGCTACTCGAAGGATCTGCGCCGATGCTGCTAAAATGTACCAATTTGGCTCCGACAGACTGAGCGGCTTTTGCAACGTTCGAAGCTCCCCTCCACTGTATGTCCTCAAAGTCTTTAGGAGAGCCATGCATGATACCGATGAGGGAGATAACCAGACTGGATTTTTCGAAAGCAGCTGCAAGAGAGGACATATCTCGCACATCGACAGAGACAGGCGAGAGCAGCGTGCCGCACGGAATAGATTCCTTTAATTGATCGTAGGACTTCTGGGGGTGACGGGATGACAGCTGCACACAAAAATTGAGCTTCTGACTCCTTGTCAATGTTCGAGCAATCTGTTTACCTGGAAAAAAAATAAGCGTATGAAGATGACGAATAACAATTCACCGGGTTCACAAACCAATGAATCCAGCCCCGCAAATAACAACTTTTTCAGCCATGAGTGAAGGGGAAGTGGAAGCAAAACGAATTGGCGTCATCGTGCGTCATAGTCGGCATTTGCAATGATCACCGCAATTTTGTATTCTGCTGTGTGCAATTCGTTACCTATAAACTTCTATGTTTCTACTACTCATACGAAAGAAAATAACGATAAAACGTGTATAAGTTTAATGTGTTAACACAAATCCCGCGGAAGACACATCATGAGTTGTCAAAACTGTCAGCTTGACCGACGATTTGAATGTCATCAGTAACGACTGGTTTCCGACTTTGACTACGTTTCCTGATTGTTGGTGTTGTATGTGTAGATGCCATAGCTGAATCAGGAGCACTCTGTCTGTCGGCAACTGGCATGGCTGGCGTTGGCGCCAAGATTTGTGGCACTGGACCAGAGAAATCCTTCCCCGTCATACGCGAAAGCGTTCCCACATCTTGGCAACCTTTAGCACGGGTAGAGGCAATATAACGCTGCTGACATACCAACCGGCTTGCTATGGTTCAAGCAATAATTGATCCGTGCATGGTTCTTCTTGTCTTCCGTCTTGAACTTGTTCTTGCAAGACTTCCGGTCACGGCCAGGTAAAACATAGGCGATGAGTTCGTAGTTTTCCCCGTATTGCGAGAGAGCCTGGAAAAATGCATGAGCCCAATGAAATGCAAACTTATGAATTAAGCTTACATCATAGAACAATTCTGTCTCTTCTGCACTCCACCGAGAGCCACGGAATCGCTTCCCATATGTGCCAGAGTTCGTAAATTTAGTAGTATCCGACTCTATGACGTGAGTGTAATTCTCAGTCTCGTCGTTTTCGTCGCGGTCAACGGTCAATGATTCCTCGTCGATAATAGTTTCCCCGTTTGGCCCAATTCGCACCTGAACGTTGTAACGACTGGTGGTTAAACCCTGGGAATAATCGAAACCATTACCCGTCTCATCTATTGCAGCAGATGAGGATGCAACGGGGCCAGTAGGGGTCGAAGGCAGCTCTGCAGAACCTTGCTTATTGGCATTGACTTCTGTCGAATCCCTCTCTTCGTCACTTTCCGGGTGTCCGTATTTCTTCCTCTCCATCAGGACTTTCATTCTTGCCCGTCTCTCCCTATTCCGGGCTTTCCAGGCTGTGTGATTGCCTTGAATCTCGGCCGCTTTGCTGCTGATACGACCTTGACCTGTATCCTGACAAAGAAGGGCCATAGTCACAACAGTTGGATCGATCTCTTCGCCAGGGTCAATATTTGGGTCGAAGGGAGGTAAAGACGGTGACCGTTTTCTCCGCGGGGGAAGTTTGGCACTCGAGCTTCGTCTCCGCCTTTTGGGAGTTGGGGTTCCAGAGTCGAGTTCAGGCTCAACTATATTATCTTCTTTCTGCAACTTCCTCCGCTTTCGAGTCGGCTTCTGCTCCCGACTCTCCTTCTGGAAGTCCTTCTTAGTACGCTTTCCTCGCGTTTCGGTTGACACAATGCCATTTTGCACATGCTTGTCTTGCGGTGGTTGTGAGTCCAGTGCAACAGGCGTTTCAGAGGTTGCGTTCCGCCTGGCAGATTGTCGCGGTGGTTTCAGTATGCTTTCAGCATCCAGGGCCAGTTGTGGAACATTACCAGTACCTGAATTATGCAGAATGTGCTGAAATGTTGTCAGCTGCTGGTCAAATGTACCGAATTCGGGAATGGGGACGACTGGGGCAATAGGAAAAGTGCTGGTCAAGGAAGGATCAATGTAGGTAGGCGGATCCTGGGGTTGCAAAAAAGATTCTGGTACTTGTGATATAGCCTGGGAAGAGGGGAAGGAGCTAGATTGATTCACAGAAACGACGACAGGCAGGGCTGCAGCATCGGGAAGAAATCGGTGAAATTTGGTGGAAGAATTTAGGGGAGGAACTGAAGAGGTTACACGAGTCGCGGATGTAGAAGACACGGCTAAGACTGGAGGTGCCTGGGAGTTGCGGGACGATTGAGAGTAAAGCGCTGGTGGAGAACTAAATGAATTTTGGACTTGGCGGTTTTCAGGCGAAGGATTGGACTCGGTTACATCGACAGACGGGAGCGTAGTTATTGATCCCAAGGACGTCTGTGGGGGGGCATCTGATTCGCGAATATCCCGTTGACTTGAAGGTTCAACAGAAACTGTAGAGCGCGCCCTGGCCTTTATAGCAGGCCTGAATATTGCTCCTCCTTTTTCTGTGGCGCGTGTCTGAACACAGTGTGTGGTAGAGAGTAAGTTTGCACTCACGAACTCGGGTCGTCATTTCAATACGAATGCAGGCCCAAGCTCATGGGAGTCTTGCTTTGTTTAGGCCATCTACTTTGGTGCTTTTGGCACACAAAGACAAGCAACGATTTCATGAATCGACTTGTCCCTGTCATTGATCTGCCTGTTGGCAGCAAACCGAGATGGGAAGTTGAAAAACACGACGGTGATGAAGATCTAAAGAGTGTATCCGAAAGGTTCTTCAAATATCTTTTTACCCCCAGTCAATACTTAACTATGGCCCAGTTTTGTTCTTTGCCAGTCTCTTCGGCAATGTTGGTCCCAACCTCTTCTCATTATCATTTTCGGGTGTCTGAGTCTTTATTCCAGCGCGAGATCGTTGGTTGTCTTTCTTCCCAAAGTTCTCCAGCCGATCACGCGGTGGGAAGACTGCCGACATTAGCCCACCTACACACACCATCCAGAGCAGAGGAACATGCGACCTCGAAGTTGGGCCCCACATCTTTCCTGGAACGACTTTCTTAGAAGTCCATTATCTTTCCTCCCAGCCTCAGCCTCAATCACAGGCTTCTCAGTCGTACCAGCCGTATCAATCAATTGGTTCTAGCAGTGCCCCTTGGACATCTTACGGGAATTCTTACACTACTAATGCCCCCAAAACACCACCTCCTCAGCCTAATGACTCCCAGTCATCAGCGCCGTTATTGTCCTCCCTGAGTTCAGTTACAATCATAACACCGGCCTTGATACACCAAGTCAATTCTGCTGCATCGTCTAATCCAACTCTTGCCAACCTGCTCCAACTAGCAGCCGCCGGAAAAGCTAGTCCAGATCAGCTGCAGACACTGGGCTTGCTCATTCAATCTCTGGCTCATTCGCCTGCTGTAATATCACAGAATGTCATGCCACTGCCGCCACATCCACCCCCGCCAGCAAAAGAATTCGATATCGTTTTCGAATTCCAGGAGACTTCATCTGAACGATGGATATTGCCCAGGGGTCGGGCTGTCTGTGAAAGAAAGATCGATAGCGGTGTGACAGATACGGCCTACGATATCATGATTACTACATATCTTTCGCCCATGTCGGATTCTACAGTAGCAGCGACGCCCACTGATGATAAAGGAGAAGTGGTGACATTTCGGCTGATAAAAGCTCCTTTATCACTATGGGATATGGTGTCACGCTGGGGAGGTGGTGAAGAAAAGATGAGAGAGAGTCGAGTCTTTTTGGATGAACTGGTGCGCCATTCTCACGAGAATAATTCTGTCGGCTCATCTCTCTCTCAGATGAAGAACAGGCCACATAGATCGTACCTCGGTCACCAGCTATCACCAGGGTCTCTCTTAACTCAGTTACAAAATGTAAGTGCCTGCGATGGTAATGGGGTAATTTTATTGAAATTTCCATCGCATCCATAGGCAAACACATCTTCGTACACTATGAAGCTATTGAAGCCCAGTCAATCATCAGGGACTCGGTCAAGACGCAAACCAGCGCAGCGAAAGTCTTCAACAGTCACTATACCTGCAAATACTCCAGCTGTTTCACCTATGCAAGGGATCCACCCCAACCCTTTGTTATCCGCTCCTTCTACTGGTCCTCCGGTCCCCACACCGTCTCCAGCGCCCGTTCATGTGCCTGCGCCTGCGCCTGGACCCAAGCCTCCAAAACGACCTCGGATGACAGCTCCGAGACCCGTTGCACAACTTCCCCAAATTAGGTGCATGTCTTGTGGTCAAACCGATGTTCCTCTCATTCTTGGTGGAAGTAAGCACATCTCCACTCTCCTCCTCTCACGATTCTCATTTCTTTCGTCAGGATTCTGTCGCCCTTGCGTTGATGGAGGAAAGGCTAATCTTGAGATTCCCTCAGCGCGGTACCCAACACCATCCCGCCCGTATTATCCTAGAATTCCCCCCCAGCCTTTTGTGCCACCTAGTTCGTCTACGTACAGGGCCTCACCGCTTGGAGCGAACCATGTTGCGTCTCCGAATACCACCAGTACACCGATACATTCCGAGCCTCAAGAACCGATAAGCTAGCTCATATTTATTTCTTAACTACTGTATAATACTTGTACATTCTCCGTATAAATAAATATTGCAAAGCAATGCGAAAACCCCAGTGTTGCATGTATGAATACTAATTAAAAAAATTTACAGACCACCCTAGCCACCATAATAACGATCCTACCTGCGTTAATACAAGAGCTAGCTCCAATAAGACGGCACACCATTGGATAATAATGCCAACCCCAAAGAAGGGTATGGCAATCCATCGAAGGCCGTCGTATGGTATCCATTGGAGACCCCAATGAACAGACGAAGTAAAGGCAGTGCGAGCCTGAAGGATAGTGACAGCGATGGATCCGTAAAAGAAGACGATCAATACTATCCAATGCCTAAAGGATCGAACAGGAACGTGGGTGAGTGGATATCTTTTAGACTCTCCGGTAAATTCATTCCGATAGAGGGGGACAATTAGGAAGTCTGAGAAATCATCTCCGATGGTCTTTCCGTACGTCCGCCAAAATGGAGTGACCGTATCAAGCAAGAATGTCAGGGCGTCCATGCCAATTTCCCAGAAATGCTGATACTGGTCTTTGTAGCTTTCTTCTAGCGCGACGATGCGAGATAGCTGAGCAGCACACATCAGGACTAGTTTAACAGTACGCAAAAACAGAGCATACCTCAGGATATACAACGGAAGTGTGAGCAACGGTGTCTTTATAATCAGCTTTGACCTTCTGATGAGTTTCTTGCACCGTCTTCAACAGCTCCGCCAACTCCTCTGCTTTGGAAGCTACAGCAGCCTTATTGACTGCCAAAGTATTCAGCGACTGCCTTAAAACGCATATGGGATCTTCTAAAACGTCCTCTTCAACAATAGATCCTGTGTCATTCCTGTTGTGGGCCAGAAAGTCCTCGAATATCTCGCGCTGGCGTAGGACGCGATTGTGAATGTCATCAACTGCTCGCCACCCTCGATAACGGCCGGTTTTCGTAGTGACCGCCGAAGGGTCATGACCGAAAGTGTCTAACAATTCCGGAGGCAGGCCCTTGTAAGGTGTACCCAGCAGCGTCATAAGATTACTTTGAGTCACGTCGTACTCTTTGACCCCAGTGGCGACGCGATTTAGTAGCTGTCTTATACGCAAGTTCTGAGCTACACTCTCTTCCAGGAGTCTATAGTCGCTATTCAACACCGTAGTCAACATAGAAGGCTGGGATATGCTCACTGAGATTTCATCTTGTACTCCTGGGCTGATCGGGCGTCATTTATGTCTTGTTGACGCTTCTTATTTCCGTCCGTATCTGAATCTTCGGGAGGCGATAATGCTAACGAGCCTCTTGCCTTAGGACCGACGCGAGTAATATTAGTAGTAGAAGAGCGACGAGAGTGCACCGGTGGCGTTCTTATCTTTTGCAGCATGCTGGAAGCTCCGTCTAGGGACATAGTATTCGTATTTTCTGGTTTTGGTGAAGACGACGAAGATAATCCTAGCTCCTTGAGGTTCAGCGTATCCCGGAGGGGCTGGTCAAATTTCGGAGAACGAATGACTGTTCTCTTCATGTTGTCGTCCGATTGTCCAGAAAGAGAGTTGTGAGCAGATGACCCGTCATCGCTATCATTGAGAGAGAGATTGTTGTACGTTCGCGGTCGCAAGTGGAAAGGGCTAGAACTTGGAGCTACAGCGCCGATGGAGCTCGCGTGACCATACTGGCTGCTGAGAGCCGAATCTCCACTTCGGGAAGCGACTTCCAGAGAATCTCGTACTGGTTCCACGAGAGGCTCAAAGGAAACTCGACCATCGGTGGACTTGATTCTCGTCAAAGAAGGTCCTAGTGAATAGTGTGAAGATGCGCGGGAAGAATGTGGTAGAGCTGTATCGCTTTGGTCAGGAGAAGAGGAATACGGAGAAAACATTGCGGAGTTTTCGGGAATGGTAGATATTGAAAAGTTGGGAGCCGGAATGGTAGGTGGGAGTGGAGGCACCTGAGTCGACATACGATTGGCAGCGGCAGCGGCAGCAAGGTACTCTTCCATTATGAGGGCAGTGAGATGCCATGGCATGTGAAGCTGCTGAACTGGCATCTTACGAGTGTCGAGGTGCCTAAGCCAGGTAAATGGCTCTGATTGTTCTATGATGGTGCGTGTCATGACATTAACATTTCCCCACCAGCGGGCAACTTCCAGGATGTGATAGTGACCTGGAGGCGAATCTGGAGCTATAGAGTTGTATATCAGGCGGTATTGTCTTTCTAGCTGATTCGCGGTAATGTCTCGCTTGCGTTTCGTCTGTGGGGAAGCGACGGTTTTTATTCGGGAAAGTTTAACTGAAAACATGTCAAATCAAAGACAGAAAGGACATAGATACCATACCAGTGTATTGACTTTCTTGAGCCTCTAATGCGTTCACAGAGATGGGCGGTTCCTTCTCCTTCCCTTTGCGTTTGCTCATGGAAAGGGTCCATCGTCTCTCCGTCCGGTCTTCACCCTGATTAGATCCACCCCAGTCTAGAGTTGAGCCATTATCGACGGAGGTTGGTATTGGGTGTGGCTCGACATTAACATGTGCATTGCCTGTCGAAGGACTGAAGTCGATCTCGGAGGGATGTGTGACGCCGGCAAAGGGGGACCCATAAGACGACGGAGAGACCGGAAACGGGCGCGTCGACGAGCTAGACCACGATGACCCAGAAGGAGCCTTTGCAGGATGCAAAGTCCTAGGGCTTTCTTTCATGCGGGCGTCCCGCCGCGCTTTGAGTTTCACCGCTCGATGAACATCCTGCAGGATTTGCGGGTCTATGCACAATGTCAGAATCTTTTCGTTCCTGTTGAAACATTGCTCACCCTCATGAGCTGAGGTATGCATTACAGTTAAATTGTCGTCCATAAAAATATATATAAAGCACGCACATAAATCATACTCATCCGAAAAGGAGTTTACTGCCAAGTGGCTGGAATCTAAACTAGGTGCTCTGTCTAAGGGGGAAAATCCATTCCTGTGTGCGGTCGAGGTCCTCTTCACTCGTGAGGTGCTTGAAGACGGGTTTCCGGTGTCCATAGAGTGTCCCCGCTGTCGTACATCATCCAGTGATTTCGGAGGAGTAAGAGGAGAATGATGTCGCATCGAACGGAATTTAGCATATGGAAGCTTGTTTGGAGAGTCGAACGAAGGCAAAAGATCCCCCTCCTCTCTCGAGAAACGAATTCGATTATGACGGGATGCTGAGTCCTTCGAAAGACCACTTGTGGATGAACGATGAGGGCCAGCACGAGACGCTTGCTCGGTATCTTCCATTCAATCCTGGCGCTAAGCAAGACTTGAAAATTCAGCGTGCAAGTGTGTGTTGAGCATTCCAAGCCAGGGTAGCTATGAGCTGGAAGGAAGCTGGGGTAGACCGCAACACACGTGGCTAGTGGCATTGCTTCTTGAAGATCAGTATGCAATTTGATTTTGGGACTGAGAACATCAACTACAAGTACTATAAGCAGGTCTCGACACTTTGTTCATTATTGGTACTACATAAAATGTGCAGGTTGAAAAGAGGCGTATACGATTCACTTGTGTTGAAAGATCAAGTCTCCGTCCAGCGTTGTTGTAACACCTATGGCTGCTGCGCGACTATTAATCATGGCAAATAAGGGCGTAACATTACGCATGATATTCACGCGGGTGCGAGGTGTTTCAGGGGTGTCATCCATTAAGATATACGTCTGGGCTGCACAGGCTGGCCAGTGCGACATCCTTGATAACTCGGTTTGCTGGGCAGCAGGAGCGCCTATGTATATATTCGGACCAGGAAGTGGGCTTCTTCCGCCGGAATTACATAGTGCAGGCGTCGAGCTATGCCGGGTTAACTCCGAGTTAAGAGGGTCAGGACGGTACTTGCGCTGAAGCTGGCATTCAACATTGGTAAGAGGGAATCGAAAATCTGTCATTCGAGCTAAGGATTGAATATTCGTCAGTTCAAGATTATCTCAGTAAGACCAAGGTTAGAGTCCCACTTACATCTTGGGGAGGTATCAAGTGTTTCAGCAAAGGAAACTGAACTGGAACTATCCTAGATGCATATGTTGGGGAAAGAGCGAAGAGAAAAGGCAGCATCACGTACAGAGGACCCTCTAGTGATGGCGTAGGCGCTAGCAAGATTTGCCGCCACACTTGAGGAGTACATGGAGATATCGCCTCTTGCGCTATTGCGACTGTGATCGTACAATGCTTGGTTCATGCTCGAACGTCCGTCACGAGAGGAATCTGTAGTTGGAATCATCGTAAGCAGTTGCACAAGTCTGCAGTTTACATGGAGTGGCACTCACAAATTTGTCGGGGGCTAATACTGAACAGTAAAGAGTTGGTATGGGTGGACTGAGCCGCCGAAGTAGGAGTATTGTAGCCAGAGCGCTGTGTTCTATTGTGAAGGGAGTAATTGTTGTGTATCTGGTCCTCGGAGCGAGTATGCGGGAGCGTGAAGGAAGATGAGTGAGCAGACATCTTTAGAGTCGTTATGTGAGGGAGAATAGGGAACGGTGGATTTCTCATTTATATACCTTTCGAGCCTGCCACCGTAAGCAATGCCACCTAGTGGCTCACCGCATGAACAAAAAATCAATGGGTCTGGCGAGTGAATCAGATTTTGTCCAGACACGTCATTGTAAAGAATGGTTTGAAATTTCTTTATGCAAAAACCAAGGGAGTGCAGCTAGCCAATGTCAAAGCGGAGAGCTGAATGTCCTCCATGCTTGGTCCATAGGTAACGCACGTAAGCAGGAGAAACGCACTTGCGAAAGGCGAATTTCCGTATTCGAACAAACTTTATAAAATGATGTTTCTGTACTCCCTATATTCTGGTGTGTGAGACCAAAGAGCAATTCGACTGGCAAGGGTGATCAACACTGTTGTCATCCAATTCATCCATCTCTAACCGTAACGAGGAAGCCTGCGAACGTTGGACTTCTTCCTGTTTGCAAGAAGACGCACGAACATGAACGCAGTCAGCGCTGATAACGAATACCTAAGACCAAGAAATTGATTAGGTCGTAGAACATTAATGATTGTTCCAATATTCACCAAGTTATCACATAAGACAGATGAGAGTTTCTGAGATCGACTGTCGGAGGTCGCCCAACAGGTATGCCATGGTCAACGCAGTATGAAGCCTGACCAGCATGTCCCTCTAATAAGAATTAGCAGAGCACACAGAATAAGGCCCAGTGCGACGCACCGAATATTTGTTCCAAATAGACAGGTTGCACATTTGCCTTCTCGCCGCCTGCATATTCGGTCATTGCATCCACATCATACCAGTACCATATTCCTTCCTCAGGATGATTATCAGGAGTAAACGCATTGCGAGGTTGGGAAGTGCGAAGCATTCCAAAAACTTCTACCTCTCCCTCTGGACGGTCCCATGAATGATCTTCGGCATGCTCCTGAGATAAGAAGCCGCGATTTACTAAGATGGTCGACCCATCTTCACGAATCAAGGGAGTGACGAGATGTACACCAACGACGCCCTCACGGACGCGAAGAGGGAACAGCATAGTGTGCGCGTGGTCCCATTTGCCTCTAACCACCACCCTGCGCCAGATGAACTCGGGAATGACTGACAAACTAGTGCGAAGTTGAAGCCTGCTGTCCAAATGAAGGGCAAAAGGCGCACTTGATTTTCTTCGGTAAATACAACGGCTGCAGCTGTAGTTTCTCTTGTAGTTCATCTATGAGATTTATTTTCCACTGCAGCCGCTGCATCTGCCATGTCCCCAGACCAAAACAAAACACTGGAATAAACCCGACGACGACAACCGTGGGTGTGATCCACCGTTCCTTTCGCGGTTTATATGGAACAGGGACTGATGCTGTCTTGCGTGAAAATAATCCAGAAAACAGCCATCGTGCTTGAGAATTCGACGCGAAAGATGATGGTCTGAAGCGGACGTGTTGGCAAAACAAGCGGAACATGGGAGTTTGCACGCAGCAGCGACAATTTCGGACGAGCACAGCTTTATCTTCTTCTGCAACCATCATCCACCAGTAATGTGGGTTCATGACATTCACTTCTATAGCTGAGACTCTAACAGTGTAGCGTAGGTATGGTCGAAATACCCGCCAGAGCGGGTTCGACATCGAGGAGGAGATACATTATCCTACTAGGCCTGTTGACAAAGACAAGGCCGAACAAGAACTCGTCGTAAATATCAAGAAGGCCACTAGCCCGGAGGAAACTGCTCCAAAGCAGAAACATGTTCGAAGTGCGTCTACGTTGTCTGCTCATACGACTATGGTTTTACAGGAGGACTAGAATGCATTGTGTTCACATGGGATTATCATTCCTCGATCTCATTTTGGAGCGGCCTGCGCGTACAACCCATTCTTTCTGATGAAGTTCAGACATTCAAGGCACTGATAACCGTTCACAAAGTTCTCCAAGAGGGCCATCCGAATGTAAGCTACCGTTGACCTTGATTTGCGAATACACTCTTTATGTCTACAGACTATCAAAGAAGCACATGGGCAGACGTCATGGCTGGAAACTTGTTCTAGGACAGTTGGTAATGATGGAATGCGAGGTATGTTACAACTGAGGTTGCTGTAGCGTCGCTCATAGGGAACAGGGTATGGGCCGTTAATCAGAACCTACGTTCAATTTATTTTGGCGAAATTGCGTTTCCACCGACTTCGACCAGAATTCAACGGTCTTTTTGAGTACGAAGAGTACGTTACGCTGAAGGGCATCGACGATCCAAATGAAGGGTACGCATTCAGAGCTTGCTATCCATCTGTCTATTCAACGATCGTCTTAGCTATGAAACTATTTCCGACTTAATGGGTTTACAAGAACAAATTGATTCCTTCCAGAAAATGATTTTCTCTCATTTCCGCCACTCAACGAACAATGAATGCCGTATATCTGCCCTGGTACCACTTGTCAAGGAGAGCTGGGGTATCTATCGTTTCATCACAAGTATGATGCGAGCAATGTATAGACGTGAGATTCCCGATTCCAATTGCTGACTAGGATTTCAACTGTGCATATAGGAACGAACGATGTCGATGCCTTGGAACCTCTTAAGGAACGATACACCCAACAACATTACAATCTGAGGAAGTTTTATTACGAATGTTCCAATCTCAAGTATCTCACGGGCCTCATCAATGTGCCAAAGTTGGGCCACGTATGTGCTGCCTTTCTCGGTTTCCTGTACCATATACCATTTACAATATCTTAGGAGCCACCCAATCTGCTAGACACTGGGGATGCTCCCGACCTCCCTGCTCGTCCCAAGACAGCTGTCAGGTCTCCTTCTCCTCCCCCTGTCATCCCGTCACCTAGCGACATGAGTGAGCAGGCCAAGATGCTCAAGCAATATGAAGAGCAGCAAGCCGCCCTTCAAGCAGCTCGAGAGGCGGAGGAGCGCCGACGCCAAGAACTAGAACAGCAACAAGCTCTGGAATTTGAACAAAGGCAGCGAGAGCAAGCTGAAGCGCAACGCCTAGCTCAGGAACAGCTCATGCTACAGCAGCAACAGATGTATAATAGTCAAGCTGCGCAGCAAGCGGGTGAACTAGAGCGTCAGTTACTTGCTATGAGAGGGCAGTATGAACGAGACCAGATCTTTTTGGAACAGTACGATCGGGTATGTTATTACGTCATCGAGCACGTCCTGCATTAAACATTAGATTTTAGCGGGTGAAAGCATTGGAGGCGGAATTGAATGGCGTAACCTCCCATATAAACTCACAGATGGCTTCGAAGGACGATTTGATCAAACAGCTGCAAGATCAGGTTACTCTATGGCGCAACAAGTACGAGGCACTTGCGAAGCTTTACAGCCAACTTCGCACTGAGCATTTGGATATGCTCTCCAAATTCAAGCAATTACAACTGAAAGCGAATTCTGCTCAAGAAGCCGTCGATCGGATGGAGCGAATGGAGAGAGACTTGAAGGCGAAAAATTTGGAGTTGGCTGATATGTTGCGTGAGCGCGACCGCGCTAGGTTCGAGCTGGATCGCGCGAAGTCATCAACCAAAGAGGATATGGATCGTTTACGTCGCGAACTCAATTTTGCGAATGAGCGCGCAGAAGATGCGTCACGTTCAAAGAATTCAGAAGTTACCTCGGTTCTTGCCAAGTATAATAGGCAGCTGTCTGAGCTGGAGGACTCATTACGCGTAGGTCTATTCTTCCATGTATGCCTGAGATGTATTCATGCTTCGCAGAGCAAACAAATTCAAATTGACGACCTCCTTACCAAACTTCAAAATTCTAGTGATGACATTGAGCATTTACGAGAAGAGAAAGATCAAGAGATCATGATCCTACAGGAGAGTGTTGACAGCACTCTGCAACAACTCAACGAAGCGCAACAGGTATGTCTACTGTCTCCGAGTATTTTTAAAACGTGGCTAACGTCTTAGCAGGATCAGGGCGAGGTCAGTCGAGGTTTGGATGCCCAAATTGATACCTTGATTTTGGATAATCGGAAGAAGCTCAACGAGATCATTGGTTAGCTTCTCTTCTCATACGGCTCTGATCACTATTCTCACACGTATATCAGACTCTATCCTGAAAGCTTGCGTCTCGAAGGTCGATGAATCTATCTACGAGCTGGAGTCCTTAACACAAGCAGGCAATCTCAATTCAACGCCAGAGTACACGCTGTCAATGATTGAGAAGTCGATCAACAACGCCACGGAGTTCGCGACGGTGTACAATCTGTATCTCGGAGAAGAAGCTGGAGGTGAACATGTGGAGGTTATCAAGACCGCAAACGAATTTGCTCAATCTCTTGCTGATGTTTTGATCAATAGCAAAGGCATCACACGACTGGCCAGCGACGACGATGCATCTGACAAGATTATTAACGTCGCCAAGGCTGCGGGAGACATGGGCCTTCGTTTCTTCATGAACTTGCAGTCTTACAAACTTGATCTTCTGCAACCTAGCCAACGAAAAGACGTTGTCATGCGCAACAACGGCGAGGCACGTGGAGCGCTTGCGAAGTTGTCAGAAGTTGTCGACAAACTCATCCCTAAGGGCGCCAAATCTGGCGCACTAGCTCGTGCCAACGGAGATATTGGGGACATCGTCGAGCAAGAAATGATGGGTGCTGCCAAAGCCATCGAGCTTGCAACGCAGCGTTTGCAGGAGCTCATGGCCCGACCCCGTGATTCATCTCGTTTCAGTGTCGTTGACTTACAAGTACACGACTCCATCTTATCGGCTGCGATGGCCATCACGAATGCCATTTCACGTCTCATCCAAGCTGCAACCGACTCGCAGCAAGAGATTGTGGCACAAGGCAAAGGGTCGAGCACTTCACAACAGTTTTACAAACGAAACAACAGGTGGACAGAAGGCCTTATTTCTGCTGCCAAAGCTGTTGCATTCGCCACGAATCTCCTTATCGAAAGCGCTGATGGAGTACTTTCGGGAACACATTCATTGGAACAACTTATTGTCGCTTCTAACGAGGTGGCTGGTGCAACTGCCCAGCTCGTTGCAGCCTCTCGCGTTAAAGCAAATCTCATGTCCAAAACCCAAGAGCGCCTTGAACTGGCCGCCAAGGTAGTCAGTGAGGCTTGCAAGGCCCTTGTTCGTCAAGTCAAAGCTGTATCGGCTAAGCAAATCGAATCAGAGGATATCAACTACAAGGATATGGCAGTCTTAGAGTTCAAGAGACGGGAGATGGAGCAGCAAGTTGAGATTCTTAAATTGGAGAAGGAGCTCGGTGCGGCGAGACATCGCTTGGGCGCGATGAGAAGGGCCGGATATCATACGAATGAGACAGATTGAATGTTTTTCTTCAAGGTACCACATCTTTTATATGATACTTCTACCACGGAACAACCATTTGAATGCTTTGCTTAAGGTGGGAGAGAAGGGAAATATACGGTTCCGGCCACTGGCCGTAGTGAATGTTGGAGGTACACGGAGGAATGTAAAGGAGGGTGGTATACGAACGTATAACCTGATAGGGTTGTTGCGACTATATTAAAACAATGGGACGGAAAGCCGACGAAAACGATAAAAAACACATGCTTAAGGTATAGTATATAGCAAATAAGAACATAAAGATAGGATATGTACCGCATCCGTTGTTGAGAAAGAGAATAAGGTGTCGCTATGGGTCATCACTACGCGAGCCGTCAAATGACTCTCGCGCGAGATCAAGGAAGCTATCATGTATTTGTTCCTTAACATTCACCTTTGATGGAGGGTCCTGCTGCTTGACACGGTGGTGATCGAACCCATCATCTATATCCAAGAAGGATGGTTTCCTCATCATCAAATTCGGCCGGAGATTGCCCTCGACCGATACTTTCCTGCGCACCTTCGTACGTGGAGGGGGAGATAAAGGTTTGATTCCATTGTCATTATGAGCGGGAGAAGTTTTAGGGCGAGAGCGGCGAGGTGGGGGAGGGAGGCTGTGAGGCGGATCAGATGGTAAAGGATATGAGAAAAAGGAATTCGAAGTTATGGATGAAGGAAGTGTGGGCTGCATCGATGAGCGCGAATGTAGAGATGGAAGGGATATGCCTAGATTTGGACCAGTGTCAAGAGAGAACGGCGCCGCAAGGCCTTCCGGGATGGAACCGTAGTCGTCATCTGCAGCAGTAGAAGAAGATACCACGGAATAGCCGTGCTCTCGCGACTGTTTACGGAAATTGAGCGCATCCTGGATATTGGCCTCTACTTCGAGGAGCTCAGCTGGTGACAATATCGACTGAGGGACGTATTCAGGCCTCGGACTACTGGGAATGTCCGGGGTGCTCTCGTCCCAAAAAGAGGACGATGGAGACAAAGTCGCCTGTGACAACAAACTACTGCCACCGGCACAGGCAGACTCGACAGGAAGACTGAAAACCGATCGTTTATCTTCTTCGGACGAGGGTCCCTGCGACGTTGAATGCCTCCCAAAGTGTGACCCCGAAAATAGCCGTTTTCTCCCACCACTGGCGGACCCTCCGCTCGAACTTCCACGCTTATCCAATATGGAAGTAGCATCCCCTGCAGTGTTTAAAGGAACTGCAGAAGTAGCAACTGAGTTGCTACTGTGACGCAGCGGAAGAGGGAGGGGAGGTATCATGGGAAGGCGAGTATGATGGAATGATCTCTGTTTCCGTGGTGCCTTCTCAACAACAGGGTCAACCCCAATAGTGGGCGGAGCTGGTGACCCACTGGAGCTCCCCCTCTTCGTCAGGGACTGATGAGATATTGACTTTTTGAGGGTACGACTTGCTTTAGGAGAAGACAATGGGGACTTCTCGAGTTCGGGAGATGTATCCCTTTGCGCTCTATCCTCCCGCGGAATGTAATGTTGGTTGGCCATGTACGGTTCCCTCATCGAAGAAGTGAAAGAAGAAGATGCGGAACCTCCCGATATGTCAGGCGATAGTATTATATCTGCGTCGTCATCGACTATAGGCACGGAGAAGGAAGGAGGAAGAGGAAGTCGTTGTGTAGGAGGTGCACTTGGCGGCAAGCCCATTCGTTGAATGGACGCCTGACGTACGATAACGCGGGGGAAAGAAGTTGAATCTCTATCCGGAGACTTCACAGAGTCCCGAAAAAGAAAGTTTGGTGGATGAATGCCGCCGCTTTCCGTCAGGCCTCGAGCGCGAAGCGATGGGCGTGTTACATGTGAAGTGTCAGGTTGGCTCAATCGATTTTTATCTGTTAGAGTGACTGATGACGAGTTCTTGATGATTGGAATTTTGGAAGATGGGTGCGTTTCCCATGCTGCATCCCTGACATTCCGGGTGACTTCCGCAGAAACCACAGAAGAATGCATCGACCCATTACGGCGCAAATCACCTCCCGATTTCCTACGCAAAAGGATGAGCACGAAATGAAGTGAGAGAAGGACGCGTGAAATGTACTTGGACGTAAGTTTTCGCCGAGCGGGTATATCTGGCGACGACGCCGTACGGGAAGTCGGACTAAACGACGGTGAATCACCGTAATAGTTCGACTGAGATGAGGACGAAGCGTAAGATCCACGGTTAATCACTGCGTCACTCCGTTTGGAGTATTCTGTGATGGAGGAATTTGAGTAAACCGAGAGACGGTTCGGGTCTACAGGAGAGTGGGGTATGAATATACCATGGGAGGCAAAAGGATCGGTGTCCGACAGGGTCAGTAATGACTGATGGTGCATTTCGCGATTGCTGTCGACTGGAGTACGGGGCTCTGATGATTCTGCCTGTGAGAGGGTGGATGAAACAGATTTGGACGGGGGTCGAGTGTACTGAACGTTCTGAGACTTTGATCGTCCCACATCCGACGGTGAGACAGCAGAGAGAACGGGTCGGGTGGGAGGCAAAGGAGGGTCCTGTATTGCCAGGGAAGGATGCTTCTTGGACTTGAAAACAGAAGTCAGAGAATTGAACTTGCTACTAGAAGATTTGGTGGAAGACGTCGAGCTTCCTGGAGTATAATCCTGGGGCATATCCTTGGGTTGGGCAGGGTACTTGGCGTGTTTTGAGGACCACCAACTTCGTGAAGCCTGGTCATGGCGCGATATAGCGGACGACATGGAAGATGAATGACGGATAAAAGATAGGAACAGCACGAAAGCAAAGGCAGAGAAATACTGGGAAAGATTGGGGGTGTACAGGGCTGACCTGGCCTTCTGAGCACAGGAGCAAGAGTCGACAAGGTCAGAACATGGACGTCGTCGTCGTTGGCAAAAAGAGTATAGCGTCTGGACTGGTCGAATTGTTTTCTAACACGTTCTGATCCTGCCGTAAAGCCAATCGGTCTCCTGGAAACGTCCGCACTCTGAAAAAGGTAATTTTACGTCTCCCCGAATCAGCCGGATTCTGTCGGCGGTCCCAGAAAAATATATATTGAGAAAATTCCTGTCCATCGATTTTCGTCAATTTGACCCGTCTAAATAGTCCTCTTCTCATAACGTCCATCATACCCCCCCCCCAAAATATAGAACAATACTCCACCAGCCTCGGCTGTGCAAGGTATCATCATCTTTTCCCGGTAAAACATAATAATCCGAGCCCTGGATCCATCTGAGCGGCATGATCGCTGAGGTTGAATACGCGCAAACTGGGAAAAATCCGCAAGGAACTCCAAAGGCACGCTTACTAGCCCTTGCTTGGCTCTATATCGCGTCAATTATGAGTCATTATCAAATGACTTTATCGTACAGCAAACCTCTAACCCAGCTCCGCCCATACATCTTCAGTATCTCTATCTCGCACAGCTTCCGCAGCTCGAGGCATCGCGGACATGGTAGAATTTCCACCTTGCGGTCGTTGCCCCGAACCTGCATCGAACAATACGGGATTTCGCACTAGCGGTCGGCCAAGTTCAGCATCTTCTTCCTCATCACTGTCAATATCAATATCAAGGTTGTATCGCCGTGCAGCATTGATGTCAATGGGCTTCGGCCGCGAGAATATAGACTGCCCAGATCTTTGGTAGGAATGACATCAGCATCAAAAATGATGGAATTTTCAATAAACATACTGTCTCATGACCGCTGCAAGACGACTGAATTGAAGAACATTGCGAGCAACAAGCAGAAGCGTGTCCAGTATTTCTTCCTCTTTGCTAGTAGACCCACACGATGAGGCAAAGGCGAGTACTAGCAAAGTAAGAGCGCAGAAGACGGTGAGAATGAGATCTACAACATTGAATGGCGATTTCCAAAATTGCTATCATCATGATGTTTGTGAGTTCGAACCCAGGGGAAAGATGCATCATGCTTACACGTCCAAACGCAACAAACCGTACACTGACTTCAAGTATCATCGCCACATTGATGATAATTTCGAGAATATAGAAGGGGAGACCGGGACACCCGTCTACGAGGCTGAGCACCACCGTCGTCACCGACAAGGCAGCCATTCCAAGATATAGAATGATATATGTCCGTGAGTGGACGAATCGGTTGGCCAGTCCTTTTGTTATTTCCTGGCGCGTTAGAGCGTAGATGGACCGAGTTGGCCTGTTAATAGCTGTTGGGTCATTACACGCAGCAGAGACAGCATGCTCACTCAGGACGAAAAGGCGTATTAACATCATCAGCATCACGATTAAATGGATCATTTTCTTCGTATTCGATGTCGTCCTGTACGTCCGTTGGTAAAGACATGGTGAATGTCAGGTTGAGAGAGGAACCATGAACGATGAATTCAGAAGGCCGGAATTGCGGAGCTGGCAAGCACGTGCAAATAGGCGGTACCCTTCTGAGTTGATTCTTCTTTGACGTATTCAGGCTTGCGCTCTACCCAACCTACTTTATATTCATTCATCCAACACATCATCAAAATGGGTGGTGGCGACTTGAACATGAAGAAGTCATGGCACCCGCTCCTGTTGAAGAATCAGGAGCGGGTCTGGCTTGAGGAGAAGAAGGCTGTGAGTCTATTTCATGATTTTTACTTGTTTACAAGTCTGACGTGATACTTTCCGTATTAGCTTGAAGAGAAGAAAAAGCTAGACCAACTTCGCAAAGAAAAGGAAGAAGAGCGGCAACTTCAAGAGCTGCAGCGACTTCAAGAAGAGAAAACAGGGAAGAAACGGACAGAAAAGCTTGAATGGATGTACACGACTCCGGCGACGGGCAGCAGTCAGAATCCAAATGATCTCGAGGATTATCTCCTTGGGAAGAAGAGGGTGGACAAGATCTTAACGGCAGACGACAATGCCAAGGTACGCACTTTCGTATGACTGCTGAATCCGTAATCTAACCATTAAGTAGCTTGGTGCCTCTCACAAGAACTTTATCGCCGTCCAGAATGCCAACAACGCTCGTGACATTGCCGCAAAAATCCGCGAAGACCCTCTACTTGCCATCAAACAGCAAGAGCAAGCGGCTTATGAAACTCTAATGGCTAACCCTCTTCGCCTCAGGGAGATGCAGGAGCGCAATGGCATCAAGCCGAAGAAAGATAAGAAGCAGAAGAAACTGGAGAAAGAGGAAAAGAAACGATTGAAGCTGGAGCGTAAACAGAGGCGGGACAGATACTCTCGCTCACCGAGCCCTTTGGACGACCGCAATAGGCCGAGGTCTCGCTCCCCAGATCGTTATGGTCGATCCCATCACTCTAATCGTCGGAGTTCCTTTGACCGACGACCCTCACCATTACCCTCTCGTTCTCGCTACGGTGATCGAAGCAGCAGCGAAGAGGGACGTCATTCACGACGCCATACAGGCCGCAGCCCTTCACCGCCTTATCACCACCGTCACGACAGCCCCCCTCGCGACTTGCGTCGGCGTCACCATGACGAACCGTCCCGAGACATCGGACGTCGGCCCACGTCTTATGATAGACTCGAAGAACCCGGGAAACGGGCGTGCAGTTCGAGCAGGGAGAGATATGACCGTCACATTCCTGCGAAACGACCACGCACAAGTCCGCCTCCTGCCCGTTTATCTGACAACCGTGCCACTGAAGACCGCGCGACTCGGCTGGCTGCCATGACCGCCGATGCCACTGTTATGAGTAGCGAGCGGAAGGAGCGTCTGGCGCAAATGTTGGAGAAAGAGAAGGCTGACCATGCTGCAGAGGAGCAGGCCAGGGCCAAGTCGAAGGGCATGGGAGGCTTCTTGAGCCAGGAATCGAAGAAAGTGTTTGGTGGATCCGGTGGTCTGGAGGATAGGATCAGAAGGGGTCGTGGCGGTATGGTTGTTGATGCCGATTAATTAATGTCTTACGTTCTGTGGTTATTCCATGGTGTTTTAAGCTATCGCTAACATGTACAATTTCCTCGGACTGTCGATCCTCATGAGAATTGGGGTGCAAAAAACATGAGGTAATATCTGAGTGGGCATGCGTGGTTAACCTGGCAAGCCAGCTTCATATACATGCTCGTATCTGTCTATAAGTACTGGCAAAATTTAGAATGGGCATTGGAGAGATAGATGTACAGTGATAGCAAAGCTAGTAACTACGGCGAGATGTAATGATACATTGACAACGACATAAGATCCAAGAAAAATGTGTGTTAAGGTATGGCTTCAGCCTCAGACCCCGAAATTTCTTTTTGAGCGAGGAGCAAGAAATTTTTTAGAACGAACATTCTAGACAGGAGGCAGAGCTCAGTCCAAACGAGAGATACGAAGCCGACGGGTAACAGCAAGGGCTAGCTCCTGGTCAGATTAATGAGCATATATGACAGGAAAAGACGGATAAGAGCCTGACAATGACTAGGATCGACAGGCGCCTAACGCGACCACGAGGAGGCGGAACAGGCGCAGGCTCCGGGTTTGCTTGAAGAGCCTCATTGAGAGCCATTTCTTCCTCCGTGGGCTGAGGCTGTACTGATCATCAAAACCAAGTCCACATCCGCAAACAGATGATCACTTACGAGGGCTACAGTGAAAAAGACACGGCCATCCCAATCAATATTACCATCACGAGTAGTGGTCTGTGCAAATTTAGCCAAGAATAACCTCAGGAGAACCGTGCGCACCATTAAAGGATGGTTTCTAGTGGCATAAGCATGCCCATAAGGCTCGTAACGAAAGACGAGAGACGGCAGAGGAACGTGTTGATAGTATATGGTGGCATTGATGGGGATAGTCTCAGCTTGAACGAAAACCGAATGCATAGAAGGGAGGTCGCGGTCGCGGGTGCGCAATGGAGGCATGAGGATGAAAAGAGACGAAAGAGCGTGGTGTGTGTGTGAGAGAAGAGAAAAGTATCCCGGTCGGCTTCCCTGGCTTTTAAAGTGCACCTGGGCTTCGATATCGGGAACCGAATCCGTATTGAGCCAGTGCTTTACCCACTATGTTTGGCGTAAACATTGGAATGACATAAGGGGAATATCGAGCGCTCAAATTTGATCCTGTCGGGGCGTGTTCTTCTCAGTGTTATGCCTACTCCCCAAAATGCCCAACGAGAATGGTGCAGTCCAGATGGATCCTCAACCATACAGCAGAACATGTCCCCAACATTCCTAGACTATGGCGACGCGTATTTCCAGGTACGACGGCTCGAACCCAAGACTGTGGACCAGTATACCGAGTTACTGGAAATAGGAATGACGGCTTTGACGACCGACGATGGGTCTTCTCCCGTCACTCCGATTCCTCTCTGTCGACTCTCATGTCTAGCTCTTGGTTATTCGTAAATTCTATGTCACCAATAATTGAATGACGCCGACGGAGGCAAATTTCGGGGAATCGACCAGTTATGTGACGTTGCTTTGATTACGTAAATGTATCACGTCTGTGACAGTATATGACCGCGTGTCTGTCCTGCAAACGCGTAACGCGACGACTCACATCATGCTCTCACCGGAATTTCTAACATTCCTGTGTACCATCCCCCGCGTCCGTCACCATGATTAAGGTAAACACCGTGTGCTTCCAGAATATTTCAAGGGCCAGCAAAAGTTAAAACACCTGTTTGGACGTCAAGTACAGGCTGACACCGGAGAGTATCACCAAGGACAGAACAAGAGAGCCCGAAGAACTTGAAGACATGCCTGCGACCATTATATCCAAAGTCTGCGCCGCCGACCCAATTCAACGATATTGCCCTGTTGCGACTATCTCCGGAAACTCGATCCTCTGGATCTCACCCGACGATGAACTTGATGACATTAAGGACTGGAAGACCCAAGAGCATACCAGGAAGACAGCTATTATATCTTCAGGTTCAAGGGGACTCCATTTTTAATTTTAGCGTCCTGGAATCGCGAACGGCGACTATGGGCAATGTTTCTGATTGCATGCCTCTGCCCATGCACCGGAATGTCTGTGAGAGAACAAAACGCTGTCCAGAAGCTTTGAAACGATAATCGATGTGATAGAGCAAGACCTGCTGCTGAAGAAAAAAGACGACGAGACTGAATTTCTAGAAAACTAGCCGTTTCGTCATTTCTTTGCAAATCAACGAAGATATCATTCTGAGGCCTTAGTGGAACAGTAGTAGACGTACGTCTGCGTCAGGAGAGCGACCTCAGTGGCACAGACAAGGATGATGGTAGTCTGGTCCAGATGTCGCACAAACAAACTGCCGCCTTCCGATTACCCTTGTTCTGTTGCCGGACACCCCAAAATGCTCAAAGGATCCTCCGGTCGCCCTCCTCCTTGGTCTCCACTCTCCTATGCACTGGCATTTTCTCGAAAAATTTTATTTCGATTTTTGTAGGCATTACCGACTATCTTGGACCACGACAGCTACCGCTGGACTGTTGACCCCCCGTTACTCCTATTTTCTGGTTATATATCTTCCAGGTAAGCTTCCGGATCCGATAATTCTTTTTTACCACGGTTGGATTTAATTCCTTCGCCGTTGCCGTGCTCCGTCACTCCTAAACCGGATTTTGCGGTGCCACCTGCGAAGCACACCGTCGACGACGGTCAGACTCGCCATAAGCTACCCTCGGTCCTCCCAGCGGCTCTCGCAACAGTTGTGGTTCCACCCCTGGCTGAAGCAAGAACCTCAAGGACGCCAAGGACGCTCTTAAATTTGTTATCTCGATATCAATGTTACACATTAAATCGTTAACCTTTGATCGGATTCGATTCGTAGCCCCAGATGATCTGGTTCACGCTATAGTGCAACATCACATCCCTTGTTCTCGCGCTAAATTTTAGCTTTGCGATTTGAACGATATATGGAACCCGTGGCAACCTATGGGGAGGCGTTTGATGAGACTGTGCATAGACGAGGACAGGGAGCAGGGATGATATTGCCGCCTTCAGCGAGTTTCGACGATCTCAGAAACCTCGACGCTCTCTTTCCAAGTTGCTCAAGCAAAGACTTATAGTAGGACACTGGTAGCGTTTTCTTGACAACATCCTGCCATGTCCGTCGTAAGTCTGGCTCCCTTAACACAGTGTCGTCACTTACCATCTGGCTCTCTTCAGTCTCTGGTATCTCGAATTCGATGGTCGCAGTCGACAAAACCTCCCAACCCCAGAGTAAATCAAATGAATTTCTGTCGGACCCGCCCACGAGCTGCGCTACTACAAGGTACACTGTTCCGGCCTGGATATCGCCGTTAGTGGTTTCGGAAAAGAATGGTAGCGATGGATGACATTGAAACGATACAGAAAGTCGCAATCCGATCTGGCTCGGTTTCATGGCTGTTATCGATTCTACTGGTGGGTCATACAGTCGGTCCCGTTCATTGTTTCTTGACTAAAAATAGCGAATTATGTTTGAAACCGCTTCAAAGTTGGAATGTTGCCATCGCACAGACGCGCAACGTCCGCTGCGTCCCAGGGTCAACTAAGTCCTTCTAGCGTTCTATTCCACCTTGTCTTTCTACCTTTTTGACACAGAAATATGAAAGCCCTAGTGCCAAGACAACTTCATCCTTCCCCCCCTCAGGATTTCATTATTTTCCGAGCCTCTCAAGATCGGTCATTTCATCATGCATGATTGTATCAAACTACGGCGAAGTTTTGGGGTTCTTGGCTTTATTGTAGGCTGACCGACTGATTTTAATTATTTTTGAATACTAGATCTCTGTTCAAACAGATCTATTTGAACTTGGTGAAGCGTTCCCAGTTACTACGCATCGAGATAAGGTGCTCCGCGCTTTCTTTAGGCCACTATAAAGGATCCTATGAGACTTCGATAATACTTATGTTGTACTTAATATGCAAGTTACTCAGTAAGCTCAAGCTGCCGGTACGTTCCATCGTTCCCTAACAACGCGCCATTGACGAAAAGGGTAGTAGTCGCCAGTGTTTCCTGTTACAAGCAGTTTCCGACTTTTTGTGTACCTTCAACTTCGAACCTTGACATCAATACCATTCTTTACTACCGTGCGAACGACAGCTAACTAGACAACAACATACCGCGGCAATCAACGTAAAAGATTTGATGTTAGAATCATTGCCTGATCAGGCTCCGTCTGTCGCCTTTTCTTCATCCATTCAATCATCTTCCACGCTACTATTGGCGACGCAGGGCCTGAGCAAGTCAGGTCTCCAGCTGGTAAATGCAGTGATGTTGATGCCAACGAATGCAACGAGGCCAAGGACTCGGATAATGATCCAAAGAATTCGGACCCGCAGCCAATGGAAGAGATTGTAGAAGGGCAAATATACCTTAGAACATGCGTCATTATTCACATTGCCGTGCCATGATCTTCAATTGCCCTCCAAGTCTTAATGAACCCATGTCCGAAAGCCTGCGTCAAAAGCATCGCATCACGCACATGCTTACTCTTTCCAACACCTATTTCCAAACTGAACATCGCCATGATCTAGTTCTTGTCGTACGTCAAGACGGTAATGAGGACTTCTATTCTTACTTCTATGAGGCGGTTGACTATCTTCATAGCGTATTAATGAGGCAGGGAAAGGTGCTTATGCATTGTATCCTGGAGATCTCGAGAGGCACCATCAGTGTGGCGGCATATCGTATGTCTCCTGGTCTACCTTACTTCGACTCTGCGCAACTAACACTTTTTTTTAGTCTCAAAAACCGGGAGAACCAACTTTTCCAAAAGAGTCAAAACCTGATTTGGCCATGGACGTAGCAGCTCAAAGAGCGGGAAAGAGGGATGATATCAAGACAGCTGATCGTTGTTCTCGTCGTTCCTCATTGTGTTGATTCAAAATTTCGAACGAGGCGCTCTACCGCGCCATGGCACACATAAGTAAACGCAAGAATTTTGAAACAAGTTTAATGTATAAAACGTCCTTCATCCGACCTGAGCAGACCCGCGGACCGTTTTCAAATCTTGACTGTCTTGATTTGAGACTCTGCCTGAGGGAGACTAGCGGTCCGTGCCATCGCGAGCTGACGGTGAATCCATAGTATCACCGTGATAAGCTGTGCCAACAATCTTGTACTCGAAGAATGTAATTTTCTGGAGAGTTTCTGAGCATCAGAAGCTAATCCTAAAACCAGTGGCATATCATATATAGGCTACATGATCCATCTCTTAGGTGCTGGGCATAAATCTTTCGTTCACAGTAAACCGCAGGTATATTGAACGGCTCACATTTGGTCAGGAGGGATACCTCAAGGGTGCTGTTGCTTGCAAGTTCTAGATCTGTGCGAAACATTGGTCAACTTCTCGGGCCTTGCCATGACGCTTGGGACCCGGAAAATATACAGTAAGTTGGAACTGCCATGGTCTGCTAATGAAGATGGACAGTGTGTGAGGTAGTATAGCATCTATATAAGTGCGTTCTTTTCTTTCGTCTTGGACTTTCTTCAGCGGTAAGCCCCATAGTTTTGAGCCTGTCGATGACTGAATCCTTGGATCCTGGCATTATCCGCAAGCGAGTTGAAAAATTCTGTGGCAACGCTGCGGCTGGAGGAATTTATCTTGCCGGAATGTTCATTTGAGTAGATCAATATCTTACATGGAGCAATAATAATAATGTTCTTTGCTGCGTGGATGTGTACTCCCATTGCCATGGCAAGTCATCAACAAGGTACCTACCCTTATAGCCGTTCTCTCTTCTTTTCCCGTTTCCTCCATTCATTAATGGGTATGAGTACGTCTTATATCGATACTTTCAACTTCCCATGGATCGCTGGACTTAACTACTTGGGACGAAGATGATGTGCTAGCACTTGGCATATACATTTTGGGGGCATGAATATGAAGTTCCTTCACTTTCTCCTCTTAAATAATTCGCCGGATAGTTATTTCAATCCTCCCTATGTGATTAATCAAGAACTTTAGAGGAAACTTATGAAGTTGACAAGAAGCCGATAACTTTGGCGAACTCTCGGAGTGAGTTATAGATGCTTGGTATAGTCCCTCTTGAAAATAGAGGCCGGCAAGTCTACAGACTCCGGAGAAACATAGATCCAAGGCAAAGGTGAAGGATGCAGCGTACAATGGCAAGAAAATTGAAGAGATCCGTCATTGCGCAGAAGACTCAGTGGACAAGGCAGAATTGTATGTTCCTGCAATGCTTATGCTCTTTGCGATACTTACATAACTCTGTTGTCTCTGGGACTCGTGTAACACTTTCAGATAGTCAAGGCCAAGGTGAAACTTTTGATGAATTCGGAGTGATCGGAGATTTACCCCGCAACATCAACAAAGAACGCGTCGTACAAAAAATCACGTTCTTCGTTGGATTTCCTTCCTTCTATCATTTCCATCACCGCTCCGCGCATTTGCCTCAACCAAGCATCGTTATGCCTCCCCGTCGCGCTCCATCTCGTGCATCGGTACCTCCTTCACGGCCAGGGAGCCCTGCTGATGAAGACGTCAGAACCTTCTCACGCTGTTCCCGGCCTACCTTATTCATTTACCGAATAGACCCCATATTTCGATAGCGTAGACGAATTGCAACAGCAGGTACGCGCATATATGCGTCCGGATTTGCCATTGCTTACTTCCATGCAGGGTATCAATGTACAGGACATCCTCAAACTGAAGGCAGCCGCGATCAACACCGTATCCGGTGTCAATATGACAACCAGGCGCCACCTGCTTAAGATAAAGGTATGTCCCCGTATGTCAGTCCAGCATATACCTAGTTTCAATGTCTGCCAGGGAATGTCAGAAGCGAAAGTCGAGAAGATTAAAGTCAGTGTGTGTAACTGATCGCTTGGCATTAACAGCTTAACCCCAGTCTTCAGGAGGCAGCCCATAAGATTCTTGTAAGACGTGTGCAGGTCTACCAATAGAAGCTGTCGAAGAAACGTTCCTAGGGTTCATCATTTGCTACTGGGATTGAAGTCCAGGACAAGCGGCGGAGAGTCCTCGTTATTAGTACTGGGAGCAAATCTGTGGACGGCATTTTGGGCGGTAAGATTCTATTTTACTTGTCCTCGAAATCTCATTGGAAGTAGGAGGTATCATGTCACAATCTGTGTCTGAGGGTAGGCTTGGGGACCTTTTTAATCATCGCATCTGAGATTGCTTGTAGTATACGGGGAATACCGGACTGGCAAAACTCAGTTGGCACACACTATGAGTGTCGTGGCTCAGCTGCCTCCTGAACTAGGCGGCGCGTCAGGAAAGGTGCGTTCTCCCGACCTTTCGAGCCAAGAAGATTTGTTGAGTGATAGCATGCTAGGTAGCATACATTGACACGGAAGGTACAGGACTTCCGCCATTTTGAGACACGTATTAAGCTCCCTATTAGGGACCTTCCGACCTGACCGCATCAGGTCTATTGCCGATCGTTTCGGCGTAGATGGCAACATGGCTCTTGAGAACATCCTTTATGGTAGGCCATATGACTAGGGCTCATTTCCTTTTCCCTTATGTTCTGGCTGTAGCTCGCGCATTCAACAGTGAACATCAGGTCAGGACTCGCTTCTTCATTCATGATTCGTCCCCTCTAAACCGTTTTTCAGATGGAACTCATCAACGAATGTTCGTTGCGTTTTGCCGAAGACAAAGACTTTCGACTCTTGGTGCGAAGCTATTTTCATTTCAAGTTTGGCTAGGGGTGTTGATGCACTTGTCCAGATTGTTGACAGTATCATGGCCCTCTTCCGCGTCGACTACAGTGGAAGAGGAGAATTGAGTGAAAGACAGCAGAAGGTTGATTCTCAATGTGGGTTATTGGATTAGGACTGATTTCACTCTTCTAGCTGGCCCAGGTCCAGTGATGAGCCGACTCAGACCTCAGTCAGACTAACGATACTTTATTTAGATGCTGTCAAGGTTGACCAAGCTTTCAGAGGAATACAACGTTTGAAGCATCCCAAATGGATATTCTCTTTCTAATTTTTGCGTCCAGATTGCGATCCTCCTCACGAATCAAGTACAATGTAAGTTTTATTTGATTTTTATCGACTTTCTTACCGACGTCTATCCAAATTCTTAACTAGCTGATCCCGGTGCGACAATGACATTCGTTGCTGGCGGGGCGCTAAAGCCAATTGGTGGACACATATTGTCGCACGCTTCTGCGACGCGGATGTTTCTTCGTAAAGGTGTTCATTTTCTTGTCTGCGACCTGGAACTCCCCTACTAATCAGAATCTCTCCGAAGGACGTGCTGAAGAACGGGTAGCTAAGCTTGTCGATAGCCCTGACCGTCCTGAAAGTGAAGCCTCGTATAAGCTAGATGAAGGTGGCTGGTCTGACGTCTAAAGGTCTCTTGCTTTCTACCTGTCGGACTCTTTGCTCTGCGTTGCTTTCGAAACAAAATCGCTCTGCTGTCTTGATGCCTAGGACGTTTTGACTCCATCGTTATAATTATATGCGCCTGCTGTGTTCTAAAATACAATGATGTATCTGTCTAAAGTAAAGCCGCAGCGACCGAGGACTCTCGCTGTGAGAGTGCTACCATGAAAAAGTTTGAGACGAGCGCCTTATGTAAAACTTCGCCAAGGGCCTTTGAGCACCTGGATATTGAGGACTGCGAGGATCTCCTTGATGGCTTACGAGAGGTGGTCCACGACGACTACGGGATGCCCGTTTCCACATTCATGTCTTCCTCTACACCCTCAAAGCCCGCAGACCGACCCAGTGTGGTCAAATCACCACCTGTCTCAGACAGACCTCCAGCGACTACTTGGGTATCCGGTAACTGTCGTTTCAATCCCGTTGGCCGCGCCAACTCCACTATTGAAACACCTAGATACCGTAGCCGACGTGCGAGACCGGCGAAACATGCTCGGATGGACGCATCTGCTCTTCTTAAAAGGCTTGGACCAAGAGGAGAAGGACGATATCCTTGGGCGGACAGCCGTGCACGATCCTGAGGTTGCAAAAATGATTGAAGAGGCAAAAAAAGCACATGCTGAGGAGGTCCTCTTTTTTTCTTATCGGGAAGTGGGCAAGCCGACAAGTGCTGCACTCCCTTGATGACCTTAGGCCACATCATCAGTATGATCACTCGCACGAAGTAAGTCGTTTCCTTTGTTTTTCTAACATCACACTTCATGATATCCACTACTAAGTCTCAGAAGGGATTAATGCAATCATCGAAAAAATACTCTTGTATATCAACAACAGCGCTTCTTCTGGAACCTACAAAAACACCGCCTCTGCGATTATCGGCACCGGTTCTGATACTCTATCGTTCGGTGGCGAAATCGGGAAATATGTTCTGCAAGGTCCTCTTCCTTATTGCGACACGTTAGAGCGATTACTTGAATATCCGGATATCGCGGATTATGGAAATCTGATTGAAGAAATATGAGGTTCAGGGGAGATACTCGAGGAGAAGTATGACAATGCACTGTCTGGGTGAGGTTTCATGTGTCAAGGTATGAGGTGTGCTTTGAAGTCGATCATCTTGCTAGCACCGTCTTTCGAGCATTGGGTTCGACAGTGTCCGTACATCCATAAATTTCCCGCTCGTGTAGTAAACGTCGTACATGAAGCTGAAACCTTATGTAGTGGTAAACATAGTAATATTACAAGTAAATAGCTGTGGTCCACATCGGAAAGCGGTCCCAATCTCAATGCTCCCATCCTCTCTAATGTCTCTCTCCATCGTTATAAGGCAATTGTGGTGGCTCAGGATAATGTTCCGGCGCATCAGGCGCAAGGATGGCCCCGTCCTGCAGCAGGATACCTCGATACATTGCGGATTCGGGCTGCCCGTTCCTACAATCAGGAACGGTATGATATACCCATACACAACGACATTTGAACCATTTCTTCCTCTGTTTCCTCCAATCCCGCTGTCCATCTGTGAGACTGGGGAGACTAGCATGATAGGCGTGAGCGCGCTCAGGGAGCGACGTTCTTAGGGAAGGAGTGGCCGAGGGAGCAGAAAGGGAAATTGGGGGTAAGGGAACATTAGTTACAGAAGCAGTGGAAGGTGGTGGACTCAAGGTGTCTCTTTTGGGCGGAACATCGTCTTCGCTACTTGAGCGTTTTCGCTTAAGACGAGTATCTGTTGGCTCGAATATTACTGGCGAACATTGTGTAGCATTAGACTCGCTGCCATGGCTCGATACCCTTAACGATAAATATCTACTGCATGAGGTCATCTTCATTCACTGCCTTGTGGTGGCATTGATGTGCAGCAGAGAGAGAGAGACTTGTTAAGACGAGACTTGAAATGAGCCAGAAACTTGTCATTGGTCAGATGAAAGTGTGCGCGTCGAAGAAGGGTATTGTTCAAGCGAAGGCGAGATGTCCACGCTGTGACAGGTTCGTCCTCCTCTTGGTAGGATGAAAGTATTTCGTCCGGAATTTCCTATCCCAGCTTCGCAGAAGAAATGCCATTCGCATCGCCAAAAGGTAATTTGTCAAATTCAAGGAGCGAAGATGATGCATGTCCGCCATGAACCAATCCTTGATGAGAGGGTCTCTGAACCCTTCAGAAAGAGAGTGGACTTTGAGATTGCCCGTGCTCTCGATGTAACTCCGCGCCACGCACTCGTAATGAATAAAGTCATTCGGGGCGAATGGCTCAGTACAGGGATTGATGACGAAGCAACCAGACGCCTACTCAAAGCAAGAAAGGCTCGAATTTTGACATCTAGGAAGTAATAGGAGCGTGGAAATTACGCGTTGTCGTGGGTCAATAATCTTATGTGTTCACCGTATGTGCCTACGACTGAGCACGTTAACGATAGTTCGATACGGGGCACTTCGGCTAGGCGAGCAGACTTACGAAGTTGATTTTTATTTCAGAAGCAAAATTCACGGTAGAGAAAATGGGTTGAAAACTGAAAAGGACCAAGCTCTAGGCAGCTGCCGAGATGAGATGTGTCGAGTTTTGCTCGAAACATCCGGTCCGATTTCCGATATCCAGCCCGAACCCTACATCCTCATAGCGAGTTGAGACATATCTAACTTTGATTTAAATAATGGGTTTGAATGCTCTTCACGCATATCAAGGAAAGTAAGTACTTCTTCCTCACCATTTCTTTCTGAATAAATGCCTACAGCAAATTCACATGCAAATGATGAAAGAGCGAAGAGCTAACGCGAGATCAACGTCGTGAGAGTTGGGTCTGCCTCTAGCCTCATGGTGCCAGACTGCCAGTGTGGTAACTACTTTCCGAGTCGCTGGTAATCTCGACATTATGAATGTTGAATTTCGAAAGTTTCAGTTAGTTTTATATCTAGCATCACCTTGTTCTACTGAAGAAGGACGTAACCTCTCTGTTATCCAGCTTTTACGACATTGCGGGTCTCCGCAGGGTAGCCACTGGGTCTGGACGTATAACGAACGGAAGACTTTACCGCTTCAATTCGGTTCTGAAAATCCACACCTATCGTCCAAGCGTCAACTTTGCCTATGATCTGACTCGTCTCTGTTACTGATAATATCCTCCATTTCAATCTTATCCAAGCTAAGGGAGATATGGGTAAGGCCTCTTTTTACTTCCTACTGATTACCTCCCTGACTGTTAAAGTATTTATTGCCGTCGATATTGGATTCTAGGTTGTCATGTCGTATATAAATCATTCAATCTGCCAATGAAACTATGAAGTCAACGATTTTCCGCCCCCACCATCCTCTCTGTGCCTGTTGAACTGCTCCTTTGTAGGGCTCGCTTAATAGCCCAGCGCTCAGCCGCATGACACGGACGTCCATTTGCAGACGGCCCCAATAGCGCTCAATCAGCGTCCTCATGGTGCCACGCTCCGATAAGCACGTTCGTCTGGAATATCTGCGGGTCGCGAACAATATATAGTATCATCGTTGTTGCGATACCCAGCTCGTAGATACCATGTTGGTGAACGGCTACGTCTCTCTCGCCGCATCTCTGGCTTTAGTGGCAAACGCCTATCAAGTGCCCGCGACCTATCCCAAAATCTCAGGGTGTGCATTACAGACGCCGACCTACTCTTGTGAAAACACGACTGTCATCAACAATACATGTTGCTCTCCTACTCCGGGCGGACTGGTTCTTGTCACGCAGTTCTGGAGCAGGTATACGGGGCTAGAGAAACAAGGGCAGTTGCTGCCCAGGGGAAGCTGGACGATTCACGGGTTGTGGCCGGATAATTGTGATGGGTGGGTAGATTGCGTTCTTCTTTACAGTATGCTAAATGACATCGGCCACCCCAGATCGTACGAGCAGTACTGCGACCTCTCACGCCAATATGACCCGGATCCTTCGCCATCAACGCTACCTAATGGAATCATCGTACCGGCTTACACAGGGCCTAGTGTGAATACCTTCGTGGAGTCATTTGGCAGGGATGATCTATTGGATTTTAGTGAGTGGTGGATCTCTGCGCGAAGGTTAGCCTGGCAACGAACGAATTGATTGATATCATGTCAGTGAACACCTACTGGATCAACCAGGGCGCACCAAACACCGACTTGTGGGCTCATGAGGTTTGATGCCTGCCTCCATTTTATAGAGAATTCTCCTGCAATGTTTCATTCAGTTCTCCAAGCACGCGACGTGCACGTCGACGTTCGACGTTTCCTGCTATGGCGCTTCTTATCAGCGCCACGAGGAAGTCGTTAATTTTTTTGACGCCGTGATCAGATCGTTCCATCAATATCCCACTTTTGATATCCTGGCTTCGTGAGGAAGAACTACGCCTTCCATTTGGGCTACACTGACGCCATGACAGAGCAGGGATTGTACCTTGCAACAGAACGGCATACACGCTTGACCAGATCCGGACAGCGATTGAGACACAGACGGGTGCGATTCCCTACTTGGGATGCTCGAATGGTACCATTCTGTCGGAGGTGTGGTATTACAACCATGTCTACGGAACGGTACGTTTGGACGATGGAATTATTGCATGTTGTCTGATGACATCTGTTAAAGGAGCAGTATGGCACGTACAAAACGCTAGATTCTACATCGGATTCATCCTGTTCGAAGACGGAGCCGATATGGTACTATGAACGTACTTTATCCTCAGAACATGAAGTGCGCAAGACTGGTAGTTGGTGGTAAAGCTGAGCAGCGGGACAGTCGGACTAACATGTTATACATAATAGGCTGCTTACAGATTACCTGAGTCAGCATTAAAATAATCTTTTTCCACTGCTTTCATGTTGTTTCATATTCAAGTCAGCGACGCCGGATCGCCTCCAAGTCTTCACATTAAATCACTCATTACATGGCGTCCCAAGACACTCCTGTTTCCAGGCGTCTCCGGTCTGTCAAGCACATCATCATTGTTCTATCTGGCAAAGGCGGCGTAGGCAAATCCTCCGTTTCCGCTCAGCTGGCCCTTAGTCTGTATGCCAGTTCGCCTACAGCCCGTGTAGGCATTCTGGATGTCGATCTGACTGGACCCTCGATACCAAGGATGCTAGGTTTGGATGGACATGGTGTTCACCAAAGTACCGACGGATGGGTACCTGTTTACGCCGATGGTAGTGAAGCCAGATTAGCCTGTATGAGCGTCGGCTTCCTGCTTAAGAACAAGGCCGATTCGGTAGTTTGGAGAGGGCCGAAGAAGAATGGTATGATTCGGCAATTTCTGAGCGATGTTCGGTGGGGAGAGCTGGATTACCTTGTTATCGATACTCCTCCCGGTATGTCAAGAGCTTGGGCCATTCCTGCTTTCTGCTGAAGCTTGGTATGATGCCTAGGGACTTCCGACGAGCATTTGTCTCTCCTTGAACACATGGCCCCAGTTCATTCTCAGCTATCGTCCATCATCGTAACTACCCCACAGGCGGTCGCACTCATGGATGTTATCAAGTGTCTGTCATTCACCAAAGCTGTAAATCTCGCTGTGTGGGGTCTCATCGAAAACATGAGCGGCTATGTCTGTCCGTGCTGTGGAGAGATCAGCAACGTTTTCTCCACGGGTGGAGGAGAGGATATGGCAAGAAAGGAAGGGTTGCCCTTTCTTGGAAGCCTGCCCGTTGACACAGAGTTGGTGACCTTGCTTGATGCCAGTGAACCGGCGTGGATGGATGGAGCGCCAGGTTTTCGTGTCTTGGAACGGTATAAATCCACGCCTTCGGCTCGGATATTCGAGTCTATTGTTCAGAAAATACTGCAAAGTTCTGCCTAGACCATGATGGTGAGAGAAATTCCGCGTGTCGCCGGAGTTAGAATGACACTGTTGACAGTTTTCGTATTTTCGAAGATATAACCTATAAGCGACGGAGTACTAGCGGCATGAGGTTTGCCTTTCGGGGTTGGCTACCATTGAATGCCCCCGTTTTGCTGTATGGAAGCCTATCAGTGCTTGCATCAATAAAACTGTCGCGGTCGTCTTCTACGCTCAACAGTAGTGTGGCGATTCTGGTATTAATTTCCGTCTTGAGCGAAACAGCAAATGGCAGGGTACAGGTATTGGAATAGTTGTCCAGAAGTGTGCCTACAACCCAGGGTGACCTCAACGTGCTGGATGTCGATTGGTAACGGATTTAATTTTTTTCTGTGGTGGCGAGGTGCGATAAAGTTTGCCACGCTGCGAATATTGCATCCGAGCAGTGCCCGAAAAGGCAAGTGGTTGAAGTTGGGTAAACAACGCGTCGACGCCGCTTTCCTCTCTTCTTCTCCTTACTCTCTCCATGCTGTCTTCTTGCCTTTCATACCTCCCTTATTCTAGGTAATTTGTTTTCAAAGACCCCCATTTCACGACTTTGGCATATTCCACGTTCCATCTTGGAGAATAACGACTGAACGAACAGGTAACGAGGTGCGCTTTGTGTTCGCTTACCCAAAAAAAAAAACAGTCGAATAACAGGTGTTCTGTATACCCAGTCTATCATGAACGATCGACCATATACACTGCCGGAAGAGGATCCTTTCAATATCACGCCCTTGGCCATGCAGCGCCATTCAAGCCTGTTCGATAAATGGCTGCAGGAACAGCAGAGGCATGTCACCACCCTGGAGGACATCCCTGATACGCCGATACGTAAATCGCCTCCTGCTATCCCTGTGCTATCGTCGTATCAGTACCTTGGATATTCTGATCCCATGCATCCGGATGCAAACGGATCGACAGTCACACTGAATAGTTACGACTTTGTGGAGGACGATGATATTCCAGCAGAGGCACTAGTGAGATTTTTGATGCTGTTGGCTTGGTCTCTCTGATGACTTGTCTAAGAAATCTTCAAGTCCACGAAGCGCGCGCTTTTTCCAGACCTCGCGAACGCTCTTTTCGCCCCGATTACCATCGACAACGACAACGACGCCGACTCGTACGTCATTTCTGTCTCGCGTGGGCGTTGGGTCGACTTCTCGCGAGCACGAACGCTCTTCAAATCTGTCCACCTTGAGCAGTTCCGTTCCCCGGTCGCCCTCAAAATGGCGTCCAAGCGTCCTCGGCCACTTTTCTTCCCAGGCCTCCGTTCCCCCGTTGGAGAACACCGTCTATGCCCCTTCTCGCCCGAGCCTTTCATCCACCATCACAACGACTGTCACTTCTACTTCCGACCTCAGCATCCCGGTGTCCCAGATCTCGTTTGCCGATTCTGTCCGCTTTCAAGGAGTTTCCCACAGCGGTGCATTTTATGGCCTTAAGAAAGAGTCGCTCTCTTCGTGCAGTTCGAACTTTGGCGTAGACCCTGTCAAGCCCGTCGTGTCTAAAAAGCTTAGGAAGGCACGGAGTAATATCCGGGTGCCACTGTCTACCAGGTACATTGCGGATGCGAATATTCCAACACAAGGAGACGCTGTCGGAGAGTTTGGCGCACGCTTGCTAAAGATGAATCCTACCAGTCCTCAGATAGCCTTTTCGGCGTCTGGCAAGGGTGGTACAGTCCCTCGCGTGTCATTCGCCTCTTTGAGTACTTGTAATTCAAAGAAGAAGAAACTCATCATCGGCGGCATTGGACCTAATGACACGCGGAGATTCCAGGGTGTGCAGCGTTGGTGTGAGGTGAGATCGCATGCTGTCTGCGACCTTCCCTCTTCTGACCACATCACCCATACAGTCCTTTGGCGAGGTTAGCCAGATCATACGTATGCCAAATGGTGATCTCCATGTATATTTCCGGAGTGCTGAAGTTGCGGACACGGTGAGTCAGTCATCTTAGGCACCCACCCCTTCTTAGCAGGTTCCCTATATAGGTGTGTCGCCTTCGAGCCAAAGTGTATATAGCCGGCGTTGGCAGCGTTAATCTGTCATGGTACGCTGGCAATAAACGCTGATCAACATATCCACTCTCCAGTCCTGTTTTAGGTGAGCTTCCTCGAAGCAAGATATCTTCCATACCAACTAATGGGATTTGCAGTGCCTTGAACCATCTGTACAGCAACCTACCCCGATTTCCCCTCACATCTAATTGGATCTCAACTACGACCTCCTTTAGAGATACGACCATACATCATGATCAATTATGCCCCATTCTATGAATATTGCCTGACGAACAACATTATGCCGTGAGTGCGAATGATCTTTATCTCCCTTATTTAACTGACACTCATCTCAGGCCACCTTATATATGTCACTATTCCCGGAATCCATATTTATCCTACTTTCGTGTGCTGCTTGTCAGCACAAGCTAGTATACAGCCTAATCAATGAACGAACGTTGCATCAGCATCCCCACATCTCTGTCAATGTAGCACCACCCATTCCTGATGCATGGACTTTTACACTACGAGTACATATACTTCAATCTACCCTTCCACTCATATCTCGTTTTGTTGTTTGAGTTCGTTCGTGATCGTCTGTACATGTATGTATACTAGTTGTTCAATAAGGATACGGATTCATCTGCCTGACTTGTGTCGTGCGATATATTAGTGATAGTGACCGCTTTGGGTAGTAGTCTTTCACTAAACGAAGTAGGCGTTCGGAACCCTCACAGCTGAGCGGATCAAGCGGTTGTCATCCAAGTGCCAGTTGAAATCACTAGGCGAGGGCACCAGTACGCTATGGCTGAACAAAGATATTGAAAAATAAGCCAAGTAATCACAGAATCAATAAACGCATACTCGTTTCTGAGGTGGTCGGTCATTTCTCTTGATATGAACATCAAGTCGCAATGGTTACAGCGCAACCGAACAATCGACAGTATCCCCTCCTGCTGAAGAACACCAAGCTTCCTCTCGGACGCTGCATTGGACTCTAGTACCTCGAAGAGCCTTAATTCTTGTTCGTTTGTGACAAGCTTGAGAACGACATCAATGGATTCATGAGTATCGGTGTGGATTGTGTGAAGGATCTATGAAAGAGTTCCAGATTATTCTCATAAAGCAATGCTATACATACGGCCTGCTCCCATCTCATTAATAGCCGTCCATCCCAATCATTCGAACAAGGAATGCAAGTGAATACTGGGTCCCAACTATTCATGTCCTGTGTCGTTGTTATGCTGGGATCCAGATTACAGACCAACTCGATGAGCTGACATGTGTTTCTCCACTGGCTGGGCACCATATCCGCACGGGTTGACCAAGGTAAAATGGGGAGAACGCTCCGTCGCATAACTGTCTCATCGTCATCTAAACCGTTTGGAACGAGCCACCCAACCGTTGTGCATGAATGCGATAGGATACGAGGATAGGAAATGTATTTCTTGCAGGAACGGCAGAGGAATGTCGTCGTTGCAAGATGGAGGTGTGATTTGTCTTGATTGACTTCTTTCATCAGAAGGCCTATCTCTGTGTCTGCCGTCTCCTTCCATTGCTTTGAATAGTCTGAAAAGCGCGCGAAGGCGTCTGAAAAGCTTGCTTCCGTGAGCTCTTGGGTAATAGGTGTGCCGACAATGATTGTCTTAACTGGAGGGGAGATTAGGGCATCGACAGGACTAGGATATGGTGTGGAGGAAGGTTGAGTAGCCAAGAAAGCCTTGTAGAGTCTTGTGAAGAGTTTGGATCGGGTACCTAGGGTTCGAAGTCTCTCAGCGAGAAGACGACTAGCCTTTAGCTCTTCCATATACGTGACAATGGCCATTTCTATACCAGCCCAGACTGAAGGTAAATATAAGCCAGGGATATGATGTAGTAGAACCGGGACACACTTCGATCAGTCAGTGGCCTTGGTTGCCATATAAGTTTGTGTGAAAGCAGAGCAGCAGGGTCCGTTTTCTCGATCTCTTCTGCCCAACCGAGGGTTCTTAATCTATCTGATATACTGCAAACAAATCAGGGTATCGTTTCAGCAATATGCTCGAAACTTACTCTTTAAGCCTTTTGAATCGAATAGCCAAAAGCTCTTTGCCACGACGTTCAACCCGGCTCTGGTACCAGGATTCGCATTTCTCTGCGTGCTAGATGATATCATGACATTCAGTTTACGTCGAGGTAATTAAATCACCAATATAATGCACCTCCTTAATATTTTTATAGGCCATCTTAGCATTCTCACGCCACTTCTGCAGTTGCTCGGAATCATCTTTAACGTTCCCATAAGATTGCTTCAGCTTTTGAGTATACAGACGATGGTATCGAAAGTACACTACATAATTAGTGAAAGTGTAGCGAGAAGAAAACTAGTAAACTCACTTGCTCTTCCGTCATCCATAGAAACGAGGGGGTTGTAGAGCCGCCACGGTGAATCAATTTGTGGACTCATCCAATCTATAAAACTGCCAAGATGCATCATAAGTAATTCTAAAGAATGAGACCTGAACGTACTCTGGTGAAGTAAGGAAGCATTTCTTGCAAAGGCGTGTGCGTGTTTCCCATTGCGCTCGTCGAGCAGGCTTCAGACAGGACTGACAGTATGTCCCGAAGAGCAGTTGAGCATATTGCGCCTCGTTTAGATCTGGCGGTATATCTGGTAAGCCATCGACATTAGAACGAGCTGTCTTCCAAACTGATCTAGCAGAATCCTGTAGGAGTAGATGTCGGAGTTGCTTGCTCGTTCTTGATAGTTGTAACAAGTCCAGGGGGTCCAGGTGTCCGAAAACCTATGAGCTCAAGGTGAAATGCCATGTTTCAACTGGTAGAAATGAATGTGCTGACTTCATATACAACATCTAGAGGGACATCCTTCATCATTCGAAGAAACCCCCGGAGGTTTCGCCTCTTTTTCACTACTGGGCCATTCGGACCACTAGCAGTAGCTGGCCGTTTCAAAGGCAAGTCAAGGGGAACATCCCGGGCATCATCGTCGTCAGAGTCCAAGTCGATGGCATACGATTTCCTGGTCACATTCCGGGTTGAGCGGCGCACGGACTTCATGGTCGTAAAGCAAGGGAAGCACCGCACCGGATGTGCCGAAGTTTTATTCACCGTGCGAACAAATGGAATAAAATAGGAAATCTTTTTGCTGTTTACAGAATTGCTGACGTCACTCCTTTTTTTTGGTGAATGCCTCCGCTTGATTGGCAGGCGTCAGTGCTATGAATTGTTACAAAGCTCGCAGGAATGTCTCTGGGCCTGTATTTATCACACGCTCATCACTTTTGCCCACCGTGTAAATAGCACACCATCATACCGCAGCAGATGATGCCCTTGTATGGGGAAACTTCGAGCAGTACCTCAATGCTTCCCGCTCGGAGGCCAGGTGAATACTTATTCATATACCCGCAGATTTTCAGCTCTCATCACTTCTTCAAGTTATACAAGTGTAGGACCCGCAAGTTCTCTGCATGACCTGTCAGGGCCTGTGAGCTTTACTATCAGCTGATGGGTGGAACGGGTACCTTTCTCTTCAGCTTCAGAGCAGAACACTCATAATGCCTCACTATTCAGCGGACTACGGCGAACAGCATATCAAAACCCATAGACATGGTCGATACGGCCATAAGCATAACGAAGGTCTTTATCCACAATGGTCAAGAGATAATCCGCTTCATTTCTTCGGCCACTCTATAGTAATTATTCAATATGAAGTTGTCCCCACTTCTCATAATTGTCACGTCTGTATCAGGGAGGCCCCATGATAATCAAACTACAATATCTTTTGAAACAAGGCTATTTTGGAGGACACGATCACCCAGATATGGTCTTGTCAATCACAACCGGTAAGTTTCCGAATGAAAAGCTTAGCGGAGAAACACCTCATGGCGTGTTTTCAGTTTCCTCTCCTTTTAGAAGCACACCTATCGTCTACACTCTTGGCGAACATATAAACGCCACGCCCGCCGTGCGCCCAGGGTCCGTCGGGGATCTCATAGCGAAGGCTGTTCATCTAATCATCTACCTCAATCCGTTTTTGCCTGAATCCCTCGATATTTGGCATTCAGAATCATGTTCACTTTCATTTCATGAAATACCCTTCTCTGGATTTCTCCGAGAATTCTGGAAGACCTCTTGGGCAACAAGCCGAGACGCAGCTCCATTTGATGTTACCTTCATGGCCGCGGACGAGAGGGAGGCTAAAATGGAAGGCGAACCTAATCCAGGGACATTCTACGAGAGCTTTGCGACATTCATGGTAAGTATATCTATCTATACGTTCCTCGGAGAAAAGGGACATAGAACTAAGTGTTTTAACTCTAGACGCACAAAGACGTCCGCCACAATACACATAAGCCAGCCTTCAAATACTTGATTTCGGTCCTCCCAATGTACCTGATGTCTCAACACATTGCAAAGTTTGATTTAAGCAGCGTTTTGCCGGTACCGTCATTCCTGCAAGTGGAAGGGAGAGATCTGAGCGGGGAAACCCGTATGGACCGTGCATGTGCGGACGCCAAACCTAGTCGAAACGGGCACGGATCTGACGTTGAGGAGGGGTTATACGGGAGAAAACTTTTGCTGGTAGAAATAGGCGATGAATATCGGGTAAATGACGGTGTGGTACCGGTCTTTTCTCAATGGCATCCTCTACCATGCAGGTAAGCAAATCTCCATTAAAAACAGCGGTGCTTTGACATCATCAAAACCTCCAGAATGACGAAGTGTCGGCATTACCCTGCGGACCGACTTTCGAAACCTTTGGTTCCGGAACTTGGCGTGCGGCAAATATAGGAAGTTGCTGACGCCACCCACGCTTCTGGATAGAGGTCGGTAACTGGTTACGAAAGACCGATGGGGTTCAAGACCTGAGGAATTAACTCTAGGAACAAACCATTCCAACTTGTAGTACTGCTGACAACGAGACAGAACATGATACAACATTATACTATACAGATAATGAAAGTGAGTGCATGATGTAGGATGTGGGAAAATGAAGGTATGATACAGTACAGAGCGTCTTGACAAGAGCATGAGAGTGGATGTGATGAGCTTGAAATGCGAGATGATATGTACAGTAACAGAAACATATGCACATGCAATCCATAGTACATGACTTGGATAGACAACTTTTGTTCGCACAGGGCGAAAGAAGAACATTAAAATGTGCACGTGGCAAAGAAAAAGATAACAGAAAACAGAATACGACATTGGCTGTAAAGATCGTGGTGGTAGACGTGTGCAAAATATGAGACAGGAAATCTGAAAGGATAACAAGATATAAGAAACCGAAGAGATGAACGGTCCAAAACAAGGTGTTTTTTTGTGTTTATGTGCAGCGAAAATGAGTGAGGAAGGCGAAGATCACGGAAGGAAATGAAAAAAAGAGACGAATGAAATCGAAAGGAAAGATGTGTGCAGCAGATATTACCTAGAATTGAACGGGAAAAGGTACTGTGTGCTGTGGCTGAGCTAGGCCCACATTATTGCCGTTCGGTCGACTGTGGCGATTTGAAAGAGGTCGATTGCTGTTCCTATTGGGATTGAACTGCTGGTCTCGACGGCCGGTGTTTCGCCTCAACGATGGATTAAGGTGATTGGCACTAAGATCATGGCTTGCACGAAATGTGGTTGCACTCGGAAGAGGCATAGGCCCGGATGGGGTCATCGCCTGATGGGATCCCGAAGCGGGAAAGGCAATGGTGGGTTGACTGGCTGGTATCCAACCCATGCCTCCCGGAGGCGCTAGCATTTGACGAACTTGCATAGACATCCTCGGAGGTACTTGGCTGGGGGCTCCGTAAGTGGGTGCAGGGGGCGGAGTCCAGTTCATGGTCTGCACTGGAGCTTGACCGCTGTTAGACGGAGTAGGAACTTGCCCGCCCGTCATGTATTGGTCGATGGCTTCAGGTTGGTAGACTGCGATGAGAGTACCTTGATCGTTTTGTATGAATCCTGTTGGTATCACAGGAGGCTGCTGCACCTGCGTTTGTTGAGGCGCTGACGAATCAGCGTTATGAGTCGGCCTCGAGGGGAAGGCAGGGTAGGGAATATATGCCTGAAACGCCATCAATAAGCGCAACGATAAGAAACCTGCCGATACGTACACCATACATGCCCATGGCCCACAAATTTTGGGGCGTAGACACGGGTCCATTGGCATCAGAACCTGTGGCGCTTGAATATCCCGGAGCAGAAGGATGGGAAACAGCATATCCGGCTTGAATGGCAGGGCCTGAGAAATAAGGAACTGGGTACTGCATATGTGGAGTGTAAGGTTGAACCCAAGGCGGAGGCGGATAATACGTTCCAGCTGGCACCGGGTACTGAATACCAGCACCACTAGCACCAGGAAAAGGCACACCAGGATTAAGATTGACTGGTGACGAGGTCTCTGTCGGTGACGGCTCGAGAGCATCATACCATTCGCGATAGTTCTCGGTCGGCGGTGGCGCTTCCATTGTCCCAAGAATTTTCGCTGCTTCTTGATCATGAACCGCGGTCGACACAGTCTCCGTATCGCTCGGAACCTCAGAAGTCCTCTTGGGTGCCGTATCTTCTGGTTGAGTGCCCACGTCGAAAGACGATGGCGCGTCGGTATCGACGGAAGGCATTCTCGATGTTTCCCCTGGAGCTACCACGTCGGTCCGATGGCTATGCTCCCTATGATGGTGCATTTCATTCGTCTCACCGTAAGGCCGATGAGACATAACGTTGTGGTAAGGGTAACGTCCACGCCCTCGGCCATATTTCCAGCTACTACGGGGCGGGTTACAATCCCGAAGTTGAACACGCATGGCACGACCCTCGTAAACTCGATTGTGCTATCATCGTAAGAGTCAGTAAGTATAGCTAACTTCGAGGAAAAAGAACAACAACCTCCTCAAAAACAGCGCGAGCAGGCGATTCGGTGTTGTCGAACTTCACGAAAGCAAAGGCGGCGCGGCCATTCACTGAATTTCGTAATCAGCGAAGATTTGTGTGGCGCTGTCGCAGTAAGAACCTACCTGGCCTGACCACCTTGACGCTCTCTAGCCCACCGAACTTGCGGAAGAAGTTGCTGACCTTTTCTTCATCCCAAGCGCCCGGACCATACATCTCCAACCCCCCGACGAACAAGGTAGTCGGATCCAGTAACCTATCTTCACGGTTATGGTCCTCTGGATAGCCGTCCTTGTCCTTTGAGTCATACCCATTGAACGAAACTATGCCATGCAAGTCACCGATCGTGCTGGGAGGTGTCGCGGGAAACATAACTCCGGGGGTCCGAGGTGTGATGGGAGACATCCCCAACCCAGGAGTCGGAGGCATATCCAACTCTTGCTCGATGTCTTGGTACCTCGCCGAGTTCTCTTCTTTTTCGGCAGCGAAGGATTCTTCCGACATATCGTACGTGACGTGAGGCGTGTCGGACAAGGAAACGGGCCCCATGGTAGATGCCAACCTAAGGGTTCGACCGCAACGCGAGCACGTTATTAGTAACAATCAAGTTCTGACGGAAGCCGAGAACCGCTCACCCATCAATCTCTCTGGTATCTCCTTTATCTTCTCTCTCGTCTTCTGCCTTCTTTCCACCCCAAACGCCACTGAAATCTGTTTTGCGTTCCTTAACAAGAGGAGGAAAGTCCATTTCATTCCACTCGCCCTGTGATGATCCCGAAATAGGCATCGAAGTATCGACGAGAGTGGAGTTCATGGAGGGAAAAGTTGATTCCCCTTTACAAGCAGCTTGAGGCAATGCCTTCCACACTCCAACACTCCCCGTGGCACGACCGTATTCCTCAGTTGTGGTAGAGTTCCTTCGAGATCCGCTAGACAGAGATGCGGCGAGCGGGCTGCTCATGTGGCCCTGGTCGTGCAAATACATCGGGTACAGGGCGGCATTGGAAGAAGGGGAGCGATTCTGATAAGGAGATTGTCGTCCATGAAAAGTAGGTTGGTGTGCCCAGGTCACCGTCAGATGCGGGACTCGACGAAGAGTCTATAATTCTTGAAGCGTTAACAGCGGATCTGATGCGAAGATGGGCGTTCTTACCATCAGTGCACTGATGCAATCATCCCTGTGCGCCCATTTCACCTCAAAACAACGAGTATCCATAGAAGCGGACCGAGGGCCGTCGTGGGGATAAGGATAATGTTTTCGAAGACTGTCATATTCAGAATCTATGTAAAATGTCAGAAAAGTACATAGAACTTGAATCGCGTCACCTGTTGCGTCTTCAGCCTTATATGGCTGGAACTGTTCTAGTGGCCCGAAATGAAAACAAATCGTCTTGATAGTCTGAACAACATATTCAGTATTGTCATTGAATGCAAGTAGGAAAGAGCTGAAGCAAGGGAATTTTGGCCACCGCCGAATGCTTTCGACTCCTGGAAGGAAGGGCGAAAAGGAACGTTTACTCACTTCAGCATCACACGTAACTGGCTGTAGATGCAATACTTGATCACCACAAGAGTCGCCACTGAAACGGCTTTTGAACGCAGAAGCTCGGTTCTCAGCTTCGATTGCTTCTGCATTGTATAGAAGGGCTAGATATCTGGCGGGATGTATTAGATTGGCGCTCCCAAATGAAAAGCGGGCTGAACTTGGAATTTCTTGGCCTCCACAGTCTCATGGCGTAGGGGAGGTCCAGTTCTACATGTTTTCCCCGATTATGTTCCCCGGGGACAGCGTCGCGATCCGCGATAGGGATAAATTGCATCGGTGTGCTAAGAACAGACTCTAAGTACGGAATGGTATTAAATTATTGAAGAACGAACCGATAAGATAACAACAAGGTCCTAAAGGCTCTTGCCGGCTCATAGCGCAAGTGGCGACCCAAGAAAGGCTTAGGCTCTATGGAATGAAGAGTGTGTATAAGGCTAGTCGCGGCCGCTGCGTCCTGAGGACGAAGCAATCAGAAAGAAAGCCAGAACACGACACTGCAAAGAAGATAGGGTGCATATATGCGGTGGAAAAGAGACAAACCTCGCATTGCACGAAAGCGCAGACACCGCCTTTGGAGTCGCGAACTACCTTTACGTTCTTGACCTGTGCATGTTCCGATAGGTGCAGAGATAATAAACGGGCCAATTCCGGCTGGTCAATGTTGCCGGGAAGACTGGAACACACGGTAAGAACTGCTGTGAGCGATGAATGAAAACTAGTACCTTCCGACAAAAACGCTGGCGTCATGAGGCATTTTCTGTTCTTTCTGCCTGTTTGACGCGTCAAAAGGAGCTTGACTGCCGTTGGCAGTTTCAACGTCACGCGAGGAGTGGTTGAAAGAGCTCGGAGAGAGTGGTGGGGAAGTTGAAGGGAGCGAATCAAAACGAGTTCCCCAAGCGCGTGAAGCAGTCGAAGACTTTGCTGGCATATGGATAGAAAGAATAGTTCTGAGTAGCGAAGAGTGAAGAATGGAAAGGCTGGAGGTGGGGATGGAAGGGCGATGGTGGTGGCAGAGGAGGGAGAGAGATGATTGGGACAGAAAAGGGCGGTGACCACCGGCCGGCTTTCAGATAAAAAAAAGAAAGGAAATAAATGCACTAAATATTGAGCCATTTTCCAAATATTACACCCTCCAACAGTATCACAGCTTGTTCACAGTTCACCTGAGTCTTCGCGTACAGCGAGAAACGTTTCTCGATGGCCGACCAGCAGCGACGATCTCGCTACAGAGATGTCTGGTGTCAAGTCAATTCCGAAGCAAATTGGAGATCCATCGTACTCCCTGTTCTCGAGTACCCGCACCGCTGTGCTTGGGAAACAAGAACGATATTCGTTTTTCACTGTGTCTGTTCAATGTGCCACGGCAAGATCTTGGAACGAAAAGGTAGGCTGACAATCTCCGTGCAAACCGAGTATTCTATCTGACCTGTATAGTTTGAGCCCTCATGGCATCATGATCCACCTTGGCATGCTTCTTGATTGAGAAATCAAGAAGCTATATAGAGCAGCCGCAGAATCCTCGATTTCCGGTGAAAATGAGATCTGCAAGCTATTCTCTGGGATCACTTGTTATCACCAGGCAGGCCATTTAAGTATATATAACTGCTTTTTCCACGCATAGTCCTGCCAGAATAGCAACTAGAAACGGTCGAGCCCGAGAGAGTCGGCGTTGTAATGGAGATATCGTAGAGCAAACGACATCCACTGGTGACCTGGCTTAAGACCTAGAATTCCAGATATATTGCTACGAAATTCAGGTCCAATAAGATCCCACAGCAGCGCAAAGAAGACGTTTTTTTGACATTGAAGGAGAAGGGAAGCTCCGATACAAGCAGGCTCTTTCACTTCATTGGGAACAACCAAGTCAAGCAAAGGTGGTCTTCAAGTTAGGCCATTCAAACTCCGACACCTTCCTCTGTCAACCCACCACATTTTTTAAATTTTTTTACAGACGCTCTGTAGCCCACATTCAGCCAATCCCTTGCCTCTAGAAAAATGTCTGACGATGGCTATGGTGGTGGTGGTGGTGGTGGTGGTGATGACTATGATTATGATGGTCCGAGGTACGTTATGCGCCTCCTACCGTATAACACTGCCGTTCTTACTATGATTGTAGTTACACTGAAGATAATTTTGTGTGTACATCTGCTGCTAGTTTTTCCTGTTCAATACATTTATTGGCGCTATTGGGTGTGATTTGGACTTTTAGGACAACGACTACGACTTGCTCAATGCTGGCCAAGAGGGCGAAGGTGTTACCCAGGCCGAGGAAGCCGACGGGGCCGCTACTGGAGACGATGGCAACCAGTTGAATGGTGTCAATGGCGTGGAGCAAGACCAGGAGATGGCTAATGGAGAGGATGAGGCTGCTGCCATTGGGACAGGTTTAGCGGGGGAACGACAACCGAACAAAGTTCGAATCACAACGCCGTACCTGACTAAGTACGAGCGAGCACGGATACTGGGAACGAGAGCGCTGCAAATCAGGTTTGAAACACGTCTTCGACTGGAAACTCACACTTAACGTCCTTATAGTATGAACGCCCCGGTTCTCGTGCCCCTTGACGGTGAAACGGATGCGCTTCAAATCGCTATCAAGGAGCTGTCGCAGCGAAAAATTCCTCTTATCATTCGACGTTATCTTCCTGATGGGAGTTTTGAAGATTGGAGTGTGTCGGAGCTAATTACAGATTGATGAGAATGGACATTGCTGATTGTAAACTTAGAATATTTGTCGTACTGTTCTCCCTTGTTTTCGCCAAGTCTGTTGATCCGCATAAACAAGTCCCAGCCATCATGGAATATTATAATTTACTGCGTATGTATAGCAAAATGAAGCAGGATAGTGCCTGCCACTCATGTGTCCACATTTCGTCCAATAATAACTTCAACCTTCCGACGACTCTGCGGACGTCGTTGACTGTCTCCGGACACAGCTTTTGAAAGAAGTGCTTTGCCAGCTCTTTCCGTCCTTGAGCGTCCGTCGTTTGGCCGCGGAGGGTTGTTGAGGTCTTGCATCGACAAATCAACTATGCAACTGTTGTCGATCTTTGCGAAGTCATCCAGGCCAATGACTTGGTTCGTGCTATTGCCAAACAGCAAGCCTCGTTCTTCTGGTTCCAGGCCTACTTTGTCGGTCCTTATGCGACGCTTCGATGGACTAGAGTCACTGTCGTTGTAGTGAGAGGCACCTTGTCGTCGTTTGCTTGGTGAGCCGGGGGATACTAGTGACTTCGTAATGGCTAAGCCAGAAAGGTCGGGTGTACTGAGAATCATGTCCACAGATGGCACCGGTGGAACGTTCTCATCAGAATCCCGGAATTTCTTGTATTCTGAGCAACAAAAATCAGCAGGCCCGACACATTCAAGGAACGAAAAAGCTTACCTTTCGTTTTGCCTTTCGTTCCAGTAGCAAGGCGTGGTGCATCCTTGACGGATCTGAAAGGCGAGGCCATACTAACATCTCCATCAACTGTTACGAGCTTCTGCTGAATCTCCCAATCCACTGGACGCATCTTCTTCCAATCCTCAATGACTTTGTCAACCCACGCGTCTGTCTCTCCGGCAACGTAGTAATCAATGACATCTGACCATTCTGATCCTGGCGCAGTCTTGTTCACAAAGACCACCTTCCCAGCCCATCGTTTCGTTTTGCCGGTGCTTGTCGACGAGGCGCCCGAATGCGCATGAACAGCTTTGGCAAAATCTTTGACGAGTTTCCTCAAACCATGTACTTTGAGTGATGTGCCCATGATTATTAACATGTCTGGCTTGCGATTGATATCACTGGCTTGGATAGAACCGATATCATCCCCTAAGGGGTGAGGCTCATCGTAAAGTACAATGGCAGGTCTGAGAGAGCCTATTTTCGTGGCACGAGCAGAACGAGCTACACGAGCCGCAGCTAGACAGACAATTATAAGGATTGTAGATGCAGAGATGTGATAATGGCCACTTACAACGTTGCGTGCAATCTGGACAATGGGGAGAAAGGCCCTCATTGAATATACTGACGTGCTCTGAGGTGCAAGGGTATTCGGAGGAACAAGCCATACATCGGACACGGTGGATGTCACCGTGAAGCTGTACGTTGCGAACTTCCTTGGCTTTGATCTTGGATTTACAGCGAGAAGACGACTTTGCCTCTTGGCTGCCACTACCTAGCAGACCGACCCGTTCCTCAAGACCATCTATGTTCTGAGTGTAGGAGCGGAGGAGTTTCTTCTTCGTGTCCAATGTTTTGATGAAGCAATGGGTGGGAGTGGGCGATGCAGAATCAATAGACTGTTTGAGCTGAGAAATGAACGTGTAAAAGACAGATGTGGCGGTTGTATCACGGAATAGAGACGCGTCAAAGAGGTCACGACCCTTCATAACGGCGTTGGGGTATCGTTGCTTAACGAGGGCGTACAAGCCATCCGAAGAACGGAAATCCTGAATAAAGGGGTCAGTATATAAGTCAACTTTTCGCGTAGGCATTTCAAACTTACTGGAATCCCTGACGAACACGATATTCCGGCTCCTGTAACGACAACAATCTTTTTACATTTGGCAACAGACAGAGAGAGATCTGAAAGGGAGCGCCTGGTCGAGGAGTCTATCTTTACAGCATCGAAATCCAAAGTGACGGTCATTGGTGGAAGAGAGAAAAGATGTAATGGCTTCCAACTGCAATGAGACTTTCCGCTTTTGGATTCAGAACCAACACTAACATTGTTGCTTATGAAAGCAGCTGATCAGCGCGTCTGTCACATGATTCTACCATTTACGCGTCAAGGAATTTTCTTTTTCAAATATTTACTTCATGGGGTCCACAATCACGCGAAACACAAGTGCAACCTAGTACTGAATAGGACTCTGCAAAACTACGTGGGTAAAATTACATCGGAAACACTGATGGTGAACACAGTTATACAAAATGTAAGGTATAATACCGGCTACAAATTAAATAATTCCGGTTTAACATTCTGCGGGCATACCATCAGTTCCGTTTACTTATAGTGATGGTAGCATTAGGACTCACCATTTTACAAAGACGAGCCAAAAGTCCAGCTAGTTGAATGACAGTGCCCACGCCTTCCAATATTCGCATATGTGTGAAACCGATCTCCTATTGAGACTATTTAGTGTGAGATGATTATGACAAGACATTACGCTGACTTTAATGTACTCCAGCTTGGTATATTCTGGTATTCTACAGATACAATCAGAAGAAAAAATCAACGTCAAAGAAAGAAAGAACAGCTCACTCGTCAAAGGTCTTCACAACGCGAAATATAGTGACAACGATATCCACAGCACTATATCCTTGGTCCCAAAGATCATTGAGTTTTTCCATCGCCTGGCCAATGTCTCCTTTGAGACAGAAGCGTATCATTGACTGAACAATAATGGGATGTGGCTGATCGCAGACTTTGAAGACGTTGTCACCGGAGACGAAACCGAAACCGGAGTGTGTTGACTGAAGATTATTGATAGCTTGACGCATGTCACCCTCCGAAGTGAATATGAGAGCGGTGAGGCCATCATCATTGTGCTTGACCTGCCGAAGAAGAATTCAGCATCTGGCAAACGTCACTGTGACTATCGCACATTTTCCAGTTCGCATATCTCAAGAAGGCGCTTTAAAAGTTCTTGATCTTTGAGCTTCGCGTATCGAAGGATGGCGCAACGACTCTGTATAGGTTCGATGATCTTGTTGCTCATATTGCATGCGAGACAGAAACGCGTCGTGTTCGAAAATAGTTCCATTGTCCGTCGAAGGGCTTGCTGAGCGCCTGCTGTCATACTATACAAAATGAGCCGAGTGTCTTTGGAATAGTACAATGAGAAGGGCAATGACCTGTCGGCCTCATCTAGAATGACAATCTTGTGCCGTCCAGGAGGCAGTGTAACTTTCTTTTGAGCGAATGATTTGATCTTATTTCGAACAACATCGATGCCCCTTTGATGGCAGGTGAGATGTAATAGATAAAAAGATAAAAATGGCAAGTACCGTTCGTCAGAGGCGTTTAATTCCAAGACACCCTCTTTATACGCGTCGCCGAGAAGCTGATGCGCCAGGCAGTGGATGCTTGTCGTCTTGCCGATACCGGGCATACCCTGAGGCAAGATCAGCAGCATGCCTGACACAAGAGAGAGCGACGTGCAGATATAATGATATGGGGACAGTTTCCATCTCTTGCAATGATCTTTAGACGGTCAATAGTGTCTGCATTTCCCACGACATCATCGAGAACATTGGGTCTGTATTTTTCCACCCTGCAGCGAGGTCAGTGGCAGTCAAATCAAAGATACATGTTTCATACCATGGAAGCTCGTAGGGCATCTCTGCAGCACCATTCGTTTTCTTTGACTTTGAAGTAGAGGCAGCCATGATGGATCACGAAAAGAGCGCGATGTCACACTGTGTGACATCCTGTGACTAGACGTGTTTTTAAAAAAAGCTGTAAGATTATATATATTACGCTCACGGCACGCGATGCCCTGTCTGGCTCGCTGTGTAAGAAATCCTTGTAGAGTATGGCTGAACCGTCAGTTCAGTGAGTATTCTTCCATTTATTCAAAGATATCACTGACGACCTTTGAGGCGACGGCATCCAACGATGCTTCATGTCGTCATCGGCAAACGCTGGGGCACTTCGAACGTCTTCAGCGCTGATGCGTCCCATCCTCAATTATCGTGACATTTCAGAAAATGCGGTCTACAAAATGTCGAATGCTGTGAACCGCAAATCTCCAATTACGCCCGTTGCTATTCAGTCCGTCGTCCGTGATTACAAGTCTTTAAAAGACTTATCCTCATCGCTCAATGCTAAGCGAAACACGCGTTCTATGATTGGCGATAAAATAAAGAAGTTCGGGCAAGAAAAGAACCAGGAGGCTCTAATTGCCTGCTTAGAGGAGGCAAAGGTGTTGAAGGAGGAAATATCGCAGTTAGAGAAGACTGTCTCGGAACTGGAACAGGGCCTCCTCGACACGGCGCTTCTCATACCCAACGACACACATCCAAATTCACCACTAGGACCCGAGTCCTCTGCTGTTATACTCTCGTCTCACGGCCCCAGTCCTGGACCTGCCTCACCACACCGAGACCATTACTCGATATCTCAGAGTCTTGGTCTCGTTGACTTTGAAAACGCTGGAATTGTGACTGGCGCGTCTTGGTATTATTTGAAGCATGAAGCAGCCCTCTTGGAGTTGGCGCTAACGAATTATGCAATGTCTGTAGCCATGAAACATGGGTTTGCGCCTATCATGACCCCAGACGTCGTCAAAGGCGATGTAGCAGTACGATGTGGATTCCAACCTCGGGACCACTCAGATCCTCTTAAGTCACAGGTTTACCATGTCGACTCCCATCTTTCTTCTTCCTCATCTAAACTCATACTTTCCGGGACATCAGAGATACCACTTGCTGGTCTCTGTGCTAATCAGTTATACCTCAAATCATCTTTGCCGTTGAAGATGGTCGGACTCGGACACGCTTTCCGCTCGGAAGCTGGTGCGCGCGGTGCCGACACAAGGGGACTGTATCGAGTACATCAATTCACCAAGGTGGAACTATTTGCAGTCACTACGGAGACGGACAGTGAGAAGATGATGGAGGACATGAAAATTGTACAGATAGCTATTTTTGATAGCCTGGGATTCCCTTTCAGGTGTGTCTACCTAGCCTTTGTCGTGCTATGTTGTCTTGAAATTTCTCAGGGTCCTCGATATGCCATCAGAAGAACTTGGCGCCAGCGCATACAGGAAATTTGACATAGAAGCTTGGATGCCTGGTCGTGGTAATTGGGGCGAGATATCTTCACTGTCAAATTGCACAGACTATCAGGCTCGTCGGCTGTCGATCAAATATCAGCGACCTGTCGTGAATCAGCAGGGTACTTTAACACACGAAAATGTGTACGTGCATACCCTTAACGGTACTGCTGCGGCTATTCCTCGTTTAATTGTCGCGCTCTTGGAAAATGGCGCCACATTTGACGAAAAAGATTCGCTCATAGGTCTGAAGCTACCAGATGTTCTTCGCCCCTTCTGGCTTGGTCAGTCCACGGGACGAAATATCATTCAATGGGTCTAGTAGGTTTGAGACAGAGGTGTGAACGGGCCTGCAAGAACTCTTACCTTGCAACTTTATTATTTAACCAAGACTCGAGATGTCAGCTTATCGCTATCCTCATGTAACAAACGCTATAGAACAGCATATATATGTACATTTATTACCGCGACTGTTCCCCCAGATCACCATTTCTTCGACGGCTCTATGGAAACCTCGTCAGCAAAAGGGTCCGCAAACGGATCCTCCACATCGATCAACGCAACATTAGAACCGCCTTCGCCTTTGTTTGAAACACGAAGATCCACTCTCGCAGCATCTGGATCATCATCGACGTAATGCTTTCGTGTTTGTCTCCACGCTGCTGCAGAAGTATCACGGGTTTCTTCATCTGATGATTCGTAGTCACTGAAGTCCGATAGCGAGCCTCTGGCATCATTGCTTTCGTCTGAATATGTAGTAGAGGTAGAAGGCCGCAACGGTGGTTGTAGGTTCGTAGAAGAACTACCAATCGAACCGAAATTAATGTCTTGCAGGTCAGCATACGCGCCGCTATCGTTCCGATACTTAGCACGTTCGACAGCAGCACGCTGCTTCTCCTGCAATTTAATAACTTCACTTTCTCCTGTTAAGTGGACCTTTGCAAGGGGGGCCGATAAGGCGTCAGCCCCGTCGTTTGGTTTCTTCGCCGGGGCTTTTGAAGCGTTATCATAAGTCTCCAGAGCGTTGATAACCCTCTCGTTGGTTTCGATAAGGGTTCCTATTAATTCTTCATTCTCCACGAGCTGTGATCCTTTGATTAACATGGGTTTCAACCAGAAACAAGCGGACTTACTTGTATGTAGCGCACTATCTGCTTTCGTGCCAATTTGGCTTTTGACAGACATTCTTGGACGCGTTCATTGGTTTGCAAACTGTCGGTCTCCCTATTAACAAGCTAAAGGCGAGGTTAGAACTGACGATAAGAGAGCATAAAGACCTACGGTGATAGCATTGACGAGATTACTAGAAGCCTGGGACGCGTCAACGATACTTGATAATACTTTCGGTTTCTCCTGTAACAGTGTTATTGCAGCGACAGTAGACAGTAGACAACAAAAAGTCGCTCGCCTTCTCAAAAACAAAAAGGGCGCGTTTGGCCTTGGGTTGATTCTTCTTCCGTTTCTCCTCTTTCCGTCTTTCTTCTTCTAGCCTCTGACGCTCTTTGGCTTCGGCTTTTTCCTGAGCCTTGCGTTTGGCTTCTTCCAGTTTCCGCTGTTGTATTTCGGGGTCCAGATAGGTATCTGTGACATGCGGCCGATCACGGACGGTTTGCGAATAGAGATTGGAGAACATGGACATGGACGGGTCAGATTGGAACTGTTCGTGCCATGATTTGAGAACGAGAATTAGCTTTTTCTTCACTCTCTTGTCGGCATAACTATCGCTGGCGAGGTGCTTGAGCGCGTCGGTTAGCTGTCCATCAGCAAATGATGCTTTAAAAGAATGAGATAGACCGTGAACAGATGACACTAGAACGCACTTTTAAATTTGTCTCCACAGTTTTCTACCAATGCTTTGAGGATCTAAGATATCTCAATGAGAAGGGGCGAGGCCGGAACGATATGAGACGCAGCTGACCACGAGAGCACGATACTGCTGATGCGGGCTGCCGTGCTTGAGTTTCTTGCGTAAAGCACGAGAGGCCTCAGTGGGACTAGAGCAAGATATTCAGAGAACGCGCTGGACGAGGATGACGGGCAATACCCTGCATGTGGCTGGAGGTTGATGGCGTCGACGAGCTCCGGAATACTGCATTTACATCATATTGACATTACTTTACCAACACGGCGTATCAACGCACCCATCATAAGCCTCCTCCGCAATGGTGCTTGCCGTCAGGATCTCGACCCAATCGGTGATGGAAGACTGTGCACTGTGAGCAAAAATCGCAGAGATCCAGGAGATAATGACCGTACATGGGGCTTTTCACGACCAAATGCTTCCCTTGCAAACTTTATTGCAGACATTTCGGCGAGGAATGCAGAAAGGGAGAGCCACTTTTGGAGACGCCTGAGAGTACGAGGAGATCACAGCAAGCATGAATTTAGATAATAGTCTTCCTAAAAGAGAATGATCGGAAGTAAACGTCATTGAAAGGTCTCTTCACAAAGCTACAAATTTTTTTTCCAACAGTGCGTAACAATATTATAGACGAAACGGTAACGGTACTTCTTCGTAACAATCGTACAATTTCCTGATCAGAATAAGACAGTGAACGAAAAATAGATAACAATAAGACAACGAACCTACACAAGGTCTATCCACCCAGAGAGTATAATTTATGTGTTTACTATGAACTATCATCCGATCCTCCGCTCTCTTCGCTCTCGGTGCTTTGGACAGGATTTGCAGAGGGGCCGTTAGGCTGACTATTGTCAATCCCTGGTGGCTGCGCCTGTTGTTGCAATTGAGGTGGTAGTGAACCTCCCGGTACAGGAATCATGCCGGGTTGAGTCATTGCTACGGGGCTTTCGAGAAAGAGTCTTATCAGAACACTTTCAAGAGCAACGACGCTGGCAAACGGGTATTCAAAGTTCCGAGCGTGTTCGCGGATCGAGTTGAAGAGGGTCGACATATTTTGCCATCGATCTTGGGACACACCCGTAGCAGGGCCCGGAGGCATGGGGTATGGTTGAGGAACATAGCTGTAAGGTTGAGGCACTTGTGGATAAGGAGGTTGTCCAGGCAAGGGTGCTATCATGGACACCGTGGATGTAAACTGATTCGGTGGCGGAGGGGGAGGAGGCATAGACGTCGACGGAGAAGCGCTGATGGGTGATGAAACACTTTCTTCCTTCCTCGGATGCTTGCGAGGTCGCTCTTTTTCTTGCTGAACAGCGGCCTTGCGACCGCGACGCGTGTATGGAAGATTGGCGAGGCCGATTTCATGAGAATGCTGCGAATTGTCTACAAGAAAATTAGAATGACAATAGAAAGGAAAGGGAGGACTACTGACATGAAGCGCGCACTTCCTCGGTGTTAAAGTACGTTTTGAAGCTGATTGAAGCCGAACAGCCTACTCCCTCGAGCTGTAATACAGTTATCATGACGTACACCGGAGCCTTTGTATGCTCGCCTTTCGACTGGGGACCTTGCGCACCCTATCCGGATGCTTCTTCACGTACTTTTTCCTGCCGCTACGCGAATGGCGAGCGCAGACCAGCTTGGTATGGTCCTTGAAACGAGGAGGGACGGCTTTACTTCCATGGGTATCTCCCTTTGTCCACCAAATTAGCACACATATGCAGACAAAGCACGAGTCCTACCTTGACAAACTCAACCATTTGTGTCTCCTCTTCCTTTTGGCGCCATTCGTTGAAAGCAGCAAGATTAGGAAAGACTAAAGTGTAACCGTCGTCGGAGTCGCCAGATCCATATGGCTGTTTGGATCCAGATGAGGATGAAAAAATGTGACCGTTGCTGGGATTGGTAGTAAAACTTTGGCCAGGAAATTGAACCTCTCCATTCGCTCCCGGGTGCGGCTGCATAAGATGAGGCGGCAATGGTTGGTGCATCGCAAGCTCTCCAAGTCGAAAATGCTGGAAGCTCATCGTGGATAAAGGCCGCAGAGGTGCTAACCTACGGGTACTGCACTGGATTTGGGGGTGAAATCGAAACGAAAGAAGCAACGAAAGTACGGTGAAATTTACGTAAGCTATCCATTTTTTGATAAATCTTGATAAACAAAGTGGTAAAAAAGGAAATCACTCATTTTGGTCACGGTCGTATTTGTACACTTTCAGCCCAATTTTGCTTTTCTTTCTTTAATTATGACTTCGTCGCTGCGAAATTCGATACACCGTCGCAATCACAAGGAGCGGTCCCAGCTCGCCCATCGTGCAAAGCTCGGCATCCTAGAGAAACATGCAGACTATGTCAAGCGCGCACGGGATTACCACTCCAAACAGGACAAGTTGAATCGGTTGAGGCAGAAGGCTGCAGAGAGGAATAAAGATGAATTTTATTTTTCGATGACGAGGGAGAAGACGAAGGTATGAGGTTCTTATTTCTATAGAGAGCCGGCTGACATTCATATAGGGTGGGGTACATGTCAAGGAGAGAGGGAATGTCGCGCTGCCCATTGACATGGTAAAGGTGTTAAAAACGCAGGATGAAAATTACATCCGAACAATGCGAGCCGCTGGCTTGAAGGTGCGTCCTGAGAATTTCATACCCAACCTTCTGCGTCTGAGTGTTCGTTTGCAGAAAATCGATAAAATGAAGGCGCAGCTTTCCGAAATGGTTAATTCAGTCACCGACGAAGACTATGAAGAGTTTGGTAATGGACAAACAAAACTCTTGGAAGAAGCCGGGGTTATTCCAAAGTCCGGGAAGGGTCGGCGGAAGTCAAAGCATATAATTTTTGTGGAAAACGAGGATGAAGGTATGTCCACTAGACTTGTACCTGTGGAACAAAGGCTCATTACTTCGAAAGTACACAAGTATAAACCCGAATCGTCATCGGTGTCTCATGAAGAAACAGTGCAAGAAGAAGAACCTATAGATCTGGGATGGAAAGTACTAGCAGAGAAGAAACGGTCTAAGAAGTGTAAAGTGTCAGCAGAGGACGATGTCAAGATGGAAAATGAGGAAGGTGACTGCGAACCCAATCACGAAGCAACTCTTCGCAATCGTCGACGCCTCTTTCGAGATCTCGCAGCGCGACTGGCACGCGACAAGCAGCTGCGCTACACGGAACGCGAGTTTGAAATGCAACGACTCATGATGGGGAAAGGTGCTCGTAAAAAGCTCAAGGGAGTCGAAAGAGTGGACGGGAGCAAAGATGATGATGGTGAAGACCAAGATGAGCTTGATGCGCGAAAGGGCAAGCCAATCGCGCAAATTGTATCCAAGACATATATACCTCGTGTCTACAAGTGGCGGAGAGAACGGAAGAAATAGATCTCACTATGGAGGAATTAAAATGCAATGGTATTGTAATTGGGTACTTGACGAAAAGTTTGTGATATGTCCCTCCATGTGGTTTTAGATATACAAAGATCCTAATTTTATATCACGATAGATACCCCATAAATGATACCTGATATCACGGCTGCAAAAGCCACCTGTTGCTTCTGACTAGGAAGAAGGACGACGGTTGATGATCCTGCGTTGCTAGATGATGTAGTTGTGGATTTTGGTGTTGCGATAGCGGAAGTTGGGCTATATTCGACACCATTGATGGTTGCTGCGACCTCGAATACAGAACCACCCCCGTACTCATAGAACTACAGGTGGATGAGAAGGCGGAAGAAGCGAAAGAAAAGCAGGCATACATCGACGAGCAAAAAGTTCGGCGCTCGGCTATATTCAGCCTCGCACGTCGCAACCTGGGCACCAAGCGAGCCTGTTCCATTGACAGCATTGGTCTCGTTTGCTTTAGCGACATAAGGAACAGGCTCCCCCAGCACATATCTATCAAGGAAATGGTTGATCAGATACATTTCTGTGGAAGTGTCGCCGTTGGTTCTGTTGACTTCACAGTCGAAAGTAGTATCTGTGACGTCGTACGCTGTCTCCCAGATATTTGTGAATTCTACGAAGCTCGGATGTCAATGATGGTTCGGGCATCGACGGGATATGGGCCGCTGACCATCAATAAGGTATGGTACACTTGCAAAGTCTGCACCGTTGTCCAAGAACGTTATCAGCCGCGTCCCAGCGTCAATGAGCGTGCTTAGAGTCGGCCACGAGTCCCTTGTCAAATTCGAGGAAGTTGGAGAGTAGGAGAGTGTATCCAGGCTTGCCGCTTTGAAAACGGTGTCGTATTCAGTCGCGACAAAATTATCCGAGTTCACAATTAGTAGTGTCACGACTAGAATGCAAAATCTGGATTAGTGGCACGCGGAGAATGGTATGAGGCTATGCACCATCTGCTGTGTTATTTTCCATCCAGGATCTGACTACAAGCCGATGAGTAATAAGCTAAATTTAGCACGCAGACGCCTCATACCTTTTCCAAGGTAATCCTCCAATGTCCCTCCATTGTATAATGACTAGATAACAAGATTCAGATAGATCTGACAAGAGGCGCGCGTTAGACGTACACAACTAGTGTGGCAAAGCTGTATCGTTCCACTGTTGTTATGAGCTTGCATTTGCAGTAATCTGATCCCGTCATTTAATTGCTGTGTGACTGCGAGAATATTGCGTTCAGTCCGCAGTCAACCGTGAATAGCGAGAGTAGTACTTGCCATCATAGTCCTGGTTGGCGGCAACTGCGGGGGGGGGAGGGGGGGGGAGCTCAGGCTCTGAGAATGCACAGCTCGCAGTACTCACGATTATTCGTCCCAACAGCGTAAGAGTCGTGAGCTCCTACGAATGATACATTGCCATAGCTGACATCGCAGAGCTGCAGAAGCGATGAGAAGCCTCGAAAGAACGGAGGAAAAGAGACAGTGTACCTGACTGTAACCGTTGCACGTTGTGGCGCGACGGTGAGTGGTGGCTGCATTGGACGCATGGGAGAGTAGGAACAAAGAAGCGACCTGCGCGAGTAACTTGGGAGAGAAGAGCATGTGTGAGATTAGCTGTCAGTAAAGAATGAAAAGGGGAATAGCAATAAGTAAGCAGCGAGAGAGATGGTGATGATGTTCAAAAGAACAAAGCCAACAGCTTTATTTAAATAAATTACACACCAGGCCCTCGGCACTGCGGCACGTGTATCCGGTGTACATGTACTCTGCTCCAGCGCAGCATGCATTGCTCATTCAATAAAATAAGATTGTAAACAAGTAGTAGTAGAGCAGAGTACAGCCCCCCCGTAAGCCCCGCACCTTTCGGCCGTTCAACCAACGTCGCAGTGATCGCTGCCCTGACCATTTTTGGAGATCTGCAACTGTCAATCCTGTAGGAGGTCTACTCAAACATCTACAATGATCTCCCAATCCTTCGTGATAAGCACAGCCGGATCCTTGATGACTAACACTCCTACCGCCTTCTTACCCTTGTCAGCCGCAACGGTTTTGTACATCCACGCCAGTGGCTCCTCCCTCCCCACAACCCTCACCTCCTTCGGCTCATTCGCTAGCCCAAGAATACTAACCTTCTCCACCCTCACATCTTTAATGCTCTCCTCGTATTCTCCTTCTCGCTCAGCAGACAGATTCTTATTAGCCAACTTCACCCCCTTCTTCCCGTTCTTCTCAGCGATAAACTCTCTCCACACGTAATCGCCGTCCTGGTAGGCCAACCCATCACCGTCGTCGAGGTACAAGTCTCCTTTAGCAGAGAAACCCGTTTTGTCTAAAGCTACGCGTAGGGTGAATGGATCGTAGGCCATTAACGGGCTGGATCGGCGAGGCCGCTCACGCGTGGGAATGATGGAACCACCACGAATGTATAGCGGAATAGTAGACAGCTCAAGGGGGACGGTTATCTGTTTGCCTTTGGAGGAGCCGTATGAAGGAGCTTCGGTGAAGTAGTTGTAATACACCTGGTCTTCGGCAAGGTACACCGTCGTTTCCGTAATGTCTTTTTTCGTAACAGGCTTGACGAGTAATCCGGAGGAGCCAACGAAGAACTGATCATCGATCTCGAAACCTTCCTTGTCCTTGGGGAACATCACATAGTGCGGTCTGTATATGCGATGAATAACCGAAGAAAAGAAACATAATCAAGACCCATGCCTTAGAACTGGCACGCCCGTCCTTGAAGATTCCCAGAACACGGTGTACCAAACAGGCAACATCGAGTAACGAAGACGTAGGATATCCTTTATCATTCCTTTGTGAGGCTCATCAAGAAGGAATGGCTCTCGTCTCTTCGTGTCAATATGCGCATGCGCTCGGAAGAAGGGTGAAAATATGCCGACTTGATACCACCGAACGAGCATCTCCATATCTGGATTCCCGAAGAATCCGCCAACGTCGGCTTTTATAGTTTGTCAGTAAAGTCCATCCTACAGAAAGGAAGAATATAACTCACACCCGGCAAAGGTCATCCCAGCTATGCCGTTAGCAAGGACCATTTGTACGCCGGCCGTCATGTGGTCCCAAGTACCAAGATTGTCACCTGTCCATGTAGCACCAAAGCGTTGAGAGCCAGCATAGAATGAACGCGTCAAAACGAAAGGTCGCTTGTGAGGTGTGGTGCGTTCCGCAACAGCTTGAGAAGTAAGATTATGCTACGAATAGCCTGAATTTATGCTGTGGCGATAGAATTGGGATACACACGAAAAGCATTCCATTAATGTTGTGGATATCGCGATGCTCCCATCCCCCGTAATGAATGTTATCTTTCGGCATTGTGATTTCCGGTCCATTAAAGACCGATGGCTAGAGGATGGTCAGCAAAGAATTAGAATAGAGGATACACAGCCCACCTCATTCATGTCATTCCAGATATGGACAGCATCTGTGCTGTTAGTCCATGACCACCCATTCTCCCTTTGGAACTTGAAAATAGATTTCCACCAGTCCCAAGATGCGGGGTTGAACATATCAATCCAGGAACTGCTACCTGACCAACACCAACCCTCGTATTCACCCTCACCACTCTTCGGCTTCACAAGGATTCCCAAATCAGACGCTTCTTGATAAACTGGATAGTTGGAGGTACGTTTCAAATGAGGATCAATGATGACGACCATCTTCCTCGCCACTGCGGCTACGTCATTCGTCATTTCAATTGGGTCTGGGAAAGTCTTCTGGTCCCAGATGAAGTACTTGTGTTCCTCTGCGTACTCGATATCGAGCCAGAAGACGTCAACAGGCATATCCTCCTCGTCGAACCGCTTCTGCACTATGCGAACGTCGTCAGTGCTCACGTAGTTCCATCTGCATTGGTGGTATCCAAGACTCCAATGCGCAGGTAATGGTGTATAACCAGTAAGACGAGCGTACTGAGCGAATACATCTTTGGGGGTAGGTCCCGGAAGGAGAAACACGTCCATAATACCAGATTCGGATATCCAGTGGGAGTGCGAAGACTGAGAGGTGGGATGGTGAACGTCAATCCAAGTTTCGGACGCAACAGCGTGAAAGATAGCAACGGTCGAGTCCGTAGAGTGTGCATGCATGACAGGAATGGAGCCGTATAGGGACATGGTGGACGAAGCGAGGTATTCAAACACGTCGGCATTGTACAGTCGATATGGATCGCTAAAAGTCGCGTCATCTCCTGTGGTACTAGGTAATGCCAGACGAGTAGCATGCTGGGGAACACCATACACAGTCCCATGGTTAGGAAACGTGATGTCCAGAGAAAGGGATTCAGGACCTAAACACAGCTCAACCCAACACGAATTCTGAGTAATTGTGAGCACACCTTTCGGCTTGGAATCCGTCCAAGAATTAAACTTCTCGTCCCAAAATGTATCCTCTTCTTCACCCTCAAACCATGCACGAGGATTCCCTGCTTTTATGGGGACTTGAGACTCCTCGCTGGCCTCATCTGCCTGCACATCGGGAGGAGATTCCTTGTTACGGAAATGCTCCATGTGCAAAAGACCTTGTCCGTTCAAAATGACCTGTTCTCTCCCCTTCCGTAGCAATGTCACGCGCAGGGGCTCGTATGCAATGACCACAGACAGATCACCGTATACAGCGCGTACATCCTTCTTCCCCGCCGCCCACTGAACAACTTTGCTGACCACGGGCTCCGCTGCTAATGCCCACGATGCGGCCTCATCGTATCTTTTTCGTAGACCATCTTTCTCATCCATCCGTACTCGTACAACGCCATCTTCATGTACTCGCACTTCCAGTTCGAACTTGATTTCAGGGTATAATGATGATTTGACTGCAGCAGTAACCACTGCTTCGCCGGGCGATATAGAGACCGACGACGGATCGACAGAGTAAGGAGATTTCCAGGTCGATGTGGCGTCCTTTGCACGAGCAGAAAGAGCGCGACCTCGTCGACAGAACCCAGACTGGGAACATGTTTTCCAATCATTGGTTTTTACTGAGAGGGCGTCGGGGGCTAGAATGGCGAAGAATAGAGCCCCAAAGAGCACGGAAGCGCGCATTTCACTCTTCAACGATGAAAGCAGAGTTCCACGTCAATGTCGTACAATATTTGGCGAGCCCCCTCTCTAGATGGCCTTGCCAAGCTCTGACGTACATGCTACTCCGCCCAACTCCCACCTGGCGCACAAGCTCGAGCAATAACATCTTTGCAGCCCACACCAAATAGTGAAATCGTAACTCTATAATGAATTTTCTTCACGCTAGTACTTATCCCGAAGTGCAAGTGATGATATACTCGGTTCTGAGGTGAAGGACCAAGCTCTTTACGTCAGGCATCTTTGTGGGCCGAATGCGTGCGGTATCAACGGACTCTTTTACTCCAACACGCGACCATTTTGACGCTTTAGCGGACAAATGCCCAAAAATTGCGTAGTTGTCGTAACTGGGTGCTCTACTGGAGGCATAGGTTTTGCATTGTGCGTGTCCGTCCTTAGTCAACTCGTGGTAGCACCCATCAATCTTTTCAAGATGCGAGCGATTTGCTCAGCAGGGATGCAAGGTCTATGCCACCTCGCGAAATGTGGAGACCATGCAAGGATTCAAGGATCCCAATGGCATTGAAATCCTTGCCTTGGATGTCACGAGCGATGAAGACGTTCAGCGAGTTATTCAGCACATATCCGATACGGAGGGTAGAGTCGACATAGTGGTCAACAATGCAGCAACCCCAGCTATTGGTACGTACCTTTTCTTATAGGTCCTGCTATCACACTCATTCGAGAAATTAGGCCCTCTGATTGACCAGTCCATGGAAATAATCAAGCGCACTTATAATACCAACACATTTTCCGTCATACGCATGTGCAAGACTGTCATTCCCATCATGGCAAAGCGACACAGTGGACTTATCGTGAATATAGGTAGATTCCACACTCTCCAAAGATATTCCAGCTCTTAATGAAGTCATAGGTTCCATCGTTGGAGAAATGTAAGTCGTCTCCTTCCCACCCATCAGATTCATGTTGATTTCCACACGTAGTCCAACACCCTGGCATGGAGCATATTCATCTTCCAAAGCAGCAGTCCAGAACATAAGCGAAGTGCTCTCAATGGAGTGTCGTCCGCTTGGAATAAATGTTATGCACGTGGCTCCTGGTTCTGTCACGTCCAACTTTTCCAGAAATCAGGAGAAATGGTTCAGCTTGCCAGAGAATACTCTATATGCCACATTTCTTCCCAACATCATGGAGAGAATGTATGCCAGCCAGACCAAGTCGTCCATGTCTAATGAGGAGTTTGCCAAGCACATTGTAGACAAGGCGTTGGCAAAGCCTCCTCCCTCCTACATCTCCGTTGGAGGGAATGCTTTACTCTTCTGGGTGTTCAAATGGCTGCCGAGGGCATGGGTGCTTGGGCTGTTATGGAGGTTGTATTCAAAGAAGGAATAATAGTCAACGCGTTGTTGATTTCGATAGTTTAGTTATTGATATAACTATGCGATTTCTTCAAGCGTAGCGAGCGGCCTTGTACAAAGCGAAGCAGTCTCCATGCTTCAAGCTGGAAACCAATATGCCTTGTGTGTACATTTGCGTATATAGATTACAAGTGATGGATGAGTGCGTATTATGAGTAGATATGCGACAAGAGTTCGAGGACTTGCAGAGATGACGACACTTATGAGGGGTAGCATACTGGCAAAGAATAGGACGGTGAGACCTAGTTAGAGCCCGGCACCAACTCGACGGAGAACCCCACTGCTTGGCTTTGCTTCCCTTCCAGCTGCAGCGCCCGCTCTATTTGTACCGAAAACAGGAGCAGGCAATCTAGAGGTGCTGGATACTGGGCGTGGGATAGTAGATGCTGGCCGACTCTCCCTCTGCCCAACGTGAGTACTGACCGCAGGTCGAACAATGCTTTTCACATCCCTGGCCGGTGCTTTGGGCTTCCCCGTACCAATTGCCTTGAGAGCATCCCGGACAGCGTTCAGATCAGCTGTTTTTGCAGGCTGCATATTACCCCACTGGGCAACTGCGTCAGATAGCAACACTTTTTTGGGTCTATGTCTGTTGCTCTTTGGCATGTGTCCAAGTCCTCCAACCCCTCGTGGCACTTCCCTATTCTCGATCAGAGACACACGGCGAGGACCAGAAGATGAACTATTTGATACCGATTTGGGAGGTGCCGCAACAGGAGCATGGCGTTCAGATTCGCTGGCCTTCGCTGAGGTAGGTGTGTCTGATTGAACTGGAGGCGATAACTTCCTCTCAGTGTGAGCTGGAGGTCGTGTGGACAAGCGGCGATCTGGAGGAGGCGCTATTGCCGCCGCCACCGTCTTTGTCCGCTTGACAATGCGCAACGCATGGATAGGAGGTGGTACGACAGGATGAAGATTCTTGGATGGAGCAGGCGTCATCGGTGGATCTCCGGTCGAAGGAAAAATTACGTGGGCATCATCGCACTGCGGCGAGTTTTCAGGAACAACAGCGTGGGTAGCTATTTTCTTGTCAAAACGCAGAACTCACATGAAGAAATATTAAACTTACGTGTATACGTCTTTGCCGTAACGACGAGTAGCGGAGAGTCGGTGTCATTAAGGGGCTGGACATGCGTCGCAGAGTAAGGGTATCCTTCTACCATGTCGGTCAGGGAAACAGAAACAGCTCAAATGGAAATCTACTTACTGGTCTGAGGGCTGTCCTCCGACGGTAAAGGGATGTTAGCAGCGACATTGACGACATCTTCCCCACCTGGAAAGACACTCAGAGGCTGCAAACTGATTGTAAGACTATCACTTTACCTGAACATGTTATCACGCCCGTCGTCTCTTCTTCATCTCCCGAAGTAATGTCAAAGTCATGGGATCGTGAACCCAGGAATGATATTTTATCGGTCAGCAAATCAAAACTTGATTCAGCCAAGTCGAACTGAAGCTGGAAAGAGGCATGTAGATCCAAGGACTGGCGATCATGGTCGCATATAGGCGGCGGCAGTTGTCTTGGACGAGGGGTAGGAACATCAAGTTCGTTCATGTCGATTGGCGACGATGGAAGTGGGATATTCGTTGGAGAGGCCTCCAATACATTACGGAATGGAGATGTGATGAAATCAGGAATGTCTGGAGAAGGGAACGTCGGTTTCGAAGCCGCGAAGGAAATGCCAGCCGAGGTCACTGCGTCGACTAGAGAGGAAAGGGAAGACTGTGGTTGAGTCACAGAGTCACTGGCAGCTGCAGGGTGGGTATACTGCTTCTGGCGCATCAGCAAACGCTTGTGAGCTACGGGCGTAATCTCTCGTTCCATCCGAAGTTCAGCGAACGGTGTGCGAGGGTTCAAACGAGGAGTCGCAACGATATTTACGCTACTTGGGGCCTTCGGTGTTTTACCAACTTGTCCCAGGATGACCGTACTATCCTCGTCTTCTGACTCTTCGTCCTCTCTAATCTCTTCCAGCACCTCGTTCATAAGCAACGTGTTGTCTACAGTGACATCTCCAACATCGATAAGACGACACTTGAGTGGGACAGGCTGGAGGCAGGCTTCGGGTTTCAAGGCCCCATTAAAAAAAGATACCATCGTCACATCCCCCAACGGCATGTTATTCTCCTTCTCTGAGTCGTAATCATCCAATTCAACAGAACTATCGCCTCCATTCCGCTGAGAGACAGAACTGAACAGAGGGTCGAACAGATTGAGAAGGCTTTCTCTAGGGCGATTCATGGCGGCTCTGAATAGACGCAGAGGATGGGAAAAAGCCAAGGATATCCGCAAGGGTGGTGAAGCAATTCTGCACCTTGTGCAACGCCACTCAGCCAATCGCCGCGTTCGGCTTGGTCTTGTTTACTCAAACATAGGTAACGTGACCGTTGCGTCCTGCATTGTTCACTGCCCTTGGCAATTTTTTGACCAGATACTTGCCTTCACTATGTCGGACCTTGCAACGGTAAAGGCAGAGATCAAGGCATGGGAACGAGACTTCAAGACAAAGTATAGCCGGTTAGCACAGGTGCAGGATATCAAGGAGCATCCGGATATTGGTGCGTCGCGGCGATTCTCTTGATGGGAAATGAAAATGAACAACTCGTGCAGAGGCCAAATACAAACTATACAAGGCCTTGGGCAAAGCTTCTGCCGCCAAGAGTCGCGCTACATCTTCCAGCACATCCATCACTCCGTCGAAAGCACAAAAACACGAATTTTCGCGTTTGCTGCCTAAAGCCCGTGCCGGCGAAACAACGGCACCCTTGTCTACCTTTAATCCCTTTTCTCCACAAAAGAATAAAGGAAAACAGAAAGATGTGCTTCCGGTCATCAAAGATTTCCAGTCGAATCCGTTTGCTACACCTTCCAGAGTAAAATCTCGGGCACCTATCCGAGAGGTGTCCCCGCTTTCCGTTGCTCCCTTCCAGCCGTTGGTATTCCCTGCCGCAAGCACTGTACCGGAGCCAACGAGTGCTGTCACCAGAGCACGAAAACGCCTACGCGGCGAACCGGTTTCCCCTTCCCCCAGTAAAGAGAAGCGTCGACGGGTAGCTTCTGGGCATACCCTTACCTTTTCACGAAAAGATCCACCATCCGGTGATAACGATGAAGATTATTCTCATGTTGGAAACTTATCATTTGTTGATGACTCCCCCGTTAAAAGTTCGAATGGATTCAAGTTGTTGTTCGATGACACGAAACAGTCTAAATCACTATTTCCTCGCTCCAAGACAGCTCATTCTTCCTCGGATGTCTTCTCTTCATCTACCGATGAGGAGATGGACTGGCAAGTTCCGCAAAGTCTCGAGACAAATACCGTGCCTCATAACAGCAAAGGCAACGGGAGGCCCTTTCCCTATTCTGAAGTTCCTTCCAACGTCCATCAAAAGCCTCAAGGTGCTTCTAAGAAGACTACACAAGCGCCTGTCTACATCGCTGCACCCAAGCTTCGGAAACGTGTATTATCTAATGCAGATGCAGTCGAGTCTTCATCCCACAACCGTGCCTCTTCCCTGATTCCTCCTTCTCCGCTACCCGATGCTTCGAAACGGAGCCACGGCTCCTTCAATGGAAAAGGGAAAGTGGCCCGTTACAATGGACGGAAGAAGGCCAAGTTAACCGCTACTACTTTAGATACTGACAACGACGACGAAGAGTCGGATGAAAAGGTTAAGGTAGTGCATCGAACTTATGGATCACCTCGTAAAGATATGTTGGGGCAGAACTCAGATGTCGACGCCGATGATACTTTTGATGCCCCCTCGCACCCGCACATTGTGGGTGATGAACAGGACACTGGCAGATTTGATGTCGATCTTCCCGACAGATTTCGTCATGTTTTGGCGTTTTCGCCGTCTGAATTACAGATGCGTGACTACCAGGAGTTCCGGGTTATCGAAGGTCTGTTATATGGACGGAGAGCGGATCATTACGATCCGTCGAGGGGTGGCGAGATTTGGGATGTTGGGGAGGATGAGCACGGCGGCCGACAATTGGCGGTGGCGGATGAAAGTGAGGACGACTGGCAAGGTGAGCCTGTGGCATGGGAGCTCGGAGAACTATAGTGTACTGCGTACTGTTTCTTATTCAATCATTCGGAAGGCATTGTTGTATTCATAGATACGCCCAATCAACACGTTGCGGAGTATCACAGCCCAAGTCCTTGCAACACACCTAGCACACGAGTTTGCCCAGGTTTAACCATTCTCAGAGTTGCAACGGCTACTTGCCTCTGTAACCGAAATTCCCATCCTCAAATTAACTACGCACGGTGCTGCTCTTCTACCGTTACGTTGAGAGTGAATTGATTTACAGATATTCGTAACTTTCACTTCGACGTCCATCCTGTATCCTCGTGTCCAATCCCAGCCCGAAGCCGCGTACAAATCAATCACAGCAGCAAGTCCTCGATCGACTCGTCATCCTCAACGTAGGCTTCCTGCGCGCGGAACACCAGTAAACAGGCCCCACAGGGCGTGTACTTCATGCACGATTTGTCTTAAGTACTTGACCCCAGAGACGCTCCCCATATGCCTTCTGGTTCAGTACTATCCGACGTACTTCACAGTCTCGGATCACTTCGCCGCCGTACCAGTCTTCGTGAAAGTATTCGCAGCATTTCCAGCACTCACGGTTCGTTAAAAGGGAAGGGGAAACACAGTCGAAGCTCCTCGTATCGTTCGTACTCCGTTTACCAGCAGATAATGACTCCCATCGTTCTTCGTGACCCGGAAGTAACGAAAAAGCTCCTTGAGGCTATCCTCGATACACCAGGCGGGAGACGCTCTCTGTCAAGATTGGCGAGAACATGTAGGGCCATGTGCGAGCCGGCGTTGAGCATACTATGGAGAGAACTAGACTCGTTGATACCGGTTCTTGGACTCTTCCCGCCGTCTCTTCTGAAGAAGACCAGAAAGCCAGGATTAGGTTTGGTGAGTCAAACTTTCGGCATGAATTGGTAGAGACGCTAATTGAGTATGGTCACTCCCAAACAGACCAGGAACCCGGTGGAAGAAGACTGGTCAAATATTCTAAAGTACGGCGAGCGAGTCCGTCGCATTGCATACAACGAGGAGATAAACAACGTCGCTTCTTCCATTTTTCCTATTTTCGAACAATATCGCCCGCGAACGTTCATCTTCCCCAACCTTCGGCAGCTCGCATGGAAGGTGGAGAGTCCAGCTGGCCTGGAACGTTGTTCTCTCTTCCTCAACCCGGAGCTCGAGAGCCTCTCTCTCGAGATTGGGACACCATTCTCCGAGTTGAGCCACTTCCTAGCTGACATGTCAAGTCGCATCAAGTTGAAGGAATTTTCGTTCGTCTCTCCAACGCCTCTACCCGACGCATTCACAGAGCTCTTGCTACTGCAAAAGGGTCTCTGTAAAGTAGTTCTTGTCGCTCCCGGTGCGCTGTCACCAGGAGTTGGGCGATGGCTTGCTTCCCTGGAGGAGCTTAAAGTACTGCAATTAGATCTTTCTGGAAGGGGTGTCGTTGCAGTGGAAGGGTTTTTTGACGAGCTATCGCCACGTTCGGGGTATTCGACACCAAGCTCTGTCATGACCACAGACAGCGGTGTGTTTTCGGGAGAGGAACTTGACTTTTCGGACCACAGAAAATCTGCGCTCCGGTTGACCGGGGATTTACGATCCAAGGGATCTTTTGTGACGGTCCGGCAGCTGCAACTGACTGGAGAGGCCTCAAATATCGCAGTGTTTTTGAGGCACTTGCATAGCGCCCTCATGCAGCTCGATCTTGTCATCGAGGATCCTCCAGATATTGCCGACTGGCAGGACTTGTCGGCGCTCATTTCAGAGCGATTCGGTACAACCTTGCAGTCATTGCGCATTTCAGGCAGCAGATCGTCGCGGTATAGCGAGCTCGTACGGTCGACTGCAAGGGCAGAGCCTCCCAAACGCCTACCCCTCGGCCACTTCACTTCACTCCCAAACCTCCGTCGTCTGGATATTGATCTTCCAGAGTCGATTCTATTCACCAAATACGACATCCGGCATTTGTCAACGATCTGTCCGATGGTAGAAGAACTCAAACTGTGCCCATTGGCCCGCTTCCCGATTGCTACTCCACCCAATATCATGTTGGGAGATTTGGCACCTTTGATGGCCAACTGTTCAAGACTCCATACACTTTCAGCCGTTGTCAATGCCAAAAAAGGAACGGACGAAGTTTTGTCTTCACGTGAAACATCTTCTGCTTCGCTTCTGCGTCTTCATGTAGGCCATTCGTGGGTGGGGGACACCCTTCATGTCACCATTCTCCTTAGCCACCTTGCTCCACACCTGGAGACGCTGAAGTGGTTCCACGAGAAAAATCGGCCTGGATACGTCGAGGCAAATGCACGAGGCTGGGAAAGAGTTGCGGATGCCCTCCCTCATCTTCAGAATGTTCGTTTATCGGAGCGACTCTTCGCTACCCGAGCCATCGACGAAGTCGAAAGTCAAGTACCTCAACTCGAGTTTTCCGAAAAAGGTATTGACGCCGCTGTTGCAACGACGGAGCGCGAGATACAGGTCCGGCCAGCTGTTACAGAGACTGCTGTCCAGTTTTCTCCCATTTTGATCAACCGCATGGTAGACGCTGAGCCACGTATGTGCTCCGTCTCGATCGGCGCCATCCCGGAGACAGTCAACTCTGCAATCCAGGTGTTGCCGACGACAGTAGATCAATCGGTGGAAGCCGTCGTGTCCACCTTAGAGAGTGCAGTGGATGCAACCGTGCCAACTTTCTCCAAATCGGTTGAAGCGCTCGTCGAGGAATCCGCACTTATTGACAAAACACCGTCCATTCATTCCAGTTCCATACGTTCCAGTTTGGCGAATATCCATCTCTCTGACATTGTTTCCATGGCATGGAAACTGGTAGTATTCTTTCCTTTAACGGTCCCGTCCAGGATCATCCGTATGGCACTTGAGAAAGCTCGTCTGAGGAGGGAGGCACGGAAAAAAGAGGAGACCGTTGCGTCGCTGTCAACTGATATTCCATTGAACACGATTCAAGTCCGTTCATGATTTCGCTGCTACGACTGTCTATATGCTCATGTATGTTATTATGCACAACTAGGACATTTATGAATATGATACTTACAATGAAGAGAACACTGAATCCGTAGAGAAATCTGAACCACTATCAAAGGATCGTGAAATCGCTGAGGAACATGGAAGAGCGGAGGTGGCGGCGGCAAATACCGAAGTGCCAGTCGCCTCTTGGGCTCGAAGCCTTGAAAAAGCAACAGGAACAAACACCACCGCGACGCGTCATTTGTACCGGAACGCTTCGTGGAAGTACATCATGTCCGACAACAAGAAGCAAGAAAAGGATTTCACTCCCGAGGTAGATATTCTGCTTCCAGAGGCAGAGTCACTCGCAAAGGTATGGCGTTGTCTGGATTCATCGAACCATACAGCAAGTAACCAAATTCTGTATAGGCTGGACAATTACAACCTGCGCTCGACAAGCTCTTCGTTCTTGAAAAGCAAACACGGAATGTGAAAATATGTTCCCTTATATTTCCGTTCTACTTTACTGATCTTTACCAGGCTGCAGATCTTGCATCAACGACGCGACTCGTGAATGCTGTCCTTGAGCACTGTTACCAGGCCAAGGACTTGACTCTGTTAAACTCGAATATCCTATTACTGAGCAAGAAACATGGCCAGCTCAAAGCAGCAGTTCAAGCTATGGTTGAACAGGCGATGGGTTGGCTGGAAGACGTGCAGAAGAAACAAGGCGTAGAGAAATGGCTCGAGTTGGTTGAGACGCTGAGAACCGTCACTGAAGGGAAGGTCTGTGCTAGTTCTCTACAATCCATATTTATCATAATTCTTTGCTCCTTCATAGATCTTCTTAGAGACACCCAGGGCCCGGGTAACTCTCCTTCTTGCTCACTATCATGAAGGGCTTTCGACGACGGCTCCAAAACCCTACGAATCAAAGAAGTCCCTCGAAACCGCATCAGAGCTTTTGTCGGATTTGCAAGTAGAGACTTACTCGTCGATGGAACGGAGAGAAAAAACTGAGTTTCTCCTCGAGCAAATGCGACTGCTCATTGCTGTCGCGCGACGGAAAGATGCGGAAAGTTCCAACGGTGGTGAATCCGAGTGGGTGAAGGTCAGAGTAGGTGGCCGGAAGGTTAACGAAGGTTTCTTGAAAGAAAAAGAAAACGAGGTACTTGGAACAGATATTAAAACTTCTCTACATGCTCACAAAATCTTACCTAGGACCTGAAACTCAAGTACTACGATCTAATGATACAACATGCGTTACATCAAACTGCTTATCTTGATGTCGCAAATTACTATTACAAGGTTTGGGAGACGCCGTCAATAAAGGAGGATGTCAACGATAAAAGCAAAGCGGTATGTGATTTTTTTGTTGGCGTTGTGTGCTTCTAATGCAAAGACAGGCCCTTGAACATATTATCTACTATGTTATCCTCGCTCCTCATAATAACGAGCAGTCCGATATGTTACATCGTATGTTCAATGACCCCGCTCTATTGAAACTAGAGCTTCACTAGTAAGTGTTCCTAGAATGATATATCTGCGCTATTTATTCATAGTCATAGTAACCTTGTAAAATGCTTCACGACCCACGAGTTAATGCGGTGGCCCGGCATTCAGACACTTTATGGTGAATTCCTCCGCCAAACGCAAGTCTTCTCCGAAGAGAAGCGGTGGGAAGATCTTCACACCCGAGTGATTGAACATGTCAGTTGCTGCATGTTTTGCTGCGAGATCAAGACTAAATGTGATTCAACAGAATATCCGCGTTGTTGCCGAGTACTATACACGGATAACTTTGCAAAGGCTGACCTCTCTTCTGGATCTGACACCCAAGCAGACAGAAGAAACCCTTGCGCGTCTAGTTGTTTCAAAAACGGTTTGGGCGCGGATTGATCGACCATCTGGGATTGTCAACTTTAGAAACCAACGAAGTCCAGAGGATGTGATGAATGACTGGAGTTCAGACATGCAAAAGTTGTTGGGTTTGGTAGAGAAGGCGTGGATGGGTATGAACGCTGCACAGGCAGCTCAAGCTCGCGTAAAGTCATGATCACGACATGTCCTATACGTATTCATTTTCTGCGGCCCCAGTTAGAATTATCCATTGTTAGGCTGTTCTATTGTACACAGGCTGTGGTCGGGCCGCCGATGTTGGTGTTTGACCTGCTCCCGCTGGCTGTGGAGCTCCAATATGTGCTGCTGCCTCTGGTAATTGGGCCAACATAGGCGGATACTTGACCTCTGTAAGTGCCGGTGCATACGTAGGCCTGACGCCCTTCCTCCATAGTGCGGTGTACTGCTCGCCTCTCGTCCATTCCTGAGCACCACCAGCAAAGTTAGCTGCAATGGACCTCCACCTCTTCCTTGCAGCGAACTCTCCTGCATCCACACTCGAGGCCTCTTCCCAAGTATCCAACGCCTTCTTTTCCTTCTCGAACCCAAGTTGCACTTGCGACGTTTTGAATACCCGCCCGTAGCTCTCAACTTCCAGAACCGCAAATCGACGTGCAACCTGGTGTTCAGAGCGCAGCGCACGGAACTGGGCGACTGCCCGGGTGTAGGCGAATGTGAGAGGGAGATTGTGGTGTTCATACAGGTTGACGGCAAATCGTATGGCGCTGGTAATGGTGAGCGTGGAAACTACGACGGAGATGGTATGGCATACTCGTCTGGTGAAGGATTCCGGCCCCACTGCCTCAGTCTCCGCCAATCACGTCCTTGCACGGGATGCAGCTGCCGTATAGCTTCGCGTTCGGTCAACGTCACAGGTCGGAAGGCCTCAAAGGGATGGTCGCGGAAGAAACGGCGGCGGACTTCATCCTCGATGTAGACGATAGACGACGGTCTGTTTTTTGGTGGGCGTAGTTTTTCGACGGTCCCTGCAAGCCGAGTCGATTTAGGAGACGCCATGTCAAAGGTAGATCGTGGAGGAGGTGCTTTGGGGGGAAGGGGCAAAGGCGGATACTGGAGAACGGAACCAAGCCATACTGGTTGGTCGATAAGGTTGCCCTTCAAAAGGCGCAGCGCCTGCTGGTGCACTTGCGACGCTATACGACGCACCATAGCGTTTCAGTCAAACCTCAAATTTTTGATGCCGGCGACACGCAGCCAAATTTGGGAATATCCTAGCGGAGCTCATATAATGTACAATTGTGGTAATCTACAGTTTAGCTTGTACTTCCGCCGATTTCCTCTTCCTAGCCTGTTCACGCAATAGTCGTCGAAGCTGGAGGGATAAAAGTCAGAGAATGCACAACTGTTCGGGCCATATCAACCATACTATTTTCCCCGAAGGATTCTTGGGAATAGCGTCGATGAATTCGACCCCACCAGCCAGCCATTTGTACTGCACTTTTGAATCGGAAACATGCTGGGGAATACAGTCAGCTAGATCAAATAGAGAATATCATAGCGCTTGCCTTGATGAGAGTGGCTTTCAACTTGGATATCTCATTCGGATTTACGCCAATTCGTTTCCGTAGTTCTGGCTCCAGGACTACATACGCCAACGGTAATTCACCGCTATAGTCGTTTGGCACTGGAACGACACAACAATCCGTCACAGATGGATGTAGTAAAAGGTGGCCTTCAAGTTCGGCTGGTGCAACTTGGAATCCCCTGACCTGTTGACATGGCATGTAAGAGTACAACCCAGTTACAGAAGAAGTATAAATGCCTTCATCATTTCCTGCACAAGGGGAGATAAACACCCATGGACTGGTGGTCAGATGAGAACCTACCTTGAGACGGTCTACAACAAAAAGCTCGTTGTTCCTAATAATAACTTCATCTCCAGTACGAACCCATCCGTTAACAAAAGTGCTCTTCGTTCTGCTGCCGTGAGCTTCTGAATCAAGAGTGCCAACAGCTGAACTTACGCTTCTTCATTGTTCCTGTATCGCAGCGCCATGGAAGGTCCTGTGACGATAAGTTCTCCTTGTTCCCCCTCTCGCGCCAACGATCCATCTTCTTTAAGGACGTGTGCGACAATACCGGGCAAAAGTTGACCTGCAGCTCCAATCGTTCCGTGCAATTTGGTAGGGTCCATTGCGACAACAGATGTAGCCGTCTCCGTAAGCCCTGCAGTGCTCTTTAGTCAGCGGTCAGATGTGGACTTGGTAAGAGGCAGACCGTATCCTTGACCAATCATGGCATTCGGGAAAACCTTCGCAAGTTGCACATATAGATCGCCGGACAACGGTGCAGCCCCACACATTAGGAATTTGACATGCGAAAAGTCGTGGTCTCGAATAGCTGGATACTACGAAATCAAATTCATCCACGTTTCTAGTGAACGGCCCGGCGGTGCAACACACACCTTGCATAAAAGTACGACTTGCGGAGGAACAACGCTTGACGGCAAAGTCAAATCAGAGTATCACAAGAATGGTAGGCCAGGCTTACAATAGATGGGTAATTCGGTAACGATCAATGCTCTGTAAGAATCCTCTGAAGCTGAATTTCGGGATCACAACGACAGAGAACTGCCATTCATAAGCATGGTTCCAGTAGAGTAACTCGCAAAGCCAACTTACTCCAGAGAACAGGGCGTAATGGAGCTGGGATTAACCGTCAGGTATCACCATAGATATAAAATGTACCACACTCACCGTAACAATGAGTCCATAGATATCTATGCCTTATGAAGACGAGCTTTTAGTTCTAAGGTGAAGCAAGCAAACTCACGGAAGAATGGCAGGACTGATAGATTCATAAATTGAATAAATCGCGCAGATGTGGATTAAGCATACCTCCCAGGGAAACGTCTCCGGGCATCATCCTCTTGAGAGGATCTCTTTCACCGCTGATATGAGCTGCGCTTTGCAAGACATTCGAGATGATGGACCGATGAGGTATTTCAACCGCCTGTTACATGTTTCAGCGACGCCAAACGTGATGGAACGAATCGGTATCACCTTGGCCTTTCCTGAATAGCTTCGTCAATTTCGTGGCGCAAGCTGAAGTAACTAACACACTTGCCGGTTGTTCCGCTGGAGAAGGAGAGGAATGCAAGTTTTGTCTTTGATTCTCCGGGGTTTAATTTTCGTTCGATGAAGTTCATTGGCTTGCTGTTACCGTATTCTATCAGATTTTCGACCGAGACATGGGTGCTGTTACTCGGACCATCTATCAATATGATACGGTCCTTTGGGATACCGACGGCACGGGCGGCCTCGATGATGGTGGGAAGGAAAGTGGAATATACGATGATGGCATTGGCATTGGCGGTTTGCAGCTGATGGATGAGTTCGTCGACCGTGTAGCTAGGGTTGGCGGGTCTATAAAATGATGTTGATGAAATATAGGGACTAAATGTGAGGAAGGATGTTACGTTATGATGCCCCCCACCCTATGGACGGCCCAAATAGAGATGGGATAATCTGCGGGGAAATGATGAAAAAGCGCGATCGAGCGGGGAAAGCTGACACTTACAAATGTGGTTAGGGCTAAAGATACACACTGGAGGGGTTCAGTTCCGACGCGACGGACGAACAGCGACGCGACGTACCAACATCGTCCTCAGCTAGATTGGTGGTCAACAATGGTTGTTTGGGGAAACCAGGGTGACTCACACAGGCTCCATCTGAGACTGAGCGCGTTCGCTAGCCCCTGGGTGCGATGGTGGACCTCGGCGTGACAGAGAGTACGGCCAGTGCCGTCTTCAATGAACAAGGGTACATCCTCCTTCCTGGGGGGCCTCAGCTCGTGGGGTGAGTCGAGAATGAACTGAGGGACGGTGAGGTTAGGAATATCAACGTTCAAGGCTGGGCCGGCGAACTCCATGATGCGCTGCAGACGGGGGTAAGTGTGAGAAGAGATGGATACTGAGTACTGACATACCAACGGGAAGAAGATAGACGGGAGAAGAGAAGGACATCTTTCACTTACAGCCTCACTTTATAGGTCGGCAGGAACTTGTCTGTCTTAGTTTGTTCTGGTACAACTTTCCGTTTCTGATTTCCGGTCCGGCTCAGCAGCTCGTGGGAAAAGCCGCACTGGTCATGGACGACGAAGAGGCTGAACTGCGAAATCCCTTTCCCTCGCCGCCGTCGCATTATACTCGCTACACGACCCACAATCTCAAGCTGCTCGCCCTGCTCAATGAACGAGCACCCAATGAAGAGACCCCCAATCAACAGGAGGTCTTGTCTGATCAGGTGGACGTCCCAGATTGGCCCTTGAAGCAACTCGAGAAACCACGCGTTGACTGGATTCTTGACGAGCCTGACGCCTACTACGATGTGTTTGGTGACCGTTGGTCGGTGCGTACGGCGTCGTTGTCACTATCTGCTTTCTCACTCGTCTTGTTTGACAGGTCAAGGAGACGATACCCCCACTGGCGGAGGCTGGCATCACACAGCTATACCCTTCTGATCCTAGTGCTGGTGGGTCAGCTCGGCTCATTCTCATGCTCGCCTTTCCTCATCACACACAGACCGACGACCGGCATTGCTATCCGTCTTACGTTCCCTTCTCGTGACATATTCCTATCTCACGTCCGCTCTGCTCGCTCCGCCCCTCACAAATTCTTCTCGTGAGAATGTGGAGCCCGAATGGAAACGTCACGTCGATTGGATATCCATCTTGAGTCAAAACATATTAGCTGCAGCAAATGACCTCCGGCCTGTCCAGGTACATCACCTCCTCTATCATCTGACACTGATTATCTAGGGTTGTAGGCGAGGGGTAATTTGGAGCTCATCATGAAGCGGCAATTGGAACTACGGAGAAAAGAAACTGCTGCCCTTCACGCGTATGATCGCTCCCCGCCGTTCCTTCTCCTTGCTGACATTTCGAGGCAGAAAATGCGACTCCCTCGAAATTAGACTGGCGGAACTTCGGGCATCTGCGCAAAATTCGTCTCAGACGAATGAACAGGTATCGTTCACTACGTTTCAGCACACGGACATTAAGCCCTCAGGAACTGTATGTCGCTTTCCCCTGTTCTTTTCGCTCTGTTCAACTGAGCTGTTTAGGATGAGCGCGGACCGAGCAATGAAGACGTACTTTGCTGGGTGGAAGAAATATAATAAACACTAGTTCTTGTATGTAACTGTAGTATATTTATTTCAATAATTTCAATTCGAGCCACGTGACCATACTAGGCGTTTTTAACCAAATACTCAACCCTTGGATGCGGACATGTCCACTCGAAGACGGATTGGAGTAAGCAATGCGACAACGGAAGCTGCCCGTCGCCAGCTAATGCAGCCAGTTCCTTGCTGGGAGAAAGCCTGGGTAACGCCAGAGGGTCAGTCCGTCAATTCCACGTTGAAGGTGTTTAAATGGGTCAAGACGGATAAAATACAAGTACGTCTCTTTTTCTGTTCCAGCTGACGCTTGTTGACGTCGCTTCAGCAATTCAATGAAGATGACCATGATGCTGATGAACCTCTGGCACCTCTGCCTGACGAACCTGAGGTCGTTGATGGCGATGACGAGGTTGAACAGGACGAACAGGACGATAAGCCCATCACTGTCGACGCGGAAGCAACGCATAATGGATCAGAAGTACCGGAGGCTGTCACGCAGAGCCAGAGCACAGAACCGCCCACAAAACCTCCCTCACCCGATCCCCAGCTGTCACTGGAACCACCGATGACTGACGACCTAACGATGGATGACACCGCTGACGTTCTTGAGGCGTCGCTGAAGCCTCTCGACTCTAGCCTAGAGGACGTTGATAAAATGACAGTTGAACATGATGGAATGGAATTGGACATGTCCAGCTTTGGACCAGACGGGCTGGGGTTGGAAGGTTCACACGACTTGACACAGTTGGAACCTTCGGACACCCTCATGGGAGGACCACTGATGGACGATACCGTGGACCCTTTTGCGGCAGCCGAGCCTATGGGCGAGCAGTGACGCTGACGTGAGAGCAACTCTTTTATCTCAAAAGGCACATATATAAAGTTGCTGATTCATTCAATACAGATAACATTTCTCTTCTTGTACACTAGATTTCCTTCAACATTTGCATTCGCCGGGCTTGCAGCCACAACTGAAAATGACAGCGTCAATTTAGAAAAACATGGAGTAATTGAACGGGACGTACGACGAGCAAGAGCAGGAAGTGGAACCACAGTTGGCCTTGTTCTTGGTGGGGTCGGTGCCACAAGCGCAGTTTGGGTAGGAGCAGGTCTCCTTGGTGGTCGAAGAGCAAGATTCAGGCTGTCATCGTCAAGTCAGCTGGGCCATTGCCGTAATGTGAAGGTCACCCACCATTGTGAAGCAGTTGGATGTACGGTTGATGGGGGCCAGAGGTCTCCTCTCTGTCTTTTATATCGTTTCTTATCAAGACTTATCGGGGGTGGTGACTGTTATCAATCTGTAGTTGGAATGGTGCTATCAGATAAGATTTCGCAGATGTGGTGGCGGTGGCTGACTGTTGCATACATGGCACTGACTCGACTCTCACTAAACCTTTGAGGACAGAATGTCAAGCCGCCGTCTCATTTTAATCGACCATCCTTATCTTGTCTTCAATGCTCTAACTTTTGTCACGGCAGTACTGGCAACGTCTTCGCCGTCTCTTATTCCTGCTGTACTTCACCTATCTGCCCTTCTCGTCTATACCCCCTTGCTCGTGAATCGTCCCAGCGCAAACAAGCAGGCTGCTTTCTTGTGGATTAACTTGTCTTTCGCAAAATTTGTCATTTTCTTTGCACCGGCCATTCATGCGCTTTCCTCACCCGCTCCTTCCCTGGCCCTCCTCTTCCTCGGGGGGTTAATTACCTCAGCCATAACTCTAGCTACCCTTTACATTCACACCAAACTCAGATCACGGTTGCTATCAGCATGGTCCCAGATCATGTTATTTCCCGCATTATGGGCTGCTGTATGGTGGGGAGTATCTTCTGTCAGTCCGATCGGACGTCTCACCTCATGGACACCAGTCGTTGACACCATGGGGTACAGTTGGATGTTAAAGTGGCTAGGGCCGGTAATGGATGATTGGATTACCGCAGCTTGGGCGGTCGTCATCTCTGAAATTGCTGGAGCGTGGCTTATGAGCTCAGAATCCCTCGAGGAAGAGGAGCCGTTACTTGGGAATCGCGGTCCGGGTTCAAAAAATGAAACAACAGCAGCAGCTTCTATGCCTTCGTGGCGTTGCATTCTGTATCTGTCCACTCTCCTAGCAGTTTCGACAATACCCTCGTTTATTGTCTCCGACATTGTACTCTTTGGATACCACTCCGTTCAGCGTGGGCTGTATCCTTCCCAAACGCCGTGATCGCCGGTTGAGATTTGAAGACTATTTGCAAGAAACCAAGAAGCTTGATGGACAGGCTCAAGTTTTGTTGTGGCCTGAAGGTGCAGTCACCTTTCGGGACGAGTCTCAGCGAGCTGCGGCTTTAGCAGAAGTACAGAAGACGATCCGGGGATCCCTTGTGGGGGTCTCCTTTGAAGAGTCTGTTAAGGACCCTTCCGATGCCACTGGCCGGAGCCTTTTGAGACGAAATGGCATGGTTGTTGTCTCTAACAAGTCTTCCTCACCTCATTTGGAATACTACAAACGACACCTTGTCCCCGGTACGCTATTCCACCTCTCACTCATCATCAAGCTAATATTCCCTAGTTGCCGAATCATTTTCTCTGGTACATTCTACTACACCCGCGACCATTTATACCATGGAAATGAAGAATCCGTCGGACGTGAAAAAGCCGGATTGGGCACCTCCTCCCAAGTTTACGAGGCCCGTTCCGATGACGGCTTCCATTTGCCTTGACTTTGCCATCCCCGGGACTTTGGCTGCGCTTGGCACTAGACCGGCTCTTATTCTAGCTCCTGCCAGAACATGGGAGCCCACAGTAGGTTTGGCCATGTGGGAACAAGCAAAACGCCGTGCGGCAGAACTGGACAGCACGATTTTATGGTGCGACGGGGGTGATGGCGGAGTAAGTGGCGTATCGGGTAAGGGAATCACGGAAGTTACACAAGTTGGGGAAGGGTCCTGGGTGCGTAGCTACCCTTTTAACGAAGAACGCACGGTGTATGGTATTAGGGGAAATTCTATTGCCATGGTTTTCATCGGAATCATATTCGCAGGTGGGTTTGCCAGAGCTATTCCCTGGCCGACCTTGGGAAACCTTCACATTGGCTGGGTGAAAGAGAAGTATGCTCGTTTCCGCGCGATGCTTGGACGGAACGAGACGCCGGATCTTGTGGACTTGTAAAATATGAGGAATTTGTCACCTATGTATCTCGCTTTCTGATTGCTTTCGTACTTGTATCGTCATTGATTCATTTCCTGTAAGTAATCTGAAAGAGTAAAGAACTAGCAAGTACGGTAGGAGTTCCTCATGTCATGATCGACAGCAGCCACGCGGTGGCAGACGGCCAATTACGATTTTTTCAGTTATCGACGAAGCCGCCTGTTCTGCACGAGTCCAAATTTCAAGAACAAGTCAAAAGGTAAGCTTTGCTTGGATTCTGTTCCTCTGAGTCCCTTTTGCTGGACTTGCCTGAGATACAACGGCGTCTCTCAATTCTGTACGGTCGAGATTTGCTAGACGCCCACGCGGCTCTTTGCGACTCTTACCTCATAACAGTCACATACAGCCTGCTGTTGGCATCAACGACGAGGAGGATGACGACGCATCCAGCGGTTTCTTCGTCGTGACTGCCGCCGACCTTCCCATCAGCCTCGACAGTCCTCAGCAACTGACGCTTACCTGGAACAGCGACAAGCCCACCAATCTATCCCCGACACCTTGCAGCACTTCACCGCCTTCTGTCGTGAACGACGTTTCTGTACTCAACCGCTTCAGAAATCATTCACGAGTTTCCATCTTTCCACGACGGAGGCTGCGACTGCCCTTGCCAAAGAACAAGGGCAATCATACCTCGGATCCCATTCTCGACGACTTTCCTGACCCTCCCACTCATATCCCTACTCCCACTGACGCGACCTCAGCAGTCAATTTCGCGCCACACAGCGTCTCTTACCTCGTCTCTGTCGACACAGAGACGTCCAAGAAACGCCGTATTTTCTCTACAGAAAGCCTCAAATCGCTCACCAAGCGAGTAAAGTGGAGACGTCGACAGGCCGACCTCTCTCCTTTGCACGAGTTACCAATCTCTATCGAGAAGCCATTGCCACCCACCCCAACGGAAGAGTACACGACTGTACCTCCAGTTATCACTTACTGTGTGGTCGACCCCGTTGAGCTAACAGCTTCCCCATCACCGCATATTGGTCTTGACCTCTGTGCTCCTTCTGCACGGACATCCTTCCTCCCACCCTCACCTTCTTGGTTGAGCCGAAACCTTCCGGCACCATACAGAGTCCCAAGCTACGATTCGACTGTTCCAGAAGCTTCTACAGTCCCAGCGTCACCTCCACCACTGCCCATACCCCCTCGCCTTGCTGAACCTTCTCTTCAGGGAGATTCTCCCCCTCTCTCCCCGCTGGAAGTCACAAGCTGGCTCACTCACCTTGAAACCTTCAAGTTTTCGAAGAACAACTCTGCGTCGTCCCTGATTCAGTATAGATCACTATCTCGGCGTTCATCTGTGAAATCTATTTCGACGCAGTCCTTCTTCACATACTCAGCTAGTGGAAAGGAAAACCAGGTGCACTCATCTAAGGTAAGCGTTGCCACCTCATGTTAATCATCATATGACTCATGCCACATTGCAGGACCATTCAAGTCTGCTACTTAAACCCTCCGGATCACCACCTTCACTTCCCCACGAATCTCCGGCAAGTGCAAAACCAGGTTCTTCCCCTACCCTTTGCTCAGTCTCAATCCGTACACATATTCATCCCCTGCTTTCGCCACAACCATCTCTCAAACACCCAGTTCTTTCGGAAGACCGTCAGATCTTTATTCCGACAGCTCATCCTGATACTGATATCAACGATCCCTCTGATTTCTTAACCACTGCTTTTGAAAGCGTCTTTTCCGAAGCCAGAGGACACCTTTTGAATATGGATCTTTACGGAAAGACTGGAGAAGTTATTGATTTTGGTGGCGAGGTGGATTATTCTGGAGCCGCGTGGTTCCAAGACGTCCCACAAAGACCTACACCGGTGCGTCGATTACCCCTTGTATCTCTGATAACTTTTGTGTTGATTTCCTTGCCTGATAAGGCGCCACAAAGCGTTGGGACGCCGTATGTGCCTGATCCAGACGTCATAACTCAGAACGAGGCCTTTGAATACGCACTCACTGCGGCACCTAATGTATTGTATGCCAGATACAAGCAATACGGACAGGCAAGTAGTAAATGTCTACCTTTCACCTTTTATTTATATGTTTCTACAGCTGGGCGTCTTGGCGTGGTGTTCCGAATTTGGTGAACTCATCGACAATCTCAAGGAGATGGGATTCGCCGGCAACATGTTCGTCAGTACCCGATCTCAAGCACTGAAGACGTGCGACGAGATACTCAGGCTGAGGCTTACGGATGTGAAGATGCAGATCATCGTTATGTATCTTTCTTCGCAAGTTTCACGCCTCAGACGCTTTTTGGATGGAGACCGTGTATGGGATGATTATCCTGAACTGACATTCCCACTGGAGCCGATGAAGCATCAGGCAACATCGTAGTCTCTACCTTTTCCCCTTCTTTTTCCTGTTGTTTCGTTTTCTTACCTGCATTTCATTGCCATCTTTCTATCTCCTGTCATAGCATGCACGTACTATTTTGCAATCCAACGATTACATCCAAAGCATGATGAACGTGATCAAACGATAGCAATGAAGAGTAAAGTAGTATACAAAAGAAAAATCTAGTCCTTGAGTAATAAAAGTGTGGCGTAAACACCGTTAATGCATATCAGCAGCACCGTGCCTATAACATGCATATGATCATCAGCAATAATCAGGAAACACTTCCATTGGTGACATGAGGATTGAAAGACGGAGCATCAATCTCAGGGACGCCCCTATAATCTCGAGCGGGTGTCGAGGGTCTGCAGAAGGCCATCGCAGGGATTCTACGGTCCACCGTTTGTTCATATGGCATTATAGAATACGTATGGTCCCCGGATCGAGGATTCAACGACCAATATTCTCCCGAAGCCATGGACGAATGCGAAACGAGGAACGTCGGTGGGTCATTAGGATCCTAGTATCTAAGTTGGGTTCGATTCCTCAACATGTGTCAAAGCTTAAACTCACACAGAGCTTCTGACCCGTCCTTGACGGTGCAATGACTATGGGTTCCGGGTATTGCGGCCGACCTGGTTGTTTCTGCCTTCGCCTTCGCCTGAGTACAAAGAAAGCAATCCCTATCACAACGATCCCTACTCCGAGAACGCCGCCGACAACACCCCCAGCGATAGCGCCTGTGTCGCCTTTCCATGGACCAGAAGATCCAGACAAAGGCGCGTTAGTTGTTTCAGGTCCAGAAGCTACAGTTGAGGTACGGTCAACTGATGAAGGCGAAGGTGTTACGGTCGCGGTGGTTTCCGCGCCAGTATCGGTTTCAGCAGCTGCTACATTAACAGTACCGTTCAACTATGCAGATTCCGTCACTTGCAGTAATACACACAGGAATAAAATGCTCACAAGCAGATCGAGATAAGCCCAATGTGGTACAGCAGTACCACTCGGAATCTCGTGAGGAAATCTACAGAACATGAGCAAACACCCAACGCTTAAAATGTGGTATTCAACCCACATACACAGTATACGTTGTCGTACAATTGATACTATAGGTCGACCATCTAGATAACCGTTAATTTCCTCGGCTTCACAAACTGAACGTGCTAGACGTACATAGTGATGCCACCACCCTGGCATTGCGCGCACACGTACAAAAGCGAGTAATACACTGTGTTGCACCTGCATTCCATGCGACTGGCGTCCCCAGATGGACCTCGATATACTGAACCAGACGGCAATGCTGGGATATAAAATGCTACAAGATAGATCTAGGTCAGATATTCGTGCGTACCATCCGAGTAACGATAGACGTACAGCTGTCGCACACTCCCCCCAAGTCCGCGGCAATTTGGCAGGGAGACTGTGGTAGAGAACTGAAAGCCTGCAGCAAGGGTCAAGTAACGGCGCTACAGCTCTTCTGGTGACAGGTACGCACCCAGTCATATGCTGTATTCGAGCACGTAGCATCACTAGCCAGTGCTTTCAGGAAGGGTAAAGATGCGAAGATGGCTGGGCAGAACATTTCCCGCCGGTGGTTCAGCATCGATGCTGAGTGTTCGTGCCGAAATAATCACCACCACCACCACCACCACCACTGGCTCCGTGTACACCATGCAGTGAAACGAAACCTCGAAGTAGCCGAATCCCTAGATGAAAGGTATAGCCCCCGAGAAGTTTCCTCCTTGTGGCTGCTAGAATTGTGATAGGAACACCAGACTTCGCAGGAAAGAACTACGCCTAGCTTCCCTGAGATACATGGAGTAGATGTCGGTACATATTTAACCAGTGCAGGACCCTGAAGATTCAAGATGCAGAGTCCAATGGCCAACGAGATTAAAGCTCCATTTGGTGTCGAACATGTGCAAGCGCCGCCATTGTTTCTCCAGTCACCAGACGGATACTCGTCTTGGGCAACGATGATGTCGAAAAGGAGGTGCTTTCACGGACGTACTCTCCACCATTTTCTCCACAAGTCTAGAAAATGCAAGCTGTGGTGCAAAATATATATGGTAAGTGCTAGCAATCCAAACAAATAGTCAAACATTTCATGATGTACGATTATTGAAAATGAGTACGAGGATCCCGAAATGCAGTTAATAAGCGACGTGATACAAGCTTGTCCGAATGATATATAAAAATGAAGTAGAAATATAAAGGCCTTGGCCCTAACAATGTGAAAGCAAGGAAAACTTATCTACGAAGGATGGGTATTATATCAGTGCGCGGTGGTCACCCCAGCAAATTTAGTCCAATATTCAGAGGCGACCGTAGAGTCCAGAAGTGCGTCTAAAGGAACTGGCTGGTAAGGCGATTCTCGCGGAGGCTCTGGAAGAGGATTAGGTCGTGATGGCGGTAAGAAATCATTATAGGGACTGTGTTTGAATGAAGGTGGCGTATTAACGTGATGAAGATTCTGGGGGAGAGATTGTGTTTGTGACCCCGACGAGTACACAATGGCGGGACTACTAGTAGGCATGGAATGGTATATGTGCGAATGGGGGGGTTGGTGGTTCTGGAAGGCATTCTGCACGGTATACGAAGTGTGACTTGATCCATGAGCACTTCTGGCACTTGCGTCGTTCCCATTCGGGGTAGGGGCAGGAACGGGGGCGGAAGATGAGGCCTCACGCTCGAGGCCGTACATGCTTCGTGCCTTGAAAAGGCGCTCCATCTCCCATGCCTCTTTGCCCTTCATAGCGTTCAGGTCCGCAGTAGGAGGTACTTCAGAAGTAGGTCGTGCTGAATTTGATTGGTTACGCTCCAGTTTACGAGGGACAGCAGCACCTGGAGTTGGTGGGGGAGGGGCAGGTTGAGGTTTATTGACGTTCAGAGCGGTTTCCGATGACTTCCGTCCTCGACTCTCTCTTCGCTTGTGAGGCTCGGCCTCCTTCTCCTTCTTAAAGTCAGGAATAGGGGCACGACGATTTCGGTCCAAACTGCTGGCCCTAGGCAAAGCGCTGGAGGTGGAGGCTCGGGGTACGTCAGCAGAACGTCGACTCGATTTCTGGCCATGCTTCCGATGTTCTCGGTCGGAATCAGACTTGTCCTTCTCCTTGCTATTCTCGCGATCCCGCGACTTAGACTTAGACCGGTAAGTCTCCTTCCCTTTCCCTTTCACGTCCTCCACCACCTCCCATTGCTGGCCGGCCGCCCGAATCGTTTCGCTAGAAGCATAGACCTTTCCGGATGTGCTACGGACGAGTTTAAATGTTTCTGTCTGCTTGCTAGTCACGGAGTTGACACTGGGCGATGATTCTCGATGTTTGGCTTCCGCAGAGGGTTTCGGGGGCAATGGGGGGGCGACGCTACTTGGAGCAGGAGAAGCCATCTGTAAATGAGAATTGATATGTGGTGTCGGAGGATTGACTAAAATAGATGACGCGGACATGGGAGAATTATCGAAATCATGGGGATAAGTAGAAATCATTGCAGATAGATATGCATGTTCGTGTGTGGGATCCGATGCAGGGAATGGAACTGGTGGTGCAGATGTAGACTTGGGTAAAACCGAAGTTACATTGCTCTTTTCTGGTGACCGTGACATCTTCCTGGTGTCTGCACTAGGCGCTCCAGAGGCTGTTGGCTGAGTTGCGGGAAAGCCATTGGCTTTAGGCTTTGTGTCATCCAATCGTCTCTTACCATGGCTCATGAGTGCAGCCGGGACCGACACCTCCGGGGTACTAGTAAAAGGACGTTTTACATCAGCAGACGACCGTCTGGCGCGGCTGCTTGAAGCTACGGATATAGGAGTGGGTGTTTGAAGCTTCTCAGATGGCTTGTCAAACGACCGTACCTCTGGTTGCATACTTTCTGAAAACACTTGCATCGACGACGCCGGTACCGGGGATGATGAACCCTGAACCGGAGACAACGAAGAGCCTGGTATGGTGAGGGACGAAGAACCATGCAAAAGGGATAAAGTAGCCTGTGCAGTAGGCACCTGCGCCAGCTGTGAAGGAGGGTCAGAGTAAGAAGGGTCACGCCTTTCTGGCGGTAGGGGAATAGTCCGTTGATGGGGTGTGGTGCTACCAGAACTCGGTGTATCAGGGTTAGCCACGGTTAGTTTACCCATTGTCGAGTAAGGCGGGTCTACGGAATCTAAGGACTCGCGATCTTCTCTTGGTTGCTCCTTTGGAACATCTACCGAGGGAGAAGGAGTTACTGATTCTGCGGAAGGAGGAGGCACTCGTTTGGTGACTTTCTCTGGCGAAGGCTGACGCGCTACCACCATCGATGACCGCTTCTCAATCTTCTCTTCTGCCTTAACATGATGCCAACTGGTATCCGAGACATTCGCCGTTGCCGGTCTTTTCAGAATGGAAAATCTCTTAACTAGACGACCCAACGTACTCCCACGTCGATCCTTCTTTGACGTCAAAGAAGCTGGCTTGAAGGCCGAAGGAGGTACTGCGGGAACGGTAGATATCCGCTTCGGAGTAGGAGGTGGATAAACTATAGACGAGCGAGCAGATGGCGGCTCGTCGAGTGGCGTTGACGGCAGGGATATTGCATTACGGTCATTCTTAGAATCTGAATGTCCGAAAAAACCGCCAAAGGTGGGTGTCCTGCGCTTGCTGAGCTTGCGAGGTAACTTAGCCCCACCAGCGTCTGGTGGCTGAAGATGCACTGCGGATGTTGATTGAGAAAGCGGCGATGGCGTCACAGTGCGCCGCCGGTTATCCCGGTTTGTCAGGCTTGTGTGTCGGGCGCGGCCCTTTTTACAGCGGTGAGAACAGATAGGAGAACGATTAACGTTGCACTCACCTCCTGTGCCTCAACAGAGGAACCATTATTGAGGCCCACATCATATGGCGACTCATGGTGCCAATTGGTCCCCCACGGGTCTGTAACGTCAAGCAGATCAACGGTGTCGTGCGCCGTCTGGGATGTTTTTCGCGACCTAGGCTTGCTACCGATGTCGCCAACGCGAACCTGTGACGAACTAGGTGTCGGAAGGGGCGAATTTGAGGGCGTGCGGCTGGGGCCAGGCATACGCATAGATTCTTCAGACTGCTCTGGCACGGAAGAGGTAGCCATGGGCGGAAATGAGGGCGAGAAAATGGACGGTGGGCGCGAAGCCGACTTTTGAGACGGCGGGATGAGATGGTGGTTGTAGTAGCGTCGTGGTCCGACTGGATTGTGGATATTGAAGCGCATCTTGTACAGAGCAACAGAATTAGAGGCCAGGTCGTCCTTCAAGTACCAGGCAGGGAGGTCCTTTAGGGGATCTGGGACGATAGAACGAGTACTAGCAAGTGATGTTAGGTTGTCAGGTTGCTCCCTTTGCTCTAGGTTTTCCATCTCCCTTTCGTCTTCATTCCTGCGGGAAGTTTCTTTTTCGGTGACGGAAGGATGAGAGGGCTGCGGTTGTCGTGGTTGGGAAGAGGGTTGTGTTGATCGCTTAACCGACTTGCGGGACCAAATGGAAGTGCCGGATCTGGTATTGCGCTTCGACGTCCTGCGCTCCACTTCCTTTCTCTCCATATCCTGGTAAAAAGCCTTCAGAGCATCAGGCGATGACGGTTCGGTGCTGCCTCGAGACTGCTGGCGACGACAGAGATGACATTTCAGCGACACATAAGCAGATGTGAAATACGCCAAAAAAGTACCTCTTCATATGGCTGGGCGGCAGCGCCGTAGAACGCCATGGTTTCCAGAGGACCCTGTCGCTAAGGGCCACGTCGAGGGAACGACCAGAATATGGAGAAGGATACAGAGGTAACACTAGAACGGGCTGTGAATGTGTCGCAGGCCCAATTGCAAGGGCTACCAACACGTGCCCAATCGCTGCGCAAAATCTAGTGGCGCATATAGCCAGCTAAGGTCAGCTAAGGCCATACTATTGCCAGACAATATCTTGTCCCAACTTTTTTTCCTTCTTGGATGGCTCTGCTGACCTGTTATTGGCCCATCTCTCTCTATTCTGTTCGCTTGTCGTCTTTCTTCAAAATACAATTTTTTTGGAACTTGACTTATCGCGATTTTGGAAAAGAAATTACAAAGAAAGCGTGATCAATTTTCGTCTTTTATTTTCACCAATGTCCATCCGTATTCTGGTCATCGGAAACGGTGGCAGAGAGCATTCTCTCGTCTGGAAACTATCCCAGTCCAAGCATCTTGACCGTATCTTTGTCTGTCCAGGCAATGGCGGTACCTCTAGGGAAGTCAAGACCATCAATGTCGATCTACCGCCAAATGATTTCCCTCGTCTTGTCGAGTTTGCCGTTCAGAACCAGGTCAGTCCTCTGGATCTAACTTGGACATCTTATGGACAATACCACAGGTCAATTTAGTTGTTCCCGGCCCCGAACAGCCTCTGGTTGATGGAGTTGAGAAGCATTTTCGCAAAGGTGCTCCTATTTTGCGGTATTTATGCATGCAGCATTTAACGGCTGCACACAGTCGGCATACCTGTATTTGGACCCAGCGAATTAGCTGCCCGTATGGAAGGATCAAAGGCGTTCTCCAAAGACTTCATGGCGCGCCATTCCATTCCCACTGCCCGATACAGAATCTTCCAGGCAGATCAGTTCGACGAAGCCATCCAGTATATTAAGACATGCGGCCATCAGGTTGTCCTCAAGGCCAGTGGGCTTGCTGGTGGAAAAGGCGTCTTGATCCCCCAGACCGAAGAGGAAGCAATTATAGGATTAAAAGATATTATGATTGCAAGTGTCTTCGGTTCGGCAGGTACGTCCTCACCCCACAGCATGTAAAATCCACTTCAATAAATCCCCAGGTAACCAAGTTGTCGTGGAGGAACTGCTTACTGGCCCGGAGATATCAGTCCTCGCGTTTTCAGATGGCTACACGATCGTTCCGCTCCCCGCTGCCCAGGATCACAAACGGATAGGCGAAGGTGATGTGGGATTAAACACTGGGGGCATGGGTGCATATGCTCCAACGCCAGTTGCCACTCCCGCCATTATGGACCAAATCATGAAGCAGACTCTGAGACCAACTATCGATGGAATGCGCAGAGAAGGTTTCCCTTTCGTCGGTCTTCTTTTCACTGGTTTCATGATTACCCCCTCTGGGCCAAAGGTTCTCGAGTATAACGTCAGATTCGGTGATCCCGAAACTCAAGCACTCATGCTGCTTCTGCATGAAGATGTCGATCTTGCTGAAGTTTTATTGGCGTGTGCAGAACGTCGTCTCGATTCGGTCTCAATAACGACACGCCCCGGCTTCGCTGTCTCTGTTGTATTGGCATCCCAGGGCTATCCGGGAAATTATACGAAAGGAAAGACGCTTCACATGCTGGATATGCCATCCGGTTGGCACTATCGTTTTTCCCAGTATCTTTTTATTCATTCTTTTCATAGGTGTCATGGTGTTTCATGCTGGCACGAAGGCGTCCGAGAAAGACGTGTTGACTTCCGGTGGACGCGTCCTAGCAGTAACAGCTTATGGACCAAGCATCGAAAACGCTGTTGATCTGGTTTACAAAGGTGTAGACCAAATTTACTTTGAGGGAAAGACGTTCAGACGCGATATCGCGCACCGGTATGTTCATTCACGTGTACCTCGTATCTACAGCTATAATCGCTTTTAGGGCCCTTCAAACTGGCGCAGCAATCTCAAGCACCGGTCTGACTTACGCGCAAGCCGGCGTGTCAGTTGACGCAGGGAACGTGTTGGTTGAAGCCATCAAGCCATACGTGCGATCGACGCGTCGTTCAGGCGCAGACGCTGAAATCGGTGGTTTCGGCGGCATATTTGACCTCAAAGCCACTGGTTATGCCGATCCTGTTCTCGTCAGCGGAACAGACGGCGTTGGTACTAAATTACGCATCGCAGTCGAGACAGGTACTCACGACCTCGTTGGTAAGTCCTTTCGTTTCATTGCATGCACCGAGTAATCTTTAGTCGGGCGATAGGCATCGATCTCGTCGCAATGTCGGTCAACGACCTCCTCGTTCAGGGCGCGGAGCCGCTATACTTCCTTGACTACTTCGGGTGCAGTAAACTAGACGTTCCTGTCGCCACAGAGGTAGTCAAAGGCATTGCCGAAGGATGTCGCCAAGCAAACTGCGCGTTGATTGGTGGAGAGACGGCGGAAATGCCGGGGATGTATCAAGATGGTCCGTATGCCGTCCAATCTATTAGCGAAACTTCTACTCTAACTTTTCTTCGTTGTCTTTCTTAACACCTAAATTATCAAGGCGACTATGACCTGGCAGGGTTCGCAGTGGGTGCGGTAGAACGGAATCTGATTCTTCCGCAGACAGACATCTCAGCGGGAGATATTTTACTCGGGATCGCGTCCTCGGGCCCACACTCTAATGGATTTTCGCTCATACGAAAGATTGTTTCGGTATCTGGTCTCACCTATTCCTCCCCGTGTCCATGGGATACCCAATTAACCCTCGGTCGAGCCCTTTTGGAGCCAACAAGGATCTACGTTAAACAACTACTCCCTGCAGCGCAAGCAGGGTTAATCAAGGGCATGTCTCACATCACTGGCGGTGGCTTTATTGAAAATATCCCCCGAGTTCTTCCGAAGACGCTTGGATGCTTCATTGACGCCTCAAAATGGGAACTACCACCTGTATTCCGGTTCCTCATGACCCAGGGCCAAGTCGCTCCGCTCGAGATGTCCAGGACTTTTAACAACGGAATAGGGATGGTGGTGATTGTCAGCACTCAAAATGTTGATGCAGCTGCTCAGTCTATACAACAGATGGGCCAGGCTAAGGTCTATCAGATAGGAGAAGTCACTGAAAACCCAGGGGTTGAAATGAGGAACATGCACGTATGGTCATAGCATCCGATATATAATTCACAGGTACAGCAAGGACAACCAAAAACACATCCAGACTGGGGTGGCATGCAAAGAGCGATGGTGGGGTAAGCACGTCCGACATAATAGTAGACCTGTAGTAAGTAGTTTTATGTTTGTACGTGTAAAGCGGCAGCTATATAGGATGTGAAGGAATCATAATAGAAAACAAAAGCAGAAGAAAAATAGCGCAAGATAATATATATCTACACAAGGAGGCGAATAAGAGTAACCAATGACGATGCGGGACAAAACTGTGCGTGATGTGATATGTGCGTGAGGTGTTAGATGCGGAGGACAGATCATTGACGAGGATAGATGCGAAGAGAAAATAGTGAGAAGAACAGTACCAGGCAACCCAAGAATACAATAACAACTTGAGAAATAAACAAAATGGCTTGCTGGAAGCATCCATCGACGAAGATGTTTGTAAACCGCACATCGATGGTTTTTAGGCTGAAACAGGTACTTCTTTTACAATGTCCGGCGCAGCCATAGCAGCCGCGAATGATACAGGAAGCTTGGTGGCCGGTACAAGTGGGGATTCAGAAGTATCCTTAGGACTCGACTCGGAATCCTAACGAAAACTGAGATCACAGGTGGCGCGTTCAGCGTTTACAAACTCTCTACCTTGGCAGGATGAACTAGGTCAGGCGTCACGTTGCGTGAAGCTTCCTTGGTATTGTCCCGACGAGTAGGGGCTGGGGCTTGTAGCACCTGTGCAGCCGTCGGTCCCGCGATGCCGTTCAGTGTAGAAAGCGACCCGTTATTCGGGCTCCGCACAGGTGGCGTCGTAGAACCGGCGAGCACCGGGAAGTCGTCGGCGCTGGGAAGACGTTGCTTTACCTGCTGGAAGACCCGCTTATTATTTTGAAACCCATTCGTGCCGTTCTTGTACCCTTGAGAGTACTTTGGGCGGTTCCCAGCATCGGTAGACTGGGATCTACTAGAGCCCTCGCCATTTTGATAACGCGGTGCCTGATCCTATGATAAGGATAATCAGCGAGGGACACAGAGCAAATTAATGCCGTACATCACGAATTGACAATCCGGCAAGTTTCTCATCGATGGTTGCGAAGCCATTTGCCCCATGGCTGCCCCGGGGCCGGGGTCCGCCACCTCGCGAGCTGGAGAAATACTGTGATGCATCAGGCAATACATGCGGGAAACGACATTCATCGCTGGACATGAAAAGAAATATTAAAGCACATCACTGGAGCGAAAAGGAGAAAAAAATTACCCATTTTTACATCTTCCAGATGGGAAGAACAAACATGGGGGTTTGCGACCTGCAAAAGACCCGCGACGTGCGCTCCCGCGCCTCTGATGTGCAAAGCTCTCACGACCAGCTGAGCTGGGACCATACGAATCAGGCGGGGGATTGAGAGAGGGTGATGTTGCCGTGCCATTTACATCCGGGAAATGAACGGATCCAGCCGGCGGAGGCGGGAAAGATGTTCCATCGGGTCGCATCGCAAATGGATGTGCTGGAGGTAGAGCGGGATATACGGTGTGAGGAGACTGACCCGGAGGAGGGGGTAATGGATGTTGAAGAGGAGGCAGAGGAGGAATAGACATGGGCACCGGTAACTGGTTTGGGTGGGGATAGGCGGAGGGAGACATCATGGGGGACATAGGACCGTATGGCAAAGGAGGAGGCGCGCCGTTAGGACTGAAATGGGCTGGCAGTGGGCCCATCTCAGATGGAGAACGACCATGGTTCATCGGAGGAGGCGTACCGAGCGCGTTGACGGGCACACCGTTCGGTGGCTGCTGGAAAGAAGGTGGGGGCAATGGATAGTAGCTTGGTTGGTAGGGCTGCTGCGTCATGGGGTCGTAGGGCGCCGGGAACTGCCCTGGTGAAGACATAGGACCTTGGTAGTATGGACCTTGGGGATGCAAAAACATACATGAGGAGCCATACCGGCACGCAGGGAAGTACCTGCACGGGATGAAGCGCGCGATGTCTGGCGGGGGGAGATTACCCGGGCCGCCGGGAATTATACCATCAGCAGACGATGGTGGCGGCGGGTAATAGGCAGTGCCTTCAGGCATGGGAGGAGCCGAATTGAGAGTGGGATAGTATGGGTACGAGGAAGGATAGTATGGGGCCTTTGGAGCGTCACCGTTGGCATCCTGATTATATCCGTTCTCCTGGTAGGCATTTTGGGAGGCGACCTTGGCTTGCGCAGCAGTAATCAACTGGAGAATGGCTGGATCCGAAGTATACTGCTGGGGTGGCCCATGGTTCGAGGTGTTGTTTGGGTCGGCGCCTTGAAGAAAAGGGGAAGTAATGAGGCGACAGCACGAGCGAGAACGTGGCGAAAAGCCTACCTTTGTCAAGAAGGAGGGACACTATATCGACATGGCCGTTTTTTGCGGCCTCGATGAGGGGTGTAGCACCAGTATGGTCTGCAAAATGCTTTGGTGAAAACGACGGACATGGACCGAAATTGGCGGTCGCACCTTTTACTTCAATATCGACGACAGTGGCGCTGGCGAGCAGATCGTCGAGGTCGGCGAGACGGCCCTCTGAAGCAGCTTTCCAGAGCGGAGAGACCATTGAAGACGACGAGAGCTGGGGGATGGCGGGAGAGCGGGAGGCAACAGGGAGGCAAGGGACGGGTGGACAAGATGACTGTAGCGCGAGACCGGACGTGAAAACCCGTTGGTACGAAATTTGGCTTCTTCGAGGGCAAGCAAATTTTCGATCAATTTACTTGCACGTGATTAATCCCTTTGCCGCTTTTGAATCTGATCGTACCTCCGGTTCAATGGGACCTCGCGTACTGTCGGCGGTTCCGGATCCCATAATCATCACAATTCCCTCAGCTCGCTTTCCTTTTCCTTTCCCCCCGGCTCATCCCATCTTATTTTCTTTGTTATCTTTGCTTCGCCCTTGTTTTATTCCGCGTATTCCGCAAATACAACTCGCCGGTGGCTGTCGACGTGTGTAATAATATGATATGTCATTAAGCCATACAAACTATTGTAAAAATATCAATCTCCTGCGCCCTCCGATGGCATGATCCCGCTTGATCTCACCGATAAAAAAATCGATATGCGTCAGCTGCTCTACTGAATGATCCGTGGTCGCTTTGTTACCAGGACTTTCTCTACTCCTTGGTATATAACCCCAATTTCTCCACCAGTTGGCGGGCAGGTCCACCGGCAGTCGGAGGCAATTCTAGTTCTCGGGAAGGTGGAAGCTCCATCAGTTCTCGCACTGCAGTCCGTATATCCTTCCCTGTATTCATTATTAATCTCACGGCATTCGATTTGTAAAAAAAAAATGAAATGTCACGAATGCTTACGCTCGTACAAAACTTCATACATCTGTAATACAACTGTCAACGTTTCATTCCAAGTAGAGAATACTTGGCCCGGGTAACTCACGGAATTCGCAATGGGGGCATGAACTCCCAGTGAATCTATCACATTCTTGACACCTTTGGTTGTTGACACACCTTCGGCCACACTTCCAAGTGTATTGATAATCGTATCTAGGCACTCGCCCTTTCCAAGCCGGTATCCCACCGTGTAGTTACGACTGTTAGAGGAACTGCAAGTCAAAAACAGGTCCCCAACGCCAGCTAGGCCCAGGAATGTCAATGGCGACGCCCCATACGCGGTGCCAATACAGGTCATTTCCGCTAAACCCCGAGTTATCATCACTGTTATGGGGATTTACACTTGTGGGATTCGGAAGCCATATTCAAATACAAACTCACTAGCCCGTGTATTGTTTTCGTACCCCAAGCCATCGGATGCGCCGGCAGCGATGGCATAGACGTTCTTCAGCGCGCCGGAGAGCTCGATACCTATTGGATCACTGCCCGTGTAGCTAGAACAGATCAGTCAGCAACCCAAGCGCCCATGAAGGCCTCAACTTACCAACGGAAGTGCGGCTGATGGAATAAATTAGCAGCTTTGTCGGCCTCTGCTTCAGTAAAAGATGCGACTGAAACAGATGTTGGTTGCCGTTGGACGACTAGGAGAGATGTCAATGTTGGTTCAAACCCAAACGCGGCGCCGTACTTTCTTTCGCGAACGACGGTCCTGACTACACGCTGAGGTTAAAAATATCGCCACACAGATTACGAGAACGCACAATGAATGTCGCCGCTTTCGCGAATTCTGGACCACAGGTATCTGCTATAATTTCCAGTGTTAAAGCGTGTGTTCCAACTTCGATACCCTTGTTGACAAAGATCAAAAGAGGAAAGTTGCTGGGGTCAAGGTGAGGGCGAAGTCGAGATAAATTTTCCCTGGGTGGCGAAAGATCAACGGTGCTCGTCTGACCGTGAATATAGCAACACCGACCTGAGAAACTGGGTCGGAATAGCAAACAACAGAACATCCATCTTGTTGATCAGCCCCTTAGCAGGAAACCCAGGCCCGACGGCGGTGATATTATCGGAAAACTTGTGGTCCTTGAGGTATTCCAGGTTGTAATGATGCTCGTTAAAGTGCTTTACGACATGCGCTTCGCGAGCCCACAAAAACACTTGATGGTCCGAGTCCCCAAGATGGTCTGCTAAGCAACTCCCAAAGTTACCGGCACCGAGCACAAGCACCTTGGATCCCTGTTCTGGCTGTTGTTTTGACATGGATGCAGGAGAGCAGTAAAAGGATGTGAGGGAACGGCGGCAAAGAGGACGTCGTGAGAGACGAAGATACGAGAATGGGCGGGGTATATATGTGGTCCGTAGGATCATCCGGGGATGGGGCAATTCGTGCACCCCAGCAGTTCGATTTGTACTCTGGCCTTCGAAACTCAATGGAGCCTGCTATCACGTGCCAACACACCCTTTGACCCCGACTACTTCCTTGCCCGGGCTCCTTTCCTTTGCTTCCCTAGACTCTATCAATATTTCCTTATCTTTACATGCCTATACAAGACCGGACCACCGAATTTCGCTCCTGCGTCGAGTCTATCCGGAGCAGGTCTTCTTTGCCTTCTCGTGGCGGCGAGGCCAAACAGCGACTGTTGCAGGATGGTAGTCAGGCACACAGAAGCAAAAGCGAATTCTCGCGAATGGCCTCCACTATTGCGAAAGATATCAGTAGCACAACGATAAAACTTGAGAAACTGGCCCAGTGTACGTATTCGGGTCTCAATCAGGTCTGCGGACACGTTCTCATCATTCGTACAGTGGTCAAACGGAAAACCCTGTTTGATGATAGACCTGTCGAAATTAGCGTATGGAAGGCGTTTCTCCAATGTCCTCGATAATGACTTGCATTTCCCGGTGAAACAGGAACTTACCTTCATCATAAAGCAAGACGTTGCCCGCATCAACAAGCAGATTGCTCAGTTACAATCTTATATCAAGCAACGCAATGCTCAGTCGTCGAGCTCAGCAGCAGAGAAACAGATCGAAGAGCACAATCACAATGTGGTCATGCTGTTGCAGAGCAAACTGGCATATACGAGTATGACGTTCAAAGATGTTCTGGAGGTTCGGACGCAGGTAAGTAATGCTTATTTAGTTCTTTAGTTTTTTCTGAGCTAGTATAAACAGAACATGAAGGAAACAAAAGATCGTACTGAGCAGTTCTTGTATTCGACATCATCTGCCGCCAATCAGACACCTTCAAGTAAGCCTTGCAGAAGCTTTCAACCTACATTATCTCTTTACATCATGTTAGGCTCGGTATTGTTTAACACACAGCGGAGCGATCCCATGGGCGACGGCAGTCCAAGTCGTTTTGAATCTAATTCCAAAGGCAAAAATCGTTCCCTGCAAAATGGAGATGTTCTCGCTCTCAACCTGGATGCCGCCGAAGAAGGAACTGCATCACAGAATGGCGGCGCCTTTATGCAGATGCAGCTAGTTGAGCAACAGGTATATGTCTTTCTGCTCCCTCAGTGTTCGCTTGCTGACCCGTTTGACAGGACTCGTACATCCAATCTCGCTCCACTGCCATAGAATCAATAGAATCTACCATTGCCGAGCTTGGCCAGTTATTCACACAGCTGGCTAATGTGGTTGCCGAACATCGGGAAACGGTGCAGCGCATTGATGCTGACACCATGGACATAGCGTCAAACGTCAGTGGTGCACAGCGAGAACTCTTGAAATATTATGCTAGCATTTCAAGTAATCGGTGGCTGATGCTGAAAATATTCGGGGTTCTCATCGTCTTTGTGCGTACCTTTTACTGTCAAAGCTGTCCAACAACTGACAGTGTTTTTATAGTTTCTGGTCTTCATTCTGGTGTCATGAGGATCGCCATGCAGGGCGGGTACCTGTATATTCTATGGACAGTAAATTATGCGCCTATATGCATAACGTGGATAGAGATGCGCTTATATTAATACAATACCCCGAGAGCAGTGCTGGCTAACCAACAGGTATAGCATTGACCCCAGTTCCCCAGGCCTTTCCTCCTCGTGGTTGTCTACTCTTGCCATGCTTGACGCCCCCACGGTGTGTTTCATTCTCCACCGCATCGTCAATTGTCCATGTTCGCTTCTTAGACGGCACTTGATCCACCCCAGATGTTGCAGAATACCGTTGAGGTCGTGCTGTTGTCGATACGAGTGCCCCGTCTTTGGTTTGCTTTTCCAGCTTCTCTTTCTATGGCAAGTTGAGCACTAGAATAGACAGACATCACAAGAGTACGTACTCTTTGACCGTGAAGTTCCCTGTTTCTTTCCTTCACCTTTTGTATCCTCGCTTCTCCCTTTCCGCCACCTCCTGCTGTAAGCTCCACATTAATCAAACGGCCGTCTAGTTGAGACTGATGTAGTTTGAGTGCCTGCTGCAATGCGTTTCGATGTGTGAATTCAAGAAACGCGCAACCTTTGGATTTTGCTATCAACTTTCCTGCCGTGGCTTTTGGCGTAAGTAAACGGACACTTGGCGGTGGGTCTGATCTGCATCGTCAACGGGTGAAAAAGTAACAAAAAATGAAGACGAACCGCAGGCAGCGAAATGCGCTCTTATCGTATGTAAGGACGTCGTATATTTGAGGTTACCTGCACAATTGATTCAGCAGGAGCACGAATTAGAAAAAGAGAATGCACTTACCGACGAAGAGAAGAAAACGTTGCTTGGTATCCTCCGTAACGGCCTTCTTCTTCTGCTTCTTCTTCTGGACCACCTCGACGCTCTCTTCTTCTGTCCCTTCTCCATCATCGTCCACCCCCCGCTTCCTCTTTTTCCTCTCCCGAGCTTCGCCTTCACCATCTTCATCCTTTGCTCTCGCCTGGCCTCTGTGGCTCACCTTTTCATTCTTTCCCTTACCTACCCCTTCATCCTCCACCTGGTCATCCTCGCCATCAACGTCGTCCTGGATTTCCAAGATAGGAACGTTGTCAGCGTCCATTCTATGCGCATGGCCGTGAACATTTTTGCGAGACTTGCGTTCACGGAAAACAATGGATTTCTTCTGTTTCTTGGTTAACTTTTGCGAGGAAGACATTGCAACTTGCTTTTGTCAGTGCTGTGCAGATCGAAGGGAGGATGAATGGATTTCTGTAAGTGAGAAATAGGGAACTTTGGTAAACAGTTGTAACATTTCAGCATAGCCACTCCCGCGTCCCGAGTTCCGACCGATCGAGATGGTTGGATGAGCCCATTTGTCTCTTAGTCCCGCGTTGTCATCACTATAATTTTGCTGGGACAGCAGGTCAGCAACTTCAGGTTTCTTTTGCTTCTCTCATGCTTGCCTTTTTGCTCTAGATTAAGCAGTGGGATCGTCTACCACTTGTATTTGCTTAAATCTGTGGTGTAGAAGTTTACACACCAGCCAACTAGCCTGTCTCTTTAACATATCCAGAATTGTAGGACGGCTTGTACTGTTTGAATTATTTTCTAACATATGGCCCACTTAGATGGCCCAAACTAACGTCGTGCCTCTCCTTGGCACAAATCATGCACCGACAGAAGAGGAACGACGTGTCATCGAGCAATCCTTAGAAGACCACGAGTCGGAACTCGAACATCTCTTGGATGAGATCCAAGAGCTGCAACAGACTATACACGCGAGACAGCGCGCAGTTGAAAAAATTCGGGATACCATCGATGCACACTATATGCTCCTGCGGCATAGCCCAATGAGGACTCTTCCCCCAGAGATTCTGGGGGAGATTTTTCAGGCATATTGCGATCTCCATCCCGTCCCAGATTTTTCCAACTGGGATTATCGGCGTCGCAATACTCTCATGAAGTCTCGCATGGAGCTGCTTCACGTTTGCCGCAGATGGCGAACTATCGCATTATCTATGCCTCGCGTTTGGTCCGCCTTCCCCTTGTTCGCTCGTCAAAGTCCGCTGAGTAACCCAAACTTTGACAAGGAGATGGTGAACTTGTGGCTCATGTCGTCAGGCCGGGTGCCTTTGGATATATATGCTTCATATCATGAAGATAGTCCTGATTACACAGCAACCCACCTTATATCCCAGATCCACCGATGCCGTAGGCTCAACCTGGAGTTTCAATTCCATCATAATAGACTGGGATCAATCACCTGGCTCTCCCTTCCCATCGCGCCCATGCTCACGACCCTCTGCTTTCATTCAGACCGTTGGGCTGATGCCAGCATGATAACCTGGGCCTCCCAGCTCTTCCCCACGCTTCCAAATCTCAGGGATCTCGACTTTAATGGGCCTGCGTCGGTCCTTAACACGGCGTCATTGGGCTCTTTAAGGATCCTGCGTTGTACACTGATGAACCCTGAACAGTTTGTAGGTGCTCTCAAAGGGCTTCCTCTTCTTGAAGAGATGCATGTCGGCCATATGCCCGACGCCACCGCCCCAACGAGTTGTACTATTCACAAGACTTTGAAGGTTCTTGACATGCGCTGGGATCCTTCCGAGCTTGATGCCATCCCAAACCTGCTCCGTCAATTGACCTTACCCGCGTTAGAGAGCTTGGAAATACATGATCACTTCGTACCTCCAAAAGATATCATGGATTTTCTCACGCGCTCCGCTTGTTCCCTGATCACCCTCCGCATGGCTCCCAATACCAACAAAAGGCACCGCTCCGATAACAGGGAACATGCTATACTTCCATGCTTACAGATGGAACAGAATCAGTCATTGAGGCGCCTCTTTATCCATGCTCCGAACGATTCCATGACAGTGTATATCAAAGGGTTGTCGCCCGAGATCCTTGAATATCTAAAAGGTCCAGGTCTTCCTCATCTCACAGAAATCGGTTTTACCACCTCCACGGAGAATATATCTGTGGTCAAGGAGGTGATTAAGCGCAGGGAGGCAATGTATAAGGACAACTTGGTGAAGTCTATGTTGTCACGAGTAGAGATTGTCCTGTCCTCTGCTGATCAATGGTTCTCTGGTAAGGTCAAGAAGGATGACATAAAACGCGCATCCGAATCCTTAAAGAATCTGGGCGTGTTTGTCGACCTTAAGTCTTGTGAAGCCCTTTTCTAAACTTTACTCACTAGTGTTGCACTTCCTCCCGACATACTCACCATCCCATTCGATCCAATACATCATCCCGTCATTATACCACCTTTCTGTTACGTGGAATAAAATTTCGGACAAATTTTTCAGTGGACGAGTGAAACGACGTATGTTAACGGAGCGCCAATCTGGCCCCCACTGATGCTACCGTGTCAAGGATTCGGGCCACCTCTTCATCATACGATTGTTCCTCTAATTCCGTTGCTTTTTTCGCTGTCACGCCATTATTACGAGCAGCGACATCCCGAGAACGCTTATCCCCCAGATTGTGTAATACAATCGAGCTCAAGTACTGGGCATCTGACGCTTCTCGGTACATCTCTAAAGCGCTAAAATCAGCCTCAGCCACTCGGAGATACGTGTTTGCTTCACGGAGGCTTTGTTCTAGCGCACAATATTAGTAACGGAAAGCATACGATGTGAGCCAGCACAAACCAGTAGCCCCCTCGGCGGCTATAATACAACGAGCCAACGTGAAAGAAGCTAAGGCTCGTTGCTCTATGTCGTTTCCGGTGATCAGCTAGCAAGAACTGTCAACATATAGACCCATGAATCACGTCACTAACACACCTGGGGCATAATTCTTTCCAACATACGTCGAGATCGCTTAGTCAACCCAAGCTCAAGACCTACGTCAGCGAGCATGATGATACTCGTTCGGTACAGATTTAACCGTAACAGAAATTCTGAATGCCAGAGGGACGTCAACAGGTGGTGCACAGCAGTTGGAGACTGTTCACAAGCCTAAAATGGTGTCAAAAAAGCATGCGATGAATGAAATCATCTCAAAATCCTACCCGCATTCGTATAACTTCATGCAGGTCATCAAAAATTTTAGATACCTGGGTCGGAGTACTATGAAGAGTATAATGGCGAGGATTGAAATTGCCAGGAGGCTTTCTAGGAAGTAGAAAACTGGAACACAACCGATCTTGTTTCCTGGATTAGCATTCAATGAGCAAATTGCAAGCGGCGACCCGTAGAAAGATGCTAACCGACGGACGGCTCGTAAAACAAGAATATGCCATATTTCTTGGGCCCAAGATGCATAGTCATCAATTGTCAATCCACGCCAGACGTCAGGTTCTAACAGTGATACAAGGGCTTGGGTATATTTGCCTTGGCGGGCTTGCTGTAGGAGGCTAAATATAATGTTGTCCGTGTAGATAAAGGGCGACGCACTCTGTAAGCCTTATTCAAAATAACAGTGAGACGGTTGTTGTTGTCACCTCCGTATTCAGTGAAGGCAATAACGATATTCTCCTCGACTTGAGCAAGCTGATCACACCCTAGAAGGTTCTATATTTCGATGTGGTGCCCGTGGAACCCGCGAAATTAACGAACCTGCGGCACTCCATACAATGCTCTGTACTGCATGTTGGCCCCATTGGCCGGCCTCATAGTCTTCCTCTCGATGTATTTCAGTCCGATAGTCATACAACCCTATTGCTTGGACAATCTTTGCGAATGCTGCAGTTAAAGGTTGTTCCTGGGCTCAGATTAGTTCCAAGGGATCGATCACGGCTTATGGACGTACATTATTTACGTCGAGGAGTTTCTTGACATCAAAGAGGATTTCTGATGGGTGTAGGTCAGGTTGGAATTCATTCAATGGCACTTTCTTGCCCTCTTCACTGGGAGGTAATCTGTTTAGCATACTGAGGGGATGATGAGGAGCTGGTCTCCTGTGCATGGAACTCTAATACGTAGCACAGTGTTGCAAAATGATCTTGTCGCCGGCAATGCGAGAAACAGAAATGGCTTCAGATAAGATCTGCTGGAAGGTGAGAGTTTTATTATATCAGTACGGTGGGACTCAACTGTTCTAACAGCCGTAAATTCATGTCGAAGATAATGCATGCGGATGAGACTCAGTAGCACATTCTGTCGTAAGCCGCTTAAGTTTCCGAGTAAGATACAATGATGAGAAAGAGAACACCATGGTTCTTACGAGTCGGGCCCGTCTGTGAACTGTTGCTCAAAGTATCGCCTGGCATTCTCATCCATAGCAAGCTCATCACCCGTTGCGTGTGCCTTTTCCATTCTGAAATGGGATTTCCGTGACTTATTGGAACTAAGCAGACCAGCTAGCAAGACGCACTCTTCATAAGGATCAGGCTGAGGCCAAGATACTTGGTCGCCTCTTGTCCTGAATAATAACCGATCCACTTGTACGGTACATTAGTTATATAAATGATGGATGAGCCGCCACCCACCTGAGTTTAATGGATCATCCAAGGTGCATGCGTATGTTCCAGAGTGCTCACTGGTGCACCAAGCGACATAATCGGTATGCAATGCAACCAGCCCAGCCCAAGACAATTTGAGATAACTGATGTGACACCGTCGACAGAAGTATCCAAAAAGCGAGCGAGATGACTGAGAGAGACATTATATTTCGCTCGAGAGACTTCAAGTCTGAGGCGTACCAAGACCGACGGTGGATCCTAGAGCAAAAATTTAGCATGGCATCGGTATAGTTCAAAACTCACACTGACATCTTCGCTTCTCTCTTCAAACAATATGGCAATACCTGGCAGCAATTGAAGAGGTGCCTCATAACAGAACAGGGTGCCCACCTCGAAGAAAAGCCGAGAGTCTGTCTGTCGCGTAAAGTTCTACGTGCTGAATATAAAGTTAATGGGTAGCAACGATAAGCGCTCAGCCGACGTACAACGTTCCTAAATGAGTGTATTAGCTTTGACGCCTCTCCTTCCTGAGCCTTTGGGGCAGCGACAATGTCTTTGAGGAGCTGCTTCCATTTCTTCGGTTGAGCGACCTGTTGTTGATCAATATAGAATACCCTTATATAATGATGGGAATTGGTTGCTACCTCGGAGACTTCGTTCATCAGCAACCGATAGATATGAAGCAAGAAAGGCTGAGGCAGTAGCTTGGAGTCGTACTCTCGAAAGACGAGCATGAAGAGGGTCAACAAGACAACATGGTGGGGTCGAAGAATGTGCTGGCGCGCGATTGGCTTGATATTCGCATCCATGTAATGACAGGGTGAAGGAAGAAAATCGCGCCAAGGACGTGGCCACCGTGGTCACCAAAGAGGGTCGCTGCCCCGCTTTTCGGGTTTTTCGGGCCGGGACAAAAGAGAAATATCCTCATTTCTTATACACGGCTCTTTTATCTTTGTTTACCTTAGCAGAGAATCAATCTTGACTTTCTTGTATTTCCCTCCTTATCGTAAATCAAAATAGTACTTCATCAGGCTTCATGTATGACCTCATGCCAATGTCCGTGAGATTACGTTCGTATCTTTCCCACATTCCTCAACTATCTACAGGTTATCTTCAATGACTTGGCAAGAGGCAGTTTCAGAAAAGCGGAAGAGGCAGCTCGCGTCCATCCCCCAAGAGTGGACCTTGGCCAGTCTACCGTCAAAGGATCACCTTGACATTTCTGTTTTTCCAGACTCTTGTGGTCTTCTGACCCCGACAGAGCTGGAAATCACTAGGTCTGAAATCGATGGTCTCCTATCCAAGCTTGCGAAGGGCGACTGGACATCTGTACAAGTTACTACAGCATTCTACAAACGTGCTATCATCGCGCATCAGCTGGTAGGCTCACATCAATGCACCCATATACATTCTGACAGAAGTGAAGACCAATTGCCTTACTGAAATATTTGTCGAAAAAGCGCTTGCTAAAGCTGCCGAATGTGACGACTATCTCAAGCAAACAGGCAAGGTGCTGGGACCGCTTCATGGTCTGCCTGTATCCTTGAAGGATCAAATCAATATCAAGGGAATTGAGTCTACGATGGGTAAACTAGTCGTATTCGTACGAAAACGCGCTTATAAGCATTCCTGCAGGTTATGTTTCCTGGATTGGGACCTTCGCGGAGCGTAACGCCGTCCTTGTAGATATGCTAGACTCCTTAGGTGCTGTTCCTTTCGTCAAGACAAACGTTCCTCAGACCTTGATGGTAAGTTTACTTTTCCGTAAAAGTGAATAATTCTTCTCAGTTGAAATTTTAGTGGGGGGAAACTTTCAATAACATTTTCGGACGCACCTGTAATCCCCATAACAGATCTCTCACAAGTGGGGGCTCTTCTGGTGGGGAGGGTGCATTACTTGGTAGGTCATTTTTTGATAGTTCTAAATGGCATATGACATAAATTTAATCCGCAGCACTCAGAGGGAGTCCTCTAGGTACGTGATTCGGCCGGAACGTAAGGAACACTTATTGATTTGAATATCAGGTATTGGTTCCGATATCGGAGGGTAAGAAAGAGGCAAAGCTTGCATTGGATTGTCGTTGTGATCTTTCTCCTAGGTCGATCCGGATTCCGTCGTCTTTTTGTGGTATCTATGGATTACGACCTTCCCATGGCCGGGTACCTTATGCGGGCTGTGTGAACTCGATGGAGGGACAGGACTCTATTATGTCCGTTCTGGGTCCAATGTCCAATAGCTTAAGCGGCCTCAAGTGTTTCATGAAAGCCGTAGTAGACGCGAAACCTTGGTACAAAGATGCCCTCGTCATCCCTAAGGCCTGGAGTGAAGAAGATTATAGGCTAGTCAACCACGGGGGAGGGAAATTGCTGTGTTTTGGTATTCTATGGGACGATAGATGCGTGGTACCGAATCCCCCCATAATTCGAGCGCTGGAGATGACAAAGAAAGCATTACTGGCTGCTGGTCATAAAGGTTCCTGGTCGGCATTCGGTATAGTAGCATTGCTGATTATTCCCTTTAGTTGTTGATTGGGAGCCCTTCAAACATGACGCCCTTTCCAGGACTTCCGTAAGACCATCATTAGAATTACGATATAACAGTGCTAACGTCAATGTCATTAGTACGAAATTTGGGGCGCAGGTTGCGACGAAGACTATCGCGTAGTCGCTCAGATTTCTGGGGAACCTGTAATCTCCACCATGGGTCCTGATGGCAATTCAGAGCCTGGAGAGTCTAAACATAAGGGGGGGATATCGGCGTACAAGCTGTGGCAAGTCCAAAAACAAAAGAGGGACCTACGGCAGGAGTATCTCGAGTATTGGCAAGCAACCCAGAAGACCACGGGCACCGGCAGACCTGTTGATGCAATTATATCACCAGTGGCACCCTATGCCGCACCTCCACATGGTTTCAACCGGTGAATAAGCTGATCTACTTCATCTACTACTACACTCACCCATCGACCTGAATCGCAAGAATAACGGATTACACAAGAATTTGGAATGTGCTTGATTACACCACTCTAGTTATCCCGGTGTCCAAAGTTGATCGTCACCTCGACGTGAAGAAACTTCCCCACAAATTCTACAGTGACAGGGACAAAGACAATTATGATCGATGTGGGTAGTATTTTGGTATAATGGCAAAAATACTTATGACTCGTTGATAGATGACCCGGAAACCTTCAGAAATGCGCCTGTCGCAGTACAAATTGTGGGTCGAACGCTCGAAGAGGAAGCTGTCATCGGCATGGCAGAAATCGTTGATACTGCACTGAAAGCAACGAAGTCGCAGACTGCCTCTTATTTGTAACGATATTCTGTATACGTATATGAAGAGTGTAAGATAATCGAAAGTCCTAGTGTATCTACGATACAAGCATGTAAGATAGAAGTGCAGGAATATGAGTGTCGTTGATAATACATATGTAAGTAGCTGTTGCTATACAGATAGGTTGTTGCGAGTTCCAAGTACTACATGCTGAAGGGTTGAAAAATGCAAGATACAAGATGCCAGTGTGTTTATCAGAAATCAGGCACTTCATCCGAGACTAAGGCCACCGACGGCTTCGCCAGCCCCATCTACCTCCCTGTCTTCTCCATCAAACCTCCGAGTTCGAGGAACAGGTCTGATAATCGGGCTAGACAAACCCATCGATGCTCGTAATGTGGGACTAGACGTTATGCTCATAGAACGAGGGTACGATCCGGATATTGTCGGGGAAGATGTAGTAGAATTGACGTTTGATGACGGTATTGATACAGGAATGGCAATAGGTATCCTGTTACTTCCTCGAGGAGAGCCTAGCGTGGAATGTGGGTCACGAAGGTGGGGGATCGAAGGGGAAACGGCTCGGCGTTTTGAGGCGGGATATGGGTCAAAACGATCATCAACTATTGGGAGTTTATGACCAGCATTATGAAAAACATAACCGAAAAGAACGTACATTTGCGTTTCGCCGACCTCACAGCACTTGTCGTGGGAGGTGGTGTGTACCTCCATTGGGTCATTGATGATGTCGACATGGGTGAACAGGAAGGCTAGACAACATGGTGAGTATCACGTTCGCTAAGAAACAAAACGCGCGTACAGCATCAACGTCCATCAAACTGGAACTCTCAGAAATGTCAAGGTCCTCTCCACTAGCATTCTTACGACGATTGACAATGTTGATTGGATCGCTATGACTAGAAGGAGTGTAGGCGAAGGGACCGTAGTCCTCATCATCGCTGGGGGTGTCTTCCCTCTGGAAATCATCATGACCAGCCTCTTCAGGATAACGACCCCGGTCGGATGCGGAACGGGGGATGTGGGGTTGAAGGGGAAGTTCAGCCCCGGAAGCCACCAATCGTTGAAAGGCGGCCTCGGACTTGACTTCATTTTCGACAGGGCGAGATTCAGCGAGGAGGTTCAGTATACGGGGTTGTTTCGGCTGAGTTAATAATTAGGCGCCATGGACATATAGTAAATAGATAACGACATACAGGAAAGGATAATCTGCGTCGGGGATAAGGACGCGAGTCTTGGGCGTCGGCCATTGACGACGACAACCTGCGAGGGGAAGAGAGGTAAGGTCGAAGAATTTTGGTTTCTTGGGTGGCATCATCTTCTATACCAATAGAAGGAGTGGTATCCCCAGAGGATGAGCTATCGGTACGTATTGCTCCGCTACTGCCATCAGACAGGTCAGACGGTGAGTCGTGGTGGGTGTTCTTGTGCCTCGACGAGGAATGCAGTGTGAAGGATGTGGCTAACGGGCTCGACAGACGAGCGTCGGATAGAAAGCTCGCTTTGGGTGCTAGTATACTTGGGCGTCGTATTCTGTGCATTAACGCCGATTCATCCGAGGTGTGGGACGACGTCGAAGCCACGCTCGATGGGGGTAGGGCAAAGTCGACGGAGGAGGTGGGAAGCGGTCGTCTGGAAGAGTCCTTCGGCATCGTGGAGGTCGACCACCACGATGGGCATCCAGTTAACAGTGGCGGCACGGTGACGGTAAGAGGGAGAGTTGAAGGAACTTTGACCTGAGCGGATCCTTTCCTTACGGTGTTCTGGGTCACGTGTGACGTTTCCTTGCATCTCATTATTCCCTACGCCTGTACCCAATGTCAAAACGCTCCGCTACAGAACTGGTCCCCAATGCCGAGAATGATGGACAGCCGTTTGAAAAAGCCTCCGGCAGTCGAATAAAGCGTGGAATGGCACACAACGACGAGATGGGCGAATTTGAAGATGCCTGGGAGGATGAGATTGAAAGTGACGAAGAAGTGGTCAATGAGGAACTAAACGATGATGAAAACGGTGAAGAAATATTTTTTCATCGTCAACTATCCTTGCTTATTATGAAGCAGCGATGGAAATTGACGAGGAAGTCATTCCTGCAGTCGAAGACTCAGAAGAGCAGCCTCCACCCGGCAAAGTTTTCATACCCGGGTATCATACTCTAGATGAAGACGAAATATTGGAAGCCGACGAATCCGTATATCTTACGCGACACTCCATGAGTGTGGATTATCCCAGTCTGTCGTTTGATGTTCTACGAGATAGCCTTGGCGACGAGAGGCAAAGCTTTCCGGCGACAGCTTACTTTGTAACTGGAGCTCAGGGAGAAACAATGAAAAAAAACGAACTTCGAGTTTGCAAATTGAGTTCGTTGCACAAAACACAGAAAAACGGTTCGTGAGATGATGAGTTACTATGTTATACTATCTGACTTGTCCTCAGGCGACTCGGATTCAGAGGATGAAGATGACGACGACGACGACGACAGACTTGATGAAGATCCAGTGCTTGAATATCGATCTGTTCTTCACGTCGGCGGCGTTAACCGGATACGAGCACAACCGCTTCCTTCCTCAACTGCTCTACCTCCCGTTTCTCAGCCCTATCATGTCGCAACGTGGGCAGAAACGGGTAAGGTGCACATATGGGATGTCCGACCACTTATCGAATCGCTCGATGTGCCCGGATATGCAGGGAATAAAGACCGAACACAGTCCCCTGTTTTCACCGTAAATTCTCATGGTAGAGCAGAAGGGTTTGCAATGGATTGGGCTGCTTCGGGTCCTTCTTCGTTGCGCCTGTTGACCGGCGATATTCACTCCAAAATTTATTTGACAACATCTACACCTTCTGGTTTCAATGCTCTTTCACAGCCTTTTACATCTCACACATCGAGCGTCGAGGATATACAATGGAGCCCTTCGGAGCCAACGGTGTTCGCGTCATGCTCAGCTGACAAAACGATCCAAGTTTGGGATGTCCGAGGCAAAGGACGTCAAAGTGTCGCTAGCATCGACGAAGCCCATGACAGCGACGTGAATGTGATTAGCTGGAATAAATCAACGACTTATCTTCTTCTCAGCGGCGGAGATGAAGGTGGAATCAAAGCCTGGGATTTCCGCAACATGAAGAAAAAGAGGTGAGTAAGCCATATCCACCCTTTCAGCCTTGGTCTTGATTCAGATTGTAGCACCACTGGCCCAGTTTCTGTGCCTATTGCTTCATTTAATTGGCACAAGGCGCCCATAACGTCTATCGAATGGCATCCAACGGAGGAATCTATGTTCTTGGCATCATCTGCGGATGACCAAGTCACCCTGTGGGACCTTGCTGTCGAGCAAGACGATGATGAAATGGGAACCACTGATTCTTCTGGCGAACACAATGTACCGGCCCAGCTGCTATTCTCTCACCATCAACAAAATGTAAAAGAGGCCCACTGGCATCCTCAGATACCGGGTTGGGTTATCAGCACGGGCGCCATTGGCTTTGATGTGTACAAGACTATCTCTGTTTAGTGAGTTTAGAACTAAGGGTAGTTGATTAGAGCAGCATAAGAAACGGCCTAATAGAGTGCACGACTGTTGTTTGCCTTCGGGACCCGGATCTACGAACTTGGTTAGGTAATTGAACTCATAGAGGTAAGAATAAAGCCGCAGACCTTGGCAATGTTCTTTTGTATGAGGTCCATCAATGATGCATACATGTTGCGGATGTCTATGATATGCTGACGGGCAAAATAAATCTGCTTCTCATCATGTTCCTTCAGAGCCAACTGGTGCAATCATTAATTCTGATGATTACAGATGTGGTTCGCCGTACCGTGTAGTCTTCTAAGTTGGGATACTTGATCAGCTTAGAGCATAGCTTTGCCCTGGTGATGTGATCTTGACGAGCGGTGTCGCGTAAATTGTATGCGCTCTCTTGCGCACGATGCAGTTCGGAAAGGACCTCTGAATCGTCGGCGTTAAAAACGATGTAACCGTTAAATGCCAAGACAACCTTCTTGAATTTGAACCCCTGAAAACCTCGTGAATTGGCGTCATAGAACTCAAAATGAGGGCTAACCAAAATTATCACCACTATACGAATGGGACTATCATTCATCCGGAACCAAAGATGAGTTAGAGCACGTACTCCTCAATTCTGTATATGAAATGTCAGAAACAAGATGAAGGTGAAGAGAATAAAACATCACAGACTTTGGCATTGTCAGAGTTATCCACACTTTCACTTGATCCTTACGCGTCAAATTAGCAAACACAATGAGGGATAAAAGATAGGCGACATACAACCGTAGAAGATAGCTGCTCGCATTCTTGTTTGACAATTGCGTGTAGACCTGATATATGTCTATTCGCTACAACAGAGTTGGTGAAGCGAGCATTTTGTAAGACCATGCCGTCACTGTCAATTGCATGGGCCATCCGACGCTTTTTCGTTGGGGGATCTTCAGAGAATTGACCGTCGGGAGGAGGGTATACCATTGCGTCGGTTGTGGTCGAAGCATGAGACGAATGGAAAGGCGAAGAAGATGAATCAAATGACTGGATCATCTCCTGGAGCTCCCTGCTCTGGATTTAGTGCTAGAAAGACAAAGTATCCACTGTTTACAATATCTGTCTTGAAATTTCAATTGATTGTATAACGATGGGGAAGCGTGCAAGGCAGTACCTTGGAAGGGAATGTTTGAAAGACAATGTCTTCTCCAGAGCTTGCAAGGCCCATGCGAAATTTCTGAGGGGACCAGTATAAGTCATACAGGTAGTCCAATTCCTTGAAAATGCAGCCGACCTCTATTTCCGCTGTAAGATGTTTGTTCATTTGAAAGATGATAGTATGTGGCGAAGTCGCGCCTTAGCTACAGTTGACGTAGTTAGCTTCTTTATTCGGATGCTTGTGTATGTTTTCCAAGCGCTTTACTTGGACAAGCGACCTTCAAGTTAACGAACGTTCACAGGGTGCAGAAGCTGTTGGTGCTCTCGTCAGTATGGCCGACAGCAAGGATGAAAACGATGCGATATCTGCACTCACCGGATTCTCACTCAACCATCTTCTCGATGGCATGTCGCTGCCTAGCGGTTCAGGCCTCTCTAATCAACTTGGAATTTCCGGTCTGCCAAGTTTGAACTCTAGCCAGATTTACAACGAGAGCTATGATGATGATGATGATGAGGCCATCGGGAATGATCAGGGCGAAGATTGGGAGGCCCAAATTGACCAAGAGATGCAGGAGGAAGACATGGAATCCCCGGCGGCCAAGACAGAGCTTCACTCTCCAGATGTCGTAAGACGGAAACAGAGGCGAGTGCGCATAGTGAAGCGACTTATGGAGAGACCCAAAAGTGTGCACGAACGATTCCCGGCGTTTCAGAAAGACAAGATACTCGATTTCAGTGAACTGTTCAAAGGGAACACGGTGAACAAGTCGAGACTCGCCAAGAGGCCTTTTCATAGTGAGTCTCCTGCTTCATGCCTGTGAAAAGTTGCTGAATATTTGACAGTCGAAACTGTGTATCCCCGAAGGAAGGAGGTACCCAAGGCATTCCTTGAAGCAGTCGTAGGCGACACGAAGCGGCAAGTCGAGAATAAGCGTGTTGAGGCCGTTGTTTCTGCTGGAAGTATCGAAGTAGATCTTCGAAAGGCTCTTGAGGTGTGTTTACGAATTATTCTTCTGCTTTCGGCACTCATCCTACCTCAGGAACGTGACAAAACAAACGTTCCTATATCATTACCCCTTCATGATCGAAGCTTCGACCTCGTTCTGTTGTCGAATTGGGAGGACCAAATCATATACGAGCCGGAGAACACGTTCTCGCGCAGTATCAGCCTCCCGGAGAATAACCTTACGACACCAGTAAACAAAGCGTTAGAATCCGGTGCATGGACACAAAGTATTATATGGAGTCCTCGCGCACCATTCCGTGATTTCACCCAGCTAGAATTCAATCATGAAGATGACGTTATCCCAGAAGACAGAACAGGTTTGTCATTTGCCGTTCTCCAAGCGTGACACGTAACTAATGTTCCTATAGCTGAAATGGCCAGGCCTCGGAAGAGGCTCAGAACCGACGCAGGCATTCGTGACAAGTTCAATCTATCAAACGACCACTTTTATGAGATTTCCAAAGACGGTCGCCATCGCGTCCGTCAAACCTTTGGTCAACTATCTGTGGAGCATGCCTATCCTGCACAGAAATTGCAGCTGCCGTTCGTGCGTAGTCGTTTTTTCGTATTTGATGAGGGAGTTTCAATCTGACTTCCTCTGAAGTACAAGACTCGGCTGTCAAAACAAGAAGCCCGCTCTTTCCATCGCCCAGCTCTACAGTTTCCTTCAAATATCGAATTACGGTTCAGCAAGGTTCGCACTGCTAAGAAAAAGAAGGATAAAGCTGGTCGGCGATTGGGAAAAGGTGGAAATGTTGGAGAGGGTCTACATACCACCAGCGATCTCAGCCTTCGAGACACCAGCAACTTTGTTCTCTGGGAGTACTCGGTAGGTCGTTTCTGTCTTCCGTATGTGCTTTTCTTATTAAACTGGGGGGGTGCAGGAAGAACATCCTCCTATAATATCCAACTTTGGCATGGGCAGTGCGCTGGTAAATTATTACAGGAAGAAGGATGAGAAGGATGAACATATACCCAAGTTTGACTTGGGTGTTCCCTTCGTTCTTGAACCTCAAGATGATTCTCCGTTCATGAAATTTGGATACGTCTACCCAGGTCAAACAATGCCTGCATTGTACAACAACTTACTCCGGGCACCTCTTTTCCGACAAAAGCCTTATCCTACTGATTTCCTCATCATCCGCCATACCGTCAAAGGTGATACAAAGTATTTCATCCGGGAGATCAAAAATCTCTTTGTCGTGGGACAGACGTATCCGGTCACCGAAGTTCCGGGGCCACATTCTCGCAAAATCACAAATACAATCAAGTACAGACTGCAGATCATCGCGTTCAAGCTGCTCCGAAAGAGTCAAGAGGAACGGCTGAAGATATCAAGGCTGATGAAGTACTTTCCTGATCAGAATGAGCTGCAGATGCGGCAAAGACTGAAAGAATTCATGGAATATCACCGTCGGGGACCACATCAGGGATTTTGGAGGCTGAAGCCCAATTTATCCATTCCAAGTGATGCTGAGATGCTGAAGATGGTAGGGCCGGAGCAGGTTGTCCTTACAGAGAGTATGCAAGTTGGCCAACGGCACTTGCAGGACTCTGGTTATAGTCAAACTGCGGATGCAGCGGATGGCGATGAGTCGAATCTTTCGGTGGAGCAGCAGTTGGCGCCATGGATCACAACAAAGAACTTTTTGTTTGCTACCCAGGCGAAGGCAATGCTAAGGTTGCATGGTGAGGGCGATCCAACGGGAAGAGGGGAGGCTTTTAGCTTTATCCGGATATCGATGAAGGAGATATTTGTAAAAGCGGGGGAAGATTATGAGCAGAAAATGGGTTTGTCTTATTTGTTTCCATACCCTTTCCTTCTATGACTGAATTGTCATTGCAGCCGAGGCTGAGAATCGGCCAAAGTCTGCCCACCGTTATAACGTCGCGGAGCAACAGCAAATATATCGATCTGAGATTGAACGGATATGGAAGGCTCAGTTCGATTCGCTGAGTCGGAAGGACGAGCCAGTGTTGACGGAGGAGGACAAGAGAAGATACAAGGAAAATGAAAAAGAGGCGCAAGCCAAGAAGGCGCTCAATCCCTACCTGTCTGGATTTGCGGCTACCGCGGCTCCTGGCTCGCCTGCTCCTGGACCCAGTCGAACCTCGTCTGTCGAGCGTGATATGAGTTTAGGACCTGACGGGGGCCGGCGAGTGCTGAGGATCAAGCGGTTGATGGATGGGGAGTGGCAAACGGAAATTATTCGAGACCCGGGCGTTATACGTGCTTATGTGCGAGGGAAGCAGCTCCTGGAGGAAGAGGCAACAATGGCTGACAGCCTAGCTCCCACAGGAGATGCAGATAAGGATAAACGGGCGAAGAAGAGACTCGAAGAGGAAATCGCCAGGATGAAAAAGAACCAAGAGAGACGGTTACATAGGAAGAATGCGAAGATCGTGAAGGAGGGTGGGACGCCGATGACTCTGAATAGACCTTTGAAACCTGATACAACACGGAGATGTGGGCATTGTGGGCAGATGGGGCATATGAGTAAGTTTTTTTTTTTTTGTCTTGGGATGGTTGCTGATGCTGACCGGCTGTTTTTCTAGAAACGAACAGGAAATGTCCCAGGTGGGCAGAGTTCAACAGTGGTGCTGCACCTGTGGCGGCACCGGGACCTGCCGGGAGTCCTCCTCCTCCCACGACCAACACACCCAATCTCGGGTTTAATACGCCTTTTGCGCCGTCGCCTTTGGCTACTAGTACGTCTGCACAAGAGGTAGAGGAGCCTGCGGCGTCGAAACCTAAAATCAGGTTTACCATAAAGAACAGGGGTTGAAATACTTATTATGTAAAAGTATAGCGGACGGACATTTTATATACCATGCTATATTTCTATTGTACTCTCGGAAAATATTGGCTGTTTCCATTGTGTAGACCTCTGCGCAGTGTGACTACTACGACTGTTGCTACTACACACTTGCACATATGAGAAGAGTGCAATGGCAAATTTAGACAAATGGTTCTTCCATGATAAATTATACGGAGAATTGTAATGTACAATCTGAAGATCGACAGCAAAGTAGCTAAAAGAGACAAAAGTTTGTCGGCATGTTTCATATCAAGCAACCACCATCTCGACATCGCGTTCCACAACTCGGTCCTTCATAACCGACTTCGGTGTGCCGTTGCGACGCTTATAATCAGAGTTGACGCTGACGAGCAAATCCTTAATAAGCTCGGCATGATGTCGCCTCTCTTCGAAAGTTATCTCGCGTAGTTCTATCCGGGAAAGGTCGTCGCTTATACTTCTGATTCCCGGAAGGGTCTTTTGCGGAGACGAGGAGGTAAGTGGGGGTAGCTTGTATTGAGCATCTCCCGAAGTAAGGAGGGGGTACAGCGAGCCCTTCTTTTTTTCTGGGGAAGACGACGGCGGAGATGAAGCAAACAGTGAGGATGATGAAGATGAGGTGAGCTTGGCGGGAGGCCCACGATGCACGTCTTGCAATAGCTTGGGCTCGACCGGACTTGGTTTGGATGCGGTTGGGACCGATTTGAGGGGCACCATAGGACGCATAGCCTTGTTCACGTACTCGAGGGGGGAGATCGTCGCTGGAGGAGGAGGACCGCGGGAAGCACGGATATAGTCAAAGTCGAGAGGCTGAGTAGTGGTGTGCTCGGCAGACGGGGATGGGTGATAAGGCGCGCTGGACATGTAGCGCGTAGAAGAGACGGGAGAGACGGAAGAGACGGAGGAGTTGCGGCGATGATAGTCGGCAGAGGACGGGTACTCGGCAAGCGAGGGATACCGCTGCTGGGTGGAGTAGTTGGCGTATTGCTGGGGCGGAGAGTTGGTTGGATATGGGGCGGGCTCGGGAGAATAATGCGCATGCGAAGGCGGCATTCCCGGCATCCCGGCAAGACCGAGCTGGGAAAGGGCGACTGGATCAAAGTAGTCGGGAGCGGGAGGGAAAGACGCAGCGGCGACAGAAGGCGGGTGGGGGCGCCCGGCAACATTCCTGCCGAGGGTGACCAAGAATTCGTTGACTGCTGCGAGCTCTTCTGGAGAACGGATCTCGACAGACACTGAGCGGGGATTAAAGTTGTGTTCGACAAAGCTGAGGCGGTCGGCCATACGGGGATCGTACGACGGATTTACGCGCCTCTTTTTCATGTCGGAGAAGAAGTCGTCGATATTGTAGCAATGGGGGCGCTTCGAGCCTGTTGAGACGGAGGAGGAGGGGTCATCCGTGCGCAGGTCCTCCCACGGCGGCAGCTGGTGCAGCATATGGAGGTCGTCTGAGGGCGACACATGATGGGCGACCTGATGGGACAGTTCGGGAGAGGGAGTGGGAAGGAGACCAAAGTGAGAGACTGGACACAGCGCAATCACTAAGGATACCACACACAAGGGCTGCAATAGACTACCGACCTTCAGAGGCTGACGAAGAATGGGAGGTCGAGCGAGCAGCCGACACTCTGAGCTGCTTTTTCGGGTCTTCACCACCGCGGACCCTGCTGACGTAGAGGGGGTCTGCGACGGTGATTGCCTTTGAATGCTTGTGCTGCGCATGGTGCTCTTCAGTATGAATCTTTTCGTGTTTCTTGAGATCCTGTGGTCGCTTGAATGACTTTTGGCATATCTGCAAGGTGTGAGAAGGAAAGCAGGAAAGCGGTGAGAGCAGCATACGTCACAACAATGGGGCTTCAGTGGAGTATGAACTACGGGAGAAGAGGATCAGAGAAAGCTACCAAGGACCAAGGAGCTCTGAGCCTACCCCGCAGATGACTGGTAATATGATCTCGCTTGGCACAGGAAGTGCCACAGTCCTTCCAGTTGCATGTGAGACAGAGATTATTGGTGCTCTTGCGCCCAATGTGTTCGTTGCAGAGATGATTGTAGAGAAGCTCGGGGTCGCCAAATGAGTGGATGCAATCCTGCCAGAGACAGCGATGAGCGGGTGGAGGCTCTGAATCTGCTGGTGGGGGTGAGGCCAAGGACATGGGGGATGGAGGAAGAGGCGACATCTGAAGATAGGCCTGCTGCTGGAGAACGTCAAGGGGAACGAGCAGCCGACTGTCGAACTGGACGGACTGGGGCCAAGCAGAAGAAATGTCAGGGTGGTTCACTTTTGACATACTTTATAGCGGATTGCCAAGCTTTCCCGGTGTTTTCCTTGGCAGTTGTGGGATCCCTGCCAAGTCGATCAAATACAAATAACCAAGAACTCTTGGCCGGCCAAGCCTCTCCTAAAATAGATCTATCTCCGATTGGCTGGCCCTTGCCAAGCTACCGTAGTACACTGCAACAAATAATGATAATGTTCATTTCTCCTCTTTCTTCTCCTCCTCCTCCTCACCATTTATTCCAAGTACTTTTACCCATTCACCGTAGTTAAAATTACCCTGCCGATCCGTAAATGGTCCTTTAAGCAGCCGGTCAATCTGCAGCCCAGTTTCTTTGTTTTAGTGCCGACCGACATGTTGCACACACACATACCTCGCGGTCATCCATCCTGTCTCCCAACTCACTCAACCATTTCCTCATCTCTTCAACCTTGACCAAGCCACTGTCATTCTCGTCAAAGCACCCAAATGCCTCAACCAGCTCCTGCTCCGGATCAAACTCAAACAGCCTTTCATTCATCATGGTCAAAAACATCGTAAAGTTCACCCCCCGCTCGCCAACGACCGTCTCTCCTGGTCGCGACAGTAGTAGCTCTTGCATCATCTCTGACGACGGTTGGATTCCTGTAGCGCGAGCGCGGCTCAGTAATGTCACTATATACACCCACCTCTTTGATGACGTACCCAGACTCCCAAAAATCTCCCTCAAATCGTTCTCGCCTACCCATCCATCCTTGTCGTGATCAATCAACTGAAATGCCTCCTTGAACTGCTGGATCTGTGGCCCTTGGAACAAAGAGAATACGCCTGACGGCTCTCTCCTTGCTCTACTCTTCTGCGCCTTGGTCAGTGTCGTGGCGGGGCCTAACGTATTCGGGTAGCGAGACATTCTTCTTGGAAGGAGGTCGTGGTAGAGTGCCAACTTAGGAGAGCCGGATCCCACGCCACGTGATGCTACGCGACGCGATTTGATAAAATTAGCTAGGCTCACAGTCGGTTCCACAATTCTCCGATTGCCATCCACACACCGCACTGACGGAGACATCCTCTGATTGCTATTTGACGGTTGACTTTTCTTTGACGCTATCTAGTATGTAGACTGACAACGGTGTTTTGCTGGCATACCTTCTTTAAATCATGACCGTCGTATGCGTCGGATTTGCCAGTGCACCCTGAGTTTTTTTCTTTCCGAGATACCACGACACGTATGGATCCAGGCCGTGGAAAGCGCACGAGTAATGATAATGGCTTTTTGGATGGAACATCCAACTCCGTAATGCATGCATACTGACTCAGCTTTTCCCGAAAATGTTCCTTCATTGCAGAAAAGCTTACGACAGGATCCATCGCTAGCAAGGCATCTCAATGATGGATATTAGTAATTGCACTTGGCCCGCTTCAATATCATTAATCCTGTAGGTCCGAATCATCACCACGACTAAGAGATAGATATATATCTGAGGGATGTGCTATGATATCTGAAGAACACCCATGAAGATCTGGAGCCTGGAGTTCCGAGCTTGAAGAACACTGTCGCTACAGCCGGAGATTGGTCGGAGCATTGCAAACAAGTCGAAAAGACCACACAGGCTACAGTCCCATCCATGTTCACCTCTGCACCAAGTTGCTTGACCTGACATGCTATACGATTCATGACCTTGGCCATTCCAGAGCCCTACATATGCCTACATCAGTTGTATGAACCCCTCAAAGGCTCTGCCATGATTCATACTGTTGCTACAAGTCAGCTCTTGCTGTGGATGTATGGAAACCACCAGATCCACCCTAATATGTAGATGAACTCTCTATGAACATTTCCTCAGCTTATCTGTCATCATCCAACAGCATTTGTTTTCATGAATTGTTCTGTCAATGACTCTCTTGGGAGTGACCACATATCATCTGACATTGGTTTTCTATTGTACAAACTAATACCCATGCTCTTTCCTATATGTTTGGCTCTCTTCAGGATGTTATATGCATAAGAGACCACAAATGCCAGCTCCAACAATGGTGATAGACATTTCTGACATTGATACAAGAGACAAAAAAATTAAGAGTCACCAGAAATACAGAAAAAATAGATTCCATCCTTGAAGGCCTTATCTCTGAGTACAGTAAATCTATGTAGAAGAGAAAGAGTAAAGTTGCCATGATTTTAGCCTCTAACCCTAAATCATGCCAGCTAAGGCTTAATAAGCCAACACTTAGGAAATCCTAATGAATCCCAACAGGATCACTCTCAGTCATGGAGAAACCTTGTAGAAGATGCACAACACACAGCATAGGACCAGGAGTATTGTCATTAGATAATGAGTAGTTGGTCTGAGACAATGAGACAATGACTTGGTTTGAGGCAGCAAGACAATGGCTTGGCTTGAGACAGCCAAGACTTTTCTATACAGTATTTAAGTCAGTAGTATACAGTGATATACTCTAGTCTTTGTCAGATGACAACCAAATAATCACAAATGCAATGCATTGCAACAGCTGGGGTCTGACACTAACTGAAGGTAAAGCAGAAGGATGAGGGTAATAATGTTTTGGATAATGATAAGGGGAGAGAGGTATAGAGGTTGATAGGCTATAACTGTCAGTGTTGGTACTGAAGTGGTAGTCACACTAAGAGTTTAGGAGTTTGATCAGTATATTGACCTTAGCTTGAGACTGAGGCATATCTCTGTATACTACTGATTTATGTACTGTATAGAAGTCTTAGTGATTAGGCACTAAGACTGTGTCTCAGTGTCTCAAACTCAGCTAAAGCAGCTGAACATGATCAGTCTCTGATCAAGCTATAAGCCAAGACAGCTAGATATAATTTAGAGGCTAAAATTATGATATTACTCTCTCTTCAAGGCAATTGTCCTCAGTTACTCAGAAGAGCCCTGGAAATAAGGCAACAGCTTTGTCTTTTCTATTGATCTCTACTGAGATGTCACATGTCTGGTCTAGGGGAAATAGTTGGATTATGAGTATCTCTGCCTTGATTTCATTGGTGTCTTTCCATATATAAAGCTTTTTAGCCTTGAATAGGTGTTGTTTGAGTTCAAAGAGGAGCTTTTGAGTTTTGATGTAGTCTGACTTATTGAATATTAATCTAAGTCTAATGTTGTTCACTGCAGCAAGTGCTGCATAGTACTTTGCAATAAGCCTTTTTGCATATGGAAGGTCATTTTCAGCATACCAGTAGTTCTTCTCATTACTATATCCCTTGAAATGGATAAGAAACTACTGTTTTCAATAATAAATTTTATCATCAAGAATGGTATCAATCTTATATTCATCTTCATCATCCACAACTATCAGTTTGAGTGGTGATGGCATTCTCTGGTTGGAAAACTCTGCTGTTTAGAATAGTTTAAGAAGGGTTTTGTTGAAGACAGGATAGATTTTTTACATCTTTAGGATAGCCAATTCATATGCCACATTGCTTACTTTTAGGCTTTCAGCCTGCTATAGAGATGTAGACAATGGAAATGACATCCAATGAGTTGGCAGCTAAAGCTTATATAGGAAAGCCAAAGAAGTCATTTAAAGAAATAGTTCCTGAATATTACAGAGACTATTGTGATATTTTCAGTAAAGCAAACTTTGATAAATTACCACTATAAAAGCCTTAAGATCATGCAATTGAGCTGGTCTCTAGTGCTAACACTAATCTGAACTGCAAAGTATATCTACTCAGGTAGACAGAGCAAAAGAAGCTAGATAAGTTTCTTAATGAGAACTTGACCAGCAGAAGAATCTGTTAGGCCTAGATGATATATGACCACAAACATGTAATAAACAAATGCTGTATCAAGTTCATACAGTCATGTTTGAGTCCACTAAGTGTGTATAGTGGTGTTATATCTCAAGGTCAATACAAGTTGACTCAAGATAAAGTGGTAGGATAAAGGATAGCTTGAGGCTGAAGATATATGATGCTATCTATGCTTGCTTATATACTGTTCACCTCTTAGATAAATATAGCTCTACTGATTGTATGTGTCTGTGCTATAGTGCTCATTGTTCTGGAGTACTATGATTACTTATAAAAGAGATGTTGTCTTGTCATCAGAGCATCACTATGTGTTGTAAAACAATGGTGGATTGTACTGACTAAGGTTGTCCCACAGTCTTGTGGCTTGTTTAGACACTCTGACTAAGCATAAATAGGGGTAAAGAAAAGAAAAAGAATAGAAATTATAACATTACTCTCTCCTTAAGATTATCATTCTGATAGTTTAATTTAGGGATAATTTGTATTCATGTATAGCTTTGTCAGCATTCATTTGCTTCTTGTTGACCTATTGATTAGACTCTGGCCCATACTCCTTCCAACTGACCAAGTAGTTGACAGTGGTTGTCAGATCTCCACTATGCACATGCACTTTTCAGAGTTTGTGATTTAATACTTGATCAATTTTATAATGCTCCTCATCATAGATCAGATCAGATGGTGGCAGAGGTGGTTGCTCCTGATTAGAGAAGGCAAATGCAACATATAGAGTTAAGAGGGATTTATTGAAAGTGTCATAAATATGCCAGGAGGAGGGGAGGTGGAGTCTGTATGCAGAGGCACCAACTTTGGCTAGGATTAGAAAGAGACCTGTATATTTGTCAGCTAGCTTGCATTTGAAGTGTGGGAGATGAAGGTTGGTGGTATCTAGCCAGACCTTGTTATTCATGTTGTAGGTGTAGAGGGCTCAGCAGTATTTATCATATTAAAGTTTCATTGTAGCAGTGGCTTTTTTAAGAGTGGTCTAGATTTTGGTATGGATTTTTGTCATCTTAGTGGCAAAGTCTGTCAAGACAGAGGTAGATGTATAGTGTTGAGAGATTTGAGTGATGTTGGGATGTCTTCTATAGTTGATAAAGAAGGGTGTTTTTCCTGTTGCAGAATAGACTCTGTTGTTGTGCTAGAAGGCTGTAAGAGCAAGCCATTCCATCCAGTCATCTTGTTGGTAATTGATGAACATATGCAAATACTTTTCAATCTCCTGATTGATGTGCTCTGTTTGCTCATTAGTTTGTAGATGATAAGCAGTTGAGGTGTTGCTTCAGATACCAAGTAGTCAGTATAGATCATTGAGGAATTTCAAGATGAATTGCAGACTGTGATCAGAGATGATGACTTGCAGCATGCTGTATTTCAAGTATACCTCATTCTGAAGGATTTTTGCTTATCCTTCTGAGGAGAGTTCTGTTGAACAGACAATCAGAACAATCATCTTCAAGAACTGATCAACAATAATGAGGATTGTACTATACCCATTATAATCCAAGAGACCAGTGATTATATCAATGAAGATATGAGTCCATGGTTTTATCAGGACTTTGTTTGAGTGTAAGAGGGCTAGATGAGCATATATTGAGGACTTAGTCCATTGGCAAGTCTTGCACTCTTTAACATACTTGTTGATATCTCATGCTATCTTTAGTCACTAATACTCCCATAAAACTAGTTTTTTGGTCTTAAAAATCCCCAGGTGTCTTGCTGTCACATGATTGTGACTCATAGTGATGATTTCCTCTTGCAATGATAGTTTCTGCAGAACATAAATGCATCTGTCATAATAGAGAAGACTGTTGTCTTTGGTGACACCTCTTTCATAATTTAGTGATGTAGTGATCTCTTGGTCTCAGAGATTCAGTTGTCAGACTGCACTTCAGATTTTGATGTGAATCTCTTCTTTGGTCAGCATGATTATAGCACAGAAGTGTTCTGATTTCAACAGTATGACCCCTTCATTATTCTCCTCTCTTTGATTGTAGTCTGCATGTTGACTCAGCAGATCAGCCTTTTTGTTGGCCACTTCTATCTTATAATGTAATGTGTAGTGATATTCTGAGAGCTCTATCACCTATTGGGCCTGCTATCAGTTCAACTTCTGAGGAAGGCAG